TCTTCTCTTTCGTACTCTTCTCTTTCGTACTCTTCTCTTTCGTTCCCGTCTCTTTCGGGACCCCCTTTTGCGTTTCCGCCTTTTTCGCTTGCGCCTTGTTCGTTCCCGCCCTTTTCGTTCCCATCGTATTGTCGTTTGTTTTGAATAAATGCTGATTTGATGCGAAGCTTTCGTTTTTGAGGATCTGTGAACAGTGAGTAAACTTGAAGCCATATGATTGGGGTTGCAGCCATATTTTATCTGCAGTCAATACCGTATTCCCCGATAATTTGTGTATTATTAACTTTTGAACGTTTCTCTTTATTGCCATTATTCGAGCTACATAAAATTCATTAGTGGCTTGTACATTTATTGTTCGTTCTTTGTGAAGGCTCCTTGACCTCCACATTGTTTCCCTATTTTAAGCTACACATTTTCTAATGTAACATCAGCCCAACTGTTGCCCTCTCTCTCAATCGAACCTTCAGAGGCACCCGGCTTGGAGAGTCAGCCTCTCCTTTGGCTGCTCATGCACCAGATGCCAGAGAGATTTAATCTCATTTGTTTACGAATTACATGAGTCTGCTGTTTAGTTTACTTATAATATAATGTCCCCTCGATATCGATACTGCTTCCCATCCTCGATTCTACGATGTTAGCCGTACCTGCAGTGAATAAAGCGAAATGTTGTGCGTTGATATCAACGACCAGCACCGAAAAGAACTAATCTGCGAATCTCGAAGAGACAGCCCGCAAGGCAGTGGAAGGGCAAAATCTGAGTCCAACTTGAGTGATCAACGAGCCTAACCGGCATATCTAAGTTACATCGTCGGTTCAAAGTAATAGAACATCGATCCGTGGCATTGACATTATATCAGATTTTTGAAGTTGCGAATCTTCGGACGGTAGTAAATATCACAATCTTCTTTATCTTCATCATTTGACCTGGGTCGGCTCATACAGCTGGTATCCTTTGAACTCATGATTATAGAGAAGTGAAATTCTAAAGTCAATTCCCCCCTTTAGCAAGAAAAGTCTCCCAACTTAGACTCGGAGGGACGACATACTGCAACCGAGGGTAAAGGGGCGAAGTATTGGACGTGGGACTTCACTGATAACCAATGTTGATAGTTGCATTAAATCAAACGCCTGTGAAAGATCACCGTCTTTCTTAGATGTACACCTATCGATATATCTACCTTCCTTCATCTCATTCGTCTGCATGACTTTCGTAGAAAGCTGATTTTGTCCCCGAATAAATGGATAATATTTCAATCGTTTTCGCTGCCGTTTCTTTCCAATTGTCCTCCCTGATCTTCTTGTCTTCTTGTCCTTACTGTTTTTCTACTTCTTCTTCTTCTTCTTTTTGATTTCCTTCTCCTGCTGTTCCAGTTGCGCGATTCTATAGCGAATTCCCTTAGGGTATAACTCCGTAGAAGGCACTGTGCCAGTCTTCTGACGATTCTCTAAGTCACGAGCATCTGGCGTGAGTATTCTTGCGTACTGGTTTAACCTGTTTCGTACTACATGGACAGGCCTTTCTTTTCCCCAGAGCCTCAATGCATGATTTCGAAGGTTCCCCATGAAGCTGTCCACATCAAAATCTCTCTTGATCGCAAAATTCACCAGGCCAACCTTTTCCACATGAATGTCAAGCTGGGTGTACAACGCTTGCACCTCGAAATCGTCTAAATGTGAAGGCATGACCGAAGGTTGTGGAGATTTACGGTTGGAAGTGGTGGGGGGATTTCGCAGTACTGTATGGACTTGGAGTTTAGAAGTTGATGGATTAGGACTGTTGTCGTTGCTATCGCGCTCCTCGTCCGCATCATTATTCTCCTCAGCTCCTCCGCTCGGTGGTTTATCGTTGCTGTCTTCAGTGATTGCTTCAGTGTTGGCGCGGTGAGGGTCAACGGTTTTAGTGCCTGAACGACTACACCCAGTGCTTGAACATTCCCGGTAGCTCTTTTGAAAAAGATCCCCTTCGAATGGAGATTCGAAGTCAATCTCCTCTGGACCATGCTCGGAATTGCCTGGGCTTCGTCGACCATATCTAAGGGCTGGTGACCCAACATCCGTGTCACTTTCCGGCTCAATAGCTGCCGAATCTTCGTCCGCACTGAATTCGTCGGAACCATAGTCATGCCTTCTGCTCTGTCGATTCTCGCTGTCGATTCGACTAGTTTCCTCGACAGCGTAGGCTCTGGCTGTAAATTCATAGTACTTGTTGTGATCGCGAATTAAGGCCCCTTCCGCATCTGTTTCGGGTTGATGTTTCTCAATCGTTATGTCCGATGATGTTGTCTTCCATTTCCCGGACTTGTCGCGTACTGGATTGCCTTGTTCATCGGTGTCAATCTGTTGAATAGTTTGAGTTTCTTTCACCAACTTCTGCTTGTATCGGATTCCCTTCTCGATTAGAGGATGGGTTTTAGATTTGGCGTTGTCATCGTTAGATTTGGTGTTGTCATCATTAGATTTGCCAGTTCCAGTGGGTGACGATCGCTTCGGAAATATTCTCCATTGCCCGAGCTCAAGATACTCAGACCCATTCGAATGAAGTAACTTTTGTGCTTTACCGTCGCGTCTGATCCTCGTAGGCTCACTGCCCCATGTACCGTCTTCGAACGAAGTTTGAAGGCCCCATTTCCCTTTTTTGCCCCCCTCATGATACATTTTCCAAAACTTTCCTTCAACCTGCTCGCCTGACAGATGCTCCCGTGCTTGGTTGAACGATTCCCAATCATAGTGAACTTCTTTGTCATTGTGTGGAAATTTCGTCCGTAGATGGCTTAGCCTGCCCTCGAAGGGAGTTGTATGGCGAATGCTGTTCGAATAGCGGTGCGCGTCTTCAGGAGTCAGTCGATCGGGCATATTTTCCCTACTCCCTATTTGAAATTTGTCATAAAGACTTATTAAATGACTTAACCATCCGACATAGGCGTCGTTTGTGGGCCATTGAATGCCGCGTTTCGACATCATAATAGGTTCCACGTTCCATGGCGGCCCTCTCCTGTTCCACTCGTTCTGGTAATAAAGGAAGTCTTCCCAGCACTGCTGTGCAAACATGTGTTCCTCCTTTTTCGCCCATGTTTTATTGTTGAGATGATATTCATGCAACTCATGGTACGGCTCTGCAATTTCGTTGATCATTTGCTGAAGTCTTTTGCTGTCGCGTATCTCGCCTTCCACGACGTCGTGCTCTGGTAACCATTTTTCCCAGATGCTACCAATCCTTTTCAGTTTTTGGTTGATCTGCGAGGAAATTGTTGGATTGGAATCGTCTAAACTCTTCACTTCCTCCTCTGCGCTTGCGCGTTGGGTGTATCTTAGCCGCGCAAGCAAGGTAGCTTTCATGTCTACCATCCAAGTATCCATTTCTTGAACATTCTGGGGCACTCTTTCCTTGTAGCCTGCAAGAAAAAGACACGGATCGTTGGGTTTGGCTTCCGTTTCAGTTCCAGCACCACTTGGCGCATTCGCCGTGCTATCTTGTTGGCCTGATGACATGATTTATAGGGTGAAGTTTGTACTAGTACAGTGCATATGAATTAATTCAAAGACAGTAGATTGTTGTCGTCGAAACTACGTCAAGATTCTACAAGGAGCTATGGTTATTAAGAGATAGAGCTCACCAAAGTTCTATCTTTGGTCATTCGTACTAGCTCACGATTGACAAGTTTGTGAATGAAAGCGATGTTACTAGTGTCGAAAGTAATATAAAGAACTTTGGTCAGGCTTTTATATCTCTTTGTGCAATTCCAAGGCTCGCCGTTTACTAAATCCACATCCATCTCTCGACGCCCGTCAGAGTACATATTAAAGAACTTATGATACCCTAGGGGGCAGCTTTTGGGCCAAAATAGGTTTTGGATAAAGAATTCGTATCTCATTAGTTCAACAATAGGGTCACATGCAGGATGGTGATTCTGGGTCTCGGCACTCAAAGAACCAACTTGGCATTGTAGGCATTGTAGAAATCGGCAGAATCCACATACGACGATGATATCACGATCGGTACGACTGACTCTTCATCGTGATAACATCAATCATGCACTTTACCGCAATATCATCACAATGTGATGCAGAATTGATGAGTTGATACGGTTGATTTGATTGTTCAGATAGCTATCTCTCGCTTCTGGGAGGTCTCGGTGGTAGCTCGGGATCTTGCTGTTCATTCCGTGGAAGGTGAAAGACCCGGTCGTGTCGATCGCTATAGCTTTGACGCATTTCTTCCGAAGCTACGGCTTCGATCTTTTCAAGCCTCGACAATCCATTCATTGTTCTGACATTTTTCAAATTACCACCATATCCTAGTGGAGGAATGACGGCGTGATTCAGGAAGGAGTTAAGAGTAGCAGCATCGTTTCGCCTAGCCGGCATGTTCAAACATCCAACAGGAGGTTCCATCAATTTCCAATTGTTAGTAATTTTTGGTCCATCCCTTCGAAGTTGCGGTTTGATCTGTGGCAGGTCAACGATGGCCCGCATCAAGTGCCGTCCTATTTCGTGGCGGTTTTGACCCTTTTGGTAGGTCTTGCCACCATTCTTCCCGTGCGATATTGAGGCCATCATTCGATAAATCACTGCTAGATTGGCCAACAGGCGCTCCTACAGGAATTTCTTTGCGTTCCAATCTCTTCTCAAGCTCCGTCTGCGCTGCAATTATGTGACTCTCGTCAATCTGTGATGTCATTGTCATTTTTGCATACACTAGTCGTGGGGAAGCCTGAGAAACCGTAAGTCAATCACTCTGTTGCATTACACATGGAGGTTATATTAGTTTTATCCATCATTGTGGATTAAGACTTCAAGATATAATCAATATCTATGTCCTCCTGATATGCCTAGCATTGCAATTGCGATCAACAGTGCCTTTGTTAGGCTGTTGATTCCTTCTTGAGCACATGTTGCACATTCATGCTCTTCAAACAGTGTATAAGACTCATCTGGACAATGTTTCGAATCCATTGACATCTATCTGATAGATTCACAGAGTCCACAATATCATCCACGCAAGAGCCGTCTACTTTGCATAGTTCCAACGCAAGGGCACGGTACTGTACGCGAGATTGAGCAAGGCGTGCAGACCGTGTAGGAACATCTCTTCTCATAGTTCTTGATAGACTTATCTAACTTGAAAGCTGGCAAGATCCAAGCAAGAGTTTCGTACAGCTTGCATGAAGTGATTATTGTTGTATGCTTTGTAGGACAATAGGCTAAAATTGAAAGGTCTGGCGAAACTTATCAAAAATCGACATCGGAAATGTCAAATTGAACAGCACCAAAAAATATCCAGTCCGATGTCCAAATGTCGTTGGATATTTCAGAGATGTTGAAATGAAAACTTGCGGATGGCGGGACAGACCAACCCCGCAGTCGCCCACAAAGCGATTCTGGTCTTGGCTCTTTTTCCACCACAGGAAAGTTTCTACGCTAGACTGTCAAACTTTCTATCCCCAAAACCTACAAATTGCATATCACGACCGGAAGTAATCTAGGAGTCTAAAACAATGTCTGACACCGACTCTGACACGGCTAGCTCAGTCGGTAGTCTGATTGAGGATGCCTCTGAACCCGATACCACGACTTTCAAGTGTCTTTTCTGTGATAAACCATGGGGCAATGTACCTGAAATGTTCACACACTGCGAAAGCGAGCATAAATTCAACGTCAAAGCTGCAATTCAGGAGATTGGGTCAAGTAAATACTATAATTTCCGGATACCGACATCTGCTTATCATATGAATTAGAGCTCGAGGAGATTGGTGTCATTAAGCTAGTAAATTACCTACGCTTGGAAGCTCAGAAGGGTACAGATCCGTCTGCACTCACGGTAACACCCGAAAACTTAGCCGACGACAAATATCTCGTTCCTACACTTGAGGATGATCCGTTACTCTTTGAATTGGGAGATTTCATGCCCGATTCAAATGAGCAAGTGCGAGATTATGAAGAGTACGAAGCAGTGCTTTCCAAGAACTTGCCCGAGGATGTGTCCAAAATCGACGTCAGTGGAGAGCGTGACGAGCGTTATTTTGACTCCTACAAGGGCAATGGTATCCATCGCGAGATGATCGAGGACCGCGTGCGCACAGAGTCGTATCGTGATTTCATCGAAAAGTATGCCCATCTCATCAAAGACAAGGTTGTGTTGGACGTAGGCTGCGGGACAAGCATATTAAGTCTGTTCTGCGCAAGAGCCGGAGCGAAGAAGGTTTTTGCAATCGACAATTCCGACATTGCTTTACGAGCGAGGGAGATTGTAAAGAAGAACGGATATGACAACGTAGTTGAAGTCATCCAAGGGCGCATCGAGGATTTCCATCTCCAGCAAAAAATCGGCAAGGGTAATGTCGACATTATTGTTTCAGAATGGATGGGCTACGGTCTTCTATTTGAGGGCATGCTTGACTCCGTACTGAAGGCAAGAGACATCTACCTCAAGCCAGATGGTCTCATGGTGCCAAGCCACTGCACACTTCGGGTAGCTCCAATCTCAGACAAGACCTGGATATCTGAAAGTACTGGAGAAAACTTCTGGAAAGATGTCTACGGGTTCGACTTTTCAACCATGATACCGGGTGGATTATTGAATGATAGGGAAATTGGCGTGTTCGATGTACCGCCCAAATCGATAAGCGGCAGCGCGTCAACATTTTACGAACTTGACCTCGCTCGGATCACTGTGCCGGAATTGGACTTCACAGCACCGTATTCGACTACGCTCGACCGAGATGTCGAATCCCTGGATGCATTCGCTATTTGGTTTGATACCTTCTTCCTCCCCCACGGGAGCAAACCGGATCTTAGCCAAGCAGACGCTCTGAAATGGAGTGCAAATGGGGCAGAGGGCGTAGCGATGGCTACAGGTCCATTCGGCACAGCCACGCACTGGCATCAAGCCGTTCTGCTGCTGGATGACAAAGACAGGAAAACATCTCTCAAGCAGGGAACTACCTTGAAGGGACAAATTACATATAAGAAGAGGAGAAGAGACGTTCGAGGCATTGATGTTGATGTGTCTTGGGCTGCGGAAGGTGTCGAAGGAAAGGTCTCAAGGCCGATGGGTTGAAGGAATGTACCAGTAATAGGTGGCTTATGTTCAAAGTTGCATGGGCCCGTACGTGTAGGTGTTCTCGGTGTTGGGACAGGTTATCAAAAAAAGGAGTGATCCTTGTTGGACGTTAGGACTGCGTGGACGGTCTACTCATTTCTATTCTATATTAGAGGAATATGAAAGAACAAAAATTTGTCTGAATTCATATGATAGATTGGTAGATGACTTGGTATCTACTTGTGCAGAGCGATTGGAATGCTCAACCATGTGACAACTGACGTCAGCGAGGAACGCTGCATTGAAAGATCCATATCTAAGGTTCGGAATGCATGAATTTCGCTCAATTCTATTACAAGGAATTATAGTCTTTGTTAGTAGTGATGCTGGGGGTGAATTTGTATTTACATGTAGTTGTGAGCTCGAATAGTGGAAGTATGCCTAATGTACATTTCATCTAATATCGCAACTAGCACTAGCATCGTTATCGATAAATGCCGTATGCGTCCCGCAGATCTTAATTAGGACTGGAGCTCTCCACGTGGCTCGTGCGCGTGAGCTCTCCTGCATGGATGATTCGGAACACCCGAGACGTCACGGCTTAACATTGAGCGCGCCATTCCGAACATCTCAGTCGTCTCAGCGAGAACCTTTTCACTTGAAGATGTGGCATCGGTAACAATTCTCGACCTGCCACTCTCATGCGCGGTATTCTACCTGGAAGGCCGCAGGCTAAGCTGCAAGCAGTCAGCCATGGACTGTGGGAAGGCAACCAGATCATTGTATGTAAACCATTGTCCACTAGCTGGAGTGGAAGCGTTGACTGATTTTACTTTCAAGGTCTACATCTCCGGGAACGCGCTCATAATACTGGACCGCCCGAACCATGTCCTCCAAACTACATACATCGATGAGGAGACCGAGCTGGAAGCGGTTGCCTTTGACGAGAATACAGGAAAGATAGCAGCCAGCTCGACAAAGACTGTGTATACATATCAACCATATGGACAAGACGAGGATGCAATCAAAGTATGATTGCCATTGCTCCTATAATCTCTCCTCACTGACGTGCATTAGTGGTCGTTACAGGGGAGCGTGCCGTTACCAGACCCGGAAGATACAATAACAACCTTATCCTGGGGGATGCCCGATGAGTTGCTCGTAGGAAGTGGATCTCTGACGCTTCTCAATACCCATACTGCCACTGAGCAAATTTGGACTAAGAAGCTCGCGAACCCCGTCAAATTCGCACACTTTTCGCCCGATGCCGAGTTGATCGCTTCAACAGGTCGCTACGATCGATTGCTCAAGATTTGGCGGCGCCTTGCATTTGGCTCTGCAGACCAACAGCGATTCGATTACTCGTATCTACCCCACCCAGCCGTTGTCACAGGGGTGCATTGGCGACGTCCCATCCACAAGGAGCAAACAGTTGACAATGTTCTTTACACGGTGTGCGCCGACAATAAAGTAAGGGTGTGGGTACCGGGAGAACATCATGGGGTGGATGGATTCAATCTTTGGGCAGAGCTCGATCTGATGGAATGTATCCAGCCCCGCGTCATAACGGAAGACCAGCAATCAAGCAAGAGATATGCTTTCTTCATCGACGGGCGAGACTTCACATTTGCAACAGAACGTGCGGTTCAGCAGGCGACCAGTGAAGAAAAAGACCAAGTGGCGCTACACCATCTAGTCGAGGTCGCCAATCGTAATCCCGAAATATGCGTCGTGCTAGATGACAGAGGGAATATGTCCGCATGGGGTTTTGAAAACATTGGAGCGAAGATTAAGAAGGTCACTGATGTATTCAACATCGCGCATTCGGATGGCTTGCATCTTCACTTCGCAAAAGGTGCCCACGGCCTGCATGATAATGTCCAGTTTTACGCGTTCTGTGGCGACAAACCAGGTTCTGTCATTACTCTTCTGTCGCATCACTATGACGGGAGAATTGAGTGGTTGGAATCACGTGTTGATCGTCTTTTGGATCCATCGCGACAATTGCAACGAATCCAGCGCAAGACCATCTGGACCGGCCACTCACATGCCATCAAAAAAGTCAATCGTACTGCAAGTGGAAGAGCACTAGTCTCACGGACTGTCACAGATGAGTGCATCGTCTGGGTCCAAAGACCAACCGAAGAGGGCATGACACTGCACAGGCACAGCACTGTCAAGGTCACCGAGCACATTCATCGAACTGCTCTGCTCCAGGACGGAAACTTTGTGGTTTTCCTTCATCACGACCACATCGCGCTATCTGATAGTCGTGGCCCGCAAGCCGTTGAGGCGGCTCGCCTCAGCTACAAGCTCAAAGGGAAACCCTTGTGTTTGATCGTTGTACCAGAAACCCGGACTGGGGGTCGAGTAGTACATCTCGCTACCATCAGTTCGGAGATGAAAGGTATCTGCTGGGAAATTCGGCTCCCACATCTAGATCGGGATCCTGTCACCGGCCGTAGGCTTTCGATTCCCACAAACGGCAATGCCAACGGACATCCAGAGATTTGTATGGAAGAGTTCTCCACCTTTGACCTTGGCTCAGGCGACGATCTAGCATTCGTCCTGCCTGTCGATCCCGCGGGTTCAGCCCCTGTGATATCAGGCTTCCTCGACACGTTTGCGCGCGACATTGCTATATCGTACACTAAATCTGGCGTCATCAAATCGTGGACAGCTAGAGTGAATGTCGATAAGAGAGATTTAGAATGGTTACAGACATCCGTTGTTGAGACCGGGGTCAGTAACCCAACACTTGCCAGCGGTACCTCCATACGGAAAGCAGCGTTGGTGGATGCCGAGAAGACTACTCTAACAATCTGGAATACACGAAGTGCGCAGTTAGAGTACGAAGAAAAGTTCGACGGAAATGGCATTATCCAAGATCTCGATTGGTCATCTACACCTGATAACCAATCAATATTGGCAGTCGGATTTCCGCACCGGATAGTCGTCTATGCACAGCTCCGTTATGACTACTTGAATGCGGGTCCTTCCTGGGTGCCTATCCGCGATGTGCGTATTCGAGACATAACGCCTCATCCTATTGGAGACTCCGTTTGGCTGGGGAGTGGCAACCTGATCATTGGTTCAGGCAACCAGTTATTCATTCAAGATGAGAATGTCGAGGTCTCTGACTCATTGTTTCCCAGCTTGCGCATGGTCTCACGCAAAAGGGCATCAATCGACATATTCACAGCTGTGAGCCGTTTGAATGGACCGTTGCCTGTATACCACCCACAGTTACTCAGTCAAAGTGTGCTTGCTGGAAAGCTATTGCTTGTCCAAAAGATTTTGCTTCGTCTACACCAAAAGTTGAAGTTCTATACTGAAGGTGATGATTTGGATAGTTCTTTGGGATTACTACCAGAGGACTTCTCTGAAGATCCTGACGTGAGTAATTTACTACCTTCTACAGTTACACCCTTACTTATATACTTCAGGCTCAGATGACAGCATCTCGAAAAGACATCCACACTTCTTATGCTGACTTCTCTGACGACACTGAGCCGGACTCACTTACCGAGGAAGTTGCTGTCTCCCTTACGGAGCTTCTTACAAGTAAACGAATTCCTATACTCTCTTCGCGAGAGCAATTTCGCCTCGCTGATATCGTTGAGTGCGTTGGAATGGTAGAAAAACACCGACGGTCCATTGATGATAATGCTGGACGTTTCCTCCTTTTCTTCCGACAACATGTCCTAAGCGACAGCCATGGGAACGAAGGCCGAACGCCAATATCATGGCGAGAGATTTCTTGGGCGTATCACAGCGGAAGCCAAGATATTTTAGTCGACTTGGTATCAAGGCATTTCAGTGGTAAACTTCTGTGGGGTCAGGCGAAGGAGAGCGGACTCTTCATGTGGATGACTGATATAAACGCCATCGTGAGTACTGAGCTTGATTGACATGAACCATTTTCCATGCTCGCATGCTGACAAAAGCTTGTAGCGCGCTCAATTCGAAATAATTGCCCGAAATGAATATACCAAGGGCGATGATCGAAACCCCGTCGACTGCTCTCTTTTCTACCTTGCGCTTCGCAAGAAACCTGTCTTGGTGGGCCTTTGGCGAATGGCGCACGGCTCGAAAGAGCAAGCGGCTACGCATCGTCTTTTATCGAATAACTTCACTGAAGCAAGATGGAAGACAGCTGCTCTCAAAAATGCCTATGCGCTCATGGGCAAACGAAGATTTCACTATGCTGCCGCCTTCTTCTTGCTTGCTGATTGTCTCAAAGACGCAGTTGGCGTCCTAAACAACCAACTAGGTGATACTCAGTTAGCCATCGCAGTTGCGCGAGTCTACGAAGGAGACGATGGGCCTGTATTGACTACCTTCCTTAAGGAAAAGATACTGCCCCAGGCTGCACGCGACGGCAACCGATGGTTGGCAACTTGGGCTTTCTGGATGTTGAACCGCCGTGACCATGCTGTTCGCTGCCTAATTACTCCACTGGAAAAGCTGATGAGTCCCCCAGAGACTCCGGAGTACAAATCAAAGAGCTATCTGGCAGATGACCCGGCTCTTGTTGTGCTCTACCGACAACTTAGAGAGAAGAGTCTACAGGCTTTAAGAGGTGCGACGATGGTCGGTATGCGAGAGGAATGGGACTTCGTGATGCACTCTTGCAATTTATTGACGAGAATGGGCTGCGACTTATTAGCCCTCGATCTCGGTATGTATCCATTGCTTTGAAGATGAGAAATCATGACCTGAGTACTAATAATGTGCAGCTAAAACTTGGGAGTTCCTTGCGCCACCGCCGCGAGAAGTCGGCCTCAACCGGCCTCCTCTGTCTCCCGCGTTGCCACGCGACTCATTCTATGCCAATGGGCCCAATAAAACAACTACAGATTTTGAGTTCGATCCGCGAAAGCTTCTGCGTCGGCGCAGCTCACTTGTTGTGGCAGATATGCCTACGCGCGAACACATCAGCAACAGCTTGGCTGCAAGCAAAGGCACGGTTAGGGAAGAGTCAAGTGAGGATGAAGAGAAGAGCACAGAAGAGGTCGAGATCAAGGAGGACAAGAAGAAGAAGCCCCCACCAACACAGTTCCATGAGCCAGATGCCAATTCTCTGTTGGACGCGTTTGGTTTCTAAAGGACTTGATAATTTGACTTTTGCAACTGTTCATATTTCATAAGGTCTATAATTCTATAGCTGATGGATCCAAGGGCATAGCACGGTGTTACAGGCGAATGTGGTAGTAAAGCACTGCTTGGTTATTTGAACCATGGTTGCTTGTTGATCCCTTTCTAATATTGATACGTTTTGATACTTCCTCAAAGATCCAATCTTAGTCTACGGCGCCTCATGAGAATATGGGTCCGGTACACCCATTCTTGAAACCTCCCCTCAACTTTTTCTGGAGGATACATGAGCTGAAACAACTCAAACCTCCCTCGATACCCCCAAAAGGTCTCCGACAATGAGGTTCGGACGCTTCTGCAGCGGGCTTCGACCCGCTCAAACACGTCGTCAACATTAAGCTGCGATTCTTCACTAATGGCAAGGCCTTCCTCCAGAGTCATGCTCCCTTTCGGGAATGGAGAATCGCGCATTTGGATCCATTTCGCATATGGGCACTGTGATCTGTGCAGCACTGCGCAGTTCGAATAGGCTGTGACAGTGAAAACGTCCATCCATGAAATACTGCTTGGACCCACGCGCCCAGGCGTTTGACGTAGTCCCAAATCATCAAGCACACTTTCCTCGACGATGAAAAGAAGGTATTCGAAATTAGCGTCCGTCGAGAACACCATTGCCATGCGCACTGTATCATCTGCTTCGTTCAAGAAAACCACCACGGATCCAGGGACGAGTTCTGCGGGAAGAACCAGATCCTCCACTATTGGCAGTCTAAGGTCTTGAGGATTTTGGACTATGATGCTTCTGAACTGTTTCTTCATTTTCGTGGGTAGGGTATCCTTGGAACGACCTGTCAAGTTGTCGATCGCAGCGGAGATTCTGGTCTTCCGCCTAGGCTTGGTAGCTTCTTCATTGTCGACCCCTTTCTTCTCGTTCTTCTCGGTATCTTCTGTAGTTGTACCGTCAGCCCCGTGTTTCTGGAGAATTGGATTTCTACATCCTCACCACATTCGAGATGGAAAGAGTCTCTGCGTCTTATTTCGCGGCCATGTTGATCTGCAATTTCATCACTCGCGGAGAGGGCTTGTTGGGCAATAAAAGCGCAAATTTCGTCGACATGATCCCTCTGCGTCACGGGTTTGGACGCAGCTTGGCCCATCGTCGGAATATCAGCGCGGTAGTTACAAAGATATTCTGCTTTGCGGGACGAGGAGTTCTGTTTGGCTGAAAGAATGTTCGAATATGTTATGAGATGTCTCGGTAGCGATCGTATATTGGAAGACAGCTTAAACTTGTCGGTTTATCCTAAGCATATGAGAGCATCAGCCTTTGCTAAATTCAGTTGCCTTGAGGAAAGAGGCTTGTGGTAACCTGCAGCTGCGGGTGGGCCAGAAACGGGAAGTACTCTCTGCGTAATAGTACAACGAGACAACTCAGTACAACAATAATTCATTCAGAGGCTGCTTCAGAAGCTCAGGTGTTGATGCGAACTAATGATCTTTCCGTTTGCTACCGAGATGTTCAAACAATGACCTCGTTCAGTCGCAACTTTGTTGTCACAAAAGTATACGAAGACTCATTAAGATACAGATGTCATAATAATTCGCATAAGCTACCGAATAGAACTGAAGTAGCGATCCTTTGACCGCATCATGATGCATGTGGATAGAATGGGTATTAATGACCGAAGAGAACAGCAAAGATGAATCTCTGAAGCCACATGCCCAGCTTTGTTCCATGGGAATAAAACAAACTTCATCCATCGGTATTGCTGCAATGAATCCATAATTCCCAAAGAAGAGCCCGTGTTCATTCCCAACGCCGAAAAAAATATACCTTCCACAAGTAAAATACGGTAACCCCTCACCTTCAAATCTCAAAGTTCGTTTGTCGACGCATACAAATTCGGGCAAAATCGAGTGTTTTCCTTCAGTTTAGGTTGGACTTCAATCGCGGATGCGGAATAGGAATGGAAAGCCTTCGCAGTAGGAATAGTAGGAATACTCGTAGTTGTTGGTGATGGTGAATGTCAATGTACCTGGTAGTTGTTGCGATCTTGGTGCATAACATGCGATGCATTCAAACGACCTTGCGTGCAGCCTGGGTGGCAACCTGAGCCTTTTGATTCTCTTGCTCCTTTGCTGTGATCGGAATATCACCGCTCTTGTAAATTTTGGCGAAGCGCTCGACTTCCTTACTTAGAGATGATTGAGTCCTGGCTGGGCGTGGCTGGTGAGGAAACTCCCCCAATGTTTTGCCCTGGAATGCTTCGTTGAACTCGGCAACGAAGCGTCCCCAACCCTTCAAGGGCTTCGTCTCATTGGGCTTGAGATTCTTGCTGATCCAAATGCGCTCCTCCTGAGCATAGGGGAGAGCAGCGTTGCGGAAGCGAATCTTTGTGTGGCGGCGAATCTGCTGAACGACTCGCTTGTTCAGAGCAGCCAGCGCCGCATGATCATTCCAGTCCTTGGGGGGATGATTCAAAAAGATGCGCTTTTTGCCTTGCTGGTCGAGGATTCGGATAATGCACTTCTCCTTCTGGTCACGAAGTGTGCCATCGGGCATGCGCTCCCAGCGACCGGGAACAAATGGAGTGAAGTTCGTGACCTTCCATTGGTCATCGGGAGCGTTGGTTTGATATGCACCATCGCCCCATCGAACGTTTCTATAGACGTTCTTCTTGTTATACTGTTTGAGCTCCTCTTTGTAATCTGCCTCTGGATCGGAGTCGTAGACGTCGGAGCCTGCCTTGCGTCCTTGCTGGATGGCTTCTTGGATGAGCCGAGCGTCTTGAGGATTTAGCTCATCGACCATACGTGACGCCCGCGTCATGATCGGTGTGTGAATCCGAACATTTCCAGTGACCTGCGTTTGAACAGGGCATGGTGCTTGGACCGTACTGGCCCTTCCTGCGATGGGATGAGGTACATCGGTGGCTGAGGGGGCCAGTATCTCGCTTTGCTGCGCAGCAGTAGTTTCTGGAACCACTGATGAAGGCCCGGGATCATCCATCTGCTCGGCCTCAGTCTCGGGAGTTGGAGCTCTGGATGGAGCTGGTGGGGTCAGAACGCGTTGCTCAGGCACGATGTCTGAGTTCTAGTCAGTATGAGTGAGGAATTCTATAGATAGGCTGTCTTACCATTGCCTGGAGCGGAAGAGACGCGGCTCTCGTTCGACTGAGTAGTCGTCATGGCGAGCAAAATTCCGGAACGTTAGAGTCGAGTGAGAGGTATGCTGCCCAGTGTTTAAGCAGAAGAAAAAGACTGTACGTCCAGGATGAGCGTACAGAAGGAAACTAGAGACAAGTTAGCTTCTTCCTTTTGCAGCAGTGAGTGGAGTGCGTGTGGTGATGGCTGTAGAGAGAGAAGAGAGGTTGCAAAGAAGGCTTAAGTAGATACTAGAGTGGATTTACAGCGGGAGATACCAAGCACGCGGCGCTACAAAGAACAATAGGAGTCAATAAGACAGAATAGTGGTGAGTGGTGATATTGTGGGCCTCGTTTCAAAAGGGCTGGCAAGCAGGATACAAGCGCGGCAAGGTGAAGGCCCTCAGTGATAGAGAATCGCCAGAATACATGGCTGGGCAGTTTATCCACTCAATCTAAGGCTAGTAAGGGATGAAAGTCTTTTCTTGAGATAAGAAGTTGACTTGATTAAGCTCCAGTTGAAGCGTTTAATATCAGGAGATGATATAACCAACAATAAGGCTTTTGTGTGCAGACAATTACTGCGAAGGTTTCGCGTATATTTGAGTCAACTTTACTTTCGATTCAATGGCACTGAGGACTATGAAGACTCATCAATTGCATAGACAGGAGTGTTTATGTCTACAAAGGTAGATTTTATGGCTCACTATTTGCTTGATTGTCTTTTACAACAGCTACGTAGAGTCTTTGATGATTGTTTGTAAACACAATTACGGTCTGACACCCATACCGCACGCTGCTACGAAACTTCGTCTCATTCTGACTTCTAGAAGATTCGGAAATGACCTCTCTCAGATCAATACTTTCAATCTCGTAGTGTCCGAGGAGAATTCTCCTTCTAAATCTGGAGGAGGGTTTGCGTAGTTTCAACGGAGTGATAGATTGAGTAGAAACCTGTACCTAGAACGTCTCCTGAACGCCGGCTCGCGCATTGATCTTTATATTCGCTGTTTTATTTACCTTCACTCAATGCAGCAAGTGGAATTTTATGTTCTTGTACCTTGTGATCAAAGGATTTCCCTGAGCGTGTAAAACAAAAACTTTCACTTGATACTAGCCTGTGTGAAATTCTGGTTATTTCCCCAGACCTAACGAGTTTGTTGACGTTAAACTACTCCACGTAATTTGTTCTTTCACTATCGCACAACGCGTCGCTCACATGTGATTGGCTGTTCTGCCTTGCTTAAGAAGTGAAATTCCCTCCTTAAGGCCATGATTCGCTAAGACAACAACGACATCGCATTAGTTGACGTTCCGTGTATGAATTGAACGAGACCATCAAATCTGTGCTGCAGAATCAACTGAATCGGCCACCTTCCTCTATTCAACATCCTGACGAACCCAAAGATCTTGAAGAGCTCAAAAGGCTATTTCATTCATGGGGTTATTTCATGTTGAACATGCGCGGTTTGCGCAGGGACCTCTTGGTATGGACAAATTTCAGTGCACACTCACCTTTGTGGGAAAATTATAAAAGCAAAGATCTTGCTAACTGAAGTAGACAAGACCACCCCAAGCATCAGCAGAGATGATACACCACCGCCATCTTCAATCGGTGGCCCACACACGCCTGACGGTCCCGCGTCCGAAATTTCCGGCTCAAATTCCTTCTTGAACGACAATCACTTCGATTTTACACCACTCACTCGCAGCACAGCACGGACACGGAGACATGGAACACCAGAGACAAATGAAGATACCAATACCACACCGGAAGGCCTCCCCAACTTCTACTATCTAGATCCAACTGTACCCTCACCTTACGACGTAGAGCCTGAAGAGAGCCTTGAATGCTTGCTGCAATTTCAGAGGGTGTTCCCCAAACTCATCCCAATTACCACCGTTCTCCTCCAGGCGCATACACGCAAGACAAATTGGGCACAAGTTCTCAACAGTTTCCTCGATGGTCAAGATCCCGAGATCAGTCGCGAAGAGAAGAAAAGCATGGTGGTTGAGCTGCTACTCTACATCACCCGCGTTCTCCTGCCCTTCCAGATCGCCGTGAATCGTAGACTTCTCGCACAGCTTTACGCCGAAAGGAAAGGCACCAACCTTCGCTTGTTACTGCGTTACGACATGTTGCGGGAGTGGAAGCCCAAGAAGCACTCCGGCAAGTCGAATCTGGCTGCGCTCACGTACTGGGTGGAGAGCGCGGAACCAGTCAACACGTATATGAATGTCGCCGATGGAAGCGCAAGTGGGGAGGATGGAATGGATTCGCTACCTCCGCTGGCTATGAATGTCATACCGACACTGATTGCAGCGCCTGCTGGAGGTTGGAGGATCATGAGCGTGAGGGATAAGATGCGGCATAATGTCACAGCTCTTGACGATATCTTGATGTTGAAGAGGGAGCAACTTGTTAGAATGGGCAAGATGATGTTCACGGTCAAGTTTGCGGAAACGGTGCTCCTTTGGCAAGAGCTCATGACCAACAACGAGATGCTCGAGGACTTCAAGGCCAAAGACTGGGAAGGGTTAGGCACTGGAGAGGCGAATGAGTGGATCAAGGATCAGAAGGCGATGTTGACGAAGAAGGAGAAGCTGCATGGGTTTGATGGGTAGTATGACGGCACCCAGTTGTACGGACGTGTACATGGTAATCGACGATAAGTCATATATTCGAGATAACTACTCCGTAAGGTGTTTGGAAATCCGAATGAACGGTTCAGGACGTCTTGTTTGAAGAATGTCATCATCAAATAATACTATGCGTTACGGTTCAAGCAGTTACTGAGGGTTCTTTCTTTTACATTTATCTTGCTGTTCACATAATAATGATATAGTCAGTGAATAGTCGTGATTGGCTAGTTCCCATGCAAGACATTGGCTGAGCAAAGGTACCCCGAACCCAACGCCAATGGCCACGGCTAAAATTCGAACAGGCACCAAAAATGCTCGCCCTATGCAGACGCAGATGCAAATGCAGTAAACAGGGGCGCCAAGCTGCAGCTCATTTTACGGTGAACATCAAAGTCCCAGGAATCATTGCACTGGACTCCACGACTACCGGCTCTCCGAAACACAAGAACGGCGTAAGGAATTGGCTGGAGATACGATGATTCTTCAATGCATATTCGAGGCCTACGTCATATGGTGAAATTGGCAGATTTGGCGCGACGATTGGTGAGGTGAGGGAAGTTTTACGGAGTGCGTTACCGGATGATAGGTAAGCAGGTACCTAAAGCATGGTCGTCTCATCGGCGGTACAGACATACGCGGGGATGGGGAATGAGAGAATTGCACGTTTGACTTCAAGCTGTGGCATTAGACGATTTCCGGATCGACGTGAACCAGCGGAGAGGATATTGATATGATCAATTTTACGGAGTATCTGAAGCATCATTATGCCATTTATCAGAAGACATGAAAATCATTTCTTGTAGAATTGAAGATCGATGGACTGGAGACGGATTTTCCGTGAACGGGCGCTCGTGTGCTCCAGCCTCCGCATGTCTACCTATTGTTCCGAGATCCCAACAACCCCGGCCATGGCCAGCCGGCCTGCTTTGTACATACAGTCTACTGCACTGGATCCGAATCAGTGTCTTCGTCCTGCACGAAAATGGCGTGCGGGCTAGGGTGGCATGGTCGTTTTAGGTCTGGGTTGATTAATTGACCCCCTGGTGGCCGTGGCGGTCTGCGGCTGGGCGAGCGGCGCGTACTGTGTAGGAGAGGCGCTACTCTACTGGAGAGTTAGAGCGTGTACGCCCGCGTTGGTGGATCGAGAAGAAGATCGGCAATTCGGTAGTTCTGGCGTGTTCATGATGGTGATTGGGCGGTGGGAATGAAAATTTGAGGGCAGCGGTCACGAACTGGTCACAAAGGCGGTCACGAACGATGAGGGGAGTGGTGGTGGTGCGTGGAAAGCTGTTGGTTAGAGGATTGAGGGTTGAGGGGATCGTTGATTTTTGGTGAATTGAGTCGTTGGTTAGGGGAAGACATGATTATGTAATTCAAGGGATTGTTTTGGGTCGGCTTTGTTTACGCGTTTTGAGTGGTCGGTCTTTCATCTCATCTCATCTCATCCCCTTTCATCTTTCAATCTCCCTCTCCAAAACCATCAATCCAAATATCCTCATCTATCATCCACCGCCCACCCATCCATCACAGTCCAAACCAATCAACAATTATTCCTTTCTGGAACTAAACTTGATCTTCTATACGAATTAGTATGACTAGGAGAAAGGACGGCCTCGCCCTTGACCTCTTGCAAGTCTCCACTGAATATGCCTGCAACGCGCGGAACCCCCTGTGGCCTCTTCAACCGACGGGTTAATTCGCCAAGGGGATGCGGGACCTCCCCCTGGTGCCTTCACCATCCCATCGCCATGATTATTTGACTGATTGCAGATAAGCTAACCCACACTCACTTTAACTAACACCTCCTTAACCCTTTACCAACGGCGGCCCGCTTGCCTGCCTGCCTGCCTCCCTGTCTATCTGCCGTGAGGTCTCTGCATTGTCTGAGCTACTGAAGCAAATTCGTTTCTCTCTTCTCTCCTCTGTCGTTCACGATCTTTTCATGGTGCAAAAGCAGCTCAATGTTGTTGCCGCTCAGGGTCCTATCGCCATCACTGTTTTGAACCGGAAACCTCATCTGAGGAACCGCTCATTCGCCCCGTGCATGTTTTGCTTAACACAGATCCTCCAATCCTGATACCGGCCGCCCGAGCGAGGATTCCACCAACTCGAAACGCCTTCGCCGCCAGCGACGTTTTGTGCTTCTGAACAGGTAGCACAACAGCCAAATCACGCATAGCAACCGCGCTTCCAGAAGCATACCATAGTAACGACATCATTGCTCCGTACCTGCATCCACCTTGCGTTGCCCACCCCCCTCCGCTCTCCCTGTTTGTATATACAATCGAAACAGCACATAGTTGGCCGCATATGCTAGCTCATTGGAGCTTCGAGTAGAACTATCATAACCATGGAGGTTGATACTGTGTCCGCGCCGGCACAGACTGTGACCGAAAGATTTCCTAGGACTCACGTCGACAGCCAACCTCTACCCACCGATTCCATGGTCACCGTCCCGCTGTCCGAAACCGGTACCGATGCTTCACCAGCTGAAGAAGACGATGATGCTAGGCTACCGAAGATTCTACAACCCGAACTCACAAGTGAAGAGAAAAGGTCATCGTCGAGGCCTTCGTCCGCCGAAATAATGCAGGCGTTTGGGACTTCAAGGGACACAGAGGAGGATTTGGACACAAGCACTCTGAATAGCCCTACAATCTCCTTGAACGATGAGAAGACGTCGCAAGAACCTTCTGGGGACAGATCAAGGAGTGACAGTCGAGGTTCGGATTCCGACCGTAGTGCACACGTCGACTGGGAAGAACTCGAGAAGAAGGAAGAACAAGAACCGGAGGGTGAAGGGAACGACGAGGTGCGTATTCCGATAATGAGAATGGAAATTTGGTACTGATCTAAACAGGCAATGGCTCTTTTGCTCGCACGACTTGACCAAGAGAACAATGCGATCTCCGCTGACCCCAAATCCGCCGTACGCTCCGTCATCAAAGGCTCGCGCGCCCGAGGGCAATCAAGACCTCCCTCAATGCACCAGCTCAAGCGTCTTGTCAGCGACGAAAGTGCCTCACATGTTCGCTTTTCGCAACTTCCATCTCCCCCACCCATGACGGAATTGGACTTCTGGTCCGCTCTTGTACGAGACTATCCGCAGACTGTTCAGCGCCTGCCTACCCTTACATTAAACAAAATCCGTGGAGGAATTCCTGCTCCATTGCGCGGCGTGGTTTGGCAAAGTGCGGCTGGCGCAAGAGATAAGCTGATTGAGGAACAATACGAAACTCTATGTGGAGAGTCAAGTCCATACGAAAACATAATCAACAAGGACCTAGGCAGAAGTTTCCCTGGTGTGGAAATGTTCAAAGACCCAGAAGGCGAAGGTCAAAAGATGATGGGACGCGTGCTCAAATGTTTCAGTCTCTACGATAACAAGATTGGATACTGTCAAGGACTCGGCTTCTTAGTTGGCCCGCTCTTGATGCAGATGGGCGACAGGGAGGCGTTCTGTGTACTCGTCAGGCTCATGGAAGACTACGATCTACGATCCTGCTTCCTGCCTGATCTATCTGGGCTCCACCTTCGCATCTTCCAGTTCCAAAAACTGTTGTGTCTACACATGCCCAACCTAGCCCGCCATCTCGAGGACCTTGGGGTAGAATCAGCCTACCTCTCCCAATGGTTCCTCTCGTTCTTCGCAGTCACTTGCCCCCTCCCTATGCTTTTCCGAATCTATGACGTCCTCTTCGCCGAAGGTGCCTCGGAAACTATCATGAGAGTAGCGTTGGCTCTTATGAAACGGAACGAGCAGAAAATATTAGCCCTCGCCGAGTTTGAGGATGTCATGCAATTGTTGCTAGGCCGATCATTGTGGGATCCCTATGGCTTGAACACTAAGTCTGCAGATGTTTTGGTCAGCGACTTCGTTAGCTTTACAAATGATGTTACCAAGGAGAGCCTACAGAATCTGGAAGCAGCTTTCCGGGAATCCCAGAAGGGTACTTCCAAAGAAGTACAAAAGTCTGCCACGAGTTTCCTCGGCCGCTTATGGCCCATTTCGACATCGTCGACTAAGAGTGTGAGCCTCAGCCCGGGACTGAGCGCCCCCAGCCGACCTGGGAGCTTTTTGCGACGTACACCTTCAAAACAAAGCCTAGCCTCGACCTTGAATTCGGAGAAATCGGATACTTCCACCGGAACTCAGAGCACAGCGGCAACTGAAGTGTCACGAGGTTCTTCGGGAGATGCACGGTTCACCAAACAAGGACATGAATCCGTGGCACTTTCGATTAGAACTGCAGATTCTTCCAAAGACCGTGATCTCCATTATCAAATCGAACAGCTATTGATGTCAGTCAGCCAACTGCAGCGTCAGAATAGTGAATTGGACAATGCCCTTCAAAAACAGCAAGAAGACCGCAAGGAGGATCACAGGATTGTGCGAACAGTCCTTGACAAGATGCGGCGGAAGACTTCAACATTATCTGCACCTACGACCCGCGAAAGCAGACGACGAACGACCATTACCGCAGCAACACTTAGCCCCCCATCGGACGAGTCCTCTAGTGAGCCAGTCTCAGAGGAAGTCAAAGAGGTCGCTGCTATGCTTGACACACGGTTCCCATCTCACCAAGCTCACCATCGTGCTTCTTCCATGTTCGAAACGAAAGCCATGTTGAAGGATTCGCTCTCCCGCACCAAAGAACAACTATCTTCTGAAACCATACGCGCCAATTCGCTTGCGCGTGAGCTCGCCGATGCACAGACAGAACTCCAGATCTCCCGCGATGCTTTGAAGGAGACGCGTCAACGTCTCCAAGAGTCATACAACACCAACCAACGCCACGAAAAGACCATCCAAGAACTCCGAACAAGTTCTCGAAAAGGATCGACACCCTGGGCTATCACAACGTCCAATGAAACACCAGAGGCAAGTCCAACGCTTAGCAGAAGTAACACAGCTGAGAGCACCGTTTCAACGACTGGTGGCCTGCGTGAACTTCGTCTTGGTCGATCTGGAAGTCAAAAATCCATTACTCGTCCCGAATTCTCCAAGCGGTCTTCCTCGCTTGCTACGCAGACCATCCTTTCTACAGAGAATCATGCTCCTGCCGATAACGAGGCCCTATTATTGGAGCTTGTAAACGCAAAGACGGCGGAGGCGGTTGCGAAGCAGGAATTGGAAGAGCTGAGAAGCAAATTTGACGGAATGAGGAAGGCAATGGGGTTGAGCGGAGGATCCAGCCCACAATCAACACCACCGCCGACAATTCGGGAGAGGGAGGTAGAGAAGCCGACGATTGTCACCCCAGCTCCAAGCACCGGAGGCTGGGGTTGGGGTGGATGGAAGAGAACAGTCAGCTCCAATAACGTCAATGCATCCTAGTACGCCACGCGCGCAGGAGCAGTGACGATAATTTCGAGCTGTACGAATCATGCGAGGGCTTGAGCTGTTGGAGAAGATGATGCATTTCCCGAAGGTTGTACTAGGCTTTGTTGAAATACTTTCGACATCGCCACTGAGATGGATGACGCCATACACCTTTTGATGACACGTTCTTGACATTTCTATTTTACGAGATACCTCGCCCTGAAGAGCTCAGGGCGCTGTTTTATTCATTGCTGCATCTTCGAGACGTCAGCGAGCGATCCACTTTACTTAAGCATTTCCATCGGCACTTTCTTCAGCCTTTTGGATGGAAATGAATGAACCATATAGCAACTCATAATGAATAAGGAGTTGGAGATGTTGCAATTCAATACCATTTTGACTCGAACAGTGGCCTGTTTCCCGGTGGTGAACCTCTGCTTCAATTACTAATGCTCCTTATCGTGCTTGAATGTTTCGTTCCTTATTCACAAACCAAACGAATTCAAAGACGCGCAAAAGTACAAGTACAGTACAGATTCTTCGACTACTCCCGAGCATCACACCAACAATCTGAAAACATACCCAACCTCAACTTATATCCCCTGCTTACATTTTGTGCACCTTGCTATTGCTGCTCCACCTCCTGAACGTCTTCCCCTTCCACCAGAACAAGCCACCAAAAAGACACCACAGCAAAATCAAGCTCGCATTCGTCATAATCGGCGGTATGAACCCAGCCTTCTGCGCCCACTCGGTGATGAACTTACTAAACCCATACCCCCAAACATTCTTATTAACCGTGATGCTCACAAAGATGCTGCCCGCGACTGGCTTGTAGCTATCGACTGCGTACGTTGACGTGATGGCCGGCAAGGCCGCGACCTGGATGCCAGCGAACGTGTAGCCGATGATGACGATGGCCTCCCAGGGCCAGTGTCGCTCGTACCCGACCGCCACCACAATGTTGCCGACGTACATGATCACGATGTAGGGGATCATGGCTGGGAGACGCATCTCAGGTTCGCGGATGCCGTTGTTGAGGCGAGTGAGACGTGCGGATACCCAGTCGGATAGTGGTCCAGCGGTTGCAAGGCCGATCATGATGCCGACGATAATAGCGAAGTTCATGAAGCCTATGTCCGTAATGTTAGTAGAGGGAATGGGGTAAGAGGGAAAATGAAGACATACCGATGTTCTGGGGGGAGAAGTTGTACGGGGGCGCCGCGAAGGCTTGACTTTGTGTCAGGTTGAGCGTGAGGAACGAACTGCAGCTCCACGACACGACGAAAGACGCGAACTGCACGATCGGGAACGCCATGAGGCGCCATGGGATCCACAGGTCTTGGATGATGCTCTTGAAGGGGTGTGCATTGCCCTGGAACACTTTCCATTGCCACTTCCCGGGCGTGCCGCGGCCGAGGTAGGGGTCTCGAGCTGCGGTTTCTTCTTGTGTGAGGGCTTCTTGGTTGTTGGCTGCGATGGAGATTTCAGTGGGGACTTGGGTGATTTTGTTGTCTTGTTCTTCGCTGTTGACTGGGCGTGCACCGTCATTGATGGCTTCGGTGGTCGTCGGACTGTCTTTCTCGACGAATGCCTTTGTGCCGTGGTCGGCGTAGATGCGCTGGTATCGTGTCTCAGGAAACATGAAGACGGTCATGATGAATGAAAGGCCTAGGAGGGCTGTGTTGAGCCACCAGAAGCTTCGCCATCCGACTTTATCGGCCATGACTCCTGAAATAATGGGAGCGACCTGTGTTGAGGATACGTCAGTGATCATACTCGCCATGAAATGATTCATTGTCTTGGACTTACACCCAAAGATCCCATGTATACCACCCAGTAAAGAGTATTCCACTTGCCACGATCGTGAAGGAAGAAGATATCTGCAATGACTGCCGGCATGATCGTTTCCGCCGGTCCTGCTCCGATTCCATTGACAACGCATGCACCCATGAACGATCCATAGGAAGTCGCCTTTGCGCGCCAGATGGAGGTGCCGAAATTTATGAGGTTCGAAGCCAGAAACACTGGTCTACGTCCGAAAGAAGTGCTGATGGGTACCCTATTGCGCATTTTGTCAATACGATGGATCTATCTTGTTTGCGGAGGAGAACAAGAAGTGGAAGGACATACCAGATGAAATTACTAAATCCCAGCACAAGAATACAAACTCCAGTGAACTGCACAGCGTCTGCAAGAGTGCAATCGAACGCCTCCATCAAGGCTGGAAACATTGGCGCCAACGCCAGAGGTCCAAAGCCCTGAGAGAAAGTGGCGACAGCCGCAGATGTGATGCAAGCAACTTTCCATGGTGTGGACCAGTTCAAAGGGTCGTTTGGGTCGTCTGAAGGTTGAGGAACCAAAACAGTGCGTCCGGATCCTTTGACAAAGTGGTGGGTTCCCACATCTGTCATTACCTCCGTGCCTGGGAGGATCTCGGTGTGCAGTTCACTCTCGAGTTGGCGGCGTTCCTGGATCAAGCGTTAATACAAGAGAACAGGTCTCCAAGGATATACATTTTCGATGCAGTCCTCTTTACTGGAAGGCCTACCTGTTCATTGTAGTTGGCCTCCATGGTGGGCTGTGGTTGCGAAGCAATACTCTATCGCAAGACACAGCCTTTAAATTGTTGCGCGCTGAGAGAGATAGTACACTGTACGGATGCAATGCGGCAAAATTCCGTACTGTTGATACGAGGTTACAAAGAGAGATCGACGCAAGTTTTAGACCACCAACGACCTAGAGATGGTTTCAGGGCGAGAAACGATGTAGAAGAACGACCTGATTTGTGCAAAGTAATTGTTACAAACAAGGTCATGGGCAGTCGAAAATTGTGCTGTCCAGCCTCCAGTGGGAGCTGTCACATCTGAAAGTGTACGTACACACGTACATATATATATTAACCTCGTGGACGATATGCACTCCCGTTGACCAGGATTGCGAGGGAATTGACTATGTCGTTTCCAGGAAGATCTCCCTCTCCACCCTGGAATCTTCAACATGTGTTGGAAATACATCTGGTCTCGACCCCGGGCACTTGAGTGTGCACAGCACAATAGGAGATGCAATGAAATACTAGCCACAAAGTCGGCCCATCTTTCTACTAGTCTGCGTTAGAAAACCCGCCGCCACATCACGGCAGTTAAGCTTCTCTACCCCACAGTGAGCTAATAATGATGGAACCAGAGCGTGAAGAGAGATAGCCTTGGTGATTTTTGGGGTAAATTTTTGGGTTACACGGGTAGGAGAATCGGCTTATCAATGAACCAGTGCTTTTCGTAGGCTAAGAATCTATGCCGGGGTAGGTATCGGAGATGGAACCTGTTTGGATGACGTGAATGGAAATGGTTTGATTTGATTTGCGCCAGACCATCTGGGTGCGCTTCAGGTAGCGCGGGAATGGGGATGCGGGGAATCGACAGGGGCCCTAACGCATAATAGTAACCTAGGTAACTTAGGTAGGTATGAATGTACTCGCACTTATAAGACCGACCAGTCCAAGAAAGAGTAAGACCGAAGGGTTCAAAAAATATAGAGACTCGGAGAGACTCAAGGCTGGCGCACGGGGACCACTACAATCATGGTGGCTTTCGGCATTTGATTTCATTACTTTTGGTGCAAAGTTCAGCGTTTAGAGATTGTGTTGGACTTTGCATAATCAAGGGCTTAGAGACCAGTAGATCGCGCGGAACATCCCCGTCGATAGCATGCATCGAAGGGTACACGAAGACTTCATGTATCTACCGGCGGTATCAAACCTCATCCGCACTCTTCAAGAGATTACCAACCCCCTAGAGACTCAAAATAGCTCGCTCTCTGATAGAATTTGTGTTGTCACTCATGCTTGACGCTTGAAAGTTGGTGCATATTCCATGGGCATTTTCACATTATTATCACGCAGGACTGAGGGAGTGGATCCATCTAACAGGCATAATCTAGATAAGACGCGAAATTGAAATAGTTATTACACAGTACTGCAGAACCTTTCAAGCGAAGATTAGATATTCCATGTACGTTTCGGGTTCAATGTGCCTTGGTCAATGTGGATAATATATCCCAAAAATACGTCCATTGATGTACAAAACACGAACAATATAGTCATAAAGAAACACACGATATATATATTATGACCCATTGATGCTCTACATCAAGGGACTAATCGTAGCCGAGACTTGTCATCCGTCATAAATAACCATCTCCAAGGATCCACCTAGCGTAGATATTGAGGCTTAGATAGGATAGTAGATCATCACCAAGACTAAGCTGATGCCCTACGTTTACCTTTGGCGGCCTCTTCTTGCTGTTTGATAGCTTTTGCCCTAGCCAATAGGCCTGTAAATCTCTCCAAAGGAGTCAAAATCTTCGGCTTCTTGTTCACCCGTTTGGGCTTTGGTGGTTGGTCGAATTCGTGACCAAAGGTGCTTTTGAAGAGCTCAAGAGCTTCAGCGGACCGTTCGCCAGTCACGCTATCGACATCCATCCTGTGAAGCCTCCAAAAGAAGTTTTCCCGGGTTTTCTGCTCATCTATCCTTTGCTGTTGATACTTCTTAGCGATCTTGTCATTTTCGGGTCGTTTTGGGCATGGCACTATACCCCGATCGTACAAAGGCTTGTGCTCAAGGTACTCAGCGCGAACGCTTTCAAGGGTACGCTTTTCGTACAATTCGCCGAAGTAGAATGCCGTTGACTCCTTGATGTCGCCGGCGAAGCGATAGTTGAATCGCTCTGCTAGCTCGGTAATTGAAGCGTCTGGGTGGTCTGTGAGAAGCCTTACCAGATACTCACGCTCAATTTGTGCGTACGGAGGGTCTTCGGTGATGCGACGGATGGCGTCTCGCCTGCGGTCGTTCAGGGTGTGGAGCATTGCCTTATCATTCCAGTCTTTGGGTATGCCTTCGTAGGCATAGTAGGCTGGTGCTCGTCGAGGATTCTGGTCCTTGAGCGATATTGGCCTCATATCTACCAAGGACATAATAAGATTGTTCTCTTGATCTAGCTGTGCTTCTTCAAGCTCATCCTCGTCTAGATACTTAACATAATTCTCATCGTAGAAAGTATTCTGGTAACGCCCACCCTTCTTGAACTTCCACTTCCTGTCCTCCCACAAGGGGATCTTGGTTGCAGCATTGCTAGTCCTGGCAGGGGGGGAGTCAAGGTGTGGTTTAGGGCCCCCGGGACCTGGATATGGCTTCGTTCCATATGCAGCGTTCGGTGGAGGAACATTCACCTTCGGCACCCAATCGACAAAGAGTTCACTGACCTTTGTTTTCCTCTTGCCGGCTCGCCTTTTCTTGGGAATCTGCGGTACTAGTTTCCGCCTCTCAGTCGGGGACGAAGGCACCGAGACGTGGGTGGAGACATCAGAATGCTCGGAAACATCAGAGTTCTTGGAAACATCAGAATGCTTGGAAACATCAGAGTTCTCGGAAACATTAGAGAGCTCGCCAGCACCAGACAAATCGGACTCATCACTCGCGATGGAGTTACTTCGCTGCATTGTGTCTGTCTTTACAGTCACATTGGATTCAGCGCTTACGATTTTGGTTGTACTTGAACTTTCAGGTCCAACCTGGCGTGTGGAACTTTTCTCAATTTCGGTTTCCACCCAAGCCCTTTTGGAGGCAGGGGTGGCTTCAGGGGAGAGAGTCGATGCAGATCGTTTTCTGGTCATAATGCTGATTTTAGAATGATCTGGGTGTTTTGGTTGGTTGTGAGTCTGCTGGTTGCGCAATAGAATTAACTTCCTTACTAGCCAGTTGCTGCAGATGAGTTAACCAAGACGGGGAAATATGTGAGATTATAAATATGGCGTTCAGATACTATGCAAATAGTTAACATTGTATAGACACAATCTTAGACTTATAAGTGAGAAGAGGGAGGAGAAGTACATAGACGATACCATCTTTGTTAGGAAGAAGGGGAAAAGGTAAACACGAAGTGATTTCACCAAAAAATGATGCTCAGCAGCATACTGTGGTAAATAATTGCAATCACCTAGTTCCCCAGTAATATAGTTTAGTTTTAGAGATTTCTCTGAGACGACAGATGGCAATAACAAAGGTTGGAGAATGCACAAAGAAGCGGTGGTCGTTTGCGTAAGAGGCCCTTGTAGAATGTAAGCTGCTACACCTCTGTAGCACTTAACAATGCCCTTTCGGTAGACGAACATGTGTCGAAACCAGGAGGGAAATGAAATAACGCCAGTGAGTAGTTGGGGGTGCATTAATCAATCCCAAGCAAGATACCATTCACTAAGAGGGTTTTCGATAAGTCCACGAGTCAGTACAGAGGAAAAATCTTGACATGCAATAATCCGATACCCGGAAAGAATATTACCCATATGACGCCAGCCCAGATCCAATGATGGACAGCCTGATTGCCCATGGCCAGGTTCTTGGTTTGCTATTCTTATAAATATGACAAAACTCCGTGGTTGTATAAGACTAGGAGGGCAGTGCTGTTGCTTTGGGGTCCAAGCCGCCTGTCATCCGCGGCTAGTGCTCCCTAGACCCATTCCCCGTTCGTACATCCAACGCAACTTTCCCCATGAGCATTTATTCAATTGCTAACCTTAATAAATATTTATCATAATGCATTTCTACGAATGAATTATGGACCTCTTTTTCAGCGGATGAGAAGTCGAATGTAGCTTGCTTTCTCATTTGGGTTGAAATATGAAGCGGCAGTCGGTGCAATTTCACGTTGGACTGCGCAGCAGCCCTATGAATGCCAACGCACGAAGCGCTTATATCAGATGCACGAAAACTAACGCCCCTTTCGAATGTGGCACGGCAACATCTCGCACCATAGTTGGTACATTTGCCATTTGTGGGAAGCCTTATGCACATCATCTCAATAAGCGACCAATACCAGACCAGAGGTGTCTCGCGCTGATGAACTTTAGGATCGGTATACGAGCGAAGCAGGTACGCTATGTACAGGAACAACATCTCCAGGTGTCAATCTTCTTCACAGCACTCAATCTAGACAAGTTGGCCTCCACTTCTTCACTTGATCATGGCCCGAGGCTGTTACTCTAGTCTTCTTTGGGTTTGACAGGCACGTTTTCCGTCAGCAACCAAGACTAATATCTACGATTCTAAGTAAAGCTGCAGTTAGGCCCATAATAAAGTAAACAACAACTCTACGCCACGAGCCAGCTGAAAATTAGTCCTTCGTCATGCTCGCCTGCATCATGAACTGCTGGTACTTAAATTTTGCATGCGCCATCACTTTGCTCATAGTGCTGCCTTACAGTGGATAGGAGCTTTCCAACTGGGAGATTTTATCACTTTCAAACCATGCTCTCAATACCTGCTGTTTTGCTTAGCCTCGCGGCTGTCGCTTTCTCTACTTCATGTCAAAATACGTTGGAGTTGACATGGGAGCGTGGTGCCCCAGATGGGTTTGAAAGAGACATGATCTTCATCAATGGTCAATTTCCGGGACCGACAATTGAAGCAAATCAGGATGACTGGGTCGAGATTACTGTTGTTAACAAGATGCCCTTTAACACCTCGATACACGCTCATGGTATGGCCATTCACTCGTATGCACACCAGTCCGATGCTCATCGTTTCTAGGAATTGAACAATTGAACACTCCTTGGGCGGATGGAGTACCTGGATTCACTCAACGTCCGATCCAGCCTGGCGAAAGCTATACCTACAAGTGGCATGCACACCAGTATGGTTCCTACTTCTATCACGCACATAGTAGAGGCCAGATTGAAGACGGCTGCTATGGTCCAATAATCATAAAGCCAAAGTCTGGCATCACGAAGCCATTTGATAAGATCGCCCCTGCAGAGGTCGAGCTTCTCGAAGCCGCAGAGTCCAAGGTCACCCCATTGGTTGTATCCGACTGGAGGCACACGGGTTCGAAACATACATGGGACTTGCAATTAGCTTCCGGTATTGAAAGCTCTATCTGCATGGATTCTATCCTGCTGAATGGAAAGGGTGCGGTGAACTGTTGGTCGCGAGAGGACATTTCAGCATTCACAAGTCCTGCCATTGCACCTCTACTAAAGGAACTTAACCTTACTATGACTGATAAAGGGTATGCAAATCCAATGATACATGGGTTCTTTGGCTAACATGAATAGATGTTTACCACCAAAGATCTTCCCTGTTCTGCTGGCTGACGGCCAGGCCACTGGAGTAAACATTGACGCTCTACCTAAAGAAGTTTTTGAAACATGCACGCCTACCGAAGGGTCGGTGGAGGTGATCAAGGCCAATCCCGGCGATAAGTGGCTTGCTCTGGACATCATTTCTGCGGCAGGTATTGATACGTTCGCCTTCAGTATTGACGAGCATCCAATGTGGGTGTATGCTGTTGATGGCCATTACATCGAGCCATTGGAAGTAGAAGCCCTTTCCCTTGTCAATGGTGATCGATACTCTGTCTTCATTCGGCTTGACAAGACCCCTGCCAGTTATGGTATTCGTGTCGCATCAGTTGCGCTCGCCCAGCTTCTGGATACAACTGCTGTTCTTGCCTATGAGGGTTACGAAGGGTATCAGAACACTACAGAAGAAGAAACATACACCATCAGCTCCACACCATACATCAACAAAATCGGAGCGCTCATTTCTGAAAATTCTACTACTATTCTCGACCATGTCGGAGTAACGTCTTTCCCACCTCAATTTCCCCAGCCTGCGCCTGAAGCAGACCAAACATATGTTTTGACCTTGCAGACAGTGGGAAATTCCTACACCTGGGCACTCAACGGCACTCCATTCGACAACAACCACGAGGACGTTGAGACACCTTTCCTTTACCAAGACCCCAACACCATATCACTCCCTAATCATACTCTCACAACGAAGAACAACACCTGGGTGGACATCGTCTTCACCGTGCCGACTCCCGGACAACCACCACATCCGATTCACAAACACGGAAACAAAGGTTTTATCCTTGGTGCTGGTGAGGGGCCTTTCAACTGGACGTCAGTCGCGCAAGCTTCGGCGGCTATTCCAGAAGCATTCAATCTCGTAGCACCAGCTTATCGAGATGGCTTCGTCACTCCGCCTTCTGCGACCGGGCCTACATGGCTGGCAATCAGATATCATGTGACTAATCCCGGAGCATTCTTGCTGCATTGCCATATCCAGTCCCATTTGAATGGTGGAATGTCAGTTGCGATCTTGGATGGCGTGGATGAGTGGCCTGAGGTACCGAGCCAGTATAGAAATTGAGAGAGGCACAGCTTGTGGGGCGGGGCTGCGATTTTATAAGTTACTATGACTACAATATTGTATAATGATGAGTGCTATATTGTAATATATAATTGATCCTTCTTAAGGGCATTAGATGTGACAGAGCTACTAACAAATAATCCCTGTACCAATCATGATCTTTGTGCTTCACAGCTGATGAGCCACTTGCATCTGTACCACCAACAACCAAATGCGTGAGTTCCCCGCACTTCTCTTAAAGAACCATTTCAAATATCAACTACCTAGTACGAAGTACTGCAGACATCAACTTTGTTAGGTTCAAAGTGGCATTCTCTTCGAAATTTCGCCCGGCTCGCTCATTTTTACAACGCCTATTCGAGCGGTGCATGAAGCTGACCAGACGTCACAGATACGTCGAAACTAACGATGGACGATTTGCCCACAGTCGAGTCAGAAGAAGATTACATTCGCAGGATGAAGGCACAGAGTGGGAAGTACGCTTTCCAAATGAATATCAGAACGCTGCTAACTAGAGGCAGATCACGAATTCTTCATGACCTGCGACACTACGTATGAATATGACGACAAATTCTTTAAGAAAACTTCTCGACTTCCATTCTTCATCAAACGTAAGGATGGCACAGTCCGTGAATGGCGTAGAAGCTGGTAATGACCATTCATACTCTCCTGGCGAAGTTGGGGAAGGGATTACTTAACATTGCGCAAATGATAACCTCAGACAGGAACCACGAACGTATCACGAACGAGGCTAGAGCCTTGAAACTTGTTTCGCAGGAGACTAGTATACCTGCTCCACGCCTACTCGACCACGGATCGCATCCAGACGGACGCCGGTATTTGATTACAGAGTACATTGAGGGTCCCACTCTCAGCTCGTTTTCTCGTAGAAGTTGCTCAATGCCAGAAGGGAAGAAGCATACGACCGCAACGCCGTGCCAAACATGTTCAGACACAGCTCATTCTAATGCTGTGCATTTTATCTTGCACACAGTCCTTCCCCAGCTCACGAAGTTGACATCCCGCACCCGTGGCATTGATGGTTTTGTTATGCCACCCAGTTGGCTGAGCCCTGATGCTCAACCTCCGTGGATAGGAAAGCAGTCCTGGAGCACTCTACCTCTAGAGCAACCTGAATATGTTTTCCAACACGGTGACCTTGCGGCTCATAACATCATCATGGACCGAGTTACACTACAGGCTAAGGCTCTGATAGACTGGGAGTATGCAGGGTTTTACCCAGCGGGAATGGAAAATTGGACTGGGACGCTGGACCGCGATGTGTACAGTGCGCGGAGTGACGATACAGCCCATTTGATACAGCGCTTCCTCGCCGTTGAGTACGCCGAATGCTGTCATAATTGGGGTGACAAGGCAGAATTACACGAGTTAATTGAACTTGGGAAACTTCCGCAACCAGATCAAATCAGGCAGAACAAAACAGAACAGAAGAATAGCTGAAGGGCTCATTTCGGTTGAATATCCTCTATCTTATCTAATTACTTGAAACAGACCTTCAAACGATGAGATCATTATCAAGTTGGACTGGAAGTGTTCATGTGGTCTCAGCAAGCACAGCAAATTCCTCTCCAGAAGATGGACGGACTCTGGGACATATCAGTAGATACTCAGCGCGCTCTCTGATAAGAATTTACACAATGCCCCGATGTGAACCCTCCGCACCAAAATGCACTCACGCGTTTAAGCATTGGAAGAGTGTCTCAGAGCTATTGGTAGAACATGTGAATATTTAATCTATGTTTTGTTCTGACCGAAAACAGAATAACGTAAAAGGCAAAAGTGAGGCATGCATGAGCCAATCACGCGAGCCAATGGATCGAGGCAGTGCAATATTGTAGACGTTTTGGCCAAGACGGATATATTAAATTGTTGAAGTTGCCTTCTTGCATTATCAGGGAGGCCAAGGTCGTATAATGATTACCAAGGTGCGACACAGCCCTTCTCTGATGATTCCTACTCCACGACATCTCCAATGCATTGCGGTTGATAATTGTTTGAGGTACAGATCAGGAAAAGCCATGCAAAGTCCACAGAGGTACTCACCTGTTGATGACATGCCAGAGGAGAGCCCTGACAGAGGAGGTCAACCGATAGGTACCGCCTCACTTCCTCACTTTCTCAAGCACCAAAGTGATTCCACTAACGCACCCTACAACGGTAGGTAAAGATACTAAAGGACATAAGTCTCGTTCTTGGGTGACCCTCACGTTGATGATAAGTTCTTTCATCGCCGGCATTATCTTCGCCGTCGCGCATCACTGCTATTACACAAGCCTTAACGATAAAATTGTCGGTTCCACTGCTCGACAACAATGGCCGATAAGGTATGTCTCCTAGATCTCTTGCAACATTTACTAATGATTTCAGAATCGGCACCGGATTTGCTTTCCTTGTTCAAATCTGTCTTGCAAATGCGACTGGAGTAGCATATGTCCAGTGGCTATGGCGACGCTGCAGGCAACGTGCCAACGCAATAGTTTCCATTGATGCTGCATTCGCTGTTGATCGGAACGTATTCATGCTTCTTAATCCAAACTTGTTCTTGAGGTTCCCAGTTGTGGCAGCGATCATGGTCATATTTTGGTTTGTCCTTATTTCTTTTTCACTTTGCAAAAAGAAACCCGCAAGATCAACCAAGACTAAGATGATTATCTAGGTCCTTACCTCTATCGTCTTTGGTCACGCCAGCGACTTTAGGAATAACTTCGAAACCCAGTATTACAACACAAACTCTATGGGTTAACTCTCCATCTATCAGTGCATCGGACTCAGAAACGAATGGGATATATGCCCCTTTCACGAGACCGTCGAGTAAGATCAATCAGATGTTCAACATTCTAGCAAGTACTGGAGAATTGCTTAGGCTGGATGCCCCAGAAGGGCTACACAACGTGACATATATGGTAGATATCATTGTTCCTCTCGTTCGATGCATGCCAAGTAACAATAGTGTCCGTTTGTGGACAGCTGAAGCTGCCTTTAAAGAAGCTATTGACAGTCAACTGGACGGCAAGATTTTTGAAATCACCGCATCCCATCCACACAATTTGACTTTCGAAGCTACAGAAGTGAACCAAACAGAGGCCAGTGGCGCCGGAGTCGATGTCTATAGCACGTTGTACCAAGTTGGCTACTATGGCGCACGGACTCCGGGCGCTGACTTGAACCATGCGGACATGATGGGCAATATAAGCATGATAGGCAATTTCAGTGTCGCCGCAGAGCAGCCCTTATCGCCAGCAGAATACTGGATCGCCATTGCCAATCCACCAAACAACATGACCTTTGGGGGAATTTCAGGACCCTATAATGCTGATTACTACACCTGTACGCTTCGGAACGCATCAGTGATTACGAACGTTACCTTTGTGAATGGTGTACAAACGCTGCAAGCCAACGCTATTCACGACTTGGAGTTCGTCACAGATGGTGTTGATGGTGAAATTGCTTGGGGTTCTACCTCCGACGATGCGGATCACGCACTATCGAACTATCGCTCCTTTTTCATGTCGCTTCACACCTTGCTAGACGGATTGGTGACGTCCGCAGAGCTACGACAACCAGGCCCGCATTTATTTACAGAACAACATGTCATGAAGTGGGAGACGAGGCTCGACCAGACAGTCTTGGGGGCGGCTAGTGACTTCTCGAAAGTAAATGCAGCATGGAAGCTGGGTGGAGCAGAGGCCGACCTTGTCGCCCAAGACAAGAGCTTGATCACCCTCATTGAGGAAATCTCGCTGAATGCGTCATGGAGTTTGATGAGCATGCCGAGATTCTGGTGAGTCACGCCTTAAGCCAAAGACCAACGTGTATCATCAAATGCTCAGATTAAGAAATAGTAAAAAGGTGCCGGCTCTGGCCAATTCGACTCTCTGGGTAAACAAATATACCTACGAGCCACAAAATCTGTTCATTGCGTACAGGTAAAGACAACTTTCATCTACCTATTTCTAAAAGCCTAGCATGGCACAATATCTCGCGTCCCCGGCTACTTTCACAACTTTTTCTACTGTTTCAGGACACTAAACCACTGCAGTTGTTCTATCATCGCAAGCCTCGTCACCGTTCTCACCGGTGTTTTCGCCTTGTATACCCAAACTTCCAGCCATGACAAGCACTTTTCATCCATCAGCCGTACCATGCAAAGCCCAGAACTCACTACACTGTTTATTGTTCGTTCGCCATCCAATGCGAAGAAGATTGCAGCGACAAATATCAAGCTTATTGAGCATAGAGAAGACGGAGCCGAAATATTCCGCATAGAAGGGGAGAAAGCACCTAGTGGTAGGACATAGGCTATGCGTGTTGAACACATATTTGTTGCAATGAATGAGAGTAGTATACAGTATGCGGTCAGTAGCCCTAGATTCGATGTCATATGATACATCATATAGTGTGGGACGTAGTGCTAGGTTTCGTATAGACATTCCTTGCGTTACCAAGACCCGCATAACCAGCCATGTCACGTCCATCCATGACCTAATTATATTTATAGAAACGCATATCATCGTACGCAAGTATATATGTTAGAACCATGATGTCCATCTACAACGCTTCTGTACTAATGATCTTAGCAAAACCCCCGTTCCGGCCTCGGAAATCGCACCCGACTCTACCCGCGGTTGAAAAGCTTACCTTGCCCATGTCACGACAGCGATCGGTGGGAACATGTCATATATATCTGATCGTCATTCCCCCGGTTTCCCTATAGTATTTTCCCGTCTGATTCTGTAGTCTTGACGTGGCCGCATCTTTTGATTGTTCTCCACTGTTTCCCCACATCATCTCCACATCATACTATCACGCATTACATAGCACTGATTCTACTCGGTTGACACTTAGTTCACACTTCCGGTCCATCGTCTCTTGCAGGATCACCTTACCAAGGAGTTACCGCTTTTGTCCAAATTATCCTGCTTCCAACTTCAACACCCCAAAGTAACCACTTGAAAAGTCAAAATCCAAAATCCAAACAATGCCTACACCGCCATTCTCCCAGCACCGCCGCGACTGGCACAAGGAGATCGCAGTACTCTTCAAGAGGAAGCCCAGCAACAACGAGATCCCCAACACCATCGACGGAAGAGCCGTTTCATCAAAGGGCAGAGACGCAACATTGTCGTCATCGGCATCCTCGATCAGGAGTAATGGAACTACCCTCACCACAAGCAGCACAACCAGCTATCGCCGCTCTACCTTCAAGGACAAACCACTGGACTACTGAAGAGGACGGAAATTCACACTCTGAAATTAGAAGAGGCGGACTTGCCCTGACCCCGGAGACTACGAAGTGCTTGTCGGAATCAGAACTGTGAGCTTGATTACAGAGACACACAAGCTACGGAAGTCACAGCACATCCAGTACACGTGACAAAGTACTCATGATCTGCGGAAAGTTGCGAATGAGGATTACGAATGCACAGAGAACGAGCCCACGTCAGCGGCTTCAAGCAATTTATCCTCGTCCAAGTGAGGGACGGCGTCGCGAGTGCGAGTCTCCAACCAACAGTCGCGGGCTAGGTGAGAAGTTTGATAATTTTTTGCGCTGGGTATCCGCGTGGGAATGATGATAGTTCAGGAGACAGGTCGCACATGGACTGGGCGGCGATCTTGAAGAATGCCGCGTTGAAGGGGATGTATAATGGATCGACGGATCCGCGGGGACGAATGCTGAGGTTTCACGAACAAATACGCCCAGACCGGCTGTGGACAGTATTCTTACTTTCAGAGCAAGTTTGCTACCAGATATCTACCTCGAGCGAGCCACTATGGAAAGGTGTCTATATATCAGATTTAAACAATAGGCCGACCGAAATAAAAAGAAATCAATCTACCAATATTTGCAATAGTATATCTCGATGAACGACTTCGCAAATTACGCCTCCGGATCAGCCGTAACGAACGGCTTCAGGTCATCAATATCCTCAGCCCACGTCTCCGTCGACTCCCCATTCTCCCACTTCGATATCAACTCCTGCTCCCTCTGCATCTGCTCATCCCCCGGCACCCTCGACAACGCCGACGCAATCACCCACTTCGCAGTCTCAATATCGTCTCTCTGCTTCGTCAACCTCAGAAACATCGCGAGACTGTGCTCCACCTGCGCCGTCTGCACGGGGCTGGGCTTCCACGTGGCGCCCGCGTTCGCCATTTCCACCATCATCTCGCCCGCAAACTGGTTGTACGAGTCGAACGACGACTTCAGCTGGTAGAAGACGTTCTGCGCCGCTTCCGGCGGCACCAGGTCCACGATGTCGTTGGGCTGCGACCGGAGGGCGATAACGCTGTGGAGCACGCGCAGCATCAAGTTTGCGCAGACGGCGAGGCTGAGTTCGGCCATGGGGTTCAGGAAGCCCATGCCCGCGGATTCGCACAGCTTGTCGAGGTAGAGGATGGTGTATTGGACCATGTGGAAGGCGGCGTCCCAGGGGCCGGTGTCGGGCCAATCTTGGAAGACTTGGACGCGTGCTCCCGCGTTGTTGAAGAAGCGGACGTTGCTTATGACATTATCGGGATCTTGGGGGTTCTGTATGGATAGAGACGATGTGACGTCTGCTGCGAGTTCTTCATCCACCTGGCCGAGGATCTTGAAGTTTTGAAAGTTGTGAAGCGAACGCAGTGGGTCGAGGAGAGCCTTTTGAGTGTGGAGTGTGAAGATATGGCTCAGGCCTTCGTTTTCCTTCCGATCACTGCACGGGTTGATGGTCAAGGTTACTGGATCGGTAGCTCGGTTGAAGGCTTCTGTCAGGTAGAGGGAATCCGATAGTTCTAGTACTTTGCAGAATTTCGGCCAGTCGCGCCCAAGTATTACGAACGAAAAGAATGGGTTCTGGAAAGTTTCTTCGGTGGGTGTTCCGTAATTCTCTATAGCAGCTGTCGATTCCTGTTCTTCATCGTCGTGTTCTTCATCGTCCTCTTCTTCATCGTCCTGCTCTTCATCATCCTCTTCTTCATCGTCCTGTTCTTCATCGTCACTTGAGTCATCGAGTGAATTGGACCTATTTGACCTCATGACAAGTCGCATGAAGTAGCCACCGAAGCGCTGGGCGCATGCTCGATCCATAGTGACGACAGGAAATTCAGACAGGAGAAGTGCAAGCGAAAGAGGAATACCGTAGGCCTCGATATGGACAAACTTGTTGCTCTTGAACATAACACCATATGCTTCGGCGTAAATTTGCTTGCTTACGCGAAGAATACTGGTATCCACCGAGCGTGATACGGAAGATATTGACGCTGAATTAGTGTTGTATTTCATGGGCTGTCCTTTCAGCCCTGCTGGGGCCGGCTCCCCAAAGTCGCAGAGCAGGTGTTGGTAGATGAATGTTCGAATCTCTTGCGGAAGATCCAGGAATCTGAAGTGCTGATCTGATGAGCCCTCCATGATGGCTCTCTTGGATCTTCAGATCAAGATTGTTGGGAGATCCAGGTGGAAGAGGCTGCGTGGTGGAAATGGATAGAAGAGGCCTGGCGAACTGATCATGTTGTACGCACACGCTAGCTTAGTTAGACGGGTGGACGGTTACACACACATCTACACGTCGCAAAAGCTTGGAAAAGCAATTATCGTCTGCTTGACGGTATTCGTTGGGTTTTTGCTTTTCTTCAAAAAGTCTTTGTTTTCATCAAAAAGGAAAATTGACTGGGCATTATATTGCATATTATCTGTCTGGTCACTCTGATCAAAACCTGACCTTCTTAAGACCCTCAACACCTAAACTACTGTTTGAACTATGGCTCAGCAAGCTTGGAACTGTTGCTCCAATATCTAGGAACATCATCTTCGTGGAAATAGTGCGTATCGTCGCCTCTTTCGTGAAGGGAGCATCGACGGCCAGCGGGGTAGAAGGTGGCAGCGTGCGAGATTAGAGACAGGGTCTTGGTAGAACTCGATGCTGGCTTGGAGCGGATTCCTACGCTCGGTATGGCTGATAGATGAACCTATCATCCCTTCCTTCTGGTGCTTCGGCTCCTAACTTCATTGGCCTGCACCTCTAGATGCTTCTTGCCTTTCTGCACATCGATCTGCTTGCTGCCTAGGTAGTCTCCACCGTTTAGCTCCTCCACACCCGGGGTCTCCACATGAATACCCTCCACCAAGACCTTCTCCTCCTCCGGTAGCGCCGCTGCAGCTTCCTCGGCCTTCCTCGTACCGAGGGGCGGGTCGAATCGTTTCCTGATTGTTGCAATCATCTTACCGAACCAGAACCAATTGAGGCCGTTGAGGGTAAGATTGCTAGCTAGGTAGCAGCCCGCAAGCCAAAAAGGGACCTGTCCTTCCCCAGCAAACCGCATGATGTCATTGTCCGGGATGAGGCTTCCATCAGCGCTTGTTTCATTGTTGAACTTGACATTCTGAAGGGTGCCCGGCTCCATGGTCATGGCGCGGTACACATCCGTGAACACACGGACGGACTGATAGCTTCCCCAGACAAGACGGCAAGAAAAGAAGGTGACGAGCAAGAAGATGCCGTTATACAGCTGGATCTTAGATCCAGTAAGGTTGAGCTTATCGCAAAACCAGTGAATGTTGAGAAATGGAGAGGAGAGTTCGTAGAGGATGAAAGTCGGGGCGTAGAAGTTAACGAAAGGTCGCTGAACAAAACGTTAGTACTGTCGGTCTGCACTCCTGCCTGGGACATTTGTAATGATAGGGTTTACTCACGAATCCAAGCGAGAACACAAACAAGGCGGATACAGCATGCGCAAGCATGCCTGGGCCAAATACGGTCACGTTCTGGAGCGTGATGAAAAGGTCCCAAACGAAGTATCCCGTAGCAAAGCCTTGAATCAAGCCCCCAGCACCGGTATAACCAAACACTCTATCCTGCCAGCTCATCTCGGTCCGAACGTCATCGGTGAAGATCACCCAGAGGGCCAGGATGTTAATGAGCGTGCTCTGCACGAAAGAAACAATGTGGACATCCCAGTTCAGCTTTGTTCGCGCGTTGAAGGTAGGGTATATCCGGGGGAAGAAGAAGCGAGAGAACGCTGGTGACAGGTACTTGTTTGTGATGTGATAGAGTGTAAAGGCAAACACGACCTCGTGGAAATGGTACGGGAGCGTCTTGAGGGCGAGTTTGTCGGCAATGGGCTCGATGTATGACACCAACCCCGCCGGTGGAGGGAAAGGAAACGGATCGAGCATTATGTGTGGGGTGCTTCGTGGGGTATGTTGGTATGTAAGGGAGTTGAACGGGAGCGCCCGCTGGCGGTCGAAGGTCGCACGATCGGTTGGGAAGGTAGACGGTGGGTGGAAGAGGAGGAGGAGGGGAGGAAGAGTGAGGAAAGGAAGAGGACCAGTCCCTCGACTGGCTGAAGGTAGGTCTTTTGAGGATACCTAGAAAGAGGAGAGGACCCAAGCCGGGCAGGCAGTAGTTAACTAGCGTGCGAGCGGGAGTCTGAGTAAAGACGTGGGTCAGCTTCGTAACAGTGCGTGTCGTCCGGTCGCCGGTCTATTATGGTTATGGATGTGTGCACCGTCACCGTAGTTGGGATGGATGTGGATGCGGATTGTCTTGTCTCTGTACTGTCTCGTCTCGTGCGCGGCATCTGCGCCACACGCTCGCATCTTCCCAATCCGGTGCATCTCTGTGACGATGGGAGGCCATCGCGTGCCTCCTCAAGGTCGATGCTGTGATACCAGCACATCCATTCAACCGGAGACAAATGGGATATCTTGATCACGTAGCACATTTCACATCATGAGTGTACAACGGGACAGTGACAAGTTGGGCTGTTGACTTGTATACAGGCTATAACTCCGAGTATGATCACAGGAAATAGTCAGAGGCACATGTCATATGCCTGTCTTCTGCCTACGACATAATTATGGCTTAGAAGCTATTGAAGCCGCGCAGCCACAATTCATAAGAGGCATTGAGCCGCAGCCTTATTTCACGAAGATGATACAAGTTCGTTCAAGATTTCGGTTTCTTAATTATCGTTGAATGAATAGGAACCCGTAGCAGTGGGCGGATCATTCCTTTCTCGTAAGGTTCGCAACAATGTCCCTTTAGGATGCTAGCTCCCTCCCACCGTCCACTGCACTAGGCTTGTATCTTCACCAACAATCAAGTATCCATCAGTAATGACTTCCTGGGTCCATAATCCTGGAAATATCATAAACAAAGGAGGATGACCATTCATTACTCATTTACATTATTATTCAAAAGTTCAGTTGGTACTCCATAAGTGAGAGTACAGAGTATAGTCGTAAGGTACATGTGTATGTAACTGTGTAGCTGTAAGGTGAGGCTGGAGGGGTGCTTGGCGGTGGACCAAAGAAAATAAAGTGGATCCGGCGTCATTCGAGCTTCATTGTTCTGTTATTGTGTGATATCGTCCTATACTATACTATACTATACTCTCAAAGATCACATCGTCCTCCTGTCCCTCGTCCGCCATGAGGCCAGTGAAAGGTCGATTACTGACCTCTGCAGCCAGGAGCTCCTTGGCTTCTTGCAGACTGCACCTCCGCAATCCACAATGCTTCCCTCGCAACTACACCCGACCCTCCTTCGCTCCCAAGCCCGCGATTGACCTCAAACACATCCGACAGAACCCCGGGCTGTACTCTCAAAATTGCATAGATCGAAATTACGGTGCACACAGCGAGGCCCCATGGAAAATCATTGAGCTCCACGACCAATGGCTCGAGCTCCAGAAGAGCGCTCGCGGTCTTCGAGAGCGCAGCAATCAGCTGAGGCGGAGTCTTGCGAATGCGGCGTCGCGGAGTGGAGATGCTGAAGGAGATATCAGGCAGACGGAAGACAAGGATGCAATTATCAACGAAGCCAAATCGATCAAGGTGGAATTGAGCGGCATAGAAGAGAAGGAAACGCTGTTGCAGGAAGAAATGGACAACCTCGCCCAGGACCTGCCGAACCTGAGCAGCGTACACACTCCGGTTGGACAGGACGCAGAGATTGTGGGATATATCAATGATCACCCAGAGCCCGAGCCTTCCAAGTCGGACCGTGTCTGGCGATCACACGTACACATCGGTACCGAGCTGGGGATATTGGACTTCGCAGGCGCAGCCCAGACGTCAGGTTGGGGCTGGTACTATCTCATAGGCGAGGGAGCCATGTTGGAACAAGCGCTGGTCCAGTATGCTCTCAGCGTCGCAAGGAAACGAGGTTGGAAGGCCGTGGCGCCACCGTCTTTGGTATACTCGCACATTGCCGCGGCCTGTGGATTTCAACCTAGAGACCAGAATGGTGAACAGCAAATATATGCCATTGAACAGGCAGAGAAAGACAAATCAAAACCAACGTTAGCCCTGGCAGGCACTGCTGAGATACCGCTGGCTGGCATGAAGGCCAACCAGGTCATAGAAGATGCAGATTTGCCCTTGAAGACCGTGGGTGTCAGCAGGTGTTATCGAGCGGAAGCCGGTGCGCGAGGAGTCGATACCAAAGGACTATACCGTGTGCACGAATTCACAAAGGTGGAGATGTTCGCATGGACGCTCCCGGACAACGTTGACCACGAACACTTTACCGTTCCTGTCGAGTCGAACTCAGAGACCATTTTCGAGGAGATGCTATCGATACAGAAGGAAATACTCGAGTCTTTGGGTCTTCATTGTCGCATACTGGAAATGCCTAGTACAGATCTGGGAGCAAGTGCCACGCGCAAACGCGATATTGAGGCGTACTTCCCGTCACGTCGGGAGAAGGATAACGGCTGGGGTGAGGTCACGTCGACGTCGATGTGCACAGATTATCAAAGTCGACGACTACATACGAGAGTGCGTCTGGAGAAGGCCGGCCGTAAGCTTGATTTCCCCTTCACACTGAATGGCACCGCATTGGCTGTGCCACGAGTGCTGGCCGCCATCTTGGAGAATCACTGGGATGAGCGACACTACACGGTAACAATTCCAGAGGTTCTGAGGCCTTTCATGGGCGGTGTGGATAAGATTCAAGGACACAAGCATAGCTCGGGAAGCTATTGAACTTGTTACGAAGAAGAGAAGGAGAGAAAAAATTAACGAACATTCAAAAGTTAAATGTACCATTAATCTGTAGAACTAATTCAACGCAAGTTGAACAGATGCTTGTAATTGTACAGCAGTAGGAGTTGTAGTAGTTAGCATAGCATACCACAAACATGACGAAGTAACGCATTCGATCTATTCGACCATTCGGAATTCTTTGGCCACCATGGACGGGAACAGAAACAGATCTAAATAGAAACGTGCATTAATACAGCATCAGTGCATCGACATGTGGAAGCATCTTCCAGTCCGTGGCCACCCCTCGGTAGGCCCGTCTCGCCGCCATCGAGGCTGAATCGAAGCTTGGCCCGGCTACCAACGGTCATTGGCCCTGGTCGTTTGGTCTTGTGGGCACATCTGGGTTGGATGGGCATCGCTCCGTGTCCGCCTCAGCTGCAATGGTGCAGTACCGATTCAGTAGTTGCAGTGCAGTGCAAGTAGACAAGGATGGATGGTGGCCTGTCGACATTGGACAGGACTGTAGTCACTGTTGGTAGACGGTACTCCGTACTGTGTCCTGTGTAAAAGAGAAATGGGGACTGGACAGGATTACAGGGAAAATGGCCCTGAAGCCAAAGCCAAAGTGGGACCATTCGCCACGACCAATGGTCTGTTGACCTCCGAGATGCTCTTGAAACCACCTTCACACCTTTTCCAAAGGTCATGACTGAACTTTTCTAACACCCACCTTACCGTACCATCTTCAACCTCCTCCTAGGTGTCTTCCAAGTGTTGCGAAGTTCATCCTAAACCGTCGCAAGCAGAAGGCGGGGTGGAGCAAACGGCGGGCCCTCCTCACTCGACTGCGACAACCGCCAGCCTCTCCCTAGCAACAACAGGTCGACCACCCGGCCATCCATTCTGCAACTCGACCTGCATCTCGTCATACAGGAACAACAACACAACCCGCAGCCACGCAATTTTCGCGCACTCCTCGCCCTTTCTTCTATCACTAACCCTCCTCCTACATTGTATCCACCAATCTCCTTTCGATCGCAATTTAAAAATCGTTATTACCACCGACTTGGATCCAGCACGACCCGAGTAAACAGAGACATTATACAACAATACGGCCCCACGCCCCGGAACACAACAAACGCACAACGCAGCAGCAGCGCATGGTTTCCTATCCCGACTCCCAAGGGGCAGAGCGGTCGCTCGCGATTCGCCGCCCACCCTCCGTCACATCGCATTCCTCGAGGGCGTCGACCGTGCGAAGGCATCGACCGCACCGGTCACATTTCGGAGGGTCGTCCTACCAACCGCAGAACGAGTTCCCGGTCTTCACGCACACCGGCGATGTCGAGATCATCATATCGAACGGGAGGAAGGAGCAGCGGTATCTTTTGCACAAGTTGATCCTCACGCAGTGTTCCGGGTTCTTCAGTGCGGGGACGAGCGACGAGTGGGCGAATGCTGGGGAGGGGAACTCGGTGAATCCGAATGCGCTGGCGAGGATACCGTCCGGGTCGGCGCCAGAGAAGAAGATGTGGAGATATGAGTTAGACTGGGGGAATAATGACGAGGAGCTACCCATGCTCATACAAAAGGTAGGTTCGAAGAGACTCGTCCCGCTCAGAGGTGCGGTATGGTCCATTACATTGTATGCTAACTCTACCCTTCCAGAAAGCACAATCCACGATATTCGGCAGCGGCGATGTCGCACCTCCTCCCCAACCGCCATCCGCGCGCAATAAACCCTCCGCCCCGCAATCCGGTTTCTTCAGGAGCATGGCCAACTTCTCCTCGCTCCATGTCCCCGCAACGCAGAGCGATCCCGACGACGACCTCTTCCGCGACTACGACAACATGTTCCGCGTCTTCTACAACTACCCGCCCACCCTCGACCCTATCAACATCGCAAACGCCTATGTGGAATGCAAGTCGCTACTACAGCTCGCGGACATGTACGACGCGCTGGAGGTCATCGGACCGCGGGTCGACCATCACCTGTTGCGATTCCAGGGCAGATTATGGAAGCAGATCGCGAAATACCCTCCCAGCTATCTCAAGCTGGGCTACATGGCTCGCAGCAAAGCCATCTTCCAAGAAGCCATGGTGCACGTGGTGGGCCAGTGGCCGCAGGGCGCCAACCAATTGCGCGGACAGACATCGGACGGAGTGATCGACCTGATCGAGGACAAAGTTGACGAGCTCGACGAGATGAAGGCGAAGATCGAGGGCAAACTGTTCCGGATAACGCTCACGACGAGTCGGGGCGAGAGGGTGACGCCGAGTAACAACTGGCTGGATTGGCTCGCGATGAGTCTGTTCAGGCAGTGGTTGGCAGAGAACACGACACCACCCCCAGCGCCGATATTGAAGTCACCGAGGCCGCCGAACTCGAGGAACGGCGGCGACAATAGTCCGCTCCCGCCGCCGCCGGCGTTCAACACCGGTCGCGTCTTCCGTCTGCTCGGCACGGGAGGCTCGAGCTATCTGAACCACGACGAATGCAAGCGGTTCCTCCGCCTGTCGCCCGACCAGTATAATCGAGAAAATCTAAAACGATTCGAGCGGAGGATCGACGAGATCAAAGAGCGCGCGAAAGACGTCGTCAAACCAGTGATGCGAAATTTCCTTGAACTCGACCTAGGCCGGGACGGAGGTGGATTGCCATACCTGACGAGCACGCGATTAGAATTGCAAGATTTCCCATGGGACGAGGGCGTATGAATTTAAAAATTGATTTAACATGTTGTTACGAAATCGCGAAAGAAAGGAGTCAATTCGCATCGATGTTGATGGGATCCATGGATGGATGGATATATCAAAGGGCGTATAGTGTGTGTTTTTGTTCCTTTTCCTTATTTTATGTCGCTTGATACCCTCTGCGCTGTATGTCAGTCATTCTTTTCGAAAGTTGATTTTGATGTATAATGGATCTTTAGCCTTAGCTGAGATGGGCGGTGGGACTTTCTAACGAGGGGCGTGCTGGTCGCGCTCGTCGTGTGAGACCCAACCAGCTCTACCTCCATGACAATAAGTAATGAAGATTTGGTCCCCATTATGAGTTGCCGCATTTCAATATTTTTGATGTGATTACATTGTCTAGTGAAATGTTCGAGAAGCGCCAAACAGCATAAACACATTACTTTGGCCTCTGGTGGCATTTTCTTTCCAGTTTAATTATTCTGTCCTAAGGGACACTTAGTAGATACTGTATAGCATGCATCATCATTTGATTATGAATGAAAATCATAACAAAACAGAAGCAGAGATACTGTCCATCATTTTCATGGAGAATATATCATAAATTAAATATTTAATTAAATCTTATCAGAAGTCGAGTGTATCTACAGAGTGTTTCGCAGAGCTAAAAAGCAAAAAGTAAAAGGTCGCGGTGGCCAAAAACCACACGCTCACACCCAGACTCGAACCCACGCCCACTGCATCCGCAAAAAAAATGGTTGCTTCTCTTTGATTGAGCGTGTCATCCTTAGTGCAGGGGCCATGCTAATCTTCTCTGTATCGTTTCTATCATCCAATGTTAGTAATGTTCAGATACCATATTGTAGGAATGTTGGGCGCTTACCATTGACCAAATGTGCATAAAGCACGAAGGAAGGTCTAAATTCTTTGGTATGTATACTACAATTAATTCGTTTTGTTTAGTAGGGGCGAAATGGCGGCCCGTGGAACAAAGCGGGCACTGGGTCACGGCTGGCCGCCTAGATGGGGGAAAGACGTGCACACACCGCACCGTGCGAATGCATCACATGGCTCCTACCACAAATAGGCCCCAGCGTGACATCCACCTCAACTGGCAATTAATGGACAAGTGCGAGTCAAGGCAACAAGGCACTCGTCCCATCTTCCGTTGGGGGAAAGAGGAGAGCGAGCGGTAGAAGGATAAGACGAAGTTGATGGATAATTTTACATTTCGAATTTTGGACATCCTTCGTGTTGTAGTGCCGGACTTGTGGTGGGCTAAATTCGGACGACGGCGGGGTTCGTTCATGGTAGGGGTAGACAATTCATTGGTCGAGCGCTTGTCTCCTCCGCTGTGGTGTCTGTCCTGGGCTTCAAAAGCTACCATGAGTCTTGCAATATCTTGCTGCCATCCAATTCTTCGCCACAAGTTCTGTTGTTTTAATATTTTAATTTAGTCATGAAGAAAGTCTGGGATGGGATCGATGATATGTGTAGTATTGGATCTCCTTGTAACCTTTTGAGTCCCTCTATGAATGTATCAATTGGCCTCACCATGGAAGTGGAATGGATGATAATATCTACCACTAGACAATTACACGTCTTCCATCCTCTTTCGAAAATGTACAATTGTGACGCCTGACCCAGGGGTATGATCAGAAGTAACAAGGTATTTGTACATAGGTATGTCTTCTGGATGATGGATTGATTAATTGGAGCATGGTGACAGGAGAAGATGTAGTGCTATAATGTCAATTTCCTTTTCAATACCTGCAAGACCGGCTTACAAGTATTTGCATAATCCTTCTTAACTTACTTACTGTCTTCATCTACGGATGATGTAGTAATTGCATTCCGCTCTTCTATAGTTAGGTAGGTCACATATACTCCAAGAACTGGGTTGAAGTATACAGAGATATCCTGCAACTGTAAATCGGAGACTTACTTTGTTGAACAAATGCAATTAGTGGGCATAGAATTAGTCGTAGGCTTGTAGCTATCGCACTAAGGAAAACGAAATACATTTGATAGATTCTGACTGTCAGACGCGCTGGTTGAAAATGCAATGTTCTTTTTCATCTACTTTTGGGGAACAAGTTCTCTATGTCTTTTGCACAGGGTGTAATAGTCATCATTTTAAAGTTAGCTTGATGTGCCCTTCAAAGCGAGTGCTTTGCACTAGTTCATTGCAATCTCAAGGTACAGAGTCCAATTTGATACCTCCATTCTCATGTAAATATCTACATTACGTGTAGCACCCAATCCTATGACCTTGCCAACCAGCATCAACTCGCGCCGATCGAACCCAATCGTCAAGCCACCTCCGCAATTTCCAAAGTTCGAGAAAAAGGAAGATTCCTTCTGTAGCCCGGCCCCATGCTGTTGTTGCATGAAACAATCTATCCGATCAATTTATCCGACGTAGCGCGGCGCCAGGGCGGGGAGGACTGTCATCGAATTAACTCGCTCCGTTACTTATAAGGATGATCCGCACCCCAAGGTACCTTCAATCTGCCTATGGAACGTCTTTGGGAAATAAGGTCAAATGACATGTTTTGAATATATATCCTGGGGTATATTGTCTATATATGTGGGGATTGACGTGGTACTAACGGCACACCCTCCCCTAAAATTTAGACTTCAGGTCCGTGGTGTTTCTCACGATATTGTATGCTTGACCTAAGACGGCAAAGGCGCTAGAATGCTTCTTCTTGGAGCAATGCTTGAAATTTCTGGGCGAGAGCTTGGATTTCTGAGGGAAGGCAAACGTCTTTCTATCAAACTTGCCCAGGGATATTCCATGTTTAATGAAAAGTAAGTCAGTCTTCATAGTCCGCTTCGTGACCTAGAATCTCTGTTATGTACACTTATGTAGGGCATTGTACAGATAGACCACCTTGACGAGATCAATGGCTGTCCTGCCAAAGTCCCCTTCCAGTCATTGAATCTAATGAAACGATGGCTTCCGAAAGCGCAATGTTGTATTACCAGGAACCCAATATCGTCTAATAAACCCAGCCTGAGACCTTTTCCGGGGTACTGTACGACGTCTACTCTGGAAACGTGGACCGGGTTTCCGCGATATGAATTGGGCTGATTTAGGTAGATGATCAACCCAGCAATCTTGGTAGCGACCGCGGAGGAGCAGGTAGAAGATGAAGATCGAACAAGACGTTTTTAGGCTGGGGTAAATTGCTAAACAATATACGTATCCCGACGATATAAATACCTTTGGCCTCCCCCTCCTGAGTTCGACTTCCTGCACGGAAAAAAGACAAAACCACCAAACCATCCGCAACCATGCTCCGACAAACCGCACTCCTCGCCCTCGCCCTCGTGCCCTCCTTGACTTCTGCCCAAGTCAACGAAGGCTTCGAGAGCGGACTCGACACAGCCGCATGGCCGACGTACGCACCGGACTGCAACCAGGGCGGCAAGATCACACTGGACAGCTCGACGGCGCACAGCGGGAAGAACTCCGTGAGAGTCGACGGAGCCGGCGGCTACTGCGGCCACATCTTCTTCGGAACGTCCAAGGTGCCCAGCGGCGACGTGTACGTGCGGACGTGGCTGAAGGCGTCCAAGGCATTCACCGACTCCCACGTCACCTTCATCACGATGCCGGACTCCGCCCAGGGCGCGAAGAAGCACCTGCGAATTGGCGGCCAGAGCAAGATCCTCATGTACAACCGTGAGACTGACGACGCGACTCTGCCTGACCTGTCGCCCAATGGCATTGCTGCCTCTAAGGCCATCCCCGCTGGCTCCTGGCAGTGCTTTGAGTACAAGGTCGGCGCTGATGGATCTATCGAGACGTGGTTGAACGACGCTGCCATCCCAGGATTGACCGTCACTTCTGGAACTACGAACCCTAATGCAGCTCAGTGGACGAGGAGCGGCTCGAAGCCTAAGATCACGGCGGTCAACTTTGGCTGGGAGTCCTATGGTGGAGATGCGAACACCTTCTGGTACGATGACATTGTCATTGCGTCGAAGCGCATTGGATGCACGGCGGCGAATGCCAGCGTTGTTGAGAAGTCGTTCGTTGCATAGATGGAAAAGCCGGGAGTTTGAGCATTTGACTGGATTTATGTAGAGTCAAAAACATGTATATATGATGGCATTGCTTGTCGTGGTGGAAGGAATGTACAAATGAAAACGAACATCTTTATATTTAACGTACAAGATTAGTGATTTGACTTTCATGCGGAAAACATTGCAAAATACCCGTCACATCGTTCTAAGTCGGAAAATATGGTATGAATCTGCAGCAAATAGACGTTGACAGTGCCAATTATGGCCATAACCCAGGGGGAATAGAAGATCTCTAGAGATCTCCTTCGCGTCCATAGTACCCAGGTCGCATCTCAGAACCTTAGGACAGTGATTCCGCGAACATTGGTGCATAAGTTTTTACATAGCCGCAACATATGTAATGACCACAAAGTTATTGCAGCCACATTATCAATGTAGGTCTCTGACATGACATTCTTACTCAAGACCATCTACCTAAAGCAACGACCACCTACCTCCCTTATAGAGCCCATTACCACATACCCTATTTGACCCCCCAGGAATTGGAAACCTCGAGTCTCAATGAGGTTCATAAATGATAGATTGATTTAATAGTATACTTTCAAACGTTATAAACTCGTATACGCAGCATTGCTCTTCGCATCGAAGAGATTGCTAGTTATACCAGAAGATATAGCGAAACCATCCCATATTCGAGGGAACAATAGTTTATATAGAAGCCGAAAATGAAGAACTTGAAATGCAAGCAACATCCTGATTCGCTGAAGCAATCACACTAAGCGAAAGATCATGATGGTTGTTGCTGCAAAGGTGAGGCGTAGCCCACCAGGGATCTAACAAACCTCCCTCGTGTAACGATCCACTATCAACGCCAGCCTATGCATACGTCTAAACTCCATTGCTGCCTGCTCTGAACTTAACATTGACTGGGTGGTATCTACACCGCTATTTCCCCTCAAGTGGCTCTTATAATTTGGTACCTGAATGCACTTCAGTTGAAACTTCTTCATTTGTAATTCGCGTATCTCTCAATTTCCAGCAATCTCAAATTCCAACTCTCCCCCTCTAGACCAACCACAACTTCCAATCGCCCACACATCTAAGGAAGCCCAACTCCCCTCAAACCACCGCAACAGCTATGGCACCCAACACACCACCACCGCCGCCGCCGCCGCCGTACGAAATCGGCGCAACATGGAGCAGCTCCCTAACCACGGACGTCCAACTCAACGTCCGCGTCCGCGCCCACCACTTCCGCATCACCCTCCTCACCGCACACTTCTCCTCCCACCCAGCAATCCTCCAGTCCTACCTCCGGCACGTCGAGCTCTCAGACCCAGAATACATCCCCCCACCATCAGAAGAAGACGACTTCCCCTCCGACCCCCTGGACGCCTTCTACGACTGGGCCGTCGCGCCCTTCACCTCCCTCTTCCACGCCATCCCCCCGCTGGAAAAAGGCCGGACGTACACACTTCGCGACTGCTTGTTCCCCCCCGAGTCGGCGTATACGTTACGCGTCGAGGGCGACGAGGTAGTCCCCGCCCCCTACGACGCTGGTGGTAGCCGCCCCGTCGGCGTGCTGCTTCCTGCGTCTAGCCCGCCGCTTAGGGATATGTCGACAGTGCGGGTGTACCGCCCTGAAGACGTGAGGGTGCGGCTTGGTGAGGATGCTGTTGCTGTGCCGACGTATCCGCGGAAGGTGTACGTTAAGCCAGGGTGCGAGGACGAGAGCGAGGGAGAGGGGGAAGAGGTACTGTGTTTCTTCAAGCAGATGCTTGCGGGGGACGTTAGTACTACTGTTACGGAGCTCGCGACGTATGCGAAGATGCGTGCGGCGGGGCTGGGGGACGACGTGCGTGTGTCGCGGCTTGTGGGTGTGGTGGAGGATGAGGGGACGGGGAGGGTGGTCGGGTTGTTGTTGGGGTATGTGGAGTGTGGGAATAGGACGCTGGTTTGTGCTGCGAGCGATGGTAAGGGGGGTGCGTTGAGGGAGAAGTGGGCGGGGCAGGTGAGGCGGTCGGTGGAGGAGTTGCATGCGAGAGGGATTGTGTGGGGGGATGCGAAGCCGGAGAATGTTCTTGTTGATGAGAATGACGATGCGTGGTTGATTGATTTTGGCGGCGGGTATACGAGTGGTTGGGTTGATAAGGAGTTGGTGAATACTCAGGAAGGCGACTTGCAGGGTCTTCAGCGTATAGAGGAATTCCTTACTGGTTTGTCAAAAGAATAACAATTTGGCTGGTTCAGATTTGGTACTTACTTCGTCTCAGAATGGCGTATTCAAAGAATATATACTAGATTCATGTCAACATCGGTGCATGTCAATATCAAACTCAAAGTTGTATCAAAAAGCACAGCAAAAGAAAAGCACAGCAAGAGACGATCATTTGAAATGTGGGAACCATTTATTCACTGATTAACAGCTCCATGCAAGAAAACTATCCATTTTTGTTCATCCGTCATCATCTACACCCTTCAACCCCTCATGCATTCTTCCAAACCAATGCAGGAACGTCATCCAAAGCTCAAGAAAACACAAAAACTCCAATCAAGGGGTACTCGGGTTATGTAGAACGGGAAGGCCTGAAAAGTGTGGTAGGCGTCGTCATCGATTCGAGATCGGTGGTGATACAAGAAGGCACTGTCCGCCTTCTGCGATATTAATGGACAGGAAAGAGGAAAGAAATAGATATAAGGTCAAAAGAAATCCGTAAAATGGTAGGAAATGGTCTCGTCATCGTCATCGGCTCGTTGCGGCGACGGTCAGAGGAGAAAGGAAACGGTGGAAGGAAACGTTTTCAGTCAGTCTGTCAGATCGTAAGAAAATTTGAAACTCCTCGAGAAAATGCACCGCTCAGCAAATGCTCAGTGCTTAGGGCAGCAACACACATGGGGACCAGCCTTGACGACCTCGCTGGTGGCCTGGTCTTCGTACTTCTTGAAGTTGTCCATGAAGAGCTTGCCGAGCTTCTCGACCTCGCCCTTGAAGTCGGCGGTTCCGTTCCAGGACTTGGCTGGGTTGAGGAGCTCGTCGGGGACGTTGGGGCAGGTCTTGGGGACGGAAAGGCCGAAGGTGTCGTAGGTCTCGTACTCGACCTTTGCGAGCTCGCCGGAGTGGATGGCGTCGAGGATGGCACGAGTGTACTTGAGGGGGCAGCGCTTTCCGCCAGTGGTGGCACCGGCACCGACCCAGCCGGTGTTGAGCAACCAGGCATCGGCGTTGTGCTCCTCGATCTTCTCCGCGAGCATCTTGGCGTAGCGCATGGGGTGGAGGGCGAGGAAGGGCTGGGCGAAGCAGGAGGAGAAGGTGGCCTGGGGCTCGGTGACACCCTGCTCGGTACCGGCCATCTTGGAGGTGTATCCGGAGATGAAGTGGTACATGGTCTGCTCCTTGTTGAGCTTGGAGATGGGTGGGAGGACACCGCGGGCATCGCAGGTGAGGAGGACAATGTTCTTGGGGTGGTTGTCGGAGATGCAGGGAATCTTGGTGTTCTCGATGTACTCGATGGGGTAGGCGCAACGGGTGTTCTCGGTGAGGGTATCATCATCGTAGTCGACGACACGGGTGGTGGGGTCGAAGACGACGTTCTCGAGGATGGCACCGAACTTGATGGCGCCGAAGATATCGGGCTCCTTCTCGGCGGAGAGACCGATGCACTTGGCGTAGCAGCCGCCCTCGATGTTGAAGACACCAGTGTCGCTCCAGCAGTGCTCGTCGTCACCGATGAGAGCACGCTTGGGGTCGGCAGAGAGAGTGGTCTTGCCGGTTCCGGACAGACCGAAGAAGACGGTGACATCGCCGTTCTTGCCCTCATTGGCGGAGGAGTGGAGAGTGAGGACGTTGTGCTTGACGGGCATCTCGTAGAAGAGGACGGTGAAGATACCCTTCTTCATTTCGCCTAATGAGGATATTAGAATCGTTCCGAATGAAGCAATTGAAGGCACTCAGGGGTAGGTTTGAACCGTTCCAATTGAAGCAGTTGAAGGCACTCAGAGGTAGTTTTACTCACCAGCATATTCGGTACCGAGAATGACCATCTCCTTCTCGGCGAAGTTGACGGCGACGGAAGTGGAGGAGGTCATTCCGGAGGTGTATCTGTTGGCAGGGAAGGCACCGGCATTGTAGATGACATAGTCGGGATGGAAGTGCTCAAGCTCCTGTCTCGAGGGGCGGATCAACATGTTGCGCATGAAGAGGGCATGGTAGGCGCGGGCGCAGACGACGCGGACGCGAATTCTGTAGCGCTCATCCCAGCCTGCGAAACCGTCGACGACGTAGATGCGATTCCTGGTGTTGAGGTAGTCGATAGCACGCTCGCGGTTGATTCGCCAGACCTGTAGATGGAAGTGATCAGCATGGTGTAGAGGTAAGACCAGGCTAGGTGAGCCGGGGTAACTATAGGCGCAGGGCTAAGGAAATATGCGGGAGAAGTAGGAAAGGGAAAAAAAGAGATGCAGAGTCAGAAGTACGATGCAGCGGATGCACCGAAGTGCAGGGAGTTAGGGGGGAGGAGTAGTGTGTTGTCGATACGGGTCGTAGAGTAATGGTTGGTGGTGGTAGTGGGGAGAGGAGGAGAAGAATGCGGGGGAGGAGAGAGGGAAGAAAGGCGGGTGTGAGTGGGCATAGCATAGGCGTGGCGCATATGCGTCATGTGTGAAAATGCCAGGTTCGGAATGGATCGCGGCCAGTGACGGATCTGGGGAAGGGAAGACCAACACGAAAGGAGAGACGAGACAAACGCCCAAGACTCTCCCTCGGCTTTTCCTCCCTCCCACTCCACTCACGAACCATCGTTTCCGCTTTCCATCCCAGCACATGACGTCTGCCATTGCCCACTCTTTTCTCCTTTCTCCCTTCTCCCTCTTTCACAAGCCAAAAATGCGCGAAATAACTTGGTGGCGATCGGATGGGGATTTTTACAACAAAATAGAACAGAACAGAGCGGACAGAAGGAGAATTGGGGATTGGCTTACGTCGGGCGACATGGGCTTGTTAACTGGTCCCCACCAGACATCCTTTTTCGATGAGTCCTCCTCAACAATGCGCTTGTCTGAGGGTGAACGTCCGGTCTTGGCTCCCGAATATGCGGAGAGAGCGCCCGAGGATGTGATGGCGGAGCCAGACTCGTAGACGAGGGCATCTTCGTAGAGAGCTGCCACGGAAGGGTTGGCGACCTGCGGATCATTGTTAGGAGACACTTGTCAGGTAAATGAAAGAAAGAGTAAGCTTACAATAGCTACACGGTCATAGTCGATGTGTGCCTTGTCGTGGAGCTCCTCCTCGATCTCGGTGTGATCCTTTGATGAAGGTCTATAAGAACGTAAGTTAGTAAATTCGGCTCAGGCAATGTCGGATGTGAAAAGAAGGGTCCATTGGAAAAGAAATGGAAGAAAGGAAGAACGTACTGGACACCGGTAGGGTGGAGGTTTGTCTTGTTAACGGATTGGGAAACCATTGTGTAGAATACGTCGGAAGTGATGGAGGAGGAATGGAAGTTGGAGCGTTGTTGCTTTGCTACCTGCTGACTGGCGAAGTCTTTTGCTAAGGGAGCTGGGCTACGAGTAGATAATGGAGAATGGGTTGAAGTTGAAACTGATCGGACAGTACCAGTATTCGGCGGGGAGGACGAGGCTTTTGTAGACTCCATTCTGACGACGTCGTCTGGACTAGACAACGACCTCTTTTCGGCAAGTCTGACTACTAGTGGAGGTGAATGCTTGTGATTGGCCCCCAGTCTAGGAGGCTCGTGCCGAAGCAAACTAACTGTAACGCGAATCTTCCCGGACGATAATATGTCGGAAGATGTCGTGGACAAATTGATCAAAGGGCTAGTACCAGTATTAGGACCTAATGGACCTGGACGTACGAGTAGTAGACGTGGATTGGTATGTGGTATTAGCGGTTGTGGATGCGGATGCGGATGCGGTTGCGCTTGGGTATGGAATCGTTCTGTGACAGCCCGGCAGGTCGTGCGGAACAGTGTATCCAGCAGAGCCGCGGCCTTTAAGCGTCCTCTGGGATTGACAAGATGTTGATGATGATGTTGATGAAGACGATGACGACGAGCAAGGTAATGATGCAGCAACATAGATGGCAACTATAGGTGATCACCCCTCTCTCCCAACTTCAGATACCGAACGACAATCTACTTCTGGATATTGATCTCTATGCCTGCTGTTGCGTGCAGGTGCTGGGTCTTGAATCTTGAGTCTTGAGTCTTGAGTATTGTATGGTATGGTAGTAACAGCTAGTAGTAGTAGGTAGATCTTTGTAAATTATCCTCACCAAAAAACAATACACAGCTTAAGCAGAGCAAAGCCAAAGAAAGGCGGGGGATCATCAACTTGCACGATGTCAGGACGATGTCATAAAACTCCAGCATCCGAGTGGCCACGCTCTCACATGACGGGGATGAAACCCGAACGAGGTCTCTCCAAGGTTTCCCAACCCCAGAAGATTACTCTAGTACGAGTAGGAGGACAGGACAGGGCTCCTCTTTCCCCCGAACTCCAGCAATTATCCCTCGTGCTGGTCCCCGTATCCACGGGTTGGCGTTGGCGCTGGCGTTGGCGCTGGCGTGGAACGCTGGGGTTGCGTGTGGCACAACGATAGGATAGGTAGAAGGACACAGTACCCGGTAACTATGAGTACAGAGTAGCAGTGTGACGGGGTGAGTAGGGTAGGGCTAGTTGGGCACGCAATAGGGCGGAACAGGTCTCCAGCTGAGAGGGAAAAGTTCTGGCCTTTTGGAAAAAGGTGACTCAAGGGGAAAGGTGGTTACGAGTAGCGTTATGGGGGAAGGGGGAAGAAAGAGGAAAGAGAATGGAGAGATGTCGTCTCTAGTCTCTAGTGGAAGTGGAAGTGGAAGTGGGTGGAGTTTGGATTACTACATACTTTGCGAGGCTTGTCGTTGGTTGGATGAAAGTACACCCAGTCCTGCCAGTCCTGCCAGTCCATCCCCGCCCATCCTGTCTGACGTCGTCCCTTTCGTCCACTACTAGTACCGTCTACCTGTCTTAGGTACCTAATGTCTAATGTCTAATGTCTAATGTCGAAAACGGCCATGCATCTGTCTCAATCGTCCCTAATCCTACCGATTGATCATTCTTGTAATTTATTCGTCATCTCTCTCCCATTTTCATTTCCCCACAGTATTTGTTTATTTGGTCTTCAAGAGAATCCCTTCTTCAGCTCGTCAGCTATTAACAAACCGACCCTGGCTGAGGCACGCGACCACCGTTTGGTTAACCACGCATACGCCGTCCTATACCAGATCACCAAAATAGCTCAGCTAGCAAATCAATACTCCGCAATAAGTTTCAAATTCTTCATCGTGACTGACCCCTTCTCCTTCCTCACCGTCTATTTCAGCTTTAGATGCGTTCTCGACCGCACGAGAAGTGAGGAATGACTTGACCCGTGCTTCATCGAGTGCCCTTCTCGTCGGTTATCCAAGGCCCGTGACAGAGCAACAAGCAACCGAGGACCCGACGGACCTGGCCCGAACCGCATGAAGAGGTTGGCCCAGAAGGGATAGTATTATTAATTTAATGGAATTGGTCCAACACATGTATGTAAAAAAAAAAAAACATATCCCTCAAAACACAAGTCCAGTCCAGTCATTCCGGAATCGTCCTTGGCTATTCTAGGACTTGTAACCGGGGGCAAAGGGGGACAGGGGTGGGTGGGTGTGCACTTTGCCGATTGAAGCGTCTGGGGTCTGGGTTGATTGTGGCGGTGTCGTTTGTCTTGGTGTTGTCTTTGTGTCTTGTCTGTCAAAAGGACTCAAGAGCACAAGAAACGTTCCGATATGTCTTCGTGCCCCATACTAATCCGTGAACACCTACATCCAAATGCCATCATCGCGCAACAAGTTAACCCCCATCATCCCAGCGATCCACCACTAACATCACCGTAATCACTTACCCAGTTCAGCTCGCCCCCTTGGTTTCGCCTTACCGCGCCATCGCATCAGAAAATAATGTCGCATCGAGATAACCATCGCAAACGAAATGAGGCAATGAAGCAGCGCTGTTTACCGGCAATAAACGCCCTCCAGGACAAACCCAAATGAACTGCAAACATGTGCTGCTTGCCGACCTAACATCCGAACATTGATCATTCGTCCGACCATCACAATTCATCATGATTAGCATACAATAGTAACCATCTCCAGGTCCATCCGTAGTTCGAAATCAGTCAACGACAGTAAGATCCGCATACCTTGTTCGACCCGACTAACCTTGCCCTGTAAGCTAAGGGAATCCTTGCCACTCCCCGTAAGGCCTGGCCTGTTTCGGGCGGATGGATGGCAGATGGGATGGATGGGGGAATATGGAACATGAGGCATTATCTTATCACCATCCCCTCGCACTGATTCATGCAACTGCATACCTTTTCAGTACTCTCGTTCAACATATCACAATAATCACATCATATCATATCATATTACCGATTGACCGACATTTTGTATGCTATGTTGAGGTTTGATGATGCAGAGACAACGGCGACATCCCAGACAGACAGGCAATTTGCCTTTCGATCCTCATCGAAAAAGATCAGGTAGATAGATAAGACGAACAAATGATGATCGAGATGCAAACCTTAACAATGTCCGGCTGCAGGGGAGAGAGTGGCGCAAGGGGAGAGATAATGAGGCATATTCGTCGTCAATTGCGCCGAACGGAAATTGTCAAAGATTCCCCCGTGAAACCATTGAGAACTAAGGGTTGACTCTCTGTTTTGTTTGTTGCTGCCTTACTTCGTATGTACGCTTGGAAGATACGAGCCCGAGATAGATCGTGAAATAGGATCGTCGGAGTTGGAGTTGCAAGTTCGTAGCCGCGATACTTCCCTTCCCCAGTTTTCCGCAGCACAAAATCACGAGTACGAGATGCACGTTTTTTTTTTCATTTTTACAACCAGCAAATTGATGTCATAGAAACAATCGCGAACAAATTTCTCTTCTTTTTAGCTACGGAGTACCTTCATTCTCTCTTCCTCTCATTTTCGTTCTCCTTCTTCAATAAATACCTAGGTACCTAGGTACATAATTCACATGCACACTATACTGTCCATATCCGAAATAGATAACCCAAACCCCCAATCCCCCGGAATAAACCCCAACGTCTGGACTGTACGGAGTACATAGAACGGAAAAGCCATTCCACTCCCATCGGAACTATACGGGACGCACTCGAGGAGGCTCTTCCGGCTTTCTGCGGGGGAGAAGACTAAAAGAGTCCCACAATGTGCCCACATAGACCACCCCCCCTGTCAAAGATGGGGCGCGGCGGGACACTACACTTGGAACTTTTTTTTGCCTTTCGGTGTAATTCTCCTCCCCCAGCCCGAAGGTGTAAATAAAAGAAAATCCAGTTGGGAAGAAGGAGATGGGAAAAGTTCACGATGCCGAGGGTTACCGAGAAGAGGGACAACCGAGAGATTACATTGCATACATGAGATTATGAGTTGTTTTAGATGAATGTAGCAATGGGGTTTTGGCATGTGAATCAAATCATGGACATTGAGGTTGCAGCTTCTCTTTGCAAAATAAAAGATGATTGTTTAAAGTGGCTATTAAGAATGTAAACACGAAAGACTAATTACGCGTTCAACGCAAAAAGGGAATGCAACCTCGTGAATGTGCCACGGCCACATGGGATAATTACGGACGTCGACCGAGAAAGACAACCTCGACTCCCTCGGTGATACAATTCTTATACCTCACGATCACCCTCCACGATCCCGAAGATATGGGGAATATTGAAGCGCCCCCTACCCCTGCTCCCCTGCAAGCTGTAAGGTAAGGTAAGGTAAGGTAAGCTGTCGTCGGGTAGGGGGACCGGTTCCTGGGGGTTGGGCCCTAGGCGTCCGCGGCCGAAGATTCCCGACACCAACTCCCATACTGTGTACTGTGCTGTGTGTAAGGTACTCCCTTCCTTCGCGGAATAATAGTTACAGAGAGGTTTATCGCAATCCAGTTTCCGTAACCACCCAGGCAACTCCAGAACAACAACATTCACCATGCCTGCTGACGCCGAAACCTAAACCTACAAAATAATCACTCATGCAACATTCCCATTCTGTCGCCTTTTCATCTCCTTCTTAGCCCTCCTGTCCTTTGGATTGAAGTACGACTTAATCTTCCGCAGGCCCCCCAGATACAGCCATGTGCAGATGAAAACTACGGCAAAATTGAAGAATATGAATATCCCTGTGCAATCGTCAGCTCCGCTGTCCCATATCATCGTAGGATGTTGAATGGGAAAAACCCTGGTGAACACTTACACATGATGCCAAAGTCCCGCCAGATATGGGACGGCAGAACGTTAAACGAGGCTGCAAATTGCGTTCCACTCGAGTATTGACAAAAGCCGCAGTTCCCATTCGCCTGGGTCTCTACATATCCGCCAGATTGCTGCGCGAAACTACCGGCATATGATTGACAATCCTGTCCGGGCGGAGGCGGGAATATCGCGAGCTCTTCGCGCGCACATCGAATGGGTATGCCATCTGTGAGCAGTGCCAACATTCCCTCGAGCAGGTAATGGAACGGCGTGAGCCAATACATCCAGCTCCGCCAGAAAACCGGCAGCCCTGCGTACGGCACCACAACACCGCAGAAGGACACAACTTGGAATCGTTAGCACCGAGCCTAGACTTGAATCACTGTTGACTTACTGAATGTAAAGAACAGAGGCACGAAAAGCGAAGCGAGCAGTTCGTTTGGACTGAACGCTGCAATGGCCTGGCCAAAGCCAAGGTAGTACAACTCAAACACCATGGTAAAGAGCCAGATGCTTGCAGAGGTATAAGTGTCGCGTGGGAACCACGTGGCCCAGTACCAACAGCACCCTGCAGCCCGTTAGCAATCATTGTAGTTATGCACGCCAACCGGCCAAGACTTACAGTATATGGTACCCGCAGCAATACGGTACGGGATCTCACTCAAGATGGAGCCCCAAACGAATGCTACCCAGGAGTAGATCTTGGCATTTCCTTCACGAGATTCGTAGATCTTGCGCATGTTCAGGAATCGGGGCTGGAGTTGCTGGATTAGTGGAGGAGATATCGTGAGAGTCATGAACACGGAGAACAGCCGCGATTGCATGTCAATCTGACCATTTCCGAGGTGCCAGAACGTGAAGCTGTTGAAAAGACCAGTGATGATGTGGAGCATGAACATGCCAACGACGTATGGCGGATCGCGCCACATCGCCACAAAGCTTCGGTGGATCACCGTGACTAGTTGTGTAGAGAGTGGCATAGCGTACTCTCTATCGTCACTGAGCTTCCCACTGTTGGAATTCTCCCGCCTATTCTTAGTGATCTCCTGAATTTCACTGGAAAGCCTGTCATTCTCCGGTGAAGATGCCCAAACATCGCCCCAGTCTTGCCCTTTATAGTCAGGGTTACCAGCACCGATAGCCTCGAGCATGTATTCTGCGGGGTTAGCCTTGGGTGGGCATTTCTTCGCACCGTTGCGGTTGAGATAGTCCAATAGTACCCGACTGTCTTTGCCTAGCTCTCCAAAGTATACCGTTCGACCACCGCTCTTGAGGAGAAGGAGCTGGTCGAAATGCTCGAACAGTACAGATGAAGGCTGGTGGATGGTGCAAAGAATAGCCTGGCCAGCGTCGGCAAGCTTACGCAAGAACCGGACAATGTTGAAGGCTGCTCCTGAATCGAGACCCGAAGTGGGCTCGTCCAAAAACATGAGTAACTCTGGTTTGGAAGCCAGCTCGACTCCAATTGTAACCCGCTTGCGTTGCTCTTGGTTTAGTCCAGAACCGGCCTTTCCAATGGCAGCACCTGCAATGTCCCTCATTTCGAGAAGATCAATGATCTTTTCAACGTAATCGTACTTCTCCTGGATAGGCACTTCCCTAGGCTGTCGTAGCTTAGCCGAGAATCTCAGCGCCTCTCGGACCGTAGCGGTTGATTCGTGGATATCCATTTGTTCAGCAAAGCCTGTCGAACGTTGGAATGAAGAAGGAAGAGGACGACCATCTACAAGAAAGTCTCCGGTCACAACACCAAATCGGATTCGTTGAGCTAGCGTGTTGAGGAGCGTTGTCTTGCCAGCTCCCGATGCACCCATCAAGGCTGTCAGTTTTCCTGGTTTTACGTATCCCTGAACATTTTGAAGGAGCTTTCGTTCCCCTTTCTCGTAAGGAATCGTATAATCAACATTCTGCCAGGTGAAGATGGTTTCATTCTTGGCGACTCCATGGACAGCTTTACCGTCGCCACTGTCGCTGGATTCATCTTTACTGAATCCTGTTCCGGCTTCGTGCTCTTTGCCTTTTTCTTCGTCCACGGGCTCGGCTTTCACCTCCATGGCCTTCTCCACAGTCTTGGGAACTTGACCACGTTTGAAAATTGTCACAGAACCTCCGCCCTTGTTTGGCTTCTGAAGTTCCATACCGAGAGCGGTAAGGAAAACAAAGAAGAGGAAGAAGGCACAAATGAAGCCAAAGTTACGCCATAAATGTGAGCGAGAGTATTGGAAAGCAACCGAAATGTAATCGGCTCCGCGAACCATGAGAGACCCTGGGGTACTTCCTTGGATAGCACAAGATTGATATTGCGGCTGTGCACCCGGTATCTGTGGTACGATATATGGGGGGACGCATTGGATCTCCAGGTTGTAAAATTCATTGGCCATGAGCGCTTCAAATCCGTACTGAACTGGATTGATCCATCGCAGCCAGGAGAACCATGGGTGCATCTTATTCGGTGGGATCAAGTAACCAGTATAGACAATCAACGCTTGGATGGCAACACCAGTAATCCTCGTTGCGACATCCAGAGAACCAACAAGGGCTCCAATAGCTCGGAAGAATGCATACATCGTCATGGTAAGAATCCAAAGGAATAAAAGGGAGATGAAGAACTGTGATGCTGTTCTCTGTAGATGAGCCATGAAGTAGACCACGATGTCGAAAATGAATACTTGGATCAAAACCAGAGGCACGTCAACCACGGTCTGTGCGATTGCGTATGCAGCAGGTCGATAGAAGCTAAAACTTTTGTGCTTGAGTAAAATCGGTCTGCTCTCAAAGGCGGAAGTAAGTTCGGCAAGAGCCAAAAGAGCATTGAAGAGGAGCATGAAGAAGATGACACCACCGCGAGTGAAGACACCCTGGGCAGTGTCTGGCAGGTTGTAGAAGAGGGATCCAACGATCAAAGCCTGAAAAAGAATACCACCCCACTTTCCAGCAAGCGACTGCTTGTCGCCTACCATGACAAGGAACTGTCTCTTGGTGCATGCAGTTACCTGTTTGTGGAAACCAAGGGTGTAGTTCTTTTTCTTCGTAGCCTTGGTGCGTGCCGCTCGCCGTTCCTCGATCATGCGCTCAGTCTCTCGCTCAAACTCCTTGATCTCAGCAAAATTGGCCTCATTCTGCTCCGATTCCAAAAAGGATTTGCCGAACTGGGCGGGGGTTCGAGGAAAGCGATCTTCCCAACCGTCTGCAATGTGCCGTTCATGCTCGTCCGTTACTGATGTCAAGAAATCCGCCGTTGTCCAACGGTCTGGTTGCACGAATCCCAGCTTCTTGAAGTAGGCAGCCGCCTTTTCTGTTGGTCCGAAGTAGCAGCAGCGACCTTCATCGATCAGAAGAACCTTGTCGAAAAGTTTATATAGTGACTCTCCAGCCTGATACAATGCAACCGAAGTAGAAATATTGGCCATGTTAGTGAGCGAACGCAAACTCTGTACATACTCTAAAGCAGTACTTGCATCAAGCCCTTTAGTCGAATTGTCCCAAGATTGCACACTTGCTTTTGTGATCATCGCCTCTGCAATACTGACTCGTTTCTTTTCACCTCCAGATACTCCACGTACAAATTCGTTTCCAACCTTGGTGCCCATTGTGTGTTCTATCCAGAAGAGTTTGGAGACGACTCGTAGGAATTCGCGGACGTAATCGGCCCTCGATTCTCCTTCTTTCCTGGAGGCCTTCCCCGGAGTCCGAGTCTTCAATGCAAAGCTGAGGGTATCTTTGACCTTCAGCGTAGCGTAATGTAGATCATCTTCCGGATTGTAGAGAACCTCACTTCGATACCTCTTAGCCATTTCATGGGCATCAGTTCCTCCATATGTGACGTCTCCGGATATTTCCTCAAAACCAAACCGTTGGTTTCCGAGGATTTTCAAGAATGTGGAACATCCAGCGCCGGGTCGACCTAGGACGAGCAACATCTCCCCAGGTTTGACGCAGCCAGAAAAGTTCTCTAGGATGGTACGAACGGGCGGCTTTCCGGCAGCCTGTCTCGGACCTTTGGTGATAAGATTCTTAAGAAATCGAGGGAGCCCAAGGAACACGTCGCCCACGGATGGCTGTAGTGCGGCCCCTATGCCCATGCCCTTCACGGTGAGATTCTTGAAAACAACGCCAACGTGCCTCGTTTTCTCTTCTTCAGATGTTTCCTGACGAGTGCGTCCAAACATACGAGACATTAATCTGTTGATTTCTTCCTGCTCTTCGTGGGTACTTGTAGCGGTATTGGTTCGACCCAAGCTCGATCGACGTTGTGATAGGACCCTAAACAAATCTTCTTCTGTGACAGGCTTGGACCCTTCCCCCTGGAGTTGGGGCCGTTTCGCAGGCTTGATTGCAGCATAGCCATCTTCTTCCGAGTCAATCTCAAGTTCGGAAGATCCACGATGTTCTTCGGCTAGTTCCTTGGTCTCGTTGCCTCCCACCCTACTGTCGGTCTCAATGGGCGAGGGCACGGCAGTACTGTTACTCGCAGAACTGAATTGGGCAGATTCCCGGATTTCTGGTGATGTAGGTTTAGAATCCGCTCCTGGGTTGTACGCACTATATGTACCGACGGTGCCGGACCGGTCGTGATCTGTTTCTTCTGTGCGACTTTGCGTGTTGATATGCGAGTGCTGTCGGCCACCAATAAAGGACTTCTCGCGAGCAGGGTCTGCAGGCGTTTCAATCCAGCCTCCCGGTAAATCGTCACCTCGTGGCGTGGGTCTGTCTGATTCCGAGGCCATGGCTGCTAACTACACCATCTATACTTAGTCCGGGACATTCGTGGAACTTGAAATGGATGATAAATTGTTCATATTTCATGTCGCAACATACCAATGTAGAAATAGAATAGAAACCGAATCGATCCTCTTCCAAAACTGACGATAATAATACCAAATGAATCGGGCGCGTTCCCTGAGACCTAGTGCGGCCTGTGTGGGAACGTCGCTTTGTTGTTAGTATCTGGATCTATCACTGAACCATGAACCAGTGATGAAAATGGAAAGAGGCGAAACGGTAGGTATCACCCGCTTCCGTTACTTTCTCTTGAAGTGCGGAGAGAAAGAACGAGACAACAAAGACGAAATAGTCGCTATATGATAATTTCGATTAATGGTCGACATTTTGATAGACTGGTTCTAGATGGGCTCAATGTTTGGGAGTGTTGATGTCATGGTTATCCACAATTGGTGACTATCAGACGTTGCCAAGGCCCAATCTTCGGTGTCGGCGGCCTGGAAGGCCGAGCACATTGGAACGATTAAGTTGAGATAACCTTTTCATTCGATGCGAAATCCAACATCCCCCTAATTAGTCCATCGCATTTGAATCGATGACTGGGGTCAGTCGCGCGTCGGTTGTCCGACCGATTCACGATCGATCTGCACAGTCGATCTAAAGCTTGGATTTCAGCACCTCTAAACGCATATCAGGAACCCGCGGGCGGCGCAAGCTGCGCTGCGTTGTTTGAACGAATGGCATTCGAATTCACTTCAAATCCCTGACATAGAGGTACTGACAATTGACCAGCTACTCGTCAATTATTTCATCTTAGCTCGCCTCGTGTCTTTTTTCTCAACAGAGACATGGCCGTTTTCCAAAGGAGACTGCAATACGTGGTATACTGATTTCATCAAACCGATTCGATAATTCGGTTTCAGCTCTACTGGCAGCTCCTGAATCCACGATTGAAAGACTTTATTCCAACCAGCTATTTCAACATTTCTTGTATTATGTTTACGATGAAAAGGGATATCCTGGAAGTGCTGTATAAAGTGGGGAAATTTTAATCGTCATTCGCCAAGGATCTGCCATTAGCTTCCACGTTCCCAGGAGCATTATCTACGAGTAAGAGCATTCTCTTTGGGCTAGTTACCGTTGTTAGACTTGTATTCATACGTTTAGACGGACTGAAAATCGTCCGAATCCACGTGTCGAGGCTTTCGCGTTCCTAACATCTACGACGTCAGTAACCAGACTGGGCAACACATGTCGACATTTGTATAAAGTCTTTCCTAACACGGAATGTACAGGGAACCTAGAATGACGAATGAAATCTCAGACCCCAATTTGATATCTAATCTGTACTCAGCAGATATAATTATTTTATATTGAATGACCCGGTGCCTCTTTTCCAATAGCACGGCTCTCAACAGCGTGGTGACTGGCAATAATTCCATGCCATGGACTCGGTAATGCATAAGCTCTGCATGCTTACGATTAGTTATACGAGCAGAGAATAAATCGAGATACCTCTAACTACACTGATCAGTGCCTCAAGAGCATTCGTCCAACTTCCCCCTACCCAATGATCAAAAGTGCCTTGGCGCACCATCCATTCGCATGTCTGTGGGATTCCTAATCCAAATCCAAGGTGATGTGCAACGAGAGGTCGCTACACACGCCCTCATCTCACGTAAGGAGCAAGTTAGATCAACGAAACAGCTCCTCAGTCTTGCTTAACATATTCCGCCCCCACCTGAACCCCTCGCTCAGTTGTAGTGCGCTGATAGATGCGGTTCCTCCCGCATATGCGGTTGCCACATCGCGCACATGGATATTGCAATACGACAGGTTGAATTGCCTAGTGCTCGACACATTGGCTTTTCATGCTCTAAAAACAGTTTGGGGTCCAAGATAATTAATGTTCTTGTGCGCTCGGTTTGCTTGGGGCTGAGAACGGATACGAGACGATCATTGGTTAATCTCTTCTCCAGAACGGGCTGAAATCGAACATGTCCGGGATACACACTGTTTTGCGATAAATGGTTTGCACTGCACTCTGTTCAGAGCTAGCAATGAGGGTTGCAATTGGTCAAGGATTCGCGGTATGACACTCATTTAGGGAAGTGGGATTATGTTCATGACAACCAGCCTAGTGTTGCTGTTTAACTGGAATCAGACAACTCAATCGTTCACACTCACCATTGGTCGGCGAGTCTGAACTGTCGGCGTTTGGGGATTGAGATCATGTCGCACAGTATTGGCATGTACTACGGCAGCTGGATACGATCTCGGAAGACAAATACCTTCCCATCTCCCTGATTCCCCAGGGTCCTGGCATCGCGACTACATTTGCTCAATTTCGTACTCAACAGTCAAGCATTTCAGTATGTCAGAGCTAGAAGATAGATTCGTACGACGAGGTCTCTGGACCAACATCGACAAAGGCCCCGTGATGGGTAGGACTATCACGACAGATACTCGATCTGGAACATTTATAATCGCCCTCTTGGCCGTGTTCACGACCCTGGGAATGACACATCTCTTCCATCTTTCAACGTTCATCTACCACCAAGTACGAGCCAATGGGAAACCTTTGGATGGCTTATTTCGACAACAACAAGCCTTACTGCGCACGTTACCTGGACCAGGATCGCTCGTAACTGATTCAATAAAATTATGGTTTTCATGGAGGCACAAGTCCAAGAGACCTTTGCTTCGAAGCCTTCCCCAAGCCTCACTGGCTTTCACCTTTGCCATGGCCTCTTTGGCAGCCTCCATATTCTCTTCGTATGTGGTGTCAACAACAGATCTCGACGTCCTGATAGAAAGCTCCTCATGTGGATATCTGGACTTGATTCAAGGCGATCAATGGGGTGGCTCTCGCCAGATAGCATACACCGATTCTGTATTTGGGTTAGCAGAACAATACGTTGAGGACTGTTATACCAACAAATCGTCCTTGCCAGTCAGGTGCAAAAACCTTGCACGACCTCGCATTGACTTTACGACCGAGATAGTCCCCTGCCCTTTTCATGATGACTTCTGCGCTTCACCAGCAGTTGCTTTCGATTCAGGGCTATTTGACCTGAGTACCGCCTATGGACTCAACCTTAAGGACGAAGATGGCGTGAAGCATCGCAAGCGGACGACATGCGCTACCTTACCCACCGAAGGCCGCATCGAACGTAGGAATATCAGTGGCGGGGACGTGCAACTCGCCGCTCGGCCTCCGTTTCCAGGCGAAGAGTATCTACGGTACATGTACGGCACCACGAGTTTTGATACCGGCGGTCGGAAGAACATGACATTTGGGTTGAGCCTGGTTGAATCAAATGTCACAAATACATTTTTACTAACGTGAGTAATTACATACAATAACACTTTTGAGATGCAACTAACAGTACAAGGACGATAATGCACTTAGCAATGCTGGGCAAGGAATCGCCTTTCCAGACTCTTCCTGAGATGAGTCGTCCTAAGGATGACGTTTTGGTAGCATTGGTAGCCAAGAATTCGGTGCGATACGGACAGCCTGTTGATGATCCTTTATTCGCAGCGCATAAGCCCATCGTTCACTACGATTTAGGCACTGCAGAGAATGTAACATGGTACTACTCCGACGTGCCAGCCACTGCTCTTGGGTGCGTGGTACAGGTGAGAACTATGGAATCAATCTCCCTTTTCTTTACTAAATATTTGAACAGCGTCAATGGTGCATCAAGGATGGAAAAAACGGCGACCAGTGCACAGAGCTCGCTGGGTTTCCAGAATCTCCTGTCATCCCAGAACTGAAGAACGCAAGCGATGTTCAGAAGAGCATTTTGAAAGTCTCACTTGTTGCAAGTATCCTATTCGATTACACTAACAAAGGTGGTGGTTTGAAGGCTTCGGACTATGTAGACACCGGAGGTCGAGTCATGAGCCACCCAGACAATCTCTGGCTGCGCGAACTCTCCACTTGGGAGTCACACACCTGGGCAGCTAGCCAGATCGTTTTCGCAGATTACGCAATGGGGCCTAAGAATAGGAACTCCATGGCTAAATCGGTGGAGCCGAAGACACCAGGCGAAAAGCAATTGTGCGGAAGTTTGAAGGTACATAAACCAGGCGGATTCGTGTAAGTCCTCCTTGTGAGCAAAGCATGCAAATTATCCCTAACGTGATATCAGTAATATCAACTACTTCGGCCTAGTGTTTATTTTGACGATAGCGACCTTCGTTACTGTAGTGGATCTAGTACTCCTACGGCTACTAATTGTCCTGAAGTCATTCAGACCCGCTGCTATCTCAGCACGTATCGACCGATGGCTTCAAGACGGTGTATGGCAGTTGCAGCGCCACGCTTATGAGGGTCACGGACAGGGTGATTGGGAACATCTTGAAAAGGAAGTGCCAGTCACAGCTTTAGAGACTGCGCTCAGTGACCTTCCTATCGGGTCCTCCCACACGCCTAATATGGTAATGTCACCAGTTTCGCCAATATCGCCTATGTCCACTAAAAAGGACGGTGGAAATACAACAACCCTGGGGACTTCGATGAGATCTGGCAGCACCAACAGCTCGACCATCGGCAGCCATCCACCGCACCATGGCGAGGTTGTCCAGCCATCAGCTACCGCTACTGTTCCTAGATCGAGATAACATATCGTGGAATGTCAAGACGGGACCTCACAAATGCTGAGTTAGACACAGAAGGCACTGCAGATCTGACCTCGTCCATGTGGGAGATGTTTGAGAAAGGATTTCACCTTTTACAGTTTACGGATCAGCATTTTTATGTACCAATATCAACATAGAAATTTTATATTCAAAATCACACAAAGTCACTTCTCTGAAAGAAACGGAGGATGTAGTCCAGAAATGGTGCTTACACGAAGGCCTAAGAATTACCAATTCCGGCAATGATGCGGGTACTCACGGGCCTCGCCATATAATCGGGTCCGCACGCTATTCCTCATGACCCCACCCCCTCCATTTGCCCTAAAAGCTTATAGGAACGAACAGTCATCAGTTGAACTCGAAAATTTCAGCGTAGAGGCATAAGAGTAGGGGGACTAAGACAACAATTCAAAGTAATCTCGAGAACTGTCATCCTCAAAACTATTGGCACTTAGGTGAGTATATATCAATGAGCTTCGAGATAGAGTACACCGGCATCGGAGATGGACCAAAGAGAATCAATTGGGGACATATCAATGTCACTTTGACTTCATGTTTCGAGTCGTTTTTCTTTTCTTATCTAGCCAATGTTCAAGCTCTTTCTAGCCAGTCCTGTACCATTCGTTTTACCTTGTCTAAAGTCCGACATTTCACTGCTCTGTCTCTTCATCATATATTCACACTCATCCACCAGCATTTACAAACATCTTTTATCAAAAGCCAAATCTCGCCAAATCTCACCAATCTCACAGATACATCGAAAGCCCCAACATCAACATGGCATCCCCATCCCTAGACCACCTCGTCCTATTCCTCCCCCACTCCCCCTCAACCGACTTCCCCGTGATCCCATCCAGCCTCTCCAACGCCTTCACCCTCACACCCGGTGGCCACCACGCCGACGGCCTAACCTCCAACACCTTGATCATCCTCGCAGACGGCTGCTACGTAAGCCCCCCTATCCCTATCCCCCCTCCCTCCCCCCTTGAAAACTAACACAACCAAAAGATCGAACTAATAACCTTCCTCCCGCAACCCAGCACCTCCACCGCCGTCCAAACCCACTGGTGGGGCGGCCCCCCTCCCACCTCCCTCGGCTGGAAAGATTGGTGCCTGACCTCCACTGACTCCCCGTCCGCCAACCACGCCCGGATCGCGTCTTCGCACGCCGCGCCCATCAAGGGCGGGCGCAAGAGACCGGACGGCAAGGAGGTGAAGTGGGCTGTTACGTTCCCCGAGGGCGAGAATGGCGGGCAGGGGAGTAGGGGTAGGGTGCCGTTTTGGTGCCATGATGAGACGGAGCGGGGGTTGAGGGTTCCGGGGGAGGAGGAGAGGGTGCGGCATGCGAGTGGGGTTTTGGGGGTGGAAGGGTTGAGTGTTGTTGTTGGGGGTGGGGAGGAGGGGTTGGAGGCATTGAAGAGGGTGTATGAGGGGGTGCTTGGGGTGGAGGGGAGGAAGGGGGATGGGGAGGTGGTGTTTGAGGTTGGGAGGGTGATTGATGTGGAGGGGTTGAGCAAGGGGCCGAGGATCGTGATTAAGTTGCCCAGGAGTGAGGAGGAGGTGAAGAGGGTGGAGGAGAAGGGGTTTTGGTTTGGGGACGTGGTTTTGGCGGCGAAGAAGGAAGGTAAGGCTGCTGGAACGGTTGAGAGGGTGGATATGGAGGAGGATGGGATCAGGGGCATTTGGATCAAGTATATCTGAATGGCGACGATGCTTTCGTTGTCTACTCGGTTTAATGAAATTGGCTGTGACAGCATACATCACTGATGTAAGGGCATATGTGACTTCCAGGTACTGATCATTCATGATTTATGTCAACAATAAGTTTTCTGAAGAATTTCTATCATACCATCATATCTCCCAACACCAAAATGTTTCTCACCCTCATCAAGGTAGCCCCAACCTTCTTTAGCCCACAGAGCAATTGAAATCACTGCATCGGACTCCTAAACCCTACGCGGCCAAAGGTATTTGCCTTCCTAGCTGGCGTTACTGGAGCTACTCGCTCTGCCGACCCAGGCTCAGGTGTGTCTCTTCCAGTACCACTTGCAGCGCTTGGTGTCTTATCTTTGCCATTTCCACTTCCTGGAGCTCTGAACCCATATTCTCTACCGGTGGCATAGATGTCGTTAAGCATTGGCTCTAGTACACCTGCATCTACAAACTCTTCGTACTTGCGCCACAGTTTGAGGGCTGTTGTTGCGTCCTCGATAGAGTCATGAGTGTCCTGCTGGATGCTCTCCTTAAGAACACACCAAGCAAGGAACTTAAGATTAAGTTTGCGATGGAGGGATGGCTTGAAGAAAAGGTCCACCGTATCAACAACTTGTTTCTTCGGAACGTGGATGTTGATTGTTCGGAAATCATTGGCGAGACTGTGTCCGACAAATACGCATCCTAGGTTAAGCAGTAACCAGAGCTTCTTGTACGCATGCTTGAGACTGACAAGAGCATGCGGCGAAGTGTTGCGGTCAAGATCGCCGGGCGAGATACCTGACCATGCTGTGAGATAGTCAACAACAGGCTCTGCGACTGCGATATAGTCATCGATGAAAGGTAGGCCCGCAGACTCGCCTAACCCTCGGCAGACAGAGACACGAGCGAGTCCTTTACGATCCGGGCGAATCGTCTCACGGGTGCCATCGGCCTTCATCTCGATCTCCTCGGACTGAAGCCGAATAAACTCAGCATCAATCGCCACAGGGTAGCCAGGCTCCGGAACCTCGGTCGCGGAATCCAGCAGCTTGAATTTCGAATCCGGTGGTTCGGGGTTAGACGACCACCATCGATACAGGATTTGCGTGTCGAGGTTGTCCTTCCATGTGTCATCTATGGAGTGCCGTGCAGCCTTCAGTTGGAATGTGAGCACCGATGGCAACTTCCAACTAGGATCAAAGCGAAGAGCTTCCTCCTTTGGTATTTGCCGGACTAAGAAGTCGTTGAACAGATGCCACTTATCTTCTGTGGTTCCTTCTCTGGAAGACGGTGCGGTGTTAATAGTCGCTACCAAATGGGGCTTCTGATGTTCTCCACTGTTGATGTCTGCAACCACGCCTACGAGTTCGTACACCATGATGTTGAAGACACCACGCTGTAAATGCAGCTTGAGGTCTTGGCCCTCGAAACAATAGAATTGGCCTTGATCGACAATGATGCCTATCTCCTGCGGTAGCCAATTCGGGATGGACCATAACACCTTAGCTTCTTGACCTTGGATAGCAGCGTTTAGCATGAGAACCCCCGGAATCGAGTGAATAGTTTTTCTCTGCACCATCTGTTGGTATCGGTTGCATTTGTTGCACCAGCCTCTGGTCTGATCTTGTCGTTCAACACTTGCTTTCAATATCTGCGAGAAAGTCGGTCGCGGACCACGTGAACTCTTCAAGACATGCTTTGCCGGATACACCAACTCGTTTACAAAGGTCTTGCCTCCTCTGACGGTCTCGTTGGCACACTGGGCGCATCGCATACTGGCCCTAGCCTGGGTTTCTAGTACCTGGTCCATCAATGTCGGACCACTAGGGTTGGGCATCAAACGGCGAAACTCCTCGGATATCTTCTCCAGCAGGAATCTGTTGAAATTTTGAATGAGGTTCGTGAGGGCCACATTGGGCGCGAACTCCTCGAGGAGGTTGAGAGATGCTGCAGTCGATAGGCCACTGAAGGTCTTGAGGAAATTCGATGCTTGACAGTTCAAGCCGGAAGCTTTCTCGAGCATATCAATGAGAAAGCCAAGTTCACAGAGGAGGCAAGTCTCAAACAGGCATGGTGATGCCGTATGTCGCAGGGCAAGGTTTCGAATCATGGGCGTGAATCTGCATAACTGCAGAAGTGGGTTCGCGTAGGAGTTTGCGATGTGTGTCTCCAAACCAGAGTAGGATGTTTGATTGTAATAACTGCGAATCGTTAGTAGGTATCCATATCTTGAAGGAGATATACGTACGCAAAATCGAAATCATCTACGCCAAATTTGCTGTATTTGATCTCGACGTTCCCATACATTGCAGGAACTTCCTTGCGGGTAACATCGTCAAGATGCATGTCAGTGAGGGTCTCCATGGTTTCAGCCGTCTTTGATTCCACATCATTTGAGGATTGTGCTGCCCGAGCCTTCTCACTTAGAAATTTTGGCGCACTCAATGACTCATTGCCACGGTCCGCCTGGCGGGTGTCCTCGACTTGATATCGTCGTTTAGAACGGGGATTTTTAGCAAAGAAACCCATCTCCGTACGTGTCATATTATTTAAGATTGTGTTGTCAATCTTTGGACTGGGCGCACCAACTTCAAAGACCATGTGGCTTGGCCAGCCTGACAACAAATGCTCCTTATAATAGGGCATCCCGATGGTGCTTAGAGGCCTACTAAAAGTCAGGACAACCACGAAAGTCTAAGTGTGCAACTTACGTGTCAAGTGACCAGTCCATGGAGGGAGGGGGTATGGCGGGGTCGGCGAATTCAGTGGGATTGCTGTACTCCGGAAAATGAACCTTTGAAGGCGACCCCCAGAGGCGAATGTTGAAGCTTGTGTCTGACAAGGCAAAAGCTTCGCCTGAAGGTGCAACTTCGAATCCAGTCAAATAGGAATCGTATAGATTCAATTGTCGCAGATTCGCAGAGTCGGAGTTCATGATGTCTATTACTTGTATCTGACCGTTTTGAGACGAGATGATGGCTGTTGTGGACATTCGAGGATGCATTCGAACAAAAGCGGCGCCCGTATGGAAAGGTATTGGTGGCAGCTGTTTCAGAGTCTTCAATGAAAAAACATTGGTAAATGGATCCAGCATAAAGCCATACTGCTGTCTGGGCGACCAGCCGCATGTTGCAAGAAAATCGCCTTTGGCATCCATGTCATTGATACTGCCAATATGTCCTTCAAAGACCTTAATGACAGTCAAGCTACCGGAGTCAAGAATATGTATAGATCCGTTCAAAGTAGCGGCGCAAATGTACTGGCCAGCCCTTTTCATTATGGTATATTGCGCATCGCCCACGAGCTACCGATGTCAGCAACAATTGATGACGGACTGAAGAAATCTCACCGTATCCGTTATTGTCCCCTTCTCCACGTCGATCTTGAACATGTTTTCCTGGCATCCTGCTACCAAGATCTCTCTCGTTCCCTTGGATGTAAAATTCATACATTTCAGGTCTTTGAAGTCGTTATTGCTTGTCGCTGGTTAGTACGTTTCCTGTTACTGACACGCGTTCCGCCGGTATTCACTCACACCAGATGCCACTGCGTCAGGCCTCTTCGAATTGAGTAATGTAGGCTGTGTTTAGAAAGCGAAAGGACTCCTTTTTCGGTGAAGAGAAACTGCTTGATGGCACCTTCGGTTGGCGCATGGCCACGGTAGGATGTATAGCGTTCTAGTCCAGGGCCATAGAAAGAGGTGACTCGGCCCTACATTTACATTAGAGCCACATACGTTCGTTGTCTGGGTCCAATGTCCGCTCACAAAGTCATTGCCGGTCCACAATAGTTCCTGTGAGGTATCGAAAGCGAAGGCGGTTACTTGTGTCGCGGAGTGGTGGGGATTGGGAGGTGGCAGTTGGACGAACGCAAGCTGTACATCGTAAGCAAAACGTAACATGCGGTATCTGAAGGCGGAGTCTCCAGGCGGTTGTGGCCGTTGACGGAGAGCTTGTTCATGTGTACAGAGTATATATCGAGTCGTTGCGGGGGATTACTTACCTCGTCCCAGTCTGCCTCCATGCTTGGGGCGGTTTCAGCTGTTGATCGCTATTACCAGGAGGCGTCGGCATGCCTTGAACACTATCCGCATTGCTTTCAGAGGGATATCTGCATTGTGAGCTTGGGGGTGGTGGAACTGGAGGTTGCGACGCCTCGCTGAAGCTCAATGCGCGACGCGGCGAGCGGACGGTCAATGCTTGATTGGTGGGGCAATTGGCCGTCGTTCGCAGCATGTACCAACACAGGCAGGCGAGCAACACACCCACCATGAAAGGCAATATCGGAAACAACAGCATTATGGATGATAAAGATTGGCAATGTTTCTGGTGCGATAAATCATGCTCGAGCTTGCTTACGGATATTGAGATGTTGTTAGTCAGAATAGGTGTTTGAATGTACGGACTATACATGATCGATGATTGATTGATTGTGGTAAGACCATTGCAAACTATATACATAGCTATGTTTGCAACGAGACTGAATCTCTCAAACAGAATTTGTTGAGACGTCTCTGTCACTACTGAAATCTGAGAAAAACCCTCGTTTTGAACCTCCAATTCATCAAATCTTCCTTAGCGAGCGCTGACAATGCGCCCGCCACCTAATCCATATCCATAAACAAAGCACCTTCAATATCCGGGGTATCTAATTCCATGCTATGCTGCAGCATTAGACTGGTTGGAGAAGAATCTCACGTAGACTTGTATAGGTGTCATACCGCCAAAACCATTTACGCCACTGCAATGCAAATCGTGCTGATTCAGAAGAGACAAGACACCTTGCTCAAGTATGCAGTGTGCTAAGCATGGTGTCTCGTTCCGGTCAGCGGTTCAAGTAACCGGGCCCTACGGAGATCAGGCTGGTCAGTATCGGGACCTTGGCTGGTAATCGTCCGTCCGATGTCTGTTACTCATGGTATCCTCGTCTTCATCTTTGTCCTTGTTGTTGTAACGAACACGCTTGTTGGTCTTGGTCATACCAGCACCTGAACCGGTGAAACCGACTGTAGCAAGTTAGCATGATCATCTCATGATACACATGACATGGACGGTACCTCTGCTGTTGACCGTAGTGCCCGAACGGAACATAGAGTCCTTCTTTCCGATTTGCTTGCCAACACCCTTGGTCGTGAAAGCCTTCCAGTCGTTTGCTTTCCGTTCCAACGCCTTGTGTCCACCAATCTTGCGACGAGGTGGAGGAGCCGCATTATCTGGAGCAGGGTCCTTCTTGGCTGCGAGCGCCTCGGGATTGATGCTCGCCGGGCCAGAGATGACATGCGGGGATTGAGCGACAGGTGGAGGGGTTGGTACAGTCGCTACTTCGGCTTTGCGCTTCTTCTCATTGGGGAGGGGGCGGATGGAGTCACGACCAACTGTAATGCTCTCTTCGTATTCAAGAAAGCGGATGCGATACTTGGGGTCAGAGACGGAACCAAGGACGGTTTGTACCTTTGCTCTGTACCAACTCTTGTCCGTCCACAGAACCTCGCAGATGTCTCCAGTGTTGAAATTGACTGGCTTGGCAGGTTCAACCTTCTCCACAGCCTTCCTCAACATGGGATGCTTCTCTGGGTCGAACTTGGGAGCGGCAGGGTCGGGTTCGGCGCTCTCGGGAAGCTGCTTTTGGAGCGCGGAGAGCTTATCGGAAAGTGAAGCGATTGCTGCGTCCTGTTGGGCGATAGATGCGCGAATCTCGGCTGCGAGTGCTTGGGACTCTTCACTGGTTCCATTCTCAGCCTCTGGAAGCTGTGCAACAGATGGTAGTTAGCATGAAGTTGTATAGAAAGAACGTAATTCGGGTATGTTGACGTACCAGAGAGGCCCACTGATCCCGCTGCGCTCGCTCATCCTCGAGTTTCGCTTTAGTTTCCTTGAGGTCCTGGATCGTTTTCCGGTCTGCCATGGCTTTGAGGGCGCTCGATAGCCAAATCCAGATACTCTGTTATTCAGTTTGATGCCTTGGTGTGCGGGGAGGGCAAGACAGGGTATGGCACTGGTAGACTGGCACTAGTCTAGGAGCGTTTGGGGAAGGGCAAGGGAAGGCAGGATTGTGTGGAGTGAGCGATGATAATTACCTTGGTCCGATTCGTGAGCGCACTCAATCACGAAATACCACTCGCGAATGCGTGGACGATGGATTGAGTTGTGATGTTGAGCGTTGTGGTGAGGTAACGAAGTTTATTTGCGGCGATCCATGGTAAGATCTAAAGTCCGGGGGAGCGCGTTTGCGCTACGGTGGATATGGTATAGAGGCATGGGACTGTGGCACGTGACTTAGCTGCCTGGCCGAGGTGAGGACAGGCCGATTTGCAAATGACGAAAGAAGTAGAGAAGACAAAGAACCAATTGATTGCTTGACTTGTTGAGTTCTTGGGTTATGTAAATGAGTTCTAGTATGTAATTGTCACGGTAGAGAACTGCCTTTATTCACAATTGGAGCATGCTATGAGTACCTATCTTGCACTTGATATTGCTCAGACCTCACGGGATTGGCAGTGCAGATGTACCATTACTCGTAATTACCCAGGTATATCGTGCATACTAGTAGTAGTAAGATGATTCTACTCCATACCTGCTTCTATCTAGGTACCTATTTGTAGTACGAGTAGACGGGCAATGGCACATGTGGATTTTATGTAGTTTGCATGCTCAACAATTTGAAGTGGGCAACGAAGCAATTCCTCGTATTGTAAGAATTCAGACCCATAAAGTACGAGATTCCCGCACATGGTTACATTTAGAGATTTTGTGTGATAGTCTTGCCAAGCCAAGCAAGACCATAACCACACCTAGTATGCCGCAAACAAGATGCCGCAAATAAGGCAAAGAGGAAGAAAGAAAACAAAGGCAAAAGCAACGGCAACGGCAACGGCAAAGGCAAAGGCAAAGGCGAAATGCGATGTGAAGCTGCAGGAACCTGATCTTGTTCCTGACGAGCCCTACGAGGTCACTAGGTACCTGGAGGCTGGTATGATGCAGTTCCGGTGGGTTTTTCTTCCTCCATTGAGTGGTAGCCATGACTTCGATGGCGTTCGTCGACCTTCTCGATGACCCCACCTTACCGCATTGGGATGGACCACTGCTGCTTTAATGATTGATTGATAATCATTCTCATACTCATTTTCGAGGCTCAAGCTCACTTTCGCATTCATACGAGAACTCTTTCTCGGAATTCATACCCTCGTAGTTGCTTGTAGTCACTACTGACACTTCTTAGTTGCTCGATGGTTCCGTCATAGGCTTTTTTTTAAAACAGGGTCCCGCTTGAGGCGCTACAAGTACAACTGTATGAGTTCCAGTACATGGTGCAAGGCTGTCTAGGTACGTGCCTAGGTAGTTGGGACAATGTATCTTCTACATCACATTGAGTACTTCTTACCTCCTGTGAGTAGGTACCTAGGTACCTATAACTTGGCTACATACATACGTCGTCTTACCACAGAGGAGACAAGAACCGAGTAATTGAAGTCAATTACCGAGTACCCGCTTATGGGATTGCGTCGAATCTTCTTACTCTTACTCTTATTACTCGTATGGTGTAGCTCTGTAGTCACCCAATCTTGTAGCATAGACAAGACGAGGCTGTATTTACTCGTAGTGAACGAACCCTTATCTCTTTTCATACCTATGACTCTTTTCTCTTTTGCCCCTACAGTAGATGCATGCATAGTCATACGTACCATACCGTCCTTGTAGTGAACTAGTGACCCTAGCAAGCCTAGTTCCATGATGCCACCGTAGAAGTTGTAGAAGTGTAGACTTTCTCGTAGACTCGTGCTGTGTAGAACGGTGAACCTTGTCGATCAAAATCCCCGTCATTCTCGTCCGGCCAATTGCTACCTGCCGCTTTTACATCCCTACCTCCAACCCTGTCTCCACCAAAACCTTCGAGACCCAGGTCGAATCGAAATCTTACGAGCAACTTTAGTTACCGAGTAGGTACGGAGTAGATACTCACACATGCCCTTCAGTAGATAGAGAAAGACAAGTAACTGCTCCGTACCAGTAGTGAGTTGCATGGTTCGGCCATTTGCTCCGCTTTGCATTGCTTAGGCAGTCATAATAAATCACTTGATACCGATAGTCACTACGTTTTGTTCATATCCCACCTCCATTCTGGCCTGAACTCCTTCACTCTCCTACACTCTATCAAACAACACCAACACCCTCCATACTCGTCAATCGACGACTCGAGTGTGCGTCCTGTTTGTGTCTGGACTCTGTGGCATCCACGCTTGTCCGTCCTTTGAGCGCGCTCTGCATGCGCCCTTCCTATTCCTATTCCTAGTCCTGGTCCTGGTCCTGGTCCTGGTCCTATTCTTCACATTTATTCGCCTTCGCCTTTGCCATCGACTTCGCCTACCGCACTACACCACCCACGCCCACGCTTACGACCCTCGCCCGCGCCCGCCCTTAGCATCGTTTCACCCTCGTCTCTCCCGCCTGTCCGCATCATTCCGTCCTGCCTTGCACTCCTCACCCTCCACCCATCCACCACCACCACTACCACTCCACTGAACAACAATAAAATCTGTGGAGCTGCGTTCCTGATCACCTTTCGTCATCGCCCCCATCATCGCTTTTCCCCTCTGCACATCGACCTTCACAATACGAGTACACCTCTCTCGCCGATTGTTGTTGGTTCGTCGCATCCGGTGGCGAAAATCCAGTAGTCCCCCGTCTGCCATTTCTTTGCTTGCTAGTCCACCGCCAACCACCAACCACCAACCTCCGACCCCACCTCCCTCGCCTTCGACACACACAGAGAACTTCTTCCTCCATCTTTCACGTCCTCCGAGGGACCCAGAAGAAAAGACCCATCGTGGTCCGCCCAACCCTGACGGCAAACTGTTGGATAGTTTCTTCATTTCATTATCAGCGATAACGCCGTGACCCCGCACCAAACTATCGCAATGGCCGGGACCTCCACCAATGACTTCGGCCAGAACGGTGCACCCTTCTATCTCGACCCGAACCAGCAGGACCTTCTCCTTGCCGCCCTCGCCTCTAACAATCCAGATCCGAGCAACCTGTTCTCGACCAACGACGCCAAAACTCAGCAATCGCTGAACGGCTCGCAATTCCCCTATCCCATCGATGGCGGTATCGACCCCAACTACTTTACATCGCCACAGCAGAGTACACCAGCAAACAACTTTTCCAGCAACAATGCCAACATTGAAGAGAGCCCCTTTGTAGACTACCTCGACGGTGATACAAGCTTCGACTTCGAGAATGGAGACAGCGAGCTGATGATCGGCGATTTGCCCGGCGATAGCCCCGAATCGTCGGAGAAGCGCAAGAGCCCAGAGGATGATGCTGAAGATCCTGATGGCGGCGGTAAGAGGAGGGAGCCCGAGGACAAGCAAGCGAAGAAGCCAGGCCGCAAACCCCTGACGTCTGAGCCAACGACTGTGAGTGGTAACTGCGAAACATTCGAAGTATTCATCTAATGTAGACTTCAGAAACGCAAAGCTCAGAACCGTGCTGCCCAAAGGGCCTTCAGGGAGCGTAAAGAAAAGCATTTGAAGGATCTCGAGACCAAGGTTTCCGAACTCGAGCAGGCATCAGATGCTGCGAACCATGAAAACGGCTTGCTCCGTGGCCAGGTTCAGCGCCTCCAGATGGAGCTTCGAGAGTACCGCAAGCGCTTGTCATTGAACAGCACTGGCGTCAATAGGACACCACCCATGGCCGGAGGGTTCAGTTCTCTGCTTGGTAACAATAACAATGCTAACAGCCACTCTTCATCTGCCTCGGGCAACTTCCAGTTCGAGTTCCCTCGTTTCGGTGGGCTGCCTGGCTCTCATATCCTCGACAATGGGCCATTGGCGAAGTCTTCCAAGTCTTCAGTACCCTCGCCAGCCGCTCCGAACAGGCACAACAGCAATGGCAGTAGCCTAAGCCCTGGAAGCCAGTCCGTTTCCTCCAATGCTGCCTCTCCCGACAAGAATGGCAAATCTTTCAATAGCGCTCCTCGTGCCGGCAGCCTCAACAGCATCTCCAATGGAAATGACTATCTATCGCACAACTCCAGCCGCCGCAACACTAACGCCTCGACAAATCAATCGCGCGTGTTCCAGTTCAACAGTGGCTCATCCACAAATTCGGATTCGCCCTCCAATTCATCTACCTCTCATGCTGGGCAGAATTCGTCCTGCGACACTTCGCCCGAGCCTAGCCACAACTCGCCTAAGAATCCTGTTGATACTATTACTGAAGGATATGTCTGTCATGGGAACTCGGAAGGTGAGATAACCTTCTGCGAAAAGCTTAACATGGCCTGCGGAAACCCTCGCAACCCCGTCCCTCGTACGATGTCACACTCTGACGTCAAATCGCCCCCAGCAGTTCCTACCAAGACGCCTGTACCCGATGTACAGGGCTTCGATTTCTTCGCCAATCAAAATGGCGGCCAGTTCGATCCGACCCTCTTCGGTGACTACCGCGACACCCAGAATGCCATTGTTGGAGATGGCGACTTTACGAACGGCTTCTTCAACGATGCCTTCCCCATCACCGACTTCGGAAGCCCATTCCACTTTGGTGATACTCCAGCCATCCAGAAACCCAATCCCCTGGAGGAGATCGAGCGCCTCCAAGACGGCGTGGACGACGAGGTCGTCCCAGGGGAGGACGTCTCGCAGATGCTCAATTGCCATAAGATTTGGTATGCTATTGACTTTACTCGTGCTCTCCTTCCTAAAAGCCGTCTAACAACTTGTAGGGACAAACTGTCTAACCGCTCCGACTTCAAAGACGGCACCATTGATATCGACAATCTCTGCTCAGAGCTTCGATCCAAGGCTCGTTGCTCGGAGAGTGGTGTCGTCGTCGACCACAAAGATGTGGAGGCTGCGCTCAAGCGTCTGCCGGAGCAGATGTAGTTCCTTGGATCACGAAATAATTGCATTGAGACCCCGGATTAGGCGCATTGGTTTGCCTTGTTAGCTTCTGCTGACATTGTACATGATGGGCTAGGACTATTTTATGTTTTCTCGTTTCATGTCTCAGCTTTTGGCATGGTGCAGGTTTATTAAGCTTGATGATTTCTTTCCATATAACTATGACAGCCGGCTACGACTTGTCATTGTCCCATTCGTTTTTAGCTTCTTGAGGGTCAAGAGACGATTTATCACGATAGTATGTCGGTTCTCAGCCATGGGGGGGGGGGGGGTTGTCAACGGCGTTGATGACAACCGAGAAGAAGATGAAAAATTACTCGGCATTTTTGGACTAGGGGCAAATGTTCTCAACGTCTTCATATCAATTCGAGATTTCAAATTATTATTCGCAGAGGGACATGAAAGAAGTGCTGCACCTCGATCGTGTTTGGTGTTTGTCCACTCCGTACGAACCTGGGATTAAAATCTAATCTCTGCTTTTACAGAACCGCTTTGGAACCGGACCAACGTCTCTACGATGGGTATCGCGAACTCACTCGTTTACAGCCATTGGAAGTCCTTCATGCGGTGAGTTTACTACGGAGTACACGACAATGAATAGTTCCAGCGCCGAAACCCTTGCTATATCTTGATTCCCTATAAAACTAGCACCCTCACGAGAGACATTAAGTCCATGCCAAACCTTAGCGCGTCCTTGGGCGTAACCTAAGTCCCTTCGACAAATTCCTATGGAAGCTTTACCTAAAGAGACCACCGTCGAATAAGCACGTTCTATCTCCGTAGTGGACACAATACCTCATCTCGGGGAGGCTTCTTCTTCTGTATAGCTAAGGTACTTATGACTGGCCTTCCAGTCATTCAAAGAAAGAGCAAGCTAATTGTCCTAGTGGTCGTGTCCATGACGGAAGATTGGTAGAGGTGGATACTCGGAGTGAGGAGAGGAATGACAGAGGAGCGCGCTTGCGGCTCGCCCCGATGTTGTTTAAGTGGGGATCTCTCTTGGGCTACGCAGGCACGTAAGGCTAGTAAGGGCAAGTGCGAATCGCTAGTCGGGGGGATCGAGATGGTCGTTGATAAGACAAGACAAGTCAAGACACGGCAGGGCAGGGCAAGTCAACTCCACCACAACATCATAATTCCAAGACGCCAGGATGACGATTCTTCCAAGTAATAAGGCCCCCTCCCAAACACTTAAGCTGCACCGGATGGACATGCTGCTTCTACGCCCACATTTTCCGCCTGTTGAAGAACGACCTACATACTCAGAAAGAATGCGTCTTCGCGTGGAGTAAGTAAAGACAGGGATTGTCGACATATCGCGTATCGTGCAGATGCCCAAGTAAATGCCGCAGAGGTTCCAGACCCATGAGATCAAAATAGCCGCTTGTTTCCTTCGTGAGAATCTTTTTGGATTTTTCTTTTTCTTTTCTCTCTTCCTTGCCTGACCATGTTTGGCTCGAGACTGTCCAGCTTCAGTCGTGGACAGTCTTCTAGCGCAACATACAGCATTCACCAAGGGACTCGAACCGTCCCAACGGGCTTGCGACGTTGGACGCGCGCGTTTTATATTACACTTCCAATCCTCCTCCTGCTCAACTACCTCCTGATATTCCACTTCACTATATTCGAAAAGCTCTCACGAATCGTCTTCCCAGATCACACCTTCCACCCATTGCCATTCCTATCCAATCCCCACGAACCTACATCACCGCCGGGCAAACCTGCAGGAGATACGGTGCTCGACTACTGGACATGGAAAACCCAAACGCAATTTGCTCCTCTCCCCGATGAACATGATAAGGACACCACCGACCTCTGCGCAATCTTCCCAACCCACCTCCTCTCCAAGATTCAGGTTGTCCTGAAGGTTGGTGCAGCAGACCACTGGACCCGCACCTCCTCGCAAGTCAATGGCATAATCAAATGCATCCCAAACGCCATCATCACGTCCGACCGTGACCACGCATACGGCGTTGAGGGCATCTTCAACGCGACCGATATCCTCGCCGACCTGCCCCCTTCTACGTACTTGACGGAAGAAGATCTAGCGATCTACGAGTCGCAGAAGAACGCCTCACTGGCCGACCTCCGACAGGGCGCGCAAGGGTGGCGCATTGATAAATACAAGTTCCTACCCGCGGTGGAATACGCCGTTGAGCAGAACCACGAGGCGAATTGGTACGTCTTCATCGAGAGCGACACCTATGTCTTCTGGGACAATGTCTTCCGGCTGCTGGAGCACTACGACGAGTCCATGCCGTACTACTTTGGGTCGCCTAGCCCAGGCAGGAAATATGAGCTTGGTCACGGAAAGGGGGAAGGAGAGGTATGGTTTGCATACGGCGGCGCAGGGTACATTCTCTCGTCCCCCGCGGCGCACCGTCTCGTCGATAGGAAGAAGAACGCACTCGGCATCACGGGTCCCCGCGTGACGGAAGAGTACAAAGAAGACATCCAGAAAGATTGCTGTGGCGATAGTATACTGGGGTGGGCGCTGCACGACAAGGCTGGAGTGGACATCAGTGGGCTTTGGCCCATGTTCAACCCGATGTCGTTGCATGAGTTGCCGTTTGGGAGGGCGTATTGGTGCGAGCCGGTGCTCACGATGCATAAAAGTCATGCGGAAGACCTACTTGCGCTGTGGGAGTGGGAAAACAGAAGGGATAGAACCAAGGTGAGTTCCCCCTGGCTGCCGTGCACCTTGTTGAATCTATCTCATTGCCCTATCAACAATCAGCTCTTACAGTTTAATCAGACTAAATATTTGGTTTAGGGTCCCCTCATGTACCGCGACCTACTAACATACCAACCCTTCTTCCACCCAAACACCAACATCACCATCCCCGCCGCCTCTTCAACCGCGACTATCCCCATTCGCAGAATCGAAGACTGGCACAACGCTTACCTGGACACCATCTCCCCTCCCACTTCGCTTGACTCCTTCGATGCTTGTGCTGCGGCATGCCACGCACATAACGAGTGCTGGCAGTTCACATGGCACGCACAACGGTGCCACATGTCGAGTGCGCTGAGGCTCGGCGAGAAGAAGGATCCTGACGGTGAAGGCGGAACAGAGGAAGAAAGGAGATACATCAGCGGATGGGACGTAGAAAAAGTCAGGAAGTTATGGGAAGAAAAGAGCTGTGAGGGCGGAGCCAGGTGGGTCAAACCTAGTGTAAAAAGGAGGTTTTAGAAGTAGTTATTGGAAGGCGTTTTGGAGAGGTTTTTTTTTCTGTTGGTTTTTGGATTCTTTTGGTCGAGCGGGTGGAAAAGAAATGCTTTTGAATAGACGATACCCCTGATGAGATGGAAGATGCATACATAGATTTGGGTTGCATTGGGCCTTTGGAAAGCCATGTTTACGCTTTTTGATCGTTTTTGCTCGCGAGGAACAAGGAAAAGGAGGAGGATGAAGAATACATCTAATGCACATGCAAAATTATACATAATCCTTCTTTTTGGAAAGAAGAGATGTCGCGCTGTGTTATACAAAGTCATCACGATTGAAATGCCGTGAGAGAGTTCCCCCTTTTTTTCCTTTTTAGCTCTTCAGAGCCTCGATGTCAACGATCTAGTAACATGTCGAGTTAGTGTTTGATCCAGCATATTTCGCTATAGTAGAAAAGCATGGCTGTATACTCACCTCCTTAACCGCCTCAGTGCTAAAAACGTACGGCCCGTCCTCCCTCACGCAAACACTATCCTCAATCCTCATTCCGATCCCCCTCGCCCAGGCCGGCCACCTCTCGTCGTTGGGGACGTAGATGCCCGGCTCAACCGTGACGCACATCCCCTTCTCGAACTGCCTGCTCCTCGGGAACCCAGGGCTATCGTGGACATCAAGGCCGATGTAGTGGCCGAGGTGGTGCGGGAAGATCGTGTTGATGGCGTCCTTGTCCGACATATCGAAGCCGAGCGACTTGAGGCCGTCCTCCAGCCTCGACTTCGCAATGCCGTGCAGCTTGTCGAGCGTGAGGTTCGAGTCCTCGTGGCACAGCGCGACGCAGGTGCGCTGGACGTTGAGCAGCAGCGTGTACAGATCGCGCTGGGCGGGCGTGAATTTGCCGCTCACCGGCCACGTGCGCGAGATGTCGGTGATGTAGCCGCCGTACTCGGCGCCCGCGTCGACGAGCACGAGGTCGTCGGGCTTGAACTGCATGTCGTTGGTGACGTAGTGGATTGTGTTTGCGTTGATGCCGCCCGCGACGACGGGGACGTAGGCTGGGCCGTCGCAGCCGTCTTGCTTGAACCAGTAGTCGAGGAACGAGTCGAGGTCCTTTTCGAACTGGAATGTCTGCCGCATGGCGTCTGTGATGGCGCGTCCGGAGTGCTGGCCGGCTTTGCGCATGTTCTTGATCTCGGCTTCGCTTTTTATGACGCGCAGTTCGTTCATCATGTGCCGGAGGGGCTTGACTTTGACGCCTGCTGCGTCTCGAAGGACGGTTGCTATGCCGCCGGTGCGAGAGGGCTCTTGGCCTGACAGGTACCTGCTCAGGGTGTTCCGGGAGATGAGGCTGCCGGGCAGATCTGTGTACACCTCCTTCGTCCGCTTCAGGATCTCGGGTAGTATCTTGGGCAGCGTGTTGACGTCGCCCGCGGTGTCGGCGTTGAAGACATCTTCGGCAGCCTGGACGCCAGATCTGGCTCCCTCCCACAGCTCTGCCTGGGTGTCCTTCGGTCTCACGTAGAGGTGGAAATTATGTTCGCCGCTGTCGTCGACCTTTTCTAGTTGACCGGTCAATCCAAAATGTACACCATGTGTGGTACGGTATTATCTACCTATAACGGCCAGCGCGTCCGGCTCGTTGAATCCTAGCTCCTTTAGCCTACGTCCTACCACGGGTCGTTATTGGTTTGCTCTATTCACCGGTCAAGTAGAGGAAGTCGGGGTCCTGGTGGAACTTGTAGAACACAGCGCCGGAGCGGTATTTGACGTCTGATGCGGCGAGCACGGCGATGGAATTTGGAGGGAGCGCCTTGGCGAGGTTCACGCGGCGGTCGTAGTACTCTTGGGCGGTGATACCGGGCGTAACTGCAGGTGTCAGCAGACGTGTATGGTAGGAGTCATCAGTCAATTGGGGATAGGAGAGATTGTAGCCGCACTTTCGCCGGGTTTCAACAGATGCGGATGGGTCTCATGCAGTGGCTGGCCGAATCGAAGCTCTGCGGCAGAGACGCTGATTCCCCTCCTTGGACAACAATGTGAGATGGCATTTTGCCGTCTTGATCTCCAGGCCAATTGCAATGACCTTGAGAAGCTCATTGCGTGGTGGATGGAGTGAGGGGGGTGGAGAATAAGAATAGGTGTAGGTAATCAAATTATTGTATGACGGCGGAATTGTGAGCATCATGAGAGGTGGATGCCTTATCGATAAGACCCGGTAAGCCTCAAAGTCCCCCGCGGCGGTCCCGGAGGTTATTACCCCCCCAATAATCAACCGACCAACCAACCAACCAACCATTACAAGTATTACTGGAACAACGTAACCAACTGATTGACCAACCAACCAACTAAGAAAGATCCCTCCCTGCCCTCGTAACTGATTGATTGCTCGTAACTCTTACGTCCGAATCCAAATAAAGATAGATCGACTACTAGTCATCCTCTACCTGCGCGGATCCGCTTGCTACTTCGGACTGCTTTTGCCATCTCCAGACTACTCCTCCGGCCTCATACTATTCCCATTTTCCAATTCTTGTGTGGCACAACAGATGCGATGCTCGTTATCTTTTCTCCCTGTTGGGCTACTAGGTAACTAGGCAATTAGCTTACTGTACTATAGGTGACAGCTATCTTCAGGCTGTAGCTATAGGCTGTAGCTGTAGCTGTAGCTGTAGCTGTGTTGCCTCTGTCACTGCCTCTACCTTCCCCACCATCCACAGACAGGTCCAGGCGTAAGGTACAAGCACAGTCACAGGCAGGCACATTGGACCTGCACTTTAACCCAACCCAATTTCTGCCTGCGTGGCCGCCTTACCTTAGCTACGACAACCAACGCATACATGATATCTCACTTGATCTGTACCACTGCTTCCCCTCCCAGTGCTATATCTTCCACCCTCCCAGGCAGCATCCCCTCTGCGACACCACCGTCACCGTGTTCGCTCGATACGTCACCGCGAGAATGTCCTCCTCGGCCGCCAGACCCAGCGTGGTTCCCCCTCAGGACCTCGCATCATTCCAAGAACACCTAGCCAAATCTACAAGGATCCTCGCTCTACTAGGAGCTGGACTCTCCGCATCGTCTGGATTGCCAACCTTTCGAGGTGCAGGAGGACTCTGGAGGACGCACGATGCTACCCAGCTCGCAACTCCAGAGGCTTTTGATAGTGATCCCGGGCTAGTATGGCAATTCTACAATTACAGACGCCATATGGCATTGAAAGCAAAGCCCAACCCAGCACATTATGCATTGGCAGAATTGGCCAGAAAGAAAGACGGCTTCATAACATTGAGTCAGAATGTCGATGGTGAGCACTGCAAATCCGATACTCTTAATCAGTAAACACGCAATCAAGCTGACGTACCCTCCAAGGTCTATCACCCCGCGCCGGCCACCCCTCTGAGAAGCTCAAGCTCCTCCACGGCTCCCTCTTCGACGTCAAATGCTCCGAATTCTTCTGCAAACACTTCGAGAAGGACAACTACACCGACCCAATCGTTCCAGCGCTCGCAATCCCCACAGACGAATCCGATCCCACCACGACCGACGCGATCAAAGAGCGAGAACTCGATATCTCAGACGAGAACGTTGACCTCCCCGAGCTTGACTACCAGCACCTCCCCCATTGCCCGACCTGCAAGCGCGGCCTCCTGCGCCCCGGCGTCGTGTGGTTCGGCGAGGCATTGCCCAGGACTGTGATCGATGACATCGAGGCATGGATGTCAGACAGCGAACACATTGACCTGATCATGGTGATCGGCACTAGCGCGAAGGTCTATCCTGCCGCTGGCTACGTGGATATCGCTAGATCGCGAGGCGCGCGGGTTGCGGTCATCAATATGGACAGGAAGGATGAGCCTGCCAGTGGCATGTACAGCGGTGATTGGTTCTTTGAGGGCGACGCCGCAAAGATCGTGCCCGAAATCCTGGGCAATGTCATTGGAGAACTCGGCGAGATGAAGGATCTCGCAGAGCAGAGTTGATCGGAGTTCATATCATGGAATCCGTTCGTTAGGGATCAATGATTTATTTCCTATTGTTCGGAAGGATGATTTCATATATCGGAGTGAAGGAAAAGAGATATCCGTTGTTGAAGCGCAAAAGTCCAAAGTTGGCGCATGAGGTACGAGGAAACGATCATGACAAAAGCTCGTCGGCCAAAAGGTTCAGAGCTTGTTTACACCACCACATAGATAGCAGTACAGCCCATCGTTTGAGGCTCATCTTAGTTTCAAATCTTCATACTATTTTTTTTCTCCCAATCTAAATTACAGAAGCCGAATTATATGTCAGCATCTTCGCGAATCTATCAGATATATGGCACCCACCGCTTTGAAAGGTGTGCGGGTCCGTGTGAGGTTAAAAACTCCTGTGGAAATGCTAACACAGATAAAAACGTCAAGCAACTCGACCTAACCTAGCCTAAGCTGTCCGGTCCATCCCACCAAGATCACTCACGAAATCGCCCAAAAGGAAACCAAAGAAAATCAAAGAAAGGAAAGGTGAAGGGAAAAGGGGCGGGTCCCGAACCGCTCACCTCCCCTCCAACCTCAACCTATTTCTGTTCCTCCCCTCATCCCTCCTGGCAAACAGGAACCACAAGCTGCTGATCCAGCACAGTACGACGCCAACCCAGCTCTGGGCGGGCATCTTGAACATGCTGAGCATGACGAGCTGGAACGCGCTGCGGGGCACCGCGATGAAGGTCGCCGTGAGCGGAGATGTCGTCTTGACGAGCAAGAGGGTGGACACGAAGACGGAGAAGGAACCGATTGCGCCGCAGAGGATCATGAACCAGAAGAAGGGGACGTCGAGGAAGGGGATGTTGCGGAGGATGTGGCCGATGTCTCCGGAGAGGATGACGATGGGGGTCAGGATCATGAGGGAGAGGAGCGAGGTGTAGTGCAGGACGCGGTAGTATGCGCGGGTCTCTTCGCGGTTGCCGGTGTCGTCGGCGCTGGAGGGGTAGCCGCCGGTTAGGATGTCGCCTTGGGGGATCAGGCTGGCGGCGAAGGTGCGGTAGGTGCGGAGGAGGAGGATCGGGTAGAGGGCCACGAACATCGAGGAGAAGACTCCGGCGACGATGGATTCGGCTGTTACGCGGACGTTGGTGCGGATAGTTGCGAATAGGAGGTTGAGGGTTGCTACGAGCGCGGAGGAAAGGGTGGAGGGGCTGTGGTTATCCTTCTGGAGCGCACAGGCAAATATGAGGGCGAGAGGTGTGATTCCAATGCGTGCGAGCTGGTAGACTGGAAGGGGGGCATAACTTTAGATTCGTTAGAGGTTTGGTCGTGAAAAGGGAAGTGCAATTGACATACGCAAACGAAAAGTTGCTGAGTAGCACTTTGGCAACGAAAACGACAGCCAGTGGCAGGGCCTGCTTCGCAGTCTGTCGGTCGAATTCAAAAAGACCTCCTCCTGCAATTCCACCCTGGCCGTTTGCTAGCCATCGCCCAAATTGAAGGATGGACGGTTTATTTGAGCTCCTGAATGCACCTCCAGCAGGCGCTGTGGGATATGCCGGCGCAACAGCCGCGCCAAATCCCACTCTACGAAGTGGTCCACCGAGCGCTCTGGTAAGGCTTGCGAAACCAAGGAGGAAAAGATGGGTGATGATGAGTTGGAGATAGGTTCCTGCAAGTGGGAAAGGGAATCTGCCATAGGATTAGTATTGCCCGCGAAGATAATGACACCTCGACTCCTCACTTATAAACTCCAGTGAGCATGATGAACCGGTTCATCAGCAGCAACCCAAAGCTGCATCCTCCTACCCAAAAGACGAGCAAACCAACCCAGATCTGCCACCCCATCCAGGTACCGAAGAAGAACCCCGCCAGCCCACCTTGTCTCAAGACACCCCGCCATGCATTGCCTCCTCTTCCTACATCGTTGTTCACGAGCGGTCGTATACTGCTTGCGGGTTCGAAGTCGTCATCCTCATCTTCACTCTGCGCGGCGCTCCGGCTCCTGGGATAAGGCGACGTAGCTCTACTCCCACTCCCCCCTATGTCAATCAGAGGCACGGGGGCCTGTAACTCCGAGAGTGAGTTCTTCGACGAGTGACTGTTGCGGGACGAGGATTCCATCTGTGCGTAGTGTTCTATGTCAGAGTAATCGGTGTCATCGAGGGAACTGGCGGAGTTCTTGCGGCGAGCGGAGGTGAGGTTGGGGGATTTCTTAGAGTCGCTAGTGAAATTATTTAGGTAGGAGAAGGCTGGTCGGAACAACTTGTTCGCGTTACGGGCAAAGGGGCGTGAGGAATTCATGCTGCAAGCAGCTCTGAGAGCAATAGGGAAATTGACATTGTTTTCTTGAATCTGTGAATGTCTTACGGATTTCATCAATAAATGACAGAGTACGGGGGGGGCATTGCCCAGCAGTGGCTTAGGGAGGTGACAGGGGACGCGTCTGTGCTTGGCGCGGTGATCTAAATCTATCCACATCCCTTAACTTCATCACCTCAACTATCGACATTTCGGTTTAAAGATTATGTTCGAGAGAGAATAGCATTACAGTATAGGTGGTGGATAATTTGGATTCAATCTCGAGACTTTTCTTTTGGGCTCTCATCCGATTCACGACGTTCCTTAGATACTTACCTAGGTACCTAGATGCCTCTGCTCCGTACTCCGTACCTAGTATACGATCAAAACGCCGCAATATAGCCTACAAACCGTACACCAACACAAAAAAATGCAAACTCGATGATTTCAATTTCACCAACAAAACCGAAACTCATGATATTTTCTCTATTGATATATTCCTTTGTCAGCAATTGCCTACATTATCAGCTGTTCCCTCATAAGTCAAACACTCCAGGATCCTCGATTCGGTGTTCTACATGACGCGCAAGTGCCGCCTTCGGTAATCACACTAACGCGATGTCATTTATGGACCTCTATCTGGACTGATTTTCACCGAATCTTACGCACTGCATGTTTTCTTGTAGAAGTGAGGGTTTATTTGCTTTGTAACTAGCATTTGCACGGCCGCCATGAAGCGTGCTGACGTGAAGGCTCCAGACGTCCGTTCCGCTGCCAGACACGACTGCCCAGTAATCGATGTTTCGATGCATATGCGGAGTCGATGTGATTCGATAGGTGTTTGTGGATCTTCGAAACCGCATCCGGATGTTTCAACTGGATTATCCAGAGCAAAGTGCTCGTCCGAAAATCCATCATGTCCGCTTGTGGCATTGCGTCAGGCTTCGCAACTTGGAGGTGAAGTGCTAAATGAGCTCTATGCACTATCAAAAACAAATCAGGCAGTCCTAAGCATACGGGATATATAAAGACAATCAATTCTAGCTGCCAATTTGAACTCATCAACCTCATATCTGCCCCATCAGCTTATCATCACACACTACTACTATCAAACATCTACCTACCTACCCAATCAAACAATATTCTTCCCTAATTGTCAATATGCGTTGTGCCTCGCTTGCAAGCATCCTTCTTTCTGTCCTTGCCGTCTCCATAGATGCCGCTCCACAACCCGAGCACTCAGTAAAGCGAAAGGCTGGCGACCCATGCCCCAAGCCAGGAGTAGTCTGGTGCCAGGACAACCTCGTCCATACCTGCTCCGATGTCTTCCGTATTGAGACTCCTGGCATGACTTGCGCACAGAAGGAGAAGAGGGAAATTGAGAAGAGGAAGGTCAATGACCCTTGTGACAAGATCAGTGAGTTTTTTTCCAATTGAGCATTTTCCAGATAGCATTTAACAATGATATCCAGACGTGAGTTGGTGCCAGGACAACCAGGTCCTTTTCTGCTGGCAGGTCCCCGAACGCCAGTATGGTCTGATCAGGCCCACTGGTCTCACCTGCGATCAGTAAATTTGGTCGACATATCATATTGGACAATCCATATCCTGAATAACGTCGTACGTTGAGGAAGGTTGGGATGTCGCGTTTTCGTTCTGTATATATGGACACATTTTCTCGGATATACGACTGTATATGTCATTTCCAACATATCTTTAGAATATTTCTACACTATCTTCATTGCTTCGGCCCACCATCTCGCTAATTTCCCCCTCTTTGATATCGTACACATGACGCCCATTCTATGTTCCATCCTCATCACCCCTGCTCTATGTGACCATTGCCACCAATCATATCACTAGAGGGTGTTAGCGAACACGACCTAAACAGGGCATATCAGAGGCAATACTGATAGTGCTGACGAAGCTCGCAAGTCAAAATTATGGTAGTAAAAGTCCAGATACACAGAAGGGTTTTCATATCCCCCCCTCATGCTCAATTCAAATCTTTCGATGAAAATGCTTCCAATATTCATATGAGAGTATACATGAGATGTCTATCGATAAGGAATTGGTACCATTACTAAACGTCAAAACCATTGATAGTTCATCAGGTGCGGGTGGTGATGGAGCATTTTCGGAGGATAGCGTCAATGGATGTGTATTGGAAATCGGCCCGATGGGATCGCGGCTCCCTAGCGAATCCTTTGACAGCATTTCAGCGGGTAGGCTGGCACGGCTGGTTGGCCACTCCAACTATAAAAGAACGCAACGTTCCGGACCATCAGCCATCCAAAATCCAATATTACTTTTCTTTCGTGCTCTGGCTTTTGCTCGGTTGAGTAATCACTCTGCGGCCTGAAACTTGAGCATCTTGCTTTGCAGTGTCCCACTTTGTCTCATATATATCTTCACCTTCCCATATTTATATATCATGGGTCTCCTCGATGAGATGATGGTCATCTTCTGGGCCATGGTTGGTCCGTGGCAATTCATGTATATGGCACTTTCCTTTCTGCCCCCCACGGTGCGTGACCTGGTATCCGCAGGCCAGTATCAAATTCTTTTCTCCATCTCCAAATTCAAGCATGCCTGGTTCACCAGGTTCTGGAATTTCTGGGGCCCCAGAATTCGAGTGGGCAGAGGGCCACTCATCACAGCGCTGTTCGAAGGCCGTGTGAGTGGTGGGGTCGAAGTCGAGAAGCCCGTCGTGCCTCCTGTCGGGGGCGTCATTCTCGACATCGGTCCAGGACCGGGATTCTGGGTAGACCTCTACGCAAAAGCTAAGGTCCCGGCCAACGATGAAGGTAACCTCCGTCATCGCGGTCGCGGTGCAAGTGAATTGAAGATCTACGGCGTCGAGCCAAACCCAGATGCACACCCTAGCTTGAGGAAGCATGTGCACGATGCAGGCCTGGACGACAACTATCAGATCGTCCCTGTCGGCATTCAATCGCTCTCAACTGCTGCCGGTGCTCAAATCGAGAAGGGCAGTGTCGACTGCATTGTCTCCCTTCTCTGCCTATGCAGCATTCCTGATCCTGAGGCGAACATTGCAGAGCTGTATCAGTTGCTCAAGAAGGGGGGCAGGTGGTATATGTTTGAACATGTACAAGTCACTCGCTCCTGGCCGGGAAGACTCTATCAGGGTGCGTATTAGCCTTAAGTCCTGCTGGCTCATTCAATGGCTGACCTGTCTCAACCTATAGCTTTCCTCAACCTATTTTGGCCACATGTGCTCGGCGGCTGCGAACTGTGCAGGAATACAGAAAAGACACTTCGGCAGGCAGGCCCATGGGATAAGTTTGACGTTCATGCTCCTGCGGACGAAGTATGGTGCACTAGCCTTCCCCACATCATGGGGACTTTGACTAAGTGATGTCCATTCGCTGTCGAAGACTTGGGATGAAGTTGCATTAGCATTGCATACTCGGCCAAATACCCTCTTGTTGGCGGGATCGAAATAAACGATTATATGTGGTGTGGTTGGTAAATTGTCTTCTCTTATTAGTTGTGTTTCCACGGTCTGGAGTTTTCAAAGCAACGAGGTTCATATGCATCACGTATTCATAGTCGATATAATATAGATAGTAACGCAATTCATGGGAGTAGTAAGAAAAATAGTTTGCCTGATAAACACTCCTTTGCCGTACGTGAAACCCGCGGTTGGGTAATGGTAGGGCATGGGAATAATCTCAGAGTGTTCGTGATAGTCAGACGACCTAAAGTTTAAAGATAAAGAGGAGAAATACAAATTCATAAATGCGAACAGTTCTGGTCATGGCAATTCATCACCAACATGTTTTCAGACAGAATGTTTCAATATTATAATATGTTGATCTGGTGTCTAAGAATCTACAACATGGATTTTCTACATCGAATCCAACAAAGGTGACATGATTCATTTCATTGCCTTGGGCTTTCATACTCTAGGATAAATACGAATAGTGACAGAGACAAATGAGACTTCTTGAAGTGACGGAAGATCAGTGACATAGGAATGATTACGCTGTTGAAAAGCCTGCGTGGGCAAAAAGCTCAGGAAGAGCGAAAACAGTAAGCTTGGTGAAAAGCAAGTTAGTATAGAGTTACGAATGGAAGAAGCATTAGGATTTGCACGACAAGTGGAAATTCTTTCGGTATTACAAAGTCGGAATGGGGTATCTGTGCAATGGTGCAGATTCTCTACGGTTCAACAGGTAGCCTCAATGATGGAGTAGATGATGATATCGAGGAAAAGATTCTAAATTGGGACATTAGTTGTGACATGATCGTAATGAATACCTCATAGTTATTCAGTGAACTTGGTCAAGTGTAATATCGTCATTGTGTGGTGGCGAGCCCGAGCTCAGCCACCTGAAGGCGTTGAAGGCTGAAGCCACGATCTCCTACCCTGGAGAAACCTAGAGTCTCGCGATCCTCAGATCTTGCTTCATCCCCGAGCTGAGATTCGCGAATGCCTTGCGATGAAACCAGAGTTTCGATGTTCCTCGGCCGTGATCCAAAACGGAATGTCGTGATACATGGCAGTGCTCGTATGATGAAGGTACATACATTGAAGATGGACTAGTAACGTCGAAGGTAATGAATAAATGTAACCTTGAGAAAAATAAAAGAAAGCGATCGCCCAGTTGTTCTCCGAAGATAGGGGATCAACTTCATCTCGAGGAAAGCTTGTTCATTATAGAGCAAATAGAATGGAACCGAGCCGTAGCAAATTTCGTATGAGGTCTGGATAAGCTCTTGAGCTCACTTCATGCGGTACGACAACACTTATGTAGGAGTTTATAAACCCCTTGCATGAGCTACCCAGCGTAGCCCGGAGTAATTCCCGCCACCAAATTGGTCACATAGTACTGGACACACCGTACCACTGGCGGAGAATGCACTACTTCAGTGAAGCAGCTGCATACAGTGGAGTGGACATTATTGGAGGGAATGTACTCCATGGGTGAGGAAGTTGTTGCAAGCGCGGGATGAGCGGAGTTGCCTTGTCAATGCGAGCATTTATCTCACCTGCTCGATAGAGGTTAATCCGGTCATATCAGCTGTACGCGAGTACATGGCTTTCTTGTGGTGCATGCATTAATAGCAGTAGACTTGGAGACACCTGTACAGCGAAGATGAGTGGAGGCTGCAGACGAGACAGTGGCCAGTGAAATTCGAGTTTCATACACTTGCAACCCCACGAGTACACTGTGGCAAGCTATTTTGGCGAAGTCCGAGACTGTAGGAGAAATTAAGAGAACTCATTTAGGAAGTTCGCGATGGTGCACTTGCTCCTATGTTGGCAATACCAAGTCAAGTGGCAACAGGCATTGACAGAAGCAACAGTGACGGGAAGATTCTCACCAGTTCCTCCCCACGCATATGGAATCTTTCTTAGGCCATAATGAGAAGGTGAAATGGGCCACCAGCGGGATTAAATAACTGGCTGTATGCAAGTGCGGACTGTCTACATAAATACTAGCTAAAGGCATGCACCCAAGCCAGCTTCTAATCATCTCATGCCACAATAACTCGAATGGGTATCAACATACCACCCACGTCTTAAACAACACATAGGTGGTGGACGGATGAAGATGTGAAGTGTATCAATAGATAGGAAGGTGTTTTGAGATTGAAATTACAAGGCTACACGATTGGAGACCTAGCGCTGGAACCAAGAGTCTTCTACGCTTGTTCCATGTAGGTACACCAAGATAATTAAACTTCGGTATACGTCAACGGGATATCGCCGATTGCATGGCAATATATCTCTATGCGTAAGTGGAAATGTGCTCCAACTCAGGAAGGTCACTGTCAGTCCGGAAGGTACAAACGGGCCAAGGCCATGTGTACGGTGAAATGTCGTAAAGAGTTTGAATTACCAGCACCGTTTGATTCGACGACTGTTTTCATAATTGCCAAGTGGAAATGATCATACCACTAAGATTTCCAAATCTCTCAACAGTATAGACTCGTGCCTCAAGTCGAGCTACAGAAGAGCCACTGTCAATTCAATCGTCCTCCCGCGTGTATTCACAACTGGATAGATTGCAAGGGTTGGGAACACTGGGTTGGTGTTACCTGAGATCTTGCATTTCGGGCCTCGGATCGCCTGTTCCGCAAGACAGTGCAATCACAGCTCGTACCTGGAGAAATAGTCATCGAGATATGATGGAATCCAAGGCAACCTCCAGCTTCTGACCCGACACAATTATGTTTATTGTCTAGGACGGCTCACGCTTCGTGGATTGGGGGTTTGAACGGAATTGCTCTCTGTACCTCACAAACCCTTCCTACCAATCCTCATGGCAAACACCTGCACTTTTCGCCCCCATTACATGGCAGCTATCTACACATCTCATGACTATATCGCAAAGGTAGGTCCAGATGACGCCGTTGCAGGCGACAATGCTCAAAATGGATGACTTCCGATGATCGATTTTCAATAGAAGCCGATCCCCCACAATGGCCGATCCCAGAACAGGACAAGAGTAAGCTGCCCTGGACATAAGTGAGGCACATGAGGTGGCAGCTAGGCCAACAGCGATAATGCGGAAACTTCTCCTGTGTGCTGCAACTGCGGAGCTACTCGCTGGCAACGGCCAGGCAGTTTGGGATCGTGCATATCTGTAGCCCACGGCAACTTGCATGTTCATGCTGCACTCAGCGGCTGGCTATCGTCTTATCTAGACGGTGGCTGTATGTCTGTCTTGCTTTATATTAAGGTGCGTTGGCCGTAACCCGAAAGAGGAGGTGATGTTGCCATACGTGCTTTTAAGCTTAATGTTAGCTACACTTGGTGGTCAGCCGATCCACGGGAAGCACAGCTCTTGTTCTGGTAAGAATTTGGCGCGACCACACAATAAATCCAGGAAGCCAATCTTAAGCGTCAATCTAGCGAGGCCCGAATGGATCGAACTGATCTGCGACCCGCAAAAGGAAGGCTTGATACTCGGAGGCATGTTCACGTTGAGGGGTAGGGGCAAAGTCTCGACAACTTGATGTTGGCCGCACATGGAACCCTTCACGTTGAATGATACAACTTCTTGTGCTGGCTGGTAGATGCAATGGGATGAGGCCGACTGCCTGATGCACACGTTCCGCGTCTGCGTCTGCGTGCGCGAGTCCGTTATGGCCATACCGAGCCCGATGCCCTTTAATATATGTTGTGGCCTATCAACTCGCTCACTCCATGCAGGCCCTGCAGGCAAACAACATAGGGCTACCATGACGAGGTATTCCGTTCCGCGCGAAGCGTTTCTTATCATCACTCACTCTTTACAGATATCATCCCCTACATTGATAATTCCCATTCAGTGTCTCTAATTTAAACAGGGAATTGCTCTCGGAAACAGCACGACAGCAGACACATGTGCTCTGGTTCCTGACATCAAGCCCTACGTAGACCTGACTTACCCGCGTTCTGTACTCATGCGTACAAGTACAGCGTAGGTGGCGATGACGGCTCGTCCCGAATCTCTGGAATTCACAGCTCAAGGGAGGCGCCGGTTACTTTTACTGCATGCATGTTCCCTCTGCTTGCCTCTAATCCAGCTTTGGACCGCGCGCCGATACAACTGGGTGCATAGATCCAATCAATGAGATTGATTCCTTCCTTCACATTCTATTCGAACGAGAGGGTTGTCAAACGACGCCCGAACGGTGGCTTGAGCGGGATGCTACAATGCTGTTATGATCGGACGGGCTATACAATAGCAGGTTTAGAGCCCGGAGAGGGATGGTGCGGGCGCGCAATGTAATCAGGTTCCACCATCAGTGTATGTACATAGTAGCAAGAATTAAGGCCTGTAAATCCTAGGTCTATTCATCTAGATCAAGAGCTGGCGAGCCAAGTCGGCGCAATTACCCGTCACATCGATAGACAGCAGCACAATTACAATTACTTACAAGATACAAGCTTTTAAAGTAAGGGTATTCAAACGAGTATTTGCTGTAAGGGCGGCCAAAATGTAGTACTCTCCAATCATAGAAGAGGGTCACCGGATAGCCACTTGGGCCATGACACCATGTGGAATCTGCCTGTTGGAACAAACAGAGAACGAAAAACAAAAACAAAAAGAGAATGCTTTGCACTGCTCGGCATAGTCTATGCATCAGCCATTGCACTCCAGAAGCATAAATCGTCTTATCACGCAAGAATGGCCTGGCGTTGACGATCTGCTCCATGGAACATCGCTCTGGGCTTGGGAAGGGGTCGATCACAATTACATCCCTATTCAGGTAAAGACACAATTTGAGCTGCATCCCGCCAAGCGCCATTCAAGTGCCACTCGATACTTTCTGCTTCCTCCCATGATGTTTCTTGCGTTCTCCATGGTTGTTAATACTATGTCTTGAAGACCACACTGCCGATACCCCCAGTATCACCTCCCAAGCTAGGTAAGACCGAATTGCTCCACCCACGTTGAACTGTACATCTTCCGGAGATGGCTGTACCATGTTATACCATATGCTGGAGACACGCGATGCTTTGCATTCGGGAAAGCTAATCCCAATGGGCAGGTGAAGCCACTACGGTCATTCTGTCTCTCGTTCAAGTCAATCATTACATATAAAAGCGCCATTGTCACTCCTTTTAATATCACCAGGCGGCCATTACTGAGCTCTTCACCCCTTGGACACCAGCATTCCATCTAAACTTTTGCAACCTTCCAACACAGCATCTCCAATATGCGTTACGAATTCCTGATCGCGGCATTGCCCATCGCCCTCGCGGCCCCAACTGTCCAACCTCGTGCTCCCGTCATCCTTCCACGTGCAGGATCAGCAATTCCAGGAAAGTGGATCGTCAAGGTGAGGGATGGCGCAGCTGGTACCGTGCTGGACCAGGCTCTTGCAACCTTGAAGAAGGACCCCGACCACGTCTTTGGCTTTGGCAAGTTCAAAGGCTTCTCTGGCCAGTTGTCCGACTCGACCGTCAGCGTTATTTCGCTCATCCCGGGTGTAAGTCCACCAGAAACAAGCGGATTACTCCCGATATTGATACAATTAGATTGAATACATCGAGCAAGATGCCATTGTGACAGCCTACCTCGGCGAGGTGGAAAAGCGTGCATACGTTACCCAGAGCTCCTCAACCTGGGGTCTCGGTCGTATTTCCCATGTCAATAAGGGAATCTCTTCCTACACCTACGATGACAGTGCAGGTTCTGATACCTGCTCTTATGTGATTGACACTGGTATTTATACCGCACATCCTGAATTCGAAGGCCGTAAGTTTGTACCCAACCAAAGCGCGTATTCAAACATGCTCACCTATGATCGCAGGCGCAACTCATCTTGCCAACTATGCTGGTGATGGCTCGACTGCTGATGGCAACGGCCATGGAACCCACGTTGCTGGTACCATTGGTTCCAAGACATACGGCGTCGCTAAGAAGACCAAGCTATTCGCTGTGAAGGTTCTCGACAGCGCTGGATCTGGCAGCAACTCTGGTGTGATTGCTGGCATCAACTTTGCTGCCAACGACCAGAAGACCCGAGCAGGCTGCTCTAAGGGTTCTGTTGCCAATTTGTCTCTCGGTGGAAGCAAATCTGCCACTGTCAACTCCGCTGCCGCCAATGCTGTCTCTGCTGGCCTTTTCCTCGCTGTTGCCGCCGGAAACGACAATGCCAACGCTGCCAACTACTCTCCTGCATCGGAGCCCACGGCTTTCACCGTTGGTGCTACCGATTCTAATGATGCCAGGGCCTCGTTCTCCAACTATGGCGCAGTCGTTGACATCTTCGCACCTGGTGTCTCTATCCTTTCCACATGGAGGAACGGTGGCACTGTAAGTAACGCCTAGTAATGGATTTTGAGCTGTTTTAACCTGAGAGACAGAACTCTATCTCCGGAACCTCAATGGCCACTCCTCATGTTGCTGGCCTTGGTGCTTACATCTTGTCTCTTGAGGGCAAGAAGACCCCAGCTGCTCTCGGCTCCCGGCTCGTTGCCCTTGCCAATAAGAACAAGATCACTGGTCTCCCCAGCGGTACTGTCAATGCGCTTGCGTTCAACGGGTATGTTATCTCCTACTCTTCCGTCTCTTGAAACCAATACTAATGAATGGACAGCAACCCTTCTGGTTGAGTTAGTATATAAACACTCTGGTGAAATATGGGAACAGGTTACTAGAGCTTGATGCGCTCTACAAACTCCCAAAGAGGTGGGATAATCATTGGCATTTGCTACTGCCTTTTTATTCAATCCCTGGAATGCATGCATCGTTGGAGCTTCCTTTCTTTCTTACGAATGGTAGTGTTAGTTTATGAAGTTACCTCAAATCTCTGCTATATTCGCAGCTCATGTCGGAAGATACATTCACCCAATAGCAGTTCATGTGATCTTGTTGAACGAGAGGCAATAAACGCACCCCTCTCCTTGAGCATAGGCTGACACGTCCTTGTACTAATCTTTCATGGTTTGAACAATATTGTACGAGTCAAACACATACTTGTTGAGAGAGCCCCACACTGGGCCGCTCCAGGCTTGTGAATTCCAGAGGATTGCATTGGCAAATCCAAGAATTGGTTCGTGTTCGTGCCAGAAAAAGGAAAGGATATCACGACGTTGGTATTTCGGCGCTATGTCGGACCCCCCTTTCTCTATTTGGAGCATCTTTCTCAAAGAAGCCATTTAGTAACGCCATGTGGCGATGGGCTAGCTGAGAATTTATGGGTCTGAGTCAGGCCTTGCATTGATGATCTTCCTTTTCACCTGAACTAGTGTAGGCGATTTTCACAAGGTTACGAAGTAGTGTGGGGAATTGGATCTGGGCGTCTATCAACTCTAGGAGTGTGGTGATACATACCTCGTAGTGAGTAAATGATCAACGCAGAATGTCACTGGGCATATGAGTCGTTGGGCTCGCGGGATACATGCAGGTGGGATTTTGCATAACCGCCATGACCACGATATCAATCGAGGATTAAGGGTTCTAGGAGCCTGCCTCCGTCCACTCAAGACACAGCTGTGACGCGGTGGGGCGTGGCGCGTTAGCAAAGGGATCCTACCCTGCCCCCCTTTCCTTAAAGCGTGGAAAGATTCAGATCTGGCTCTGTCATCTTTATCAGATGAGCCGTGATGTACATCATGAGTCGCAATCTTGCAACATAACGAGAAGTAACTGTTCGTTGAAACAAGCTCTTCTTGAGTTTCGGGGGCCTCATGCATTTCAATTTGACTCGAACCAGGTTCGGCAATTTCCTTGAGGTAATCCCTGGGTTTGACAGAACACATGTTCCAGTCAAGTAGATCGATCTTCCAATCCATACCAAAGACATTCCCGTGCTCTCCTGGGCGCCAATCCGACTATCCCCATGCCAATGACCTCAGGCGAAATTTGGTTCCAGGTCCACGGGAATGTAGGGCGCTCTGACCATTCCACAATGCTGCATCTTCGCGTCTTTCATCTGAACAAATTAACGGAGCGGCTGAATAGATGTGGCGAGAGGCTCGTGGAGGTGGTAATGGTAAAACAGAAGAGGGAGTAGATTGACTGAGTTAATCTATGTCGGTTCGTCGGGAAGGGGGATCGTTCTCCGCAAATTGCCTGCTCCGTATCAAACTTTATCGGAGCGGGATTACCACTATGTTAATCTGGACAGGCGCCCCCAATTGATGTGAATTGTTTCCTTCTCTGTCTAGCCTTTATAGGTCTGTAAAGTCCCAGAATTTCTCCGTGTCTTTGTCGCAGATGAAGGCTGTCGCATTGCTTCAAGAAACGTTCACATCGCGTTGCCATTGAGGTTCAACCTTCACCGCACTATCCTGCGTCGAGCTAGTTCAATTCGAGACCAAGAGCCTACAATCACAGCAAGTCAGACCAAGAATATTGAACGACGGGATTGCTGCGTAGTCGCTGTTAGAAAGACCACGATACACCAACAGAGAGTTCAACTAGTCTTTATTACTTCTACCATCAACATGATCCTCCCTATCTAGGTGATCGTGTATCAGGCTGAATCACCAGAGTATCTGCGAACTGGGACCGACCGGATAGACCCCCTCTGCAAAGCGCGTGCGATCGATCAGAGTTCATCTGGTCTCATCTGAATATTCCCTACGGAGCAACTTGCCAGAGAGATTTAGATATCTACAGCGTTCCAGATCCCTGGAAAATTTCAGCGTCACACCGTCCTCCTTGCGAAGATGTCCTATTCCCAATTTTTCGCATTGGGCGCAAGACCACTCAGCTCTGCCTCAATTCGACTGGTGGCGTACTTATGCGACATTGATTTTGTCATGTGCTGAGTCCTTCGACGTACTGACTGTAACGCTAGAACTTCCCCTGCTTCGCGCGCATTCAGCAGATCGCATACCGATGGCCTTTGAGGCGACAGGGTTTCATCCGACCATTCAGGTCCATATCGCGGTCCAGACAGCACCGTAAGCTCTGGAAAAGCCATCGCCGTATCAGAAGTCTCAAAGAAGACGATGCAGGGCAATGAAGAGCCGGGAGATGGTGTCACGCTCGCAGAAATTGGTGGACATCCAGAGACTATAAAGGAAAGCCATGTCGCGCACCCATTCCCACTCTGTCGATCGATTCTATCTCTCTCTTGCCCCACACGAATTCTTGGTGCTCTTCGGCCGTATATGCATGAGGCATATCCAACAAACTCATTAGGCACCATCCACTTCGGTTCCTATTTGCCTTTACAAGACCAAATGCATTGAAAGAAAGAAATCAATGGCACTCACCTTCCAGCTTGAGAACTTAGGAAAATGCCTATACCACTAAAGGGAATGCAGATTATCCACTATTACCCGGATGCTTCAGTGCAAATCCACTCCTCCGGCCGAACTGAAGGCTATGGTGCTCCGGGAATATCACACATGTATACGACGTTGAATGGCCGACGACATCTGTTGGTGGCGATGACCCTGTATTCATCTCCCGGAATCTACCTGTGTCCGCCACTTGGGGAAGAATATCAACCAGAGTGGTTGTTGAATTTTCGGAGTCACTTTACGCTGAAGGCGATGTATCACAAATCACGGCCGCCGAAGCTCACAATTGTCTAGAATGAACATGCCTATTACCGGACCCGTTTCCAGGATTATCAACATTTCACCAGATACCTTCACTTCACTGTGGGCGCAAGACTATTTCTCGATATTTGTCATTGCCTACCTTCTCCCATTTCTCGAGCGCTGTTGAAACCAGTATGGAGTCTTCTGGGATTGTCGCTGTGGTTTGAGAGCATTGCTTACACATTCTCCATGCATTGATACGCAGCATTGTAACCTCATCTTCATCATGGGCTCGGGTGCTGTTTGTTGAGAAAAGTTGGCCAAAATGTCAAGGATATCTCCCAACCGGTCAGGGCTTGCAAGTCTAGGACTTCAATATCATCCAGGGAGCCTAACTCATCCAAACATTTGCAGGGCACAGCATCAGACGCCTTATTGTCTTATCTTGCGGTCATCTCTTGGCATGCGCGGTGATGAGCGAGGTGCGCTGTTGTGAGTCTTGTTCAGGTAGGTAGTCACTCAGCCGGTATCATTTCAAGCTTTCGTCTTATGCGACGCGATGACGAATAGATTAATGGTCGCCGGTCTTCAAATCGCAGCGAATTGCAGTCACTTCTGCTTATTCCGATTAAGCCCAACTACCCTTGTGTTTTCCACAAGGAGTGAACATGGCTAATTATACCCCGGCACACACCGATTCTCTCGAATTCGTCACGAGACCATCCCCCACTCCAGCATGACCTTTCTTCACATGCATTACGGACTACTTCCGCTGGACTCTTCGTCTTCGAATAACTGACTGGCTAGACTTAGATCTTGTTCGACATCTTCGAATTGCAATGTCTGTGGAGTTGGACCCTGGACTTTACTCCCTGCAACATCCCACCCATAGGCCTGCTGTATGCACGGTCACCCGCTGTTTCGGATTGCCAATGGAGTCCAGGGGATGGTCCTATCGTGCTCGCCATCTCGTCGAAGGCGACACCGAAGTCCGCTCTACATACCTACGGACGCCTGTGGCGGTCTTCAACCAGACTTTGCTGACGCTGGTCTGCACTTCGCCAGATATTGACGTCAGATATTGTAAAATGAGGGTGTACACTCACTATCGTCGCCGTTGCCAGTTGACTTGATTTTTTCCAGCTTGATACTGAGACTGCAAACTTCACAGCAATGGTTTCCTGTCGCAGTCCTCCAACTCCATCCCACCCTGCCTGCAGTCAATACTTTCCATATCACCGGACATAATCTTGCGTCTGAAGATGCAAGCACCTCATGGTAACCATGAATAACAGCCAAGAATCCGTTGACAAATTCCTCGTATTATCACTCATTCTTCGACCAAAACGAGAATCAACAGAGGTCTGCACTACATCCTGGGCATCTCTTTCAAGGCTACGTCCGTACGAGGCATGCCGATCTTGACTTGAGTCGTTCGAGAGAGATACTCTCCGATACCCGTTCTCGAGCTTCGATATTTACCATGTCTAGCCAAGTCGCTTATACGATTAAGTCCCCAGTTAGGAATACCACCTCTATGAAACTACACTTTCCCACAGCCCGATAGTGGATGTAGTCATAACGAATCAGCGGGAGTCGTAGATATTTCGGCCATGCTTTGTCAACTACGACTGGGAATTACAGGACCATCTGCTGCTTGCAAAGGGAAGGTGACAGGGCTCGTCAACGTTGATGCCGGCGCCCGGCGAGGGTCCACACGTTGCACTGCCATGAATCCTTGCGATGACGATCCCATGCAGGCCAGCCCGGCATCAGATCCTACTCAACACCAAGGCGATCTTTGAATGTCTCACCACATGGTAATATTGGTCTGCCTGTTTGGGAACAATTTGATGCATGCAATTAGCAACGTCGCTTTCTCAAGTACAACTTTGGAAGGTCCACGATCGAGTCACATTGTCAAGGAAGGTGCTCACCTTGTAGCGACCTCCTCGATGTCTATATAAGACGTGCATTTGTCCTTAGAAGCTGATCTTTGCTTTACAGAATCCAGGACTTTTCTACAGCCAACCTTAAAACAGAAGCAACATATCTTCAATCTTCCCAGCTTTTTCATGATGTTTTCCAAATCAATCATTCTGGCATTGTTGCCCGCTGCATTTGCGGCTCCACTCATCATCCCCCGAGATGAGACACTGATTCCCAATAAGTACATCGTCAAACTGAAGCCTGACGCTTCTATTGCGGATGTGGAGGCTGCTCAGGGTCTGCTTGCGAATGCTCCTGACTTCGAATATGACTTTGGCGGTTTCCGAGGGTTCGCTGGCTACCTCTCTCCTGATGCAGTCACGAAGCTTCAGGACTCAGGCGCTGTTCGTGAATATGACTGCCCCAAAGTACATGTAACTGACAACATTTCAGGTAGAATGGATCCAACAAGATGCTGAAGTGCACACCCAAACCTGGCTCTCCGAGAGCGGAGCCCCTTGGGGTCTTGGCCGCATCTCTCATGAGGCAAAGGGTAGTGACACCTATGTGTACGACTCTACTGCTGGAGAGGGCACTTGCAGCTACATCATCGATACTGGCATCTATGTTGACCACCCTGAATTTGAGGGCCGTGCCGAGTGGCTCGAGAACTTCACTGGTGATGGTCAAGACAGCGATGGTGCTGGTCATGGCACCCATGTCGCTGGTACTGTTGGCTCAAAGACATATGGCGTTGCTAAGAAGACAAAACTCCTTGCCGTCAAGGTTCTTGATGCCGGCGGTTCGGTGAGTAGCCCAGAAACCAGATGTGTGTTCTTTCTGACATTGATAGGGTACATTCGCTGGCGTCATCGCTGGTATTCAATTCGCTTCTGAGGACCAAAAGACCCGCGATTGTCCTAAGGGCTCGGTTGCTAACATGAGTTTGGGTGGTGGCAGGAATACTGCCGTCAATGAGGCTGTAGGTCTACTTGATCCTGCTCAATGAGCTCATTGCTAATCCTATACCAGGTTGCTGCTGGTGTAGCTGCGGGTCTCTTCTTCGGTGTCGCGGCTGGTAACAACAACGCCAATGCCGCCAACTACTCGCCTGCCTCTGAAGCAAGTGCTTGCACAGTTGGCGCTACCGATTCCAACGACGCAAAGGCATCTTTCTCCAACTATGGTGACATCGTCGATGTCTTTGCCCCCGGTGTTCAAGTTCTTTCCACCTGGAACGACGGAAAGACTAACTCCATTTCCGGTACCTCAATGGCCACACCACATGTTGTCGGCCTCGCCGCCTATCTTCTTGCTTTTGAAGGCATCTCGACTGATGCCCTTTGCGCGCGCATCGTGGAGTTGGCTCATCAGGGTGTCATCACCGGACTTCCCAGTGGAACAAAGAACCTGCTCGCCTTCAACGGTGCCCAGGTCCAGTAGATGTGCAATGACGGAAAGCCAGACGATGCTTAAACTTCGACTTCCTGGCCCTCCTTCACATCGGCCACCTACGAGTAATCTTTCTCACGTATGATACTGAGGGTATCTGGTTGCATGACTAGGGTTTTGACATTCCTTTCCACTTATATTGGTAGTAGCCACGAGCGTTCTGGACATTGGACTGCATTTATGAGCGACGGTATTGATGATTTTGATGGTTCATCGGGGACAGTTTAGGAGATTTGTGTTTTAAGCTACACGGTAATAATGATGAGTTAATTGCATACAACTGCTTCTTGACATCTCGCGTTCGCAAGATAGCCCATGTGCATGAAGACAGACTTCGGCCAATTGTGGTCAAATTTATGTGTACTTCGTACAGAAGTAGTTCATTAGAGATATTATCTTATTAAAGTCTACTGACGTAATTGTTATGTACAACATGAAACATGAGCGCGTCTAATCATCTACTAGCTAAGCTAGACGTTTGTGCAGACCTTGCCAAACTTCCTGTCCGTCAATGGCTGTGGGAATACACCATTGTCCAACAACTGGAAGAGGTCCCATTCACCGGCATCGCCCTCGGTCTTGAAGTTCCAGAAGAAGTAACCTTGGGTCCTACCCTCGAAGGCATCGAGCTGGGTTTCGATGTAACTCCGAACGTCGTCCTTCCAGGATTGCGACCAGTTGCTGACCAGTCCAGATTTGCCAGCACAAGAGCCAATCCACCACGAACCTGGCCAGCTTCCCTCGTAACGGTTGCCAGCCCTGTAGCCGTTTAGGTACTTGGCACAATCCGTCATAGCTCCACTCCATTCGCCGACGACAGTCCACTTATCAGCATTGGCATAACCATTGACAGCTGCGCAGACTTGCTCCCTGTGCTGGCCAGGGCTCATTGACATCAGATTAGGGTCAAAGATCTGGTACTCATGGTGGTCCACAACGACATTCTGTGCGTTGTTGTCGGAAGGTGTCAAGAATCCGTTGAGCCAGGCTGGGTCCCAGAAGCCGTCATGGATCATTGCTGGAGTGTCACTGACTTGTCGCAGATTGTAGAATCCGTCACGGTAAAAGTTCTTAACCATGTTAGGGTCGAGTTGGTTGAGGAACGGCTCGTTGAGCAGCTGAATGGCAATGACGACGTCCTGCATTGATGGAATGGCGTATTTCGAGTAGAGAGTCTTGAGTACGTCATGCGTTTGGCTCAAGCTATCACCTTGACCCCATCCAGGTGAGGCCAACTTATGTCCGGAATGATCGAAACCATTCTGAGATTTTGGGGCTCCATGCAAGTCAATAACGACCTTCAAGCCAGTCTCGCGTGCCCATCCGATCGCTTTGTCGAGGTATGGCGCGGCGCCAAATGTGTAAGGACCTCCCGCATCCATGTAGGCCCAGTATCCGACTGGAATTCTGATTACGTTGAAACCGGCATCTTTGATCTTCTGGAGATCGGATAACTGAACAAAGCTTTCCCAATGAGGTTTGAGAACGTCCAAGCAGCCTTGCTTTCCGAGCTTTTCGCAGAGAGTCCATTCGTCAACAACCCATGATGAATCACCACTGGCCCTCTCAAAGATGGAGGGGGTTATGAAACTGCGGCAAATTAGCAATTGATAGACAACTTCATAGACTAAGCTTGGTTTCGTACGGTTCAACGACGAGCCAACCACCAAGGTTGACACCACGGACCTTCGTGCTTCCCCAACCAAAGGCTACACCACGAGGGGACAGCTCACTGAGATTCGTTAGTCGTAAACATTTGTATGCGCAAGGCGTACGAACCTGGCTGGCGCAGCATTGGCGACAGACCAAGCAGCGGCCAAAGTGGCCAAGAGCGAAGCCTTGAACTGCATTGAACGAGAGTCTATGTAACAACGTATTACACAAGTATGATGTTATGTTAAGGGATCAAAGTGACTGATTGGGAGGAATATGGCGATGGGTTAGGTAGTGAATAGCGAGCGTGGTAGGCACCCTTCAATTGCTTTTCCTCGTAATAGCAGGCACGGAAGAAACGAGACGAGTGCGGTGGGAAGGAGGTTGTGAATGACCAGACGAACGAAGAACCCGCGATCCCTTTGTATACGTTCCACGGCGAACCCGAACAGGTGAGGTCTTTTCTTTTTATCGCGAGCCACAGATCTCAGCAAGCCTCGTGCAGCACTTCACCCGGTAACTCGGGATTTTTCAATATCGAAGGCGCCCACGCGCCGGGCTAATACCTCGTTATTCCCAATCCTTGGTGCTATTTTGGACGCATTTGCGCGGGAAGCCATGGGGACCAGACTCACGCCACGGGGAAACGCCACTAGCTGAGCTTGATATCCTGCTCTAGGTTGCACGGCGGTGATAGCACAGGCGCGGTATACCTAGCCAGGGTTCTCATTTTCTCTAGCCAGAGACTAATTGAGTTTTCAATAATTGGGCAGCTGATCTTTACAGATCCTGACATACATAATTGACTGGTGTAGAGCTACAGAAGGGGTTAGATAACAGTTCAATACGGGGCTTCGGTTGTTAGCGACATCGTGTGAACATAGAATACGAGATGTAACCGGAGCATCGCACTCGTACCTCAACCACAGACGTAGCTCAATTCGATACATTCGCCGATGGAGCTTTGATAGTAAAGAAAACCCGTTAGGATGTTTACACCGATATACCCCATATAAGGATTTTGTTGCATGATGCTAGACCTTCCCATTCCAAATCCCATCTCGGAGCCATCCGGATTATTACAAGTACTTGTGGATGTCCCTTCAGTCTGTCGTCATAGGTATGCGAGCGTAGGAGATGTAAACACCTTGAAGAAAACTTCGTGAATTATGTGTACATAATCGTGATACAAAAAGACAATCATGCAGGTTGGCGATGCAAGATATGCAAAGAACAGAACACAATCATCCACCGCGCATATCGCTCCCATCTCCATGAATCTGCTACCACAACGTGCAGACCTGTTTTTATCGCAGCCACACCCGAGCTCGACATTCTCCTACGCAAGTAACCAATCCTCCAACAGCATGCCTACTGCAAGCACCCGGTTCCAACATATGTTCCTGTGTGGGGTGCATAACCCTGGACTTGTGGAAAGCTAAGCTACTTGGCTTGTTCATATCGAATGTAAAGTCTTCATGGGTAAGAGGCTATGTCGTAGCAGGTTGGATTTTGCCAACCAAGAGCGAATTATCCGCGATCCGCGTCCAAAATACTGTAGGGCTGAAGACCACATAAGGATAGTGACAATTGGCCCGGTATAAGTCGTTGGTTGATTTCCGAGTGTCTGAGCAGGCCAATTCTCTACTGCTATGAGGGCTCTTCAATCCAAGAACCCCATGGTTTCATCCATGATAGCGGCAAAGCTTTTAGTCTCACGGTGCTTGCCACTCGTGATAGGAGGAAATGTTGTCATTTTGGCTCGGAACGTCTCAGAGCGATCTAGTGCGGCAGAGATATTACTGACATATAGTGTAAGTACAGTTCGGCACAGTCAGCTATATAGTACGTACTTGACTTGTCCTTCAATCAGATATCCAGACTTGTCCATTGCAATAGCAAGCTCCGACTGGTGATTATCCAGAAGTTGGGTATTTGGTACTACTATGAGCGGGACTTGATATCGCAGTGCCGCGAGTATCGACCCTGAGCCTAATCTCACTTTTCAGCCATGTATATTTCCTTATGACTTGATGACCATACCGGCATGCGATATGATGGTACCCTTCGAGTCGGATACCAGCTTCAACTGTTTGTCAAGGCCTTGTGGATCAAAATCAATCCCCGCGATTACCAAGTCACCTGCCTCACTATGAGCAGCTTTCAGGCTTTCCTCAAAAACATTTCTCGCAGACCCATACTGAACCAGAAGATGGGTGTAGCCTAATTTGCGGAGCGTTTTAATTGAGTCTGTTTGAAGAACCGATTCGATGAGGGCAGTAAACGGTGCTGTTGCGCCAGTAGTTACGAAACACACTTTCATTGCCGACCCCTCGGACCATGCCCAGTGCTCAGACATTATCTACCATACAATATCTCTTTCAACGTGCTCTGTCTCTGAACCAATTATGACGGATGATCTATGCGGCTAGATGCGTGATACTTGTCCATATCTTGGTGGTCGTGCACAGACCATACGCCGCTCGTGATCCTCTCTCTGCAATCTTGGCGCATCTGATCCTCCGCAAAAAAAAGATTCCACCACGAATATCAGGAACACCAATGGCGTCAGCAACACGAGGGCTACTGGCTTGCTCCAGTAGGCGGGCGTCTCAGATAATCGCCCGCCAATCCACAAGATCCTGTCAACGAGGCCTTTCCACGACCGCTCCACTTCGCGACGAAGAAGACAGACCCAAACGACCCGCAGCCGCACCACCATCATATAAAAACTACCTCCCCAAAGGACTGGACAAACAATTCGAAAAAGAGTTCAATGAGACGCAAGCACAGCAGCTCGAGGCTCTATCCGCGCAATTGAAGCATCTCAATTTGGACGCCGCAGAGGAGGCTTTGCGAAACAAAAAGCAAGCTATTCCTTGGTCGAAGCGTGAGCATTCTGAAGACAATGATATCCGCAATTTCCGTATAACAGGATCCCCGGGCTTCTGGGCTGAGGGAGAACCGCGTATGGGACCGGATGAGGATTTCTATGGAGATGATATCACTTCGCACGGACACGGTGAACTTGAACTGCACAGAGAGTTGAGGGAGTACGCTCGATTGGCGGCTTGGGAATTGCCATTGCTCAGCCGTAGGTTAAACTTTTCAATTGAATGGTGCATGGGAATTGTTATACTGACCGCTACTCAGACCTTGCAAAGCCATTCGAGCTTCCAAAGCAACCCTTCCGATTCCGATACACATCATACCTCGGCGAAAGCCACCCGGCCGCAAACAAAGTCGTTGTAGAATTCGCTGTAGCCGACCTGCCAAATTTAACACAATTGCAGAAGGACAAGCTTATCAAACTCGCTGGCCCACGCTACAACCCCAGCACAGATGTTGTCAAGATGTCATGCGAGCTCTTCGACACATTGCCTCAGAACAAGCGATCCCTTGCTGAGACAATCAACAAACTCATCAAGGAAGCGAAGGACCCGAAGGATACATTTGCCGACGTGCCATTTGACTTCAGACACCACAAACCAACAGTGAGGCATGAGTTCCCGAAGGAGTGGATTATGACAGCGGAAAGGAAGAAGTACCTCGAGGAGAAGCGAGCGCTCTTGGCGAAGACGGAAGATGAGAGATTACAAGGGGGAAATATTGTCGACGGACAGAAGATCATCGAGTCAGCGTTGCCTTTCACCACTCCAGAGCCAGAGCCGGTCATGGTGTCTGGACCAAGAGGCAAGAAATTACGGTAGACACAAAAGGATCGCGAATGTTGTATAAATGTGTATCATAGTAATCTGCCCAATTTATGCCCTTTGGCAGAGAGACAAAATAAAGTCCAGCGCCGGTCTCAGACCATGTATTACTGCAAATCAAGAAACTACGTTACATATACATCTAAGAATTTGGGCTTAGGAACAACCCCCCTTTACGTTCTACCGCGCAGGTATCCTCTAAATTCTTCCTCCTCCTGTTCTTCATCGGACACTTCCGAATTCTCTTCGTCTTCACGATCAAACACCATCCCCTGGAACCCATCTCTTTCAGCACCAATCAACGGCGCCCTCTCGCCCTTATCCCTCGTGAAATGCCCGCCAATACTGATGGCTAGCGTGCTTAAGCCGTGGACCAGAGTACTTCCAAGTACTATGAAACAGATGATCGGCCAGACGAGAGTGATAGTCCTCTGCTTTTCCATGGGTAGATCAGATGGGGGATTGGGCAGTGGAAGAGAGGTATCCGTCTCCATCTGGGCGCGAGCTTCAATCGCAAGGAAGAGTGCGCCCACGCCCATGGGTCCAAAATGGCCACAGAACAGTGCTTCGTAGGTGCTGCGGATGTGCGGGAGCAGGCGCATCTTATGGAAAACGTAGACAATTGGGATTCGGCGGAACAGCAGGATCAGTATGAGAGCGCCGAAGAGACGAGGTGTCGTTATGGAGTCTAGATGGCCGAAAGATTCCCAGGGAATCATCGCACCAAAGAAGACGAACATGGTGGAGTTGAGCATCAGGTCAATGATGACAGGAAGTCGGGTATCCGCCGTAGGCGTATTGCCTCCATGCGAGAAGCCTAAACCCGCACAGAATGTGACCAGGAAGTCATCTACTCCAAGAGTGGACGCAACCCCAAGGGAGAAGATCGCAAGGAGAAAGTAGAAAGCGAGATAGGATGCGCGACCCATCATCTCACGGCTGTGACTGAAAATATAGGCACGATTGAAGAAGTGTCCAATCGCAAGCCCTAAAAGAATGCCGAAAAGGCACTGATAGAGGATAGTGATCAGAAACCACTTCTTCACAATGCCGCCAACAGTAGATCGTGTGAGGATACTGATGCCCACGTAGATGAATGGAAAGGAAACGCCGTCGTTGCAACCGCTTTCCGCGGACAAGAGATCGCGAATACGTTTTGGGACTCTAGTACTGAACTGAGAGTTTGCCAGGACTGAAGCTGCAAGTACTGGATCTGTCGGTGTCAGACAAGCTGAGATGATTAGGGCCGTGGGTATGTCCGTTCTGAAGATCAATTTGATGAACATGGCACAGACAAGCCAGCCGAACGCCATGACAGGACCGAGCAAAATACTGATGCTTTTCCATGTTCGGCGAAAATAATCTTGTGGCAATTCCAATCCGACTGCGAAGCATTGTACGCCGACTACCACACGCGTGAATTCCTGCACGACGTCATCGGAAAACCCCCATTTGTATGGCTGAAGCGCGCCGATACCACGCGGGCCAACAATGATGCCAAAAACAGTTGCAAGAGGAGGCTCGGAAAGGTGAAGTCTGTTCCGGATGAGTAGGGAGAAGAGAGCGTAATTAAGTAAGAAGAATGTAAGAACGAGGTAAGTAAGATGTGAGGGCGTCGCCTCGATCTGAGACCACATCTGAGATGGTTTAATCTGGAATAATCGAAAGCTGGGGGGTTGAAATTTATGAATGGATGTCAATATTTGTCTGTATCTGTTTTCTAGATCGGAAGAAATGCGATATAAAGGGAATCGCGTACGATATAAGCTTTTCGGGTGGTTGCCGGTGAATGCATGATCAATGACGATTCCAGAAATGTGGAAGGGAAGTACGCTAGAAACTTGATGGTTCTTTATTGGCTTCCCAGGGTCGAAACCTGGAAAATATCCGCCCATTATTGCCAGCTGAACAAGCACAACATCCTGGCATGGTTGTGATACAAGAATAGAAAGGAAATAGTAATTAAACAATATGTGACATGTCCACAAGTGGGTATATGGTAGTTTTGTGCATATGCAAACGACGTCGTCAATGTGAATGCCAAGCTGAAATCTCCATGACGGACCGAGTTCATTGTATACAACACATGGATATTTTGGTATTTCTGGTAAGGATGCATAGGCTCCTGGAGATACCTTCACCAACCTACGGTAGCCTTTAATCCATTGAATATATTCGAACCGAACGCCTCCTTCCATGCAACTCAATTTCTTCGCTTGCCGTCGCGGCTGGTGAGATTAAAATACAAACAAACAATTACAATAGCGTACGTGCGGAATTTTGTTTAGTTGTCATCATCGGGAGGGCCTGAGAAAATGCCGATGCGTATCCTGTGGAACTATACATCTAAATCAGCCATAGCCCGTACCTTGAATAGGACGCTGATAACTTACTGCTGGGAGTTTTGGTATGATTACAGCTATTGTAGCCGTAACATTGATGATAAAGTACGTCAAATCGTAATGAGTATAATGAGTACTGACTAGGAATAACGTTATAGGGACCATTAAGAGAAACTTCTTTGCTGGTGTATACTGTGCTCCGTTGTCGATCTGTTCCCACATGTTCAGATTGTCGTAGGCACCAGAGTTAAAGTCAAAGGGTACACCGCGGACGTAGTGGAACATGAGATAGGAGCCGAAGGTATACGAGATGTTAGTCAGGGTCCAGGACGTTTCTTGAGAGACTCCGGGGATGATGTCGAATAAGATCTTTCCCATTAGAATCAATACGAAGTGAATCACCCAGGCACCTGAGGAAAATGTCAGCCAACGAGCCCTTTGTACACCATATCTGCCAATGCTCTCTGGAGTGTTACCACTCGAGCCGCAAATCACTTACCCTTAGCGTTCACCCATTGTGAATTCAAGTTTGGCAAGACAGACTGGTCGCTGAGCTGCTCCAAAGACTCCGGGGGTTCGTGATAGACCAAGCTACTAGACCGTCTTCTACGTGCCTCCTTCGCATCGAGAGGCATCTTTCCAGAAGTTGCGCTCAATTTGCGGGGTCTCGGATCGCCAGCAAAGCTCAGGCGGGTGGTACGGTTGAGGAGTATAGGAGACAGTTTGGCGGTATTGAGGAGGTTCGGGGGGCAGGCCGAGGGACGATAGCAGGCTGATCCGAAGCAACGATGGAATTTCGTGCTTCGAGATGGATTTCTCAAAGGCTGCAGATAGGATTTGAAGAGCCCAACTGTAGAGAAGCGGCGTAGGTGGGCGGATACGTCTTACTGTGTGCGCAACAAGTTCCGGCTTGTCCGAGCTTGTGGGGGGGATGTGAGCGAAGGGCGGGAGGCGAATTTTATCGTAAGTTGATGATAATAAGCATTCGGTGAGAATGCAATGGGTAGACGCAGGCCGTAGAGTAGAGAGAAGGACGTGTGGTTGATTGACTTTCTCCTGAAGGTCCGTTGAGAGTAGAAACAGGAAGGGGAAAGTGGACAGGTGACGCTCGGCCAGAAGACCAGAACCATAGGTAGAGTAGGCCGTAGTAAGTAACTAAGTAACTAGGCGTGGTAGGGTACGCAAGTAATTTACTTGGGAAGGAATTCACAAACGCGCGCACGGACGCGCCTGCGCTTCAACTAACTACTACAGATGGGACGGACACCCCAACCTCAACTCCTCAACTCCCCATCCTCGCGCCATCCTCGCCATCCAACCTACCTTACTTGACTGCCTCAACAACTCCGTACTGTTTCCGTCATTATTTCATTTCCTTGTCGCTTCTCAAAGCTCCTCTCGCAATGGCCAGTGAAGCATCGGTGCCGGCAGACACTCAACTGCCCGAGGCTCCATTGGCAGACCATGACGCTTCACGCAGCGCGCCGAAACCGCCAGCATCAAAGCACTCATGGAGGTATGACGCGCCCATTACACTTTTCGCAAAGAAAGTAGTAGACTGAACGCCTGTTAGGAGAAAATATCGCAAGATGCGCGCCAAATTCGAGGATACAATGAACACCAGCAACACGCTTATCAAAGATGAACACAGAGCTCGGGCAACAGCGCGCCGATTGCAGGAGCAGAACGAGTGCGTATTTCCCAGTCTTTTCATCATTCGGCGTCGCGAGTACTAAACTTGACATAGCCAAATTCTAGATCTACTACTGGATATGAACGAGAATGCGCGGTTGCCAGCCAACCTCCGCTTCGACCTCCGCGAGCTCTCCGACGTCGATTCCATCATACCTACGCTGGAACCAGATCCTGAGGCCATCCACCAGAAGCTGCAGGAGTATAGAAGCCAGCTGGTCGACGGCACCATTACGTCTGAAGAGTTCGCACGTAGATCAGATCAACTGCACAGCTCACAGTCCATAATCACAAACCGAACGCTCCCCGGCTTCGAGGCCAAGGTTCCACATACCACTGAAATTCCAGATCCCGTACCCGACGGCCTTATGGTAGATGAACAAGCACCCGGTTATATGTCTCCTGCGCACGAAGAAGAGTATCTTCTTGCTTTAGATCTTGCTTTGGCCGAGCCGAGCTTCGAGCAGAATGTGAATGACGGCCGCCCGATCCGTATTACAACGGTCCGGTCTGTACCCTCCGAAAAAGACCTTTCCATACAAAATCCAGACAGTGTCTACAATTGGCTTAGGAAGCATCAACCCCAAGTGTTCTTACAGGACAAGGACCCCCAACCACCGGAAAGCATATCAGAAAAGTCATCGGCCCGGCCTGCAAATGTGTCTTCGCGGGGTAAGCGTCTATCTACTGGTCCTAAAGTAGACCCGGACGCGATGGATGAAGATGTTCCCTACGTACCAGAGATAGTCACGCCTGTAACTAAGACCAGGAAAGCGCCTAAGGAAAAGGAAGACGACGGTGCATACAGGCCAAAAGGAGGAAGCAGTAGGGCAACGAAAAGGAAGAGAGAAGAAGGAGATCCTGCTACTAAGGGTAGTAGGAAGAAAGGCAGAGCGAGTGGTGGGACCGCTGCCAGCTCCTGATTTGATCGGTAGGATATTGGTGTACTGGCGTTTACATTTGGACATGGGGCGGAACACTCCGAAAATCTTTGGGAACACAAGCAAGGCTCGCAAAACATTTGTCGATTTCATCTTATATTCGATACGGGCGTCGATTTTCGAGCCTTTGGCGACTTTGTATTAGTATGTTGCATTGGATGATTCGGGCGCATTGGGCTAGATACCCCAACACATCATTTCTTTGAAGCCTCTTCTCCGGTCCCCTCTCTTTGCTTGCCGTTTATCCTTCACATATTCCATGGCTTTCAGTCGGATTTGATGATCGATAACCACATGCACTAACCGCCTACTCACGAAGCTAAGAATTAAAATTTTAAAGGCAGGTCGTCAGGAGTGTGACTATGTAATCCTGAACTGAATCCGAGGATAGCACCCGATCACAAGGAGAAGCTTTGTTGTCTGCATATTGTGAACACAACGAAACTCGCCTACAAGAATAGTCGAAGGAGGGAGGATTGGCCAACTTGGCCGAACACATGTCGAGGATATCTACGCGGGACGGCAGGTCGATATCAGAAGATAGATGCGTGGAGTGATTCATCATCTAGCATCTGACATATTTTGCATCACACTAAACGAAGCATTTGCAAGGGGTAGTTAATTATAATGCCTTGATTTTTTTCCATATCCGAATGCTTTTTTCCTTTTCACTGATCCTGAACCACAGCCGCCGAAGCTCACAAACGAGGTAGGTACGTACATGAGTCCAGGAGGAACGAGTCCCGAAAGTTTGGTTCCGAACATAAGACCTTGAACAAAACCCACCATCATTTTTCTTTTACCCAAACGGAATTCACCTCAAAGATTGAAAGCTTTTTCTTGTGTGGAACAGTGGGCGTAGATTGAAGGAATTTTTCATTGACTCTGAGCGCCTCAAGTGCAAATACCGGAAGGGAATTGACCGGCTCCAAGCCCCACCCGCACTGTTCGTTCCCCATGGCATGCTACAGGTAAATTTGTTGTATCATGATTCATCCCCACCATCGTCAGATAAGAAAGGCCTTACTCCGAACTTAATTGACATCCCTTATGCCCTTGCCATAACACCCCAGCAGCGGATGCGGTTATCGGTGTAACCAGCGAACAGAGTCTGGCCATCAGCGCTCCAAGCCAAGCTGACACACTCGGGCTCCCTGCTCTTCTTGCCAACCTCCAAGTACTCGGGCTTGAGCTCATCAACCTTGCTCTTCTTCTCGAGGTCGAAGATGATGATGCTGGAGGCAGTGGCGGCGCACAACCAGTAGCGGTTGGGGGAGAAGACGAGTGCGTGGATCTCGTCACCAGCAGTGAGAGAGTAGAGGTGCTTGGACTCGTTCAAGTCCCAGAGCATGGTAGTTCCGTCCTTACCACCGGAGGCGCAGAGAGAGCCATCGGGGGAGATGGTGACGGTGTTGATGTAACCGGTGTGGCCGATGTGGTCGGTCTGGATGCGGCACGAGGCGAGTTCCCAAACCTAAGAATTATTGGTCAGCTCTTCGCTCAGCCAGAAATAATTCCAAAACGATGGGTTATTGGGTGTTAGGGTCAGTCGCGGGTGATTATTCTTCTCATAGCACAAAGGCTCTGAAGTAGCAAATACATTAAAAGATACCAAATCATCATATGGGAATGGTAGTGGGCAAAAGTCGCAAATCCACCAAAACGATCAAATTTTCCACTCACCTTGACGAGCTTGTCCCAACCAGCAGAAACGATGACGGGGTTCTGGGGGTTAGGGCTGAACCTGACGCAGGAAACCCACTCGGTGTGGCCCTTCTCGGTGATGGTGAACTTGCAGTCTCCGAGAGTGTTCCAGAGCTTGATGGTTCGGTCACGGGAACCGGAAACGATCTGGCGGTTGTCGGCGGAGAAAGAGACGGAGAGAACGTCGTTGGTGTGGCCAACGAATCGTCGGGTGGTGGCACCAGTGGAGAGCTCCCAGAGACGGAGGGTCTTGTCCCAAGAAGCAGAGAGGGCGTAGGCACCGTCGGAGGAGATCACCTGTTCAAAAAATCGTAAGCCCTTCTGTTCGCAATTTCCATGCCGCCAATCGCTTCATCTTCTTCATTTGTGGGTTCAACATACACAGTCGGAGACGATGTGGGAGTGACCGTGGAGGCTCCTCTTGGGGTAACCGTAGGAGGTCTCGTCGCGGGTGAGGTTCCAGATGATGAGGGTCTTGTCACGAGAACCAGAGAGAAGCATGTTAGGGCTGGCAAATTGTCAGTATCTTCTTCAAAAGCACGACGGAAACTTGGGGGAATCCTACTTCTCAAGGGAAGTCGCAAGGGAAGTAACCCAGCCATTGTGGCCCTCAAGGGTGCCACGGAGAACCAACTGCTCGGCCATGATGTCTGTAGGGCGGCTGAAGCTGTCGAAAGAAATTGGGGCGCGCTCGTGGGAAGTTGAACAAAAGGCGACGACGATGCAACTTCTACGAAAGTCAGTCGCCAGTGCCCGCCGATTGTGTGTCGCGCTAGCCTTATTCAGCGCGACAAGCGAGTCGAAAAATGGGTGGACCATGCCAACCGTGCCAACCAAAATCGGCCACCCCAACGTCCGATGGTACCTCGCCTGTAATCACCAGGGGAGGGATCGAAAGAACATACTCGCAATATACCACCTTGAAGCTAAATCAGAAGTTTATCAGGTAGCTTTCAAATTTGCTACTTTTCTCGGTATCAATGATAAACAAGAATGTAGTCTGAAATGGAAAATCTGCCTAGGGCACTGCTTTTATGTACCTGGGTAAGTACTGTACTGATGCCACCCGAATTTCGAGTATTCGAGTATTATGGTGGCCGTCACTTCATGCAAAGACGATAAAGATATACAGAGTAGTATAAATATAATTTGTCTTGCCTGTACTAAGAAACAAAATCGTACTTAGCTATACAGATTATCAAGATGCATTCTTAGATGCTTCATGCGCAGAATGGATAAGTACGCTCCGCGACTCAACGAAATCCAGGATATTCGAACAAAAGGCACAGTTTCAACATCCGAACACTTTCGGAGTGCAATTTCACCAGAGTGCAATTTACTTGGGTGCATTTCTTCCTGTTCATACCTGTTACCGCTGTTCACTTCACACAAAATCCTAAATCCTAAGTCCGAGGCCAAGAAAGGCCTCACGTGAGCTTACATCACCGCTGCTTAGATATTGAGGAGAGTTACAAACATCACAGTATAAATCGCTGGACAAGGTAAGTTGATATTTGGCAATTAAAAAATGTCTTCATCCCAGAGAATTCTCCTTGTCGGTGCCGGCGAACTTGGCCAGGCTTTTCTACCCCATCTTTCTACATTACCGAACACGACAATAACCATTGCGGTTCGCACAGCATCCAAATACAACCATCTGATCGATGACAATATCAATATCATATCTCTGGACCTTTCAGGTCCTTCTTCTGATGTGGCCAAATGTCTCGCGAATTATGACATCGTAGTCTCGTGTAGTGGTTTCGGCCAGCCGGCGGGTACGGTGACCAAGCTTGCTGAAGATGTATTGGAAGCTGGGAAGCAGAGAAAGGAGGCGGGCAAATCGCCGGTATGGTTCTTTCCATGGCAGTGGGGGGTAGACTACGACATCACCGGGGACGGTGGCGGTCTGATGCCGTTGTTTGGAGAGCAGCGCGAGGTGAGGAACCTATTAAGACAAGAAGCTTCGCAGTCTCATGTGAAGTGGACGATTGTATCCACAGGTATATTCATGTCCTTCTTGTTTGAACAGTTCTGGGGCATCGTAGTTCGGCAAGAAAATCAAATTACTGTCAGGGCGCTCAGGAGTTGGAACCACAAGATTACGGTCACGGACGTCAAAGATATTGGCAAAGTTCTGGCGAGAATTGTCGCTGGGGATGTCGAAGGGAAAGATCGTATCGTTTATGCGGCTGGCGATACTGTCAGTTACGCGAAACTAGCGGACACAATCGAACAAATCACTAAAGGCCGTGTTGACCGTGAAGAATGGACGGTAGCCCACCTCAAAGAAGAGCTAGAAAAGGATCCAGATGATCTCATCAAGAAATACCGGCTGGTGTTCGCTGGTGATGGTGTATGGTGGAATAAAGATCTGACAGTAAACTACAAGCTGAACATGCCCGTCATGACCGTAGAGGACTACGCTCGAGAGCTCCTGAGCTAGTTGTAATTCTCAGTCCTTCTATATCCTGTCGATTTCCGATTCCATGTTTCACATTAGGCAGAAATGTGATCTACTTACAAACATGAGCATGAAAAAGAAGTTGATAAGAGTGAACATACATGAGTCCACCTGCTGCATGGTTTTTGAACAATATGAGATTCCCTTGCAGAACTTGATTTGCTTTCATTGTGGTATCTAATCTAGACATAAGTCTAGCAATGTTTCTCCAGAATTACCCTGCCTTAATAACGCCTTGAGAATGTGATCTTGGTCTAACGTCCCGGAGGTCCGCCGTGAGGTGGAAATGGTGGCGGTTGAAAGCCTCGGCCTGCGCCTGGCGGTGGGAACGGCATTCCACCTGGGGGAGAACCAGCCTGGTTCGGAGGGAAGGGAAATGGAGGCATAGGCCCTCCAGGAGGTCCGCCTTGCAGGTGTGGTGGAGGAAAGGGCATATTTGGTGGCATGTTCGGAGCACCGCCAGGGCCGGGAGGGCCTCCGGGCATGTTAGGTGGTGGAAACGGCAATCCGCCGGGTGGCATAGGTGCTACAGTGAAGTTAGATCTCAAATTTCGGACTTGATGGTCAAGTAAACATACGTCCACCACGGCCAGCCATGAATGGAGGCAGAGGCATTCCTGGTGGGGGCATTCCGGGCGGAGGTAGGCCGTGGGGTGGAAAACCTGGGCCTGGGGCCCCAAAGCCTCCCATTCCTGGCAACCCTTGATGTAGAGGATTTGCCTGTCCTTCAGCGGTATATGCGTCCGTTATGGAGTTGATGACCTGTTGTGTTTGATCGGAGGAGATCTCTATAAAGAGCCATTAGCACCAAACTTATATGGCGGCGGATATTGAAGTCGTACGTTCGTAATATGCTTGAACATTTCGCAAATGATTACGGCCGGAATTATGCGCTTTCCGCACGCTCATCGAGTCGTGTGTGAGGTATACATCGCAGTAGTCGCCTGTCAATGATTAGTCGCAAACGTCAGGCTCAGATCAGTGAGGGTTCCTACAGAAGAGTAATGTAACGTTAGTGACACAGAATATTGTTTTAGAAAGGGCAATACTTATATTTCGGCATTTTGAGAAACTTCCCGTCGACAATGAATGTGTGATGCAAAGATCGTTGCTGTCGCGTTGAAGTGTCGCGATAGCTCAAAGTTCGGGGACGACATCGGAGTTTTATTTCACCGATGTATAAGAACACCTTGCTTCCAATCAGGGCAGGCCTCACGACTAGCACAATATCAAAGGGATCTATGACTGAAATCATATAGAGCATGAAAATCACCATTCATTGTAAAATCTAACTTTGGCGCACAAGAAATTTTGCTCAGTTTTCACTCGAAGAAAATTATAGTGTTGAAATATGACATTTTCACTCGTGCTTCCAAGAGCAAACAGATCAAGCGATACAGAGGGTTCTATCTTGGAGGCCTTGGTCCTAATATCTGTCGTCTCCCACCGAAACTGATGCCGTTACCAACCTTGTTTTGATTGTCACCGCCCATATAACCATACTGGTTGACATCCCAGGACTGGCCTTCGCCTGTACCAGCGTTCGGGTCTCTCTCAGTGTTTTGTAGGGCTTTTTGCGCATCTTCCCATTCGCGCTGGCGTTCTCGCTCTCTTTCCATCTCTCTTTCCAGGAGTGACTTTGATGCCCAACCACCAGCCTTGGTTTTTGTCTGAGATGCGGTCCTGCGAGCATCCTCGGCGGCACGCTCAGAGGTAGACGTGAGCTCCGGCGGAATATGGCTCGCTGGCTTGGGCGCCACGGGAGCAGGGTTCGAGGCTAGATATCGATCTGTGCGATTCGACTTTGCGTAAGAAGCGGGATCTGGTAGTGGCCTCGCAGAGCTAGTTGTGGGTTCAGGGAGTGGACGTGCAGGGAGACTCGGCGCAACAGGCTCTGGGAGAGTCCTTGCGGGGGTTTTTTGGTTATCAGTCCACTGTTTGCGAAGGTATTCGCGCTCGTCAGCGTTCGCCCACGAGACCTGGCTGTCCTGTGGAGATGGTGCCCGCGGAGGTGGCCGTGGGCGACTTCGTGATCGTTCTCGCGTGCGGCTCTTCGATCTTGAGCGAACTTTCCGCCGCTCATCGTCCTTGTGTCGATCGTCGCGCTCCCGTTGATACTGACGCTCACGCTCTTTGGCCTCCTCGAGTTGTCTTTCCAGGTCCTTGATCCGCTCCCGCTCAGCATTTGCCTCCGGATCAGCCTGGCTGTTGCGCCGACTGCGAGGCTTGCTCGTTTGTTCGGACTGGTACTGGCTAAGATATTGTCCTCGAAGCCTTGCGTCACTTCCCGCTCGCCTTCGCCGATTTTCGCTGTCGAGCCTCTGCTGCTCCTCGCGTTCTTCCCGCTGCCGCTGCTCTTCTTCAAGTTTCCATTGCCTCTCCTGCTCTTCCCATTCCCGTTTCTGTTGATCAAGTCGTTCCTGTTTGGCTTCTCTCTGCTTTCGCGTCTCCTCCTCCCATCGCTGTTCTTCCTCGATACGTTGACGCTCTTCCTCAGCCTCGCGCTCTACGCGACGCTTATGCTCTGCCTCTTCCCCGGCGACGCGCAGGCGCTCTTCTTCTGCGGCCTTCTCTTTGCGTATGCGTTCTTTCTCTGCTAGATTCGGGACATGCGGGCCTGCGCTCGTGATCTGTCGACGGGCGCCAAAGGAGATGCCCTGGTTGCCTTGACTGGCGCCGCCCATATAGCCGTATTGATGAATGTTCCAAGCCGGCGCTGTCACTCCCTCATCCGTACGCCTACTCCAGCTGCTGACACTACCAGGTGGTGACTTTGGGATTCCATTTGAAGTCTTAGAAGAGTTCGAGCCGCCTGTGAGTGATGGACTCAGCGCCCTATCCGCTGACGGTCGAGCGAGAGGGTTGAAGGTGGTTGAGCCACTAGTGTTGCTCGTTGTACTGGGTCCCCTGCTGCGTCCGAAACCAGGAGAGTTGAGGGAGCCCGCATTGCCATAGCCGGTTGCCCCGGTCGTCGAAGGGCTGAGTGGCCCACCACCAGAACGTTTGGGGCCTATGGTGGTCGGGAAATTGGATGGATTAATGCCATGGGCAACGCGACTAAAAGCGCTAAGGCACTGGAGCACCTGCGCAGGATCCTTGGATTCGTAGAGGTCTACAGTCAAGAATCTGTCGTGCGAGGGCATGTTCAGAGGAGGTTGTTCGCAGGCGCGGAGGAAGTGTGAGATGTTTTCCATCTGTATAAATGGCATCGGCGATTTTTTGAATTTGACTCCAGGGTTCGGTATGGCGAGGTTTGCTAATCTGTGATAGATGTTAGAACGTCCGTATGCAATGATTGAAAGCAGAGTAAGCGCACTTGCACAACGCCGTGCCATCTTTCAATGCGTCCAAAAGGTCTCCCGCTGGCAATCGCTCGCCCAGTGTATCTTCAATCCAGCTCCTCGCTTCGTTGGCGGCCTGAGGAGTGTATCTTCCCATCCGTAACTTCTTCATATCCTGATCGAGAGACGTGACCGAAGCCATGGTGTCTGGCCTGGGTTGGGCGCAAATCAAGTAATAGGGTTATTATCGGGCAAGTCGCAGGTGGTATCGGAGTAATAGGGTTAAATAGATAGAATGCAAGAGGAAATGCGGACGAAGTTACGGTTTCGATAGGGGAGAGGCCGGCGACGTGAGATCGAGGGATTGGGTTTGTTTGTGTACGTTGTTATGTGCCAGCATGCCAACGATGCGAACGATGACTTGCGAAGTAAGTGGTGGGCGGTGGGTGGTGGGGGAGGGCGGGAAGAGATGGGTGGCCACCCCAGCCACTCGGTGTCGTCACTCGGGAACGGAGAACGCGTCCTCAAGATCGCCTCCAAGGCTGCCCTAAAATTTCCATAATCATCACATCGCAGACGACCATGGCGAACTCCGTTGGCCCCGTGCGAAGGCTATGGTATCAATGGAAGATGATGCACCTGCCTTGGAGGCAGAAATGGCTTGTTGGTATGTCTGCCTATTTCTACGTATAGGTATCAACTGTGTATGTGCTCCAAATTTGCACAGCGCTGTGCATGGCCATGGAATTTACATGGAATTGGCCATAGACGGCTCAATGCCTTTCTACAATCTATAGAACGATATCCCTCTATGCGCTTGTTTATCAAGATTGCCTTCATCTGCGACTGCGTGGTCCAACCCTGCACTCGGAGAAATCATTTCATTGTTTCTATCCGCCCTATGATTCTAACGTCTACCAGGCTTTGACCTTCAGGGAAACACTTTCTGGGAGTTCAAAGATGCCTTGCACTCGAATCGGAAACGTAGAATTGTCAAGTACAGTCGGTGGACACATTACGGAGATGTGAACGTCGATCGTTAGTCCCTCCACTTCCACCACGGATGATAACCAGTATTAACATACGGCTACAGCTGGATGGATGCAATGGCTTCGACACACGCGATACGACCCACCCTCTCTCGCCGAACAACGAGCCGATATAGCAAGACAGGAACGCATCAAATTGCTTGCCGCACAAGCAGACGCTCGGTGGGCTGCGAAGGAATCCGCATTGGACAAGCCAGATCAAGAACAACAGCCGCACCTGCTGGAACCAAAAGAACCACAAATGGCTTCGGACCGGGTTGATATAGAACAAGAGATGGGTGACCGCGTCTCAACGACACGATCGCCTGAGCCAGCGCGGGATACTGAAGGAACCGAAGGGGGTCCTACTACAACAGCGCCCAAGAAGTTCAAGGCAAAGAAAGAGCCAAAGGAGTCTCCGTTCAAATCTGCCACGCCCAGTAATCCTGGCGATGAATGGCAGCCAGAGTCCTGGACACCCGCTCCAGCGAAGCGAAGAAGATGATGTGCGGAGGATCGACTGTATAAAACACCATGTACATTATTCATTGTATACGAAAACCCACCGGTCGGTAAATATCATATATCCATGCATTACGGGAATGACGAATTGAATTGGACAAATCACTCGAAGCGTAACAACATGGCAATGTGCGTAAAATTAATGAAGGCCCGGATCGCCTTCCAGGGCATGTCTTCTAAGAGCACTGCCAAGGTCGTTCAGAAGATATTCACAGTCTCCTCCTTATCCGACTACTTCACTAATCCTCCACGACTTCTATGCCATCAATGATGACACCCAAGTCCTCCGCTTGATTGCGTCCACTGACGCCAAAAGTGATCTTATTCACCGCACCTTCTTCGAGGTCCAGAGCGACAGGCACAACATCATGATGCCCTGCACGGTGATTCAATGACGAAATGTTGACAGCAGGTCCACCATTGACATTCACATAAGCCTCCCCAGACTCCAGATCTTTAACGCGGTAGTGGAACTGCACCCATTGGCGGCCCCCGAGACCAGTAACATTATAGAAGACGACCTGGGAATCGGGAGTAACTGATACACACACGTTAGCTCGGTCAATGGACGTATGAAGAGAAGAGTGCATACTTTTATGGACTCCCCGTTTGGAAAGACAATGCTCGCATGACGTGACAGCGGCACGGCCCACGATCTCGGCATGTTCAGCTTCGTAGCGTCTCTTCTTGCTCGGGAACGACACGACGCCAGTGTTGACGTCAATCTTCCACTGAGCGTGATACTCCAGAGTGATACGCTTACTATTCGTATCCACATTCATGGGAAGCCAGACGTAGTTCGAGTCTGGCCCGCCTTTCGAATCCCAGCTGTCACCCATGTAGATGTACGTCGTCTTCTGGCTGCCCTTGACGGTCAATTGGAATGTATTCTGCGAATTGTACGTCTTCTTGTCTTCGGGGGCAATCCCGTACGGCCCGTTCCAGCTTCCGCCGTTGAGCTTGTCAGTCCAGAACATGGAGTTGGGATTGCTGCGCCAGCCTGTCTTGCCGGAGACGATCAGGTAGTATATGCCGTTGACCTTGAGTATCCCGGGGGCTTCGTAGGCGCCCTTGGCGAGCAGGTTCACACGGGAGCCGATAGTGCCGTCGCTGTTGATCTTGTTGATCTGGACGTTGTTGTGGTCGGCAGAGGTGAGGAGGTACCAGGTCTGGTCGGCTTCGTCGTAGAACATGCCAGTGTCAGAGTAGGTGTAGCTATTCGGCGGCAATGTGACCTTTGAGCCGGAGAGCGCATAGTTACCGGCAATAGAGGTCGACTTAAGCGCTTGCACGTTCCGGTCAATTTGCCCGTACATCTATATCGTCTCAGTCATCTTCCGCTGAAATAACGGTCCCGGTGGTTTGATGAACTTACCCACCATGAGCCATTAGGCTTCGCGAGCTTGGGACGCCACATCCACTTCACGGTGTTCTTTGGGTTGTTCGAAGGCTCCCAATCTAGGAGATTCTTCGACGTATACAAGTAAGGTTGAACCTCTATGTCATTCGTTAACCTCTCTGATGATGATTGTGCTCAAGAACAACACACCGTGACTTGCAGCCTGTCCAATCCAGTAGAAGGTATCCCCTTCCTTGATAACCATTCCGCCATGAGCGTCAATCTTGGTGTTGGACGTCGACATCCATGCTGCTCCGGGAACAATCCATGAATTTGCAGCGTGGACTATAGCAATCCCTCCGCTGAGCGCAAGTAAAGTCTGTTTTACCAGCATTGTGACGGACTAACTTTTGAAACCGATGTGCAAATATTCGTAGAACAGCAACTGAGAATACCATTCTTTTATACTCGGGGTAACAATGTTACCCTATTTTTGTTCTACTTCCTCCGCTTCAACCTTATAGATGGATCAATATGACATACCCCGGATTTATCCACGCAACCGGGGTGGACTACAAATGAGGTCAGGGTAAGTATTCGACAACGTTGAAGCTACTAATTGATATTCCTGGATTAATGTGTCGCTTCCACCAATCATCCACATAATGCAGCGGTAATCCGGGGAAGTGACGGCCGAAGCAAATATAGCTATCGTTTAGTCCGGTGATGATATGTACTTGAGTAGATCGACATTGTTTGAGTCAAAGGAAGAGTTGTCAGTCCGATTGCGAGCATGTCTTCACTTTGAGTAAAGAATCACGGTGCTTTGGTATACATTTCATCTACTTCATCTTTAAGATATTTATTACTATTCTCGGGGTGTACTAGAGACATAAAATGATCAATACTGTACAATCAATTAAATACAACCTCACACACAAGTCCTTCTCAACCCTTCCACAAATCCCCCAACTACTCTACGCCTCTGCACAGCCACCTCAAAAAATATAACCTTTATCATAAGCTCCGTCGAAAGTCGAGAATCATAACTTCAATGTCATGTCCGAACACATGCTTGGTAACCTTAGCCCTCTCGCCTCGAAGCTCACAACCACACTAAACCCGATCCGAAACCTACCGAGGCAAATCCCCCTCCCCCCAACCAGACCCGAACGACGTCGCGCATCGATTGTCAGAAAGCTCTCCTCCTTCCTCTCCCCGGAACTTTTATAATTTCTTTTCCTCACACGTATTCATAATAAACACACGTTTGACCTCTTGAAAGTGCACTTCAAGAAGTTTAAAATCAGAGACCCAGACGAAAAGATCACGGAAAAGAAGAAAGGAAAAGAGATAGTAAAGCCAAAAGCTCAAGCAACGAAACGTAAAACGCAACCATGGCAGAGGAGTACAAGTATGAGTTCTTCAACGTCACGTTCCCGGCGGAGTACGTTGCGCATGTCGAGATCAATCGACCGGAGAAGCTGAATGCTTTCAAGGAGATGTAAGTTATATTTCTATTCCTATTCCGTTACTGCTCTCCGGTGTGGAGACCATCGCTTCCTGGGTTGCGTCGGCTCTTCCCCCAGCGCAGCTGATCTGGTCGCGGGAAGTTGGGATATATCTCAATCCTCGATTGACATCCACGGCCACAATTGAAGACTTTGAGATGTTGAACACTTATTATTTTACTATTTTGTAGCATAGTAACGACACCGTCTTCGTTCTCTGCTTCATCGCTTCTTCCATCACTCATTTCTCCATCTCTATGTATCCAAGCACTTTATTTCCCCCATCCATGATGATATATTAAACCTCTCCAACGCAAGACCCAAACCCCAACTAACAAACCCCCCAGCATGTGGCTGAATCTCTCCAAGATCTTCCGCCGCCTCTCGCACGACCCCAACGTCCGCGCCGTGGTCCTCACGGGCGCAGGCCCCCGCGCCTTCACCGCCGGCCTCGACGTGCAAGCCGCATCCGAAGGCAGCACGCTGGGCCCCGCCGCCGCAGGCACGCCTCGGGACGTCGCGCGGTCCGCTGTCGGAATCCGGCGGCACGTGCTCGAGTTCCAGGACTGCATCACGGACGTGGAGAAGTGCGAGAAGCCTGTGATTGCGGTGCTGCACGGCGTGGCGTTTGGGCTTGCGCTGGATATGAGCCTTGCGTGCGACATTAGGCTCAGTACGAGGGACGCAAGGATCTCGATTAAGGAGGTGGATATTGGGATTGCGGCGGATATCGGGACGTTGTCGAGGTTGCCGCATGCGGTGGGCAATGCGTCGTGGGTTAAGGAGGTGTGCTTGACGGCGAGGATCTTCGGTGCGGAGGAGGCGCAGCAGGTTGGGCTTGTGTCGGGCGTGTATAAGGATAAGGAGGAGGCGGTGGCGAGGGGTCTGGATATCGCGAAGCTGATTGCTACGAAGAGTCCTGTTGCGACGATGGGCACCAAAGAGATCTTGAATTACTCGAGGGATAGGACTGTCAGTGATGGGTTGCAGTATACGGCCATCTGGAACAGCTCGATGATACAGACGCAGGATGTCAAGGATGCTATGTTGAGTGGGCTGCAGAAGACGAAACCTAAGTTCGCGAAGTTGTGAAATGTAGCATCTACCGTATTTATGATTGGATGTTTCTAGAGTAAGATAGTGTTTGGTGAATAAGGATATGATGAAGAGGTTTGCATTCATCTTGTACTAAGACGTCTGTGACGTCCTGGTGGGCTTATATATGTAGTAATGCTGTTCGTCAAATATCCAAACAAGATACGCCGACTTCCTTGTCCAGACCACGACAGTGAAGCCTATGCATGATACCAAGATACTTTGTATCCTATAGTATGGAAAGAAGTAAGAAAAAAGCACATGAATCGCTCAATGCCAGTTATACCCAATATATGTCTCCTATAGTCGTTCTTCGCTGTTAAACCCGTTTCAATGGAGAGCGAACATGTTCATAAAAACCGGTCAATGCGAAGGTCGTAAGCGAATGAAATGAAATGAAAACCACCAAACACCTTTCAACATAAAACGACACTCTGGTATCTCCGAAATAAAATGAGATGGAAACCCCTTTCCGGCCAGGTAGCGCAAAAGAAGGGGAGGAGGGGTGGATGAAATGCTGCCTGGAACCGGAAAGTCACGACATAACGCTGGAAACTTAGTCCTTGCTCTTCTTCACCATCTTCAGCTCCGGGAGCTTCTCTCGTAACTTCTGCACGCTCTTCTTTTTCTTCCACAGCATCCTGTAATACTCGGTGAGATGAGGGAACTTCTCCTCGTCCCAGTCGTCCCACTTGGTGATAATCTCATCCAATATAGGCCAAGTCGTACAATCGCCGACCGAAAAGCGACGACCCGCAATGAAGGGTCCAGGACCCATCGCGAGCTTCTCCTCAAGCTGCTCGATCATGTTGACAACATCGCTCTGGTATGTAGGAACGTGGCGGTTCATCCAGAACTTCAGCAGCCCCATGACCATTACCATGATCTCGTAAGATTTGGAATTGGTAGCGCGGCCTCGATCATCGCGGTCCAACGGGTAGTATCGGTCGAGGTAGATGAGGATGGGCACGGAGATGGGGGTCTCGGTGTGGCTGATGTCGTTGTCACGGTAGCAGACCTGGCGATCGAGTTCGTAGGCTTTGTCAAGGGCCGGCGCCTCAATCAATGTGTGCTTTAGCTTGTTTTCGGCGAGGAAGATCTGTACCATTCTCGTCTCGGTGATGTTGTTGGAAGCGAACAGAATCGGGGAGTCCTCCGGCGCATCCCTGAAATGAAGGACATCGAAGCCGTCGCCGTAATGCTCGTCCCAATCGAAATCCGATTGATGATTTTCCTTGCCGAATGCACGAACTACCTTCTCGTTTTCTTCTTCGTCGTCGTTGATCACGTCTCGCGCACCACTCAGATTTTTCGATGTCGCTCCTTGGCCCCAGATCGTGCTGTTTTCTGCGTCCAAGAATGTTCCGATATGGCGGAACGTGAGAGAGATACGAATTCCCGAATACGCTGTTTCGTCCTCACTGCGCTCAGCTTCTATTCGTTTGTCCGCCATGATCCCATGTAACCATTTCTTGTTTGTATCCAAGCCCAATACGAACATGGAGTTATGGGGCATCGCGACTCGTTGGGTTTCTCGCTCGTGTGCTTCCTCCTCATCACCATTGGTAGTTGCAGGCTTTGCCACCTTCTTCGTGCGCAATCGCATCGTCCTCTGGGCCCCGAAACTGACATTGACAATGCTAGATCCTCGCACAATATCAAGTGTCTTATCTGAATGTTCAGAAATGTAATCGTTGCCAGAGCGGTACAATTGGATCAAAACGTGATTGAGAGGGTGACCAACGAGCTTCTCAGCCTGCTTTCTGATCACCTGCACCTTTGGAGAGAAGTACAATAATGGCAATGTCTGGTCTGTAGGATGTCGATAAACCGGCATAGAGCCATCGGCGCCGAATTCACCCTGGCAACAGACAAGCCGTGGGACTTCACCTGTCTGGTGAAGCATCTTCTGCCACCGTACTTCGTTGTATAATTGATGGAAGATAACATCCTTGAGTGGCTTCGAAGGCTCTGTGAGGTGCTTGAGAGTAGGTGGGAAGAAGTTGTATATTATCCTAGAATCGCCCTCGGCGATGCGATCTCCAGGACGCAGCACTGGAAAGTTCGCGAGAGACTTGAGTTTCTTCCCCATTGGAGGTTTCTTAGATGTGGAAGGAGATGTTGTTGGAGGTTCAGGTGCCGCTCTAGAGGGAGATTGAGGGGCATCAGCAGGCAGCGTCTTTGTTGAGTCAGACTTCAACGATCGCTGTAGTGCAAGACGTACAGCACTACGAGCCGAAGGCTGCCTTGAATCGTTGGCGTCTGCACCTGCACCGGAGAGGACAGGGTGCGAAGCAGACGACTTGAGAGACTTCTCGCGATTCAAAGATGGTGATTCGCGAAGTCTATCGCTACTTTCAGCTTTGGTGATGGTGGTCGGTCTCGAAGGGTTGTCATTCACAGGTGGTCCAGCTTCTTTGGAAGACTTGACTGGTGGCGCATTAGTGGCCGCCGCCTCACCGGTTTTGGTACGAGAGCTTCCCTCAGCTTTGGAAGCGGTGCCAGCAGCCTTCGCCGCCTTGTCTTCAGTCTTTTCTTTCTTGCTTTTGTCTGTGCGAGACCTCATGCGAATTTTCGACTTGACCAAGTTCTGCTTAGCGGCCGGTGCGGTCTGATATGAGTCCTTGGGCAGTTTTGCGCCCTGACTGAGCTTCTCTGCGAACTGCTCGTCGCTCAGTTTAGTATCTGTAGTTGCGCGACTCTCCGCCACAGATAGATCTGACAGCGTACGGTGTCGGCTGGTCGTTGTCAATTGTGAGGCTCTGTCCGAGGGTTGTCTGGCGAGACTGCTCCGTGCTGAACGCTTGTCGTTTATCTGTAGATTGCTTATCAGATTTTCGAGTTTTTCGTCGTCGTCATCTTTGTCGTTGGAATCGTCGTCGTCGGCTTCTATGATAATCGATCTTGTGCTCTGTTTCTGCGGTTGCGGCGGTTCTCTGTTGACGACGTCCCGATCTAGGATCTCCTTACTTGTGACCATGTTCGCATCGAAGAACTCGACCATCCTCTTGAGAGCCTCGTCATGGCGTGTGCGTTTGCGAAACCCTAGACAGTCTTCTATAACATTGATTTTGATTCCATGGCGGGCAGCATCAACCACGGTAGCGAGTACCGAGACATTGGTAATACAACCACAGATGAAGAGCTCTGTGACTAGTTTCGCCCGGAGGATCAGGAGGAGGGACGTTCCCAGGAAGGCGGAATAGTTAGTGGTCGGCAGGATGGTATCTGATTGTTCGATCTTGGGCTTGAGGGAGTCGATGAATTCGGCCCCGGGCGTGTTGGGCAGGCACGCGGGACCGTTTTTGGATGCTCGTAAGAGGAAAAGCTCCTCGTCTTCGTCCGACGTAGGATTTGGATCACCACCTTTACGGGGTACGGGTGGCTTGCGTGCGGAGACTCGTTTGAGCAGATCGAGGGCTCGCTGCTTGCGCCGCGACGATCTTGACTGGGTGGGCGGGATAAGGTCCTTGGGGAGATCGTCGTCGTCGTCCGTGCTGCTCTCAGCGCCGTCCACTAGACCCCCGACCACAATGGCGTCGCCCTCGCCCGTGGTGGGGTCGTTGGCCAAACGGTCAGTTTCGTACAGGGTCTTGACCCAAATGATATTGGCGGATAGTTGGCGGAATTTAGGGACGATGGAATCGATGCGCTCGAGGAATCCATTGCGGGTGTCGACGGGGAGTCTACCATCTGGTTGGATGAAGTCGTTCTGTAGACCAATGACAAGTAGCGCCTGGTGTGTCTGGAAATGTGGTTGATTTTGGGAGATTAGATCCAGAAGGGACAGCATCTTGCCGTCGCCGTGGTTGGATGATGGAGCCAAGATTAATTAGGCATGCGTATACATTTGGGTAGAGAGGATGATAAAGTGCGCTGTTGGAATTTGGAGGGTGCAGATTTTCGAAAGATTTATTGGCAGGCCGGGGGGTTGTTGTGTGTTTGGTTGGGTTTGGCGTTGGTATGGGATAGTAACGAAATCGCTTCTCATGAGGAAGAGAAAATAAAAGGGTGGTTTTTAGGAGACGTGAGATGGAATAGAGTGGAGTAAGATCGAGGACGGGGAAGAGAAGGAGAAAAGAGGAGAATATAAGAACAGGAAGAGATATATGTTGGAAGGTGTTGTTCAAGTTGCAGTCGTCTGTGGAGGGAAGATGTAGGGAATCTATGTGTTTGCGGTGGTTATGATGGTGGTAGTGGTAGTTGGACGTCGGGATAAGGCATGTCCTCGCTTACAAGGATATTGGAAGAAATTATGGCGGTTGAAGGGATTCGTTAATATGCATATGCATGATGAGATGGTAGGAGACGGACAGATGAACGGTACGGCAAGTTAAAGCAGAGGAAGATTAGAGGATGTGGGATGCTGGTTGGTGGTGGTATGGGGATGAGCGTACAAGAGAAGAGGGAAATGATGGGCAACCAGCGGCGAGGGAAACCTACCCAATTCCCCGTGTTCGCTTGTTTTCTTTCGTATTCGTAGTGTAGCGTAGCCTACCGATACTCCAGCTATTATTCCGTGATCGCTGTGTATGTAATGACGGAGTAGACCACGAGGATGTGTAAGTGAAGAGAAAGGGAAGGGGAATGGGAGAGGAAAGAGATATAAGTTCACGCGGAAGCGAGGAGAGAGGAAAAGTGCAAGGGAAGCCAAGAGGAAGAAGAAGAGGAAGAGAAGGAAGAGAGACGAGAGTCAGAAGAAAAATAATCCAGGGAAAGAGCAACAGTCAACTAGGGACAGTGCCAAAGGGAAAGGGAAGGGAAGGGAAGGCACGAAGGGAAGGGGTATCACACTGACTGCGGGCCGCAAAGCGCACTGCGGCTATGGCTGCAGGGTTCAGTTCGCCTCATGCACTGTCAACCAACTTACCTACTCACTAACCTCAATATCCATATCCATATTCATACTCGTACTTATAGGACTCCTGCTCTAAAGAGGAGAAACTGAAAGAGGCCTGATTACAGAGAAACACTATGCGATCTCCCATTTTCCTTTCTTGTATTCGAAATCCATACACAATTGTACAATATACACAGTATATCCTTAGTTTAGATACCTGTGTACACCATATACCTAGGGACCTAGGTAGGTATACTACCTGCACCTTGCCTCTATATTTCATTAATACACCCATCTATGATACAATACTTCGTACTATGTGACTAGCGGTACACAGGCGAAAGACGGTGAGCTTCACGTACATACAATACACTATGAGGCGTAAACCTGACTTGACATGAACCCAGGCGCCGGGTGCTGCTGGCCGTATCTCCCGGCAGATGCCCTCGCCCATACAGATATATACCACCATATGCCTTATACCATATACCGTCGTATGTCCATTCTCATTTATTCCTGTTCCTTTGCTTACTTGTGCTTCATTTCGGTTACTTTCAAGAGATTTTGTTTTACTTGATCAAAACTCCCCAGATCGAGATGCAACGGCTATACCCGTCTATCCGTCCGTTCTAGGACGTTGATTGATTAAATTGAGGCGTGTACTCCGTAATACCCACATGCTTCTTATAACATTGCTAGCAGTAGGACCGTTAACTTGACATGGTAAATGGCAAGCATGGATTTTGGTTTTGTATCACCAAATGGGAACACAAACTGTTCGACTTTGTCAAATGGTTTCCCCGCCTTTTTTTGCTCTCGTACATGGAATACACTCGGCTCTCGCTTTGGATCTCGAATGCTTAACCGATGCTTCACACCTCACGCCTCGTACCCGCATATCCACCTATTACTCCATCCCGTGTACATCCACATGTAAATATCAAACACAAAATATAAAGTACGGAGGACTCCGTACACTTCAAGTCCTCCAATACAAACTCGCGTCCTCGGTTGGTCGTGCCGCGCTCTGACATTTCCACACCAATGCACGTACCATTCGCTTGCAACTCATTGCTGTTGTGCGTTACAAACGACCCGCAGGTGGACGCACCGTGTCTGATGTAGGTAGAGCGATGCTCTGCTCCGTATACAGAGAGTACTCCGTACTGTGTGTCGTACTCGAATGGTGTGCATGGCCCTTTGGCGCGCGCTGCGGTTGCCCTTTTTGCTTCCACACCGTCACGGGGAAGAATTTCCCCAGCATCACGCAATACTGCCCATCGTCCCTCGGCCCATGCTGCTGTGCATGTACAATGGACCTCTTCGTAGAGGGTCAATCCGGCCAGAGTTGCAGCCATCCTGGCTCCAGCAAGGCATCTCAATACGCTGGCTTTGGCACCAGCCATCATGCCATGCATGCCCGACTCGTCACGTCGCGCTCACCACGCTTGTACCGCTCAGTCTGCGAATCACATTCGCCTGATCTGCTATTGCGCGCAGCCTAAACCGGGACCTTCCTTCGCCTCACCGCTGTCCCTCGTCGGCTCGTCCTGCGCGCAATAATAGATACCCTAGATCCAAAGGCATATCGACCTGCTTGACCTTATATCGGCGCAGCAAAATCCAACCACATGATGACTGGTCATCGCCTTCTCCGAGCCCAAACTTCCGGTTCACCCGCCCACTTCACTTGTTGCTGAAGAACGACGTGATCTTTCGAGTGCCATCTCCCTTAACCGGACTGCCCTTCGCTGCCGCTGCGTTGGAATTGCTCGTCGCGCTCCTGGTCTTTGCCTTCTTGACAGGTGACCTCGCGGCACTCTTCTGTGGGGATGCGCTCCACCCCTTCAGCTTCTGTTGGGGTACACGGTCTGCTGTGTCACCATCGCCATCACCACCTTCGCTGCGCTCCCGTTTGATACCTCTCGACTGCGCTGGAACTGGCAGTGGCGCATTGTCTTCGGTACCTTCTACTCGGTTGGTCGTTTCACGGGTCTCATTGACGTCGTGTTCCACTTTGATTCCTTTGCTCTCTGGCTCCTCCTTCAAAGTGTCTGCAGGTTTTCCCATTACGTCGCTATCGGTCTTCGCCTTGGCGGCCTTTCGTTGGTTACCAAAGAAATTGGCAATGTTATTCTTGTTCTCTTTGCTATCAATAGGCACGATGAACGTTGGCGAATTGTTGCCGACCTTGCCAACGTCCTTGCTTACAGGGTAGCATTCTAGCTCCCCCTCGAACGGCTTGAGCAGGCTCTGTAGGTCTTTGCTCCATTCGTCGCGCTTAGGATCCAGCCATGTTCGAAGCGCTTCCGACCCGTTTTCGAGGATCACTGTCAGAGTCAGTTTCTTCTGCGGGTGGTGGGAGACGGATCCTGATTGGACAGAGCGTGGGACTATCTATACATGTATGTACATACCGGGCATGCGGTCGTGTAAGAACTTGAGTTGGCTGTTCGAATCGGTCGTGATGATTGTATACGTGTAATGCTTCTCGTCACTATCTACTCGCCTGTCAGCCGATGTGACTGCCAGGAGACACAAGACATTCTGCGAGACACATCGAAACGTGGCAAGGCAGTGAGAAACCCGGGCACGCTTGTGTTACAATCACGTTCGGTCCAGAGGAAGGTGCACGGCACGGGAGCCGCACACCAAATGCAATGAGTTGTCTTGGAAAACTCACCATCATATTTGACGCAGTCCCACAACCCTGCGAAGCACATGAGTTGGCCGTCCTTGCGCCTGGTGAAGTGGGGGATCTTTTCTTTGCCATTGTTCTTCTTCAACCACTCGTAGAAGCCCTCGGCAATGACGATGCATCGCTTTTTCTTCTTCATGCTCGTCCACATGCCACGGTCGTCGTAGAGAGAGTCGTCGCGACAGTTGATTGTTTTCATCATGGATCCGTAGTCGGGGTTGCGCTTCGTCCAGAAGGGAATTAGACCTGCGTGACATCGTCTGTCAACATGGCAATCCCATCATGCCGTGCAGATCTCTCTGACTCAGAGTGACATACCCCATTTCATGCTCTGCAACATGTACCTGGTATCATCGAGCTTCTCCTGCGAGGAAGACACCTGCTCGGACTCGCCGCTCTTGCTCGTCTCGTCAGGTTCGCCACGTTTCTCTGCAGCGTAGCTACCACCATGATCGGGACCGTCTGCGCGGTATACGAGTCCATGATATCCTGGGGCAAAATTGTATGTTTGTCGAACTGCATCGTCATCGGGAGCTTCGTCTACTGGCATGTGCGACTCTCGAAGACGCTGCCGTACCTCTCCCGGTCGCTGGAGTTGGTCAGTATTCGAATCCGGCAACGGAAGAGATGTTTCAATTACCGAGAACAAGGCGTACCTGCCACACATTCTGACGTCGTTCAGTGCTGCATTTTTCTGTAAATGTTTTTGGTTGTGTCTGAGTCTGAGTCTGAGTCCAAGGGAGTTCAGCTTCGCGGAGAGAGCTTCCAGGCGGCCGCGGGGCAAGTTGATTGGCCGGCGGTCGAACAACGTCATGAAAAGGTGTCTAAGCTTTCAGCCTTATGCGCCTTGACCATTCTTCCATCCCATCTCCAACCGTTATCTTCCCATTAGCTTGATTTCTTCAATTGTCACATATCGAGCACACCCCACTCCCTCATCTGCTCCTTTGGCAAGCCAATTGAGCGACACGGTACAGCTCATGTTCTCCCGCACCGTACCTCGGGCGCTTCCTCGCCTCAGCCGTGTCGTACAGTGCGAGACTCAACCTCAAGTCGCTACGTTCACGAAGATCCCATCACGGACATGGAGACCGCTCCAGCAGCAATGCTCCAAGCGACCCGCGAGTACACTCGCGCGACAGTTCAAGGAGCAATACAATAGGAGCCCTATACTGTTTCCATTCGCATTAGGCTGGTACGACGATTCAAAATCCTGTCCCTTCCTCCAAGTCTACATTCTCTAACCTATCCAACAGCGTCCTTCTCGTAGCCACCGGCGCCATCATCTACGTACCCTGGTACTACCAAAACATCATCATCAAGCCCTACCACAACTTCCCCGAACCCGTCGCGAAGAAGCTGCGCCGCGCCATCTTCTACAGCCGAGGGAAGAACATCGACCTGAAAGAGGCGAACAAGTATTTCCGCCAGGCGCTGGCCCTCGCGAACGAGCATGGGATGGATCCCTTCGGGCCGGAGATACTGGGCGTCAAGTATGCGATCAGCAACCTGTTCGAGCAGGCTGGGCATTTCCCGCTGGCGTGCGACGTGCTTGAGATCATGCGCGTGGACTGCAACCGCTGGATCGAGGAGTTCAGCGACAAGCATTGGACCAATGGGAACAGATCGCGGATACTCAAGGTCACTGTGCAACTCAATGTCAAGCTGGCCGAGCTCTACGACAGCAAGTACATGAACCAGCCCGATGATGCGGAAAAGAGGCTAGTGGAAGCTGTGGAAACCGTTCTGAGAGAAACCACGCGGCGGAGGAACGAAGGCGTCAAGGAAGGCGAGGGCGATTTCATGACTGATGAGGAGGTCGGGGGTACGATGGAAGGTTCGTCGACTCGGTTTCCTTACCGTTGATCTCCTTTGTGGAACCCACTTCCCCCGATATGGCGGACAGTACGTACTGACTCGATCGCTGCAGCCCTCGGAAACCACTACGAGAAATTCGACTCGCATTATCTGGCTACTCCGCTGTTCCTCCAGGCGCTGGCGCTGTGTCCGCCCACTTCTTGCCATGGCGTCGTACTGAGTGAGTCTCATCCCGTCCCTCCCTTGCATGAAAACATCAGACTGACCGCGACTTACAAAAGTGAACAACATCTCCACATGTCTCGCTCAACAAACGCCACCGCCGGCATCAAGCGCCCCGCCAACCGCAGACTCGTTTCCCAATACTCCTCCGACGCCTCGCTCAGCTCTTGTGGACCAAGCGCGGCAATGGGCCACTAAAGCTATTGAGCGCGCATCTATGATCGCGCCTCCCGATCGCAATGAAGAGTGTGACGTTGGATGTACCGTCGCGACCCACAACTTGGGCGAGTTCTTCGAGATGGAGGGAAAGATCAAGGAGGCACGCCAGAGGTACGACGAGGCTGCCTCGTTGGCGAAGGCGATCGGTTTCGAAGAGGGACGGGTGAATGCTAAGGCTGGGCTTCAGAGGCTCAAGGCTCTGGAGAAGGCTGCATGAATAAATCCATAAACATTGGAGTCTGCACATGCGAGCAGATCCTGTTGTAGCATATGTAGGATATCAGATGTAACCAATTCGACTCCACTGATCATGACCACCCGCAACATTTCGAGTTTGCTCTTACTTGCCTACGTGAGATATGGGACGCTGATAAGTCCATCCTTGTGACCGAATTATTATGACTCTCCTATGAGATTGATTTACCTCACATCCAGGTTTTGGAACTGTTCACCTTCCATTTCACAGCTTTCGAGACTGAGCATGCACATCCACTACCAAAAGGTATCCACCAACGCAAGTCATCCAGTCCCACTCACAGCTCCCTTCGAACCCACCACTCACTGCTACTTTGAACATCTCAAATGGTAAACGGAAGCCCCTCGAAGTGTAGATTTAACACTACGTTAAAATTTCCTTCCATTCTATGGAACTGTCATTGAGGTGAGGGAAAGGGAGGATGGGGGTTGAGGGTTTCCGGATGTAGGGAAATCTACAAGCTTACCACAACATGTATTGTCTGTGCATATTGATCGTATGCGTACGCGCGCGCGTGTGTGTGAGAGATATCTCAAGCTCGAATTGACCAGCAAAACTCGCATCAACACAACAACATCCATACAGCATCCTCGATGCCAGGCCAGAGTCCGGCCCGTAGACCACTTAATTCTATACATTTGATACAGACATGTCACATGATATCATTTCACATTACAGCACCATTCACTCATCCATCCACTGATCCACCTGTACCTGAAAATATTACGCTTCTTCTCCCAGTTACGCCATCAATCCAGCACATCCTCACCCAATTCCTCCCCTTAGAAAAAGATAGACCTGAAACCGCACTGCCCAACTTCCAACCACCCATCCAATAACAAAAAGAATATGTAGACCCGCTCGTAGAATAGTAGAGAAAAGGAAGAAAGGTTTCTTTCACCAAGCACTCCACATCATCTCTGTATACCTACCTACTCAGGTACATAGCTACGTATCACATCTTCCCCTCTCGGTCTCTAGAGAGGCCAGGGCGGGGGAAACGAGAAAGAAGCATACACACTCTTCAAACCCATCAATTGACTAATCCCCAATCTAAACCTACGGTTATGCATATGCAGCACATCCAGGGGTTCCTTCTTTCCCACATACTCCTACTCCTACTCGGACATGGTACTCCTACTCATACCAACGTACAATAATATAATACAATACAACACCAAAAAAAAGCCAAGCATACTTACACGCAAATACACAGAATCACTAGGGGCCATCATTTCCCTCTCCCTTGCGTGATGCCGAGATCGGCGCGCGCGCCCGGTGGTACTATAATGAGGGAAATAAATAAAAAGGTACCAAGTAGTCATTTTGCGGGGAGACGGACGGGAAGAAGGAGGGGTGGGGCTGTTGGCACACAGGGCTTGTGATGGGTCATACTTTTTTTAAAGTTTTTTTTTTTTAATTTCAAGCGATTGTTAAACAGAGTTTTTTTTTTCTCATGATCAATTGATTGAGGAAAGGGCGTGTTGATGAGTCAATCCTCTTTGAAAGTGCGTTCTTTTGTACGAGGTATGGTGTGCATGAAGTACTTCCTATTCCGTCACCGTACTTGAGCCAATATGAACGATTAAGTAAGAAGTATTCATCAATTCTCTTGGGACTCTTTAAACCTCACAAGCATGCATCAATCACTCATAATTCAAGTTGAACGTTGGTTTGAAAGGTGGAAAAAGGGGATGATCTTTTCATCTTCTCTGCTATAGCTCCTCTTTCCGTGCTCTATGCTCCTCCTCTTCCTCCATACTCTAAGATTACATGTCTTCGTCAATTGATCCCATTCCTAAAGGGCCCTGCATATAAAATAATCGAAAAAAGGGGTCGAACTCCTAACCGTGCTACTTTGTGTGTACCCCAGGGCTCAAACCAGGACGTGACCTTTCCGGCGGGCCCATGGAGACTCGAATTAAAAGAAGGGTTGTGTGATTGTGTGATATGTGTGAGGTGGTGTCGTATAAATGGATGAAAGACCGGTGGGGTCAAGGTCATTCACTGAATGAGAAGAAGGATAACAAAAAAATTGAGCCATGCCGGCGTGATATCATGTGTGCAAGTCTAAGTGGGCACAAGGAAAGAATAAAACGACAACTCCATCATCTACGCCTTCTCAGCGGGAGCGGCGAGCTCAACCTCGGGGTCGGCCCTCTTGAGGGCAGAGACGATGTCAGCACCCTCGACCTTTCCGCAGAGGGTCTCGACGACTATGCCGGTGATCTGGTACGGGCAGCCGTTGGAGGCAGGACGACGGTCCTCGAAGTATCCCTTGCCCTCGGCGGCGACGGAGCGAGGCACACGGACGGAGGAGCCACGGTTGGCAACACCCCAGGTGAACTTGTCGAAGGAAGAAGTCTCGTGCTTGCCAGTCATACGGAGCTGGTTGTCCTCGCCGTAGACGGCCATGTGCTCAGCCTGGCGCTTGGAGAGCTTCTCCATGGCCTCCTCGATGGCCTTCATGCCACCCTCGGCACGAGTCTCCTTGGTGGAGACGTTGGTGTGGAGGCCGGCGCCGTTCCAGTCACCGGGGATGGGCTTGGGGGCGAAGGTGACCTTGGCACCGAACTCCTCAGCGACACGGTGGAGGAAGAAACGAGAGATCCAGAGCTGGTCGCCCACTGTAATTCATTACGTATTAGCGTCATTGTCTCGTCGGAGGCTCGGGGCCGCATCGGGTAATTGAGGGGAAGGGGCAAGGAAGGAAAGAACTTACTGGAGATGCCATCGCACGGACCAACTTGGTATTCCCACTGAGCAGGCATGACCTCGGCGTTGGTTCCCGAGATGTTGAGTCCAGCGTACAAGCACGCCTTGTAATGAGCCTCAACAATGTCACGGCAGAAAACCTTGCCAGTTCCGACACCACAGTAGTAAGGTCCCTGGGGAGCAGGGAATCCGTTCTTGGGCCAGCCATAGGGCCAGCCCTCGATGTCGAGGAGAGTGTATTCTTGCTCGAGACCGAACCAGAACTCGTGCTTTGCGTGGGCCTCCATGAGGATGGCGGCGTCGTGGCGGAAGTTGAAGGGGTTGGGCTTGCCATCAGCTCCCCAGGTCTCGGTCATGACGATGATGTTGTCGCCCAGGCGGAAGGGGTCAGGGTAGAAAGCAACGGGGCGGAGGTAGACATCCGAGTTGTTACCAGGCGCCTGGCCTGTCGACGAGCCATCGAAGTTCCATTCGGGGAGATCCTCAACCTTCTCGGGCTTGCTGTTCAAAGTCTGCAGAATTCAGAGTCAGTCATTGCTGCGTCGTGATGCTATGAGTTAAGCCAAGTAAGGCAAGACAACAACGGGTACGAGTAGTTCAGATCGAGAAGTGTGCTAGTGGGTAGAGACGGGAGAATAGAAGAGAAACTTGGTTGTTTCTTTTCTTTTTTCTCTCGATCTGACGTCGTTGCAAGCGTTGGATGATGCATGCTAAGCAACGGGGATCGCCATTGAGAGACGTCACAGTGGGTGTGTTCGGGAAGGTTTCCTCGAAGCACTCGCGTGACAGGACGATGTTGTGGTTGGTTGATTGGTGGGGGTAGTAGTGATGGGAGGGGAGGGTAAGGAAGAGAGAGAGAGGACTAGGAGGGGCAGAATCGGGCTTGGTGCTTGGGAAGAGGGAGTGGCAGTGGGAGTGGCAGTGGGAGTGGAAGCTGGGCTTAGGCAGGTAATGCGCGCTGAATGCCAAAAGGGTACTCAAGGGTAGAAAGGGAAGGAAGGGGGTTCTGGGACTAGCCCATTCCCTCTTCGCCTTTCTTCGCCTCTGCCTCTTGTCGCTCCACCATACCCGTACCCATGCCCGTATCCAGTCCAGTACCCATAGCCAAAAGCCACCCGCCTGCAGGAGGGAGAGCAGGCCCTTATCGCAGCAGGATCGCATCGCATCGCAGGGTGCCAAATCAGGCAATGGAGTGCAAAGAAATGCAGGATCCAATTGCCCTCCCCTTGATAGTCGAATCCGATCTGATCGATGGTGATGACGATGTTGTCACCCCTCTCTCCCTCTCTTCCCCACGCGCGGGTCATTCTGCAGGTGCAAAGGCCTGATAAAAGATACACATGTGCACAAGCTAGATACGGGGGGACAGATTCTGGAACGAATCATCCCCCCGGTCTCGAATTGTGCTGTGTGATACTCGCCGCAGGTCCAATGCCCTCTCCCTCTCTGCGCCCTATCTCTCTGACCATATTTGATCGCCTCGCTTGTCGTAGGATGTTTTGACAATCCATGTTTGAGGGATATTGCGAAAGGGAGACGGAGAGAGCAAAATAGAAAATGGAAGGGAATAAAAAAGACTCACCCTGGATTTCGAGCGGATGCCGTTGGAGCCGTCAATCCAGACGTACTCAGCCATGATCTTGCCATGCTGGGGTAGTTTGAGGTATTTCTCAAGCTGTAAAATTAGGAACGTTAGCGTTGCCATTCATTGGGATTTTAGTGGATCGGGGAGGGGAGCACAGGTGCGAGCATGGCTTACGTTGGCAGTGTTGGAAATGATTTGTGACGTTGAACTCGACATATTGACGGTTTATGTGTGTATGTGTGATTTGGGTTTGGTGGGTGGTGGTTGTTGTTGTTGTTGTTGAAGGAGTTGTCAAAGACTACTGGGGGGAAGTAGCAGATAGATATAGGGTAGGTGTTGTTGTGTTGGTGGAGATAAGGTAGATAGTGGACTTGTCGTTGATATCAGGCGGCGTAGGTAAGAGGTATCGAGACAGATGGGCGAGTGCAGGCGAGCAAGCAAGCAGGCAAACAAACACAATCGTGAATGGAGGAAATGTGGAAGCTTTAGAATATGATAAGAGTAATTAAAAAGATTCGGGGCCACGAAGCATTTAAGTAAGTTGAAGTACGGAGGAGGTAGGGGAGCAGAGCTTTGGGTATGATGATGACTGGGGGAGCGCCGCTGAAGAGCTAAGGAACTAGGGACCTTGAGGGAACTAGGGAATTAGGGATTTGGGACTGGGAGTGGGACTGGGATTACGATTATTGGGATTGGGGAGATACAGTGAATACAGTAGATAATACTTGTAACTATTCTAATCACTGTATACTCGTAAGGAAAAAGGTACAGAGTAGACTGAGTCTGTGAGTGCAACTTGTGAGACTGGGGGGGCTTGTGGGAAGTGGGAGGGTGGAGGGGGGGGTGTGCTCGGATCAGTGGCGGGGTGGGTGGGCGTCTACCGTCTACACAATGCAGAACACAGAATACAGAACGGTACAGCAAATACATTACACAGTAGTAGTGGCGGCGGTAGTAGTAAATAGCAGCACCGGTACGGAGAAATGTAGTGTCATAGTCTATGGCGTGTATGCGCTTGTGCTGTTGATAGATAAACGTTTGGTTTTAGGCTGGCAGGCGGCCCTGGAAGCATGCGACCAGGCAAAGCCAACAGACCAACAAGCCAAGATACATCGCCGAACTGTATCCGTGGGATGGGGATGGGATGGGATGGTATGATGGGATGTATGGCGAAGGATAGGATGGGATAGGATAGGACAGGACAGGACAGCATGGGATGGGATGAAGAAGCAAATGCAGGTCAATCAACATATTCCCACAATCCCTCCACCCTATCCATCCAATACAACTCCAATCCAATTCACTATCCAGAAGCAAATATACAAATATCAAACCACTACTGCCACCAGACCCCTGCCCTTCCAAGAGAATATGGGAATTACATTCCCTCAGATGATGGGATCCCCAGACAGAAATCGGGAATAGTTGAGAAGAAGAAAGGAAAGAATACAATTAATTCCTCAAACTTAGTCAATCATTTAGAAACTTGAATCAACTCAACTCAACTCAACTCAACTCACCTCCAAACTCTTCCTCTCGTGTGGTGCACCACCCACTCATCCCGTCCATTCCATCCCATGTCCATCGATCCGTCCACCCATCCATCTAGCCATCCCTTCACCCACTACATCTCACGATACGTCCGTCCATCCATTCATCCATTCCCAAAACCGAAATCTTCCAGCTGCGTCTTCTGCCGCCGACGCCGCCGTCGTAGGGTCCTTAGGTCCTCGCCGCGCTACGGCTGTTGGACCGCCGCCTTTGCGTCTTTTCTCCCTGTGCCTGCTCCTCCCACCCAACATCGTGATACATACGTGCCCAATGTCCCTTTTCCTCTCTACTTCAATGTCTTTTTGCCATAGTAAGTAATTCCACCCATCGTAACCTACCTAGTTACATACCTATCCTATCTATGCACCTGAAATCTGAGTGCTGCGTGCTGCGTCTGTGTCTCGTCTCGTCTCGTCTCGTCTCGCTACTTTTACATTACCCGAACCACCTGTCAGGAATAAAAAAAGATGCAGTCCAGAAGTCCAGACTACCAATAATTTCGTAATCGGGTGTTTCTAACTCTCTGGTTACTGGCAACTGAATCTTTCTTTCTCCTTTCTCCTTTCTCGGTTCCCTTCTCCGTCTGCTTGTTCCCCTTCTTTTACTTCCTTAATTCTTGTTCTTCTCTCGCGCGCGTAAGTCCTTGCTTACTGTACATGTCAGTTTCAATACGCCTCTCCCCCCGCAACGAGATGGGCCTTGAGACATGTGAAGAGAACACATGATACAACAATAATCATAATCATAATAATAATCATGCTCATTGCTGGCCTATTTTGAAAACAAAACATGGTCCGCACGACGGTTGGAAGCGGCAATGGTTGTCTCTTCGCTCAGCCCCTCCGGTGGTGTCAATGATTCTTCTTCCGACTTTGACCGCTTTGTTCCTGGATAGCATCGTCACATTCTTGTCTGGCGACGGGGCACGCACCGGATCTAAATTTACCCTTTCACCACGATAGGGCATCCTAGCCGTAGTGCCCTACACAGTATTGCCTCTCCGTCAAATACGTATGTCCCGGTGCGTATTGTATCGAAAAATAACCCCTAGTTAGCACACGGACACACACCGCCATCGCATCGCCATCGCCCATCGCCCACAGCCCCATACTTTTGTACCTCGCGTTCAATTCCGTCGTTGCTACCGGCGACGGCGAGAACGACGACGACGATGACAATTCCCCTGCCTTTCGTCAACTCGTACCTTTCTGTTGCTTGTGCTCCAAGTTCATACAATACACCCGGAATTATCGAATGCTCGTGCTCGTGTGTCCCGCCACCTCTCTTCTCCCAAAAAAAGAAATGGAAGCTCTATTTTCCTTCCAGAAGCGTCGCAGTTCGTAGGTAATAGTTGTTGCAGGTACTCCGTACGGACACTGCATTTGCCCATCTTACGAATTAATTACCTTCAGAACCACCACCGCCACCCACGACACACCTCCTCTCGTCTCGAACACAAACTTCCCCCATAAAGAAAGACAGAACACGTCGCAAGAAGACTCGCAACTATTTCTCTCTAGAGGGGCAGCGACATCATCTAATGCCGAACGGCTAGCAACCCCATCCATTCATTTGCATTAGGTATTTCGATTCAATCGCATGGGTCCGCGTCACGCTTCCAGTCCCCAAGTGCTCCATCGCTATCAGTACCGATTTCTGACCAATAGCATGGCCGTTGAATCCCCTTAACTCACACTGTTTTCCCTATTTCGCCGTAGGTTGGGTCTTTTGTGGCAAAGAGTTGCTAAGGGTTGCGATAAGGCAATTGCGGACATGACACTCCGAAACGGAACCAATTACCACTTCGTCATTCTAGCATCACCTCCCCGCCAGCCTGCGTGCCTCGAACGACCCTGAAAAGAGGTTGGTCAAGTACCGTCGGAAGGGATCCGATCGATGTGGTTTTGATCTTCTCTCTCTTTTCTTGCGGCTGTGACTCAACCTGTAAATGTGCCTCATACCATAAGAGTTCTGGAAGGAAAAAAAGAAAGAACCTTGCGCAAAAGAAAGAGAATGAATACAGCACTCGTTGCGTTTCATTTCGCGTAACTGTATTCAATTCGGATTGATTCGACGCTTCCCGCGTCGGTTCCGATAGTTGCTCATACCCAACGGTACGATCAGGAAAAGTCTGGAGTTTCATGGCTGACCACCCCCCCTGTCTGCCTAAGCGTGGCGTGGGGCTGAACGGCTCACTCACCTCACACGAGCATTCTTTACATCGCCTTGTCTGGGAAATGTGTTCCTATCTGTTCGGTTTGGAATTGTTCCACGGCTATTCTGGATCCCCGTTCTTGTCGAAGGACGTTTGGTGTTTGTTGGACAGTAGATAGTGGGAGGTGCTTGTGGAACTGCTCCCACTTTCAATAGATTAACTGCTGCAGCGGAGGGACGATGTTGCTGAATTGTTTGACTATTCCCTGAGGGAACAACAAACGAAGGCCAGAAAAGAGAGTCCCTCCTGTTCGCATCAATAGTTCCGTCTGCTTGCTTGTCTGTTACAACCAATGATGGAGTGGCCGATCTGCCTGACTTGATGGAATAACTATTTCCGCAACATGTCCCTTTTCTTTACCCTTTCTTGTCTGGTGTACGGAGTAATAGTCGAGCAATCGAGCAATCAGACAATCAATAATTGTGACCCCACGATGTGAATAATGTCAATTCCCGGCGCCGTTGTTCGCTCGCTCGTTGGTTTGATTCACATTGATCACCATCGTGAGTTCCTGGACACGACAAGAAATAAAAAGCCTCAACTAAACAGGCATATGCGGCTGCGATGTCGGGCAAGACAGGGAAGAGGTCTCCCCAAATGTTCTCGGCTCTGTTCCCTGCATCCCCCGCAAGCAAAAGGCGAGACATGGGTGGGCAAATGGGTGGACCAGGGTGGACATAAGTGCGGCGGTGCGGCGGCGCACCACACAAACGATAGCGTACCGCAGATCCTCGCGCCAAGCTGATAACGACTTCAACGGCCGCCATTGGCTCGCTGTGAGTGATGGCAAAACGTAATGCCCGGCCCCGCGGCAACGTCCCCATCATGCAACTGATAAGGGCTTTGTTGGGGAAAGTCCATGTGGACATTGTGGAGTGGAATCCATGGGCGGGCAGAATGATGCAGAGTTTTCAATTGAAGAGGGTGTCATTCTATCTGCTGAAGAAGAAATTATCGATCAGGAGGCTGTTATTTTCTTTTCTTCTGCCGGAAAACAATGTCGTTGCCGCTGTTGTTGTTGTTATTGTTGCTGCTCCTGCATGCAAGGTCAGTCTATCTCTCGCGTGGCGCTGTTACCGTATTCGGAATGGAGCCATATGTCATGCTCCGCCAGCGTGGGTACTATCGTGGGAATGGCATGTGGTTGTCCATCAGATATACCTCTGTCTGTTCGTTCAATGTGTTCCGTATCGTACGTTCGGTTCGGCCTTTTCAAAATATCAGTCCACATGCCCGCCGCAAGTTTGTTGATCTCATTATCGACATTCTCCCATCGTTGAGGCGCCGTTCTGATAGTCATCGGAATTGAGTGTGCAGCGGTCGTTGAATTATGCTTATTTCCCCAGGATCGACCCTTCATCTCTGTGTAATCATCAAGCCTTGCTCCAGCGGGTAGATAACGGTTCGCATTGTTCACCCCTAGTTCCTTAAAATGACGGCATCTTCATTGCAATTGGCAGCAACAATGGGAGGCTGAGACCAGTGAACTTGGTCCCTCCCATCAGCTCTAGAGCCCCGTTGCACTCCAACGTTGATAACGCCCACGCGTGGCAAAAGCAGGTGTTCGTCTGAGCAGGGCTGTGGGAACCATCAGGGGAACGCCGGCCATCCGGGAGCTAGAGAGCAGCACTGTCGACAGATATGAAGTGCCAGTGCTCTGGAAAATCTGGGGTAGAGCGCCTTCGGAGCCATCAGGAGAGTGGGCTCGATCCTCCCGGAAATTCCCTACCCTTTTCCAAACGGATCACCCCTTATGCGGTTTGTAATCTGAACTGGAAATGTTCCCAGCGGTCGTATCCAGATCACACTCCCCTGCTCACTTTTAGGCACTCGTTTTGTACCTGCATCCACTGCGTATTCGGTCATCCTCTGCTGTGGGCGCTTGGGGCGTCCCGACTCCGGAGAACGTGCACCCAGGCACTGCTTGACCAGCATCTTGGCATGTTTCCTTGACACACTCTTGTGTGCCTTCTTCATGGTTCGTGTATGTCGTAGCTCTATCTTGGTGCATCTCTTCTCAGTTGTTAGTTACCTCAATAGGTACTCAGCGAGACTTACCTCCCCCGGGCCAATTGAAATCTAGGTCTGGTTCGTCTACGACGACAACACTAACACTCGCCATGGAATTTCCGCCCTTGAAGTGACACAACGATAGAATTTCTTTTGCTCTTCCATGGTGAATCGCCGTTGAATAGCAAGAGTGCCAATTCAGAATGGCGGGTTGCGCTGACAGTGGCGTAAAGTAGGTAGAGTGCTGAAGGTTTCGCTGGAGGTGCGAGACAATAGGATGTGTGAGAAAGGAGATGAAAGTTCTGAGAAGCGATGTGACCAGCTTTGCGTAAAGCAATAATACACAGATGAGCGATGTCAACAATGCCGCCGAGGAAAGAAATGTTGTTGCGTTCTGAACATTGCTGGCTTGGTGCGGAAAGAAGTGGCGGAAGATCCGGGGAAGGCACACTCGCAAAGGCAGACTATGCCTTCCGCATAGGTCTGCATCATCACATACCTGAACATCCGAAGTCTTTCAAAGTGAGCCTGTCCACAGTCCGAACTGTCATTCTCGTATAGGTTCTCGAATCGGCGAAGCTATTGCATCTTCCAAAGTAGATGGTGCGGTTATCTACCATTGAATTACAGAACAGAAAGCTTTATCGTCAATGCCAAGACTTTCTGACAATGACACAGATTACTTTTGGAAAGGCACCGAGGTCCTGTATCGCAGCATACGAATGGAGTCGATACATTGTATGGCCAGTCGCAAACACGATAGTAAAGATTCATATCGATGGCGGTAGTTCCTTGCTGTCGACCGACAACTGTCCGTTTCTCCCGTATTCCGGCCTTAGACAAATCGAAAATGTCGAATAGGTCGGACTAACAACCTTATTGCGCATATGTATTACATATTGGATGTAGGATTCGTCGGATCGGCGAGGGAAGATGTTGGGATCTTGTCAAAAGATTGACCTTAAGGTACAACTTATCTTCGAGTTGTGAAAAGGACTACACCATACATCCACTTCAGCAACAAGGCTACGGTGACGGATCTGAGCGATCATATCAATGGACTTGGTAACTCGAAGGGCCAAACGGGACGGCTCAAGACCTACTGTCTCCTTTGGTGAAGGAACGCACCCTACAACAATCCGTGAATGTGTGCCGGCATGTAACTCGTTACCAGTCATGGCCATTGTTACGATTGTGAATCTTCCTGACAAAGAAGTTTCCGAGTCTCAGATTCCGCATGATAGTGAAGATATCGCTACCTTGGGATCTTCCGTCTGACAATACTTCGCTTGGTCCCAGACAGTCAGGCTCTTGGACTAGGATGTAAGGATCCCATGCTAAAGCCGGCGCATTCCTATACGATCAACAAGTGACGATTGAACTGTCACTAAAGTAAGTCGGAATTCATGGACATACATATTGAAACCAGAAGACTTGAGGTTGTGAAGTTTGAGCAATAGAGCAAGCGCGCGTGATGCGGAGAATGGTTGGAGCTAGACCGTAACAGGAAGGATAGTGTCAAGTTTTATGTAAAATCAACCTCTCGACATGGAACTGGTAGATCTCGTAAGTCCAGTCTTCCTCATTATTTCACCATCGTATATTATTGTTTATATTCTCCCTGGTATTTATCTTGATTTAATGTACAATTTGCAACGAATGTTGACAATCAGACCGAGTACAGATTTAATAACAATCTTGCTTTGGGCATTCTAAACGATGCTAAATGTCTGTGTCGCCAATGTTGGAGGGATCGATATCCACCGCACCAATTCTCCCAAGTTTTGATCACGATTATGAGGTATCGAATGTATGCTCAATGCAGCGCAGGTTGTTAGACAGCAGGATACTTGACCAGCAGATGGTTTTGTTTCTGAAGCGCTTATAAGGTTGGAGGATGTGTGTTAACATGTTGTAGTTGCTCCTGGGTAAAATGATTGGTAACTTGTTATTGTATTAGCGACAGGAGTGATCTCTACGAGAGTGCAGCAACTACTTTAGGTACTTGTATCAATACTGAGTTTGATATTGATGGAAGATGTACGGAGTATCCGACAGCATACATACAGTTAATGAGGGCTTCGTCTAACTCGGAAGGTCGGGTCTAATCTTTAGCGACAGTCGATAGGGTATAGTGTCGGCAATAGGAAAAGGGGTCATCCGTTATCGATAAGATTTCGTAGGTGGCTCACAATCCACCACACTATTCATTATTCTAGTCACTCCTGGCACCTGTTATGTCGTAGCATTAATATGTCCCAGGAGAGTATTTCCATCTGCCATGGAGAACATCATTGAGGTGCCGTGGCAGCTCGTGGCATCGTCTTTGAGGTCCGTACTATCCTTCTACTGGTAGAGTTCTTACTTGAAAGACCCTGGGAAAGGGACCAATGAATATAATAGGACAAGAGCTAAAAGAAGGGTCATGTTGCTATTGTAAAAGTTCAATAAGCGTAGAGATGTGCTTTTACCAACATTGGTTAGCCCTGACTCTTGTGCCTGTCTCTTCCGGCCCAAATAATCAAAGAGATACACCTTGGCCTATTCGCTCATTGTTGGCGGTCAATCATTCCAGAATGCTGTAGCTGTAGCTGTAGCTGTAGCTGTAGCTGTAGCAGTCGTATCATGGTAACACCTCCTCACAGCAAGTACAGCGCAGCACGTCACTCCGTACTTTGTACTCTCTACGTTGTACACGCGTGGCCGTTGCATCTCGGGTCTGAAGTGACATCCACCCCAAGTGCGGCACAGGATGGGTCAACACGTGGCGATCGATAACTATTGATCGCTGGACCCGTCCGCCGGTCGTTAATTCGGGGCTATTTTCAGGAGATTGCCAGTCCGTCCCAATATCGCGAGTCAGAGGCAAGACATGGAGCAATAGGACATACAACGGAAAGTGGAATAGCAGCTAGACTGCACGCTTTACCTACTGTACCGTACTCCAGAGCCAAAGCCAAGGATACGAAGACCAATATAGGATAGATATCTGGCTATTCTCTCTTGGTCCCTTCAGCGCAAGAGTGCCATGTTGCAACCACGATAATGCGCAATCCCGCTGTCCCTGGACGAGCAACATGCAACGTGCAACCGCAGCTCGTGCCATATCGCTCGCTCGAGGCAGCATCGGAGAGGCAGTTTTCATGCTCTGTGTGACGCTGATCATCCTAGCCTCACAGCCCAGTGCAGTACTCCCTACTGTGCGTACAAGGTGCAAAGATTTCAAGGTCTCCCGCCGCGGACGCTAGCAGATGTAGACTGTTGTTTGAGTCAAGTAGCCATATCGTCCAAAGACAGGAGGCTGGATGGCGTGGACGACGGACGTCTCCCCCCGTGAATCAGGGAGATCCAATCCAAGGTTGAGTTCTCGTTCAAAGAAATACCATGAAAATTGTACTGGATACTGCGTTGTTACTCGTCGCCATTGTCAAGCAGGTCTGGGATGGGCATGCTAGAAAACACCCGAACGCGGCCACTAGACAATAGAGCTGTAACTCTGACCTGCATCTTCATTAGACATGTTGGCAGACGTGCACCTGTGCCCCAGTCTTGTCGTACGGTGCGTGCTGGGTACGCTATCATCCCATGTATAGTACTTGTACCTGTGTGTACCTGTTCCTGGTCGTACTAGACATGAGTAGAGGTCGTTCCCGCGATACGAATGAAAGTTGACAGCTCCTTTTTTTCTTCCAACCTCTCTCCCCACCAGGTCCAGTACACTTTTTCCATTGCGCTTTTGCTGCGTCGCTGCATCATTGCGTATTCACGGTGACCAGTTTTTATTTCTGTTGGTTCTACATTCAATACCCTCACTCGTTTCCTTAACAGGCGATTGATATTCGCCGTATACTGTGAACGACTGGTCGAAGCGAACGGCGCCTCGGGGAACACGCAGATCGCCTCAAGGATCACAAAGCCGTTGCGCCCATTCTCTAACCCCGAGCCTTCGAATCCTGACCTCCTGTTCAGGCTCACGTCTCACCTTCTCACCCCATCGTCGCCAATCAATCTTTGACTCCTTTCTTTCTCTCACCGACCTCCTTTGCCCTACGATCCTTCGCCTGCCTGTACCATCATCATCATCTCGCATTGCCATCATTCATCGGTATGGGCCATTGAAGTCTTGCTTGTCATTGTGCATTGCAACCCTCCACCAACGTTCTTTTTTTCCTTTTCCATTCACTTCCTGATTCAAGCCTCTCTATTTCCCCTCTCCTTCATCTAAACAATAGGAATATCTATTGTCGTGCATTGTGTTGCTGCAGGGCGCACGAATAGCATCGCCGTGCGATTACCCCCAACCCTGGACGCATTGCTACGCCGGAACGCAGCACATCTCACCGCGCAATCTGATTCGCATCGTCAGCAAATAAACTCTGGGCGCGCTGCGACAGCTGCCCATTTCTCATCTGCCTGCCATGATGCACCGAAAGACGCGGTCAGATGCTGGCGACATCTCCTCTCCCCGCTCTAGCAGAGCTCCAAGTTTTAGCAGCGAACGAGCGCCTTCCGTCGCGGGATCCGTCACCTTCCAGATGCCCACCACCATTCGACCTGCGCCTGCTTACATCGCTGCGTCGGTCGCCTCGCAGACAATTACCGACCATCACAATGCCAACCAGGTGCGCGAAGACCTCAACTCGGACGATGAAGCCGACCCGTCATCGCAGTCGCCAAATGCCCTCTTCTCCGAGCAAGCCCTGAGCTTGCTGAACGCCTTCCTCGACCACCTCCTCTTCGCATTCTTAGCCAGCGCCCGCTCCCCTTCGCTGACCGCCATTCGTCCTGCCATAACCGATGTGCTCAAACCACGACTTGCCCGAGAGGCAATGGCTACAGCTGATGAGGAGTTACAGGGGCTTTTGGCGGGAGACGAAGAGGAGTTTCCCGATAAAGAAAGTCAGGGCACATACAAGTGGGATGTTGAGAAGGTCTGGAAAAGGACGCGCCTACGGATTATGGTATACACTCGTCTGGGCGAATTGGAGGACGAAGATGAGGAGCGCTATGTGCAACAAGAGCGTGGACTCAGCATGGCTGTCGATGAGGACGACGAGGCCGGTCTTGTATCGTGGGCTTCTGCAATCTTCTTGACTTCAGTCATTGAGTATGTTGCTGAGCAGACCCTTTTGATCTCAGGCTCGGCAGCTTTTGCCCGAATGGCCGCAAAACTCAAAAAGTTGGCACAGCAATCCGACGAGGGTGAGGAGCCCCAGTTGGAGCGTGTAGTTGTCGAGGAATTTGATGTGGAGAAGATCGCCCTCAATTCTGCTCTCGGGAGACTCTGGAGAACCTGGAGAAAGCGCGTGCGGTCCCCTGTGACGCCGTTGTCGCCGAGAGGACCCCGTTCTTCTGCCAGCTTTACCAGCCTTCACCGACGCCAATTCAGTCGCGAAACAATGGATAGCTCCATCATTGCTGCTGAGAATGTTCAAGAGGTTCCTGAACACAAGCCCACCGAAACAGAGATCGCGGCCAACATCCCGCTCCCCATTGGAGACAACGACGTGAACGAAATCGAGGTTCCTGGACTCGCTCGCCAATTCGATAATGAGGACGAGACGGCCAGTGGAACCCAGACTCCGGTCCCACGACGCCTGCGACCCACTAGCTACATCATGCTTGCCCCTGCCGAGGAGTTCAGAGGAAAATTGAAGAAAGAGAGACCCATCTCTATGCCTCCGCCCGAGGCCGCCCCTTTCACTATTCCGGCCCATGTTCAGGCTGAGGAGGATGACGATGCCGAAGCCTATGGTGGAGCAGAGGTGAACGAAAGCATCGAGGATGAGGCCCAGTCAGCAGGACTTACCGATACCGAAATGGATTTTGTCACCCCCATGGAACGCCATTACGAAGATGACGAGTCATACATTGCAGATGAGCGCCAGGAAGGCATGCATCACAGGGAAAGTGTATATGAACCTGACGCAGATATGGTCGCGTTCGCGGCTTCCACGGGCATGGGTTTCGGTATGAGTCCAATCAGCCCGGCAGCTCCAACATTCGAGCGCCAGGGTCAGACGGCGGACGCTGCCATCAACAATGCATACGAGGCAGAGCCTCAAGTCTTACAGTCTAAGCGAATGTCGATCGAGAAGCCTGGGACGCCAGGACTTGTCCGTACCTACTCTATGCGCAGCTCCAGGAAATCCACCCCAAGCCCACCGCGGGAGCCGGGATCATATCTTGATGATCCGGATGATGACTTGGATGGCCCAGATGCAATCGGAGTTGCTCACACATCCAACGTTCCCATTCGTGCAACACCATCGCCCAACGAACCGGTGGCCCAAGAGTCGGATGTAGCTCATGGCAAGCAGAAAGAAGCCGACCACCAAGGCTTCGTCGAACTTACTCCTCGCCATGCTGTACCAATCGCCGCTGCGACCCGTCAAACTCCCAGCCCTGAGCGTGTTTCGATGCCTGATAAGTCTGTGGAGCGTAAGCCAGTATATCCCGAAAGAAACATTCCTCGTAGGGAGATGACACCACCCAAGGCTCGCATTCCTACTTTGTCATCCTTGGACGAAACAGAGACTTGGACGAACGCTTCTCCCGAACACGCAAAGCCCAGAAAGCAGTATCCCGACATGCAGCGAGCCAGTCCCTCCCGTGGCAGTCCAAAGTCTGGTCCAGCCTCGAATGTACGTGAGTCGCCCGCCGCACAGCTTGAAAAGCCAGTGGTGCGAAACTCTCAAGAGGGCTCACCACGGGCGCACACTGGGGCACCCGCCAACGTGGAAAAGTCATCACTCCAGCGGGTATCATCTTCATCTTCCAAATCCGCTTCTACTTCAATTCTTCACATCGGCCATGATTCAGAATCGAGCTTTGGTCGACCACGTGCAGTGAGTGGTCGAAGGTCGGAGGAGGATGTGCAGCGGGATTTCGATTCTTTGGTGAAGGGAGATGAAACTGTCAAGTTCACTCTCACTCCCCAGAGCATGCGCGACATGGAAGTAAGTGATTATCCGCTTGTTTGGCGAAATTGTAGACTAACGCATTTAGGAGACTTCAGCAGTTCGAAAAGTCGAAGCCCGTCCCTCTACCTCCACAGTCACTGTATATCCCCGTGTGAATGCGGATCCGGAAAATCAATTTGGGTCGCGACCTATTCCATCACGCACCGCCTCTCGTAACAAGTCAACGTCCAGCCAGCCCACACCGGTCAAGAAGTTGGGTCTCAAGCCCATGGCTAGAGAGCCACGCATTCAATCCGAATCAATGCGCGATTTTGCTGATTTCATCCGCTCTACTGGTCCTGCTGCAGGCGAAGAGCGACCAGTGCAACCGTTCGTCAGTCTCACTGATGGCAGCACGCCACCCAGTGGTTCTGCCAAATCACCAAACGCATCGTCGACAGCGATTTCCGGGCTTGGCCGAAAACTCTCCATCAGGCAAACCTCGAGTTCACAATCGAACGGCTCTGGAGAAGGGCCATCTGCGCGTCCCCGTGTTCATATGGAGCCTCGTAGCCCCGCTGGTCAGCGTAGTGGCAATGACGATCTAATTGATTTCATCCGCCAAGGACCACCTGGGGCAAACAACGGACAGCCTCGAATTCCCCGATCAGTTGCGCCTTTCCGAACGACTGTCGACTCGGACCAGTTCGATCGTATGCTTGATGATGGTGGAAACATTGAATCGGCGTATGGCTCTCAGGTTTCTACTAATTCTAAGCATTCGGCCCAAACGTCGAATTCGAGAACCGGTCTTTTACCAGCACCCAGCGTTGTCCAACCCGCCTATTCCAACACTCCGCAGAAGTTGACAGGCAACATGTCAAATCCCGAACCACAGATCCAGCGTACGCGTCGCCGGATCAAGGATCCCTACGCCATTGATCTCTCAGACGACGAAGATGACGATTTGCTGACCGCTTTGCCAGCCTCTGGGCAGCGGAAAGAAGAAAGTTTGATGGACTTTTTGAACTCCATGGAGCCACCCAAAAGCGCCGATCCCCAGCCCTTGCAGCTAAGTGGTGCTGCATTGGCTGCTGCAAGAGCTCGCGCTGCAGGTGGCTCCAATACGTCTCTTTCTGGCAGCGCATCTGGCGCGCCAGTGAGGAACGGTGTCGGAATCAATCCGTCAGTCAGGACATCTGGGCACTCGGCGCAAATATCTGCTTCCATCACGTCAGATGCTCCTCGCGCACGAGGACCCAAGCTTCAAGCCCGAGTTGCTAGTGCCCGTGATCCTCGATCCTCAGGTGGCCGCTCATCGACAAACGATCTTGCCGACTTTCTACGCAACTCTGGCCCTCCAGAGCCGCCAGCGCCTGCCCCAGGAGCTACTGTACGCAAGGAGGAGAATAAGCGCAGCATCAACGCCAAGTTCTGGCGCAAGAAGACCTACCCAGACATGCCATGATAGTACCTTCTTCTTATTCTTGTTTATTCACCTTTAATCCCACATTTACGGCTTCGGATGACTTTGGACTTGGAAACGGATTTTATTTTCTCACTTGATTCCCTTTTTAACTGCTTTCTACTGGACCCAAGCGTTATAGTTCATTTGTGAATGATTTACACCCATTGTGAATTCTTGTTCTGTTCAAATTTCATAAACATGCGAGCTTATTTGCCAGACTGCCTGGCCCCAGTGTCGCCTTTTAGATTAAATATCTCTTACAGTCCAAGGATTTCGAGGACATCATCATCATGACAAGCGCATCTACGCTTTCTCATTTTCTACAGCATGTTCTGCCCCTCCCTTCTCCCACATGCAAACATAGTTGAACATTTGCGAGCGGCTTTGCAAAGTATATGGACAGCAACTTCGAGTATGCAAATAACATTTACACATCAATCATTCTAACATCATTGCGCTGTACTACCTTGTGATTGTGCTCTTGACATCTATTGGATACATCCTGGGCGCTGGGTCTCTGGCCGAAGGCACTAATAATGTGTGATCAGGTTCACTTGCCTTATCGACTTCACCATAAAAATGTATGTCGCGGATAGGCCCATCTGACAGAGTATGATATTTCGTTTCACAGTTGCTATATCGCATGTGTTGTTCACCGCTATTCTATAGATCATGGAGATGCTTCACTCCAAATGCATTTCTCTATACTCTCTCTCCTTCCAATACCGGGATATTGTTCTTCGTTCATCCAGCCATCCATCCAACTCAATGGCCACACACATTATCTAAGCCAAGTAAATTCTCCAAAAGGCCAACGCCTTTCCAATCCCAGTCATGTTCAACACTCTCGCCACACTACGACGCAGCGGACCTCCCAGCCTCCCTCCTCACCCACTCCGCCCAAATGCCAATGTCGCCACAGACGTCCAACGCCCTGGCGACCCTCTTGACCTTGTTAACGTCGACGCCATGCCCTGTGTCCAAACCCATGTTTGCCGCCTCGCTGTCCTTATCAGCCTTTGCCGCACCGCTCTTGGAGTTTGTGGACGAGGAGGAGGAAGTGATGACGTTTTGTTCCGTGATGGAGAGTTCGGCGTTCGCGAGGACGTCGAGGGTCACGCCGAGGGCGGAGTAGTGGGATTGAGGGCCTGCGGTCGAGGTTGTGCTGGTGGTGGGGATCTGCGGGTTGAGGAGAGCTTCTAGGAGGGCGTCTGGCGAGGCGTTGAGGTCGAGGTTGGAGAGTGAGAGAGGGTTCGTTTGGTCTCGTTGGGTTTGGGATGTACTTGTGGATAGGGATGATGGTGATGGGAGGGCGGATAGAGGGTGAGGGACGTCGAGGCGGACTCGTGGGGCAGGTGGGGAGTAGGAAAGGGTGATGTCGACTGGAGTCTCGGGATGGGAGGGTTGAGCCTGCGGGGTTTGTGGTGGTGAAAGAGGTGTCCCCAAGGCGGATTTGGAGGGATGTTTACCCTCCTTGGTGTCGTTGGCACCGAAAGTGTTCTGCAGGAGTGAGGTGGTGAATGCGTATTGTCGTAGTATCGGTAGGATCTCGATTAGTTGGCGTGGATGTTGGAACGGTAAAGCGTCAATGGTGCGGGAGTATTCTATCTTGGGCACGTAGAGAGAGTTCGTGTGAGTGGTATGCTTTTCCGCACCTGAATCGTCGAACGTGAGAACCGTTCGGGTTGACTTGATCTCTTGCGTCGTCTCGCCGGCAGTACCTGTGAGGCCTGGATCTGGGTCGCCCGGACGGAGCACGAGGCCAACATATGTGGTGGCGCGGATATCTGCGTGGGGCACTTCTAGGCCTACGGATTGAAGCATGCTGACATAGACGGACAAAGGAACGGTCAATGGAGGGTAAAATTTGGCGACGAAGCGGATGTTGGGGAGACGGCCTGGCGCCGCGTCAATGTTCATGGCATCGTGATCGTCCCCCGACTCTGGGGGTGGGAGATATGTAGGAGGAGGTTCAAGCCAGTCGAGTGTGGGTTGGTTTAGGAGAAGGTTGTTGATGTCTGTGTCGGAAGTGCCTGGTGCCTTTTCTATCGCGTCGGAAATCCATGCATCTGAAATGCGGATCGGCGAGTACATGGACGAAGGAGAAGATTCACATTCAATAGTCAATGAATAGATTTTGTTTGTTTCAGGGTTTTGGTCCTCGGGATATGCTTGTGCCCTCTCGGAATCGATGTCCATTGCATCCTTCCCTTTGGGCGAGCTTGACGCTTGTTGGCCGGGCGGAGGAATGATGTGCCTACGATCCATCCAGTATTCGAGTGACACGCCCAGGCAAGTACCAGCATTGATTCGCGGTCGACCACTCTTCTTGCACAGCACTTCCCTTTCAGCTTGATGGCTTGCATGGGACGAGTTCGCATCGAGCAGGGTTAGTGCCATCTTCTTTTCATGCTCGAAGAGCTTCTTAAGACTCTCGTATACACCAAATATGGCTTGATAACAACTGACACCACCCTGTTTGGGGGCACTGAGCTTATCCATGCGAAGTAGTTTCTCCAGATTATTAGAGAATCGATCCAACGTCAGGTTTATCTTTGTAGTTCCTGGTAAAGGTCGCAAGCTATTCCTAAGCACAGTCGATCCTGTTTCCGAGTAATTGTGACGATCACTGTTCACGGCGAGCTTCACTTCCTCCACGACCACTTCGCCAAATCGGACCGGAACCTTTGCATGAAATTAGTATATGGACCATCAATGCGCTTCGCGTTGGGAATCTTTACCTCACACATTGCCTCATCACCAATGAGAAGAAGTAGCACCCTCGAATGCGGAGGCCCTTCCGGCATAACTTCCAGATTCTCCTGCTTGCAAAGCCTCATGATTCCCTCTTCACTGACCCTCCCAGGCTTTTTCTTAAGCATGGATATTATACTCTCCAGCCTTCTCCGGCGCTCTTCCTCGTCAGCGCGCCCCAATGCGCTCGCAGTCATTCCCAGTCCCAGTCCGCTCATGCTTATGCCCATCCCCACGCCACCTTCCGTCAGAAGCCCGAGTGCGGCCGGAGAATCGAAATTGACCATGGGAGGTACACTGCGCGGAGCCGGAGACGAGAATGCATGGAGCTGCTTTTGCGGCGTATTGGTGGACGGAGTGGGCGTAGCCATCGTGGCGGTTGAGCTCGCTTGGTTGAGCTTCAGAATTGTTCTTTATAATTATATAGATAATTATTGTCGCAGTGCGCGGTATGCGCAGCACTTGCAGCGAACGTGAGATTGTAATAAGGTGGTTGAGGAATCTTGTGAATTCCCAATGGATGTTGAAGCTTGTGCACGGATCACTGTACTTGGCTGCGGAAGGCGGGTACGCGGGGCAGCAGTGTGTTTCGAATACTCTATCAGTATGTACTCCGTACGCATGTCTTTAATGGATCCTAGCTGATCTTTACCAAAGACTAGCTGATAGCCTTGTGCGCCTGCGCTCTTTCAAAACCTGACCTCCTCGCCGTTTGTTGCGTTGCCAAAAATATTCCGATTCCTATGGATGTTGAGAAGATTGAATGGAACAAAGCCGCTGATGTTGAAATCGACGAGACTGAAATCATTGAAATATTCAAGGCAAAGGTAGATTGTCAGATCCAAAAAATGACTATGAAGCTGAAATGTTACAGACTAAACGGCTCAATGAGAACTTGACCTTCTCGTGGCACGATCATAACGACAATGATACGATCTACCCAATAAACGTCTTGGCCATTATCGTGGATGTACGAGACAGAATTGCGGCGATCAGGATTTTCGAGAAGAAGGGCAATGTATATGTTACTGGGAATGGAATAGAATATGCTGGCAAATTGGTACTAGTACCATGACAAGACGAATGGTTCTATTGGGGTATAGGACCGCCTCGTGTTGGTCATATCTCGAGACCGTAGATGTAGCAGCTTTGCTCCTACATGACCTGTCTACGGCTCAAAGACAACTCCATGCTCAAGCCCGGGGGTATTTCAAAATGGATGTGTTCTGGAAGGGAAGACATAGATCTTCTGGATCCACTGATGGCACAAACAATGGAGTTAATTTTAGTATTCCACGGTGAAGGTATAAGGGCTCTGATGCTAGAAAAAAGTATACAAAGAAGCTTGGGTATCGGTTATGCTAAAAGGAATTGCTGCGACCACACCGCCAGGCGCTCGACGGATCATCTGTAAAGCCCATCTCCATCATCCTCATCGTCGATAATCTCCGTCACCCTCTCTTTCGCACGCGTCGCTGCACCTCTAGTCCCGGATGATCTGGCACCCCCTCTTTTCGGCTTTGGTCTCGTTCTACTGGGTCCAGCCTTGAAAGCTTCGATGGCTTCGATAGATTCAACAGCTTCGATTGCCGCTTCGACTCGAAGTGCTTCCAGTTCATCTTGGACCAGTGCGTGGCTACCAAGAGAACGGGAGTTGGACGAGCTACTAGATTTGTTGCGATACTCTATCAAGCGAGTTCGTTTGCGCGGATGATCCGCGACGAATTCCTCCTGCTCCTGCTTCTCTTTGGCCTCGTTCTCCCAGCGCTTGCGAACCTCATCCTCGTGTTTGTTCTCCATGGAATGAAAAGATGCATGGTGACTGCACCCATCACATTCGTAGCTCGAAGAGCTCTGCAGACGTGTCAGCATTTTGATTCATTTATGATATTTGAGACCAGGACAACCTTTAGTGGATGGAGCATGAACCGTAGACAAGGGCATCGTGTGGATATCATGGTCTGCTTGAAATTGCATTGGCCCCGGGGAGGGACGTAGCCCATTTGGTCCCACACGTTTGTGGACATTGGGAGAGGATTGGCTTTATCGATTCAGGATCTGATGCAGCCGAATATCACGTAGCAAGCCTCAGCATCGAAGTTTATTTGATGTGAAGATGTGAAAAGATGTGAAGGGGTTTCAGCACTACAATGTCGGTATAAATAGGCTGGAAATATTTCTTTGATGCGACAGAGGGGACACACGGTCACGTGTCACGTCATTCTCCATTGGGCCAGCCTACAAATAGGGAAGAGCACGTGGAAGAATGCTTGATGCATCATTCACCTATGCAGGGACAGGGTACGTCATATATTGATTCTTTTTTTGACTTGTGGCAGAACACTTTTTTTTTTCCTATATGTACTCCGTGATGTACTTTGTCTAATAGAGGTATTGACTTTGTGTTGGCATAGGCTTTCTTTTGCAAGCTACCTCGGACTAGCACTCCAAAAATTCTGCTACGCACTATGTTTGGGAGTGCATTAGGTCAGGTTCAGGAGTTCCCAAATACATGTTCACACCTTTCCCTACCACCTTTGAATATTTAATTTATTCCGCAGCCATTGTTGTGAATGAATGTAGCTTATTCACCATTCGAAATCGTTGTTCTAACCCACAGATGCACCGTGGGGTAACGCAAGCCTCGTTCTGTCGGTGTACGTTGTCAAGACCGAGCTATCAAGCCCTAGCCACCAACCTTGCGGATCCTAGCGACCGAGTTAGATGTCTTAATCACCGACGTATCGGCCTCGGGTGACTGATTCCTCAAATAGATCTCCCTCTGGCGCTAAGGATCAGAGAGGGGAAATCTGGCCATACTCTGCAGCGTGTACGAGGTACGAGCAGGGTCGGCAACAGCGGGGTATTCGAAAGCTCTTCTGGTATAAGAAGCCCGTTAAAGCGCCGACATGACAGCTCTACCACTCGACTCCCCATCACAAACCAAAATCCTCGTGCACACCGCCCATTCTCACTTCTCTTAACTCCACAATTAACCCATTGATTCTTCGCCATGGCTCAAGAAGGCGGTTGCTTCTGCGCAAACATTCGATACACCATCGAAGGACAGCCCCACGTTCAGGTCCGCATACCCCAAGATGGATGATTCCTGGACTGATATGTTTCTCTTAGGCTCTTTGCCACTGCCTTGACTGCCGAAAGATTGGCGGAGGTACCTACAGTGTCAATGCTATATACGCAGAAAGCGGCCTCAAGGTCACCAAGGGCACGCCCAAGACGTTTAGTGTCAAGGCAGACAGCGGGAATGTGATCGACAACCATTTCTGGTGAGAGAATACAAGACAGAGGGTTTGCGCTTGCTCTAATTATTGTGTAGCGGTGATTGCGGATCCACCTTGTGGCGTGGTGGTGCATCCTTCCCAGGCCTCGTAGTCCTTAAAGTAACAAACCCATCTTTGCCTCTTGACAGCCACATCCGCTAATCCTTTTAAAGGTCGGAACTCTCGACGATGCTGACGCGATCAACAACTACAAGGCGGGCGCAGAGCTCTTCACCCGCAGCCGCGCACCTTGGATTCATGCCGTTGAGGGTGCCGCACAGAAGGAGACCAAGTAAACGAGTGTGGAGAGGCAATTCGTGAAGCGGCGATGGAGGAAGTACCCGTCGGACACGGGGGATACAGCGTGGCATAAGCAGATGAGCCGTGAGGCTCTGCGAGATACCTTAGCATGTTATTCTGAATCCGAGCTTTCGGGTTCTTTGAGTCGTTCCTTCAACATCTGCGTATAATGCCATTAGCCACCACTCGAGAATATATCGCCTGGAGCCTTTACCGATTGTAGCAGCTGTTTCAATTCCTTGACCTTCGTTTCCTTGACAAGTACATGCTCTTCGTCGAGATCTTCGATGATGAATTCGTTGTTTCGTTTGCTGTCAATGTCCACCAGCATGGCTTTGATGGATGCGTCACACTTGACGAGGGTGCCTGGTTGATTGTGTCAGAAGTGCGAGTCTCGAGGGAATGATATAAACACGGAGAGAGGGGGCTTACCCTTGACGGCCTTGACCATGGTGAGAGGTAACCGTACTGGATGAGGAGGAGAGGTGGTGGTGGAAGTTGAAAGACGCGCGCGGATGAAGTGCGAGTAAAGTAACGTAGTAGAATTTCGTACGAACCATCAAGGTCCTAAAGTTATGACCAGGTAGGCACTCGTATAATAAGTAGATCATCCAAGGTGAATGATTAATAAACTTTCAACAGGAACGCTTCGCTTGGCGTGTTATGGTATTGGTAATATGGTACCTTGTATGGCGTTGGCGTGCCTTTTGTCGGAGCAAGCGGAGAAGCGGTGACTTCCTTCCCCGGTCATCCCAGATGCGGAAGTTTCCATTGCCGATCAGTGCGCAACCATCCAGACCCTGTCTCTCGTCATTGACCCTCGATCGGATGTCTGTTACGAAGTACAACCTTATCTATTGCTCTCTCCCTCATCGGCAATCGCCAATTTCGCCATCAATTGCTGTGAGACTTGACTGATTGTTGTATCTTGTGGTCATGGTCTGAGTTCTACCCTCCACCGTTCCCTTTCTCTTCTTACACACGCACCAATGCGCCGAGCTTCCGGCTCGCCGTCTCCTTCATCGGTAGTTAGCGGGAGATACTCTTGATCATGATATCTGCGGTCGTGGATTTCCTCCAGAATGGTTGGGATAAGCAGGGCCTATGGATATTTGCTATCCTCTTGATCTCTGCTACAACACCCCACGCGCATGCTCAGTTAACAGCCCCTACATTATCAACGATATCTTCAACCACCACACCTTTTGCAACGACCATTGTTACGCCCAGTCCCACGACCACTGCTCCTCCTCCTCCTCATTTATCGATATTGACGACTCTCTCCACCACATTTTTGAACACCAATTCTACTTCCTCGATATCAACTATCCGCGAGACTGACCAACCTCCCAGCCAACTGTTCCCACTGTCTAGTACAGAAACTCAGCCGAACTCAAACCAAGAGCGAAACGAGAGTGCGTTCAATTACTACTTCTTGATCCTTGCTGGCTTTGGAGCGGTCCTTGCGGTCGGATTATGGTGGATTCGAAAACGGAGGAAAAGGCAAAAAGAGCAGATGCGTCTCAGTGGTCAAACTGCTCTTGCAAGGGATCTCGACGGTTGGGTCAACACACGGCGATGGGTACATGGTGCTTGGAGGCATAATCAAACAGTTGCTATCATTCGACGTGAGGAAGGACTTGACGAGAATGGCGAGCCTCCACCCCCATATCATTCTGATGCCAGCGCGTCTGTCCCATCTAACAGACAATGCGTCATACAACAGACTTCGTCTGAGTTACCAGTCCCACTTCGAACTATCTCAAGAGAAGACATAGCCAGAGCAGGACCACCGGCGTATCCTGTGTTGGAACATCATGGCCAGAATTCTACTGTTACTTCAGATTCAATGGCCGACCCTGGTATGCCTTCTAGCAGTCTTCGATCCGTGGAATCCAGGGTTCGTGCGGACACAATCCACGGTGGAGCAACATGACACGACGGGTTGCCGGTAAATCGCCTCTTTCAATTTTGCAAATACTGCCTCTGGCTCTTTTGAGTGGACCCAGTACCGTACAGTGACTAGCCGCCGATGGTAGAAGGTACGCATGTAGAGATCACTCTACTGAAGAGAACGCACAGCTCTTTTGTGACTTAATCATGCTAACATTAGCAGACTTACAAAGTCAAATCGGCATCACACAATAGCTTGTTTTGTGCAATGCACCCAAATTTGAATGCGCTAGTACTTCCCAATTTTTGTCAACGGGTTGAAAAGCTATTTTACTTGAAGGAGATCCGAAACGAGTTAGCCGGTCCTTTTGCCGAATATAGGTACCCATGATTTGCTCCAGACAGTGTCTCCGTGAGATCATGGGCCGATTCGACCAAGATATTTTGGACAGGTTAATTATGTTGATGCAGGTACAGTTTTGATCCTCGGCCAGGCTCTTGCCATCTTACGTGAGTACAGCCACGCTGCCATCACCGCAGCGTGACGCCATTCCTTCGTCACAACCCCTTCACGATTTGGATGGAACATGAACGGCGAGGCCAGATGAAGAGATATTTGACTGCCTGATCATCCGTACCTCACCCCGCCTGTGTCACCACTACGCAATGATGCTTCTCTCTCTCTCTCTCTCTCTCTCTCTCTCTCTCTCTCTCTCTCCCCTCCTCTTCCAGCTCTTCGAGTTTGTCATTGGAGGAATACTTTGGCCTCCTTCGACAAATTGTGCGCATCATTCCTAATATGAACCATCCTCCGGGACCTTTCGGGCGTACGAGACTACGAGTACGAGAATCAAACAAACATCGCTTGGTGCAGCCAAGCGTGGGGGCCCCCGCCCTATCTGCAAGGTCGTTTCACCAACCGCGCGCAGCGCAATCGTCACTCACGCTACAACTCGAATGAGGAAATGCTGCGCGCGCGTAAGTGTTGATTATGCCTTGCGAAACGCTTCGCCTATTTCTACAATCAGAAATGAGTGGAGATTAATACTGACGTTGCTCCAACCGTTCTCCACTTCAGGCAGGTAGCTATCAGCGATCCTTGGGAATCCTATCGTATTGCTCATGAGATGTTTAAGACGGTCTGGGGGTCTTCCTTTTTCCGTGGGCCTGGTATTGTTTCCATTTCATGGCCTATAACGACTCTAACTGCGTCGCACCACCCTATAGCGTTCATTCAGCCCTGGCAGTCAAGTCCTGGAAATGTTTGGTCATCGGTGAAACCTGCAGTTCGACTGGTCGCATCCTAATAGATTGAAAACGATAGTGTATGAAGACTCTCGATCCACAGGCTCCCTGCTGGATGGTGGCTTGCGACCGGAATCGAAGACGTCGACCATACGAAGCGAGTGACCCGAATAACCGACTGGCTGGTCCCCTTTCTCCGTGCCAATCACGATTTCAGCCGCGCAGAACGACCGATCATCACATACTTCCTATTCCAGGCACCGTGGCCCTTAGATTTTGTTGGCTATTCTCATTATGCGCGCCCTGTGCCGAGCAGGCCTTGTCCAGAGAACTTGTAGCATCTGCGATTGCTACAAGACGGAACCTCGTACATCCGAAGCCTTGCAACCCGCCCCATTGCGGCACGCTCTCTGTGATGTGTCTGAACATCTTGAAAACCTGATGCAAATCAGATCCCTCACACCAACGCCTGTGCGCACAATTAGAGAATCCTCGGTCTTCAATCCGAGCCCCTAATTCTCTGTCGATCAGAGGTTGTAGCGAAAAGTGATTGGACCTACGGGAAGCGCAATAGCAGATTACGCCCATCCGCCTGAGGTGGGCAAACATATATCAGTGCCTAGCGAAATTTCTTCTTCCATTTATCAACAAGTATGCAAGCCTGAAACATTCCAGGCTTGCTTGAAAAGATCGGTCTTGCTCGGAGAGGTCAGCAAGACGAGAGATCAGACGAAGAGACAGCTGTACGGACATGCTGTTAGTAATCTGAGAGCCCGCGGACTTTTGTTCTACCTTTCTGGACATGTATAAATTGATCTATGAGAGCATCTGCACGCTACTGACTACATAACAAGCGTTCCTCTTGCATTGTTGTTGTATTGGACTCCCTTTTCACCATTCCACAAACTCTAGTAACAAACGAGAGCGTGAGCATGTCATCTTCCAATGGAATCCTAGTGATTGGTAGACTATCCGTATTCATCCACAGCCGGAAAGCTACTGATAGTATCCAGTTGCGTGTAATGAAGCACGCCCTGAATTCGATCCGTCTCGCCATTTCAAACTTGGAAACAATTCCACCCGGGTCATCAGGACTGCAGGAGGGCGCGTATCTGAAGCTATAAACTCGCTATACAATTTTGACCAATCTTCTCATATCGGAATGATCGTAATTGCACATCATATTGGTAAGCCACTTGTTCATAGGACCGCGGTACAGCGCTGTTGTTGGCATTTATATCTAACAGTCCTTCAGACTGCTGCTATGTGGCGCACGATCCTGAGGCGAACCTGCGCTCTGAGATGGTGTTGCTCAAAGGCTCTCCTTATGTTCGTAGAAGTATACCAGTAGTTGGATTTGTACTTAACGGCACTCCGACGATGCGCGAAGTAAAGTGAGTCATTCCAACATTCCGGCTCCCCATCTTGATCCATATGCTTGGAAGTTAGGTGTACTGATAATTGCTAGCATTCCTGGCAACATTCAAGATGAAGCGATTCGCCAGCAAATCCTGGGCCAGCAAATCCTGGGCCAAATGGAAGACTTTGGTCCGTACTGGGGTTAATTGCTGAACTATTGATTTGGGTGGTCCAACGTCGCTGTTGTGCAAATCTAGGCATTGCTGAACGGTTGGCAAGTGCGGACCAGTTCATCGGAACGTTCAACATAGTGTACCTTGGTTCTCTGATTAGGGCGAAATATTCAATGCTATAAAATGTGGCTTCTACTCTTCTCTACATTGATCACTTTGACTCCTTTGCTTCCAATTTCTACTTCGAAAACCGTGCACGCAGGCGTACAACGCATCGCAAGAACATCCAGCGACACCCTTTGCCCAGAAATAGCAGTCAGTCACAGCGCGTGCAGATTCTGACGTGTGGGAATCGTCTGCCGACGGACCAACTGCCATTTGCAGCCAGGGGAAAAAAAGAAACCCAGAATTGTGCTCTTGATCCACTCCAATATAGGTTTAATCATCATGAAGGAAACGAGCTTGGAAGAAACGACGTCTATTGCTCGGAAGGACACGCCGACCAATGGGAACGAGCCCAGCACGGCCCGACAGAACGACGCCAAACGGGCCGGACCCCCGACGTCAGAACCGGCTTTCCTGACAGGGTCAGCCCCTCAACCGCCACCACCAGCCTTGATGCCAGATGCTGTGCGACTTGTGACTCGTAATGCTACACCACTGGATTGCAGTAACGTGGAACAGAGTCCCCTCTCCATCTACCGGGCGGCCGCCGGCTTGACCCCCACACCTGCAGGTCCTAACTATACCGAGTTACAGTCTATCCTACGCGACCTCATTGTACTGGCGCGCCAGTGCTTCAATCGTCACGAGTGCAGCATAACCCTTCATATGCGGTCACTCCGGCTCCACGGTCGCACCAAGCGCTTTTTCGATAGATGGGTTGGACACGACTTCCTTGGAGACGGAATGTATGGCTATTGTCTAGAGACGCAGCAACTGTTCAACATAATCGAGATTGTTGCTCGAAATGATCCATCCTTTCACTTCGGGCCAATCGCTTGGCCACAACCCAATATTGGATCTGACGACTACTGCGCCCTGAAAAGCGCTGTATGCATGGAAATCGACAGTCTTATTTTTAAGAGATCTGACTTGAACTTGGCCGAGCTTGCAATATAGGGCGGAGACAGGAGCGTCTCAGAAGAAGAGGAAGCCACAGCGTGTCTCGGTTTAGAGCATAAGCATAACAATACGCACCAACAGCTAGCAAGGTCACCTCAAGAGCGAAGATAACATACGATCTTCCAAGGCCAAGAGTTCTAGGATAGAAACTGGTTCACCTACGTCCATACCCGGCGGGGTGGCACTCTAACGGTGCACGCCCCAACATCAAAAGCACGCATGTATGTGGCGTATCTGTCCGTAAACGGCAATAGATCCTGTTCACAACCTTGCAGCGACCGTCTGCCTAGTTGTGCCGACTTCTTTCAGGATATCCCAGACCTTCAGTCCCTCCTCGAGCCATCTATCTTCCTCGCACTTTACGGACCCATTGGCTTTTAACGTTCTGATGTGCAACGGATGCTGTGTGCCCCATTCCACTTCTTCGCCCTTGATAAACTTAGCAAGGTTGTCATGGAAGGCAGCCCGTATGAGTTGCTGCTCAGCCTTGTTCAAGCTGTCCCCGTCACCCCAGAACCACAGAACCATATCCGTCCCATGCGTGACCCCCCAGTCTTTTGGCCAACGCCGGTCACAGCATGCTGCACGCCATTCTATACGATACCGATAGATCAGGTGTCCAGCACCGTGGCGCACAAGGGCATTGACCATGCCACGTTCAAGATGGTGGATCTGTATATCTGCATAGATACATCCGAATGCCTGTTTCCAATCTTGGCAGTCTGTCGGCAGCTTCCCTCCTGGATAATAGTGCCGCATAAGCGCCTTGCAAGAGGCGGTAGGGTAGTCAGCCTGCAAACGTTGAAAGAGACTGTCTATATCATTGGAAGGGGGTCTCCATGTTCCATACACGTTGTGCTCATCCTTGCACTCGCCAATGATCAATTTGATGCCCCGTGTCTTCATGCGGCTGGCGAATGAACCGTTGTCAATCTCGCGCATTAGACCAACCCGTACAAATGATCCATCGGTCACGGCTCGGAACTGGTGATATTTGATGCGCGTAGTTGCATCGACCAGCGTCCTTGCATCCAAAGACCGTAGCTTGAGTAACTTCTCTGCAGCGGACAGCTCACGTGGTATCTCCAATGCCTGCAGAAGCTCATCGAACTGATCCTGGGCTTCATCCAAACTCTTTGGCTGCAGACCGGGGCCATTGGACATCATAAGCGCTCTCCTAACGATGCACTTGTTGTCCGGCAAGCCAAGGTCGTAGGCGAGCTGATGAAACGTTGAATGCGAGCCAGCGGAATAGCCACCAATCGTGATGTTGGACGCATTGCCGCCAAAGTAGCTGATATTTTGCCATGTCCATTCCAAGGCCAATCGCTGGTCCCAAAACCCAAGATTGGCAGAGGTGTCGGAGCTCACATTCAACAATTCTGGCGAGGCTAGGAAACCAAAAACATTGAGGCGGTACGCTGGCATCACAATGATGGCCTTGCAGTCAGTGTCGCTTAGCATCTTCATTGGGTTGCTGTCATTGGCGTTACCGAATTGGAGAAACCCTCCATCTACGCGCGATTAGCATGCACCCGCAGTCAAGGGCAGGATGCTCCAGGGATACGTACGGATCCAAAATAAAACAGGCCATCCTGTTGTAAAACACGTCAGATGAGAATCATCGTAAAGGAATCATATCCCTAGCGTGACTCACCTTGCTGTGGCGGGTCACCAATCGGAATGTAGATGTTACTCTGCAGACAATCTTCATCCCATGCGTCTTCATTAGGCTGAGGCTGAGGGCAAACGCCGCAACTCCCCGTGTACTTCCCTGGGCTCGCACTCGTGCCGTAACGGAAACATGGAGGGAGGGATCGGGGACGTGCCCATCTGAACTGTTTCGTAGGGGGCAATGCGTACGGGATTCCTCCAAAGTAGTGGCAGAGCGGCAAGGATTGTTTGTCGAGAAGTGTCAACCCTTCGACAAAACCACGGAACTGCAGGTCACGCAGATAGGGCTCGGATGCTCTCATAATTCTCTGACCGACGGGAGATGCAACAACAAAAGTAACGATGGCATCCAGAGTCGGTGATGGGATGAGGTTGACTGGAGACTGGACTGGACTGGTCCCAGGGTGCCAGCATATGGGGTATGTCCCGACTAGAACGGACCGGAAGGTGAACTGGGCGGCCCACATCCACCTACATACGACTAAACCCGAGTATTCGGTCTCTGGACCCTGTTCCGCAGTTCCAAGCTTAGTTACCTGTGCCTCCCACCTCCCACCCTCCACGGACCACACGATACCCACACTCAGTCACGACAAGACAAGTTCAAGTACACAACACAACACACAGTACTAGAGTGCACAGCACCCAGTGCGGAGTACATCCACAATATCCACAACCCACCATCGGCATCGCTTTAGGCCGTCTTTACATCACATAGCTACTCTCGGTCGATCAGACGTTGATCATCTCGCACAATTTCTTGTTTTCTTTCCAAGACTGCAACCCCCAACTTTGCCGTCACACAGATATTATTCACCTCCTCAAAAAGAATCTTGCTCCATCCAACCGCTGCTAATCGGCAACTGCCGGATCACATTCTGCACATACATGTGCGATTTGCACTTTAGTTTTCCTGTCTTGGACTCCTTTTTTTTCATCAATATTTGCTCACCCCCTTGTGTGTGAACCGATCATACCCACTGACGCACTGTGCTGCTCGCGAACGCCTACATGATTGTCGTGTCTGTTTAGTGATGACACACACTACTCCAATTGCGATGATTCATTTGTCCTCGCCGATATCTCCACCATTATCGGTGAGTCCCTACAAAAGAAACCATGCAGCTGAAAGAGAAGCAGCATTTCGCTGGCAGTGATACGAGTCTTCCAGCAGGTGCCGAGTCTTTGCCAAAAGAGTCGGCGAACAATTCGGCGAACAAACCGACCAACAGGCTGGTAAAAGAATCATTCTATTAGCTAATGAGAGATTATACGGAGGAGATAGATGGCCAGAGATATCGGCCAGATTGTGCTGAATACATTGCTGCCTCAGTTCGAGTCGTCATACCTACTTGGCATAATAGCATCCCAGAGCCTTTCCGGGTAACACTTGCTCCTGCTAGACTTGCGTTATCACTGCTGCTGGCAGATTGAATCAATACCTGATGTAGTTGATCGTCAGAATTGTATCTCATAGATTGGCATGAAAATTGATCGAAACAAGTACACTCTCCAACCGTACTCCCAAGCGTAATCCCACTATTGTCAGGCTCATATGGTTACACCATCACTTCTGCGAGCAAATCCATCCTCCATCTGAATACCCAAATCCAACTCTTTCCATAGGATCAATCAACACTGCAACCAACCTGCCAGCATACAAACGTCACACAACCCTCAAATCACAATCCTAAACCTCCTCCCACCCCTCTCCCACCTCGCGCACCCCAACAGCAAACACCCAACAACCGTCAACACAACAGCCCCCGACCCCAAAACCCTAAAACCAATCCCTCCTTGTCCTTCATCCCATGCCCTCACCACCACCGCCGCCACCATGACCCCCAGTCCCGCGGACCCGCCCGCGCCGGTCTGAACGCCCGCGATGAATCCCGGCATTGTCCTCCTGTCCTCCTCGCCCCCCTCCTTCCCGCCGCCGCCGCCTTCGAAAACGGAAACCACCTTGACGCCCAGGACCACCAGCGGTCCGAGACACGCACCGTAGATGATGGTGCTCGGCAGGAGGACTATCATGTTCCCCGGCATCCACGCGGGGGTCAGATAGCAGGCGGCCGCGACCAGCGACGCAGCTACGAACGTGTTCACCGGGCCGACGCTTCTTCGGACGTACGGAGATGTCACTATGGATGCAGAGATGAACGCCGTGGCGTAGGTGGCTGTCAGTGCGAGGACGAGGTGTAGGGGGGAGGTGCTGGGCGAGTGGGAGGGGGAGTGGAGCAGCAGGTAAGTCGTCGGCCAGACGAAGAGGGTGGTGGAGATGAGCCAGTACCCCAGCGTGAAGCAGATCGTCGTGCGGGATGTTAGATACCTTTTCAGTGGGAGTGGTCGTAGTGGTTGGGGATGTGCGTATGTTGGGTTCGGTTTGAGGAGGAGGGAGGCGATGACGAGGGTTGGGGTCAGGAGGGAGATGTTGATGTATTGTGCGTTGACCCATTTGCTCGGGCGCTCAACGCACATGTAGGATATCATTGTGTAGGTTATTGCCCCGAGGAAGCCGGCGTTGGTGCATATCATCGAGGTAAGGGGAAGGTTGTTGCGATAGTGAGTTGCTAGACATAGAATCCCGGATGTCGCGAGAGATCCTAGGAAGAAGCCTTGCGAGCCACTGACCACGATCAGTTCCCACCACTTGCTGCTCTCAATCACAGCGCCCTGACACAGTATCGCGCCGACCGTACTGATCCATATCGTCGTTCTCTGCAGCTTTTGTCGATAGAAATAGCCGATCGGATATATGGCCGCAAAGGCGAAGACGAGTCGTGCTGCTTGGATCGAGGATAACTGGACAATGTCTGGCTTTCGAGGATGTATTGACTTATAATATAAGTCAAGGTATGGGCCAAATGAGAGGATGATGCCATATACGTTGAATGAGATCAATGCTGAACCGATGTAGGAACGCCTTCGTAGAATTGTGGCCTTCCTGGTGGCTCGAAACACTGCTAGCTCGTTGGATACATTAGGGGAGAGCTTTTGCTCAGGTCGTGAAGATGTATTCATATGAGCAGTATCGCCGGTTAGTCCAGGCATACTGCATCTACTGCTCCCGGAACATAACTACACGATTAGAGCGAATCCAAGGAGAAGCGCAGACTCGTAGGCATACGGTACAGAGCCTGTTAAGCATAAAGATGATAATGGGGACTATGTTTGCATCAAATTTTGGCAAAGTTTTGATTCAATTTTCTTTACGTACGGCCGTGAATTATTCGTAGACAAACGGCCAACTGCACTACTAGCCGCTGTTCGCGAAAGGGGATTTTGCTCAAAGTGAAGGAAGACATTCACACTGCCGGAAACACGCTGGCAACATTTTGCCAGTCTCTAAAAGGACTTGACGCAAACACGCGATGGCCGCTGGTCTTTGAATGGTAGACATGAACAAGAGCTGAAAGTGCAAAAAACATAGATCGAAAGACCATGAGGGCCAAGCCTAAAAGAATCCATAACGCCGAGTGCCAGGCCTACTTCCAAGAGAACCATAACATACTAACAGAAATGCTAGCCTAGAAGATACTGTTGACAATGTTGCCACCAATGGTTGCACCAGCACCAAAGATAGCCGCATTGCCCAGCTTCTTTCCAAACTTCTTGCCCATCTCAGCGCCCTTGTTGGGTTCACCGCTCTCATTTTGCTGGGGAGCTGGCTGAGCACCGTTACTAACGTCAAGAGGCATGTTGCCATAGTTTGATGGCTGGGGAGCCATTTGTACAGGCGGTGCCATAGCCTTTGCGTCATCGCGACGAACGTAGCTGGCAGGGAAAATGCCCTCCTGACCAGTCCTGTCATTGCGACCCTTCCACCATTCGTTGTTCATGTACTCTGTGACAGTAATCTTGTCGTTTGGCATGAGCGCAAGATCTCCAGCATCCTGGGCGTTGTATTGGTAGAGAGCGCTCGCGTATGCGAGGGCAGGGGGTCCAACGGGCGCTGGAGGCGGGGTTTGGTAGGCAGGAGGAGGTGGGTTCGAGTGTTGGTCTTGAGCATAGTATCCACCCTTCTTCTCAGACAGAGGCTGCTCACGAGCAACATTCATCGCTTGGAACTGGTTGACCGGAGGTTCTGGGGTCGGGGCGGGAGAGACCGCAGCACCAGTAACGGCGGTGCGTCCAGCCGCTGCGTTTGCTGGGAGCTGAGCGGATATGGTTTCGAATTGCTGTTGAGAGATGACATCGGCATCGAGGAGGAACTCGAGTTCCTGCCATTCAGTTAGATATACTATCAAGCAGTATAATGATCCAGACGATACTCACTGTTTTGATGGTCCGTAACGACCTGTTGGCCATTGCCTTGTTGAAGCCCTCGGCCATTGTGGCGGTGGGGTGATTGATTGTGGATAGTGAGTGCGATGCGTATAGCAAACGGAGGGTGCCTCGATCAGAGCGAGAGAGTTGTTCTTTGGGAAAAGAGAGTGACAGCGACTTGCAAAGTTGCGGTTGTATTTGTTCAAATGGTGGAGTGTCCTTGGGGGGCCGGGCCGGATGTGGCGCGTTGGAGCGAGTGGATGATCGAGGCAGAGGCAGAGGCAGTTAGGGGCTAAGAAAGGTACTCGTAAGGCTGTGCAGGGCAGATGCCGTCTTCTCCGTCTTCTGTGTTCCCCACAATTTATTGACTGATTCTTCATTGTTGATACATTTAGCGATGGTTTGTAATTTTTATTTTATTTATTCATCTCATGATTAGCATCTCTCATTAATCACTAACTTCATCTCATTCATGCGATAAGAAAAGAAACGTCGGTTGGCTCGAAGCGTCTTCAATTCATCTTCACATGCTTCTGACGAGGTCCACTTTACTACTTAGTAGCCAGGAGGCATTTAGGTATGTAGAAGCGCTCAATAGATATTGTCCAATAACTTCACTACTGCACAAGTTCAAGACCCGGACTTGGGCCCTTTCTGCTCATTCTCCTTGATCCGCGCCAGCATCTGATGGAACATGCCCTGGCGAGTCTTCTCGAAAGCATCGAACGCGGTCTCTACAAATCCAACAGCAATCTGTTCTTCGCCTTTCACGAGCCTCGACCAGGACTCGTCGGTAAATTCCTTCAAAGGCATACCCATGGAGCGACCATCTTTTATATCTGGCTGATGTTTCTCATCGTGTAGCTCCGTCTGAACCGCTGGAGGGAAGATCTCGATCACTTTTATATTGCCTGGCCCATCCTTCAATTGCTCGCGCAAAGCTAGAATGAAATGATGCAGTGCAGCCTTGCTTGCACTGTAGTTGAGGCGTTTCACCACCATCGGTACGAGTGCTAGCCCCGATGAGGTGTAAATCAAGCTAGTCTCATTGTTCTGCCTCTGCAGATGCGGAAGAAATGCATGGGTGAGGTAGACAAGAGATATATAGTTGGTGTTCATTTCGAGTGCGAGGACTGACGGGTCGATTGTCTCGGGTTTTGTGAAGTCGAATCCTCGCTGAATGCCTGAGTTGAGGATGATGCTGTCCAAGTCGGGATGTCTCGCCGCGATGTCGTCAGCGAACTTCTGAATTTGATCGAGCTTTGTGATATCGAACGTTATGGCTTCTGCTTTGTCTTCCCCGTGCTCCGCAACGAATGCTTCGAGCCTGTCTTGCCTGCGGCCAACTACAATGGCCTTCTTCCCGTCTGAGATGACTCGCTCCGCATAGGCAAGGCCGATGCCCGAAGTCGCACCAATTACAAGTACTTTGTTGTATTTCAAAGGCATTTTCGAGGTCCTGTAAATGTCTGTACTCGACTCTGATGATTGTCTGGGATCGATGTGTTGCTGGAGACTCTGAAGCCGGTGCATTTCCCTATATCTATGTTGGGCCGCTCGGTTGGGTTGGTAACCAGGCTGAAGTTGGTGCTCGGTTCCAGGATGCGAGATACGAGATCCAGGTTCCTCGAATGACGAACAGACAGGGGACCAAGTCAATACCTTTTGTAACTTCTTTGCCAGACGAATCGGTATCTACCCTTCAGAATGTGGGGTGGGTCTATTGTGACGAAAGAGCACGGCAATTGAGATCGGCCACATCTCTCCGCCGCTATCATGCCAATTGACATTATATGCATCTTGATCCGTTTGAGAAGTCGTTACTCGACCATACGTAAAACTTGTGCGATAACTTGTGGTAGCCTTTATGACATGAATAGGCACAGGTCCAGGCTACATGATCTGCTTCTGAAGGCTGTAGAGTGTGAGATCCGATCGATTGAGTACTAGTGCAACTATAGGCACGCACGAGCCAGTCCTTAACTCCGAACATTCACTCATCAACTCTACGATGCTTACTCCCCGACTCATCCAACACCTTCCACTTCTACCCTCACGATGCAAAATTTTGGGAACGATCAGTTAGCTACGAGGACTTGTTGGCAATGCAAATCTAGCAAGAAGAAATGTGACAAACTTCTTCCTACGTGCAGCCGGTGCTCGAGGTATTATCATCACTAGCGCAACCTGATTCATGGGACAATCATAACAAAGACTAATTTCCGTAGATTGTCTATCGAGTGTGCATATGACGGTGAAAAGCCAGACGCTGCACCTAGCAACCACGATTCAAATGATACCAAATTTGAACAAATATTCCAACGTCTGGAGAGACTTGAACATCTGATCTCGAACCCGGACTCGCCAACGACTACTAGAACATCAGCCTCGCATGAACCACCCCCAAGTTATGTCTCAAACATTGATCATAGTTGCCAACCACCTTCCTGGCAGGTTGATCCAGGCCAACTCAAGCAAGAATACGTGGGTTTTATGCTCTGGGGCAGCGTGTTTCGAATAATGAGTGAAAGTCACACCACTATCGACGCTGTTGCCGATAACTACTTCAAATGGACACATCAGTGGCTTCCGATGATATCAAGGTCCCGATTCGACACCGGTCTCGAGCGTCTCAAAGTGTATTCGACAGATCGCGGCTCTTCGCTCACTATACTGGCCATGCATCTTACTGTGACTCCAGTTTCTGAACATCCGGGCTCGACTCCACTGTCAGACTCCCCTTGGTATCGGGCTTGCAAATACTATTTCAGCTATTTTGCTTCGGTCGAGGAGCCGACCGTAGATATCATACAGGCAGGAATTCTCCTCGCACTGTTCGAGCACATGCAATCCATAGATAATAAAGCACTTACCACTCTAGGGATCTGCGGGAGACTTGCATGTGCACTGGACCTTGACGATATAGTTGCGCAAGCGTTAATCCGAGAACCTGGAGAGATTAGCAGCGAGGTCGAGGAGGCTATTCAGACGTGGTTTGCATTGATCTTATTGGATAGGTAAGTCATGTTCCTGCATTGTCAGAAAAATATCACAGATCGCCAGACTTATGACCAGTTGTATTGTTATCCAAGTAATTGACAACCGACAGATACTTCAATATGCCACCAGTACAGATTCCACAGCAGCCTATTATCCATCAGAAACCATTCCAAGTAAGCTTTCTAGAGAGAAGCATCATGATGTCGCCAGTTTTCCATAAGCCTGGACGTGACGATCTGCCCTTGTTTCTCCTGGAAATGGAAGCATCTCGATTAGTAGCCCAGGTACAAACCGTTATGCGGGACAATCGTCGGACTGATATCGGTTTCTTATTTGACGTTGCACCCCCGATTCCTCAAGAGGTGGACAAATTGGTAGAGTGTATGAAGACCAAACAACAACCGCTTGGATCCTTCGCTGGTATACTGGTCTCGCTAGGGTAGGTCTCTCATAGTTTCTGGATGGAAATCCTAGCGGCTAACAAGATGCCAAAGCGCTGCCTTGCAGTTACACATCTGGTACGTCCGTAAGATTGGCAGAGTTGACGAGGAAAATGTGCTTGCCATTGTGTCGTATGTGGAGCAAATTCATGACATTGTTGTCCACTGTATTATCGACAATGGATTCACCGAGCACTATCTCGAAGGCATCCAACCATCGTGGATCTCAGTAGTCTTTCAGGCTGTGATGGCCTACAAGCTTGTCAAATCCACCCGACCGCAGAACATCTCGATTGGGATGGATACAAGCCCTTTTATGACATTGCTTTCGACAGCCGCAACGCGATATAAATTCGCAGGTTAGTACGATTCCTTGACAGTCATATACATCTAACCTAATAAACCGCCCTTAGAGCGCTGTATTGAGATCATCTATAACACATACTGTCGATCTGAAGCGCAGCAACCCCCACTTCAAGATGCTTGAGAGTCTTTCTTGTACACATTCTTTCACGAAAATAAGTGGCTTGTTCTACCTGAAATGATCGTCAAGATATTTCCTATCCCTATAAAAAACCCAGCATCATCCGCCCAAAACCGCAAAAGCCTACCAGGACGCTGTAGCAGGAGCATTTCCAAAGACAGGCGGCAACACCCATCTTTGTGTGTTGAGAGCCTGATCACATCGCCCCTGGTGGTCTCCACTAAAGCCGCACGCCTCCAAGTTGTTCCTGCTGGATTGCCATATGTAAAATTATTCGGTATTCGTTATCCGACCCTGATCGCTGTTGCTATAAAATCGCCGATCTCGATCATCTCCCTTGATGCAGCTGCATCTCCACAGTCAAGAGATTTGCAACGTCAGCACTGCGAGTAGCCTACCATGGACGCGGGAATTGATTGCAAGTACCAAGCCGCCATGGCGGTCCCACCTCATGCACAACTGGGGCGCGGACTTCCTCGCCGATCTCGTCATTGCCGGCGTAGTTCAGATCAAACAAAGAAACAAAGAGCATCCCACCCGCCAAGTGTGCGTCTACCCGTGCAATTGATTAATCCCGCGGCACCCAACAGAAATCATTGCGTAAGTATCGGTAGGTAACTTTACAACTCACCTTGCAGGAGTGAAGGTTCAACCATTCGTAGCAAATAAAATGAAATAGTAGTAGCAAGAATCACGTTGACCACACCGCTAAACACGGCTCGCGCCCTCTCATTACTGATCAGTCGTTCTCATGTATAAAGGATAGAAGCCAGACCGATACGACCCATGCCATTAACCATGATCTTATATACATCAGCGCGATTGTGACTGTAACGTGTGCCACCTTCATAACACACGGTTGACGAACCGAAGAATATATCCCCGGATTATTGTGCCACCTCAGTGTCCAACGCTCCCCGTTGTTGTTACATATGTTATGAGTAAGGTTTCCACCCCCTCCCCACATTGCCCCCCAATTCAAGCGTAAAGCAAATGGTCTCTAACAAACCCCTCGCCAGACTTTACAGAGCCATCACTGAGCATCACCAATCCACCGTAAGAACCGCACTCTGCCAGCTTCTATCGTGGCGATGTCTGTTCAAAGCTCTTGTGAATTCATTCGCATATTCACGATCCTGGACTTATAACTCATACTCCACGACCTTTCCAATACCTGCTATGGGTACGCTGTCGATTGAAGGCCTCCGAAAACTGCTATATAAGACGGCATGGCATCCACAATCCATAAGTTGAAGACCTTGTTTCACACAGGAAAGATCCCTACAAAAGAATCGATGATCTGGATCCACGGTTTGCTCTCGTCCTATAGTACTCGGGACATCAGATCCATACCAGACGGCCAACAGGGCGCAACTGGAAAGTATCCATATCGAACGGGGTGGCCAAAACTACCCATGGAGCCAGTCGTTTCAGCGCATCATCAGCTTCACGAGGTTCTGTACCTTAACATTGAGTTGAAGATCTTGCCGGACAATGACCTACAGAGACCGCTTCTTTGTTCGTGGAGTCTCTATATATAAACATGCGCTATATATCGCAAAACGTTAGCCGTGGGACCTCACCTTGTTTTGTTTCTGTGAGACGATTCTCACCCAGCCTGTGGTAAAACATCTCGTATATACCACCGCCGTTCATGGTGCATTTTCCTCGCCACAGCCCTGCCTCGGGGGATCAGTTGGCCAACCGCTCGAACCCACTGTGAAGCAGTATCTTTACCAGCGATGACGAGAGGAAAGGTGAGAGAAGAAAATCCATCCAGACAGAATGGTGACCTTCGGGTATATCTCCCAGTCCAGGACTTTATTTCCTCATCATGTCTTGAAAATGGAGTCCTTCCATGGTCGCCTGGGTGGGGGGTGCGATCATACGTTACCTCTCTCTACTCTGGGTGGATTCTTCACTTTGATGTCCCGCCTATCAAAGCCGCCCACTGTTGTATGTCGACGAGCCAGGATCGAATCTATATATACACGGGAGAGGATCATGGTGCACAGAAAACTCGCATGTAAGTAAGGATCGTTGCCATTACCGCATGTACGTGACTAACTGGCATAGCAACGCTAGCTGGGTAGTTCTGCACACCCATTAAATGACTGCCTCGTCGTCCCCTTATACTTGACCTACCGCGATTGAAGCCTCTGTTTTCCAGAGCAAGTTCACACCGGCTTGATACATACAACAACATGAAAATGTGCGGGAAGCGGCCAATCGAGCCAGACACTCGGAACGTCAGCAGATCAAAATCCGATGATCAGCCCGCCAGCTGTACGCAACAATCAGGAGATGTACTTGTTGCCTTACTGGCTCAGGATCTATCACGAACAGCTAGTGATTTCCTGAAAAGATCCCAGGAGGCGACTGGCTGGCCCTTCACGCGGACAGTTTCAGACGCGGCGAGCTGACCACTTCCACGGACTAGTAGGTTCGGTCGCCCCTTCCTCTCTTGATTTCCGGATGCCTATGTCCTACCGTTGTCCTCTTGGTTTATCATGCTCGCCCAAGACTGCGGTCAATGCGCCTTGTTTTTTCGTCAACACCCAGACGCTATATATACGATACATGCTCGTGGCACACAATGCGAGCGGAATCATATCCGTCGAAGGACCTAGCATTTCATCTCGAAATTTATACGCTTATATATATATATATATATATCTGGGGGAGTACCGTCGTGCCGGTGCATGGGTCAAGGCTGTTGAAAAGTACGGCCCCTTGATTCTGCGACGGCGCTTGCTGAGGAAGTTCACCAAAAGAAGTCCTCGAGGTACTCCGCGAGCCTCCAGCGGCATCCAATACAACGCAACAATGGCCCGTCAGTTCCTTACACTCGTTGTTTCGACGTCCCCAGATTGGAGACCATGGCGCTGTCTGGGAGATGTCCAGATGATAGAAGGGCGAGTATGCACAATCCAACTGCGTCACTGAGCTATGACGAGGATTGTTCCTACTTGCAAGGGAATAGGACAACAGTGCGGTGTTTCGCATTCAGAGACAAGTTCATGTCAGCCTCGCCTCAAACGACACAATGCTCGGCGTCCTCCAAGGAGAAAGCGTTGTCGTAGGATAGGACCAGCGGTAACAAAGATGCATGTTGCTCGGGCTTGTGGTGTTGCATACTGTGGTGTAGCAGGATAGATGAGGCTATTCGGGGATCACGTGTATGAGGAAAAGCACTAGGCAGGGCATAGATAGATCGATCAGGGCTGCCGAGAGAGCTCGAGCATCATCCACCTACCTACCGAGGCCTATCGACAGAGTCAAATATCTACCTTTCCTACCTATTCACCGATTGCGGGTCGTGCCTGTGATGCTCCCTACTACAGAGGCGTCTATACGCGACAATACCTACATCTATCCTCATGATCGTATGCGGAGCACATCTTGGATTCTTAGTTCTGCTGTGAATTACTGGCTAAAATCATTACACTTATATAGAACTCTTTGTATCAGAACAGTATAATCATATGAGAGACTTTCCAAACCATGTCATTCATCTTCAAAGAAAGGCAATTGGACTCGCATCACAACGCCAGAAAACATTTGAAACAGCCACACCACAAAATACAGGGCGACCTTCAATTCTCCTTCCCACCCTCTACTGCAAATTTAATTCCCGCCTCCACGATTTCCCTGATAACTTCCACCTCTGTTGCGTTCCTTGGTGCATACACCAGCACCCAACTCTTCGGAGCAATCCAATCTACCGAAAACCGTTCCCCCCACTTCTTCTCAACCACCACCCTCGCATCTCTAGGGGAGAGATAAACATGGAGACTGCTATCACTAGGGTGCACATGCGCGATTTCATAGAAGATAGCCTTGGCCTTGGGGTTGATCGTGGGTACTTCCGGGCGAACGTAGATCGCAGTTCCAGTTCCGCCTTCTGTTTTGGAGGGCCCAGTGTAGATCAAGTCTTTGTAGGCATCGGAGTTAGCAAGACTGGGTAGGATAGTCGATAGACTTTCTTGTGTGCCCTGTGTTTGGGAGACGCGCTGTTGGCGTTGGGGGAGCACCCTGCTCTGATTATTAGTGATCGATTTCATAAATGAGACTGGAATCTGGACGTGGAATGTATACCAGCGGGTGAGACCTGGACGTTCAAATTCCCTCTCCGGAAACTCAGATAGGTATGAGGGCCCTCCATCCGGTATAAATGATGGGTCATGCAGATCCTGAGGGTGAAACAACAGATACAATCCCCATTTCTGGATCTTGTAGTACCCCGCTAGAGTTGATGGTGTGCCCCCCGTGCCTATAGATTTATTATTAGGTACGGACTGTTGCAAGAGATATCAAGAAATAATTCACCTTTATTTTTCCAGGCTCGATAATCGGCCCATAGCAGGGCTCCAGCCAAGGTAGATGTAGCTACCGCAATCGACGAAGCAATAGCAACCCGCGAGGATGACATGCTTAATCGTTCTCTTTACAACGAACGTGCTGAAAATTGATCAAGATCTGTGTACACTATGGTTATGACGAGGAATAAGTAGCCTTCCTCGAATGCGATCGGCTTGGTGGGGACAAGGCTGGGAAACGCGACCGGGAAGAATGTGGATTCTGGATGCGATGCGAATCCACTAGCTGCACAGCGCCAGGCCTAGATTCTCGAAAGTAAATTCGTTCTCATGTATTAGAAGAAGCAGAATGAAAGTAGATAGTGACTGATTGTTTGTTGAGAAGTTGTCGTGGTCGGAGATCGGCAATGACGACTACCGCTGATGCATATTGGGTGGCTGTTATCGATTGCTCCTGCATGCTCCATGTAACATTGTCACTGAAGGGACGCAAGGCACCGTCCCAGTATGATTTTGATTCGACTTGACAAAAAGCTGGGGATTTGGACTCGATATGATCGCAGGGAAAGTCCATGAATCTAGAAGTCAATAGCAACTAATACCTGGTTGTCCGAAGAAGTAAACTAGACCTTTGCTACGTTGGTGATGTGAACTGCACTTGGAGCCAATCATATGTCTGGAAGTACCATTTGAATATTACTGTCTTCTATGCGATTTATTACAAATGTAAATGTGAAAGATATAGAATTTTCCCCCCACAAAGTTAGTAACTCATAAATTCCCAATTCTCACTTGAATTCAAGACCCTCCTGGCCCTCACAAGCGGAAATTGGCCCAAAGTAGTTGCGATGCGCATCTAGGTCGAGACGGAGGTTTCCTTCGTTGCCCTTCAGGTTCACTGATCCAGTTAAGAGCTCGATGTCACCAGCAGTGGGCTCTACATCGTTGCCAGATGAGACAAAGAATTCTGGCTCGGGGTGTCGAAAACCAACGAGCGCCGGGGGAAGACGAGGGATAGGGTCGTCCTTGTGGGTGACGCGGAAGTTTTGCCCTCTGGTATTGTCGGTCAGGAAATCAGCGAGGCCCCTTTTGCCAACCTTGGGAGCACCGTATGTGTACTGTCATTTTGTTAGATCGAGAGTGCATGCAATTGAAGTCGAGTGTAACCTACGAGGTCTACGGTTATATTCTGGCTTCTCAGCACACCGGCCCCGAAGCTTGCAATCGCGCCACCTAGAGAGTGACCCGTAGCGATGACTTTGAAGCCTGGGTTTTCGCTCCGTGCTTGAGCGACAGCTTGGAGAACAATGTCTTCGGCCTCTGCCCAGGCATCCCAGAACCCATTGGCAGCATCACAATCATCGCAGAGTGGACTCTCTTGTGTGCCAATGTTAGCGTCAGTAAGTAGGTTACGGACTGAGTCTGTGCCACGGAAGGAAATGACGATGAGTTGATTTGTGGTATCTACCGCTACGAAACCCGTCGTATCGGTTTTGGGGGTGCTGCGAGGGACATTAGTTCTTGCCTTAGATACGAAAGTATGCTACTACTCACTTTTCGAATTCCACAATCGTGTTTGTATCTGCAGCCTCTACCCTTGGGCAATTGCCTTGAGCGCATTCGATTTTGGTATTTGGGCTATCATTGTTTGATTTGCAATATGATGCGGCACTATATTGCGAAAAAAACTGTAATTGATCCAGGACATCGGCAGAGACCTCTATTGACTGTTAGCTTGGCCAGAATTGAGCTTCAAGGTAGGCAAGTTCATGGTCTGAAAGACTCTGAATAGCTACTAATCGTGATTGGGGCCATGAAGAAATCTATTAGCAAGACCATGAATTCATTGACATACCTCGCTTTTTGAACTCTACTGGACTGGCGATGGTAGTAAGGGAGCAGGCTCCCATTACTAGCCACACCAACCTTGCAAAGGTTGATGACAGCATCTTTCAGCGCCAGCGCAAATGAAATACTTCACAAGTGGTGAATACAGATGGCAGAACACAGGCCAAAAATCCGTAGCTGCTCGACAATCCAAAGGACTCAGGAGCGAAGACCAGCGACGATGATTTCCTGAAGCTCCATCCGGATCGGCGCCTGTCCACAGTTATAGGAAAATCACCAAACCCCGCGAAACCTGAGGATAGAGAGAGGCCCCTGCCAACCCTAAAGTCCATTTCCGTTTATCATGCCCTAATAATCGGTTATATTGCCGGAGCATGGATGAGCGTGATCCTTGTCTGGAATCGTGGTTTCGAGAGATATCTCGAGAATTGCAGTTCTCGTCTTGCCATTGGTGAGAGAGACACGACCACAGTGGCGGTTGGCAAGCGTCCGGCCGTGCATGTGCATGGTACATGGCGGCTCGCCCAATACGATCTACCATCCTACATCACACTTGTGGCTCCATTTACTAAAATTACACCCCATGTATATACATAGCCCCCAAATTGTATTGAGTGAGGTGGTCCAGAGAAGGCGAAAGAAGGCGATTTCGAGTTGCGATGCATGAAATGCAGGTTCAGCGACGATCTTTTTCGTATCGAGACTCGTTTCCCGTCGAGCCTCAGCGATATTGGAATCAGTGGCACAGCAAGTCAGCGAGCGAATGAACGGCTACCAGAAAAATCTCCATGTACTCTCAAACCTTAGCTGGAAATACTCCGGCTCAGATGATACCACGCTGTTCGCAAAAGTACAGTTCGTTGCCGTGTGCTGCTGAAACCCGGGACTCTTTCCATTATGCTTACGGACTTCGTCCTTTGCTCGTAACCAACATGCGACATCATCAGTCTTGACGGCTTTGGCTTCCAAGATACAATAATGCAGAAATTCTAGATTCCAATCTATTTGAAAATGAGATTCGAAGTAAAAATGATGTCGAAAAGTGGCCGGTCAATGCTTCTCCCAAGTTAAGATGAGGGATTCAAGTATGGCCAGTTAAACCGGCAGGCACTGATGAGAAATTGAAGTTCACAGCGGTCTTCAAGTTGGGCTTAACACGGACTATGAACCCCGCGTTAGGATCTGACAGGGTCGGTCCTCTCGTTTCTGGTGCACTATAACCTTGGAACCTTTTATGAATTGAGAGAAGACGTGCACAGCGTTGAACGTTAACAGTTATGATATTGTGTGCGATCGAAGTATTCGCTTAGACCTGGTCTGGCCAATTTTTATGGTGTGATGGGTATACACATATGAAATTTGAGAACCTCAAGTGCCCGTTTCTATTTCCTTCAAACATTCGCATCGCATAAAGAATACAAGTACAGAATTGGTAAGTGCGGAAAGTCGATGGTCACGATATACTGGTCACGATGTTGAGACTGTAGGACACATCGCTTTCATAATCAGATAGTTGCGTGCCCGTGCACCCTGCTGCTTCACAGAGAAAGAGATGCAATCGCAATGGCTCCTTCGAACACGTGCACTGATAAATCGATAATGATGGATGTTGCAATGTTGGATTATGGTTGACGCCACGGCTTTGGAAAAAGCTACTTGTGCTCTATAGATATTGAATCATGACCGGGCTGGAGGCTAGCAGACGTCTCCTGGGTATACAGTCATTCCGCATATTCGGTATGAGTAGCAGCTGGTGCAGAGCAAGGCGAGTCTACTGTGGTGGTACGAACGGCTGCACGAGCATTTCACTGAATCTGTTGGATAGGTTAGTTCTGCAACTGAAGAATCATAGTCCTTGTTGACTTACTTCTCTAATTTCTCCTTTCCTCTCACTTCCTCTACCAAGAGTGGCATCTTGACGACGTTGAACTCATCATACAGTTCTTCGATCTGCTCGAGATACTTCTTTTGCATCTTGCGCCTGGCATTGCATTGCTCACAAGGGTTGTCCTGCTTAGGGAAGAGCAACTGGTTGACAACGATTGCATGCGTGTCGATCTCGTAGCTGCTTAACTCCTGGATCATACGCTCCGTCTCGTATAAACTTAAGAACTCAGGAATGCATACGCAGACGAATGTCGTCAAATCCGCATCTTTGAATTGTCCGTTGACTTCTGAGATTGTGGCGCGCAGAGACTCCATCTTCTCTATTAACTCATCCATGTTCTGTCCATTGGGGAGGCGTCCTCCTCCTCCAAGGAAGGAGTTGAGCATAGGGCCGAATTGGCGCGACAATTGCGAGACCTTTGCGAGTGCCTTCTCCATAACGGTAGGAAATTGTAGGAAACGAAGCGTGTGGCCGGTGGGAGCGGTATCGAAAATAATGACTTCGTAGGAAAGCGATTTGACTTGCTTGAGGACTTCGGCGAAGGACATGGCTTCATCAACACCAGGAATCTAATAAGCCGTCCATTAGTATCTTGACTGTGTCGCTGCAGGCGCATGCTTCCTCATTACGCTGAATGTACTTACGCTGAATGCTAGATCTTGCATCATGTTTCCCATGCCTCCCAATCCTGCCATTGCGTCCTCTGCGTTCTCGCCCCCAGCAGCGAGGAGGTCTTGTATGCTTCCATTAGGGTCAATCTCCATGGCGCTCAGGTTGTCAAAGCCATTGATCAACCGCGCATCCTTGCCAAACTTCTGGTTGAAGGCATCGCTCAGATTGTGTGCGGGATCCGTAGAGATAAGAAGGACTGATTTGCGATGCTTTGCGAGCTGAATTGCGAGAGAGCATGACGTAGTCGTTTTGCCGACACCACCTTTGCCTCCAACGAAGATCCAGCGAAGGGTCTTTTGATCAAGAATGGATTGGAGCGTGGGCTCCAGAACGTCGTCATCGATCACAGCAGCGGTCGCCATCTTTGCGGACTGTAAGAGTAGACGTGAGATTGTGTTACAAGCCTACGAATATAAAACAATCAAGTCAGTCGCGGTCGGGATAGAGAACACAAAAGTTGGCAAGTTCCAACCGAAGTTGTAGAGAACTTTCTGGAAGGACGGACGTACGACTATTCAACAACCAATGATGGAGCGAGGAGCGAGGAGCGAACGAGTGTTCGAGTCTTGGAGAGTAACAAAGACTACGAACAGAAACAGATTATGAGCTTTATTGATTGTGGGGGAGGATAACGAAGCACAAGTTGCACCGAGGCGTTTTGCGATCGTCATGGGCAGGACCACCGAAGCATCACCGTGCGCGTCATCCCCGCATATGTGGCTGTCATGCGCCACAATCTGCACTTGAAGGAAGTATTCACGATTTTGAGGTCATATGTGGACCAAACCCTTCAAATTATTGTCGCCTTTCTATTTATTGTAGACTGACTCGATTTTGCACTAATTGATCCTGGAGAATATACTATCTTCTCTGATCACCATTGACGGCCGAGGACACTGCACCCAGAAGGCAAATAGGGAACTAATCTAGACTCTCGCATGCCTCGCGCCCATTGTGCTCCAAACGCCTCTTCAAAGATTCCCGGTTCATTTACATCTAGGAAAAACCACCTATGATCGCCCTTCCGGACGCGCGATAATAGGCACAAAAAACATCCCTTATGCATCCAAGGAATTACCTGTCTGAAAACAGCCCACTACAAGAAAACGCAGTGATATGAGCAACAGGGCTCAACGAAGAGGAGCTGCATCTTGTTCATCTCTTCTTTCCCTTCGCTTTCGATTTAGCGCTGGAAGGAGCAGGGCTACTGTTGGAAGCTACACTGGTTGCACGAGACGTTGAGGCGGAGGCCGACCCCTTCCCTTTGCCTTTGACAGTGTCAAGTTGTTTGTTCTAGGGTTATCATTAGTCTGGAAACATGTAGGCGGGGACAATTGTTACTCACTTTGACATTGCCTTTGGCCTTCTTCTTGACAGGTAGCTCGTCTTCATCCTCGCTGTCATCTTCCTCTAGAGCGCGCTTGCCTTTGCCATTCTTCACGTCCCCATCACCAAGTTCTCGCACTACCGCCTGGATCAGGGTGGTACACCGACGGCCGATTTCTTGTGGGGTACGGCTGAGGAAAAACCAGTCGAAACGGAACAGCGGCGACTGGCGAATTTCATCTCGAATCTTCTCGTTAATTTGTTCATCCTCAATGCCATGTTTGTTGAGCATCACCAGAAGGAACCGGTCTTCCTCTTCTGTATATACCTTTTTGTTCGTGGTCGATACGGTATACTTGATGGTCATGTTTTGGAGTGGCATGCGGTACTGTCCAATCTTCTTCGCAAGCAGTCGTTTCTTCTCCTCTGCCAGGCGCACGCGGGCTTCTCCCTCCTCGATTACATTCAAATGCTTCTGCCAATTGTCGAGGGTCTTGTACTTCTTCCAGAATGTTTTGGCGTATTCCGCGATTTCGTCGGGATCCTTGCCATCAACTTCCTCAGAGATACCTTCGTAATTCTGGCGTCCATATTTGGCGGTACCGTTCAGGAATTGCTGGAAGTCTCGCTTGTTCCATTCTGGGAAACCTTTGGCAATCAGGGCCTCCTTTTCTTCCTTTTCCGCGTCTGTGAGGGGAATTGCGTTGTCAATCTCTTTCTGCGCTAGCTCCTGATCAGCCTCGCGAGTCTCCAATTCCTCGTCCGAACCGTCGGGCAGCGGAGCTTTAATGTTGTTCTCTTTGCGGTACCAAGCGGTCTCCTTCTCTTGTAGCTCTGCAAGTTGTGGAGGGAAGAACTGGTAATCGTGTATGACAACCTGTTTTGGAGCACGAGGAATTCTAGGCGCTTTGGCTTCTTGTCGATTACCAGTTGCCAACGCATTCCGGTAGTAATTGTCCATGGAATATCCAATCTCTTTCCTCTCTCGCTTGGATGGGTTGATCCAAGTGAGTCCGATTTCTTTCTTACGAGGCTGGAAAGTCTCACCATTCCATTCATATGCCGAGTCAGAGGTAAATTTCTGAAGGTCGTCCAAACCAAGCTTCTCGTAACGCGCATTGAGTGCTGCCGTCCTCTCTTCGCCGTGCTTGAGAATGGCATCGATGTCATCTTCTGAGAAGTCATTGGATCCTGACATCGCTCCAAGGGCACCCTGACTCTGGAAAACCTTTTCGGCTCCATGCTGAATCATGGTGAGCAACTCATCCTTGGAGGCCGCATTTTTCACAGGCTGTTGAGCGCGACCTTGTTGAATGACTAGCTGATCGAGTCGCAATTTTTGTGCTGCACGTTCCAGAACCTTTTCTTCGATTGCGTTCTCGGAGACAAATCGGAATACTACGACCTGCTTGGTTTGACCGATACGGTGAGCCCTGTCCATGGCTTGGAGATCAGCCTGAGGATTCCAGTCACTGTCGAAAAGTATAACAATATCGGCAGAAGTTAGGTTGATTCCCAAGCCACCTGCGCGAGTAGTCAGAAGGAATAGAAATTTCTCTGAACCTTCCTTGTTGTAATCGTCAATAGCTGCGATTCGATCTTCGTGAGCAGTTGAGCCATCGATACGACAGTACGGATAATTACGAAAGACAGAATAATCCTCCAGAATATCGAGCATACGGCTCATCTGGGAGAAGATCAAGACTCTGCTCCCCTGGGCTTTCATGCGCTTGAGAAGATTATCGAGCATGACCATTTTGGCAGCGTTATGGACCAGATGCTCATCAGTCGTGTACGGAGGACCGGGTTCAGCTCCTTCAAAGAGGTAAGGGTGATTGCAACACTTCCGAAGTTGCATGACAATGTTCAACAGCCGTGTTTTGGATTCTTTGTTGCCTGCACCACCATTGACAGCATCGATGTCTTTTTCCAGGATCTTCTTGTACCACTTGACCTGCATATCAGACATGCCGATATACAAATTGACCTCCTTCTTGGGCAGCAGTGACTTTTCGACATCGCTCTTGACACGGCGCAGTAGGAAAGGTCTCAGGACTTTATGCAGTTGCTGTACTACAGTGTCAGAGTCCTCGCCTTGCGTGGAGAACCATTCGTCGAATGCAGCTGCGTCACCAAAGACGTCGGGTAGTAGGAAGTTTAGGAGAGCCCATAATTCGTGAAGATTGTTCTGAAGCGGGGTTCCAGTAATCAGAAGTCGATTTCGAGAATTGAATTCTCTAATGATTTGTGCAAGTGATGATGTTTCGTTCTTGATGCGGTGTGCTTCGTCGATGATGATATACTCCCATGCGAACTTCTTTAAATGACTCTTCTCACGGAGAATCATTTCGTAACTTGTAATGCACACATCAAAGTTCTCATCCACAAGTCGCTCCTGGATCAGCTCAGCACGCTCTTCCTTAGCTCCTTGCAGAACGAGGACGTTGATATCGGGAATCCATTTGCCAAATTCGCGCTTCCAGTTGTCAAGTGTAGACTTCGGTACGACTACCAAATGTGGCCCAGAAATTCCGGCGATGAAACGGAGATAACCAAGGAAGGAGATCGTTTGAAGGGTTTTTCCAAGACCCATCTCGTCGGCGAGAATACCTGAGATACCATTCTCATGCAAAGAGATGAGCCAATTGAGGCCCGCAACCTGGTAGTCACGCATCTTGCCACCTTTGATGTAACCAGGAGACTCACGGAACACCGTCTCGTGATGGCCACCGTGCTTCTCTTCACGCACGAGCTCAGCATCCTCCTCTTGTTCAGTCTTCCTGCGGCGCTCTACGGCTGCACCTCCCTTGCGAAGCTTGCTGTTCTTGGCCTTGGCTTCATCTTCGGCGTTCTGTCGGTCGATTTCCGCGAGGGTTTCTTTGATGCGGGGATTGGGATTCGAATCGATAAAGTGTCGGAACAGGTCGGTGAGACCAAGCAGATATCTAAATCGGCGAAGGGTATCATCTTCCTGCGCAACGTTAGTCAAGGAATGGTGGACGCGAATGCGCTCGTGTGGTGATTGCGCGCAACTTGCCTTTGATTCACCAAGGCGATCATGTTTCTTGCCATATATGCTCTTGCGCATATTGAACGCTTCCGATCGCCGTTTCCGTCCGTCGGTTGGCACATTATCCCCTGCGACGCTGCTAGCAGTCGTATTAGGGTTTGTGTCAGAATCCTGATCTGAAATTAGAAGATGGGCAAAAGGAGAAGCAGATTCTGATCAATACCGTGTAATCCGGGGTATCTTGGAAATACTGCAATTGTGCGCGTTAGTTGGTATGCACTGTAAGCTCCTTCTAAAGGCGTTTGACGATTGACAGGTATCGAGCGCAATGCTGGAATGCGGCACCGCGTGAATCGATCGCAAAATGGTGAAGACTCACTGTGAACTTATTGAAACCATTTATCTTGCCATCTTGCTCCTGCATCTCGACATCTTCATTCGCAGACACGTCGGCTGTCGATGGGCCATCTGAATCGTTGTGACCAGCCTTCTTGCGAGCCATATTGCCCGTTTGGGCCGTGCTCGGCGCGTTAGAATGGTATGGGTTGAGGGTCGCGGGTGGAATTCGCGGCAGTCAAAGTTTCCGAATCTATTGCAGTAGAGAACTTGTGTGATCGGATGGTGTTAACGCGTGTAGCAGACGGTGTAGTATCTGGGTTGAGGAGTGAGCGATGGTCGCGGACAGAATAGAATTGATGAAAGTCGCGTTTGACGCACGGACGTAACCGCACCGCGGCGGTTCCATCAGTCTAACTCCCTAAGGGGAAAGGGATCGCCACTATCTTAGACAATCACCAAACCAAAACGCCCTGTAGGGAAGTAGAGAAATACGCATACACTATTAAAGTTTTCGAACAATAGACTGTTCTGCTCATAATATTCCTCAGATTCGCTAATTTGACCTTAAATAGTGTGCAAATATAGATCATTGAACCTACCTACTTATCAACTACTCACCTCTAAAGTAAGCCATTGCGATCGCACGAACGCCATCAGATCATGTGTCGTTCTGCTGGCCTGCTATCGTCACTCCACACTCAAACTAGGACATCATTAAAAGACAATTCATTCCTAATTTGCACAAAGCAGCATCTTCAACACAGTACGGAGTATTAGTTCCCGTGTATCGCGCATCAGGATGCGTTCTGTTATGACGTCAACGCCTGATAGTTTCTATGGCCACTCAAAATATGTAGCTTTGATAATGTTCTACAGCAACCACGTATATACTGGGAAGCGCGCAGATGTATGGATGTTGGTGTGTCAGCCAATTTCTTAAATTGTATACTTGAATTCTTGAAAGTGCCGATTGCTTATCCTGAGGCGACGAAGTTCATTTGCCTGATGAAGTGCATGGCGGTTGCTCTTCCAAAGTCGGGAAAAGTAGGTTGATATTAGTGGGTTTAATTGTGCCAGGTAATTCTTTCAGTTCCTTTCGCAGAGATGTTAGAGCATGTAGGTTGACCGCTGTGGTGTGTATTGCTCCCCCGTACAGATGAACATCTCGGCGCGTAGTTCTTGTAGGCATCACCTTGTCATATCTATAACACCCCTAGGCTTTCAATCGACTTAACTCCTACCTATGTACAAGCGAGAAGTGTGCGAGCTTTTCAATCATAATAAATGCTACCGAATGGAGAAGGCAGATGGTTGTAATGATTCGATTTGTGAGTGATTAAAATGATTTGATTTGTGAGGCCTCATGTAAACACTGGAAAGATGAGGATTTCCACGATGACATTACTGTACTGTCCGAGCTGATAAACCACTCCCAGTTATCCTCTGACCATCTACTGTGCTTTCTTTGACTTAGTTTGTCCGCGTCCAATGCCCATTCCATATTGATACACCAGCTGCCCACCCAGATATGCCGCGAAGAGGGTCGCAGGAATTGCGATCAAGATGCTGATCAGAAGATTGGTCTCACTAGGCACAAAGCCTATCTTCTGCCTTCTGGTCCAGAAATTGTAGGCAGCCCCGAACACGGTCAAGTCATTGACCACTGCATGAAGTATTCCGGCCTTTGCTTTCTTCGAACCAAATCCGTCTCTTTTGATCACTGGCATGAGCTCCAATGCTCCGCTGACAACTGCTGGAGCACTCGTGATGAGTATGAGGAGCGTTACATAGTGAGAGAGTATGGGAAATGTGGCCGGCGCGAGCTGAATGTCAAGTGTTTTGATGGTGGAGTTCACAAACTTGGACGTGAGGGGGTTGGCTGAAGCTGCGTAAACTGTATCGAGAAAACCAGCAAGTAGGGTAAACGCGATAGGGAAATGAACTGTCGCTGGGTGTACTGGATGGCTATTTTCACTTAGCCTGCGATTTGTTTTTGGGTATATGATGGGTAAACATACTTTGACATGATGATGAGATGTGTGGTAAGTTGAATTGAAATCTTTGGGTTGATCACTTTACTGGGGGTTGTTGATTGCCGCAGAATGCTTTCGAGAAAGGACAACTGTCAATGTTGACGAAGGGAAAGGAATGAGGACTTCAAATACTGTGCTACAGTCGAGTAATTCCATCGTCATGGCATGGTTGCGGAGAGCCGAGCGATGCAAGCATGTGTAACTGCTGTGGTCTGATTGGTGGACAGGCACTACCCTCGTAACGCAAGGTACGCATTAGAACAATGAACACAGCTTTTTGTTGAATTCATCAGTCCTTTACTCCTACTCGGAACCGTGTCTGCAAAACATTATATGTCGTGTCGAAGAACTTATAAAGCTAGGAGAACGGCTACTCGTATTAGGGTAAGTGAGGTAGTTTAGGTCAGGAGATCGTCCAACTCATTGCCAACTTACTTTGTACCGTCAAGAAGGACTTCATCTTCAGAAGGTCATCCGATCATATCTCAAGATCTTCATATCACAAGCAAGCTCTTTTGAACTTCCAGGCCTCGAAAGTTCTTTTGCTTCTAGGTACTTGGGGATTCTGTATCTATTCCATGCCTTTTCCACAGGTCAAGTCCCAAGGGACACCTCATATGCACTCCCGCACTTAGGCATTGCTTGAAATTCAACGCGATTGCTGAGCCCATTGAAAGAAAACTGTATTATATCACCCATCATCAAGCTAAGAATCGGTACGCTCTTCGATCACGGATGCAATTCATACATTGATCATGGTCACTCCTGCACTTCCAAGAAACCAGAATCGTTACCACTCGCTACTACTAATTCAAAGAGGAGATTTCTCTCCCCTTGCTTGCGATTATCCTAGAATAACACGATAAGTAATACTTGATCTTCAATAGCCTCGAGCAATTCTTCTTCGCAGCCCATTATATGTACCTATCCCTATATGCGAAAGGCTTCAGGGGAGTGCCCCAATGGGGTTTAGTGTGGTCGATCAATCGTTCAGCTCCACCCAAGCGCTTCAATCTACCAGGCGTGGCTGGATTTTGTTAATCACAAAGATTTCGGCGTCGCGTTCTCAATCGACATCCTCACCTTGATCGAATGATGATTTTATCACAATCATCTCGTCATGGAACAAGCCAGGTCTCCAGCGCAGGTAGACTGGCACTCCGACGCGTATTGGCAGACGCGACGCTTAAGTCCTGCTCAGCTGCAGATCCACGATGTTCGCATAGAAGGCTGGCGGAATGACATCGGTCCAATGTTGGAGATGAAGGAGGTTTTGTCTTCAACATTACTTCCGGCGTTGGAAAAACGAAATCGACTATCAGACACCCTGCGGGTGGAGGAGTTCACGAAGAATCGCAGTGAACAGCATCATCTTCGCGCGCTGGCGAACGAATTTGGCTGGATGAACTGCCTACGGAGCGATTTAGTTCAAAAAACCGTCTCCGACTCCCGTGACTCGAGGCTTTGTCGATGGATCCATATCTCTAGCAAATTCTCCGATTACCTCGCCGGATGTCTTCTCGCCCTCTCGGATTGGGGAAAGGATCCCCAGGATGTTCTGACAGCATTGCATCAACTGGAGCACTGCATCCATCAGAATGAGCGATTCTCTAAGCATGGACGCTATTTCGCACCTTTTGTCCAGGATCTTACGGATCCTGATGAGTACGATGAGGGACATAGCGGAGACCGACCGATGCTGCTAAGCATACCATTTCTCGATTGGACCGTAGATGACGAAACTCCTCCGTTACGTTTTCAGGTCGATCCAAGAGAAAATTACCAATCAAGTAGAAGCACATCACATAAGCTGAGATCCATTCTTCAGCACTTTTATCGCCTTGAAGACACGTCAGATCGCGAAGCGCACCAAGTGTTCACGAAACATAAACCCTGGCAGACAGACCGTGCTTTAGATCTTAAAGTTCGCCGATGGTATGGCCATTATCCTACCGGCCTGAACGTGGATGAGCTGTGGATACTAGTTATCGATGATCGCCACATTGTTACTTTCTCAAGCAATCAGTCCTGGAAGTCGCGATGGCCTCCGTTGCAATTATCAGCTCGCATTCTCGAGGTATCATTCCGAAACGTTCGCAACGCGTTCTTAAACACGACGGAACCGGATTACACATCTTCAACTCATATCGTCACGGCTCTTAGTGGTGCGATGGGAATGCTTCACCGTAGTTTCTGGACAGACATCACGCTCTGTCTTTCCGACAGATATGCTAGCTATCTAGGGCATCTACAATATCGCCTTCATAGAAGCCCAAGTACAAAGCTGGTTATGGATTTACTACAGGTGCAGGAAGAGTTGAATATTATCATCCAGATAATGGACCAACAATTGGACGTAGTCACTAAACTACAAGACATGCTTGGACCTCTTCCAAACAGGCACTCATCAATCAGCGGTCCACAGGGCCATCGACTCCGGGAAGCCAACACTATAACCCCTAGTGGGATTGCGACCTATCGGCAGCTCGCATTCTCTCGCTTGTCGGATCCAAGTGCGCAGCTGCTGGAAAACTTGAAACGAGAATATAGCGATTTATGTGATCTGCGCGAAAATAGCAACGCCCTTATCAATCGTACCATTCAACTGGTCAACATTCGTCTTGAGGACCACGGGAAAGCCATACTGGTATTCACTATTGTCACCATAATCTTCTTACCACTCTCTTTCGTGTCAAGTTTCTTCGGTATGAACTTCTCGGATATTCGCGATATGGAAACCACTCAACGTCTGTTTTGGATAATTTCCAGTTCCTTGACCCTTGGGGTCCTTGCATTTTCCCTCTTCCTCGCATTTTATGGCTCTGCGATTAAGGATTGGCTCGTTTCCTGGAATGACAACCGCACAAGACGGTCGAAAAACGAACTCGCCTCACGTGGAATAGCACCAGGGTTAACTACCACGCATAGAAGTTTCGAAATCCTAGACAACGCGCGAAGCAAACCGATAGGCACCATTTGGAGTCGGTCGCGCAAATCATAGTCTGACAGATGTTACACGCGGGCAACATAACATAATTATTGATAGTTGTACAAACACCGCATATAGGCAAAAACATTTATCTCATGCATATCAACGCAAGAGCTGCAACCCCTTTTGGTCGTAAAATAACTTAGACATCACGCTTCAATGACTGCGGAGATCCTCGTCGCCGGGGAACAATGAACATGTTGGAAACTTGTAATCTGTGTAGGATTAGCCAGCTGGGTAGAACGAATTGGAGATTCCACTTACTGTCACCCTCCGGACTCTCCCAGAAATCAGAATTCTTGACCCAACAGAAATCGGTACTTTCGCTCCACCAAGTCCCATTGAAGTTCTCTGTGCACTGCAGCCAAACTTCTTGATTGAATTGATATCGCTTTTTACTCTTGCAGGTCTCCTCAGGGCAACTCCGGCAATACGCGTACTCTTCGCCGACGGTGACATTGATGAGATATTGGACACCCATGTCATCTGGGAGGGGTGCGGGCAGAGCGTCACGCTTGTTTACATCGGATGTGCCATTCTCGTTAAAGTGCTTCTCCGGTTCAAGCAAGGGAATCGGTCCGCAATAGTCGAGGTACGTGATGTCTGGCTTCGAATAAAGGTTTTTCCTGGCCACATAGCAGTTATTGGTGGTCTTGAAATGGTATCTAAATCTGTCAGTAATTCTACATCGAAGTTCTGAATGTCTCAGGATTGGGCATACGGGTCGTCGATGATCAATTGTCCCTGGTCCGTCCAGCATGTCAAGGTGAGGTCAGTGTCCTCAGAAAGATAGGCGACGTTGTCGCAAGTGAGGTCAGGGCAGATCCTGCATTCCGTCTTGTACTTCAGTGTTGCATCCTCCTCAGTTATATGGCGCTCCTCCGACGCCTTCCCACAATACGCCAAATCACTCGTGTCTGCTCGGGGGTTTAGCTCAATAACCAGAAAGCAATTGATTCCGTGAGCTTACAGTCGCCTTCCCATTCTGTCACGTCGTATTGTGTCACATAACATCCTGCTTCGCTCTTCAACCAAATACTAGAAAGCTAGTGTCAGTGGACGCGACAACTCGTTTCGGAATTTTGCACTTCTAAGACGTACTTTCCATCGATGATTCGTGTTCCCCTAGTCCAACAAGTAGCATTGAAAGTATCTCCAGTTCCATAATACAGCTGATTTGGGCAGAGTACCCTTGGGCATGTCTTGCATTCGGTGTTGTATTCCGCTTCTCTGGTGATGTACGGCAGGATGGCCGCATTGGCAGAGGCGGATAGCAGAACAAGGGACGTATATCCCAAGATAAGGGATCGTCGGCTATAAAGTCCCATGATACAGGCCAAGGTAACGAATGACGCAATACGCGGAGATTTTCTAGGACTGGAGGTTTGTATTGGCAGTCAGGAACAGAGATAGGAAGAAATGGAAGCGATGCCTTCACTTGCAGAAAAAGACGGGAAGCGGAGGATGGAAGTAAAGACCTCACACGAATCCAGAGGCTGGAACTTTTCCCGCAGCTGGAATCGACAAAGTGCCGGTCTAATGGGATCAGGGCCTACTTGAATATAAGAACACAAGGTTCCTGAACTTGTTCAGTGATTCAAATATTCTAGACGCAGGTCTTCAGGGACTTTTCCTGGCCTAGACTCCACATTCAATCCAGCCCACGATGAGCAGAGTTCATGAAACTATGAACACTTCTCAGCTTCGGCACAACCCTCGTATCTTCACGGTTAGGAGTATTCGATCTCAGTAATCCATCCGCTCGGAGCGATCGTCCGCTTTGTATACGACTTGAAGAGATACACGTTAAGCATTCCAATTGCCGCGAGCGCCGACCTCTGCCAATCAAATAACCTTGCTGCATGCAGCACATATGGCATTTAAATAACTGACGGTAGCAACTCCGCACTTGGCGACAGACACGGACATTGCTTCCCTGAAGTCCGGCCCGCCTGGTCATATTGGGATTCAGCCTGAAGTGGCCAGAACTCAAATAGTAGCGGAACTTCATACTAGTAGAATAATGGCGATCTACTGGCTGTAGGGTCACGTAGGAAGAGATCAGTTTCATCTGGAATACTAGAGAAATGAGTGTACTTTGATGATGGGGAACCCCAGCCCCCACAGCATGAATAACGTGGGCAGCTGCCGACATTCAGGCATCTAATTCTCAAAGTCCATTCTAATTGGATGACCTAGGGCAAAGCCAAATCGTTTTAGATTATGGCCTCCTACTTTGAGCGAATAACTATATTGTAGGTCATACGGCTGGGCAAAGGGCTTTAGTCTGTAGAGCACAACATGAGACATACGAGGCGGCTGAGATTAATGGCAAATCCAGGTCGCGACTTGCGATCGCTCACACGAGTCTCCTGATAATACGAACATTTGGGGTAGCACTGGAATGAATTGGGGTAAAAATAGTACTGCGAAATTTTGGACTTCCAGCAAAGAGCAACCGGCTTGCTTGTGAGTAATGACCCTTCCATATCGAGGATATTCTACAGCATCTCAACATCTGTTACCCTCTTCATACGAGAATCCATCACGCCTCAAAGCCCCTGGCGACTTTCGGGGCAGCCCAGGACTTCCAGGTGGCGAAGTTGGCGTTCTTCGCCTTTGTCAGATCGAACGTTACCAGCCCCTGCGACGTGTGCTTCGAGACTGCGCTACCAGCATTCGTTTTTTGAGTGGGAGCAGTAGCGCTAAAGGCAAATCCAATGCTCGCCGTTGTATCCGATGACTTGAAAGTTGTCCCATCGGTCTGAATGCAGTTCGAACATAAGAAGGTGTATGTCCAGTGTGTAGAGTTAACATAAGTTCCATTGGCAATCGGAGTCTGGGTAAACGTTCCGGTCGCGACCGCAGGAGATCCATATTGGCTTTATTCCGTCAGTCAATTGTTCTTTCCTACAAACATTGGAGCCTTCGTATGTCCACTTACGCTGTCTTTCGGAAGCTGGACAAGACAGCTTGGGCATTCGGCCACGACAAGACCAAAAGCTTATTTCTCATCTGTCCTCCTAGGCTAGCACCACTCCATCCGGTTCCCTTGCCTCCAATCGTCCCGATAAAGTCAGACCCAGTCGCATTCTCGGGCAGAGCAAGGCCGAAGAAATAGTTGGAGGTCACGTAGGCGTTGAAGGTGATACCTGATTTGGCATCTGTATAGGGAGCTGCAGTCTGTGCAGTTGCAAGCAGAGGAAGAGAAAGGGAGAGAAGGCTGCTCAGCTTCATTGTGCCTGATCTTTCTGACGATCTCTGAAGATGGAACTATAAGATATCGATAGGTGCGCTCAAGATTCTGAGGATGCAATGGCTGAGACAGACTTCCAGAGCGGATGTGTTAACCCAGTTTTCTCATTCTCTGCCGCCTTTATAGAACCCAGAAAGCATCACATTCGGCACTGTACCGGGGATTCAAACACACCAACTGCCGCAAAATCGCTATGCTATTCGTTCATCCGCTTCCTCAACTCGATCGAAACTCCCACTCTCCCATGTCCTCCAAGCCCATTCCCTGCTCTCTCCAGTTCATCCCGTCACTCCAAAACCCAACATCCAGATTACACCCCTCACTGGAACTCTCAATTCCACCATCAGCCACCAATGTAAAGCCTGCTATACTCACTGTGATGTTCGACGGTGATATTGGCGTTTAAATGGGGTCATCTACAATACGGGTCTCGTTATTGGTCAATCGCATGGGATGCGCAGGGGCAAATCTGGGATGGCTCCCCGAGCCAAGGTTTTTGCGAATTGGGGAGAAGATTGCTCCTGTGCTCTGCCGTGAACTTTGGAGATTGGGGGAAGGTGGCGGATACCGGGTGCAGATTGCGGGTGGAATGGGGGATTCGGAGTACAGTTGAATATTTGCTGCACAGTAAGAAGACAATTGAACCATCTCATACTGTTGGATTGCCACTTTTCGACTTATTTTATAGAGTGACAAAAGCCAGATGTAAGCATCTGCTTGCGTTGGCCTCAAAATATGACGTTCAACACTGCCGATCACCACTCATTCCCCATCGTTTCAGACTCAAATTTGGAGATATTGCACTTTAGCCTGCAGATCAATTTGGTGGTAAGTTCGTGGACCAATGAGCGCAAATTTCTAGTCCTTCGCTTCGAATCAGCTTCAGATGAATAATTTCGGAATCAACCTCGATAGCATGTTTTTTCTGTTAATGCTCCGGCTTAAAGTGTCCGTGAGGTTGTATATATTCTTTCGTCACTGTGAGATGCCGTCAGCAGAAACAATGTCCTGTATGGATGAAGTAGATCTAGGAAAACATTAAGGGCGCGGAAATAATGCAGTATATTTCTATTCATGTACCTTTTGTATCGATCCTACTTAAGTATGTGTTGCTGAACTGTTTAGTCTATCTGATGTATACAGGAAAATGAACGAGAACCAGAACTCCTCATAATGAATGTGCCATTGCCTTCGAACCCTCTAAAATGAAACCCTTTATAACGGAAATATGATATGGATGATCTTGAACGATGCGATACTAGATGCGGAGGGAGCGCGATGTCGTCAACGTATCAAGAGGAACTCATGCAGCTTGTTCAGAGGTGGCACTGCTACAATCCGAGTCTGCCGATTTCCTGCGTACGGAGCCATTCTTTTCGCAAGTACTCGCGAGTGACCTTGTCGATCTCCTCTGCAAGGGACTGAGGCATGGGCTCACGAGTTGGCGTGGACTTCTTCTTCGCCTTCGTCTTTCGCGATGCAGGAGCTGTGGCTGCATATTTGGAGTCGGCTAGGCCGCCCTTGCCCCGGGGTAAGTCGTTCGAGGCTGGGCGGCTATCTTTGTGGGCCTTCTTGGTTTTGGCTTCCGAGGTATGTCGTAGTGGACCGCTCTTCGATCTCGGCGGAGGCTGAACATGGGTTGACTCAGTCGAATATTTTGAAGTGGTAGAATCTCGACGGGATACTGTCATTCTCCTCTGGCTGACGTCTGTGGCGACAGTTGACCCAAGTTGTTTTGAAGAAGACTTCGTGGCCATTCCATCTTTGCGAGAACCCTGATGAGACAGGGGACCATGAGTATCAGATGACGAACAAGAACTGATTGGGTATTCGGAGTCGCTATCAATGGGAGATGGCGTATTGCCTGGAGACGTTGAAGACGGGCTGGGCGGGGGCGCTACAGGTTCCAAATCAATGAGGTTGACTACCTTTTCCGTTCTGTCGTGTTCATGTTTCGGTACTTGCGATTTCGACGCATTCTGACCTGCACCATTATCTGTCTTTTCGTTCTCTCGTTTTTTGGTGACAGTAACGTTGATCTCCTTCATCTGACGGTCTAGTATATGTTTGAAAAGAGGGTGTCGAACAGGAGCAGCGGGTGCTTGGCCAGGACGCTCTCCTTTGCTCTCATGGAGGCGTCGTTGCATCCAGGGCTGCTGAAGTCGAACAGCAGTCTTCTCCTTCCACCATAGAGGAAGTCTAGTGAACCCGAGTTCACGAAGTTTGTTCATGCTGGGCATATCATGTTTGAATTTGCATCCCTCAGCAGTGTAAGCGCATTCGCCGGTTCGTATCCAGTAAGTGCAGTATTCCTTCTTCGAAGGGTCAGGCTCGACACCTGAGGGGGGTAGCGATCGTGGGATAGGTGCCGAGCGATGGGTATCCTTAGGATATATAGGGCCCTGACTATCGATGGGAGACTGGATTACTGGTAAGCATTTGAAGGTACAAGGAGGTTCTTTACTTACCAGTGATCTACTCACGTGTGCAGGGGTCACTTCCACATGCTTCTGAGGATCGCGCTCTGATGCCTCAGTCCTGACAAGATGATCTGGAGCTAGACACTTCGGTGTTGATGACTGGGCGGATCCAACACTGTGCATATGGAGCAGAGAAGCGGGCTCAGAGGTTTCGGCGACAAATTCCAATTTCTGTTTGGATATTTGTTGGTGGCTAAGTTGTCGTGGAACACCCAGAAGCTCGCAGGGCAGTCGATCGGCGGGAATGAGTGGGACCATGACAGCGCCTTTTCGAACGATATAGTAACGGACTCCGTCTGCAAGCTCATCTTGCTGACTTGCTGAAGCCGTTGTCGCCGCTGGATTTGCCATGCTTAGATTGTTCATTGAGTTACCTTGAATCTTGTGAAAGGGGTGAAAACGTTATAGAGATGTACAGGGTAGGATAGTGTGTGATTATGATGATGAAAAGGTCGGTACACCACTTTATATTGGGTAACGGCAGCATAGGCCATGCTTAATCAATGTTGGTCACACATTACAGAAACAAATGGTAGAACAATTGACAAATGTAGACCCACAGCCCTTTGAACACTGGGATTGTTTGCCTTGGCTGTGAATGAGCATGCATTGTAAAAAGAAAAAACAGATCAATGAGCATGCGTGAGATGACGGGGAGCATAGACCGCCTAATTGCTTTTGGCCTAATACACCTCTGGGTCACTAAGAAGAGGTAGAACACGTCGTGTGTCTTTCGTTTGACAGTCACGGACCAGCGCAGCTGGAACGGGACCATACAGAGTGGCCGAAATGAGGAAATCGCCAAACTCCGCTTCTATTGGATCAAGCGATGATCTTTGTACCACCGAATTATGCAAACATCCCTCACCAGCGACAAAGCCAGGACCCTGACGCGCAGTATTGGGCTCACTGTGGTCCACGGGACGCCTATGTCTTGAGCAACGCTCACTGTACCTACAATGCGCATGTTTGCATTCGTCGCAAATTCAGAGAAAGCTGCGGCATGCAATGCGGACGACAAAAATGACGATGGCTCCTGTACGTAGTTTCTTGTGATTGCAGTATTAGAGTTAAAAGAGATGTCTGAAACAATGCCGTAGCGGCTTCGTGCATGATTTTAGTGCACGAGATAGCTCAAAGTGACGGTTGGAAAACGATATTCTGCAGCAGCAGCAACACCTTGCACTTGCACTGCACCAATCTAGGATGTTAGTCCCAATTGGTATCGCCACCCGTGCTTGGAAGCTGATGTGAACTTGTTGACGCAAGTCCTTCCACGAGTTACAATTGTTTACTTGAATCTACTCGTATCTGCGAGGCTGCTCTCGCACTAACCAAAGTATCCTCTCTAGCCTTTGGTGGTGTGAAAGTTTGGTTCGATGATCCGGACGGAGCACCACCCCGACGATCCATGTGCAGATTACTTCGCGCAGTGGAGGTGCCGACGGCAGATGTGAAGCCACCTCACAGGGGCTGTTAAGGCTGTCAAGAGTCAAGACAGCTGGGTTGGTAGCTATTGATAAACTTTGTCCATGTCGCAGAAATCCTGAGCTAGTCCGATAGTCGGGAATCTAGCCGTCCATGATCGCCTCCCCAGAGTCTGGCCTAAATGCACCAATCGATGGACCGTTAGTTCGGCGTAATTAGTTAGGAACCGAGCGACGAATCAACCGCGGCGCGGGCCATGCATGATTCATGGAAAGGGATGTGAGAGAGGGATTGCCGGTGTTGATAGCATGCAAATCATGAGGAACATGGTGCTATTCCCGGATAGCAGACATGAAGGTAAAACTCTAGACACGACTAGCCAAACCATAACTTGCCTCCGTGGAGCTGGGATAGGTACAAATCTAGGCCGTGTCCTCCTATAATGCCTTCTATATTACACTCAAGTTCTGGCCGTCCTCCGTGATGTGCGATCAGAGCAACGAGCTGATGAGCCTAGGCAGTGGGAACGAATGACTTTGTCAGGAGCAATCAGGGAACGACTATGGATGATAGAAGGAATGAAGTGCTCGCGGTAGCAATTCTGTTCTTCCTATTGACATGGCTCACCGTAGGCTTGAGAGTCTACGTACGAGCAGTGATGCGCAAGTCATGGGGTGGCGATGATTGGTGGATGACGGTTACTCTGGTTCGTTCGATGTATCCTATTCCCCCGACAGCGTTAACCATTTGAATTTAGGCCTTCTTCACAGTGTATGTCGTCTTTCAGATAGTAGCAGCAATATACGGAACAGGAAGACACAGATGGGATTTGGATGATAGCGACACTAGAACAGCACTTCTGGTAGGCCGCCATTCGCCCAGCAACGATTACAAGCATGATCATACTGATGTGCCGCAGTTCTGGTATCTTTGTGAATTGCTCTATGTGGTGAGCAATTGTTGTTTGAAGATTGCGCTCGGCATTTTCTATCTTCGAGTAGCTATCAGGCCTTGGCACATATGGTGCATTCGAATACTGATGTTTGGAACTGTTCTCTTCGGTCTTTGCTATCTATTCCTTGCCATGTTCCAGTGCATCCCAGGTCAGTGTTCCTGTCCGTATTGGTGCGCCTCTACTCACGACTGCAGTCTCTGAATTCTGGAACAACCACCCCGCTTCAGGCAAATGTATCCCAAAGGGCCCAACTTTGGGCATCACGTATGCACTTGGGGCGTTGAATGCGTTTGCAGATTGGGGATTCGGCATTCTGCCATTCTTCATCGTCTGGGGGCTGAAGATGAAGACCAAGACCAAAGCGCTGGTTGCTGGCCTCTTGGCTTTCGCAGCGATTGGCAGTACAGCAACGATTGTGAGAATGCAATATATACATACTCTTAATGACGGGGAGGATTTTCTGTGGGCTACAACCGATGTAGCGATATGGTCAACGGTTGAGCCTGGCATTGGCATCACTGCGGGCTCCATTGCCACATTGCGGCCTCTTCTTCAGAACATCATGTTCCACTGCGGACTGGCTTCAAGCCCAACTTCAGCGCATATAAGACACTATGATCGCCCATCACGGCCTTCGCGCAGTGGACCGAAGCATCGTGGATATCGTCGAGAGATTGGGCTTTCGGATTTGGTACCGAGCAAAGAAGGAAGCACTTCAACGACTATATCAGGGCCTCCAATACTAGAGAAGCCAGAGATGAAGAAGAAGAATAGTGAGGATAGCATGAGAGGCACACCCGTGGAGACGCGCGAGGGTGTTGGCGACATTCGAGTCGATCTGAGTGTACTAGTAGAGCTCGACGAGGAGCCTCCCCGATTGTTCCTAAGGGACAGTTTCCGGCATAGTTTCGTGCGAGGCAGCATATTGTCGGGGTTTAATCGAGGCAAATGATGAATGAACTGATGATTTGTTGATGAATTTCCACATTTTGACAGATGAGGCGCAGTGGGGAACCCGTGATCGCCACATCACGATACTCAACTTCGTTAACATTCGCATTGCTTCTATGCGCGTGACCGTTTGGTATAGTGCTGTGCATATATTCTTCTCTCGGTCTCTCTTCTCGTTGCTTGGTAAATCAATCCTCAACATTATTTTTTGTTTTTCGTACTCGCTTCCCATCACTTCAATTGCTCCGCTCGCTAGATCCGCTTATAAACTTCGCCGGCGCGCTACAAGTCCTACCAACTTTGCGACAAACGACGACAACGACATACCTACCAACACAAAGGGCCATGCCGACCTCTCGGTCAACGCAAGACGGCAGTGGCAAACCGCCATTGCCGTCTTTCACATTTCCGCTTCCGCCTCCAGATGATGGCCTGGGAAAACTTCTGGACGACGATGTTGGCATCTACAGTGACGTGACAATGCCTCCCGAGCCCATTCAAGACAACAACTTGGCACAGGAGCCAACGCTACCGTCTGATGCTTCCAAAATTCACTGGGATTCAGAAAATTCAACAGAGACGAATTTTCAACTCGTGGAAACCATTGGCACTCCGTTACGGCGCACATTATCCGCAGATGATGCGCTCACCCAACATGCTTCGCTCGTCGAGGCATTGAACGCATTGGATTTACATAATCAAGCCACGATGCGCCCTTCACGATCACTCTCCCAATCCGGCCCTGTGACCGGGACTGTTCAATGGCTCAAAGAGACGGATGTACCGAAGATTCCTCTGCACGATTTGCCAGGACCCAGTAAACCAGCCATCGTTCCAGGTGGGCAGACACAACCTTCACCACCCATACAGGCCGACATATCAAGAGCCTCCCAACCAGAAACTCAGGACACGGACCGACCTCCGCCATCGCCATCATCATCATCGGCCGCCATCCTCCAACACGCACAATCCCTCACGCCCGTCCCACGCTTCCACTTCCTCCTCCACCACACGGAACGACTCTGCCAACTCCACACCCACGCCACGATCCCCTCCAACATCTTCAACCGAGAGTCCCTCCCGCCATCCCAATCCCCGCCGGACCTGACACCAACACGCTTTGCGAGCAGTCTCTCTGCCGCGCAGGACGCATCCCACACCGCCCAGCCCGCCGGACCCGCATACGACGACCTCAGGGTATTCAGTGCACTCTGGCAGACCACCATCGCGCTCCTCGACAACATCCTGTCAGCTCATGCGGTGTTGTCCCTGGAGGCTTTCGGCTGGGGCGTCTACGGTCTGTCATCCGGGCTCATCGAAACGGACGCCCTGGTGCTAAACCACAAGGCAAGGCTGCATACGGCTTTGAGCAGCTTGCCGTATCTGACTGGGCGGAAGAGGGCCCGGAAAGATGACAGCGGAGTTATGGTGGGGTACCTCAAGGACTCCATGGTTGTGAGGCTGTCGGAGGATGGGAGGGTTCACAGTCTGACGAGCGCGAGGAGGAGCGTGCATGTTTGTGCGTGGTTGCTCGTGCAGGGGATGCGGAAAGAGGGCTGGGATGGCGTGAGATGGGGCCATGGAGTGAGGGTGTGTGAGGGGTGGATGAAGCTGCTCGGGTGGGAGGACGAAAAGCCGGACGATCCGTTTATGCGGGATGATGGGATTGAGGAAGAGCCCAGGCAAGAGATTGAGACTAGTCCCGAACGTGCTCGCAGTCACAGACGATCATTTAGCTTGATGTGAGAGAGAAAGTCTACAGGCAAGTCGATATATACACACGAGAATAGCGTGCATGATTGCATAGCGGGAAGAAATTGCAAACACTCAAGGATGCAAGAGTATACCAAGATTAGATACCAAGGGTTGCATAACGACTGCGATTCCATATTTTCCTTTTTAGATTACCATGGCGGAAGGTATATAGACTGGGCCAGGCGTTCGTCTGATATCTCTAATATTACGACAACTTTCCCTTCTTGTCCCTCAATAATGTCTCTCTTTTGACTCAATGCTTTCCAACCTTGCCAGCACCCCTGAAGAACAACAACACTACGACCAAAGCCATCACACCTATACTAGCATTAAACCAACTAGCACCCCTCAACCCAAGCTTAAGAGCCTCGTCTCCCGGCTCAGAACCAAATCCATCACCGACCTCCTGCACAGAAACCCCCCTCTCCTTCGCAATGATAGCCGTTTGAATCGCCGTCGTGATAGCTAAACCAATGGCACGTCCGACCTGTCCAACAGCGTTGATCAAAGCCCCACCGAGCGCCTGGTCCTCCGCGGGCAAAGTCTTCGCGACGAACAGCGTCAGGATGGGGAAGAGCGTATCTGCGCCGCTGATACTGAGGACTAGGGCCGGAAATGCCCAGGCCCAATAGGTAGTGTCGGTAGGAATGGGAATAGCGAAGAGGATGGAGGAAAGTGAGATTGCGATCGTGCCGAATGTCAAGATGAAGTCGCCGCGAACGCGCGCGAGCAGATGGGCACAGATGAAAGCTACAGTGACACCTGTGATGCCGTTGGGGATGAAACGGAGGGTTGTTTGGATGATGGAGAGTCCTTGGTAAGATTGAAACCTACATTGATAAGTCAAAACTTGAGGAGGGCAAAAGGTGCAGATGATGGGGCAAGTGCAATCTTACCAATATGTTGCAGTAATAAGAAAATTGTTGAACGATGCGAAGAATAGAAGCATAATAATATTGGCCGCTGAAAATGGAATGTTCTTGAAGATGGAGACCTTCATCAGAGGAGGCCGGTGGCCTCGTTTCTCCAGCCAGTGGCACCAAACGACGAATGCTGCAAGGATGACAAAGGATACCGCGATGAGAGTAGGGACCCACGGGGTCGACCATCCGACGACGTTACCTTCGGTCAGAGCGAACAGAAGGATGAGGATTGACGTTGTGACGAGCGTTCCACCAACCCAGTCAACATTGTGTCGCATGCTGATGGGCTCTTCCTGGAGTGGCGGAAGTGGAATCACGAAGTAACCCGCGACTGTGATAAGTGCACCTAGAATGGCGAAGATCCAGAATACCCAGCGCCAGTCAAGGTAGGCTGCTACCACACCTCCCTATGAAGTTGTTGTTAGTTACTGGATGTGGGAATGTGAGAGTAGATAGAACTACGTACAATGACATTTCCTAGAGCTCCTCCTAGAGGTGCACCACCGCCTAGACATATGGTCAGTTCTGATATTTATGATCTTTGGGTTTTCGAAAGAATCCTTACCATAACAAGAGAATGCATAGTTCTTCGCTTTTCCGGGCTTGAACGTCGTTCCTAGAATGCCCAAGGCCGTTGGCACCATCGCTGCAGCACCCAGGCCTTGCAGTCCTCTGAAGGCATCGAACCCGATCTCATTAGGCATAAAAGGAACAATTATCGATGTCACGGTGATCCAAACAGATCCCCAAAGGAAGATCAATCTTTTGCCGTAGACATCTGCTAGGCGGCCCCATAATAGCTGCGAAAAGCTGGTCAGAGAGGAGATCGAGGGGGGCACAAGAAAATCGACATACTAGGAAACAACCAAAAGTGAGATTGTAAGCGCTGACTATCCATTGTTGTCTACTCTCTGGAATATTAAGATGATGGCCGATGGTAGGTAGGATAATGACGGATGCTTGCACACCCAGGGTCTATGATGTACCATGGTTAGCACACGGATGCTATAATACAGGGGCAATCAGTACTCAATGAAATAATTCTTGAACTCACGTTAAGAATCGCAGCTAATGTTACTGTAATAACCAAGGCGATACAGCGCGCTTTAGAAAAGGGCAATCCGCTGTCGTCTTCCCTGAGAATTTCATCATCCGCTACGGCATTGACTTCCAAATCTTTCTCATCCTTCTGACTGAGAGGGTGCTGCGATTGAACAAGTTCGGCTTCATTCTGCAGCGCAGAGTGTCTGCTCTCTTGTTGCGCCAACATCCTCAACTCTCCACCCTTCTCGTTCGACCCGGCCATGGTGTCGAGACTTGAGAAGTTATTGAGTGACTGTAACAAATTTGGCCGAAGAAAAACATCGGATATTCGGGGGGTGGAAACGGATCGCCTAAGTCTTTATCCTACGGCATTTCGGCTGCAGTCATTTGCTCTACGCGGGGCAATGCTACCCCGGAAAAGGATCCTCTCTCTGCGCAACCAAGCAGATAATTGGTAAGCGGAAGGAAGCCGACAAATGGGACAATGTGTTAGCGGGTTGGCCCTTGTTCGCCATCCTTGGTAGACATGGCGTGGGATCGTTTTGAAGGGCTGATGTGGGTCTTCGTATGGAAATGGGGAAGGGTTTTCCGCCACTCCTAACGCAGGATATTTCCATTTCCATGCCAATGTTGGCTACTCGTCCCTCAATCATACGTATCGATCACATTTTGCATTTCACCACAACGAAAACGTGTATCCTGACTATGTCGCTTTTATTCACTTTGTACAATTACTGAAGCTTAAAGAATCGGACAGAAGTCCACCTGTAACGCCTACCCTTTAACAAACATAGCACTAATATTACAAAATCTAGTCGTGACATTGCTTTGGTTCTGATAACCCTGAGACCCTAATGCTCATCCAACTCTGCCTGACAGAATGAACCATCTCATTATTGTGGAGGTAATTTAATATCGCCTCTGATTTTTGTTGTTGTAGTCGCGGTTTGAGTTCGAGCGATGGTTATCGTTACGATTCCCACGATTTCCATTCTGATAACCCTGATTACCTCCTGGGGGAGGGTAATTGCGTGGATCATGGCCCAAGATTTCGTTGGCTGGCCGATAATAGTTGCTGTCGCGTAAGGAGCCGTTCGAGGGAGGAGCATGACGCGGTGGAGGGGGACCGGGGGGTTGCTGAAACCAATTCGGGCGCTGTTGGCCATGGTACTGCGCTGCACTGCCGCCATGAGGAACGAAGTTAGGAGGAGGCGGAGGAGGGCCTTGTCCATTCCAACCCGGAATCAGACCTGGTGGTGGTGGGAAAGGGGGAAATGGGGGAGGGGGTCCCTGGCCCCCGTAACCACCACGGCCATTGTCGAAACCACCTCTTCCACCATATCCGCCACGATTGTCATACCCACCTCTTCCTTGAAAACCACCTCTTCCATTATCATATCCACCGCGACCCCCGCCACGATAACCTCCACGACCTCGGCCGCCTCTACCACCGTTTGCGTTGCGGTGGCGAATGAAAGATTTCTCATCTTCCGTAAGAGCTGGTGTTGGCATATTGACACCCTTCAGCAGCACCGATTTGTGGGCGTTCTTGGCCTTGAGCTTGGGCATCTCATAGTAGACCCTATATTTTGTAAGCACATGCACGCTTGGGGACGATAATTCAACATACCTTATAGACCCGTCCTGGAGGGAGTCGTATTCGCTGTCGTCAGTATCGAATGGAGGTACCAACTGACTGTCAATGACGAAAACATCATGTGGCTCAACGTGTCCGTGAAGTTTCGCACTGTATTCTGGATCAATCTCCAGTTTCTGCTTGTTTAGGCGATAAAACTCGTTCTCGACGATCCCGAAGAGCTCGTTCTGTTGGGAGAACATGAGGGTTTCCCGGCCCATTTCATTCCGCTTATGTTCATCACTAGAAAGTTCGGGATACTTCTCGTTCATGGCACTGAGGAGACGCTTTTCATCGATGAAAGGCAGAAGAGCTACGCCTTGCCAAGCGAATTTCTTACCGTTCAGATCAAGAGGGAAATCTTCGGGATAGAAATCTATGATAGGACTGTTCGGATCGGACATAAGAATGCGGAACGGCTCTGGAATGGCATGGTTCGAAGCAGTTGGAAGTACACCCATGAGTTGTTCGTAGGGCTTGAATGGTTTACCCTTGCTGAAATCGCGAGGATCCAAATCTTCGATGCCAACAAAATCGGCAGCGAACGGCGCATAGTGGTAGGGGAAGTACCATGTCCAGGAGGGACAGCCTTGCATGTAGTATGACAAGACCCAGCATAAGCCTTTGGCATATTCACGGGCAACCTTATGGCGGAACTCAATGTCGTCAGGGGCCACATGGAACTTCTGCTCGTAGTATCGCTCCTCATAACCGGGCTCCCAGAGTTTAATCGTATCCTCGGGAGTATCGTTTTGCTTGGGAGTTGGGGCGTCCTGCACTACTGGCGTGTTCCTTCCAGGGGTTCCATTGTCAGAGTCTTCTATCGCATCGGCTTTGCGCTTCCCCAATGAGGTGGATTCCTCAGCCTCGGGCAACGATTCTGCGGACTGCGCGCCGTCACTGGGTGCACCAGCTTTAGCCTTCATCAACTCTTTCAATTTGGAGGCTGCTGATTTGTTGTCCTGGTTTCTGTTTGACAACATGTCATTATGAACGCTGCGGACAGCATTTGATTGCGCGTCCTCTGGCGAGAAGAAAGGCACACCAGCATTGAGATAAGTATTCGTGTCTTCCTTGACGCGCTTGAAAGGAGGACCATTGTGCCCGCCGCCGCGGCCACCCCTACCACCACTTCGCTGGGCTTCCCTTTGCGCGCGCTTTGCATCCTGGCGATCGGAGTGCTCTTTACGCTTCCGGAAGATTTCGGCTTCTCGGTTACCGAGTTGTTGCAGGATCTGTTGAACGCGTACCATGTCTGGAAAGCCGTCTTTCGTCACGTAGTCAGTCATGGAAGGGACCAGGTCTCGCCATATGCTGAGGAGCGTGTCAATGCCCTGATCTCGAATCTCAAGACTGGGGAGATGAGGCAAAAAGTCGTTACCAACGAAGAAACACATGAAAACCCAATCATCGAGTGCGCGCTCGAGATCGTATGGAAACTTCCGTTGAGGGCTTTCCATCTCTATAGCAAGATATTCGCGGAGGACATTCACGTGCAGCCAAATGAATGGTTTGGGGGGGTGTTCAGTCTCTTTCCATTCTGCTGCTGCTTCCTCCTCTGAGAGTTTGACACCATTGTCTGGATGGGTGCATTGTGATATTAAGTGCCCTTTACGGCCACAGCGCGCACAGCTCTTATCTTTTCCAGAATCGAAAAATACGTCCTCACGCAAGACGCGAAAGTGCGGTTCATGCGTGGCAAGCCCAAGCATGATAAGGTCGGCATCCAAACCGTAGATGACGTGGCGAGTGTTGGGATCGTGGGTTGGCATAGCACGCTGGGATCGAACAAAGTTCATGATCTTATGTTCACCTTCACCAGGAACGGAGGCATCGGATATGATGACCTTCAAGTTCGCCCAGGCTGGATCAGTGGTAAACTTGTAAGCGCACCAATATTGAAGACTTTCCGCAAGGAGAAACATGAAAGGTGTGCCTGGTGTAATGGCATTGGAGTCCCAAGTCTTCTCTACAACCTGCTCAAGGGAGGTGATATCCTCTCCACGGCTGGCCTTTTGCGCATTGAGCATCTTGAGAAATTCAGCCTTTTCCTCATCCTTCTCTTTTGCCTCCTTGGCAGAACGGAAACGGCGTGAACGCTGTTGATTCATCTTTGCGCGAGGTGCAACACCATCAACGGCAAGATAGAGAATTTTACGTGGGCGGACCATGCCAACTACACGGTCAGTGTATTCAAAAACAGCCAGCATCATGTCTGTTTCTGTCTTCGGCGCGGGCCTGTCCTCTGGGTGGGAGCAAGGGTGAACAATGCCGTTCATATCAAGGTACAAGTTATCAAATTCCTCTCCGTTCGGATTCGGTTTCGTGCGATCGACCGGGATTTTCTGGCCATCTATTTCCTTCGCTCGCTCCTCGATGACGCTGGACACGATCTTGGGGTATTTCTGGCTAAGCCAGCGGAACATGGCAGGAACACCCATGATGGCGGTGGTAGCTCAACGGCCTTTGTGGATGAATTGACTAGTGACACGCGTCTGAGCGGAGTTGCGACTGAAAGGTGAGTGTGACTAGGAGAAACTTGGAGGGCGTAAGCAAACGGGCTCTGTCTAACTTGGTTGAAATCTTGTTAAATACTACACTAGATAACAGCCGTAGAGCGCACAGTATATACAGGCGACTGCAACTCCTAGGTAAGAGCGCGAATGCAATACGATACAGCAACTTGCTGCTTGGTGGGAAGGGAATTACAGTTTTGGTAGAGCTGCGTGAATAGGCGAGATATACCTTGAGATGATGATGTTGATGAAGAATATGGCAATAAATGACGGTGAGAGCGCCTCTGTTTTGGCCAGTCCGGCGCAGTTCCCTCGAAAATGGGAGTGCGCAGATCGAAGCGACGTCTCGGGATGAAAGTTGGTTGAAGGCGTCGAGGGGATGGAGAATCACCTTCGAACTCTTTGAGAAAGTCTGGGGAGTAGCCGCGCTAGTGACGCAGGTCGCTTCGGCCAAATGTTGATCCGCCAGATGCCGGAATGCCCGCTCCGAAGCGTCTGCCTGCTCCGGAATGCCTGCTCCATATCACGAGCTAAAGTATCTACTGTGTATGGATCCTATTCTACGTGTACCTTGGGAGCTGGCAGCTCGGAAATCCGCATATATATACACCATTTCTCCACGTTGCTTCAGAATCCAGGACATCCCCAAGTCTCTACAGTCGCTGACCTACCAATGCTTCCATAGCATACTGCATAATACTTCTCCATCATCACGGCACTCCCCTTCAGACTCGAACCATTTTAATGCTCGCCATGTGTCCCTGATCGAATCACACATCACAATTGCACACCTCCGTCGGAATGTTGCGCATGCTCGAATCGCAGGCTCCGGCCAAACAAACGGCGACAGACACAATCAGCACCCTTAGTAGCCGGCTGGCAAGTGCCACCCTACTTGAAGACCGCCGTGCTGCAATATTGGGGCTACGTAGCTTCGCCAAAGAATATCCCGCATCTGTTGCATCTGGTGCTCTCCGTGGCCTGATAGCTTGTCTCACCAAGGATGCCGAAGATGTCGATACTATCAAAGTTGTGTTAGAGACGCTTATAATGCTCTTCAATCCGAATGAACACAGCGTGAGTAGTTTCTGGAAAAGAGAACATGGTAACTATCAATTGACACCTTGACAGCCAGAAGCTTCGGATGAGATAGCGTTGTGGCTAGCGGACGAATTCACTCAGGTATATCTTCTTAGCAAGTGTCTCTCGCCTGTGCTGAGCTTATACAGCGACAAGATAATATCACTATCCTCCTCGACCTACTCGAAACTCCAGATTTCTTTTCCCGCTTATATTCCCTCCAATTGATACAAGCTATCTACAATGCAAGGCCGGATAGGACACAAGAGTGTATTCTTACAGCTCCACTTGGGACACCACGGCTTGTCGCGACCCTGGACGACCCCCGGGATGCCGTTCACAACGCGGGTCTCGTTCTGCTCAATGATCTGTCGCAGTCTTCCTCCGAACTTCAAAAACTCTTCGTTTTTGAAAGTGCGTTTGAGAGGGTTTTCAATTTGATTGAAGCTGATGGGTCCTTAACGCAAGGCGGAATTATCGTTCAGGATTGCCTGTCCCTTCTAGCCAATTTGGTCCGGTTCAATGCATCAAACCAAACGAATTTTCGGGAGACGGGGGGCGTGATTAAGTTTGCATCGCTGTTGCCGGGGGGCAAGAATTCCAAGAAGGTTCGAAAAAATGAGGAAGAGGATGATTGGGTCAGTCCTCAAAGTGATAAGAACATCTGGGGGCTTTTGGCTATCATGCGCATGTTCCTTGTCAAAGGCAGCACAAGCACCAAAGCAAACCAAACAGCTTTTCATAAGCACGGCCTTCTTCAACAGGTCCTCAATCTAGCTTTCGATCACTCTACGGCGATGCCGATTAAGGTAGAGGCAATCAACACCTGTGCGGACATCATTAGGGGCAATCCCGCTATCCAACAAGACTTCGCCGAACTAATGGTACAACCCATTGTCAAGCCAACGGCAAATGGTGCAACAACGCCGAATGGAGCAGGAACTGTCCATGTGATTGAGGCGTTGCTTGATCTAGCCCTTAGCCCAGCACCAAGTGAGCTGTTCGATGCTCGATTCTCTGCTTGCGAATGTATCAAAGCCTACTTCCACAATTTCATGCAAGCTCGCGTACACTTCCTCAAACGAGCTGTCGATGGGCACATGTCTGGAGAGGATGAGACCGCCAATACCCTGTCTACGCTCCTTGCTGGCTCCAGTAGTTCACAGACTATTGATCCCTATCGAGTTTGGTTCGCAGCTACACTGGTATTCCATCTCATCTTCGAAGATCGAGATGCAAAGGACTTCCTAATGCAGGTTGCCGAGGGTGATGCCGAAAACGGTGAAGAAGTAGTTACGTGCATCCAGAACGTGACTGGTAATCTTATAGCGAGTCTGCAATTGGGTGAGGACGAGCGAATATCAATAGCGTATCTCATGCTCCTGTCGATATGGCTCTTCGAAGACGCTGCTGCCGTTAATGACTTCTTGGGCGAAGCCAGCAGCCTCCAGAGTCTAGTGCAGGTCGCTCTGAAGCCCGGAAATGACCATATCGTCATAAAGGGGTTGTGCGCAGTTCTTCTCGGCATCATCTACGAATTTTCAACCAAAGATTCACCAGTGCCGCGGCGAGATTTACAGCCTATTTTGACACATAGCTTAGGACGTGAGAAGTATCTCGATACCATTTCGCAACTACGTCAACACCCCTTGGTTCGAGACTTCGAGGTTCTTTCTCGGGAAGGCCCATCGACTGGGTCGTCTCCGGACGTTTTCTTCGACGCTACTTTCGTGGATTTCCTAAAGGACAATTTCAGTCGGTTATCGCGAGCCGTCGACCGAGATCCAAATATTGAGCAACATCAATCCCATGATGGCATCGACCGAGATATAGTAGATTCGCTTCGTGGTCAGCTAGACGAAAAGAACCAAACTATTGAGAAGATTCAATCGGATCTCTTAACCATGGAACAGAAGCTCAACCAGGAACAGGCCGATCATCGAAGGACACAAGAATCGTCTGTTACGCAGTTGAACACTATAAAACGAATCAACGATGACTTGCACCGAAACCATGAAACGGATGTCAGGAAACTTGAACGTGAGCAAAAGCAAGCCATGCTAGATATGGAGAACAAGCACAATCTCCAGGTGAACAAACTCAACAACCAGATTCAGCAGGCGGCTAAAGAAGCTACTTTGTCATTGTCGAAGGCACGACAGGAGCATGACGAAAAGCTGCATGAGTTCAACAGGGCCCGAGTAGATTTGGAAAGACAATTGGAAGCAGCGAATGCCTCAAAACAAGAATCACTCCAGACTATCCGTACGCTTGAGGAAATTCAAAAGAAGTCCAGAGACGAAATCTCGACGATAAAAGAGACGATCAAGAGCCTCAAAGGAAATCTCGAAGCGAGCGAAAAGCAGATTGCCCTATCGAAAGAAAATTCTAAGTCCCTTGAAGTCTCACATGAAAAGGAGAAGGCTCAGTTGAAGGCACAGATCAAGTCTTTGGAAACCTCGAACGAGAAGCTCAAAGCGGAGATCCAAGAACTAAAGGCAAAGATACAAGATCAGACGTGGAAAGTAAAGGATGCCGAAGACAAACTCAAAAAGGCAGATGTCAAGGTTAAAGAGAAAGAAGAAGCGAGAGCAGCAGCACAGACTGAGTTGGACGACCTGTTCGTGGTTCTCGGCGATCTTGAGGAGAAGAGGACAAAAGATAAGGTAGGCACATTGGACATAACATGCATTGATCTACGATTAACAAGTAATAGAAACGTCTTAAGGAACTTGGCGAGGAAGTTTCCGACCTGGATGATGATGACGAGGACGAGGACGATGATGACGATGACGAGGATGAGGATGATGACGATGAAGAGGATGAAGCGGAAGATGAAGAGGAGGAGGAAGAAGAAGAAGGAGGAGGAGGAGGAGGAGAAGGAGAAAAGAAAGACGACGGTGATTCCAAAAAGTCAAAAGAGAAGCCCAAGTCAAAAAAGTAGCCAGAGATAACCGAATGCATCACCATTTTGTGACCACAACATCTCTTGCAAACTACATGTGCTCAAATCCACGTACGAATCGTAGATTCCCGCGATCGCAACTCCATACACAACATAGCATGTAACTTCACTACCAGCTATCGCGAGTAAATGAGGTGAGATAGAACGCTCTTGGTCTGATGCAGTTCGGTATTTTCACACCACTTGCAAATAATTGATAACTAGAGTAACCAAGGCATACAATGTCGCACATTATGGTAGTCTATGTAAACTCAACGACTGATAAAACAGACAAAGTTCGGACCAAAGTCTGATCATTCCTCATATCTTCGGTTGCATTCGCCGCCACCCTCGTTCCGATCGTTTGTGTGCAGCAACAACGGCGCGTTTCCGCGAGGCAGGTATTACTGTCGGCGGCCGCAGGTGCTTTACCATGCATTCGTTATCCTTGAGACTCGCCATGTCTCCCGTGCCATAGGCCAGAACCAGTACTTTCAAACACGCCCCGTGGCCCAATAGTTGCTGGAACAGCATTAAAAACGATATCATCCAGTCCTGATTCGCCTTATTGATTCGAAAGAGATCGTGCGCCTCAATGATGATGAAGCATTTTCCCAGCCGGCTTAAGAATCTCTGAAGGAGATTCAACCACTCCGTTTCGCTGTGATTTGCAAGGTACTGGCTGATATTGAGTTCATCTGGATGTTTATTGATCAGAGAAGGGTCCAGTCGCAAGATTTCCGAGATCAATTCTTTGATGACGCTAGTAACAGTTCCGGTGGCCTCCTCGGTCACCCCTCTCATGGACGAAAGTCTCCAGATCACCGGTTGATCCTTCGATTGCAAGAGCGTAATGACATCGCCAGCCAGCTCTCTTGCCCTTGATTCAGCTCTTGTACCAACTCTCACCACAAAAAACGAAGATCTAGGAGCCGAAAACCAGTCTTGAAGGCTACGAAGAATTTCCGTCGAGTCGATGTGCGGTGTCCTGCTGGCACGTGCTCTCTGAGTAATCGATTGCAGAAGAGGTAAAGCACCCCGGGAAGACGATTGAGTGTCCAAGGCCTGAAGAATCTGAGAGAACTGTATGTCTCGTATTCGTGGTGTCATGTCTTGGATGTTGCCGTCGATCCGCTCGGTGATCGTTTTGTTAGCTAGAGAGGTATCAGTGTTTAGTTATTCGTCACTTGTTCCTTCAGCGTCAGAACCACTCACTTGTGGCTACTAAAAGCGTGCTGTTAACCACCTCCTCCATCTTGCACTGGGCATATCTGGTCTTTGTAATCTCCTCTTGCATCAAAGCTAATTTTACTTCCCTTTTCCTCATCTCAGCTAGGACAAGGTTGATTGTGATATTAATGTCTCGGGTTTCAGCTCGACTTGCAGCATTTGCAATATCTTCTACAGTCTCAGCGCATAGTTTGATCTGCTCTACCGTATCTTTGTACTCCAATTCATACGGTTCAAAAATTGCGGATACAGCACGGCCCACCGAACTTCGGTTGTACCATCTCATAGCCTTTTGGAAAAACAGCATGATATGAGCGTATAGTTGCGCTATCGCTTCCTTGATTGCATCGGTCTGATACAATTCCGCCGTCAGTCTGGTTTGACGAAGTGCATCCCCGATACATGCAAGAGCTTTAGTGAATTCTGCTAAAAGCTGCGAATGATTCAAAATACTCTGGATATGGTGAGTGAGCTTTCAGTATCTCTCAATGATAAGTTGTTTAGGCTCGTTGACTTACCATAAAGATGAATTTGATTGCTCCCCAGGCTAGTGCAACATATTCAGGATGATGCTGCGCTATCACATCCAACACCTGCCCATAGTACATAAGTCGAGCAGAGAATTTCCCCAGCCATCGAAATACCCCACGCCTGGACTGTGATTCGCTATCATATTGACGTTTAGTCTTCTCGATGAACGAAAACACATCCTCCATTCGAGCAGCTGGATCAAAGACAAGACTTCCGCCCTTTTGGTCTCTTTGTAGTTCATCCACGAAAGCTCGACGAGCCTGTTCGTATGCCTCTTTGGCAATGTCTCTAGTAGAATTAACGAAATGCAAGTTTGCAGGCCTCGGTGATATTGAGTTACTTCATTTCTACATCTGGGGCATAATTTGATCGAAGCATCAAACGATATTCGGTAAGCCCTGCATCATCTTCGGTACTTTGCATGACTCGATATGGTTATTAAGGGATTTGTTTCATTAGGTTGAGATGTTGAGACTGTTTGTCAGTGGTTTTCAACTTCAGCTTTGCAGTAGGGATAGCAATGCACTTAGATAGTTGATAACTCTGTGGGTCATCATAACTTTACCAGAAGTTAAGGAGGCTCAGCAACTATTCACCCCTGTGTACGAGTTTCCAATGGAGGGTGGTACGAGGCTGAGTGATTTCACCGGTGAGTTGACGTGGCACGCGCTTCGAAACCCAATAACGAGAATGCGGTTCCCACAACCCCTGTACTTGGTGACAGCTCACAGTACTCAGCCTCGTTGCCTGGAGGCTCTTGTGGAACACCAAGCCCTCTTCGAGAAATCAGTCATATTTCATCAATTAAAACAAACAGGTTCGTCTCAAATCGAGAAGGAAGAGGGTTCGAGAATTCGTCAGCCATACCTACCTCTGCCCATTGCTTCTGTGACTTTGAGCGTTTACTTAGGTCAGAAGTTCCAGTGATTTGCAAGAAGTGAGTCATTATCTAACCAAATATGGCATGCTTGTTCTGATGAGCTTTTGGCAGAGTATGGAAATCCGTATCGATGAATCGCAAGATGAGAATATCCAATCTCCAGTTCCATTTCCCGGAGCGAAGCGCCCCAACGAATCAGGCAAATCGCTTTATAAACCGATGAAGAAAGCCAAAACTCACGACGAGAGTGAAGACTTTCCACCACCGGATTATTTGGTTGCCCACCAGGTCACCTGTTCTCGACATCGGGATCATATCTCAACCTATTACGAGGATGTACCTCGATTACTTCTTGGGGACTGGAAAACAACTGCCTTACATGGAACACAACCCTTCACTGAGGACATCTTCAGTAGGGAATTCGCCGAAGAAAATCCCCACATATCTTTCATTGCTGTCAAATCTTACGATTGTGGTGCATACCACGAAGCTATCAAAGACAAATTCAAAAAGGTGCCCCTACCAGACAACGTGGCGCAACTTCTGAAGCACGTGGACGCACGGCTTTCTCTACTCCAAGAGGACGGTGACTATGCCTCGATCATGAGTGAGATAATCGTTTTCGTATCAAGCGATCTACAAAATTCTCTATCAGCCATTAGTTTGGCCCATCCTGAGTACTTCTCGAAAAGAATTTACGGATCTAATGTTGCACCGATCTTAGACTTCTACCACGCCAGGTCTATCATCGAAAGTTTCATATCGCGAGAGAGTGATATTCTGAGCTCACTTCAGCTGGAGCAGCTAAGGGTGCTTGTTGGCTATATTCGAGAATCTCGAGGCGATGAATTTGACCAGGCTACTGCACAATTCGCTGAAGGCGCCGTCGGTCAAGTCCACTTCTGCAAACTGTTCAGTCTTGGCGATATTGTTGTTCGCGATACAAGTACTGGGCCGTTAGCATATCAAATCACCAATTTAGCCATCGAATCGCATACTGTGAGGATCGATTGTTTTAGTTGGGATTTCAATGGCGAGTTCTTCAAATCCAAGCAGCGTTTTACCGTGCATTGGCCCTCAAATGCCAAGGAAGTTCGGATAGAGACATTGGAGATATATCCATTAAGGTACAGTAACAGCGGTCAGCGTCTTCGCCTGGAGCAGAGAGGATCTAAATTCTGGAATTATCGAGAGCGCACTCTGGTCGATTATGAGTACAAAGGAATATCATATGAACTTCGTGCTGTATGTCATCATCAAAGTTCGAGATACTTAATGCTGACAAACAACAAGATAAGCAATCGTTTTATGATCGATATGGACACGTATCGAAATCTACACCCAGTCAATCAAGAGACCCGTGATGAAGAAGATGAGGGGATTAAGAAGTTGAAACAACCACCCAACGAAACCTTCGTACTTCTACTACCGTCACATATACGAGGGTACGGATTTCATGATAAGAAGTGGAGTAAGATATGCTACATGTTCACGTTCAGTCTTCTATATTGACTAGCTGTCAGGCCTTTTACTCATCGATCAGATCAGGTCGGTGACATGGAGTAGCGACACATTTGATCGACGTCTTGTCCTTAAGGCTCAAAAGAAGGAGATTATCAAAGCGCTCATAACGGTGCATACTACACCGGTTCATACCAACAAGGCTGACATTGTTGAAGGCAAAGGAAATGGACTCATTATGCTCCTACATGGAGGTCCAGGCACAGGCAAGACTCTCACTGCTGAGAGCATTGCTGAATTCGCTGAGCGTCCTTTGTATAAAGTGACGTGTGGTGACATCGGCACGGACGCAGAGAGTGTCGAGAAATATCTCGAATCGGTTCTTTACATTGGAACTTTATGGAAATGCGTTGTTCTTCTTGACGAAGCTGATGTGTTCCTCGAGGAACGAACGCCAACCGACCTCCAGAGAAACGCGCTAGTGTCTGTCTTCCTTCGTGTCCTGGAATATTTTGAGGGCATCCTTATCCTAACCTCGAACCGCGTCGGCACGTTTGATGAAGCTTTCAAGTCTCGAGTGCAGCTGGCCATGCATTATCCATCACTCGATGAGAACGGACGATGGGAGGTGTGGCATATGTTCCTTCGAGATCTGTTACAGGGCGATGAACAAGTCAAGTATACGGAAATTAAGGACAAGCTCGATGTGCTGGCGCGCTATAATTTGAATGGCCGTCAAATCCGAAATGTGTTTAATACTGCAAGGCAATTAGCGCGATATCGAAAAGAGCATCTAGCCTATTCACATTTCGATCAGGCTTTGGAAGTTGTCAATGAATTTGAAGAGTATTTGGTCCACACGCGTGGACATACCGATGAAGAGTATGCAAAAGCACAAGGGCACAGGTAGAAATCGTGGGAAGCCAAGGACATCCTTCTGTGTTTATTTTTTGATCGCTTTCCATAGCCTGTGTCAACGCCATACATTATCCTCAACCCAATTTCATTTTGATGCTCTGACATTGGACAAACGATGCTCGTTCTTTATCACAAGATGATATGGACGGGAAATACTGTCTACCTGCGACATCCATCCCAGATCGAGTCGACTTCCATGCGAAAGCTTTGGCTGTTGAACCATTTCCCTTAGTTGTATCTCACGATCTTGTACGGCGCATAGTCTAGTCTTGCTTTGACATGTTGCAACGGTTGTTGTATCTTGAGAGATGGTGTATGTGTTGTAAAGTCGAGCCGGTGCATTCCTGGGTTCGTTGGGGGAGCTCCAATGCTCCTGCGAGTGGTGGTTACGCACCTCACCTTCCGTACCAAACTTAGCCCCGCATGTCACGCACATATGCCGCTGAAAATTGTGGATAACCCTTAAGTGTGTAAGGAGTTGTGCGTAAGGCTCTTCGCCTAATACCGGTAGCATCTCATCGCAAAGCTCACAATCGATCGCCAGCTGTGCGCTCATAGTAGATATAGGCCCCTTGCTGCTACCAGAGAAGCGCTTAGAGCTAATCACGGGATCAACATTATCAAACTTTTCAAGTCCAAAATGTGATGTTACGGCGTCAGGCAAATTTGAGCGTGTGTCCATCAAGGATGCCATGTTCCTGGAATCATTTCGGACATTCGAGTCAAAACCTTCGCCTCTTCTGATGCTTATGGGTTTTTGAGATGCATCTCTCTTCTCCCTCATGAGATGATCATTCATTGCTCGCCGTCGAATCGCGGACATATTGTCTCTGCGTCTGATGTTCGCATTGGTCTTGGGTTCCGCCTCGAATCGCCCTGTCCGAATAGGGTCGTATGAGTTTGGGCCTGATTTCTTCTTATGATTTGTTTGGGGATGGCTTGGGAATTCTCTATACCCGGGAAGAAAACTATGGAGGGGTTTGGCCCTGTGACGAGACGCATCGTTCTGGTGTTGGTGATGGTCATCAGCAGTAGATTTGATTGCTTTTTGGCGGTCAGATATGTAAAGAATGGGCTCCGATAAACCCAACTTTGGCCTGGTATCAATGGTGTCAGTATTGAAGATCGATGCTCCTGTTTCTGGAGGGTCGGGGTCATGGGTTCCATCCTTCAATTCCACGTGAGTTCCACCTTTGAGAGAACCCGACTGAGGTCCCTTAAAGGAATTGTGTACAGAATTAATCGAAAAAACGTCTGCGAGATATCCTTCATTAACATTGAGTTCTCAAGGAACATGGAGCCGAACATTACTCACATCGGGGTAGTGCGCTAAGGTCGTTCGCCGATACCTTGGGTGTGGGAAGCTCAAGAGCACGCCTTTCTCCATCATTCAAATCTGAGTTGGGCACTAACCTTCTTCGTACAGCAGCTTTCTTTTCTTCTCCGCTCAAAGAACGCATGAGTCGATCACAAGGTCCAATGATTCCTTTCTTAAGCAGCTCCTTTTTGTACATATGACGGATCGCCTTTTCTCCAACTATTCGTAACGGGTGCCCCGGTACAGAAGTATAGTCGAGTGGTGTAGAAGTTACGTATTCTTTGATCTCGGACGTCCCAGATCCTGGTATTCTTATTGTGTGTCTGTTGTTTACCATATCTATTTCTTGCCCTCGACTATGTCCCTCATGAAGATCAGCCTCGCTTTCAAGGTGAGAAACGTCGGCAGATGACCCTGTTTCATGACTGCTAGGCTTCAGGCGTTTGTTGGGCGTTAATTTACGTTCCCGTGGCGGTACTTCTTGTCTTGATTCTGCAAGTAATGGAGGGGCATGTTCGATGGGCGGAGTTGCTGCGCGATGGCGACGAGGCGGGGGATCATAACGATAGGGTTCCCGGTGAGAACCAGGCACTCCAACTGACTCTGCCATATTCAAACTCAGAATGTTCGTCGGGAGACCTTGTTCCAAGAACAAAGTCTTGTGAATGTAGAGCAAAGCTGGACTGGACAGGATGAGGTGCAATGAGGCTGAGCTCAATCGTACGCCAAGTTCCTCTCACAGCAGCACAGCTGGACGTCACAACTGCAGGTCGCTTAACGATCGATGGTAATTGGCCGCATTGAGGCTGTACATTGTATGGGCTGTACGTACATCTTATGGGCTGTGCATTGCACACACAAAATTTATGTCTTGTTACGATATGTGAAAATTGAAGTTATTACTCAAACGTTAGGATTACCCTACCGTTGAACTTTCAATGCTGAATTTCCATATCTTCATCCTATTTAAGATAATAACTATTGCCAATTCAGCAATGGAGTGACACGAGGTAATGAACATCTATCAAAGGAACTTTTCTTTCGTCTACAAATATTTCCTTACCTTTTATACGGCGATTCTCGAGACAACAATCATACATGCTTTTGCACTATAAAATGTGCCTCCTCTTGCACTAGAATATCAAATTGAACCACCAGATGGAGGGCTACAGTCATCTCATCTATGTCTATTTCCACACGTCTTGATACACCTAAATGCTCACAGACTACTATGCAGCGGTAGCTCCATCTCGACGTCAAGCTGTTGCGATGTCCCTCAGTGACGAATTATACTATCAAATGTCTTCACCAATGCAATGACATGACCTCAGAACATCAAATCAGATATGAAAACACACCATGGGAGAACTTGTCGAAATGTCCTTGTAAAAATAAATTCTATTGAAAAGGTCATAAGGAATGCATCATGTCAATCATTTACCGCTCATGCTCAGGTAGTTATGGGTATCCGACACTTATCGAAAAGTCAATCCAAAACAAAGGATATACAAGTCGCAAGAAAAGAGAAACGTACAACCAAAACCCCCACCCTACGCAATAGTATCCGACTCCTCATGTTCCAACAACGCCGACACCTCCTCCCTCCCATTCACACTCCCCCTCCAAAACGGCCTCCCCTGCCTCTCCGCCCTCCAAACCTCCACCCTCCTCGCCGCCACAATCCCACCACTCCAGCACAACCCCGCCACAAACCCCACAGCATCGTTCTTAAACGCCAACAGCGCGGCGACCGTGACAAGCATGACAGCCCACCTATCCTTCTTCTCCTGCTCGTCGAGCGTCTTCACGCGCTTCCCGTCCCAGCTGCGATCAACGTTCAGCACGCGGAGGTCCCGCGCGTCCGTGTTGACGCTCTCGCCGACCTTCGCGAGTTCGATCCCCGCGGCGAGGACTAGGATCCCGAGGATGGACTTTGGGATTCCGGCGAGGACGCCGACGATCGCGGATGGGTGGAAGAAGGCGGCGAGCCCGAGGGAGAACTTGAGCGCGCCTAGGAAGATGATGCTCGCGCCGCTGCGGGCCCCGAAGCGGAATTGGCCGGCGAGACCGCCGGACCCGTGGCACACGGGCATCGCGCCGAACCAGCAGCCGATGAGGTTGAAGAGCGAGACGGAGGTCCCGATTTGGGTTACGCTGGGGGTTGGCGGGTACGGTGGGGAGGGGAGGAGGTCGCTGGCGAGGGCGGAGACGGCGATGACGGAGTTGAGGAGGGTGAGGGGGAGTTGGCCGAGGGAGGCGGTGGTGGTGGCTTTCCAGAAATCGTGGGCGGATGGGTGGACGATGGGGATGGAGTGGGAGGGGGTGGGAGGTTGGGAGTTGCTGGTTGGAGACAAGAGGGAGAGTATGATTCCGATGGTGAAGACGATGATGGCGTAGGGAAGTTTTGGATATGCCAATGTGAGTAGGAGGAACAAGGCTGCTGCGATGGCCCATAGAAGATTGTCTCCCCACCACGGTCCAGTCCATCCAAGTGGTGCCAAAAGAGAAGATCCAGCGCTCAAACAGAGAGATAATCCAGCTCCAACTTGGATGCCTTTTACCACGGGTACTGGCGTCACGCGGTTCGCCCAGTTGATCAAACCCGTGACACTCAAGATGCCCACCAAAGTAGCCACCACGAGTCCTGCTGCCGCGTTCTCCTCGATGGTGAATTTCTGAGCTATTGCGACTGCTGCGATGGCCTTCATAGGTTGGACTGGTAGTGGTATGCCAAACGCGGTGCCCGTCAGCATGTTCGCTGCGCCCGTGAACAGAAGCGTCGCGGGCAAAGAAATGGATCCCGTGATAACCAAGGCCGTCATAAGAGGAAGAAGAGTCCCCAAGTCTCCGAGCGATCCCGAGAGCTCTGAAAGAAGCGAAGTCCTCACGGTCCTGACATTGTGATGATAGACCTGGCGGAGATGCGGAGATGGGTTCGCGAGCTTAGGGAAAGAAATCATGACGCCGGCGTGCGCGTCGCCCTAAGAATAGGCGTACAGAAGAAGATATTCGAGGGAGTTCCAAAGGTAAAAATCTGTTTCTTATCAATAACTATATAAAAATGTTGTGGGCAGTGACAGGGAGTTAAATATGCTTCGCGTACGGCACTTTCGGAGATGCAGGCTGATGCGGGTTTGGTCGCTAAGCCGTAAGAAGCCACACAGAGCCACACCGATAGACGTCACCTGCCGCTGAACCCTCCCACGTGTCGTCCCATTGTACCCTGATGTCTGCTTTGTCTGTTTTGATGGCAAGCGTACCGAAACAATATATGGCGGTGCTTAGTGTAAGACTATGTACCGATAGTCAGGTTGTACAAACTACAATTTAGTGCTGGAATCAATGGCAATAAGACCAGGTATACCCAAAAAGGAAATATTGTTCTGCACTAGCAAGCCATCACAGTTTACTTTATTGCGTGCGAACCAAACACATACATTGTCTCGTGTTGAATATTTTTGTTCACATTGTTTCATTCGTTATGATTTGTGATAACACAATCTAAGCAGCCGTCTCAAGTTTGGCTTGAGGTTCCGCCAACTGAATCTTGCCCTCCGCATCATAGACAATCTCTCTTATCTTGACACACCTCAAATGGTTCTTCCCGGAGATACTCGTGTCGTGATAGAACAGATACCACTTTCCCTTGAACTCCGCAATGGAGTGGTGAGTCGTCCATCCCAAGACCGGTTCCAAAATCCTCCCTCCGTATGTGAAAGGGCCCAGCGGGCTGTCGCTAATGCCATACGCCAAATAGTGTGTATCACCGGTTGAGTACGAAAAGTAGTACTTTCCATTGTACTTGTGCAGCCATGCGGCTTCGAAGAAGCGTCGATCGTGATCAGACGAGTGGATTGGCTGGCCAGTCTCGCCATCGAGAAGAAGAACGTCCTGCGGGGGCGAGGCAAAAGACTTCATATCGTCGTTAAGCTTGCCGACCTTGGCAGACAGTGCGGGGCCATCCTGCGCTTCCATCGTCGAATACGCATCCCTCTGAAATTCACCCGTCGTCCAGCATTGCAACTGGCCTCCCCATATTCCTCCAAAGTACAGATACGCCTGCCCGTCATCGTCGACGAAGGTAGCGGGGTCGATGCTGAAGCTACCCTGAATTGGCTCCGGTTCCGGTTTAAATGGGCCTTCGGGCTTGTCGCCCTCCGCAACGCCCACTCTGAAGATGCCATCCTTGTCCCGGGCGGGAAAATATAGGTAGTATTTGCCGTTCTTCGTTGCGGCATCTGGCGCCCACAATTGCTTCGACACCCACGGCACGTCTTCTTGTTTCAAAACGACGCCGTGGTCTGTGACTGGCCCGCCGACTTCTTCCATGCTGAAGACGTGGTAGTCGTTCATGTCGTATTGGTCGCCGTTGTCATTGTTGGGGATGTCGGTCTCCCGGTCGTGCGACGGATAGATGAAGAGTTTGCCATTGAAGACGTGCGCGGAGGGGTCGGCTGTGAATACGTGGGTGACGATGGGGTCCTTGTCAGCCATGGTGATAGAGTTTTAAACCACTGTTTAGCAAATTGTTCGTTCAATCGTTGATTGTAGGTCAATAGCACAGAGCTAAGGTCACGGAATCATAAAGCTCTTAAGAACGACCCCGCCATACAGCAAAAGGCCCAATTCGTGGCGAATTTAGCCATTACATTAGCCATCGGCACGGCTAGCCTAGCTACCTTAGAGGCCGAGAGATGGTGTCTTGTGATTCTCAAAAGGCACTGTTAAAATGACATCGTTCCAGACTGAGTGATTGAGGGAAACGCGGTGGTGTTTCGCGGTACAGATGGTGCCTTTAGCCGCTCGTATTCATCCGCTGCAGTAGACCCATCTGTTAGCAGAAATGCCTCGGATCTCCGGACGTTGAACCATTGTTAGTAACTCCGATCACCAGTGTAGCATTAGATATTGATGACGGATTGCGTCCCGGGTGGACCGTTTCGGATGCATGTTACACGAGGATTTTGATAACCCTGGAATGGGGAAGAGGGTGATGCACGTGTTTTCGCGTTCACGGTTCAGATTTCCTGTTTAGGTTAGTATACCCAAAGGGTCTGCTTAATTCACGAAAGAAATATCATCGTGATAAGTAGAAGCAAGCTTCAGCAACTCAATTTTGAATAGTCTGCAGTATCTTTGTATGTTTTCTCTAGAAAAGAACAATCGTTACAAAACCCAAATATATGAATGACTCATTGTCTCTCTCAGATGATTCAAACTCTAATCAACACAACTCTAGCTCGTCCAATTTCCATATCCCGAAAGAAGAAAGATGAAAAGTTTCTAGGCCGACTATCCTCAAATCTCACATCCCCGCAAGATACCTATGATCCCCCGTAACCTCCGTGACCTCAAGCGTATCCCCAACCCTAATCTCCATCCCCTCGCCCCTCGGCACACACAACATCCCAAAGCAAGGCTTAAACGTGATCCCCTCATCAATCCTCCTATACTTCATAAGCGTATCCCACGGCTGTCTAGGATTCTTCTCCCCACTCTCCGTATCAACATTAGGTACCTGGCACCGCGCACACCGCTGCGTGATATCCAGCACGAGCTCCCCATCTTTCTCGGCGCTTGACGTGATCCGAAGCGTCTTCCAGCGATCTTCGTCCCAAGGTTTCGTCGCGTCACCTTTGACGAGGATGTTGGGTCTGAACCTCGTGACTGGGATTGTGAGGCCTTCCGCGGCTTGGAGACGGGTGTTGAGCTCGTCGATGCTGGCTTCGGTGCCCACGAGGATGGGCATGAGGTCTGGGAAACATGTCGATGCGTTTCGTCCTAGGACCTTGGGTGCGCCGTTGGAGACAAGTGGCCTCGGGACGTCGCTGTATGGCGATTTATAGACGAGGCGGACTTCCCGGCCGAAGAAGTCGTTGAATTGGTTTGTTAGTTCAGCGGAGTAGCAATGTGCGGGCGTCACGGCGCTCCAGACGGTGGCATCGACGAGGGAGGTGTTGGAGGCGAGCCAGGATGCGGAAGGGTGCGCTGGGATGGAGAATTGGAGCTTCTCGTCCATGGAGTTCGGGGCTGGCGCCGTGATGGTGAGGGTGTCGGTTGAGGAGTCGTAGGTCGGGCGGATGAGAGTCATCTTGGAGAGGTTGCGAATCGTGAGGAATTTGTAATCTGGATAGCTCACCCACATCCATTGGCGATCTGTATAGTCGTTTAGTTCAGGGGCCCGATGTGTGGCTATATTGGTTATGTGTATAGACTCACCTAGATCCAGACCAGTGGGCAGAAGCTTTGCGGATGGTACGGATATTCCATGACAGCTTTTGATAGGATGGATGAGCAATTGCGTGATCTTAGTTGGTGCTGGAAGGGGCCCAACATCACGTTGAGGTTTGGTATTCAACGATTTGGATTGTGCTTGAGTCGTGAGTCGGATGTATAGGAAATAGGTCAAGATTGGGAGGAAAAACACTGAGAGTACAATTGCGCCCTGAGTAGTACTCGAAGAAGCCATTGTGAACGAGCTAGGCAAGCTTCAGATTGTGCAATGCCTGGAAAAAGATGTTGAAAGTGCTCAGTCAAAAGATCATATCAGTTTACGAGTACAATTGGTCTCGCTTATGGCTTGTTGTGATGACAAAGTCAGCGTCTGACGCCAGGTCTAGAATGATGTTAGAAGGTCGGAAAAGACATTGACGGATTCAATTCTACACTCCACCGGATGTGGGGTAGATACGCAGATAGCGATGACGAGAGGAAGGTTCGCACTTGAACGTTTCTGGAGAGTTACATTAGCGCAAACGGGGACCGCATGATGATGTGAACAACTACCGACGCTAGAACTCACCATCCGCCGGAACACCAGGGTACTCTTCTTCCAACCTCACACCTTGAACGTTGTTATTCAACTGTTAGAGACCTTGTGTGGCATCTTTCTGCACTCACGAATTTCCTCAAGCTTCGGTAACGCACAGATCAAAGTGAAAAAAGCTTGTAATACAGAAGCTATATGTATATCTAAAATGAACATTGAAGTCAATCCTTCTATTATCTTCCATCGTTACGTCTCTTCCATACATTGCGTCAGGCTTCGGTATATCGATTATTAATAAGTCCAAACACTAAGATATGGAGGGGAAAAACATTGGCAATAACATTGCAACGATACATTATTGGGTATACCCTACTTCAATCGAAGCCCATCATGAGGCTAATCAAAACGCAGCATCAAAAAGATATCGAGTAGATTGTGAAAACGGAAAAGGAAAACTCCGTAGAGGAGAGGGTTTGCTCGACTTAACGATTGCTCGATGAGACCGAGGATCGGAGCCACTTTCTCAGTGACCTTAGTTTGGTGGTTTCTGTTAAGGGAGGGGACGAGGACCGGAGCCAGCCGGCCATCAGATTGTGGTGGGACCACCTATGTTTCTACTCCTCAACCCCAGTTGACTTCGTCGTTCCATCCCATCTCGCGATGGGGTATAACGGTGTGTTGCGAGATGTTACTGGGGCGCCTCTTCATCTGAATCATCCGCGAAAAGCGATTCTCGTCCTTGGGAGGAGGCGGTGGAGGCTGATCGGGGAAATGTTGAGATCCACGATTGCTCGAGTTGGAGATGTTGATCAGCTTGGGGACGTATCTGCGCGAGCTAGTGCTACCCGTGTGCTGGTGGTGGAGGAAGTTCGGCGGCACACTCTGTCTGGGATATTGCGCAAAGTTGGCATTGGAGTGTTGCGAGGCTGGCCGCACGAATCCGGCATGCGAATGCTGCGACGTGGGGCGCGCAAAAGCAGAGTACTGTGACGTTGGCACTTGGACGACTTCCTTTTGTGGCTGCGGTGTGTAATTCATGTACGCATTTGGCTGCTGGAAGTTGACCAAGTCGGGAGTCGATACAAAACCTGCGTTTGGCCACGCGGTTTGGGCAAAGGTCTGGGGAACAGGCTGAGGTTGACTGAAATCCGTGGTCATCGGCGTCATGTTTGCCGCGAAACCTCCAAACGCATCCATGGGCGTATCCATGCTCATGGTGTTTGGCGTCATATTGGCGCTAACAGGCCATTGGCTTGGTTCCATCGGTGGTTGCATCGATGTTGGTGTCATGGTCTGCATGGGCTCAACTGGATCGAGGTCCATCATTGCATGCTCAGGCGGCATACCATGGGAGCTGGACAGTCGCTGGTCCGGGGTGAACTCGAAGGGCTCTAGCTTGCAGTCGACAAGCTCAGTCGTGTCGTTAGACTCCATTTGTTCCACTTGCTCGATGGGCTCAGGTGCCTCATTGCTGTCCGGCGCTTCGATTTCTGCCAACTCGTACGTCTCTTCAATGAGCTTCTCGACATCGAACATGCGGTTGTCCCATTTCGTCTCCAGCTTGTACCTCAGTCGGTTGCATTTCTTCGATTCCCAAGTGAATTGGGGAATGCTCTGTTCATCGCCATGTTTCTGCGTGAGCATGGAGCTCCATGCCTGCGAGACGTCCGGTTGCTTAAGGAGGCCGAGGATGACGTTCGTGAAGTTCCATTTCGATCGCTTCTCCTCGAAATGTAACGCGATATGCTCACAACGCTCCTCCCATGTAGTTAGTAAGCAACCACAGAAACCGCAACCCCAAGCGTCCTTGTCGTGCATCACTATCTCGTACTTTTTCACACATGGCGACGCTTTCCTGCTGGTAGGTTGTCCGCTTTCTCTCGGTTGCTTGCAGTTCTCGCAGCCCTATTGTTTGTTAGTAATCCGTCTATGTGAACGCGTATCGGATATCGTACATGTAGTTTGGTATGATGCTCACGGAAGCGCTTTCCGGCATGGAAGATCTGTTCGCAATCCGGGCATCGCCATGTCAACCTTTGCTCATGGAATTCCTCCTCGTGCGACTTCCAGTAGGGCTTGGACTTCAAAGCTTTGTCACAAAAGGTGCAGGCGAAATTCTTTTGCGACGCGTTGGAAATTGTGGAGAGTCGCGACGACGCGGTAGACAAGCGCGACGAGGCAGCACTGTAGTGGGTAAACGACGAGTCGGTTGATGCGATGGACGAACGAGGATCGGACATCATGCTAGTAACCCGGCTTGAGGGCACGCTGAGGTATGAGGATGTTCGGCTTCCGAGGGTAGACATCGAAGACCGGTCAGGGCCAGAGGAGCGCATGCGATCTGCGGTCATGGTGAGCAACGACAGGCCGCCAGGGCGCGGGCCAAATTCACCTCCATTGCGAGCGGCTTCGAGCAACAGGAAGATTTGCTTGTCGTCGAGATGCTTGAGGCCATTGATGTGTTCAATGACCTCGGGCGTGAGTGATGCCTGGCCGGAGAGACGGGGGGAGGGCGACGCGCTTTCGGACACGCTACTGAGCGGAGTTGAACCTTGTAGACTGCGACGCGGACGCTTGAAGCTGTTGGATGGTTGTGGTGTGCTATACTGGAGCTGTGGCTCGTCGGACTCCATGTTATTCGGATGCGCGTTGAGAGTCCTCGATCATGCCGGAGTTTACAGTGGACAGTCCAGGTCGGAAGGGGGTAGAGAATGGGATGGATGGGTTTTTGGTATGGATGGTAGACGGACGGACGATATAGGTAGGTTGCTAGGTATGTACAACGGTTAGAAAGGGAGGGCGACGGGGGCACGAAGTACTGCGGCGATGTTCGAGAAGGTCGCTCGCTTTTGTCGGATGGAACAGAAAGACTACTGAGCTGGGACCTCAGGCCGTCAGGAAGACATTGATCGTCCAATCTCCCGGGCGGAGCGGACGCTCTTGTTTTGAGGATAAGTCGTTTCATCGGGACGACCATGAAACCACGGAGTCGACGCTTGGCGGTGCACGCTGTCATCTCTCCCGTGCGCAGGGCCGTATTGTATATATTTAGAGACCCCTGGCTGGCGAGAGCTGGGTAGGTAGCCTGCGCACACGACGCCGTAGTGTTTCGCTCGTATCTACATTGTACATTGTCGTTGGAATAATGTAAATTCACACACTATGCATTTCTGGCGCTTTCTTTGTCACTGATGATGATGATGGACGTTCCCGATGATAATTGTAATAGGGATGATGATGGCGCAAGACCACAGAGAAGGGATCACGAGCGGGTTCCTGGACGGATCGTCGCAGTAGCGGCCGCGCGATATGGAGGAAGGCGCGCGCACACACGCACTGAGCCTTGAGGGATGAATAGGATAGGTAGGCACTTGAGTGGTTTGCTCCCTCCTTGATTCCTGGCGTTGCAGCAGGACAGGGCAGGGCAGAGCAGAGCAGGGTAAGGCAAGGCAAGGCAAGCCAGGGTTGTTGGAGACTCTACCTAGAGACTCGAGACTCGAGAGTGATGGCATGGTAGAGGAGAACAGAGTGAATTGCGTGGAGAGACACTCAGTGGAAAGAGCCGGAAGAGAGCGCCAAAGGGCAGGCGCCGCCAACGCCAACGCCAACAGGTGGACGCTTTGCTCAGGGGTCGAAACTTGAGACGGCGCTAACCTGAGTGGGGTCGCCCTTTCTACTCGCCCAACAGCCTTTTTCCCTTTGGGCGACAAGACTTCACACACACACATACGTTCACTCTCTCTTACTCTTACATTCACTACTCACTGCCTACTCACTCATACACATTACTACTACTAGTTACTACTACAATCTACACAGTAGGTAACCTTTCACTACGTATACGGGTATTACACACTCACTCCACAGAACACACCCATCGTCCCATCATTTCATGCATCCCATGCGCCTCCCAAGTTCCAACCCCCAAACACCCCCCATAGTTATCTCAGCTTTGCACAGCCCTAAGGGACAAAACCTTACTCTTTTCAATCACCAATTGTCGTTAGCGACTCAGAGAAAAGAAACCAAGAGAGAGCCGCATCGACTTTCCACTCACGCCGACAGCTTGCCATACTGCCGCAGAATGTGCATCTCGAGCCTTCGCCTGCACCTGTGCCCCGCCGTGAAGCATGGCCATGCCTCATCTTAACGAACCCTTCATTCTAGTTATAACAACCGTGAGCGTAGCCAATTGGCCAAAGACATGTCTCAGCACCCGTTCCTTGCAGTCAATTCATCAATTCATCAATTCATCGCGTGAAATCGCCTGTTCTCCAGATCAGAACGGTGAGCAACCACGGCGGCGCAGCATCTCGATTCTTGATTCTTGCAAGTTGCGCCCAGGAACAACTCTACTGTGCCGTACCAACTACCTAGCCACCAACCTGGCCAACGTCGGTCCGTTGTTGCCCCCATATCGTACCAATGCCCCGAGGATCATAGGCGCGCATAGTATCATGGCGTTTTGAGGCCGCGCGAGCATCCGCCATTGCGCAATCGCATAAACTACCAATCTACCGTACAGTGGGATGGAGCCATCATGCCATCACGTGGACTCGTGAAGCCGCGAATGGAGCCGTCTGCGCCCCTCCATCATCGTCATCTGGTGTGGAGATTGAAATTAAAGAAAATGTTGACGCAGCAAATTGTGGTCCAACATGGCGTCGAGCGATCGCTCTGCTAACGATCTCCTAGATGCCGCGAGCAACATTCGATTGCAGGTGAACCCTTGCACTCGACCCTTGGCGGGTGGGTATTCCTCCAATCTGGGGTACGAAAGCCAACAACTGGTGTTTCAAACTGCGTAAGCGGACCATTGCTATTTCTAGACAAACCAGAAGAGGCAACTCGCACAAAAGAGGAATAAAATGGTTTGCACAAATCTCCCATGATCCAGATTGGTACTCAATGGGATCTCGACACGAGCGAGCTGTGCTGAAACATGCTAGAAGAAAGGACATGATTAGTCTACCATGTAGGATTGCAATGACTCGAGTACCGGGGCTTATGGAGCATCTCTACGGCAATTTGACGAGACATGCAACAATTTGATTAGAGATATGGACCAATGGTTGCTTGCCCGCTGACCTGAGCAAGGCGTGCTGTTTGCACTGACGATGCCTGGCAGGACGCGCCGGGGCAAAAGGAGCACTTGCGCAAGACCTCTGAGGTGACAGCCGCACGATCAGCTTGTAAAGTTGTTTCATTGATGCAGAAGGAATTGTCAGGACATCTGCAGAGTTGCAAGCGAAGGACGATTGCATGAACGACAACTGACGCACACTCGTCCTTTACGGGCCGGGAGATTAGATAGATGAAGCGATCAGCAAGGCGAGGGATGTCCCATGGACTCTTGTGGGGATCGAGAACATGCAGGAGGTCGGGAGAAGCGAAAGTTCGGGTGAATCGAACTGAAGCCGAACGATGACGGAGCTGTGGAAACATCACAGCGACTAAAATAAGTTCCCAGCAAGCGTGCTATTATCGGTAATTGCTTTCAAGCGTCGATGATCGAACAGCCGTAGAACGTATGGAAGGCAGTTCGACTGAAAAGAAGGGGTATCACGTGGATGCGTGGCTGGTGGATGAGCTGTGGCTGGTGGTGTCCTTTGGGCTATCCCACTTCCGGCTAGATGGTCCTTATGTGGGTTGGAAAACGCGTCGCGACTTTCGTCGCGTAGTTTTGGTGTTCGCGACCTCGGGAAGAGACAATTGCTGGTCCAAACGCAATCGACACTTGCCAACCTCCCGTAACCATAACAATTACGATTGTGAGGTCGTCGTCCGTACTTGTTATCCCTACACCACTACTTTCTCATATTTGCTGTATCTCGTCGACTATACATGAATTCGAATTTTTAAGTTCTTCCCCCCTTCTACTCATCGCTACCCTCGACATGGCCCATCCTGCGGCGCCCGCAGAACTTGCAACCGTTGTACCCATGGACGTGGACAATGAGCTTGAAGCCGATTCCACAGCCATCTCTCCAGAACCAAAAATCACACATGCCCCCGCACAATCCGCCAATGCACTATCAAAGTTGCTCGATGACGATGCCGACTCAGAGGTTGATGAGCCTCAAGCTCAGAAGCCGCGGCCGAACATCCTTACACGTTTACAACCTCAACACACCACCGGGGATTCGTCTTCAGACAGCGAAGATGATGCTGGTGTGAGCGCTTACGAGCGTGTCAAGAAGATGCTCATGAATAAATCAACTCAGAACGCACAAATGGAGTCACAATCAACTACACAAGCGGCAGCACAGGCAACATCACAACCCGCCTCGACTCTGGATATATCTCGCCTTTCAAGTAGTGAAGACGAGGATGATATGCCCGTCCAGAGAAAAGTCATCAGGAAGACAGCTACACGGATAGCAAGGGACACCCCATCTCCAGCACAGTCGCCCACAAAATCACATTCACGACACTCATCGCCGGGCCTGTTCGTTTCCCCCAATGGTTCTCCAGTGAAGAGAACTCGGCCCGTTAGCAATGCTTCAAATGACTCCGAATCCGATGAATTGCCTGCCTCGAGATCTTCCAAAGAGATGAAGGCTCGTGTTGAACGTATCAGAGCACAGAGATTGGCGAAGGAGAAGTCAACATCCGCAAAGAAGCAGACACATTCGAAAGAAGCGAGCACGGATGACGAGACAGATAGCGATCCCGATGGTGAGAACGGACGACGTCTCACACAACAATCCCGACCTACACGCAAGGCCGGGAAGAAGGCCTTGGAGGAAATGAGTCGGGAGCAGCAAAGGATCAGTCGAAATATGCAATTGGCCCACAAGGCAAAGACCAAGAAGAAGTATACGACAAAGGATCTCTTTGCTCGCTTCAATTACCAAACAGAAGCAACCGGAGCTCTACCCACTCCTCCCACGAGCTTCAGCCAAAGGTCGTCTGATGTAGAGCACGACAAACCCTATGACACACCGCCAACCAGCCCTCCAGTCCAGGAAGAATCGGCCAAGAACGACACGCTCACAGAATTGGAGGTTTCTGCCGCCTCGCCTTCTCTTGAGACTATTGGACTAGTCCCATCCGTGCATAAGGGGAAAGGCAGAGCTCCAGAATTCCAACATCTTCCACCAAACGCGGCGGAAGAGCAAGCAACAATACAGCGCGCGCAGGTTCCATCAATTCACGTAGAGAAGCCCTTAGCATCTGAAATGGTAGAACTTTCAGACTCAGAAGACGAACTGAAAACACCTCGACCGAAGAGTAGGTTCCCTGTATTTGACAGGGTACCACAGCAGAAGCAGCAACAATCATCATCTCTCCATCACCTCCGCCACCTTGCTAATTTGACTTCACCCGGAAAGAAGGGGGTGAAGGGCAAGCCTTCCATGACGATCATCGAATTGGGCTCTTCTCTCAACCAACTAGCACGAAAACAAGCTCAGCGGGAACGAGAGGAGAAGATCGAGGAGTTGCGTCGCCGAGGAATTCATATTGAGACGGCAGAAGAGCGTGAGAAGCATGAGTTAGAGATCGAGAACATCGTTGCCCAACTTGAAAAGGCTCGGCAGGAAGACCTCAAACTCACCAAACTCGAAAAGGCGGAAGCCAGGAAGAATGGTGAGGTTGGCGATGAGTTGGCATCTAGTGACGAGTCTGACGATGGAGACTATGCCGCCAGCGATGAAGATGGAGCACCTGAGTCTGAGCCCGAGGACGAGGTTGAGCTTGAGCTATCTGGCTCAGAGGACGAAAGTCTTGCGGAAGACGAGGATGATGTCGGGAACCATAACGACTTGATTGACGGTGCGGCGGAAGAGGAAGACAAGGAAGAAGACGAAGAAGACGAAGAGCTTGCCGAGATTTCCGAAGCCGCTGCAGTACAAGATGACGATGACATGGAGGAGACTCTCCTTCCAGTCACCAGAGCACGTCCTAGTAAACGGGCTCGTAATGTTATCGTCGATGATGAAGATGACAGCGAGGCCGATGTACCGAACAATAGCACGCCGACCCAACGACCATTGTCACCAACGCAGCAAGACGATGGTATGGCTGCGGCATTTGGCTTCGACAAGTCGTCTCCTTCGCTTGGACTAACCCAAATGTTTGCGGGAACAATGGCCGATCTACAGACTGGATCCCAGAACGCACATCCAATTGACAATGAGCCCGAACAGGACTCGATAGCCTTCCTTCGCAGTCTACCTGATAGCCAAGCAATGGTTTCGCAGTTCCCCGCCACACTTGTTCCCAACAGCCAGACACCCGTTTCCCCACAGAAGGAGTCCCAAGTCGGACAGTCCATGCCTCAGCTCAATCTCGGTATCAGTCAACTCATCGACACGTCTCCTGCCTTCTCGCACACTCAAGATTTTGAGCCGACGCAGGATGGAGGCTTTGAATTCACGCGGTCCCCCGCTGTCTTAATTGCGCCATCGTCCACGGTTGACACTGTCATGATGCCAGTTGCAGAGTCTCCTGTGAAACAAAGGAAGGGCAGGCTCCATCAGCGAAAGCAGCTGATTGCCGACTTCTCTGATGTTGAAGAGGAAAGTACAGCTGTAGAGAGCAACAACAAGCCAGATGCCGACAATGCATTTGCTGTTCTTAAGAAGGCTGCAAAGAAGGAGAAGAAGAAAGTCGACAAGTTCAACAAGAACACGAGTTGGGCAAAGGATATCGTCCAAGAGCAAGCTGAGGAATCTGAGGACGAATACGCCGGTATTGGTGGAGCAAGTGACGATGACAGTGCCGAAGATGATGAGGAGCTCGCAGAGATGATTGACCATGATGAAGTGAAGGTTGATGAGCGCAAACTTGCCTCTTACTTCTTGTAAGTCACTGAACTCGAGTTGATCTTGATTAATGCTAATTCATTTTCAGGGAGAAAGAGAAGGTCACGGATGAGAAGAACATCAACCAACTTTACAAAGACATCATGAACGGTGGGCTTCGGAAACGGCGAGGTGGTGACGCCTTTGACCTCTCTGACTCGGAAGACGAGGCAGAGCAGCGACGCAGGAAGAAGCAAATGCAGTTCCGACAAATGACCAAGGCACTCATCTCGGATGAGAGAATCGGCAAGATTGCCCAGAATCCCAAGCAGGCTGCATTCTTCAACACCCTCGCCGATCACTTGGAAGATCCAGACAACGACTTCCTGAACGAGCCTGAACTTCTCAACGGGGAAAGTCGGTCTCAGTCCCAATCAGAAGAGGGCAAAGAAACCAATGAGACTGCGGATGTAGCAATCCCTGATTCTCAGTCTGCCGAGGCCTCGGTCACCACAGGTGCTCCGGTCAATCCACTGAAGCGCAAGCTTCCCGACTCCCAAGAGAAGGAGAACCGTCCACCAGCTCACCTGCGACGGACCGCCGCCAACGAGACTCTTACGCGGAAGCCTATGACGATTGCCGATATCCAACACTCAGTCTCAGAACTCCTCGACGACCCTCGCGACGTCATTCCCGAGACTCAACCCTACGATTCAGATTCCGATATCGAGATCGAGCCTCCCGTGAAAGCAGCCTCACGCAAGCCGATCATCGACCGTCTTACCTTATCACGAACCACGATTGAGGTATCAGATGCTGCAGCTGGGGGCCACATGGCCTTCGTTTCAGCATCTGGAGGTACCCTGCCTGGCTTCCGCGTGCCGAGCTTGATTCGGAGAGCAACAAGCAACCTATCTACCGCTAGTAGCGGTAGCTCAGGAACCACTACGCCTGTGGAGGGCGGTGGTGTCAGGCGCGGTGGAACGGGCAGGAGCAACATCCACGCCCAGGCCAGGGAAGCCGAGAGGAGGGCTGCGTTGGATAAGGTGGAGAAGAAGAGGAAGGACGAGCTCAAGAAGAAAGTGAGCCGGGCGAAGAACCAGAGGAGCGTGCTTGCCAGCCTTGGAGGTGGCTTTGAATGATTTGACGTATACCCTTTCATAGTAATGGCGTTTCTAGGACATGGTCTTGAATAGGCATTGCAGCATCGTTAGGATTGAAAATTAGCATATCGTTCCATAGGAATCCACACAGTCCACAGCGGACTTTCCAACATCAAATACTTCTTTATGTACATGACACACAATATCCTACACTACACACACAGAGCTCCCTACCCCCTCAAACCCTCTCCGTAATCCAAATCGCCGTCCTACAGCCCCCCCTAATAACATTCGTCAACAACTCATACGGCCTGGCACCCTTCGCATCATTCTCAACCGCATGATCCAAATGCTCCAACTCCTCATCCCTAATCCTCCTCAACTCCCCCACCATCCCCTTAAACTCCGCACTCACCTCCTCGCCCCTCCCCTCCATCTTCTCCGCCCAGTCCAACAGCACCCTAACCTGCTCATTGTAATGCGACCCGATCTCCGTCTCCACCGCCTCCGTACACGCCATCGCCGCCTCCCGCCCCATCACCGCCGTGCCCCACCCCAGCACGCTCGCCGCCGCGTGCCACACGGGATACATGGCCGTCGGGCGCACCCGGTGCTTCGCGATCAGCGCGTTGAAGTACTGGAAGTGCCCGGCTTCTTGGTCGTACATGTGCTTCATCAGTGGGCGCAGGTTGGGGTGCGCGCGGATGAGAGGGGGCGTCTGCGAGGCGTAGATTAGCACCGCGGCGAGCTCGCCGGCTTGGTTGACGCGGAGGGCGGAGTCGAGGAAGGAGGACTGCTCGGGTGTGAGGGGGGAGCGCATGGAGGGGTACTTTGGGGCGGGAGAGGGGGTGGAGTTGGGGTTGGTGTTGTTGGTGCTGTTGGTTGTTGTTGATGCGGTTGAGTGGTGGCGCGATGATAATGATGATGACGGTGGTGATATCTGGCGATGGGGAATCGCAATTGTGCGCGGAGCTAGGAAGTCTAGGACGGGGAGTGGTGTCTGGCGAGACGGGATGCGCGCAATTGAGCGGAGGAGTGGCATTGTGGGAGGCATTTTGAATTGGGATGTCGTGAAGTTGTTGATGTTGGTTGTGAGAGGGACATTTTATGTCGTTCGAGATGAGGTATGGATAGCTCTAGTGCAGGCGCTAAGACCAATCCCTTTTGGGGAACGCTAGGTTTGGAACATCTGGTGACAGAAAAGAGTAGTTGGGAAGTACCGCTTTGCTATTTACGTGTTATGTGAATTAACCTATTTTATTATCTATTAAGAGGTGATCTCTTCATACTATCGATTAAGTAGCATACTGAAATGCGGTATTGGGATTCCAGGATTTAATTCGAAACTTCTTATGTGTGGTGAAGATGCTCTGATAGATATCAAACTTTACGTCTTGTCTATTTGAGAGCTACACTCCCACCAGCCTAGGTAATTATGTCTCTCCAAGGTCAGTCTTCCGGCTGTGGCCGTGACCGTGGCATTTCGCCCGCATTCAAGGTCAGTAATTCATTGCCAGGCTCCTTTGGCTTGGAACCGAAGACGCTCCGGGACAGCAAATAGGACGCAGCTTTCTTCAGCACGGCATGCTTCCTAACGATGGCTGGAAAAGTAGGTGTGCAGAACACAAGGATCACGCAAAGTATCTCCAACAGACACGCAGAGCCAACTGCCGAGATGGCATATATCTTGTCCGACGAAGTGAGGAACCGTGCCGTAGCAACAAGCCGATAGATGGCGGATATCAAAGCACTTCAAGGACATGTCAGCTTTCTACATCAGAGTGTGGAGAAGCACAGTGGAGCTCACAGTAAGCCAATACCAAAGATTATTGCGATGCCAATCTTGCGTCTCAGCGTCATCTGTAAACGCCAGATAAGATTTTGGGGCAGGACTAGCACAGCGATATCGAGTACGACGTTGACGCACGATGAGGCCATGTCCAAGATAAAGGTTTTGGTACAGGTTTTAGGGATGGCTCGATCCCATGTCCCCTTATACGGCCTACAAGAACTTGCTGATACAATTATACACGTTGAGAAGAATAGTATATTGAAGACCAGCAAAGTGTAGCACGTTCTCTTTGAAGACGCAGTAAGCTTCTGCAAAATAAGATGTTGAGACATACGTCCGTATATTATTGCCAGATCGGAAGACATGTGCGAGAAGGAGTCAAAGTAACGAAAATAGTATACTCACCGAAAACCACGGGCTAATGCCGTATGGAGCAAAGAGTCGAGTCCACTCTAGCAAGATTGCTGCCTTCAGAAACATCACGGACGTTGTGTAGAAGTTGAAGCCTAGATGAATATACTACTCTACATTAGCTTTCACCAGGGAAAAGAAGTACTGTTCTTGCGAGAAGAACTCACCCATAGTTCCTCGGCCATGTCCCTGACACGTATATCCCACTGATGCACAAACACCCCTACACCGGCGATGATGGCAAAAATGCAGTACACGAAGCAGATGAACAAAGCCTGTAATCATGGCATCAGTCCGACAAGAAATACGGCTATAGGACAGGGTGGGAATTATCTTACATATCCAGAGAATCCAAGGACTCAATTATGGATTCTGTTAGCACAGAGAGTGATCGGAAGGAGAGGATTATCGTACAATCTTCTATGTGAATCTTTTTGTGAATGAAAATCCGCGTGTAAGCTCTTAAACCAACAGCTAGTGTCGTTACCACCAAACAGAATATCGCTACAAAACGTCCGATGCTGTTCCCGTTCGGAGGGTTGTCAAACCGGGATGTGGTGCCGTTTGGAGGAGGTATTGAAGGCCCATCGAGGGGGTTTTCCCGCGCCAATGGTGGAAGTGAGTGGATCCCTACATTCGACATGTGGAACGAGAGATATCTTTTGGCGTATGGGGCTTTTTTTGTGAATGTAATGAAACAATGGCCGTCATCTTGAAATAAGGAACTTAGCGATATGCTATCATAGAGTGCGGAATAAAAGCCACAACTACTTACCGAACAGTCGTTCGCTCGGCGATTGAGGTGGGGGCGAAGGGAGCTGTCACCATGCGGCATGATGCATACATATGCATCCTAGACATTGATTACAAAAAAGGGTGTCGAGGCAATTATCCGATGAACACCGAGTAAGCTGAAAACGATACATAGAGAGAATAGGAAAGTGGTCACCGTACCGCAGTTTGTACGACATAGACGGTTGGGAAAGACCCGTACACCGGTAACTTACTCGGTATCGGTGCTACCGGGTGTGGCTCGTTTGAACCACAGATTCGCAGAAGCTACCATGGAATATATATTGCTGACTAGATCAGGCGTATTTGGGTTTCGCTGTCAATGCCTTTTTCTTCCCCCAGGCCAATGAAAACTCGTGTCTGCACTCCAGATCTGATAAGACTACCAATGCCAGTTTGCAATCTCCTGTAGCCACACTATTATTGCAGCGATACTATTTTGTAGAAGAACGAAAGTTGTGCAGATAAATATGGTCAACAGATGACGTATTTGTGTCTAGAGAATCTTTTCCTCAGGATGAGCTACGCTGATTGATTGAATGTTTGCCCGATCCTTTGTAGAGCAACTAGCTCGCTGTTTTCTGGCCTGCTTCGTCTTCCTCAGTGTGTTGTTTTGCCAGCTTGATAACATCTACCCACGTTGGTGGCAGACGTTGTGTTTTGACCACGAGATCCTCCACGTCTGAGCCAAAACACACGAGGGCGTCTTCACTTGCCCATTCACCGGTTGCCATCAAACCAACCGGGATCTTTCTCGAAATGCCCATATCAGATTTTCCTTCGGGAACAGCATAGCCGGCAGGTACGCTGATACTTGGGGCTCCACAGAAGTTCGCAAGCCATATATACTCCATAGTCTCTTGTGTTCGATCTCCATCACTAATCCCGTACGTAAGCTCAGAAGCCGATTGAATTGGCCAGCCGACGCATGCTGTAGTAGGAGTTACAATGATCATTCCGGGGTGCTTCTTCCATAACCAGGCAAGATGTTGCATGAGAGCATTTCGTAGCTTCTGGGCGAGAAGATAGTCAGTAGACGGCGTTGTCCGCCCCAAAGCGAGTAAGATGCGAATTGCTGGGGAGATTCCTTGGGTATCCGGCAAAACCGTTGCTGCATCTGTAAGCATTGTTAAAGCATGTGCAATTCGCCCCTCAACGACAAACGGAATGTCGATGTTAACGGTTGTGTAATTTCCGTTGGCGCAAAGGCGATCGATCATACTGCGGCAAAGTTGCTGAATGCCCGGGGAAGCATGCTGAAACCATCTTTTAGGAATTCCCATCACTCTGGGCTTGTCTGAATTGTGACCCATTGTTTGAGATGCCTCTGTGGAAAGCTCGAAAGGTGAATTCGGATGCGGCTGGGAGACCACATCGTACACGGCGGACAACGAGCTCATATCTGCTGCGATTGGGCCTTTAACAGCACACGTGCTACTGTGATTCGGATTCGGCCTGAATGACAGGCGATTGTGGCTTGGCTTCAGACCGTAGACAGAACAGAACGATGAGGGTATTCGAACGCTTCCACCAGCATCGCTTCCCATCGCAATCGGCACCAAACCAGTAGAAACAGCATACGCTGATCCGGAAGAGCTACCGCCGCAATAATACGCCGGATTGTACGGGTTGAGCGGTGTTCCATAAGTGATGTTGTTACCGGAAGTGTCTGCCAGTATAAGTCGACTAGTAGGGTTTGAAAAGGAACATGCCTTACCCATGCCATATTCAACCATTGATACTTTGCCCAACACTATCGCCCCAGCCTCTTTAAGCTTTTCAACACACCAGCTATCGACCCTTTTCACATCTTTCTTTCCATCCACGCTTTCTTTCGCGGACCCTAGGGTAGTAGCATATCCTTCGACATCGTATTCGTCTTTGATAGCTACTAAGATGCCGTCCAGAGGCCCGAGCGATCTCTTTTCTTGGTACCGCAAAGTAGATCTTTTTGCAGCTTCTAGTACCAAGTCCGCGTTTACATCGATCCATGCTCTTGAATGTTCACCGGGCAACTGCGTGTCTCGTTGAATCATGGGGAGAACTACCTTTGCAACTGCAAGTGGGGTAATATCTCCGGAAAGATATTGACTCCTGTAGTTAGCTACAGAGTAACGAGAAGATTTAGAATTATTCAGCTTCACATTGCTGAAGGTTTCTAGTTTAATTTTGCGCTCATCTGCTCCGCGGTGGGAAGAGTCTGGGACTCCAATGGGAATAACAGTAGGGTCGAATCGTGCTTCAATCTCGTCGATATGCTCCCGAATGATGGTAAGAGAGCCAAAACCTGCATTGTTCCACACCAGTTTTCGAATGAAAGCAACTCTCTCTATGCTGCAGAGCCGACCGCGGTGTAAGCTTGCATTATTGAACGTGAAAGAGCAATGACTTACACGATTGCAAAGATGACCAGAAACCAGCCTGAAAGTCTGGGATTGTGCCTTCTTTGTTCGTTGTACGGCACAGCAGGTCTATACTGATCAGTCTTGAATCTGAATCAAATATCAAAGAGCTCGATCCAAACTTACGCACGAACTGGGTCGGGGTAACGCAACATCGTCTGACTACTTTGCGAGTCATTCATAGCGCGATCTTAAGGTGTTCCAGATGTATAGAGGGGGGAACCTTTTGAGGTTTCGAGCAGTGCGTTAGTGAAGTCGGTAAGACAGCCAGCATGTGTATTCGATATTATAACTACGCCGCATTCCTATTTGGGGGCACGCGGCAAGAGTGGCACCCCACCCTCAGCGCCTGACCTACAGTCTGGAAATACTGATAATGGCTAGTACAACAAGTAAAAAGCGGGACCTACAACTTGATTGGCGATGGTAGAAATAAATAATTCAACTTTAATTTGGCATCAAACAATGCTCGGTGGATGCTAGATACCCCAATCTGTATGCTTCCTTGCTACAGTGATGTGACTCTTTGCACTGCAATCCCTTGATTTTCCCAAAGTTCGCATGTACAAAGGCAGACTTATTTCATGAACCCCGGTCTAAGCGCGATAACATAATTGATGTCTGATTTATCATTACTATACTAAAGTTAGCTCACAAATTATGGTCTGATCATTTGCTAGCACGGGCAAAAATCCTTCGAAGGGTGAGTAGCTCATGAAGGGAGTGAGTGTATTGACTGCACTTCCCTGCCCTGAGGTTCAAACGACCGTCCGTATACTTCAACCGCTTCATACATCATCAGAATACTTTCCCATTCATGCCTCCTGGATCCAATGGGCATGAATTTGTTAGTACTGTCGCCCTTCTTTATCCAAAAGCCGGCAAAAGCAATGCTATCAAAACCGTGATAAGTGAGTTGACGTGGATGATATGCTCCCTGAAGACGACATCAGATTGCATGCATGTTCAATTAAGTAGCTGAAAGTTCTCACCGGCTTTTAGGGCCTGTCTTCAAAATCTGAGTTGCCCATATGCAATATCTAGCAACATAATGCTATAGCTCCTTGCGTGCCATATGTCACGGAAATGCTTAAGCTAAACAATACACAATAGTAAAGTTTTTTTTTTTTTTAAATAATAGTAGCGATAGTAAAAGTGTCACTTAAGACATGGATTCCGATCAGGCACTATAGAGTCCTCAATACCTTGAAGTACGCGTATTTCCTCTACAATAGAAGTGTATACTATTATGCTCCCTAATGTAGTCTAGCGCCACGGAGAAGGCCCAAGGGAAAAGGGAACAGGGGTGGCGGGATGGCTAGAAGATCTTGGCACACGCCTTAGAAAGTCTCCCAACGCCTACTCGCTGCTCCTTCCCTCTCCTCCAATTCTCTCTCCTAACCCTCGACACTCAACCCCCTCTTTCACCTCTTCACGTCTCCACGGTCGCACGGCAGGCTCCTTTCGATCAGTATCATATCTCTATCCTAACCAACCTCTCCTTGTTTCTAAATTTCCGGTCGAGCGCTGCAACATGTCTGATCTTGACGACGAGCTCTTCGCCCTCGCTGGCGGTGACGAAGATGTAGACGTTGAGGAAGGCGAGGCGTGAGTATTCCTCCTGCCATCAAATTTCAACTCGATTCCATACCCATTCCACGCGTCCATCTCCATATCGCCCGTCAATCGTCTTCCATGGCTCTGACAACGCTCCCAGGTCCTCGGTCGCCGCCTCCTCGCCGAATTCGCTCGGATCCGATGCCATGGATGAGTCCGACTCGGAACGCGAGGACGATACGTCCGCCAAAGAAATCTCTACGCTCTACCCGCTAGAGGGTAAGTTCATCGACGCAAAGGATCGAAGTCGCATCCTCAGTCTCCCGGAGATTGAGCGCGAGACGATTCTCGGTCAGCGTCAGGAAGAGATTTCAGGCCATCAGTTCAGGGCCGAGTTGGCTCGCCGCGCAAAGGCAAGCGAAAAGACGAACGCTGCGAGCGACAAGAAGCGAAAGGCTTCCTCACTCGAACCCGAAGATGCTCAACGTAAGAGTAGTCGCCAGAAAGTCAAGACCAGGACAAACGACAATCTGGAGGCGTACAAACAGAAGCGAAAGGAACGCGACCAACAACTCCAACGTATGGATGAGCGTCGCAGCGGACGGAGGCACTCGAGCTCCCCTGAGCGAGGTGTCGAATCCGATCTAGACGCTGAAGGAGAGAGCGAGCCAGACTGGGATGAGCAGGAGCGCGTCAAACAAGCAGCCCGCGACGAGCAGCCCGCACAGCTCATGCACTTTGAGGCGGTTCGAGTTGGTAGAGGCTTCTTCTCGAAGGTATGCTTCTACCCTGGCTTCGAGGATGCTATGGTTGGAACTTTCGCCCGTGTTGGCACCGGTCAAGATGCCCAGAAGAGGACACTTTACAAGATGGCGCAGATCAAGGGTATGTACCACACGATCGAATTGGGAACGTCCACTGACCTTGATCAGGCTTTATATCTGGCAAACCATACGTATTCGAAGGCAAGGATGGCCAACGATTGGCAACGGATCAATATGTTGTCACCCAATACGGCTCCACCAAGAAGGAGTACAATTTCACTTTCCTTTCCAATGGTCGCTTCACAGAGGTTAGTCAATATAATACCCCATGACCGTCCATTGCTAATGCTGTATAGGCCGATTTGGATTCTTACAGACAGTCACTTCTCGAGTCCAACTCTCGATTCCCCACAGAGAAAACCCTTAAGAGGAAGTTTGACGACATCAAGAAGCTCGAGAACCGCTTCTGGACCGACGCTGATATTACCGACCGTATCAAGAAACAGAATAAATTCTCGCATATCCTGTCTAGGGGTTCAGGAGACAATCCGGCCCCAAGGATTGCTACCCAGGCCGAGCTAGAGTCCCGCCGCATCGCCGAATTGAACAAGAAGAACCGGATGCTCGATTCGGAGCGTGTCCGCAAAGCACAGATTGAGGATTATCATCGGACACTCAAAGAGAAGAAGCAGCGTGAACGCGAGTGGCAGGCAAAGAAGGCCGCGGAGGAGGCTAAGAAGAGGGCTGAGGAAGAGAAGGCCAAGAAGAAGGCCGAAGCCGATGACCTGTTCGATGGCGACTCAAGGACCGGTACCCCACGCTCCGGTACACCAAAGCCCGGAGAGAAGAAAAAGGAACCCAAGAAGGGTCTACCCACATTCCGTAAGCCTAAGATGGACGACGACATCATTGCCTCGATGGACATCGGAATTGATATTGAGATCTAATTGACATCATTCCACGACGACGGTCCAATGGAGGGTGAACAAAAGGCACCAATACCATGCTTCGGTGTGGTTGCATCAGACCGCTGCAGAGAGAACCAGCAGTCCTGATCGCTTGTATTTTTGGAAGTTTGCATAGCAAGGAGTCGGGATGGCATTCGATTTACATGTTTATGGCAATTATCATTATCTGGCCCCGTCTGGCTTGCATTGCCAGGTCTTCTTTTATCATGGAATCATCAAGGTAACTTTTCGGATTCGTCATACTTCGGGTGAATGGTTTCGGTTTCGGTATCGTTCGTGGCAGGTTGTCCAATCCAGATTACCTACAAAGAAAGAAAGTCATGACCATGTTCAATTGTCCCATTGACGTTAAAAATCATACCAAAAAATAATAATATAAGATACCCCCCATTTGTAAACTTGGACTTGTCCACATGTGTGCGTATGTATGCTTACCGTTCAATTGCTCGTACTTGATCTATAAATCCTTTCAAATTCCTTCCCCTCTTCATTCTCCTGCGTATCTTCTTGCTGTTTTTCCCACCGTGAACATGTTCTGAACGAAACTCAATGCATATGACGACATGTAATGGAGCGACGTCGTCCAATTCTTAGCCGAGAAACGTAGGTCGAACATCATCACTCTGTCACTTCATCAACAATGCCATGGAGAAAACCAAAACCAATGAATGAAAAAGTGATCAGTTTGACGCCTAGGCCGAGGCCGAGGCCAAGGTCGATGATATCCCCACATCAAAAACGTCCCTCTATCTGTCTATCTATACTCCTCCCACTCCCACCCTAATTCCCCCCCTCACAAAACCCCAATTCGTCGACCATAGCTCACACAATCACTCACGTCTCGAACACCTCCGTGACGCCCTCCCACCTCCCCTCCTCCCTACACTCCCAGTAACCCTCCTTCCCGCCCTTGAGCCGCCACACCTCCTCGCCGCCCAGCGCGATGGCGTCCTCCTCGCTGACCTTGGCGAACCACCTCGGACTCCACTCCTGGCCGTGGTCCTCCATGACCTTTCTCCGCGCACGCTGGCGCTCTTCCAGCTTCGCCTTGAGCGCCTCCGCACGGTCGTTGTCGCCGTCCTCGTAGGCGCGCTGGTCGGGCCGCAGGCGCGTGTCGGTCGGCGGGATGTGTCCCTGCTCGATGGCGGTGATCTGGTTGAGCGCAGCCGCGTATGACGTGAAGCCGAAATGCTGGGCTGGCTTGTCGACGAGGGATCCCGCGGTCCAGACGGTTTTCCCCGCGGGTTGGCCGTTGGATGTGAGGTCGAGGGATGTGGTCCATTTGCCGACGAGGCCCATGGGGAGGATGGAGCCCGTCTCGTCGAAGACTTGCACGGAGACGTCTTCGCTGCGTCCCGCGAACATGCCGCCTGCTTTGAAGGTGCAGACGGCTTTGGCGCCCGTGTTTTCACACATGATGGTCATGGTGCCGACGGGTTCGATGTACTTCTCGCCCGCGATGACGTTGCGGAGGAAGGAGGTCGCGATCGTCCAGGAGTAGTGCTCGCCTGAGGCGTGGAAGAAGACGCGGACGCGGCCGTCCGTGTTGAGTTCGGCGCTCTTGCCCCAGAATTTCTGGACGGGCGTGGGGGATTGAATGAAGGTCCAGTGCTGGGATTCGGCCTGGCAGGCCATGCGCACGGGGCGGTGGACTACCTTCTCGGCGATGAAGCGGAAGCCCTTGTCTTCGCGGACTAGCTCGAATGTCTCGCCGAGCATGGGGTTGAAGGGTTTGCGGATGGCTCGCTCCTTGACGCGGGCGTTGCTGAAGGCGGAGATCGCGAATGCGGCGATGTAGACAAGTCGCTCGCCTGTTTCGGCGCTGACGTTCGCGGCTTGGTCGAGGAGTTCGGTGTATTCAAGCTGTTCTGCAAGTCGTTGGAGGGCAGATGTAGGTTCGTTGGCTGTCACGGGCATGGCAATGGTAGAGAGATCCTTGCCGACATTCTTGCGAAGGAAAGCAATGAGCGAGGGAGGTTGGCCTTTCGGAGGGGCGACTGTCTTGCGGCGGTTCACAGGCTGGAGAGGTAGAGGAGTGAGAGACTTTGGCTTCGTCGGGTAGATCGAGGGTCTAACGTCCATAGAGAAACGTTCGCGGTCGAAAGTGCCAGCGCCCCCTGCCTCGCTCGAGGACTCTGACTCTCCATCTGAGACATCATCATGAGCGTGTTCGGGTTCGTGCTCGTCGTCTTCGCTATCACGTCTTATCGTGAGAATCTGAGACTTGCCCACGCCACCGTCGTAAGCATCAAAGAACTCGTCGGAACCATCCGACTCCATACTGCGTCGTGAGACAGCTGACATAGGTGCCGGCGTTCGTCTCAGGCGACTCTCTGCTATCAGAATGGTGAAGTCCGTGACAACGCTATCCAGATCGCGGAGCAATGACATGCAGTGGTCATGCATGCCCTCTTCCTGAGGTTCGTGCGCGGCAGATCGGTCATTTCGTTTAGGTACAGCGAGGGTACCATTCGCGGGCACTGTTGCTAGGTTCGAGGGAATAGGAGGAACGGGAGGTGCGTGTGACGGGGAACCAACCGCCACTTGTGCGGAGACGCTTCTTCTGAACAGGCCAGATGGACTCTGGCTGCCCGAGCTGCTTGCTTTGCGCTTCCAAAATGACGATGGCTTCTTGTCGGAGCTCCTATCATCTGGGAAGTATTCGTTGTTTTCCGACTCCGAGGGACTGGGAGAGAACGCGTCGTGTAACTTGCTTATGCCCAGGCCGGTCGTAGATTGGCCTACCGTACCTGAAGAGTACTTTGGATCTGTGTCTTGCGCAAGCCTTCGAACGGCATCTCTCGTGCCGGCGATCCTTCCCACCAGCGATTCCACACGTGCCCATTCTCGTTCTTCTGCCTCGTTCAAGACCTGTGGTAACCGACCCAAGGAGAGATCTTTCGTTTGTAGAGTAGGAGACGCGATTCCTGCGGAACGAGAGGCGCGTTCGAGTGCATCTTTCCACATGGTGAAATCCTTTGCGTTGTTCGCCCTCAAATGCCATACCTCCGCTCCCGAATCGACCGATATCTCTCTTGTCTTTTCATTTGCTCCCACGGCTGCTAGAGAAAGCGGGATCGCTCCCCGTAGCGCTGATGAATGGTCGTTGCGATAGTAGGATAGTGTCGATGACGTGAAATCCAGAGAGAAGAATCGCCTCGCGAAACCTTGATTTCTCTTTCGCCTCTTCTTCTGTAACACTCCCGTGAGAAAGGAGGAGTTGGACGAAGGGGCAGGATCGAGGGTTCCATGGGACGATTTTGGTCGTTCGGCGATTGCTGCCTTTGCTCCCAGTAGATCTCTAGGTAAGGATTCCGACGAATCTGCAATGGGTCCAATGGAAGGACTTCCTTTGCCTAAGCTCGTGGAGCTCGCGCCAGCCATTGTCTGCGCGTAGTGCATGTGGTGTCCTGTCTTTGGCGGGGCATTGGTGGGATATGTCATGAGCACGAATGTGACCGTCTTCGAAACCGTCTTGGAGAAGGTGTTGTCAAAGACCAACCCGTACATACCACCCCCGCCGTCCGGTACATCGTACGTGCCCAAGGACACCTTCTCCGCCTCGCATTTCCCTGTCCATTGTACCTGTTTCAGCCCAATTGCTGACAGTTTCTCGAAGACGACGGTTCGATCGTTGCGCGAGGTCGACAAGCCGCGGCTACGTGTGTTGGGGACCTCGAGGGATGGTGTGGCGGGACCTCCTTCAAAGAGTTGGGATTGGACATTGGGTGTGGCGGCGGAGGAGGAGGAGGCACCGGGGTGCTTGAAGATGCCAAAGTTGATGGATTTCTTGTGAGGCTGGACGCTCCAGGATATGGTGTGCCCAGCAGGCACGTTCACCCAGCGGACAAGGTAGGACTGTTTGTTTGGATCAGCGGGAGGTGGTTATGGAGGTGGGAGGGTCGCGGGGAAGCCTGCCTTGCTGTGGACCTCGAGCTGCTCCATTCCCGCCATTATGGCGGCGGCGGCGACGACGGATGTCGATGGGAATTCCCTGAGGTGTTATTGCCACCCGGCGAGATCGATTCGGAGCGCGTCGGGTTTCCTGCTAGACCGTCTTACTCGTAGGAGGGGGAGAGAGAGGGTGGGCGCGGACGTCACAGGTTTGGGTGGTGCCTGCAGATCGGGAGCGACTACAGATGGACCGCTTGTGCGAGGATGCGTAGGGAATTATATGGTTGTGTGTAAGGGCGTATGCGTAGGGAATATGCGTAGGGAATATGCGTGTAGGTGTATGGATGTGTATGTATATGGATGGAGGCTGAGAGTACTATTGGGCGAATTGAGGTAATACTCTCGTACGTATCAAGTAGGTAAGGTAATAATGATGGATAATTGCTTGGGTTCTTGTCTTGTCTCTGCCAAAAGCCAAAAGGTTGTTGGCCTGACCGGAATGCCGTGTCCTGTGTCCCAAGCAAGGCAAAGGCCCCACGTTTTGTTTCACGACCACGTCAACCACTTGTCGGAGTTGTTTGTTTCTTTTTTCTCTTCCCTTTGCACCAACCGTGTGTAGGATAGAATAGGTTTATCTAGCATACCAAGACAAATAGACTGAGGGGATTATCTGGGCGTACATCCACAATTGACGACGATGATGGCAGGTGGGCGGGCAGATAGGCTGATGGAGTGTAGTCAAGTGGGGAGAAGTGGACAGGACAAGACCAACTATAAAGGCATTAAAAGCAATACAAAAGCAATAAACAAGTTCTCTGGTAGGCGGATGTTCGGCCGATTCGATTCGATTCGATTCAAGAATGCGATGGGATGCGATTTGGTGCGAAGTTATACGGCGAGGTACGATAGGTACGACAGGAACGGGTGCTCGGGAGATTGACGGATGCGGTAGAGCTCGACCTCTTGTTCGTCCGGATATCGTCAGACAGACACGACCCCGTGTGAAGGCGGAAGAGAAAGATAACATTCGTTATGTTTATAGGTAGTTATGTTGATGATTGTGACTATGATTATGATTATTGTTGCCTATTGAAGTGAGCGGATCCTTCTCGAGACACGACCAGGCAAGACAAGATGAGACAGGGCATGCATCCATCCAACACAGGCACAGCACGAAAGAACCCATTCTTCTTCTGGTCATGTTTATGGTTATGGTTATGATGATGATGATGGATGATGATTATGATTATTATTCTCTGTTGTGGCCTTCCAAAGGATTAGGTGATCGGTCCGTTCCACAATTGGTGTGCTCTTGTCTCGTGTTGACAGGTGACGGGTAATGTTTCCACTTCCCTTCTCTTCCACCTGTGTCCATTCGCCAGCCGGTGCTTCTCTCCTCCAAGCAATAGTAATGCCTCGCAATTGCCAGGGGAGAAAGAGAAAGAATTAATCATTCCGTAATTCGCCTTTTCGGGCATCCGATGTGACAACCCGAAGTGCGCTCAGGTACATACAAAAGCCACGAGGACGCTGTTCCGAGCATTCCGAACCAACTTTTGAGAATGGGTTCATAGACCACCGAGGCCGATATCTATCTGATGATTACTTACACAGTAGATACCTACCTTGACATATCACATGTTTCTGTCCATTTCACCATCAATTATTCGCCCGTCGGCTCCCATCTAGCTCCCGTGCCCGATCTCCACCGGCGTCAAGACGTTAAGACAGTAAGAGCCTAACATCTACCTCGTAGTACGAGTACTTACCTACCTGGTACGTGTACACCGTACCTGATCCTAGCAAAACAGGTTCAAGAAAAATGACCAAGTAGACCAGCATTCCCCCAAATATTGACGTTCCTAGATACCTACTACCATCTACTACCTCCTACTCTAGTTCCTACCTCGTAGTCTGCCATTGAGTTACAGAGGGTTGGCACGTCGGGCTGGCCACCTGCTAACTTCATGTATCTTCTATACCTACCTAAAGTGTCTACTTAAGAATGTACTGTAGCCAGTAAACAATCTTAACTGCTTGCGATGAACCTCGCTAAGACACTATTGTAGGCATAAAATACTAGCATGGGGCCAGCCTGACGTGCCAACCCTCTGTACGTTATGCTGGTACAGTGGTCAGTCAGGTGCCGTTGCCAAGACGGGTTGACCAGGGAAAGGAAAGCAAACTTGGGAACTGGAGTGAATGGCCATCTGACGTTCTGACATCAACCTCCATCCATCATCCATCATGCATAAAGATTGTATACAACCCCATCTAGCCTCCTCTTTTATGCTCAAGATGAAAGAAAAAAAAAAAGAAATGACCTAAGATCATCACTAACTAACAAGTGGCATCGTCCAATTTTCTTCCGTCTCGCATCGTCGTCACTATAGAGAAATCTACGCGATCCCTATCCTGACACGGAACGGGATCATTTCACCATGCAAACCATGCAAGCCACCACAGATTTCGTGCTCATCCCCGCAACCCACGTCGATCATACAGGGCAGACACTTCCTCATGCCATGGAAAAACTTCCACTTTCGTTCTAGAAGCTTTTCGCGACGTTTCTTTATAGCGCTGCCATCGGAACCCCCTTGGCAGATGCACATACTACACATAGTAGGTCAGGCAGGTCAATCAATTTCAATCTAATCTACCTGGTTCAACCGTCGTCTATCGTCCACTCCTCCCGCAATCCCGGATATCACGTTGGGGGACAACGACATCCCATAATTATCTATTTAATCACAATGTCTTCTCCACTGTCCATGTTCCGCTGTGTTGCTTTCGTTTCTTGTTGTCTGGCACTTTTCGTTTACTCCATACTCATCATGAAGCAATCAATCGCCCTCTCGGTCCCCTTAGCAGCCACTGCGCTTGCTGCCCCGTTCAGCAATACCTCGTCGTGGTCTGGCTGGAAGAATGTGAAGAATCTATTTGTCTTGTGAGTCTCCTACCTCCAGTTCCATCTCAAGTTCCCATTTTAGGCCAGGTCATGTCTGATTCCCTATCTCTATCCAGTGGTGACTCCTATACTCAGACTGGATTCGATGTAAATGGAACCCAGCCCTCCCCGGGTAACCCCTTGGGAAATCCGCCATACCCCGGCTGGACCTCTGCCAATGGCCCCAACTGGGTCGGATTCTTGACGCAACAATATAACGCTTCTACCCTCCTGACCTACAACGTTGCCTACGGTGGCGCGACCGTCGACTCTGCTCTCGTCACCCCTTACGCTCCCACTGTTCTCTCCTTGAAGGACCAAGTCGAGAAGCTCTACCTCCCCAAGTACGGTGCCAACCCATCTTCTGTACCATGGGAAGCGTCAGACTCGCTCTTCGCATTCTGGATTGGCATCAACGACGTCGGCAATTCTTGGTGGCTGAATAATGCCACTTTGTACGATCTCATCTTCCTAGAGTATGATAGCCTGGTCGAGAAGATCTACGACACCGGCGCGAGGAACTTCCTGTTTTTGACTGTCCCCCCGGTCAACCTCGCTCCATTGACGTTGGAAAACGGCCCTGATGCCGTCGAGGGCGAAGGCAAGGTCATCCTAGATTGGAACGAGAGGGTCAAGAAGCTGGCGGGTGGATTGGCCTTGAAGCATGCGGGCGTCAAGACGTTTGTACACGACACGCATAAAGTGTATTCTGATATCATCGAAGATGTCAACGCATTCGAGCAGACCGAAGGCTTGAAGAATGTGACCGGTTACTGCAAGGCATATCAAAAGTAAGGCCTCTCACCTTTCTCCCGACTATTTCCCCCCCTTTCGCTTGTAAAGATTTACATCACTAACATTTATATTTGCGTCAGTGGTGCGCCAACTTGGTACACAAAAGATCCAAGCTGCGACTATGCCGTCAACGAATACTTCTGGCTCAACAATCTTCACCCTACGTTCCCCGTGCATAACGCTACCGCCTTCTCGGTCGTCGAATACTTGAAGTCTGCGTGAAGGTTTGTGTGGGCTGCAACATGATATGCGCCAACTGGTGCGCATCTTCTTTCTTTGTACATAGTGTTCTTTATAACAAGGATAACAACGTCTTTATTCCCCTGCTGTAGTCTACGGCATGCGTTCTCTCCCTGTTCCCTTTGACTGCAGCACTGTTTGTGGGTAGAAGAGATTGTTATCAAGCTATGCGCCTCGTAGTTTGTCTGCAAACAAAGGTGCTCGTGCAACTGTGCAGGAGCCTAAGCCTCTTATCACATCAGTTGAATTTATCTCACGCTACCTTTACTCTCATTCCTGGCCGAAAAGCTTGGGCAGACTTTTCCTTCACTCTACCCACTTGCGATCGAACCGCAGTGAAGGTAAAACTTTCACCTCTAACCGAACAACTAAACTCACCACCATGGTCACGCCCACAACCCCAACACCAACTCTACAAACTTCTGCTCTTACACCAATAACCTCTTTTGTGTCCCACGCAGCAATTTACGAGACGTCAAGCGCCATGCCTCCTACCAACGAAGCACCGCAGCTCACTGGCATTGCAGAGCGTCGACAACAAGCGCTGCTACAGCAGCAGCAAAGCCAGCAGCAAGCAGACAGAATCACTCAATCCAGAGTGCGCCGCTTCGTTGACTCTCTCGTTCGCTCTCTCGCCTTTCTTCGCAGCGATGCGCGTTCTCGTCAGCAACCAACCTCTCCACCGACCTCTCCTCCAGTGACTCCACCAGGACCCGTCCCTTCTCGTCCTCAAATCCATCATGTCAGCCACGAGCGGGTCCAGCGTCCAGGAAAAGTCGCTCCTGACAGTGCCCAGGCCCTCCTATCATGGACAACCAACCACCTGATGCCCGTACTCCTCACCAACCCAGGCTTCGCCAGCACCGCCGAGTTCGCAGAAGGCTGCTCAATCTGCCACGAGCCCTACTCCCTGACCTCCCCATCCCACATGCCCATTCGCATCGCCAACGTCCGCGGCTGCCAGGAGCACGTCTTCGGCAACTCCTGCATCATCAAGTGGATCACCTCTGGACTCAGCAACGCCAACACCTGCCCCATGGACCGCGCCCGTCTCGGTGCACCCATCATGACGGAGCGCGAGCGCGACTCCGAAGTCCTCGCCAGCATCATGAACGGCGGGTCTGGCACCGGCGGCGCCAACACCATGAGCTGGGGGATGCTGCCTCCGCCCGGATACACGCCCGCGCAGCTGGGCTACGTCGGAGGCCCCAGGTTCGCCAGCAACTACGGCGAGAGCTTCTACCACGCCGCCGCAAGCGCAAGCGCAACAGCGACCGCAAACATGGCGCACACGCAGTACGTATACCGGCGCGACACCCCCAGCCCGGAACCCGTCATCCAGGCTCCCACGAGAGATGACCCCATGATTCACCTTTATAGTCACAATCACCAGTACCACGTTGCGACCGCAACCGCAGCCGCCCCAGCTCCAGCCCCAGCTCCCCCAGCTCCGGCTCCAGCCCCTGCCCCAGTCCCAGATGCCACCTCCATCGAAGCCCTCATCCTAGCCGCAATCCGCGAACTCGCGGCCACCTCCCGCTCGCGCATCGAGCTGCTGGAGGAGTCGCGCGCGCGGGACTTCCCGTCCTCCAACTCCCGCACGCCACTCGACGCGCTCGACCTCTACGACCCGGTCGACATCCTCGAGGCGCTGGAAGCCCCCATCAACACGGCCATGGGCGACCCGAGCTCGAACGCGGCGTACGATCTCGACTTCGAGGACGACGACAGGAGCGGGGCTGGCACGCCGTACCACGAGGCGCCGGAACCCCCCAACGACGACGACGCTGACGCTGACCGCGCGCATAGGGAGAGAGTCGAGTCGATGATGGAGCAGTTTAGGGATGCGGTGGAGATGCTGCCGCCCCCGTCCCCATCCCCCCGAACATCCAGCACGGAGGAGGAGGTGGATGTCGCGGAGAGGTTGTTTGGTGAGCAGCAGCGTGGTTGAGAATACCTACCCCCCTTTTCGCTCTTGCTCTGGCCTTTTTGTAAGGTTTGGGGCGGGCAAAGGACGCTCGAAGTACGTACGTGAGGCTGATACGTATGGGTCAAATGAGATTTCTGCTTCTTTTTGTCGATCCTGGCTTTGGTTCTGCTATGAGGCTTTGGAGACTTCGGCAACCTTTCTCCTCGACATCCCCTATGGTTCCCTTCTCTTCCCGCTCCCTCCCTCATCCCTCACCTTTCCCCTTTCTCACGATAGACGGCTGGCTGGCGGCGTTTTGGTTTTTTTTTTTCGACAGGGCAACTGGATGATTCACTGGAGATGGGTACTTGCAAAAAACGAATCACGGATCACGGATCACAGGGGCACTTTTTGCACACGATGCCACGATGCTTCGACACGATGGTTTTACGATACGGTACGGTACTGGGGGCAGAGTACAGAGTTCGTAGTTCTTTTTTTTCGTGAGTAGGCCAGGTGGTGAGTGAATGAGTGAATGAGTGATGGAGTTTATGATAGATAGGTAGGAGTAATTGGAAATGAAAAATGATAATATACTACTTGACATCTCCTCGGTGGCCAAGGCGTGCTTCTCCTACGGGAAGGGGGGGTTGTTGGATGGAGGGTTCGGATATGCGTGTGGTGATGTTGACGATATATGGATGATATAAGGATGTTGGGCATAATTGCAGTGATTTATGGTGGGGTTGAGGACTTTCGTCAGGTTGGTGTATGAGGCGGGAATCTAGATATCTGGTTTGTCGGATGAATGGGTGAGGTGGGGAATTAGTTGAGTATGGGGATGATCACTGTCTAGTGGTTGGTTATGTGGGATGGTTTCGCTGGAGAGGTGGGTGGAACGTAGATATGGATGTATGGGTATGGTGATGGTGGATGGGACTCGTGGTGTACGTGCGGTTGTGATTGGAGTTCAAGGCGAGGGTGATTCGTTGTGAGGTGCTCGGGGCTGGGCTCGTTCGATCTGGGCGGGTGAATAAAGAGGTATGTGTGTGTGGATGGAGCTTGAGGTCAGTTGCTTGGTCGGCCGGTGCGGGCGATCTGTGGTGGGAGGGAAGAGAAGAGCCGCTGTATGAGCTTGCATCTTGGGACTCACATCGGCATCCTTGGTATATTGATGAGTGTGGGGTATGAATAGTGAATTCAAAAGACAAGGAAAGCAGTGAGGTCAAATCCATCACTCAATATCAGCATCAGTGCATGTGTCTCACTGTCTTCAAGATCATATTTTCACTCCATCAGAAATCACATCCTCAAAAGTCAACCCCCAAACCACACACCCGATTTCTACAAAGATATCCCATTGTTTATATCATACAAGACACTTCTAGCAAACCACTTATTACCCAGGTGATAAGAGAAGAGATGGTGAAAAACCAAACCGCCCGCCCCATACACCAAACACCAAACATGACAGTTGCCTCCCGCCCCACCGTTCCCGTTTGACGCCGATCCAGACCACCATCCGTTCTTTCCATTGAAAACCATGTGTGGGGGTATCTCTTCGTTTGATGCGTTAAGTATAATAAAAAAAAAGAGTGGGTATCAAAATACAGTGTGACAAAAAGGAAACAGAGAGGAAGGAAAGAAAAGGAGCGAACAGTGCCAGGAAAAGAGTATTCCCAACATTTCAAAGCTGTTCGCCAGAGGTTCGATGAGGGTTCGAGAAAGGTGGAGGTAGGTAGTTCTACAAGATAGAAACAAGTAGATACAACCTGGATTCAATGGAGTTGGATCGCGGTGAAGGAGAGAGGGCGGCGGTGGATTTCGTTTGCGCGGAGTACGAGTTCGTCGGCCATGCGGGTCAGTGGGATGGTTGGTCGACCTAGTTAGAGATGGTTAAGTTTGCAGTAATGAAAGGCATGAATTGTAGTTTGGGGCAACAACCGTCTGGCAGGACGGCGGGTTTGGAAGTGCAAGGAAACCCGTTTGGCAGACGGTGGAGAAGGAGTTTGATCAGAATTTATACATACCAACAGTGCGAAGGAGAAGAGATTGGACGCCTCTAAGCCTTGACTGGCTTCTGCACGGCGCCTTTGGTAGAGATGCGGCTGCCGCACCCCTTCGTGGCCTTTCCTGCTGCCTTTCCCTTGCGAGTTCCCTTCTTTGAGGTGGTCTTGCTGGTGGGGGTGGAGGTGGCAGTGCCATTCTTCTTCTCGAGCTCCTCATGCTCCATGAGGAATTCGACCTGAGGAACCTGGGCAGTCTCCTTCTTTTCGACCATATCCAAAATAAGCTTCATGAGGCGAACGCAGGTTGCTTGGTCCTGGTTGGGGCCAAGGTAGTCCGCAATCTCGCGAAGAACGTTGATGGGAGCTTGGAACGACTTGACTCTTGGATTTACCTGGACTGAAGCCGAGGCCTGGTCGTGCGTGTTGCCCTGATCAATCAAGCGGGCATACTGGCTCAGACGTTCGTCCTCCGACTTCTTGAGGCAGATCTTGTAAGTGATTCTGGGCAAGATCTCGTCGATCTTGAAGAACTGGCGGATGATCAACTCGATCTTGCGGAGCTGCCACAAGTCCTGCTTGTACGTTGCACGCTGATAGTGCTTGCGGCAGAGTAGGGGCCAGATGCCAATCATCTTAGTGCAAGTCTTGTTACGACCGAAGTGGTGGGAGATGGTCTTGCGAGCCACGTCCAAGGTCACTTGACCAGTCTGGCAGATGGAGAAGTCGTCGTTGCAGCAGATGAATTCGCGGTCCTCGAGAGGGATGAAACCATTTTCCTCTGCCTTGTCCATATCTGTCTCGGGAGAGGTGTCCTCCACCTTGTCCAGATCTGTGTGGGCTGAAGTGCCCTCCACCATGGTGGCATCAGGATCAGTGAGCGGAGAGGACTCACGAGAATCACTGACGGCGGGACTGGCGACAGGAGCCTCAACAACCTCACCCACCCCGTGGATGGACTTGGGAGAAATTGGTGCATCGTCAACGAGCACCAGGATCTTGCTTATAGCCATGACTCCCTGGGCAGAAGAGCGACGATTATCGGCGGGGGCAGATGAAGCTCTCTGCCTAGAAGCGGGAACTTCAATAGTCATCTTGTTGTTCAATTTGAGATGTAGATTGAGTTGAGGTGAAATTGAAAGTAAAGAAAAGTAGAGGTTATGAATGCGTGGCTCGCAAAGGCAAAGAGTGCTCAAAGATGGGTTGTGAGCTTGAGCTTGAGGTGGGCCGGATGTCTGGTGGGAGGTGAGAAGAGGATGAGCGTCTATATAGGTAGGGTGAGAGAGCAAATTACAGAGCTTTTGCTTGCAGAAAGGTGCCCTGAGCGTTGGCTTCGGAGGGATGGTAGTGAGAATGTGAAATTTCCTCCCACCCAAATCTAAAGTCAGGTGGGCCAAAGAACGACAATAGGAAATTTGACTTCACTTGGACGCTGCCTAGCCTCTGTTCAGTCTGTCATTGACCAATAGTCTGCTTGCGTTGATTTGACGCATCTATGGGACAGTCACACTCTATGATAATTACACCACTCTCACTCATCTAAAGTGTTTCAATGATACAAAGCAGGGTCACATTTAGAAGGATGTGAAACATTCGTCACTGGCTTGTGATTTGCTTATGATGTCGCAGCTTCGAGTGCAGATACCAAACGGTGCACTCCGCCAATCGTGAGGTAGCATACAGCATCTTAACATTGAATACAGACCATCAGGGTAGTGACAATCAAGCAGCACATCAAGTTGGTTGCCCTTCAATGTATTTGCATGCAGTTTCGACAAACAATGGTCTTGTGAGCTCGTTGGGTTTTGTGGCCCTCACAACTGCCCAAGTTCCAAAATCAAAGTGTGCGGTACTGGAATGGCGTTCGTAGAATACAGAATACAGAATACATCGAGTTCGCTCCCCTACGACCTGGCATTCTGCACGGGGCGCGTCCTGGCAGACAATCAAGAGCTCTGATCCAGGGAAGCCATTGGATTATTGCTTGATTCCAGTCACATCTAGTTTTCTCTGTACTCAGCAATGACGATCTATTACTTCTGCTTGAAGCTCGGGACGTACCCTGAATATGCGAACGGCTTGGCGTGAATGTACACATCACGTGGTATCAATCACTCGGACTAACTACCTGGGCTAGACAGATGGTGCCAAACAACTCCACGACCAGAAGTATTGGACTGCTTGAAGTCCTTTGAATCATTCAATGTACACGTAGTTATACATTCAATGTAGAAAAAATTCGGGCCAAACCGATTGCTTGAAACATTTGCACACTACCCCATATCTTATGATAGTAAAGGCCCAAGAAGATTGCAGGGACAGATGATGAAACACTTGAATGTGTCACGAGCATAAATCTTTGACGATGTTGCTTTACAGGGAAGGATGTGAGAACGGGAATAGGGCCGGAACCTGGCCAAACAATATATGAGAGATCGCGTATCACTTCAGGATATTGCTCCTCCTTCTTTTTCAATTATCCTGAGTAGGCAGTAGCAGTAGCATTAGCAGTAGCAGTAGAAGAACATGAGCAGCCTCTATGTGTAGAGAAGGTCTGGAAGCCACCCCAAGCAACGACAGGAGGTAGCAGAATTCCCCCAAAGGGCCCTTGAAATGCGTTTTCTGGATCTTTACTTCTCTAATCATTACGGTACTTCCGTAAGAACCTGAAAATCGCTTATTGTGGCGTTCGAGGGAGGCATGATAGTCCCAAAAGAGGAGAGACTTCAGCGTAACACTTCTCTTACGGTCGTAGGACTGGCCGCCTTATCCTATCTACTGGAAAGGTCTTCTGGATAGATCCATCTCCATTGCAGAGGTAAATATTTCAAAAAATTGCCAGTTCTGAGAATTGGAGTTCAGCTGTTTGGGCATTTCTGGTTTATATGTATGCTCTGGGAGATGATTATGCTGAGCAGTGCAATGCGATCCCCTGTGGGAGCAACATGGCGACTGAATTCACCTAGAGTTTTATACAAAATGATTTTAGCATACGAACTTAGGACAAACTTGTTCGAAAACCAAAGCAGTCCGTATTTAAAAGTCAGTGTTGGGATACCTCTGACCAGTTCGCATATATACCCTCGCGCTTGAGTGAATGGACTTGGCAGTTACTTGGATGTATCTTAGAACGAGAACCGCGGATTAGGTTGCACCAGCAAATCCGTGGGCAGGAAGTGAACGATGCTCTCCCGTCCTCGTCCTGTCAACATGGGTGAGTAAACGGTCAGAGCTGACCGGTGAGGAACTGAGGGATGTGATGAGTGGCTGAGGCGAGCTAAGCGCCGGTTTGCTCCTCCATCGACAAGGCCAAAGTCATTAATCATCACTTCTCCCCAACAACAGTTCAGCCTCACCATCAATATCAACTTCTACCAAACCAATTCAAATTCAAATTTCATTCTTTACAGCCACATCCAATCATATTTAAGAGTTATTTGGGAAAAATTGTACGACTGTCGATGCTGTGCAACACAAAGAATACAAATCATTACTCCACCACAAACAACAGCGTGACACGACAACGCATAGCTGATAGCTGGGGTACTGGGCGCACGACATTTTCGGTTCTCGCATACACAGTATATATATGATCTTGGGGCTGGCATCCATACCAAATTCGATGCTGACCGGTTTTCGCTTTCGCAGAGTGTACACACAAAACCCTCTACCTGGATTACTGCTCCCACACACGTGAGCAAACTAGGCTTCGGTTTGCCGTGCATTGCTTTTTATTCTCTTCTTCCAGCCTCTTGAATATATCATATCCATCGTCCAGATCCTTGACTATTGGTGTCTTTGGAGACATACACTTACGATTGCTCTTATGTTTTACACATTGCTTCACTCACGACGGTAGAACGGTGCTTACAACCATCGCGCCAGCCTTATCGTATTGATCAATCAAACAATCATCTTATCCGACCTGTACCGTGTAAAAGTCACACCCTGTCCATCATTGAAATGTCGCAACCTCCTTCCAGCGATGCTCCCTCCAATGGACAGCCGGCAACTCATCTTGACAATACTGACAATCGCAATGGTCATGCTGCATCCGCATCCGAGAGAGAAAGCCTTCGGCAGATGTACGACGTCTACGCTACACCATTCATACCTTCGGAGCTATTAGACGTAAGTCGAGACACTCCCATTGATGTGTTGACATCGCATACAAAACATTACATCGATTATGCGGTCTACACTGCAACGTTTGCGGGAAGCCATTTCGTCCCAGAGCGTGCAGATATACCGGCCGAGCATGCCAATCCTCATGTGCCCGAAGATCTCACTGAGTTGGCACCCGAGACATATCTGAAGCATTTCCTTGTTCTCCGCAATATAGAATGGAGCGCGCGGCAATCGGAGAACCAAGCGCAAGGACTCTATCAAGCGCACCTCATTCCAGTAACCACGCCTTCGACCCACAATCTCTTCTCAGTCACGATCCCCGGACTAAGGGACGACTCACCACATATTGAAATCGGGGATACTATACAAATCCGTCAGCTGTTCACCGACACTTATGGAAATCTGATCCGTGTTTCTATGCCGTCAGAAAGCCGACAGGATCATGGCAGTGCCTACGTATCATGGAACCGGACCGCATTCAACGCAAGCGTATTCAGCATCAAGAGAGCGGATGAGACTGTGTTTCTTCAATGCGACCATGCCTTGGTGTCATTGACGTGCAACATCCTGATTCCATTGAAGGAGAGACTGCTAGCTAATCAGTGGAATGCACTTGCCTTCATATCTCAAGAACTAGAAAAGGCACTGTCAAACCCGGACCGTGAGGCAGCATCATCTACGCAACAGACCAGTTCGAACCAATCGTCTCATAACGCCTCTCTCAATGGTGCTTCAGGAACAAACGGAGCAGTGGAAGAGTCCGTTGGCGACACCAAGCCACCATGCAATGACTGGATTCGCCGTATGCTTTTCCCCCGCGAATCGGACGGTCAAGTCCAGACAGAGTTACGCAAATTACCGTTCCAGGGAATGTTCGATCGACTTATCAATTACGAACAGCTACAAAGCGTCAATTCGGTTTCCAAGCAGAACTACGGAGTGATGCCCTTCATCATATCAGGACCCCCGGGAACGGGCAAGACGAAAACCATTGTTGAGACCACAATGCAATTAGTGCATACGACAGACATCGCTCACGTTCTTGTCGTGGCCCCCTCGGAGCCTGCAGCTGATACATTGGCTCTTCGACTGAAGAAGTATCTCACTCCGCAACAATTGCTCAGACTGAACGGTCCCTGGCGAGCTGATAATGAGGTTCCTGCTGAGATCCTCAGTCACTGTCATATGGAGAGAGGAATGTTCTACATTCCTCCGTTTGCTCAACTCATGAAGTACAATGTTGTCGTTACTTCCACCCGCGACGCATCAATACTGGCAGATGCACGCGTGACCAACAACGACCTGTATCATATTGAAACCAACATGCACTCCGCATTCCATTCAGAAGGACACCATCGTCCCGAAACTCTCCACTGGGGAGCGCTCCTGATGGACGAAGCCGCCCAAGCAACCGAACTCGACACCCTCGCAGCTCTCAGCATAGTATGCCCACCATCGGCATGGCCAATGGGAGATAACGTCGCCCAACCCTGCTTCATCATGGCAGGCGACCAGCACCAACTCGGCCCTCGAACAGCCTCCCTGCACCCAGAATACTCCCGCTCACTCTTCGCGCGCCTCGCAGAACGCACAGCCTACTCCGACCACCCACTGTCTCGCTCTCGAGCCCGACCCACCAACAGACCCCTCGTCATGACCGCCCGCATGCTACCAATGCTATACCCACCCTTCGCAAACCTCACCCGCAACTACCGCTCCCACCCGGCGATCCTCACCTTCCCGTCGTGCGAATTCTACAACGACACGCTGATCCCCGAAGCGCCCGTCCCCACGACCCCACTCCAGCACTCCCCGCTGTGGAAAGGCCGCGGCTGGCCCGTTCTCTTCGTCCCCAACAGCGGACCCGACGACATCGAGCGCGACGGCGGCGGCTGGTACAACATGTCGGAGGCGAAGGTCGCGCGGGACGTCGCGTTGCACCTCGTCATGAACTCGGGCGTCGCGGAGCGCGACATCGTGATCATGAGCCCGTTCGCGGCGCAGGTGAAGAGGCTGCGTGCGGTGGTGCGCACGACGCGGTACTGGAACCGCTCCGGCATGTGGGACGTCAATATCGGGCCGTTGGAGGCATTCCAGGGCCTCGAGAGTCGGGTTGTGATTCTCTGTGTCACGAGGACGAAGGAGAAGTTCGTGGACTTGGATGTCCAGCGTGGGCTTGGGGTCGTGGGGCAGAGGAGGCAGATGAATGTTGCGTTGACGAGGGCGAAGGAGGGGTTGATTGTAATTGGTGATCCAAAGGTAATGAAGATGGATCCGCATTGGAGGCGTTGGTTGGCGTTTTGTCAGAGGAATGGGTTGGTGCAGGAGAGCTTGTGGTCGTTGGGATTACAGAGGGAGTACCAGGATGTGGGCGTGTTGGAGAGGGCGTTGCTGGCGAAGGATGAGTTGAGGAATAATCACAGTGGCAGGGTTTTGGGTGCTGCTGCGATGCTGGAGGATGAGATGTGGACTGCGGGATTGGAGGCGGCTCTGGACGAATATGATGATGGATATCACGAGGAAGCGGAGTCTGACGGTGACGATGAAGCGACCTTGGTTTAGAGATCGAAGCATAGAGGGTCACACTAGCTGTTGATTGTCAAATTTGGATGGATATCTGGCGGCTGTTTGGGGCATTTTGGTGTTGGAATCTTTTTCAAGGTTGTCTTTTCACGGATGTTTTGTCACGGATGTTTTTTCACGGCCGTTTGTCTACAACGTCCCTAGCTTTGAACAAGTAGAGAAGTATGAAATAAATCTAGTATCTGGTAATTCACAGTCCCGCAGTCACTGAGTCTAACAAGGAGCAGCACATACGATGATACCTTTATATTGTCGTAGATCCATATATGTGATGATGTGATACCTATTGGATCACCGATCATCCCCAATCATCTCCAGAAGAGGGCATACCTGAAATATAAGAGCCCATGATGAGATAAGATCCCGTCCATCACTTCATATGGCACGGGGCTTCGCAGATGAGTTAAATGATCAAGGCGCCTCCATTGGCCTACCACCCTGGAGGCCTTTTTTGGGTTAAACGCCAAAGAATGCCTGTTAATAATGAACTGGGGTATGATAGAATGCATGAAAAAGGAAATTCGCAAGCTGGGATATTGTAATACTTCTAAAAGCTCTCGATTTAGTCTCAAGACTGACGTCAATCGACCTTTGCGGGTGTGGAAGAGGGAATGCAGTCCACTCAAGTCCCCAGGAAACCAAGCAAAGCATTTTCAACGTCCGTCTCGTTAAACGAGTCGCTGGGTTGAGGATGGGTCAGCTGGATCCTCTGTCCCTGAGTATAACTCCCTACATGGCTAGGAGCAGCGGGAGGGGGTCCAGTGTTCTGTCTGGAAGGGTCATAAAGGAACTGTCGAGGATCGGGGTGAAACTGGATTCCTGGGTTCGCGTGGAATTGTCCGGTCTGAAAGGCAGGCGGTCCGTTGCTTTGAAATACAGGTGGTGGCTTTAGTGGATTATTGCTGTTGATGTTGGTAGGAGCCCCCTGTTGGCCTCGGGCAGCTACCTTCTCCCTTTCCTTTTTCTTCCCTTGGACCAACGTGCCTTTGACGCCACGGAGGTATCTGACAGCTGCGTCAACAAGATTCTTGTTCTCCGGCGAGTTCTTGAGCGCTTCGAGCATGTCGCGAACTTGCGTCTCGGATCTGATATGCGGGCAAGTGCGGCCCTGCCCGAAATGAGCGAGGCCACAGAGGCCGCAATGCTCGGCGCCCGCGATCTTCAGAGGACACGCGCCTTGGGGGTGCTGATGCTGGCAAGCAAAGCATAATTGATTACGATAAGCATCATATGTCGGGTCGAGTGGGGCGCGGAGTGGTAGCTGGGCACGAACGAAGGGCTTGACAGCAGGATTGTGGGCCTTCGCCTTTTGGGATGGTATGCCTTGCCGTTGCATGGGAGTATTGGGTTTGATCTGCTGAGGGTTGGCGGCAATGGAAGTCGGTCCATGAGGAGCCTTCGGAGGAGCGGCTGAGAAAGTAGCTGTCATTGAGGTCATACTTGGCTTGTTACCGGGCTGCGCTTTGGCGATACCGGTATCTTCTGTATCAAGACCTGCTTGGTTCAAGGCCTCATCTTCGCTTTCCTCCTCGGAATAATCCTGATAATCTGTATCACTTCCGGAGTCTCTAGGCTTCTTAGCCTTCCTCTTGCTGCTCTTCTTCTTTGGCTCGTCGTTCTCATTGGATGAATCGAGTGCGTCAGGGACGGCGTCGTTCTCGGACTTGTAGTTCACCGTCTGTATACCTGTTAGCATGTCCTGAAGGAAAACAGAGTGATCGTTTTGACTTACCATGCGGGCTCGCTTTCCCTTCCCCAGAGCATCCGCACGTAAGAGTGCCTCCGCAGCTGCAGCTGCTTGACGTTCCTTGAGAATCTTGTCCCATACTCCCGGATCAGGTGCGACTTCCTCTTCTGCGATATCAATAGAATCCTCCAAGGCGCCCTCGTTGTTAGCCCATACACGGGCAAAGCTAAACTGAGACTCTGCAGAATTATCGGCACTTGTTTTCGTGTTCTCGATCTGACTCCGGTCGAGCAGTTTGTCAATTGAAGCTTCATCATAGCGGATGTCGTGATCGTGTCTGTCTCCAAACAACTCTGCGGCTCCGTGCTTCAGGATGGACTCCACATCTTGAACCTCGATATCTTCGGCGTCAAGCTGCTCCACAATGGCATGGTCAAGCGCCATCTTTTTCCGGCCTATTTGTACGATCTTCTCTTCAGCACTGGCTCGGGACATTAGTTGGAAGCATAGAACCTTATTTTTCTGTCCAATCCTGTGTGCCCTGGCAATGGCTTGAATATCTTGATGGGGGTTGAAATCAGGGTCGAGGATAAGGACGGTGTCTGCTGTAGCTAGGTTGATACCTACTCCGCCCGCGCGCGTAGACAGCAAGAAGGCGAAGAGCGGAGAGTCGGGCGCATTGAACTGATCTATACGCTTCTGCTTTTCCAAAGAGCCCAACGAACCGTCCAAACGCTGATATGCCATCTGCATACCGTCGAGGAAGTCTTCCATTATGTCTAGCATATCCAGGAACTGACTGAAAATAAGGACACGATGGCCACGCTCCTTCAATTTCGGGAGGAGCAACTCCAGAAATTGTAGTTTGGCGGAGGCTTCCACGAGATTGCGGTGTGAAACGGCTGCAATGTCGGTTCGCTCCTCAATCTCCCGGCTATAGACGAAGGGATGGCAAAGACATTTGCGCAATTGCATAAGGAGGTTGTTCAGATTGGCGCGTTCCTGAGCTTTGACACTCTTTGCAGTAGTAAAGAGAGTTTTCAAAAGCTCTGGGTTCTTGGCCAGGATGGACTTGTATAATTCTTTCTGTAAGTGACTCATCGAGAGCGGTACAATGACCTGTCCTAGAGGAGGCAGGAACGTAAGAACCTGGACCTTGGTACGTCTCAGGATGAACGGCCGTATCTGATCGTGGAGTTCACGGATATTCTCCGACGTCATTTCTGAGTACTTCTCCTCAAGCTCTGCGGCATTGATGGTCTCGTCAAGGAATTGAAGCAAATTGAAGAGTTCTCGGGCGTTGTTTTGCAGCGGTGTGCCTGTTAATAGAAGTCGAAATGGTGCTTTTGCGCTAGTCAACGCTCCGTAGAGCTGACTTTTATCATTTTTCAGTCGCTGTCCTTCATCCACGATAAGGCCTGCCCAATTGATTCCTCGCAGAATTTTTCTTGAGCTGTCATCAGAAGCAGCCTCATATGAGGTTACTACGACGTGAGCACGCAACTCCTTCGTGCCATGCGGATAAAGCTCGTATTTGTATGCCATCTCCCGTGCTGTGGATGATCCAAAATAAGCTACGACGCGCAATGAAGGGACCCACTGCTTTATCTCACGGCGCCAATTCGGCACAGTCGAATTCGGCACCACGATCAAGAATGGGAAGCAATTGTGTTCATGAATTAGAGCAGCCATGAACGAAATCACTTGGATCGTTTTGCCCAAGCCCATCTCATCTGCAAGGATGCCATTCTTCTGGGAATACCACTGATAGTAGATCCAATTCAGACCATCAATCTGATATTTCATCAATTCGCCTCCGACTACATTTTCAGGCTGCTTCTCCTTTTCAAGCTTGGAAAATGGTGTTTCACGGGCTTTGTCGATGCGTGCTTTGAGCGGACCTTGCTTCGGGTATTTGATATAGCGACCAGCAACCCAATCATTGTATGCAGTAACGAAGTCGACCCATCTGTCGCCATCCTCCGGGGTTGGCACTTTCTCCCAGACGGTATCTTCGTATCCCAAGCCCTTATATTTGATTAGAGCTTTATCGACCTCCTTGATGCGAGCCTTATCAATCTCCTGATTTCGAACCTCAACATAGCTGGTATACTTGACATCCAGGACGATATCAATGCGTAGGTACTCTTCGGGAATAGCATCTTCTGTTCTCATCTTTGGCCCTTGCTCACGTTTGTAGAAGGCCTTGCGCATGGCACTTGCGGTGCTACCCCAAGTCCAGGCGCCAGAATGCCACGAGGCTCGGAAATATGATTGACCATCCCATTTGATGAGATAGGACTTGTCATTCTCGCTCAGCATACCACAGGATACTCCAGGTCGATAGGCTTCCACATCCGTAGGGCGCCACGCAATGATGGCAGATACCTTTTGGCCAGCAGTGTCATCACACTCCTTGCAGAGCCATTTTCTTGAGTATTCCTGAAACCTTTCATCCGCTTTTTCTTCGTCATCGCAAGCCACATCCATTGAGTAGGCTGAGATAGGCGGGAGGTGGTGATAGTGGTAGGCTCGTGAGCACTTCGTGCACCGAAAGAGAACGTTTGCAGCATTATTGAGCAGTTCCGGGTTAACGTCAATGATTGGATCGTAACCACCATTCTCTTCTCGTTCTTTGAGCTCTTGTTGTGTTGTCTTGCGCGCTCGGAAAGGTCTGCAAGCGACTCCCTTTCGCTTGCAATCTTGACACATGGAAAGATCTGGGGCGATGGGATCCTTCTTCTGGTAGAAATTGATGCAGCGCTTGCATTGGAGGACATAATTATCATCATCAATCTTCGTCACCAGATGGTCTCGTGTCGCTCGGTTGCCGATGCAATTCTTATGGTAGGACAGACTACAGCCCTGGCAGTAAATCAATGGTGCCACACCAGGCCCCTCAGAGCAGACTTCGCATCCTTCAACGTGCCTTGACCGGAATAGGTTGCTGCGTGGAAGAGTCTCGAACACTTCCCGAACACTAATGGTCTTTGGGGCGGCTTGTTTTGGTTCAGAGTCAGACCGATAGATGTCACCCATTCCAGCTTCGCGCATGTTGTTCTGGGCGCGTGTAGATCGTTCGGACTGACGAGTCCCCGTGCGAAGCTCCTTGTGTGTGGAGCGTGCTCCAGAGCCACGCTTTCGCTTTCGAGCTCCTCCATAGATGTCTGACCGAAGAATGTCCACACTCTCAGAATCCGAAAGTGTGTTTGAGGATTCATCTGAACCTGTTTCCTCGACTTCCTCATACTTTCGTCGTGGAGGGCCTCGATCTGAACGACGCGTGGGCGCTTGTGGTTGTTTTCGCTTTCGCCGGCGCTTTTTGGAGCTCTCCTCGGAAGAGCTATCGTCGAAGAAATCGGTTAGCTGTTTTTGCTTCGTGCTGGACCTGGCCGCTCTGGTCTTGGAAGCTCGTCGATTGGACTGTCGAACTCCATATGAACTAGAGTCAGATTCCGATAGGTCAAGTGTCGTTATGTCGACAAATGACCCCACTCTTGACTGCGTCTTCTGTCGGAGCCGCATATCGTCGTTGTTGGAGGAGTCGCCGCTCGATTTACGTTCAGCTAATGCTTCAAGGGCCAGAAGCCCTCCTTGGGTGGATATAAGCTCGTCAAAGGTAACCTGATAGTGGTTAAATATACTCTGTGAGAGAGGTGGTGATAAGATCGTCGAAGTTGGGCAAGAGCGGTATAAGTAGTAACGGCAAGTGCGCTACAGTTCGGGACGCCTTCACTTGCTCCTCCGCACACAAATCTTTCTATATCCAGGATCAAACTCACCTTGTGGTGTTTTCCATCCAAGAGCTTCACCTCGTACATCAGCACTCCTTTGCGCTTGTACTCTCTAAGAATACTGTGGACCTCTTCCTCTGGCTCATAGTAGGTATACTCTTCGCGGTTTCGGACCGGTGTGACCTTCACCGCCACAAGCTTTCTAGGCCTATCTATTGAATCCTTTTTTTTCTCGTTTTTTGTATCTTCCTCCGTTACTGAGCTTTCATCCGAAAAGAACATGCCGGGGGATACTGAGGCACTCTTTCGCGCCGGGGGAGATCTTTTGCGTGTGCCATTTCGCTGGAAAGATGCGATGTCCAGCTCGTCGTCACTACTCATTGTGCCCACGCGCGTATACGAAGTCGAAAATCAATGTGTTCGAATCGTCGGCGGCGTTTCGACCTTGGGCAGACCGTCACAAGTCTAGGTATTCGTATGTATCGTGACCATTTGTTGAGGTACTTTCTCGTGAATGTGATCTATCTACGTTACAAATCGTCAGCACTTTGCGGGTCTCAAAAAGTTCGCATGCCTACCGAAACGTGACAACTGCCCCCAGCAATAACACCGCACTCGACATGAAATGCGGGGATCACGTCGCCGTCAATTCGACGCGTCAAAGACGGACTCCCGCGACAGGGTCTTGGCGCAGAGGTCCGAGCTCTTAAATTTATTGTATCGGAATTTCGGAAATGATATCTTAGCTACTTTTCTTAGAATTTATACAGACCTACGAATCCAACAAAACTATACAGTGTAGCACGATGCTACAATTCTGCCGTCCGGCGATTCCATCCCTCAGATGTTATACAACACATAAACCATTGATTTCTCATCGCCAGAAATCATTCCAAGCTGTGATTGAACGCGGAATTCGTCAATCGGAGCACCGAAAAGATTCAAGGAGACAACCTCGAGATAGTCCAACCAATCAAAACAATTCATTAGAGCGCCGCAGAGATTCAAGGAGAGCAAGCTGGAGTGGTGACTCTCCTCGGGGCAGTCAATACGATCAGTCGTCTTCTCCTCGTGGATTGCGATTCCGAAGAGACCGGCAAGAGCATGCCCCCGTCCGTCGCGACCTGTCTGCTCGAGACCAAGACAACCAGCAAGACCGAACATCCTCCCGTCGCGAATCATACTTCCACGATAGCCGGAACAACCGGCGGTCCTTCGGTCGATCTTCTGAGCACGGCAAGGGCGCTCGTCCTATCAGTCGTCGTCCCATACCCGAATCGCTACCTTATACCACTGCCGCTTCGCAATTTATATATGGATATTCGTCAGTTTTCGCTGCTGTGAAAGCTAATCATCGACAACTCTACAATCTATACATACATTCTCAAGGTTTGAATAACGATGGGGTAGACAGACTTCTTGCCGCGGCTAGGGTGGCAGACCTCAAGATCCACAAAGTCGAGGACGAGTATACTGGAGCTATGTCGAAAGCCAGCAATGGGAGGCCTCATAATGTAAGGAAAGAATTGGCTTCTTGAGTTTGCTTGACTTCAATTAACACCAAGAAGGGATTCATATTAGAGGCATCACCATTACCCAATCCTCCTATCAAAGAACTAGCAACTACGTCCATGGCCAACAACAACTTTCGTGTCGTTCTAGACTCCCAGAGCAGAGAAGATGCTGCTATTAATGGAAAACGAACAGAATATACCTACAAGTCGTCAGGTTGGAGACATCCCTTGGTCTTGTACTTGGATGGCGTGGTAAGTGTTAGAAGAATGGCATATAGAGAACATGTCTGACAGGAAATAGTTGGACGAAGGAAATCTCGGTGCCATTGCCCGCTCAGCATACTTCCTAGGTGTAGACGCCATCGTCACACCGACGCGGCAAAGTGCCCCGTGGAGCCAAATCACTCTCAAGGCATCCGCAGGTGCTGCAGAAGCAGTGCCAATATTCACCGTTGCGGCACCAGCACAATTCATCAACAGAAGCGCCGGGAACGGATGGCACATCTACGCAAGTGATGCCGTTCCATACTACGCTTCAAAATCACCCTCTACAGGAGAAAATACCACTGCCACACCCAGCAAGGTCAGTATCATACGTCGCGGCAAAGGGCCAGTGGAGGCCGGTTTCTCCCCTTTGGCTACCCACCCAACCATCCTCATGATGGGCGGAGAAGGAAGCGGCTTACGGGACATTCTTCTCCAAGCCGCACACTACAAAGTCGGCATACGGAGCACCCGCGAGGTCGATGAAATTGGCGTTGACAGCCTGAACGTCAGCGTCGCTGCAGCGCTGCTATGTTTCGAGTTCCTCCAGAAGCCGGCAGTGCAGAAGTCGGCAGATGCCCTATTCTAAGTTTTTCGCCCTTTGACATCCATGACTTGCACGTTTAGCGACCTGTATCATATTCTGTAATATCACATAGACATACATCTCGGTTCGGCATCGAGACGTACATACATACAATACAAGCAACGTCCCGGTTCGGTCTCCCGAGCCACCTACCTACCCATCTACAACTTCCCCACTGCACCCGCACCGCCTATAATATCAAATTACACCCCCAGCCCCGCTCCTACCTATGTCCTCCCATCCCTCCAATCTACCCTCTTCCCTGATTTCCATCGCGCACTGCAAATGTATGTGGGTGTCTTGCGAATCTATCTCTCACCAATCGCCACCCCTGCACACTCCCTCCCGATCCCTTACTCGCGTGGCTGGCAACCTTCCTCCTCCTGCTTGCTGCATACCTGCATACCTGCATAAACTGCACAACTACATGCAAACCCCGCGTCCCCGCGCCTTCAACAAAAAATAAAAAAACAAAACGGTCCATGCTCATGCTCACACCCCGGGCGGGCGTTGGCGCCTCGGTGGGAATTGCGATAGGTGGGATTCGAAGACGGGGTGGGGACTCCACATCGGGGGGTAACTATGGGGGAGGGTGTGTTTTATGTGCTTTGAAGGAAATGCAGCGATGAGGGATATTTTTATATTCACATAGAGAGAGGGAGAGGGAGCAGACGAAGAAGTACGGAGTACGATAAAAAGAAGCAGCCTTGAGGCGCACGAGGTGCGAGGTCTTGCACGCATGGGATGTGAGCGATCGGCAAAAGATGTGCCGTCGAGTAGGGCAGGTAGTTAGTGTGAGAGGAGAGGCTCAAGGGGAGGGAGGGATTTGTCTGATAACAAACTTGGAAGGGATGCGAGATGCAAAAAGAAAAGGGTGGAGGGAGGGTCACATGGACGATCGTAGATAGGGAGTCCCCGTCTTGGTGGGGGAAGGAGGAGGAGGAGGAGGAGGAGGAGGAGGGGAGGACCTTTGTTGTACAGTCCAGATCGGTGTGCGGTGTACGGTGTATGCATGGATAGGTGGTGCTGCTTCTTCGGTGAAATATTCTGGTTTTCGTATGTATGTGCGCGCGGTATATATGATTTACTACTGCGAATGTAGTCGAGGTACTTAGAAATGAGGCGTGTAGAGAGAACTATCTAAGGTAGATCTGATCGGAGGTAGGCGCTAGAGCAAGTCAAGTAGCTCGTCTGCATGTGAAAAGGGCCTTCAAGTACTCGTAAGAAAAAAGAAACAACAACAGCAAGTGGGATGGTAAACTACCCATAGCGGGCAGCTAGGAATGGAGAATACGATGGGCGAGAGGGCTGTCATTTATGAGCTGTAAGCCCGTACGCAGTAAGACGCGGGATAAATGCCAAGGAGTCCCCTACCATGTATATGTGAAAGAAGGCCCGGCCAGACATACATGGGAATCTAATTGCTGTTGACCGCAAAGCAGACTGGAGAATGTACGAAAATGTCGATACGTTGGCCTTGGATGGACTTGGATGTGGTTAGACGGTTAGCACTAGTATAGATGGATCGCGATCATGAGGGGAATCACATATGCGATGGATGGATGTGGATATGCTGTACTCCGTGCTACGAGTGAGACTTTGATGGACTTGGTTGTTGGAGGGATGTTTGTAGCAGTGTACTCCGTAAGAACTTGATCATTCCTCTACTATACCAATTGTACGGATGTACGGAGTACATACTCGTACTGTTACCATACGCAGTAGTATCTAGTATCTTGCGAGTAGTATCTTGAGTTGAAGTGTTGGTTGTCTGGATGAAGATGGGTGTTGGTTGGTTGATTAGCGGTGAAGACCGACTTGGGATGGAAGCTAATCCTAGACAAGACTAGTGGGTTGGAATATGCAGCGGTCCATGCATGGAGCAGTTCGTCATAGTGGATCCCCGTCCATCTCATCTCGTCTCGTCTTGTCTCTCGTCTCTCTTGAGGTCTCACGTCTCGTCTTGTTTTCTGTCTGCCTGGCTCCACCATCGTGAGATCAATCAGACTCAAACAATCACTAACACCACCAAGTCCAGCAGCTTGAAAATCTCTGTACTTGTTAAAGCCTCGCTGGACTCCACCTTCCTCCCATCCATCTTTATATCATTATCGTAGCCCTGCCTACGCCTTGATCCTCCTCCCGCGCCAACTCAATTCACCCACCAAGGCCCCCGATCCAGACTTGCTATTCGCCCTCCACCACCCCCGGCCAAGTTTGCCGTACAGTACTTGCATTGCACTGTACGTCCCATACCTCAACCTAACAAGCTACCTTGCAACCATCTGACACCCACCCAGATCACAACTCCATCAGCAGTGTTTCGTTACTTCTTCCTCACCCCCTCATCCATTCCTCTTCTTTTCCAACTATTCGCCTTGGAAATCGCATCTTTCTAGGTCTTGAGGTCCATTTCTATCCACAAACATGACGCGAAGAACTGTCTACGGCATTGGCCTGGTCTTTGCCATTGCCTGTAAGCCCCATCATGGATTATAGCACCAACGTCATGGACGGCAGAAAGCATGAACTGACCCTTCCAGGCACGATAATGACCATTGCAAGCATCGCGATACCCCGCTGGGTATCTTACAGTCCTGTAGGCATTCCAAGAGAGAATCCCAATGCCGCTCTCTGCGCATCCCCAAAATCGCAGCATACTAACAGTACACCAGAACGACAAGCGCCAATTCTCCATCGGATTGCATAGCCGATGCTCAACTGTGACAGGCACTTGCACATCATACCCGAAACCACGCGACTGCAAAGGCAACTTCTGCCACATGTGGAGAACCGTCGGCTTCCTCATCTCTTTCGCTGTCGTCGTCGAGCTCGCAACTCTCGTTTCCTTCGTGGTCATAATAGCTGGTGGTGTGCAGCGGAGGACCGCAGGCTGGAAGATCGCGTCTACATTGCTCGTCTTGGGAGGCATCATTCAATGCGCGGGTATGGCCATCGTGGTACGTGCAATACAATCATCATCTCGGGTTGAGTTGAAGACAGGCATCAACCTCGAGGCAACCATATACAACAATCACCGATCTCCGCTAATCATGCTGCAGGCATACCTCTTCGATAACGACGAGCGCTTCTTTGAGGGCTGGTACCTCGATCTTTCTTGGACTCTTTGCACCGCTTCGTGGAGCCTTCTAGTCCTCACCTCGCTCGGTATGGCAGCTAGCGCGCTCTACCTTCCCGCGGAAGGAGACTACGAGGTCATTCCGGAGTACCCTGAAATCCAGCAGGATAACGAACAGTAGGCTTTGTTACATTCTGAAAATTGGATCCGTTCTTACGATGATGTCCAGATTACAGACTCGAATCGCCGGATGGAACGATGGCTACGGCAGTGGCCGCTCGTACCAAAACGCTCAGGAGTAACCAATTACCAAACCTTAATTACTGAGATCAACGACTGGACGTGCAATCGAAGACATGGGACAAAAATTACCATTCACGGAGATGCACGCTTATATATAGAGGGATTTACACGCATGGATTCTCCTTTTCCCGTTCTAATTACGTCTACTGTCAGCGCTGCGATTATTGGATACACTTGTTGAGCTCTACAGCTTAGCTTAGTATCTTCTCATTTCCATTGGCGGGACTCAGTCGTCGTGTTTATTTGTTTTCCAGTTCTACAGATACCCCTCCTGCTTCACTGGGTGGCTGGGCTTTTATTGTCTTGTCAGGTTCACCGGACTCTTCGCCCAGGTGACGATATTCGATAGACGAAGAAACAAAACATCTCGTCAAATTTTGAATTCACAACCCTATACCCTAGCCTCCTGGTGTCATTCTAGTCGACGTGGATCGAATTGCGCATCTCTGAAATGTTTGTCTTTGCCACCGTTCTATCGACCACAACACTGGATACCACTTTCGGCACAGGAAGGAATATTCCAGGATCACTTAAGCATACAAACATTGCCCAAGCCAAGTCCACAAACTTCTATCTATGTTACCCTGGCTGACTACGATGCTCAGTAACTGGACATGCCAAACCACAATGCAATAACAGGGTGTGAAACGATGGTTGCATAATCGCTCGCGACCCCATAGTCGGAAAGAGTACTAGAGAACACACCGGACATCAGGTTCAGAGCCCCACGATTTTCACGTCCTTGCTCACATATTGCTTCACCAGTTGGCGCCATAGTCCACGTGCTATTGTTCACTACCCTCATGCCAGATATTCATTGTTTATACCTGAAGCTTTGTTGAATGCCCCCCACTGATACATCACAGTACCGTCGATCTGATTGGAAGCTATGGTGATTGCAATTTAGGCATCAACAACTTTATTGTCCATCAATGAACAACGTCGGCAAACACATCTGTCTGTCGTGAATTCCACCTTTGTTCACTCAAACAACACAATCAAGTGAAACAACGCAACAAGATATAACAAAAAAGACAGTCCCATCAGATCCCTTTCGACCTTACTTACGTTCTATATCTGATTGGAAGCTCGATTTAGTATACCGATTTTCGATACCGTCAGGCTGCTCGCCCATTTTGACAGCTTTACTACTCTTGCCAAGCCTATCACCTCCGCGCAGCACCAGGTGCGACGCAACAGTAAACATACCGCCCCAACGACCATCACTATTTTTCTCTTTCACTAAATCTAAGGCTTTAGTCTCGCGTCATTATCGAATTGAGCTCCCATCAATTTCCTATACGAACCCAACCTGACCGCTACCACAACTACTTTCTTGGGACTCACAACCTCGTCCTATTGGTACACTGAGACGTCACAACCCATAATTCCGTCTCAGTCCTAACCTAGTCACCATGTACAGACATTATCCAGATGAACTTGTAAAAGGCAGAGACTACGATACCTCGGACTCCGATGAAGAAGATGGCGCACCTAATCCCAGCGTGCAGACTTCCACTGACTTAGCCACCATCGTCCAAGTCATCGACGACTTCAACCCAAAATTGGCCGCGGGGAAGGAAGGCATCGATCATTTCTACATTTTCAAAGACACAAAGAAGACAAAGATTGCTGAACAGCTGTACGAGCAAATTGGCCACGATGGAATGGCCCAATTCACCGCAGACGCGAAGAAGTGGTTGATCGATGAGAAAGGTACCGAAGAATGGAAAAAGTACCTCAGGCAGGGTTTCAGAGGGCAAGACATCGTTCTTGGGATTATCGGTTCAAGGAACAACGAGAGGTGGAAAGGTTATCGTAATGCAGTGGTGATGCTGTACAAACGCAACAACCACAAAACGATAGATCAGGGCGGCCATTCGTTTGAGGACCAAGAAATGGATCTCAGTGTCAAGGCGCGTTTGAGGGACCATTATCAGCGTTCTTTCACATTCGAGGAGCTCGACAGACGTGTGACGAGTGACGAGGCGATGTTGGAAGCGTTTTTGGCCTTCCCGGACAGGACGCCGTGGTTGAACTTCTTAAACTTCAAACCCAACGCTCCAAAGCTTACCGAAGTGACGCGTGCGGACAATATACGCCAAATAGAGCTTATGCTGAAGTCGCTGACGGAAAAACTTTCTGATCAGAATTGGCCGCCTGCGGAATATAAGAAGCTGGATAACGGTCAACGGAGAGCTATCGCCGAATTGATCGATTCGGCAGTTATCAACCAACACGGGAAGAGCGATTACCAACAGAAGATTCAAGAAAAGATCAATGATATGAACGATTGGACAAAGAATATTAAGGGATTGAGGGAGTGGACGGCATACGCTCATTATGAAATGCCACAATTCTTCCCCACGAATCCAGAAAACAGCGTCTCTGCCACTGATTCTAACGCTCCACGCTCTCCTGCCAGTTCCCACGTTTCTGCCGGTTCTGCCGGTTCTGCCGGTCGTGAAGACTCTGACCGTTCTGACGGTTACGCCGGTTCTGACGGTTATGCCGGTTCTGACGGTCTTGTCAGTCCTGATAGTCCTGACGATTTCGGCAACTTATTAGAAGCCGCAATCAACGACACGCCAGATTGGCACGCTCCTGTAGACAGCAGGCAGGAATCTTCGATCCCCAAAAGTTTACGTCGCACCCCGAAATACCCTCCCGGTATTTCCTCATCCGAAGCCCGTAAACGGGTCTTCGTCCGCTTGAATGACAACTTCAAGATGCTTAACGAATATACCAAAGCCGATGAAGATATTGACGTGCCGTATACCATCTCGGACAAAACGATTCTCGCCCTCTCCGAGTATACTGAATCCACCTTCTACAAAGATGCCAGCGAGAGGGACGACGCCAACTACGAGGCGAAGGTCGAGGATTTCTTTCAAACCCTGACAAGCACGTGCGTCAATTGGAAGAACCAAAAGTTGAATTGGGTCACGATCCTGCACAAATTCTCTCCACACCAGTACCCACCGCCGGCGGAGGTCCAACCGGCGCTCACGGTCAAGGTGCCGAATAGAGCTATCAAACCTATGAGGAGGAAAGGAGTGGGTTCTACGCCAGCGTCTACGACGACTTCGACCTCTGCGACTGGTCTGCCTAGCCCACTCCTGGAGGTGTCACCTGCGTCTACAGTGGCTGCGACATCGGTGGCGGCACCTTCTGCTGCTGCCGCACGTACAGCTCCTCCTCCTGCAAAGACGGAAACAGATGCTACAAGTAAGCCGACTCAGGTCGTACCCTCAACTCAGTCGATTCAGAGCGCGCCTCCTCCTCAGCCAGTTCAAAGCGCACTGCCGTCTCAGCCAGTCCAGAGTACATTCTCGATTCAGCCTGCCCAGAGCACATTCTCAATCCAGCCAGTTCAGAGTACATTCTCAACTCAACCAGTCCAGAACACAGCCTCAACTCAGCCAGTCCCAAAGCAAGATGCCAAAGACTCAGACGATGATTCTCTCTTCAATGACGACTCTGCGTTAAGCACGTCGGGTTCTTCAGTTCCCATGGACACTAGAGAACGTTTGCCTTCACCCTCGCCGCCGCGAGCGCCTCCGCGAACCCAGCCCTCGGAGTCCACGAAATTCGATCTCATGGACACTGAAGAGACAACAACGACTCCAGTGCAGGTGCCAGCAACTCCAGTACCGGAGCAGTTCCCAGCGGCCATGGACACCGAAGAGACGACAACAACTCCAGTACAGGAGCAGTCCCCGACGTCCATGGATATCGTAGATCCTCAGACCGATGGATCTGGACCTGGACCGAACGAGCATGTACCACAGCCTGCTGCTACGCAAGACTCCCCCTTCCGCCCTGCGAAATTTGTATACACTTCCAAACCTTCGACTCTAGGGCAGGAAGAGCTCCCAACGTCCATGGAGATTGTGGATCCTGCAACTGACCAGGATAATCAGAACAATGGATCCAATGCTGTAGATATAGTGTCATCGACTACTAAATCGTCGTCGACGTTCTCGGCTAAGGATTGGTCAGCCGATGCTATGGACTTCAGTGTACCAGTTTCCTTGGCCGATGAGCCCCCAAAGGAACCTGTGGCGAAGAAGGCATCACAAGCTCCGTCTAAACCGGATCTGATGCCCGAGTATAGGTTCTGCCCTCAGTTGGCAAGCAAGCAAGACCAGAAGAAGACGGTGGCTGAGAGAGAATCCCCAAAACCCAAGGGCATCTTTGGCATGTTTGGCAACTTGGGACTTGAGTTACCATCCACACTGAGTTCGCCCAAGTTGCCCCCTGTATCCTCGCCGTCGGTCGATTTCGCCGCCGCAGGTCGAGTTGCCAGTCCCTTTGCAGCGTCACCCACTCCCATAAGGACCAAGACACAACCTGAACCTGTCAAGACGAAGCCGGGGAATTCTTTCTTTCCCTCCACTCCACCGGATAACGAAGCAAAATCGAAGAAGACGCCTCCAAAATCTAGCGCACGTATTCCCACGCCCGTTAAGTCTTCTAAGCCAATATCATCGATTCTTCCAGGGCTGGGCTTGGAACCAGCGGATCCTGTTAAGAGCATAGAACCCAAAGCTTCCGAGAAAGAGCCATCACCCAAGTCGAAGCCGACCACAAAGCCTGTGCAAGTCATTGAATCAAACGAGACTACGCCGAACTCCCCACCAGATGTCAAAGAACAGGCTGAGCCAGAGCCGGATGATATTCCTCTGCCGAAGAAGAGCAGGTCCAAGAACTCTACCACTGCCACCTGGAAAGCAAAGCTCACCACACCTGAGGACTCTCCGGAATCAGTGAAAGAGCCTACAACGGCTATAAAGACTACCGTCGTGAACCCTTTCGTCATAGAAGAATCTGATGATGAGGATCCTGATCCCGTCAAAAAACCAGCCGCCAGGAAAAGGTCGAACCGACTGGCTGCAGCTTCGGCACCAAAGAATGGTGCTACCTCAAAGCCGGCCGCGCCAACTCAGCCAAAACAGCAACATCGTGAAACACAACCGGCAGCGAAGGTCCCTTCCAAGTCAGCAACCAGCGAACGTAAGAGGTTTCCTTCCTCGGATTCATCCAATGCATCAGAGCCTGAGAGGTTCCCCGAGAGGGGAGCAACCGCAGAACCAGTGCCTGAACCTGGCAACAAGAAGGTCGAGGATCTGGACAAAGCACTGGGTGGATTCCACTTGAACAAGAACCAGGTCAAACCTAAACCTCCACGCGTCCCGGCCCAGAAGTCAGTTCCTCACGATGACGATAATCTCGTCGGAGCAGGCGACGATGAGAAACCAAACAAGCCGCCTCCCAAGACCGTGGAAAAAAAGCAGCCCAAGGCCGTGAAGAAAAAGCAACCCAAGCCAGTCGAACCGTCCAAACCTGACGTCGACATCGAATCCAAACTCCCTCCAACCGTCCCCATCGCCACGCAACCCCCGTCCTCCCACCCAAACCTCCTCCTCGAACCGTGTCTCCAACCCTTCCTCCCCCTCCCCACCACCTCCCTCCCCATCTTCGAGTCCGCCCTCCAACAACCCGACTACACCACCAACATCCTCCCCAACCTCGAAACGCACCACCCAACCCTCACCCCCGACGCCCTCCTCACCCTCGCCACCACCTTCCCGCACCTAATCCGCTACGCCGAGCTCTACCGCCTCCACTACTCCCACTCCCCCCTTTGGAAAATCCCAAACTACACCCTCTTCACGCTCCCGCACGACACATACACCCGCATCCACGCCCTCGTCGCCGGCCTCCGCGCCCCCTTCACCACCACCCCCTCCTCCCTCCGCGAACTCCAATGCCTCACCGCAGTCTGCAGCTCCCTCATACACTTCTTCACCGCCTACGCCGACTTCCTACCCGAAGTCGCCGCGCTAGGCGGCACCGAGCGCGCTCTCCACGCACTCAACGCAGCGCTCGGGACCGAGCACGAGGAGGCGAGTAAGGCCGACGCGCAGGATCGGGTCGGGAAGTTCGTGGCCGCGGCGACGGGGGAGTATGGGGTTTTGAGGGCGATTGAGAGGGTGAGGGTCGTGGTGAGGGAGTGGGGGGTGGAAGGCGGGCATGAGGAGGTGTTGGGGTATATGGCGGATGTGGTGGGGTGGAGGGTTGGGTGGGTTGTTGGGGTTAGGTGGAGGGGGTTGAGTCGGTTGGGGTTTGCGGAGGGGTGGTGAGGTGTGTGATGATTTTGAGGTTTGGATTTGGATGGGGGAGAGGGGGAAGGGGAGGTGGATGGTAGTTGGGGTGAGTTGATGTCTTTTGTTTTGTAGCGACTTGATGTTTAGCGTGGAGTTTTGGTCTGCAGATATCACTTTTATGAAGAGAATAGAGAGGTAGAAAATGTGTACTATACTATATCACCATGATCAAGTGCCATCCACCAGCCCCGTACGATACGTTTGCATCCGTGGGAAAGAGAAAGTGTCTGTTCAGATTTGAGTGGAAAAGGTACATTGATATTATTACTACTGTGCGTGTTGTGATCGTAAACATCTAGAAGGAACCTAAAACTAAAACCATTCCGATGCTGCCCATTGCCTATTCGGAAACTTGTTCAAAACGCCAGTGAGTTGGAGACCGAACCCGAACCCTACCAAACCAGACCGATGACCATGACCCTTCTCTTGATGTTGATGTTAAATTACCCCATCCTTTCCTGTCTCCCCCCATGTTTCCAGCTGGGTTGTTGTTGTTGTACCGTTGATTTTTCCAGCATCGATTTGCGGCCAGGCAAAAGAGCGATGAAAAACATAAGTTCGTTCCCGCCGTTATACACTTTGAGAAATTCATAGTCATATATTGTAGCAATGATTGGAGAGAAAACCCCCCAAAGGAAATTGTTTCCGCTAAGCGTTTGATACCGGACGCCTTCGCAAAAAGAGGTCGTCGACTATACTGGACCAAACGGAGCTGTGCTCTTCGAGTAGGGATGGCAAGGAAGATACGGAGAGTGTTCACCGCTTCTCACTCTTCGAAACTGTACCCACTACCCGAAGCCACACGTTCGGTTCCAGAAGCCTTCAGATGGTCGGGGCCAGACTCCTAGACCTGGCTCATGGAGGGGCCGCCACGGCGGATGCCACCGCGCATGTTGACGGAGCCGCGGTTGGACATGACGGAGATGACGAGAGTGGCAACGAAGGCGGCCCAGCCGAACCAGAGGAAAGCGGTCGAGGCCTGGGCTTCGCGGCAGCGCTTCTGGCGGTTGTGGGCGCCGTTTGTGATGTGGTTCCTGAGTGTGTATGCCTGGATTTCAGATGTGAGTTAGGGGGCCTTGTGATTTTGGGGATTGAGAAGACCTGAGGGAGGAACTTACGTTGTTGCTGCAGCTGTGGACACGTAGGAGTGCAGCCATTGCGACGGCAGCGCAAAACCAGAAGATGACGTTTAGGAGGTCGAGGGCGATGACGACCATGGGGACAGTGTAGCTGTCGAGGATGGCGACGGGTAGGAGATAGAGTAGCGAGGCCATGCCGAAGGATGCAACAAACATCTCGTAGTTTACAGAGGAGGGGTTGCCGGAGAAAGCGGTTGCGATCATGTTTCCTACGAGGGACATAATGATGAGAGCGCAGATGAACTGCAAAGCTTGTTAATGGGATGTCACTGGAAGACTCGGGAGTGTATACGTACCTGCCAGACGCGAAGTCCGACTTGCAATGCTTTGGATGCCATTTTAGACGATGTAGGAGGAAGATAGAAGCAGTGTCTGAATGGTATGGTCTGCAAGAAGACGAGGAGCACGCCCAAACAATGCTAGCTGGGGAATGGAGTAACTCGTGTTCGAGGACAAGGTGTAATACGAGGAGAGGTGTTCGTAGGATTTACTGCAGCTGCAAGGCAGACAGGGGAGGGAGTTAAGCGGAAGAGGTTTGGGAGAGGATGTGGCTTGTTCTGGGGTTGATATTAAAATTTAAATCAGTAAAGTGTACTTGTAGTGTGATGTGAGAAGAAAGATGGGAGGGGGAAATGGGTGGTGGGAGTGTTTGGTATTGCGGGCGGAGGTCGTCGGGAGAGCAACGTCGTCATAGGTCATAGCTCCCTTGTCGACGTCATTCACGTGTCTCCCAAATGATTACTGTGAATGTCTATGTGACGAGCACTACTCCGGAAGAGAGGGAAAAGGTGGAAAGTCTCCACAGCATTAATCCCCAAAGACGACAAATAGCTTTGCTTTGGTTCCATTTTCTTGGACAGATTCGGAGCTGTCCAGTCCAGACCAGTCCGATTCCGACCAGATACAAGAACGTCCGTCCTTTTGGAAGCAATGCAAAGGAGAAAAGGAAGTGATGACAACAACCATGACGATGATGAGCGACGGAAATAAAAAGTAGTCTAAGACTTACATGCTGCCAGTGAGTCTTCTGACTCTATCTTCTGTAATCTGTGTGATGTTTTTCGCGTTCGTTGGGATCTTGTACGGAGTAGTGTTCTTTGGTTTAGGAGGATCTTGTGTGTTCTTGTTGTGCCAGTTCGGAAGCGAAAAAGGGTCATGATATCTGGACCTCCGATATGTTTTAAATAGGAGAGCAACTGTTGATTGTTTCCTTCGAAGCAAAATTCGTAATCTACATGGATAGAACGGTCGCAAAGTGTGCTGAGACCGACGGATTGAGGATGCAGTCTGGGATAGTGATTGGATATTCCATTGGTTACTGTGGTAGGGCAGGCGGTTGGTTCGGCAACACAACAGAGGATGATGCAAGCAGGGCAAGGATCGTCTCTCCTCCTCTCCATCCTCCTCCTCCTACCATCGCACAATGCACCCTTCAGCGCGAGACGCTTGGGAAAGTGGCTGCTCACTTTTTATCCAGACGCTTACCATGCTGTGCGAGAACGTTGCGCAACCCATTCCATTCCTGTGGCAGTCGGTCAACTTTGCCGGTCATCCACTCACGCCAGCATGCCCTGATGTCTCCGACACAGACTAGATGCTGGGAACTACGGAGTAATAATTAATAACACCCAACTTCTTCCATATGTGACTACTCATAGCGTTCCATTCCCGTGCAACCCTCCCGTCGCGCTACCGCCATCCAGAACGCCGCATCTTCCGGGTTTATGCCTTCCTTCAACTGAACTGGTGATCTCCCACTCGTCGTCCAAGCTTGAAGGGATGGAGTTTGCTTAAGGCCATGCTCCGAGGGAATCAGACCCTTGAAGGAATGGGCAATCATGCATTGCGGACCACGGCTCACATGAGCATCCATCCCATGACGACCCCGGATCTGCACTGTCGCCTCGCATGGGGATCGACGTTATTGTACGAGCGCTGCACTCGTAACTTTGTGGTGTGAGTGTGCACGGCGTCGCATGCCATAGGTATCCTTTTTCACTTGCCCGCATGCATTGGAATCAGGGAGATATTACCCGCCTTGGATTGGCCCACATGTTCGGCCTTACTCTTGCCGATCAGTTTTGACTCTTGTTCTGACGCCTGTGATGTAGTACTTATAAATGGGTATATGCACCTATTAGACTTGACTTTGGATTCCAGGATGCTCTTGATGTGTGGTCTGCTAGCGAGTTGGTGTGCCAATGGTACTGCACAAAGCTAACGAAAACTTCCGAGCGAAGGACAGACTGGCACGACTGGTTACTTTGTGTAACCACATGGCCGTGAAATGCGAGTAGATGCTGGACCTGTAACTTTCAACAAATGATCTTTCATGGACACATCACACCAATTGACCCCTGAGTAGTTAGCTAGGTTCTGGATTGATTGTGCTCTCCAGTGCCTTAGTGGAGGTAAGTAAGAAATACTCGATATTTTCAATTGTATAGTCAGTTGGACGTGACAACCATGCTCTGAGCGGCACTCGAAAACTTTGATTGACTCGAAACTCAAGATTATATGGCGCATCCCCAAAATGTCCCATCCGTATCTGTATTGCAAAGACAATAATCTCCGTCTAAGCGACTTTTAAAGATGGTGCTTGCTCCACTAACCATAGGCGATGGTCACCTAGGTTGACGGGCAGCGTTCTTCTTCGACCGTGAACGTATGTTGTCATGTCTCATGCCCTGCTCGTACCACTGAGTAGGCCTCGAGCCGGGCATTGAGCAGTCAGTGTGTTCTTCTTATTACTTTCGAGGTTGGTGCATAGTCCTCAAAGCAGATGGTTGCTCTTAGGTGGCATCCATCTTCTCTACCTCACCCGAAGTCCCGTCTACATTGTTGGAATCGCGGATGCTTGCTCAAAAACGGTCGACACTCTCTATGGCCAAAATGGCCAAGGTGACATTGAACCAACAGCGGATGTTCCGAGTCTCTGGGATGACCATGGGAAGGAAAGAGGACTACGTTCAGTGAAGTTCAATGAAGTTCCTTGTTCGAGGCCGGGCAGACGGGGTCTGCGAGTATGGAATCTTGTTTTCGTCTACGGAGTATCTACAGTCTCGGAACCGAGGTCGAAGACGAAGAATCTCGTTCGAATGATAGCACTGTTCTCAGTCAAAGTGGGACAAATCCCCTTTCAAGTCCACGTTAGTATGCCGTGAGGTAGCAGGTCACTACCAAAGCCTTCGTTGGCCGGATACGAGTGATTGTATTTGTTTCAATTGCTCGACTGAGTGAAGTCCGCATACAGTGCATCTTGTGTACGTGACTTCGGTTGTTGAAATGGTCGCATAACTCACTTAGAATTGCTTCCAATATACGAAATCGTGGAGAAGCTTGCAAGATCGTTGAATATGGCTTCGCTGTAGGATGTTTGCACCTAGCGATGAGACCTGGCTGTGCGCGCCGATGTTTTTCGGCGCACACAGCCAAAGGACAGAAGCAGTGGATGAAGGATATAGAATAGATAGAACCTTGTCGAAGACAACCGGCGCCCCAGTGCGCGAACATAGATCCCTATGATCACAACACTCGGTCTAAAATGCAATGAAGTCGAGGTGATTTGGAATGGGTGCCATACGCCTCCAGGGACCATTGTTTGTGGGCAGAGTGATTGAAAGAGGGATGGTCGCGGGTGCAAAAAGCTTGATGCCCCACTACGTAGACTCCCTGGGCCCCTGGGATCTCCGTTTGATCAGATAGTTCGTCAGTGCAGACTCGATCGTATGAAGACGAGAGAGCCGAGTCTGCGCGATGGGTTCTCGATGATCCCACGAAGAGGCGGGGGTGATCGGAGTGGGATGGATCGAATGAACTGTACACACACGGGTACGCTTATAAGTGAATCTTAACTCACCTTTGATATGTTAAGACGAACTGGAGGGGGGCACCAGGCAGTGTACGGCCAAAGAAAAAGAGGCCTCATGCGACGAAGGCATTTCCATCTGCTTGGCTCATAAAGGTAACATCCGTGAGAGCGCGAGTGAGAAAAGGCGTGCCCGGGTTGTGATGTTGAATTAGGAGTAGGAGTGAGTCGTGTAGGTTGTGCCTGTCTGTCGTGTCTGTCGTGCCTGGGCTGGTCACCTTTCACTTCGCACTTCTAACTTTCTCATCTCAGTCCCGTCCCTGAGCGCTCTTTCCCTTTCCTTTTCCCTCTCCCACCACAAAAATCATTTCGACCATCATGGCCCGCCTATTCCTCTCAACCACCCTCATCTCAGCGAACAATCCTAGCCATCTCGATCCAAAATACGGCTGCTTCGTGCCCGTGTCATCTAAATGCTTCCCCTCTAGCATCATTCGTTCCTGGGATGCCTTCCAGGTCCAGGGGGGTTCCTGCACCTAGCCGGCCCGTAGGAAGAACACTTGGTGCACCATTAGTGGGTGAAACGGGTCCCATTACTTACACACAGGTTGAACAGCAGGCATTAACAATATCTCGACTCTTCGTCAAAGACGGGCAAGACAGGCACCGACTGCAGACTCTGCATGGGTCGTCAATGTAGCCCCCCTCGGTTCGAAAGCATGCTTGATGTGCAGGACGTCTAGATGCGCCCAGCCTATTCACGAAAGCCCAGCACATGCACCGCTCCCTCTCGGTACGTCGACGTCTGTACCCTGTCCCTCAACGAGCGCGACCCTGCAGACCAACAAGTAGCTTTCACTGCCCGCGACAGCAAGCAGTCCGGCGACTCGATCGATGATTCAGATGATGGGAACCAGTTACTACAAGGTATGTGTTGAATGGGGGAAGACAATCATCTCGAGTATTGTTTGCGATGTTGCGGCTTTGGAACTCCTTTATTCCTTTTCAAAAGATCTCAAGGCTAGCCCTGTTTCGAAGCCAAGACTGCTCAACGGCACAACGATGGCCTGTGTGTGAGCCGAGCCGAAGCCCCTGGGGATGGATCGGATCGATGATCGGCTCCTCGAAGATTCCCACAAGAGAAACATTCAAAGCAAGTCATGTATCTAGCTGATAACCCAGAAATAAATCGCGCTATTCCAGCCCAGGGGCCCAAGCCGATCCTATGGACGAGCTTTGCACGCAAGTCCAGATTGGGAAGAGAGTCTTCGCTCATTACGAATGAAGGATTATTGGAGACCACTCTTTATCTCGGGGATGTGATCTCCTAAGGTTTTGCATGATTTATCAATAATGCTGGGATCATGAACTCAAAACGTCTGTCAACTAAAAAGGGGAACTCCACTTGAGTGGCCCGAAAAGCTTGGTTAGACAAGATTGAAGGCAAATGCTCTGCAGGACGAGAAATGCGGGGTTAATGAACATTCTTCCCCCCGTCTTGACAACCTGCGAGACCCGAGGTGGCAGCTGTGTACAATGCTGTACTCCGCATGGACTACGGCTTGAGCAGGCGTGGTGCACGCTGGATAATTGACCCTCGTCGCTAGGTTCACAAGCTACGGTTCGATAGCGCGGTACGAGGACAAAACATCTGTTCATCGCAGGTTCAACACGCAAAGGCGATCGAACAAGAACAGCTTTGTGGGCTACGTCGTCTGGCGAATGAGAAGAGGCCCAAGGGCTACCAAATGTGGCCTTCGAAAGGCGGGGGCGAGGTTTGCCTTGCTGCCCCGACTAGCAAGTTAGAATCTTGTGTGATTCCCTAGGGCTAGACAGAGGGGCGCGTGATCTGCTTTGTCCGCTCCAACGCGGGAGAGGGGGAGAGCGGGCATCAATGGCTTGCCTGTCAATTGTGACCTCAGACTAAACAATGCCCGGGATGAAGCAATGGCGTCTTTGAAGCGAGCAAGAATGGCGTGCAGGAAGCATGAAGCATCCTGAAAGACATCAGCTGGGATGCCATCTGGCAAGCATGCGAAATGGGGGCGAAAGGGAAGATTGAAGGACCCTTCTCCCATAATACTCGAGGGCCCTGGAGTCTGAGCACAGCGTACTGTGTAGGTATGCCAGAGATAGCCGCTCAGGACAGATGTTCATGAACGACGGGATTTGCGTGAGGAGAAGGCGGCGAAGTCGTCGGAGGATGGTACAACTGCGCATGAAGGAGGCTGGTGATTTGCTGACAGTAACCCCTAGACCACGGTCTCGCTACCCCCCTCAACAGCAAGCAACTCAATTTGCAGCAGTTCGCACCCTAAATTGTGCAGACTAGCTTGCTCTTGGGTCTAGCCGTCTCCGCATTTTGCGCATCTGCCATCCAAAGCCCCTGATCCTTGGCCTGGCCGTGCGAGCCTGCAAGAAGCCTCAAAGAGCGTCCATTGCCATGTCTGCACGTCCATCCTCTTGTCCTTCCTCTGTGATGAACGTCCTATCTTCCACGGCTTTTCAACTCTCTATCCGCTGGGAACTACGCCTCGCCTGTCCATCCACGGATTGCTCCAAGCTGTTTTGCTCCCTCGCCTTATATCGACTCCATCTTGCGACTGAAGACCATCCAGGGGTCACGAGAGCTCTCCGCGACCTTTGGTGTTCCCGTCGTCGCCAAACAAGACTCGAAGTGTCGAACCACCCGCCAAGCATCTGACTTCCAGCTGTCAGCCCATCCGTCATCATCTCCATCTCCATCCGCTTGTTGTTATTATCTCTACCAACCGTGGCCACAGCACAAGTATGTGCCATTCGTTGTAATAGTCGTGTGTTGTCTCCAACCCGGCTGCCATCCAGTCTGCACTCAGAGAGGCTTTCCTTAAGAGCTGGAACTGTGGCGCTCCCCCACTTGTCTGAGCGTCCTCAATCGCTTGTTGTTGTCCAAGGCTCTATGCGTCACCTGATGCCATAGTATAACCCATCTTTTTCTTCCACCATTTCGCGCAATTTGAAAGACTAGGGATAGATCGGTTCAAGAGTTTGGCGCTTTGTTTGGTCTGCGTTTTCAGGTATGTTTGTCGTGGAAGAGTGCGCTCGTTGGGAAACGCCCATACGTGTTCGCAGAGAGGCTTACGATAGTGCTCTAGAGATTTCTTGCTCCAAAAGCTGTTTCGATCTTGAAAATTGGAAGATCCTTGATTAGATTTTGGTATGTACCTCGTCTGGCTCCGTCGACGTTTTCCTAGTGGTTGCGCTTTGATGCCGTTATTTGTAGACGGAGCTTGTCGAATGCCAGAACTAACTTATCTTCCCCAGATTTCACTCCCCGTGATCTATAGACGGTCGGTTCTCGAGAATTTCGCGGGTCCGCATAATCGGTAGACATTCTGTATCTAGGTAAGCTCTTTTCTATTTCTACTGTTGTCGATTTCGGTCGTGTACGGCTTTTGCTGTTGTCGGCTCTGGGACGGGAGCTCGATCCGTATTCTGCTTCCATCATGGTATGTGTCCGGAATTTCGATATGGACCCTACTGCGCTACGTCCACCGGCTTGTCGTCATGTCTAGAAGCGCCTTGGACCAGGCCATGATGGACAACATCTCCGGGGCTCGAAAGCCTTGTGTATCGATTCTTGGGAGCCTTTCCGACTTCGACGAATGAAGTGGTCTCAGAGCCGTTGCAGGTAGTATGTAACTGTTGAAAGGCTACTAAGAGCTTGGACTCTATGTAGTCCGCCACCTCACATGGATGAGTGGGATACGAGATGCGTTTGCTGCCTGTCGTCCATGCGCGCCGAGATGACCCTGTCGCAAGACCCCATGTGTGATGGTGGTCAAGCGGTGCGTCAATGACACTTTGGCGCACCATTTGGCTCATTCCAGAACACCGGCGCGGTATTGTCGATATGGCCGCATCATCGCATTGATTGTGACAACAGTAACGATAATCGAGAGAAATGATAGAAGCACTGAGGGTGATGGTAGTAGTGGACATGGTGGTGTTTGAAGTCAAGAAGTCCTGCTGGGCCCCGTCGTATCCATTGCGGGTGATGAGAAGCTGCCGCGTCCGCCTTCACGTATTCAAGCTGCCAAGGCATAAAGATCTGCTTGCGTTTCTTGATGGGAGAACTGGTTTCGTTTTGATGGCTTTTCTATTATTTCATATCTCTGACTGAAACATGTGCATGGCAGTAATTCTATATTCCTCGAATACCCTCCGCCTCTGCAGCTTCGACAGCAGCGCAGAGCAACCTTGAAGCAACGACGCCACCCTTTCCGACATTTTCCACGGAAGGGCTCGCATTTGCACTGGCAAGCAAGACTCCTATTGTCAGATCCATCTACCCTCGGTCAGACCTGTCGACTGCTCGTTTGCCGTCTGCTCTTCTTGCGGGTTGTTCAGTCTTCGGCCTACGATAGCCTATCCTTCCGGTTTTTCCCACCGCCCCTGCGCTCTTCCTTATTGATCAGGAGTTTAGTCGCATGACCCCTTCGATTCCCTCACTACAACAAGTCGCACCTTTGTAGTGATACCGAAGGGAATCTTGAGCCAACAGCAACTCAGCCGTGACACTGCAAGGCTCTCGCCTATAGGCAGACTGTTTTTCTCCTTCTCTCCCTTCTTCCCATCCTATTCTTCCCCATTTACCGCATACACGACCCTCTGTCGCCTGCTTCCCTTCCTATATCCTTCTAAAGAAGGTCGAAAGACTTACACGCTGCTTTTCAGCACCTTCCTTACCCTAGAGTCCCAAACTTGCAAGTTTAGGCAACAGGAGAGTGAAAGCAGCTGCCTTTTTTGGCCCGTCTCCATCTCTCTCACCACCGGGCGACCTCGATCCCATACCCTCTCGACAACTTCAGAATACACAAGTAACGCGGACCTGCTGGAGCACCACCACCGAACCGCTCAGCGCGAGACAATAAAAACAGTGCTTCTAGGAGCTAATCGCGACCCTCCTTGATCCTCCTATCATATTCTTCCTCCTTTGCACATCTCAGTTCTATCGATATTCTTATTCCCCTTTCCTTTCACTCTTATATCATTCTCTCTCATCCATAAACGGTATCTTTATAGCTTCTCCATCCCAAAGCTATTCTTCCATCCCATACTCGACCGGAGCAATCTTACCAGGCAAAGCTGTTTGGCAATCATTCTTGTTCTCCGAAGCAGGTCGGACAGACGAGAACACAATCAGACAGGTGAGTTTCCTCCTGCTTCCCATCCAGGGACTCTACATCCCTTTACTTATGAAAAGAATGGAGCACTTACATGATCATCTATAGGCTTTCTATATCCAAGAGAACGCTCCACTTCGCCCCTGGAGAGTTGCTCATACCGCTCAGCCGAGAGCTTCACTCCTAGAAACTCTGGGGAGTAATATATACTACTATTCTCAAGCAGGTACGTTCATCCCAGACACCCTTAAGAAGATCAACCCTTTCCCTATCTTCGCCGTTATCATGGACGGGCAATACTAACCGCTTGCCAGTGACACAAGTACATATACTCTTTCGCAAGAGACTTCTTGCTGCATTCTTCAGTCATATCGTTTCACAGTGCTGCTGTGTGGCGCTCTGCAGGTCATTGCAAGGCCGTCGTGAATAAAGACGGCACCATTATTCTTCACGAAGAACAATACTAGGAGGTGCGTACTTGTTCCAGCTACATATTTGAGACTTGCTGACTCTTATCCTGTTCTAGAATCGGTACAATATGAGCAGTGCTACCTTTAAAGGAGGTCTGTCTGCAGGCGGGCCTGCCTTTACTGACAAAGCCAAACTTGCCATGCGGCGCCCGACTCCCGATAGCGATGTTCTTGCCTCGTCGGACGACGAACATACGCCCGTTGTCACTCGCCCTGCCCCTGCAAACCCGTACCCTGCAGGACGTCGTCCATCAAGCGGCTGGCTTCAGGATATCCAGCCAAACCGCAAATTCTCGCTTCCCTCAGTCTCCTTCGCGGGTTCTAACCCAACTACACCATCCTTGGAGTCTCCTCAACAAACCAGGCCGGGTACGTCTGGTTTTTCTTGGAACACTGCCTCCTTCACTGCGGTACCAGGCTCGGCAACTCGCCTAAAAGAGGTTGTTCCATCACCCACTTCGGCTAACCCAGATCGGCCACTACCTTCACCAACCAACATCGAGAGTGACGAAGGCATTAACTTCTTACTCAACCAACAGAATCCCATCCGAAAGTCTGTAAGATCGCAATCCTATAGTGTTGGGCAGGCGGATCTTGATAACAGTGCTGCTTTCTCTACCCGCCTCAGGTCCTCCCTTCGTCATCGTCCTTCCAAGCCCAGCCTCCTTGGTGACGGCATCGCGCAGCTCGCACAGCTACGAGAAGACGAATTTGACGAGATTGAGAGCTCGAACGGTTCCGAGCAGGGGATACGCCTGCCTCTAGGCTATTGGGAGCGCGAGCAAAAGTCGGCTCTCCTCAAGCAGGCTGCTGTTCAGAACGCAAGAGCACCTTACCGACCAAGTGCTTCACCATCAGGCCAGCGCAGGAAGCAAACCATGCCTCGCTCAAACACTGACTTCGCCATCGACGAGCTGGATCATGATGATCACCACAGCGATGCTCCAAGGTCCCTCACTCGTCGCTTCAGTGAGCATGCCACTGGCATGGTGTCAGGTGACCCGCTAGGTCGCCGTCATTCATTTGCTACCTACCCCAGCAATCCCCCAGCCCTTCAGCTGTCTACTCTGCCAGGCCATGACGAGGTCGACGAAGACCTCGTGTCTCCCCATGCTCAGCAGCAGCAGCAGCCGGGGTCGCCCGTCAATCAGGAGCCATTCGACCCTGCTTCTTACTTCGCAGGTTATGGGCCAGCTTCTCGCGCCATCAACGCGTCAGCCATCTCCGCTGCTCACCCGGCGCCAATTGCTCCTAACCCGCACACGGGACCAGCAAACACCAACCCTTATGCCGTCCCAGCTGTGATGGGTCGCCCAGGCCGCCGCCTGTACGTCGTCGTATTCAAGTGCTCCCGTGCTGAGATCTACTACACCTACGACAACACTGGTTTGGAGATTCGTCGTGGTGACCTTGTCATCGTCGAGGGCGATCGTGGCTGCGACCTTGGTCAGGTTAGCCATGCAGATGTTAGCATGGAGGATGCTAAGAAATACAAAGCTGAAGCTAGTGATGAGCACTACCGATGGCTCGTCATGTTCTCCCAGTACTCTTTGGCAGGAACCTCGAATGATTCCGGAATGCTTGGAGCTCTTGCTCGCGCCAACGGCTTTCCAAACAACATCAATCGCGGCGCTCTCACTAACCCTGGAACTGCTCAGGACCAGACTCAAGAGCTGAAGCCGAAAATGATCAAGAGGCTTGCTCAACAGCATGAGATTGCCGCCCTCCGTGACAAGGAAGGTCAAGAAGCAAAAGCCAAGCGGGTTGGCGCCCTCAAGGCGGCGGAGCACAAGTTCCCCATGGAGATCCTGGATGCCGAATATCAAGCCGACCACAACAAACTCACTTACTTCTATTATGCCGAGACCTACGTCAACTTCAACGATCTCGTCGTTGACCTGTTCAAACAATACAAGGTCCGCATCTGGATGTCGGCAGTCAACCCTGCTTCTGTGGTCAACCCGGCTGGCACAAGCCAGATTCAGCCTCCTTCCGCCATTGGCCCTGGTGCGATTCTCCACAATCGTTCCCCCAATTCTGCTGCCGCTGTCGGCCCAGGATTTGGGTCCTCGGCCAATGCCTTCCGCCAGAACAATCGCCAACAAGGTATTTATCCATCCCTTCCGTATACACATATCGAAGTTGCTAACCATATCTTAGGGCGCAACAACCAGAATGCTAACCGCGGTGCATACGACGAAGGAGGATACTACCCGTTCGCCAATCAGTTGCAGGGCTACCCTTCCCAATCTCAATATGGCATCAATCAGTGGGCTGCTACACCTCAAGGTCCCGACATGTTTGGTCGTTACCCTGGCTACCCTGGAAACGGTGGAACTCCATTGAACAATTTTGGAGGATGGTACCCGCCGGGAACCTTTTCGTCATCTCCAGCTTTCAACGCCTCAGCCGGCAATGCTGCCTATCGCAACGGTCCCCCCGCGAACGGTCCCGGTGCTGGTGGCGCTCAGCCAGCCTATCCGCCTAACCCTGCCGCGTCCGACTCATACAACAAAGCCGGAAATTCTGGTTCTACAAATGACGGCGGTGCCAACGGTGCTCAGGCATTCAACTACGGCAATGACTTTGTTTACAACAATCCGTATGCCTCTACCAGCACCGCAGGTGGCGCCTACGATCCTGCAATGGTAGCAGCTGCCTTGCAGAGCATGAGCTTCGGCAACTTCAACAATTGAGGGATTGGCACCAGTGCTTCGACTTTGGCAACAGTCTTTTGCCGATCCTGATCTCATTAGAATGAGTCACACTGGTTTTCGATTTCATGATACTTTCTTGGCCTTATTTTCTTCAAAGAACTGGCTACGGTATCACATGTTTGCACTGTATATTAATGGATTTTGCCACGGCCTCTTTGCCCATCATTCCTGGCTATAGAGGCATTTTGCTCATCAAGTCAGTCTGAACATCGACACCTTTTCTTAAAAGACAGGTATACAGTTCAGACCAAAAGACACACTTTTCTTTTCTGAACAGCGTTACCTTTTCTTGAAAGACAGGTATATCGGTTCAGACAAAAGACACAGAAGAGCTTTTTTCAGAGAGAATTTGCGCTGCTAATGCAGCCTCAATCACGGATTATGACATGCATCTTTCCCGGTTTTCTCAATCATTCCTGCTTTTCCAAAAGCTTCAGGATTTTTGAACTCGGTGGTGGATACATTTTGCGGCCTCTTTGGCCATCAGTATAGAAAAATTGCAATTGAGACTAAGAAAAATTTCATGGCTTTCACTTATTTGTTCGCTTACCTTTCAGATCATTCATTATGCATCACACAAATTGCACCGCTATTGTGATATATGGGGTCATTGCACGCGCCTTCCCTGCGTGAAGCTCTCAATCTGTTTGACAATCGCGCGGCCCACTCTGCCCACATTGCACAACACCATCGTTTTCCAAATCTACTACTGCTCACTTCACAAGATCCCACAACTAGATAATTTGGCTAGTCACGGGCCAGCCATGGCGCGTAGTGAAGTGGATGCGTCGATTCCGCAGCGCGCAAGGAATCAGGGTGGAAATACCACCACAGCGAAGAGTGAAAGCCAGTACGGAATCCCGCTCCCTCTTACACCACCGGGCGATTTGCTTACCGATCTCAATCTCAGACAAGTACTAGACCTGGGCCATGCCCTCCGAAGTCCTGAGAACGATGACAGCGAGGTCGAACAACTCCGTCAACAGATAAGTACGGACCGAAAGGAGCTTGGAGCACTCCTGCAGCAGCGCTATCAGGAAAGGTACGTCTACTTCTGCCTTCGACCCTCAGAAGGTCAGGCAACGTGATTCAATTACTTACTCTTTCATCTGGTCGCAGGGACGATGACTTGAAAGAACGCAACGAGAACTTCAAGAACCTTATCATGCAGGCACTCGCCGAACCACCACCACTCACAGGCAAAGGCTCCAATACAGTCAACTATCCTGGCACCTCAATCACGATGAACAAACACGGCATAACTGCTCACAAAGTACTGAACGACTCAGCTCGCTTGGTGAAGGAATACGAAAGATTGGAGAAAATGGTCACTCGTTTCAGCGAAAGCGATGATAATACCAGTTCCATGAAAGACCGAGAGCAAGAGATGGAGAACATCAGGGGCACTTTAGAAATGGGACGGAGGGTCGCATTGCGCAATGTGAAGAAGGTACTGGCAGGCACACCGCATCAAGATACCGATCAAGACGATGCAGACACAAAGGGAGAGTGTGCCAACCAGACAGGTGGACTTATGTTGGGGAAGGAGGTTCCCTTGGACTACACACTGGCTAATGCTCTGCAATATGCTGAGAGGGGAGTTAAGAGGATGGCGAAAGGGCTATCGCAGGAGGAAATGGATCTATGAGAGCATGATGGGAAGAGAAGAAAGTCGCGCTGCGCTGCGCATGTGAGTTGCGGCGATGGGAATCTGAATGGTAACACCGACTTCAATGTACGAGTATCACGATTCACCAGTAGCATAGCACAACAGTATTACGAGTAGTTAGGAAACAGTTATCTGATTTGACTTCGACTGGATGTTCTTCCGCGATGCCTCTTTCGACTAGTGGATATCCACGTTGTCTCTAACCACGCACTGACCATATCAGTGCGCTAAAAAGTCCGCCAAGATTTGTGCGTTAGTCAGCCACCCACAAAGCTCAATTTTCGCTTCGTGATTCTTCTCTTCGACAACGACAACGACACGCCGCCCAACGACCAGCCAAGGTAATTCATTCCTTGTTCACGACACAATACCACTCGATTTTATTTCTTTTACTAACGTTGCCACAGATGGGTGCCCTTAAATGTACGCAATTGCCATCTCCCCGAACCGCGACGTCTCGAGCAGAAACTGATCGATCACAGATGTTGAGGAACTTCAGAAGAAGAAGCAGTCGGATCTCCAGCGCTTTTTGATGCGCGTGCGCGTATGTATACGGATCGAGTAGAATTTTTCAGTAGCCATGCTAACGTTTCTTCGCAGTGCTGGGAGGTATGAAAAAAAAAATCCACAAACTATGGGCTTCGTCCCTATGTGATGATACTCGTTGAACATAAGCTGAGAGTACATCAATAGCTCCGCCAACTCAAGGTTATCCACCGTGCTAGCCGTCCTTCTCGCCCCGACAAGGCTCGCCGTCTTGGATACAAGGCCAAGCAGGGCTACGTTATCTACCGCATTCGTGTCCGCCGCGGTGGCCGCAAGAGGCCCGTTCCCAAGTACGTTACTCGATGTCTATATCGAAGGATTCATGATTGCTAACAATTTGCGTTTAGGGGTGCCACCTATGGTATGAAAAATCGAACGAAACGAAACGAAGAATCTGACTAATAATTGAACAGGCAAGCCCACCAACCAGGGTGTGAACCAGCTCAAGTACCAGCGTTCCCTCAAGTCCACCGCTGAGGAGCGTGTCGGCCGTCGCGCTGCTAACCTCCGCGTCCTCAACTCCTACTGGATCAACCAGGACTCCACCTACAAGTACTACGAGGTCATCCTTGTCGACCCCCAGCACAAGGCCATCCGCCGCGATGCCCGCATCAACTGGATCGTCAACCCCGTCCACAAGCACCGCGAGAGCCGTGGTCTCACCGCCACCGGCAAGAAGAGCCGTGGATTGGGCAAGGGACACAGCTACCACAAGACCACCGCTGGAAGGAGGAAGACCTGGAAGAGGCACAACACCCTCTCCCTCTGGCGTTACCGATAAATGCACTAAGTGGTTGGTGTATATGGTGGACCATCTGGTCGAAGCAGCTCTCAAAATGGAGTGGGGATGGTGTAAAATGGTGTCCTGGGCTATTTAGCTTCTTATGAAACACGTTAGTTTACGGCTGGTCAAGGCATCCAGAAAATCAAAATCGAGTGGTATTTCGAATTGCCTGCAAAGTTACTTGTCTTCTTCCGTCGTTGCACATGCGTGCTGTGACGTTGTGCGTGTGGTGTTAGTTCTTCTTGTTCAACTGTCTTGTCAGTGATGATGCTCCTGGCACCAAAATGCCCGGATTCCGCAAGGAACACATTCCCTCTCGGCAATCGGCAGTCTCATGCTATAAAGATCTTATATAAGGTGGCAGACCTTGTAATATCGCACGGCTGTGCCAGTAAATGCCGTGACTTGAGACGTCAGACTACGTGGTCCGCAAAGCCTTAGAGCCTTGACCGGCCGGCCAGAATGTAAGGCAGAAACTGGGTCATGGTGTAAGCCAGGGTCCTCCACCCTGTTTGTGGGGGAAATACGCAGTAGAAGAAACAAGCCAGACAGAAGATAGTATCTCCTTTAGAAAACCTCTCAGGCTACAAGGCAAAACCAGGGACCTCTTTAGGGTACGGTGCAGTGCAGTGGACTTGTCCTAGTTGCCGCTTTCGTTGCTTGTCGGGTAGCCCAGTGATACGCCTGGGAGGACAACAGCGCGGCCTTCTCTCGGCCCCTCCAACCCTCCGCCCGCCTAGTAAAGGTAGTAAAGGTAATCTGCTGTTGCTGCTAGTTACTGTATACCTGAACTATAACAACACACACCCGACCGATCAAACCAAACACACAACGTCTACACCCACGCCTGCATGCCAGCGAAGAGCAAAAGCAACCCAGTTTACCGCTACCAATCGCAGCCCATCCCCAGCACACTTTTCACCTCTACTTCAGTGCGCACCACTCAGATACGCCATGCTCCCTTCACTCTGACGTCCTTCAGCCTATCTCGAAATCCTGCGTCGGTTTATGTACACCATGCTCGTGAGACATCCACACGCACGGCCATCAATCATCTGAAGCGCTTCGCCTCACACTAGCGACACCAGTAAAGGCAAGTCGAGTCTCTCTAGGAATATGTCTGCCTGTGTTCGAGTCTAATAATATAAGTAACAGGTGCCTCGTCCATAACCTGCGATCCTCCCTTCCGATACTTCAATCGCCATCACCATGGTCCAGGCTGACGCCAGTCGGAATTACTACCAAGACTTGGGTGTTGCAGCCAACGCAGACGAAAGCGAAATCCGCAAAGCTTTCAGAAAGCTTGCACTCCAATATCACCCCGATCGAAACCCTGGGCGCGAGTCAGAGTTCGTGAAGAAGTTCCAGCAGATCCAAGCAGCCCACGAAATCTTGAGCGACGCTACGCAGAGAGCGAAATACGACCAGGAAAGGAAGAGATATCGAGGACTACACATCCCTCCATACAACCCAAATACACCGAGGGCTCGCCCTCCTCCCCCGCAGAGAAATCCTTATCATGCTACGACCAGCACGCCCAACGGATCCTATTACCGAGCTCCTCCTCCGAGACCTGCACCGCAAAGGCCACCTCCCCCACAACATCATACGACGTACACAAATGGAGCGGATCGCTTTACAAGCAAGAACTTTCGGGCGCCGCCAACCGCTCAGCAACCGAAGAAAGGTCAGGATGCAAACAACATCTTTACGGCATGGCAGAAGATGAAACAGCCTCGTGCAGAGGAACCACGGCCGCCGAACGCTGCTCCGCCCAAGAATGCCAATGCCTACAACCCGAACGGTGCTCCATTCGGTCGCAGTGCCAGCACAAGGACACCTCCCTCTAAGAAGGGGTTCAATCCTGCCACTGCTGGTGCCGATGAAGGCCAGGCACGTTCATCGTATCGATCAACTTACACGCGGCGCGCGCCGTCTCCGCCACCGGCTGCGGACCCACTGAAGAATTTCAAGGCCCAGATGGAAGAGGACATACCAAACGTGCCATACTCGGAAGCCAACAGAGTCAGGACGCCGTACTTTTCAGGGAAGACGGGGGAACGTACCTCGATGTTCGAAGGCGTGGGACGCTCAGCTAGCGTTCGGAATTCACCCACGCATGGCACCAGGCCCACTGGGGAAGCTTCCTTCTCGGATTCTGAGTTTCGGGCGCAACGCAACTCGTACAGTGGCAAGAAGTCTGAGCCGTTTCCGCATATGTATATTTCCTCGAGCGACGAGGACGAATCCGAAGCAGAGGTTTTCAGATCACCAACTTCATCGCGAAAGCCAGGTGCAAAGTCAAAGGCACCTCCTCCACCTCCGCCTCCGCCACCACCACAGCAGAGCCAACCCAGTTACCCTACGTTTGGAGCAACTCCAAATTTGTTCGGGAATAGTCCACGACATAATCAGACGCCTAGCAACTTCAAGAGCAGAAGCGAGGAGAGCATCAATGTCAAGTTCTCGCCTTCGGACTGGCACGGGAAGTTTGTGGGATCACCAGATTATTTCGCTGCCCCAACTGCATCCAAGGGACAGTCGAGTAAGGGTCGAACATCGCCTACTCGTGGCAGGACTTCGCAACGCAATGCAACAGATAGGAATGCCTTCGGAGGCCAGTCTCAGCCGCCTCCAGTATCACCCTTTTCACAGTCGCAATCTAACCCAATGCCACCTCCACCTCCACCTCCACCGCCGCTAGATGCACAGGACAAATTTGCTCCCGGCAGCTCATCAGCGCCGCAATCCGCGGTGTTCACACAGCACGACTGGGCGGAAACGTTCAAGGAACCCAGCTGGGCTTTCCCGCAAGCAAGCAAAGAAACTTCGCCGCGGCGCGGATCAGCCCCGACGAAGAGGCCCAAAGCAGCGAGTCGCAAGCCTTCCGCTGCGGCCAATGGTAACAGCAATCCGTCTTTATCAGATTCTTCGAGGCCGAAATTCCAAGCATTTGCTGAAGATGCATCGAACGGCGACGGAGATGCGATGGACATTGATTCGAACACCCCGCCAGTGGAGGCTAATCCGCCTACAGCACCAGGAACTGATCAGACTTTCAAGGCTGGAACTCCTATCAAGTTCAGTTCACCAGCTGGAGCAGCGTCGGGCTCGACGCCTAAGCAGCGCACGACCCGTACACGATCCGGCAGTCTACCTACCGGCACACCTCCAGCTACGAAGGCTAGCAAACACCAGAGCACAGGGGCTGGTCTCGACGGACTGGAAGGATTACGAAATGTCGAGCCGTTTATGCCGACCACAAGCGGTGGTCTATCTGGGCTAGGAAGTCTAGGAGACACATTACCTTTCCCATCGAAGCCATCTAGTTCACATCCCACGAAGCCAAAGGCTGCACAGAAACTCAAGTTCCCCGCCGTGCCAAGTGCTCCGCAACCACCAGCCGTGCTCGACGAAGCATCCACAAAGGCATACCTCAGCCAGATGCAAGCGTACCTCAAATCGTACCACGCCTACAGGAAGAGCATGAACGCCCACATGTTAGCCCGCGAGGCCGAACTAGAGTCCCTGGACTACAATTTCGTCAGCCAGCGCGGCGAGACGACCAAGAAGACGGGCTTCAAGAGCTACATGAACAAGATGCAGGAAGACGAGGGGGTGCTAGAGACGTGGAAGGTCGCGCAGGAACTGCATCTCCAAGCCCTGCAGAGGTGCGAGGAGGTGCGGAACAAGACTATGAAATCGTACGCTCAGTGAGAATAATACCTTGCATGCAATGCTGCCTTTGCTGCTGCTGCTATTGCCGTCGTTATTGGTTTGCACTGCGCAATTGGGATTCAAGATGCAGTTTTGCTTGCGTGGTTATTCGCGGGACTTCATATGCTAATGCCGTCGTCATCAGACAGGAACGATCCGAGACATGGCCAGCCGATGAGTTCCAACCCTCCAGCACCTCGAAGCTCGGGAGACCACCCAAGAAGAGACCGCGTACATGAATCAGATATCGAGGGCCCCCTCGACACTGGCAACATGACTTCACGCATTTCTCCAGTGCTTCCTGGCCACCGCGGATTATGCCACACTCATCTCCATCCCAACCCTTCTGTTCCCCACTCGCTCATTACTTGAGACTGGGGTCTTTCTTTCCTCTTTCGAAAGGGGCCTTTTCTTTCCCGAAAAGAAGCATGTTTTCGTACTCGGATTTTAAATACATATACTTAGCAAACCCCACGCGCGTTTTCTCGCGAAAGATACCCAAGGAATTCCAAGTTTCGTGTGTATGGAAGGTTTCTTCTAATTGATGCTTGAGGTTGTGTCTTCTTTTTGCGTAAATTATAATGGATACCGATTCAATCGATCAATCAATCAATCAACAAAGGGGCCGGTCGGCGAGTCTATTTGAGTGCCTTGCACGGGAGATAGGTGCCTGTGGAGTCTAACTATGTATGTGCAGAAGTGCGTGTCTGGCCAATTCATTGTGTGCGCGGTCTTGATCGTGCACTTGATAGATACATCTCTAGGTACCTATTAAGTCTACCATTTCTCCGTGTTGTAATGATAAATCAACCGCCAACGACGATACTTCAACGAATTTGATGATACAGTGTTTCTTGAAATGTGAAGTAAGCCAATGTATGTGAGGTGAGATGACATGAGATGTAGCCTCGTCCTCGTCCGAAGCGAACGGGGAGGACCGGCGGTGGATTGGATCCATGTTGGAGGTGTGTGTCATTTCGGTCGAGGTAAGGGGAGGACACATGGCAAGTGGGAGGAAGGGCATATTTCTGCATTTTTTTGTTCTTCTTTTTTCGTTTTGGGTTATCAGGGCGTTGGGTAACTAGTGCACACGGTATGTATGGTATTTGTGGTGTTGGATTCTCCAGGGCGTATCGAGGAATGTTGGGTGAGAGATCTGAAACAGACGGGTAATAGATGGGAATGGGAATGGGGATTGGAAGACGGGAATGTGGTTCGTAGTTTGAGGAAGGGATGACGATGGGATTTAACTCCGTAGTCTTGGAACAGATACGATTGATAAATCAATTTGTACTTCGTAGATAGAGGACAACATAAGAAGAGGTTGAATCGAATCTATGATGAGTTGTGCTATTTATTGAGTGCAACTAATTCATAATAAATCAATATAAATTTAGAGTACGAGAACACAAGTATGTATGTACAGTAATTTCCACCGTAATCACTACTGTACTCTACACATGGATGGTACAAAGTACGAAAGATAACACGGTGGATATGTGGTGGTGTTTATGGAGGACAGTGTAGCGTATGTATTGCCTTTGTACCAACGAAGGACTCAGGAGTAGGTGTAACAATATGTACATTACAAGCAACGAGAAACAGAGGGAGAGAATTCTAGGTCTGGTCTGGTCTGGACTCCCCTTAGGCTCTCCTTGCTCGCAGAAATCTGTTAATATACTAAGTCGTAGTCTAGTAGCACTTAGGAGGTAATTAGTATTTGCGCTGGCTGGCTGAATGCATGTCCATCCATCTGTCTAACGAAGAGCTGGGAAGCGAGAAACGAGAAACGAAACGAAACATTTGTTCTGTGCTGCCGTGCCTTTATTATTGAAACCCTGGCTTCGGCTTGTGCGATACTTGTATGGTATGACAAGTGACACTTTGACACCATTGACACACGCCTCATCTCATCTAATCCCCATCTTTCATCGCCCATGCACATCTTCATTCTGCGCTTTGGCAGATCTTCCGCGCTTTTAACTATGGTAACTCGTAGAACCCTCCGTAAACACAACAACAAACAAAACAATTGATACTTACTCGTGCAATGGTCGATATTCCCTTTCTCTCCAACCCGCATGCACACACAATATATCTGTATCATTCAGACCATAATTATCCACATACTCATGTTGCTCGTGCCTTTGATCCCCCACCCACCAATAGTTAACTAGTAGGTAACTAAGATAGGATGGAATCCCTGAGGAGATCAACCCTGTGTATACGCAATCAGCCCACGTACCAAGTCTACAACCCAGTTATTAGCAGTATGACAGTCCACAAAGACAGCCACAGCCGCAACGACACCATTCACTTCCGCAGAAGCCACCGTCGTGCCATCTCACCACCGTGCTTCCCACAGTACTCAAACACCTTCCGTCCCCCATGATTCCCTAAATCTTTCTCCCCAAAGACTCCCGCAACTGTTCCCCTATCACTTGTTCGCGCCTAAACCTCCACCAGAACTCGGTCAGCGATCGCAACCCTTTCAACTCTCCTTTCTCACCCTCCTTCTTCACCAAGCTGGAGGCCTAACGTCGCCAACATCATGGCACGCGGCGACGCAATGGAGGCGATGCCCATGTCGCCGCGACAGTCGCCCGCCGAATATGGCCATGCTGCCATTGCATGGTCGAGAAGCCGGAGGGGCAGGATGCTGCTATTGAGCGCAGCCTTTATATGTTTAATACTAGGTCTGGCAGGCGCCAGAAATTCAGAGGTAGCGTGCCTCCTTTCCGCAATCGAATCTACGCCAGTAGTGGTGGAATACGGGTGTGTACCATATGACAATATACTAAAAAGACATCCAGACAATATCCTCGAGCTATCATGCCCTTTCGTCTTCCTACCACCTCCCCTCATGGCGACCGCACCTTCCGAACCTCCCTTCAATCATATCCTCTCCGCTAAAACCCTCCAACCTAACAATCGAACTCGAGAATGGGGACATCGAGGTCCCGTCGCAGCTTAAGAAGACCACACCAAACTTCCACCTCCTCATGCCCGCATCCAAAGACGACCCCAACTTTTGCAAGACCACCCTGTCTGCAATGATCCTGAACTACCCCCCGGCAACTACAATGAATCTGTTTGCGAACTACGAGTCGGCCCTGGATAGAGAGAAGGCACAGCTCAAGCAGGTGTTGGACTACCTTAAGAACAAGCTCTGGGTAAAAGACGAGGATCTGATTCTCCACGTGGATGGGCAAGACACATGGTTCCAGCTACCAAGCGATGTGCTCATTCGCCAATACCAGAACGTCTTGGCTGATGCGAACAAGCGCATGCTGAATAAATATGGTGTCGACCGGGACGGGCTGCAGAAATACAACGAGACGATCATTTTCGGTGCAACAAAGGTCTGCGAAGGGGAGGACATGGCGTGCTCGTACGCGCCGGACTCGTTGCTTCCGTCGAACATCTATGGCGAGAGGACTGGTCAAGAGAAGGCGCTTACACCGGCCAAATACCTGGATTCGCACATGTTCATCGGCCCGGCCAAGGATGTGAGAGCTCTGTTTGAAGCTGCTTTGAAGAACTTCGACGGCAGGCATAGTTCTCTTGGTACTGCGCAGTCCGTCTTCGCAGCCATGTTCGGCGAGCAGCAGCTTGCCCGAGATAATTCGATGTCTGGGTCGTCACAGTCGCAATCTGCTTCAACCGGTACCGAACCCAAGGCTTCCACATGGCTTAACTGGTTCGGTGGACCTATCACGACTTCCGATGAGAGGACGAAGAGGGCCGACAATGCAGGCGCCGAGCAATATGAATTCTCCATCGGCCTCGACTACGGACACATCCTGTTCCAGCCGTTCAGCTACAACGCCGAGGAAGAGTTGGTTCCTCTCCCCCACGACAACTCCACCGACCTTTCGCTCTACCACCGTCAAGGCACGCCCACACCACCCCTCCATCTTCCCACCGCCCTCGAGAGAGCTATCCCGCCATTCTGGGTCAACGACCTCTCCTCCCACAACCCACGGCCCCAGAACGTGAAAGCGACAGAAATCGAGCCTCTCCAACACCACAAGGAACTCGACAAACTAGAGCCCCGCGACACCCCCTGGACCAACATCCGCCTCGTCCAAAACACCTACACCGGCTCCATCCCCTCCATCCTCCGCCTCAACCGCGCCGACACCGACAATAACCAGCAGCGCCAAGCCCAAGATACTCCCGACTCCATCCCGACCGCCAAACTCGCCTGGTCGGACCTCTGGTACGCTCCCTACGCGCGCGCGCTCCTCCGCAAAGCCTTCCGCACGCCCCAGTCCCCCATCGGCTTCCACAACGCAGCCGTGGGCGGCGACAACATGTGGGACTCGCGCGGCGGGCGCGGCGGCGTCTGGACCATCGCCGACACCCTATGGTACCCGTGGGGCGAGGTCGACGGCGTGTGCGGCAAGCTCGACCAGCTGCGCCAGGTCTTCGACGACAAGAAGGGCGTCTGGCTGCACGAGACGGATCCGGACGGCGACAAACATCGCGTCGAGGCGCTGGCGGAGTTCGAGAAGAAGGTCAAGGAGGCGAAGGACAAGGACGACAAGAGGAAGAAGAAGGCGGAGGAGGAGGAGAGGAAGAAGAAGGAGGAAGAGGAGAAGAAGAAGGGTGGGAATAGTAGGGTGAGGCGGTGGTTGGTGTGAGGTTTGCATTTGGTTGATTCTTTTCTTCGCTCTGATGAAGTTTCTCTTTGTTGAACGTCACGTCACTTCTCGTGTACATAAAAGCCCGCGCACCATCCAACTTCTCTACCTTTCCGTTCGGCGCTTTGGGGGTTTGGGATGGGAATGTAGACATGGGGTACACGATGCCCCTTTCACATAGGCGTTCTTTTGGGTTTTGCTTCGGTTGGACCGCCCAGTCGGTTGGCGTTGATGGTGTACTTCAGAACGGTTCAAGGTATGCCTAGATATGATGTCCTATCGAAATCTATCTATTCGTCCATGCATCTACATTCATCTTTTTCTTCCATTCCTATGGGTTCTGCGAACAAGGCAAGGCGTGACGTCTAATAACTCCTCGGTAGCCCGAGAGCCTTCTCGGCTATGTAGTTCATTATCATTTCCTAGCCATCGATTAGTACCTTGACTTGACTTCATTGACGAAGTGAAGGGATAAGGGAGGGGGGAAAAGGGGAAGAGAGCGTTAACTCACCCTGCTCACAGGCGCAATCCGCGGCACAAACACCTCCCTCAGATACCTCTCGACGTGGTACTCCTGCGCGTACCCCATCCCGCCGTGCGTTAGTACCTATCATCACCACCGTCAGCTTCCTCTTCCCTCAAATCTTCGCAGTTCAACTTACCGCTCTCTCACAAGCCGTAAACGCCGCCTCAGCCGCCAGATACTTCGCCGAATTACACGCCACGCCCACCGCATGCTGCGACACCCCCCCACCCCCCTTCTTCCCGCTCTCGTCGTACAGCCTCGCCGCGTGGTACGTCGCCAGCTTCGCCGCCTCGAGGTGCATGTACGCGGACGCCAGCGGGTGCTGGATACCTTGGTTCTGGCCGATCGGGCGGCCGAAGACGACGCGGGAGGAGGCGTAGGTGGCGGCGCGGGAGAGGGCGGCGTAGCCGATTCCCAGGGCTTCGCCGGCGAGGAGGCAGCGTTCGGCGTTCATGCCGTGGAGGACCTTGAATCATCCCCCCATGGTTAGCCGTGGGTTTGATGGGTGGTGGGTAGGGGGGGAAGTACGATTTTGAAGCCCTGGCCCTCGTTTCCGATGAGGGTGTCTGCGGGGATGCGGTAGTTGTCGAAGAAGACTTCGTTGGCGTCGATGGCGCGGCCGCCCATCTTTTTGATCTTTTTGAGTTCGAGCCCGGGAGCGGATTTGTCGAGGTCGATGAAGAAGAGGGAGAGGGATTCTGAGGGTTTTGTGACGGATGAGAGGGGGGTGGTGCGGGCGAGGAGGACCATTTTCGTGGCGACTTGTGCGGAGGAGATCCATCTGTTGGGAGGAGTGTGTTAGTTGAGGGGGTTTGGAGAGGGAGGGAAGGGGGGGAGGACATTTTTTGCCCGCTGATGAGGTAGCTGTCGCCGTCTTTCTTTGCTGTTGTTCGGAGCTTGAGGGTTTCGAGGCCGGTGTTTGGTTCAGTTCTGATGGGCGTTAGTACCAAGGCAAGGTTTGGATGGATTGGGTTTCGTTACACTCCAAAGCACGTTCGATCTTCTCCGGCTATCAGTTTCGGGAGCATACGCTTTCTTTGCTCTGGGGTCGCGAATTTGGCTACGGGTTGTGTTGCGTAGACGTTTGCGTGAATCGATTGAGCGCCGGCTATGCCAGCACCGCTCCTTTCTGGTTCTTAGCAATTGGATTTGGTGGAAGGATTCAAGCGGTCGAGCGTACTCTGCAATTGTATGGAGCATCATCGTGGCTTCTGATATGCCCAGGCCGGCGCCGCCGAGTTCCTCAGGCAAGGCGATGCCTATCCAGCCGTCTTTTGCGAGGTCTCTGTGAAGTTCGTGGGGATACTCTCCAGTCTCGTCACGTTCGGCCCAGTATTCCTGGAAGATCGTTGTCAACATATGTTTCTCAGAAAGGACCATGGGGGCTACAGACATCGGGGTAATTGGCGCATATCTTCGAGACAGCTTCCCGAACGTCTAATTGCTCGGGCGTGAATCCTGACATCTCCATTATGCGATTGGGAGTCGACACTGAGAAACATCTCTTTCTTATACATGCTGCTGCTACATCTCCCGATATGCGGCGGGACGCATGTCGTAATGTCGACGTTCTAATAGCTCTTGACATTATGCAGGACGCCATGGTTCTCAATTCCTGGCTAGAAACTCTGACTTACAGAAAGTGTGTCTGGCAACTTGAGATTGAAGGTGACTGTGTTGTCGTTAACTTGGGCTCAATAATGACGATTGATGTTGGTTCGCTCGGTAATATGAGGGTTGAGCTAATCCGAGCATTTAGATAGCCGGGACATAGCCTACACGGTCACATGTTGTCGGTGGATAGCTTTTGGTGGAGGTATGTCATATAGTCGAGTGCTAGGTTTAATAGGGAAATGATAGTATTGCAATTTCTACATGTTCAGTGTGCATTAATTGTTGCATTACTTGCCAGCTGTTGAGTAAATAAAGGCTCTGAGTTCATAATGAGATACTTCACACTTAAAGGAAAAAATACTGTGATTCTCCATGATCAGATACAGGGATGGAAGGTTGAAAATCGTGTTGGTCGTGGGTCAGAAACACTCAATAAAATTCGCAAATATTGACTGCTTCGACGAGCAGGCAAATACAAGCATGAGGTGAGTGATATCTGGTCGAAAGTCATTCGTCATGGCGAGACCCGATTGGGATAAAAGCTTGGCAACTACGCACGGACCCAAAACATTGGAAGGTGTGGAGCCAAAACACTGACCTACAACATCCTCGAACACACACTCCCACCTCCACAACACACAACACATACCAGCTTTTTGGCAATCCTCACATTCTTGCCACGACTCCTCCGCGCGATGAAAAGCTAGTACCTCCCCTTTCAACACTCACATTTTGACCTTACTCACTTTGCACTCCGCGTGCAACGCGTTGTTTTGGTCCCATCCTCCACGTCCCCACGCATCTTCACCTTCGCGATGGCTGCCGCTCGTAGCAAGGCCCCGGCCATTGGGTCCGCCCAATGGATTCTCGATGAGAGACATCAATCAAATGATTTAGTAGCGCAGGAGGCGGAAGATTTTGGCTTCACGGTGCGCAATGAGCTTGAGTGGCTCAACGAACACATGGCGGAGATCTTCGCGCACAACGGCCAGTAAGGACGAAAACAATCCCGTCTGTGAGCGCCTTTGTTTACTGATCACTTCTGCAGGAACAACCTGGATGTATTCAAGACACCCGGCAAGTTGCGCGGAAAGACGCCTCGTACAGCGCGCAAGAAGGCCATAGAGCAGCGTCAGGTATGTTGTGCGCGATGCTTTTACCATTTTCACAACTGACATTTGTAGCCACTTGGCGACATCTTCTCGCCCAACTCGCAAGTTCGACCCAGTCCCGCTCAGCAAAGCCTTAAGAACCACATGCAAAAGGCCCCGAAAGCAAGATTCCAGATCGCCGAAGATTACGAGAACCTCGCTCCCATCCGATCACCAGTTGCCCCAGTTGCCCAGTCGCCTGTCCGACAGCTCTTTTCTAAGGCTTTGGGCAAAGGCAAAGAAAACAGAGATTCCCCATACCGCGCAATCGCCCGCGTAGAAGAGACCGCGGCTCAGCTCGACCTCAACTCATTTCCCGCTCCTCCCCAGTCCAGCCCTCTCCGAGCAACACAAGACACTGCAGTCAGCTCTCAGGCCGAGACCGTATTCACCCAGACCGGCACACAGTCTACTCAACAGACAATCGCCACCGAGTCTTTCCGTCACTCTCTGCTTGTCGAGGAGACCGAGCGACGCGACACGGGTGACTCATTTGTTTCTGCCAAGGAATATGGAAGCAAGAACGCGTCCAAAGAGAATTTGCGCGCAGTTTTTGATGACGACGAAGCCGAGGACGCGATCGACTTGGTCGGTGACAAGATGGATATTGATCAGGATGATGCTCAAGACACCATGATTCGTCACGAAATCAGCTCTGCCCAAGGTGATGATACTGCTGTTCATCACGAAGTACATGACTCTGCACCAACACCCCGAGTGGAGTCCGAGACGTACACCATTTCAACCGAGACTCACGCTTTTACGAAAACCGAATTTGAACGAGTTTCCAGCCCAGCTATGAAGAGCGCTCTCGGATCCGACCAGGACTTGGAGATTCCAGCAGAGGACAATGCTATGGACGATACTGTCGTTCACCACGACATTGAAGATCAGATGGACGTGGATGACGATGACGACATTCGATCACCTTCCGATCACTCCAGCCCCGTGAAGCTTGTTCGCAAGAGCAGCCTCACTTTTGCGTCACTCCCTGCCCGGGAGCCGCTTCTAGCGAAGAAGAGCATGGGCAACCGTAACTCTCGCACAAGCCACATCGATCAGACCAAGGTTCGTAACAGCAATCTCGGTAGATTCACAGGAGGAAAGAGCCTAGGTGGCGCCCAATACACTCAATCCGCTACTCATGACGACGAGATGGATAACAATGAACGCCCCGAACTCAAGAATGAAGAATCGGAGGCCACCAAAATGCACAGCCACGCGTACACCAAGAGCATTAAAGACAGGATCAACTTGCTCGGCCAGGATAATGAGCCCCCAAAGCGAGTCAGCCAGAATGTCAACCTTTCCCAGTCTTCACAGCCCGTCCAGGCGCAGAATCCAGCTCCTATCCAACCTCCACAGTATAAGCAACCCGCTTACCCCCAACTCCCAGCAGAGGATATGGACGTGGACATGGACAAGGACGACGAAGAGGATGATTGGATCTCTCCCATTCGACCCACTCCCGCTGCCAACAATGCCAGGCCACCTTTCGCAAAGAGCTATTCTGCCGACACCCAGGCTACTGCTACGAAGACACCAGTTCTTGCGAAGCCGGTAGCTGTATCCAACCCGAATCTCCCAGCAGCACCAACAACCACCACGCCATTCGGTTCACCTACTGGTAAGAAAAATGTGGATAACGGCCCTATCAGTGCGTCCAAGGCTAAGCTATATTCTGCCCTCCGCGCAGCCAAGGGCATTCTCATCGGTTCAAGTGCAGCAAGTGCTCAGGCGAAGTTGGACGCTCTCGGTGAGAGCCCAGCTCGCCCCAAACTTCAAGCACAGAGCTCGTCCGAAGACATCTTCAGCAGCCCTAAGCGCACGGAGAAGCCTGGATTGTTTTCCCATTTGCGCTCCCCATCAAAGGAGTCACTCAGGTCCAACAAGTCCAAGGTCGCAACAGTGCCGGGAAGTCCTGTCAAGGAAGAGACCCGCCGCACTCGCAGTTCTTCGGAGCGCGAGAGGTTGAGGGAGAGAGAGATCAAGGAGAGGGATGTGAAGGAGAAGAATCGTGCTGAGGAGCGTTTGAAGGAAATGCGTGAGCGTGAGCAGTCCAAGGCGGCCGCTCATTATCAGAAAGCGAAAGCGACTGCCAAAACGCCAGTCGCTGCACCTCCTCAGAACGTTCAGCCATCCGCAACCGCGTCTACAAAGACCCCCGTAGCCCAGCAAGGGCCCTCTCGACCGGGTACCACACGAATGAACACTGCCCAGCGCCAGGACCAGGACTCAGGTGATGAGATGCCTCCACCCCCACCGCCAAAGAGCTTCCTGCCGACTGGCACCAAGGTCCGAGAACCGAGGCGCCTAGTAAAGGCCTCTAGCAAGGACACGTTGTCGAGGGCTAAGCCTCAGGCTCCTCAAAAGATTCAAGTCAATCTCCATCAAGGTCATTTCCCTCAATCCTCCCGTCCAGCTTCGCGAGCTGCAACACAGGCACAGGCACCGGCAACTACCAAAGCTGCCCCATCCGCCAGACCTGTTCCTGCTGCAGCCAAACCTGCACCGACTATGTCCAAGCCATTGGCACAACCCAAGTTTGCACCATCTGCTTCGAAACCAGCTCCTCGAATTGGCCGTCCCCAGGCTCCTAAGGCTGTAGAGAAGCCAAAACCTGCTCCTACTCAACCACGTGCTGATCTCGGCACCTCGCGCCCTGTAACCAAGATGCAGACTGTGCAAGACCCAAGCCGTATCAATATTCCCCCCGTCAACCCAGCGAAGCCAGCCAAGCGTCCGTTCGCAGCGGAGAAGGATGAACCTCTTCACAGGCCAGCGAAGAGGCCATCGCAGCAGGCGAAGCCGAAGACCGTCCCTATGACCCCGGCACATGCACAGTTTGCGCATGGAAAGATTCCATTTGCGGAGCCTTCCCAGCCCGCCCAGCCTGCACCACCTACCATCCAGTACCCCAACGGCGAGGACATCAAGTTGCCTGACGTTATGACTGATTCTGAAGATGAGGACTCCGATAACGAATTTGAGCAACCATCCTGGGTGAATACACCTAACCTTCGTGAGATGTTGGAGCAGCAACAGCTCGTGGATCCGGAGGCCGTCTTCGGACCCATTGCCCCATTGAACATGGAGCAGGTCTTCCCCAACAAGGAAAGGCACAAGAAATTCCGCGATCGTACAAGCAGTGCATTCTGGGGCAACGACCAGGTCACCGAAGAAGAGAAGCGAAAGGAGCGTGAAGGTCGCGAGCGCATTGTTCGAGATGGCGCCTGGACGTACAACCCGTCCCCACGACCTACTCCTCGGCCAACAAAGTTGCGCTGATAGCGTAAACCCCAAGTCACGACGTACAAACGATCAACGGAAATAAGTTTGGCGAAGAAGGCGTAAAGTTTGTGTAACGAAATGGATTGTTGGGTGGGTTATGCCCTCCATTGGGATTTTGTATTTTGCATGTTCATAGCCCATACGTTGGCTGTGTCAACAACATCACTGTTTATAATAGGCGTTTTTATGGGAATACTCTGACCGGGATGGTCACGAAACGGATCGATTGGCGTTCCGATGTTTTGAACAGGCTTTTTTTTCTTCAGAGGCGTTCCAGGGGATTTTCTACTGCTGCATGGTTTGCATCAACACACCTCTTCATGAGCGCTAGCAATGGGTATATTGCGAATGATAACACCGATCAATGATCACTTTTCGAATTTCAACTATCGATTCCAATTGCAATCGTGTGATGTGCTGATCGAACTTGACATTCATGTGGTATGATCTCGCTCACATACACATCGACCAAGACCACTTTACCTTTCCTCTCGCCGCGCAACACCCCAATGCAATAAATCAAATCACCGAATAAACTAATAAACCCCAATCTGATTGATGCGCAGTAAAGTCGTGCGAGTGTAAACGGTTGTGGCACCTTCGAACGAGCAAGGTTTTCCATCCTGGTGCGACTGTCCCAGCAATGGACATGAATCGGACTATCCGGGGGAGCTGCGGCGGTCGTCGGTGGAAGGTCGCTTGGTCGTCGGATGGCCGCTATTTTCGACACATTTCCCTTGAGTTGCCGCATTAGGTAGGTTGAGCTTCATCTGCGCCGCATTGCTGACTTACTCGCCAGGTTCCAACCAATAACCAGACAGGATGGTGGACTGAATCGGAATTGTTATTGGGCTTTTGGGAAAATTTCGACATCCGAATATCATAATTTTCTCAAAGGTCAGATCATTTGTAGAGTGGAATGAATATGATGTGTTATGCTGATGGTCAAGAAGAGTTGGCTTTCTGAACGTTGGAAAGGGTTGGTGTGGTCAAGCTTTGCATTACAGAAAAGTCAACATCAAGAAAGGTGACGAGTAAGAGTGACGGTGTAGTATATATGAATCGATTAAAATGATGTTGGCCTCCTTCTTGTCCTCTTAACGACGCCATAACTCCCAAGTTCTACACATAGTGATCGTGATCGCATCGCACATGGACATCCAGCTCATTCATCATAAAAACACCCAAGTACAGACATGAGTCTTAGAAATCTAGCACTACCAAAATGAAGCGTTACCAAAATGAAGCGTGAACAGGAGGCTGACATCCCTCTTAACGCCTACCCCAGACGCTATCCTCTTGCCTCTTCGGCTTCAATCCCAGACTCCCCGCCTTTCTCCTGGGAGCCGTAGACTCGTAAGTTTGACTGTCTTCCCCATAGCCGGATGAGTTGACCATGTTATCGAGAACCCTTGTCCGGGCGAAGATGTTAGCTTCGCTGCCGTCATCGACGTTCTGATGGTCGTACTCGGCGTCGCGCTTGAAGAGGGCGAGGATGTCCTTCATGCTGAGCTTGCCGATCGCCTTACCGCCTTCTATGGCGGCTTCGGCGAGCTTTCGCTTGGCTTCTTGCAGCTCGAGGATGCGCTCTTCAACTGAGTTGTGGATTGAGAGACGATAGACCGTCACGTCCACGGTTTGGTTTAGACGATGGACTCGGTCGATGGCTTGCTCTTCGACGAACTAGATCAAATTAGCATACTCGTTAGACTTGCGGAAAGAACACATAACATACCGGATTCCAGAAAGGTTCCATGATGACAACTCGACTGGCAGCTGTCAAGTTCAAACCCAGACTACCACATTTCAGACTGCAGAGGAGGACGCGAGTGCGCTTGTCGTTTCGTAGCTTGTGCAAGCTGGCTTCTCGGAGGTCGTTGCGCATACTGCCATCGTAACGAGTGAAGTTGTAGCCATTTCGACGAAGGAAGGGTTCGATGAGGTCGAGCATCGACGTGAACTGGGAAAACACGATGACTTTATGTTCGGGAGTGTCTTTCTCTAGGATGGACAGAAGTTGTCGAATCTTAGTTGACGGAGTGATATCAGACGCGTTGTACTCAATATCCGATTGCCCAGTCTCTGTGTCTTCTGATTCTGACTCGGAGTCGGAACCTTCGGTCTCGGAATCGCTTTCTGATTCAGAGTCGTCATCAGAAGCGATATTGTAGACTTTCTTCTTCTTGCTGAACAATCTTCTCTGGGCTGGCGGAGCTTCGTCTTCGCTGTCAGTATCGTGGACAATGAACGAATCATCCTTCTTTTTCGAAGGTGTGCCATCGTCTGCAGACGCAAACGAGTCAGAATCAACAGATCCGAGAGTATCCCCTCCACCATCTGCATCTTCATCATCCGTTCCACCAGCCTTTCCTAGGTTGGCATCTCGTTGGTCTTCCGGCACTAGCCATTCGCCCTCTTCTTCGTCATCGCTATCTTGGATTACTGGGCGCTGCCTTGATGATTTTGCGGGCTTAGTCTTGACCGGCTCTTCATCATCTGAATCCGACGCTCCGTTGGCTTCTGAATTCTGCTTTTTATGTTTGCGATGCTTGTGCTTGTTGCGTTTCTTATGTTTCTTCGACTTCTTGCTGGACTCATTCAGATCATTCTCACACTCATCGCACCGGATTCCCCCGGACGTCGCGTTGTTCTTGTTGAGTGTGGTCTGACAAACATCACAGCGCTTGGTCTGTACGCTCAATCCTCCCATCAAGGCAGCGAGATCGTCGTCATCTGTTTCTCGCGATTTCCGAGGGGTCTGAGGGCCCGACTGAGGCTTTGAGCCTGTTGTCAAAGCATCCTTGTCGTCCTTCACGTTGCTTCTCGTCAGATTGGGATGATTGCAAGCTTGTCGCAATCTAAGCAGCAGAACGAGAGCTCCAATGTAATCCTGCTTTTCTCCTCCCATCATCTCTGCAAGCCGGGATTCGGCGCGATTGGACAAACGTTCGTAGAATTCTCTTTCTTTGGCAGTGAACGAGCCAATGACAGTCTCCACGTTACGCGCAACAATCTGGAAACCGCCTTTGTTTTCGCCATCTTTGCTCTTTCCACCGAAGTTGAGAGCACCTTCCTTCTTGAGAACTTCCTTCGTCCGCCTCTTCATGAACGCCTTGAGGAAGATCTGTAGACGCCTCATGGCAAGATTTCCACGATTGTTCTTCATAGGACCTGTGATCGAGTCTTTCCAATTCGCCATTTCGCAGTACGGTTGAATGCGTAAGAACTTGATCAAGCTCTGGAGTTCATCGAGGTTGTTTTGCATCGGTGTACCTGTTAGGCACCAGCGATAGTGTGATCGCACACCGTAACATGCCTTTGTCATTTTGGCGTTCCGATTCTTGATAGTGTGTGCCTCATCAAGAATTATTCGGTACCAGTGAACTGCGAAACAGCCCTTCTGGAGGGAGTCGGCCCCCTCTCCACCAGCTGCATGCTCAGATGCCAACACTTGGTAAGTAGTCACCACGACATCGTAACCCTTCAGCTTTTCCGCCGATTTCGTACGATTGGGGCCATGATGGACTAGAACCTTGAGACTATGGGATTTGAGCACCTTGTCTCCAATCTCTGCCTCCCATTGCTTGATAAGAGCAAGAGGAGCCACAATTAGTGTTCCTTTGCCGACAGTAGGAAGGATCTTGTTTTTCTTGTTCTCAGGTTCAACATCCTTAGGTGGTCTAGGGTTTGATAGAATCAGAGCAATAGACTGGATCGTCTTTCCAAGACCCATATCATCGGCAAGGATACCTCCTTTGGGGAGTTTTGCCCTTTTGTTATGCATGCCAGTCTCTTTTTCGATCATCCAGGACACACCATCGACCTGATGTGGTAGAAGCTTCACCTTCATGCCCTCTACGCTACCATCATCCTCCTCATCTTCATCCTCTTCCGGCTCCACTTCTGGCTCTGGATTCTTCTCTTTCACATCGAGAGCCTGTAATCTTGCGGCAAGTGAAGTCGCGATATCATCTTGTTCCTTCTGTTGCTGTTTCTTCTTGCGCCCTCGGGTGCGTGGAAGTTTTGCTTCTTCGTCATCATCGAAAGCCCCTTCGAGGAGAGCCTTTATGTTGTCGCTGGCTTTGGCTTGATCAACATACGCATCCAGGTCGGGAGCGCCAAAGCGGTACCCTTCCGAACGTATTGCTGCGTCAGGATCGAAATTATCGTCATCCAGTATCACCGTCTGGCGAGATCCATGGGAATGTAGGGGGTTTATGGGATTTACGGGTTGGAAGCTAGTATCATGGCCCATAGAAGAGAACATGGGACGTGCAGCGGGCTGTATAGTCGGCGCCTGATAGGCTGTGGGCTTGTGGACAGGGACTCCCTGATAAGGCTGGCGTTGCTGGAATTGACGAGCCGGAATCTCGACTATATCAGAAGCGGTTGAAGAGCTTGTCCCTGGGCGTGAGGGCACCGAAGTTCTTCCCGTCCCCGTTGCATTGTTACCCAAGTTGAAAGCTGGCGGGGCAGTACGCTGTTGCTCGCGATGGTGCTCTGGCCTTGACTTTCCAGGCTTCGGCACATTGAAAAGATGCGCATATGGGTCTCTCTTTGGGTCCTTGCTCAGTGGATTCCTGAGCGGACTTGCTTTGCCAAATTCTGGGGTGTTGTCCTTGAGTGCCTTCAGACCCGGTGCCGCAGCGGCTGGTGGAGCCGGAGGGGCCTGCTCTCGTTCTCGAACCATTCTTCTCGAACCGGTAGGTACTGTTTCGTATCGGCGAGGAGGCGAGGATCTAAGGGGCGAAGATGCAATGCTCTCGCGGTCGTCGAACAAGGAACTCGAATTTCCTAGCACGTCTGTTTCCGTTCGGTCGCCAGCGAGCGAAGAGGAGGCGTATGAGTCTTCGCTAGCTAGAAAGCTCGAATCTTCTTCTGAGTCTATAAGGTTGATTACGGTAGGTGTCTTGGACGTCTTCGGTTGTGTTGTTGTCGGGCGGGGGTTTGAGGGGCCCTGGAAAGAAGGCTTTTGCGGGGAGGACAGTGTATTGAGCGGGCGGAAGGGACCGCGGTGTTTTCGAGGGCTTTCACTCATGGAATAACGCCTGCGGCTTCTCAGTTGGTGGTCGCTATTAGGGTCAGAGGATATTGAGTCTTAGAAATTTCGAAAAGTATCTCAATCATATTATTTGAATATTCACTGTGTTGATCCGCCACCAGGCTCCAATCAGCGCCAAGACCCTGGTTGCTCAGCAACCAGAACGCGTCATGGTTGCTTTCACCGTCACGAAATCACGGGATCAATCAATCTCCATACTGCCAATGAGAGAATCCAGGCACGCATCTTCATTGCGGTAGATATCATGTTCCGAAGACTCCAATATTGATCTATCTTGCTCACTGAAAGAATGTAGATACAAGAAACAGTCAAAACCGCCCCCCGCTAGGCTAAATACCTAGACAGGATTCGTCCCATTAACACCATCCTCCCCCAATTGTCAAGACATTGTTGGTCAGATAATGTAGATCTGACAGCCATATCGATCTCCTCGTTCAAGCCTCATCCTTCCCCTTCAAACCCTTCATACTGATACCCCCAAGAACGAGAGCGAAGATCGCTCCGCCCGCAAAAGCTGCACTTGGGATTCGTCCCAACGTTCCCGTCGCCAAAGCAAATGTGACACTGCCCAAGTCGACTGCATCAGAAGCCATGTTGGCCCACAACGCCCTCTTGATCTCTCTCTTTCCACCATCCGCAGCGGTCTTATCTTCTGCGGTGTAGAGAAGTTCTCCTAGAACCACCTCGCGAATGCCGAATAGACGCGCCAGGACGCCCGCAGTGGCCGGGAGTGGATAGAAGAACAGAGCGCAGGTCCAGCGTGGAGCAACGAGAGTGGAAGCGCCCAGCACTATGCGCATTACTGAGAGCGTTTTCAGTGTACCGGATGCGAGAGGTGTCAAGGATTCTGGTGTAGGATTGTTTTGGAGCTTGGGAGGGAGCAAAGGCTCAGTTGAACCGCGAGCGTTCGTTGATGAAGCCATTGTTGATCGTGATAACTGGGCGATCTTGAAGCAATATAATGTAATTTTTTGGTGGTATGAATAGCTTGTTCAATGAGGTCTTGGATAGATTGTCTGGGCAGCTGAAGTGGTACACTTGCTGAACGCCATCACGCTGCCTCTTTATGTATCCTGTTCTCTGGCGTAGAGATGGAACATAATGCGATCAAAGACTCAAAATTCCATAGTTACAAGTCTACCGTAACGTGTTGCTGAGCAAATCCCTCCGACCCCGAGCAAACAGGCAACAACATATAGCACATCAGAATAGCGTAACTCCAGATTCTTGCGGCCATGGACAGCCCAGGCGGAGCATATTGTTCTTTATTGCCCCGCCGCCTGTGTCAAAGCCCAATCATATCGATCGGTTGCTGAGAACCGGCAAGCCATTGATGCTAAGGACCACTGACCGTATTTCGTGAGGCTTGCCTGATTCGGACTAGACATGAACATCCCAGCCGAGCATAACGTTATGCTACCGCTTACATCCCATCGATATAATAACGCTGTAGCCACTTCACGTACAAGCCCCACTACGCAGTTCATCTACAACTGAGCCTTAACGACATGCCTGCAGAACGTCAGAAGAAGACAACGCCTCAAAAGGTGCCTGGCGCGGGAGATCCGGATCGGAAGCGGGTGTTGAACGTCCTGGCACAGCGGAGATATCGTAAGTCCAGAAAGATGATCTACTAAATATAGACAAAGCATCTTAGAGCTGTCATGAAATAATCTATGATCATTATACCCAATATGAATTGTATGTGTACTAGTTCTAACTATAATTAGGTCAAAGAAGACGGGAAAGAATAGCTGAATTGGAAGCCAAGCTCAACTCGACAAACAGTGACACAATTCGAAGTAATGAGATATCACATGCAGATGATCTACCGGATCAATGTACCTTATTACCAAACGCCGGACAGGATGCGTTCGATATAGAAGAGATAGTACGCAGTATTGATATCGATGTCTCATTGGGGCCACTTGATCCAGGAGACATTGCCTTCACACAAAGTTTTGGTAAGCTCAGACAACCTCTTCACTGCCCGTATATCACGGTAAAACCATACTACACCAAGTCACTCTTTCATATCAAGTCAATCAACTAACTCCCCACAGACATGACAACCCTCACCACCACCCAAAACCCCCCAACATACCTCCCGGACCTCCTCCCCTCATCCACCTCCCCCTCCTCCTCCTCCTCCACCTCCCCAACACCCCCCCTAAACTTCCCCCTCACCCCAGACGCATTCCACCTCAACGTCCCCATCCTCTCCGCCATCCGCGCCTCCAGCACCATCGCCACCGTCCTCGGCGTCTCAAACCACATCTGGGACCCAACCTACATGCATACCCTCACCACCATCCCCGACCCCTCCACCCCGTCAAACCTCCACCCAACAACCAGCCAAATGACGATCCCTCACCACCCAGTCCTCGACATTCTCCCCTGGCCCTCCGTCCGCGAAAAACTCATCTGCATCCTGGCGCTGCCCTCCGCGCTCCGCCCGCAAGTCGCGCGCGAGGACGACGGCGGCGATGGACAGAGCAAGGCGGTGTTTCAATTGATTCAGGACGCGGACGATATGAATGAGGGGTGTAGGGTGCATGCGACGTTGTTGGGGTGGGACGGCCCGAATGAGATGGAGGAGGAGGCGTGGGAGCTGGGCGAGATGTTTTTCAGGAATTGGTGGTGGTGTTTTGATGGGAGGGTGTTGGCGAGTACGAATAGGAAGAGGAGGGAGAGGGGGCTGCTGCCGTTGAGGGTTGGGGGGTGAATGGGGATGGGAGGGAGGGGAGGGGATGTATTGATGCATAATTGAGATAATGAACGTAAAGCGAGCTCTGGTCTACTATAAGTTCACTGAGTATGTGACTTTTCAACTAGTATTTACCATCCTGTTACTATTTTCAAGCACATTAAGACTGCCGAAGCTATACAACTTGAAAGATTGCTGATATCAGCCAAAAACCCACCTATGAGTGGCTGGAATCCAACACATTGTCTCATCTAGACACCCAACCTATCCCTACACAACGAAATTGCCGTGTCCGCCGTCGCACCGTCGAAGAAGTCATTCAGAATGACCACGACGCTCTCCTCCCTCGTCAACTGCTTCCCGCACTCCCCCTTCAGCACCGGTAGGATCCTCGCATCGCAGATCGCCTTCGTAGCCAGCAGCGGCGAAGTCGAGACGTCGGAGTCTACAACACTCGCAATGATGACGTCCCTGATATTCGTCGACGTCGCCTGGCACTGCAGCAACGTAATCGGGTGGCCCCTCGGCGGATTCCTGCCCATGTCCTCCAGCTTCGCGACGATGGGGAGGCCGTCGAGCGTCGCCGAGGCCGCGTCGTCGTAGTTTGAAACCTGGTTCACGTCCTTGAGGATGATGAGGCGTTTCCGCTCGTTGCGGAGGTCCTTGATGCTCTTGTTCAGCATGTCGTCCAGGTTGCCGATCTGGATGTCCTTCCCGTTCAGCACGTCGTTCTGGATGTCGCGCAGCTCGTCGTCCGTGGCGCGCGGACAGTCGCCGGGCACGCCGTCCCAGCGGTTCTGCACCACCACGATCTCGTCCTTGTGCCCGTCGAGGAACTGGACCACTTCGTGCAGGAATTGCTTGTACATGAGGCCTGGGATCGCGCCGTGCTGGAAGTAGATGGTGTCTTCCAGCGGGCTGACCTTCTGCATCTGGCGGTGGCACTTCGCAGGCCGGAACTCGAAGTACCTGGCGCCGATCTTGAGGATCGTGTCGACGGAGTCCTTCTGGGTCACGGCGAGGGCTCGCACGATGTCCGGGGCGATGCGGTTGATGGTCGAGTCGGCGAGCTTGTTGAACAGGATGAGGATGTTGCCGATGGATTGTCCGAGGACTTCTTTGACAACTCCTGTGCCGGCTTTCTGGAGCATCGCGGTCGCGGTCTGCATTGAGTTCATGCCGATGTCGTGGGCGGACGGGAGAACCATCTTGTTGAATTTTCGATCCGCCTTCTCCGTGTCCGGCGGCGCAATGTCTCGCATCCAGTTCTCGTAGTTGTGGGTCACGGTAACGAAACATTGATGCTGCTTAGGGAGCCCGGCGAGCCCTGGCCCCGCGTCGTAGAAGGCATACACGATGATTAAGCCGTCGACGAAGATGGCAGGCGTCTGGTCCATGTTCTTCATGGTGCCTCCGCCGAGTCCGCCTGTCATGGAGTTCACCTCGATCCATTGGTTGGTTAGCTCCCGGCCGTCGCGGCGCACTTTGAAGCTGAAGTTTCCCTTAATTTTCAAGCGGGGGAGATTCGACGACTCGACTTCCAGGTGGTCGATTGTGAATTTGTCCGGATCGCGCTTGGTGATGGAGTTCTTGGGGACTTCGAACTCGATTTCAACGCCCTGGACGGCGATGTAGGCATAGCATTTGATGCCCTTGGAAGGCATTGTTGCAATTGTGTCGCGCTTGCGAATGAATTGATTGATTGTATTGTGTCAATTGGCGAGGGGCAAAGCGGGGACGTAGATGTAGTCAATTGAAGGTATGAAGTAGTAGCAATTGATCAAGAATACAGCCAGAACACTTAGATTAGCACGTCCACCCTGAATCTCAAGCTCTTTCTGCCAAAAGTGTAAGGGCTGGTAAGGACGGAAGATACGGCAACGTCCGACGCGACGACGGTGGGGTGCAACAGCGACAAGTTATACCACAAAAGACATGCGAAGGCGAAGGCCATGCCTGTAGCTCCGAGTAGTCTGCATCATACTCGACTGCTTTGGGTGTTAGCCCGAAGCCCAACAGACCCTGATCTGATGGGTCTTTTCTTTCAGCTGTCGATGAGCTGCTGCGAGCTGCAGCTCAGCTCCGCGTCTTCCTTCCAGGTACACCAATTGTAGGGCCGGCCTGGCGTGGTTCAAGCCCTCGAATGGCGGAGGACTGGCGGGGTAACACACATGTTGTAATGGACACCGTCTGGCGATCTTGCGCTACATGAGATTGGTCCCAATTCCATCCACAGTTATTTTTTTTGAGAAGTCAAATGCTGAATATTGGGTATATGAAAATGGTGTAATAATGTTGGTCGCAAATTGCCCATCAAGAAGTGGGAGCAAACCATTCATTTGCAAGCTCAAGCATCCACGTGACATGTCAACTCCCCAGGATAATCTTAATCGTCCCTTTCACCAACACTCTTCACGCTTTTCGCGCTCTTGACACTTTTGATACTTTTGGAGCTTTTCATGCTCTTCCTGCTCGCGGTCCTCCTCAGTTTCGCCTTGAACTTCTGCCACTTCTCGTTCAAGCTGTCTCCTTCCTTGTTCCTATCCTCCGTGGTCGGCCGCTCGTCGTCGATGCTTTCCCTGAAACTGCCCACATCAATGCTTGCAACGCTCTTATGTGCCTCCTCTCGTCGCTTTCTAGTTCCTAGTAGTAGAAACTCAAGTGTCTGCCAGGCAGCCATGTTTGCTATTGGGCCATCCGTGGGGTTCCCTTGCGTGATAGGATTCTTCCAGGGGCAGTGCTCTCGATGAGATTCAACGAGGTTCAGGCGTAGTGATTCAATGGGAACATCGAGCTTTGCACTCATCTCCTTGAGACGTTTGTCTTGTGAAAGCCATAGACCAATTCGCTGGAAGCAATGCCCGCATGTTGCAAGCGCAATCTTCGATTCCGATATTCCTGCCCATCCGAACAGCGCGAAGGCGAAGGCTGTGAAATCGTTCTCGGAGCTAGGTACCTCATTTATAGTCTCGACTCCCGACGAAGTGAACAATGTAGACGGAATGCGCTCTACAATCTGCTTTACTTGTGGGTCTGGATACGTGATGTTCTCCAACAGAGGGAGCTCTGCAGCAATGGCCTTGAATGAACGGTATCTTTCGAGTAGCTCTGCCGTGCTCTTACTCCTATTCGGTATAGGGATGTGGTATATTTCATCTGGGCATGAAGTTAATAAAGCAAACCCCCTTTCATAAAAGGCAAGATTCGTGTCAAATGTACCTTTGCAGCCCGCTTTCCTCCACAGACACTCATCGTGATGTCCATCCACAATCCTCTCTCGATACTTCTCCACCAGCCCATCATCAATTTCCACCGACATATCCTCACTCATATCGATCTCCTTGTCATCTGAGTCCTTCCTCTTCGGTCGAAGCCTAACCGGCACCCTCGCCTCGCAACCACCTTTACAAGCCACCGTGTTCCACCCAGCGCACACCCAGCCCCTCTTCGCCCACTCCACCTCACCGATAGCATCAGGCTTGCTCGTCCACTTCTTCACGTCCGCGAAGGTCTTCAAGCGCCCGAGGAACTGCTCCTGGCTATACGGCTGGAAATTAGGAGCCTTCCTCGGGGTCGTCGGCGTCGGCGGGAGAGGTTTCTCGCTCGCTTGCACGCCCGATCTGCCGCCTACTTTCCGCACCGTGCCGCCCATCCTGTCGAGCCCTTTTCGCGGCGTGAAGAGCTTCTCCTGCAGCGCGCGGACGCGCTCACCGCCTGAGACGCTACGTGGTTGTTCGACACCGACATCTGAGGTTCGTGATCGCTTGGAGGGGGGCTCGGGGCTGGGGATGGTGGCGAAGGATGAGACGGAAGCATTGGATTCGTGGAGGGTGCTGGCGAGTGAGGTGGTTGACGTGCTTGCTGCGAGGTTGTCGAGGAGCTTGTGGAACTTGCGCTTCGTTGTTGCGAGCGCCGGCTGTTGATCGTTGGCCATGCTGGCGGTGGGTAAGGTGATATGGGAGAAGGAGTTGTTGTGGTTAGAGGTTATGCGTGGATGAAGATTGTTGGCGCTGTCTTTGTGAGGATACTTTGTTTACAGCCCTTTACGAACAACGACAAGGGTCAAAAGCTCCGTAGCGACAGTATTGACGAAGGCCAAGGGATGGCAGGTGGGCTTGACAAAGCTAGACTCAGGAAGCGGATGAAGATTTTTTTTGAAATGGTCAGTTCAGAAGCAATGTTTTCCTCAAGGACCGTTCTGGATGCTTGTGAATGTCACTGAGAGCAGACGCAGTCAGACAAATTAATTGTAGTTGGTTGCTGGGGCCGACGCGCGGGTAGAGAATCGCAGATCCCTCGCCAAGACAGTCCAGGGTACCCCAGCAGGAGGAATTATTACGTAGATGGGTGGAGGGAATCGTTCTGTTAGTAGTCAATTACTCGTAGTAGCAGTAACTACCGTGTCGTAGCTCCATGTAAGGCTGTTCAACCGTCTCCGAGACATACCTACTTCATAGTTGAAAAAGGAAAACCCTTATAAGCCCCGATGCATGGCACCTTCTCTCCTACAACGAAACTACAATAAATTCTTCCTATTCTCCATCCTCATCCTGGCTGCCAGTCTATTCTCCCCGTCTTTCCTTTCCCGAAGTATCACCCGTCTCGCTCAATTGAAGCTCCATTTCTACCCCTCATCCACCTCCTCCGCATCCGTCCCCGCTATACAGACCCTGCGAACCAACTCCACCCGAGCATTTTCAAACATGGCCTACGAGAAGGAACTCGAGATCGCCTTGCTGGCCGTCCAGCGCGCTACTCTTCTCACAAAATCCGTCTACTCTTCCCATTCCAAAGGCACGCTTTCCAAGTCCGATAGCTCGCCAGTCACGATCGGAGATTTCGGCGCACAGGCTCTGATCATTGCTTCGATCAAGCATGCTTTTCCCGGAGACGAGGTAGTCGGCGAGGAGGATGCAGATGACTTGCGCAAGAACGAGCAGGAAAGGCAATTGGTCTGGGACTTGGTGCAGGCCGCCAAGCTAGACGACTCGACCGCTGAGGACAAGATTGGTGGTCCGATCAAGAGCGTGGATGCGATGCTTGAGGCACTCGACTCGGGACGCAGCAATGGCGGTGACAAGGGCAGGATTTGGGCATTGGACCCAATCGATGGCACAAAGGGTTTCCTGCGTGGAGGACAGTATGCTGTCTGCTTGGCTCTCATGGTCGATGGCGTCCCTACCGTCGGTGTCATCGGATGCCCCAACCTTCCCGTTGACGACAAGGCGCCTCTGGATGTCTCCATTGGTGCTGACGCCGACGACAAGGAGGGCAAGGGCGTTCTCTTCAGTGCTGTCAAGGGCGAGGGCGCAACGAGCCGACCACTGTCCAGGGGAGCCATTCAACAAGGGTCTACCATCACCATGAAGCCCTTGGAAGATACCACTCAAGCAACCTTCTGCGAGAGTGTTGAGGCAGGCCACTCAAGTCATGGCGACAATGCTGCTATCGCTTCCAAGCTCGGCATCACCAAGCCCAGTGTACGTATGGACTCGCAGGCAAAGTACTGCTCAATCGCCAGAGGAGCTGGTGATTTGTACCTCAGGCTCCCCGTCAGCAAGTCATATGAGGAGAAGATCTGGGATCACGCTGCTGGTGTCGTCCTTGTCCAGGAAGCTGGAGGTGAGGTTACAGATGCCTGGGGCAAACCCTTGAATTTCGGTATCGGACGAACGCTCAAGGAGAACAAAGGTGTTGTGGCAGCACCCAAGGATGTATTCCCCAAGGTCATTGAGGTAGTCAAAGAGGTGTTGAATGCGAAGGCATAAATCCATAGCTTCACAAATAGCTATAGTACTCTTGTTGACATGCAATACCTGAAAGACTTGTATAGATATATGATTGAAAAATGGCCAGTAAGAGCCTGTGTCTAGATAAATAAGATATAAACCCCCCGAGACACAATCAAAGGGACCTTTGAGCATCTTGTGCTTGTGACTTCCCAGCTTTGGATGCAAGTGCGAATTCAGATATCGTAGTGCATAAACCTTCAGTGCTCAAGGTGATTCATATTAACCCGTGTGTATCCCTCGACGCCGTGTACAGATGACGCCATGAAATGATGAATGACGACTCTAGTGAGATATAGTGCAGGTGGCCGAAAAATATATATGGAGCTCCTTAGAAATGTTTGAGATAAATGATAAAGAAAGATCCGGTGGTTGCTATAGCGTTCGATGACGCTTGGCATGGCGAGATCCTATGATTCGAATAGATATGCGTTGGAAATGAACGTAATGAGACGTTAGTAGGCTGAGTGTAGTTTGTCGAGAAGTTTCTTAAAGCGATGGTGTTCGGCGATACTTGGAAGTCCTGGATCTTCAACGCGAGGCAGAATGGCTGTCGTTCCTTGCTCATCTTCCAGCATATACAGATATGCATTTTGAGACCACGACCACAGTACGGTCGAGATAGAAAGCAAACCCACTGCTCCAACTGCGAGCAGTATCGTGAGGCCTTGGTGTGTGATGAAGACCTTCGCCTGCAAGATCACATCTTGCGCCGAATGTAAGATGCCAACTCTGTATAGGAAATGACATGTCCCTGAGCCTTGTCAGTATAAAGTTAGGAATACGGAAGCTTCACACGTACCTCCAAGCATAAGTGTCAATCCAGCGATTCGTTTACTGAGCCTCCATGTACCGTAGAGGAAGCTGCCGAGAACCATAGCTGCCATCATGAGCCATTTTGGGTTAACAACGAAACTTCCGATTAGAGAGAGTATCTTAAACGTTTCTTTGGACTCTTCTATGGCAGTATGGATTTTCTCCGTATCAGCTTTGATGACTTTCAGCTCCGTGTCTACTAGCATAAGACCCTAGTGCAGGTGAGTGGGGTGTTGAATCTGGGTTTTGAAAGTGATCTGCTCACCTCATTGACCGTGACGAGAGTTTTGTGAGTCAATTCCTATTGATGTCAACGCATGTCAAACGCAGATATCGATGCTTCATCTGCTTACCGCTTCATCTCGAACCATACCAATGGAGCTTGATAGAGTGGTAAGGCCACGCATGAAAGTATCAATGGATTCTTGAAGCCCAGCAATCGCATTCTGATGGTAGACTTGTAGCTCATGTTGCTGATTGGTAGTCTGCTGGGAGCTACTTTCTGAGATGTTGTGGAACACCTCTTTCATGAATTGCTGAAAATGTTTGATACTAACTTCGTAACCTGCAAGATACTATTTGCTGTCAGTTTAGAACCACCCCAATTCTCCCTGAGTACTCACTTGGCGTAGTTCTTTAGCCTGGTGAGACAAATCTGCGAAAGACTGTCGAGTCATATCTCGATTGGCCTGCATCTCGTTCCTCACATTCTCTTGAGACATGCGTATCTTATCCGCAAACTTGTGTTGTTCATCAAGCCAGGTCTCCATCGCATGTTGTAGATTTCGACTCGTTTCCTCGTACGCTCCTGTCAGATCCGCGACAACCTCTGCCAATGACTTGTATATCGCGAGCGTCTTCTCTACGAGCTGTTAGACATCGAAAAGATTTGCAGAATTTGGGCCACGTACCTCGCTCAATGCTGTCTCGACTCGCACGGCACATGACGACCGCATTTTGCCGCGAATTGCTATACGATGTCCAAGATTGCGCATTATCAGCTAGGGCCTTAAGGCACGACTCGAATTTTGCTTGAGTTGCTTTCGGATAGCATAGTTCACCAGCTGAGGCTTGACTTCGCTTGCGACGTCCGAACGAGAACAGGCCACCTTCGTCACAGGCGGCCGCCGATGGAACCAAGATAAGACAATCTCGAGATACCTTCGCTCTTGCGCCTACTAGCTCACAAACCGCAAGTCTAGCAGCGTATTCGGATTTCACTTCGTCGAGAATGTTCGGAAAGGCTCTCTTCGTTTCGTTCGGTCCATCCTCGAGGGATTTGCAGTCATTGATCAAGCTCAAGGCAGCTAGACGGTTGCAGTCCGGGGCGGACTCCATATGCTGAATGATGCGAAGCGCTTCCGAAATCACTTCTTGTTCCTGGCGTGGAGTTCGCAGCACTGAAGCAAGATCGGTATTGATGGTTGGGGCTTGAAATATGTTAGCTACTTCACACAATGTTCATGATAGATGATGTACGAACCGTCATGGGCCATGAAGGACTGCCTCTCTGCCCCCGCTGTACAGAGAAGAAGAGACACCCCAAACAACGCGCTGACCATACCATTCCGTCTGGACTGCATGTTTGACGTTTCCGCTGGCAAACAGACTTGCAGAAACGCTCCTTCGTATATGGCTTAGAGACGAATATGTGGCAGATTGGGGAGGAAGGAGGGGACAGGCCTAATAAGAAGCGAGGAAGATCATATAAGAGAAGAGATCAATTAATGAGGAAGTAGGCAGAATCTTGTCGTGAAGAGTTGAGCGGTGACGAGGTTATCGACGGATCACGAAGGTGAAATTGAGGCTCTAGCCGGCTTCAACAGGATATAGGATAGACTAGATTCAGATATAGCGGTGTCCATTTGAAAGTGAAGCTTGTGGTTAGCGCAGTATCGTGCCGCCGTTTCGAGAATGGAGGATGATGTTGGAGACATAGTAAAGTGAGGTATCACGATGTACAAGCAATGACCATGGGTTCCACACGTGGAAGGCGCGATGCACACAACCCAAATTGTTTGATTCGGAATATCCACTACATAATAACTCTTCAACTACAACATGAACTAAAGCTGTTGAGAGAAAATAATTCCGTCCTGAGAGATGTTAGAGCTGTCAAAGTAACTATGCCGATTATTCACTCACAGGGTCGCCTGTAGCCAAAACAAAGTCCATCAACTCTGACTTATATCTAGACGGAGGGGATTCACCATTGACCCAGTCAAGATAGCTCCTAGAATCAGGGCCTCTGACATTATCCGCAATTACATGTGATTTCTTATCCAAAAGGCTCCTGGACTCTGCGATCTTGAGATCCGTCAGATATAGGCTTTCGGCGTGATCGATAAACAGAACGCCAATCTTGGGAGCAAACTCAGTGATATCCAAGTTCTGTAAAGACTCAGAACTTGAGCCTACTACGATCTTGACAAAGTCTTTCAGTCCAGCAAGCTCAACTAGAGTCGAAGCGATTGCGGCGTATCGAGCATTGCTTTCCAAACTGAAGTATTGTTTCCCTCCGGCAGCTCTAACCGCGGCCCCAAACTTAATGGCGGAATATCCAATATAGCAGCCCAGTTCAACCATCACTTCTGGCTTGGAACGGACTATAACTTCTGTGACCAGGTTTCCTTTGACCGGTCCAATCGTCATCAGTATCTTGTTGTCTTCCACCCATTTGTCGATCTCCGAAAGAACAGCTGCAGGGTTCGCTCTCATTTTCTCAATATTCGGGTGCTGAAGGACGTGATTCAGCACAGCTTCCTCTCTACCATCCTATAAATATTATGTCATTAGATACTTGGTAGTCGAGTGATAGGTGATGCCAAAGCCTTACCCCGTGCCAAACATAGGACCCGACTTTCTCAGTGGCATTCGAAGACGCCATATTGAAGAGCTCAAACTGTGTCGCCTAGAGATGAGGCTTCGATAATTTGGATGACCTTGTCGATATATATATAATGCCTCAAAATTAGGTGCTTTTCATGCGCAGCAGGCACTCCTAGGTTTGCGCGTCCATGAGTCACTGGAGCGACCCCTTTCCTCCATGGTTCCAGCGAAGTCAGCGATGACCAATCCTTATCTTAACAGATCTAGATTGACATCTCTTGTGGATCAAAATTTGCGTATAGGACCCTCCTTGAGCGTCGTTGCAACGTTATGCAGGGATCGGATATGCCCCGGAGACATCGGAGTTGTCATCGGAGGCTCAACTACCAACTCATCAAATCCTAGCCCGAACCATAAAATTGGATCTGGAGCCAGTTCGAGACTTGATTTGCTAGTGATGGTGAGTGTTCAAAGTTTCTATTACTGATATTTGTTAAACTTGATCCTTTCCAGTGGGGTCCTCGGGCAGACGATGCTCAAAGAGCCACCAGTATGAATGTGTATGAAATATAGCTTGGGCCCCCAGCAGAGCTATTGTTTACTGGAAAGAAAGCTATCCCCTTTTTTAGGCACCATCATGTGGGCTGGTTATCAGATTGAGCTGCGGTGGGTATTGGTATGGGTCTGTGTGGGTTTCTAGTGAAAGAAATTTATGTACCTAATTCATCCCCGACATGATACTCTCCACCTTAAAGGCGATGAGAAAGATCTGATAAAGTCCAGCCAGAAGACCGTCGTTTTCAGTCGCATAACTTGTCTCATAGTCCTTTTACCTTGGCTGCTCTCACGCACTTGCTTTCTCTTTTTGGTCTCGACGTGTCACTGTTCAGTGACTGGCACGCCTATTCAATTGGCTTCTATCGCTTGAGATGATGATGTTCTCGGTGAAACGACTCACGCGAAACATTCGGCTGTACCGTGAAGGAAACACTACACCAAATGTAATTCATGTAGAAAGTAACACTGGCAAAGGCCCCCAACCCGGTCAAAAACACCCGACATCATCCTCGGACGATCTGAAGCACGTGTCCGGGACCTCCCAGGAGATAGCCCTAAACGATGGTAACAAGGCGAAGTTATCATTGACTCGAAACCAGCAAATTTTCATCCATATATTGTAGGGTTCTATCAACATACTCATCAATGCAGATCTTCGTGCTGACTGGAATGTAGTATTTGGTGCATGGTCTTCATCCTCGGTCTATTGAGGAGTACCTTCGATGTACTTACTCCATATGTGATGAGTAACTTCAACAAACATGCACTCAGTGCGACGACCAATATAATCGCCAACATTGTTAGTGGAATCATCAAGCTTCCATATGCAAAGCTGCTTGATTGCTGGGGTAGGCCACAAGGTTTTACCCTGATAGTTCTCTTCACCACCCTTGGCACCATTCTGATGGCTACTTGCCAGAACGTTGCGATGTACTGCGCCGCTCAGGTCTTCTTCTACGTCGGTTACTATGGTATCCAATTCAGCCTAGTTCTATTCATTGCAGATTCATCTCCAGGGAAGAACAGAGCTCTCATGTTCGGCATCATTTGGTCACCATCACTCATATCGATTTGGGCCTCCGGTCCCTTGGCAACTAGCATTTTGAAATCCCTAACATTTGAATGGGGCTTTGGAATATGTTGCATTGTTATACTGGTCGTTTGTGCCCCAGTCATTGCTCTGCTGTTCAAATTCCATGGCACAGAATCGAAATCCAACGCCGCACAACAACCAGAGACAGAACGACGTCTTAGAAGCACCATTACCTATTACCTCAGGGAATTCGACGTTATTGGTCTGCTGATTCTCAGCACTGGGCTCAGTCTACTCATACTGCCCCTCAGTATCTATTCCTATCAGCCGGATGGATGGCGATCGGCATTAGTCATTTGCTTCTTCCTATTTGGAGGTCTGCTCGTCATCGCATTCGCTCTGTATGAGGCCTATCTAGCTCCCTCAAGTTTTCTACCATGGACTTTGATGAAGCACCCTACTGTACTTTGGACCAACATCATGGCTGCCTCGCTCTACACGTCAGAGTTCATTAGCTCGGCGTACATTTACTCGATGCTTATTGTAGTCTTCGATCAGACTACGACTCAAGCCGCATACATTAAAAACATTTACTATATAGGCTCCTCGTTCTGGACACTGGTATTAGGTCTTGCCTTGAGGTACCATGGACGAATCAAGATCTGGACATTAGTTCTTGGTATCCCGTTCTTCATATTAGGACAGGGCATGATGATTGCGTTCAAGCCATCGTTCACACCACTCAGCTTGATGATCGTCTGCAAGATCCTGATTGCCTTTGGGGGCGGCACGATGTACCCCATTGAGCAAATGACGCTCATGGCCGTATCGCAAAAGCATACAGCAGCACTTCTTGCGGTAGAGTCGGTTGTCGTTGATATAGGGAAGAGTGCAGGTTCTGCAATTGCAACCGCCATCTGGACTGCGATGTTCAGGCAGAAGCTAAGCGTTTATCTTCCGATAGATGAACAGGATATGGTGGACAAGATCTACGGCAGCCTTGACGTACAGGCTTCATACCGCCCAGGATCCGTTGCCAGAGATGCTATCAACCACGCATATCTTGATACTCAACATCTTATCTTCATAGTTGCAACCGCGCTTCTAGCAGTGACATGGATCTCTGTGACTTTCTGGGAAGACATAGATGTCACGGCTGAGGATGAGCATGAAGAGACGGAGGAGGATGTTCAGCACAGGAATGAAGTTTAGTAGATGGAGAGCAGAATGAAAGGGAAGGACAAGCAGGATATCGCAGTCAACCTGACAGCCGATATGCCTTTGCTTTGATAATGGCCACACTACCTTTGTCATTTAAAAATACGGCAGCCATCGCAAGAGGCAATTTACAGATCACAACATTATATGAATGACACATCCTCATCCATCTGACTCACAAAACCCAGCAAATCGAAAAGAAGTGATAGAAATCAAACGAGTCGCCACCCTCCTCTTCTTCCTATATTATACTTCGTTGATAGTGCTCTATGTGCGGTGCGTCTAAATCCACGAGGTAAATACGTGTTACTCCGAAAGCTTTTCCTCTCCATTCTTGACGGAAATAGCGAAGTAGTTTTCCTAGATGCAGTGCCACGTTCAGTGCGGGTAGATCTAAATCATTACTTGTGTGTATATGTACATATGTACATGTGTACAAGCGTAGAGAGAGACCTACAACATACAGACATACAACCTCTTTGCTACCACACATCCCAACCCTCCCACAACAAGCACACACAACCAAACAACCAAAAAGCGTCCTCTTGCGTACCAATACCTTCCCAAGTTCCCAACCCAACCTACTTCGCACACATCACCCAAACCCACATATACGAGCACAACAAACCACGTGGAGCGGAACCCAACACAACGTCCAAACTAACGCACGACATACATCCACCCCTCCCTGCCTCCTTCGTACCACATCCAACACACCAGCATGCAACGGCCGAAAGAGAAAAAACCTCAGATCCATCCCACCTCGTCCTTCGTCACGCAGATCCGGGTCCCTCAACGCCGCCCCTCGGGTCCTTCATCACACATTCTCTCGACCGTCGTGGGAGTCTACTTTAGCCACCGAATCGTAGGTTGTAGTGGCGTATGTGCAAGTCCATTGAAGCGAAGCGAGTCTGAGTGGGGTGGGAAGTGGGAAGCGGGAAGCGGAGTGTGTGGTGGGTGACGGCAATTTCGATAATTGGAACGGGATGCCACATGGGAAGGAGGGAAGAGAGGGATCGACTAGCTGCTTGGGGTAAATATGCAAACGGGTTTGTTTTGGTTTCCGATCTGCGTGTGCTGGGTGCTGGGTACGAGGGGGGGAGTATGTATGCATGCATGGTCGTTATCGTATGGTACTGCACGTGCGGTAGTTACGTACTGTATGTACAGAGGATGGGATGGGATGGGATGGTAAGGTTCCTTATTGGTATCATTGACTAATGTGGATATCTGTGTTCTACTCTATGTTTACGCAAGATTAGCACAGTAGTTGTAGAACTGGACATGGCATTCTTGTTGAGTAAGTTCAAGTCAAGGGCTTCTGTTGGGCGGAAGGTATTCCGCCACGGTGAATATTGGATTCTTCATGGCAACACCGTACAAGTTCAGTATGTGGACCGAGCTATAACAGGGTTTCTTATTGTTATTGGTGTCATATTCATCATCGATGGAGAAAGGCGGGGCGGGCGTGGGAAGTGGGGGCGTGGACTTTTTGATATTGGAATGAGTGAGTGTGGTGTTGGGCGGACTTGGAATCCAATGGGATGTGTAGGAGTGAGTGATGTGGTCAGAGGATGTATGTACGAGTACATTCGATGTACATGCACGGCGGAGGTAGACTACTGCATGTATGTAGCTCGATTGGGGATGCATGGGTTGGGTTCGTGTCATACGAATTGATTGCATGGATGATGGGTTTGAGTTGGGATGTCGGGTTCAAGGAATGGTGGTGGTGGTTACTATGGATAGAGAGGCGTGGTTGCGAGGTGGGACGACATAGAAGAAGTTTCTTGGTCGCAGATGGGGTCAATTGATCTGTCGTACAAATGGAATGGGCGCTGCGAGCGGTGAGTATCCATTTCCTGGTGAGCACTTGAAATCTGGAGTAAGCAGGACGATCCATTCATCATTCAATTGAACTCTGATGTTTTCCAATATCTTATTCCAGAAGACTACCAGATCGGGACTAGAGTTACTATGGATTCATTAAAATTGGTATCAATCTGATCTAAACGACGTCAATCAACGGTGATCAAGATTGTCAAGATCTTGGTTAATTGAGTACCACTTGGATCTACCCTGTCACTTGTTACATCACTCTACAGGTACCAATATGTGTTTCCATCTACCTTCCCAAGCCGATATGATGATGATGATTCATCTCCACATCGATGACCGACAGAACGACTAGAAGCAATTTCTGTGCCACTCGGGAATCTACTTCAGGCAATCCTGCCATCCCCAATCTTCGTCTCCACAACCTCACCCTGTGGGGATGTATTAGTTACCTCCCCAAGCCTCACACGACGAGCATGAACCCATTCGAGTAAGAAAAGGCGCCCAACCCGGAACTATTAACACCAATTTGCCACAAACAGATGCCTAATCCTCTTGGCCATTATGTACGCAAAGTATGCAAGTATGTAAAGCACCTTGTCACTGTACGACGATACCAAGCTACGGTCCACGGCAACGGCCACGGTCGGACATCGTCCCTCGAGTCCGCACGCTCCATCGCTCGCTTCGCCTCGTTTAGATCCCCGATCGCCCTGCCCGTCTGCCCCATCTCCCCAATTAACTAATCGCACTGTACTCCGTCGTCAATTTGCACGGAGTATAATGATCTCATAGCTACTGTGGAAGTCTGGATAGCCTCATCGATGGCTGACTGATTCCGAATTCTCCGGCAAGGCGGAGAGCGGCCGCTGGGTACTGACTGCCGCTTTGAGAAGTTTCCATAGCACACAGGCAGACACAGAGACACACATCATCTTCAACATCATCATCATTGTTGGAGACGTTGCTGGGATTTGGCAGTTGGACTTTACTTGACTAACCCACCAAACCCGTCATCTCATTACCTCACCTCACCTCACCTTACCTAACCTCAAGACTGGGTACCTACCTAATTCCATCAAACTTCCCGAACGGGACATACCCTCGTTTGCCTCTCCCGTCGCCAGAGTAGCCAACTACGTTTTCATGAAATGCTCTTACGTGAAAGCTTGTAGTAATCCCCCACAGACACTATCACTGACACTGCACGGCACGATCTGATCTGATCTGATCTGATGTAAGCCCGTCTCCCTCCCTCCCTACACGCTCGCCATAATTGCAGCGTATGTACATACATACGTCTAAGCGAGGGGATTACCTGATGCGTTTGTACATCACACAATCACAATTCCACACAATTAGACACGAGCATACTTACTACTGTTTCCAGAGCAATGCATACCGGCAGTTGCTACACATCACCTCTCCGAACGTAAAGGGGAGAAAGGGGGCAATTCCTATTGCCGTAGAGAAGCGAAGCGCACATCCTCACTTCGTGGCGGGCCGGCGGGTGTCTAAATATAGAAAATGAATGATTTCTGAGATGATGATGCTTTGACTTGTTTCTCAACATGCGGAGGTATTGTAGCGATGCTGCTGTTTCGGCGCCGGTCGTCTGGGTGTCTGTGTAGTCGTGTATGTATGCATGTATGTGGGCGCGTGCGTGCGTGCGTGTGGCCCAGGCGGCCGCGTTGGTGGTGGTGGTGGTGGTGGTTGTCTTGTTGGGTTGGTGGTAGTTACGTACGAGGGAAGAAGGGATAACTAGGTCAGTTACACGGTAGATGATGAGATGGATGCAGGAAAGGAAAAAGGAAAACAACGTGGTTGAGATGTTGTGTAGCATAGTAGCATAGCATTAGCATGATGCGGGAGAGCAATGACTGTGTTGCGAAACGGTGCGATACGAAGACCAACAGCGGGCCGGTTCTTCGTCTGGCCGGGCCGTTTTGCGGTGCGGTGCAGTGGTCTTTCTGGATTCATGGCGTTTTTGGTGTTGTTGCAGAAGGCGGAGATGATGACGGAGATGGTGGTGAGGGTGGTGAACCGTGAGGATTATGATGATGGTGGTGATGATGGTGATGATGCGGCGCTGCGTTGACTGGCATGGCATGGTCGTCGTCGTCGGTAATTTCAAGGCTGCACTTCGGAGGTGCTGGGGATGAAAGGGGAGAGTTGGCGACTGTGCTGTACAACGTTTTGATGTACTCCGTCGACGAGGTCCGAGAAAGTCGGATGCATGGTTCTATTGAGATCTCATCGGGTTAACGTCGGTGGTGGTGGTGGTGGTGGTGGTGATGTTGCTGGTTTTGATATCTGACTATTTTGTTTGACTATTGCGCGCGTTATGCCGACGGAGATGAAACTTAGGGCTGGCTACTTCTTAGGTCACACAGCAGCAGTGAACGAATGTGGGTATGCAGATAGAGCTACGTATTCTAGCTTCTTGAATTGGCAAATGCGGTAACATGATAGTCAAATGTGAATTGACGCTGATGGGCTGAAACCCAAATCTCCAGGTGCTCAGTCCATGATCATCGCTCAGAGTCAAGACCTCACAAACATCACATCAACACTGGCCCTACCAATGGTCGCTGATCCGGGAATAACACCAATCTCCAATCCACAGCACATGTTCCGCGACTCATAAACCCCCCAGAAATCTTGTTTCAGCGTCCAAATGAACGTTCGTTCCCTATCGTCGCTTTACCTTCATGGAGTGGCGTTTAGGATTGTGATTTTTGCGAACGTGACGAATTCTGTTCTCTTTTGAGGTATATCTCCGCAATCTGTTGCTGCTAACCAGGGGCGTTCGGGCAACGATCGACATGTTAGTATCCCTTGCACAGAAAAAAATGCGGTTACGGAAAGGAAAGAAAAATAAAGTAATTTTTAGAACTTTCCCTTCCGGCAGTTTTGTTGTTGGGCTGGTTGGTTTGTAGCCTATGTAGGGTACAGGAACAGGTACCGTACCGTGTGCACTGTGCAGAAATGAGACAATGGTCCCGTCCCGGCAGGGGGTGGGGAATGCCATTCCGAACCCGAGGTTGGCTGCGCGTACGTTGTCTCTCATGTGTTTTGAGCAATGACTTGTTGGAGTGGAGTGGTTGTTGCTTGTGTCATGGGCCATCACTCTTGTCACTCGTATCCTTACCAGACTGGAGGGATTCAAGCATCTCCTTTCCTTGAACCCCTTTACCATATATGGGTAGCTTACCGACATTTGACAGGACTGTGAACAAACAACTAACTGATTACCCCATGCCATGTCGGAGGGAGATGGTCAGAGTTCCAGACCTCATCTCTTCCTGCCTGCATGGCTGGCCCTAAGGCCTGCAGAAGAGAGGAGGACCAGAACCCAAGAGATGACGTCTCGGAGTTTAATAAGTTTGTGGTCCGGGATACGTTAGGGAAAGCCTTTAACGGGACGACGAGTGGTCCTCCCCAAGTTCCAACACGCACGCAAGCGAGCGAGGCTTACGGTGGTGGTTGGAAGAACAAAGACACTGATGCGTTGCGGCTGCGTTATGTTTGTCGGTTAGGCGGGGACAGTCCAACATCATGAGCCCAGGTCCAGCTCCATCCTTCGTGGCTTGCATGTTCGCTGTACGATATGTGCCACGAACCGAATTAGCTATTAGTACATATCTTGTTGCTTTGTTTTGTTGTCCCAAGAGACGGATCCCAGCACGTGCGGGGAATAATGCTCGATTGACGGGAATTGATACGAGTAGCGTGCATGTATCTTGTAGCGGCGGGCCCCTTGCCCCTTCCCCTTCAAAAGGACAAAAGAAAATACACACAAGGACCTGAAATCTACCAATGACATTGCGCTCCGCGTAGCCTAAGGGACGACGACGTTGTTTGCTTTTGTCAGGAGGCCCAAGTTGCGACTTGACAGTGGTATCATGGGGCAATGGGCTAGCCTTGCCGGGAATATGGTGCTCCGCAACAGAGAGATCATTGCTTGTTCGTCTGTATCTTCATGGCATTGCTGCCGATTCGCGAGGATGGAGTTCCCGTGCGCAGTAGCGTGCCGCAAACATTCGCTAGACGGGGCGTTCTTTTTTGCTTTTTCGTCGGAATGTTTGATGTGTGGCTGTCGTGGTCCGCGGAGCGATGTCGTTGTCGTCCTCCTCGTAACGACACGATGTGGCTGTTTCGTGGTGGACCGGGGGAATATCGGATGCTTGATCCCGGATCTTTAAGCCACGACTGTTGAGATGTGTATCGCAAGGTGATGATGAATCACAAGAGGGTTTGGAATGGGAGAATCTCGGAGCGCCATGCGATATGTTCGGATGTTGCGCTCGGAACGTTAGCTCACAATATCGCGACGACGGAAGCAGCGGAGCTCGCCGTGACATATTCACAGATCCAGCCCGCAGTTTTATTCCGTCAAGGTGGAAAAGCTGGGTCCTCGTGGCGGAATTTGTTTGTTTATCCTTTGCCAGCACACATAATGGTAGCGAGAATCTAATTTGCTTTGTTACGTTATGGAGGTGCTGTTGTGCAAGGGGAAAGGGAAAGTTACACCCTCGGAAGAGCTTTTACGAGGGCCATGTCCGCTTTGGGACAGCATGCAATTGTGTGTTCCAGCACAATGGACCGTATATAGGCCGAGATGCTGTGTGTACAGTATCATAGGCTGCTGGTGCATTGAGCAGTCATTGTGTCTTGCACCAATGATGTTCTCAGCCTAACAAGAAGGGTCTTCATTTGTTGAGACCCTGTGTGCCTGCGTGTTCGAATCACAGAGATCAGCACCTAACGGAATAATGTCCTCCGTTCAAGTTGTCACTTTTGCATCATTGGTCCAAGTGTCCGAAGAGCCTCAATTGCTTGTTTCTCAATTGGAAGTAGACAGTTGTGACGTGTATAAAATGCCTTCTTTTCGTTGCCAAGCGATGGGATATGCGCTGCCAGGCCAAGTTCACAAAACCTTCGTTCCTCTGATATCAAGGTATAAGGACAAGGATGATGTTCGATATGAGCGCCACAGTGGATAAAGGTAATCGAAATCCGATATTGTTGAGCTGCGATATGAAGAGATCAAGTGGTGGTGCACGGAGTTAATCGTTGTACTCCGAACATTAGAAGAGATGGAGCTAGGATACGTAGTGTAAAGATGAGGCTGCAAAAGATCTGCTCCACTAATCAATGCAGTGGATCTTTTCGCTTGTTTAGTCGATCTCAAGACGCGGAGAGAGCTGTTGCAAAGTACCGAGGTAGGTAGGGAGGAAAGGAAAGTTTTGGAAGTGAAAAAAGAGCATGAGATTGGACGGAAAGGGTTTAGAGAGGCAGGAAAGTAAAAAGAGTGGAGCAAGCGGGAGGAAGTATTGGCAGGGCAAGAGAGGCGAAGAGCAAAGGGAGCGTGGTTCTCAGTCACAGCATGGAAGATGAACATGGGATGGAATGGGATGGCGTGGAGACGGAGCTGAAGTTAGAAACCTTCTGGCGTTGTTCTAGAAAATGCAAGTGATCGGAAGCGAGAGAAGATACAAGACTACAACTTGGGTGAAGGGAAGACAATAGACCAATGAGAGACACCGGCGGATCGCGCGGCCAACTGTGACTTGCTTAAGGGTTTCCACGTGGAGGCGCATCGGTCGGGGGCGCGTGGCGGGCGGTTTTCTCAGTTTCTTTTCAAGCCCACCGTGCACAAGTAACAATCCACATCCACGTCCAAACGCTGGATGGATTAATTAATGGACCACCAAAACTGTAGTGTGCCATTGTGGCAGACGGCCGCTCCGAACTGTCCTGGCGACGTCAGTGATTCTTGGTCAGTGGTCGTACGGACGACTGGAAGGGGAAATCGAAGAGAAGAATGGAAAGAGTACTCCGTACGGAAAGGGAAATCGGAGAGGAAAGAAACATGAAATGCAAAATGTCAAAAGATGTTGCTGGGCGGTGTGACGACTCCGAGACCGGCTGAACAGTGGTGGAGGAGAGACGAGTCATGTAACAGTATTTGGTCGTGAAAACTCAATATTGTGATTCCTCAATGTAGCATTTTCATGGATCAGGTAGGTAAAGGCAGATACATGGAGAGACAGGGACAGTTGGAGGAACAATGCGCGTCTCTGGGGATAACTTCTAGAGTCTTGATTCTGAATGGTCGAGCTGGACTACCGGTCGCTGGATGAACCTAGAGGGTATGGTATGGCATGGCATGGTATCATTGGTACATATGGCTTGAGCCTTGTCTCTCCCTTTACTGTGCAGTGCATCTGCGGGCTTGCTTGCCTGCCTGCGTTTCGAGTTGTGGAGGCATTCCACAGTCCGAGTTGCAGATCAGACGGAAGCGCGACAAAGTTCCCTGAAGCACTAGGACTCAATTCAGGCAAACCGGGGCCAATGGAGCAAACCTAGAGATTGTGGGCGATGGTTGATGTTTGATGGTCGATCGAGCCGACCGCCATCGTCTCGTGACTGTAGGGATGGGTGCCGCAACTTTGGCACCGGGCGGCCAAGTGCGGCAAGATTGAACGTGGTAACTAGGTGGTACAGCAGCCAGCACCCATACTAGAGCAATAACCGTAATGGGAATCCATATAACTAATTGTTCCTTACTGTAAGAATGATGTATACAAGTAAGGAATATAGGTACTTTTGCAGTGGGTTATTTCTAACAATGCCATGTTCTGAGATGATGACAAGATATGCCGATCTTCCGTTAGTAGCAGCAACCAATCTACCTAAGCACAACTCTTGAGAGAATCAGGCATGCGTGCATGCATGTAAACCATGTATGTATGCATTCATGATTGATTGGAAGCGCAGCGGTAAGGAATCGAACAGATGGTATGTAGTTACTTAGTCGCGAGGGAGTGAGGAAGGATGCTTGGCGGATGGCTGACTGTGCGTGTATTTTCGGTGTACGACAAAGTCAAGACCGCATCATTACACGTGCATCTCCCGCCCAAGCGTACAGCGCTCGTAGAAATTCCCCAATGTTGCTGTTGCTGGTACCAGTATTACTGCACCGAGGCGGCGGTCTGAACTTGACCCTGAACCACGAGGGAACGGACTAGATACCTACGGGCTGGACCTCATCTCATGGCTGATGGTTGGAAGTTTTTGCCCATACAAGTACGATACGAGTACAGTCAGCCCGGGGCTAGCAGATCCTGAGAGATGCGCGCGCACATGTCTCTACCCAGAGGCTAGGAGGAGTCAGGAGCAGGACGGACTGCTTCCCTGTCGGTGTCGGCCTCTTTTCCCTCTCCCTTGTTCTGTGGCGGCATCGCGTGGGCTGGGCAACAGCGCCCCCGCCGAGATTGGAGGTTCCAGGCTGATTGTTGTCGCAAAACGTTATTGTTAGGCTATATTGATGGTTGGTGCTGGCGTCGTACAGCAGTTTGCGATGCTGCGTATGTAGCCATGGATTACGGCGAAAGGAGGCTGCTCAGTGCTGATGAGATTGAATGGGAATCTATGGGTAACCTGGCGGAGAGAACGCATGGACTGTACCTGTACCTAGGGCGGAGACAGTCTGAGTTTAGAGTGAGCTAGGGCGGGAGTTCCGTGGTCACAGCATCTATTGCGATCTGTGCAGAATGAAAGAAGGTTATCGTAAAGGGAAGTGATGGGCAAGATGGGAAAGATGAGCGTATCGTCGCTGGATAGGTTGGATGGTCTCATAGATGGATGATACACAGGAGGGGATGGCTGGAGGATGGATAGATACATGGATAGATAAATGGATAGATAGGAGATAGATAGATAGTCTGACTCTGATAGATAGACGAGATGGCAAGGTAAGGGTCTGGTAGATATGTGACATGGATGTCATGTGTCGCAATCAGGAATTAGAATAGAATCGTAGAGGGTACTATGCACACCCACATGGCACACCCACATCATGGTCATGATCCCACATGGCACACATAGATCCAAGAGTCTTGGTTGGACATGGTGAGAGGAACAAGTGTATTCCATATATTGATATCAATCTATTATCCCGCGACCACGCCGTAGACAACGACTGATTATAGATTGGTGTGTTGAGTAGGGTCTACGGTACAGTTACTCATACTGTATTGTTACTACTCCGTTACTACTCGTACCTAGGTACTGGATACCTGCATACTCTACTTGCCTGCATGCATTTGTATGTACGGAGTATGTACTGTGTATGCATGTGGCATGTGGGAAAAGAGGCTGTCCCTCCTTGAAAACGTGGCCATCCTGGTTCCCCGGCCAATCCCTCTCAGTCCTTCAATCTTCGTCTCCTCAATCCTCAACTCTCTCAATCGTCTTCTAGGAGCCTACCTATGGTCTAGGTATCGTCCTTCTACTGTCTAAGCTCTATCATCATTATTCCCTGCCCTGTTCTCCTCCCATTCCCACTCTTTTCCGCACCCTTCCCCTGTTACAACGCTAGCTTAGTCTCTCCCTCCCCCTACCCCTCCTCCTCGTGCGTGCGTGTGTTATGTCTGTGTCTGTGTCTGTGTCTACCGATGTCTGTGTAGTGATTCGTGCGCCACGCCTATCCTATCGTTGTTGTCCTTGACTCTCTTTTGCTCTCTTGAGCCTTTGCATTATTCAGTCCAGTCCAGTCCAGTCCAGTCTTGTCCTGCATATTCTGTTCTGTTCAATTCGCGAGTCGTGCCCTTTCCGAACCCTCACAGAACCCCGTGCATCTAAAACCTAGGTTACCTAGGTAGGTGTAGGCAAGCAAGTAGCCTAGACTAGCCGTGCTTTGCATTATTATAATCATCATTATTATTCCTCTTTCTTATGATACTTCTCGTTATTCTTACACAGTAACTATTCTTCGTCCTCCAATTCCTGCATTTGCCCTCTTTGCCCTGAATTTTGCCCTGTCTGTCCAATACTGCCACTGCCATAATCATCACCCACTATTCAATCAAATAAATACTTGACCATTGCTGCTCTTCGAAAAGAGGGCGATAGGGAGAGATATATAGATAGACAGAACCACCATCACCACGGCCACTCCGTACTCGTACCTTTGTACCATCACTCGTTCGCTCCGTCACTAGCACTACACTACACTTGCACTTGTCTTGTTATCCGTCCGTCGTCTTAAAACCTCCCAGTCCAGGGCATCCACATCCACCCTAAACTAAACCCGGCCACTTTACGGCCGCCTTCTTTCCCTCCTTCCCACCCCTCCCCTCCCCCAAAAACTCCTGACCCTCCCTCTTTTCTTTTCCCTTCTCTTTTGCTACTCAGTACTCCGTACCGTGCCTACCTAACCTAACCTAACCTACCACACACTGTCCCCAGTCCACAAGTCCACAGTCCACTGCACACAGACACACACTCCCTCATACACACAGACACATCTTAACCCTTTCTCACCTCCACCACGCCTTCAGTCTCTTTTTTCTCTCTCTTCTACCTACTCTCTCTCGTTCTCTCTCCGTGCTACACCAGCCCTACCCACATATTCTCACCCCATCCTGATTGTTGCGAACCACATTTATTACATCCACTCTCCTCCCCTTCTTTTTCTCTACTTCCGCCTCATCCTGTGGTTGCTCGCCCTACCACTGCCACCTACCCCCTCACCGCCCGCGGCCGCCCACCTTATCTAGTAACTGGTCTGAACCGTACTGTACATACATACTGTTCCTGTACCTCTTCTCCAACACCGCAACTCCTCCAACAACTTCCTCTGGGACCCTTCTCCTCGACGGCTACCCTCCGCGCATCGTCGACCTCTGTTCACCACCATTGCCGGGTTGCTGTGATCATCTTCAACAGCACATCTTCACCACTACCGTCCCATCACCAGCACGCCATATCAGGTCGTCCACCCTTACTCTATCGCCAATCCCACCCCTCGCTCATGCATTCGTAAAACGGTACATATTTTTTGTGCTCTAGGATCTCCATTCGCCAAAGTATCACCACTTTTAAGCAATGGGTCAAAGTAACGGGAAGCCGGTTGTCTTCACCGACCAAGGTATGTCTGTCCTACTATCTGCCTCGCTCCTGCCTTCCTCAATGCGCCCCTCCGCTCCTTCCACCTGCAACACATGCCTGCCTACTTTCCCCTCCTTCCTTCCATACCTTAAACCCTCAGATCTTCAGACCCTCAATGGCTGACATTATTATTCTCACTCTTCAGTCAACCTCAATCATTTTAGACTCCTGCGAGTCGTAGGAAAGGGAGCCTTCGGCAAAGTGCGCATCGTCGAACGAAAAGATACAGGTCTCACCTTTGCACTCAAGTACATTAGGAAAGATGAAGGTACGTCGTCCCTCACCCATCGTCAGCCTAGCTCGTGCGGCCGCTGGCTAGTAGCCCACACAACCACCCGTCTCCCATGGCCCTGAGCAACCAGGGATCGATGCTGATGCTGATGCCGTGTCACAGTCGTACGGTCCGAGAGCGTCCGAAATATCATTCGCGAGCGACGCATGCTCGAACACCTCAACCACCCGTTCCTGTGCAATCTCCGATACAGCTTTCAGGACATTGAATACCTCTACATTGTCGTCGATCTTATGAACGGCGGTGATCTCCGATTCCACATCTCCCGAAAAACATTCACCGAGGACGCCGTCCGGTTTTGGATATCAGAGCTTGGATGTGCGGTCAGGTATATCCATCAGCAAGGAATCGTGCATCGGGATATCAAGCCAGACAATGTGCTGCTTGATTCCGAAGGTCACGTCCATTTGGCAGATTTTGTAAGGCTCCCTTCGCACAATCCTCACATGTCCTTTGGCTAACGCAGCGTATAGAATGTGGCTTCCGATTTCACCCCTCACAAACCCCTCACCAGCAAGTCTGGTACCTTGGCTTATTTGGCTCCGGAAGTCTACGAAGGCAAGGGCTATTCGTGTGAGGTTGATTGGTGGTCACTCGGCGTGCTTTTCTACGAGTGTATATATAACAAGGTACGTGGAGCAAAGATTCGACGCCACCTCACACCTCTTCGACTAACTTGTCCACCAGCGACCCTTCGAGGCTAGCAGCCATGACTCGCTATCACAGAAGATCATGAAGGGAGAACCTACATTCCCGGTCACCAACCCGCCGGTTTCCATGCCCTGCTTACATGCCATCAGCTCGCTCCTCGAGAAGAACAGGAAGAAGCGTATCGGCGCCATTGGCTTCGATACCTTCATGGATAACCCTTTCTTCCGTGAGATCAACTTTGCCGCTTTAGAACGCAAAGAGGTCGACCCTGTCTTCCTCCCGTCGAGCGACAAGACCAACTTTGATGCTACGTACGATTTGGAAGAGCTCCTGCTAGAGGAGGCACCCTTGGAGGCACGCGCCAGGAGACAGAAGCCACGTGAAGCACTGAAAGACGATGCCACTGAGCAAGAAATTAGGGCGGAAGAGCTGCACAAGATGATCGAGACGCTGTTCGAGCCATTCAATTACCAAATCGTTACCGATCAGCGTCCAGCTGCCGTCACCACCTCCACCATTGCGGACGAGACGACCACTTCCCGCATCAGCAACAATAGCAACAGCGCTCACACTCCAACCTCTTCCAGCTCACCACAGGAGTGGAACCGGCCGCTCTCCAACCCAAAGACCTCGCAAGACGAACAACTTCGCCCGACTCGGTCCGTGACCAACCCCCGTTCTACGACACATTCGCCCAACGGCAGTCCTCCCCTTCCGACCACATCCCTCGTACAGGGTCAGCCAACCACCAGCTCGCCTTCGTCTCAACGCGGAGAGCGTGCCGATTATTTCCCTGCCGATGGTACTGAGACGTCGACTCCATCGTTTTCGCGGCCGATGAATAGCCGGCGAGGCCCCCAGCGCAGTACTAGCATGGGCGGAGGCGTACAGGTAGTACTCAACGAGACCGGCTCGTGGTCCGATATGGCTAATCAGAGCTCTTCGCTTGTACAGGCCCAAAATGCAGAGAAACCAAGCGGCATGCTCGGTTTCCTCTCACGGAAGAAGGGACGAGACAGGAGCCCAAAGGCAAAAGAGAGGGGTGTTCTCGGCAAAGAGGGTGCGCGCGTCATCATCAGCAACACCTAAAGACATGATCCTCGCACTGCCTCTCCCTTTTGACGACTTCCTTTGTGTCCCGTTTTCAAAACGCACTATACCTGCGCGGAGTTTGTTTCATCATCGGCGCACACGGCACATACCATTCCGCTTCGCTTTTACGTTTACTTGTCGATTTTCGATTCTTATATTTGCATCTCATTGTTCCTGCATTGCAACCACCTACATACGCCACCGGTGGTATGCAGGTTCGGCGTTATCACGTTTGGCGTGTCATCTTTTCAGCATATACGACATAGACATACGACTGCTGGCTGTATGTCCTAGAGTTGGAACGCGCCCCCTATTTGGATTGATCTGTTGAATGAATGAATGGAGGAGGCGGATGTATATGCAACCTGTAGATGGTTTCCATCTGAAAGGACTAAACGTCCCAGTACATTTCCGGGGCATTTGAAGGGCTTGTGAGGCTGGGACAGTAGGCGGCCGCCAAGCATGAACATATACGAATTTCCAAGAGGCGGCATTCAGGCGGCCATGAGGAAAAGGAAGCATATAAAAAATACCCACATCTTCTATCGATCTTTGACTTGGCAAGCTTGTATCTGCCCGTGTATCATTGCATTTGGTGACTGACGGCAACAGCGACTCTTGGGCCGCGACCTGCCTTGTTCTATTGATTCGCCTGATCCATCGACTGCATCAATTGGGAGTTCTCCTCGCTCGGTTCCGCGCACATGCTTGTCTCGGGTCGATCCGCTGGAAACCCCAGTGTCTCTCATTTTCGTCGTCGTCATTGAGTATCATCGTCATTGACGTGGCTCTTGTTCTGAAGAGCAGCAGAGGAGCATCAAGTTTCACGCCTTTGGAAGCGAACGAACTCACAATCGCAATCAGTCACACTTCTCAAATACACACTAAATCGTCCCTCATATGCAAATAATCTCGCCATGTCATGCTTCCCGACCCCCTTGCTGCAACTCCAGCAAATAGCCTCGAGTGCCGCCTCGCAAGGCTGTATCTTGCACATTCTGCATCTCTCCAATGAGGGCCATCCCGATGCACACCCCGCGCAGTTCGCGTACCCGTCTCCCAATAGACATTGCAGGTAGACGATGTCGTACAATCGAACTGTACTGTGTATAAACCTTACCACCGTGTTGGGAAACCGGTCAAGTCGCCGTGAACGCCATTCGCGCGGGGTTTACTTGGTTCTCTATCTATCGATGGGATTCTTTGACCTGAGGACAAAACATTCATATGCGACGTAGTTCGAGTTTGTCTTGCCCCATTTTTGGAAGATTTTATAAGCTTCTATCTTAAATTCACTCATTATCACTTCTGAGAAAAGCGCTTGCTATGGAAGCTTTCGCCGCTATCGGCGCGGTCGCAGCCATTCCCCAGTTAGTCAGGGAGTTTATCAAGATAAGCAGATGGCTGAAGAAATGCGCCCAGCGCATCAAATACGCAGCGAGAGATATTGAAGAGCTCGCACGCGAAACGAGAATCTTTGCCACCGTGTACGATGATTTCATCAGAGTAGTGTGCAGCGATAAGAGCAAATCGTTCCGAGGCAAGTCCTTCCGCAAGCTGAAGCAATGGGCAAAAGCAACTTTGCGCGGGTTGTCGGGTTTGCTGGACAAGGTGAAAGATCTACAAACAGATTCCGACTCGAGGAATCTGTCAATGTGGGATCAGGCCGTGGCCACGACAAAAGCACATGTTAGATTGTTCTCTAAAATTAATTTCGTGAAGTACATGCGGTCGAGCATGGCAGCGGCCAGGCAGTCAATGGTCTGCTTCCTGAACGTGCGTCGAGTAGAACAATGTTCAGAGCTGCTTCGAATTTTTAGAGAGAAGGCCCAGACGGAGATGCTGAGCAAGGAAGAAGAAGACTTCGTGCAAGACATAGAAGCAAGCATGTAGGTGCAGGTGTAGATATGACTTCGATCGGATGCTAACCACACCAGAATGAGTCTCAAAACGACTGAGCAGGATGACTTGGAAGAGCAAAAGATCCTAATCAACGAATTACGCGACATTAGGAAAACCGAAGACCTGAATGACATTGTTCCTCCGGTGAAAGGATTAGAGAGTTTCTCCAGGGCTGTTCAGCGATATGACAGGAAGATTGTCTCCGAAATACCACCTTTGCCCCACGAAGAAGCATTCGAAACAAGTTCATCTGGTAGTATGTCGAGCCGATCATATTCAAATCGTAGGGATGACAAGCCCAAGGTTGTTCCAACCACAGTCCCTTCCCAGCCACAACCTCGACGCGCCGAGAAGAAGAGCCAACCTCCGCCAGCTTTCATCCCCCCTAATTATCCCACCCCTCCTCTAGAAGTACGTCCCCTCTCTGTTCGAAAAAGCGTGCAAAAGCCACCCAATACGACCACGCGAGACCAACCTAGATTCAAAGTCCCAGAAGAAGCGCGTATAGAACCCGTCGAACCAAGAAGAAGCACGCGATACTCCCTGAAACCCAACCTTCGACTAGATCCCAGGGAAGGACTGGCGCCACCACCATCAACTTCCGACATCAATGTTCCCAACGATGTCATTTCGCCGGGGTCCGTCACTACGACGACTTCATCTACTACCTCCTCCGAAGCATCGAGGAACTACAATGCTTGGGGAAGGCAGTACTGGAACGATCGGAGCGATATCCTAGGACACCCGAGAAGGATACCACCACCCGAGACTTCTTCCACGTCCGATCCTTCGTCCAGCGAAGCGGCCGCGGCGGCGAGGTTGACGAGTATGTCTTCACTAGGAGAGCATGTGTCCACTGGTGGTGCCTCGGATACCAATGGCAAAGACGAAAAGCTTCATCCTCCTACCCAAATAGTCAGCAACAACGAGGATGAAATTCAAGTCGACGACGATGTTCACCGGATAGAGGGTGATGATGATGTCGACTCCAACGAAGAGGAACACAGCGACAGGCCAGACCCGACAGAAACTCAACGACACGATATCGATATGGAGGACGACGATGACTCACCATCATCAGAAGACGAAGGAGAAGCAAGTCCGTTCCAGCCCCTGACTGGCAGGAGTGGGAAGTTCCCGCCGGGTTGGAAGACGAGACGGCGTGGTCGAGATGCGTCGACGGAGCGGTGATGTGGTAGAATGAATCGGTCTTTTCGTCAGGGAGGGTTTCTTCATTGCTGTGTTGTATTGCGATTCCATATCCATCAGCCATCATTCCACTCTATTCTTTTCACCTGAAACCACTTCAGTAGATCATTCTCACCTGAAGAGATATAAATTATCTTCATTTCCCCCTCAATATCCGCACATGGACTCGACTGCCTAGATGAAGGACCGATGACGCCCAATTTGTGCGACAATGGGTAAGGTTATGGGATGTATGGTGTAGCCATGGGGTGTGTGTGCATCTTCACTTTTGTCAAGAAGTGTTTTGTATCTACTTCTTTTATCTAATTCTTTTGAGATTTGGTATTGGTATTGGTATTTTGGTTATTGAGTAGAATTTAATTATATTTAAATCGCACTTTTTACACATACGTACAGAACAATGCAGTCATGTATCTATATATCCTCAATTAAAGCAAGCTATATTAATTTTGCTAATGCCATGTGTTTCATGAAGTGGAATATATAGTAGCATAACATAAGAGCTCTATACAGTCGTTTCACGACAGCTTTCCTCTCTTGTAGTTTCCAATTGCTGTAACGGCGTCTTCTAAAGTGGCTTGTAATACCAGCGAAATGCACAAGACATAAGTTGTATAAATTGCATTACCTTCTCTAGGGTCAAGTATGCACGAGTTCGAATCTCGATGGCAATGGTGGTGGGCATCAACTGTACCTCGTAGCACTGAAGCTTAGTAGGGGCGCTTTGGACGGACATGTTCGGTCTCGTTCGGGAGGCTAACCTAGTCGTATGGATAATGGGAGGGACAAAGCATTACTAAAATGCCACCATTTTTGCCTTGTCTCTCCGATTCACCATTTGAAGAAGAGATTATGTTATTATTTGGAACTTATGGCCCAATATGCAGGTGAGCATTATTGCCTTACATATACACCATACCTGCTGGCCATGCGTCTAGCTTAAGCGAGGGAGGGAGGATGTGGAATTGGTGTTTTGTAATTGCTGTAACTAGGTAACTATATATTGTACAAGTAATTGCCGTGCATATGTATGTACGTAGATGGCAATAGATGGATGTGCAGGTGAAACGGGAGTGTTTCAGGTGAGAGTTTGGGGGACTCGATTGGATTGGATTGGATTGGCATGGACTCTGTCGGTAGGAATGGCCCGTATGCGAATGGGGGCACGGTGGGGGGGGGGGGTGTAGACGGAGGTGGGTGGTGGGGCTCGCTGCTCGCAATGGATCATTGGAGGATCTCACCCCTCTCATCCTCAACTCCCCCCCAGCTGCTTGTTGTTACTTGCTAACTAAGTAATACTTCCCCTCAACCATTGACGACTGTAACTCTCCCCTCTTATAAATCATTACAGTCCACCTCTTGTGAAGAAATATTCGATTTCCTGACCATCTCCTCCCCATATTCATCGTGACGACATCTTCGCCCGCCACCTCTCTCACCCTCATACTTTCTGAAGCTTTCCCTCCATCATCAGTCTGCCCCTCCTTCTCCTCAATCACAAACAACAACATAAGATCACCACCACCACTACCGTTACCAACTAAATAACACCCCACTACATCATGGTTGACCGCGCCAATCGTCCCTCAGCATTGAATGCTCCTGCTGCAGCTGCCCCAGGTGCCCAGGTTGACATCGTCGGAGAGGGTGCCAGCGCAAAGGTCACTGCCACATTACCCTCCGGCGAGAGCGTCGAGGTCCTACTCTACGGAGCTACCGTCACGAGCTGGAAGAGCAATGGAGGAAAGACTGAGAACCTTTTCTTGAGCGAGGCTGCTGCCGTGGATGGAAGCAAGGCTGTCCGCGGAGGTATTCCTGTCGTCTTCCCCGTGAGTCTACCTACCCTGCTGTCGCTACCCATCGTCGAATCTGTCTGACACATCTTCCACCAACAGGTATTCGGTCCTCCACCCAAGTCCGGCCACGCAACCTCCGCCCTCCCACAGCATGGCTTCGCACGAACATCGCGCTGGGAGTATCTCGGAAAGTCCAGCTCGGAGGACGCCCTCGACGGCAACTCGGTCAAGCTCGACTTCGGCCTCTACACCTCTGGATTGAGCGAGGATGCGCGCAAGGCATGGCCATTTGACTTTGGTTTGGTCTACAGCATAACTCTCGCAAAGGACAGCCTCCAGACGGTCATCAATGTCCGCAACGAGGGCGAGAACAGCTTTGAGTTCCAATTCCTCCTCCACACATACCTCAAGGTTCAGGTGAGTACTTATCAGCGCGCTTATTATTCCTAGCGAGTAGCCAAAGACTGATGATATATGTGATGTAGGACATCTCCAAGGTGGCCGTCAACGGCCTCCTCGGCGTCCAGTACGTCGACAAGGTCCTCAATGCCTCCACCCACACCGAATCGAATTCGTCCGTCACCATCTCCGGCGAGGTCGACCGCGTCTACTCCTCGATCCCACAGGACACGACCTCGGTTCTCGAAGACGGCAAGCCCCGCTACGATGTCGTGCGCGACAACTTGCAGGACACCGTCGTCTGGAACCCGTGGATCGAGAAGGCCAACAGCATAGGAGACTTCCAGCCCAAGGATGGCTACAAGAACATGGTCTGCATCGAGGTCGGCGCCGTCAACGGATGGCAGAAGCTCGAGAAGGGCGAGGTCTTCGAGGGCGGACAGGTGATCAAGAGTTTGCTATAGGCTCTTGCCATGATATCTCTTCAAAGCTGATGGATAACTAAATCTTCCGAGTCATAGTGGTAAAAAGGTTTAACGGAATGCGGCGAGCTGAACTTTCAAGACCATTAGGAGATCTACCCCAGCAGCAGTGAACGAATAAATAATGAATAGTTACGACCATTTTCCATATGTCCTGTAAATGACGTGCTACAGGAGTACCATGAAGTCAGTTGGCGGCAAACATTGTGGTCGTTGGTACATTCATTTGGTCTGCTGACAGGACAACAAATTGATTGCCTCGCAATCAGTTCATCAATACTATCAGGATGGATTGGCAGTGATTCGTGTTGGTGGTAGGGCTCAGCTGTCTGCTGCATCCATACAAACGAGTGGTCTGTGCACTGATTCATCCATACCTTACTTTAATGACCTATGAGTACCATCCATGCCTCGTTCACCCGATCGGGTTCCCTTGTCATATAAAGTAACAGGGCCCCATATCTTACGCCACTAGACTTTTGCCAGATGATAACAACAAACACTGCCATGCGCAGTAGCGGTTGTCAAGCTGTGCTGAGCACTTTCCCATGACTGTGCGCCCTGCTGTCTCTGACCTCAAACCATCATTCCGTCCCCGCCCTTTCCCCGCAGGAGTAAACATCCATCACCACCACCCAGACCCATGGATGACCACGACTACGAGTACCAGCGGAGTATGTCGCTGGTACCATACGTCCCCGCGGAGTCGCGCGAGATTGTCTTGTACGTCTGAATGTTACATGCGCATCGTTAATTGTTGTATTTCTACTGACCGCTCATAGGCGTCACGGTTCCGCGGTCGTCGTATTCGACCAGAGATCAAAGCAACTCTCCCTTCGCGATGCGTCACACACCTCCACCGTCGAGTCTACCTCCTGTCCCTACTGCCACAGGCCGTTTCGAGGCAACACCCCCCACGAACCAGAAGACCAGGACGAGCACGAGCATGGCGGCATACAGGACGCAGACTCCGGGTTCGTCAACCCAGGATACTTTCAGATGTTGCGACGGAGCCAGCCAGGATCTGCGGAGGGATCAAGACCGTCGTCGCCGCACAAACAACTTGCGCCGCCGCCGATTGGTAGTTCCAGCGGCGACTTTCGAGCCCCAGAAGGTGCGGAGTTCGTGGGGAGCACGCCGGTTCCGCCGCGACATCACGGGATATCTTCGCAGGCGTTCAGCCCGGATTACTTCAAGACTTTCTTCGTGGAGGAGCGGGAATTGGGTAGAGGAGGCAAAGGAGTCGTTCTTCTGGTCAAGCACGTTTTGGATGGCGTTCCGCTGGGTAAATTCGCGTGCAAGCGTGTCCCTGTTGGGGACGACCACGAATGGCTCGAGAAGGTCTTGATCGAGGTGCAATTACTCCAAAATCTATCGCATCAGAATCTGGTCTCCTATCGACATGTTTGGTTGGAGAACTACCAGATATCGAATTTCGGTCCCAGCGTTCCATGCGCTTTTATCCTGCAGCAGTACTGTAATGCTGGTGATCTGCACAGCTACATCACAGAAGGAGCGAGATCATCTCTCACGACTGAGCAATTGAAGGAGAGGATGAGGAGACGCTCGAAAGGCGAGATGGAGCCTCCGGAGAATCTGAACGGACCTCGCAAGATGCATTTCGATGACATCATTGCGTTTTTCAAAGACATCACGTCTGGTCTCAACCATTTGCATGCGAACGGCTACATTCATCGGGACCTGAAACCTTCCAACTGTTTGCTTCATAATACTGGACGCAAGATTAGGGTTCTTGTGAGTGACTTTGGAGAAGTGCAAAGTGCCAATGTGGCTCGGAAGTCGACAGGTGCAACAGGAACTATTTCGTACTGTGCACCGGAAGTTCTGCAACCAGAGCGGGCGGGAGGTCCTCTGGGAAATTTCACCACCAAGTCTGATATCTTCTCCCTAGGCATGATCATTTATTTCATGTGCTTCGCCAAATTACCATACATCAATGCTGATGGCATCGACGAAGACAACGAGGACCTCGACCAACTTCGAGAAGAGATCTCGGCCTGGGCAGGCTTCGACGACGAGCAACGAGTACGTTCAGATCTTCCAGATAAATTGTACAAGTCTCTCAAACATCTTCTGGCTCTCAACCCAGACGATCGTCCCGGAACAGAGGAGATCTTGCAGGTTCTGAAATCGACAGGAGTGTTTAATGAATACTCCTTTGGCGGCGGATCTGGCCTCGACGACTTTAGTCCGCGCATTTCTCGTGCAGATACCCCGAGTCCAGCACCGACTCAGGTCTTTCGGAAACAAAGCAACGCCTCATACATGCGGCACGGTCGCTCGAAGCTCAGTGCCTCGGCGATTGATCGCTCACCAAGTCCCCCAACTACACAACCACCTGACCTAACACCAGCGAAGCGCACACCCTCTCCGCAAGAGGGATCTGTGGTTCTTCGACCAAAGAAGGTGGACTTACCTCGACCAACCGATCCTCATGACCCAAATGCCCCAATTCCCACGCTCTCGCCTCGTCTCATGCTACCACCACCTCCGCCCCCTACACGTCCCAAACTCGTCCAACTAACGCACAATCCCACATTCACCGGCGTTACCAAAATCGCGATATTCAGCGCAAAAGTCTTTTCCCTATTCAGCCCTTGTCAGCCGTTCGCAGCTGACCCCTGGGTGGCGTATCCATTGTTATTGTTTGCTTCCTTAGATTTCCTCTTTATCGGCTTTTCGTGGCGCGGAAGATACCTCGGTCTCGGCGGTCTAGGGGGCTCGCTGTTGCTATTGATCATTCACGGAGTTGCGGTCGCGTTGTTAGTAAGATCCAACAGGCTTTGTGTTGGTAGGGAGGTTGCGTGGGAGGGGATGTAGGGGGTGGAGTTGTATGGTGATGCTCAGATGGGTGCTTTAACTCGAGTGAGGAGGGACGACTTGCATGGTTAATAGATGAGATATTTGATATGAAATGATATGAGCAATTTTATTAGACTTGAAGTTGGGTTGCCTTGTTTTTGAATGATATAGTACAGTAAGAATAATATACAGAGAAGAATTGTAATCTATAATCACAAGAGATAATTGTCTTTTAATCTTGTTGATGGAGGAGTACTTTGCCTGTCATACTAAAGTAGATCCCGTGCGTGCGGCGATGCGGGGGTGGCAGATGGAAGACGAAGCGCTAAGGTCCCACATGCAAGCTGGTGATTGGCCGATGTGATTGTTTACGCCAAGATATTTACCATAACACGTCCAACCCAACCTTCGAACTTTCCCTCTACATTCATTGCAACAACCCGCGTTTTCCACGACCTGCAACTAACTGACCACAGCTTCGAGAGCTCTTTTTTGGTCTCGGCCTGTCTACCTGCTCCCTCTATCACTTGGAAGCATTTCTTTTCTTATCCCCTACTCCTGTATGATACACGCGACACGTCCATAAACACCCCTAGGCTCGAGAAGCCTCACTATCTTCAATGTTGCAGTCTTCTCCTCCCATGAGCGAAGAGAAGGCGCGTGCCATTCGAGAGTTATCACGTAGCTTAAGCCACAGCCCTCGGCCAGACCCATCGCTCTCACCAGCAGCCAGCGACTCGAATCCTACCCAGCAATTCGGGGGCGACTCTCTCGATTTCGAAGACGACCCAGACTTCCTTGCTTCGACACAACACCGGATTGACGACGAAACCAACGAATTGCCTACATTCCCGCGAATCAGGTCAACAGCCAAGAAGATCAATTCCTGGCAGGGCCTGCGCTCCGAGCAGCCCATCCCAGACACCTCGATGGTAAACAAACAATTTGGGGACTTCGACCAGAGCATCTCAGACGAAGATGACATCTCAATCGAGCAAGGTCGCGGTCTTCCCCGAAGCAACCGGAGCACCCCGGCAAAGGGGCAATCCTTCGGAGCATACAACAGCTTCTACGACATGACGCCGCCCTCAGCACGATCCCGCAAGTCGCACGCAGCTGAAACCGGCAGCCTTCGACGCGACGCTCAACTCAGACGTGCATCGCGTAATGATTTGAAGGCCACTGCTGCTCGACCCGCCAGCACGCGTAACTCTCCCGCAGCTGGCAACGTCGAGCGAAAGCGCGCATCGCTCGCTCAACTGCACGCTAAGGTGTCGGAAGATGAATCATCATTCATGGACGAGCGTCCTCCCACGGTGACACTTCAGTCCAAGAGTACGCGATGGGGTTCGCGCAGCCGACAGACCTCTCTTCAGATGGACGGCATGGTCGATGCGTACGCGAACAACAATACGAATGCTCAGTCACGGCCCACAACCGCGCAAAACGCCACGGCACAGTCCTTCATGCTGCCGGATATCCCCAATCTTACGGAGCTTGTCTCTGGCGTCTTCGACGACGGTGCACCCATGTTCTCTAAGAGCACTCCCGCTCGAACACGGTTTGCTGCACCCCGTAAGAATGGACGTGCTAGAGGCCAAGCTAACTACTATCCCATTGATAGCCTCCCCGTGCCCGACGAGGAGAAGGCGATCTTCACTTCCCTCCAGCTGTTGCAGGAACGCGTCGCCCAGCTCGAGCACGAACGCGCAGAAGCCGAGAAGAAGATCGAGGATCAGGAAATCGAGATAATCGAGCTTCGGGCATCCGCCCAGGCACGTGGCGGTCGAGACAGCGCTTTGGGATCTACTGATGGCGAGGGCTCCGGGAAGAGCAATTGGAAAGTGGATAAGACGCGTAGGTGTAGTTCTTTGATTGTGATAAACAGATGCTAACACGTAATTTAGGACTTGAAGCTTCTGTGCAAACTCTCCGTACGAAATTGGCCAGAGCGGAGCGCAAGGTGGAACTGTCAGAGATCGAGAAGAACCGAAGAAATGGAGAGCGAGACACCATGGCAACCCGATTAGGTGTAGCATCTCAAAACTTTGAAGAGTTGAAGATGGAGAAGGAAGCTCTGAGTGCCGAGAATGGAACCCTCCGACAGGAGATTGATCGATTACGCGAGGAGAATGAGGCTCTTCTCCAACAACTCGCCCAGGAGCAAGACCACTATCGAGAGGAGACTGCCCAGCTTCAGCAACGCTTCAACCGAGCAGGAAATGATACCCAAAAAGAGAACGAGACCCTTCGTGCTGAATTGAAACGCATGCGTTCTCAAAACGAGGAAAACACGCAGACTTTGTTCCGCAGGGAGGCTGAGCTTCGTAAGGCCCGCAGTGAGCAAGCCGATTATGTGAAGCTCAAGGCCGATAACGATGCACTTAAAGAGCAGATGGCTGAACTAAAAGCTAAACAAGATCAAGAACGCCTCCGCTGGGCAAGCCTCGAAACCGATCTTAAAGACAGGGTTGCCCACCGGGATGAGACCATCCGTCACTTCTACGATATGACCCAGGAGCAGACGAACGAAGTTATCCGCGAAGACAACGAACACCTTCGAAATGAACTTGCCCGGATGGCGGTGCAGCACGAAGAAGAAGCTCGTCGTTGGTCCGAACGGGAGAATAAGCTGAGGAAGAAGATCATTACATCGAGACAGCAACAGACAGGCGAGACATTGACTCGTGAGCTCCACAATCTACGACAGAACAACACCACCACTGGAACCCAACGACAGTCCAGCTCCAAGCGCGACGATACTCGAACCCGTATTGCAGACAGAGTACGAGAAGAAGTCCGCATTAGCAAGAGCGCCAATGCTTCGCACATCTCCAACCCTGCTAGGAGCTTCCAGAAATCAGCCAACAGGTTCTACTCTACTTCACAGCGCGGCCCTTACGCACCAGACGTTCACCGAAGCGTATCTGCCCCTGTCAATCTCACCCAGGATCTAGATGGTGATGTGGAGTCTACAACCGACCTCTCTCTTACACCTCGTGGAAATCCCTACGTGTCACTTGGTCATGGTACAAATTTGGAACAGCCATCTCAGATGGACCTGACTGAGTTGAGCGCATTCAATACTGGGGATATTGCTAGACTCAGACAAGAGATTGAAGAGGAGAGGCTTGCGAATCACATGAGGTCTTCGGTTCCGGTGCAGAGGCAAGCCCAGAATGACACTGTTCGATCCATGGCCTCCGTCAAAAGCGACCGCCGGTCCTCGGTTCCGAAGAAATCCTCAATGAAGGATTTGACCGAGCGTACTAACGGAACCATCTTTGAGGATCTCACCGGCGGGGTTGCAGATCACGATGCTGCTGTCGACCCATCTCAAACCCACGAGACCAACATTGATATGTCCATGCTTAGCAACACGAGCCGCCGCCGCCGCAGTGCTCCCATGGACAACATGACTTCAGCTTTCATCGTTCCCGATATCAAGATTGCAGCACGCGAGCGAACCATCAAGATCGACCTGACCCGCACAGTGGGGAATCGATCCCATGATAACGAGAATTGCTCCGTCTGCCGTCGACAGGCTGAAAATCCATCTGCCGACCCATTGCATGTACCTAAACTGATCCCGGTATCTGCCCGCATGCCTGATGAGTCCGATGCAACACTGCGTCCATCAAGAGACCCCAAAGAGGCCCTGGCACTGGTTGTGAAGGAATTGGTCGACGAGCGTTCTCACCTCCACATGGAGCTTGCAGCCTACCGAGTGCTCCTCGAGGCTCACGATGCCAGCATGGGATTGAAGAAGCGGACAGCCATCAATGAGGAAATCAAGGACCTTCTTCGACGTATCGATATCAAGGACACGCAGATCTACCACCTCTACGATGTGGTTGAAGGCCAACAGGGCAACGACATCACCGAGCAAGATGTTGAAGAGCTCACCCGAGAGATTGATCTCCAAACTCAGCAAGGTGCTTCTACCAAGAAGGATAAGAAGGTTACCATTCAGAGCTACATCGAGAGCGACGAGGAGAATGATCACAACTCGATCGACGAGGAAGATGAGGAGTTGCCTTGGGAAGGCTTCGAAGACACTGCGACCCAGAGCATCAACTTCAGCAAGCTCAACTCCGGAAGACGGACGAGCGCTGTGTACTAAGCACCAACACTGGCGTCAACGGCATGTTATATTGTAAAGAGACTGACGATCATGCGGAGTTTCATTCTAACGGTTTACTGTATTTGGAGTTCAAGGAGGGAAATTGGGCGGCGTACTGTATCAGCATTTTTACGGCATTGCATTTGGGTATAATGCAGCCACTTCTTCGGCAGTCACAGCGAAGTGACGCAATCATCTCACGACAGCGTGTTTTTGTTTCTTCTTTCCATCCAGCCGGCCTCTATCATGGTCATCTCCTGCTTCAGCATGGAGCCTCGTTGGTTGGTTGTTATCTCGATTCCTATTCAAGAGCATGGGTGCGCGGTTGTTTGGGTGCAAAGGAGTTGGAATCCCGCTTTTGTCAGTAACGAGGCTTTGACTCACCTCCTCGAGAGGTTCGAGTTGGCCTTGGAGCTGCAAGGTTGGTTGAGTCCGACTGCTTCGAAGTCTGAACGAAACGTGTGCGTATGTTCAAGTATAGGGAAAGACTTGGAGGCTATCAACGTCGTCACCGAGCTGGTGTATGGAGACAACTTAGATAGAGATTCCCTGAAAGGATGGAATTGCAGAGTTCAAACTGAAATGTAAAAGATGTAATTCTTCAATACCCCTTGCATCCTGCGTGATTGAATGATCGCAAATGGTGAATATGTCTTCGAATCGAGAAACTCTCAAGTAGATTTTGAATTTCTTTCTTTACGTGCTGTGGCCGCAGATGTGGCTATCTATTTCAGTTCAGCCCCAGATATGCACGGTATTCACAAACCAGCGCACACAAGCAGCCTGATAAGTGCGTCTTGAATCCTTCCGAGTCAGGCCCCATATGTACCTCTGTGGCACCCAAGCACAGCCCGCATTATCCGTTCGTACGTACCTAACTACCGCCCCCAAAGCATCCAATGCCTAAACAAAACCGCAGCGCAATCTCGCCTAGCCAATCCCTAGCCACATTCTTCAACGGCCAGGTATGTTCGTGTTAAGCCCTCTTGGTCCCTTCCTGCCTGGCCGCCTTGCCGTCTGGTGTCACTTACGGGAGCCCGAATGAATCACGGCAATCTGCCTGTTTTAAAAGGGCTGGCGGTACCCCCTCCCAGAAGTGGCACAGGGCGCGGTTACGCGGTGGCTTAGATTTTCTTAAGACTCTCTCTGTGCATCACGACGTGCGGTGCGTTGTTTGCCTGATCGCATACATAGTTGGGTAGGTATCCACCACAGCCTAGGTTCTGTTTATTTATTTATTTGTTTGTTTGCTATAGACACGAACTGCTGTCAGTGCTGCTAAGGCTGAAGATTTGTGAAGGGTGACTGGTATATTAGGCAGCCTTATCCTCTTCTTTGACCGCGCCCTCGCCTTCGCCCTTGCCCTTGCCTTCCTTCGCCGTTTGGAGTTAAGGCATTTAGTCGAAGGATTTGTTCTTTCAAGAGCTGGGTGGCTTGCAGGTTGCAAAAGGATAAATAAAAGAAAGGTCTTGTCACTTCGGCTCTACGTCTCGGCCACCTGATACTCTCTCTCGAGCAAGCCACGTATTGAGTATATCCACGACCTTCACCTTTACTGTCCCCGCAGAAGCGCACGACACAAATACAACGCAACACAACAACCTCCTTCTCTCCAACCACCAGGAAAAATCGCATAACTCCACCATCAGAAACAGCAGAGGAAAAAACACAAGAACCCCCCAAAATGGCAGCCCCCCAACAACAACACGCCTTCCCCACCGAGCTCCCCGCCCGCCCAGGCGCAACCACCCACAACACCTCTCCCCAAACCCACAACAGCAGCTTCAAGTCGCGCGCGTGCCCCAACATGCGCAGCTGCTGGTCCTTCAGCCTCTCGTCCTTCAGCCTGCGCACGGGCGGCGACCAGGCGCTGTTCGCGCGGCGGCTCTGCATGCTCGTCACGCTCGTCATCCGCACCGCCATCTCCATCCTCTCGTGCGTGTCCTACGCGGGGTACCGCCGGTGGGTGAGCTTCGCGATCAACGTCGTGTTGGCGATCCTGGGGTTTTTCTTCATCGCGTGGTGTCTTGCGGTTATTGGGGAGGCGAGGGGATGGAGGAAGGTGCTTGGGTTGAGGGTCGTAAGTTCTTCATATTTCATTTCCCTTTCGTGTGTTTGTTTGTTTGTTTGGATGTTGTTTTGGAGGGGGTGTGAATGACTGACGATACGATTGAATAGGGCCGCTGGCACTTCGACATCTTCCTGATCTTCGCGGCTTTGGCGCACATCGGCATCCTGATCGGGTGGTTCTTTGGCCTAGGGAACGCGGGTGCGACGGGAACGTGGATGATCATGTGGTTGCTTATCTTCGGGGCGGCGTGGGTCGCGACGTGGCAGCCGGATGAGCCTGCTAGTCAGGTTTGAAGGGGATCGTGTGGACTTGAGGTGAGAGAGGAATGGATGGGGGAAAGGAGAGGAAATTTGGGGATGAGATGGTGGTGGTTCTTGGTCATGGTGGTATGCTACATACACTATGTACAGGCATGATGATTTCCCTGAGTCTGTCTCGTGCAAGGTCACTCTGCACGTATGATAATGAAAAAAATAATGATACATTTCGTTCGTACATCCAAGGATATGTAAGTCGCGACAAGATCCCGTATAATACACGACAACAAGAATGGGGTTCCCGTGAGAGAGGTAAGGGGGAACTCGGTTGCCATCTATTTGATCTTCTTGTTCTTGAGCTTGATCGTCTCGTCGTTGACGAAGATGCCCTTGCCCTTGTACGGCTCGGGGACCCTCCACTTCCTGATCTTGGCCGCGAACTGCATCACGACCTCCTTCTCGGCGCCCTCGAGCAGCAGCCGGGTCGGCTGCGGCGTGCTGGCCTTCACGCCCTTGGGGATCCCGAGCTCGACTGGGTGCGAGTACCCGACCTTCAGGTTCACGAACTGCTGGCCTGCGTACTCGGATTCGACGGTCGTTGCGGTCGTCTCGACAGAGGCTCTGTAGCCGACGCCGACGAGGCGGAGGATCGCACTGTGGCCTTCACTGACGCCCAGGATGTGGTTTTGAAGGTATGCGCGGGTGGTGCCTGTCACGATGTCAGGATTGAATTCAAACCAAACTATTGTAAAATATCCCATTTCAACGTCCCAAAAGAGTCAATTGAGTCAATTGAAAAGAGACGGAGGGATAAAGAGGTTCACATACCCCACATAGCCCTCTGCTTAGCATCCTTAGCATCCTCGATGGACAGCGTTGGTCCCAGGAGGCTCGGGTCCTGGTCGATCTTCACATAGCTCGGGATGTCCATCGACAGCTCGCCGAGCGGGCCCTTGATGTGCACAGTCGACATTGCCTGCGTGCGAACGCCGCCCTTGTTTCCATTGCCATTGCCACGGCCGCCGCCCAGGGAAGGCGCAACAACTTTGAAGCTGACCTCCGGCGGAATCGAGAGTGGTAAGGAGCCGATCTTCGAGAGGCGTGGTGAGGTGGTTGCGAAGGTCCTGGCGGGCTGGAAGGCGGGGAGGAGGAATGAGGGAATCGATTCCGAGGTTTGGATTATCGTAGAGGCGCACAAAGCGCCTCTCCTTCGAATTGGGGTGAGCATTGTGTTGTGGAGTGTTTTGTTGATGGGGAGAGAGCAATGCGAAGCTCTCTGGTGATGTTCACAGAAAGTTTTCGGTAGAGGTTCAGCCCTACGCGGGAAGGATGACTAAGCGAGTCAACGACTAGTTACCTAGGTAGTTACCATATTCTGCTACAACTTGGATGTTTGCATGATATAGGAATTGATTTTCTGAGATATGATACAAATGTAGACTATCAAAAAGCCAAGTTGAGATGGTAGTAATAATACTGATAAGATATCTATAACTAGAATAGAACGTGTTACTATAGTCCTAGTAGGTTTGGCTGAGTAGGTACCTAGAATTAAATGTGCTGAAATGGTGTGCAAGAAGTCTATGATGTCGTCCAGAATGAAGAAATTCTTTGATAATATTGAGAAATATCGATGTTTCTAATGCGACTTTGAGAAGGCAAATCTTATAGATGCAGATGCCGTTTCGCCCATGATTAAAATCTTCTCCGATACTATGAGGCATCTCCGATAATAAGTAAGGCGGTCCGTGCGTATGTCCGATAGCAGGTCCCCGTCGCAATATCTTTTCTTTCAACGCAAACCTTGGAGGCAAAAATTTTGAGATGTTGTCATGCGATGATCGGCGTTCAGGTTATACGTTCTCTGGAAAATCATTTGGAAATCCCTGTTATGGTCAGCAAAGGAACCAAAGCAAACGTCTATGAAGCAGCTTACCAAGTCGATTGAGTCGAAGTTTGACCAATCTACGCCATCTATCCATTCCCAAAATTCGTCGTCTACAATTCCCCTTGGTTCTGGTCGCATGGTGTGTTCAGAAGTCAATTGTTGGCTTAGGATTGTTAGCCGATCGATCAATGCGATTCTGATGGGGTGAACTTACTGAAGTTTTCGCAAGATAGGATATGCTTTCACACAGACGGGACTGCTGACCTGCAGTTCCTTCATGCGGTCCATCGTAGCATCAATGGACTTGATATAATCCTCGTACTCGGGGAGGGTTGGAACACCAAGGAGACACGATGATAACGCAACTGAAGCTTGCAGGGCATTGAAACTCGTCATGCCGTTCAGCAGCCAGCGATAGCTTTTTAGTCGAGGAAGCTCGTAAAATTGGCGGTAGAGATCCAGTAGAGCCACGCTGGATTCTATACATTTCTGTCTCGATTGTGTCCTGAACGTACCAGATCGCTGATGATGGAAAGGTTTATGGAGAAGTAGATAGAGTTGGTGTGCATAGGTTTGTAGGATGCACCAATGCGCATAGCTTGTTGTGTCAAGAATACTGGGCATTCCATCGATAAGAAAGGCTGAGTCCCAATCTGTCTGCTCCTGTTGAATGGCAGCATCCAAACTGTTCAAAGCTGGTTCGTCGTTCAGCGACGTACCGGAGAGATGAGAGCACACCTTGGTAGAAAGCTCGAACAAACGTATCTTGAACTTCATAAGAGTCATTTGAGAGCCATGACCGGTCGTCCGAGAGGCATCATCAGTAAGGTTACCTGTGTCGATTTCTGCAGGCACTGTAGCTGGAATTTTGAGGAGTCCAGACAAGTCTATATCACGGTATAGGATTGCTTGATACGTATGGAGCATCAGAATTCCCGACCACAAGCGATGACGCCGTTCCCTCTCTGTCTGGCCTAACCCTGGAGATGTTATATGGCATTTGAGTGCGATTCCTATGTTCAGAGCAATACCAAGGAGTGTCCAGCCTCTCTCGACACCCTCGAGGTGGCAGATAGCGTATATCAACAGCAAAAGTGCTTCGAGGGTATTCAAATTGTGGTGGGTGAGGAATGAATCATGAGCTAGACATGTTGTCGCGGCACGACGGAACTGGTTTGATAGATCAAGCACGCTCGCAGCCTGCTGTTGATGTCGAGAAATTTCATGTAGAATGGGATCGCCCTCATCTAGGGTCAGCAATGTCAAACTGCACACCACGAATAGAAGCCCTAGCCAAGCAAGGTTGGTTTGCTCCGGCGACCTCAAGAAAGCCGTGTATTGCTGCTGGAACGTCGGCCCATGGACGACATTGAACAAGGGAGATACATGTGTGAAAAATCTGGTTACGAGATAGTCACAGCACGATGCGGATGGCAGTATGCTCAGCAGTCCTTCGATGGGACTTCTGGTGGTTGGCGGGAATGGGAAGCTTGTCTCTGGTTGTGTAGTAATGGTATCGATTGCTTCGTTCGTCGGACGCAATAGAACGTCGTCCCAATGAAAACGAGAATTCTGGCCATCTTCTCTCTGTGAGTCTAGATTGGTGGTTGGCACCACCTGTGGAGAAGGTAACAAAACAGATGAGACGGTCCTTGGAGTGCCTCGTGGATGGGCCTGGGTGGTATCCGGATGTCGTATTTGATTGTGGCCTTGGGGAGTTATCTCTCCTGTAACCCTTACATAGGTGCAAGCATCTCCGAGAGCGCGGCGTATACAGGTATTGCATGGCTTCCGACGATCGCAACGTAGTTTTGAGCGTCTACAAGCTTCGCAGTTTATAGGCTTCCGAATTCGCCGGGAAGCCGCGGAGGATCGTATAGCAACAGGAGAGTCCCTGTTACCAGATGTCATGATTCAAGGTGTCCGGTTGAGTGCATGCTGTGCTATTCGTGGTTGTTGGCCTGTCGGAGTTGAACTTGAATGAGTAGAACGATTTACTAACGGCGGAGGTCGTGGTCACTTAAATCCGATGGCCACCAATGATCTCCGATCCGACTTAGTCTATCGTAAAAACGCAACTCCATGTAAATTTGCGTCCGTAGATCGGGGCTCTCTGAATGTTTGGTGTCAATTGAGAATGGCTCAAATTATCCTTCACATTTTGCATAGTTGACTTTAACTCATGTATTTTGCTACTTCAAAGTACAGTGCCCCAAATTGCAGCGCGGACCTTCGCACACTTTTCAGGGACCACTCCAAGCCATAGATCATGATTACAGCAATATCATCTCGGGGCACTAGAATTGCTGCCCAGAGTCCACAGTTCTTTGATATCCTTCAGGATCTTTGGGATCCCGTGACCAATCCTAATGGCTTCGTCAATATGGGATTAGCAGAAAATGTGAGTGCTCTGCCTACACTTCTCTCAGTCGAGTAACTCACATTGACAGTCTTTAATGCATGATGAGATGATCAAATTCTTGAACCACAAAGTCGGTTTCCGAACCCATTCATCATTAAGCAGAATTTTCCACTAAATAACATTGCAGTCTTGGGCGGATTCTCATGCCTTGACCTACGGCGATGGCTTTTCAGGATCCGACAAACTCAAGGCCTCCCTTTGTCATTTTTTGAACCATCATTTCTCTCCTTGTCAACTTATTGAACCTTCTCACATCGTGGCAACGGCTGGTGTTAGCAATGCTATCGAATGCTGTGCCTGGGCTCTTTGTGATCCTAGAGACTTCGTGCTTATTGGACGTCCTTACTGGACTACCTTTAAGTCAATGCTAGGCGTTCGCGCAGGGTAAGTTCTCGGATCCACGAACTAATGAAGCTGACATTAATAGGGTCAATGTTGAAGAGGTTGGTTTTGGTTCCACGGATCCCTTCTCCGAGGATGCATTAGTCCACTACAAGGACGCATATACGCAAGCGGAGAAAGAGGGCAAAACTATCAGAGCAATCTTGTTATGCAACCCTCACAATCCACTTGGTATGTTTTCTTTGGGCTTCTTATGCGATTGAACAGATCATTAGGTCTGACGCTCTTGAATGCAATAGGACGATGTTACTCCAAAGAAGTGATACAGGGCTTCATGTCGTTTTGCCAAGAGAAACAGATACATCTTATTTTCGACGAAATATATGCACTGTCAGTTTGGGGAAACCCGCAAATGGCATCTGAAGTTGGGTTCATTTCCGCATTGGCCATTGATACAACGGGATTGATTGATTCTAACTTGTTACATGTTCTGTGGGGAATGAGCAAGGTGAGTTCTATGATTATTATCCAATGACTTTTGTGATAACCTCGAAATCAGGATTTTGGGGCAACAGGCCTACGTATTGGATGCGTTATCAGTCAAGCTAACAAGGGCTTTCTGGATGCGTGCATCAGCATCTCGTAAGTTCACATGTCAGCAGGTAGACCAACTGGGCCTGACTTCATCTAGCTTGTTCAGCTTTCCATCCAGCCTGGCTGACAAGGCAATTGCGAATCTGCTAGCCGATCGTCAATTCACGGACGATTATCTTTGTCTATATCGAGAAAGACTCAAGGATCGTTACGATCATGTTACTTCGATCTTACACCAGAACAGAATTCCCTACGAAGAATCGAACGCCACTCTCTTCATCTGGGCAAATCTCGGCGCGATGGTTAAGAATAGCAGGATCACAGATGATGCCATTCTCAAAAGACTAAGGCGGGAAAAACTTTACATCACCTCCGGAGTAGGTTATCGAAGTGAACAAACGGGGTGGTTTAGGATCGTCTTTGCTCATTCGAAAGAATTACTTGACGAAGGACTTCAACGTATGATCCGAGGACTGTCTGATTTGTAAGATAATTAATGTAGCGATTTTGGTCGGAATACGTCTCAATATAGCGATGCATCGAAGTTAAATAAGCGTTGATTTAGATGGCGGCGTATATAAAGCCGAGACTATCAACTTCATCCCCACTATTGCCCAATGAACCAACAATAGAAAAGCCCGCTGGCGCATTGTAATCTACACAGTCACTCGTTTTGACACCACTTGCAACGCTCTTAGATCCACTGGTCCTCAGTTCCGCGTAGAAAATCCGTGTATTGCCATTCCTTTGCCCCTTGCAAAGTGTGGCACTTACAAGCTTCTCATTCGTACCAAGCGTTAACGTTGACGCGGTGCCACCTGTTCCGCCATGAGAAAATGTTTCCCCTGAAGCGAGCGACAGAGACACTCTATCGAGTCGGTTTGCCCCTTGCAGCGTTACAGAAGACACAGTTGGTTTCTGGACATTCGCCAGCAACGGAAGATCATTGTACCAACCTCCTGACTCGCTGCCAAAAGTACTACTGACGCGCCATTGCGGGCTAGATTTCCAATTGAAGTTTACCAATACGGGATTGTGATCGCTCAATATGTTCCCATCTTCTTGCAAGAACTTGTTGCTCGCATACTCAAACGAAGTGGCCTGGAGTGTCACGGCTGGCGAGCCCCGGTACCAGACTTTGTCGACTGTCTCGCAGGCTGTCGTCGTGCTTGGATTACTGCAAAGCAATGCATCTGTGCCTGGTTGCGGTGCCGTGTTTCCGCGGACCAACTCAACCCACGGGTCCTTCATGCCGTTTTCTGTCGCAAAGACGGTGGGTATGTCGCCAGAACGTGTATAGCGAGTGTTCGAGTCGCCAAATACCAACACGGAATTGCCAACAGAGTTGGTCTTGATGAAATCTGAAACTTGGCGGAGATTCGAAGCACGAGCTTTGAGATCAGCAGCGGTGGTTCCAGCATCAGCGTGAAGGTTATAGGCATCTACAGATATGCCAGGTGCGACATTGACACGCATAAATGTAAAGCCCTTTGGTGTGAGACAATCTGCACTACTACGCAAGGTGTTAGCTCTAATCTCGATCCCCAATGGTAGGAATTTGTGCTGCATACTCTACATTGCTGCATTCGTTCCACTTGACGCGTTGGAAAGAGGTATATGGAAAGTTGCTTAGGGTATTGAGCCCACTGCCAAATGGCACTCCTCCGCTGGTTGGCGTCCTGTACGGATGGTCGTCGTGCTCATAAAGCGCGGCATGAAAGTTCTAGTAGCATTCCCTAGTCAATATCCATATCTTCGGACTTAGGGTAATGACGATACATACAAAGTCCTCTTGAACGTGTATTAGTGAATAGTTGTATTGTGAAAATAGCTGACCGATGCGCGCCGTGTTCGTTGTCTTGTCACCCGGGACTTCGTTTCCGTTCAAGATCGGCGGAAGGCCCGCAACATTGAACGACAGGCTCGTGAAAGAGCCTGCAGTGTTCTGAGCAAGCGATTGGCCCAGGATCAATAGAATAGCACCAGAACGAACAAACATGTTGGGCAAGTTGGTCCTTCAGAGAGGATGGATCAATATGTCGCGATGTTTCTCTTATATAAGGAGGAAAGCAATTGACTGACTCGGGACTGAGATACCAAGGCCGCTCACATGTGAGGTAACAAATAACATAGAGTTGCTATGCCATGCGCGGAACGGTAACGCCAATGCTGGTCATAGGACATTGTACGTTGTATATATTGACACGGACAATTTACTGAATAGGAACAAGTTGATAGTGAATACAGTTAGCGCGAGGTTTAGTACGATCACCTATTAAATTGCCGATGCAGATTGATTTACGCTCTAACCTCCTTCCTGTTTAACTATGTCGAATTCATGCTTATTGCTCTTGATTTACTTCTAGGAATATCAGGAATATGTGAAAACTCCTATAGAACTTATTCAGAGAAAGTGCTATCTTCAATGTGGTGGAAAAACTTCCCTGTGGTTGTAGTTCTGCTGTACTTGAATACAACTCAGGGGTGCTACACCACTACAAACACACTTTCCCCAGATTTATCTAAGCAAACCTACACAACATTTTTGTGACTTGGCCAAAGATTTCATATATGGTTTCTTCAAAATGAATGTTAAATCTATCTGTCATAATGCTCATGAACACATCATGATTTAGAAATCCTTCCTATTTCTTCGTAGTTCTAGAAAAGGGGGGTGGACGAGACTCATCAAGTTCAAGTCCAGCCATCTCACTGTATGTACGAATTGGAAGCTTGTATCAATATGTTTGTGTCTTGAACAGTGAAAACCTCTCTCCATTGTCCTGTGATAAATCTAACTCTAAGATTTTTTTGTCGATACCACATGATCTGGAACAACACTTCTTTCATTCATTCCACACCATAAGATGACACATACAGTAGGGAGCAACAACATACAGAACCCCACTCCCTCACCAAATCCTCTTAGCAACCATAGCATACCGACTAACATGCCCAAACCCAGCTCCCCCCTCCCTCTCCTTCTCGTCCTTCTTCCTCTGCCTCTCGTCCCGTTCCCGCATAGCCCTCAACCCCTCAGGGTCGTCGTTGTATATCCACCTGCGCTGGTCCTCAGAGACGTCGACGACACCCCACCCGCCTATGCGCTTCCCGCCCGTCTCGACGTTGAGCTTCTCGCGGGTGTGCATCGTGTGGTAGCGGTCGCGCGCGACGCGCAGGAGGAACATGCCGAGGAGGATTTTGAAGGCGAGGAGCACAAGGTACAGGACGAGGAAGACCATGGCCATGGTTGCGAAGGCGATGAAGTCGTCGAGCGTCCAGCTGGTAAGCCAGGATGTCCAGGCGGATTGGGAGGTGGATACACCGGCGCCGAAGCTTGAGCGGCCGAGCGCGCGGCGGAAGATTTGGTCGATGTGGGCGAGGGCGGCAGTCGTGGCTGGGGAGGAGGTCGTGGGTTCAGAGGAGGAGGTTAGGGATGTTGCGGTGGATGGGAACGGGAGCGGCATGTGCGTTGCGATGAACATGTGGTAGGTCTGGATGGCGGCGCGGATGAAGAGGCAGGCGAGGGGTAGGACGGGGAGCCCGAGGCGGCGGGTGAGGTTTGGGTCGGTGAATGCATTGGAGTAGTAGTCCTTTGCTAGGACGTCGAGGAACTTGCTGTACACTTCTGGCTTGGTCTGATTGAATTTGGTGATGTAGGCGTGCTTCAGCCAATCGACGAGCATCTCGCTGCCGAGCACCAGCAGGAAGGGGTTCAGCACCTGTCCGATCCATGTGGGGAATATCGTGAAACTGCGCGGAATCATACTCGAGGCAGTGAAGGGTGCCGTCGCGTTCCTGCTACTACCCCCGAAGGCTGTCCGCCAGAATGAAGGCTCGCTGCTGGTCTGAATGCTGAGGCCGCCGACCTCGACAATGTTGCGCATGGCGATGATGAGAAGCATCATCCAGAGCTGAAACCGTTCAACGATATCCGCACAGGTGACCTGGAACAGATTCTCTTTCTCAAACTTCTTGAACACTGTACCCTTAATCTCGACGAATTGATTCGACATGAGGAGAGTAAGCAAAGCGTTCGAGTACGAATTGACAGCCACGTTGAGCGTGATGACTTGGTAGAAAAGAGCAGTGGCATGGGCAACCGTGTAGAGAAGAGCCAGCACGAACATCCAGAATGGGCGGATGACCTTACTTCGCCCATCAGCATTGCGATCGAGAGTCTCGCGTGATAAGAGACATTCCAGAACATCTTGACCGACCGCAGCGAGCAGGCGGTCGCACACTTCAAGGGTGTTGTAGATGACATAGAGTTTGATAGCCGCCTGTCCACGGATGCTGTGATACATTTTACTGGCATCGAACCGCATAAGAACAGCGCAGCTAGTGATGACAAGGAGGCCTTTTAGAATATCCGCCTTGTGGCTCGGGAGCAAGGCAGAAGGCGTCGATTTCGTCCGTCGATGTCGGTACCGTGAGAGGCGCTTCCGCTTCTCTCTGAGCTCTGGGAATGCAATGCTCTGCGGTGTCATCCCGTTCTCTTTGGAACCAGCATTAGTCGCCTGGGTCGGACTCAGTGTGGCCGACACTGACGGTCTACGTGAGCGTGTAGGAGGCACCTCATCGGCCGGTGTCGCGAGGTTTGGGGTCGGAGTCTGGCTTTCTGAACTCATATTCCGCCTCCTCCATACGCGGCCCAGCCCACTGTAAACGAAGTTCCACAGATCGCGAATCTCTTTGATGATCACCGAGCCCCACCACTTCGACAGGATCCAGACTGCGAGCAGGAAACGCAGCGGCAAGATGGTGAGAACATGCATCCATGCATCGAGACAAGCCAGTGCTCCAAAACCAAGGATGCCCTCGAGTTTAGGAGGCAAGAACAGAAAATTGACCAGTCTTTCGTACTTGATCTTGGACGATTCATAGGGGAAGTCGGAACTCGAAGGACGATATATGTACAAAGGTGACGGTCTGTTGCCAGAAAGTTCGAGCGAGAGAAACGTCGGTATTGAGAATGGGGGTAGGGGCATTCCAGTGGGTATTGGTGAAGGATCTCTCTCCTTTTCCGGATTCACGGATGGTCGTAGGTTGCTGTTGGTAATACCTGGGACATTATCCTTATTGTTATGCTCGAGATTGAGCGGCGGAAGCACAGGTCTAGATGCCCTCTTCTCCGCATCTCCTTCGTGCGCCTGCCTATGTGTAGACGTCTTCCTCCGGACGAGCGAAGGCGTAGTCATGGATCTCGAGCTCATGGTCGGGCGTCCAGACCGCGTTTCCATGCCGTTCGCTTTAACAGCAACGACAGCCTCCTTCTCTTGCTTCAAGCCATGCAATCTCGACACTGACGATGCATGACCCCTCCTCTCCACATGATCAACGTTCACATCCCCACTCCCATCACCACCACCACCCATCCCCCCCTCCGGCAGCTCCAATGCCGGCTCAAGACCAACCCCCAACCCCTTCCCTGACTCCTCCCCACCACCCTCCGACGCATCTTCAAGTATAGGCGTAGCCGCACGCACAGGAATACTCGCCGGCTCGCTCGTCAGCTCGTGGATCTGCTTCGGGCTAAGCTTAAGCATCTTCTCATGCTCTGTGACGCTGCTCCTCCTCCGCCCGTCGCCGGGCCGCTTGATCGTGGGATGTGGCCGCATAGACGCCATCCTCGTGCTCGTTCCCTTCTCGCTTGCGTCCGATAGCACCGCTTCGTCGTTGGATGTTGCGGGTGTCGGTGTCGTTACTCCGCTGCCGGCCGTGGTGGACGACACTTTTAGACCTCCGTTCGATGTGCTACTTCCTCCACCATCTTTTGAAAGTTCGTCGCCTCCGGCTGTTGAGGGGTTCGAATGCTTCGTGTTGTGCTCGACGCCATTGTGATTGTCGTCGTTGTTCCGTTGGGAAGCCACGTCCTCGGGCTCGGGAGACACCGACGGCGTGGGTAGCTGTTGCTGCTGTTCAGTCGCTCGGGACTGCTGCTGCGCTGCTGCAGCTGCAGCTTTGCGCGGCCTCGCTTCGTCGACCCTGTCCATTGCGTACCAGGGAGTGTGAGGAGAGGGAGAGGAGCGGCATGGCGCGCATGTGCGAGACGGGTACGAGTGCGAATCGTGGAGGTTATGCTGCATTGGAGGTGCCCCCGGAGGTGAGCTTGGACTTTAATTGTGGAGAGGTGTTCTGTCTTGGCGGGGGGTCCTTCTGTACTGTGGCGTCTTGTTGATGGTGTCGGCGGTCGGAAAGGTGGTCGGAATGCAGGGAGGGGGTTTGAAACGGAGTGTAGGATGTGGGAATGTCTGGCTACTTATACTTTTCATGTTTTATAGTTAGGATTCTTTATTTTTGGTAAAGCAATATTATCTGACAGTGTTTTTGGGAGCCATGGTTGGAAAAGTTGCGATTATGGTATATATACTTTTATGTTACAGCATTAGGACATAATGCATATATGTACGGAATATGTACTTCTAAATGCGATAGATCATGTAGGAACGAAGATGAAGACCCCACAAAATGTCTATCTGTCAAGCCGTTGCTTACGAGCGATTTGTACTTATGCCACCGCTCTGTTTTTGAGGTGCTGCTTGCGGAGCTGCGTTCTCTTTGACCGTCGCGCCTGAACCTCGACCACCACCTCTGCCACCAGGCCCTCCGCGTCCTCTCGGACCTTTGGCCTTGCCACGTCCACGATCATTGCCATCCTGTCTTGGTGTGGATTTTGCAGCTGTCGAGTCAGGTTTCGGGTTCACAGGGCCAGCATCGTCCTTGTTAGCTTTCGCCCGCCCCTCTTCGTTGTCCTCTTTCTTGTCTTTGCCTTTGGTTGCTTTGCCTCCTCTACCACCACGACCTCTGCCTCGACCACGACTGGCTTTAGCTGCCCTCTCTGCTGCCCTCTTCTGTTGCTCTTCTTCCAGCATGACCCTCTTGCTCTCTTGATCCCACCATTGCTGAAACTCTTGTTCTTGTTGGATCTCTTGTAGGCTTCGCTTAGATGCAGCGTCCTTGATGTGATGTTTCTCTAGCTCTTGCATAGAGAGAATCTCAATCATGCTAAGATGCTGACTTGGCGATGTTGGAGAGTGTGACGGTAGGGGGATGTGGCGCACTGAATGCGGAGTCGCAATTGGCGTGGTGGAGACGGCCATACCAGGACCAGAGGCAGGAGAAGGCCGGTTTTCTGCCTGTTGGCCACCAGTGGACGGCTTTCGTGCAGATTGCGATGGTGTTGATGGCGTCTTCTGTTTGGATGATCCTGCACCGTTGTTCGCTATGGTCTGGCGCATGGTCAATTGGGGTGTGCTGGTCGTCCGAGGTGGTGGCGTTGGAACGACGACAGGGCTACCTGTTGGAGTGGACTTTCGATGTGACATGGCCTGCCATGGAGAGACTGTAGGCGGCACTGGCTGAGGTTTGTTGAGACTGGATGGGTGTCCGAGTTGCTGGGACTGTTGCTGTCGCTTGCGTTCTTTCTGGGAGACTTTCGCCTGAAAGGACCCTGAAGGGCGGTCCTCTTTGCTTTGCTGCGAGAGTCCAATGGTCAAATTGGAGGGCTTGTCTGTTGCGGTCTGGCTCATAATGTCCTTGAGGTCAAGCTTATCTCCACCCAACGGAGCCACACCCCATGGCCGATCCGGCGTTCGTGGGTCAATAGGTGCTTGCAATGGCGACGACGAAATAGTCTCTCTTGTTACGAGACTTGCTTGAAGAGATTGTTTGCGGGAGACACCAGGCCATGATTCCTCAGGGGATGTGGCCAACGATGCAGCAGAATGGTCTTTATGAAAACGAGGCGGAGATATAGGCTTACGACTATCGAGTTCGTCGTCTTCTCCATCCGACATCTCGAACATGAGGTCTGGCACGGAAGTCTTGCCTCGAAGAGCAGGTGTCGCAGAAGGGCTGTCTGTCAATTTTGCGTCTCTTGACTTTCGGCGGTTACGCTGGCGTAATGGTGAAGCCGCGACCTCTTCAAGACTCTGTGCTCTGAAGGAGGCAGATGTCGTTCCATCGTTGTCAGAAAATTTATTAGAGAGTACAATGGCATCAATCCTTGCACGTTTGCCTCTTTCGATTCGCTCCGCGAGGTCAGGATACTTATCAAATAGTAGCGATTCGGCTCGTCCACTTCTCGCAAATGGTAGGGTTGCCAACTGATTATCTCGGACGACAGCATCGAGATCGAGGAGAACTTCGTCATCCATTTCATCCAGAGAACTGTATCACGTTAGAGCGAGTTTCTCAAATCGGTAATTGGAATCTTACCCATTTTGCAAGACAGCTTCCAGACTCAGACAAACATATTCGAGGGTTGCATCTTTGAATTCGGCTACAGAACTGGGCGCAATGGCGTCGAGAAGCGAGCATACATTCCGAGAGTTGACTAATTTCGCTGTAAGAATTTCTCTCTTTCATACCGATTATCAAACTTACCGTATCGGCCGATCAGTCTTTGGCAAATTTGTGATAACCGGTCCAGCATCAACTCGTTCGCAATGGACATGATGTCCATGATGTGGTCGAGGAGTTCATCAAGAGCAAGATAATCATTGAGATCTTCACTTGTGAAGTCATCAAACATTTCCTCTCCGGCATCGGTGTAGATATGGCGGACAACCAGTTCAAACAGATCGCTCTCTACATGGCTGAGATCGACTCTTGTATGTCTCGATTCTTCAGTGCGTCTACCAGCGAGCCACTGCCCACCAGCGCGGCCTCGGAAGAGGCCTTCGAAGAATGGACATCGTTGACATAGTATGTCTGAGTGAAGGAGTCTCTCCCCATCGGCTAGTTCCACAATGACATCGCCACTTTCGAAGTAGGATTGGTCCTTGATGGCAGATACCATGTCCTTATCCAAGGAACGTATAGGACTCACCATTTGCCGTACTGCTGGTTCGAGCTGTTTCATCTCTAGCTTTGACGCTACCTTCATCAGCTCCACACGCACTGCCCTGTACCTGAAAGCCATTTTTGGGTACTGGCGCGTATAGTTCCAGAAATCGACAATCGAGTCGGTGTAGATGTAGACGACGATGTTAAAGACAGTAAGAAAGTCCACTCCTTGGAACAAGACCGTTAGTTTGCCATCAACCTCAGTGACGGACAAAACTTCAGGTATATCTACGGACTTGCCGCTTACGCGGTAGTCGAGCATGACATCCCTGATGACGCGACTGCGTCCAGCCAAAACGAATTCGTGTACTGGAATGCGAACATCACTGAGCGTTGTCGCAAGTACCATGTCGTACGAGTTTTCAGAGGAGAACAGTTTTCGGCGCACAACGTCGGTCACTTCAGTTTCAAGGTCTTTGGACTGCAGCGTGCGCTTTCGCAGCGACTGCGCATTCGATGGACGCTGCCAGAACCTCGGGGTGGGATTCTCATCTTCGCTATCTTCGTGGAACTCGAAAAGCTCGCCGATTGGGACCAAAGAAGCAAGATCTTTCCAGATGTTGGGCTCGTCCACTCCAATCTGGGTCTTTGTAACATTGCAGTCCCTCCGAATCGCCGCGTAAGCGCCAAAAGCGGAAGCACGAACCCCAATAACACGAGTGAGGCCGGGAACTCGCAAGAATTTGTAATCCTTCGGTTTGTTATCCGTAGTGCGGGAGACATTTGCGTTCTTGAGTGTGGCTCGCTTTGTCCGCCGCCAGACTGTGCCGGCCTGGGTGGTCAAAATGATCGAGCCATCGTGGTCTACATCAACATCTCTCGCAGCCATATGGCTGCTCTTAGCCGACCATATACGATACGGTGTGGACAGAGCACCTCGTATCTGCTTAGGATTCGTGGTTGAAGTATCAGCGTCAGTGCCCGTTTCAGAGCGACGACTGAGGGCGACCGTGAAAACCTCTCCTGCCGATGATAAAGCGCAGACTGTATCGCCACCTGCTGTGATCTTCTTGATCTGATTAGGTGTGGTATCGTACTTCGTTGTGAGCCAGCTCTCCTTGAAGAACGGATGTGTGAATCCATCCAACGGGAAGTTCAATCTTGCATAACCAAAGTTGGCAAAGACCCAAACTTCTCGATTCTCAAGTAGACATATAGTGGCTCCATCAATGGCCGAAGCAGATGAAATTGGAGACGAGAACAACGATGCGGCGACTTTCCGGGGTATCACCTGGCTATCAAGAGAACGAGCATCGGAAGCAACAATACCAAGTTGACCCTCGTTCTTTCCAAATGTATAGAGAGAAGTTGCTGTGTGAACAACTGAATGTATCCGTGATGCTGCAATGCCGATCACGATCTCTCGTTTCAATGGACCATAAATCTGTCTTGGGAGACTCGATATTGGATCATCTTCCTTGAGGGCGGGTTTTGGAAGTACGTATCCCAACTGTCCAAAAGCATTGTTGCCCCAAGAGAAGACTTCTCCTTCGTCAGAGATAGCCAACGTATGATTCTGCCCTAGTGCCACTGCAGCGACCTTCTTCTGACTCAACCCGCCCCCTTCGATGCAGGTGAACTGATGCCTGGTCGATTCGTCACCAGTTCCGAGTCGACCGCCAGCGCCATGTCCACACATATACAGGTTGGAAACAGGATCGGTAGTAAGTACAGCAGTGTGCAACTTAGACATTTGTACATCCTGGGTGACAATCGGAGTATTTCGTATCCGAACTGGCAGCTCATCCAAGGATCTTGGGTGAAGAACTTCGGACTCTTGCAGCGATTGATTCATATAAGATGATGCTTGCAGTCGCGCCTCTCTATGCTCGCGGTAAAACCTTTGAAGCAGGTGGTCCGGTCTTCTAAGAGTGATACGTTCCGGAAATTGGCGATCATCCTCGTCACCGAACCCAAGGGTCACATTTTTGTTACTGCCGAACGTGAAGACTTCGTCGCCGCTCAATAGTATAGGTGGGACAATGGTCCTTCCCCTCGCTTCGTCGTCCCAATCACCACTGTCACCATATGCCAATTCGTCGTCGGAATCCGAATCATTTCTGGGGGCTTCCTCCGGTTGCAGTGTTCTATCTTTGATGGTCAATGCGAACAAGTCGAGGGGACCGTATCCTTCTTTATCTTTGATCTTGACTAAACCACGAGCGTGAGGATTGAAACCACTTGAGTTGTGGCCAAGTATATTCTGCGTATCCTTATTAAGGATCAGGCGCGCGATGGTAATGTTTCCAAAATAAAAAGCGCGGTGCAGGGATGTCCAACCGTTCTCGGTATCTTGAATATACAAATCAATCAACGAATGTTCCAACAGCGCCTGGGCAAACGCGGCGGCATTCTCTGCCGTCGAAGACGCGACATGATGTAGGATTGTCATTCCCGCTCCATCGCGACTGTTAATGTCCGACCGGGTCAGGGTGACGGGTGCCTGGTTCAGAGCCCTCCGCCCTTTGGAGTTGAGCATGGGTGACATGCCATAACTACCCGGACTGCTGTTCATCGCCGCGCCATGGCTTCCGCCCTGCCAGCTAGCGAAGCTTTTCTGTGTTCCTGGACGCGGGGTATGGGAGGCATTTTGCAAGACATGTCGAAAGCTATCGACATCATCTTCAAAGTATGATTTCCAGAGATGGCCACTCATGTGCTAATAAGGGTATAAGAGTATTCCGACTGCTTCGACAGATAGCACCTCGCTATGACCTCGAAGGTCAAAGCTTATTTAAAGGTGCTGGTTGCGAAGCTTGGGAAGACTCCAGAGGAGGATACCGGACACGGGCGTGGCCGGTGGTGCCAAACGGCCGAAAGGATTCTATGGGATTTGACGGGCTTGAGTCGTTGGAGAATAGTGGGATTCGACGAAGGATAATGGCGGGGGTGGTTGAACTCGCGAAAGTGCGTCGTTCGTGGCTTGCGATAGATTTCCGTTGGGTGGCAATCGGAATGTGCGCAGGCAGACAGACACTTGTACTACTCGTAGGTCGGCGACGCGGAGGAGAGGGGTAGAATCGGCCGAAGCGTTGAAACTTATGCGAAGACGATTATTCGAGGAGCGATTCAGGGAGATGTACTTGTTGCTTTCTTGGGAAGTAAGACAGAACCAAAAGATACCGTGGCTGCGTTGCGGGATAGTAGTTACTGAGTGGTGGTGGTGGTGAATAGGAGACAGAGTGCGCGGATGGATGGCGGTCGATAGTTAGTCTATGATGATGACGAAACGCGCAAATGGACGGGGAGCCGGGGTCCTAATCTCTCGGTGTGTGAGTCGCAAAGGCTCAGAATGAGTCAGTGAGAAAGATAATGACTTGTAATCTCTGCGATGCAATTGTCAAAGTGGTTTTCTGTATATTAGCACTGTGACAGCTGTATATGCAGTCAGTTGGCGGGGTCAGTCAAGTCATTGAATATTGATATATGTTATATATCCAGGTACATTGGTACAAGTAGACGAGTGCCGCGGGAGTGAATGGACGCGTTAATTCCCTCCACGGCCAATCAGATCCGCCGAGGTACCACGCGCACCATTCAAAGGAGCTCGATGCTGCAACTTCCATCTTCTACTACTATGGAACAGGATGTAGTTCAACTAACCCAGACTACAAACAACCTGCCTCGGATGATCCTCAAGAGGGGTTGTTGAGAGGCTTTGCGTTCTAGAGGGGTAGATATTTGTAGCAATGAACTCGAGGGAGTCTTTTTAGTATCTGGGACTTGGGGCGCCGGCCCTATATGTAGTCCCCTTCTGCGCACGTTCATGCTCCACTGGTCGATCTGGCGGTGAACACAATACCTAAATCAATTTAATTACTAGACACCAGTAAAGTGTGCTTGGCAGATTGTTCATTGAAATTGTTGATGGTCAAAACAACTATGCAGTGTTCTGTTCGTGGGTCAATCGTATGGAAGCAGACAGCAGCAACCACTTTGAAGTCCACACACGGGACGCGCCCTTCCCTCCTGTGGTATACATTAAATGGGATAGGTGTACGTACAAAAAATGTTTCAAAGAAAGACATAATATGTGCTCGCCAACTAATCATGTCCACATGAATGCGAAAGGTCGTCTAAACATGTTTCCAACCAACAACGGGCTGTCTTGTTCAGGCGAGTGCTGCGCTACGAGGTATGTTACACAGTAGATAGGCAACGCGCGCCATCGGATCCGCGCAAGCTTCCTACTGGATAAATTATTGTCAAATAATCGGCCAGGATTTCTGTTTGGAGAACACGTTGCCCCCTTGTACGGAAGCATCAGGTCGACGAATCCCAATTGAGCAATTCTGGTGAACTCTGGTGAACCCAATTGACCGGTAGGATCAACTTCACCGGTCGACATCATTGCCTAGAGCATTATATGCACTGCTAGATGCAATTATGGAGAGGGGAGAACGGCCCCCCCGCACACCAGTACTATTCGATCCGTGATGTGGGATGCATGAAGAAATGTCGAGGCGGCTATGCATGCACTCGTAGCGTAGGCAGAGGCAAAGGTTACGCAGGGTCGGAAACATATCCAATGGGGTCGCAAGAAGACGGTATATTGTGGTGTGGTCGGGTGCAAGAGAGTGTGGAAAAGAGAGGGGATTGTGGATTATGTTGAGGACAGGCAGCACTCTCGCAGATATTGTAGGTGCTGTGGATTGGCCGTATCAAATGCTAGGCAACACAGATGGGAGAGTTTAGACGAGGAGGCGTGCAGCATGGTGGATAGGTTTGGTGTTTTCTTCCCTTCATGCTGGTTGTTAGGACGTGATTGACTGACGTCCTGCCTCAAAGGACAAACGCAAAGCACGGAACAATTCACCGATGGTGCAAAGGTTCAGTCGGATGAGACCTTGACCTTGTCAGAGGCTAGCCAGTGTCTAGGCCACGTAGGTACAGGTAGTCCAAGATCGATTGTACGGAGTAGACATGTACTTGATGGCAACGATGATGTCTCATGTCGCGGCGAGTTGGCAAGGAAAACGCACAGATGGGCAGGAGATTGGAAGCTGATTGGAGGCGAGGGGGAGGCTCAACAATGACAATCAGCGTCGTGGCACGCACAAAGGGAGCAGAAGTGTGGGTTGTGTAACGCCGGTCAGCACTCAAAACCGCAAGTCAAGAGGGTAACTAGGTAGGTAGATAGCTGGAGGTACAGAGTAGATAGATAGACAGATGGTTAGTTAGAGGGTGTTGGTGTTGGGTGGGAAGGGGAAAGGCAGGTGAGGCGATGCCGTGAAGCCGGGTTACCAATTGCGTGATATTGCTCAAGGTTGAGGACGGAGTGCAAATCTGCTCCCGTACTCCTTACATACATACACAGTAAGTCGTAATCAGATGTGATATTCAATAATGAACTCACTTGCTTGAGAGGGGACATGTACGGGGATGTGTACGAAGCATTTGCGAATAGACTCTGCGTGCGGACGTATGACATCAGGCCGTGAGCAGCAGATACAAGAAAAATGGCCGATAACTACTCTAGGTACTCAAAGGTACTCATAAGTATCGCAAGGCCATTGTTGATTACACGTAACATTAGTTAGAGGTACTTCAAAGTACCTGTAGGTACTCCACCAGGAAGTCATGGGTGGTTCTCCGGTCGGGGAAGGGTGCCGGCTCGAATCACGCGTCAAGCTCCACCAGCCGTAGTGTAGGTACAGCATGGGGTACGAGTGTTATATTACCCCATATTCCAGAGTGATAAGATCAACAAGACATGGACACAATACCTGGACGGCAATATGAATCACAACTCGTGCACAGGTACTCACATGTAGATGGTTCCTTTGTGTCTCACTCTCCAAGTTTGATAGATGATCTTATCGGTTTGTTATCAACAGTCGGAGCTAAGAGCTACCTCCATAGTAACCACAGCCTTCAAGCTACAGAGTGAATCAATCCTCGTATCTCCTCCACTCCCCTCTTTCACACTCTCCTTATCGGGGTCATGTAGTTTGCCACATTAAATACTAGACTATAACAAGATTAGACGTTTGGCAGTTGCTTTGCGTGGTGGCCGTTGCTTGTGTGTTGGTTTATGCCCTTCCAGGGACTTGCCCTCGCTATCAGGAAGGATAAGCGTCATACGGGACAGTCACGAGCCTCCCATCCTACCTCCTACCTCCCTCCTACTAACTAAACATCCAAGCCAGTCCAGCTATCCATCCATTCATCCAACAACCGCAACCTCATCATCCGCCTACCTACTCATTCCCTTTCATAGCCTTGCCTTACCTCTACTCCTATCTACATTCTATATCTCCCTTCCCATCTCAACCTCCGCCACACACATCCCATCCGCCCTGTTACTCACCATCTTCAGTACCTCTCTCGCCCACTCCCACTGAGGTACTCAACTCAACCCTCAACGCCTCAGGCCTTCTCTCGACGCGACCCTATACAACTCTAGAACATCATTACACCATGGCTGCTGCCTGAGCTTCTTTCCACCCCTGGCCGAATAAGACATCACCCCCGCGTGGACCTGTCTGCTGAGAGACATCTCTGACTGTCACCGTCCGTACTGCTGCACCAGATTAGCCACCCGTCGCCCTCCCGTGATGGCTCCCACAAGTATTCGCCTCTCCGAACCCCAGCAGCCATAACCGCCCTTGATTCCCCGCAGCCTAGCTCTTGTCATACCTACCCAAGTGCTTCCTGCACGCCCTTGTCTCCCCGGAGGCTCCCATTCACACCATGCAGCCGCAGTCGCATTCACGACAACCCCCGCGGACCGCTTCGGCCGCCAACAATCTTCAGACCAACCCCTCCCGCACAAACAACCAGCGGGATCCTACTCCAGAACGCTCCTCTCCTTACTCGGATTCCCCTTCCTATGGTGACAGAGCTGTCGAAGAAGGTGACGGCGAAATGGTACCACGGTCAGAGCAGGTATCCGAGTCGGAGCAGAAGAACCATCAGAAGGTGAACCAGGTGATACAGGTATGTACTACATGGCACCCCAGCTTCTTGATCTCGAATAGCTACTAATACCTGAGGTCAACAGAACTTCTTCACCAAAGCAGCCCTCACTATCGTCTCATCTCGCATGATCTTGCCCCAAAGCTTCAACAACAAAGGTGAACTCAGGCAGAATAAATGGGTAGGTTTTCCGCTCACACATTGGGATAACACATAACTGACATGGCGATCTACTAGTTCAATGTCGTTCTCGACGAAACCGATTTGCTTGCCGAAGACCTACTCCCCTGGAAGACAATGGACGCTATGCAAGGACAACCTTCCCTTTGCATCGAGATATATCTAGATATCAAGGGACTCGGACATAAACAGTCGCTAGTCGTGCATGATGGCGATGGAAAGCGCTGGGATGTTGGTGAGGCTCTGAATGTCCCAGTAGACTCCACCTCACGAGCATCGAGTCGCACGACGAGGTCAACACAACTGGTACTAGAACGCTGGAAGGTACACGTTGGTGACAAAAACTCAGTCCACCCCTCGGAGTTGAGGGATCCGCTACCCAACGTCTACAAGAAGGCGGTCGTTCTGTTCCGATCTCTCTATGCATACTTGCGATTCCTACCGGCCTTCAAGTATCACAAAAGTATAGCGAAGCAACCAGCTAACCATCCCTCTTTGAAGTTAAACTATCGCATCTCCAATGGCGATTTCAAAAGCCCGCGACCAGACACACTCCGCGTCCCATTGCATCCATCATCAGAGAACGTCACCGAAACCCAAGAATTTACACCCTCAAACTCCCCAGTTGGTCCCCTCTGTGTATCCGTAGAGTACCGAACAAACTGCGATTTCAGCATTTCTGACTCGGAGTCGATGCTGAGCTCCCATTTCATGGGGCTTGACGACAGCTATCTGGAGCAGGCCACCCGTGAGCGAGGTCAGGTGCCTGGGTCACTACCCGTCAACAAAGTCCAACCACAGGATGTACCAGAACTCGGCCAAGCCTATGGCAGCATGTCAACTTTCCATCAAGTCGGTCCTACTGCAGGAACAAGCCCCCTGTCCGCACTTCGTGCGGCTCGCGACATGCCGTCCAGCTCTCCCATAGAAACCCCTCCGCAGAAGCTACCCCCTAACCATCGGTTAGCACAGGGTTCGAAGTCATCGCTTCGGTCAACAGATGCACCGTCTTACCAGAGGAGAACGTCGGTGTCATTCCAACCCTTCAAAGCTGGCTCGTTATCATCTTCACCTGCACCTGGGCCTGTCGTACCTCCATCTCCAGGTAGTTCACTTGGACGTCCTAGCAGTTCCTTGGGGCGGGGATCCACCCCCAGTGCCCTGAACCAGCCTCGCAATCGAACTTCCTTGACCGCTCTGCCACAGACTGCCCTCCGAGCTCCTTCGCTGCCAAATGAGACTGCCATCGCTTCGTCGGCTTCAAGTTCACCGAAGCCAGCACCCATCACCCGGTACAGCAGCAGCTTTGGACACAGACGAAGTCGATTTTCGTCAGGAGGCGGCAGCAAGACCGAAGATGATAACCTCAGTAGCGGCAAAGGCAGCATAGCCTCGTCGCAACAACCCGGCTCGGATGTTCTCAATGAGGGCGAGGGCGCCAGTTCTGGCTCGATCAAAACAGACGATGAGAATATTTCAGACTTCCTGAAGCTCCTCGAACAAAAGAAGGATTTGAAGAGTTTCAACAGGAATGACAATGCAGCAAAGGACGCCACTATGCGAAGGACAACCGCTCAGCTTAACAAGTACCAGCGTTTGAGAGATTCGCATGCCGCTCTGTCAGACTCCGTTTCTTCATCAATGCTTCTACATCGATCTTCTTCTTCTTCTAGCCGCCAGCTCTCCAGCGTGCCTCAGATGATTGCTGGTACTTCGGTGTCCACGTCGTCATCCCCCGGAAAGCCAATTTCGCCTCATACACCACATACCCCAGCGATCCCGTCACGTCTGAGTGCTAATAGCATCATTGAATACGAGCCTCGACGCAGTCGAAGTAGGCCAAGCCATGCAACCCAAGGGCAGGGCATAAGCGAAGATCGAGATCGAGAACGAGGTGATGGAGATGATCAGGGGACAAATGCTATTGACATCCCTACATCGCCCCGACCCTGGAACTATATCCGAAGGTCGAGCTCTGCTGCACAACAGAACCGCGCATTGGAAGATGAGCCCGACCTGTACGGCCTTCGATCGGCCAGTCTGCCACCAGAAGATGTGGAGCGAGCAACAGACCCGCAGCGAGCCGCTACCGCAGACCTCACGTCCAGTGGACTGTTTGCGCAGACTGAGCTCCTTGCCAGCGCGGAGCGTGGCGACGAAGCTACTGACAACCTAGACCAACCTGATTCTCGAGATGATCTGCCGCGCCCCTCGTCGACATCGGACATTCCATCGAATCGAGGTAACCGCACAGTCAGCAGCAATCGAGGGCGTGGGGGTTTGGTATCGCATCATGGATCCTCTACAAGTCTAACGACGGGTGGTACCAGCTCTACCGAACGCCAAAGTCGGTATATGTTTCCCAGTCGCCAGGTTGCCGCGGCCGACGATGACGAACCCTTACTATTCCAAATGAGCGAAATAGGCCCAGGATCGAGACGCAGCATTGAAGAGGGAAGGGGTGGATCCAGCTCGGGGAGCAACGCGCGACGAGGTTCGCCTTGGTTCCGCTAGGCCCTTCCCTATTTTGCTTGTGTCTCGATCGTCATCACCATGGTTCTTTGAACTCGACTCTGCATCCTACACACATATTTCTCAAGTCAGGGAATTCATTCAAAGCAAGCGAGCGTATACCTTATATATCTTTTTGCTTTACTGTTCCTGCCACCTCCGTCATATTCCCCAAAATGTGCTATTCCGTTAGACCAAAAGATGCGAATCGGGACCAAGCCATCGAATCTATATGATCCCCAACGATAAGGAGGAAGAAAAGAAATTGCGAACCGGCTAGGTTGGCCATTGGACGTGGAATCTGCGCAGAGTGACAGATGATCGTTCAGTTCTTTCTTTCTGTTTGCTTTTGAGAAGGATGGTTTCCTGTCCTTGTCAATTTCATCGTTTTCCGTTTTGGGCCGTTTATTTGCGTGTCTCGTTCCTAGACATTGATTTTTTTCTTCTCCCTTTCTCTCTCTCTCCCTTACTAGGCATATCACATCGGCGTCAAAGATTCCGCTAAATCCGTTCATACTGGGTTCTCTCCTTTAGGAGTTTGTCAAATTTCTCATCGAGGCTGGCGGGGAAACCACTTACCATCAACCCCTCCGCCCATCAAACTTTTGGTCTGTCATATATCCTTTCTCATGGGGACTTTGGGGTTGGAAAAAGGCACTTGGGACATCGAACAGAATGGGAAGGGGGACTCCACATACATCCTTTTGGGGGGCGCTTCTCATTCCCCACTCGACTCGTTCGATTCAATCAATGTATTTAACAGCTAGGGACGGGGTAGGACGACTTTATATGATATCATCACGGAGTATCTATACTCAAATAAAATCACCATTACAAAAAACAAATGAGACAAATGGAGGGATCATTAATTGAAGTTACTTTCCCAAGCCATGCATGCCCAGGACGAAAAAAGATTTGCATCGAGCACATCTAGATCAAACAAATATGATACTAGATACTTACATCATGAGACTTTGTAAAAGTTCAGCTGTTTCCCGCCGCTCTTCTTCCGTCTCCATTTCTAGACCCACTGCCCAGACTCGATCTCGTTGCGTTTGTACATTCGTTGGTTTTTTTTTTTTTCTTCTTCTTCTTTTTTCTCTCTGTGTTTGGCGGCTTTGATGTACCTTGGATTGATTGCCATTCTCTGATACGTTACGTTGCGTTACGATATGTCACAATACAATGGCATTCCACACGACTATATCCAAATCAAAGCGGTCGATGTACATGCAAACACTCTTTCATTACTCACGGAAGCGAAGCGAAGGGAAGGGAAGTCAAGTCAAGTCGTGTGAGTCCACGCGATTTCACCATCATCACCACTACACATTCACCAAAACCGACCAGTCACACATAAATCCATGAAACAAACCCAAAAAATATGGGACGATTTTAAGTTTTTCATTCGTTCCTACCATTTCATTTCATTTCATTACATTTCTTCTTCACCGACTTAAAAAATATGTCATTTGTATTGTATACATGTCTTTATCGATATGATGCCCTCCCTGCCCTGCCCTGCCCCTTCGTGTGGCTTTGCTTGACGATCCAATCAATCTTGGGAGTTTCCCTTCGTTGTTGTGGTGATTGGTGTGGGTTGGCAACACCAATCTATTTCCTTTCCTTCCATTCGTGACCAGCGGCAGGGCACGACCGCAGAAAGAAAGAAACCAGTGAATCCAGAATTCGAATCCAGAATTATTGGGAGGGGGGTACAGGGAGAGGGAATGACAGAAGGGGGAAAGAAACTTACTTGGAGGATGAATTGATGGATTGGAGAGAAAGAGAGAAGGGGAAGGATTAACAAAGTTGGGGGTATAAAAATTTTCTTTTCCGTAGACAGGCAATACAGGCAAATAGAGCAGAGAAAAGTAGGAAAGAGAATTTAGGATTTAAATCTTACCGTATTGAGACAGAAAGGTTGGGAATCAAGGTGGAGGAAGATGCAGCAGCACCTTTGTTTGGTGTGCAAGGTGGATTTGCAGGCGTTGACTGGTCCTGGCCAGATGGGCGCAGAACCGTTTGCAACATGATCCGCCAGGCAAGAAGGATGACAGATGTAGTCAATTCATTGACCTGTCATCCGTCGACTACAAGGGAATTGTCGCCTGCCATGTCGGCTCCGGATGTGCTGTTGAGTTTGACCATCCGTCTTCCTAGCATCTCCGATAGCAATCTTGAGGAAGCAGGTGGGGGATCGTAGCATTTCTTCGGCGTATCAAGATCCGGGTATATGGTACGCCAACGAGAAACATGCCATAAAACATTAGACATCTTGATATAAGGGATACAATGGCGGCGAAATATTTGAGATTACGGAAATGAGGACCGAGGCAAAGTGCGGTTTGCTCAACTGACTGCTGACATGAAGCCGTCTTTGCCTATCAAACTCGGGTCATATTGGTCGTTGTCCCCGCCTGGTCCCGAGTTGCTGTTGGCGTTTCCATCATGTGCGGGATTCGCAGTTGGAGAAGCACTTTGTAATTGTTGCTGGGCAGCGGCAGCGGTTGCCTGGGCGGCAGCGGCCTCGCTTGCAGCAGCCATAGCAGCAGTGAGGTCATGTTTGACGTCTGCATTTGATTGCGAGATTTGCGCGCTTCCTCCACTGCTCGATGGTCGTGCATCCGTCCCTTCACGTTCGCCTACTGCAGCCGCAGCAAGGTGTTGGAGCCCGGCCATATTCGGCTCTGTAGCTGGGCCGGTCTGCTCTACATTATTAGGTGGTGCTTCGGATGATCTCTTCTGGTGGAGTATATTTCGGATCGCTGTGTCCCACCCTAGGCCGTCGGGTATGCGAACTAGAATGTTGCCATTTGCAATTGCCTCATCCATCTCTCTGATGCTACCATGTGCATCGATCTGGGTTTCAACCTTGTCGGCAAGGTCGGTGAGAGAGGTTGCCACTATATGGGCAAAAATGTGGTGCAGCGGGGTTATCGACCCATTGACGGCCTGTATACTCCCCAGTAGCTCCTTGGTGAAAGCAAGCGTCTCTTTCGGCGCCGTGTAAGTAGATGCACGTGCGACCACGATGCGAAGATACTGGTAGGCAAGATATGGTGGCGATGTAGGTGGCAGGGAGCTAATTTCAAGGGATTCTCGGAAGCGTAGCAACTGCCCGTTGAGATACAAGGAGGCTGGGGACGAAGAGGTTAGGTCCGCAAAGGTCATTGCAGAAGTGGGATCGATGCTAGGCACGTTTCCAGCTCGAGCGATATAAGTCACCTGGCCAATGATATCGGCAGCACCTGAAAAAATGGTCAGAAACAACTTCAAATTATAAAGAAAACACACTTACGGGCTAAGTGATAGCCAACCTCCCCCAGCGCATCATAATCATCCCGGGATACTGAGCCAGCGTACAATGGCAGAACCATGTCCCTGCCTTTGTTCGATGCATTGAAGCGATCCAGGATGAAAGCGGTCCAAAATAGTCGGCGCGAGTCTTCGTACAGCTCACGATCTTGGTCTCGTAGCGCCGCGACAATCTTTGCATCGTTAATGCCTAGCTCCGAAATGCGCCCAGCAAGTCGGCCTAGAAGCTCAGACGTGCTTGCAATTATATCTGTGGAAGGCCTGTCTGATGCGATGATGAGGAACACCAGAGTCTGACAATATACGAGGTGGTTGTAGAACTGTCTCGAACTATCTGGATCGCTGAGTGTATGCTGGGCTAGCTCGAGAGCTTCCAGACACTTTTGAATAAGTTGAGTGAGAGAAACGTCCATCGGAGGTAATGCCGTTGGCGCATATGAGTGAACACTGCATTCCAAGGCAAGGAAGAAAGATTCTCTCAATTTGGCCGGGCAGTTAGTCAGACGGTTCAGAGCTGTTGAATCTTGCGCAAGGACAGGATAGACCAAGTGTATAGTGCTGTAATATCTGTCCCTTGAGTCAGTATGACATGTATCTTCAGCCAGAAAGATCGCGTGACTCACGACTTGATAGTTCCTTCATTCGTCCCATTGATGAGATTACCTGCCAGTGTTAAATCGCCATAGGAACCGCGTCTGTTTGTCTGCCCATTTGACGGAAGGTCTTGAGAGGTCAGCAAAGAGAGCGCACGAGGATCCCAGGCCTCTATACCGCGGTCTTGAGCGGGCCAGCTCGAACGATTGTACCCTTCTTGAAGACCTTCGGATATGGAATGAGTCCGTTTGCGCTGGAATTGCGTCTGCGCTTGCGTGTCCGGGACTGGCTGGTCGCGCATTGGCGCGTAGTCGAAAGTTTGAGTAGGCTGCGCGTGTGGGTATTGTATCTGATTCTCCAGTGAATTGAGTCGGTCGGCCAATTCCTTGATATACCTAGAAAGACGCGTCAAAAGAGATGAATGCATGTTATCGTGAGTATAACCGTACCCTTTGCTTGGTCCGCGTTTCATGGGCTGACGACTAAACTGACAACGCGCTCCTGTTCGTTTACAGCTTGAACAAGCTTCTGGTCCATTCTCATTTGTGGCGTCACATCGAATCTGCATGCGATTAGCAAGAGTCGTGCGTAAACATGCAAGTGCTTCCTACCTTCTTCCGCCGACATTCGTCGCAGGCGCGAGAGACCTTTGAGCGTTTTCGACTGCTATCGTGGTCGCTGAACATGTTATGTTCATCCAGACCCATGACCGTTTGTGCCATCTGTTGGGGAGAGGGTGCGGGGCGCGGTGGTGTTTGGAATTGGTGATGCGCGGGATTCATTGATGCACCCATGTGATGCGCTTGCGGTCCTCCAGCGTCCATCATCTCGTTATTGCGCTGGATATGAGCAATCCCTTCTGATAGTGATGAGAGGTCATGATCGTGCGATAGATGCTGTTGCTGCTGCGAGGGCGATCCTCCTCCATTCTGGTTGCCATAAAGACCAGGTCCACCACCCATCTGCGCGTCGGCTTCGGTGTATGAGGCGCCGGAAGCCATTGCGAGAAGGCGCGATGACGGCGATAGGCTACGAATCGGTTTGCGACCGCGTTGGAGTGTGTTCGAGTGGATTTAGGCGATGTTGTGGCGAGTCGTGGTGGATTGTATTGGTGATGGGTGGACTCGGCGGGAGAGAGCGACCAACATTATGGCAGCAGCCTCGCCCTTTTGTACTAGCGCGGTCGAAGAGAGGGCGACGTTACCCCAGTGCAAAAAGCGACACTGGAGTCTTGAAAAGAAGTCATCCCATGATTCTGGGCAGCAGATAAGTTAAGTTTGAGGTGTTTAGTTCTTGTTTCTGAAGTTCCGACGTTGGGATGCGGATTATTGTATGGCCGTTCGTCTCATTCACACTCGATCGGCACCGGATACGCCGGGCAAACGTATGGGCGATGAGTGACACCGCATCGCGCACTATGTTAATGCTCTCAACTTCCATGAGCATGTTGCTACTCGTAGAGTTACAGTGCAGGCTTTAAAAACCAGTTGGTTGTAAGGAAACCCTTCGTTTTGGATCTACTAGTTTTACTGTGATGTGCTTCACTCATTTTGCCCAGCCTTCAGGTTTGGAGGTGTACTCTATGTCAGAGAGCCTTTGCATTTGAAGACACTTGTTTATAGTCTATTTATTCTCAATCTGGGAACATAAGAGAAGGAAGAACTGCAATTCAAAGGATATCTTTGTTTTGGTTTATCATGTTGACCGAGAAGCTGGCAGGCCCAAAGCATTCTGACCTTGGTTCGTCCAGCCATCTATAACAGCATCAGCACAGTTGGCAGAACCTCGTTGCAACAGAATCAAGAAATCAATGCAAATATTCCCTCGTAGTCTCGCAATTTTTTAAAACCTGCGATTAGGATATCGTCATTCTAGATATAACTATTAATATTCATCTGGACTATAATATTACTTCTAGCCTTTTGAAGTCGTTTCAAAATTGTTCCAGGGCACAGACAACCTGAGAAACAGACAATGCCATTCTATCACCTTGACAAGACCAAGTAGGTAGCCAACAATGAATCAAGGAATTGGACCAATACATTGCATCAGGCGTTCACTCATATAGATTTAGCCATGAGAAGATAATATACTAGACACTCTGTGCGGGTGAGAACGTATCCAAGACCCAGATATTTGATCATCAAGTCTTGCATTTGTGATGTTCAAGGATTGATTGGATGTACCGGGAGAGGTCACATGCTTCCACTGTTAATCATTGTCATCCCATTCCACTACGATGCGATCGACAAGATGAGATCTTGGAATTTTCCAGAGGATCTAATATCTTCTTCCGCCTGCTAGGGTTGTAGATTGTTGGATCGACCGTGGGATTATCGAAATTTCGATCGGCACGTGATGGATGTGGATGTTGGATCAAAAGTCCTCAATCTGCTTGTAGGAAGCACAGCCAATAGAGAGATGACCAAAGCTAATCACCGGGAAAACATACTTACATTATCGCACAAGTGATTAAGACAGTAGGATGTATCACATAAGTTATTTACTGGTAGACGCGCCGAATTCGGTCAGCGCAGTTCAGCGCCCGAATGGATGAGCGGACGCAAGATGACCTCCGAACCTTTTTAACCTGCTGCGGGTGGTGAACAACACATCTGCAGCAGTATTTAAGAGATCGAAGCAACGGCATCCAAGACGGAAGCATATCATCTCGATAAATGCTTTGCCTAGATGCACAGAGTGAAACCTTTTCTCCTTGGATATTTTAATTATCGAGATGTGGGATATGTTGGTTGTTAGCGGAAGTATGCTGCCTTTACTACTCGTACAGCTACGAGGTGCTAAGCAGCACCACATGTATCGTTACAGTGGTAGTGGTTAGGGCGAGCGGCTGGCGCTAACAGCGCTGCGAGACGAATGGCCAGCCACGGCAGATTTTTTCTCCTTCGTGCGAGCGATGATGCACGCCTGGTCAGAACGGAATTTTGCCGTGCGATCGGTCTAAATGGCATGCATGGAGGGTGGCATACTGTCAAAAAGCGGTAGGCCTAGCCGGCTGTACCAGAGTTGGACACAAAAGTTGCACAGAGCACTTAGATTGGGAAGAGAGTCAAAGTAGATGGCAATAGCCATGCAGTCGATCCTGAGATCGAGAAGACGGGACCCTGCTTGTGCTGTGGTGCGAGTCTTGTCTTCTCGAGGGTACCAGCAGGCTCAGCATTGGTACTCGTAACACAGCGTAAAGAACCATTTGCGAGGCTCGCACGCGCGATCAATTAGCGGGCTAACGGCACGGAGGCGCTCCGATGGCTGCACGAAATATGGCTGGTAATTACAGTACGGCTGACGAGGATGTAATCGTGGACCGGTACCTGAAGGTAATGCACGACGAAGGGAGTACATGTCCATTCAGTTGGTCAGTCGGACATAACCCCGTTGCATATGTAGCACCTAGGTAGATCTGGGCACTATTGTTCGATTGTTCTATTTAATTGCGGCGGAAGCCATCGCAGCGCATAGCAATAAAAGCTCCAAGTGACACTTTATATCTGGATGATCACCTTGGCAACGGACTGTACGGACTGGACTGTGCTCAGGGGACGACGGGACGTCCGTCAATCATGATATGGAGCGTGGGGTTGTGGACATGGCCGTGCTGGTGGGTGGAGACTTGCTTTTGATACGCAATAGTGTGGATCCGGTACGAAGAAGTACGTGCACAAGGCGGTAGGAGAAGAGACGATGCAATGCGATGCGGTGCTGTGCGCTCGTTCCACCCACCACGAACCTGATTGATACTAGGTACTAGGGAGAGAAAACAGCCCTCGGAATGGAGGAAAGTTGGATGGCAAGGAATCAAGAAAGAGAGAGAACAGGTACCAGTAGGTGGTGACGATGACGATGTGTTGCCTCTCTTCAAAGTGGTACGCTATTGGCAAGAATTGTGATGTGGAGCAGAAAGTAGGTACATCACGAGACAGGACGGGTTGAGGACCGAGCGCGGGCTTACAGTTCTGCAGGTCATCACAGAATGCCGGCTGGGGGAGGATGGGATGGAATGGCTTGCTGGATGCAGAGATTGCGTGGAGAGATGGAGGGAGGGAGGGATAGCGATGTGGCATGCGGTGAGCAGCAACAGCAGAGGCACCAGAACGGAAAGCGAAAGAGAGAGAGGGACGTTCGATGGTATATTGGGGGATGGGTGATGCATTTCTTGTTTCTATGTGGTTAGGTCAACAAACAGACTATACCTAGAGTATATCTATAGTGGTAAAGAATCGTATCGTATCTGAATTGTATATATAGTACAGTACGGAGTACCCCAGTAGATCGGTACAGTTCAGTGAATACAGCACCGTGCAATGTAGTGACGGGATACAGTGTGGAGTACCTATCAGAATTGATACTGTATGTATAGAATGGTATGCACTACTCATCCTTGAATAAGACCAAGTCCAAAATACAATATTGTAACAATTCCAAAGCTTCAAAGTCCAAGTTTGAGTCCAATAACAAGAGCGAAAAGTTCTAATAAGTCTAAGATCGAACAAAGTATGGTAGAGCATGTGGTGGATGCGTGTCCGAAAGTGTACCATTCCCCATCGGGACATTCTCCTTGCAGCCAATCACATCCCATAGCACATGTGGATCCTCCCACACCCTTCCCTGTGCACTGTGTGAATCGACCACTACCCTCTCCCACTCCCGTCTGCTCCCTCGACTTCCTCTTTCTTCTTCTCTTTCTCATAACTCTACACGGCTTCAGGATTGCCCTCTCCGCTGGTTTGTTTTCTACAACAGAATACCCGTTGAACGCTTTTCGCCCAGCGCCTTTTGGTGCAGCGGCTCGGTCCCCCCCATCATCATCATCTCCATCATCTTCTCCGTCTCTATCATAGATCTTCGCCTCGTCTTCCTCGGTCTATCTACTCTATCAATCTCGCTCTCCACTCTCCACTCTGTATTCGGCTCGGTGTCGTTTCCCGGCGTTGACGGTTACCTGCTACGAACCTACCCTGCGTTGATTTCCACCCATTGACATAGATACCCTGGTGTTACGTTTCCCATTTTCAACTTCAATTGTCCAATTCTTTATTCTACTTCGTTCGGCAGTCGCTTGTTGACTCTGGTCATCGCCTCTGCCGCCCCGTGGGCCTTGGTCGCCTACTTTCGCGCTTCAACGTACAACTCTCTCTTCCTCTACGCTACGAGCCAACCTTCGCCCGGCAGTGACCGCCAGGTGCGACGACCGCAATCGGCCGTAGCTATACCGGAATGCTCATCGACGGCGAGAAATATGCCTGCTCTTCGTGCATCAAGGGCCACCGCGTGAGCGGCTGCATGCACACTGGTATGCCATACGCACACCCTTACTGACGTCGATACTTTGTCGTTCAATGCATGGACTAACACAATTGCCACAGATCGCGAACTGCACCACATCAACCCGAAGGGTCGTCCTGTCAAGCAATGCGAGCACTGTCGCGGCGCTCGCAAGTCCAAGTCTCATCACGCCAAGTGTGACTGTGGCGATAAGAAAGACAAGGACAAGCACAAAGACAAGGGCGACGCGAAGGGTATGGAGAATGCTAGTGTCAGTGTCGACGATTCTAATCATGCTTCAGGAACTGATGATAGCTGTGGTTGCCATTCTGGCTCAAAATGCATCTGTGGCGGGAAGAAAGATCCCCTCGATCTCAAGGTCGACACTGGAAAGCAGACACTCCATGCAGCACGTACGAAGCCCAAGCTTACGGCTACTCAATCTGAGAGCACGTTGACTGTCTTCGCCAATGGCCACCACAAGCCTTGTCACAGGAACAACAACACGGCTCACATTTCTGGGGCTCCGTATAACTACAAGCATGGTCGTCCTCACACTCTCCACGGACACGCTGCATTCGCTTCGTACACGCAAGGCAACACCTGCGGACAGCCCGATGCTAAGGCGCAGCGTGCGTTGGACACTCATTCCTTGTCCAACAACGACTTCTACGCCTTCCTTGGCTCTTCTCAGCGTTCGACCGACAATGTTCCTGTTGCACCTTTGACCGCTGGCCTCGACAACAACACGTTCCAAGAATCTCTGTTCAATACACAGAGTACCGCGTTTGGCCAAGATGGCAACTCTCCGGGTGACAGCCCCTTGGGCGACGCTCTGTCCGCGCAACAGTGGCCCTGGTCCAACAACATGGCCAACATTACTCGCAGCTTCGGCTTTGGCAGTCTTTCTACATCTCCTTCGCAGGATTGTCTTACCAACATGGACAACGACTGGGCTATCCATTCTGCTGGTCTCAACAACCCTATCTGGTCTGCTGGCGATCTCCCGCTCAACCCTAGCAAGCTGAATGATACCTTGACCCAGCCTCCCAGCAACCCAGGCCTGACCAATGCTTCCTCTGCCCACTCGGAGATTGGCGAGCCAACCTTGTTTGGGGATCTGGAATTCCATAAGAATGCTCAGTCTGCCATGGGAGACATGGACCTTGCGAAGCCTCCACCATCTGCTGCCAGTGAAACTCTTTTCTGGGAGGACAGCCCTGCATTCCGCATTGCGACCTCTGGACCCAGCGTTTCTACTATGAGTGGATCTATGGGGATTTCTGCACCCCTCCCTCTGTCAACGGCCTCACCTGAGGGTACAGGTATCGACCTCGACTTTATGAGGGGATTCAGTTCCGACCTTCTTGCCGCCACCGGTGCAAAGGACATCGCCGTTTCGTTCCCAGACAACTTGTACAACGAACCACGTGCAATTGCGATCCCCAATACCCTCGATGAACTGGGGTCGAGCGAGCCCTGGATATCAGATTTCGAGCTCGACCTCAGCAAGCCCAATTACCAGTTCGCATGGCAGTAGTGGCCAGGAACTGCATTGTAAATCGAATCTTGATCGCATCTTACGACTACATGATTCATGATTACTGCAGGATACCACTGTGTTCCGGGATAGAGCCTGTTCATATCTCCGTACTTTTGCGTTTTCCTCTTCGTTTCTCTAGACTTCGGTCACTTGTGAATATTACGATCCGGCCCGAATCAATTCATTTGATGCCGCGTTCGAGGCCATGTTTCATACACGATATTTTTTGTGTGTTACCAGCTGCACACCAGCATACGTACATACATGTAGGGTGTTGGGCATAGCACTTCCCATTGCGATGGGATGGGTTAGTTGCATGACGGGGGGCATCTTTTGACTAAAATTTTCATAGACCAGGCATTGGCGTTTGACTACTACATAACGACCGCACTTGAATGAAAAAAAGAAATTCTATATACAAACATCTTGAAGCATGATATTGAAGTCGACGTTGTGAGGTGGCAGGATCTCTCTGTATTGGGGATACGAGGGCGCTGGGTGTTGTTGAACGAGACTGACGTTCGCTACAACCTGCTGCACGTCTATTTGCGCCTGTTCAGCTGAGCAGGTAGGGGAGGGGAGGGAAGGCGACGGACACCCATCCATCTATCAAGCCATCCACCCACATGCAAACCCGCAACACAGGCAGCTCACTTCTGCTCGTGCTGCAATAATGGGAGAATCTCACAGACCTGGAGGACCCCCGATAGCGTCGACCACACATATCCGAACCCTGCAGTGTCATAAGAACGGGTAACGATAGAACCCCTCCTTTGCCTGCCACACCACATTCACCATGCTTTTTGCGGCGAAAGGCGTCTGGGACCCAGCCACCAGAGCTTCTCCAGACCAACTGTGCTGACCATGAATGACGCCTGGGCAACACACAATTTTATTCCCATGAGGAATGATGGAGCGCCGGCCAACGACCTGCGGGAGGCAAAGTCGGGGTCTTCCATCAGCGACAGAACTGCGTTCACCCAGTGATGGCAGCCCGGAAAGGCAGTCAGCATGGAGAGAGGCACGCCCTTGCCTCTCTGCCCAGCAGCCGTCAAGAAATACACAGCCTTCTTGGTTTGCCCTGAATGTGCCAGACACTCCTAATTCGCCTTCGCTTCCCTAATCCAATGCTCCTGGGAACTTCCTACCTTGCGTTCGGACTTGATCCATGTGGTGCGGGTGCTCATAAACGTCCACCCACCATTCACCTGTGAAAGAAGCAACACAAAGATGATGCGGGCACTGCAGCGAGGAATGTTCCAATAGCAAAAAGGTCTCATGCACAGCCGTTTAGCGACTGCCGCATTGGCACCCTGCAGCAATACGGTGATGGAATCCGCCCGTCCTCACTTGTGATCACGAGTTGGACGAGCATTTGGAGGTTTGAACGAATACAATACAATACTCCATCCATACATACATGCAATTCCCCCACCGCCGCCCAGGACTGGCATGCCCACGCTGATGACATTCGCCTCCATCCAGCCGTCCAGTCGATGCAGTCGATATCCGCTTCCACATTCCCTTTCGAAGCCATGCAAACAGAGTACCCAGACGCGATGGATCGTGTTGGCCGAAGTGGTTGCAGCTCGAAACTAACTGTATTCTGTCCTGCTTCCACAGGCCTAACACTCCACTAATACTGGAGGTCCCTACGTACAACCTGGCTGCTGTGCCTTTTCCATCATTATTGATATGCTGATACGGGTATGGCACGGGGCGCCTGGGCTTTCGCCAACTGCGGTCCGGGCGGGTATTGTCTGTCTTCGAGGGTCTGCCGCTTTCAAGTGCCTCATCCAGTTCTTCCATCCATACGACACATGGGGGTTTTCCCAACACGAATGAACTATAGCTTCCCTCCCCCAGGCCGTCGCATTATGTCTTCCAACCCGCAAGATGGTTCCTCAGCAGCCATCAATCTTACTGTACTCCGTACTCTAAACATCCCATCACGTCTAGATCTGTCGCGCCCGCGTGACGAAAGTCCTTTCATCAGAGGGAAGTGGAGTCAAGTGGCACAGCCCTGGAGCTACCACCACCGCCAAAGGAGAGAGTTGCGTTCCCAACCATCCAAGCCGCCGATCATCTCGATCCTTGGCACATGTTGCATCTTGATGTGCCCCTGTCAACAACTCCATGATGGACGGTTGACCGCGGTAGTAACCATTCTCGAAACCATGCAGATCAGGGTTTTTACGTAGTACAACTCGAGGTTCTCGACTTCAATGCGTACACGATATGATGTAGTCTGCATTCGCCCATCGTCTCTCCGATTATACAGTGTGATCTCGTAATTTCCACTGTGCCCTACTTGCACTTCGTACTCGTCTTCGTTATTGCTTTTTCCTGCTGGTGGGATGGGATGGGATGTCGCACAGGATATCGCTTCGGTAGATCGGCCAGCCAATCAATTCCCATCACATACCGCTCCTTTGCACATCATATGATTGTCATATCTCATTTCAGAAGTGTATTCGCGGCATCCCGCCATCGCCAGCATCCGATTTCTGATTCTCGGAGATTTTTTGGCCTGCTTCTAGACTAAGAACCCCTATTCTTTCGATCTTCGTCGCACTGGTGTAACCTGTTCGTCTGCTCACATCGCGGGCAGCCAAACGCAGGGCAAGTCATGTCAGAGTAGGATCAAAGGGCAAAAAATTTCAACCAACCAGGGAGAGGGTAACGGCGATGTATTTACATGGTTCGAAAGTCCAGGAAATTACCTACCTAGGTAGCCTTGGAAGCGGATCAGGAACTTCGCACTCCCATGGTGAACGGTTCTGCACACTAATCGTTTCTATCCTCAGACTCGAACAACGAATGCAGCGGCATCATATCGAAAACGAGGACAAGCAAGCGATATTTTCCACGTGTACTGATAATGGGAAATACCATGAAATGGATTTGTTCAATCGGGCTAGTCACGAAAAGCCTTTCTCTAACCTATTGAACTGCATTTATGATGATTAAAGCGGTCAGATCGGTCGGTCAGCTGCGGCAAGCATCGCAATACCTAAATTCGCAGGTACCTGTAGCTAGTAAACGAGATGATAACGCCTCGTGTGCTAGAGCATACGTACAGACAGAAGTACTGGTAATTACCTTTTTTTATACGCACAAGCGATCCATTATTAGGACATAGACAGCGATGCACTTTTGACGTTTAGTACGGGAGCCGTTCGTAAATGAAACGCCTCGAGCTAACCTACCCGTCAATCTTCTGCTGCGTACCTAAAGTATCAAGAAAAACGATTTCATCCTTGACCGCCTCCGTCTCAACCACAAGCACCTTGAAATCTCTACTGGAAAAGAAGCTAAGCAGCCAACCATGCCTACCTAGGTATACCTACCTGCCTCCCTCCTGTCCATACATACCCGCTGTGCCGCTCTCCAATAATCCTCCACAAATCGACGATGGCTCAGGTCCAAGCAAGGTAAAAACAGAGACCACAAAAACCAAGAGCATCGTTTCAAAACTATCCAAACATAGTCTAACTCCTTTACATCTTCAACGCACGCGTTTAATTATCCCAAGAAAGGATTCGCTCCATTTCGCTGGCAATTCTCTTTCCCCTTTCCTACTTGATGAGTGGGGTCAAGCTGCACAGCCAGGTCATTGGCTATTCATGATAACAATCATCATTCCCAGTACCCACCCGCACTGGTGCTGTCTCTTTTCGTGGTAAACAGAACCGAGGGTGGTGTTTGCGGGGAAGATGCCTGTAGACATTTAAGGGACGTATGTACACGTCGGTGTCATGATATATTTACTTCCTGCATTTAACTCCAGCATCCGTGCTGGGACTTCTGGCGGAGGTCGCCGCGTTGCTTGTCGCTTTCCATTCTTTCTTGACGCTTTTGCTTCCTGCTGGGTGGGCGGGTACGTGGCGATCCCTAACTCCCCCGGGACCCGAGGATTCCTGCGGATTCGTGCTGCAGGAGGGTTGGTTTTAATATGACCTGATCTACGTGACTACACATATGGAAGGTGCAGTACGTAGCGAATGGTGAGATAGGTTGGTTGGTTTATGGTTCGGATGTATGGACTTGTAAAGCATCCACGACACGCATTTGCTTCGAGGCATGTAATACACCTTGATGTCTATTTTCGCTTCCTATTTCATATTGGAGCCTGAGAAAGATCAGAACGGGTGTGTAGATCCGTGATGCAAGTAGAGGCATATGTTTTCGTAGACTATGGTCAAAACAGATAGGAAAAGTGAGAAGTGTAATTGCCTTTGCCTATTACTTGCACGACAATGAGGTAGACGCAAACAATCCTACATCTTTATACCGAATCCCTACTTAATAATTAAGGCATATTTGATTTCAACAACAATCACACCCTGAATCTTTGAAGAAGAGAAAACACCATAAATCACCCACATCCTACACGTACCTTCCCAGCATCCCTTCCTCCGGAATCTCTAGGACATTGTTCTCCCCGTACATCCGGTTTGACCAGGGGTGGAAGGACGCCTGCATGCGCATCTCAGCTTTGTCAGATTGGAACTCTGTAGTGGTGGGGCCCTTTTTCTTTACACGCTTTAAACGCCCGATTGCCATTTGAGCATGGTTTGGTTGTGAAGAGGTGAGGAAAAGCCGGGAGTGAAGTGGTGGCATGACTACAATTGACTAACCACGTGGGAGGCGTGGAAGACAGGATGATGTGGGTGAATGATTTCGGAGGATGTAGGAAGTGTTTGTTATTTATGATTTGGTGTGTATGTCAAGGCCTTAAAGCAGATGAAACAAAGGACAGAGTAGTGGAATTATGCTGATGGGATCATCTATGACATAGTGACCTGTAATAAATGCATTCATTGAAATGTTCAGTTAATGATGTTGGTAGATCCTGAATCTTGGCAACCTTATTCGGTTGCAGAGACATGTCCGGGGGCTGGATGTGGATTAGATATGCTGTCTTATCTCCAGTAGGTTGAAGTAATATATGCATCAAAGGCTTTGACATGGTTCTTTAGATGAAAGTTCATCTTGGAGAAGATCGGCCTTGTGACACCAGGCCTCTCCCATAAGCGTTCCATAACAGCATACAAGATGTCACTGTTTCGCTCGGTCTCTGTAGTCCTTACCGTAGACCGAGAGCGAGGCGACTCCAACAGACTGATACATCCTCAACCAGTGTGATAAAGCTGTCATCATCGATGCAGCTCAAGAAAAACTCATCAAGCGCTGCCCTCCTATCGTCGTGTGACTGTGCGACATAAGCTGCAAGATCAGTATCGGTGTTTCCGTTCCCTCCGTTCCTGATGTCCTGTAGAACTCGGTCTTGTGGTATGGTGCCTGTCGAGGGTGTAGATGCTGGGACTGTGCTGCTCAGGTTATTTGCACTTTCAGCCTCTGGTATGCGACTGCTGGAGGTTTGGGTACGATCAACTCGCGAAGCACTAGACGGTGGGCTCGATGGGCAGGGTCGCTTCCTGGGGCCTCCTATAGCGGCTTCATCGACAAATGTTGGTGTTGGTAGGGGAGGTAGATTTGGTAGTCTGGCTGAAGGTCGACTAGAAGTTGATGCTGGGTGGGACGGCTCCGACGCTTCTGGCGTGAAAGTGGGAACAAGAAGTCCCGTTACCTCATGCGAACTTTTGAGGGAAGCAGGACTGCGCTGAATTGGCTGAGGTGGAGATGGTAAGCGTGGAGGACCCATAGATATGTTCGAACTGTTGCTTCCTGGACGAGCTCTATTGGTGCCAGGATTCACTACATCGTTCCCTGAAGACTTCGGTATAGAACGAGTGAACGGAAGCTCACGCCGGGGAGGCAATGAGTCTTGGCTTCTAGGGCGTTGAGTGTCTGATCCAAATGTCGATGAGAAGGGCGATTTCACCTGTATCTCACTGCCAAATGAGAATGCTGATTGCGTTTGAAACCCCTCACTGGATGGGCGTGCCGAAGCTCCTGCTGATGAATCCGGTCGATGGAAGTATTCGGGGGGCACGATAGGATTGAAACTGGGAACGAAAGGTTCAATCTGCTTTAGGGTCTGGGGAATTGTGACAGACTCCTCGGTCGAAAGCTGAGCAATATTGGTGCTAGAAAGTTGGCTCCGAGCTAGAGGAGAAGATATCCTCGGTGCAGTACTTGAAGAAGATGATGTCGCAGGACGTACAGTGTTGTCGAGGGTTTTCGAGGCCGAAGTTGTAAAGCCAGTGCTTGAAGAAGGTCTCAAAGTAGACGCGGTGGAAGGACGTGTATCATTCATGTTAAGACCAAGAGCCCGGAGATGATTGAATACGGTATCAAAGTCGGCATTCACAGAAAATCTCAACTGCATTCGACGGATCTATCCAGTGTGAGCAAACTTGACGTAGCAATACTGTGAAAATTCATATGAGAGACTACCATATTGGATGGCTCGGGGAGGTTCCACCTCAGAGCTAACAGTGGGCGCCGCACGAGGGCTGATACGGGAAGTTGCTCAGTTTTCACTTCTGTGTTCAAATGTCTCATGGTAGTGATAAATTGATGGCTTTGTCTGACTAGTTCCTCAATGGGGATATTCTCCTGCGTCATGATTAGAGCGTTGAAGCATACGCTAAGATTTCATGATACCATGATCTGTGTGCCTTGGACAACTTTCAATTGCTGAGAGGGCTGACCCATGTTGTTATTTGCAGCTCTGAAAGTGTCGATAACAATGTATAGATCGGAGGTAGCATGACTCCAGGTGAATTCAGTGACGCCTGGAGGAACATCTGTAGCCCGAGAGTACTTTGCCAGTGGAAAGCTGATGAACGTGGTGGACGAGGTACGCTGCATGATTCAAAGATGAGTTCTAGAGTGTTTCGTGAGACACGCAATCAAATTTGTCACAGAGTACATTAGTTATGTGGAAAACACCACAGAGCTTTCAGCATATCAATTGTATCATACATGTGGTGTGTGATGCAAATAGATTCAATGTTCAGGAAAGAGGAAGGGACGAGTCATGGTTGGGATGGCCTGATCACGTGACACGTACGATAGATGGCTCGTGCTTCGTAGTTGAGGCGCGCGACTCTGAAGCTCGAGAGAATGTTCATCACCACCCGAACCAGGAAGCGCGCCGCGCATTTCACGCATTGCACAAAGGGCATTTCCACCACGTCGAACACATTCGCAAACAAATAATATCGTCTATGCCTGTCTGATCCGAGTCGCGTAATCATTTTGTGAGTGCGCACGTAGCACAATGGCGCCGAACAAACCTCGAGAACCGTCCATCGATCGCACGCCGGAATATGATGAATTTATGGGCAAACTCGCAGAATATCACGAGAAGCGAGGGTGAGCTTATGCGACGGCGCGTCGTCCTGCATACTGTCATGACATTAACTTGTTATTCAGAACCCATCTTGACCGCGAACCAAAGGTCGGACCCCGGCATCTTGACCTTCTGCGTCTCTACAAGCGTGTTTGCGAAGAAGGCGGCTACGATAAAGTCTCGGATACCAAAGGCAACAAGCTCGCGTGGAGGAGGCTTGCAGGCGAATTCCTCCCTGGAAGTCCCCATCTAACGACCCAAGCTTTCATTGTGAAAACCGCCTATTATAGGAACCTTGCGTATGTTATCAACATTCACCACCCATTGTCTCAGGACTAACGTTTGTCTAGCGCCTATGAGATCCAACACTTCCATAAAAGGGAGCCACCGCCAAAAGAGATCCTGGAAGATGTATCTGCGAAAGGAGGAGACTTGCTCACTCGTACGGTAGAGAATTACTTCCGCCCTGCAAACAGAGAGACGGAGCGCCTGCGAACCGGAGAAGATGATTCCGACGACTCCGACGACTCTGGTGCAAGGAGCAAAACCCCAAAGGAAGACAAGAAGGAAGACAAGATGGATGTGGATGAGCCAGGGAGTACTGGTAGAGTAACAAGGAGTACGTGTATCCCTCAGGTGTTCCTGGTGTCGCACACCAAAGCATGCGCATGATCGCAACTGCTCTTTTCACCCTACACACAGCTAACCTGTTATCAAAAGCTCTTCGCCATGCGCCTCCGCAGCGGGTACTATTCCAGCCCGAGATAACAACACGGCAGACGCGACAGCCAGCTAGCAATTCGACTCCGAGTCAACCCAGCGGACCTCCCAACGGCATATTGGGAGGTGGTGCTGGCGCTGTCATTGCCAGCTATGAACCTCGAACGACTGCGCCCTCTACCATGAAACCCGTAGTAACTCCCTCCAACAACCCAGAACACTTCAGGAATCTTCGCTTGAAATACACCGTGAATAGGAAAAACAAGCCGCAACCTACTCGGGGCATGATGTTGCCTGGCAGTAAGTAATGAAGTACCCTGAATTTAATCCAAAAATCTGACAATGCTAGCTGGGTTTCCTGGTCCAAATATCTACCTTCGTGCTCTTCATGCGCTACGCTCAAAGGTTCCCGAAGAGGAAGCTTATGCACTTCATCACCTCGTGAAAATCTCACACGAACGTGGCGACAAATACCGATTCGATCAGTTCCCGGGCCTGGCTGAAGCCTTAATTGCGAAAGTCGTTGAAGTGTCCTCTCTATTCTACGATGTAAAATGGGAGATCTCGTATATTGAGGAGGAATTGACCCGGCCGAACGTTCTCAATGGTCTGTTCGGGACCAGAGATCTCATCACCAGGATTGAGACCCTACAACCACTGGACCTTCAGGATGATCTTTTGCCAGAAGACGTGGCAAGAGCTTTGGGGATGACCAACGAGGCAGCGCTCATCATTCGAAATATGGTCATGCTAAACGAAAATGCCGCGTTTGTATCTATGATTCCGTCTATTCGAGATCTCATCGTCATCATCTTGAATCTGCCACAACATGCAATGGCCATCGAGCTACAGCATTACGCTCTCGAGATCGCTGAACAACTAACAAAATTCTGGATCCTAGGGCCAAAGGACCCCGTTTACACCTCACTATTAGCGCAGGTTGATTCACAGGATCGCGGGAAGATCATCACTTCCTTAAGAGCACTTGGCCGCATTGGAATGAATCACGAAGCAACAAACAAGTTGACTAATGTTCCAAGGAAAACCCTTCAGGCCATATGTGATTGGTTGTTGGTGGAGGACGAGGAGCTGCGAAACGCCTGTCTGGACCTCTTGTATCTATATACAGGATTCACGGACAATGTGGAGACGCTGATCAATGACATAAATGTCGAGGCCTTGGTCCATCAGCTCGTGCGTTTGCTTCAATACAACGAAGTCACGTTCGAAGAACGCCGCCCGAACAGCAAATCCCCGAAATCATCACAACCCGCCGATGGCGCGCCAAAGCTATCTGCTGCCATCATTGAGCACCTAGTTACAATGGATGAGCCCGAGAGAAGCTCCCAGTGGTTACGGACATGCTTTGAAGAAGACAGCGCCGGAGAGATCACCCAAATCCAGCTATGGTCCGCGTACAATGCTGCCTTCCAGGACGTAATGTCTAAAAACCAGCAACATCAGCAGCCGCAGCCTCACAAAGCTCTTATGCCAGCTAAAGATTTCATCACAAATGTCTCCACGACTTTCTCGAGCGCATCTGCCCAGGTTCTCCAAGTGAATGGCCAACCCAAATATACAATCAGAGGCATCAGGCCTCGCTCCGTACCCGTGGATCCTCTCACAAAGAAGGGCTATATGCGATGCGCTTGGCACCCTCCAAATCTATTGAACGGATACTCTGATACGAAGCACTCCAACCCTTCCATTGAGTGTGGCGAATTCACACCGAGCGCAAAGGCCATGTGGGAACACATAGTTTCGGCGCATCTCAATATTCCTCGGGATGAGAATAATAAGTGGCTTCTCGAACGAAAGGAAGACGTTAACATGGAGAATGGAGACGTGGCCGCCGCATCAAAGCCCATCAAATACTTCTGTCATTGGGGTGGGTGCACACACTTCAATCCCAAGGGAACCGAGTCCGCATATGAGGCAGGACAACACGTCAAAACACATTTACCAGATACTGGTATTCTACAATCGACCCATGCTAAGCATAACCGTACTTCATCGAATGCGACCATCATTACCAGCTCAGCCCAGATCCATCATACCAACTTCCAACCTCAATTTAGCCAACCTGTCGGCCTAGGAAGCCTCGGGATGGGCGGCCGGTACAGTAACCAAAACGGCGGCTATGGATCTCGCGATGCGGTACCCCCTACTGAGCCGTCACCAGTCTTGCGTTACTACAATACACAGACCGATGAACAGCAAGACGCTGCCGGGCTCCCACTCGCCTCCGTTCTTGTACTGCGCAACCTCGCCAGACAGCTAGGCAAGCTGAATCCTCCTTCCTCAGTGCACGAAGTCCCGTCCTCTCCAACCTCGCTCAAGCGTACGCGTGACGCAAGCCCTGAACAGCGACGATCGACTGGAGCAAAGAAGCCTCGCCTCAGTGACGCAGCGCGCGACGCACAACATCGAGAACACGAGGAATTTGAGAAGGAAGACCGAGAAGCCGAGACTGCACAAGGCTGGGTCCCCAGGATCTTTGCGCCCGTCAAAGATCAATTGTTCTTCGTCATGGCGCACAACTTGACCCTGAGGAATTACATGGTCGGGCTCTTCAAAGCCATCAGCGCAGGCGGTGGTTGAAGCAGTATTACAAGGAGTAAGCGGGCTTAATGTTTCGGGCGTTTTTTGTTTCTCTCTCTCTAACTCCAATTATTTCCTTTCCCAATTGTACCGAGCGGCATCAAAATTCTGGGAGTTTTACATGTTTCAACGGGATCCTTCCAAGATACCTTCTGGGCGTATCTGGAATTAGGAAGAGTCAGTGCGGTATTGTACGGATCATGTGTGCGTTAGGGAAGGGGAGAAAGTGTGCGCGCGTCCTCGATGCTTCTTGTCCCAACAGGAATATTTATTAGAGACCAAATTCGAAACATTGTATTATCCTTTTTTCAAAGAGTATATCCCTCATGGGAATTCGCCCCTTCTAAGGCTGACCTTCTATTGCTTTATGCTTTTTAATGTTTCGTGGCATCGTCGCCGACTACATATCCCCTTGCTATACCGCTCCTGCCTTCTTCGATGCGTGCGGCGTGTCCATTTACAGCGCCTTCTTCCTCTTGCTCCCTATAATCACTACCCAGACCCTGCCACGTCCGCTGCGACTTCAAGTACTCAGCGCCAGGCGACATCACGCCCCCAACATGAGCCAGCTCGCCATTCGCCCGTTTCGTCAACGCCGTGCTGGCAGGCTTCACTTCCCCGCCTTCAATCTGCTCTTGCTGGGCCTCCTTCAGTGGCGCGGATACCCGCATAGGCCGCGAATGCGAGACATAACGTCCGGTCCTGAGGTCGAATTCCGGCGGTGCAGACTCCTCTTCCGAGTCGTATTCGCCCTCGCCATTCTCGCCATCCGCATCTGCTTCCTTTGCCTCTTTCTCCTTCTCCGCCGCAACAACATCCTCCTCCTTCTTCTCTAGAACAGACTGGAAGTCTCCTGTCCACTCGCCCTTCCAAACCCTCTCCTCATCCCCCTTCAGCGTCAACGCGAGCTCAAACGGCGTGATGATGGGCCTCCAGAACTCCTTGCTCTCAATCAGACTGCTCTCCCAGCACCCGATGACGACCCAGCCGCCGACCTCGGAGAAGTTGGCCACCTTCGCGGCGTTGATCTTGCCGACGACGAAGGTGTAGGATTTCTTTCCCGCGGCGGCGATGAGGCGCTGTACGTGGGAGAGCATGTGCATGTAGTTCTTGACCGAGAGAGTGTTGATGAGGATGCCGAAGACGGGGGCGGTGGAGAGGGAGGTTAGGAGGGCGTAGCGCCGGCGGAGAGTCATGGCGGAGCGGGCTTCGATGGCGGTGGTGTCGGTGGTGTCGGTGGGGTAGATGTGGATGGAGGAGACGCGGGAGGAGAGGGTTAGGAGGAGGGAGGGGGGCGGGTCGGAGATGTGGAAGAGTTTGTAGGAGAGGAGGGCTTCGGGGATGTCTTTTGTTTCTGGGGGGACGGTCCGGTTGGGGAGCGAGGAAGATGGGTTATGGACGATTTCGGTGGCGTAGAGGTTTGTGTAGCCGGATCCTTGGAGGCGGGTTTGTAAGGTCGAGATGTGGTGCGAATAGGGTATGTCTGCCATGAGAATGACCTTCTGGTCGTGGTCTGGGTAGGTTTGCTGGAAGGTAGATATCACAGAGTCAAGGTCAAGACTCCGGGCCGTGAAGACGTATATCACGGGTAACCTCGAGGGAGGAGAGAGACATGATCTTCCATAATGCACAAGTGCATCCGCATCGACATGTTCTGCGGCCACCTCGTCCACGCAGCACGATCCATACGACGTATCGCCCAAGATGAACAACCTCTCCTCCGCATCTTGCTCTTCCAACGACGAATTGCCCATATCCGTAGCTAACTCTTCCACCTTCGACGCCGCGACCTGAGACTGTGCAGCAACATCCTCCGTCCCATTCTGCGCCTGCACCTTCCGACTATTCTCCAACCCCCGACTCAACGCCTCATACACCCTCGGTGCGTCCACCAGCATGTGGTCCGGAAACTGCAGCGCTATCCTCCGCCATCGCCCGGCTCGGATCTCCCTGACCGTCCTCTCGACTTCGTAGGTCAGTGCGATCTGCTCGTCCGAGAGCTTCGGGAGACTGGACGTGTCTACGATGGGCGTCGGGTCTTCAAAGATGTGGGTTTCGGGCGTGGACAGCACGGGTGCTGTCTCGAGGGCAGTTGCGGCCATGTTGTTTTGCGTGTAGAGTGTGTTTTTTGGTTATTTTTACGTGTACATTGCTTTATCGTGAAAATTTGGCGTATGTAGCTTTGTATCAGAAAGCTAGAGAGTGGCTTCAGTCGGGGCACACGCTTGCTCGAGAATGATCGCGTGAACTGACTTTGGTGGTTTGATATAGTTACTTTTGTAGTGGGGTGAAAGTTTTTGGTGGGCGGGGAGTCTCCAAAAAAAACCACCGACCGACCGATGTGACGCAGGTGGTAGAGCCTCAGGACTCTGCTCCGTCGCTAATCCGGAAAAGCTTACGTTTCATTGGTCACAGGAAGGCATACATACAATCAAGCACTCAATTGATCATGGACAGTAGAACAGATTTGGTTTTCGTCAAAGATTAGACAGTTAACTAGTATATACACGCAAAATAAAAAGATATCTGTTGACAACAAATTGAACGCCAGCCATGCAATGTCCTTTGCTATCTTACAAAAAGAGGGTATTGCTTCCAAAATGGTCCTTAACTTTTACTAACACATTGTAAAGTAGCTTGTAATGAACGCGGCAACGCCCCAGCAGATGAGGCTGGGAGTCGATTTTCCTGACGAGCTCTGGACGTTGATGGCCTTTCCAACCAACTGTGGGAAGTATGGGGCCGGTTTCTCAGAGGAGACGGTGCCGTTCCAGCAGTAGCGGTCGAAGCACTGCTGGCAGACCGAAGGTACGTCCTGGTTGTTGCGGATGAAACTCCTAGAGAGCACAGCACAGCCAACACAGGTAGACCACTTATCATCCCGGGTTGAGTTACCTTGTGTGGCGACATTGTAGCCGTTCTCGATGATGGCATTTCGCTCCGTGTTGTTGTACTCCATCTGGAAGGTGGAGACATTGGAGTTGTATACGTAAGGAGAATTTGGAATGTACACGATGAGTGGTGCGGTTCCGGCATCGGTGGTAGCATTCTGAGCATCGCAGCCGAAGAAGGTAGGTCGGTTGTTGAGGCCGAGGTTGACGAAAGTGTTCTGGTCGGGGATGGCAGGGAAAGCGGTTCCGTTCTGTATGGTCGCGTTGGTGGATCGCTGGTAGGTGGCAACGAGCGAGGTACCATTGGGCCAGTTCGCTGCAGAGTCAGGGACTGTGTCTGCGCTGGAGTCTACAGCGAAGATGACATCGACGGCACGGATCGGCTGGATGAGGGGATTGAAGGGAATGTTCTGGCCATCTTCTCCGCCGTCGACAAGCGTCAATCGCTCGCCCTCAGCACTTGGGTTCGAGCGGTTGTTGTAGTCAAGGAAAGGGTTGGGGGTGTAGTCGGCGATGTCATTGCTGCCGTCGCCAATTGTGCTCAAGATGCCGGTCAAGGCATCCTTCAAGAATTTGGGAACAGAGTCTTGCCCATCCAGCTGAAGAATGAACTGGTTGAACAAGGAAGAGCTAGTTCCCATAATGAAACCGATGTTGTCGAAGCCGGCAATGCAGGGCTCGTTATCGGGCAGCCTGCCTTCGCTGAAGTTGGAACCAAGGTACTTGAGTGGTGCGAATCCGTAGAGCGTAGGGTCGAAACTTCCCATCTCGAATGGATTGAATTCGACGTTGGTGGTGTTCAGCGAGATGATCGTTTCTCCAGGAGCACGCTCGTCCGCCAAGAGGATGGGCATAGGGGCGTTTCCATTCTTGAAGTCCTCATCGTCTTGGATCGACGAAAACGTGAACCCGGGACCGCCGTCTGTAGCATTAACCAACTGGAAAGACAGAGCACGACCCCAGTAATCGGTAAGGGAAAGGTTGAAGTTGAATCCGGCGTTCTCTTTGGCCGCTGCGGCATCGTAGATGTTTTTGTAGTAGTCGACAGTCGAGAGTAGCTGAATACCACCAGTCTTGGGACCTGCATTCACAGTCAATCCTAAAATTTCTCGCATGCGAGCATTTGTCACCTACCCTTGAGAATAGAATTTCCAAGCTGCCAGACAGCTCCATCCTCGTTGTGGGAAATGGTATTCTGGACAGAGGTGAAATTGTTCGCATAAATGCTTCCCACCAGCCAGCCACCGCCCGAAAGCCCAGCAATGTAGGTAGCCGACTGCAGCAAGCCACCAATATGCCCCTTCTCGGTCGACCCTGAGGTACGGCTGTCGAACGCAGCTAGGTTACCAGCACCATTGGTCATAGCTCGGTAGCCTCCACCGGAGAATGCGATAGCAACATTGGGCAATGCGGTGGTGTTTTCTCCAAGCTTGTTGATGTAGCCTGCAGCGTCGAAGCCTTCAAAGTCAAGGCGGCCCAATAAATCCTTCATGGGCTGGATGGTATTCGGCCTCCTCTTCTTCAGCCATTCTGTTTCCTCATTCGAGAGTCCATTGGCGACACGGATACTGGGACGGGTCGAGGGACAGTCAACTTTCGCGGGCGCATAGCCATTGGGGGCCTGGTTCGTTGCGCGCCTTGTTATATCGTCATATTCACGGCGGGCGACGGCGGATGCTGAGACATGTAGTTAGCAAGGAGATCGTCGCGGAAGCTTTGGGATGGGTAGGAGAGTCACATACAGCTCGCTAGGCTTGTGAGTGCGGAAGCTGCTAGCAGGTGCTGCACAGTCTTCATGCTAGCAAATAGGTGAATGTAAGTAAACAAAAGAAAATTAAAGGTAGAATATGTCACTGGCCGCCAGAAGTGAAGTTAGAAAATGGATATAGACGAGATCTCAACAAACGAATGTGGTGGGAAGAGACCCAGAGTTAAATGATGATGCGGTGGAGTCCTCAGCGGCGGAGTTGGCGGAGGGTGGTCATGGCTGTGTTTGGTGCACCATCAGCCTTTTTTTGGGGGAACACTCAAGAGGGAGGAGGATGTGGATCCCAGAGGACCCCTTCAGTGACCTCATGCTAAGCCGACCGTAAATGTGGCTTGTCCCTGTCAATTACTGACGATCCTCCCTATTTATAAAATAATATACTGCTTTTGGCATTTCTTCATATACACCGCTTTCTGTGGTCCTGTGGCATGCAACAACCGCACCTCTTACTGCGCGACCCAAAGGGACCATTCCAGCAAGACATACATAAAATTGATCAGTATTGCAATCAAGCGTTGTTCGGGACCGGTTACTTCGGCACTCAAGCTTCACGCTCGTGGGATAATTCCTTTCACGGACAGGCGACGGGCACTGTGAACTGAAACACTCGTACGGTGGAGTATTCGCTGGCAGTAAACACTCATTTCCCATCCATGTAAGCCAAGCATGAACACTACAGATCCAGGACAGGGGTAGTTGGTGTTTGCTCCTTCACGTCAGCATTATTGGTCTAATCAATTGCCAATTTGGTTACAAGTACATCTGCTTGGACCGAATAGGCAGTAAAGCGACAAAGCCACTCGTTCTCGTACACAGAAGGTTTCCGTATGGAGTCAAGTGTACGGCTCTCCGTACGCATACGAAAAGCGTGCGAATACGCTTCGGACCCGGAAGTCAGAATATTAAAGTTTTGTTATTTTGTTACGCACAGCCACTGCTGCGTTATTGATCATCCACATGGGAATCTACAGCCTCAGATATAGTATTCTGTGTAGTGCTGGTCTCGATGGGGTTTTCTCCTCTGGCGGGAACCAACAGGATCAACCGGATGACAGCCGGAGCAGCCATGCAATGTCGAAGGTCGCGGAATCGTGAGGTGCCGATTCGAGATGCTGAATACTACTCGTAGGCACGAGTATTTAGGAGTTGACACTTCAGCGCTTGATCTTACCTCGCATGGCTAGAGGTGCTGTGATAGTTCTGCTTTCCTACATACCTTAGCTCGTAGCTGATGTATCGCCCCACCAAAGCAACATTTCTTTGTTACGCTGGCCATGGTAGGATTAACCTGTTGGATGGTAATATCAATTGTCTCGAGGATAAATTCGAGATACATTTCGCTCAGGACAGAGGACGTGTGGCCGGATGGGGTTGCGGCGTTCAAAAAGTCCGGCATGCGCATCTTTATTTGAATCCCTTCAAATCTGGCCGTGATCCTAGTCAAACTGTTCTCTCCTCTTTCAATGTTGCACTGCATGTGTTCTAACTCTTTATTCCTTCACATGTGCCTCGTCAGCACTTCTGGGGCGAGCAACACGTTGTATCATACCTCATAGTTCGAGCTTACGTTCCATTTGGTGGGCATGCTAATTAAGTGTCCGCGGGTTCCGGACGCGAATGTTCGGAGTATCGCGAACTTCCTCAAGGTATTTTATCTACTTACTCGTACTCTATCTACTGGTAGCTTATAAACTCTTGGGGGCCTGCTCGTACAATCTTTGGTTATCTCTAGTTTGCAGAAACCCTTGCGTCATGGGGCTATTGTCTATCATCCTGGTTAACCCATCTGTTGTCAGATGAAGCTGTCTCAACATGCTCCTGAAACAGTACCTTGCCGCGAAGATGATCTCATCATTACTACGTGACAGTCAATTGCCACTCTGAATATGCCTGATCACAATTGATACGCGAAAACAAAAGCAGCACAATTTGCCTTATGATGTTATTGGCGATAAATCCCAAAGAGGCCATCAAATCTCGCTTCAAGCAGAACTCTTTGTTATTCTTCGTGGCTGAAGCAAGCCCCCACCCATTCGTACGAGGTACGAGGTACGCGGGTATGATCACATCTGCAAGACCGTTTTGGTGTGCAACGGATGTGGCTTTTCCCACATGTAAGACCTCGACCGGGGCGTCGTCGCATCCGTGCCGAAATGTGGCGATGATGCTGGCATCCGAGGGAGCAACGCTTGATTTCTTAATCAGATTACAGAGAGTACCTAGCTATTGGAGAACGCGCCATAGTAATCCCGCTCGCACGAATAGCTGACCACTGAAGATACAAAGGGAAGCTCGATAACAGAACCTAGGACTTTGAACTACCTATTCGGAACATTCATTTCAGCTTGAGCTATCAGAAGCTTATGGCTTGAGATCTCACGAGCTGTGAACGCTTTTAATGCTTATTCGCACGATAAAATCGTATCATTGTATTGAGCGGAAGGTTTGACGTCAGCGTTGTGTGAATGCTGATATCTCTCAGAGATTCTTCCTCTGTCAAAACCATTGTTTACCAACACTTTTCTTCTAATCAAGGACTAACTAAAACAGCAATCAGGCTCCTCTACTCGCACGACTTCATACCACACAAAACATTGTTTCTTGAACCTCATGGAAAGGTGATGAAGTTAAAGATTGATGGGCGCTTACAATTCACGCTCCAGTCCCCTCTCGCCCCCCGATTTTCCATTTGCAGTAACCCGGTCCACCGGCGCCTAAGTTTCCCAAAACTCCCCCCACGTGCCTTCGATTGACGTTCCTAGCATCGAAAATTCCGACCTCATGTTCCTGATCGACTGCCCTGAGTGCCAAATTTGGAATCCTCATTGGCTGTTCACGGCTTGTCGATTCAATGTCTTTCTATCACTACGAGGTACTGCGAATGTTGGCAATGTGACATAGACGTGCCAATGTTCATGTCAACATTAGGATCATGTATGTATTGCATCTTATATGCAAATAACTCGAATCCATATATCTTTTCTCTTCTTTTCTCCTTTTGGAAAACTCACTCGTCTAATTCGCCTCTTCGTCCATAATTGTCATCAACAACATTCGTCACGACCCACTTTTCCTAACTCTAGTCTTTTTTCTTCCGAAGTAGCATCCCGAGAAAACATGACTCTTTCCGAAGAAGATATAATAAGTTGGATTCTAAGTGACAAACATCTCGTATCGTTTGCTACCAAACACCACAGCCATCATTACAATCAACCCCCCCCCGTAACCCCGGATTCACAACATACTAGGATACCATTAAAACCCCATACCAACCCCAGAAACCCCAGGAACCAAAAGAGAAGGAAAAGGAACCCCCCAAAACAACGACCATGGCACCTCAACACATCCACCTAATCCGCCACGCCCAAGGCCACCACAACCTCTGCATCGCGAACCACTCCCTCCGCGACCCATCCCTCACCACCCTCGGCGAGCAACAATGCTCGGAACTCTGGACCACGCACGCCTCCACCCTCAAAAACGTCGACCTCATCATCGCGTCCCCCCTCCGCCGAACCCTCTACACCGCCCTCCTAACCTTCAAATCCCACCTCGCAGCCAACCCCTCCCTCCGCATCGTCGCACTCCCCGACATCCAGGAGACCACCGCGCTGCCCTGCGACACGGGCTCGTCCCCCGAGGCGCTGCGGGAAGAGTTCAAAGACTACCCTGCAGTCGACTTGTCGCTGGTGCAGGAGGGCTGGAACGAGAAGCACGAGGGGGCGTATAGGCCGCGGACGGACCTGATTGCGAGGCGGACGGCGCGGGCGAGGCGGTTTTTCAGGGAGTGCGAGGGCCTGGAGGTTGCGGTGGTGGCGCACGGGGGGTTGATGCATTTTTTGACCGAGGATTGGGCCGGGAGTATGGCGGGGACGGGTAGGTTTTGACTCTTTTTCTGTCTGGCTGTTTGGCTGGTTCTGTTTTTCTGGGGAGGATGATATGCTGACGTTCGATTCATAGGCACGGGGTGGAAGAATTGCGAATTGCGGACGTACACGTTCGACGAGAGCGGTGAGGCTGCCAGCGAGAACGCGAGTCTGCGCGAGACGGACGAGTCGTTGAAACGGAGAAGCCAGGACCTCATTCCCCTTACAGTCGAGGAGCAGACGCAGTTGAGGGAGATCGCTCAGGAGTCGTGGGTCAAGGATGGATTTATCAGGTTCCCGACTAGAGAGGAGGAGGTGAGTGCTCATTTGTAGAACCGTTTGGTTGTGAATATAGAGGGGTGGATGCAGATGGTCAGATGGTGAGGCTCATCATGTTGGATTTTGTAGACCGGGAATTGTGAGCATAGACGATTATTTTTTGGGGATTCGCGATGCATGGATAGATGATAATGATAAATAAAAGCATAGATAGTTAGTTTGTGTGTATTTTATCGGCGATTGACTCTACCATAATCGCCACCCAGTGTATCACCGCACTACACTCTAAGGGGTACGGCTTCCTTTTTTTTTTTGATAGCATCCATGGTACCTCCGGCATCCCCCATGGTTCTTATTGAACGCCTACCATGCAAAAGTGACATTAAATTCGTGATCGAGGCCAGAGCAAGCAGACCGGCCCACGCTGTCCAAACAGTGAAAAAGAAAAAACATCCAGAAGATTGATCACTGAAGGAGAGGATCCTGTGGTGCTGTTAGTATGGATTGATGCTGAACCAGTTCGTACGTCACGACTTACCCTGTAGTGTTTCTGTTGGTTGCCCTTCCTCTCATTCACGGCCTGAATCCTGTTCCGTGCACGATCTGCCCGCTTTTGTTCCCTCTGCGCTATTGTGCGAACCTCTTGCTTCTTCGCGTCACTGACGCCAATCATTCCCAATCCGCCCTCGGCCCGAGTGGCAACCTGGCGGTCACGGCCACGACGGTGTGGGTCTCCACGTTCCTCATCAGATTCGGAGCCGGCTTCAAGTCGGCGCTGTGCGTTCTCCATGCGCTCGGCGACTCCAGGATAGTTGCGGAGATTCTGGCGGTAGTACTTGTTCAGAGAACGGTGACCAGCAGTGCGTCCGGAAGGAAGTTGGAGTTCATAGTCGTCGTGATACACTGCAACAGGAGTGGCATGGGCGTGGGAGTGGTATCCATCGACACTGCGGTGGGGTCGCGGATCGCCATGGGAATGGTGTCGTGACTGCGAAAGCAACTTGTACCGGTGTGATCGGTCGTCAATCGGCACGGAAGTGATCTCGTCTGTTGGTACGCTCGACACAGTGCTGTCGGTTTCCCAGCCCTCGTCCTCCTCTTGACCGGAACTATCAATGACGGCCTTGCGTGGTGCACCCAGCTTGACTCCGCCACCGGTGGTAGATTGCGACTCGTCAGACTCCTCCTCTTCCATGGCTTCAAACTCCTCGGCATCAGGGTACGAGCTCCTGAAGTCGTAGAATTGGCCAATCTCAACAAGCTCTGCATCATCCTCGAAGGCGATCATGCAATGGCCGCGGTCCCTCATGTGGGTCTGTATGCCGGTTGCTGTGTGTACAGCTTTGTGACACTTGATGCATTGGTGCTTCTTGTGGATCTTACGGTGCAGGTACTTGATCAATCCTTCGGGCTCGACGAGGAACTCCTTCTCTGGCACGAACATTCCATGGAATTTGTCCATATGGTTGAGGCTGAGGGCAAAGCTGGGCGAGCGGTAATTGCAGAAGAGGCAATCCAGGAGGGGCTCGGGCGCAGGCTTGCTGGAGGAAGTGACGGAAGCCTTATCTTCGTCTAGTTTGGTCTGCTTGAGACCGTCCGCGACGTCCGCGACGTCCTTGTCGTCCGTTTGAGTGGTCTCGGACTCTGCCAGAGAATCGCCGAGTGACAATGCTGAGCTCATCACGGAGCCAGTGACGGAGGCTGAGTCGTCGAAGTGACTTCTGCTTGCCTTGGCCACATTTGCCTTGTGCTTTGAGCTGTTGACGTGATTATTGTACGCATTCTCGCTGAAGTAGGTCTTTCCGCATGGCTGGCAGGCCTTCTCGAAGGAAGCCTTGGCTGCAGTTGCGGCAGCCGAAGCCTTATTAGCAAGAACCTTTTCTGTGAAGATTTCGGAGGAGAGGGGTGGTAAAGATGCGACGCGGCGCTTGAGATTGTAGCGACTGTGGGACGGGTTAGCGAACAGTGGTTTCCCATGGTGATTCGATTGATAGTACTCACTGCCAGTCAGTCTGCATATGCGCACGCTGCAACTCGCCGGAGCGGAAGGCGACCTGACATGTGTTGCAGGTGAAGGGATGTGTCGCCTGAAGGTTCGACTGGGAGGCCGCTTGGGAGGCCATGGCGAAGGTGTGGTCTCGAGAGTGTCGAGTAGAAGATATCGGGAGACGGGGAATTTAAGTGAAGGGAAAGGGAAGGAAATTGGTATGAGGGAGGGGAGAAGTAAGAAGGGCAGAGAGAGGGTGAATATGCGGTTGAAGGAAGTTGTTCGACACCCACAGTCCGCCTGTAATGGCGATAATAATTACTAAGTGGGGGGTTGTGTGAAAGCCCGATTGCCCGATTAATAAAACATCCACCACCACCCACTTCGGAGTACTTTCTGACTGTGGTACGAGGTAGGTAGAGGCACCGACAGGCGGATAGCAATAAATTGACTTGTTGCTTTTGGATGAGAATTGTTCTGGTTGAAGTTTTGGGATCACGAAGTAATGATGGTCCGAGAGGGGAGCCAGATAGTGACACTGAAAATGAATGTATCTACCAGTTGATGGGAGAAATTTCCCTTGGGACGGGTGGTGTATTTTTTTCTATTCTAATATTTTCCTTATGACTGTTACCTAAACATATGAATACGAGGGGTACTATGTAATAGTTGATAAATAATGGCAGCATTTTAGGTAACTTTATAGTAAAATTACAATGGGACGAAGGAAAAAAATTACTCTGTCCGGATGAGCATGGAATTTGGTGTGCGATAACATAACTATTAGTTACTCGTAGGGCAGGCGGGCAGGCGGGCAGGCGGGCAGGACGGGCAGGACAGGCAGGCGGGCACAAGGGAATGACGTCTTCCTCACTGGATCCGCCACCAGGAAAAGAATTGAATCGAATAGGGAAATGACACGCCAAGCCTGCCTAAACCCCCGGTGGCCTGGCCTGGATGGAATTGGACCCTTGTTCTTGCCAGCCCTACGATCCAACGGGAACTGACATACATACGTCCTCAACCTCAACCTCATCTCTCCTATCCCCTCCCCTCCATTTCACTTTGTATATGCGCTACTTTCTTTCTCCCAATGGCCGCCTCCCAACTCCTCAGATCAGTGTGAATGCCCTACTCCGACGTGTAACACGCATCGCGTAGTACTTCCAGCACTATGATCCCGATACCATAGCATAGCATCGCATCGCATCGCATCTACTTAACCATGCTCCAGACCTTTCATCCCATTTCCAACCACATAACCACACTACACTAGCATCTCGTAATCCGTGACATATCCCACAGCCCCGCCACCATGTGCCCTTCTCGAGGTCATAGCCATACCCATGTTCATGCCCGTACCCGTCGTGGTGACAGCAACAAGGTCCCGTCGTCTTCCCACCCTCGGCCCTCATCAACCCCCACCCATACGATTCGGACTGTTCATCGGCCAAACTCCCTACGTGGTCGTTGGCATGGCCATGTGATGGACGTCGACGATGTTGGCCGCATCTTCGAGTGCGTCCAAGTTCAGCGTCAAGCACAGTTCCAGCACGTAGTGCGTCGGTTCGTTCATATCCCTAGATATTCATACTACTCGATGCTGATCTTTGGCCAAGCTATCTATCCCAAATCTTGTATGGTTGCAAGAGTGCATACTGCACCACGCCTACATGCCTTTCCTGTAATAGGAGACTCGCCACGAGACCGCATAGAGCACCCACTCAACTTACTGCCCGAGCCCTCGCGCACTTCCTCGCTAGCCAAGATGATCCATATCGCGGACTTTGTACACATCAGCTGAAAGTATCGCCGGATACGTTTGAGATAGATGGATCAATAGGAACAGAAGTTGGGGTGGCAGCGCTTGGACAGGGACCAGTCTTGAATCTGCTTCCACTTGCTGGCCTACCACTATGGTCTACGGCGGAGCTCACTGGTGCCGCCGTATCGCCACCTGGTTCAGCTTCTCGCAGTAGACGGACGGTCGCAATTGTTGGTAGAGATGGAACCCATGACCAAGAGCAGATCAAGCATATGTTACGAACAATAGGGGAGCGACATCAAGTAAAGAAAGACGTAAAGTCACTTGGTCAAAGTCTATATGATACGGTTACAGTCATATATGCATATTCGAAGCAACTACCCACTGCGTCCTCTGTTCTTTCAATGTTTAGTTCTCGCACTGTGCCACAGCAAACGCAGTTGCAGGGCAGTGACTGCCTTGACAGTCAATCGGCTGCAGCAACCCCGAAGGACGTGCTCAGGGGGCCTACAAACGTCCACTCTCCCCCCCCACGCGAACTTCGCACTCCACGACACATTTCCATGAAAAGCAATGAGCATTGTTTACCTGCACATAACACAGAAATATCGAGTAATGGAGATGAAGTACATACGATCCTCCATCGTATAAGTGGACCTACCAGCGACTATTCTTCCGAAGTACCGTCTGCCGGATCACGGAACATTAATGGGAATCGAGGCTCAGACCCGTACAGCAAGACCGCCTACGCAAAGAAGTCACATTCTATCGATATGCGCGGCCCTCCAGAAGCAATCCCGATACCTAGGACCTCCTCACCGAATACTGATTTGGATGCAAAGAAAAGCGGTCGGTCATCCGTCCAAGTGACTTCTCACCTCACTTGTGACATTCTGGAACAGTTGAAGGGCGGTGAGCACCAGCGCAAGCGCATGCGACCATTCGGTTTCGTCTACAGTGTAGATTATGAGCCGAATAAACGGTTCAGGCCGACTTCGTCTTTTGTCAGTAGGTCACTATTTCATACCTTGAGCAATCCGGAACTCCTGCTCAAATCTTTTCGAGATTCAGGCCATGTAGGATCGGGAAACTCGAAATTGTCACACATGAACTCGTCGCGAATGACGCACGCATTCCGGGACTGGAAATATCTTAATGGTGCCTTGATTTACGACAGCTTGTGGGTTGCCGTTGAGAGTTTATTTGTAGCTCCACCAGAGCTGGACGTTCAGAAAGGCTCTCAAAAGAAATCTTCCCAGGGGAGCTCGACTGAAAGGAGCTCTGAAGAGGCTTCGGCCAGTGAAGCGTCCGAAAAACCATCTGGGCGATATTTGAATGATGAGGAAGCTGCTCATATCATCATGATATGTATTCATGCGTTGACTTCACTAGTATCCGTCGGATGGCCTCGAACCTGGGTTCAATTGCGTAATTTCCGATCTTGGGGCATTGTGCTCCCCCATACGCCTGACAATAGAGGCAAAGATGTGCCTATCAGTTTCTCAGACCCCTGGCTGGCTATCATTGACGAGCTAGAGTACGAGCCCGCGGTTCGGCTTGCTGATCGACTCTTGCGAGGTATTGGCGCTCGTTTATGCTTTGAGCAGATATTGGCTACCATGAACCGTAAGGGACATTGTCCCAACGACACCAGCTATGGCCCCGTTAAGTCGCACCTGCTGGACATATTGGTGGAGCATTTAGCAGTGGTTGAACATCAAGCCTTGGCGAGTAAGAGAAAATTCAAATCAGCCCTAAACTATCAGGATGACCCGGGTTGGACTGTCACTGCAACATTCATGGAGTGGTTGCGAACCTTGATCATCAAACAATGGGACGGAAAAGTGGTCATTCATAGATGGTCAAGCGTGGGCGTGTCCCTTGCATTTCTGGAAAGACTTCGTGAGTAGAGCTGGAGCCCTGACATTGATACTCCCCACTCACAATCCATAGATCGGTCCCGCGATATCTTAAATTTACGAACGCGCATGTTTTACATGCCATGGTTCGATGAGCGCATCGACAAGACCCACGAACCCGTTGAATACCTTCAATATAAACAGACCCCAAACTCTGTCCATCTCCTCCAATTCCCTTGTTTGTTCCAGCCTGAGGTACTTATTGGGTATTTCCGTACGATAAATTTCACCAGCATGTACAGGCAGTTTGAGGGATCTGAAAGGACCGCTCGTTTGCAGCGACATGTCAACCGTCACCTGAGGTTTTCATATGCGAACGCGATTAACAAGCGCTTAGCAGTTGTATTGAGCAACTACCTTGTTCTTGAGGTTGGAAGAGAGCACCCACTGGAAGACACTCTGAATCAGCTCTGGGGTCAGGAGCGCAGACTGTTGCTAAAACCACTCAAGGTAAAGATGGGCAAGGAGGAGGGTGAGATTGGTCATGATCAGGGAGGCATCACTTACGAATTCTTCCGCGTGGTCCTGGGTGAAGCCTTCAAGCCCGATAACGGTACGTATAAATGACGAACACACTGAACAACGAAATCGCTAACAGGGTGTCAAGGAATGTTCGAGATCGATCCCCAAACCAGAATGACGTGGTTTCAACCTGCTTCCCTAGAGCCGGATTGGAAGTTCGAGATGCTAGGCCTTCTATTCTCTCTCGCCCTGTACAATGGGGTCACACTGCCCGTGACATTTCCCATCGCCTTATACCACAGCATTCTTACCCCGAATTATCCATCTCTAGGCTTGGACGCTTCGGAGTCTATTGACTTCATCCAAGATGGCTGGCCAATCCTTGCCAAGTCATTGCGAGAACTACTTTCGTGGAAGGACGGCGATGTCGCAGACATTTTCTTACGAAGCTACACCTTCAGTTTTGAAGCATGTGGCCAGAAGGTCAACGTAGATATGAACGCGTTCGATGGCGACCTTGGAGGACCAAGTCATCTTTGGCCTGCAGATCTGCTTAACACTGTCGACAAACCGATATCAACCAGCCACGGCCCAATCTGGCCTTCCCATGTAACACGACCACCTATCAGCAGCCCGGCATGGGAGAGGCCTTTCACCCAAAGCGAAAGTGCAACAGATGAGACGCTGGTAACAAATGCTAACAGGGAACACTTTGTGAAAGATTATATTTCTTGGTTGACGTATAAATCTGTCGCCCCACAGCTCCTTGCTTTCCGCAAGGGCTTCAACAGGTGCCTTCATAGTCGATCATTACACCTGTTCGACCCACCAGCTCTACAGAATCTCTTGGAGGGCAGGCTAGACATCGATGTAGATGCGCTCCAATCGGCCACACGCTATGAAGAGGGCTATTCCATCAACCATCCTACGATCCAAGACTTCTGGACCATTGTTGAGTCTTACGATATGGATGATCGTCGGAAATTGCTAGAATTCGTGACCGCAAGCGAACGAGTGCCGGTCACTGGATTCGAGACCATGAATTTCCACATTGTTCGAAACGGATCAGATACCGACATGTTGCCTACAAGCTCAACATGTTTCGGCAAGCTGATGCTCCCGGAGTACGCGGATCGTGACAAGTTGAAGCGAAAGCTTGATTTGGCCATCCAAAACTCTAAGGGATTTGGCGTCCTGTAAATACGTTGCCCACGGTATTATGTATCCATATGATTCATAGTCTGATTGTCTGTTTTTTACCCCAGAAATAAATGTACATACAAAATCGACCACCTTACCCTCCTGTTGGTATAGCAAGTGAAGGGCTACTTCAGGCGGAATCTAAGGCTGACCGACTATAATTTTATGGGTGCTGCGCAGATAGCTGAGTTGAATACATTCGAATCATGCTTGATTATGATTCTAATCATGGTCGATGTTATTCGCCAATAGTGTGCTCCCCGCCCTGCATATGCCGTGCTTCGAGGGCTGTTCTAGGTCGCTTCTATCCGCCACTAGATCAGCCCCCCAATTCAATACGTCACTTTGCCCCCCAATGCCATTTCACCCACACGAAGCCCGCGGGATGCACTCCGTCTCGACAAAATCGTCATTTAGCGGCATGCCTGAGAGTTTCCATCTCTGTAGCCGTGACTAACAGAAGATAAGCCTCGAGATCCCCAATGGCCAAGTTCGCCAATCTACAACCACCCCCCGTGGTTGATCTTTGTCCATCACACAGGCACAAGCACATTCGAACTTCGGCCATAGGGAACCTGATAATTGCTTCTAATGCCCCATTTGCTATGTGTCCGGTAGCGTGCTGACCGTCGAGTCGATCGGATCTTCATGGGAGAGCTTTCATCGGTGGGCTTTTCAATTTGGGTCGTGCACCGAATTATGATGGCGATAATGATGATCGAGCTTCGGAGCTTTTATACAAGTGGGCTTCCCCATGGGCAATTGTGGATTGTTATCTACTTTTCTCCCTGTTCTTCTCCATACCTCCATCTATACATCCAAGTTTAACTTTTCCACGTTGAAAATCAAATATTAGCCTTTCTTCGTTCTTGCTTCGCTCTTGTGTACTATATCATTCAATTATCATGACCGGTGACGTTATGACGGAACGATGTATATCCTACGGTCGCGGGGGTGCTGGAAACCTCAGTACGCAATCTCCCTCCCTCCCATCCCATCCCTCTATCCACCAACTAAACTAACACTTCCTCTCCTCAACCAGGCCAACCGTCCGCCCGCCGAAAAGCCTACCAAGCCCTCCAAACATCAAAATCACCAGGTCCGTCCCTACCCACCCCTTCCCCATCAATCACAGCACAGGGTCACTGACATAAGGACGGAACAGAAGGAGAGGAAGGGGAAGAGGAACAACACAGAAGACACCACTGGCGCAGACACAGCTCGTCGTCGAGCTCGAACACAACGGTGGATGACGGCGGGCGGAGGTCGTCGTTGTCGCTTTGGGGCATCTTTCGCGCCAGGAGCTCGTCGGCTAGTGAGGCGTCGTCGTCGTCGGTGTCGTCGTCGGCGGGGTCTGGGAAGGGGAAGGAGAGGGCGTTTTGAAATAGTCATGGCGTGAATTGGGAATTGCGGAGTTATATATATATATTTTTGGGGAGAATTGGGAGTCTTGTTTGGGGCTGGGCCTCGAAATGAGATTGTGTGTAGGATTGTATGATTGAAAAGTCATTTGACAGTATGGGCGGAGCTTATCATTTATGTTAACGATTTAATCGTTTGGTTACTATGTGCGACTTGTCGTTCAACTTTCAACTATTTTTCTTAAACTTGTAAATTGACGATCAAGGCGAGATATACAGGGAGTGCATATGCACTGTATGTCCTAATGCGGTTAGTTTGATGTGAGATGGTCACTTGCTCAGGCAGCAGTATGCCTCAGGCCCTCAGCCTTTCCAAGCTGACCGTTATGACTCGTCGTTCTTTTCAATTTTGAAGACGTCTTTGGAATGTATATGACTTCGTTGACTTCCGTCATAATTCAATTTGGTGATGTACAGAGACTCGCCTTACATTTTGACATGAGTCTTGCTGCTTAAAAGAGACTTGTTATTGGTTACTCTATGCCCTGGGAAAGCTCGGCTGACACGTCAATGTATTGTCGACATCGATATACTGGTTTACCTGAATGATTTAGAGAACGTTGATGGATACCGGAATCGCCTCAACGATTTCAGAAACAATGCATAAACAAGATATGGAGATACAAAAACAGCTAGCACTCTCCAGAGCTACATATAAATGCGGGCAACCTGAGAAGGAAGGCGGAAAGGACCGTCTGAAGGACAGCTTCAACCCACTCACCTGGTGTATAAAAAGCAATAAAACAGAGAAATATGACAATGTTCCTCCAGCAATACCTAAATCCAGGCCGGATGGACTGCACTGCTCCTCTAAAAAGGATCCAGATACCTACCGACAGAACAGGAGCCGCCTGCTGTCTCTACCGGAAACATTACGGATGATGATATGGAAATACGTCCTGTCAGATTATCCACACTCAGACCTATTCATTCGAATCGAACGCAGGCCATTCAACCCTTCCTACAAACTGGTTCGAGCCCCTGTACCGGAACTGAAATTCGTCCCGTCAGATTCTCCCGACTCAACTCATTTTATTCGAATCGAACGCCGGCCGTTCGACCCTTCCTACAAACTGATTCGAGCCCCCGTTCCGGAACTGAAATTTGTCCACGAAGGGGCGAAACCACGCAGACATGTCAACATCCTCCTCACATGCCGCTCCATACGCGCAGAGGCCTTACCAATCCTCTACCAATCCGTCACCTTCGCGCCCTCAGATCTCGAAAGCCTTCTCCCTATCTTCATCGACTCCCTCTCTCCCGAAGCCCGGCGCTGCATTCGCAACATCCACCTGGCATTACCGCAATCTCCTTCTCAAAACGTCATGATGCACGACCGATCGAAACCGAGCTTCCACTGGGCGGTGACATGCGCGCAGGTCGCGAAGCTTAACGGCACGCTCCGGCATCTCAGCGTCGAGGGTAAATGGTCAGACTTCGCCCTCCCGTCTTTCCGGCGCGCGATCCTGCATCCGCTGCGCAAGATTAAGGCGGAGATCGCGTTCGTGCCTATCGACCACCCGGAAGACGACTCGTTCGATTACGACGGCGCGTTCGGGGAGTTGCTTCGGCAGGCTGGCGAGGAGCTGAAAGCGCTGGCTCAGGTCCGCGCGGAACGAACGAAGGCGGACGCAGAGGAGAGACGGGAGAAGGAGAGGCGTTGGCGGGAAAGTGGCCAGCAGAAAGTTTCGGACACGCATGGTGAACGGATTGAGGCCTCTCTTGTGGGTGACAATTGGGTGGTCGTGGAGAGTGTGAGTGGTGAGCAGATTGAGAAGGACCTCAGACGAGTCTCTGGCATAGACCAATTCGAGAAGGAACTTCAGGCTCAAGGGTGTGATTCTGATGATAGTTCCATTGCGGATGATATGGATTGGGATCTTATGAGCGTTGGAAGCGGTGCGGATACGCCAAAAGTACGACCTCGTAGTGCTCTGTCGAAATATAGCAATGGGATGGACACCGATACTGCGTCAACTATAGTAGTAGATGATGCTAGTACTACACAGCGGAAGTACAAAATCCATGATGATGGGGATTGGTAGTAGGTTTGCATTAGAAGTAGTTTCATTCCGTATATTCTTTTAAGCTAGACATTGTCTTTATTAGCTACTCGTATTCGATGAGAGGATGATGAATGGCCATCCTTGCTTGTACAACTACATAGGTAATTGGGTCTCGTTGGAGCATACAGTAAGCCCTATATAATAAAATGGTCAACCAAACTCCGAATCTCACATGAACGTATCAAAATCCGAAAAAGACGTGCATTGGTAGATGAAATGACGTTTACTAGTATAACCGAAGCCGGGCTAGGCCAAGACTCACCAGAACCAGAAGCCGAGGCATTTGATAAGCCCCTTGATCCTTCCAGCTCATGTCGTTCACTTGATGATTAGTATTATCAGCCGAAGCCCAATCATCTTGTCAGGTTTTCGTGATCGTGCGCGTTGTTGCGACATCGTAGGATTCATATAAATTGTGGTTGTACCCTGGTCCGATTCTTTTATACTACAAGGTTGCGTGAACTTTGTTGCTTCAATATGGCCGACATACAACCGCCATCTTTTGTGGAGAGCCTTGCGATCAAGGAGGTCGGCGAACATGAATTCGAGACGATTCACCCACCGCAGCGCATGGGAAATGCTGCCAACATAGCCTATGGAGGCTACACCTCAGCCATGGCCGCGAAGGCTGCTAGCAAGACTGTCCCCGATAATTACCATCTATATTCTCTAATGGGAAACTTCTTGGGACCCGCACTCAACGATCGACCTCTGCAGGCAAAGGTCCGCATCGTTCGACAAACCCGGACCTTCGCTACGAGGCAGGTGGAAGTCAGCCAAAAACAAGACGACGGCTCAAGTCGGTCCTGCATGATAGCCCTGGCAGACTTCCAGGTAGCAGAGCCAGCAAGCCTGCTTGAATATTCGGCCCCTCCGTCACGAAAGTATAGCCATTACGAAGGCCTGCAAAGAGGGCCCGAGCAGAGTCAGAAACTAGTCGACGACGGGAAAGTCACGCAGAAGCAACGAGACATCTTCACGAAATCCTTCGGCTTGATGAGGACGGCGTTCGAGATGCGGCCGTGCCCGGAAGGCATGCTTTCCCAGAACTTGAACGGCGTTGCGAAGCATGCGAAAACTACACAGGATCACCTACCGCTTACCGAGAAGGCTTCCGCGGATTGGACGCGCTCCCTTAACCCTCTTTCGGACCAGGCCGAGCAGGTCGCTGCGTTGAGTTGGTTCATGGACGGTGCTCTCTCGTTTAGTCCGTTGTCGTTTAGCCACATGTTTCTGGATGATGCGGCCGCGTGCTCATCGTTGGACTTCGCGCTGAGGATCTTCAGCAACAACATCGACCTCGAGAAGTGGCATCTGAGAGAGATCAAGACTATCGTCGGGGCAGAAGGGAGGACCTTTAGTGAAGGAAGGTTATGGGATGAGCATGGTAAAGTGGTGGCAACGGCCACGCAACAGAGCATCATGAGGCCCCGGAAAGAGGGAAAGGGTCCATCAAAGAGTAAACTTTAGAGCATCATTGCGATCGTAGAAAGCACCACAAGATTTTGTCAGGGGGGAATTGTACTAGAGATGTAGAGTTGTTTGTATTATTTACGGAATCGAAATCTTCAGTCAAGCAAACAAAGTATCTTCATGCTTGGCTTCCTTCGAATCCGTCTCTACGTATGCCATGTAATTAGGTAGCCTGGCGAACTTCCAATATGGTAACAATCGAATCCGCCCCATATTATTACCAACAAGACTGTGGTCTCATTGTGTTGTTTGCGTAGAGTGAAGCCCGACCTAGGTCATGAGGTCAGTACACAAACACAAAACGTCGCGACTCGACAAACAAAGACTCACCTCAAAGATACTGCTGGCACCTGTAGCATCTAAAGTTGGTCCCGAAGTGGCCATGGAATATTGGATGATTGACCGTATCGATGACGCGTGTAATGCCGTCGTGACAATTGGCATTCCTAGACCGATGGTTAGCAGGTTGTTGATGATATTTCTAAATGTGCCTTCGTGAAGGGCCGCTGAAGAACGTACTCCCAGAACTCGCAGACGCAATGATATCCAACATGACCCCACTCGATCGGGAGGAAACCAGTGTGGAAGCGACCGTCGTTTTTCAACGGGAGCCAGCTTACGGCCTCGCCGTGAGCTTGGCCGCAGGACAGAGCGGTCGACAGTGACACGGCACCGAGGACATAGAGCCAGTAGGCAAATGGGATGTGCATGATAGCAATCGATTGAAGAATCTCGGGATTCGAGGAAAGGATTCGAGTTGTTTGAGGGTTGTAAGGGGAAGGAAATCCTGCTGCTGGGGAAGAGGGGATGTAGGTTTGGGTTGGGTGTGTATATGTACAGAGCACGGGCAAAGCACAACAACGGCGAGAATGTATGGCAGTGACTCACCTGAGCACGTCTGTTTATGTTTTGATCCAATGAAAGCTATTAAAGTCCGGTGATTATGATGTTTATCGCATTAATTGAAATTTACGACAGTGCTTTGACACTCATAGTGAATTACACTTCAAGATTTTCCGCATCTTGAAGTCCACGAATCATACAAATCACTCGGACTAAGGAGAGCTTTGACATCACAAGGCAGCTATACAAGCTGAATTCACTATCTAACATCCGATGCATGGGGACTAAGTTGCTACCTGCGGTGTGAGAACCACTTGACGAAGGAAGGAGGCGTATGCGTCTATACATCCAGGTTGAAATAAGACATAGGCATGCCAATAGTAGTAAGGATTTCTTCCAAGCCTATAGAATTGTTTTTAATATCAATTTGAGAAGATGTGTCTTGGGCCATAAAAACTGTGAGAGTGAATGGTGCCCCAATCAGAACGAAGGGATATCTCCAATCAGCGACCGCCCCGCCCCGCAGAATCGTTGCGCATTGCCATCATCCAAAAATTTCCCCGCCAACATTCCATTCCGCATCTCCTCCAAACCTCCGTTTTGTAGGTTTCCCGCCAGCCAACATGCCACCCACTCCTTGCGCTCTGTGCAAGACGAACCGAGCACTTATTCTTCGTCCCAAAGACCATTCGAAACTATGCAAGGCGTGCTTCATATCCGTCTTCGAAACAGAGATCCACCATACAATCACGACGAACAACCTCTTCCACCGCGGGGAGAAGATTGCAATCGGCGCATCGGGCGGCAAGGACAGCACCGTACTTGCTGCAGTCCTCAAGACTCTGAATGAGCGATACGATTACGGCGTCGAGCTGATATTGTTGTCGATTGACGAGGGAATCAAGGGCTACCGTGATGACTCCCTCGAAACCGTCAAGCGCAATGCACAACAGTATGAAATGCCGCTGACAATCTTGGGATATTCCGAGTTGTATGGCTGGACTATGGATCAAGTCGTGGAGCAAGTGGGAAAGAAGGGGAATTGCACCTACTGCGGCGTGTTCAGGCGGCAAGCGCTGGATCGCGGTGCAGCCAGACTGGGTGTTAAGCATGTGGTTACAGGACACAACGCCGACGACGTCGCAGAGACTGTGCTCATGAATTGTACGAGAATCCGGCTTTGAACATGCAAATAATGTAAAACTCACGTTTGTGTAGTGCTCCGTGGCGATCTTCCTCGACTTTCGCGGACGACATCCATCATCACGTCTACACCCTCCGCAGTATCCACAGATCCGAATTCACACACCAACGTCAAGCGCAGCAAACCTCTCAAGTACGCCTACGAGAAAGAAATCGTCCTGTACGCCCACCACAGAAACCTAGACTACTTCAGCACCGAGTGCATCTACTCCCCAGAGGCCTTCCGAGGCAGCGCGCGTGCCCTCATCAAAAACCTCGAACGAGTGCGACCGAGTGCAATCCTCGACGTGGTTCGAAGCGGCGAGGACATGGCTAAACTCGTACCAGGTAGCGACGAAGGCTGCGGAGGAGTTTGCTCGAGTTCTGTCCCCGCTGCAGAGGAAGAGGAGGGCGGCTGTGGCAGTTCGAATGGAAGGACTGCCGGTGGCGAGATGGCAAACATGGAGCAGCACTTGTCACAAAATGAGGCCGCAGCGGAGAATGGACTAGAAGTCGAGATCACATCTACAGGAAAATCTCGCGCAACCCAAACTCAGCAACGAGGCAACACAGCTAAAGAATCGCTCCAGAACGGCAGCAGCAAGAAGAGTAAAAAAGGAAAGGGCGAGCCTCCGGCGCCCCGAAAAGTCACAAAACAAGTCATGGGACAATGCAAGCGCTGCGGATACCTTTCCAGCCAGGAAATCTGCAAAGCATGCGTCCTCCTGGAAGGACTCAACAAGAACCGCCCGAAGAACTCGATCGAGGTGGGCTACGATGAATCCCAGGAAACCGAAGTCAACGGTGTCACGAACGGCCTCCAGAAGACCCACATCGCAGCGGAGTGAAAGAGGACAGATGATAGCTACTACAACAGCGATCCTACATACACCAGTTCGCACAAGGCTTTTTTTTTTCTTGTTCGCGGAACGACGACGTTTCCTGCTACCCAGCACCCTTTGTCACGCGTCACACGCGAAAGAAGTGACATTTCCACAAACACGAAGAAAAAAAAGAGCAACGCGCACGAAAACACCAAAAAGGTCTGCCATCCGCACGCACGAGTATTTCTGGAATGCCAATGTCGCACGCCCCAGTGTTGCTTCCCGACGTCAAATTTTTTTCTCACTTCCCGCCGCAAGCGCCAGACTCGCACCTCCCCTCGCACCACCTACTTCTCGTAGTATCAAAAAGCAAGCGCATCGTTCCCTCGCGCGAGGCCTTACACAAGGGGAAGTGCTCGTGGTGCAAACAATCCAACCACAGATCTCTTCTTCGGTCATGTGTGAGGACGTCTTGTCTGAACGGTGCGATATCACACGTGCATGGCGGACTTACAAGGGGAGGGGTTTTGGCAGACAGCCCTCACCCGCGCGCCCGTTCGATTCAATCACGAGCTACTCGTGGAAGTCGCACATGGGTGCATCATTTTCCTCACCCTTCTCCTCCCGGTAACGGGGAAATGCTATTATCCCCATCTGACGCAGAGGCCACTTCTTATTTGCACGACGTGGATCCGATGCGCTGTTCGGGGGGTGGGGATCGTGCCCGTGGTTGGTCGGCGCAGGGGTGGTGAAGAGGTACAATGGGTACAAGGCTTGTACAATGTACTCTGTACAGAGGTACATCGTGTGAAGACACATCGTGTTCGTCCGTCCTACATGTGAAATCTCAATGGTATGATGGAGCTCCTCTTGGCTATGCCTGCCACGGAGTGTTTATCGTTGCACTCGGTTTTTGTTGATGATGATGTCGATGAAATACGGATACCCGCGGCGCAATATGGCATTTGTACGAGCTGAGAAGACACACAGATGGATGTATGGATGTATTTCTTGATTATTGAGAACGGAAGAATGCATAGAAATATGATAGGAATACATAGGAAAACAGGGTTCCAGTCCAATTGAGGTAACGGCCTGCGTAAGAAAAACCACCAGCGCTCCTAAAGCGGGTATGCAACTATGCCAGAATGCAAGTTCAGCAACAATGCAATAAAACGAGATATTTACAAACTCCATGTCTATGCCAATATAGACGCCCGAGGTCCGTGTGCCGTAAGAAACCTCTAGTCGAACAGTAAGCAAGCGATTATAATGCGAAACCCCAGGCACCATTAAGCTTCCACGGTCCGTCAATGACAATCTCCTTCTTCTCTGGATTGAAATGTCCCGTGCTGCCCGCCTTCTCCTGGCCAAGAACAGTGACTTGCTTCACTGTGACACTTTCACCACTATTGCCGTTGTATCCAAAGGTGCCTGTGCAAGCGAATGTGGAACCATCCCAAGAAAATTCGATTTCACTGATGGACGCCTGTTCGATACTTTCACCGTCATCGAGGTACAGACGGCCTGTGGCAGTACCGTCCTGCCCTGGCGCAACGATCACAACGAAATCGCGGGTGCGCAGTTCCTTGGTCGTCCAGGCCCAATCTGCACGCTCCGGAATAATGGTGCCACCGCGGATATGGACGGGAATGTCTTTCCAGTCAAGACCAGAGAGCGTATGGTTGCGGCCTTCGCTGTCAACTCGTGCGTGAGACCAGTAGTCATAAAATGTGTCCTTAGGCAGGTAGAAGGATACGGTGTCCGAATAATCATTCGTCACAGGTGAGATGAGGAGAGCATCGCCATAGAACCATTGCTCTTGAATGCCGAACGTATTCGGATCTTCAGGGTACAAGAAGAAGAGTGGGTTGACCATTGGTGTACCGTGGAGATGCTGGTAATAGAGAGCAGTGTAGGCGTAATCCATAAGCTTGTAGCGGGTGTAAATGGCTACTTTAGCTGCCTCAGCCACGATAGGCCATTGATAGAACTCCTGTTGGCGGGTACTGATCTCGGCGTGGTTGCGGTAGAATGGTTGGAAGGCCCCAAGCAGGGCCCAGCGTGCACACATGTACTCATCTGCGTTGCTGTTGAAACCGCACACATCAGATCCAACCATGGGCATCTGATGCATCGAAACAAAGCTCAGCATCTGTCGAATAGCCATGCGATAGTGTTCCCATGTAGATGCGTTGTCTCCAAACCAATGGGTGACTTTGCGACCGCTACCAGCCCACGTGGACCTCGTTAGTACGAACGGGCGAACGGAGGGGCGACGAGCCAGCATGGAAGTATGAGTGGTATGTGCCATCATATGCCCGTAGAAATTATGTGTATCGTACTGTCGCGTGCCATCATAGTTCGTGTTGTTGGTGTAAATGGTGAAATCAGAAAGGTTGCCACGATGATTGTTGATGTGGTAGTTGGGTTCGAACAACTCGCGATTGGGCAGACCTTTCTTCGTACCAGTTTCAACTTGCCGTTTTGCCGCAAGTGAATTATTTGGCTGGAATGAAGCAGGAAATCCAGGAATCGGACGGCCGGTATTTGGTCGCGGCACGGAGGTTGGGATAGGTGGGTTGCCCTCCTTCTCAGCCAGTGCAGCAGGATCGCAGTACCTGTCGTGGCAGAAGTTGGAGGCTTCGTTCATATCAACCCATACACCATCGATATCAATACCAGATTCAGGGCTGAAGGCAGCTGTGAGTTCGTCTGTCCACCACTGTTGCGTGTTTGGCGCGAACCAATCTGGCCATGCAGATACTCCCGCCCACTGCACCCCCAAGTAGTCAGAGCCATCTGCGTTCTTGAGGAAGACATTCTTGTCATGGCCGCGTTGGAAAGGTGCGTAATCAGCCCTGGTATGGATACCAGGATCGAGGATCAGAACATATCTCTGATCTCGCTCGTGTAGGGTCTGTACCAGCTCTCGCATCTTCGAGATTGGGAAGCGCTCAGGGTCGGTAGTAAAGTCCTCACGCAGATGCATGTAGTCAATATCAGTGTACATGACTTCCAATGGAATCTCAGCAGTGGAGTAATTGCCAACAACTTCGGCAACCATATTGACATCCCAGTAACCGTATTTGCATTGTTGGAAACCGAACGACCAGTATGGAAACATTGCTGAGTGTCCAACAACATCGGCATACTGTTGGGATACTTCGGCCGGCTGTGCACCAGCTAGGAAGTACAGGTCGATAATACCTCCGATGGTATTGTATTCCAAGTACTGCTCGCCTGATTCGGTTTTGTTGATGTAAATGTTCATTGGGTCTGAGTTGAGCAGAAATACACCATGGGTACCTTTGTCACCTCGGTGATCAAAGTACACTGGATGGCTACCATACAAGTTGTTGTTAGTGTGTACATTTGGCGATTCTGAATTGTACAGCACTCGCTCATAATTGGAGGTAGTCAATCGGAAGGAATCAGTGTGCTCGCCAAGGCCGTATAGATTGGGATCGTTGGGCAGATTAGTTCGCAGACGAACATATTGCGTCTGGAAGACTAACGACGATGCCGCACTATCGAAAAGAACTTCTCCATTGGAACGTCGCACAACGGCAAAGGAGAATGGATTTTCGGTCAGATTGAACTGTAGTGCAGCATTGGAGGAGGAGGCCTGTTCATGTTGTGGCCTCGGAAGAACCTCTTGCTGCACCTGGAAAACGTTCTCTTCTGCATCGAATATCTGGACGTGGAGCCGCTCATCTGGACATATATTAGTCTATATCACGATACATAGGATGTCTCGCTTGGAATGGAGTGCGTCATTTCTGCTGATAAGCGAAACGTACTTGTCTGATATTCAACTACCAATTTCAAATTCTGAAGATCCTGACTGTAACTGTTGCATGCCGGACCAGCGAGTGTAAGGTCCGCAGTGAGTGAAGAGTCTGTCTGTTTGACATTTGAAGCAGCATAGCCTGGACAATCGGCAAGTTGGCTCCTCTCTGGAAAGACGATAGGGACATTGGGAGGATCTGGAGGTGGAGTATCGCGCGGAGCAGGAAAGGCAACGGCGATACTAGACACCACGAAGGCGAGAAAGAGGCGTTCGAGCATACTGGCAGTCCCAGTAATAGTCAAGGCGAATAGCTCGAGCGTTGTGAGAGGACGAACATCGTTGGAGGCATTGAAGAACCTTATAAGGACATTGTCCGAAAGGAGAGTATCGTATCCCTTGCCAGTTCATTGATCCATACTGAGCGCTAGCCAAGGTCATTGATGGACGCATGATTGTTTTGTTTTTGAGGGAACCATCACTCCCCTGGAATGTGGCTTACCCCAGATTTGGCAGATGTTGACTTGCCCGATGTAGAGAATCAAGCGTGGTTGTATCTGGTACAATTACCTGGCTTGCAGGGGCCATGCTGGCACAAATGGACCACACAGCGTGTCCATCGTCCACGTACCTGCGTCGGACACGATACAAGTACAGGATGTCGTAGCATCAACGCAACCCGTCCCGCGCCTATCAACGGCGCGTAGTTGTATTGAAGTAACAAAGCATTTCCGGTCGTTGGCGCTGGAGGTTTGTTACGAACGTATGAGGAAATTTCCCTTGGGCCTTTGATACCCGGAATTGGCCCTTAACAGCCCAGGGAGTCCGGACAGTTTTGGCCGCACTGCAGGGAATAGATTGAAACAACCATCTGTGATCATACCTCAACGTGCTAGGATCTGGAGCACAAGGCACCGGGCAATCAACTGCTATTTTGGCAGGACGCGTCTCTGATACAGCAGGGCGGTAATCTTGCGACTGGGCCTAATTGCATTCATGAAGTTCATAATGACGATGTGGGTCTCATTTATGAACGAAGCATATGATAACATGCATGCAAGGTAAGACACATTGGCTGAGCGTGTGCGCGCGTGTGTGTATAGAAATCGGATCTTGCTCAAGGAGCGATGGCTTGGTTTAGGGTTTGCCATCGGAACCTTCCAAGCATATTGGCAGGTAACTAAGAAGAGTAGGAGAGAAGAGGAGAGGAGAGTGAAGAAGTGACGTTGGAGACAGTAGGAAGTGATCTGATCTGATCAGGAGGCGTTGTCAGCGATGATGGCGGGGTGACTATGGGGGTGACTATGGCGGGTGGGTGGCTACTACTGTAGGCGAACGCCATTCCCGTACCTCCCCTCCTACCCCAAGATCCACCTAACTAGCTACACCTCTAAGAGGTACTGTACATACGGCTACAACTACATCTAATTACAACGACACCCGTTAATGGATACTTACGAGTACCGTAGCACCACCACACAACAGCACGACAGAAACACAGCACATGGTCATTGTGAATGTGGAACTTTCTACCCCTGAGATGAACCCTAGTCGCCCTCCCACCTCTTCTCCGTACTCATGCCCAGGATGCGACCCTCCATGGGCGTCTCGGCAATATGTGTACTACTGGTACCTCTGATATCTACATTTATTGGCTGCATCATTAACTCTCATTTCCTTCTCATGTACCTCGGAAAACCACAATTTGTACTCGACAACTCCTGAAGCGTACAGGAACTGCCTGGTACGGAGACTGCCTCAAACTTTAGCTTGCTGTCAATCATCACGAGGCCAGAGGTAAAGGAGATTACAATGTCCGTCAATAGCGGCTATCATACCCCTTCAATCCTAAAGGGAAACCAAGCACACTCTTGGTAAATCATCTATCATGAGATGGTCGTCGCTGGATTTGATTGGCTTTCAGCAATCGAGGATCATCGCTCACAAGAAAGATATCGTCAATACGGAGTACTCATTTTTGATAGCCTTTATTCTTACCATCTTGTAGTAAAGAATATGCGGCGACGACTTTTTATCCAAAAAAAACAATATCTAGTTGCCAAATGCATCGCAAAATGACATGTTACGAATATTCTGATATGCGACACCAAGCACACGCCAATATAAGCTTTCGGCCGCCCACTAGACTGACGTCAAGCTTCAAAGGGTCCTAACGCCACCACCATCACCCAAAAGCCACCGTCGGTGCCACTTATCTATCCCAAAATATTCAGACGTCTTCCTTCAGTTTACCATTGATTGCTTCATCTTTCCCCTAGTGCGGCACTGGCTCATCACTCTTTCTCATATTCCACCCTCCTTGCTATCGCCGTCATCTTGTTCTTCACGCATAAGCTCGACCTGAAAGCTCCCACCATGCCCCGCCGAGGAGCGCAATCGCTGGCAGACGAATCCGCCCCTACAATCACCACAAAGCTTCCCGAGAAAGTCGCGTGGCCTTCGACATTTACCGATGGTCTCCCCCTCCCTCAGATAATGGTTTTTGACCTCGACTATACGTTATGGCCTTTCTGGGTGGACACACATGTTACGCCGCCCATCAAGGCTGTTGAAGGCGGGCAGAAGGTCAAGGATCGATATGGTGAGGGTTACGGGTTTTACCCCGAAGTCGGCGGTGTTCTTGATGCTGTAAGTCTACTCTATTCTATCTCATAGATCTCAATGGCGCCTGTGTAATATAATGCTAATTGTTTGTGTAGTTGCGACAGAAGGGCATCAAAGTCGGTGCAGCATCGCGAACATCTGCCCCAGATCTCGCAAATGAGATGCTTCGCGCTCTCAAGATACCAAGCTCGACCGCATCATCGCAGCGCGCAGTTGACTACTTCGATAACCTGCAGATCTATCCCGGAAGCAAGACCACACATTTCAAGCGCATACAACGGGACAGCGGAATAGAGTATGAAGAAATGCTATTCTTCGACGACGAGAGTCGGAACAAGAACGTCGAGGGGCTGGGTGTCGTTATGCAGCTAATACGGGATGGTGTTACAAGAGATGAAATAGATGCTGGTGTGAGGAGTTGGAGGAAGAGGAACAACAGGATACCAAACTAGAGGAGGCACGCACGCCACTTTATTTACGACGATTAGATTTGTTTTTAGACTTCTATATACTTCATTACCATTCGGAGTTTCTCGAGTCCTAGCCACTTGTAGGTGTTGCAACATGTTCTATAAAGTGTACTTGACGTAGATACTTTTGTTCACTAACAATAATGCAGCTAACAAACTCCAAGTTACAAAACCTTGTGCCGCAGGCCGTCATGAGAAAATATATTGATCCCGCCCTATGGTATTTCGAGAATATGAAAACACATCTAAAGATAAAATTAATCCCCCAAACAAACGAAACGCCGAAACATGATCTCTCTAGCCCATCTTAGCGGTTGCTGCATGCCGTTCCGTCATTGCTGCATTGTAAATTTTGATCACCTTGTCGTAGACCATGAAAGTCACACTACTCGAAAGCTGGAAAGATTTAGTACTGATCTATGAAATTACGATTCAAAATAAACTTACAGTAAGTCTCACGAGTCTCGGCGTGGTAGCTTTCCAGAACACAGAGACGCCTTCATTCGCAAGCATCTGCCCCGCGACAGAAAGCATTCGTCCATTCGAACTACCTATGCCTTGCATACGCGTCTTGACGTTGTCGAATGGCATTGACGCATACCTAATCCAACACTTTAGTCAAAGCGTTATGGGTAACTGTTATTGTACACTTACACCGTGACAACTCCGCTACCTGCACCAGCAATCATGGTCGCGGTCGTTCCATTCACCGAACTCGGCCAAATCTCCTGTAGCTTGTCCTTCAGAGCACCGAAAGTCGTGAAGCGAACGGCACTGTTCGTGCCTTGCTTGCATAGCACTGGAGTGAATCCCCTCCAAAGGCTGAGTATCCCATGTTGTCGAACAGTCTGTGTTACAATACGTGCAAGAGGTAATTTACCCAACTGTCCTCCCGACGCTGCATCATGGATAACTCTCGTCTTGAGGCTCTCTCCGGGAGTGACGATCAGCAGACTCTCTGTTGCGCCTGCGCAGAGTCCAGCGACAAGATTTAGCCACGGGTTCTTCGCTGTGGTTCCAGTGTGCTGCGATGCACCTTTTTCAAAGTAGGGTGTCAATTGCCGTTTCGCAGTTTCGAACGAGAAGAACCGCACTCCGCTCTTCAGTGCATTGCTGACAGCGAGGGTCTGACAGCCTGCGTATATGCCACTGAGACCGACGCTCTGCAAGGTTGACCGAAGGATGGTCAATGAACTTGTGGATTTCTTTCCAAGGGTCACGTTTTCGAGTTGTCGTCGTGTTTTCACGAATTCGGCTGGGTACTTGGAAGGTGTCAAGGAATTTGAAAATCACTGGGTTGGAAAATACAACTTACTGTTACTAAGGTCTCAGATGCACCGGCCAATCCTCCAGCCAGTATACTGATCGCAGCTGGGGGTGACGATTTGTCCATCTTAGCAGAGAATAGAAAACTCGAGCGAAGGTAGCAGGTCACACACTGTTTTGCATGGAAACAAAACAACAAAGAATTATCACTGAGAACATAGAACTTGAACGTCGATACCGGAGAAAGTATGCACATTGTCCTCCACGGCCGATACACGTTTCGGACTTGGTGAGGTCCATGCTTGACTCGGTGGCTTACCAGGCGAAGCTAATTGTATTTTACGAGCGGCGCTCCCATAGCTAGATCCTCTCTCATTGAGTAGCTTCCTCGGATTGTGACCGAGCGCCAAGAAGGTGTCTTTGGGGAATGTACTCCTTCGACTTACTATGGCCGGGTTTTGGTTGATTTTTAATCTACTGTGTAGGTGGCGTTTGTGGAGAAATTTTACTGCGTATGAGAATGCCCGAGTTGTAGTAAGATTTCATCGGTCCGAGGACAATGGGCGCGATGAGTGATGCTAGAAACGGAAATCAGACGCACCTCAACACTTCATCGTGTACTCCGTATTCAATTTACTATTGTTGAGATGTCATGGATATATCAAGTCGCCATTCGGCTTAATCTCGCGCCATAATGAAGCAAACAAGACACTCCAGCCTTCCTCGATATCAGATTCACATAGCTTGGCTTGCTTCATGTTCAATGCATTGTTTCCGTGCTTGTCATTATTTCATTCATGAATTTAGCTATAAATTATTGCTTTACATCCCAAAGGACCTGTGCGTTCCGACAAAAGACCTCTTCTGTCAACCCAGCGGCCTCAGTCCACTGTAAACACCGATCAACAAAGGGCCGCACATCGAGCCCATCAAATCGCGTGTGCGGCCAGTCAGACGCAAATACGATCTGACTGCCAGCTTTCTTCAGCAGTTCGTATGCTACAGCCTCCACTCCACGCATCTCGGAATCTGTATCGAAGCGATATGCTGCCGATAGCTTCAGCCATGTGTTCCCGCCTTGTAGTAGCCTGACTAGAGAATCAAAACCCGTCAGTTCGTATGGATCGAGCGGATACGTTGCTTTCCCAGGGTTTGGCAATTTCGGGGCGCCAAAATGCGCAAGACATAGCCGTACGCCTAGGTCGCCTGCGACGCGCTCGAGTATCGGAAGTGCTTCCATGCCAATGAAGAGCTCTAAAACCCAGTCGAGTGGCTTCACGACTGCTGCATAGCGCTTCAAAGTATCTTCGAGCGCTGCTTCGGTGAATTGAGCATCTCTTGACTTCAAGTTGAGACGAACGCCCCGGACTCCAAGTTGGTGCCATTCTTCGAGTGTGGACAGTTCAATGGTATCTGGGTCGACCTCTACAACACCTCGACCCTGAGCTGGCCCGAGAGCTTTGAGGGCATCAAGAAGACATGAATTATCGTTGCCATAGATGGAAGGCTGAACCAGGACAATGTTCGATATTCCAATAGTCTTCTCGAAGCTCATCGCATGCTGTAGATTATGAAGTGAGGGCGTGTAGGCGGCATTGGAAGCAAGTGGGTATTCTGGTGACGTGACGTGCATATGGCAATCCCAAGCGTTGTTGGGCATGCGTTGGGGTATTGTTGTAAGCCTGGTGGCTATTGTGCGTTTCTGCGACTGTGCAACATCGGCGCGAAGTACACTCGGTCGCTGCAAAGACTGAAGGTAGGATTGGGCGTGCCTAATGAAAGGGATGAGTATCGAGTCCACGAAAGATCCTATTATGGGAATGACTCTGAGATTTTGGAGCAACATCGTGTAGGACAAACGGCAAAGAGCCTCAAGAAACGTACCAGTAGCATTCGCGGGACGAGAACGGGGTATATAAACTGCTTCTAGTCGCAGCTCGGCAGATTGATAGACGCATTGAAGGTGGAGCCCTTACGTTAGGCTGGGGAAGTGCTGAAATTACGATGGTTAAAACTACCGTAAAGGCGTATCAAACGACGTTCGTGGTCTTTGCGACCTCAAGTACAAGCATTGTATAAAGCATTCACCCTAGTGCTTGTTTGGTCACGTTAGTTCGGTCAGACTGGCCAATCATGAGCCTGGAATCAGCGAAATTTCGGAAGTTGACCGAACGGAAGTTGACCGAGTCTAAACCGGATGGCGGATGAAGTCGATCTAATTCCATCTCACAGTACGAGGCATTCAATCTCTGCCATCCCCACAGACTGACTCCATACCCCGGAAAAGCTGTGCCTTCAGCATGGAGGACCCTTCGCTTTCTATAAAGGTCACTCTCTTCCAGTCATTTCCCCCACAGCTCTGAACATCAACCTCTCGTACGCGCATAGTCAACATGGGAAGATTCGCACCCCCCTACTACATCCTCGCCGTAGTTGTGTTGGCATTTGGCGGTATTCCCAAAGGTACGATCTAGTCATCACGTATCTGTCGAGCTGAAAGGATGCTCTAAATACTAATAATACATGATCAGGTTATGATGAGGGTGGTTTCAGTGCCAGTGTGACTCTGCCAGCCTTCAAAGCTGACTATGGACTTAACAAAAATCTCTGGGTCGGCAACGCGACAGGCCTTGCCAATCGTACCGCGAACATCAGTTCGTTCGGTGTGCTTGGAGCTGCCTTCGGCGCTTTGATCGCCTACTTCCTTAACGACAAGATTGGGAGGCTGTGGTCATACAGACTCGCGATTCTTGTATGGGGTAGCGGCATTCTCATGCAAGTCTTTTCATCTGGCATCTTTGGATTCCTCCTTTTCGCAAGAATATGGGGTGGCCTGGGTGCTGGTGGTCTCACTGTCATCTCACCGCTTTTCCTGTCCGAGATTGCCCCAACGAAGACCCGAGGAATGATAGTCAGCATGTACATGGTAGTGCTGCTATCTGTTTTGTCCTTGGGATTTTTCGTCAACTACGGTGTCAGCAAGCACATGGCACAAAGCAGGACCCAATGGCAGCTGGTGCAGGCCATCCCATTGATCCCGGTTGGTGTCGCGTTCTTCGCTTCCTGGTTGATCCCAGAGAGCCCTCGCTGGCTCGCCTCCAAGAATCGCGATTCGGACTGCCTCTCTGCTCTCTCCCGCTTGAGGGGTCTGTCACCCGATGACACCGCTCTGGTGGCTGAATTCGAGAGGACCAAGTTGGAAGCAGATGCTCTTGTGCAGATGGGAAGCATTTCCATGCTGGAGACAGCAAAGGAATGCTTCACCGAATCGAACCTGCGAAGCCGCTTCTTCCTTGCCGTCATGCTCCATACCGTGGCTCAATGGACCGGAGGTAGGTTAACAATATTGAAAGTTGAGATGAATTTAACTAACCCCTTATTCAACTAGGTAATGGCATCACGTACTACATTTCAGACATTTTCCAATACGCTGGCATCCACGGCTCCGAGACATCGCTCATCACTTCCGGTGCTTACGGTTTAGTCAAACTCTTCATCACTATGATCTTCGCCTGGGGTCTCATTGACAAACTTGGCCGCAGGCGCTGTATGCTGGCAGGTTTGACTCTCCAAGGAATCACCCACATCTACATGGCCATCTACTTCGGCGCGATTGGCCAGGGCAACAAGAGTGCGTCCGACGCTGCCATTGCCTCCGTCTTCATTTACGCCACCGGCTGGTCCATTGGACTCTGCACAATTCCCTACATCTACGGTACCGAGATCTTCCCCACCAAGGCTCGCAGCTTCGCGTATGCGACGACCATGTGTCTACATTGGTTCTTCCAATTTGCAGTCGTGCGAGTCACGCCTGTCATGCTTGCTGCATTGGATAAGTGGGGAGCGTACGTGTTCTGGACCACGATCTGCGCAAGCGGCATCGTCATCCTCGGTCTTTGGGCTCCAGAGACCAAGGGAGTCCCTCTGGAGCGCATGCACGAGCTGTTCGACCGCCCGTGGTACAAGTGCTGGAATGCGAAGCTCGATTATCGAGATGATTCGGACAGTGCATACGTAGAGAAACTGGGTGAGAAGGACGTGGCGGAGCAACGACAGCGTGAAGTTGCATCCTAAAGATGCACTGTATCCTTTATCTATCTATAATACAGATCTACGGTCGTCTTCTATTGTTGAGGGCTGAATAATAAATCGTTTTATGTTCAATTATATGTCTTTCTTTCCTGTGACAAGTCTGAACATCTAGAACTATCAACTGCTAGAATACATCAAATCCCGGATTCATTGTTATGCTGATGGGTTCAATCTGCGAGAACGCCTCGTACATCTCGGGAGGGATATCTAGCATGCTGTAATTCAGCGATTCATCAATCTGCCCATTCAGATAGGACAAATCATATAGAGATTGCTCTTCGTGTGCAATTGGCTGGTGAATGCCAGCAGGTGCTGTCACTAGATCTGTCTCTAGCGGTAGTGTTGCCGAAGGCCTTGGTAGATGCAGCTCGTTTATTTCATCTTCTGTCGCTTGGGGCGCTCCGCCTGATATTTGAATTCCAAGTACTTCAAGCTCTTTGGATATTGACCTCGATGCGGTTGCGATTGCTAATAGCCGTCGTCAGCATGAATCTATATTTTCACAGTGTGGATACCTACCGGGACTGGTTCTCCGAAGTCTGTTGAGAGCTTCTACGCAGAAGGATAGTCTTTCCAAAGTGCTTGGCGCAGCATGACCAGTCGCTTGAACCTCAAGAAGGAAGATCGATGCAGCCGTATACACAGTATATGCTAAACTCAAGACAACATGTCCCTCGCCAAAGGTGTGGTTGTATAGTTTGAATAGAGTGACGATAGCTGTGGCGGACGATATGCATTGTATGAGGGGATTATTTTCAGCACTTGGGTTGGCCGACTTTGGCTCTCGGTTCAGCTTTAACTTAGCGCGATTGAGCAGTATGTTTATGGTATGGTATAAGCAACTGGATGTGATGGTCAGTTCTCCGTACTATTTGGAACTTGCTTGTAGCCTCACTTCAGTGTCACAATATGACTTGGGGGACAATCCAATGGCGAATCAGCCAGATTGATCTTAAGATGGTTGGGAAGGTCTCTCCACCAGACTTTGAGCTTGAAGCTCATCGCTATCGTACACTGATGGGCACGAGGCCCAGTAGGGTCCTGTGAAGGATTGTAGATGTTGATGAGTAATTGGTTAAGTATCTCTGCCAGTCCGCACATGTGTGTAAAACAAGAGATGGAATATGCTTGTTTCGGTGGGTACCCTGGTGAATATACCCCGTGTGGAGTCCAGGCTTCGAGCTCGGCTGTATCGTCCACTGTCACCGGAATTAGAACTTGGATGTAACGAATCAAAGGCAGGCATACTCAGGACGCGAGGCGGACTGATCTCGGAGTGTTGTATCAATGGAGCTCGTCCGAAATAGAGTGAAATCAGCTTGTCCCAGAAGTAACAGCTCCAGAAGAGACGGTTCCGTATTTCGATATCCTCGACAGAAAAATGTCCCGCGTCCGCGTATCGTTTTCCATCAATACAAATGCCCATGTCGTCGATCAGTCGAAATGCCATTCCGCTATACAGCCAAGCTTGCGTGCGGTTGCCGCAACCACACTCCTGAGCACTTAGCATTAACAAAGCTTGCACGGTAGGAACCTTGCTATTGCCCTTTTGAACATCTTCGAATAGGAAAGTAACGGCTCGCTTTGAAAAAGCTTTTCCGTTGTCAAATGGAGCTAGAAGATCTTCCATGCCTGGCTCACCGCGACACCATCGAACGGAATGGGAGAGAACCGCATTTAGGAGTGCTTGGGAAAAGTATGGTCCTCCGTTCTTCATATCCCCTAGCAAACTTTAGCTAAACACAACATAATAGCAAAGACATCTGCTCACGCGTGAATGCGGGCCGATAGATAAAGTTGAAAAGTGGCTGGATCCAGCAGAAATGAGAGTCTAGCAACGACCTAAACGGTTCCTACATTGTAGATTTAGCTTTCCCTTGGCCCTCATTGAAGGAAACGACATACCGGTATATCAGCAAGCTTTTCGTATGCCCTTTCCCGCCAGGCACTGTTGACCAAACTCTCTTTCCTAGCAGCCAACTCCTGCACTTCTTGGTTGGCTTCGTTAGCTACTGCTTTTGCACTGGACGGCAGTTGGAACAGGCTCGTAGATCCATGGAAAGAGAGCCTGCCATCGTCTTCTACCCTCAATGCATCGACAGCTCGAGCTGAGGTAGCGCCAACATCCGATGGTGATGAAGCAACCCCATCAATTGAAGTTGGATTGAGTGCAGTATCAGATGAGGTGCTCCCTGCCGCTGAAAGTGCGGCCTCGAGTTGCTGGATCTTCTGCTCTAGACGTTGTGTATACAGAAGAGTTGGAGAGCTACTTCAAATTAGTACATTATGCAGTACGTGATGAGGCATCGTATGTTTGATGAACATTGCCCATATTGTCCGAAGTATATTTCCTAGCAAACATACAGCTTATAGATGCAATCATCGCCGCGTAGCTTGCACCGATCGCAGATTGGATGAGTAGCGTCACATTTCACCTAGAGGCTGCATTAATTTCTTGTCAAGATTGGTGTTGTCGTGGATTTTGAACATTCAACACCTTACCTTGCGCTTCCGGCACGCCTCGCAGGAGAACGCGCTCTTTTTAGGATGGCGGTTTTGGCTCCTAGAGCCAGACATAGCTACATGTCCGACTCTACACTTACCAGCACTAGTCTGTCTACTGATGTCTCGGATTACACGTGTCTCGGTCGCAATCCGAACGAAGGACAATGCTTTGTCGTAGTAGTAATGACCTGAGAGGAAAGGCGTATCGTCGGAGGAGATCGACTTCCGAGATTTTTTAGCGCCACCCTCATTTGGTCAGTTGGTAGCGTCGCAAGGGACGGAGCCTCATTACAATATCTTAGGTCCAATCTCATGACGGGTAATGGAGAGATTCTTGAATCTGTGTAGGAAGATTGACTGCGTGTCGTAGTCTAACAAGGACTTCGCAGAATCATGGCAACTATCCGTCTTTACAAAAGTGTCACCAAGTACGCCCCGCTCGTCTCATGCATCGCATCATGAAGCAATGCTTATGAAGTACAGGGTCCCATTATATTAAGCCACGTTCACGCATATCACTTTTCCAAAGAGTAGTACCGCAATATATAAGCTTATGCGTTTATCGAATTTAAGTATGTAAACCCCCCGCCCCAGGGTCACCTGCTCCACGATATAGCATTCCAGTTCTCCTGTTCCTCTTCTGCTTCCGTTTCCATCACCACAAGCCTGATCTGCAAAAAAAAAAAAACGAGTGCTAACAAAAAATCAAATCTTCAGAGAAACGTCCCTGGTTATAACCAAATCGGCTTGTTCTTGATGGAAATATAGCGTCGAGCTTATAGCTTTTAGGATCTTTCTCGAGTTAGTTGAGGAACATTCAAAATCTTTCTGGGCTGGAAAAGATCATGTTATGCTTACACAATGGTCCTACGTATCAATTATTTTGATATCATCCAAGGTTAGCATCGTGGCTAGAGTCGTGGTGTTGAGTGTGCTGTAACATCATTCGCATCCGCGTATAACGACCCAGGTCCGAAAAGACCAGAGCTAGCTTCGCGCCGGTGGACAATCAAGGGTTTGTGAACCTAATATTATGGCGTCAATCTTAATTGCCTTGGAGTCGTGGGCGTGCGAATGATGGGATCTGACGTGGTTTGTCGCCCACTTCAATCTCGTCCTGATATTCTCGAAGGGCCTCAAGTGCGTGCCTTCCTTCCTCGCTGTTTGGGAAACAGTTCATCGCACTAGGTAGATCATTGGGCACGATACAATGTTTGGAGTACAGTTTGCCATATTTATCCCGTGTTAAGAAAATTTCGCGCTTCAAAGGCACCGGAGGATCGTGAATGTCCATCGATGTGTTGAGGGTTCGTCGTGATCTGCGAAATTCACGCATCATACGATCTTCGTAGCTATCTTCTTTCATGAGTCGATTGGAGCATTTGATTTCACAGATATGTGGCAAAACGAAACGTAACAATTCTGGACCTTCTTCGTCGGCTGGGAGATGTCTTAATCGGGTGGGCACTGCTGTCCAGTCAACACCCTTTGCGTCGAATATTGCCCTGTTGAACAATGTGCCAGCTTGACGCTTGCCAAGCTGGTCGAACGTGTGATACAGCGGAGCTTCCTCCGTTATCCGCAGCAGAGGAGCATATCGTTCTGGAGTTTTTGACTTTGATGCAATTCTACCCAATATTGAAGCAGCAGCACGAATGTCGATGATTTCGTCGTCAGGGTAGGCTACCGATTGCGAGATTAGACTATTGTCTGAGAGATAGTCCGGATGGCCTTTATTCTCGGGTCTATGCAGCCGTTGGGTTAATGGCTCAGGCACCTTAAGTATGGGGCTGTCCTCGTCTCGGGCTTGGGGCTGGGGCGCTTGAGCTATAGGCAACGGCTCTTCTGCGTCATGTTTCATTGATTTCGCAGTGGCATCAGGTCGACTGAATGCAGTATAGGGTCCTAGCATGTTGTGTGTGGAATCGTGGCGCTCGAGATTTGCTACAGGCTCCTTGCTATAGCTATCCATGGCCCGCCGAGCTGATTCCGCATATCTATCATTCGGACGGTATGCATAAGGATCAGAGGGCATGTCGGATCGAACCGTGAACTCCTCAAAGTACAAGACGTCATTTTGGTCTCTGCGCCACACGAGAGCATTTTCGACTGGTGTTCCAATATCGGTGAAAATCGTGCGCTTTGGAGACCGGGTTCGGTATTCAAACGAGGCTCCATTGAGCTTCAGTTCTTGCTCACTGCTCAAGAAGCCTTTCGCTGTTGGTGGCTGCTCACATCGAATTTCCTCGAAAATACGATATATAAATTTGAGCTCTTTTTCCACATCCTTTGCCTCACCCACTATCGTGGCCGTCCAAAATTTCCGGATCAGTAGTTCAAGGCCGACATTGTAGACATCTGGTTGCTCATCTTCGGGGTATAGTTTTGCAAGTCTATACCTCCAGTCTTTTGGATGCCGCTTGAGCAATGCGCTTATATACTTTTTCGTTTTCCCGCGGTTAAGAGCATCGAGGAAGGCGTCGATTAGTTGCTGGTTGCCTTCGCGCCAACGTCGATCTAGTCGTGGAAGGTCGAACTTCTGGCGCTCTTCCTGTACCTCTCGGTATCTATCATCTTCTCCGTCCAGGAAGTTTTGGAATTGCTGCCTTCGAAACTCTTGCTCCATACATCCTCCTTCTTCACTTTCGGTCTTGTTGTCTTCGCCCTCATCGCCGTGATTGACGTCGAGTAAGACAAACGGACCTACGACACTAAGGATCTGTTGGTCGCACTGGCTAGTATTCACTTGATGCTCAGACGCGATTGGAGCAGACATCCAAAGAAGGATTCCACGTAAATCTTCTGGACCAAGCCGGGTCCAATTGCGTACCAGCTCTGCGGTAGCAACAACTGCTTTTCGCACTGGCAAAGATGCCTGCCAGAGAGTGCTGTTGCATAGCACTACTAGTGCAACAACATGCAGTATAATAGCGACGTCGGTTTTGGAAATCGACGGCATCCTGAATACCTTGTTGTTGTTCATATGGGTGGGGTTTCTGTTGCGGTTGTTGGCTATGTTAGTGTTTGTTTGTCTGCGGTTAAGACTACTAGGGCGTCGTACCTCGCACCAGGCGAAGTCAACTAATGATTCGGTGAAGTGAATTTGTAGAATAGGAGCTGGGGCACAACAACCCTTACCAAAGGTCGTGTTTCAAATGGGTTGAGGGTTGTGAAAGCTGTATGATGCTCGAGGGAGAGGAAAGAGGTAACGGATGGGTTGGTACGAGCGTTTGCACAGGCAGCCAAGATTAGCATTGTGAAAAGTGAATGTACTTTGATTGGATAATGTGAGTAGTGATGGTTAAAAGTGATGGCATGCAGTGCACGTACCAGGTACGTAGCAGTGAATAACATCCACCTCAATTCTCTTCAAGATGGGCCTTTGTTTAGCCCACTGCCAATGAGAAATAGATAAGGAGCACCAAGGAAGTTCTTATATCATCATATCGATCTGACCACGAAAGTCCTGATCTGATAGTGTCTTAAGTAGTGGATCTCTGCTACTTCATGGCCCTTCAACCACCCTTGTCTAATTATACAACAACTCTTATAGCTGGGCTGGCAGTGGTCTTTGTAGTTGACCTGAAGGTTGACACTTCTACCATCACGGTGATTCAGTAAAGCGCTATATCTGAGATAGATGAGCCATTGAACATATCATTACATACAGCCCCGATCACCTATCGCCTTCGGAACTCTCTATTGTTCAACCGTTATGTATTGCGAGGTACATCGTTGAACGTTCAGTTTTCGTGCCTACGCATCGGCAAGCAGAGTCAATCTTGAAACGACTGTTACGTTCTTATAATAGTTTGCTGTTTTTCATGGTCGCCGTTCCAGAGTTTTTCTACCCGTACTTTCGCGCTGTAAGAGCAATAGTAGTGTGTAACAAGCCGCTTATTTGTCTTTGAAACTGCCTTCAAGGTCGACTTGCTCCCAATGATCACAGCTAAAATCATGTACTGTCTATGACCATATGATAGCACAGATCTGATTGGTGAAAGAACTTCAAGTTTGCCGGCTTTGATCTCGTTGGACTGTTTCCACGTTCATATACAGCTTGACGGGACTGTAATTACGGAAGATTTGGCTTCTTTGAAAGGATGAGCACCATCATACGTGCAAAAAGGTAAATTGAATAGACATTAAAGAGAGGTTTCGATTCGTCTTCTGTAGGTTTCCGCTGAATAACATCTAAATTTTACGCGAAATCGTCCGCTCCAGATCTCGAACCAATGTGTCGGTGCTTCCTTCGCTGGACACTTTTCGCTTTCCCGTAGTTGAAAACATGTCGGCTTTGTCGTCGTCCTTGTCCTCGACGCTCACACGCACCTCTGTTACCACCTTGATATCATCAAATTTAGGGACGCCGTGCTGTCCGTGCGGCCAATCGAGTTCAATGTCATCTGGTCCATTACCTTGGCTTGAAGCTTGTCGGCCATATGCATTGCGACTGTAGGGCGTTCGTCCAGTTGTACCTCCGTTGTTGTGCCTCGAGGAAAAGAATCGCGGGAAACATCGTGAAACCAATGGTCGAAGGCATGGAAGACAGGAGCATATAATTCCAACATTCGTTTCAACTGCAGACCATGTTGCTGCTGGTGGGTTATCTTTAGTTGGATCGGTAGAGTTGGAGATGGCGATGAGAGACTGGAGGCGCAGAATCGATACCACGCATACACTGGTAGAGTCTTGTTAGTAGAAAGATTCATTGTTGAATGTTGAAGGCGGCATGAAATGTACAAACGGATGTGAACACAACATTCGAGGGGAACGTGGATATGAGACTTACAATCCACCAACGGCGAAAACACCTATCAAGGCTTGCTTTTGTCGCCGTGCGATATTCAATTTCCGTATGAGTGGCATCGGTAGGATGATGATGGCGAAATCGGTTACGATGTTGATCCCGGCATTGGTAAACCACATGGCAAACTGATTGATGCATTTCGAGGGTTTTTCATGTGTCCAGAATGCTCTTACCGGCACACATGCAAAAATCGAACCGAAGACCGTCCAAACTGTGTAGCATATGACGACCGAGAAGATGCACCAGCACAAAATCTGAAATCCCCTCGTAGGGAAAACGCGGCGATATTGAAGCAGGATAGAGATCTTGGTGAGCCCAAGGGAGAGATAGTACACAATGAGTGAAGCCCAAAAAGCCTGCATGGTGATCAGTACTGATGGAGTCATATTCATCGAACCACATACCTTCAATGAGTTTCGAAGGTCACTCTCGGACAGGTATTTACCAGAGAGACCCATGCCATATTGAACCTCTACTTCGTTGTTAGCTGGGTTGACAATTCGATCAGTCATTGAACTTACGAACTCCGATGCATGCTGTCAAGCCGACGGAACAGATCTAAAAGCAGTCAGCAGTCTGGTGAGGATTGATAGCTCGTGGGAGTCGAACCAGCGCAACAGATATGATATAATCCTCAATTCCAGCACACTTCACGATACAAAACCTTGTGTACAGACGGAGGAGAACACAACATCCAGCCAAAGCCGTGAAGGCAGCCGAAACCCTGACTGCTTCTTGCCCACGTACTCCTTCAGGCATGTTGAGAGCGGTCAAAGACGAGCGCAAACAACAAACGTCGTTTTGGCATATACTTTTAAGTACAATCAAAGTAGGTGTCTGAGTGATGCTCCTGTGTCAGATCTTATCCACACAGATCATGCAACCTACAGGTTCGGGGTACGTCACTCTAGAGAGAGCAGATACCGGGGTGGAAAGGGGAAGATGCACTACCCTCCCTCTTAAACTTTCAAAAAATTCCCGTGAAAGCAATTCACGCCATTATTGAATAACACGGGCTACTATAGCGCCATATTGACCAACTCTAGCTTGTGCTAGCGGTACCCTACCGAACTGACTACTTCCCCACTGTGTGCAGGGAACGCGCAAATCTTCTCTCCACGAGGCACCGCTCGGTGCGTGCTCGCTAGTTCTTAACTTGAAATGGATTGGATGAAGCTAGAAATCGAGATGATGGGAGACTGTTGGAAGCATTTATTAGCATGGTAGCTCGTATAATACACTTGGAGAGAGCCGTGTAGATCCCGACGATTGATACAGCAATTGACATGCGAAGCGATATTCTACTACTCGTCTCTTGATTATCATTACCACTCCAGGTTGAGCATCGAACCAAAAGGGTTACTCACGAAGGGCCGAGGATGTAATTGTTGACAACGACAGCGGGAGCTTGTGGCGGCGACAACCTGACAGCTGTAACGACTAGCGCATGATGGATACGAAGGTACCAACAGAAGTTTGATCAAAGTCTGGGAGCATATCTAATCAAACCTTCTGCAAAGTGTACGGCAGGATTCACAAGCTTGCATGCATAGATCGTATTATCGTATTATTGTATGGAGTGGTGTCTTCAACTTCATTCATATCCCTCCCTCATCCCGCAACTACTCTTGCAGTCAGGAGATTATTCCAGGGTATCCATGGGAGCTGAAGATGATGAGAGGTCTGTAGCTGGTCTTCGTTCCCTAGTCGCCTGCTCCTTGTATCCGTGACTGTCCGTTCAAGCCGGAGACGTCGGTTGGTGAGAATGCACGGAAGGGCTCTTTCGCGGCGACTACACACTCAGTGGTCCATGTCGGTGAAGTGCGGCGAAAATCACTCGACAATGTCCCTCCATCTACGAACTTGATCGCAAGCATCATTTGCGTCTTGATCTGATCAAAAAAGGTACTATTAGGGAATGTTAAAGGGGATGAATATCTCGCCTTGAGTATTATCAACATCACCTGAGTCCAAATTCCCGCCCCTATTCGAAGGACGATAATCCATGTAAACATTCCTGTGGCTGCACGCATACCCAACCGTCATTCAATGTCCACCAGTCGGACGGCCTGCGACCTCTCGCATTGGCAGCAGCAAGGCTGAGCTATGCCACGCTAAGATAAGAACATAACAATACCTCGGAGGTTCGTCGAAGTCTAAAATGTCCATAGGTGATCATCCTACCACCCTGCTGGTACCCCTGATCGACAGCGCAAATCGCGTCTGATCTGTTCGATTTGGGCTACCGTAATGTTACGCAATTGCCGTTTATGCCATCAATAAACCTGAGGCCATGGTAACATGTACTTGCCAAACAATGGGGGAAGGGGGAGGTGAGTGCTACCTGGTACTCTACTCCACAATTTGCTTAACAGGCCCACAGGCACATGACTTATATTTGAAGAAATGGCCCGGTTTCGCCGGAATTTCGAGTTCAGATCTACAGAATTCCGACAATCACCTAGGTAAGTTTAAGAAAGCATCGCATGGAACAAAGGCTATATAGGATAGCATGAAGTAGGCCGACCACGCTCTTGATGTTGCTTCGAATTGAAACAAGTTTGTTGGCGTACATACAATGCAGAAACTCTTATGAAGTTAATTTTCTAGGTAAGCCAACCATTCGTCACTCTCGAAACATTTGAATTACCAGGAAGTACGCGTGGGGAGTAAGAGCATCGATGAATCATGGGGGGCAATATTGTATTGATTTCGAGAGGGGACGATCCGACACAATCAGGCATTAGTCTACTCGCCTTGTTGTGACCCAAGCACAACATCACTCAGTTAGCGCTTATAGAGGACGCCGAACTTGTGGGGCAACCCAACCATTAATTGCGACTATGTATACCAAAGCTATGTAGACAAGTATGTATGTGTCTATGTATTCCGTACATAGATACATAATGCTACGGGTGCAGAGTGATTGACATTGTTATTGTTTCTCTGCTCTGATTCCTACGAGTACTATGAGCATGTACATACTAGCGATGCATAATATACAATTCCGCCGTCCGTTCCTTGTCATGGATATCATGGACAAAATATCGAAACCATACATTTTGTCCGACGACGTCCGTCCTTTGCTCGGTGTCTAACGGGTACCCCGACGAATGAGATACTTGCCTAATACCCTCGGTAGGAGGGGGTAGCACGTGGGTAGTAGGATGGTAGATGCATTGGATGATAGGCAAGGTGCCTGCCAAGCCGGACAGGGTCGTCGCGGACAACGACTACGGTGTCACGGGTGTGTCTGTTCCAATCGTCATCTCCCCTTAAGGTCCGTCCAACGAATCAGACACCAAATATGCCTTCCCATAGCCCTTTATAGAACCGCTCAATCTGTGTATGCCAGTCGATTACAACTAATCACAGCCTCGTCAGACAATATTCGTTGATATTTGTTTGTTTGCAGGTGTCGCCACCACGGAGTAGTCTCAGACTCTCAGCCAACGGGCCGTCTAAGGCTATCTGTCTAAGGGATCGCCAATTATTCGTTGATTGTAGATGTACCGACGATAACTATGTGATCAATACATAAGGTAACCAAGGGAAGTTCTTCTTTTGGAACGGCTCTCGCGCACCCTTCACTCTTTTTTTTTTTCAGGTTCTACCTATCCGTCGCCACACATCGCAGTCATCGCGATTTCGTGATCATAGTCACGCCCACATTCGTTTCGACCATCCCTAATCATAGCAAAAATGCACTTCTCATTATTATGCGTAATTCCTCTCGTCCACGCTGCCCGGATAATCCAATCCAACGATGATGGTTGGGCGGAAGCAAATGTTCGAACTTTCTTCAACACTCTGACTTTCGCTGGGCATGATGTAGTTCTGTCAGCTCCTGCAAAGCAAAATTCAGGACGCGGTTCGTAGATCTTGTTTCTCTGTTACATTCCGCTTCGATATGGAAACTGATGCCTGTCACATAGGCTCTCTCGATGCTCCACCCAAGCAAGTAGATGGTAATGGGTGCATTCACCAGGTGAGCTATGCTAACCCACACAACCACGTCAGAACAACGTCTAATGCGACACAGAGCTGCCCGCCAAACAGTCCTCCCATCGGCACCAATCAGAGTGAAACCCGGCTTAATTATGTCAACAGTTTCCCAGTAACCAGCATCAAAACGGGCATCGATGAGATCGGACCCAAACTGTGGAACGCTCGGGCCGAACTTGCTGTGACCGGGCCCAATGTAGGGGACAACGCTGGAATCAAAGTCCCATTCTCAGGTACTGTTGGTGCCGCCGTCTATGCTGCTCAGAACGGCATCCCAGCCATAGCCTTCTCAGGTGTTACCGGTTATCCTACAGCTTGGAACAAGCCCACGCCTCTTCACTCCAAAATCTACGCCGAGTTGGCCCTCAAAGTTACCAGCACTATCCTCGAGTCCGGTCCGCCCTACCTGCCCCCAGAAACCTGGCTCAACGTCAATTTTGGAAAAGTATCAGAGGCAAAATGTAACAGTGCAGACAAGTTTACGTATGTTCTTACGAGAATTCATTGGGGTTTCCTCAGCGACTATGACGTGGAATGGTGCGGAACCAGACGCCTTCCACTTGAGTCTGATATACGCGATAACAATGATTGCTACGTTACCATCAGCATCGGAGATGCAACTGACAAGACAACGATTGATGCTGCTCGACAAGCGCAGGTCCTGCCTAAGCTTCAGAATATTCTCTCTTGTATTCAGCATAGACCTGGTTCATGACGACTGAAATCAACACGTTACAGGCATCCAGGAGGACATCTGCAGCAACCGCTTGGGTTTTCAACTATTAATGCTATCTCAGATCTGTATCGGCGGAACTCGGTTTTGAAGCTGGGGAGTACAATGGCTTTGCTGAGGCAAAGAGCAATTCCATGACTGCGAAAAGCGCATAATGATCTACGATGACAAGCCTTATGGCGATCCTCTCTCATCAAGTCTTGATGAAGTCATGAGTGCCTCAGGTGCCGCTACATGCAATCTCCAAGCTGTCTTCAAGATAATCTAGAAACCTTATCAGACTGTTTTATTGCCGTGGTTCAACGCTGAATGTGCCTCAAACTCTCCCAAGATCCAGGATCAAGGACTTTGGTAGCTGTCACCGATCTGTCAATAAGCGGTAAGCTCATGCTTGACAATGATACTAGAACAATGTTTGGGATGATTCGTTATCCTACTGGTGCTTGGAATCTTCCGCATGGTTCGGCAGAATGCGTTGAGGCGTTGCCGGTTCCGCCTTCGCGACACACACCGTCTCAGGTCCCATGCCAGATGCGTGCGCAGTGACGATCGTGAGCATTGCCTACCAGCCCTCAATTAATCTTGTAAAGAGCCTCTGAAATCATCACAGACTCACACGATATAGAGGGCATTATAAATGAGCCATGGAAGTCCCATGCAATTCTGATCAACTTCTATCTACCCTTCCAGTCCTTTCAAGTCTTTCAATTCGTACAGTCATTTACTCGCGCTTGGTCGCAGCAACTTGACTACTTCCATTCATTCATTCATTTTAGATTTTTTATACCACTTGATTTACGTATACCCAACCATTCATTCAAAATGAAGTTCACCACTGCATTCACCATCTTGGCCGCGGTCGCCCTCACCAACGCCCGTGTGCTCCGACGTGCCCCTCAGGCCAACTCTCAGACCTTCACTGGTGCCTTGGGAGGAGTCGAAGCCACTCCCATTCTCGATTCCGGCAACGAGGACCGTCCCTTCGAAGTCAATGGCGCCACGTTCGTCAACCTCGGGGCTGCCCTCCAGCGATCTTGCGACCAACAGTTCAACGGCTGCGCAAACTTGGCCAACTCTGGCCAGGGCGACTTTGACACCTCCGAGTGCCAGGCTCAGAAGGGTAAGAATCTCCTTGCTTGAATGGTGGTCGGATCAATGCTGACAGTATGGGAACAGATCAATGCTCGGCGGCAGGTGCGGCCAGGCTCCGCCGCTCATAGATAAGCGACGGACCAGATGGGGGGTTCCGATGATTTCATGCTTGGATTGATGGCAGAGTACAAATGCGCTATGCATAACTGACGCGGCAGGGTCTGCAAACGACTTATGACACGCATTGCTGTACCTTTCTAGATTTACGTATGTTATGCCAGAGATCAAACGATCCAGAATGTATGAAATTTGATGACCCTCCAAATAACTTCCACTGTTGTTACTTGAATCCCAAGATGAAGTAGGTGCTACAAATATTTGTCTTAACGTGTTACAAAATAGCTATTTAATATCTCACTGTAAAAAACGTTGCAGTATTGAAAACATTTATAATATTATAGTATGTGATCTAAACTTTTGAACTTTGTCATAATCTATGGGTATCATATCAACACTTCCCTACTTCCCCTTCTTCTATTACTTCTTCTTCCTCTTCTCCTGCTTCTTCTTCGTCTTTTGTTTTCTTAGATGCATGCATTACGCACGAGGCCATGAACAACGACCCATCAACCGCACCCCTCACAGTGCCAACCGTGACGACAAACCACAATAATACGACCGCCATCCCAAATATTGTTCCCAGTATCCTGAAGAATAGACTCGGCATCTGCGTCCCCAATTCAATAGTGCTGATCGCAAAAGCTCCAAGCGGAAATGTAAAACCCCACCATCCCATATTAAACGGGAAAGGACGAGACTTGTAGATCGAAGCCAGAGCAAAACAGAGCCAAATGAGGCCGAACCCCCACATAGTCAGTGCGATGAACGCACCGAGGATGAAGAAGATCTCGCCAGCCACGGGGAGGCCTTGAAAGAATTGCGTTCTGGGGAAGACGTCGCGGGATACAGTGCCCAGGTATAAGATGGTGTAACCACCCATTCCCAGTGGGCTGAGGGGTAGGAAGGACGATACTACAACTTCCCTAGGCGGCAGCTTGTGTAGGGCAAGTCGAGTATAGTACATGACGAGGACTGTCATGGACAATGGCATTGCCATGCCCCACATTACATACGACGCGAGCAACGTCCCAAGCGCAACTTGAGGGTCTTGTATGAACTTTGCGATCTCGGCTCCAGTAGCGGCGGCGACCATGGTGGCAGATATCGGGAGAAGCTGGGCGGCTGTTATGCGATGAAGGGCCTGCTGGTGGGTTGCGGAGATGAGGAGGATCGTGAGAGATATTGTCACAGCCAGTGCAACAACGCAATTGATGATCCAGCACACCCAGGCAAACGTTACCGCCCAGTATCCCATGTAGGGGGCACAAAGAAATATCCAAGATTCCACCAAGGTCGAAAATCCGATGGGGATGGTGCCTAGGAAAAGGGAATTGGTGCTGTCCGCAATCATGGCTCCCCATACCTCCGGATAGAGAACATAGCGAAGGATTGATATAAACAGCGCAGCAAAGAACAGGATAGTGTTTAGTGCAAAGAAGGCGACCGAGAGCCAATAGAGACAATCTGATTTGAAAGGGAGAATAATGAAGATTAAGGAAGTGATTCCAGTACCCATTGTAACCGAGAACCAAGAAGGTGAGAAATTGCGTACGACGTTTCGCCAGTTCCTCCATGTAGGGCGTAATTGTTTCTGTTCGAAGCCGAATTGTGATAGGGGTTCATCTTGATTGTCTTGAGCATGAGTGCCAGACAGGAGTTGGCTAGGCGCAGTCAAAGCTGGATTGTTTGTGCCAACTCTGTCCAATGCATGGCCGTCCATTGTGACTCTGAGGTTGATGAAATTCTTTTTCTCGACCCAAGACACAAGAAACAGTAGGAACCGGACCTTTTAAGAAGCTACGCAATGATGTTTCCAACATTATGACTAGGTAACCATTCCGTAGTTGGTCCCGCACGCCGTTGCTGTGCTATGTCCGATCGGGACCCCATGGTGGATCGAGCAACTGGATATGGTTCTATCTGGCCAAGCCCGACCCATCTACAGCCATTGAGACGGACATATCTAACTCATCAGATAAGACGAACCAAAGGAAAAGATTGCGGAGAAAAAGATGAGAATCAACCGGGCTGATAAGATGTTGCTGGTACGGATACGAATTGAATTATCAAAATGTTCCTACACCAACCATTCGAGAAAGGAGTTTCAGGAATTTCGAAGTGATGAAGGCCAATCCGAGCTTGATCCGACCCGACGCAACCCCGCCGTCCATACGAGGAACGGCCGAGACCCTCATTGCATTTGGGCAAGAATCGGGCTGAAGTTGCAGATTAAATATACTCTCCAACCCACTGGATACAATTCATCTGGCCCAGAGTGTTGCTATCAGAGCGCCAAAGAAAATAATTCTCCACATTTCGGGCCCAACACGAACCCATACCTCTTACTCTATCCACCTCAATGAGGCTGTGGAGTGAAGATAGTGTAGCTGATTGTTGGTGAGTCAACGTACCGTCGGTCATACGATAAGATTCGACGCACGATAACTACCTATGTAGGAACCTATCTGTCCATCTTAGAAAGTCACAATCACGAAGCGAAATCGATATGTTGTGCAATGTCACGTGCTATGTGCACTGCAAATCGCCCAATGCGGCTAGCGGCAGCGCCGAGACCATCAATATTCGAAGTTCACGACCAGCTGTCACCAGTTTTCTGGCCTCTCGATTTTTCAGCCCGACCATGATGCTTCCGCCTGACGTACACTTCTAACGTGTTTGAAAAGCATGTGCGCCATGGGATTTTGATGACGATATTGGTGGCAGTCTTCCGCATTACTCCGCTGGATCCAGTCTTGACTCCACCGCAGCCTTATCGCTGGACCCCTCAAAGGCGCTGTCCAACCATTAAAGAATGCCTGGCTTGCTTGACTTACCCATAGAGCTCCGCGAAATTATATATGACATCCTGCTTCGAGATGAGCTCGAGCCACGGCCTCGTGCGGTAATGCTCGTCACGGCGAAGTACGTCAGAGAACATCTACCGCTTCGCTGTTATCGAGGACTACTTCGAGCGTGCCATCAGACCTATCGCGAGGTCAAGCAAGCTATCCAGCATATGCATGCATCCAAGCAACTAAACTACGAGCTCTCCATTGCATTTTCACATGGCCGCCCCTTCTTCTCTCTCACATGGCTTCGATTCCCCGCACTCTCTTCGGTGATCAATAATCTTGTCATCAACGTTGATCTTCGCTTGCGTGAGCCTTTTAGCGAAGCTGGCACGACTCCATCCATGCCAGCTGATTCGGACCTGCTTTCCCTACTCGAGGATAACGATCTCGGTTTTGCATCGCACGTTTTCGATTATCTTGCCGTTCTCTTGAAAACACTTGCCGACTTGATGTTTTACAGAGACCCCGACTCTGCCGTATTATATGTCGAAGCAGTGACTCTCAATCTGACTAGGCCAACACAAATGGTTTCTTCAATACATGGCACCGATGTCCGTTCTCGACGTGTGCTCGTCGATCGCGAGGAAGCCCACGGCTTGGACGAGACGATGCGTACCACTTTAAGAACGAACGTCCAAGGATTCGGCGCGTTCGATGCTTCTAAATGCAACACCTTGACACCCTTGATCCAGATTGGAACACTCCGTTTTGCATCAGACTGCACGGTGTGGGGGAAAGGACATAATTTGGTAATAGCGGACAAGAATTTCGCTTGGCTTAAATACGCAGAGCCTTAACAGCAACGCCCTATTCATGTTTTATCAGTACTTGTCGTTGGGAGGGAGTACGATGGATCACATCTACTCGGACCCAAAAGACACAAGGAAGTGGAAAGAAAGACGGCAGAAAACACGACTGAATCATCAACGGATCTGGAAGCAATAAGGCTGGTTATATTAATACCACCATTGGAGACAAAATTTGTCCAATTGCGAGGTCTAGGGTTGTGGTCCGGCCATGTACATACATCATTTCATGATGTGAAGAGAAGGACTGGCTGTGGGCATGGCCGCTTTCCTACATAGGCACCATCAAGGTGTACGAGTTTTGGGCTAGAAAATCGAATACAGAAAGACATCTTTAACTCTGTAGCTACTCATATGTGACTATGTCTAAGTCAAATGCGTATGAAATCTTACCAAGAGCACATATCAAATACTGAGGATGCACCCAACCATAGTGGTGTGACTCATGTATCATTCCTGGACATTGAATTTTCCCTGTTCATTGAGGGACACCACCGCCGTTTGCATTGGTAATAGCGCAGGAACTGGTGAATTCATTGCCGTGTTTTGTATTTTACATCCATACGCGTTGTTTCTAAGTCCATCACTATTCCAGGATACGTACCTAGCTGCAGTACATTTATGGTCAGTGCAGCTGTGTGAAAGTTGCATAAATGGAACTCACTTAACAATATTCTGGCCATGACGTAGATTATTCTTCGTTATAGCAATTGGCTCAGTGTGCAGCTGTATAGGCCGTCTGTGCTTATTGTGACTCTTATTATACGCAAAAGTTTGAGTATCGTTGGTACTTATCGCAAGCGTCTTCCGCGGTGACTCTTCGCCCGACATCGCTGCCCCGCGCTACAAAAAGTGCCCGCCGACCATCAATCTTGACCTTGTTCACATCCAACAACCAACAGCCACATCCTCCACAATGGCGCCCAGCAAATCCCCCTTCGATCTCTCCACATGCGCAAGGCCAAATATACTGGCATTGGAGCCGTATCGATGCGCGCGCGAGTACGTGAAGCTCAATTGCATGCGCCAGACATATCGAGAGCTTGACCACTGATGGCATGTGCAGTGACTACAAGGACGACGGGAAGAACATCCTACTCGATGCGAACGAGAATGCATACGGTCCTGGGTTGGCTCTTGAGTCGACAGGAGCATTATCTGGCTCCACCGCGAACGGCGCATCCGGATCTCTGTCAGCCATTGACGTCGATCTGCTTGGACTGAATAGATATCCAGATCCGTACGTGCAGTATTGTTCAATTGCAGCTTAGAGCTACCATTCTAACCAGTCCTACTCTTTATAGTCACCAGAATGAACTTAAGCAAGCCCTTTGCGACCTCCGAAACACCCACACCCACACCTCGAAGACAATCACCCCCGAACACCTTTTCGTTGGCGTGGGCTCAGACGAAGCAATTGACGCACTCCTCCGCGCATTCTGTGTCCCTGGCAAAGACAAAATCCTGACATGTCCACCGACCTACGGAATGTACAGTGTTTCGGCACAGGTGAACGACGTCTCTCTCGTCAAGGTGCCGTTGCTTTCAGAAGGATTCCAACTCGACGTCCCCAGCATCACCTCCGCACTTTCATCCGACCCTAACATCAAATTGGCCTACCTTTGTTCGCCCGGAAACCCGACCGCAGCGCTTTTGAAGAAGGAGGATGTACAAAAGATATTAGAGCACCCAACTTGGAATGGGATAGTCGTCTTGGACGAAGCATACATCGATTTCGCACCTGAGGGTACAAGTTTGGCAGAATGGGTCGCGGAATGGCCCAACCTGGTAGTGATGCAGACCTTGTCAAAGGCATTCGGTCTGGCAGGAATAAGATTGGGAGCGGCATTCACAGACCCGGCGATTGCGAGGATACTGAACTCCCTCAAGGCTCCATACAACATCCCGAACCCAACAAGTCAATTGGCTCGCGCAGCACTTAGTTCAAAACACCTGGAAATCATGCGAAGAAACAAGGATTTGATAGTGAAGCAGCGTGAAAGGCTGTTGAAGGAGCTACCCAAGGTTCCTGGTGTCGGCAAATTCCTAGGAGGATCTGAATCAAACTTCTTGCTCGTCGAGATGCTTGATGCGCCCAAGGAACAAGGCGGAAAGCCGTCAAATGAGACGGCACTTGCCGTGTACGAAGCTTTAGCGGAAGAAAAGGGAGTCGTTGTCAGATTCAGAGGAAAAGAGCACGGGTGTTTGGGATGCCTGAGAGTTACTGTTGGAACGGAGAAGGAGGTCGACAGGTTCCTCGTGGAGCTAAGCACGGTTCTCAAGAATATTCATCAAAGTACTTCAAAAGTTGGTGCGAAGGAAGAGGAAAGAAAAGAAACCCAAGCGAACGCTGTCATTGCTTGAGGACTTTTGGCCTCCAATCTTGAAGGAAACAACCTTCAAGGAGTGAGTGTCGTAGACTATAGAACATACAAGCAAGAAGGCCAAGGCAATATCTGAACCTCGACAGATATGCGTTTAATCATATAGAGGATGATTTTGGTTATAGTCATAGGTACGAGAATCGCTCATATAATGTAAATATTTCCCACGATTTGGGAAAATTCAGAGTTTGTCACAAGTAATAGGCGTCCAAACCCATGCTAAAAAACCTACCGTCCTTTTTCAAAACATGGTGGCTGTGCGTTGCACCGCCCTATTCACTGTGGACTAGTAGTTGCAATCTGTTGTTGCGTGGGTGTAGGGTGAGTCACATGAGTCAAGCTTCCCAGGTTGACGTTCTATGCATGAGGTGAGAGTTGGTTGTATTTAAACATGTAAACTTCCACCTCACTTTTCTTCATCATACAAATCACACAAACATCGAGCAAAGATGGCAGACCAATCAGAGCATAAGGCACCAACATTAGCAGACCGAATGAAGAGTTACGAAGCAGAATTCGACTTCACACTTCCGTCAAATGCCCCAATAATAATTCGTCTCGATGGGCATGGATTCTCTCGTTTCACGGCACATTTCTGTCGGCCGTTCGACCAGCGCATACACGATGCCATGGTATCAACATGCACCGACCTGCTAAAATACTTCCAACAAGCAACCCTTGCATATACCCAATCCGACGAAATAACATTGGTCTTCCCAGCCGGTGTCCAGTCCTTCAATGAAAGAGTGCAGAAACTAGGCAGTCTCGCAGCGAGTTACTGCTCCGTCCGGTTCGGCGACCACCTACGTAAATTGCTAGCCGCCAACCCGGAGCCCCAAGTCAAGGAGTCGGCACACGACGCTATAGCGTCTGCGCACTTCGATGCTCGGATATTCGCAGTTCCATCTGTTGAAGAGGCATTGAATTGCGTGTTGTGGCGGTGTCGAGGGGATGCCATGAGGAACTCTGTCAGCGGGTTCGCGCGCACTCTGTTGTCTGATAAACAGATACACGGACGAACAAGGCTTGAGGTGATAGAGATACTGAAGAATGAAAAAGGGGTTGTTTATGAAGATGCCGTACCGAAATGGGCGGTGGAGGGTAGCTTGGTCAAACGTGAGCAAGTCCAGCACGAAGGTACCAATCTCAAGACTGGTGAACCGGTGGTCGCGTTGCGGACGAAGATACGGGTGGAGGATCGCGGAATAACAGAGTTCAGCGAGGAGAATCTGCGGCTTGTTGTAGATAAGTTTTGGTGAATTTTCACTGTTTATTAGTCCCTCAAGCCAATGGAAAGAAGGATTGGACTTTCCTGAGTTTGGCTATACATTTCTTACTTTTGCTCTCTCTCTCTCTGTCTTCTTCGTATCACTGTCCAGAATGCATGCGGGAGGTAATGAGCTGCGCTACTCTCTTGAGTATATGAGGCGTCCTTTTTCGAATAAAAGAGAACTAGCAGGTTGATATCTAACCCAGGCCTTAAGTAATGTATGTATATACGTATATATATGACGTACGGCCGTGACAGTAAAAAGAAATGCGGGTTTCCTCCACGTCGAATTTGATCCTATGATACCATCAACGCAACTCAACACAACCAGTCCACACAAAAAAAGAACAGAATAAGAACCAAAATTATGCTTCCGACGTCAATGGTTCTCTCTGCTCTCTGTCTAAAAAGAAATAGTTTCTGTTCTAGCGTTCAGGAGCCGCCACCGTCCCTAAGCGACCAGCCCCTGAGCATTCCAACGTACTAGAACACTAAAAAGACCACCACAACACCAAAAAAACATCGCCACAACACGCAGATGGGCAAAAATGAAAGCTTCCGACACCGGGAATCGAACCCGGGCCTTGCCGGCACTTGAAAGTGTAACTAACTCTCATGATGAGAGCGGCAAATCCTAGCCACTAGACCATATCGGATGTGTTGTCATTTGATTCATGAAGCCTTTTTTGTGGTAAAAGACAATATGTACTGAGATATTGAGCATTCGACGACGGTCATAACATCAACTATAGTGCTATTGAACAACTGGAGAAATTTGGCGGAAAAGGCCATGGACGACGTGGGTGAGGGACCCGCCCGACGATGATACCAAAGCCGGGAGCTAGTCAATCGAAGTCCACACGAGATAAAATTTTAATCTCGATTGCTGGAGAGTGGACCTTGACGATCGTGGACCTCAACTAGAAAATATGTAAATTGATATAGTTTAGTGCTGTGTGATTCAAACATAGATATAATTTCATGCTATTTCTCAGTCATGGTCATTTTGTCTTATCCTCATAAGAGAACCCATGCTTTAAGCGTTCAATACGTGGGTGCATACCTCACCGTTGCGGTGCGGTTTGAAGATGACCAGAAATAGAATCATCTTTTCTCGATATAGGTTCCCGCGATGAAATGCGACGAATGCGTTGAATTGGATGAGCCCTTCGTAAAGCGCATTTACTATCTGCAGCTTTGACTTGGCTCCGCTACCTTCGCTATTATTAACAGCTGCATATAGATCGTTCTTGAATGGGCGCAGAACCTAAGCTGTCACTGGTACTCTGTTTGGGAGAGTGTTGAGCCTTTCAAATGCGATCTTTGGCCTTTCAGAAATCTCTAAAGTACTTCTTACACTTATAAATAAGCACTGCTGCATGAAACGCTGATATGCAGTCGATGAGCGGGATCTTGCAAGGGTGGGTGGCTGTGGTTATAAACAATGCTAAGCGGCAATCGTCGCACCCTGACTGAATCTCGTCGGCATATATTGGGCATCATAATGAAGATATGGCTCATGTGCTGAAATGTACGCATTGATTGGAGATTACTGTGCGATTGGTGTGCCGGATGGTAGCTCCTGTATATGATATCTAATCGCTTGAATAAATCATTCGTCGAGCAAGTCCATCACAAGCTGAGGAAGTATTTCAACACCCTCTGCTTTGATTGCACTGACTGGAATCGACTGAACATTGCGCTTCCACGCATTCTTTCGACCACTAGGATGCGGTTGTTCGCCATTATTAATCTGGCGAATGTACATCTGCAAATCTTGGTACACTGCCTGTGTACCTGGGAGATCTGCTTTTGTTGCGACAACGAACCAAGGCTTCGATGAGATGTCGGTCGATGTCAGATAGGGAAGCTCTTCAATTGAAGGGTTCATCACAGGGGATTCGAGCCTCTCCGATGTGCCCTTCCGTCGCGTCTCACTGTTAGCAGGACGATACGTAACCATGCGGCGTTCCGTATCTGCATTGAGCTCTCGCTCTCTCAGAGCTTCGTACTCCGAAACCTCCTTCCAGAGTAGCTTCAGCGCAGCCACTGCATCCCCTGCGGAGAGGTCGATGACAAAAGCCAATACTGCAGCTCGTTCTACGTGCCGTAGGAAGCCTAAACCAAGTCCCCTGTCGAGATGTGCGTCTTCAATCAGTCCTGGGACATCTGCTATGGTAAAGTTCTCTCGCAGTTCGCCGTCTGTTCCTCGTCTCAAGACTGCAGGACGGCCTTTGTGGTTATCTAGAACTACCGTACCCACGTTTGGTTGAAGTGTTGTGAAAGCCCAATTTCCGATGCGAGCTCGGCTGTTGCTGAGGGCTCGAAGTAGTGTGCTCTTTCCAACGTTTGGGAGGCCAACCAATCCGAGATCAGCCAGAAGCTTGAGCTCTAGCTGCAATGAGATTTTCATTCCTTCATCGCCTCTCGTGGCCATCTTTGGTCTCGAATGATTCGATGTTACGAAGTGTGGGTTTCCAAGACCGCCCATGGAACCAGCAGCGATTAGCATAGGTGTTTCCATATGTTTGTCCAGGTCTAGCCACATTGGAGCTTCAGGTTGAAGCGCTGCAAGGTGCGATCGACGAGGTGGTGGTAGGCGAGGGAAGACCATCCTATTCAGCTCAGTAGGAACTGTACCCGGAAAGACAAGCCATTTGTCTTTCCTGTAGCTCCCCTTCCCTCCTTCCTCACCGGGAAGGTCCATCTGACCAGTTCTTTCTGCCTCTTCGTGTTCTCTCTCCGCCGTTTCGAAAGGATCGTGGCGTTGGATTTCTCGAACGATGGTCCCAACAGGCACCGTGATGAGCACATCAGCGCCCCTCTCGCCGCCTCTCATCTTGCCCTGACCATTTCGGCCTCTTCCAGCCTTCATGAGTCTTCTACGAGCAAGCTTGTGAAGAGATGTCTCCCCTCGAACCGCTTGGATATACACATTGCCTCCGCTGCCACCGTCGCCTCCATTAGGTGGGCCCTCTTCGATGTACTTTTCTCGAACAAAAGATACACAACCATGGCCTCCAGAGCCAGCTTCAATGGTGAGGATACATCGGTCGGCGAATGGGGTCAATGCATAATCGTCCGGCGTGGGGTCTAATTGAGAATATTTTGCATCTGGTTCCGCATTGTTCTGATTCTCGGATTGCGCGTTATCGTGCATGCATCTTTTCGAGATTGGATGTATCCTACGGAGGGACCGTAGTCGCGTAGTGCACGAAAGTGCTGATTCGAGAGGCGGATAGAGAAACGGTGTTAATGTTCGGCCGAAGCAACTGCTGATCCGTATTGACGACATACGTCGCGGTTTTTGGTAGTATGGTTGTTAAAGATGGCTGTTCTTCAATGATGCATGGCAATGCCAAGCCAAAACTTTCTACGATCTTAGCATGATCGTCCGGGGTACTATGTGTTTACCTAATCAGAGCTTGACGCTAAACTACATACGGTGGAGTTAGTTACCTTCTCGTACATATATTGAATGAAGCTATGACCACCTCATGTCAACGTCGGACTCTAGAGTCTGTCTTCCACCTGCATGCTCCACCACACTTGTTGCACGCGAAGTCCGTAGCCCTCCACCCTTCGCCCCAATTACATATAACCTGTGCGGAAGTATTCGTACATACTTCTAGTTGTCACTTGCTACCGAGGCGAAAAGGGATTTGAACGTCCTAATCTGGGTTTTCTGGTTGCCTTGTTCGTAATTGTCAGCTCGTGTATCATCCCTTCTCGTACATACATACTGTCGACCGTCCGCACTGTCCCGTTGCGGTACGGCCGGACGTTGATAGATTGGCCTTGAATCCGAAAGCTGCTCGTCAGGGTTGGCTAACGTCCCTGTAGCAACCCCGTGCAGTCATACTCCCATTCGAACGTTCCTGAAACGACTTTCTGTGCTCCACCCTTTCCAGGCCGTTACAGCTTTTCCAGACTACCTCAGTATGTTTCGCGTGCCTGGGATCGTATTGGCATCCGTAGTATTGCTCACCACAAGTTCGAGCCTTGTTTCATCCACGCTCCTGTCTCGTTTCTCAGGCGAGTATCAGGGACTTTCAATAACAGCCTCGATATTGTCAGTGGTATTGTTATTGTTTGAGGCCAACTCAGCACTCAACCGTTGGGCTGACAAACGGTGGAGGTGGGGAAATGATGTGGAGTCTTGGAATTGGAAAGAGGAGCTTTGTGTCATCACTGGCGGTTCTAGGGGCATTGGCGCTGAGGTTGTGAAGAAGCTCACATCTCATGGTATTAGAGTCGCGATCTTGGATGTGGAAGCCCCATTGATCAGCCCGGAAGATGGTATGCTCGTGCAAAATTTATGTGCAACCCCCATGTTGGCGCAGGCTAACGAGTAATATAGAGGGGGCGAAGTTGGCGTTCTTCTACCGTTGCGATATTACTTCGAAGGATGCTGTCCGCAAAGCAGGACAGGCAATTCGTTTGCAACACGGCAGTGCTTCAATCTTGATCAATAACGCCGGAATAGGCAACGCCAACAGTATCATGGAGATCACCCCAGAGCGTCTCAGATCAATATTTGACATCAATCTCCTCAGTCATTGGTACACCGTACAGGAATTCCTTCCAGACATGCTAACGCAACGGAAGGGTCATATCATGTCTACGGCAAGTATGGCTGCATTTTTGGGGTTAGCGGGAATGGTCGATTACAGTTGCACCAAAGCTTCACTCACCGCTTTCCACGAAGGGCTCATTCAAGAGTTGAAGCACCGTTACAAATGCCCTGAGATCAAGACCACTATCGTCTACCCTAACTGGACAAAGACGCGACTGGTAACTGCAATTGAGGAAGGTATCAGGAAGGTCAAGCATCCGATAGTGGAACCAGCAGTTGTAGCTGAAGCTATGGTCCAGCAAATCATACATGCCCGAAGTGGTCAGCTTATCCTTGGGCCTAGCATTGCTGCCTCGGTCCGCGGATTTCCTACTTGGCTGCAAGAGCTCATACGAGATAGTATGGCGCAGGTGGTCACGGCGAATGCCACTTCTGCCACAAAGCAGGGCGAATAGCGTGCGGCGTGTGACCAGACGTCTCGAGGCAGATAAGAAAACCGGGTGTTAGACCTCTCTTGGTCGTATCCTGAACGAAACATAGGGCAACACCAGACAATCATGGAATTCCATACGACCTTACGACTTGCTTAGTTCTTTGCGATTCTATTATATTTAGCTGAAATGTCTACCTGCAATATTCTAATGGATACATCTCACGCCTTTTTGCAAGGCGAGCGTACCTTACATCCGGCTTGTCCTACCTATCAAGAGAGCGCGTAGATGCCAGACTCTTGAAACATGGGTCCGTAAGATCTACCGTCATCCTTCAAGGTGTCCAGAATGGGATCGGATTCTCGACCACTCGAGTGCCCCTCTTTTCTGTGGATCACCAATGTTTATCTTTCCTGCGCCCGCTCTTCCCGATTGGTGCCTATATGTAGAGAATGCGCTGTTAACCAAGAGAAAAGGTTGCGAGGCAATGTGCGCGACCTAGAAAACGGCGCACTAAGCGCTTCCATTACATTGTTGCTGGGGTTCAAAAGACTACCTAGGTAGATAGAGATTATAATACGACGCTCATTTTTGCTCGTCCCTATCGAGAGTCTTCAGCCAGCTCTATGACGTTTCGAATAACATCTTTCATGTTTAATATGGTCAGCCAAACTGTGCTGTTGAGACGAAGAAGATTGGTACCTGACGGTACCTGCGCCAGAATGCTCACAGGAGGAGGAATACCTTACCCTAAAAGCTTGGGGGATCGAGACCCAATCCATTCTACAGACCAAGGTTCTGACAATTTCCTCTCCTATCCTAACCTAACCTGACCTTCCCCATCATCGCCCGTATGCCCACGTTTTCTCGGCATGTCTAATGTCTCTACCCTGCGTGGCTGCGCACCATAATCGAGCAATCTAGCTTCTATTGTTAGCTGACGTGGTACGTTGACCACAATACTCTTCGGACTGTAGCCCCCCGCTGGTGCGTGCAATGCATGGGCTAAGCCTCCCCAACTCCGACCACAACCTCACATTATTCTTGCAGACCTCGCAACCCCTACTGCAACTCCCTACGGCTCCTACACCATCATTATTTACCCCTGGTCCGATGCGTTCAATGAGCCCCACGTCCGATCATTCTGTAATGGATCCGAAGCGATGGATGCTGCGCTGCAGCCACTTAGATGTAATATACCGTCGGCCTTCGCTTGAATGCGACGGCCATGTAAAGGACCTATAGCCATTCATTTTGTTTCATCCTGTCCTTCTTTTCCTATTGTTGTGCTGCCAAATACTTTGTCAAAATTTTCCCCGACAATGCAATGTGGTTCAAGAGCTTCCTGTTTGTGCACTATACATCACTTTTCATAGTCACAGTGGATGCAACATTCGATAGCATCCGTAAGTCAATCGTGGTATTTTCATGTTGTCGCTCGCGCAAATCAACATTGACAAGTCTGCAGAAGATGTGGCGCCTTTTGGGCAATTTCGAGAGCCTCGAATCCTTACCATTAGCAGGAGGCAAGCGCAATGGTCGAATACGACACGAACTACATCAGAAAATGCTGGAGAGCCGGAGACCGCGATTGTGTCGACGACCTTCAGAGATAGTAGTCCGACAACCTCGGACCTTGCTCCACTCTCTAGTTTTATGCAGACGGACGTCGAAGAGACGACGATCATCCCAGACGAGACCAGTTCCGCGATCTTTTCGACTACCACATCACTGACCTCTCTGTCTACGTCACCTCCCGCGCAACAGACACCTGTAAATTCAGAAGTAACAAGCTCTCTTGCATTCTTTTCAACTACCACGTCGATTTCTCGGCCTCCACCGCCTCTACCAATCCAAACATCAATTATTCCTGGATCGAGCGTATCTACAGTCCCCTCACCAACTACGTCTCTCAACGTTAGGCCTACGACAAGCTTGCCTGGAAAGCCTTCTTCTCCTCCTCCCGTGGATACAAACAGCGCTCTACTCCCGGTCATACCTTCCTCGAACGCTGAGCCAACGTCAGCTCCATCGGCGGAGTCAAGACAAAGTAGCAATGTGGAATCTACATTCACGTCCGCCATAGTTGAACAACCAACAAGCCAGACGTCGACGAAGTTAGCTGAAGGAACGCCAGTTAGACCACCAGTGCCTCCTTCTCCTCCAGTTCAGGTTCCAACCTCGAGCGATTTCAGATTCCCCACGTCAGTTGGTTTACCGCCCGCACCTCCCCAGACAAATCCAATCGCAGATCCTTCCTCTACAATTGCCGCCCCGGTACCATCATTTATTGATCCACCGATCTCCCTCTCTAGTCAGGTATTGCAGCACAATCCCGATCATGGTACCAAAGTATTGCTAACCCGCATCTTCAAGACATCGACTTCAACGAGTGCCATTACATTTGAAACCACTACAACTGTACTCATTCCTCAGCCCCTGCCCGTTACTAGTATCTTCAGTACATCTACTGTAAATTTACAGCTTCCCATTCCAGAAACCACGTCGTCTCCGTTGATCGTATCAGAGCCTACATTTGACCAATTGACAAGTCAATCGGTCATCACTGCTACTTCGGTGATGGAGATACCCTTGCCACCCATCGTCTCCTCTATCTTCCTTCCTAGACCATCTACATCTGATATCAATGTTTTTCCTCCGGTTTCTTCGTCTTTGAGAACAACAAGGACATTTGGTAATCCAGAGCCCACACCTGAGGTCCCCTTTGCAACAGACATCATACCAGATTTAAGCAGTATCTTATCTTCGATTCTATCCCAAGTGCAAAGTCAGCTCCAGTCAATACCATTCCCTACCCAAGGGCCCTTCCAGCCCGGCATCTCGTCATCGGTGGATGAAGTATCAAGCACAGGCGCTCCGGTCCAAACACCAATATTCACCAGACCTTCAAGCTTGTTCAGTGGCAGTTTCAGCGAACCCTCAGCGACTACCAGATCGGTACCGACAGGCGAACCCAGTCTCGGAACTTCAACCAAGTCAAGCATTCCCGATGTCTCTAGCGACTTTGACTTCTCTTTTCCTAGTGAGGTGATAGATCTATCGTCTAGAAGCAGCCAAACAGAAGACCGTTCCGAGTTCACTAGCTCGACAAAAACAAGTCGCACTACAGCAATTTCCGTCCCAACTCCTAGTGTCCCATTTGAATCCACGACCGGATTCGCAAACACCTCTTCAACCAGATCTGCGACAACAAGACCAGCACCTGGATCTACAAGTAGCCTTTCGGGTTCGACGAATGCGTCAACGATCACGACTTCGAGGTTCTTTGTATCTCCCACTAGCTCGTTCACCACCAGACCTACATCAACCTCATCGAGCTCCCTAGAAGTAGACTCGCTGGAAACCTCTTCCAGGGTGCCTGACTCGGCATCCAGAAATTCGACTAGCACGATAAGCGAAACGACAGAGACCCAGTCAAGTTCATCAAACTCCACTAGAACATCTCGAACCCCAACCAGCACTACGGATATTTCGACTTCTAGCTCGGAAAACGGGAGCTTTAGCACCATTGCCTCAACGACAACACCAACCCAGTTGATTAATAGCGAAGCTGCTCCGCCGCCTGCAAGTTCTTCATCTGGCGTAGCAGCAGGAGCGAATGAGCCCAGTGCCCCACCTCTGTCGAAGTCTCAGACTGCAGGTATTGCTATTGGGGGCACAACCTGCTTGATCATAGCAATCATTGCTGCTTTGTTTCTAGCCCGCCGTTACCATAGAAATGCAGCTGCGAACCGGAAGAGCGGGGGTAGCGTTTACCCAGAGGTTGCCTACATTTACGATCCCCCAGCCAGAGGTGATGACCAAACTGGTGCCAACAGTGCACCGATGATGTCTGGAGGGGCGGCGGGTTATGGAACGCTACCAACGCACTCTCCGCGCTACAGTACAGGCCGTTTACCTCAAAATCCATTCCGGGAGCCTATCATCCCTTCACCAGAGCCTAGTCCAGGTTTCAACGGGTCTGGGGGACCTGCTGGCAATATTCAAGGCCAATACTCCGACCTCGCCGTAAATCCATTCAATGCAGCTGCAGATTATCCACCGTTATCACCGTATGGGCCACCGGCTCATAGATTTCCTAGAGAGCCTGTACGCGCTTCCGATCGCTACAGTGATCCTTTCTCAGATCCTTTCGAGCACGATCTTCTCCTTAATGTTCGCAGTGAAACACCCGACTCGATAGTCATGCTCGCCGCAGCCCCGACATCATCACCACGCTCACCTCGCTCACCACGTTATTCGGATCGTCATCCGCCCGAGAAGAATGTTTATGGAAACTACCTTGCTGTTGCACCGCCGACTTCGCCTGCCGCACCTCACCATCGGGGCGCTTCTAGCCTCTCCTATTCTCGTTCCAACGCACAATCGCCAGACAGTTTCTCCTACGCCTCCTACGCCGCGGGGCGTTACACCCCTGAACACTTGTCATCCTCCCCTAACCATTCCACGAACACGTCATTCAACTCTAGCATTCTCAGAACACCGCACGCCGCTGTATCACCATCGCCTACGCACAAAGGATGGGATGATATCAAGCTCGACCAGTCCCTAATACCCAAACCTTTAAACCTTACATCTGGCCAAAGGCCCCTCTCCCAAAGACGGCAACCTCCTCTTGCAGGCAACGGTCAGACTTTACTTTCAAAATTTGGCCGAGCCATGGGTATCGATGGGTCTTACTTCAGCAAGGCCCAAAACCCGCCTGCCCCTGCCGTCAACGGCCCTAACGCGAATCCAACATTGCACAAGCAACAAAGCGAAGAATGGGCTGATCCCTCGCTGATCGGCCGACCAGCCTTCTAATTTTTTTAGTCAACACTCGCAAACCAAGATAGGTCGAGTGTGGCACAGAATCTGTATTATACATATACACACCAGGTGTTTTTTCTTCCACGAACTGACACTGTACTTGAATATCCCGGATCATCACATCCCTATTTATTCAAAAGCGAACTGAACACTATCCTTTCCTATCATTTTCTTTTACGTCAAACTTTCCTTTTCCTTTCAAGCACAGCATTGGAACACCACATATACCCCCACCCTTCACGCAGAAGTCTGCAATGATGTATTAGTTCACTATTGTATAATTGGCGCGACTCCTAACATAACCAATCAGACTAAGAAATAAAGACACAAAAACAATTTAAATCAAATTATCAAATTATCAAATTATCTAAAATTTCCAATGATTTGTGTATCTCTAGCAAGCTTTTGACATAAAGCAGCTTGATGTACTTCTCGTCTCTATTCTCTGGCGGGAGGATTCAGGATGTTGATTTCGGCTTAAATCGCTAAGTAAGACGCGATATCTCGGTACCCGGTCTATTCGCCACTGCACCAACGTTCCAATATTCGGCTCAATTAAACTCTAAGCGGAGTGCGGAAAGATGACAGGATCTGTTGGCATGTGCGAGGCTTGCCTTATGGTCAGATTATATTGATCTCGATGGGTCTTTTCCCCCCATGGTCATTCCCGTTCTGGCAAATCTATGCATGAAATCACAAAGTATGCTACTACTGCGTGCATGTATGTTCTAAAGCGCCAGAGAAGTTCATGAGGGAAGTAGCAGCGGCTCGTTTAATTCAATGCATCTATCTATTGGGGGAGATTGTGGTACTTGGAGAAACGAAAGGGGGGAAGGAGAGGGGGAATATTGCAAAGCAATGCCGATTCCGACAAAAAAGGAAGAAATGGGATGTATAAACAAAAGGCACATTCAACTCCCGCAGCGATGCATGGGGCCCCTTCCAATACCACAAAGGAAAATGTCATCACGTTCTTTCTTTCTTTCTTTCTTGCCTTCCCTTCGTTAAACTGACACATGACCGACCGTCCGTCCCGTTTCGTCCCAAATTCCCGCTTGCATATGACCCGACGGAATATCGAAATCAGTATATGTATGCTCTCCTCGTACGAGGGGCGCTTTATCGAATCTTACCCAACTGATCAATCTCCTGAATCCCGGAAAAACGCCAATCTCAGAGCTACCAAAGCAGAGGGGTGGAGGTTAGATGAAAATGACGAGGAAGTGGAGAAATGTCCCAAGAGATTGGAAGACGTTGAGTAGCCTAGGGGCCAATAGGTCATTGCTTGTTGAAGAACCAGCTTGTTCGCTTTCCACTGTTTTGGTTTCCGCTTTCTTGGGCTTGGAGATTGCTCAGGACCGGGAGGACTGGGCCGTCCTGTACTGGGCCGCCGCCGCCTCGGAGGGGCTTCGCAATGCGAGAACCTACGGCACCGCCAAAGGCTCCGGCGAATGACGCGCCTGACGTGGGGGATCCTAGGCCGCGAGTTGAACCGGACTTGGCTGCCTCGAGGCGTTCTTTGACCGCGGTGAGTTGTGCTTCGAACCTAGGAAATCTGTTAATAAAAACGTACTCTGGCTCTGAAAGTGGACAAAAGTAAAGTGGTGGTGGGCGATGAGGAAACGGTTGCCTCCTATCTTGAAGAATCTTTTGCTGTTTGGATTGGTTGTTTTTGTGGGATTTGAAGGAGAATGAAAAGAGTTTTGAAGAAAGTTTCGGCAGCACATACCGGTGGTTCGCGGCAGTGAGCTTTTCTTGAGAATCCTGAAGGAGTGACTCAAGAGATTGAATACGCTCATTACGGGCAATCAATTTGCGCTCTGCGATCGCGACCTCCTTCTTCAACGAGGAGTTCTGCTCAACCAGTTGACGCTGAACAACAGTGAGCTGCTCAAGGTTACGTTCCAAGAACATCATCTTCTTTTGCTGTGCGCGGTTGTTAGATGTCCGCAGGACATTGTTATACTGTTCCCGTGTTTCATCAAGTGAAATTTCAAGCTCGACAACCTGTTCATCCAAGGATTAGTATTCATTTTTCGTATAGACGACTGGGAAAAAGTCCATGCACTTACCCGTTCACACCTGTTCTGCAGATCTCGCATCAGGCTCTTCTTCATGTTGTCGAATTCGGCGATCTGCTGCTGCACAGTTTTACCATTGATACCATTAGCGGCTCCATTAGCAATGGCTCCGCTCTTGATTCGTTGCTGAAGACTGTCGACTTCTGCCTTGAGTTTCTGGTTCTCTTCTGCCTTGCGTGCAACATCCAGCTTGAGCTCCTCCGCAAGCTCGATATTGCCTTCCTGGCGAGCGGCATATGCATCTGCGAGTTTGGACTTGATGTCTTCCGTATCCGCATCTGATAGATTTCGCTCGAGCAATTCCTCATATTGTTGTTGGAGATTTGCTACACGAGACTCCAAGGCCTCGCGGCGGCGGTTATGCACTTGATCCTCCTCGCCACGAGCGGTCAACGAGAGCTCGGCTTGTCGGACGATTCCCTGCGTCTCCACAAGCTTCTGTCGAAGGTCTTGAAGTTCGTCAGGTGCTACGATCTCACCTGATGAGCTCACTTCATGTAGATTGTCGATTTGCTCAATCATCTTGCGGATGTTGCGCTCGTTCTCGCTGAACACATCTCCGCCGAGATCGAAGCCGGCCATCATCTGAGCCATCTTTTCGGCCTTCTTCTTCTCCTTTTCATCCAAAAGAGCACTAGTCTCTCTTGCATTCATCTTAGCATCGAGAAGCTGCTGTTTGATATCGTCCAACTCAGTCGTAAGCTCGGAATTGGCCTCTTTGAGACTGTCCATGGTGATGAGCGCCTCCTTGCCCTCGAAATTCAATTTCTCGACCTGCATGCGCATCTCGTTTAGTTCGCCAGTGATGCGCTCATTGTCCTTAAGTGATTTTGCATCTCGATCCTTGTAGTATTGAAGCTCGTCCTTTGCCGTCTTGAGTTGATCTTCAGCTTTGGCAAGCTGTGACTCCTTCTCAGCTATTTGATCTTGAAGTTCGTTCTCCCGTTTCAGGAACTCATCCTTTTCATCCTTCTCTAAAGGTATGCTAGGCGTTCCTGATCGCTCAAGATCTAATCTCGAATCCGGCCGGGATGGAGTCTCGACTCCTCGAGCTGTGCTTAATCTGGACGGAGTATCTGCTCTCGAGGGTGTGGTAGGAGGTTGCCTTTTGCCTGTACTGGGTCCCTTTTCGATTGCTGGGGTCCATTGATCCCTGGGAACAGACTGGCCACCACGCCAGATGTTGACTTCGCTCTCCAGGACAGATATGTAGGTCTCGAACGAAGTGACCTGTCCCTGTGCCTTCTTGAGAAGTTGCTTAAGCTCTGCCGGGCTAAGCTCTGCATTGACCTTGGCCTTGTTCTTGATGTTCTTCGCTCGCATACCGAATCGTAATGTACTGATGGTTTCGGTGTCATTGTAACTACTCGGGGAACAGTTGATAATGAGCGTGGTCCTAGAATTACCTCCCAAGGACTCTTGTAGAATACGGGTAAGTTTCGAGTCTCGGTAAGGAACGTGCGTTGATTTTCCGTCGGTCAAAGAGTTGATAACCATACCCAGGGCGCTAAGACTCTTGTTGATCTTCTTCGCCTCTTCAAGAGTCTGTCCACTGGCACCAGTCTTGCCGACCTTCTCGGAACCAGCCAAATCGACAAGGAACAGCTGACCACTCTTCATTGACCCGGTTTCGAGATTCTTTTGTGTGATGGTTACAACGAAGATCGAATGAGACCGTGAGGATTCCTGATTCATGTTCGTGGCCGAAACCGCTCTCGCTGCTCCACCTCTTCGCATCACCTCATACACCTCAGCTACGCTTGAGACGTAAACCTCTAGTAAGCCTTTGACATACACTCCCCTGCTCTTCTCTTCGTGTACCGGGAGATTGTCGTTGACCGGGTTGAGCAGATCTCGAATACGCTCCATATAAATTTCCATGTAACTGACGCGTACAGTATACTCTATGTTGCTCGGCGATGCCAACATACTGGCGAAGATTTGTTCGATGATTCGTGGAATGATACCCTTGCCCTCGTCATCGTCTATATCGCTTCCCATCATAGTGTACGATTTTCCCGCTCCTGTCTGGCCGTAGGCGAAGACAGTACCATTGTAGCCGTTAAGAATATCGTCTACAGTCGATCGAATAGAGAAATTAAAGACATCAATCTGGCGGGAGGCCATATCGAAGACTTGATCGAACGTAAAAGCTCCGGAGTTTTCATTAGACTATAAAAGTAGTAAACATTAGCGACTATGGCTCTCGGTAGCTTTCCTGAAGCCTGATAGCAATGCAGTGGCCTGAACTACACTTACTTGAATTTTACATGTGTCCTCCGAGCTGAACTCCACAATCGGTTCTCCCCCGCTCGCGATTTCCATCTTGTTTTGCGGGCGGAATCGTGCCACCACTGCAGGTAGCCGTAGTTAGTACAATTTCCTGCAAGAGAACGGCGACTCCTAAGTTATGCCTCGTACCTTTTATGGAATTGGACCTGTAGACACAACAATATTAGCTTTTGTTCCCATACCGATACCGCCGTTATTTATGGTACCACTTACGCCATGATTGCGGTGTGTATTCGCGACTCGGCCCAACGGCCCTCACTCAAGTGTGTGCTTTCACAGTATCTGACGTATTTAGAGGTGCGTCGCTGCGAACTCCTGTCGTGGGACCTGCAGGTTGTTTGTAATGAAGAGGCTCGGCGCGTTCGATGTAATTAAGGGCCCCGCAACGGTTTAAGGGGAAGAGGAAGGGTCCCGCCTTTTCGAGGACAGCGTTAGCTTGCAGTTCGGGGACGCAGCGAAGCCTCACAAACAAACAAAGCTCTGTGAGCGAACGAATGTGTCACTGGGAGGGGGAAAGAGGAACATTAACGGTGAGTGAAGGGTAGATGTTGCCGGGTCGAGGTGCCTGGCCTGGGTACATTTGATGTTGTTACAGGGCCACCTAGCGCGACTCCCTCTCGCGCCAAGCTCGTTTGGCGGGGGTGTATCGATAGCGACAGTGGAGCGGCAGAGCGATAGAGCGATACAGCAGAAAGGCAGGTGGCATTTCCTCCCATTATTTTTTGTTTCATGACTTGTGGCTGTATTGGTATATATACTCAATCTACTATCCAACAGCTAGCTATGCACAAGTGAATGTAATAAATCACAAAGGTGGCCAGCATAGGGCTAAGCGTGGCCAAAGTACTGAATGAATCCCAAACGCCTCGCTGTGCCGAACCACAAAGTAATCATGTAATAAGATACATCGTGAACTGGTATAAACCGCTACTCCATATGCCGCATGTACTCCAGAGAAGAAACCCATCACAGTCAGCAGGGATGCGAGCCATCCGCTTATCCAGAGAGTCTACTCTGGCTCATCTAAGCGTTGCTTCAATCCTCCCAGCTCTTCTCCACTGTCTCGCGAACGCGCTTCGTGTATTCCCTGCGGTTGTCTTTGTATAGGTTTGACGCTTCAACGTTTGCGGGCGAGGAGGTGTTTGGGTCGTTGAGTAGGCTATCGAGGCAGGTTAATACCACAATAACACCCGTACTTGCAGGACCACCGATTCTCACCTTTGAATACTTGTCAAGATGGCAGCAACGTCGTATGTTGGGCTCCAGCGGTTTTGTAGGATGTCAAGGCAAAGCTCGCCGGTGCCATACACGTTCGGATGGAACATTTGGCTGATGAACTTAACGCCTGGCGGTTTATTTGGATATGCCTCCTCAAAGTGCATTACCAGGCGGAAGGTTCCATCTTCAAATGGAGTCTCCGCAGGCCCGATAATGACTGCGTTCCTGCAGTCGTGTCAGTGATCCTCCAAAAGTGTCAGAGCTTGAGTCGCGTGCGGGGTGGCCATACCAGGTCATCACATTATCGGCTATAGGTGAAGCTGAGACGCCAGCAGGAGGATCCGTTTGCATGCGCTGATGGGTAGTGTTAGCCAAGTGGTATCAAAACCAAGCACGCGACTTCACATCTCGGAACGTGGGAGCGAGCGTCGATGATTTCGAGTACCGGGGTGGCGTACCTTGAAGTCTCGCATCAGTCGGCGACGAGCAGCGGTAGACATGGCGTTCGATGATGTGGGAAAAGGTTTGATTTGCAGGGTATATCGGCGGACGTAGGACTTTCGAAGTGCAAAGAGGTGGGTGCGGTCAGTGTAAGAATAAGGAAATACGTGGGCGACAGATCTTAAGTAGGTCACCTCTCCGCCTTCATTGGAAGGTTCCAGCCCGAGTCACGTGCACGAAGGTATCACCGTGAAACGATTCGAATCCGCAAGCGGATCCCAATGTTTCCGACACGTCCACAGATAAACCTGTTAAACGTTACTACTTCCTGACACGAATGCCAATATCAGCACTGGATCCTGCCGATATCACATTTTATTATACCAATGTTATTACTTCGCCTCTCACAAAGACGATGATGATCATGCAACAAAGCGGTTTAATGATATTGTTTGATTCAGATATTTACACAGACTCAGTCTGGGAGTGTTTATGACTATCCATGTGGAACATATAGGTGCAGTTGCCCACTTTATCCTGAAAGTGGCAGACAGACTCAAGATCCCCTGAATGCTCCTTTATGGTCCCCGCTGTAACGCTTAATTTCGCATAAATAGAAAATCCTCTCATCATAGCAAACCCGTCATCAGTGCATTCTGTATGAGATATATGCACCTTCTGTATGTGTTAGTCGATGTACATGTGGTCATGGAGATCTATTCTCCACATGCTCCAGCCGCCCCATGGTGGGAAGCCGCGGCTGTTTTGGGCCGGCCAAGATAGTCCACGACTGGGAAACGAGCACGACGCTCGAGTTCGTCGAGAGGAATGTGAGAACGAATGAATCGGTCACGATCGTTATGGGGCGGCTGATAGTCCCATGGCTCCCTGCGACCAATTTGAAGAGCGCCCCAAACGACGCGACGCTCACGCTGGCTGGACAAGACGTCCATGTGGAGTTGCTGGAGGTCCCATTTTGCATCGGCCTCCCTCTCAAAAGCCTCAAAAGCGTCACGATGCTCAGGCTCCTGCGAATCTTTCAGATTGACCAGTTCTTGTGGATCATTGACAAGGTCGAACAATTGAGGGTCATCGACCAGGGACCTTGTGTACTTCCATTTTCCCCGTCGGATCATGACGACAGGAGTGACCGTTCCTTCTCCCATATATTCGCCAAATACCTCATCCTTGCCCGGCTTATCGGAGACCAGGTAATTGTAAAGGCTGACTCCATCTACTGGTCTCATTACCGACATATCACCCCCGGCAAGGTCGATGAACGTTGGCAGCAAGTCCATGGTAGAAACTGATTCAGTGACTCGCTTGGGTGTAAATTTGGCGGGATAATTGATGATCATTGGTACACGAGCACTGTTCTCGAACCATGACATCTTGTACCACAAGCCTCGCTCACCAAGCATGTCCCCATGATCGCCGGAGAATACAATGATAGTGTCTTTGTCCAGGTGGCAGTTCTTGAGGATGGTCACAAGCTTGCCGACCTGGTCGTCGACGAAAGAGCAAGCCCCAAAATAAGCTCGACGAGCACGTATGGCAGCCTCATCTGGTACCGGGTTGTCCCAGAGATCAACAGTCTTCAGTAGTCGTTGAGAGTGAGTATCCTGCTCCTCTTGGGAAAGCTTTACGCGGGGTAAAGGAATATCGACATCTTCGTAACGGTCCCAGTAGTCCTGAGTCATAGTGTAGGGGTCATGCGGGTGAGTGAGAGAGACCGTCAAGGCAAACGGACGACGTGTGGATGGGTCTGAGCGAACATAGTCCAGGAGGTACTGGGAAGATTTGAACATGACATCTTCATCGTAGTCAAGCTGGTTGGATCTGACGCAAGGACCGGCCTGCATGACTGAAGACATGTTATGGTACCACTCCTGACGTTCTTCTGGTTTGTCCCAGTTAACGGTCCATCCAAGGTCGCCAGGATAGATGTCCGAAGTCAATCGATGTTCGAAACCATGAAGTTGGTCGGGTCCAATAAAGTGCATTTTGCCTGCAAGTGCTGTCTCATAGCCTTCACTTCGGAGATAATGAGCATAAGTTGGAACGTCGGAGTTCAAGACAGATGCGTTATCGTATCCACGGATCTTGGAGGGGAGCTGTCCGGTACACATGGTGAATCGTGATGGAGCGCAGAGGGGCGAATTGCAATAAGCGCTCCCAAACACTACGCCCGTCTCGGCGAGTTTATCGATATTTGGTGTCTTGATTGGAGAGTTTGGGTCATTCATCTTTAGAAGGGGAGCGGCCATTTGGTCAGCCATGATGTAGAGAATGTTTGGCTGCTTCGGTCGGCCATTATCAGCACTGCCTGTGGCATAGTTGAGGGACTGCTGGCGAAGGGTCTCAGAGGTAATGAATTGAGCTCCATTCAAGTGGCCTCCGGCAGAGCTTGGGTTTGTAGTACTGTTGGAAGTACCAGATGAGTTATGACTGCCATTGCCGTTGGAAGCTGAGAAGGATTGATGATTGTTAGTCGAGCCACCGGCCTCCAGCTTCACTGCACCCTTTGCATCGACTCGCTTAGGAGAATGGCCCGAGTAGCTCGTGTGTTCATGCTGTAGCAAGATGCTGGGGGCCATGTTGCTTGGTAGACGATCAAAGTTAATGTCTAACTGTTTTCAGGCCCCAGGGACGTATCAGATAGCGAGGTTGTTCGCTAATCTGTGGAATACGTGTTGACGTGCTCGAAGGCTGGGTTTGAGTGATCGTTACACACGACAACCAGACAACCTTTAACCAAAAAGGGTACTGGGCAGCGGAGACTAAAAGCTTGTGTTCGAGATAGGAAGTGAAAGATAAATCTGGGGTAGTGAAAGCCCTTATAAGAGTTATGTACGATGTTTGAGGACGGTGAAATTGATTTCACACAAAGATGAGTGAAGGAGGGGGCGAGCCTTTCTTATCCACGAAAGTGCGCAGACGCAGAGTTACCTATTTGGGCGGGATTGCGTGATTCCGCACCAGCACGCAATTGCCAAGACCCAGAGAGCCAGTGCAACACGCCTCGGATTTGAACACAGACAGCCTGGAAGAAAGTGAATAGTATCTCAAGTGGGGTTGGAAATAACATAGGGCATATGACATTCGTATTATTGTATCCTGTACGAGCCCACGACGTGTTCTGCCGCATGACGATCCTAAGCGAAGATGCTGCAAAATGCTGCATCCGGGCGGCGGCGGAAGATAAAGAGGTGGCCGCGATCATCACCGCCAGAACATATCACAAACCATTTCTACGCAGTGTTCCTCGACCCTTCAGCCTCACAATCCGATCAACGAACTGAATTAGTTTCCTATGTCGATGCACATTGAGTCAAAAATTTGCGGCTCCATCACTTTCATAGGCTGCCCTAGGGTTGGAAGGGTGGCCGACGAAATCAAAAGCTTACTTAGACAAAGAGAGGACCTCCAAGATTTGGGCATTCACGCGTCCTATTTTACGGCCTGACACTAATGGCAATAGCCCAAACGTTCTTCCCAGGAGTCGGGGCGTATCATTGAAATCTTATTTTCCAATAAGTCGAGGCCGAAGTAACATAGCGAGGTCATAGGGTAGGTAAGCAACTTGCGATATCGAATGCAGGCTATAGGAGCATCTTCGAGGCCATGACTTCTAACTTTAAGGCCTTCTACTAATGGTCGAAAAGCATCAGATGTGTACAATTTTGTGAATTCAAAAATGTTCTGGGGAAAGGGAGGTGGCAGCGCGGGATGGCCACGTTCCTTAGTCTAGCCACAAGATGAGGTTGTCCCCAAGATAAATTAGCGCCACGCTAAGAGTGATAGAATATGCTCCTATTGGTCAGAACATATTACTGAAGAGGGAAGAGAAGAAGTGAAAAGAAAAAACACGAGTTGCTGGATATTGAGCCATCCATCATTGGTACGACGCTTACTGTGCAAAGACAATGCACAGTGCAGCACGGTCAACATGTTCGTAGTAAAGTGGCGGATTCCTCTGCAGCTTATCGATCATTGACCGTCTTCCCTGACTCATTCGCTGCAGCGGCAGGCAAGCTAGCAACATTATAGCCATTCAGAGTCCAGAACGTAAGCAAATCGGCGTGTTTCCTCAGAATGGTACCGTCCACTGACCTGTATCTGCATTGAGTTCCTTCACGCCTGAAGAAGATATTGCTTTATTGCCTCCACCAATCACTACCATTTCCATTCTCTTAGGGCAAGTTTCTAGGAAGCTAAAACATCCCTGCTGCGATAACATTCATCCACAATTCTGCAGTACCCAGTTCGGTGCGACTCCCCAGACAACGGACAGAGACAACACTCGATTCTCGAGCTGATACGTAGGTGCAGTCCCCTCCCCGGCTTAACAGTCCACGTGTGCAATCAAAATTTCCCCCTTCTTGAGTAAATGGTTTCTGTTCCCCATATTGTCTGGGCTCCATCGCACCCGATAGTAGTGGCTCTAAGTCGTATTGCAAACCGCTAACCGAGATAAACGTTTGCCGAAATTGTGCGTGCGGAAAGGGTCCCAGTACACCAATCGAGACTTTTTTTTGTCGTCCACCATCATCACAACAAAGAGACACAATCGTAGAATTATCTTTGTGTTGACTTCTTTCAAGCAGCAAGAGCTAGTAGTCATCTGACATCCTCTGTAGACCATGGATACTAATATTGTACAATAACTCGGCGCCATACAGTCTGTGTCTTGGAAGATAAACCACCCGCCTTCTCAATGCAAGTCTCGTTTACGCCCTATCTTTTTCCGACCTCACATTATACATACGCCAACTCGAATGTAACTGTAGCACCAACTGATAGAAACTGCCGTATGATCCGAATTGAAATTAGGATGAAGAATGATTTGCGGTGCATCGACTGATTGTATCCATCTGTCAAAGAGCGGGCACCAAACAGATTTGTAGAAGTTACGTCTCTACTCAGCCTTCCATGTGATCATGTGGACCAAGCCTACAACGTTTGCCATTATTGCTGCTTGAAACCTCTAGCTTGTAGAACGTTTGTACAATTGCCACCACCCAGATCAACAGTCGCTGCCTCACCAGCGCAGAATAAAATGCACAATTACGCGTCGATACTACGAGTAGATGACAATACAACCACAAAAGGACGACGACGTGCATGCATTCTTGGAACGAACGAATCGGGGGTTCTTTGGCTGTTATCGGTGTGTATTACTCGTGTGCTGAGTAGAATCGTCTGGGTTCCCATCTAGCTCATGCGCCAAATTCGCCACCTGGGTTGTAATAAGATGTGGTGTTCCCGTCGATATCACGGACATATCGATACAGCCAGTAGGGTTTCTCGTTCTGTATCGGAAGTTCGATCCTCATTGCGGCAAGATTGCCAGCGCCTGTGTGTACGAATGTTTCCCGCGCTACTTGCGATCATCATGTGGAGCAACATACCTTCTAGTCAAATGCCAAAGTCAAGGAATTGCGGATATGGGAGCATAGTCGTAATTTCGGAATGTCAGCAGCCAGAGTCAAAACACCAGTAGGTGAATGGAGTAATAAGATTTTGGTATTCGAATTGGCCTTCATCATGCGTACTTTTTCTGAGACCCCTCTAAACCCACAACGCCTGTTCTACATTGATTGGAGATGCGTTACCGCCGCAAAAGATCCTACACTCGCAACTCTTGTCCATTCAAACGCCCATTGGTAGCCATGTCCCGTGATTTGATGCCGAGCTTCGTTCCCCTACCGTCGTGTCGCCAACGTGACAAATATTATAGTACATGTGAAGTGTGCGTGAGTATGGTCGAAGTGAAAACAATAATGTACAGAAACATCATTACAAACCGGTAACTGATCAGCAAGTGAGGACAAAAGAAGTTCCTCTCTCACTCACCTAGTATGCGAAACTGTTGGACCGCCTCTCGCGGGGCCGTCCACCGAAATCACCCCTATCGCCGAAATCTCCTCGTCCACGTGAACCTCCTCTTTCACCAGAGTCTCGTCGTCCTCCGAAACCACCCCTGTCACCGAAGCCTCCCCGTCCACCAGAACCTCCTCTTGCACCAAAGTCTCTTCGTCCGCCAAAGCCTTGCCCGCGATCGGAGCCACCTTGCCTGCCAAAGCCTCCGCGTCCACCAAAACCCCTACGGCCACCACCCGAATTCCATACGCTTGAAGGCACTGGTGGCGGTTGCTCCATGCCCCAGCCAAATTCGGCCAGCTTGTTCGCTGCCTCAATCAGCTCGTGCTTATTAGAGTACCACTGGTATCCACCAAATAACCCTTGGAAAGCGGCCTCGAGCTCATCAGGATAGACTTTCTTGAACGCGCCCGATACCTCCTGGAGTATTCCCGATACATGTTCGGGGACTTCGGATTCAGTCGTCATATCCAATGAAGCAGTCTCAAGAGAGCTATCTGTCGTCAGAGGAAGCCTGTTGAGACGCCTGGACACCTCCCTGTGCTCTACTGGGACGGCGAAGAGCCAGCCTTCACCTTCTTTTCCAGCGCGACCGGTGCGACCAATCCTATGGATATACGTATCACGATCTCTTGGGAGACCGATCTGGATCACGTGGGTAACATTCGGGAAATCCATACCACGAGCTGTAACATCAGAAGAAAAGAGAATCGCGGATTTGGCGAGGCGGAAACTGTCCGAGGACTTCGTGCGTTGCCCTTGAGTGAGTTTGGAGTGGATTTCGAATGCATTCAAACCGTGAAGCTTCTTATCTCGCTTGAATCCACCAGATAGCTTATAGAATGCGGAGGAGGCGAGTTTTACTTCGGCCGTAGAGTTGTAATAAACTATGGCCTTGAAGGGACGTCCGGTCTCCTTTGCAGCTTGGGTTTCTCGAAGGACTAACTCGTACAATGCTGGCATTGTGTTCTCAAAGCCAGCCAGATTCACAACCTTTTGAGGAACTCGGTGGTGGGTTGGCTCTTCCTCCTCGTTAATGCACCTGGCAAAATGAAATCCGGGCTTCAGGGTGGCCCTGACAAGCGCCACGACTTCTCGTGGGACCGTTGCGGAGAACATGAGGGTCTGACGGTCGACTTCCTCGGGGTCGGGGAGGTGCGTTTTCAGTTCGTCGATTTCTCGAGTGAATCCTTGGTCCAGAAGCCTATCTGCCTCGTCCATAACCAATGCATTTAGCTGAGGGGCCTTGATACCTGAATAAGGATCGGAAAATATGTCAACTAGACGGCCTGGAGTTCCAACGAGTATGTGGCATCCTTCTCTTTGAGTCTTCCTGAGCATCATATTCTTTTGTGTGCCACCTACGGCTGTTTGGACCACAATGCCAGTCCCAGCAACAACCTTCTGTGCTTCGACAGCGATCTGTTCCGCAAGTTCTCGAGTGGGGGAAATGATAATGGCCTTGATATCATCTGGTCTAGCACGTTTGTAACCGCGGACTCGTTCGCCCAGTGCTGGGTTTTGTTGAATGATGCGCTGGATGACAGGGACGAGGAATCCGAGAGTTTTACCGGTACCAGTTTTGGCTTGAGCAATACTATCATCGTGTTAGCTGAGACAATGCATCATGACATCGAAACATACATATCAGATCCGCTCAGTGCTTCGTTGATAGTTCGAGACTGGACGTCGGTCATGGTCCTCAGTTTCATTTGCTTAGTGATTGTGTTAATCACATTATCATGAACAAGTCCACGCATAGCGAGTTCACTGAACTCAGTTGCCGGTGCGGGCTCGACGCGCGCAGGTTCTGTCGTCTCTTCAGACTGTGTTTGTGCTGAAGCCTCTTGCCACCTCGCGGTTTGGTGGAACGCAGAGACGGATATACGGGGAACATTAGATCTACTTGTGCTAATGATGTTCGACGGTCGAGCCAAAGGTGTTCGTAATATTCGTGAGGAGAGGCAGGGCGTGGGCACGACTCGGGAGAGAGACGCCGGACATCTTCGAAAAGCGCCAAACATGGTGCTTGAAGCAATGGGAGATGGTATTCCTGGTTTCAATTGAAATATGATCGGAGAATTTAATCGTACGATATGGTGTATTTCAAATCCACTGATCCCTTCAGAACAGTTCGAGAGTGTGTATAGATCGGAAGACCAGGCGCTCGATATCTTTAGGAAATTGCGTCGAACTTTTCGAGGGGACGTGCTCCCCGCCGCAACGCGCTAAGGAGAAATGTCGTTATCATCACGTGTAGATAAAGCGTCCAATTTGGCACATGTATAACACCAATGTACCTAGGTAGGTAGGTACTGATCTGAAACTACATCATGCTGTAACTAGATGTAAATGACATATGTGTAGAGGGACAATGTAAGATCAAATTTACTTTTTTCGGTATTTTCAAACATAATGGGAATTCATTCAAAGGTATCATGTCTATAAACGCTGCCATACAGTGGGGTAAATGCTCTAAAATATGCAGAAACCATCAGATCGTGTCTTTCTTTCTGCGATTGCGATTCGAGTCCTTTTCCATTTGGATCATGACGACCCCGTCCGTAATCCCTTGTTGAAGGCCACCCGTCAAGCCGCGGACCCACCAGAGAGTTAGATCGTTGATCGCCTGCCCAACCTTTCCATCGTTCATCTGGCAGACGGTATGCGACAGCTGTAATCCTCTTCGACTCAGCTCATCAACTGTGGTGATACTCTTGCTCATTACACGTTGTGTGATCTGATGTTTTCTCTCGAAGCGATACGCATGACCTAAGAACAGCTTTACATAGGGGAGCAACAGCTGTAGAAGAACGAATGTTTGAAACACTGCAATGGCCGTTAATCGATGGAGCAATGATGGAGGCCCACTATCCTCCACACTAGGATCTTCTTTCTTTTCCGGAATCGAGATCATCGCATGATCGTTGAGATCGCTGTTGAGATCCATGAGACTAGGTGGGATTGCGGCTATGATACCCAGGCTTTCATCAGGAGTCAGGTTTTCTGGCAGTCCTCGTAACAGATAAGTAATTCCATGAAGATATAATTGCCGAGTCAGTGTCACAGACCCTTCGCTCGGTCGTCGTGCTCGAATGCTAGATTCTTGATACGCCTGTGTTGTCAAATTGATACCTACAAGAGATCATCAGATATGTTCGAAATCCCCGTTCAATATCTCTTACCTTGATTTGCATATTTCCAATTGATACCGGTCTCCGACTCCGACAAGGAAAATGGTGGGAGGAAAGTGGAACTTGATGATTGAGGCCGCTCGCTGAGGCTGCCTTGAAACGATGCATCTTCCCCGTCTGTCTCTTCCCCATCGGCCGGTGTGAGTGACAACAGAGTGGGCGTAGCAGTTCCGCTCCCTGGTCTTGAACAGTATCTCGGAGGAGGAGTTGGCGGCACAGATATCTCGGTATCTATGCTTGGACTTTTTGCGTGCAACGTTCGCGTGTGTAGGTCTGTGATGGATCGGCGGAGTGATGGTAGAGCAGGTATGCGATTCTGCACAACAGCCGGGAGAATGGAGAAAATCATGCTGGGCTGAGGGTCTTTCCGGTCTTCCTGTACTTGGAATCCTTCGAACTCCGGTGGCGACGGGTCATGCTGGGCCATGGCAGGTGGAGAGGTTATACCAGTCAACGTTTGTAATGCCACAGACTCAGGGCCAGCGAAAGCAGAATGCTAGGAATGGAGGGTTCAATGATCATGATAATGAAAGAGGACGGGTGCAGCAGGTCAGGATAAAAAGTCACAGTCTCGTATGCCCGGTTCGCATGACGGAAAGTCTAAATTTGTTGCAAACGTTGGTGCAGCTTGGAAGCATGTGAAAGCGTGGATTTGTTGAGCCGACAGCAGGGTCCACTCGATTCGCCATGTGCATGGATAAGTTTGCTATGCACCCAACAGATCACATCGAGCTCCCGCACTACCTAGGTAGATACGAGAAGATACCGGGAGGTTGAGACTCCATAGTCTCCGCATTATGTTCTGCTCCCAGATGTTCTGCAACGAAATACCGGGGACCGGGTGCGGAGGGTATGAGGAATGCTGGTTACAACGAGACCCCCAAAATAGTTTGCGGCACGGTTGCGCTAGCTTGAGTCTTGACTATCTGCGCATCGGTCTCAACACGGTACTGTTCTTATCAGTAGTGCTACGAGTGCATACAAAGATACTGATAAGTCATTAATTAATTGTATCACTTTCCTCTAGATGACATAGAAAATCTCCATCTCTTCAACCAATGTCTTCCACGAACCATCGACAGCATTTTCTCCAGTCGTACTTTCAATATGCACGCTCTGTGCACCTTTGAACCGACTTCCGTCGTCCTCGCTGTCACCGGTGCTCCATTGCACGGATATTTCTTTCCATGGCATAGAGCCATGTCGCTCATGAACATGGCGCAATAGATCCTGTTCGGGGTGCGCAGAGTCCAGTGGAGCATCTAGCGTTGCAAGCATGGACAGGTAGTAGTCGAACAGCGCGAGCGACGGCGATAAGAGCATAAAACATGCGCAGAGATGATCATGTTGTTCCTGCTCTTTCCACCCGCTTTGGCGGCCTCGGGTATCAGAAGAGGCGGCCATTAAGTACGTCTCGGGCGGCATGACCTCCGCAGAGTCTGTTTGGCTGGTGGTCCTGGTCTTCGACATCGTGCTTAGGCTTGAATCTAAGAAGATAGAATCCAGGTCCTGTAGTAGGAAGGCATCCGAATCCAAGTATAAGATTTTATCATAATCTACTTGCTGCCAGATTCGAAGTTTGGTCAGCAACTCTCTATAGGGCGAGTCGCTCAGAAGCTCATCGTGAGGTCCAGCCGGAAGTTCGATAGGTTCCACGACTACGATAGTTGCACCCTCAGCCTCAAGTTTGACTACTTGAGCCTGGGGGGCATCGGACTGGACAAGTACTAAGAACGGCACATCCTCTAGCCTTGTCCTCGTCCGATCCGCATGCCGGATCTGGTAGTTTAACAGTCGCGTCGACTTAAAGTTGATATCTTCAAGAACACTCTGCAATGATCCTTCATCAGTCAAGTTACCGGAGCCCGACAAATCTGAAGAACGTAGGAATGTTGCATATGCGAATTTCTCGGTCGACTTTGAGACTGGAGAAATCAGTGCGCCCTGCTGGAGGGGTAAGGAGAGCGGAGCTCCATAGAGGTAGATCGTGAGACTGAACAGCGCCGCAACCGCAACAAAGGCGCGAACCCTTCTGTTTTCTGACCGCATCTTAACAATTCCGTTGCGGCACCCGTTGAGTAAAGGAGAATCGAACAGCTCTGCTAGGAATAATTCTCTGTCTCATCGAGTGAGTAATATGCTATCAACCCAATATACGCCACGGTTACACAGAACGGTCCAGATTGTCTCGGCTCAATCTGGGCACATTAACGTCTTGATAAAGCTCAGAGGCATAACACGGCATGCTATATATTCAACTCACCAGGTCAGGTCGAAGTGTATTTATTGACTTGCAAAGAAAATCAAGCAGTCAAAAAGTCAAATCACGTAAACAATCAACAAAATGATTTTGGTGAGTGAGATCGCAGATCAAGTCTGCTGAAACTTGTTTCATTTTGTCATAATATAATGGGTATGAAGCCTTGACGCCACCAAAAAATTCAATTCCTAGCCTAGTTCATCTGCTTGATGAGAGCACTGATGTGCTGCTCACGGTTGCCGAGATCTCCACCCTCGATGAAGTGCTTGAACTTCCTGGTGTGGAAACCGCCAGTGGGGTTGGAGAGCTTGAAGGGCCAGAGGAAGTTGGAGGCCTGCTTGAAGTTGGGGCCAACGGTGAAGATCTCATGGATGAGATCCTCAATGGAGATGATTCCGAACTGTCCAAGAACACCCTCAATGACCTCGTTGTCGGTGATGGGAATACGCTGCTTGTTGACCTTTCCGTATCCGCGCTTGTAGAGAAGCTCACGAACGTTCTTGTGGGAAGGATAACCGTAAGCAATGTATGGCTCAACGATCTTCAGCATCTCAAGAGTAGCCTTGGTTGCCTTGATGAATACACCGTTGTTGATCTGGAGAAGACGGAGGAGCTGGAGAGTCTTGCGCTTCTTAGGGTCGATCTTGTTGATACTAGAATATTGTCAGTCGAAGTTTTGCATGCAGAAGGGACTGAATTCCTTACCCCTTGATACGGATGGCGAAGATCAACTTGGGCTCAGCGGGGACGTGGAAAGAGCCATCCCGCTTAGCTGTGCGCTTGGCCTCGATGAGGTCGCGCTCTGCCTTGCGGTATTCCTCGGTGTAGCCTTTGGCACGCTCGAAGATGACGGAGCGCTTTTGCTTATTGGCCTAAGATAGTCTTAGCCAATTGTGATACTCCTAACTGCAGATGCAGATCTAGGGAGTCATATTATCTAACCTCTCGCTTCTTCTTCAACTCGGCAGCGCGGGCATCGTTTGCCTTCTGCTGGGACTTCTGCTTCTTGAGAAGCGTCTCGGGGACGGCGATGTCGTTCTTGGAGGGGACGCTCCTATAGAGAATATTGTTAGCAATGCATCGACATGATGATGAGCGGGTTGACTCACGATTTTGGGGCCATTTTTGCGATTGTTCGAAGATGAAGTGTCGAAGATGAAGAGAGGAAGGACGGGCAAATTTGCTGGGGAATGAATTTGGTTGTGGGCGCTAGTCGTGCCAAGATTTGCTTTCCAAAACACGTGGGGCCGGAGCTAACCCAAATAACTTTTGCTTTTGCTGCTGCATCGCATCGCATCGCATCGCATGCAGTCTCTTCTGCTCTCAAGCAATCGCATTTCTACTAGACAGCAGCAATGGGACGCGGACGTGTAAGTCGTACCTCGCTTGGATTATTCCAATTGATGCGAAAATTTTGAAGTTAACCATGCGTAGGGTGGCGGTCGTGGCCGCGGCAACTTTAGAGGCAAAGGCAAGAATCGTGGTGGTGGCAGCAGAGGCGGAGATAATCGTTCAGAGTCATGGTCAGATATTGTAAGGCAGAATGACCTTTATGAGACCTACTATCGCCAGGGCGGCTTCTTGGAAGAGGAAGAGTTCGAGAAAATGTGGAAAGCCCTGGCCTCAGACCTACCGAATAGCTTCCGCTTCACTGGTACGAAGTCGTAAGTCACCACAGCTTCTATCTTTTGTAGGCGCGATATGTTCTAACTTTTCAGTGATGCGCTTGCCGTCCGCGAAATCTTCAAGCAACGCTATATTCCCAAGATCCAGTCCGTTCAATTCGAGGGAGAGCCTGTTCTTCCGCCCGAGTCCGTTCCAGCTTTTCCAGATGAGTTGGTCTGGCACATGAAGACGCACAAAAAAATCATTCGTCGCCATCCTCCGTTCGCCGAATTTCAGAAGTTCCTAGTGGCAGAGACGACGTCAGGAAACATTAGCAGGCAAGAGGTCGTGAGCATGATACCACCACATTTTCTTGATGTCAAACCAGGCATGGTGGTTCTGGACATGTGCGCAGCACCTGGAAGCAAGTCTGCACAATTAGCAGAGATGATCCATGGCGACGAAGAAGAGCGGGTCAAGAAGGCAGCCAACAGCGACTCTCACGGTACCGCCGATGCGGACGGCGACTACACCGATGATGGACGATCCACCGGCCTGCTCATTGCCAACGATACGGATTACAAGCGTGCTGGCATGTTGGTTCACCAAGTCAAGCGCCTCAACTTCCCTAACTTGATTGTCACACAACATGATGCATCGATCTTCCCCTCCATCGAGCTCCCAACTGCACCAGGTCAAAAGAAGCAGTATCTCAAATTTGACCGAGTCCTTGCTGATGTTCCCTGTTCTGGAGATGGAACCGCCCGTAAGAACCCGAATGTCTGGCAGAAATGGACCCCAAGAGATGGCCTCGGTCTACATGGCCTTCAACTGCGCATCTTGTTCCGTGGACTCCAATTGCTCAAGAAGGGTGGGCGTCTTGTGTACTCGACTTGCAGCATGAACCCCGTGGAGAACGAAGCTGTTGTAGCGAGTGCAATCGTGGCATGCGGAGGCGTCTCAAAGGTTCGATTAGTCGACTGCTCGGATCATCTACCCAATCTAGTGCGCAAGCCAGGGTTGAACAAGTGGAAAGTGCTTGACACGTCCTCGTTGAATGGTGAAGGAAAGACGAATCATATGTTTACAAGCTACGAGGCCTTCCTGAAGACGAAGGAGAAGTATGACGCAGAGCAACCCGGCCGCCGATTCTCAGACAAACTTGTTCCAGGTGTTTTCCCGCCGACCTCCACCTCGGAAGAAGAGCGCATACCCCTTGAGAACTGCGTGCGAGTCTATCCTCACCTTCAGGACACTGGTGGCTTTTTCATCGCCGTTCTTGAGAAGCTGGATGATATCAAGGTTGCCCAACCACAAAACGGCAAACAATCCGAGGCGGCGAAGAACAAGCCGGAGTCTGGGAGTGCAACACCAGCCACTGGTCCCGCATCAGAGCAGCCTGAATTATCGGCCGTGGAGGATGAGGCAGCAGTTGCGCCCGTTTCGCCCACAAAGCGCAAGTTCGATGACGCTGAACTCGAGGCATCGGCCAAGAGGTTGAGGGTGGAACCTGATGTCATGGACCAATCTGCAGGGTCCGAAGCTCCAGACAGTGAAGTACCTGAGGCTGTAGCCAACGGTACACCCAATCCGGAGCAAAAGTCTGAGCCAAAGCCAGAGCCAAAGCAGGTGACCAAGCTCAAGCCGGAGAATCAGAGTAATCAGAAGGAGTACTTCGAGTACCTTCGCGGCGACGACCCTACCATGAATGACATTCTGGACTTCTTTGGCATCTCCCCACGCTTCCCACGGGACCGCTTCATGGTCAAGAACAAGGAGGGACTGCTTCTGAACAAGATCTACTACACTTCGGAACTTGCGAAGACAATCATCTCACAGAACAAAGAGAGAGGCATGAAGTTCATTCACTGCGGTGTTGTCATGTTTGTTTCCCATCGAATCAAGGACAAGGATGTGCTTAAAGCCCCCTGGCGTCTACAGAACGAGGGTATCCAAATTCTCGAACCCTGGGCAACGAAGCGAATCATCACCTGCAAATCGAGAGACACGCTCCACAGGATGCTCATCGAAATGTTCCCTAAGCTACCCAGGGACGGCGATCACGACCTGGGAGAAGTTGGTGAGCAATTGATGGACTTAGATATTGGGTGCTGTTTCATGCGGATCGAAAAGAGCGAGGGCGAGGAGGGATTCCCATTCGACATGGTGCTGCCCGTATGGCGACACCCTGGAAGCGCGAATTTGATGGTGGACAAGGACGAACGCAAAGCCATCCTTCTTCGGCTGTTCAACGAGCAAAACCCACATATTATCAATCACGTGCTAGACAAGGCGAAGGCTGCAGCAGAGCAAGAGGAGGCTAGAGAGGCGGTCGAGGTGATCGAGGCAGAGGAGAACGGCAGCGAGGTGGAGAACGCGGGCGCTGCGTAGAAGGGAAGAAAAAAGACATGCTATTAGTACTGCTTATGCCATCAAATTGTTAACCGCACCAACACCATTTTTTGCCTTAGCAATACTTCCGCAGAGCGCTACTTGATTTGAAGTGATTTTGGGCCCTGACTCATGCGCTTGTGTAATAACATGATGTGTTCATGATAGGTTTGTTCTGTGTGGGCAGAATTTGCATTGTTGTTGGACGTCGTGGAGGAGCACTCCTCAATCAACTGTAGTCCAAAACCAAAATTTGACAGGGATTCAAGAAGCTATTTTTGAGAAGAATATGCACGGCATACGACGGACCTGTATTGTAGCCATGGTGCCGTGCTACTCGTAGAGACTAGAGAGAAAAGCAACAAGCCACGGCTGGGGTAGTACTGGAGGCCATTTCACTCTTGGACCCTGAATTCGACAGTCAGTCTTACTCGTCCTACCTAGGTAGGTAGGTCGGTACTCTCCATATATTAATTTCCACTCCGCTCTACCATTCACACCCATAAATACGAGTTCAGGAGTTTAGTACCCATATATACGAAAACACAGAAAGAGAAAGATCAAGCCAAGTCATGTTTTCCTAACCTAATCATGGATGATATACGACACGGAGGAAATTGGTTTTCTATCCGGAGAGGCCGCGCTGGCTATGCTACTACTGGATACTGACTGATGTACCAATCCAGATCCAGCCCAGCCCACCGCCTTCGTTGTAATCGGATTGCGTTATGACTGACTACCTATACCTGCAAAGTAGACGAGGTCGTTAATTAATAAGGTGAAGACGAACAAGAGGAGGAGATATAGGGACAGGTAATACTCGTAGATTCAGGTTGCTTAGACTAGAACCAAGTCACCCAATAATAATTCACTACCAAAATTCAAGTACCTAACTTATACCTACGTCGTTATCCAATCCAAGTCCAGTATCGATAACGCGCGGTCCGACGTCGTTTAGTTCTCGGCTTCACATTTTTGGTAGGTCGGCCCTATCGGTCCCTCCACTTCCTCCTCATTTTGTGCCTGCCTTGTTCTTGCCTCGCTTCTTCGTCTACTACTTCCTCTTCTCTCTTCCCTCTCTCTCGGCCTTCCTCGCCTGTCGTAGTCAGTGCCTGCGCAAAGTCCAAGGGCATGCTCGTTGCCCTCCCCCCTCTCCCTCCCTCCTACTCCTCCACCTCCTGCTCTGCGACGTGCGACGACCACCCCACGCATCGCAATGGATCCGTTTGGAGCAGACACCGCTAATGCTGCCAGACGAGCGGCCAAGAAGGACATGGAGGTGGAGAGAACAAAAGAGCGTGAATTCTATAGGTAACTGATTTCCTCTCCTCATTCACCCTTCTCGTTCAATGCTAAACCCCTCCACAACAGATACTGGCACTTTTCGCAGCGCCCCAGACTTGGCTCTATTGCTGTCTCGAGTTCTCACGCCCAAGGAACCTTTACCGACGCTCCCGTGCACTCGCCCACACACCTACAATTGCCAGTACTCCCAGCAGGGCCCGTTCAAACTACTTTCCCCTCTGACGATAAGGCGCTCACAGCCTTCGCGCAACTCGGCGCCCTTCGCCTCAATGCCCGACGATGCCTGATCTCATTCTTCGACAGACGGAACTGTTATATCCTGGCTGAAGCGACCCGCACGTTGAGTCTCGAGACTGGCCAGGCTCAAATTGCGGGAGATCGATTGTGTTGGGGAACTACCGCTTTCCCAAAGCATGAGAGTGTCTGCTATTCTACCGTCAATCTTCCTATGCTAGGCTGTGCGGGCCGGCCAAACGACTATAGCAATGTCCCTACTTTGATTGTTAACGATCTTTCTCTGGACGACCGCTTCAGGAACTTTTCTTTTGTTTCAGGCCCTCCATACTCTCGCTTCTATGCAGGTGTGCCCATTCGAAGCCCTAGTGGCCACAGTATTGGCACATATTGCGTGTTAGACGAAGTCCCTCGCAATGGGCTATCAGAGACCGAGATCTCGTTCCTTAAGGACATGGCCAATACCGTAATGCGACACCTGGAGATGATGAGGGCAACCGATGACCACCGACGCGGTGGGGTCATGGTTCGTTCGTTGGGGTCGTTTGCTGAGGGGAAATCAAGTTTGGAAGATTGGTGGCAAGACCCTTGGGAGGCTGCCGAATCCACGTCGCCTGTGCCAGAACAACTGCCCCTATCACGGAAGCGCCGATCAAACACAGTCAATTCAGCAGTACCACCTCATTTGGATTTCCAAGAGACGATAGCCATTCCAAGGAAGGACAGCGGGGAGTCCCTTAGCCCGAGTGTAAAGAGCCCAATCGCGACTTCGCCCGAAAGTGGACCTGGTAGCATCACCCCGGCGTCCGAATTGATGTTCGATTCTCGTCCCTCGAAGACCGCATCGGCTACGAAGAATGAACCCCAGCAGAACAGCATTTCCCCCGAGGTCAGAACGACATTTACCAGGGCCGCTAACATGATCCGTGGCGCAACTGAATCGGACGGCACGATATTCTTTGATGCGAAGGTCAGCACGTTCGGTGGACTTGTGGACGATGAGTTCCTTCCTGATGCGGAACCTGGGCAAGACAAAGCATGCGCAATCTTAGGTGCCGCAACAACTGCAGGAGCTGCATCTGCCTCACCCGATGGTACCAACGTAATGTACGAAAGTTTCCTTCGACATCTACTGCGGACCTATCCCCACGGCCAAATCTTTAACTTTGACGATGATGAAGAGCCGACTTTTCAATTCACCGACCCATTCGGAAATGACGCCCCCAAGCCGTTGACGGAGACATTGGCGTTCATAAGCTCAACGACCAAAAGACCGGAATCAGCAAAAAGTCAGGATGATGAGAATCTCCTCAAGGAAGTGTTCCCGAATGCCAGAACTCTCGTCTTGTATCCGTTATGGGATTCTCACCGTGACCGGTGGTGCGCTGGCGCTATCATGTGGAGTTGTGACCCCATCCGCGTTTTCACGTCCGAACAAGAGCTTAGCTATCTTGCGGCATTCAGTAACAGCATTATGGCCGAAGTAGCGCGTCTTGATGTTAAATTAGCAGATGCTGCGAAGGGAGACTTCATCTCATCGATTAGTCATGAGTTGAGATCCCCTCTGCATGGTATACTCGGTTCCTGCGAGCTTCTCAGAGATTCTGAGATCGACAATTTCCAGTCAGGCATGACACAAACCATCGAAACCTGTGGAAAGACGCTGCTTGACACAATAAATCATGTATGTATAATTGTATGTCTTTGCCTCCATTTCATCGCTAATTTGGACAGGTACTGGACTTTGCAAAGATAAACAATCTAACACGAGGGACGTCGAAGCGCCTAAAGAAGCGCTCACAAAGCACCAAGCATACGATCAGTCCGGCACAGAGCCACACAAATGATATTCTAACCCTGATCACCGACGTTGATCTAAGTGTTCTGACAGAAGAAGTACTCGAGACTGTCTTTGCTGGACACAACTTCCAGAAATCAACGACACAAACATTCTACGGGCAAGGGCAGGGACAAGGCGCCCCTGGCTCTGACTCGCAGCCCATATCTATCATTGTTGATATCAACAAGAGTAGCAACTATGTGTTCCGTACACAGCCTGGCGCTTGGAGACGGGTGCTGATGAATCTCTTTGGAAATGCCTTGAAATACACTCCGGCCGGCTATATCAAGATCAAGCTACAGGTGACACCCAGCAGAGATCCAGAGGATGAGCACTCCGAGCTTCGATTGATTTGCACAGATTCTGGTATTGGCATGTCCGAGAACTATGTTAACAACAGGCTCTTTCATTCATTTGCCCAAGAGAACCCCTTAAGCCAAGGCACTGGTCTAGGTCTCAGTATCGTCAAACAGATCGTCGAATCGCTTGGTGGTGACGTCGAGGTTCGCAGTGAGAAGGGCTACGGTACAAAATTTACTGTCTACTGCCCGCTCAAGAGTTCGATGCTCTCACCCGCTGTTCGCTGCGTTACTCCTGAGAAACAACTGCTTTCCATCACAAAGAGGACTCAAGGCATGAACGTCCAATTTGTAGGATTCGACGAGGAAGACGAATACTTCACGCCAGTGAAGAGTCTGAAGAACAAAAATGCTACTCTACTGAGCATGAAGGCTTTGGACAATCTTTGCACCGATTGGTTTGAAATGAATGTTTACAAGCAGGGCGATCCTAACCAGCCAGCTCCGGACCTGTTCGTGGCCACAGAATCCGGTGCTAGACGCCTGCGTGCAGATAACAGTAACAAGCTGGACCGCGTTCCTGCTGCGCCAGTGATAGTGGTATGCCAGGGCGCTGCATCAGCGCAATCGACAACCGCAATTACAGTGCCAGGACAGATATTCGAATGCATAGCGCAACCCTGCGGCCCACATAAGTTCGCCCAAGCCTTGACTTCTTGTCTGGATCGCCACGCTGCGCGCATCGTCTCCTGCGCAACAAAGGCCGATTCTGAGTCTACGTTGCCACCAGTGGAGAGCCTATGTTTGAAGGAGAACCACGTCCCAGTTCAGGATAATTCCCTGAAACCAGCACGACCAACCACACCCGATATTAGAAATAGCTTCCTCGACATCCAGCGACCGCCAATGACTACTGCGCTTAGTGCGCCAGAGGTCCGTTCTGTGAATTCCAGTCCAGTACGGGGCTCGAAGTCCACACACCGACCACTTAATTGCCTTGCTGTGGACGATAATCCAATCAACCTCCGACTTCTCCGTACTTTTGTGGACAAGTTACACCACAGTTCCCTGCTCGCCACCAACGGTGTCGAGGCCGTAGATGCATTCAAGGCCGCCAGCACAGGAACACGAATCGACGTTGTGCTTATGGATATCAACATGCCAGAGATGGACGGTCTAGAAGCCACGAGGCAGATCCGCGCTCATGAGCGGGACGCAGGGTTGCCGCCAGTGACTATCATCGCATTGACGGGAGTAGCAAGTACGGAGGCCCAGCAGGAGGCCTACATTAGCGGCGTGAACTTGTTCCTCATCAAGCCAGTGAGGCTCTCCGAGCTCGAGGTCGTGCTGAAGGGCGTGGTTACCTCGGAAGAAAAGAAGGACGATCCTCGAGTATCGCCTCAAGGGCAATCGCACAGAAGGGTGCTCAGCACGATCGAGTAATTTCAAGTACGACACCGTTCCATTCTCCAGAGATGAATAAGCCTCGCAGCCGGCTTCAAGGCTTTTTCCAATCCCATCATTTTCCCTTTCCAAGCTCCCTTTATCATCTTTTTCTTTCTCTTTGCGGTTTGGAGTGGCGTTTATTAGACCGTCCGGAGCATGCACTCGGTGCGTTTGAGGAACCTTTCGGTGTTTTTGCTTTTTTTTCGACACCGAGGTTGGGTACAGTGCATAGCGTAGGCGTTTTGTCTTTCTTCACTGTCTTTTTTGTCTCCCATTTCCCTCACCCCTTTCTAGAAGCAGTGAGAAGGTGGTGGTGGGAGGGGAGTGATATATCTTCCCCTACATTGGGCGCAGTCTTGGGGCGCGGTCTTGGGGCGCGGTCTTTGGCGTGGGCAGGAGAGTGGGAAGAAGGAGTTCTCATTTGCATTTTGGCTCTTTACCTTTGCTTGACGCTGCGCTGCAGCTGGTGGTAGTTGAACACTTCGTTACTCCTCATGGAACGGGGTCATCCCTTTTTGCCCTCTTTTCCCATGTTCTCTTTTTTTCTTCAACCTATTTACATATTTGATGGATGACGACCGATGACCGATTCTCGATTATCAAAATCAAAAGGAGCGCTCCCCGAGAGAGAGAAAATGAAAGGAAGGAGCATCAGAATTTGATTTAACGACCAAACGTACAACAACGACAATGAACAACATTAACGAAGGAGAGAGATATTAAGGAAGAAAAATGAACATGTAAAGTGGGCCGACCATAAACTTTTCGATCTTTGAATCAATCTATCATGAATCTTGGGTACCAATCATATCTGGGGTACCAATCATTCTTTTTTTTTGCTCTCGCTCGCTTCACATTGTGCTGTCGTTGACAGTATGGCGTGCTTGCTGATTTCAACGGGTGGGTCAGTCGTAGGGAGAATATCATGTCATAGTTTCAAATTGAATACAGAAGCCAATCTCATCAGATTGTATGCAACGTCAACACGTGGAAAGACATATTTCGAGAGTGGAGCATGAGGAAGAAAAGGTGGGACGTGAATTTGTTTTGTTCTTTTTTTTGTTCGCTTTATATCTAAAAAAAAAAAACAAGAATTCGGCTTTGCATTATGCTCCCGCCTTGAAAAACTCCCTAATCTTGACGCGCGACGAAACTCTCCGATCCACATATCCAGATGTAAATATTTGACCAGATCTCACACGAGGAAAATGAAGCGACGAAATACGGTTACCGAGTATGAAAGCTTAGAACAATGACTTCAAGCGTCCGGCATTGTGGCCCATTTCCAGATTCGTTAACATGTCAGATTTAGTAGTGGGAGCCGCCGTGGTTGCGGCGCTGCATCTCGTAAAAGTACTCCTTGAGGGCAGAGCCCATGATGAAGTAGATCTCGAAGAGAATGACCTGGGCAAACAGGAATCCAAGGACAGCCATGATGGTGGAAATCTTGAAGTAGAGCTTGATCAAGCGGCCGCGAGCCTCCCAGGTGAAAGACCTCCATGCATCGACGAAACCAATGGCACCGGAACCGCCGAGGATCTTGGGGACAACCTTTCCGGCGAAGCTACGGTCAAAGGGGACGATAGTGTCCTGGTCTTCGGGCAAGATGGATGCCTCGACGCGGATGAGGGTCACGAGAGCAGGAAGGACGATGAAGAGAGCGCTGAAGAGGAGGACGAAAAGCACGGCGACGAATCGGAGGATGAGCGAGGTCCACTGGGAGCTGTTGTAGTCACGCATCTTCTCGGGGTCAAGATTGTCGAGTCCAAGGACGATGGCGAGGCCCTGTGCGAGGTAGGCGGAGACGTGGACAGCCGAGGCCTGGACCGCAGCGGGGAGGACGAGTGCCTTCCAGTTGGAGCGGGGAACGAATCGCTCCTTGAGACTCTTGTCAGTGGGCATGGAGATGACCTTGTGTGTCCAGGTTGCGTGGAGGTTGGCAACAGCGACACCAGCGATAACGGAACCGAACATGGCGTTGCCGGGAAGGAATGAGGTCATGCCTTGAGCGATGACAGAGACCATGGAGAAGGAGATGGAGTAGAGAACATGAAGCTTGTATCCCCGGAACCTTGACCAGCGGCCGGCATGGGCGACGAGGTGGCGGATGGTGCCGCGAATGCTCGAGGTGATGGGCTTCTGGTGGACGAGGGTGATGGCAGGGCCAGTCTCGAGGAGACCCTCCTTGGAGTCGTGGACATCGTCCTCGTTGGGCTGGGAAACGGTGATGGCAGCAGAGGGAGTCTCTACCATGCAAAGGGTCGCGATGACATCTTTGAGAGTGTACTCAAGCTGATTTGGATGTTAGACGGACATATATCAAAAGACCGAGGGTCGTTCTAAGCAAAGGAGTTACTCACAAGACTGAGACCGATAATGATGGCAAAGAAGGTTACGCCGAACACGACCTGACCCCAGACGGGAACCTCAAGCTTAGGAGCGTCCTCGACAGCCCTCTTGAAGAGGTTCGAGACCGAGGGGTGCTCGACAGATCGTCGAGCGATGTAATGGACGTAGCCCATTTTGGGAGGGTTGTGAGATGTGGCTGAAGGAAAGTAAACAGAGGATTCGAGATACTAAACGGGACAAAGAGAAACAATGGGTTATTGAGGAGAAGGAGTATGGTATTATTATGTACGAAAAGGAAAACGGAGATTTAAAAGGAAAGTGGGTGGAAGGGATGTTTTAAGATGATGGAGGATGGATGATTGAGAGACAAGAGGGACGAGAGGGAAGGGAAGATGAGACGGAAGTGGGAGGAGGCGCAGGCCCCCCGTTGCCGCCTAGCGCATGGACTCCCATGAATCCTCATGTCCCCAAGACGGGTTAGCCTATAACTATAATTGGTTATCGATTGCCTGCTTGAAGTTCCCCATCGGACTTCCTCTTCCTACAAAGTATGAGAAGGAGAACTCATATTATCAATCCACAATCATTATTACATATATCATATTCCTGAGATCATCATGAGCATAAAGCAAAATATAACACTCCTCTTCCTCCCCCTTCAAATCAGTGACAAGCGAAACAAATAGAAACTTCGCCCCCTCCTATATCTCGTATACCAGCCCAGATCCAATATTCCTCACGGCGGCGCTAAGACATACGGTTTGCTCGTGGCAACTGGACAGCCTTGTCCAACTTAGCTTCACCGGTGACAACAACAGTATTCACCATGTACACACTTGAAGAAACTACCATTCCTTCAAGACACATACTAATTGAAAAGTACTTAGCCCTTGCTACATCTTCCCGGACTTCGGCGTCGCGGTCGTTTGATGTACCGCTCCGACTTAGGAGCATGACGTTCGTCTGTAGGATAGGTATACTCTTCTTGGTCTGCCTCTGAGGTACCTAAGCATTATCACAACGTATCCGTTTGCACAGAAGATACAGGTAGAAAATCATGGATGCGACGGCAGATTGCCACAAAGCTTACTGCTATCTGATCAATCTCATTCGCACGTACCAAGGGTCGTCGCACGCAACGGCTACGTCCCTCAAGAGTCTCGCCCCATCCCGTCCTCACATTCGTCCGTAACGCGCGGATCGGAGTGTTATTCATCCCCCGTGCCGACTACAAATCCTACTCGTGCCATCTCCATACGCGTGTCCATCATCCATGTCCATACAAACCGCGTATGACGTTATCTTGGCGGTTCCCATTCCTCCAGAGATACTGCTCTATTAACGTAGCTGAAACAATCATATCACACAAGCACTATGGTATCTTTTGCTGAACATTAAGAAATGATATGATACTTCCTGAGAGAACACCTTAGGTACAAAGAGAAGAAAAGGGAAAACAAAGAGACCTCCTTTCTTTCCCACCTCGTGTCCGTCTTTTCCGTCCCTCAAAACCCTATGCATGCCAGCAGAGAACCGTTGTTAGGAAGATACTATCAGGAATGTCAAGACACTAAGTCCGTGTGCGAAAGGAAAACTCCCCCACCAGGGGAGGGCGCATAACATGTGTCTGTCGTTCAATTTCAACCAAAAGACGTGTGAGATCGCCAGGCGATCGGGAGGGGGGAAAGAAGTCGTAGTCGAGAAACTAGTGATGTGCATAGGCATACATTATTCCGTGGCTATCGTCAAATATACGGTGTTGATGTAGGGTGATTTGTGGTGTGATTACGTTTTCCAGGCTCGGTAGCCTTCCCCATCAGATCGGATTGAGAAAGCTATGCTAGGATCGGTCGTCCAACGGTCGGTCGCTGTTTAGATAGCAGGCTCGGGAACAGCGGCGGTCTCGGGAGCTGGCTCATGCTTGGGGGCAACGGGGAAATCCTCCTTCTTGACCTCGGGTGAGGCAGAGCGGCCACGGTACTGGTTGAAGGTCTCCTGTGCCTTGTGGGTGTACTCGCCGGCATAGGTCTGGAAGGTCTTCGCAGCCTGTCCGGTATGTTGTGCAGCCAGATCACGAACCTGTGCGGCTTGCTGGCTGGCCAAGCTGCTGGCCTTCTCGAGGTGTGCATCAATGACCTCCTTGTTCTTGATGTAGATCAGGGGAGCCAAGTACGCAACAGTAGTGGCAATCAAGCTCAATCCCCAGAGTGGCACGAACTTGATGAGGAAGTAGGAGATGAAAGAAGCGAAGAAAGCCTAAGTCATCGATTAGCTGGGTTTGGAGGGCCAGGGAATAAACAAATGCTTACTGCGCCCGTAGCGTAGACATTCTCGGCGAAGACGATCCTTTGCGACTCGATGACGAAGAAGTTGATGAACTGCTCCACATCGTCGAGAAGGCGCTCAAGAGAAGCCTTGGGAATAGTGAAGTATGTCCTGGGGCGGAACTGAGAGGTCAATCCGCGGCCCAAAACAAGCTTTCCGGCGACCTCGGCGGTGGCAGTTGCTGGACATCATAAGTGATAAGTTTACAGAGTTTGTATCCGGGAACACGTACCACCCAATGTGAGGTACAAAGCCTTGAAGATGTAACGGATCACGTTCAGGTATCGAGCGGCGAAGATGAAGAGAACGGAGGCGGCGAACGAGATGGCGGTAGCGCGAGGGTTCCTCCACTATACAGAGTCAGAACAAGTCTCATGAGGAGGTGTGTATTTTGCCAGTGTCGTTGCCTGAGAAGCTCATGCCCGCCTACATACTGCTGCCCAACGCGGCACGAGGGCAAAAGAGGAACAGCTAACTTCAGGCATGCGGCCAACGACACTGATTGTAGGATAGGGAAGCTAGGAGACGTACGCTGAGAAGGCGATAGAACAAGCTGTGGTAGTCTATGTTCAGTCAGCCCCTACTCCACACAAAATAACAGCTCGCGTGCGCGGACATACGGGTCAAGGGCTGTCCGGTCGCAGCAGGCTCATCAGGCGTTTGACGGGCGTTGGCGAGGTCGGCAAATTCGTTCTTTGTCTTTGCAGTCTCTGCCTTGACATTTTGGGCGACAGGACCTAGGATAGTTAATATCTAGAGCTCGGGGCCTGGTGTGGAGGCATTTTCTGTGATAAGGGACACTGTGTCGCGAGACCACTCGTTAGCTTTTTTTTGAACATGTGAAAGTGGAGACCTGCAAGAAAGCAGGAAGTGGTGTGTGTGTGATGTACGTACCTCACCATTTTTGAGGTTTTGAGTAGTCGGGTGGTTCGAAACGGCGGCCATTGCGTTCTGTGCAGCTGTTGAAGCTTGTTAGAGAGAAGAGTGGAGAGAAAGCAGGAGAAGGAGAAAGAGGAGAGTGGATGGTGTGCGAGGTGCAGATAAGACTGTTGGTGCGGTGTCTAGGTGCACAAAGTACAAGGTAACGAGGAGAACCTAAGGAGACTGTACAAAGTTAGGCGCGGTCTCGGCAATGCCCGGAGGGGTTCATGGCTGGATTTGGTTCTACTTGTAGTAGCTCTGGTCCGCCGCCTACGTACCTTACAGTTTATGATGCTATCCTTTGTGGAAGTCGTGCTGGTGCTGGTAGCGGGTTGCTGCTGGCTGTGGTCTGAGGCACCGTTGGTAAGGATGTCGGCGTTGACGGGTGCGGAGGGATCCAGATCGTCAAGTGCTGGCAAGTCGTTCTTGTCGAGATTGATTTGCGGCGGCGCGTCAGACATTTCTTGTTTTGCGAGCCGGTACGGGCGATATGCAGTGTAATGGTTGGGAGCTGAGCAAGCTATTGCTTTTGCAGGGAGGCCGCGTAGAGTTCAGTTTTGAGGATTGATCTACGCCTTCGAAGTTAGAGGTGTGCTGGTTTTTTTTCTGCTTTCGGGAGTATGGAGAGAGAAGAAGAAGATGATGAAGTAAAAGAAGAAGATGTATGGGATTGTGTTTGTGCTTAAGGGAAGTTTTGTTGTGTGCGTTGACAACAGCGTCACAGACTGTTTGGGGGGCAGCAGGTGGGCTCGCGTGCTTGCTACTCTTCAGGTTGTGGTTATGACGTTTCACGCTAATTAGTCTCAGGGTAGGGCTCAGCAAAATATAGTCAACAAACATGTTATTAATTCCTGTCTCGCAATCATCTTCTCCACTTTTAAAACAAAAAGGGGGAAAGGAGAAGAGTTTGTATCATCAGAACGATGTCATCGCTACATAATTACGACCCAGGCACCGATCATGGCCACCACACTTCTCGTAGGTGGAACATTGGAGAACCTTATGGGTTGGGCTGGGCTGCACTCCGATAATACATGGTAGCAACTGCCACAGTAGGTAGAGCCTGCGGAGGAAATTGCGTGTCGCAGCAGCCTGGAAGAATAATGCTGTGGGCAGGAAGGTGCAGTCCCAGTACAAGCAAAGACAGTTCGTGAAGGAGAAATGGTACACGAATCAATTAATTATTTGGTTCTCATGAATGGAGAACATATTAAATAAGTGGAAGTATTATTGCAAGTGCGGTAGTCGTGGCTGGCATGTGAAAATGAGCATCCCACCACCCAGCTGTCCCAGTCCCAGTCCGCCGTCTACCAAACAAGCTCTGATGATGACGATTAGCCCACCCCAATCAAGTAGACTACCATTGACTACCACAAACTACCCACAAAAGCGATGATGCAAGGCTGATGAGCACGCGAGCATCCATTCCTCACCTTTCCTCTCCATACTTTCAGAGAATCCCATGCGCAATGGATCTTTTCTATTCATAGCAACAATCCCTTTGGGAATATCCAACATCATTGACCCCTCATCGTCAATCCATTCCACCACCATCACCGACCATACCACGTACAGTACGGGTGCGGCTAAGGCATCGTATGTACATCATTGCCTACCTGAGCGTGGATCCCTTCTTCTGGATCCCTGGGAACATCCGCTGGCGGGGTGCGGACCTGCATCCACACAGCATCTACTAATCACCTGGGTAGGTAGTTACCCAGGTGCCGGGCCAGCTTTCGCTCTGCTTTCCACTTTTGCGGGATTGGTAGTGTTGCAATTGTCCATGTGCAGAGTAGTAACTAGGCTATGTGCTTTGTCATTGTTAAGGTCCAAGTGGTTGTTCCCTATTCACAGTTCACCATCAAGATATATATCCAGCGTAACAAACCTCAATTCTGATAAGACATTGTTTTGCTGATGCAGAAAAGCGTCCAACAACAATCAGATATTTCCGGATTCAAAACTATGATGCAAGAAATCCTTACAACTCCAAACGTATACTAGGGTGGGAAGGCCTCCGCATTGCGGACTGGTGGTGCACCAGCATCTCTCTACCAAGCATCACCAACACAGACGATACCATATCACTACCTAACAGCAAACATCAATATCAAGATCCTGATACTACTACTAGAGATCTTTATGATACGACTATAGACTCCGATCACCGCGGAGCAATCCAGTCCTTCCCCGACCTCTCTACCTCTCTCTGGCTATGTGGCAACCAATCCGCTACGCATTCACCATTTTCGGGTCCACCAAAGTTCGGTGCGGGTCTACCATCTACCCACCTAGGTCTGGCCAGACTCTGTACCTGCCTGTGTCTCTGGCTCTGGATCTCTCCTCTCCATGTGCCTGGTGAACGGGACAAGAGTCACGGGACAGGACAAGTACGAGTTCCATTGTTCCAGACTGCACGACCACTTGATCATCTCCAGTCAATTGGCATCTGTATATAATGAGTACGCGGCGGTCGATTGTCAAAGCCTTCTGACGAGTACGTAGGCGATGTGGGCCACGCGAGGTGTTGGATTGCCAAATCCAGCACGGTGGGGAGATGCCGAGTTGAGTGTGGGAAAGGGGAGCCTGTTGTAAGCATTTTCATCTTTCCTTTTCCTACTCAATGGAGATAGACAGCGATGATGAATATTAGCAAATTGTCTTGGCGCAGAATGACAAATTTGCTCTCAAGCAGCAGTTCCGTTTGTAGGGAGTAAAGGCATCGCCATTTCTTTTTTTCATTTCCTTTTCAAATACGGAAGTATTTAAAAGAACCAAGTTATTTGCCGTATACGAAGCCGAGAAAGCCCGATCGTGGATACCAAGGAGGACCCGCTGCTTATGAACCAATATTTTTCCCCATTGCCGATGATGAAGCTTTGAAACGATGCCCTGGCGCCGAAGATGAAGCGGTGGTGATGATTATGAGATGCCTGGGCGCGCATCTTGCATAGGGCAACGGACTACGACAGGGACAGACATTGTTAAGTTAGTGCGCGGATCCGAAACGGTAGCGAGGGGAGGAGGAGGGCTTTTGTGAGGTTAAATAAAATGATGAATTGAAGTTTACTTGTTGGATGCGGTCCAACTGGATTAGTAAAGCTTGGTTCGGAAGAGGTACGGAGACTTTTTTTTCACGGTTGTGGATGGGGCCGAGCGGCGGTGTGAGCGGTACGAGGTGAGGTGCAGAGGAGAATTGGCATGGTGAATGGAAATCGTCGTCGGTTTGAAGGATGATGGATGCTTGCTCATGAGATAGTCCCGTTCTGCCATGTGGTAACATGTGCTCCGGTCAGCCTCGGGTGTCGCCTAGATAACCGTCTGATGGGCACGAGGACGAGCCGGAGCGGAGCAGGGAGCGGTTGGGGAAACTGGACATGTGAGGAGTAGATAGATAGCTGGGCCGGAAACAGACCTTCAACAGGCGACGCGGGGTTATTGTCTATTTCACTTGGGAAGCCTTAAAGTCTTGGGAATAAGAGTTGCTGTACTGTGTAGTTACTAGGTAGAGTTAGAGGAGAGAGAGATGCAGGGTGTGCTTGGATCCATCCACCATCCTGGCTGTCGTCTGTCCTGGGTGGGGGTCGACCACCCAGCCCACCCAGCCCAGATCGGACCTTTTCCCTTTGCCATACAATACACAGTCCTGTGAATTCGCAATTCAATTTTATCTCGCAAATCTTGACAAACGCAGAAGGTCATTAGTTCAACCATTGTCACAGTGTGCATGTAGGTATGTTATCGATGCAAGGCCGATAGCTGGCCATGTCGTGTCATGGGAGAACGCCGACACCAATTCAACAGCGAGGTAATTGCCCACACAGGACTCCGTACTCCGTATGTCCACATGCACACATACGCACTCGACGCATTGAAGATCTGCTCGTTTGTACGGCGCACTATGGCTGGTGACTTGCTGCGAGGGGGCAGATGGCGGTCTACACGGTACGAATAACTACAACAATTAATACCTCGCAACAGGGTCTCCGTAGTCTCGTAGATGCAGCTACAATGCCCGCGGGCGCCAGCGTGACCTTTTCAAGAGGGTCGACCTGAAATGGAGGGAAGATCGAGACCACCGCAGCCGCAGCGCCTACAGCGGGACAAGGATCGTCGCAGGCCCCACCATGGAGGTTGTCTGTCTGTGGTTATGGACTTACAGTTACCTCCAAAGCGGTCAGATTCAATAGTCATGCCTGACATGCAAAAGGGACCTATAAGCACATGAGGCGTGTGATGTGTCTTAGTTGGCTGGTTGGTAGGTTGGTTGGTGACAGATAATCGGATGGGATCGATGGGGTTGATCACACACATAATATACACAAACATCCACGAGGCAGAAGACTGAGGAGGATGATGAGGAAGAGGCGAAGGAGTATGATAGATGACATCTCAAAGGCAGGCCAGCGCAAGACAGGGCAACGCAAGGCAGCGCAGCCAATAGTTTCAAGGCAAAGTAACCAACAGAAGATGTGTTAGGATTTCCAGGTCCAAGGACTTTGCTGAGGTAGGGTAGATAATAGCTTCTGTGTTGGGTATTGTCACTCGAGTCCGGACTGGACTGGACTGGATTGAGCTGGATTGAATCGATGGTCGCACTTGGTAACTCGTAGCTGAGGATCGACTTGTCTCCGCACCAAAAATCGAACACGCCAACCAACGTATACTTCGTTGTCCCTTGTCCTTGAATCTCAAATTCCCCCAAGCCAATCTGCGAGTACCAAGGCCACCCGGCGCGTTTGGCAGAGACATGACACTCCCATGGATTTGCTTGTACCCGCTCCCCTTGCCTCGTGGACGTGGGCGCGATAAGTAATTTCTGTTTACACCGTACCGTATAGCAGGTAACTAATGTGTACGGAGCCAATGTGTCTAGTATTCGTTATTGTGCCTGGATTATGGTATCGTTATTGTACGGAGTCTGAATCAGGTATCTATCTATCTCCGTCTACCTAGTTATCTGGCTATCATATCATGTTGAGCTAGTGGCGAGGTGGTCCCGTGTCCGTATGCGAACAAATAGTATGTCCGGACATGCGTACAGGTAGGTCGTTTAGGAGTGTATGCGTATGTATTGCATTGATCTGGGCAGGTAGGCTGGCTTGTGAATGGCGTCTGTTGTGTTGATAAAGAGTGGGTGTGAGTGGGTGGAGGGATGGACGGATGGGGGAATGGAATGGGTGGGTTGGCATGGCATGGCATGGCAATAACGTGTATCTTCTACCGTCTACCTGTACTGTGTAGTGTGTACAGTATCTTTCCCTGGATTGGGAGGAGTAGGAGTAGGAGTAATAGCAAATACTAGTAACAGTTAAGAGTGGTCACTGGTAGTCGATCCTCGTGGTGGTTATGTTATCTATCTAGTGTGTGGTCTGTCTCATCATTGAACCCTTTGAGTCTACCCATAGTCTCATAGTCTCATACCAAGTCTCCTACTAAACCCCCATATACCTTGCGATAGCCGCCCACCCACTCATCTTCCCTTTCCCTTTCCCTCTCCCAACCTCCACTCACTCCTCTTCCCTCTTCTTCAACCCTCTCTTTCTCTTTCTTTCTTTCTCTCTCTCTCTCTCTTCCTCTTCTATCCTCCACTTCTCCACATACCTCACCGACTCACACACCTATGACCTATATCCTACATCGACATCTACACTCCCGCATCTTCCTCTACCAGAATCGCCCCAACCCAACCTTCAACCATATCGCCATCACCACCTATCGCAAACAAACTCTCCTCCTCGTATTGATTCCGCGCTCTCGGTACCCTGCACACTGCACACTGCACACTGCACCGCCCAACCAACCGTGCACCGCACCGACTGTCCATTCACACAATTACCAATTAACACGCAATCCCTCCTCCGATCTCTTTCAAATATTATACGAACCATCATACCATACCTATTTGTATACTCGTTCGTGTACCCATTCGTGTACACCTTCGTATACCTATTTGTATTTGTATAGTATTACAGATATGGTCCATGCGCTACCTCCGCTACTACGACTTCGCCTTCATTCATACATCAACGCCGCCCCCGCCGCTGCTGTCACCGTCACTGTTACCGTCACCGTCACTCAACACCCACGTTGATAATACTGCCACCCAAACAGCTCGCCCTCTGCGGAGGCACGAGTCTGTTCGCTAACATATCCATATCCATATCCTCGACGGCGCCATGATACTCCCACGGACCCTCTACAGCGATGTACCACCAGAGCGCCGCACTCGCGTATCCAACAACCCTACCCTCCTGTATAGCTGGTGGTGCACCATCTTCTCCCTCGTCATCATAGGCTTTCGCATCTCTGGTCGCTATATTCGCAACGAACGACTCTTCCGCGAGGACAAAATCATGGCTTTCGCCCTCCTTCCGCTTCTGGCAAGAATGGGCTGTATCCATGTTGTCCTTATCTACGGCACCAACAACGTTGACGCCGATGGCCTTACTGATCCCGTAAAGATTCATCGTCGCGAAATTGGTGCAAAGTTGGTTCTTGCAGCAAGAATCTTCTACGCACTATTGTAAGGTGTACCGTCATTACTTTGCACATGTACATTCTAACGCCGTGAATAGCATTTGGACAGCCAAGTTCACCGTCTCCGAGTTCTTGAAGCGCATGACGGAGCGTTTCTGGAAGCGAGGGTACGAATTCGGCCTGAGAGGCATCCGCGTCTTCCTCGCAGTCACCTTTGTCGCTGTCGTCATAGCCACTTTATCAGAATGCCGTCCATTCAATCACTACTGGCAGGTCATCCCGGACCCTGGCCCGCAATGCCGCCAGGGCTATGCGCATCTCCTCACAATGGGCATAACCGACATCATCACCGATCTACTTCTGATATTCTTTCCTATTCCGATCATCATGCGCTCCGGTATGGGCAAGAGGAGAAAAGCGTCCTTGATCGCCCTCTTCTCCCTGTCCTTCGCGCTCATCGCCATAACAGGAGCGCGCATTCCACTCGTCATTCATCGCCGCGGGATACAGCAATTCCGAACCGTCTTTGCATCTTCCGAGATTCTGGCTGCCGCGCTTGTTTCCAATGCCATCATTCTAGGATCTTTCCTCCGCGACCGAGGGCCGAAGAAACCAAAATACAAGCCTAGCTCTGCGACCGATAGTATGGACCGCCGGTCTTCCCGCCGACAAACCCTACAGCAGTGGGGCAGCGATGAAGACCTTGCCCGATCGCTAGGTTTCCGCGCAAATCCTGAACTGGTCCACGAACAGGACAAAGCAGCGCGTCCGGCACCGAAGGCTGACGTCGGTCTCCTGTCACGTCGCTCCGGCCAAGTTGTACCTTTCAATGATTCGAATTGGAATTTCCCACCGGCGGAAACGACCGCATCGCGCGAGAGTGGAGGACTGGATCCGACCGCTAGAGCGGTAGACGAGCCTTTGGTCAGCCCAAGAGGAGCGAGAAGAGTATCTTTTTACGATGTCGGAGGTCTGTTGGAGAATGGGCAAGCTCCCTCGCCAACCGATTCGGTAATCGCTCACGACTTCGCGACCCAGCAGCCCAGGAGGGGCTCCAGGGCGTCCATTCCGACCTTCTCGAGCAGTCGAACCACCCTACCTTCAGCCCGTCGATCCTCACGTGTTTTGGAGGAATCACAGGACCATGAACTGGCAGTCCGAAATAGCCAGCAAGCTGCGGGGCCTGTTCCATCCGAGACTCAGAGGTCCGCAATCGAAGAAGAAACCGTCTCCCCCACTCCAGAGCGCCAACGCTCACCGCGCCCTTCTCGCCCGCCTGCTACTCCTATGAGGGTTCGTAGCCCAACTCAAACTAGTTTTGGCAGCCTTCCATCTTTAAAAGACGCTGGCGGACTACTTTCCAAACTTGATACTCGATGATACCCCCGGCTCATTGCTGGACGTTTCCTTTTGTTTTTTGCATGTCAATTTTCTTCATTTTATTCGAGATATCCCCATGGTGACGGCGTTCACTGTGTGTACACGAGACATGCATCATGATACGAATTTCCTTTAAGTCACATGCATATGTTATGGGCCGTCGGATTTTTAGATCCGGTGTGAGGTCACATACGACTACTTCAACATATTTACTCCTATTGTAGGAGGAGTCAAACATATAGGTAGCGGAAATTTCTGTACGATAGATTAAAAAATATCGAGCATTTGCGTGGGAGTGCAGGTCGCGATGGCGTAGGTCAAGCCGGCCTGTGCTGCATTTGCAGATGCACCATATAATGCAATAATCAACATCTACCCCATATTGTCTTACTCCTGCAGGTTGTGGATCCCCGGTATTTACAGATGAGAAGGAAGAGAACCCCCTGGTTGGGGGCCATCTTTGTTTAAATGAACCAACCGTCTAGCGAAACGAACGATCGGATCCATTACCAACAACATTCCTTGTTCAACGTCAAGCGCTGTCCCAATATATTGGTCACCTTTATCCACATTATCCCAGTCGTTGATCGCTAACGTCATAACCATAAATCAAAAGATCAGATCCCCGGTATTAACATGCGTAAACCCGGCATTTGGGTCTTGGCAGAACGGTAAAATCTACATCATTAAATCGTCGCAGCCTCATGGTCAATACTGTGATTTTTGCATCGACGATTCCGCTTCCCTGTCGCCACACCCGCAACTCTAATCTGTGAGCGTCAAAGCGCCCTCTCCACGATGCATCCAAAGTAAAATCTACGCGAACGCATTGTGGATACCCAGAAAGCCACATGAACTCGGCTACAAACGTTGTTGCATCTTGGCAACTCGACGACCCGGAGCTAGTTTGTTGAAGGTTCCCCAACAATCCTCCTTTAACACACTCGTCTGCTTCACATCTGTATGCACGAACTGGCGTTTGGTAAACGACGATGTCGGAAGTTGGGGACGATATAGAATGGGAAGGCGATAGCGAGCCATTCCTGCCGTCCGCACAAGCTCCGCCTTCCCTCGACGAGATTATCGCACTGACTCGCAGCGAATTGACCTCCTCATCTTCACAGGATCATGGCAATGGCAGCGATGATATACAGGAATGTGGCCGTCCCGCGCTCTCGATCCTGTCGAGGAATCCAGATGCGGCGATGAGATTGGCGTACCAGAAACTTCACGATGTGCCGTATAAGGATGTCAAGACCTGTTGGAGAAGACTGTACACTGATGCTGCATTGTGGAAGGTTCTGGGGATCCTAGAGTCACAGGTGCAGATTAACGAACGGAGGGATTGTCCGGGTAAAGAAGATTGGGTCACAGAGGTTGTGAAGGTACTCGATATGGCGCTTATTCTGACCGGGGCTCCTTCGAGGGAGGAAGTGTTCGAGTTGATTTTCTCTGCATTGAATGGCGTTATATCAAAAGAGCGTGAAGAGCTTCAAGGAGGAGGCCGACCACCCAAGAGACGGAAACTTGACGAGAAGATGCACGTTCAGAACGATTCCTCAAAGATAGAACAAGAAGCAATACCCGAGACTTTTCCAACTACGATCAATGACGAGCCAATTCTCCGCTTCCCTATCCCTCGCCTGTCCAACTTCTCACTCTCAGCGTTCCAATCCCGCATTTCAGATCCTTCAACGGCACACCAGCCATTCGTCATAGAGAACGCGATATCGTACTGGCCAGCCCTGAGTGATAGACCTTGGAAGAAGCCATCGTACCTCCTCTCGCACACCCTCAATGGCCGACGGCTCGTCCCCGTCGAAATCGGCAGGAGCTACACCGACCAGGGCTGGGGACAAAAGATCCTAAGTTTCGGCGACTTCATGACAGAATACATGTTCCACGATCCGACGTTGTCGACGACCACCAAAACACCTGCACACGACAGAAAGACAGGCTACCTCGCCCAGCACGACCTCTTCGCTCAAATCCCATCCCTCCGCGCCGACATCAGCATCCCCGACTACTGCTACGCCGACCCGCCTCCTCCCCTCAACACCACCACCCCAACATCACCCTCATCGCCGAAGCCTCCTCCTCCACAGCCAAAACTCGAAACCCCCCTCCTAAACGCCTGGTTCGGCCCCGCAGGCACCATCTCCCCCCTCCACACAGACCCCTATCACAACATCCTCGCACAGGTCGTAGGCTCAAAGTACCTCCGGCTCTACGCCCCCTCGCAGACCGCCTCCCTGCACCCCCGCGGCGTCGAGGGAAACGGCGTGGACATGAGTAATACGTCTCGCGTTGACCTCGACGAAGCGATGCGTGTGTTTCCCGACATCTCGCCATTCACAGCTGGTGGTGATGCCGATCTGGACGAAGATGGGGAAGGTAAGAGAGAGTTCGAAGCAAGGTTCCCGAAGTTCAGGGACGCGGCGTACGTGGAGACGGTGCTGGGGCCGGGCGACTGTTTGTACATACCTGTCGGGTGGTGGCATTACGTGAGGAGTTTGACACCGAGTTTTAGCGTGAGCTTTTGGTTTAACTGAGGGGAGTTTGTTGCTTTGCATATCTATGTTCTTTTTTTGGGATCGTGGGGTGTCGATATTCTAAAGAGGAGGAAGGAAGGTCTATATAAACTGGGAATTGAATGTTGGAAGTGATAGAGACGAGAGTAAAGGGTTTAGGATTTCTCGTGCTTTGATATCAAGAGAAGTCGATCAAAGAAACGATTTGGTACCTTGGGATATTAGACATACATGATCACTTTATGTCTTTCGAATGGTTACATACATTTGAGCCTCTTAGCACCCACGATTTCTTTTACAATAGCCAACACCACTACTACCATTTCAATTCTAAACCAATCTCTCCTCTACTTTTCTGCCCCAACAAGCGGAAAATATCACGTATATATCATGTACGTATTGACCCATATCAATGAACCCAGATAAAATGCATCAGAAATTAATCAGTGATATCTGTTTCACTTCACGAAATGCACATGCTTCCCTCCCTTTCCCTCTCCAGCAAAGAATCGACGAGTGGCCGAATGCTATAGACATAATTTGTAGTCGTGAGAACTACCAGTCCCCATCCCCATAAGAGAGAAAAAGAAGGGGGATTAGGGAAGTATGAGAATGAGGGGAATGGGAGGCTTATTTGATGAAGCGTGGAGTCCGGGTAAGTAACTAGCTACCTGAGAAACATAGACAAATGATGGGAAAGGAAGGGGGGAATGCATGCTTGATGGACATAGGTGACGGGGAAAAGATATGTGTATGTATGTATGTATGTATGTATGTATGTATGTATGTATGTATGTATGTATGTATGTATCTATGTATGTATGTATGTATGTGTATCTATGAATTGATCGGTCTGACGGATAGACGTAAGTGATATATGTAGACATACATGTGCGAAGTTCACACATTCATATCTCTACCTTCTGAATTCTTTTTTTTTTTTTGGGTGATAGAGAAAATCAATTTGTATATGACGCATCTACCTGTTCACAACAAATACTATATACGTAAGTGCATACATACAAAACATCTTTGTATTTATCATATCTTTTTTCATATTAAAAGGAATAGTTTAAAAAAACAAAATCCACACTATGTCAATCTACACTTCTAGTAGTAGTTTGCACGAATAAAAAGCACATCTCCATTCGTATTAATTTATTTCCTTCATATCTTTGAAATTGACATACGTATGAGGCGTCCATGTATTTACATCATACCTTCCACGCATCATCGCACGCACCCAATTCGCCCCTATCGGAGGTCGCCGACGCCCGTGAGGTAAAACGCCCGTATTGGTATCCAACCACTCACAATGGAGAACAAAACGCACTCCCTCGAAACCTCTAATTCATCAAAGATCGTAAAAAGAGTAGGCAAGTTCGATGGGGGAAATATCGCGCGGAGTGAGATTGAACCCCGCACGCGTACATACACACATACATCATTATACACGCACGTACACTCGCACAAAGAAAACGCAGGGAAGAAGAAACGGGAATGCGGTAGGTATCATATCGTATCAAGTCCTTATCTACAGGGTCGGGTTGGAGAGGCACTGGGAAAAAGGCATGCATATCTGTGGTATAAACAGCCGATTGGACGGGGTGCCGGAATCATCCAATCGCGATCGCTTTGCGTGTCCTCCTTCTTTTTACTTGCTTTTTTCCCTCCTTCTTCTTGCCTCGCATCGAGGTTTGTGTGTTGTGTGAGGGTGTGAGACTCAAGAGGGTGTGTGGCGACTACCCCACGCGTTCTGGTGATCGTTCCTTACTTGACTCCACCCCCACTCGTATGCAAGCCTTTCCTGCATGTATGTGTTTGATATATGTACGTAGAGGGTGTTTGTACTCCTCCGGACAGTGGTGGTGGAGTGGTGGCAAGGTAACCACGCAAGGATCGTGATCGTAATGCTTTCAAGTTGTTTTTTCTCCCTCTCTCTAAGCACCATTGCCACCCCCCGGACCGAAAAAGAATCCATCGAAGAGATCGAAGCCGTTCCCGTCGGCCCAGTCGTGCGTCCCATCTGCGAATCCCATGCCGAATCCTAGATCTTGGAGACCGCCCACTGCGTCGCTCACGGCGGCGTTGTAGTTGCCTCCTTGCCCCTGTCCGAGAGTCGCCCCGGCCTGATTGGAGACTGGGAACGAATCCAGGAAGTCGAGCTCGGAGAATCCAAGGTCCGGGTATGCGGATGCGACTTGTTGGGAAAAGGTGTTGTATGGGAGAGTGTTTGTGACTTGATATGGGGATGTCATTTGAGCTTGAGAGATGGGCGGAGTGGTGGATGTGGGCATGGATTGCATGTTGGGGTCGAAGTACGCTTGTTGCTGCTGTTGCTGCTGCTGCTGCTGCTGGCGTTGATGTTGATGTTGCTGTTGGTGGGAGTGGTTAGGTAGTGGTGGCGACATCGTTGCATCGCCTTTCAATGGTTGCATCTGCATCGGCTCCTGCTTGATGGCCTGATGCGGTGGAGGCGGAGGCCGCATGCTGTTGATCTGATTAGATATTCGACTAAACGACCGTTTATCGGTCTCATCCTCGGAGAAAAGATCCCTGAGATTCATGTCGAATTTGGGTATTGCTCGTTTGTTGTGATGAGTAAAGTATGTGTTGGCCGGGAATCCCGTCATCTCGGTATCCTGCCTTGCGCCTGCATCTGATGCAGGCATGAATGTAGCATTGCTTGGATGGGCCTTTTGGGTGTGGGCATGGTTTTGTGGTAATGCGCGGAGTGCCGAGGGCCCAAAACCTCCCGAAGACATACACATGGATATGGTGGCTTTGCTCATACGGTCAAAGGCATCACGACATGCTTCGGCTGGAGGACATTTCTCGATGAGGTCGCCTAAAACGGATGTCGCGGCTAGTACGGTAAAGTCGACGTCGTCCAGAGACTAGGCGATGTTAGATACATGGATCGAATGTTGCGGGTGTAACACAGCGTCACGTAGCGTCGGAGTTATGAACCTACCAAATGACTGCGGACTATAGGAGAATGCCAAACCGCGTAGAGGAAGGATATTCCTGGGTCTTGTTAGCACTAGTCTCTGCCTGCATCTTGAGTGCTTCACTTGCCAGCCATGAAAAGATGATGTGTTGCCAGGAAGGTATAATTCACGAGACGGACACGGTGCAGCTGGCGGTAGAGTTTGAGGACCTTTTGTCCCGCCTCAGCAACTTTCAGAAAGACGAGCTCCTCGTCCTCTCTTTCCTCAACGTTCGTTAATGAAGGACTTCCAATATTTCCATCGGTTTCACCAAGCTCGTTAGCCAATCCCGAGGGTACTGCTAGACTCTGTCTGTACAACATTATGATGGCCTGCCAGTAGTTGAGTTCGAGGAAGAGTGGCGAGAATTGAACGCCTGCATCCTGCTGCGTTGGTGCTGAATCCCTCCATTCTAGCAGACGCTTGTCGATGTCCACACGCCATGCACGAAAAGAATCGAAATTCGTCAGAAAGGGGGAGGGTAGCTTTGTGTGCATGTAGTCGTTGCCCTGGTTGGCCCCACTCGCCCTTGCTTGCTGTGCTTGCCGATGCTGTAGTACTATGTGATATTAGTCGTAGCGAGGGACATGCTGGTCGGACACAATCTTACCTTGCAAAATTTCTGACTGTAACAGCCTGAGCCTGAAGTAATGATGTGCAACTATCTTGTAGCTTGGAAATTTCGGGTGGTTGCGGGATTCAATAAATCCTTCTTTCGTGATGAAACGATCGTCAAGTAACGACGGGAACTCGGTCGTTACGACCTGATCTGTGATACCAAAGGGCCTTCCTACACAGGTGGAGACGAGCCTGTCGAGAGAATAGACGCACCACCATAACCTTCTCCGAAGATCTCGCACCCATTGTCTACGGCCCCTCTCTTTAGCATCGATCTTCCTGCTACTGGTTGCTGCAGAACCAGCATGGTCTTTTGCTTCATGTTGCGAACTAGGTTGATCCTCCGATCCTGAGCCATCGATTCCTACACCGTCTTCGTAGTGAAGACCAAGATCGACACCTAGGCGCACTGCAACACCAACGATGTACCACAGACCGGGCGCAACGGGCCTTAATAGTGCAAACCCTGCAAGTAGGAGAACGGCTTGTAACTCTTCAAGCCCACCACCAAATCCATCAGGCCGGTCTGCCGCTGGTGAAGATCCAAGGAAATTCTCAAGGTGGACGATGGCCGACGCGTGATATTCTTCGGGTTGGTGTTGCTGTCCTGCAACTCGCCGCTTCTTGTTACTCGGAGATGAGCCTCTCGATCTCTTGGGAGAGTTACCCGCATCCGAGCTCGGGGATTCCTCTGTGTCGGAACTGCCCAGAATAATACCCGCACCGATCGCAAATACGATGTTGAGCATGTAGGACTCGCGTGATGTCCTACTTCGTTCACCTGAGGTGTACACACGCTCAAACATCTCCATAAATTCGCCGCGGTGCAATATTGGAATCTGCGGGTTTGCGTGTTCGAAATACAATTCAACAAGACGGGTTCCGAGTTCACGGTCTGGGAAGGGCGCCGGCTGTATGGTAGGCTTGGTGTGGAGCCCAAAGAAAGTTTCCCTACTCGGACATCAGTACTCCGTACCAACGAAACAATTATAACCCTTGCAGATGGAATTGACTGACCTCATGGAGGTTCCCCCATCTGCCACATTGCCCGTCAATGATTTGTTTCCTCGCACGCTCCCTCGCTCCGAGGAACCGCCCGACACTGAGCTTTTGACGGCAGCAAAGACAACTCGCGCAAACGAAATGCCAGAAGTTGACCCCAAGAATCTGGGATCGCTCGCACCCTGCACGGATACCATGCCTATATTTGAAACCAACTTCGTGAGCTTTTCGCGATCATATCTTTCATTTTCTTCCTTCGTGGAGCTCGACGCTGCCCTTGCAGTGCCATTGCGAGCCGGCGCGGATCCATTGTAGTTTGTATTTGACGTAGATCCATTGGTACCCTCGAAGCTCGGGTTGAACTCCTCGGCAGCGGAGAACGCGATATCCTTTTCCTTCAACAGAGATTCGAGATATGTGACACGGGTTTCAAGATAATATACATAACTGGTGCAGAGTCAGTCACTGAGATAGGTTGCGCAATGTGTATAGAAATTCCCGCAGCGCTTCAGAATGGCATGAGAAAGTGTCAATGATTATCGCGCCTCTTGATGTGCACCGAGGTATACCCCTACAATAGTATTCCACGACCACGTAATGCAGCCCGGACATAGCGGGCTCAAGAAAGGCCCGGAATAATATTTCAAGCAACATAGGACGAAAGGGAAGCATATGGTAAAACTTCGCGATAAGCTTCGCGATAAGCTTCGGGGTCCAGAGTCTTTCCTCCTCCATAGTTTCAATTGACTGATCACGGATATGCAGCACCCACCTTCGCGGAATTTCCCTCTTAGTGATGGGATCGTACCCAACGCACTTGACACTTGCTTTGTCGCATGATGCGCAGGACGGGAGGCGCTGGTCGCAGCGGTTCTTGCGCAGGCGACAGCGGTTGCAGGCGCTCACGTTGCGGAAGGAGGAAGCGGAGGAATTCGAGGCGGAGGAGGCGGCGGGCGAGACGGGCTTCACGTTGGGAGCATCTTGTGGGGAGGTAGCGTCGCCGTCATGAGTAGACTCCTCCAAGGAGCGCTTGAGGCCGGTCATTGGGGCGCATGGCAGGTCGAGGGTCGGATAGGGTGGATGTGTAGTTGTCGCGAAATGTTTAGGTTAAGCAAGCAAGCGATAAGCTGGGCCCCCGCACCTTGGACGCAGACGGAGCGCGTGCGGAGTAAGCGACGGCGACCGGGGGAATCGCGGAGATGACGCTGCGGAGGAGGAGGGAGGAATATGTAGTGAAGAAGGGAGAGGGGAAGAGGAAGGGAAGAAGAAGAAGAAGAAGAAGAAGAAAGAAAGAAAGAAGAAAGAAAGAAAGAAGAAAGAAGGAGAGGAGAAGGCGGCACAGTAGAGGAGGGAGTGGTGGTTGTAGTGGTAGTGGTTGGTAGTTTGTAGTGCCCATGTCCCAAAAGCAATAGCGGCCGAGTGTGTATCTATCAGGCAGCCTAGCAGTCTAGCAGTCTAGCAGTCTAGCAGTCTAGCTTGTGTGGGAGGGTGGGATGAATTGGAGAGGGAGGGGAGGGGGGACTTGAGGAGAGGGGAAGTTAATTAGTTAGTACGGACTGTGTAGTAATGTATGGCCGGTCATTCTAACTACATACATGGCAACTATAACACAAATTGTTAGATACTGTGTAGATAGATCATAGATGGACAGGTAGATATTATGAGTAGCTACTTGTACATTATCTACCTATCTCTCTTATCAAAGCCGAGATGGATACTAAGGAATAAGTGGCTCATGGCTCAGGGAAAAGATCAATAATGTATCGAGTCTGGACTGTTATTTGTTGCGCTCTGGACATGAGTAGCGAATCAAGTAATTACCGACAAGCCGAGTCAGCAAACATACATACACACACACATGTACATACCTGAAGGCTAAGAGTGGTTACAATCTCTGCACTTTCTAGTGGGAGTTGACATACTCCGTAGAGAGAAATACTTGTATGTACGCTGTCGTTTGGCTGATGTTTGTTTGTATGTGCGAAGTGGGAGGCCTAACCTTCATAGACGAAGCTATGGATGGCTACCAAAACATAATCCGCGTGACCGCATGGATAGTCACGATACCTAGGTACCGTACCTAGATAGTAAATTAAGTCCGTAGAGCTAGGAACATTGAGAAAAGAAGTGCGAGTGCGAAGTACCATAGTTTCAGCCAACCGAGGCTTCTCCTGATTCTAGACTACTACGCCGCCTTTTCTGACAATCAAAGACAAAGGCAAAAAGGAATGAGTAGAACATAGAAGACAAGGTGACGACGATGATAAATCTAAGTCTGACTGAGTGACTGACCGGTCAAGGAGAATATTGTAAGAACATGCCTACTAGTAGCAGCGGGCCGCCCGTATAGATGACATCTGCGGGCTTAGCCGTCCCGGGGCACAGCAGAGCGGCAAGCTGGAACCATAGGTACCGAGTAATCACCATCATCACCATCATTGACAAGTGACTTGGGGTATGTAGAGAGGCAGTCATCATCCAGGCTCCAAGGCGTACAGGTAGGCATACATATGTATATATATACCTAGGTGCGTATATAAGGCCAACCATACACCTATATGTGCAAGCAGTTATATACATATATACATAATTACTTACTTACTGACTTACATAGTCCTGTATATAGTTCTACCTCCATGCATGCATGCATACGTATGTACTCCATACATAGGTACATCCTAATTCCTTATTACCGACTCGGGTCCGCCAAACACATCTGAATCCCTCACGTATGTACATAACTACATACGTACATCCATGTACATGTACATACACATATCACATTGCACACCTCACATCTCACACCCACAACTAACTACATACGTATACCAGCTTACCAAAGAAAGACGGCAAAGACCGAACCCAGCACAAACATGTACCATGACAATGACATGAACCAACCTACGAAAGTCCATTTCCCATCACCGCCTCGCACGAAATACCCCTTCCCCCCATGGTGATGACCATCCACCGCCCGCCCGCCACATCCCATCCCTCTGACTCGTGTCCGACATTGCCGTTCACACGCATGCATGCTTGGAACAAACCGTACCGGGTAGAACTGAAAACGCAATCCCCTGCGCATCGCACACCGATGAGAGTGAGGCGTTCGTCGTGAACTGTGGATGGGGCGGAACCGGGGATATCACTCATGCGTGATATGTACATCCCTCCGTAGGTAGTTCCTGTGGTTCGTGTGTAGGTAGGTAGGTGCGTTTGCGTTTTGCAGTTGCGTGGCCACGCCACACTACATGCACCACACGACTCCTCCCACCGCTCGTTCGCTCGCTCCGGGCGTGATGGGACGGATGGGATCCTTTGGTTGCGTTCGTTCGTTCGTCACTTCCTCTGGCGCCCCCAATTCCCGGGTAGGAGTTGGTTTCGAGATGGGGAATTCTGGGGTTGGTGGCACGGAGGCGGAGAGGGAGGCGAGTAGAACAGATGTTCTGTGACGCATGTTCATGCGGTATCATCCGTCCATGGACTCCCAGCCTCCAGGCCAGGCCGCTCTGCCAGCGTTCGCCCCATTTGTAAGGGTGTATGTATCTACGTGGTGTCCGAATGTGTACATAGAGTCATAGACTATTACTTGCGTACGAAACACCTACCCGTTCTGTAGGAGAAAAAGAAAAGAAAAAGTAAGGCATACGAGGTCAATTGTCAGAAAAGAGGTTCTGGGTTTCGCGGCGAGTCATGTGTATGTGTGAATGTCAAAGCGTTGTGGAGTTCAAATAATAGATGCGTGATATTTTTGCATGAGCAAAGACGGTGTTTCTAAAAAAGACGATGATCCTCCTTCCTTATCCCAAAATGGATGAAAAGTGAAGAGAAAAAAGACGAGATACTAAATAGATATAAAAAAAACTAGTGCTACTGGGGTATTGTAACCAACGCCGGTGTGCCCTCGAACTCGAGGTGCCTTGTATTTTTTTTGCCCAAGCTCCCGTCTAAGAAAAAATGTGGTTGCTGTTTTGCTTCGCGATGAGGAAAAAAGGAAAAAGGAAGATGGCCGCCCCCATATTACAAAAGATTTCCGCTAAAATGGTATAAAAGATTATGAAAAACCCCTTCCGTTGTTGTGTTTGTGAGCGCCGGCCATATGCTGGTGGGTACCCACTGTGGTTTCGTTGGTATCGATCGACGATGTCTATAGTCTTTGTTGCTCAAAAATAATGAATCCGAGTATTAGAAAAATCCCAATAAATAACTCCTTTTTGGAAGAGTGAACTCCCTTTGCCGCGTGTGAAAAGCGGTGACAAGCTGTCCTCCCGCCCGGAGAATGTCGATCCTAGGGGGTTTGAATCTGCGATGTCTTCGTAAACCAGCTAGTCGTGCTTATCATTTCGAAAGGACGGAGTTGACCGTGTCCTCCTCTGGCGTTAGGGTCATGATGGAGTCGACGTCCGAGTCAGTGTCGTCCAGTGCCTCGCGGAGCCCCAGCTCTTCGTCATCAACGTCGTCCACGTTGCAGAATCCCGGTCGCCGTCTCTCCTCTTTCATGAACGCACCGGGGATCCAGGCCGTGGCTGCTACGCCTGCGCACACCCACCACGCGAGCCCAGATACTCCCATGCCGGCACCAATCGAGTCGACCGCTCCCGCGATGGTTGGTCCGAATCCGCGGCAGACACTCGCGGAGGAGGCCGCTGCGCCGTTCAAAGTGCCCAGCACCTTTTTCGAGGGAGCAGCGTTCGCGAGCATCATGTTGAGCGATGGGTAGGACATCGATTGAGCGGTAACCTTCCACACGAGAAGGACGAAGATGCCCGGAATTCGGAGCGGCTTCGGCAGAAGCGCAAGGTAGGGTGCCATCACGTAGAGGAAGGGGTAGGTCGCGATCGTGATCCAGAAAGTTCGGAGACTGCCAATCCTCTTGTTGACCCAGGGGAAGACGACAACTTGGGCAATCATCTGTAGGACTCCTTGCACGGCCAGGATGCTGCCAATCTTCTGGGTGGAGAATCCGAATCCGCCCTCGAATTTGAAGGGAAGCTCCGGCTTTTTGGTTGATTCGGGATGTGACATGAGAATTGGGATGAGCTGCTCTAGGGAGATGGTGTGGCTGTTGATAATGTTAGCTAGATTAGTAGTCAAACGGAGGAAGGCGCGCTTACAAGGCCAACAGTCCAACGCCGACAATGTTCAGGCAGACCTGCTTCGTGAAGGCACTGCGAACGGTGGACGATTCTGAGCCCTTCTCCAGGGTGAATGGCGGTGGTTCCGCGATGGAGCTGCGGGAGCTGCACAATGTTGGGGAGCTGCTGGTGCTTTGGTATGTGGGCGAGCCAGGGCCTTCGAGCATGGCTTGCATTTCGTCGATTGATGCATCCTTGTCTGTCAAAGCTGTGTATGTTCCCTTGCTCCACACTTTCCTGAGTAGCCATTGCCCAATCTCAAGGCCCCGGTCTTTCTCGAATTTCTTGTCTTCGTGCGTCTCTTCCAGGAAAAGGATTCCAACGGTAAGGCCAAAAATGACGACAGCTGCGCAAACTAGGTTCGGGAGAAGGTAAGGGTAAGTTTCGAAGAGGGTTCCGGCGAATGTGTCGGGGAAGCTGATTGCTGGCCGCGCCAGGATTCCTCCAAGACTGGCGCCAATGATTGTACTACATTGAAAATGTTAGATGCGTCGAGCGAGAAAATTCGAACAGAGAAACCCACCCAAGGCACCAGATGAATGGCATAATCGAATAAGCGCGTGCTGGGTAGGTTAGTTTCGTAGTCCTCAGTACTGAGCATGGATAGCTTACGTTGGTGCTTCTCGACCGTCACCAATTCAGCGACAGTGGTTTGAAGGACACCAATATTTCTAGGGAAGTTCAATTAGTGCAAATATTCAGCTTGTGCTGGTTGTGAAAGACTCACCCATTCAGCAATCCACCGAGAGCGCGAGCTACCAGAGCCATTGGTAGGTTTTGCGCGAAGCCGAACAAAAGCATGCTCAATCCAGTTCCGAAAAGACCCCCAAGAAGGACCTTCTTTCGGCCCACGCGATCACTTAGTCGTCCCCAAAACACGCCGCTCGCACACTCTGCGAAGGCGAATGCAGATGTGACCATTCCGGCGTACACAGATATTTGCGCCTCGTCGTGTGCAATGCCAAAGTCGCCAACCATGTAGTACACATATGGGAAAATTGACATGAAAGCAATTGGTTCACATATCCGGCAGAGCGCTTTAAAAAAAGTTGTAAGTATTTAGAAGTTGTGACGGCATAGGCAATTGACGAGCACTAACCAAGAATAGCCATTTGCCTGGTTGGGAAGGGTGTATTGTCCCTCAAGAGGGTATTTGCTCCGCGATGCCGAGCCATTGGTACTAATATTTGTAGGTGGGTGACGGTACGATGTTGGAGAGAGATTTCAGAAGGTAGTTGGTGTAGAGGTAATAGGAGTGGCTAAGGTGTGGCGTGGTGAATGGTAGCAGTAGTCGTTGTAGTGGTAGTAGTAAAGCAAAGCTAGAAGAAAGAAACGAAGTGTAGAAGCCAGCAGTACATATGTAACATGTGTGTCAGGACAGACCACCAGTACGATCAAGGTTTTAAGGGGAGGATCAGTTTGATATTGACGCGAGCGTCACAAGATATATAGGGAAGAGCAAGATTTAAGTGGCGTCCTGAATGGGGATGGGCCAGTGCTAGGTAGGGACAAGGATGAAGCGGCGGGGAGGAAACGGAGAAGCAGCGGTGATTGCTGTGGAAGTGGATCTGTGGTAGTGGGCGGATACAGACAGCGGTAGGGCCAGCAAGTGTAATGACAGAGGAGGGCACAGATGGGCGCGGAAGGCCATGGCGGCGTGGACGAAACGGAAGCATGATTCTCAGTCTCAGTCTTACTCTCACGATAAGCGACCAGGTGCTGCTGGTGCTGGTACTGCTGGATGCTGCGCTGGCACATCCACACTACACAATACCTTGTTAGGTATCCACGGGCAGGACAGCAGAAGACACCGTTAGGACGGATGCCATGTCACCTGTGACTGTGACTCTTTGTGTGTTGTGGTGGGTAGCTGTGCATCTATCCTGTCCATCCGTCCTTCCATCCGACCATGCATCCACCACAAGGGAAACGAGAGCAAAGAGGACTGGATACCTAAGAAGAAAGATGGGGAGCTGTTGTAACCCCTGAGCAGCAGCCCACTCGTACCAGTAACTAAGTACCTAAGTGCGAGGGCCAGGGTAAGGGCAGTACAGAGTAGAAGCTTTTGCACCACATTTAAAACTAGGTAGGTAGAGTGGGCTTGTGCGGAAAACCGTGGCATTGGGCGTGCTAAACAGGATCCGAGTAAGGCGGAACCGGGGGGAAGAGGGGAACAAGATGATGGATGAGAAAAGAGGAGACCAGGAGACAAGGAGACGAGGCACTAATTGCTACTGGTAGCAAGCACTACCAGGTTAGGTACAACCCAGCGTACCACGAGAGAGAAGAGAGGTAACTACAAGTAGAGTCTAAGAGATGAGGAGAGTACGAGAAAAAGAGACGAGCGACGTTGGAGCGACAGACGCTTAGGCTTGGGCTCCCAGAGGCTGAACATCCCTGCCATACGCGCATGGCATGGTTTGGTAAAACCGCCTGCAGGAAAGGCAACTCTGGAGAACAGTAGTTACCGGAGTACGGAGTATTATTGTATGTACTATATCTTCAATGTTGTACTGTAGCACGTATAAGTGCAGTATTATACATGTGTGTGTGTGTGTGTGTGTGTAGCCACCACCACTAGCTAGTGGATTATTCCCTGTGCAGCCGGTGAGGCGTCCTCTGTCATTTTCTAATTGGCCTTATTTTATTTTGTTTTTCTGGTGTTTGGGAACAGGAGACGAGAAAAGAGCAAGGTACATTGGGTGGTGGTGGTGGTGGTCGATGATGATGACAAGGATGAACAAGGAATGACAATAGAGGGGGCAAGACAGGAAGAGGCGTGAGAAGGGGGGAGGGGTAAAGGGGGGAGGGGAAGTGGGAAGACGAGGGTAGAGGTTAGAGGTTAGAAGGTTAGAGATCATTAGGGTCATGACTTGGACTTGGACTTGGACTTGGGAGGTCAAGGTGTCAAGATTCCATGGGCTTGTTCTTCTTTATTTTTTTCTGTCGCGAGGAAGAGGAAGATCATCAAACGCTTGGACCCGACAAAAACCTTTGGGTGGGTGGATACAATAGGCGTGGATTAGCGCGTGTCCTGGCGTACTGTCTCCGGTTCCGCGAGCGTGGGTGGGTGGTGTCTGCCTCTACCTAGTTTAAGTCATAGGGATGGTTAATGTATACTTGTCTTGTATCGTTAGGTAGAATTGTCGTTCCAGTTCCCAGTTCTGTACTTACTATCACTGCCTGGACCTGGAGGATTGGCCAAGGGAAATCAACCTTACAAGACAAAAACTAAGCAAACCACTGCACAATTCGTCCCCTCCAATCTTCAATATCGACAGGGACCTGATGTTAATACATCCCGTGCGGAGGTATACTTACTCACCTACTCCGTACTGTGCATACAATACGCAAGTACACATGCACTCGTATCGTACGAACATCAAACCCCGGGGCTTCCTTGCCGACATTCGATGAACATGGGGACCAGAGGTTGTAATGAACATGGATGTGCAACGACATGGGCCTGCAGTACCGCGAACGTCGTCCTTCCGAGACCATACACGGTGACGGCCGCACTTCCTGAGAAGCCGCGAACTAGACGTTACTCTCAAAGGCGGAAGCCCTTCCCAGCTTCCCCGGGGGCAAACTGCCTCTAGAGCTCGGTCCGGTGGCCCTCATTTGCTGGGTACCTCCTCAGTCGTGAGCCCGTCGTTCCCGTCGCTCAGGGGCAGCGCCGTAGCTGGGAGGGAAACAAGCCAGAGAGCCTACGCTAAGCAGCCAGCCAGGCGATCGTTCGGTTCGCTTCTATTTTTCCACGCTTCCACGCTTCCATGCTTCCACGCTTGTCCCATCTGACGCTCGCTCGACACAGGCCATCCTCAGCGAGTCAGTCCTGTTCCCATCAGACACCCCCGACCAGCGAGCAGCCCAAGCAGTCGGCATCTAGGTGATGGGAAACGCCCCGCGGTCCAATCAGATCCTCCTCCATGTGGCATGGGAGGTGATGGCAAGATTGGCACCGTGGCAGCTTTCGAACAGCCGCGATTGCTCCGGGCTCCCCAAAATGGCGGTGTATCTACGTCCGCCTCACCGGCAGCGCGCACATGTGGTGTGCGGAGAGTGCCTGTACCTACATTGAGATATTAACACGTCCATCATATCGACCTGGTTCGGCATAAGGCGATGTACATACATCTGCATGGGCCGAGCATAGCAAAGTAGGTGGCCATGCATCGCCGTGGGCTGCGGTGCTGCAGCATGCTATGACGATGCAGCCCTAACGCCGTCAGCGGTTGAATAGAGCAACAGGGCAGCGAGGTGGTAACTAGGTGATATTGCTAAGTAGTAAGGTAGGGCAGCGCGACTCATGATTGACTTGCTGCTACTTCCGCTGTCGCTGAATGATGTCCAGTGCTCACACAATGCTATTGTATTGTGCTCCTTGTAAGCCGCCCTGCCGGTTCCCGTTGAAGGACATCAAGTGTCATTTGCTATCAGGGTAGTCGATCCAGAAACCTTACCCAAAGCAGGGTTCGCAAACCATCAATTGTATGATTCTGCGTGCTGTTGATTACGATAATGTCAGCGTGGTGTTGCAACTTGCATAGGCCAACCGGGTCGCGTCGTAGCCTACATCCGAAACGAACTGGACATGGTCGGCTAGCGAGAACCCACGTTTGGCCTCCAATTGCAAACGCTGCGCATATCGTCGCCGTCATCACCCCTCCAGACGTCAGTGTCATGGCATGGCCTTGATGCGGACATGGCCCAGAGGCCCATCAGCTGACGTTCAATTGCCTCGGCGCCCTGATTTCTTTGGGGAATTGGGCGGATTTAGACACGAATTTGGTGGTGTGTTGTATGTACGGTGCTGTTCTGAGCGGTGTTGTGCTGTGCTGTGCTCTAGTGCTGCTCAGCTCTGAACCCCACGGTACATCTCCTTCCACTCCTACTCGTTCACAATACGGAGGAATAATAGCAATAATAGCGATGATACTTGAAAATACTTGGTACGACTCCACGAGTAGGTGGATGTGAACGAACCATCTCAGCACTGTGGGCCACCAAGGTTTTTTTAGTAAATCGGCCGTTTTGCCACGTTTTTGAGCGCGAGTCGTTGCAGCGACGATCCATCATCATACAGTACGTACGGGGAGTACTTGGACCCTCCAAGCATAGAGTACGACACGCCCTGTAACTGTACCTATGTACTCCGTACAGTCATTAGTGTATAGTACAGAGTAAGATTGAGTAGAATGCATAGGCGGGGAAGGGGAATTTTGATTCCGTCGCGTGTTGCAATCTGAGAGCTGTCGCAGAAGTAGCTCGCTCGGATGGGATGTTTGGGGTTTGACGCGGCGGTGATGGGCAAAAAGCGGTAAGCACAACGGTCGTGTCAATGCGGATTGATCGGATGGACAGAGGAGGGGGAGATGTCAGAAGAGACAAATTAGAAAGGGAGAGACAGAGAAAACCGGTCTTTGGATGATTACTGGTTACGAGGGAGGGGGAGAGAGTACTCGGTAGAGTGCTGTGTAGTGTAGTGTTACTGTACATACGGAGTAGTGTGTAGTGTGTAGTGTGTAGTGGATGAGGGATGGATTGAGTGCGGCGATGGCGGCGGTGAGGACGTAAGGCTGGAGGTCTGTACATGGACAGTAAGAGGTGGTGGGTCTCTTTTGCTGCAAGACCTTGTCCTTGCTGGGATTGTTGCAGTTGCATCGATTGGATGGGGTGGCTTGCATATTTCCCACGCGAGATTGACAAGATGGTGGGTATGGGTGTGGGTGTATACTAAACTAAACTAGATAGGTACGTACCTTGTCATGTACGGAGTACGGAGTACCTTATTATTAAACCATCATCATAGGTACTCATCACCATCTTCCCATGTCCTCCTATTCCTTGCCCTACCACTTTTTCTTTACACTGCACTGCACTGACTGACTGATATGATATGCACCCTGCACGCTGGTGCACTCTACGCACAGTCTCCCTCTGGCATCTGCACCCTCTCCGCACTGTCCACCGCTACTGCTACTACTCCTCACTCAGTAATGACTAAGTAACAAGTAGTAAGTATCCAGACTCAGAGAAGAAGCCTTTGAGACCGCCATTCTTCTTAGTGGCTTCTGGTGTCAAATCTCGCGACACGCACCGGCCTGACCATAATGCCCGCGTGATGTTCCCCCATGCTGAATCCTCCGATCAAGGAGGAGAGAAAACCCGGGTGCAGGTTTATTTACAGTACATACATACATACATGCACCTACACCTGGCTATGTACGTCGTAGGTCAGGGGTCCACCACAAGATAATTACTCGTACAGTCATACTACCAATATCGGGTGGTTGTACATCCACAATACATACGGAACAAGAGGCTACCGGGTGTCCACAACTAAGTACGTCTGATCATTGTGTCGAGACCTCGCATGCCGTCTGCCGAATGTAGGTACCTACCTATGTACGCCGTACGGTAGTTACGTACGTACTTACTCGGAATGCGTACTCAGTGCAACGACGACACCTGTCGCCATGTCCTCGTCTATCTATCTTGCCATCTACAACAGAGTACGGAGTACGAGGTACATACCTGGGTACGCATCCATCCATCTTCCTCCCGTTACATATCGTTTCTGTGGGTTCGCATCTGCAATGCACCCGCGCCGCCCGCGCGTGCATCTGGAACGAATGGCCAGCCTATGAGGATTCGCATGTAGCGTCGTCGAGGGTGCATATACGGCAATGGCAATGAAGCATACAGGTGCCCGTCGACTCTAACCGTACGCTGTGCGTGCAGTTGTCTAGCAACTGGGCCCGGGGGTGGTGGTCACCAGAGAAGGGAAGTGTGGAGACTACGATGCACATACTTTAGAGGGCATATTATTAGGGTACAAGGGAGCACATAGTGCAGTATGCTATGCCATGCCGAGTATGCCTAGACATCGGATTGCTGGATGGAGGAGAGAAGGAAGATGAGAAATCATGAAGTACAGACTGCCAATGGGCAGCGTACCAGTACTCCGTACTACTCGTATGGTTTGAGATTGACTCGACCGGGCTGGACTGGCCTTGACTGGACTGCTGGCGCAGGTCGTGTCGTGTCGTGTAGGTGACAGAGCACAATCCCCAATTCCAATTCCAATTCCAACCATCTCTTCCGTACTCCGTACAATTACAAGTAATGAAGCGAGGGCAGTTGAGCCTTGAGCCTTGAGTCTTGACCCCTTGTCGACCCGACGAAGCCTTCGAGAAGAAACGACCTGGCCCGCGTCCCACATGGCACAAAGGCGACCAGGTGACCTCGCCAGGTTATATTACGCGTCAGAGCCTCGACCCAATTTGTTACCCTACTGAGCACTCAGACCATTACTACCTAGACTACCTATTGTAGTACAGAGCATGTAGTTACCCTTGGGCCTTAACTGCTATTGTTGATGCCGACCCGAGACTCTGGCTCATGTGAAATTTCTCCGATCTGATCTCCTTCGTCAGAACCAAGCAAGGCAAAGCAAGCACCACCACCTCTGATTGCTATGCGATTCCACCTGACTTACCCGTAGTTACATGGACGAATTACCAACTGTGTATTCTCTTCTCCATACTCAGTAAGTCAAGTGGGCTCTGAACTGTTGTCAAGACGTCACCGCCGAAATCGACCTGGAAACCGAGCGCGTTGCGGCCCATTATTGATTGGGACCTACACCACCATACCCCCAATACCCAACAATCGACACTCCACCGCCACGTGAAAACTTTACCTTGCCCCTTAACCATGGACTATGGCCAACGAGTAATCACTTGCCACTAGCATTTCCAAGCTACCGTATCCATCATCCATCGTCATCATCGTCATCGTCAGCTTCATGTCCATGCCCATCCACCTCATCTGTCCATCGTCGCTCTGAGTACTCCGGACAAGCGCCGACGAATAGTTCGCCTCATGTCACATCCTCATGAAAGCATTCGTATATGAAATTTCTGCGGAGTATAGGACATTGGCTCCGTCGCCTAGCTCCATGCGCCGTAACTGGAGCCAGCGCACTTCCGGAGTACTCTTTCAACCCTTTTTCTTACGTCGCACAGCATCTGCATGCTCATACACCTACATACAGACATACATATCCATCCACCAAAAACGCAACCTTACCATACCATACATGTGGAGTACGGAGTACAGCGTTCGGACTGTGCCTTGCGACTGCGTCGACGCACAAGGACGATCTTGAATTGCCGCCTTTGCTGCATACAACATTTGCGCGTATCGCCGCAGGACCAGGTTCACACCAATTGCACAACATTGGAAACGACTTCCTGCAGCTCGCCAACGTTACTAGACCGCAATCTTGCCCTTGCCCTCCTCGCAAAACTTTGACTTTTCTTTTTTTTCAACGCCCGGCTGCACGACCGAGGCGTCGTCTCACTCGATTGCTGGATTGGAAATGATTGAACGATTGATTGCTCAGCCACTGCTACAGTCTGCAGGCCATCACCATCATACCCTGCTTACCCACTTGTGATGCGCGGAGATCACAGGCATACATCCTTTCTCACTGCTCCTGCAGCTCCTGCAGGTAGCCTTGCCTTGTTCTGTGCAACATTATCAATGTCATCCCCCCGTCATTATCTTCTACCGAACACAACGGCACGACACGGGCCGGATCGGCTCTCAAAGTCTTACCCGCTCTCACCGTGATCATTTGATCATTCTGCAACTCATCGTATCCGCATCTCAGCAATATAGTTATGCCCCCTCGCCAAGGTCTCTTCATAGATGCACCACTACCAAACCGCCACGTCTTTGATATATCAGGCGCCCTTTCAGGTCCACCACCTGCCGCGCCCTCTTGCTCTTGTCTTCCGGTGAGTCCCCATTGAATATGTTTTGCGCGATGTGCGGCGGTGTAAGGTGTAGTATCCATATGCCTGTTGTGGGCGGTAACATCTGGCTCCCCTGTCGTCGTTGGTACAAGTAGGAGGAAGCGATGGCCAAAAGCTTACCGAGCGGGCTAGAGCAGAATGCATCCACCCACCCTGCCACCCACCATGGTAGTACCGTAATAAAGGCTAACCGGCCCTTCGGCTTTAGCGCGGCTCTGAAACAAGGGCCGAAATGCTCTCTCCCCCCTCCACACTCCATCATACCCTCCCCCCTCGTAGTGCACCTAGACAGGACAGGACAGGACAGGACAGGGCAGGGCAGCTAAGGTTAGGTTACTATCTACTCCGTACTATGTGACCCTTTCATCATCATACCGGTAGTTCTTCCTCCACCATCGTGCATCCCCGCCATCAACCTTCTAGCAATTGCAACATGCCATTTCCCGACTCTGGGCCGGCCCTACTGTCATATCGGAAGCAGCAGCTGTTGGTCGAATTGTACGTCGTCGCCCGGTAGATTGGCTACTCCGGACTAACATTCCGCAGCTCCAGTCTTCGTTACGCGCCCCTCGATGGCGTCTTCGTGAGCATAACTCCCGGGGAGCCTTCTTTATGGGTTGGAGTCATCTTTGTCCGTAAAGGTACGGTGTATCTACCCCCAGATTCATACCCACCACATTGGTCTTCCGGATGACCTTTCAAACGAGCAACGTTCACCTCCAATTGGATCGTGCAATCTCTCTCCACATCCACTTTGTCCAGGCTGCCGATCCTGTTTGCTACGAGAATGACTGATTCACACCCTCACAGGTCCTTATTCTCCAGCCGTATTGCGCTTTCAGATCTCGTTCCCGGCCACGTATCCTATGCTCCCCCCACTCGTCACTTTCTCCACCGATGTCTTCCACCCACTACTTACGCCACTCACGACGTACACCTACACAACCGGGTCATCAGACAATGATACCGTCAGTGCCACAGACGAGGAAAGACTTCCGCCAGGTGGATTCAGTCTCAGGCATGGCTTTCCGCAATGGTTCGGGCGCGCTCGAAAATCTGCAGCGAGCTCCCGAAATGTGAGTGGCTCAGGTGCCGGCAGCCCAACTCCAAGTCACACCCCATTGCCAGTGGATTCTTTGAAGGCCGCGGGAGCTTCAATGGAGTCAGAGGCTGCTGCTGCTGCTACCCCAGTAAAAGATGTGACGATCGTCAAGGTGTTGGAATACATCCGGTCAACGTTCAGTGACGACGCCATTTTAGACTCAATTCCATTGGACGCTGCAGCAAATTCAGGCGCGTACCATGCTTGGCGAACATACCGTGCAGATATCTTGCAGTCCCAGCTACCACCGCCTTCTCCAAATTCAACGGCATCAGATTCACAACGCGGTGTGTCTGCAAAGGCCCCGGAGGGTTCCACTTTGGGCAGGAATAGGCGGCCAGGAGAGTGGAACTGGGAGGGTGTCTGGGAAGAGCGTGTCAGAAAAGCGGTCAAGGCGAGCATTTCCGAGCCTGTGTTATTCGGCGGGGGGACGGCAGGTGAGGACATCGTAAGCGAGTCTGGAATATGCCTTTTAAGATACTACAAACTAACATGCTCCTAGATCCGCTTCCGCAATGGTGATGAGGATAGTTTAGCACATATGAAGACACAGTTGGAATCTGTTGCCCTGAAGGCTTTGGATACATAGGATACATTTCTGCTCATTTGCTGGTGCTCGATAGTGTTGTTTCTCGAAGTTCTTATGGCATGATACCCAATCTTTCCAAATTTAATCCTTCAAATATTATCAACGTTCCACAATTGATGAAGACTCAGATTGAAGATACCAATGGCAACATCAGTAGGCGTGATTGCTGCGTTCATTGATTGTTGATATCGTCGGGAAGGTGCCCTAGCTGACAGAGTGTTGACAGAGAGTTATGTGACTTCCTTTTCTGTCAGGAAGACGTGCGCAGAAAGTGACTTCAAGCTGCGATGTGAATACCTAGTTAACCTCATCTTCCACCTCAATAGTTCCCCATTTTCAACTGTCAAATCTCATCTTGTATTCACATTCATATTACTGCTCACATATTTCCGACGTCACGATTGTCAGAGGTTCGCCGGCCTCCATCGACCAGGATTCACTCAACTTCACTCGCATCAAGAGGTCTGCATCAAGAGGGCACAGGTCGGCATTCAAAGGACTTGGGAGGGGTTGAAAGAGATAGTAAAGGCAATATTTTCAAGTGAGAGTGAAACGTCGACGCGTCTCGACGCGTCTTTGCCTTTGCGTTCAAGTGAAGGAGCAGGATGGCCGCGCACGTAACTAGTCTTCTTCTCTCACAACACCTCAGCCTCTTCCCCTCTCCCCTCCACATCAACAAACTCAAAACCAAAAATCGGAGAGCAACTTTTCGTCGGCTTTCCAGCCGTAAGCTTTTGCACGGCACCACTGTCGAAGTCATCGGGTACGAGCCCCTTGACGACATTATCAACGAGATCAAGGGAGACCTTCTGCTCTCCAAACCCTCTTCGACAGCACAACCGGGTGAAAACCTCACCTCACTCAACTGGGTTGCTGCTTCTCACCCTGTGAGTCGAGCACCTAGCAACCAGCCTCTGGCAGTCCGCAAAACTCGCGCAAGCAGGTCAACGACCTCGGAAACAAACAACAGCGACGTTGGAAGACTGGGCAGCTATACCAGCAGTGAGGCGAATGGTGCGTATCTTCGTCCTGATTTGGACACAAGTTGTTTCTGCCACTCCTCCCTGCCCTCTTCCTCCTATTCTTCAGATTTAGAGTGGGCTTCACGGCCGACTCTATTCGAATTTACTGAGCCACAGATGGCGCCCGGCGTGGAAGCAGATAGAACCGGTCAACAGTCCGAGCAGACTGCATCCGAGCAACTAAATGCTCTTTTGGATGCCTCCGTTGCTGCACCTCAAGGTGGAACTCGAAAAAAATTGTTCTCCCTTGGTAAGAAGATGGAGAAGTTTCGTCTTCGATCCAATACGGATGAGCCAGCAGCTCCGAGCCCACCTTTCAGCATGTCTCCACCAAACGGTTTTCACAGACCTGCCAATGAAGTCGACAATCACCTTCCCGTGCAGAGTCCTCGTGAATGCCCCCAGATCGAGCCAGATGACTTTGCGAATGCTTGGAAGTTGAATATTGGTAGAAGGTATCTTCAAATGCTGAGGTCTTGTTGCGACTTACTCACCCTGCACAGCACAAGAGGGAATGACCCATACCATTCGCAGTTTCCGTCGGGATTTGCGCCACCAGCGGAGTACCGCGAAGACTACATGACTGCAGCAGAGAGAGCTGGTCCAGATGGACCTACGCTTTCCACACTAAATCCATCAGTACGGATAATTCCCGAGTGTAAGGTGCTCAAAGGCGATGCAGAGCAGACCTTCTGGCTCGCTGTCGAGGTCGAGGGCATGATCCACAATCGAAAGATGTACCCGGATAACAGACTCGATCTCATTATTCTCATAGATAATGCGTAAGCTACTCCCATTCACCGCATCATTGGAAACTGCTTATTGATCAATGTTCTAGGTACTATGTCACTTCTGACTGTCTTGAGCAGGCGACCGAGCATGCTTGTTCTCTGATGCATCATCTTAGGGTTGGCGATCGAGTTGCACTCTACTCGTCCAATTGTACACATGAGAACGTCTCAGGGAACGTGCCCGACAAACTCCTTCCCTTATCATGTTTCGGTCCGGCAATTGGAAGTACCGTCCGCGATTTAGCAAGAGACATGCGCAGCCAGGGAGTGCAAACTTGGGAGTGGCCTCGACCAAACCCTAGCCTCGATGATATGCTTATTGCCATCCTCAATGACATAAAGGGTTACCTTCCCAGGGCTGAACGCACGCATGTCATGATTCTCAGCCCTACACCTAGAGAGGCCCATAAGGTGTCGGCCATGTTCCCAAAGCTTCACGTCCACCAAATCAATCCCTCCGTCTTGCCATTCCACAAGGACGATGGGCTAGATACTAAGCTCTGCAACCGTGGCTGTTGCGATAACTTCACTTTGAGTCACTTGGAGCACGACTATCAAGCGACTGGCGAGAGACTGAAGAAAATACTGTTCCACGCACGTTGCGAGAGGACCGTCGATGCGATCAGTAAGATTATGGTCAAGATCACACCTATGGCAGGTTGCAAAATTCTGGAGTGTCGTGGTCCTACGTACATTCCGCACTTGCGTTCTGGTCAGGTACACACCTTCTTCGTTCAGATCGAAGTCTCTCCTCAGCAGGTTGCGGAGTTGGATGTCGACAATCTTGATAACATCATGAATGCGGCCTTACTCAAAGACAATCTCAAACAGGACTGTCTGAATGCGAAGATCACGGGGGCCATAAAGACTCATATCCTTTCAATCGAAATGATGTATAGGAGCAGTCTATATTCCTCGCACCAGTGGATGTTCTCTAAAACACCTTTCATTATCTTCAAAGACCTGGGCCGTATGAGCTCCCCTGTCGACCGCGCTTTCGAATTTCACCAGCGCCGAATCTTCTATGAAGTGACCCATCTGCGTAGGGGCCCAGCGTTGGATAAGCTTCGAGAATTGGCTGCAGCTGTACAGCCAGATATCCGCGAACCCATCGACAACTTGGCTGAGCGTATGAGCCGCGAACTGCGGGCTCATACAGCCATCAGAGACCACGAGGTTGCTAGCCGACAAAACCTCCCCCACTGCTTCGGCCCTTTGAGCATTTCTGGTCCACACCATCGTGTGGTTGCTATTTGGAAGAGATATCAGAACCCGGAAGACTTTCCGATGGACTTTGAATGAGGCGTCCGAGGTAACGTTGGCTACTCTGTTGGCTGGCGCGAATTATCATTCGATTTTGAGAAGCTCTGGATCAGGGCTCCTTTGTAGGAATATTTTGTGCTTTCAATATTGACAAGGAAAATGGAATTCCTAGGACTGGCCTTTTTTTTATGGAGGAACATGATTCCGAAAATTGGCAGCGTCTGGCAGCGTGATCATCACCATCACTAATCTGCGGCCTTTATTACCTTCGAGAAGATGAAGGAATATTATTCGATCAGCATGGGCTCATTATTTGGGACGTCGAAAGTTATTCGAAATCCGCGGCAACGCGGTGCCGAATCGACGTTCTGACTTGCAACTAGTATCAAATCCCTCGATACCAGAATCTTGCAACGTCTTGCTGGGACCACCTTATCGGAATTCTTTATTTTGCTATAGAAGGAAATCACTTATTTGACCAAATGACGTGACATTTTGCCCTTGTGAAACTACGCATGACTGCCTCACAAAGTCGTGAATTACACACGCAGATATAGTTGACGAATAACTTCTCACTCACTGACATGTCATCCGAGCAATGCAGGGTGGGATGTGGCACTGGGCATGCTCTATACGACACCGAAACTAACTGCCACGACCGACCTACCCAAAAGACGCTTGGGAACAGACAGAAACGCCTTTTGATCCGCCGATATACTGGGTGGGTTGCCAGTCTACTTTGACAAAGTTGAAGACGACGAACGGGATACAACTCTCTCGTCTGATCACGCTGATGATAACGATACCGAAGCAAAGATGGAACTATCGATTGAATGCTGTTGCTTGTTGGGTGGGTGGGTAGGTGGGTGTAGAGTTTGGATTATTGTGGTTATGTTGATGATATATATTGACGTTTTTCAGGTCATGTGAGAGTCTCTTACTACTTGATTGTTACCTAGGATTTCCCTGGTATAACCTTTTCCTGCCTGCCTGCCATGACCTGGAGATTTCCTTCCAGTGACCACGAGAGTTTTAAGTTCAGAGAGATACCAAATGGCGGATCAGCTCCAGCTGATTGGGGGGATGAATGTCCAGAGCCACCATCGCGATGTTGCCCTTACTTTCAATCTCCAAGATCCCGAGATGTTGGGGTTCTCTCTCATGTTCAGAAAGTACCCTCAACGTCTATTTCGTACAACGACAAAACAATGCGGCTCATATGCTCCCAAAGCAGGAAACCATACTACGCTGTACTCCATTCCATATCGCTGAATTTCGATATCTTAAGATGCTGCCGAATTACACCAACGCCCCTGGAAAAACCCCCTTTCTTTTGATACCGAATTGTCGTTAAGAGCTCGTTTAAGCATTTACTTTTGTTTTTAATTTTCTTCTTTCCTCATCCCTCAAACCATATGCGCCGGCTTCGCAGGCTCCTGATGGTAATAATCGCCCGCCGCGCCTCCTGCTCCTCCCCCATATTGCGTCGCACCCGCAAACTGTCCACCGTACGGCGGCGCGTTACCGTAATACTGCTGAGGGTTTTGGTTCAGTTCGTGGGATCCGCCGCCGCTCGCATACGCGGTGTTCTGCTGGCCGTAGGGCGTGGCGCCGGCGTAGGGGGGTGCGTATGCATTTTGATGGCCGGGGGTAGGGGCGAGGGGGTTGTGCGCGGGACCGTAGTTGCCGCGCTGGGCGTGCTTTTTGGAGCGGCGGTAGTTGATGATGGCGTAGACGAAGAGGGCGAGGAAGGTTAGGCTGCATGTTGGTTAGCTCTGGGCACTACTACTGCTACTGCTGCTAGGGGACTCGTAGGACCGTTTGTCTGGAGGGGGGAAGAGGCTTACTAGACGAAGATGGTGAAACCGATGCCCACGGCGTTGGCGCCCCTTCCAATCGCGACGAAATCCAAAATCAGGACGCCGGTCCAGAAGCCGGTCTGGAAGGAGTTGAGGATCAGGAAGGTGTTGGGGCCGAGCGCATCGCGCATGAACATGACGATTGCGAGGACGTCTGCTAGGAGGACGGCGACGATGAAGAGCATGAAGACGATGACGGTACTGGCGAAAGCATTGTTGTTAGTTCGTTATTGGGATAGCAGAATAATTGAGGAGTTGGTGGGCTTACCCGGTGCCTGGTGCGCGGAGGCCTTCTTCGTGGTTGTCGTGGATCATCTTGACGGCGAGGGAGTATACAACGATCAGGAAGAGCATTATGATGATGCGCACGATCCAGAGGGGAACCAGAATCCGCTTCTTCCAAACGATGCCATGCTTGTCGGATTGCTTAGCCATGGTGAGAGGATTATCGAGTTTTCGTCGTCTCCGTAAGAGAAAGATGGGAAGAGAGGATGTATGTACGTGGTGTTGACAGTCAGGGTATTTACCTGAGTTAGTTGAACGGGTGGTGAGTATTATGAATTATACAGTAGGCGTTGGGGAATCAGGGAGGAGGTCCAACGCAGGATATATACTGCAGTCGAGCCGTTGCGCTGGGATGTTATGCCTTGCCCTGGAGGCCTGGCCTGGTAAGTAATAATAGTCGTGAGTGGTTCGCATCAGGAGATGATCCAAATTTAAGCAGTCAAGGGCGATTTAGGGTTGGTATGATGGGAATAAGGCGCCTAAGGGGAAAAATGGCGTTCCCTAGGGAGCAAGATGAAACCCCCCCAGCGATATGTCATAGTTCTTGGAAAGATCTCATTTCCCAACATGTTGCAGCTTGGCGAGGCCCATTGCCGGTTACAACGGCCGCCCGCTTGTGTGGTTGCTGAAGTTCTCATCCTTACAGGACGAATGGCACTCATGAGTTCCTGCAAGGCTATGAGACGAGCAGATTCAGCTTTGGAGATAGTTGCGTTCAGGGTACGAGCGAGTATGAAATTGTGTGGAGATGGACAAGGCGCAGTCCTGGGGATAATAGTTACAATACGAGGCCCACAGATTTGCGCAGACGCCAGTCGAATGCTGAGGCCGCCATCTTGTGAAGATCCTCCCCCCTCATCCTCCTCTCTCCTGCTATTTTAGTTGTTGAATTAGATTAAACATCGATCATGATTTCTTGCCCTTGCGCAGGGGTAGCTTCAAACCACGTGATGCTGGAATTGTATTATGTAATCGGTGCATTCCGAGGCATGCCAGTATAGGCTTAGTGGAATCTCTGGCTGGACCCTGATCGGAAGCAAGTATCGAGTCCCCAGCCGCTATTCCCCATTGGGACTGATAACGACAACTGATAGCTGGGTGGGGCAGGCACCGTGTTGGCTCCGCATGACCTCCATCACCACCCGACTCCAGCCATCTCATTCCCATCTCATCTACGATACACCCTTCCAACTTTCACATCTCTCCTCTCATACAAATCCAACACCCGGACTCCATCCAAGAAATACCCTAATCAAGCACACGCATACCTCCCGACCTTCGACTTGACCATGGGCGCGAACCAGTCGAGGCCTTCCGATGCTGCAATCCAAGAGAAGCTCGTCGAGCGTCTACAAGCTCTCCATGTCAAAGATGATCTCCCTGTAAACGAGAAGGAAGGTTACATATATGTAGAAAATGGCTCCAGTAAAGGTCAGCAGCTTTCTCCCTTCATCTGCCTGCTCGTTCCCCTCGCTGACCGTCATCTCTAGCTGCCAACCCCACAACTTATGACGGAGTCTATCGACAAGACGTTTCCGCGAACCAGGTCGGGGAGTGGGAGAAGGAGCTCCTCGAAGATGCAAAGGTAATTTGGCAGTATTATGATATACACATTGCAATATCTAACCCCCCCCTGCTTTAGAACCGTCTCGCCCTAGCTGCCCTCTCATCAAACCCTGCCAACGCCGTCCTCTCCTCTCGCTCGGCAGCCATCTCAGATACCCAGAACTTCAACATCAAGATCCCTATGGAAGGTTCGCCAATCACGAATCAAGCTTCTTCGGGGCGATGCTGGCTTTTCGCCTCAACCAACGTATTTCGAATCGCCATTATGAAGAAATATAAACTGTCCTCATTTCAATTGTCGCAATCTTATCTGTTCTACTGGGACAAGATCGAGAAGGCCAATTACTTTCTCGAGAACATCCTCGATACGGCTTCCGAAGACATCGATGGCAGGCTTGTGCAGGCCCTTCTGGCCAGCCCCGTTAGCGACGGCGGACAGTGGGACATGGTGGCCAATCTAGGTAAGGCCCTATCGACATTACTGCGCGCACGACATGCTTGTCGCCTGCAGTGGTGCAATGTTCCCTCCAAATGACTTCAAACTAACATGACACTTAGTCAACAAGTATGGCCTAGTACCACAAACCCTCTACCCAGATTCATATAACGCCAAGAACTCCTCGGTCATGGATCGTCTCATCACCACCAAGCTCCGCGAAGATGCCATCCGTCTTCGTGCTATCGCTAAGAGCGTCCCGGCAAGTTCTCTCAAATCAGCTGTGGCTACAGAGAAGGAGAAGATGCTTCGAGAGATCCACTTGATCCTTACGTTGATGCTTGGGCCGCCACCCTCCCCGACTGACGCGTTCACTTGGGAGTTCTACGACAAGGACGGCAAATTCACGAGCGTTAAAACACGTCCAATTGCGTTCGCTAAGGAACTAGCCGATAGCAAGACGGTGCGATCCTTGGGTGGCACCGACGTCCACTCCTTGTTCTCTCTCGTGAACGACCCTCGCAACCCCTACAACCGCCTGCTCAGTGTGAAGAGGCTTGGCAATGTGTACGAAGGTCGCCCCGTAACTTATGTCAACGTCGATATGTCTACAATCAAGAAGGCATGCATTGAAATGCTCAAGCGCGGCAACCCCGTCTTCTTTGGGTCAGATGTCGGAAAGTACTCCGACAGCTCCAGGGGCATCATGGATACCGACCTGTTCGAGTACGAGCTCGGATTCAACATCAAACTCGGCATGAAGAAGGCCGAGAGGCTGTTGACCGGAGAGTCACAGATGACACATGCCATGGTCCTGACGGCCGTGCATGTCGTTGACGGCAAGCCTGTGCGCTGGCGGGTCGAGAACAGCTGGAGCGAGAGCGCAGGAGATCGTGGATACTTCGTCATGAGCGACGCCTGGATGGATGAGTTCGTCTACCAGGCCGTCGTTGATCCATCAGTCGTGAGCGCATCTGTCAAGAAGGTTCTCCTGCAGAAGCCAAAGATGCTAGAACTTTGGGACCCAATGGGCGCCCTGGCTTAGATGTGACCACGCGGTGATGCCTTTTGTCTTGTTTTGTTATTTTCTCGGCATATTGGTTTGGGTATGTTTAGCGGAGTCGGATTTGATGATGGTCTGGATTATACCTTTTGTTTGCCTTCAAGACGTAGAGCAGATACACTCTTATACACAATGAATATCACGTAAACAATTTTCCATTCGATAGTAGATTTGCGTTCTTATTCAGCCCATTTCCTCGACGAAAAAACCGGCGAGGTCGCAAGGCAGGGCATAGACAAATTCCCGTGGTCAGAAGTAGTCAACTCGTCATCGATTCAGAACATCACCAAAGGGAACATCATTGACGAAAAGCAAATAAGTTTCTCGATGACGCAAAGCCTGCCATTCTTCTCGCTTCGAGAAAGAGAAGCTTCTATAGGCGAAGGGCCTTTTTCCATTTTTTTCTTTTTCCCCTTTTTTCTTGGAAAAATACCTGTTCATTGTTCTGCTCACCTTCCTCGTTCTCCCCATTTCCCCCCACCTCAACCCGCCTGCCAGTCCACCGGATGAATGCCACGTCCGAGGACGTGATTGGCTCACAGCTAGGTACAATCTTACACGTAGGTACGTACATGGGGGGAGAGAGGAGAGAAAGGAAGGAAGGAAAAAAGAGAAATTTCCGAAATATGAAGGTAGAGTATATATATATTCAAGCCGGCTGTAAAAGGGGCCACAGGGGAGAGGGAAATATGGGATATGGAAAGTAGATAGTTCGTTATATGTCTTTCCACTAGGCAGGTGAATATTTCCTGCTGCTATGCCGAAAAATAAGCCCAACGCGGAGAGCATCGGGAAGAAGGACGTCCAAGGAGGTGAAGCCTGTAGTTAAGTAGATGGTTAGGTAGATAGGTATTGCTTTGGATGGGAAAGCGGAAGTATCACGGAATGAACTTCAAATTCATATCAAATATCCCAAGGGGCCACGGAATCTCATTGTACCCAATTGTCGAAGGAGCGCGCGGGCGCGCGAAGAATAAGGGGTGGAATCATCATGTGTATCATTCGAATTCTAGACTATCGCGGACGCACTTGCGCACCCGTTTCTTGAACTCGGCGGGGTTCTCTCGCCATAGCGCGGCGGCCTCTACGTTCGCGGGCGACTCGTCGTTCGGGCTCGAGAGCATGGAGATTACGGAGAGGAGGATCGTCTCGGGGGTCTGCACGGGCGACCAACGTTCGGCGGCGGATTCGTAGCCGTATTTGTCCTCTTCCGGTGGATGGAGAATGGAGATGCAGACTTCGCCGTTTTGGTAGACTATAGCGGGGAAAGAAAAAGCATGAATGTTAGCTTTTGAGATGCTTTCTGTATTTTGTATCCAATTTCTGGCAGGCAAGCGACTAAAAGTGATAGGTGGATGTAGATATTGTAGAGAGAGAAAGGAAACGGGGGAAGTTACTGTTTGGATGGAAGATGGGTGTCTCGAATCTCATCTTGGGGGGAAGCAACGGGTACTCGGTCGGAAAGCTCAAACGCGCTCGGAAGAAACCGCCTGGTGAATATAGCAGTTAGTAAGATAGTCATGTGGTAGTGTAAGAGTGGGTCTGTTAAATATGGAAGTAACGCACCTCCGTAGAATTTCGTGTCGTCGTTAATCATGAGCATGACCTCCCACTCGAAAACATTGCTGTCCACTAGTCCGCAGCTAATCCCCGGTATATCCTTGTCGTTCTGCATTTGCTTGAGCTGGCGGGCGAGCAGACCCGCCGCTGCTGAGGAGGATGCCATGGCTCTGTTTGTGCGTATATGTGGTTGGAAGTCTGCGTATACTCGATGGGGGGAGTGATCGCTCTCGGCGCAGTGGTAACTGGGAGACGGAGTAGCAGCACGCGACACTGCCGGCCGAAAAATGAATGTCCGAGGTTGATATGTATTAGGTGCGATCGTCACGGAGAATAGATAAGGTGAGGAAGAGGTATGTGGAGGAACAGATGGATGGGGAAATTGAGGGTTGTCGGACGGCCACTGAATAGGTAGGTAGGATAAAGTAGTGTGTGTACGAAGGGTAGCAGTGTGAAAGGAATTTAGCTGAGTGGGTGACTGGGTAAGAGGTAGAGAAGAGGTCGGTGAAGTGAATGAATGAAGTAGCGGAGCAGCGGGGGACAATAATTACTTAGGTAGTCTACCGGCGGGGGCATCGACCTAACCCACTTCAGGATAAGGGCATTAATCAATTAGGTACGGAGTACATCTATACTACATAGAAGAAAGTACAGTTAGTTAAAAAGGTATATGGTTATATAGTACGTAAGTTGTAAAGGCATGATGATTAATTGCCGGATGCACTCTCCCCAATCTCTTTCTTGTATCTACCCATCTCACCGTATATGATCGCTTTAAAATTAGCATCCATGGTGGTATTGTTGTGGCGCACCCATATGAGCCAAAATGGACATCCTAATGTGCTGGGATGGAACCATGGTTTATTGACAATGGCCATGGTAAATGCATTAAGGAAGGGATTCTCACAGATCAGATAGGCATCAAGACAAGTCAAGAGAACTAGAATATTATCATCCAACAAATCAAATGAGCAAGTCTCACGGCCGGGGGTCACCTGGCTGCAAGTTGAGCGGGAGATCTCGCCAAGAACTAGCTAGATCTGTGAAGGTCATCGACTTCCCCATGGATAAGCTTGCTTGTTTACCCAACGTCCATCCTTCCTCCCATACCTCATTCGTCCCAATGTTGGGAACAGCTGTTGCTTTTTCCATTTCCCTCCCAGGACAAAGACATTCCCCCACTGTTAACCACTTTTGCTTCGAGTCTCATGTAACGTCAATGCGGAGGTCGAGAGTGTGTCGTGAACCGTTCCACGAATCTTGACAGCTTGCACACTACCCCGTCCTAGTCAACGCTTTCTCCTTGTCAAAATATCCCTCATTGGCTATGAGCATTGCACTCGAGAGCGCTCCACCTTGAAGATTGGGCCGAGGTCCCAATACGTCAGTATGCAGATTATCCTACAGTCGCGTCGTCGCCCCACCACTGTCTATGCTGAACGCGATGCTGCCACTTGAACCAAAAACTAAAAAGGAAGACCGGAGAAGATATAGCACATCTGCTCAGCCACCAGTCCAATTGGGCAATATGAAAACCTTTCGAGCCTCCAGCTGCGCAAGCACCTAGATATCCCATATCAAATGACTCTTAGTGGTGTCCACATAACAAGGGTTACCATGGTTCAATCCTCTTGATCGTCCGAATCTGATGTGCGCCACACCATGCACATTGGGTCAATGAATTCAAGGTAGCCGAGAGTATACTGAGGTGCATCTATCAGCTGTCCTGAAAGTCTGCTTATGACCATAAACAGTAGCGTTGACAGGGGAGAAATACGGATGAAGCCAGCCCAATCGAAGCCACGGAGCCACATGGTTGCGTCTCAAGTGTTACGGAGTCAAGTTACAACCGACGGACTTGGAAAATCTGTACAATGGCCAAGACGCCATCACCCTCACACAAGAAGAAGCGGGCAAATACGGCCATTGGTTTTGGTTGCAGTCTCATTCGAGTTCCATACTTTCTAGACTATCGTCTATTTGGAGCAGCGGATGCCTTTGCGGTACGCTTCCTCGGCCCTTCCCGCTCTCGCGTCATACTAGAAGTCGCTCTAGCATTACGAACAATCCGACCTCTGCAACGACTCCCATTCTAAGTTCTAGTGTCGGACTATATGGATTAAGAACGGCATTTTCCAACTGCCAAATGCAGCGCATTTAATATGCCGAGCCCTAGGTAGTCTGACCCGTAGGCTATTGTAGCTACCAACGAGAATCGCAGCTCAAAAATATCATCATCGAGAATAGCAGCCTCCACGCCAACTCAGAGCGAGTAATGAAACCACAACCCCAACTGCAGCCAATTCCAATATTCTTGAGGCAAAAAAGAGAACATTGCGGACTTATTCCGAGGGAAACATGCACGTGGTGTCGATGTTACAAATCCGCTCTCCAGATTTCGGATTTCAATGTTTGAGATGTGATCTGCTCGTTGTGAGTAAGCCGCACTAACCGTTGAACCCCGGCGAGTTCTACCATCAACTTTGTAATAGAGACATACTGGGTGAGACGACCTCTATGCCTTTCTATCGAAAGATGAATAGTCCTTCTGAAGATACTGCAAATACTTATTTTCAATAGGAATCTATGTCTTCGCAATTCTAGAAGACGATTCCACATACTCGGCGTACCTCGCATAAAATATCGAAAGCGACCTGCACATATATTGACCTTTTTTGGAATGCTCGGGGATTCAAAGTAGGCTTGAGCAGCAATGTACATCTGTCCGGATTTGGTAAAAATGTACCCCTTCAGTGCCAAAAGCTGAAGGCGTTAGAGTATTCGATCATGCCAATCATGCATGAACACCTCTTAAGGTCCGAAGGCTTTCGATCGAGAACATCCGCTAGGTCCCTTTGACATGGGATCTTCGGAGTGGCATGAACTTGTCGATGATTAATAGCAACTTGCACCCGTTCCTGCGGCCTATGCATTACCCAAGGTCCCGCGACTGCGCTCATGTTGCCTCAACGACCACTCTCCTCTCCTCATTTCTCACAACTCTCACCCAAAGATTGTTGACAGCCTCAGATGTCTCGATAACATGATGCCCTTAACGCTACGAGTCTTGGGTCTACAATCGCTCCTCACGACTCTACTTTTCACAGGTCTTCTTCCGTGGACCACAATACTGGTCCAGGCGCAGAAAGACAAATTCGCTCTGGATCCGGTCAAAAACTTTTGCTCCCGATATTTCTCACAGTGTATGTCAAGCCAGATCTCTGGAATTCTTAGCTTACCATGTCGTTAGCCGTGGTCAAAGATGATATGCTATACATTGATAGCGGGATACAGAAATGGAATGGGCCTGATATCAAGACTGATGCCGAAAATCCCGTATTTGGTATCAGTATGTTCAGCAACGATTTCAAGTGCATTAGACCGTGCTAACATCTTCAGATAACTACATTCTCAAGGTCCCAATGAAAACCAGCTGGGATTGGAAGACAGACATGGTCATTATCGCCGAGCCGAAAAATGAAACCAGCCCTACGACTGGAACTTTACCTCCAAGCCTGATGCATGGCCATATATTTCATGGCCCGCCAAACAATTCACAGATATACATATACGGTGGCACAACATACATGGGTAATCGGTCGTTCCCGTCTTTTACCAATCCATTATCTTCAACATATTCATTATGGACATATGACGACAAAGCCGCGGGATATCCTTGGGAACAACATGACATCTCTCAACCATGGAAGGCGAATCATGGGGCAGCTGCTGAAGCCATCGATCAAGGTCTAGGGTTTTATCTTAACGGTCAGATCGACTGGGGCACATCAGTGAAAACACTAGGAGGTCCAGAAGAGGAGGCTTTATACATGCCATTGGAAGGTATGCTCATCATTGATCTGGTAAAAAGCACTTCTGTCAATATAAGTACCCGTGGACTGCAGGGAGATGCTCCCAGAGTTGGGGGCACCATGGAATACATTGCGCCAATTGGCGCTGCCGGAATTCTCATCGCTCTCGGTGGGCAGGTGAATCCAGATAAGCCCTTCGCAAATTCGTCCGAAGGCGCATTGGTATGCTCTTTGCTTTCAATCTTTGGGCAGCACCCGGCTAACTCAATATCAGATAGATTTTGGCAAAGTTGACATTTTCGACATTGATTCGTACCTCAAGGCGCCAGGGACCAATGGTAAATGGTACCAGCAAGAAACCATAGGCGATATACCACCAGCCCGTGCGGATTTCTGCTCTGTCATCATGTCGGCGCCAGACAATTCGAGTCACCACATTTACGTTTACGGCGGCTTGGATCCGACAAGTGGCATAGGTTATGATGATGTCCATGTCTTGACGATTCCATCCTTTCAGTGGACGACAATCTACAACGATGGCGGCTCACCACGTTTTGGCCACAAATGTCACATAGTAGGCAAGCGACAGATGATAACAGTGGGGGGACTGATAACAAACTCGGGGCAATGCGACTGGGAGGAGAAAGGCGTCGCATTCTACGATTTGACCACCACCAGATGGGGCTCTGTCTTCACTCCCGACACTACTGCTTACGGGGTTCCCCAACAAGCTCTGCAGGCCACCGGCGGGAAGTCACAGGGCGGCGCCACAGTTCGTGAACCCGTCATGGGCTGGACGGACACAGCTCTTAAGAGTGTATTCGATACGCCTCGTGGAGCTTCCAAAGGCTCAGGGGGGTCAAAATCAGACGGTGATGAGACGCCTGGAATCAATATTGTTGCAATTGCTGGTGGCGCAGGTGGGGGTTTTGCGCTCGTGCTCCTTGCAGCGATGCTCCTTATCTGGCAGCGCAGACGTGACGCCGCAGCAAAAACGGGACCGCAAGAACTCGAGAATAGTGAACGTAGCATCCCCCCTTCTTCTCCCTCTCCTCCACCGTCCATCGAGTCCGACCCCGAGAAAGAAAGGTATGAACTCCAGGGTATCATCGGCAACGTTCCGGTTGAGCTTCCAGGTCCGGAACACATGGATCGCAAATCAGCAGTCGGCCCTAAATCAATATATGAAGCAGACTGGATGACGGCCACAAAAGCGGTTGAGCTATCGAGCGACGCATTGGCCGCTGGAGGCGTTGCAGGTATTCCTCTCCTGCGACTTCCTGGAAACGACTCTCTAATGTCACCATTCTACTTTCACGGGCCTGCCTCACCATTACCGGACCCTACCAGCCCACCTCCAGAATACTCTGATCGTTACCATCAGGAGTCGTCTTCCACTTCACACCCGCAGCAAGAAGGACGTCCGCTTCGGTATCCAGTGGAGAAAGAACAGGTGATTCCGCCATCTAATCCTCGAAGTAGAGACGGAACCTACGAGGAACAAGAGACAACCTGGATATGATAGACGTGAAATCTTCCCTCCTTCCCTTGGTCGAGTGGGTGATGACGCACCACCGACTAGGATAGACCTACAGCAACACGCGCCACCAGGGTTAGGGTTACATGCCTCAGCTACAGCAAAGCTTGAACCCGCCCTTTCGCTTTTCCGCCTCCGGATTAACTACTGTATATCACAAAAGACAATACGGCTTCAATATTGCATACGAGCGGCGCAGGAGCATTCCAGGCATTTGTCGATTTTCTGTCCGTTTCTTTTTCCTTTCGTCTTTCTGTATTACAACCACGAGCATCGGCAACCGTGACTGGCACCGACCGTACATTTCTTGCGTTTTATACCCACCTCCAACACATACCAAAGTCTCTTTCTCCCCCGCCGTTTAATATCAATGTTTCGTTGACCGAAATGTACGACTACGACGTTTTATATAATATTGTCGGCAGCAAAAGCTTCTTGTTTTGGATTTACAAGTGAGAGTCCGATTTTGTGCATAGATAGATAAGAACAATATAGCAAGCAATATAGAACAATTATTCTAGGTCTCTCTTATGCCTTCGCGTTATGATTTGTTCTACTGCTTGGTTCGCGAGACTGATAGGTTTCACTTTGCTTTCCATTGACATGATGTTGAAGATTGGTTGCTGCATTTCAAAATCATTGTATATTCGTGTCTCTCACAGAGGAGGAGGAGCCAAAATCATCGAATTCGTATCTCTCATAGAAGAGAAGGAGGAGGGAATAAGAAGAGTAAACCAACGTCACACACAATACATGTCTGCCTCCAGGTAGTTAAGGCGACCAAGGCCAACCATAATATCTACATAAACATGAACAACCCAAGATGAATATCATGCATACATTCTCTTAGCGACGGACTCAAATTGTAAACGCGTCACGTTTCAAAGGGCGGGGCCTTGCCATGCATCCCGACGTATCTTCATCAGGTTCGATTGCTTGTGGGGTAGGCTGATCTCTCGCTCCTTGTAGAAGCCTGATGCGACGAGGTAGTCTCTGAGTCTGTTTTCTCGGGCGTTAGAATGATATTCGTGGTTATGTTTTGTTTGGTTGGGGAAGGGGGTGGGAATGTTTCGGACGGAGAGAGCGAGGAAATATGGGGAGGGGAAACATAATGGTGACGTGATAGGATGGGGGAGATTAGAAGGGAAGATGATGATGACATACTTTGCATTGTCGACCCTAGGCTCCAACATGACGGACTCTGTCCTGAGGTCCGCTGTCCAACAGTAATGCACCAGCGCGCTGATCCAGACCTTCACCCTGTGGGGGCCCCTAAACTCCTGCTCTCCGACGAGGCAGTGGAACCCACGGTCGTAGTCGCCCGCACCGGGGACGTGCCTGCCTACGTCGTCCTCCTTCACCCAGTAGATCTCGAAGTAGCCGAAGGGCTTACCGTCCCAACATCCGATCACGGGGAAGCAGTTCTTGGAGCGCAGCACGGATTTGAGGCATTCCTCTTGGTGCGATTGGGGGCCAGATTGGCCCCAGAAGTGCGAAACTCGCGGCTCGTTCATCCACTTGTGGATGTATTCGAGATCGCTGGGCCCGTTGGCGATGCTGCTGGTAGGGGCGTTACCGCCGGCAGCAGCGAGGTTCAGAGAGGCGATCGTTGGGAGTATCGAGTCGGTGGAGGCGATGGTGTTCATGGAGTTCCTTGGGGATGACATGTTGAGGGATGTAGGTCCTTGGTGTCGAGGCGGCTTCGTGGACAGTGACGCCACGCGGAACGATAGGTATTGGCCCACACTCGGGATGAAGCGTGTGTAGAACACTTCGCCCTGCCGAGGAGGCTTGGGACGGATAGGGTGTCGGACGTGGTTGGAAAAAGTGTATTGCGGGGGCGCCGGTGGGAAGTAGGTCGGGAGGTGACTAGTCGAGTGGAAGGGACCAGGGGCTGTAGGGGCCCAAAGGCCTGGAGATAGTTGATCTCCAGAGCTGTCTTTCGCTTGCTGCGATTCACCTCGGACGGGCGAGCATGGTCGCGAGGGATATGGAGAGTCTAATGGATATGGAGACTGCGGCATTGGGGAGAGCGTGAAGAGATAGATTCGTGGATCCATTTGCCAGAACGACCTCCTACTGACGAACATATTGGTCCAACCCTCGGGGGAATTCTCTTCGTTTGCAATTCCCACGCTCGAGTCCTCGCTGGCTATCAGGCCCATGCGTTCGAGCTTAGGGAGCACGACTCTTCCTTTGAATATGCCTTCCCGGTTGATGGTGATTTTCCATTCTCCCTTTGGTTTTCCATGTTCGGCTGTGTCCTTTGAGGCATTGGTTGTCATGTGTAGGTCAGGCTCCGTTTGGTGGAAGTACCAGTACAATGTCGCCCAGAGCATCATGGCGAGCTGTCGCGTGGGCGATGCAGCGGGTTTGAACTCGCTCGCGCTGGGGTTGGATATCGAGGAGATGTAGAGATGGTCGTTTTGCAGGGTGGGTTTTCTGAAGCGGTGGACATGGTGTCTTATCTTTTGGATGTGACCCTCTTCTGTAGCTGATGAGGCGTCTGGATCACTGCTCATGCCGGATTGCTCCGGGTTGACATCGTCTTCGGAGTGGATGATAATGGTCCAGCCAGGTGGGAACGGCGATCGAGGATGATTTAGCAGATCATTTGGCTTGAAAAAGAGACCCCCGAAGACCGGAGTCACAGTAATATTCTGTCCATTGGGGAGGTGAACTATAGAGGGGGCCATTGAAGCGTTGGTAGTGTCCTGGTGGATCAAGATATTGTTTGGTGATAAGGTGAATGCTAGCAGGATGAGATGATTATGAGCAACAATTCATAGCGTGGTTACCAGGTGTACTAGTCCAGGAACCGATCTTATTTCTAGCACGGGGTAGTCAGAGCTTGCTGTGCTGACAGGTGACTGACAAGATGACGGGTGACTGCCCAGACGACAGACAGGTGATGGACAGGAAAGCTATTGCAGGGTTCTGCAGGAGAGCGGAGAAGGCCGATATCTAAATTGCGGGGAGGATAGAGGAATAAGAATATTGCGAACAGGATGATGAAAAGTTTTGAAGCATGTCCGCATGTAAAATTTATAGTTTTTGAATAGCTAGGTTGGGCAACTGCCAGTGTTCAAGACCATATGCGAGTGGAGTAGTATTTCAACCAATTGTCCGAAGGATATTAGATGTTACGATGGGTGACGTCGAAGCTCTATATTAGTGGTGGAATCTGATTGGGTAGCGGGACGAGACCGGATTGGACACTAGGAGAAAGATAGACTTTGGAAGTAAATGTGAAAAGCAAATTAGAAGATCACGGGTACAAAAGAGTACACGATGATGATGTAGTTAAATACATGATTAAAGATGGCGTGAGGAGGAGGAGAAGAGGGAGAAGAAGCGGAGCGGAGCGGAGAGGAGAGAGGGGGAGGAGGTTGCATTACATAAGATGGTGGGGTAGCTGTAAATCACGTGATAGATTGATAAGACGAAATAGGAATGGTCGAGATGGATGGATGGAGGAGCTCGGAGCTTCGGCCGCTCCCCAATGACGAAAGAATTCGCTTTCGCCCTCGTTTCGCTCATATTTTGGTCTTGTATTAGCTAAACATCCAACCTCTAGACCTCCATCATCTCCCTACAGAGGACAATAAAGTACACAGTACTCCGCCCATTCCATCTCTTAATTGAGTACCTTGAACCATCCATCTAGCAACCATGAACTCCACTCTCCTCCGCTCCACCGCTCTGCGCTCTGCTCTCCGCACCGCAGCCCCCAAGTCCGCTGCCCGCGCTGGCATTGCCGGTACTACCTTCGTCCGTGGAAAGGCTACCCTTCCTGACCTACCATGTACGTGACTCAATTGCATTTTGTTTAGCTGCTCCGTCTCATTGATGCGTGTACAGATGACTATGGCGCACTCGAGCCCGCCGTCTCCGGCCAGATCATGGAGCTTCACCACTCCAAGCACCACCAGACCTATGTGACCTCCCTGAACAACTTCTCCGAGCAGCTCGCCGAGGCCCAGCACAAGGAGGACATTCAGTCTCAGATTGCCCTCCAGCCCCTTATCAACTTCCACGGCGGAGGTCATATCAACCACACCCTGTTCTGGGAGAACTTGGCTCCTACCTCCCAGGGCGGTGGTGAGCCCCCGTCCGGCCAGCTGTCCAAGGCTATCAACGACAGCTACGGCAGCTTGGATGCTTTCAAGGAGAAGTTCAACACCGCTTTGGCTGGTATCCAGGGCTCCGGCTGGGCTTGGTTGGTCCAGGACACCCAGACCGGAAACATCCAGATCAAGACTTACGCTGTGAGCAATCCCCATTGCCATTGATCTTTCTAAGTATACACCAACTGACAACTATCCATAGAACCAAGACCCCGTCGTCGGCCAGTTCCGTCCCATCTTGGGTATCGATGCTTGGGAGCATGCTTACTAGTAAGTGGTATCACCATCTCAATGTCCAATTCCGGCGTACTAACATCACCAAGCCTCCAATACCAGAACCGCAAGGCCGAGTACTTCAAGGCCATTTGGGAGGTCGTCAACTGGAAGGCCGCCGAGAAGCGCTTCCAGTAGATTAATGCACGAATGTTTATGAGACAACAGAAATACCCTGATCCCCAACAAAAGCTTGCGTAACGATAGGGGCGGGGCCCATCAGTAGATTGATACATATAATAGTGCCAGATAGCGCAGCTTGCAGCATAGTGTGCCATACTTTCAATGAAGAAGTGAAATCGCATATACGTCTCAAGAAGAATCTCTCGTACCAATTGCTGCAATCTTGATCCGTGCCGGGTATATATTTTACAAAACAACATCTCTCTCCAGATCCAACTTGTAAAGAGGAAAATTCAACAACGTCCCCATATCCCCATCCTAATCACTGAACCCCTCGAACTCATCCTCGCCCTTCTCAGCGACCTTCTTCCTAATCTTCGCGATCATCCCTTGCAACTTCTGCTCCTCCTCCTTCTCCTCCTCATTCATATTCTCATGCCTCACATGCTCCCTCTTCGCCTTCTTCTTCTCCCTCCTAAGCTCCTTCGTAGCCTTCTGCTCCTTCTTCTGCGTCCACGCCGACTCCTCCCTGACCTTCCCCTCATCCCTATGCCTCTTCCCATCCACCTTCGGCACCTCCCCACTCGCCTCCGCTAACCTCTGCTTCTCCCTCACCTTATCCTGATACGCATAGTTCTCGAAATCGATATCGAGCCCTAACTTCCTATCACCCTCCCACTTCTTCAACTCGGGCATGCTGGGCAGCTTCAGGAGCCCCCACGCATGGCCCAGCTCATCCCACTGCAGATCCGTGACGCGGAAGATGGAGCTGGCCGTGTGCTTGCTGTACGCGCGGACCCAAGACACAAACCCTCTTTGCGCCTTATCGAACACCGCGCGGTCAGGCAGCACAACAGCGCGGATCTGCTTCGCCGTGCGCTCTGCGTCCGCGGGACCGACGCTGATGGCGGGTGTTGTTAAGGGCGATATGGGCGTCTGGCGCACGCGCAGAAACTCGACGTAGTCTTCCTCGCGGCCGGGGGTCAGGAACGTGACGGCGAGGCCCTTGCGGCCGGCGCGGCCCGCGCGTCCGCAGCGGTGGATGAAGGTTTTGGGGTCGCTTGGGGGATCGAGTTGGAGGACGAGGTCGACGGAGGGGATGTCGAGGCCTCGGGCGGCGACGTCGGTGGTTAGGAGGATGGAGGGGGCGACGCTGTCGACGAATTTGGAGAAGTTGCGGCGGCGGACTTTGTCCGGGTGTTTGCCGTGGAGGGGCACGATGGCGTGGGTCGTGAAGAGCGTGGGGAGGATGTGTTGGAAGTAGTCGACCGAGTAGCAGGTTGAGAGGTAGAAGATGATCTTTTGGGGTTGCGGGTCGAGTGCTGCGAGGAGCTTCTGGATGGCTGGGAGCTTTTGGGAGGGCGGCGTCACGAGATATGACATCTGGAGGCTGGCTGGCGTTCGCTTGTCTTCGATCTTGCCTTCCTCGCCTGGTTTCCCGCTGGCGATCGCCCTCGTCTTGACTTTTACGGCGACCCTGACGGGGTTGCGAAGGCCTACTCGCACCAGCTGGTCGACGGCTTCCGATACGCTTGCGCTGAAGAGACCTGTGCGGCGTTGTTTGGGGAGTCTTCCAATAATCCGTTGGAGGTCCTCTTTGAATCCGAGGTCGAGTAGTCGATCAGCCTCGTCGAGGACGAGGACATCGAAGGATGATTGGGGACAGTGGACGTGTGGTGAGGAGAGCAGCTCGAGCAGTCGTCCGGGTGTGCCAATGAGGATGTTTGGTGATTGCTTAAGGAATTTGCTTAGATCCTGCGCGGGGGTAACGCTGCCGCCGAGGAGGAGCTGTGGGATAACTCGTAACGTGTTGGGAGGAAAGACAGGAGCTGGACTGGAGTCCGCGTCTTCCATTTCGGTATCCTCATCTTCTTGGGCCTTTAATGAAGCCGCTGAAGGTCCATGGAATTTCAGAAGCGCCGTCAGGACGGAATGGATTTGCGTGGCCAGCTCCCGGGTAGGACTTATGATGACTCCGAATACGTGATGTTTTTTGATGGGCGCGTCGAGTCGCAGGAGGCGCTCGATCACGGGGATGAGGAAGGCCAGCGTCTTGCCGGATCCGGTGACGGCTTCGGCCACGACATCTTTGTTGCCCATGAAGAGAGGGATTACTGCCTCCTGGACGGGCGTCGTTTTGGTGAAGCCCATGGTGGAGATGGCGTCCAGGACCCATTCTGATAACGGGGGCGTCAGGGCATCCCATTGTCGGATTCGTGCTTGGGGCGCCATTGTGTATGGATCAACTCTCCGCTATGAATGAATGATTTGTGAAACCCTTCTATACCCTGAAACCTAATCGTTGACCAATGCTATCTTTTTGCGGGTTTGCAGGTGTAAGAATCGTGGACGGTTGAGACAGCCCGAGGCGCAAAACTTCTGGCCAAAAAAATGTTATCGATATCGATAAGGGAGGGTGGCTTGACTGTGGCTAGTAAAGTCAAGGGTCAAACATGACCGGAAAAGGTAACGCCGAGGTGCCGACCTATGGAGATGCATTCGTCCACGTTCGTTACTTGGAATGAACAAAATAGCACGTGGCATTATCATCATCCCTCGTCATGAATTTCTGTCTTCATTGCGACATATCTACGAAATATCTTACGAGTACTCGTACTCGTACTCCGTATATGGCACAAGTTGATATCACGAGTAGAGTAATCTACAGATGCATACCAATATCCAGAGCATAGAAGACGCCTCGATGAATTGATTCAATGTCCATGAAGATATCTTTAAAAGTGATAGAGAAATACCTAAACAAATTCTTAACTGAATAGACTAAGTAATTGCCTCGGACTGTGATGTAATCAGCCTGCCAAGACGGATGGACTTCTCTAGTAATGATCCGAGGCCATTTCAAGTGGACTTGTGAGAGAGAAAGAGGGGAGGAATCTTTGGATTTCGCAGGGACAAACGAACAAGAGAAAAAAAAACCAATCCATCACATCGGCCGAACCAGATTCCGTTCCCTCGTCCTCCGAGTCTCTCACCCCCCAGCAATCAAATCCGCGTTATTGCTATAGAATCACAAGAATAAGGACAAGCACAAGCATTTCCCAGATCCCGCCCCTTTCTCTTAAATTACTTACTTCCTTGAATCAATCCTTCCTTGACTTCCGGCTGCTGCCCTGCGCCGACCACTACGATTACGGTGGCCTCCCCTCCTCTTCCTCCTCCTCTCTGCTTCTTAGACGATGCGCGAACGGACGAATTCGCGACCTCCGCGACCCCAGTAATCCGCCTGACATCTGACACCGATGTTTCTGCCACCACAACCACAACCATACATCATCAGCCTACCACCGAATACGTCGCTCCCACAGCCTCACGCCCATATCATCACTCCTTAATTCCTCCCTCGCTGCATCGCTCGTTCCTCCAAGACGTTGCCCATTTCTGCGCCCGTTCCGGTCATTCGTTAACCGGCCTCATCCGGTCGCCTCTTCTTCCCTCCTTTCCACTCTGCTGGCAGGAAGCAATGGCCTCCTCAAAACAGTACCAGATCCCCAAACCGCCGCGCGTAATATCACCGTCGCCCACGCCCTCCGAGGCCAGCGGTCAAGATGGATACTTTGGACCCACTACACGCTCCGCCGCGCGCAAGACAAGACGCGTGAACTCTCCACCGGCGATCGACGAGGATTCTTCTGGCTCCGATCCTGAGAAGAGGGCCCGCGCCAGGAGCAGGAGTCCGATCCTCGAGGGCAGCAGAAGGCGGATGAGTGGACTCACAGCGAAGCGGGTGGGCGCGGGAAAGAAAGGAGAGCTTGTGCTTCCAAATGGGACTTCTAACGGGCATCTTTCGCCTGCGGCTGCAAACAAGAACTACTGGAGAGAGATGAGCCGGAGTCCGAGTCCTCTAGGACTGATACCTATTCACCAGAAATGGAGGTCATTTGTGAGTGCTACTAAGAGAAACGAAATATGCTTCTCGCGAGAATCATCCACTAACCGAAGCGCACAGATTCATCGTCATGAGATACCCCGCAAAATCCTACACGTTTCCATCGGTTTCCTTACAATATTCCTCTACTGCACCGGCAGACAAGCCGACCAGATCCACCCTGTCCTCCTCACCCTCCTCATCCCCATCGCCGCGACCGACGTCATCCGGCATCGCTACTGGCAGGTCAATCGATTCTACATCCGCTGTCTAGGCGCGTTGATGCGTGAGTCCGAAGTGGACGGATGGAACGGCGTCATTTCCTACCTCCTAGGAGCATGGATCGTGCTTCGCTTCTGCCCCAAAGATGTTGGCGTCATGAGCGTCCTGCTCCTCAGTTGGTGCGACACGGCTGCCTCGACGTTCGGCCGTCTATGGGGTCACCGAACCTGGCGAGTCCGCCCAGGAAAGTCCCTAGCAGGCACGATCGCAGCCTGCGTCACCGGTATCATCACCGGCGTCGTGTTCTGGGGCTGGCTCGGTCCTCTGCTCTCCCACTACAACGAGGGCGCGAATGCCTTTGCCTTCCAGGGCGTTCTCGCGCTTCCTCCTCAGGCCCGCGAGCTCCTCGGACTCTCCGTCGAGCAATCGTCCATCAGCGGCCATGTAGCCTTGGCCGCGATGTCCGTCTGGGCCGGCATCGTCGCCAGCGCCAGCGAGGCCGTCGATCTCTTCGGCTGGGACGACAATCTGACCATCCCGGCCCTGTGCGGCGTGGGACTATGGGGTTTCCTGAAAGTCTTCGGTTAGGTCCAGATCAAATCAACCTCAACCTCAACATCGATCCTCAAATTCTTTCCAAGCTTCATGAAGAATTATTATATCCAAATCTCCACATTCTATACCTACCATTACTCTTGTGTATCTTTTTTCTTCTTGGCTCTGAACTTTGATTGAAGATCTCGTGCTTGCTTATATTATTCCCCACCATCACCACTACTACCATATACCAACACATACTCCCATTCTTCTTTTCTTTCCCTTGTTCTCACATAAGACATACCATACCATAACATATATGACGGATCGGATCGGATCAGGCGGGCGGTTCAATTGGGCTTTCTTCCTTTCATTCATTGGTGTTGGAAAACATTACATGGATCTTTTCTGGTAGACTAGATCTCTCTTCGTACGAGCACTCATATGGGCGGGCATAGGCAGGCGGTCCAAGGAATCATTTTCTGTAAATGAAAAACAAAGAAAAAAAAACATAATGTAATGTACGATACCAGGTACTATAACAATATATGTCATCTATGACTACCTACATATCTCTGGGCTCGAGTTAGGGGGCGACTCAAGATGAAGACATCAATTACACATGCATGGCAAAGAACCACCATGTGTCTTCGCTGATATTGTGATGTGTGAAGTCGGTTACTATACAGTCACAAATGAGTTCACGGCTTTTGGGCATTTGGGGTTTCATTTTCATTTTCCATTTTCCATTTTTCACAGTCGATATGGATCTTTCTTCGCTTCAATTGGAACCCTGCCTTCCTCATCGCACCCCCAATGATTTCCAAAGAGGTGATGATATGAACCGCCAATATCCTCTGCTCCTCTCCGTGGCTACGTGGCTACGGTTGTGACCAGAATGCCGTTTCGCCTTCCTGGCCGGACACGTATTCATTTCCCGTATGGTTCGAAGCAATGGAATTTTTCTTTCTTTCAGTATTGTTACAAGTTTGATATTTAGGAAGGTTTTTGTGGTTTATTTGATGACAGCTTTTGGAGTCGTATGGATTGTCTGAGTTCCCCCCAGTTGACATCGTTTGGACAGCTGATTTGGAGTAGTGGAGGGGGGGTATTGGGAACAAATGATGCCCCGGATGAGTAAAAAGCGCAAAATCATGTTAGAAAAAACGCCGATTTCGCCGCCTGGCATGCGTGTGTCAAATGAAAATGTTCGTCTCGTTGAATGAGAAGTGATGCAATCTATCTACATCTGAGCGAGGGGGGTGGCGCCTCGGTTCGTCTTACGCCAGTACGCCAGTTGGGCCTGGTGGATCGTTGTTGGAACCCGGCGCTGGTGGCGCGATGACGTGTGGTGGGGGGATCTCTGGGATCTTGATGGGTGCATCTGGCATGGCCATCAGACGATCTGGTAGCTTCTCTCCCTTGATGACTTTCAAGATCTCGTCTTTGTCGAGGGTTTCATACTGGACAAGAGCTTGGGCGAGGAGGTCCAGCTCTTTCCTCTTCGAGATCAAGATTTGTCTCGCCGAGGTCTTGGCTTCATCAATGAGACGACGGACCTCGTTATCGATCAGTCGCTTGGTCTCGGGAGAGACTTGCTCGTAATTCGAGCGGAAATCGACGTTGCCAAGGAGGTCGGAGAATCCATAAGAAGTGATCATCGCGTAAGCCAGGCTGGTCGATTGCTGGATATCGCCAGAGGCACCGTCACTGACATTGTCGGCACCGTAAACGATCTCCTCAGCCATTCGGCCACCCATTCCAACCTGGAGGTCGACCAGATACTGGGCTTTCGACCTATGATGTTCCTCGTGAGGCAAGAAGAAGGTAATACCGGCAGCATGTCCTCGCGGAAGAATGGTGGCTTTGTGAACCTCCTTATAGCCCTTAGTATAGATACCAATGAGGGTATGGCCTCCCTCGTGGTAGGCAGTCTGAAGCTTGTCCTTAAGAGGCACCGCACGACTCTTCCTCTCAGCTCCCATCATGATCTTGTCCTTGGCCCACTCCAAGTCTTCCACTGTGACGAATTTACTTTGTTGTTTCGAGGCACGGATGGCAGCAGTGTTAGCAAGGTTCTCCAATTCGGCGCCAGAAAATCCAGGGGTACCGCGGGCAATCTTGGTAATATCGACCTCGGGACCCAAGCGGATCTTCTGGGTGTGGTGCTTAAGGATGGCCATACGACCCCTTACGTCAGGCAGTTCAACGTTGATATGACGATCGAAACGACCGGGACGGAGTAGAGCCTTGTCCAATATTTCAGGGTGATTCGTTGCCGCGATGAAAATCACACCGGTGCTTTGATCGAAACCGTCGAGATCGTTGAGAAGCTGATTGAGAGTTTGACGGTGATAGTTCGCATCGCGTGACTTGCGCTTGCCACCGATGGCATCAAGTTCGTCGATGAATACAATGGCTGGTGCCTTGGATCGAGCTGCAGTGAAGAGCTCACGAACACGCTTAGCACCTACACCAACATATACCTCGTCGAATTCGGATCCAGACATGTAGAAGAATGGGACGCCGGCCTCCCCTGCAACTGCACGGGCGAGAAGAGTCTTTCCAGTTCCAGGAGGACCGATTAGAAGCACACCTTTAGGAAGTCTGCCACCAAGCTTGTTGTACCTGTCGGGGTTCTTCAAGAAATCGACAACATCTTGGAGTTCCTCTTTAGCCTCGTCGCATCCATGGACATCGCTGAAGCGAGTGCTCTGCTGTTCAGGGCGAACCTCCGCAGTGGTACCGCCACCGACCTTTTTCAGAACGCCGCTGGTTTCGACAAACAAGGTGATTACAATGAGGGCGACATATGCAGACAAACCGAAACTGAGAAGCCATCTGGCCCATTTAAAGATGGTACTCCACATGGACTCTTCAATGACGACGTAAAGAGGATCGCTTTTGACACCAGAACCACCGCGAGTCTTTCCGAGTTGGCCACCACCAACATGCGCGCCAACAGCTTGGCCGATAGCCTGCATTTGTTGCGGTGTCATGTTCCCGTTGCCGTTCTGAATGTTCTGTCCGCCGGCACCATCAGATTGTCCAAGCTTGCCCATGGCTTTCTGAACGGCAGTTTCGACAACTGCGTTGCTAGCGAATTGACCAGTGCGGTGTCTATCCACAACAATTTGAGGCATGTTAGCCCTCAGAAGCGCGGAGTAAAAGGCGTATTGAGCGGATGCGCTGCTAGGATTATTGTTTGCAGCTTGTTCCAACCGAGCGAGTGTATTGTGAGAAGGTCCACCGAAGAACGATCGATGTTGCTCCAGTGCCAATCCAACATTTCCTACTCGTACGATCGGTCGGAGGTTGGAGAAAACGGTTCGGGTCACAGTGGAGTACTGCCTAGCCGGTGAACGATGGAATGGCGAACCACGCGCAAGCGGGTTGCAAAATGGGAGGCCAACACGGGGTACTACAACTGATTGTTAGACAATATCAAACGCTGGACGAGACTCCCGACTAACCTGTTGACAGTATTCCATTGACAGTAGGCGCTGGATGCGACAGACGAGCGGCGGGGCCTGGGCGAAGTGCCGATACTGGCATTGATTCGAGGAAGTCCGGAAGCGATGAAGACGTATGATTCTGATACCAGTCAATAAATTTGTAACATTCGGCGTCATAGGCACAGTACCTGTACTTGCGCATCGCGAGAAGCCACGGTGGAAGCCACAGCTCGGCGCTGGTCAGCGTTGCTTGATGAGCCTGTCCGTCGACTAAGGCCCTGCCATGGCGACTTTAGAACGGTAGACATTGTTGGCCAGAGTTCAGAGGTAGTGGAAACGAGGTTCTGTTGCTGAATTAGTAAAATAATCCCATGGTTGACGTCGTGGCGAAAACTGACTTGTACGGCGACGGGTGTTTGGAAAGCCATGATGATATATTACGGCGGCGAAAGCCGCTGGAAGTATTAAAGTAACCAGTTGAAGAAAGTAAAGGTGAGGAAAAGGCACATCAGTTGACGAAATAGAGAATGGCAATGGCCAGTCACCAGAATGATGTTGTAAGAGGCAATGAGACTCTCCTCTGAATGTCGCCGCGTTCCGGCCACTCGGAGGCTCGGAGCGGTTGCCTTGGCGCACGTGAGCACCTGCAGTTCCGCGTCATGTACGCTGACTAATGATCTGGGGTAGTTACGATTTCCTTCCGAACGAATCTTGAAATAATTGGAAGGTTTATATCAAGTTTCAATTGAAAGAAAAAAGCAAGAGCAATTGTTAACGACGGACTGACATTGCTTTACTGATAGTACAATTCCTCTCGCCACTGTAGTGGCTGTGTACTATTTTGTACGTTGTTCGTCCGTAATTGGAGCACATCATCGTTAGCGCAAGGGTTGTGGCACTTCAGTACCTTAGGTATTAGTCGAGCGGATGTCGACGTAGATTGTACACATTTGCAGCACCCTTGTGTAGAAAGTTTAGAACGGATGATTGAAGATTTTGCCTGACGATAATAGCAACAAAGGCTGAATGATGACAAATGAAATTTCAGATAGCCATTGCAAGAGGCAGTTGACCTCGTCTTAGTTAAACAGTTATCTCTCCAGCTAGCCCGATAGATACTTTGATTTGGTCTGATTAGGGAAATAAGAACCAATGGTGACCGGAGGATGAATGTCATCCTTAATGGTTGAATTTGTACACGGAAAGGGGGAAAGAGGGGCAAAAAGGGCTCCTTTGAATATGAAGTACTAGGAGAATCAAGAAGAAAATGAAGGTTCTTTAAGAAGCGAAGCCAAGGATCCCTGCGCGAGATGTGAACGAGTAAGCAGTTCCTCAACCAAGTTCAGTAACCTCTCGTCGTGAAAATTAAAATCTCCTTCACAAAAGAAATATCCTGTGTGGAAGCCGAAGCCGGTGAATGCAAGCTTTGAAACAATGATAACCTCCAACTATATTCCGGAGACATAGTAAAGTGTAAGAGTAGCGTAGAATAGATGCGCCAGAACGCCAATCGCTGGATGAATGGATGACCCATACTATGAGATGCCAAAGTGTTGCAAGTTGAATCTTGAAACGAAAACGGGACTATAAGCACAGCAAGCAATATCTGGACAATGCGTCTACATGAGCGTTCTGATGCCTTTGTTAGGACCATGCGAGATTCGTCTTAGAAATTTGCGAGTCCGTTCTTCGAATGTCGCTTGCTGAATCGCTTCCTGCCCTTCAACGAATCAGCATCTCCGTGTGTTTCTTTTCGAAGGTGTCGTGCAGTTGGGATGTTAACTCCGTCCAACGCAGAGTCACCTCCTAACGTACTAGTAGGACTTGATAAACTCGAGTTGATGTCGTTAAAAGCGGAATCACCAGCGTATGAATTCGTCATGCTCTGCGACAATGCGAAATCTCTAGCTTGCTCAATGCTGTCGAGCCACTCCTGAGTGGAATATTTGCTCCCATCTGGATCGCTGGTAGTGCTTTTAGTGTCCTCGAAGACGTATTGCTTCTCTCGCTGTAGTGATATTAGCGACCGTCGCCTTACAGAAATGTGATATCGAGGAACGTACCGTTTCCACGAGCCAGCCTGTCAAGCCTTTCGAATCGCGGAAGTCTCTCCATGCGCAGCCCGGCGAAAGCAAGGATACCTCCTCCTTAAGCTTTTTATCGTTGGTTCCCGACGCGCACATTAGAACACGTGCGTTGGAAGTGATCATCACAAGACGTTGCCTCTTCTTTATCGTGTTGCTACTGAAAAATCGGGAGAACTTCTTCGGCGTTTCGGCTGCGGCTTCGTCCGCCTTTCCAGGAGTATGGCCCGGAGGATGTTGCGTAACAAACATATTCCCGAGTTTCAAAATGCGCTCATCCCTCTTGGTCAAAACAGGAGACCAGTCTATATCCAATTGGCTAGGGGGAGGGAGCTCTGTAATTAGTCGTGGGGTTGGCCTGAGCTGATTACCAGCAGCGGTTCCAGGTGTGGTAGGCCCTTGAATATTCTTAATCAAACTGCTTTTGGTAAAGATAGGACCAAACTTACCATTGAGCCTGATTGGCTCATGTGGAGGAGGGACATAGGACCGTAATCTTGGAGCCTTTTGTTTCCAAAGGCCTTTGCCCCACGTTATACCGTCGAAGAACTGGTGACTCTTGATATGTTCCATAGGCAACCGCTTGATAGGGTCGAGGACTAGTAGGCGTTCAACTAGATCTTTGGCAACAGGAGGGAATCCATCAGGAAAGGTATATTCAAGGCCAACGATCTTTTGGAAGGTCTGATACTCGTTCGCAGCCTTGAAGGGGGGCCGACCCGCAAGGAGTTGGTAGATAATGCAGCCAAAGGCCCACAAATCACTGGCCTTGCATGCGTTTTTATCGGTCAACAGCTCGGGAGATACATACTCGGCGGTACCGACGAAAGACTGCGCCCGATCCGATTCCATGCCTTCCAATGGATCTCCGGATACCGAGCCAACTCCGTTTGACTTCTTCTGATCCAGGATTTTAGCGGTGCCGAAATCGGTAATTTTGACGTGCATTTGGTCGTCCAGTAGGACGTTTTCAGGCTTCAAGTCTCGATGGATAACGCCTTTGCAGTGCATGTAGTCAATGGCGTCCAGAATCTGAGCGCCATAGAAACGCGTGCACTCTACATCAAAGGTAGTCATCTTCTTCAAGAATCCTAACAACTCGCCGCCCGATGCTAGATCAAGGACGAAATAAAGTGAACGTTCATCCTGGAATGTGTAGTAGAGTCGGACAACGCCAGGGTGTTCGGTCAGACGATTCAAAGTATCTTTCTCGATGTTGACATATTTGACCTTCTTCTCCTTAATGATGTGTCGCTTGTCAAGGACTTTGATTGCGTATTCTCTCAATGTTTGTCTGTCCGTCGCTGCCAGAACCGTACTGTAGGAGCCTTCCCCTAAGGTTCTGCCAAAGTTGAAATCTTTGACACCCTTTTTAACCACTCTAGTCACCGGTCTGCCATTCTGGTCAACTTCTTGTCTGGTTCCAACAGCAGCACCCCTCTCTTTCCATTCCTCGTTGCTAGAAAGGGGCCCGCCTTCGAGGCCATAAGGAGAGCTGGACAGATGACCCATCCCGGGTGCACCTTCGACTGGTATCCTACGAGAGCTCCTTCGCGGAGGAGCCGGACCGTTCCCACCAAGTATCTGACCGGGTTGGCGATAGCTCCTACTGGCTTCTCGTGACGGAATGCCACCATGCATGGCAGCAGGCGGAGGCACCCGCGAACTGCTTGTGCGTCTGATATCACTGACCATTGCCTCGTCGTTGTACCTGTATGTGCCTGGGTTGGCAGCTGCCGTGGCAGAGCTCGACGATAAATTAGGGTGATTGTACAGGCTCGTCGACATTGGCCGTTCGCGCAGGTTCTGGGACGGAGGGAAGCCCCTCTGCTGTGCGATGGGCCCAGCAGCGTAGGTTGGAAGAGAGGTTTGTTGTTGTGCTTGGTAGGACAGAGGCATGGACTGGCGGTGGGAGAGGCGCGGGGAAGTACCGTACGAAGGTTGGTCTACGGCCATCGGAGAGACATGGGCGGGCGGCGTGGTGGAAGCGCTCGTGGATGAGTTAACGGAGAAAGTCTCGGGATTGAAACCCAGAGAGCCTGCTTGTGGTTGTGGTTCGGGAAGAAGATGGGTCGGAATCGACTGGCGTGGCTTCTCTGTCACGGTGCTGGACGATGACGCTTGCGAGGACGGAGGGCGGTCGGCGGGACGTGATTGCGCGTCTTCGCTGGCTTGCTGGGGAGGCAGTGATGGCGAGGTTGGGTCTTCATCAGGATTTGCTATTCGCAGTCCTCCGAGGGACTGCGATAGGCTCAAGTCGCCATTCATGGTGGTGGAGGCTCGCTGAGAGCAAGCCCACACGAGGTTTGCCAGGCGGTAACTTGGTGAAGAGAGGGTAGAGGTGGCCAGCGAAGGGAGGCCACGGCGGGCGACTCGGGAGACCAACGGTCGATATTAGGATAGTGCGATATCAACGAAGGATAGTGGGACAAGAAATGACCCGGCATCCAAGGAGAGAGAGAGGGAGGGTGGTGGGATGCGTCGCAGACAAGGACGGCAGGGCCCGTGAGGCTGTTTGGGGGGAGAGTACGAGTAGTTTACCTAGACTGTTTGAGAGGGAGAGGGAGGGAGGGAGAGTAGAGGCTCGGCGCTGACCTTGACCTGGACCTGAACCTGAACCTGAACCTCCACCCGATCGATCCACAGGGCAGGACACTTACCTATTATTATAACGACTCCTCCTCCTTGCTCTCCACTCACGAATACGAGATGGTAGATCGCACTACATACCCACCGTCGTGAAAAGCAATTACAAGTCCCTAGTCTTGACGAATCTCATTAATCAATATTGCCTTTTTGTACATCTACTACGAAAGGGGGCACGTCCGCATACTAAATCTACCTTTGTGGAAGAAATACCTAATGTCTACCCAACTCAATCGAGATCCCCCTCATAGACTAACTAATCCTCCATCAAATCGTTCCAGTTCCATCAAACCATACAGCTAGTGCAAAGCTCTTGTCCAGATCCCAATATGCCGGCACTCTTTATCTCAGGCACAACAAAGAACGTCCCTATTGTCTCTTCGGCTGCACCACCTCGGTTACTCTCCAGAGCAAGACCATGTTTCCACAGGATGTACAGAGAACCGGAAGAACCATCGATCATAAGAAACTGTATTTAAAATGCACGGTATCCATCCTTTGTGGAGCGAAGTGTTGATCTAAACCTGTAGCAAGTTTTGATCCTCGCGGGTTGGTGCGACGCACAGGAGATGCGATCATATAGAATCTTTATTTTTGTAAGTATGCTCGATAGATTCATCTAGGCAAGAGCTGTTCAGCGGTCAAGATGTAGGAAACGGTAAGAGACATTCGGCCCATCCTTTCTGCCTTCCATAACCAAAGGCATCAATGCATTGCTTCTTTGCCCATTCCGATCCATCTTCGTTCAGCACACTGCCTGCCGATACAATACATCGGCATTCGTCCGTCACAAACGCTCGACATCGCCGGTTTCATGGCCCCTTATCATAATGTTACGCCTTAGACCATCAGAGATCACCCTAACACAGGCTGATGTTGACGAAACCCGCCGTCGTATGGCACGAAGACGAGCCATGGTGCCGCATAGGGGTTCCGTAGCATCAGACCCATTGATGAATCGTCAGAGACCAGTCCATCTAGGTAATCATGCAGTAGTACGCCTTGGAGAGATTCCTTTGCTCTGTCCTCGCCAGGTGGACGCCTCTCCTACGTCCAGTGCATTAGCAAGAACATCGATTAGTGCCGACATTGTTGAAGAACACCAGCCCAATGTTGACGACCCATCGACCAGAATATCTGGCCCTTCCACTGTTACAACATCTACGCAAGAGGAGTCACAGTTAGGAACTGACTTGCTGTCACCCATCCGGAATTTGCAATTACAACCTTTCTCTCTGGATGTCCCAAGGGAGAGCGACACACCTTCTCCACAGCCAGAAGAGGCCTCCAGCCACAGTAACGGTCTCGAGGAGTTCAATGGAGTCACTCCTTCGTCTCAAATACATGATTCCATCGACGGATCAGTAGAAGACTCCTTCACCACAGCGCACTCTGCGTCGATCAGTCAAGAGATAAATAGACAAGATGGCACAATCTCGGCCAGTGACTGTCATCCAGTGGATATTGTATCATCACACCATAACCAGTCTGTAAGTGTTTTCTCCTAGCATACCTAAGTTGAGTTGGGGCTATTGTGGTGATTCTGGACCACCGCATTGATACTGATAATCTCACCCTAGGGCATATGTGTCTCTCCACACCATCGCACATTCAGAAGCATCCCCCCTCTGCCACATACGGAACCTCGACGCCGACCAGGGCGTTGGAATTTGCCAAAACGACCTATCTCTTCTGGTAGCGAACCTTCTACGTTTCTAGCGACGACATCATTGGGCCAATCTTCCTCGATTTCGGTGGATTATGCATCTTATAACCCAGACGTCCACTCTAGAAATTTCCAACATGATGAGAGGAATAGTTCAACATTCCAATCCGGCTCTCGTGCAACTTTTGATGAACGACTTCAAAGAGCCCACCGACGAATCGAGTCTATTGAGGGACGTTATCAATTGTTCTTTCACAGGCGAAGAAGAAATGTAAAGCATGACAATCATGACCATAGTGCCAAACAACGCGGCCTTGAGGCTATTCAAAGAGTCAGCGGAGCGTCGATCTCAAGCCGGCCATACTCCTATTATGAGCTTCCTAGTTCACAGCATTCAAGCGGCAGTTTCTCCCAAGATGGAGAACCATCGATCATTCCTCAATACGACGGTGCAGCAGAATCAATGTATTCCGTGTTGTCTCCAAGGGCATCACCCGACTCACCAATTGCTTCGAGCAAGTCTGCTCCCTCACCGTTACCGGAAACACCTTACGCGCGAGTCAAGGAGGCCCTTACAAATCCCCAGATATCCGTGATAACGGCGAGCAGAGAGTCATCTACTGCAACAGATTCCGATGCCGCAAGTGCTGCGATTCAAGACCTTCCCTCTCCACTGGATTTGCTTGAGCATGCAGCCACTTCTCAGTTTCTTCAATTTTCCCAAGTCATACAAATGAATGATACCCGGGATACATCGAACAGCCATGCAACTCTGTTAGATCAACTAAATGAAGAATCAGAAGATCTAGGACTCCATAATGGCGTCAATTCTAATGGTCAGCGCACATTACCCGAAGCTGGAAACAACACACAGTACCAGCCGTTTGTGACACGCGGGGGCAACGAGCCACCACGACGAACGGCGCGCCAGGTACCTTCGGGTTCCATCATCCAGCCCCGCCGTAGAGCAGTTCCTAGTATAAGGGTAGATCAGCGGTCCAGCGAGAATGCACCACTTGGATTTTCCTCACGAGAGGATCACCATATAGCTCGCGACCCCTCTCAAACGTTTGGCATCAACGATCCTCTATCCGGTGCCAGGAATACAATGCGGCAAAGTGCAATGCCTTCGCAGATATCTCTGCAACAAGCCACATTACTCCGAAACCCTAGAGACAACTCCAGTAGATCGCTCATCTGGCCGGATACTCGCGGCCGACGGGCACGAACATCGTATAACTTTGAACACAGTGATAGACACTATGGTGATCGACACTACAGTGGAAGTCCACGCTCCATGCGTAGGTCGACCAGGGATTTTCCGTATCCTGATCCAGTATTTGGGGGCCCAGAACCGTTTGTGGAAGATTTTCAACCCCCTAACCAATATGCGTACAACACTCGAAACGGATATCAGCGCCGCGCATCAGGTGCTCTGATCCTTCCAGAAGCACAGCAAAGGCGCCAGCAAAGGCCTTTATCGCACAGCAGGGCTTTTGATCATTTTCGAACGCACCGTGGTAGCTATTCGGCATCCGCAGAGGGTGGTAGGAGGCCAGACATACCGATGCGCGTAGCATCACGGCATCAGGTCTCCGCCCAGCAATCCAATCAGGAAAACTCGGGCGAAGCTGAAGCAATATTGATGAGAAACGAAATGGCCACAGCAGGCATGCGATATAGTAACCTCGGAGGCCAGTCAGATACTATGGACGACACGCCACCACGTATAGGTCGATTCGAACAGCGCATGCTTGGAAACTAGTCCAGGACCGAAGATTTGGATATCTGGTACGTATCAGTGGGCTTTGGATGAGCTGATTTGGCAATCAATACTTCGGAGTCTGCATTAAGCACCTGATGCAGGTCTGGCTTGGGGAGGGTTACGCTAGGATCATTCCTGAGAGTGATCAGAACATGTTACCTTGGAGGACGTATACATGTTCGGCTTCAAAAGAATAATTCATCGATAATAAGCAAGTTCTCCAAGTGCCACTAGGCAGCTTCCCTTACTGGAATGATCAATTCCAGTGGTGACTTATCAGCACTTCCAGTGTATTTAGAATAGCAAAGCACTAGTTAACAGAGCTGCTTTTACACGTAAATACTGTCCATAGATTTCAGAATTGCGTGTACAGGCCAAACCTATCTTTGAAATCTACGACTGTAATACTCCGTACTTGTTATAGAACTTCAATGTCTTCATCGCAAACTTCCTCACTCGGACAAAGAGGGGTTGCCCTAGCATCTGGACCGAATCTTCGCGACAAAGCCACAGACATACTCGCAAGACAATGGGATCCTGTGACCAATCCAGACGGAGCCGTGAATATCGGTACGGCCGAAAATGTATGCAACGCGTTGAAACTGACGAGGAACGCTAACATGACTATTTCATAGCATCTTATGATTGAGGAGGTTGCCGAGTCCATTCGGTCGAAGAATGCATGTCGCAATGGAAAGCAGATCTGTCGAGGCAGATGATTGACTCCGGCAGATACAAGTAAACAGTGAGGTTTTGGATTATGGGGAAGGGCCATGGGGTACACAGAGATTGAGAAATGCTATGGCGAGATTCATGAATCGGTATGCTTCTAGCTGTCTTGTTTCTACCCTCTTTGTTTACATTCATATTTCTCTATCTAATATCCGGGTAGAGAAATGTCGAAAGCCTGGATATCAGGTCACATCCCCTGAGGCACCTTTACCTAGAGCGAGCATACAATTGACTACTTGATGAAGGCATTTTCATCCCCATGTCCCTATCGACCCAGAATACCTCACCTTCGCAAATGGCTGTAACCCCATCTTCAACATGCTTGGACTCGTGTTGGGGGATCCTGGAGACGGCATCCTGCTCACGAGACCCAGTTACATCGCCTTCGCCAGCGGCCTTGGTCTTGTTGCAAAGTAAGATCCCTATCCCTTCCTCTCATCCCCCCGATACTCATCAAATCAACAGCATGAAACCAATATACGTCCCCTTCCACCCGCTCTCATTCCAATTCTCCCCAACCTCAACCTCCGCCTACTCCAACACCCTCCAAACAGCATCATCAACCCACGGCATCCGCACCCGCGCCCTGATCCTCTGCAACCCCCACAACCCCCTCGGACGCTGCTACCCCATCACCACACTCATCGCGATCCTCAAGTTCTGCTCATTCCACGGCCTCCACCTCATCTCCGACGAAATATACGCCATGTCCGTCTACCCCACATCCACATCCCCGGACGCCACACCCTTCACATCCATCCTCGCAGTCCCCGACCTCGCATCCTACATCGACCCAGACTACGTGCACGTGCTGTACGGGCTGAGCAAGGACTTCTGCGCGGGTGGGATGCGTTTAGGGTGCCTTTACACGACGAACGGGGCGCTGAGGCGCGCGGTGTCGGCGGTGAGCGAGTTTCACTGGCCGGGTGGGATCGATCAGGTTGTTGCGGCGACGGTGCTAGAGGACGAGGAGTGGGTGGATGGGTTTTTGGAGAGGAGTCGGAGGAGGTTGGGGGTGGCGAGTGGGTTTGCGAAGGGGCTGTTGAGGGAGGTGGGGATTGAGTGGGAGGAGGGTGATGGTGGTGTGAATGCGGGATTCTTTCTTTGGGTGGATTTGAGGAGGTGGGTTGTTAGGGATGGTGAAGATGGTGATGATGGGTGGGAAGGCGAGAGGAGGTTGGTGGAGAGGATGAAGGCGGAGAAGGTGTTTTTGACGGCAGGGAGGGCTCAGGGGAGCAGCGAGCCTGGGTGGTTTAGGTTTGTGTTTAGTCGTGAGGAGAGGGTTGTCAGGGAGGGGATTAAGAGGTTGGTCAAGTGTTTGGAGGGAATCAAGGCGGACATGGACAAGGAGAAAGGGGGTTGATAAATGGAAAGTGATTTCTTGAATTTCTGATTTCAAAACTAAGTTTATCAAGCAGCGTACCGGGGGGATATCTGCCCATGTCCATACCAAGACTGGTGACTGAGTAAAAGAGAATAACGCCTTTAACCATACCTATCTCATGCTGAATTTCGGGAAATCAGTCGAAGCGCCTCCTGGACAAACACCGTAACAACATCTGAAAGTGGAAAATCAAAAAGAGATCTCTTCGAGGGGCAAGAAGAGAGCTGAGCCCACAACCGTCCAAAGTTTACACTTAATGGGCCTTCGAGGTGCTTGGTCGCGCCAGCCAGAGAGCAACGCTTTCTTTTGCGACATCGCTGCCCCAGACACCTTCCAAGCCGCCACGATGCCATTCCTCGCCCGAAGCGTCTTCTCCGCCACCTCGTGAGGCCTCGCCAAGTAGCACCTCCAGGTCTCTCTTCTGGGAGGAAAGCCAGCGCTTGACGAATGCAGCAGGATCCTTGGCCATGCTTGTGAAGAAGGCATGCTTTGCTTTTGATTGACCGATTGCAGCCATGAGGAGTACGATCTGATCGTCTATGCTGCGGATGTTCTCGAGGGTCTCGACAGCGTTCTTGGGTCGCAAAAGATCCATGACTAGAGGCTGGAGTGGGTCCTCCAATGCAACTTGGACATCGTACACTGTTGGCTTCGATGCAGCATCGCCGGATTCCGAGGACGGGGAGATGTAGTCCTTGTCCACGCGGATGGTGTACTTCAACTGAACCGGCGGGAGTGGCTTCAGATGCGGCTTCACGAGCTGTGGTACGTTAGGGAAGTAGAAGGTATCCTGCTGGTTGAAGAGCGCTTTGAGCTTAGCATCGCATGCGAACTTGCGCTCGTCCTCGTCCTGTTGTAGGTTGTGCGACCGCGCATATTCCCAGATGCCCATCATTACACCTGCGCGGTCCTCCTCGTCTGTATCCAACAATTCCGCCAAAGGTTCGCTGAGCCGGTATCGCTCTGGGTGATTAGATCGCTGAAGGTTGATTGTAACATTGATGTTCTCGTCTCCCTTGCGTTGGAAAACAAGCTCGCTGAAGTTGGTTTCCTTTGCGTTGTTCTGGCCTTCCGGTTTTTTCCATTCTATTTGCGTGAAATTGTCTGGCTGGAGGCCTTTGGCACGGTCGAAGTCGATGATGATGGAGGTGAAGTATTGCGACAAAAATTTGGGTTTGGAGTTCTTCGACTTCTTGGGCTCTGCGCCGTCCTCGTCCATTGCGTCTGGGTCTTTCGTCTCCTCTTCCTCCTCTTCCTCTTCATCCTCGAGATCAGAATCGTTTCCGTCGTCTAGTAAGCGACCCTGGATCTTGACCTTGTATGTCGCATTGGTCTCACTCTCAAAGTCAAACGTCTCATTATTCATTTCGCTGTTTTGCCATGGCTGGTTCTCCGCTGTGTTCGAGATCCATATGCGCATCGTACCGTGGCGTCGCGCGCGCGAGTGATGGACCGAGTCGGCGATTTCGAGCTTTTTGCGCATCATTGTGGAATCCAATATGCGCTCGACGTCGCGCAATTCGCGATACCGGGTCGCGCCGTCGCCGATGCACAAGTCGTCGATACCCTCAGGCAGGTTCTTGTCAGTGGGGTTCATGGCAATGCGGCGCATGCGCTCGCGCCTCTCCTGCTCCACGCGCTGCTGCTGTTGTACATGGCCGTGGGCATAGTTATGGGGGACAGCTTGTTGAGGCTGGGGAGGCACGGGACCTGGATTGCGGAACATTCGCTCCAAGTCAGTCTTTCTGATCATCGCGCGCGTTCTATGAATCGTCCTAGACGAATTGGCGTATGGAATAGCTCTATTGAGATACGATGTGCGCGTGCAGGGCAGGACGTGAGGGTTGAAGGTACGTACCAGGACCGCCTCGCCTTGTCGGCGTTGCGTGATGGGCGGGTTGGGCGGGAATCGGGTAATTCCGATACTGCGGCTGCATTTTCGGCAGGCAAAGTTCTTTTGGGCGGAAGGGGTGATGGAAGTAACCAGCGTTCACGATGCAGAACTAGCGAGCCTAGGATGGAGTGCGCGGTGGGAGAGGTTGAAAGACGATGGAGATTGATGAAGATTGCTTTTTTTAGGACGCGTCTGGGTTTAAGGTTACAGAGGAGAGTCCAGGGCTGATGACCTAAGGCGAAGGCAAGCAGCCGTTCACGCACTGATTCGCCCCTTTTCAGCAACCCCGCACACCTCACCCTCGCCAGAACTTGCTGCAAAACACCTAATTCACACGCTTGTGACTCTCGCTGGAGAATCACAATAAATCTGATTCTAATTCCATCGACTTGTTGTATCCCTAACGTGTGCGGGCTGCGCTTCGGCCGTTGACATAGCGCCGAGTGCATAAGATCTTGTGCAGCCGTCGTACCCATTGTATCAACCCTCCCGTGATGACGCGCCATTCACACTTCAAGGATCCTCTCTAGGAATAGACTAGCTTTACTCGCGTTCGTGTAAGAGATAGCGATGGGGCCCACTCCTCCACTTCGACCTGTTATCAATGACATCTTACATCTGATCGAATGTTCTCACCACCAAACTAAGTCTCTCCACAGCCATCAGAATATCGAAAAGACATAAGCAAGAGATGTCTTCCGGATCCCTGAGCAAGATAACTCGTGTCCGACTGCCCAAGAAACCTCCATCATCTCGTTGGGATGTCTCGATAGTCAACGGTCGGATCTCTTCCGTAGATGCTCATGAACCCATTAACCCCACCGACGATGCAGACCCATCAGCACTCGATGGTGCAGACTGTCTCCTGGCTCCATCCCTATGCCACGCCCATATCCATCTAGACAAATGTTTTCTACTTCATGATCCGAAATTCGACGACCTCCAGATCGAGTCAGGAGATTTCAATGAAGCCATGGAACTGACGGGGAAGGCGAAATCCAGATTTGAAGAGGACGATCTCCTGAGAAGAGGCCGACAATTAATTGAAGAGAGTATCGACAGCGGCGTGACCGTGATGAGAGCTTTTGTTGAAGTGGATGGCGGTGTGGATTTCAAGTGTCTTGATGCAGGGCTAAAATTGAAGGACGAACTCCAGGACCGATGTGAACTCCAAATCTGCGCATTTGCCCAACTTCCTCTGTTCTCCGGCGATGACGGCGGAGAGGAAGTCAGGCGGCTGATGACAGCGGCTGCACGGAGGGACGGCGTAGATGTTCTAGGCAGTACGCCGTATGTCGAATCCGATCAGACAAAGTCGAAGCAGAATGTCAAGTGGATCTCTCAGCTTGCTTTAAAGCACAGGAAATACTTAGATTTTCACCTAGATTATTTCCTCGAGGAAGAAAAACAGCCTCTTGTCTTCGATGTTTTAGAAATTGTTAAAGAGCAAGATTGGCTACGAGAAGGGAAGCAAATCACCCTTGGCCATTGCGTACGTGTAAATACAACATCCATATCCGTGGACTTGCATATAAGTCTCCAGAAGAACCTTTGGCCTCGCATTCGTTGCAGTACTGACTTCTCAATGCGATCAGACCCGATTGACACGGTTCAAGGACGAAGATTGGGAATCTCTCAGACAGAAGATCGGCACACTTCCCGTGGCCTTTGTAGGATTGCCCACATCTGATCTATTCATGATGAGGACCGCGGAAGGGTTACGAGGCACTCTGCCAGTAGTGAAAATGATCGGCAAGCATGGCCTGGAGGCAGCCATAGCAATCAATAATGTTGGCAATGCTTTTACGCCTCAAGGAAACTGCGATCCACTGAGCATCGCAAGCCTAGGTGTAGGCATCTATCAGGCTGGAACGAGAAAGGATACAGAGCTTCTCTATGTACGATGCACCCACAACCCCCAGAACCAGCATGCGCATTTTATCTCCAGCTAACAGTAATGTAGGAAACTGTGTCTTCCAGGGCAAAGGCAGCTATAGGCTGCGAGTCCACATCTCTGGATCTCTCAATTGGCGAACCTGCCGACTTCTGCTTATTTGGAAGACAAGACACAAGTTGGAGACGCCGTAAGAGTATTTCAGAACTCGTCTACGATGTCGGAGCATCACGGCAGACCATCCGACAAGGCAGGATAACATCTTCGCAACACTGACTATGTCATGTACTTTGAACACGTATAGATGCTATAGAGTCAGTAATATTATTGAAGTCTACTTGTGGTTACCCAAAAGCTTTCAGATTTTGATATTCGGCGTTTAGATCTTTATCCCCGAAAGGATGCATGGCAATATTTATATCTCACAGCTAGCGTTACTGCTTACGCGATCGTCGAGAGGGTCTCCACCGTTAACCATCAGTCCATCAAAGAGGATACACGTCTTTCTAGGCATATGTTTTCCTATTCCTGTAATGACTCGCAACATAACATTATTCGAAACCAATTTGACCACTCCGAGCCCCACTCCGACGAAATCTGCCACCTCTGCTCCATCTATGTTGGACTGCGAGCAATCAAACGTCTGCTTTTGTTCACATTGTTCGAAACCTTTCCAAGAAGGCTCTTCACGTGATAGGCACGAACAATACTGTGGTAGACGAACGCGCAGCAGGCCACAGTCATGCCGCACTTGTAACGCTGCGAAGAGGAAGTGCAGCTTCGAAATACCCTGCTCTCGGTGTAGCAAGCAAGGTTTGGAATGTGTCTACGCTACCGTTGGAGGCAAGAAGCATCGAAGACCGGATTCCTCAGACAAAGCCCGTAGAACAAGAGCTAGGAATGAAGACATGCCAGAGGTTTCCACCGATGCGGACTCACTTCCGAGTTGTTTATCAATGGCGACAACAGATCATTCTCTTTTCGGAGATTTTAATTTTGCTGATACTCAACCTGCCGACTACATGCCAATGGATCCAGATCCAGATCCCCCAAATGAGTCTCTAGATGACTACATAGCGCTCGATGGGGTTCTTGCCCTAGATGGACTTGATGGCATCCAGCAGCATGGATTCATAGAGATTCCCATGGCTCCCTACGAAAAGCTCGACGACTACCGACAGTCTTGGTGCGGGTGGATGCGTCGAGGCACGGCAGTCATTGCCGTGGAAACGAATATCGTTATGCAGAAGAGATCAAACTATGAGGCACTTCTTCTGGAAAGACCTCTTGCACAACATAATGTCGACTTGATCATCCAAGCGTTGCGATGCTTTCCCACAATGATGATGAGAAGAGAGACATTTCCTTGGTTCATCCACCGACAATCGCAGCTATTCTCAGCATCCAAAACAACTTTACCTGAGGCTTTAGCTACCTGCATGGGCATAGCGCACATGTTTACTTTGCGCACGCCTGAGACTAGACCGCTGGTTTGGAAGAGTATAAGTACTGAGCATCAACGCTTGAGCAAAGAGGTCCGTCCACATTTCCGAACGCATAACAATGGTACTGAGAGCCAGTAGATTCCGCATATGACCTTACATGACCTGCTCGTTGCGGTACAGGCATGCATCATATACCTCGTAATGTGTATTGTTGATCAATCTCAAGAGTTCAACAGCTATGAGCTTATGCATACGCTCCATGTAAGTTCAGATTTTTCTTTGGCTGTAACGCATATCTGACAGTGATCTTCAAGGAATTATATTATGCCTTCAAAAGGAACGTCGTGAAGCATGGAATAGGATTCGAGAACACGCAAGCCAATGGTAAATGGGAGCACTGGATCTTTGAGGAGTCACGACGAAGGTATACATTCCGCCACCGCATATACTACAGTTCTACCATATTGATCATCTTCTCTAGACTTGCACACCTATGGTTCCTCATCGGCTTTGTCGTCTGCATCAAGGCCGGCACAACATACGATGCATCACATAGCTACAGGGCTCTCGAGCTGCCGAGCCCCAAAGTACTGTGGGAAGCAACCACACGGTCTGCCTGGGAAGCAGAGAACGAAATGACTCGTACTTTTCAGATGAACGACATGGCCACTCTTGGTGATCTAATTGATACGCAAAAGGCAGGCTACACACCATCAAACGCCAGAAAACTGGACCAATGGAATACGGGAGTTGATACTCTAGGTTATTTATTGAATCTAGTGGGGGCTGTGGCATAACGACGAGTCATTCCATAACCATGTCCAATTCCTCATCATCATCGAGCACCCACAGACACGTTCCGCAGAACTACCACGGAACCTCGCCGCCACGATCAGAAAACGTCCCAGTCTGCCCTCCCTTCTCCAAAGTCGCCAGCTCCACAATCCGTTTCGCCCCCTCCTCAGTCGTACCTCCATAAGCATGATACCCTGTCAGCTTCGTCTTGATCAGCCCAGGACAAGCAACATTCACCAAGCCCCCAGATCCCTCCAAGATCCTCGCGTAGTTCGACGCCAACATATTCACAGCCGCCTTGCTGGAATCGTACGCCTTGTAGTCGGTCTCATAATACAACGTCGACTTATCGAGCGAGCATGTCACGGATCCCATGCGCGAAGAGACGAAGACGACGCGAGGGAGTTCCGACTTCTTTAGCAGCGGGAGACATGCTTCAGTGAGGCAGGCGGTGCCTATTACATTCGTTTCGAGTGTCTGCGAGAATAGGTCTCGGGTTGAGAGAGTCTTGTCCAGGTCGAGGAGCACGCCCGCGTTGTTGACGAGAACGTCCAGGACGCCGAACTGCTGCTCGATGGACTTGACGGCCGCGGAAATGGAGTCGTCGGATGCGAGGTCGAGTTGGACGGTGGAAATAGAGACGCCCTCGGATGCGATGGTCGCGACGGCTTGCTCGCCTGCTGAGGCGTTGCGGGATCCGATGATGACGTGGTAGCCGTGGTCTTTTGCGAGTTGAGCTGCTACGGCAAGGCCGATGCCTTGGTTGGCACCAGAGATGAGAGCGATTGTTTTCTTGGTGTTCGTCATGGTTTTAGGTTGGGTGTGGAATTTGAAGTTTCGTTTGTAAATATATAAACGAGTAGAGACTATCAATGATGCTGTGATATCAACCACCAGCAGAGACTCCTGCTGCCATTTATACTTGAAATCTCCTGCCACAAACTCCCAAAATTATAACTTATCTCCATGGTATTACAAATTCGTTTTGCGGGCGGGGCGCCTCACCCATCGTCAGACCGGTGCGGTATGTGCGGCAAATTTGGCCGCAATCGAACTTAGGCTGCATGGGTCTTGATTCGGGCGAGCTGATTTATTTAGATCACGGCAGATGTCATGAAGACTGATTAATGGCGTAAATTGGCATGGCCAACCAAGGGAAGGATTTGCCCTTTGGTGTTTGTTGGGAGACAGTTGCGTATTCAAAGATGACGGGTGTGAACACATTCATCACGTGGTGACAACTCCGCGAAAGAAGTCTAGAGTTGATAACATGATCCAAAGATACCTAGGCGGAAAGTCAATGTATCGGGTTACAGGCCACTGTTCTTCTGCATAAAGGGTTTCCAGAACTTTTCGGTATCGGTTTGATTGTCACTTTATCTTGGGTATATAGCACGTTGAGCAAAGCAGTCCCCCTAACTCCTGTCAGATACTATTCATGTTCCGCGATGTAGAATTCGTAATGGGACGAGTGTCTTATCGTAGACATGGTGTCCGCCTGTCTTAGTCTAGTTATCAGCCTTATACCTACAACTCGTAAGCACCTACTCGACGAATATCCAATACGAAGCTTCTTACATATGACTGCACTTCGCGCACCGATAAAAGACCGTACTCCCCTCATCCGCCGACCGCAACTGCATCTCGCGGAAGAACATCTCAGGGTGATTGCACTCGGGGCAAGGCTGGGACGTCGTGGGCCATGTGTCGGCAGCGGCCGCCCAGTCGATCTCTTGTATGCCGCCTGCGGAACGTTTATTCTCGAGAGAGGAGGGGAAGGCGCCGGGTTTGGATTGCGTTACGACGTAGGTGGGCCAGATGTCTTGAGGAAGTCAGTGGGTGGTGATAGGTGGAGTGGTGAGGAGGGCGTACTGTTGTTTGAGGCATCGCATATGTGGCAATGGATCGTACTGGTCGTAGATGGTTTCCTAGCGAGCAGATTTCCGCAGTCCTTGCAGAAGAGGAGGGACCCTACGAGAGGCATTGTTGTTGGAGTTCGGTTGTGGTTGGTGATGGAAGATTTCAGGTGTGAAAGAGAGGCGCGTTGACGTTAAGCCCAGTATCACTCATACAAACTTTTTCCTTTTTGACAGAAGATGTGCGGCAAATGATCGAAGAATTTACCGTTGATTCGGTTTGTTGTCCCAACAGATTGACCCACGGTACCTTATCTGTGGATATAAGCCTTCACTCATCCGTCTATCTGGCACTGGTTCTGATTGATATTGTTCCGTGAAAGTGATACGAGATTCCAGCATCGGCGTTTTTCGAGGCATTTATTGTTCTTATATCTACTACTACCTTGTCAATCTATGGTATGCAACTTTAGGCAGCTCTTATGCTGGCCCTCTCCGCCATGTCTTCGGCCTACCATGGGCAGATAAACCCAAGATCCGAAACGAAAGCCAGAGCAGTGGAAGCCCGAATTGATGGATACCGGGCTAGGGAACGCCGCAGTCTACGCGGAGTATTTGGCTCACTATTGGGTCTCTTCGGGGGTCTCTTTAGACTTACCCAGACGTTGATACTGATATTTTATCACGGCCTTGGCAATGCCCACTGTCGATTCCCTCGGATATTCCAGCAGAACGTCGAGCCTATGGCACGCAGCTCCGGACAACAAGTCCTCTGTCGATGCTATGGCCTGGTAACACGCCTCAAACGACGAACTCTCCTAGAAGAAGAATCCGCGTCAGCTTGATCGCGCACCACTCGGCGCAGTTACGGTTTTGCTCTGACTTCATCCTCCTCGGCACATACGGCACGAGAGGTATGGCCATCTACGAATCCATCTCCTCCATCATCGAAATCCAGCTAGGGAAGTCTACCGGTGACTTCAAAGACGTGCCGAAGGGGTGGCCAGAGAACCAGTACTGCAACACAGCACCATACCGAAGACGTGTATGCCCGCATTTATACCAACGAATGGCTCGATCCTAGAGTGACGCAGCTCCGAGTTTCCAACTTCAACACAAACATTGCGCTCTAAGTTACTTTTCCATGGCTCTACTCTGTCATTCCTCTAGCTTGGGGGCGAGGTCCAGGATGCCGGGAGGTGGCCTCGTGGGCTTTCAGGGTGCTGGGCCAGCTTCTGGGGAGACGGGGCTGGGATATCCGAGACTGTATGTCTCTCCTAATCTATGGTTCTTGTTTCCCACGGCAAGCGGACCAGGAGCCTATTACCGTCTCCGAGCGATTGGGGAAATTTCGTGGAGAGCAATGATCATGGTGGCACAACGGTCAGCAGTGCTCCGACCAAACCACAATATACCCGCTTCTAGTGATTTTCTAGAGGGATCTGAAAGTGTATGCAGAAGACTACTAAACCTTTACCATACATGGCGAACGGTGGAACGGAGAATGGCCCAAAGAGCGTAAGTGACCATAGCGATCGCGAATGTTGAGGAGCGGAGGCATCTCATTTGTGCGTCGAACAGCGATACCCCGCGTGGACGATATCAAGTTGATTGGAGCAGACACCGGAGCAAACGGAATACAATCGACACCTTTTCAAATAACTTTCCCAAGTAGGCAATGTGGCGGCGGTGGAGGGAAACAAGCTTCAGCAAAACGACTCCGGAGGGGCCTTAAACGTGCATATGGCGCGTGCAAGTCTCCGGTGGCTTTCGGGAAGCTTGCTGGATGGATCAGGAGATCGAAAGGTACATACATGTACACCGTACATTGTTCCGGATGGCGGAAGACCAAATGCACTCTAGAATTGGATAGCAAGAAACGGCTCCGATGACAGGACTGTAATCAGCATGCTTTGGCACACCTTGCTAAGAGCAGGATCCATCAACGAGGGGACGAAGGCAGGACACGTCTGTACCGCTACCTACTGTGTACATGGAGAGATGAATGGACGAGGAGGGCCTGGAGGGAACAACTTTGTTGACGGGAAAAAGCAAAGACGGGAGAGAAACAAGCTCGTCCTCCATCCTCCATCCTTCATCCTTCTCCGCCTTTTTGTACAGAGGTCGGGGTAACATCTTGTATTCCCCCCGTTCCCCACCCCCGTCCGGTTCCCCCAGGGCCAAGCAAAGATCGCTCTGCGCCCCAACCGCTGCAACTCATCACCTCCTCTCTTATCCACATGACAAGTATTGTACCCGTACATGTTCCGTACAATATCCCATAGCCCGCTCTCCCTCATCCTTGCCCATGTCATCATAGTGCATCTTGTTCTTTCTTCCTCCAATTACGTTACATCAATGCCGATAGCTTCATCAAGCCCCTAGAGCTTCCTTCTAGCTTGTCACCCCATACCCCAGACCCATACCAATATCCATACCAATAGCAATACCTGCTCGAGCTTGTTCTCTTTCTCCGCTTCCTAACCGGCTGGACACACGAGTACGAGTGACATTGTCAATATTTAACCAGCCGTGGCTTGCTCTAGCTCAACAGGTACTCATTTCAGGCCTCGATAAATGTAGAAGGTAAGATGAAATATTTTCCGTAGACGTGATCGTCGTCGTTTCTTAGCTTCAATGTTCATTTCTGGAAATCGTTCCGACAACTCTGCGGGGGAAATCGAAGGACTTTGCAAGCTACGAACCGTTCTCCCCACAGTCCACAAATACAATGGCCAACAAGCCATAAGCTTCCTACTAGTACCTACATACGAGTAGCACTAGCTAGGTAACTGGGTAGCTATCGAGACTAGGGTGAGGGAGCTTCACCTGCTTGTAGCTGCTTGTAGGAATGTAACCTTGAACCTACACCATATGCTGCTCATCGTTGTACACACCCAGCCTGGTCGCTGGATTCGAAAACCCCTCTCTCACTTGTGATTTTGCCGTTTGTCAACCCTGGGTCATGGGTTGATCATCTGTGCTCGAGTCCCTGCCCTGTCCTGCCTACTTCACTTCTACTAGGTATTTATTTACCTATTTATGTACTACTTTTCCCCTGCTCGTCCCTTCCACACTTTGCCTCCTCCCCCGAGCTCTCTCAATTTTCTATCATTGTCCCCCGACGTGATACGAGGCTTGGAATCTTTACAGCATTCGTCTGCATTGATTGGCAAATCGTCACTTCAAGTACGCATTGGGAACCCAGCTGATCCACAATGCTCAGCTACAAGTCTGTCGCGGTCTCGCTGCTGGCCGCCACCTCTGCCTTTGCGCAGTACAACAGCACGAAGGGCCCAGATGAGGACGGCAAGTACGAGATCTCTGCCGAGGGAATTCGCGCTCAATTCATTCCCTATGGAGCGTCAATCACCAATCTCTTCATTCATGACAAGAATGGCGAGGAGCGCGACATCGTTCTCGGCCACGACAATGCTAGCTTCTACTCTGTCGATCCCTTTCATCCACATCTCGGAGGTGTTCCAGGTAAGTTCATACATAGCAATCTTTGATTCTCTCATGTGTGGGTCGTTGATGTCGGAAACAGGACGCTACGCGAATCGCATCAAGAACAGCAGTTTCGTGATCGATGATATCGAGTATCACGTAACGCCAAACGAGAACAACAACAATGATACCCTCCATGGTGGGCCTGATGGCTGGGACTACGTACGTCTTTCAATTCTTTTGTTCTCGCAAGGACCACATCAAGAATGTCGAAAATTCGGGATCGGTATAACTAGAAGACATATATACTAACTGACGTTCAATAGCGCAACTTCACCATCGTAGCCTACACCGATGATTCAATCACCTTCTCTATCGTCGACCCAGATGGTAAGGAAGGCTTCCCAGGTGAGGTCGTCAGCTACATCACCTACACGGTCACACCAAACACATGGCACATCAAGATGATTGCCCTGGCTACCACCAAGAAGACCCCAATCATGCTCAGCTCGCACACCTACTGGAACCTCGACGGATTTGCCAATGACGAAACCCCTACGGCTCTGAACCATACGCTGTCCCTTCCCTACTCTGGCCAGCGCATCGGAGTTGACGGCATTCTCATTCCGGATGGCACTATCCTACCCAACGAGAAATACTCGGTCAATGATTTCTGGTCATCGCCCAAGCAGATTGGCGCAAACCACACCGCTCCGGAATTGCTTGGGAACTGTGGCACCAACTGCACTGGATACGACAACGCCTACCTTGTGAACCGCGCACAGAACGGACCATATGATTGGAGGACGTCGGGACCTGTTGCCAGCTTGTGGAGCGACTGGTCTGGCATCAAGGTGGATATCTTTAGCGACCAGGACGCATTCCAGGTCTACAGCTGTGGTGGTCAGAATGGTACGTCAAGCATTTACTCTCTGTATGATACGAACTAACACCTTGAAGGCTCGCTCCCCATCAAGAAGACTCAAGGTCTTGAAGGCCGCCCTCGCGTCGTAGAACAGTACGGCTGCCTTGTTATGGAGGTCGAGGACTGGATTGACGCCATCAACCAGCCCGAATGGCAACGTGAGAAGAAGCACATCTTCGGACCTGGAGACGAGCCATACGTGTTGGAGGCTCGCTACGAGTTCTCAGTGAACAAGTAAGTGGCCGTGATGAGAGTATAGACGGCGCAGTAGCAGCTCTCGAATAGATACCAGAGTCTACACGTATGAATAGTTAATAAAAGACCGAATCAAAGAGCGGTCTGTCGCCTCCTAATTGGCCTGTGTTGTGTTCATTATGACTCCTATTGTTCCTATTGTGCTTTCATTTGTCGGTGCCTTGCCCAGCCATCCTTTTAATCCCAAGTTGTCATACACATCTCATCTTCCCTCGTCCCTTCTCTTTTCTTCTTAGACGCCCCAAGATCATTCAATCACCAAGCCCTTCAGATATTCCTGCCAACCAAAAATAGCCCGAAAATCTCTTCCAGGTGAAAGATGAACACGTACACGTACCCAGGCACCAAAATCGACCCAAACGCGCAACACGCAGCACGACGCACAGGCGACGAAGCGCGCCATGCCGCCAGCGGAACCAGATATTGCAATACCAGGCTAATCAATTCACTCTGCCTGGCAAGCACAGTTGAGCACAACAGCATGCCAATTGCGGATTCACAACCACAGTGGCAACGCCAATTACCCTTTGTCTCCAGAGCAGTCCCAGCACAGCCGTACCACCACCACTACAATCGCGGCGTCGAGCTGATTCCGACGCTCAACACTCCAATTCACTTCTCTCGACCTCTCAATCCGCCAAGATCCGCTATCACTATCTCGTGGTACCCTTGGGATTTATCTTCTTCACCTTCTCCTCCCCCTTCAGAGGCTTCATCTTCAGCGGATTCCCTCGCAGATCTAGCTTTCAACCTATCACTCAACTCTCCTCCACTAATTCCGCTGAAGACACCTCGCCCTCCACAGAAGGCCCAAGAAGTCCACATGGCACGTCGACTACGACCGGGTGAACTCACTCCACCCGGACCATGGGCCGACGGGAGCTGGGCATGCGGATGCCAGAAAGCATTCACCGCGAGCAAGAAGATGCAGTTCGGACTGGGTATCGAGGATATCCATGGTAATTTCCATTTTGGAGCAGATGACCAATATCCCGTCCCTCCTCCCACTGTGATTGAGCCTGAGCAAAGAGGAACTGAGTGGTTACTTCGCTTGGGATTTGGTGAATTCGGATTTGGAGACTACACCACTGAAGGTCCATTGAATCATCCTTTGGGTCAGAAGAACGTGTTAGATGACGGCACGATCTTCAATCCGGGCGAGACACTCACCATATCCAAAGACGCCGCGGTTCTGGAAAACAACACCCCATCCCAATTCCCCTGGCACGCCGCCTATGGCCTCAACGCCTCAACTGGACAAACCCAAACCAACATGCCATCCAGCTCTCCAATTCCCGCCTCAGACAGCAACCTCATCGACCCATCAACCCTCTTCCACGGCACCGACCTCCTCGCCTGGCCCCAGCAACCCCAAACCACAACCAACATATCCCAATCCCACTACGCCGACCTCAGCAGCATCGACCTCGACCTCAACCTCGACCTCAACTCTCACAACCTCATATCCTTCCCCTCAGACGACGAAGACGCCCTCACGGAAATAGACTTCCCCTTCACATCTTCCCCGTCCATCAAGCCCACCACCAACGACACAGGTAACGTTCCAACCACCCATTACCATGAAATGCACTGATCTAACAAGACACAGGACCAACGATACTCCACCCCACAAACCCCCTAATAACCATAACAACAGCATCACCCTGCGCTGGCCCAGTCGTACCCATCCGACCCATCCTCGCGCAGAAACAGTCACAGCAACAGGTGATGCAGAAGCAGAAGCAGGTCCACCCGCCGCTGAAACGCCAGCGCTCGAACGATAGTGGCGTGGTGTATAAACTCCCAGGAGTCGTCGGGGGCAGGAGCGGCGACGGAGGAAGAGGAAGAGGAGGAAGAGGGGGGGATGATAAGGAGAACGAGTTGTACCACAAGGCGCCGTACTTGTATGCTCTCAAGGGCGTGGGGAATGTGGGAGCGGGACGAGATGAGGATGGTGGTGGTGTTAGTCTGATCTAGGTGTGTGGATTGTTGGACAATCAAGGGTGGATGTGTATTCTCGGAACTTGGGGATGTGGCGGTATTGTTTGGACAAAGATGATGGAGGAGGTTTGGGAGGGGGGTGTTATTGTTCGAACAAGGGAGATAAAAGTGCTTGTTTGGTGTTTGGAGAGACAAAAGTGGTTGGGGAGGGAACGGGAATTGGTGTTACTGGGGAAATGTAAAGATAACGACGATGACGATGATGATGACGACGACGACGACGGTAATATGTATGATGACTATGACGAATAACGATGGATATGATGATATACCCCAAAAGTTCACGGTGGACAGCGAGGAAACGAAAACGATGGATGTCGAAGTCGTTGACGAACAATAGGAACGACCCATTCATTGTGAATAGAGTAAATAGCGGTGTAGTGTAGTGCAAGGTGTATAAACGGCACACAATAAGACCGCCAGAACAAACAAACGCATGAAAAACAGCAACTCACGTTACTCCAAGCCACTGCTTTTCAGATCTACTTCTTCGACACACCCGCACAGTCACGTCTTAGGAAGCGTTGCTCCATATAATTTCATCAATTGTTTGAGTCCTACTTGATACATATTTTGCTATCTCGCCCCATTAACTCCGCTGAGAAGCGATGATGACGATTGCTCCAGCAAAACTTCAGACTTCCGTGGATAATTCCCCCGTCATTCTCTCAATACAGAAGGGGGCCTGACGATGACTCCTTTGAAACTCTCGTGGGTATCAAGTACACAGATTCGTAACAGGAAGGGAAAAAGGAGATGAGAGAAGAGGAAAGAGAAAACATGCCACCGGGTATATGATAACATCCAGAGAACTCCGTTTTGATCCGTCCTTTCGAGCGCCATATCATGCAGGGTTGGTACAGAAGAAACCAACAGTTCGTTTCCTTCCGACTTGAGAAGACTTTCCGCTGTCCGTTGCACTCACGATCGATACAGTAGCACCGATGGTACACACAAACCCCCTTTCATATCAAACAACCCTCGCGTCACCAAAGACACTGGAAGCAAGAAAAGAACGGAAGCCGTGCAGTGCAAAGCAGGAGCGGAAGAAAGAAGGAAAGGTTAATAACCCGGACCGCCCCTCCTGTTCATAGTCAACTGCATGTCAACCACGCGACTGGGCTTCCGCTGGACGGGGCGGCCCGCGAGCAGGCGGCGGAGCCGGGGGTTCCTGACGAGCCGGTTGATGCGGTCTTCCTCGGTGACAGCGCGGGCGCGGGGAGCGGCGGGTCTGGGGGCGTCTCTGGCGCCGACGCGTCTGGCGCCGACGTTTCTGGGGACAACGGTGTTTAACAGGGCGATTGGGCCGGCCCGGTTTGGGTTGGGGGTGTCACTGTTGACGTTGTCGCGGTTGGGGTTGGGGTTGGGGTTGATGTTGAGATTGCGGTTTCCCGTGGTTTGAACGTCGCGGCCGCCGGCAGGAGAACCGGGTCGAACTCGTCCTCGAAGCATGGCAAGGAGATCATTGTTGTCACTGGCGACATTCGCTTCACGAGTGTTGTCTTGAGCAACTTCGCGGACGGGGGCCGCGAGAAGGCGCAGGAGCCTATCTGGGACGTTAAATGGGGAGTTGGCCCTTGGCTGGGGGACACGGTTGGGGACGTCGATGTACTCGTCACGGCGCAGCTCGCGGGCACGCTGGCGGACCACGTCTGGGACGATGTTGACTTGCCTTTGATGGTTTTGATGGTTTTGATGGTGGGCAGGGACCTCGTTGGCGATTCGATGACGAGGACCAGCACCAGGGTGGGTTACAGCGTGGACGATTTCACCACTGGTGTTGTTGTTGTTGTCGTTGCGGCGGTCGACTTGCCCATGTGCCTCAGTGCCGGCAACGACTCTGTCAACGAGGTTGCGTCGCCCTGAGATGAGGTCGTTGAGGTAGCGGCGCTGGCGCTCACGATCATGACGCTGCCGACCTGGGCGATCGCTATTCGCTGCTGTCCTACCACGGCAAGTAGAGGAAGTTGCTCGCACCATGCTGCCAGTTGGTGGTGAGTTGAACTGGATGGTTGAGTTCTTGAGTACCTGTAGTTGAACCGACTTGGGTAAATGAGAACGCAAAAGGGAGAGGGAGTTGTGATTATGGGCAGTGGGAGATGGCAGAGGCACTGTCAAGTGTCTTTAAATGTGGTTACATACCTAGTGAATAGAATGACGAAGTGGCGAGGTGATTTGGATGTTTTGAAGGTGGAGGTTTTGTAGACAAGGCGCGTAAACAATCTTTGGAACAACGCGTAAAGAGTGAAGGCGAGCCGTAAGAGTAGACACGAACTAGGGCAATGAGCATGAGCTTGAGCATGGGAGCAGCGAACACACACTAGACCAGTAGGCGTTGGAGCTGTAGGCACTCAGTTAAGCAACGAGTGAAGAGTGGGAGGCGAAAAACGACATTCACTGCTTTCTTACTGGGTGCAATCTTTTGAGTGAAGGGATGGTTGCCTGTTAGCAGGTTGCGCCATCTGAACATCAACAAATGGTGCGCGGCAATCTGGCTAAGGTGACTGCTGCGTTGGAGTGAAGCATGGTGATAGTTGAGATGGAGGGACGTTTATCCGTGGTTGGTGGTTGATGGTTTATGGAAACAACAGTTGACCAGCAGTTCTACTCTTAGATATACAATGACATCAACTGTATCGTAGGAAAAACATGCCAATGAACTTCATACTCTGCTCCGCGCGTGTGTCATATTGAAGACTTCGCACACTTGGACGAGAGCATTTCAACCTGGACAGTGTGATTGATATGAACCATAATTTATATGAACATGAAGCAACCCTATCTACGAGAAGCACATTGTTACGCCAGAACTACCATATTCGCCCTTGCAGTGCATACAATGGTGCTTGATGGAGGTTGACATCATCCTTCTGATAGTCTCCGAATGAACGGCCATAACACAAAAGTCCAACTGCACACCCCACTATAGACTCCCGGGATTCACACCGGGTATGGGGGAGTACATATACGCCTGGTTCGCCTTCCAGTGTCCGTAAACCAAAATCGTTAGGTAAATCGCTACAAGGCCAGAGCGAGGAGTGCGGATTCGATCCTCTCCTAGATATCGTCCATATTTCCGGCAGCCTCGTCTTCCTCGCCGGACTCGTAGCTCCCTACCGAGCTCATTTCATCATCATCGTCACTGTCCTTGTCGTCCTCATCGGCGGCATCCTTGGACGCGTACTTTTGCACATATTCTGGTATTAGAATTAATAACAGTTCCTTACGTGAAATGTTTCGTGAGAAGTCGTACCTTTGACTTTTGCGTCATAGCTCTTGGGTTCGCGCATTAAAAGTGCCGCCGCTTCGCCGTTCAAAGGATCGGTAGGGTTGGGATATCGGAGGAGCTGGGGTAAAAAGACCTCGAAAATGTTGATCATATCATACATTGGAGACCATGTCTGGTTGATCACGTCGAGACACACGGATCCCGACCTACAAGGTATCAGTCGCTAAGATTTCCCAACTTGTAAGAAAAGGATTGGTGGGCACATACAGCTCATCGATGTTGGGATGGAAGATCCTGTTTACAAAGCCTATGCTAGGGCTTTTATACGGATACTGATCGGGTAGTTCGACGTGGATTTTCCACAGACCGCCCTGGAAGGGTGCTGAGACTTGTCAATATGTTTCTCTCTCTAGTCGTAGATAAAGACGCACTCTCTTCGGGGCCCTTGAACCTGACGTAAAACTCTTGCCTGTGGTATGTAAGCTTCGGGGAGGGACGGGTGGAACGAGGACGAAGGACGAGGGACGAGGGACGAACACTGGGATGCAGGTTAGTTAAGAGGCCCAAAAGGATAGCTGGGACGAAACAAGCATACTATTATCGTTCACGAGTGTGACTTCGTAATCGCTCATTAACCTGAGAAACGTGAGTCAACGGGAGAGGCACGCAGCTGTGGCGAGCTTACATCCTACTCGTATGTTAGTTGCTTTAATATCTAACAAGTCTTAGGGTTCTAGACATACTTCATGACCTGCAAATGACGGTAAGATATGCCGTCAGTACATGATCTCTCTTTGACTTGTGTATCCATGGGAACCTACATCTGTCTCGATGCGTCTCTTTGGGCTACTCATGTTGGCTGTTCTTCTCCGTCCGCTCCGCTGGCGGACCTGATGCGTTCAGGATATGTGCCGGTGCTTTGTAGTAATGACGGAGGGGTAGGAAGCTCGGGGGAGCTCGTGAACGACGTTCAGGCGCAGGAGCGAGTATGGGAGGGCCGGAGAAGAGTGTAAAGATGAGGTGAGTCGGAGATAGCGGGCGGGAGGCAATGAATAGTTGGTGTAGTCGCTTTGTTGGCGGGGTAAACGCGAGCTTGGTGCAGGACAATCAGCAGGCGGTATCAGGCTGGAAGCGAGTTAGAAGAGAGAAATATAGTTGAACAGTGAGAAAACGAGGGAGAGCGTTGTTGGATTGTTTGCAAGTGAGAGAGTTGAGGTAAGGTGGTGAGCAGGGCAAGGGAGAGTGGAGGTAGACGCTATCGCGCCGCCTGCATATCGATCACGACTCATAGCTAGAGTTGGCGGGCAATCACGCCTCACAACCACGAGAGGTACCTATACCTGCCACCAACTACCAACTACCAGCTACCGGCTACCAGCTACCAGCTACCAGATACCCGCTGCCATCTACCCCTCATCCACAATACTGTACCAACCAAAGAACGCTGCCATCGCTCGCGTGCGCATCTGTTTCGACTGTCGGTCATTTATCCAGCGGAGGTGCCTCGTAATGCGGAGGCGATGGTCTAGAGAGTGCTGCGTATTGGTATATCGTCGTCATATGATTAATCCCTTAGCTGACTGGGAAATGTGGCAGAGCATATCCAGGATGACCGTGTATTCCACCTAGGATGATGATACAATAACACAATGAAATAAAACCTTACCTCGAGATTTATACGATCTCAGAATTAGCGACATCATGTTGGTTCTGTCTTAAAGCTTCATTGAGTACCTACCTAGGTACAGCTACAGCTACAGGTACGTAGATACTTTACTTATGACTCGGAGGTCCGACAACCTTCTATTCAATGGCGGTTACGTAAGCCATACTGGGAGTTCCCACGTGTTCACCAACAATAGGGATCAATCCAGTACCACGCAACCGGGAAGCTTAATTTTAGATGTTCATATATCTTGTGAATGACTATCAGTTTATTCAGAGCAAACGACTGACAACTTTAATTTCAGTCTTGGGGTTCGAAAATGGACAGATCACCAATACCCTTATTACCGATGATAACTATACTATACCTACAGCGAGTCGCCGCTTCTGTCTGTGGTGAGCCTTAGAAGTAGCAGAAGTCAATCTTGCTAACAGATATAGAATTACATCCTCTTATTTTCCCTAGCTCTAATCATTCCTCATGTTTCCCTGTATATAAATATATTCAAAATGCCAGATCTTTAACACCCCAATCGACATTACCATTCGGGTCTGAGCATCTTAGAGTGTAGGGATGGGGAAGAGTCGGGGCTGACTGTACCCTCTCGGACCGAGGGATTGCTGGAAGGGGGTCGCGTGCTCTGATTGGACGACGGCACTCCATTCAACCTCTCAAAGGCGGCCGCGCGCAGACACCAAAAACCTCCTCCACCATCGTTCTCCAAGATGCGCCGTAGCAAGTATACCAACACCAACTCAATTTCCCCTTAAAAAGCTGAATCGCCCGCTAAGCATGGACTCTTCCTCTTTTCCCACAATACCCTCGGTCTCTTCTCAAAAACTTTCTGCTTCGAAAAGTCTCTTCAACAACCCATAATTCCCCTTTGTTGGAACCATGTCACGTGCCATCATGAACAACGTTCGGGCATGTCTGCGGACTGCTCGACCACAATTAAATTCACGATGCTCGCCAGCATCGTACATCTCTCGGCCAATGCTTCGTGTCACCGCCGGTCAGATCCGATGGAGTTCACATTCTCCCTTGGGTTCTTCTCCAGCCAATGCGCGGAAGCCCGTGACTATCAACACCATACAGAGCCTATATCGGAAGAAGGAACCCATCACAATGATCACTGCACATGACTTCCCCAGCGCCCATGTCGCCGACCATGCTGGAATGGACATTGTTCTTGTCGGTGACAGCCTCGCCATGGTGGCCCTTGGCATGGACGACACCAGTGAGGTCCGACTTGACGAAATGATCTTGCATTGTCGCTCCGTCGCTCGCGCAACAACAGGTGCCTTCACAGTAAGCTTCGCCGTCATCACTTTCTCACATCTCGCCGTCAAGTATACTAAGCTTCACATAGGTCGGTGACATGCCCATGGGCAGCTACGAGATATCACCAGAGCAGGCACTGGAGTCCGCCATCCGGATCATCAAGGAGGGCCGCGTCAAGGCCGTCAAGCTCGAAGGTGGAAAGGAGGTAGCTCCCACCATTGCCAAAATTACCTCTGCGGGTATTCCCGTATTGGCCCATGTCGGCCTCACGCCTCAACGGCAGAACGCCCTCGGGGGTTTCCGAGTGCAGGGCAAGAACGTTGCGTCTGCGCTCAAGCTCCTCGAGGATGCGAAGGCCGTTCAAGAGGCCGGTGCATTCGCCATGGTGGTAGAGGCTGTTCCAGCTGAAGTCGCAGCTCTCGTGACGCAGCAGCTCAAGGTGCCTACCATTGGGATTGGTGCCGGCAATGGCTGCTCGGGTCAGGTCCTCGTGCAGATCGACATGCTCGGGAACTTCCCTCCTGGCCGCTTCCTGCCCAAGTTCGTCAAGAAGTACGGCAATGTCTGGGGAGAAAGCATGAAAGCCATCCAGGCATACAAGGCCGAAGTCAAGAGTCGAGAGTACCCTGCCCCTGAGCACACGTACCCGATGCCGAAGGAGGAGTACGAGGAGTTTGCGAGGCTCATCGAAACACAAAAATCATCGGAATCCTAGGTCATTCTTTGCATTGGTGGTGGCGTTGATGATATTTCGCATTGATATCTTTGTTTGACTCCTTTCATACCCCTGCGCTGCCTATTATGCGCTGTCGAGTCGTTCTCTCTTCCTTCACGTGCTAGCGTTGATTCTATCCGCTTCGTAGCATCTGTCTATAGCTCCTTATACCAAATCAGACGCATACTGTATACTCAACCCAGTATAACATCCATCCTACCGCAAAAGTACCGCACAGGGTCGTGATGCTCATCTATCCATTACTCTTACAACCCCCCATCCCTCCATCCCTCCCCTACCCAAAAGCAGGAGACAGAGCATACCCCACAACCAACTCATCATTCGTCTTAAAACACTAAAAGATCACCCTCATCAGCACACATTACCCCTCCCCCCTTCCCCTCAAAAACAAAACACACGAAACAAAGAAAGAAGGAAGGAAAACTCACATTCCAAAGATTTCCGACCCCCTCGTCGAGGGCGGGGCTGAAAACGCTGCCGATATAGCAGTACACGCTCTCGTGGTCCTTCGCCTCGAGCCGCCGGCGGAGGAACTTGACTATGGTTTCGAAGCGCTGGTTGGCGGAGAGGTTGAAGACGCGCTGCTTGAGGTGCGGTGCTGAGCCTATGGGGTGCAGGCGGATCTTCACTGTATGATTTCTGTTAGGGAATTGATTGTTTATTTTTTGGGGGGTGTCTTGAGGGGTGATTGGGGGTATTAATGGGGGTGTTTGAATGGGGGTATATGTTCGAGATGAAATGTAGGGGGACCAGCCTCACCCTTCGTCACGCCTAGATCCCCCGCACTTTCGAGGGCTTTACTCGCGTCTCGGGGGAGGTTGGTTAGTATGACGGAGGCGGCCATTGTTAGAGGTGCTTCGGCGGCTTCGCCATCTTCGTCGGGTATCCGGTCTTTGGGTGAGTCGCTCATTGTGGAAGGTTATGTGCAGGCTGGAGAGTTGCGGCCTGGTGGCGCCAATATTGGTTGAAATGGGTGAGAGAGATGATGGAGGATGATGTGGTTGAGTTCACGATTGCTGAATGATTGCTTCTTTGGGATCTGAGGAACGACAGGGTTTGGGGAAATGTATTTGCGAGATTGATATAGTTGGTTGTGTAGTTACAGTTGTGTTGAAATGTTAGACAACACCGCCACGAGGTCTACAAGTGTGGTGGGCGCGCAGCCAATCACAGACGTTGTAGTCCTCCTTTGAATCACCTCAATACTATTTTGGAATGACTACACCGACAACACTGGAGAGGACAAAGGGATTTTTGCTATATCGTTGGGGAAAGGTTGAGCTGTAATCAACTAGTAACCGGATTCTGGGACTTTCTGATTGGACTGCCAATATGCTCAAATCGTTGATCAACATAGGTACGATTGTACCAATGTGCATACTTAGGTTGTTGGCATGAGGGAACAGCTGCAATGTCCGCATGTCATTACTACTAGTACTTGCAGTAATATCATATTAACGAAAGTATGTTCTCCTGACTGCCAATCACTCTGAGTAGTAGTTATTGGTGTTCCGACCCCTTTGCTCCAACAAAGCGGACTAGGTTATGACCGAGACAGCCCAAGTTCTTGGAAGCCAGCTGTTCCCTCAAATCGTCCCATGAGTTCAAGATATATGCGGACTTAGGCGCTCATAATGCGGATAAGACGTTGATCATGTGAGATCGACATTAGCATATCCGGGCACTCGCGACCGACGTCTTGAAGTCTCTTGTAACGATATGTATTGGCCGAGTGCTTTGATAGACCAACAGTCTTAGCGGTGTCCCAATCCGGAAGAAATGAAAAGACACACTCTCTCCTATCACCACCGAACAATTCCAATGCACAAAGCCTCACGAGAAAATGCGAAACAAACCCCACGCAACCACGTGTAATTTCTCTGGTGGGAAAATAACCACCACCTGCAGGCACTCCGAGCCCATACAGCCGCCCTGTCGAAGTCCGTCCTGCAGAAGCTGGGCAGCTTTGAAACACATTTTGTTCTTGGGGGTCATGGCACATAATTTCCCAGAGGTCTGGCAGCCAAGCAACCCAAGAAGCTACGCGGAAAGACGGTCTTAGGAAAACCCTGGCACTTCTGCCTTTTGTTTAGCATAGCATCTGCGCCCCTCTGCGGGTGTTTATTGGCGAAAAAGGGCGATTTATTTGACGCGACTGTTTTCTCGCTCTCACAGCGTTGTTGAGCCGCCGTGATATCCATCTACTTAGACCGCTTTCGCCTTTCCGAGAGAGAGATCTTGCTTTGTTTATGTCGTCGATGTCGTCCGCAAGGCCCGCCTGGACGCATTAGAGCCATGGGAGATGAAGACCGAGTTGTACCTAGTCCTTTCGTCTTCGGGACTGGCGATGCGTGGGAGGGTTACGATGGGCCGTGGTCTGCGTTTACAATACACGTCGGAACTCCGGGGCAGGATTTCAATATCCTACCCTCTACGTCCGGTGCACATTTGATATTACCTATATCGGAGAGATGCACATCTGGAATTGTTCTACCTAAATATACAGCCTTGAGGGACGCGAACTCCACCCAACTTCCTACTACCGGCTTTCGACCTAATGCATCAATTACATGGAAACCGTCTGGGCCAAACAACTCCTTGGGAAATCAGCAACTTGCCAATAGCGACAACAAAATCTATGGACTTGACAAGATTGAAATGTTTTCACACAATTCGACCGGATTGGTGGTTACAGACCAAGTGATATCTGGAACATCTATCAAAGACCACCAATTGGGATTCTTAGGACTCGACGCCAGGCTATCAAAATCGCCGGATTCTAACTATCCTCACCGGTCACTCCTTACAACGCTCCGGGAAGACAACAAGATACCAAGTCTATCCTTTGCATACACCGCTGGTGCGGCATATCGAATACCAAAGGTCGCTGGCAGCTTGACACTAGGCGGTTACGACGCCTCTCGATTCAAAGCAAACGACCAAACATTCCCCTTCAGCAATGACGAAGACCGTAGACTCGAGATCAGTATAGAACAAATATCCTTGAACAACACACTATCCGGATCCCACTCTCTTCTCCACCCCCACATACTCTCCCTAATAGACTCAACGTACCCACACATCTGGCTACCCCGAGCAACCTGCGACTCCTTCGAGCAAGCATTCGGCCTCACATACGACGCCCCAACAGACCTCTACCTCGTAAACTCCACCATCCACCAGCGTCTCCAATCCCTAAACCCAACGATAACCTTCCATCTCGGTAGCCCTTTCAATCCCACAACATCCGTCACCATTGCCCTCCCCTACAGCGCCTTCTCACTCCAACATCAACAACAACAACCCAACAACGCATCAACTCACTCACCCTCTTACTACTTCCCCCTCCGCCGCGCCCCCAACGACACACACTCCATCCTCGGCCGCACCTTCCTCCAAGAAGCCTACCTAATAACCGACTACGACCGCTCCACCTTCTCCCTCCACCAATCCGTCTTCCCAGACCCTCTCCAGGAGCCAGACATCGTTTCCATCCTCCCCCCGCCGCCTGTGCCGCCAGTGCGGAAGGAGTTCTCGTACACGTCGCACTCGCCGAACGGGATCCCGAAGGGCGCGGTGATAGGCATCGCGGCGGGGGTGGGGTTTCTCGTGCTGGTGCTGCTGGCGCTGTTTATTGTGATGTTGAGGCGGAGACGGCGGAGGGCGGGGAGGAGGGCCGTAGGGAGGTGTGCGGGGGTGCAGACGCAGGTGGCGGGCGGGAATTGGGACGGGGGGAGTGGTGGTGGTGATGGTGGTTCGAGGCAGCATTTTGAGCTGTATGGGGAGCGTAGGGCAGCTGGTTGAACGGGGAGGAGGGAGGAGTATAGTGCGGGTGCATGGTATGTGATGGGGCTCGAGAGGAAGAGCTGTTCGATATACATTATCTGATGATGCGTTATGAATAATTCTATATATATGGTAATCATACAGAGTAGCTTGATAAGGCTTGCTACTTGAGGAATTGCAACTGGGAGGTATTCGTGATTTCGGGACACCAGAGGCGGGAGTATAATGATATCCAATTTTGACTATTACACGCGTTTATACAAGAATCATTTTAGTACCACAAGAGTTCTTTATGAATCACGTCGAGATATTAGGGTTGTCAAGAGCACACAGGATGTGATGATTCATTGAGTAACATTGGTAGCATATCTATGGAAGAGATAGCAATATGGGCTTGCTGCTAGTTTAAGATAGGCTGCATGTACAAGTCACCAAGTCACTGTATTCGCAGCAATAAAGACATGCCCACAGATCCAACATACTCGCACACCTCGTTCCAAGATGCATTTACCAGGCCGTTGAAACGATCGACCAGACATCCGAGTGGATACTGTTCACAGCGACTTACATGATACCGCCGTAGTCAGGATTAAAGAAAGAAAGAAAAAACCAGCCAAGCCATACACGGATAAAGAACGCGCCTGGGAAAATGCTGCGGGCCGCCAAAATGCTGTTTGTTGGGTATTCGCAATAGAGAAATTGGGTTTCGTGCACCCTGAGGGTTGGTTGAAGTGAACAAGGTGACAAAGGAGAAATTACTGCTAAGGTAGATATACGGGGTCGAATGTTTCATGACGTGATATCGTTATCGGGTCAATGGACAAGTTTCTATTGGCGTACAAGGCATGCCAGGAGTTTATCGAGCTCTTTCCAGTTATCCTGGGTAAGAGCGAATTTGCGGTGTTTGCGAGATACAACATGCTATGTAAAGTCAGTACGGCTGATTGAATGATTGAATCAAAATATCTTACCTCGTCGAAGTCATTAAACTTCTCTCTGCAATTCTCGCAATAACCCGGCTTGAGTTCCTTTTCGGAAACCTTGCGACGACGAACAGCTGCAGCTTTCCGCGTCTGTCTCTCTTCATCTGAGGGAGTTGCATCTTCGTGTATGAACCCAAGAGCGTCCTGTGCCTTTCGCTTGGCGGCTCTTACGGGCTGGGCGTTCTCTTGATTCAGAGCAGCGCGCACGTCGTTCATTGCGGAGGACTGGCAGCTATTTGCGGAGGGAACACTGTTCTTTTCCAAAACCTTGCGCTTCAATTGGTTGACCTCCTTGCTGTTTCCTGCTCTCGCACCGGGGGCAGCGGCGGTGGAGGAAATCATCTGAGATCGGATGGCAGAAGTGATATTAGATGGTTGAATGCCTGATGCAACAGGTTCACCGCCAGCGATCCTAGGCATGGCGCGAATGTTCGCCTGTGCACTTCCAAACATCGGGGGCATGCTGTCTGTGTTCTTGCTGGGTACCATCTTTGGTGGATCTAGGGGTTTGGCATCGTCTTGCTTCGAGTCTTGCTCGCCGGCGCTTGGGCGTCTGGCAATGTTATTGTTCTCCACCAACGCGCGTTTCTCAGCCAAAGCAGCAGCGGCACGCGTACGTGGAGCAGCGGCCTTTGCAGCTTTCGTCTTATAATCGTCCTGTTCCTGGTGCTGCCTGCGAGCGTGATGGGGATCCTCCACGAATGGACATTTGCCATGTCCGGACAGCCTAAACTGTGGCCATTTGCCCTCCTCTTTTTTCGCAACCTTCGAGTACTCTCGGATCATAACCGGTCTCGTTAGCTCATCCATATCGTGAATATAGATGTAGTATCCACGGAGCTGGATCATATCATGTGCACTGGCTGAGTAGTCGCGATCCAGAGGGCCATTCAGCTTTTCGTTCTGGAGAAGTTTTTGCAAATCTGCCTGACGTCCGGCCTTTGCCTGTGAAGTGGTTGTTCCGTGACGGGAAGTGTAGTCCGGTGGTTGTTCGCCGGTGTCCGTGTTGAACATTGTGTTCAACATGCGCTGGAGCTTTTCCGCCGACCATATCTTCAACCCCATCTCCCTTGCCTTGAACAATATGTCTCCATTAGACTTCTGTAGCGCAGTGTCGAAGACGGATTTCTTCGTCTCCAACTGGGCCGGATTTATAGTACCCTTCGCCGTAACATTTGTATTTGTGTCATGCTCGGCAGGAATGGGTCGCGTGGTGATGACGTGAGTAGCCTCACGAGAGAAGAATTTCACTTCTCGCTATTGAATAATCAGTAACAAAATCTTCTAGACGGAATTAGATCAACCTACAGCTCCAAGCATTTGTGCCTGTTTCAACACCTTGCTGCGCACATCGTCCGGGATACTTTCAAAGTAGAAAACAAACTGTGGAAACATCTTTCGGTAATGTCTTTGCCATTGCCTGATGGTCTCAAGGTTCTCTTGTGCACCCTTAGTGGATCTCTCTGACTGCTTTGGCACTGCTTTCACTTCGCGAACAGCTTCGAGCTTCTTTTGAAACGCCGTTGGAGGCGCCCCACTCCGCCTAGTAAGACCTCCATAACGACGTGCCTCTGCATCATCCACCTCTACTATCTGCTTCTTTGGGGGAGGCTGTCCATATGGTAGGTCACGCTGTTCGCTGGCATGAGAACGTTGTCTCTTACCACCGACAGCAGCGACGCGTAGCGGCGAATTCGTGGCGTTCTGAATGTTTCCGAGTGGCACCCGACGGTTGCTCATAGTAGACATGGCCTGGGGCGAAGGAGGGACAGCGACTGCTGCCATGCGTATAGATGCAAGTAGTCCCGGTGAAAATGCCTGGGGCGAGCTGTGAGGAGGGGCAGGGTAGGTGTAATAGCTTCGTACGCGACGGGGATGCACGTCAAATTTGTCTCTCAGCAGCGAGCGAGTGACATGACGACGCGATGGGGATCCTTGGAAGAGAGTCAACGCTTGTCGGAGACAATTGAAGTAGCGAAAGACAACTGTCGGGTTGAGGTTTCGGTGGGTTTGAGCTGGGGAGACAAGTGAGGTTTGTTGTGTGGCTGGCACGCGATGAGGGAAAGAACCAGGCCCGTGCGACGCTAGTTGCGCGATGTTTCCTCAGTAACGACGACCGCGCATCCTTGATGTGTGTGTGATGTGCATTTCACATCCTGCTTGCATCAACATGAACGCCTGTTCCGTGGACCTTACCGTATTCATTGTTGTTATGGCCAGAAATATTCGACAATAATTAGTTAGTCTGGTCTGTTGACCCAAAACAATGTCTCCAAAGACTATTATGTTTGGATCCCAAGCCTACGATGCTATGAGATGTGGGTCACCCATCCTGCTTGACAACTTCTTCCCTACTGCCACTCAAAACAAAAACAGTTCCCTTCATAGAGCAAACAACACTATTCAAAGCCGGAAAGCTGTAGTGCCGCATCTTTTTTTCTTAGGAAACCATCAAGGCACTTCTACAACGTACCTAATTATACTTATTTGTTACCTACCATGCATGTTTACTATCAATCATGGTTCACGTGCCTCTGCTTTTCATTCTCTCTAACCATGTCTATTGGATTTTTGACATGAGGTAGTGAAATACGACGGATAATACATTATACATGATCTATACAAATAGCTCTTCTCTTTCTTCTTTACAGTCTATTTAAATTGCAGTATTTCTTCATTCACTGTTTATCGAACTTTCTACGGGCTTCGCAAATACATCACGAATGGCAAACCCTCTATATTAATTGTATGATAACATGGAAGGCAAATTCAATCCAGGTTAAGGTCAAGACCTAAGGCAGCTGTAAATTGGCATTCGTGTCTAAACGCTGCATATGATATGAACATGGTAAGTACCTGTATATTGGTCTTCTTGTAAGGGCGATCTGGAGTGACTGTTCTTTTCTGACGATGGCTGTCTTTGTAGAATGTAAAAAAAGATTGGAAGAGCAAGAGTCTGTATATTTGTGATCATAATACACGCTGGAAATTCAACAATCTACCATGAAATATATATTATTACTGTTTATTAATGAAGAATCGTTGAACGTATACAGTTACTACTGAATAAAGGATCGCAAATACACGAGTAACTCAATGAGCTTGAGAAACAGTTCTTGTATGACATAACTGAGATGTGCAGTTCTTCTTGTAGACATGTAAAATATTGAAACTTTAGATTCAATCAAAAATATTTACTGGCATGGTTGACATGATGACAGTAGGTGATATCCAGTAGCAACTCAGAATCCTGTACGTTCAACCATAGATCAAGGGAATGCGATTGTGCGCCACACTTCCAGCCACAGGGAAGTGGGGGCAAGGCAGGCACCAATGAACAACGCGTCATTCGAGAGAGCTTTCGAGATACATTTAATACTGCTCAACACCACACAGAATACACTGTTCGCAGATCCTTGCGCAACGAATATCATCCAATATGTCAGGCTATGAAGGTGAGTTTTGCCCCTACTTGAAGAACAATCCTGACAAGCTATAGTGGAACACAACATCTCCACCAAAGAGGAGAAGCCTGAACACCCTCCCCGCCGACCAGACCTCTCGACTTTCTTCTCCACTCTAGAGCTTGTCGATACCTCTGACCCTCAAACACATCACAATGTTCACGCGACTCCCCAGCCAGAGAACATGGCCGCAGCCTTTAGATTGCTTGCCAACGCATTCGAGATGATGGGTGGAAGAGCAGCAGGAGAACAAGAGGGCACAGAGGCTGGCCACAGCGATCTCCTAGAGCAAATGATCGAGACACTGAGGCAGAATGCGGACAATCCTCCAGCAGAACTACAAGGTGTTCCGGACAGCTTCATCGATGAGCTAGATCGTGTACCAAGGAAAAAACTGACAGAGGATCATGTTTGCGCAATTTGCCATAATCCACACACATCGGGTATGACTGTTGAATGCCCGCATTTTGATAGGTGTCTTACTGACGTTGGCAGACGAACATCCACTAGTCGTTGCCTTACCGTGCAAGGGCCGCCATTGGTTCGATATCGAGTGCATAACTCCATGGCTCAAGATGCAGCCAACATGCCCACTTGACCGCGAGACTGTGTATAGGAAAAAGCAACCTCCTCCTCCAGTCGAGGACAGCGAGGAAGAATACGACGATATGTACGCCTGAATTGGCTTGGCTCATTTGACAACACTGCCGGCATTGAATGCGATGGGTTCACTTGAGTCAATACCATACACATCACCAAATCCAACGTCGAAGGTATCGGCGAAACAGCACTCTTGACGCCTGTACCCCCCAAAAGGCGGGCCCAAACGAGACGCATACTCTAGTACATCGGGTGTTTATCCAGGTCATGCCACATAGGATCGTTAGGTTCCCCCGTGACTGTGGCATGATTTAGTCCGAAGTCAGTTGTACGATTTGGTCGCAGCCCAAACGTGCGTTCTTTGCAATCAAAACATAACGGAACATTCGTCTCTCTTGTCCTTCATTCATTCCCTATTGAGCGACTAACTTAGCCTTTACTTTTCGCCCTTTCGTGACGAGTGGTAGTGGTCGGAGAGTTAGCTCTTCGTCACCATTCTTCACGGTTTCAATCAACGCGAGAGCTAACTCGTCCGACTTAATCGCCCATCCAAATCCACCCCCCAACATGGCTGCAGCCTCCCCCAACGCTGTCCCTCCTTTCACGACCCCGCCCGGACGAGCAATGAAAGTCTCCCATCGGCCACCCGCTGATGCATTGTTGGCAAATCCAAGCGCTTGAATCTCTCCTTGGCCCTGTACAGGAGCAAATTAGCGCAAACCCTAGCCTCTCCCCTGTTTCCGTTGTCTATACAACCTAATATTCATGACATATAGAGGACATAGTGCGAATGGGGTGGATCAAGGTTGTTAGCTTGATGCGTTGCATCACGATGCAGTATCAAAGATTGCATAATGCTTCGCCTATTGGCGTAAAATTTTACAATGCACCATGGACCACCAACCTATTCTGTTCATGTATTTTCTTGATCCAGAAGTGACTTGGAAAGTGTATGGCTCCAAATAGGTACTTACCTTGAGCTTCCTCAGGGTAGCGCCCAACCACAAGGACTTATTTTGGTCGCGTTCTACCATTGCACCACTAACATGGACATATCGGAAGTGGTTTCTCGTCTGCGCAAACGTCCGTAGCATAGCATTTGCAAATGCCTTGGGGTAGTCAAGCTCCAGCTTTGGCTGTATACTGGGCGTTGTCATACACCTTCTCCTGTCAGCAACTTAAGTAGTTCCGTACGCGATGGATCGGAACAACCAGACACATCCGACAGCACCCGCCAGCTTAGCAAGCACGTCCTCAGAATAATCATCGAAATCGTTCATTACGATCAGATCTAACTTCGGATCTTGGACTACGTCCGGAAGCGGACGCCGCGACAGCGCGATGACGGAGGTTATGGATGGGTCTTTGAGACATTGTCGAAGAACCTCACTGCCAATACGGCCAGTGACACCCGTAAGTACGATTTTGAATTCCATGTCTAGGTCGGTGGAGATGTACGAGTCACGAAACTAGGAAAGCCTGGTGGATGGCGAAATTGGAAGAACAGCATGAGAGGTTCTGCTCGCAACTTATTGCACATTATAGCAAGTAACCGGCCAACAGTTGCTCCATCAAACGGGCATAAGCCGGACGGAGTCTCTCTCAGCCAATAGATGCCTGCGATCTATGGTGACTTACGTCTACCCCCGATTGCATGTAGTTAACTAAATTGCACTTGTACGGTGTACCTACGAGGTACAATGTCTAGTTGTTCGTTCCACAGTAGTTTCGGTACGCTACGGATCGCATCGTGGTTGTACATAGTCATATCCTCAGTACCAAAGAAGACATGGTCCAAAGTTACGAGGAATGTCTCTATCAATGCGCATACGGCGTTGTACGGCGAAGGTATAAATTGCCACGGTCGGAGCAATAATTAGAAAAGGTGCGGAAAAGGTGCGGACAAGGCAGTATTTCGAGCCATAGTCACACGCGCGACATCACCTCGCCATACCTCGTTTCGGCTCTAGGGCGGACGAGTATTGTCGGGCGAAACATGAGACCGAGGGTGCGAGTGCGCGGGCCCGTACTCGTCCTACACCTCTCAATCCTTTCAGCTTGTTCGCCTTCTCGGCCCCACGATTCCACTATGAAAGTGTTTGGTGCCCGCAATGCATCTATTCACTGTTGTCTACTCGTATCGTTAGACAATACCGATTCATCTCACCGTCATTAGAATCATGCTCATGGAGTCCATCACCACATCGAAGGAACCCCTAAGCAGGAAGAGGCCGTCCCACGTTTTCCGCGCCTGCTGGGAATGTAAGATACATACGCTTTTCTTTTGACATCGGAAATCTTCTGAATCTGTTTCTAACGCTTGTTATAAGGTAAAAAACGTAAAACATTTGGTTGTTCTCCATCCGACAGCGACATGAGTGGTCTTGGCGGCGCGAACAGCGCTGGGGGATCGTCGGCAGCCACACACGATGAATCCATGTGCCCGCTTCATGTCGGAGAAAGATTAAGCAAACTAGAGCAGCTGTTCGAGAAATTCGTATGTAGAAAGTTTTCGAATGCCGAAACAGCTCCAGTCACCCCGCAGAGCCCACCGTTGACGGAGCCGGAGCCTGCATCGGAGAAGCTGCCAAAGTTCACGTTCGGTCTTCCCGAGATATCTAAGGATACGCAAAGTCTCTCATCCATTGGTGAAGGGATCGTAAGTGACTTTCAAGAGTTTCTTTGACAACCGACTAAATGTTCTAGCTGTCCTCACAAGAGTCAACATGGTCGTCTGCGCCATCCATCAGAACCCTTGTAGACGGCGAAGGCCACGCCCCGCTTTCTTCGGCAGAAACGATACGTCGTTCCCTGGTCGCCCTTCTTCCATCGCAGCACGACGCAGATGTCATCTTCGAGTCCACGAATGGATGGATGGTCCTTCGAACAGGCTATACGCCAACTAAAGATCTCTTCGTCAACCAAGATCCAGAAACTTATGCCCTAGACATGTCAGCGATTGCGAAATCCCACTCGATCATTGTAGCGCGCACTTTGTTACATCTAGCAATATGCATCAACGCACTTCCTCCAGAGTTCAACACGTCCCGTCTTGCACATGTTTGGTCACTCGATGCCGCCATGCAAAACTATGTTAGCACCGTCACTTCGCTGGTGATATCGTCTGATGAACAGATGTCAACTCTCCCCGGCCTGGAAACACTTCTACTATTGAGCATCTTCCATATGAATTCAGCTAACCTCAGGCAAGCTTGGCTTATCGTTCGCCGGGCGATGAACCTTGCTCACCTAATGGGATTCCACCGCATCATCAACCATCCTTCTACTACCCCACCGATTGAGACAGTTCAGATGGCAAGAAGGCTGTGGCGCTCGATCATCGATTCGGACCGGTACCTCTGCCTCCACTTGCGTATGCCGTTTGCTTCTGATGAATACCCCGTACCACATGATGCCGATAGTCACGTGATTCACCGAGCGCAACTCGGAGCGCTCTCTCGAAAGATCGCCGAGACCGACCGCAACGTTACGCCGCAAACCTACGTTCAAGCCCTCGCCCTGGATGAGGAACTGGAGGCCCAGATGAAACTCATGTCCAAGGATTTTTGGGAGGTGCCAAACGTCCCCCCAACTGCTCGATCGCCAGAATCTTCCATGGTACTGGAGCGGCTGGTGGTACAGATTTGGCATTTCGAGCTCAAAGTCTTCATACATTTGCCGTATCTGCTTCGCGCACCACAGGAGACTAGGTTTGAGTACTCCAAGATCACAGCACTTCAAGCGAGCCGAAACGTCATAATGCGATGGTTTGCCCTACGAAATTCCAACATTACTCAAGCGTGTTGCCGGTTTTCCGAGTTGGCTGCGTTCATCGCCACCGTAACGATCGGACTAGATATCTTGATCGAGATGGGAACGAAAGAACAAAAGGAGGTCCAACGAACAAGAGGAAGCGATTTCGCGATGATCTGTAGAGTGGTGGGAGAGATGGAAAAGTTGGCTAAAGCCAGCCCCCGCGAGAAGATTGCTGCTCGTAGCGCGACCGTCATCAAGAAGATTTTATCCTCGCTGGATCCAAGCCGAAAGAACGCGCAAAAGGCACGGGTCAGCCTCCCCTACTTCGGAACCATCGAACTCGAATATCACAAGCCGCCTGTGCGGCCAACCTTTGACCTCGACTCGGATACAGCAAGAAAGCTTGAAACTGCGAAAACGGGAAGCAACGTTCCGATATTTTCTTTTGTCAGTAACGAACTCTGGCCATCCGCCGAAGGGGATTGGGAGAAAAGCCTGAACTTTGATGTGGTTCTGTTCAACGGTCTTGAGGACCAGGATACAGAGGGCGATTGGATATTCTGATATTTCCACCTCACTGTCCGAGATTTACCTCTTCCTTCTCTAACTTCTTTTTCTTTTGTGAATATAGCGTCTGGCGTACATGGGTCTCTAACATTTCCTTGGGACTGGCTGCATAGCGTTTTGTTTTGTAACCAGCTTTCTTGTTTTTTTTTCTTGGGCGATTATTTGGCGTTTGGATACTTTTTTACCTTGCTATCTTCTCCTATTCTTTGAGATATCCCAGTTTGCGGCGAAAATGGTTGGGGGAGTGAAAACAGGGGTTCGGCAACACTACCGCACTAGGGAGGGAGCCTGCGACTCCTATTACTTGTAACTACAGGCACAGACAGGCACAGACAGGCACCCGTAATTGGTGTTCGGGAGATGCGGGCCTGAAATGGAACAAATCATAAGAATGAAAATCATTTGAAGAGAGAAATGAATGCGAATATCTGCCTTCTCACTGACTATCTTGACGTTGGTATTGTTCTGCGTTGTCCGCAAATAGACGTATTGAGTAACAAGCAGCCATAACATGGCCGCATTCGTCCAATGATTGGTTCACCTCGTGCTAATCATCCGACAACTCACTCACTCACTCACTCACTCACTCACCATTGATACGAGTAGTTACAAGTACAACTCACCAACTAACTAGTGACCAGGCTGGAGACAATTAATAGTGAAGATGATGAAACTTTTCTACAATCACTTCCAACGCTAAGCAGACGTATAAGGATAGGTAGCGAACAGGCTGAGACGAAGCGAAGTGGACGGATTGCTGGGATACCTTCTCCCTGGCCTGGTTACCTTGTAGGTTTGAAGTTGCCTCCTCCTACTCGTACCTTACTACCTACCTACTGGTCACTTACCAACAAACCAACCATCCCACCCGCCCACTCACCCACTCGACCCCCAAGGCTTCTATCGCCCGGATCGGCGCCAGAGCTGAGTCTAACAACTCCGACACCTCACTTTGGGACATTAACCACCCACCGCCCACCAGGCACACGACACACTAACATTCATTCCCCTTGCCGCACGCTCATACCTTCTATTCTTTATATAGGCGCTCCTGCCGCCTCGTAACTCTGCCGCATGACCCTCACGTATGTTTCCCTGCCACCTTCGCCGCGAACCGTGTCTTATCGGTGCCGAGTTTGCTAAACGGCTTCAGTTGAAGGAAGAAGACAGCATGAACGGCCTCTCTGACTCTCAGGACCTCCTCTGGGACACTGATGCTCGTGAAGATGCCTCCTCCACCACCTCTCTCACCGAGACGTTGCCACACGACGACCACGTAAAGCCTGATGCGACCCTGAGCCTATTCGAATCCATCATCACGACATATCCGCCCATCTTTGAATCACTCCTTTCCCAGATACCCACCGCCTCGCTTCTCGATCTTTATCACACTTCTAAATATCTTCGCGACTTCTTAAAAGAATATCCCCTCGCATGGAGGACGTTATCATTTCGGCTTCCGCAGCCTGCGGTGGTGGTCGGCGTCGGAACACCAGGCAATGAGACACCGGATAACAGAGAGAGACAATCGAAAGCGTACTCCTTCGATGCACTACTGAAACAGGTCATACAACCATATGGGTCGCGTTTAACCAGTTTAGACGTCTGCAACACTGCGGTGACCGGCCTTGCGCTTTCCCAGGTGCTCCAGGCGCGAATCGGAACGCTTCAACACCTTTCCGTGCGCGGCTGCAAGAACGTATCCATCAAATATCACATAGTACCCTTCCTCGAGCCTTACATATGGAAGAACCCGGCTTGGAACCCGAAGGATCTGGCATTAAAGAGCCTCTACACATATCGGTGTCGACACCATCGCCGTCGACCATACCTACCCTCCTCTCTCTTGCGACGAGATTCCGACTCCGACCCTACGCATCAACTGATCTGTATATGCCACGATCTTGGCATCTGGACCGACACAGCATGGTGCCCAACTCCCGGTGGAAGATGTTTCAGGAGGAAGGATTACCATGCTGGCCGAGCGGGACCGCAAAATATGGCTGTCTGGGTCCCCTTCGATCGACTGTGGCGATCAAGCAACCGAATCGGGCCTATGGATGGTGGCGGGAAGAAGATAGGAGCAACGGACGGGAGACTGTGGGAGATATCCGAAACTGGTCAGGATGGCGAGCCGTTGGGACCTGGAGATGGCCACTCTAGAGGAGAAGGAAAGCATGTGCCCACGCATCTCCGAAAGAGCCACAGGATATTCATTGAAGACGTCAAATGTGCACAGTGTAACGATGTCATCACCGAGCGCTGCGAGTCCTGCAGCGTCAGAATGCACTGCATGGGATGCCGCAAGACTCTTTGCGCAAGTTGTGCATTCAATCGGCCAATCCCCAGGAAACGAGTCAAGACAAGACATTTCGCGAATCTCGCTTTTGGACCCGGCGCCAGTCTTGGAGGTCACCTAGGTCAAGCGACAGCATCGACATCGTCCCTCGACAGCCAAAGCCAGACCACACAATCTCAACAATCCACCGATCAGTTCTGGTGGGCCCCAGGAGCAACGCGCTCGCCCAATCTGATGAACGAGAATGTCCAAGATGACGATTCATCCGAGTCAGAAGACGGAGGAAACCTTCACGGTCCCATCAACCCCCTACTGAATCGCGATCCTCCCAAATTGAACATGCACTGGTGCTGCCTGGAACCCATCTTCTCTGGCGGCGGAGGGATAGCTGTTCTGGGAACTGGATTAGGCGGACGCGGCGCAGATAAAATCCGAGCCGCCCCTCTCCCTCGCACGAAAGACTTTGAGGACCCAGATTTCTCTAATCATCTTCGACCAGTCGACTATGTACGAGAATTGAAGAACAATGGCTTGTATGAATATGTACTTGGCGAGGACGTGGATATCTTATCCTACCTGAAACAAGATAGCTTGGACTTACAAGCTGAGACATGCCCACGAGGACTTTGTCAAGATTGTTACCGAAGTTTCCGATGGAAAGTGTCTTGCCGGCATTGCAAGACATCTTTGTGCAAGGAGCACGACTTCAGAGGATTGAAGTTTCGTAAGTGCGGTTATAGAGACATGCACACTGAGCGTGAGTATGCTCGAACCCACAACGAGACGCCTCAGCTGGTCATTCCTGAATTCAACACAAGGAAGGCTCTCCAAGGGGATCCAGAGCAAACGCCTACCACCCTTACGACCTCACAATCTACGTTGGAACCGTCAACCACTGGCCCAGCCACGCCCGACGGTGGCCCTATGTCTCAGTCGCAGGTTCTAGCTAATCTGATGCAATCAACTGCCGTCGATATGTCTGCTTCGACGTCACAGAGCTCGCACCTGTCGAACTCCGACCCATTCGCGCAATCGGCACTTCCATATTTACCCATCAGCTCATCAAGACCTCGCTCGTTCAGTGCTTCAGGAGTCCGGAGTCGCAATTCGGGATCCTGGACGCATGGCCTTCGCGGTCAAGTCAGTACTATTTCCAATCCGTTGCCGCTACCCTGTAATCCACGCCATCCCGTGCAATGGGAGGGCTGTGGAGCTTACTTCTGCCAAAGTGCTCGTCCCGTCGGAGACCACAGAACACAGTGCCCAGCTCATTTGAAGGAGTGCACGGAATGTGCTGTTCTTGTTTGCGATGTAAGTTGACACTCTCGACTGTCTTGTACTTTACTGATATGATGTTTAGGCCTGCACAATGAACAATCCATCGTGCACGTGCACTTTCTGTACAATCAACTATCACTGTCCATACTGCGCTCGTAAGAAAGAAGTTAGGGCACAGTGTCGGTTCGAGGAAGAGCAGAGAGAAAAAGAAGCCGAGCAACTCCGAGTGAAAGAGCGTATGGAGAAAGAGAAACAAGATCGAGGAAAAGCCGATTATGTCGCTGGCGCAGCGTTCGAGTTTTGGGAACTGATGGGCCTACCAAACGAGGGGCTAGTGGAGCAAGGGGAACGAACAGATGCGGTGGATCTACCAGCTCCAAGCCCAGACAGCATCACGGTGACTACGGAGTTTGGTGTCCACGAAGAGCCGAACAACTTCACTGTCATCTCAGCTGGACTGCCATCACCCTCAGCAACTTCTACCGAACAAGAGAGCATGGAAGAGACCACTGATGCAGAACTCGAAGATGGCCCCTCCGCGCAATGGGGCACTGCACCCAGCGATCTCGGCGCCGCTCTTCTCATATTATCGGACGTCGTGACCGCCTTCGAAGAAGCAACTGGGGCCGGCAATGCAGGAGACGCCGAGGGCGACGATGCCAGTTCCGAGGAGGACAACGACGATGACGCAGAGAGCTCCGTCATCGACGAGTTCATCGAAGACGAGATCATCGACGACGGAGCGCTGACCCCAACCACCACCACGGGTCACACTTCATGAAAGGACGGGAAATTAAATTTGGTGGTATTGATATCCAGACTGGCACATTTGCAATCGCCTGTCACCAAACTTCTAGTTAGCGGAAACCTTCCGCAGAACGGCGCAGAATTGAGTTTTCTTTTGGGCATTTCCAATCACCCTTTTCAAATCATCATCATCCTACGAGTGCATCATTATGGTCGCCGCACCATCATCAGGTATCGATAGGTCTTGCGTTCGATCTTAGTTTTCATGCCTCATTTTAGCCATCCCCCCATGTAGTAGAAATCATCGAAGCTTTTTTCCCTAGGCAGGCGAGAGGAAGGAAAGGACGTTTTCGAGTTCCCCTACACATTCATGTACGTTTTGAGCGATCTAAGAACAACCCAACACCCGAGGCATTCATCGTCTATATAGTTATCATCAGGGTCCACACGAACGACCCGTCCTTTTACTTCTTGCATCGTTGCCGTTGTCGTGTTTGAAAATGTGTTTGGCGTGAGCGTGTGCGTGATTTTTGAGACTTGAGACTTTGTATGAGCGTGATTTTACTATCCCTACTTTCTACCGTCTCTTCTTTTCTGCATGGGAGTTGAAGGACAGGATTGGCGTCACGTATAGCACGCGGTAGGCAGGCACATGGGATGCTGATATTGAGTTCGGGGGAGGGACATGGGAACTGGTATGAGGAAGTGGAAGCAACATGGGGAGCATACGTTCGCGAGTCGAGACAGCAACGGGAGAAGAATGGCGGTATGTCTAGATACCTAGATAGAAAAGCATGTTTTTCATCTTCATTCCTACGGGTGGGTCTTCATGTTCCAAAACGACTCTTTGGATGTTGATATACTCCAGATACGCTGGATTGCTGCAAAATCGAACATACCGCGACAAACCCCATGAATCTATTGAACAAAAAGGTACCCCAATTCCTCTGTAGCGACTCTAATCCACATGATCATCCGGCAACTCCTCAATCCTACCCGACCGATACGCCTGCTCGACCGGATTCTGCACATTCATGACGCCCGTCGCCTTGAGCCGCTCAAACAGCACAAACAGCCTCTCCGCCTCGCGCTCCTTCTCCTCCTCCGTCATAGGCTCGCTGTCATCGGGCTCCTCCGCGTCGAGCCGCTGTCCCGTGATGGGGTTAATCGGCACGGCGTCGGCATCGCCATCCGCGTCGCCATTACCGCCGCCCATGGCACTGGCCTCCATTGCGTTCTCCGGCATCTGGATGTTATTCGACAGCAGGAACCCGGACGCGAAGCCGTACCCGACGTTCTGGACGAACTTGGTAGCGTCCTTGCCGGAGAGCTCGAACATCATTGCTGAGATGGAGCTGCGGAGGCTGGGGGTGAGTGCGGAGGTGGAGAGGCGGAGCAGGCGCGCGGAGAGGGTGTCCGACTTGCCGAGGGGCCGGCTGCGTTCCTGGTCGGTGGGGAGGAGGAGCCACTCCATGTACTTCTTGACGTTGTCGGGGGCGATCTCGTAGATGCGGCGGATGAGGGTGAGGACCGGGGCGATGGTGGTGTCGAGTTCGGACTCGGTGTACGCGACGATGGCGTTGTCGAGGATGTCGATGAGTTGCTCGGCGTTGCATTTGGAGTCGAATTTGGGAAACACGGCGTTCATGCCGAGGAATTTGAGTTGTTGGCCTTTTTTGTCTTCCAGGTCGAGGTTGATGAGTGCGTTGACGAGGTAGTTTACTGGGGGTTTGAGGGGCGGGCTGGGGATCGCGCGCCGCACGAGGATCTTGAAGATGTTGGGGATGGATTTGGAGAAGTGCTCGCTGAGGTCTGGGTAGAAGTGGGTTATGTTGAAGAGGAGTTTGAGGGTCTCGGAGAGCGCCATGAGTTCCATGGGTTGTGTGTGGTGCTGGGAGAGGCGTCGGACGGACTTGGAGTATCGCTTTGCGTGTCGGTGGAGCGCCGTGTTGATGCTGTCGGCGAGTTGGTGCTGGTCGACGAGGAGGGAGTAGTCGAGGTCGGTGTCGTAGGTCATGAGGAAGAGGATACGGGAGATCAAGAACTCGTCGTCCATGGATTCGCTCTGTGGTAGGTGTTAGTGGATGTTTTGTACAATCTAAGAGTAGATGTATGATTCCTGTCTTTCCATACCTTCATCTTCTCTGCCGCCTTTGGTCCATATCCTAGGTTGACCAGTATCTGGCGGGTGTGTGGTTGCAGGAGGAGGGCATTTGCCATGCATCGTAGAGCTTCTTGTGAGACTTCATCGTCGTCGCGCTCGGCGTAGGTCGATAATGTCCGTAGGCCCTGTACCACAAAATCAACATCTATCGAGCGCCTCGACGTATACGGAGAACTGGGTGCATGCGACGTACATCTTCTGTGAATATGGGGTCGGCGTTCTCCGCGGCTCGGCCATGGACTTTGAGCTCCAACAGTAGTTGTTTTTGGTCTGTAGAGGATTGTGAGAACGTGTACTTCCTCTTGAATGGGCTATATGCACTTACGCAGGGTAGATAGCTTAGGGGTTTCTATATCCCTTTTCAGCTTGGCGAGTAAGTCGTTCACCTGCTCAAGCTTAGCTACGCGGGGGAAAAGTCAGTAAATCTATCGTTGCGCAGTGCAATGCAATGCGGCGAGACGTTCTGCGGAGAGAGTGTATGGGCGGGGCGCGCACCTTTGCCTGAGGCAGTCGCCGAGGAGCCCGTCTTGAACTTGGAGAGCATGGTTCAGGAGGGCGTAATGAGCGCAAAGGGGTCGGGGTCTTGTCGTGGGAGGGTTCTCGCGCCTGGAGGCTGGAGGACGACCGAAAGATGTGATTGACTATCAAAGCGTGTCGCCTGTCGACGGAGGTGGATGGCGATCGCTGAACCCCGCAATAATCAGATAGTAGTACGAGTACATACAAGGCGAGGGTCTTGCGCAAATGCGCACGCGCAAGTGGGCATGCCTTCAGCCCGGCGCATCGGCCCGTATTATGAAAAATGGCATGGCATGATGGAGATGGAAGTTATTGCAATATTGTTGAGGGATCTGGCGATTTCCAGTTGTACGGTAGTTAGTATTGTGTAGTGGTTCACCAGAGTGCGTGATGCATGGTAGAGGGGACGGTCCAACCCTGTCATGTATGGGATGCATCTATGCCCTTTCAGGTCACAAACATGATGGAGAACTGCACTCGCCGATGATGTTTCTTATTGATAATGATTCCTACCGTCATAGTGTGAGGTGTTACGCTAGTATCTTTAACATTGTCGTCAATAATATATATGGATTTTGTCCGAAGCGATGCGATTGTGTTGTACTACCAATGTCTTGATTAACAGGTATGTAGTAGGAGTCCTTTGACGAACTAGTAGATTTGGACTCGTAGGAAATGGGCTAGGAAGTACTCCGTAGTAGTGATGCTTATAGGAAGTATACAATTACGGAGTACATGGATATGAATAAATAATGATACTCCCGTATATGTCAAGATGGATCGTTGATACTCGTACTCGTAGGGCTATGACTACATTAGGTTAGTAGACAAGAGTTAAAGTGGTGCTCCTTCCGCGTCGCGAGCGTGTGAACGTGCCCGTGTCTGCGTCCGTGCACCTTCCCCAACAACCGCGACATCTTTTGCTGTAGAAGGAGCGATTGAGAGAGTCAACTCCATATCAAATGCTCGTGGCGATCTTCATACCCCTACCACTTGCTGCTCCCTTGCTATCACTCACCTGCAATGCGAGTTCGTTCTCTCACTTAACCACCTCACGTTTTTGTTCTGTTCTTTTGTAGTTTCTTTCAAGCATAGCCATGGTGTTTTCCAAGTTTGAGTCCCTTTCTGTTCGCCCACCAACTCCCCCGAAAGATATCAACGAAGCTATCAACCTCGACCAAGACATTCAAGAGACTCTGGAATTCTTGAACGACCCTTTCGCATCCTCAAAGCCTTCCACCAAGGACTTACTCTCGAAACCAATCCTGAGCACTCCAGAGCAATCCCCCTCCTCAGACATCGACGACCCATCCTCCACCGGTAGCCGGACGAAGAAAGTCAACTTCGAGATCCCGTCATGTAACGCGCCTTCCTCCAGCTTGAAAGCTCACCCGTGGACTCCACTTCGTAGCTCACCTTTACGACCCCTCCCTCAGACGCGCGTAACGAGGCCGCTGAAATCCATCCTCAAGCCGAGCGACCAGATCTCCACACCCCCTCCTATCCACGACAGCACCGCCGCTCACAAGCACCAATCTCTCGCCGAGATGTTGGAATCGATAGTGAAATCGCTCGCGCAAGGATCGAGAGCTTCCAAGCTCGATGCGTACATCACATTGTTGAAGACCATGGCGGCATATGATAAGATCCCAGACATACAGGCAATGATCGACAAGATGCCCCTTCTTTGCGACTACATAGAAAGAGATATGCAAGCCGTTGGTATAAGTGGTTCGGGCTCGGATTCACAGCTCATCGGACAAGCAATCAAACTGCTTATGGCACTGGTCAGGATACCGGAATTGAGGACGGCAATGACCGATGATTTCGGCTCACGGGTCGTTGACCGTATCATAAAGGTGGCCGAGGATGCCAACATGCCAAAGGCCATAATAAACGTGCACCTCGCCCTTCTCATGCAGCAGAATTTCCGGCCTAAGACGATGACCATCACCCGGACAGAGAGGATCCTCGATATTCTGGACTCAATACACGATCGAGTGACTGGGTACTCGGTACAGGCCTACCGTATACGGATATACCGTAAAATCATCCAGCAAAGGCCGGAAGTAATGATCAAACACACGGAAAGGTGGTTGAAGCATGTGATAAAAGCCATGCTCGCCAACCAGAAGGACATCCATCAAAGCGCCTTGGACATGGCCATCACCGCTGTACGGACCATTGGACATGAGCGCACAGTGACCAAGTCTGTTCTCGCCATCATGAATCGCATCAAAAGTGATGGAAACACTTTTGGAGCACTCCTTGCCCAGCAATTGGAGACCATGCTGAACACCGAGTCCGCGGCGCTAGTCCCTCAAATATGGGGTGTTTTGACAGCATTTCTGCGGGATTCGCTTCAAGAAAACAGTTTCGCGGCAATCGGCAAGTGGTTGAAGGTGCTCGAGAAATTCTTTTGCTCCGAAAATGAGTCCGTGAAAGCGCATTCCAACGTAGCAGCCAACTTTCTGGTTTATGCGGTTAACATCACACATACCACGACTGTTATCTGGTCAAAGATGTTCTTCAACATTTCACAGCATCGACTGAAACAACCCGGACAAAGCCGAAAATCGGAAACCGATACTGCTACGTCTGGCTATCTTACTTTGCTCTATTATGCCCTTCGCCCTACTGCGTCCCATGCCCAACTGGATCGATACTGGACAGAATACGTCGCGGACTTCTGGAGGCCGCTTATACAATCATCACCGAAGCATGCCATCGCTGCCTGTCGACTCGTTTCTGCACTGTTCAACGGGTCCCGGAAACCTTGGAATGAACAGCGAGCATTGGAGCTGAAGCCACAACTATTGATTCAACGTGAAGAGCTCCCGTTGTTAGATCCAAAGTGGGTGCGAAAGTCTTTGTCTACGATCCTCGAGTTCATTCAAATCCTGCTAGACGCAACCCCCTGGCAAGCGGACGTTGGAGGGGATGAGCCTGTGAAGACGATGTGGATCAGTCTCCTGAATTCCCTGGTCGAGGCAGGTAGCAAAGAGATCATGGCAACGGCCGAGACAAGGGATGCTGTGGCTCACATTGTTAACATGCTGCGTCGGATGTGGGATAAGCATACCGCTGAACTTGCCCTTCCGCAACAAAAGGAGAACAGCTGGGCAGGCAAGTTCTGTTTTCTGCTCGAAACTGTTGTTGAAAAGCTTGGAGCTATGCAGTTCTCGGATAAATGTCTAACAAGAAATGGTCATGACGAGTTCGAGGTAGCATCTACGCCATCCCATCGGTCTCGACAGAACGGACAGCGTATCTCGCCACTTCTATATTTCGTCGACCTCTTAGTGAGCAGATCTGAGGGCCGACTGTCTGATGCCGTACGCCTTCGCATTATCCAAATCGCACTCGATCCTTGCTATCATGCACAGAATACTCGATTCGGCAAGCTGGAGCTTCTGCGAGACTGCTCCGCATCAGCTGGTACCACCTCGAAAAATGCCGTCACATCTACTTTCTGGGGGCAGATCGCGTCTATGACAAGAGCCTGTATTCAAGAACACCCATCTGATTCCAATGAGCGCCAGTCGAGACAACTAGGGAAAGAGTATGAGATGGTAGTGGAAATTCTGGCGCTAGGTCATGCACACCTTTTTGATGCTCAATTGGGCCGAGAGCTTCTCAGCACGTTTGTGGAGACTGTCCGCCGAGAGGCTGGCGACGGTGCCGTCGTTCTAGCAGTCGTGGAAAAGGTCTCCGAAAACGTGCTATTGAAGATCAGTCCGGAAGATCGTCGCTCTTGTCTACCCTATGCCTCAATACTCTTGAACAACCTACCGAAGAATACCATTCGCCGTGTACTTGACCAAGGACGACAGAATTTGTATCCGTCTTCGCCTGCTCCCACACGATCCCAGGAATTCGACCCCTACAACCATTTCTACACCGCCATCAATTCAATCATTTCAGCCGCCTACCAGAATCTGGATCTCAAAGACACGGAGACCACAAAGGAGTTCATCACGGCTCTGATGACATCGATTCAGCAAAGTCCCAGTTTCTTGATCGCGGTCTACCTGCGCAAGATTCAGCAAACCCTCAAGCTTTGGATTGAAGATCCCGAACGTAAACTACAGAGCAAAAAGCAATCGGCGAAGGTGCTACATAACGAGGTAAGTTATTCACACATATTCTAGACATCTGTTAATCATCTCTAGATCCTCAAGCTCTGGCAGACTGTCTGCGACACCATCAAGAAGCTTCCTCGCAAGGACAGTAGTATCCTAGTAACACTTGAACCCTTGATCAGCGCTGGATTCCTGAGTCGACGGCGCAGCATTGTCAACATCTCCATTGAGACCTGGAACGATACGTTTGGAAAGGAGGAAAACCTTCGTTATCCATCTCGGCTTGAGGGGGCATTGAGACGGTTGCATCGTACAGTGGACTTGGTTTTGCCTTCTCTAGATGTCGACAAGACAGATGAAGTAAGTTGAAGGTACGAGGCGATAAATTTACATAACACTAACACATATTCAGGGCAGCCAAGCCTCATTCTACGAGTCGGAGGACGAGGAAGCTACGACTCCACATTTACCATCGAAAGCTCACATCAAAGACTCGGCCCACCGCGTGCGCAAGTCCGGTAGAAAGTCTCGATCTAAATCGAAATCGCGCTCCCCTGCGGTCCCTCCTAGCGATGAACATAAATCCCGACGGACGCCAAAGGTTCGCCTGCGCCATGAGAATTCCCAAATCACGTTTGAGCCGATTGTGTCGTCACCTTCCAATCCTTTCCAGCAGGAGTCTCAATTGTTGACCGACCGACAGAAAGAGATGATTGCTCGACAACGAGCCACTGGCAATCTCTTCTCGGACATTGGTGTTGTACCAAGCTCCCAATCGGAAGTGCAAACGTCAAGCCAGCCTTCTGAAGGTTTGTTCTCGGATGCTTTAACCTCTGAAGATCTGCCAGAAGACGGATTCCGCACACCTGTAGCTGCTCTGGCTGCCATGGGCCCTATGGATGCGTACCTAGGCTCTTCACCGACTCCCCATGCCCGCAATCGACATTCTCAGGTTCGCAGTGACACAACCAGTGTGGCCACTCCAACAGCATCAAGGACTATGCACGTTGCAGACAGCTTAGCTGAGCTTGGTTCATCTCCACCTCAATTTGAACGAGATAATGGCGTCAATAGCTATGCATCGAACAATGACGATGTGGCAACCGAACTCGCAACGGACAGTTTTGAACAAGCTCAGAAGAAAAAGCCGTCATCGTCTTTTGAAGAAGGGACTACCATCGAAGACGATGTTGATCTGCCGGCTAATGCTATGGAAGCACAGGCAGAGCTCGTTGATGACGCACCGCCTGAATCGACATTTGAGGATGACAACATTGAGATAGCAAGCTCGACAAGCTCAACTATGGAATTGCAACTAAATGCCCAGTTGAATGAAGAGATCAAAGCTCACACAAGTTTCAGCACTAGAGGATCTGCCCCTGAAGACACCCAAGAAGACCCAAGCCTCTATGCAGACGCACGTTCTCAAAAACAAATCCCAGGGAAAGGCAAACGGACGCGCAAGAACAAAGGAACAAACGCTTCCTCCCAAGACCAATCAAGCATGAGCGTCATAGAAAATTTATCTACAGAAACACGCGACAAGAGGTCTACACCAAAGCACAACTCTCAGGTTCAAACGATCCGCCGCTCTTCGCGACATTCCAACACTCCTAGTCCTTCCAAGACTCCCAATAGCAAGAAGCGCAAGCAATCTCCCATGGAAACCACACCGGCAAGAAATAAGAGCCGACGGACCAGAAAGCAAGAATCTGCTATGAAGGCCAAGGTTGAAACGGAAGTGATGGACGATATTGAGGAATTCGAAGATGATTGTATTACTGTTGCATCTCCCGACCCCGCAGAACTGGCTCCCCGGAGAACTTCCCAGCGCACGTCAAAGAGCCCTGCTACCAAGAGCCCTGCTACCAAGAGCCCTGCTGTCAAGAGCCCTGCTGTCAAGAGCCCTGCTGTCAAGAGCCCTGCTGTCAAGAGCCCTGCTATCAAGAGCCAAATCACGATACCAGAAACCAGCCGCAAACGATCGCTCCGTCGTTCCGCATCAACGCTCAGCCAGGTGGAATCCGTCAACGACGACGAGATTCTCGACGATACGCCCGTAGCTAAACGGACACGCACAAGCAAAGACCAGGATGCCAGTGGCGCTAGGTCGACGTCGCGCCTAAGTCACGTCCAAGTCACACCCAGGATATCTCAATCCTCACCTTCATCTGTACCCGAGACCGAAATTTCCAAGGACAACAGCTCCATTCCATCACAGCAACGGGACCAAACACCGCCAGCGAAGACCGAACATCTCGACGTGGCCGCATCGCAACCATCCCAGGCAGAGTCAGCCACCCCCAGCCAGTCCTTCACTTCGCGCGTCATCAGCACGCCCCGAAGCATCATGGCCCGCGTCAGGAAGATGATCGTGGACTGCAAAGACCTCGTCCTAGGCAGAGAGGAAGAACGCGAGATGGACGACCTGCTCTTCGACCTTCGCACGCATGTTCATGCCGCAGGGGCACGGGGCAGAGTCGACTAAAGGAAGGAAGGAAATGGGGCTTGCCACTGCCGAAAACACATTCGTTAGTACCCAGGAACACATTCCTCTTACGAGCGAAGCAATGTCTACCGTACTTAGACGCTGAACAATAAGTGCTGTAGCGTGGCGTGGCGTGTGCTGGACTTAAGGTTTAGGACGTATTATACTGTCTGTATGTATACGTGCGTCTGTTTATCATTTATGTATGTAGATTAGTAGATAGATGAAATACCCAGAGCATATCAGTTGAATTATGACGTTTTGAACCTTGAGTACAGTGATAAGTTCCGTCGTCTACGTTGAGTGATGTGCAACCCCTTCTGTCCTTCGGCCATCAAGACAATTCATAAAAATGAGCACCTGGTCCATTCAAAGAAGGTGCATTCAAACATTCATTTTTCTTCCACTGCTTTTAATCTGCAAAAAGGGGAGATGGAAATAACCCAGAATTTAATCAAAAAGGTATCACATACAAAAATCCAGAAATTTTCATCGTAATCATTACATCGCGTACGCATCATCCGTTCCTTTTCCTGCCTGTTCCCGCACCGTGATATCGCAAAAACCGTTCCCAGAAAAACTCCCCCGTTGGAAGAAGGAAATAAAAGCAAACAAGATAAACCGTAACGCCAATCATTTTCATCATGTTATAACGCCCACCCTGTTCCCAATTTGTCAAACCAACACCTGGTATACGCGCCCCTGAAGCAAAGAGCCCTAGCAAACATCGAGCGATCCCGCGCCCCCTGACCAAAATTTTCTACGTCGAAGAAGGCCACTGCACTTGGAGAGTTCCCCTCTTAAAGACCCTCTTACCCCTCCTTTCGTCTCGCCTGAGGTCGTCTCCTATGATGATTGTCGCTAGGCGCTGCACGATGTCTTCCTCTTTGAACGCGGGGCCCGGTTCTTGGGGGCTGTTGCGCTGGACAACCTCAATGTTCTTGCCGTACGTTTTCTCGTACTCTGCGATGTCTTGGAGGGATAGGAGCTGCATGAAGACTGCGCATACGGTGACGAGGGACTCGGTCATGGTGACTTCGTAGCCCCAGCAGGTGTATCGAGCTCCGACGAAGGGTAAGTTGCTGTTAGACAGGAACTCCTCCAGGAGTCTTTTATTTGTATCTGCGTGGAGAGACGGAGGTGATGGCTTGAAAAGTGTGGCTTGCTTCTTGTGGAGATTGTAGATGTTGTCCAGAGTCTTGAAGTGGGTCTTTGTCCACGGTGCTACCTTTGGAAGAGCGTCAAATTGTGAGGCGATAGGATGTAACACCGATGCGGCCTCGGCACTGCGACCTCCCCAGAGTGAAGAGACCAGGCCAAAGAAGCCGCCACTGTTAGGTAAAGCTTGCTCCGCATCTTCCACAGGCGGCGTTACGGCAATTTCGGGCTGGGGAAGAGGGCCACGGACTGGGCGTTTCCCTAGTAGTGACCTTTGCCTCTTCTCACCAGGCGTGAACTGCGAGTCCCCAAACAATGACGAATATTCGCGGGTTTTTCGTAGAGGACTTGAATGGGCGGCCATTGCTGGCGGTGAAGAGGGTAGCAGGGTGGAGTTTTTCGTCCTTGAAAGTTCAGTGACCTCTTCAATCTCTTCAAGTGTCCTATACTGGGACTCATACGCCAATGCATGTGCATCAGCCTCCTCTCGGACATGTCTTACGCTTGAGTCCGTATGCGCGTTTTGAAGCTCATTCTGGAGTTGTCGCACGTCCGAAGCGACCGAAACCTTGGAATCATCCACAATGGTGTGAAAGGGTGAGCTTTGTGGAAGCGTAGACTCCAGCATACTTGTTGTGTGCATGGTGCTATGCTCAGAATCTGAAGCACGAATTTCGTGTCGTAGAGGACTGCCTTTCGCGGGGGAGCCTAAGGTTTGTGGAAACCTGGGAGGAGTGTCTTTGAAAGGGTTCTTTTTCTTTTCTCCAGGCGTCTTGGTGACTGCTGCTGGGGAAGAGTCTGCAATCAAGCTCTCTCCTTCCGCGAGGAGCAGAGATAAATCGAGCTTCTCCGCCTTACGTCGTCTGAGCTCCACGGAACGCTTCTTATTGAAGACAGATGGTAGATTTGACTGGAAGAACATTCCAGCATCTGTGTCGTCACTGGCCTCACTACCATTATCATTATCGCTGTCACCCTCGGATGTCGGGGGCTCAAGAAACTGCCTCTTCCTTGAAACTGCCCTAGTTGATTGGGATTGAGCTGGATCTTGCGCTGCCGATAGGTTCGCTAGACTGCTGTTTGAGTGTTCTTCTGGCGCGTTTGGCGATGTGGCAGAGGGCTCTGGTTGTGGTTCCTCAAGCTCGTCGCTGTAATTGAAATTACTAGAGCTCTTGCGTCTCCATGTTTTCGGAAGTTTCGCCCTGGCTGGTCTGGCCTGACCCTCACCGACGAGCAAGTCAACAAATGAGGGCTCCTTTTCAGCTTCCAAGCTCTGTGTTTCTACTGGCACGTGCTGTGATCGGCTGGCTTCCTCTTGCCATACGTCCGATATATCTTCCGTGTCGAGTCCATGCGCTTCCATATCGTCAACGCTATGAGCACTTCCGACGTTCTCAGGCCCATGAAATGCATTCGTAGTATATGCATCGACACCTCCTGTTCGCGTAGGAGGCGTATCGACACGCCAGCTCATTTCGTCTTCACTGCTTGCGCTTGTTGGACTCATGAGTTGACTGCTCACGCTCTCATCCGGCAATGATGGGTACTGGACTTGAGTATCTTCGACGTGAGGCGATGCTGAGTAATTGTAATCCTCCTGGTCCTCGGGGGTCAGCAATCGGGACTCGTGCTGCTTCTGCTTCTCAGAACGTACATGCTCTGCGTCAGAATTCCTCTCCTGTGCCTTGACTGGGCTTGACATAGCCGGTGGAAGTCTCTGGCTAGCCTGACTATCCTCACTCTCCAGAGCTAGTTGCTCGCCAAGTCGAAGCCCAGCCTGGAGTTGCCTTCTTGTACCTTCGCTGAACCCCCTGAACAAATCATCAAGAGGGTTCGTATGGTTAGGTGTGCGTTGGTTGGACACCTGGTTAGAAGGCGTGAGTCTTTCAGGATCTACAACACCCTGCAAAGCTACACCGGCCTTGACAACACGCCCGATTTTTGGGGTCTGAACTTCGGATGGTGAATAAGGTGCAGATACGATTGCAGGCGGATTTGAGGGTGATCGTGTTTGCATCACTGGTGTTATTTCACGCCTCGCCTTAATGACGGGAACGCTTTCAGGTGCCAGCGATGCCGATGAACTTCTAGTCGATGACAGATCTGCTTGTAGTTGGGAAGCCATACTGCTTCTTTGAGCCCTGACGGACTGCTGGCTTGTATCATGCTGAGGCTGTTCAACAACCGCAGACTGAAGAGCTTGCCTATCCAATGTCTGTACGATGGACCTGTTGACCGGGCTAACTGGGCTTCCATTACTCCTCAATGAATCAACGGAGATCATACTGAAGTGCTCGCTTTCTAGAATAGTCGTGTCGTCTGGCAATCTTGTCGTACCCTCCTCGAATGCATAGACGGTGGCGTTCTGGCGATCATCGATATCGTCCTCTTCGCCTGGGGCAGATTGAGAAGATGGTTCCATTGACGGACTTGGTATAGGCTGGATATCACCGACAGCGTTTTCTTCATCGCTGTCAGGGGGTGTGTCGAGGCTATCCTCGTCATCCTCTGAGGAGTCCAGGGAGATTGCTGCAACTTTTGCATGTGGGGTTCCTCTGCGCTCCCGTAAATTACGAGATGTAGCATTTGCCGTTGGGGTTGTGATACTCCCACTTGCAATGGTGACACTGCGGCCAACTAATCGACGCCTGCTTGGGGGTTCGTTGGGCTTGTCGATTGAGTCCTCGCTTGATGCTCGTGAAGATCCCGTCAAGGACTGGATTGATGGGGTTGGCGTGCCGTGAGGGAGCAGAGGAGAGACTCGATCAATACTGCCCCGGACCTCTCTCGAATCATCGGAAATAATTTCCTCGTTCTCTTCCTGATGGTCGTCTATGGGATTCTCCATGGGAGACGCATCTTCAATGCTTGTTTGCTCGACGTCTGGCGTCATGTTCTCAGGCTCCAGTTGCACGCTCTTACGTGGGCGGCCCCTGCGCCGCTTAGGCTGAATATCCATAGCCGCCGTGAATGGGTCTTCGTCGGGCGCAGAAATGGAGCTACCTCGCTTGGAAGGTGAACGTCTTTTAATGGGTGTTCCGCTTCGCTTTGGTTTAGCACTTGGGCCAGATCCCGACTTCCTAGGACGACCACGGCGTTTGATAGGTGAAGAAGTGTCGTCATCTTTGAGAGGTACAGTAGTCGTTGTCGTTCGTGTGAACCTCTTTACAGATGGTGAATCAAGGTTACTGTTTTCTGATCCGCTTCCGGGTTCCGCTTGCACTGTTACTTTGATGCGCCATGGGCTTGCGCCACCCTCACGGCCTGTGTTCATGACCATTGACTTGGAGGGTGATAACTGCATTTGGTCGATAAAATTAAGACTGCGATTGACCTTGCTCGGTGAGCTAGAGGTTAGAGGGTCTCTAGAAGGGCGTGTTATTCTGCGCCGTATTGCAGACTCCGTAATTGAGGCATTGAGAGGATCCGGTGACGATCCAGGGTTGCTGTCGCTCATGTTGTCGCTAGACATTGTGGTTCTTGTGCGCGAGACCATGATGTCTCTCCAAAGAGCGCAGAACAGCACCTGTGAATTGAGTGCGATTCGGCTGTAATGTGTATATTATGTGATGTTGTGTCGTCAGGTTAGGAACGTTGGACCCTGTTGTGTTGGCTGCCGTTGAAACATTGATGCCCAGCCCACTCTGTACGCGTTTCCATGTTTGGCAGTCGTCGCCCAGGCAACAATCTTATCCGGCCCATGCACTAATCCCGGCCCGCATAACATCACCACCTCACTTTGCTCTATGCGACAGCACTAACTAAATAGTTAGCATGACTGTGAGCCCTCTCTCCTTTTTTGACGCCTGACAGAAGTGCCAGCGTCATGGGTATTCATGGGTATGTCACCGCGAGACCTTAGGATATCCAAGAGGCTAATCATTGCCATAGTATCTACAAAGAGATTGGACCTGGTCGCCGCATAGCATTTTCAAAGCTTTCGCTTGAGAAATTCGAAGAGACTGGCCGTCCATTGCGCATTGCTATCGACGTATCCATATGGCTGTTCCAGATCCAAGCCAGTAAAGGTATTCACAAGCATCTAGGCCACACTTTTGAAAGCAATGCTGATGAGCGATACTTGCAGGCGGCACGAATCCGGCTCTCCGAACCTTCTACTACCGTTTACTTCGACTCATCGCATTGTCTATACATCCGATTTTCGTATTCGATGGCCCCGATAAACCCCCATTCAAACGTGGCAAGAGGACAGGCCCGAATGTTGCATCTGTTCCGGAGTTCCTCGCAAAACAGTTGTTGAAACAATTTGGATTTCCCATACACCTTGCGCCGGGCGAAGCCGAAGCCGAATGTGCACTCCTGCAAAGAGAGGGAATTGTGGATGTTGTATTGAGTGAGGATGTCGATACGCTCATGTTTGGAAGTGGAGTCACAGTCCGAAATTGGTCCCCTGAGCTCAAGACGGGCAAAACACCGACCCACGTTAATGTGTACGATGCGGCAGAAACGAAGAGCGGACCTTCGCAATTAGATCGAGAAGGCATGATTCTGGTCGCATTGATGAGCGGAGGAGATTATGTGCCAGAGGGTATTCCAGGGTGTGGCCCAAAGACGGCTTGTGAAGCCGCCAGAGCTGGATTTGGTCACGACCTATGCAATATAAGAAAGGGCGACAGTGCTGCTGTACAAAGATGGCGGGAGAGGCTACAGCATGAGCTCAAAAGTAACGAGAACAAGCTATTCAAGCGAAAGCATACCACTTTGGTCATTCCAGATGATTTCCCCCGCGCCGACATTCTCGGATACTATACGCATCCTGTGGTCTCCACCAAAGCTGGCTTGGACAAACTGAGACGATCAATCAAGTGGGATCAGGATCTGGACTTTCCAGGCCTTCGCGAATTTGCAAATGACGCTTTCGATTGGGTAAAGCTTGAGGGTGCAAAACATTTCATACGCAGTTTAGCACCGTCACTACTTGTTCGAAGTCTCCGCATGAGAGCAGACTCTGAGCAATTCAGCTCGGATGATTTGGTGGCAAGACAAAAACATGAAGCAACTTTGGTGAAAGGAATTCATGGCAAGCGTCAACATGCTATCACAGACAACACACCAGAAGTCCGCATCAGCTTTATTCCCTTGGATCTCGTCAAGATTGACCTTAGCAATGAGGAACCCGATGAAGAGTTGGATTTCGGACGAGATGGACTTGCTGCAGGAGGAAGGGCAGAGAGTCCTGAGATGGACGAAGAGATGGAGTTGGACGCGGACGATGGTGAGGCTGGACCCCGGAAGCGTGGTCCCACCAAATTCGATGCTTCCAAGCCAGCGCGGGCATGGGTCGCGGAGACACTCGTCCAGATTGGTGTTCCCCTCGCTTTTGAAGATTGGAGAGCAGGGACGACTCGACCAAAGGCAGCCTCTACGAAACCGAGACTAGGTACGGCGACAGCAGCAGCGAAATCGAAAACGAGCAAGAGGACCAAACCTACAGCCGAGAAGCCTCAACGCACCATTGACCAGTTTGCCAGAGTAACCAAACCGGGTGTGAGAACAGCACAGAAGTTGGCAAAGGTTCAAGATCCGCCACAGCAACCGCGTCCCCTTCCCCGAGCAGCAGAGCAGGCAGCACAAACCGTAATAAACCTGCTTAGCTCCTCTCCAGTAAAACCTCTACCTTCAGCTGTGCCTTCTGAAACAAGACTAAAGTCACTATCTCCATTGCCGGAACTCCCACCAAGTGTGACGAAGAGAAGGAGACGTGGGCCGATGCAACGATCACAAACCTTACCGGCTGACATGAATGCAAATGGTGATCGACCTGCCACCCCGAGCAAGTTGGACACTATCGAGACGCTCGACCTCATCGACTCTCCAGCACTGCCTTCTCCATCAGAGCTTCCTGTCAAAAGACCCAGAACACGAACGACACGCAACCCTCCGCCCTCCCAACCGAAACGGGCAAATTCCATTGCATCAACACCTACCAAAACAAGACAAACGACGTTGGATCTCTGGTCACGATCTCCAACAAAGTCTCGGAAACTCACTCCTCCACGAGAAGCATCCCCAACACCAAAGGCGCGGCACATGCATTTGCCAGAAGCGAACATCGACACTCTTGACCTCACACTCTCCTCGCCCTTGAAGCCCATCCCCATCGCTCAAAGCAAGCAGCCCGAACGAACAAGATCCCATCTATCAACAGCACGCCCCCCACTACAGTCCATCAACTCAAACACATCATTCACCTCAACCTCATCGTCCGACCCCCAACCAAAGAAAGCAAACCCAAAACCCTCCCGCGCATCCCCCCGTCTCCGCAACAGACCGCCCGCACAAACAATAGACACACTAGACCTCACCGGACTCTGCTCTTCGCCCCTCCCTGTACCAAACGAATCCGTTCCTCCACCACCAGCACCAGCACCCACCACCCTCCTCGACACCCCTCCCCCTCCCAAACAATCCCTCCGCCGCTCTCCCCGCCTCAGCTCCCCTTTACTCTCCCTGCCATCGCCACCCCATCCAACCACTTCCACTTCCACTTCCACCACCACCGTACCAACAGCAGCATGGAAATCCGCCAACCAGAAAAAACGCATCATCCAGCTTCGCAAAAGCCTCGCCGGCGCATGGACCTTCGCAGACCAAACCTCAGACAACGAGGATGACACACCCAACGCGAAATGGAATGCAGCGGGTGCGAAGGCCGCGGAGCGGCAGAGGAGGCGCTGGCGCGAGAGCCAGATTGAGTCGTTGGATCTGACTTGACCAACCCTCCCCTTTTTTTTCTTCTTTCCTTTGGGGGGAGATGATGTTAGGCATGGGGTTGGTTGGCGCGTTTTTGTCATTCATACGTCGTTTGCTTGTTTGTTGTCACGATTGAATATGCATTTTTCTTTGGAGAACAGCAAGGGCTGGGGGGATGACCATTGGGCATTAGCGATAGGCGTTTTGTGCGTGTGTATTTTTATCGATCGTTGCGCTTGGAGAGAGAAAAGTACTGATTACTTTTCTTTTCCTTCTTCTCGCACGTAAGCGCGAGAGATGGTAGGATTTTGCTTTCACTTTTTGGAAGCAAAGCATATATTGAGTAGTAGATTTACAGCATGGCATCGTACGATAACATGCACGGTATATATGAATCATACACAATGACATCAATCTGAGGAGAATTTCACTTGGTCATGCATGCATTTTGCCATTATGTGTAATTTTCTTTTGGGACGGATTCACGTCCTCTGTACAAGGGTCTTGCAAACCTCGCAAGGGTATATAACTACATGCTGCCATTGCTCACAGATTGGGGGAACGACAACTCGAAAGTAGACCATGCTATCTGTTTCGTCATCGTCGTCGTTATTGTCATCATCATGATCATCCCCAAAGACGGTGTTCTCCCAGCAGTGCGTTGGATGCTACGAGCGTAACCTTTCCCAACTGACTGTGAAAACAATGGCGAAGATGATTCCAATCCTCGGGTACATCGTTGATTTTTGTGGAATCCCAGCTCATGCCCCTAGTAAACGCCTCGACCCAATGCTTAACCATTGTGCTGCCAAAACGCCTAATCGACCTGGGTGACCCTTCCTAGAGTAAAGAGAAACAAAAGTTGGTGCATCATAATGTTCAAATACACGAAAAGAATACATGCTGGAGGCCACCAAGAAAGTAGCACGTTCGTGGGGACCTTTAATACTGTTGAGCCTGGTTGCGAGGTAAACCGCCCAAAGCCATCTCTCGGAACCCCTCAGGGACAGTCCAGCCATGAACTTGACAAGCACGGATATAAGCGTCGACAGCTTCGGCGACCCCATAGTCTGAGCGAATGTGGTTCTCCAGGCGCGCGGGTTTCGGCTCAAGGCTCGACATGGCCATTCGGACTTGGAGAAGTACTGATTCAATAGAGGATACGGCAGACCAGCCATCGTTCGTGAGTAGCTAGATAAGTGTTAGCGAAGCCCCAATATGGAGAGATTATTATCTTGGGTTGACATACCTCCATACACATCGCGCCGCCAGCAGTAACATGTCCGCCACCACCTTGTTGGAAACCTAAAAATCGAGGGCGGATGACACGAACAAAAGGTGGGCTCATTGGATAGTCTTTGCCGAAACGGAGTTCGAGGACTACACTCTTGTGACCCTTGGCCTTCATGTCCTTGGCTAGAGGGAGAGTCGGATCGAAAGAATGCAGTTCCACAATCCACTGATACATATTCTCAATCTTATCCGCATCAATGTGCCAACCTAACTCATGCGGCAGTTCCTTGGCTTGGACCTTCAACAGCTGTTGGAAATCTTTCATGAGACGATTGGTCGCTCCGCGGGTCGCCCAAGCTGGCTCGGCCAGCATAACTAGCGACGAATAGTCAAGTGTACCAGGAACATAATCAGTCAAAGGCTTGGAGGACTTGGAGCCCACCAATTTCGAGAGGAAGCTGCCAGCCTTGGATTTCCCCTTTAGAGAGCTGGGGATCGGCAACGCTTCCCCCTTCTCTTGCACCGCCTCTGCACCATCGTCCCGGAGAATGATCAAATCCTCCTCAAGGGTAGCAACGCTGCCGCGGTCGTCATCATCCGCATCGAGATCAATTGGGTTGAAGAAGGTACCGGGAGATGCACCAGATGCCGTTTTCAAACGCTTGTTCATCGACTTCCCTGCGCCAGCCTTCGGCCTTCGGCTGCCGGAGACCGCATGGAGAGGTATTATCAGCGAATCGGAGGTCCCATAGGGAGACATTTTGGGGTCCTGTGCGTGTTAGTCAACAGTTCAACAGCAGAAGAATGCCTATCATACCTGAGCTATGAAATCGACTGGCTTGACCTCCTTCATAGGTTCTGGAGGTTTTTTTTGATCATCTGAGGCCGACTTGACGAATAGATAGCGGGTCTGTATCCAATCCAATTGTGCCACAACCAAATGAGGACTGTTGCTGACGAACTCTTTGGGCGCATTCACAACTTCATTGAGCGCTATTGCTTGAGATACTTGCAACCCGCTTTGAGGCCAGAAACCACTTGATCCACTTCCGACATGGGTATGGTAGCCACTGTAGCCAAGGCTGGTCCTAACGTCTAGGGAATGGTACACACCATGACCGTATGCACGACCATGGGCCGTATCATTGAAGTGTAAGCCCTCACGGATGATGGAATGCCTACAAACGTTAGCGCACAGTTCATCACGAAAACAAGCGCTGTAACATACCAGTTGTGCAAAGGGCTCCCGTGCCAGGCGAACAGGCTGGGGAACGTCAAATTCAGCCGAGCTGCAGTATCGCGCATTGCCTGAAGGAAGCGCCGTTCCTTGTCTGGGGCGCCCATCGCAAACCTGAATTGGGTCCACCCTGACATCCCGTACAAGCGCTCCTCTCTCCTACCCGAAGTTCTATCACCCTGGTCCATCACTTGCACGATGCAAGCACGGTTCGATGCGATGATCCAACGTAGAATACCAAGAGCTGCTGGTGGCATTCGCTCCACCCAGGAGCTTAGCGGAGATTGCGCTTTGCGGGTGAGATACTTCCTCATCTCTTCAACGCTTGGAAGAATGTCGAGGAGAGTATAGATTGCTTCACGCTTTGCAAACTCATCCAGCTCATCGAAATTTTGATTGTAGATATGAAAAGAGGCGGGACGGAACTCATTGAGTATCCTACTGGGACCATTCTGTTTAAAAGGCGTTTGAGAACTGTTGTTCGTCTGGTCAGATAGTGTCGTAGGATATATGGGCTCCGAAACCCATATAGTAGGCCAGTAAGAAGTCTCCGTTACGCGGACATGCATTTGATCCGAAGGGTCACTATCAAGCCTGAGGGCTAGCCAGTCACCTGTCCGAACAGGACATTTTTCGCTCTTGAACGGAAACATAATCTCCTGGGACTTGGAGTTGAATCGCGCTTTGATTGCCTCGACAAGTTCCGGAGGAGAAGGTGGCGCTGGAGGTGGAGGGGGGTTGGCCCGCAGATTGTTCCATGCTGTGTAAGGCTGGGCCGGGTTGGTGTTATTATCTTTCTTTTGAACTTGCTGCGAAGGTACCATCAAGCTCAAGCCAGTGGGGAAATCCTTTAACTTCCCATAACGTGCACTGCAGTAGCAGAAGCTTATTAGAAGATCTACTACCTTCGGCTGGGATAGAATTTCATGTTCGATGCTTGGACCAAATCCTAGCGACATGTACTGATAAAGACATAGAGGCTTATCGCAGACGTAGGGCTTGATTGCTTGTAGATCATCGCTCAATTTCGTGAAGCAAATGAGACAGAACTCCGTACAGCGTACAAAATGTCGAAGCACGAATTGCATCGCTACGAGCGGAAGCGAATGCGTGGCACCGCCGGAATCCGTAATGTGATCTGCGTTTACCAAAGAAGGAAACTTTCCATGAGAGTCGTTGGCCAGATACTTATCCTGTAGACCGAGCTCTGCATGGTCAATCTGCATACCGATATTGTCATTGTAGAATTCCTCTGCACCACCCCATGACATGCCATTGTATCGGTAGGTCAATAGGACTGCGAAGCGTTCCTCGAGTAGCTCATTGAGAGGGCGAGAAATGAAGGAGTTGCGAAACCCTTTGGTGGGGCTTTGCGATTGTGACTCTGCCTGGGACTCTTCGTTGCGTCTTTCCTCCTCCTTACTAAGTCGGGTGAATGCACGCACAGCTTCCTGCATGGTGGGCTTGTAGCTCGTACTAATTCCGACACGAACGCCAAAGTATCGCTTAGAGGTGAATGCACCCATGGAGCGTATGTCATCCATGCTCTTGTACCCAGAGGGGTAGTGGAGGATAGCAACCAGATACTCCGAAGGTTCCACCTGCCAGGCCTGCATCGCCTCTTGGGAGATTCCTAGCTTTGCGATGCGACAGGAGAGACTGACGTAACAACCAAGGCCGTCCATCAAGCCACCCAGATGACCGACCTTGAACCCGTTCGCTTTGGCGACGATTAGATCATCACGGATTCGGTTGCGGAAGTTCGATGTAGGTTGCGTGTACTCCTGGCCTGAGTCTGGTACGTGGATCAATGGCCTCGGTACCGTGTCGTCATCGGGGAAGTACTCATCCTCTTCCTCTTCGTCCTCTTCTTCTTCAAAATCAGCATTATCACTGTCGTCTATGAAATCATCCGAGTCATTTGCTTGAGAATTCAGCATTTGTGTATCACCGTCGCGATCGGTAGACTCCAATTTCCGCGAAACAAGCTCAAGTAATTGCACCACGGTCTTTCCCGATGCGTAGTCCGATATCTCGGCCAGCGTTCCTGCAACGGCAGCTGGGGCATCGTCTGGAGCGAATATCATGCAAGTGTGGCTTGAAGGGTAGTCGGCGAGCTCTGTTATGGTCATTAGTCTTATCGCAGATAATAAGGAAGACAGTAAGGTATATGCTGACCTGGTATCAAAACGGACACCTCGAAGTTTCCGCCATTGGCTAGGCACATGAACTTGAATTCACCGTCGTCGTCGCCATGGCGCACATTGGAAATGCCAGCGACCGAAACGCCTTCCACTGCCTTACAGAGGTCAGCTACGAACTGTTTCCTCGGCATGATCCAAGAGCTGGCCCGATTGGATGGTCAACAGCTTCGTGATTTGGTGATTTAGCCAGCGGATTTTGCTGGTCGAGCGGCTTGATGTTGCAGCTTAATTAGGTGCGTGAGACATGGGAAATTGGTGCGGAAGCGAGGGTAGTAGAGAAGAGCAATATAGTGAATTGCTGATGAATCCGAAGCGACCGTATCTTTTCAATGAGGGGGCAGCTGTAGTGAAAGCGCACGAGAATGCAAGGCACTAGGCTGGCTCAAGCAACGAGGAGGCAGAAAGATCTAATGACTAGTTTTGTTAGAATACCGTTGAAAATGAGGATCGCAAACAGCGAGGGAACGAAGTCGAGGGGCGAGAGCGGAAAGGAAGAAGGCAATGGGCAGAGCAATGGAGTTGTTAGCGTTTGGGTAGCTGCCAACAACAACAAATAGAGGTTATGTGAGCGGGGAAGGGCAGGTGTGAGGTGAGCGAAGAGGAAGGAAGGAGAGATGGAGGAAGTGAAGGAAAGAACGAAGGAAGTAGGTGAGTAGGTAGGTAGGCACCTAGTAAAGTAAAGGTAAAAGCAGAAGCAGATACCAGACAAAAGCAAATAGTAGGTCCTCGTTAGGCAGAGATAGAGGTAGCAAAGCGCGAGTAGCGGCAAGCTTGCTACTTGTTTTGAGCAGGTGAGCGAGCGTATGCGATGACGGTGAGGATGAGGATGAGGGTGCAAGTAAAGGTGGGATTCTTTTCAATGATCAGGAACAAAAGATGGGCAAGAGTTGTTGGTTGCCTAATAGCTAGTCAGTCATTCGGTCATTAGTGACAGTACGATTACGAGCATGAGCGAGGGAGAGAGAGTGGAGAGAGTGTAGAGAGAGTAGAGAGAGTAGAGAGAGTAGAGAGAGTAGAGAGAGTAGAGTGTGAAAGAGTAGCTACAACTAAACAGAGGGTTGGCCGTTGAGATGAGCGTCAAAGCTCCATCCAGGCAGCAAACCCATGTGGCTGAGGTACGAGCTTTGTACATGGTTAGGCTGGTTACCAGCAACCAGTTCCAGTAGTAACCACGGGTACACTGTATGTACAATGTATGTACCATACAGTAGTAATAATGATGATGTAGGGAAGGATTAGGTACCGATCCAGGTAGAATGTATCTATGAATCTATCGATACCTAATGATCGGATACTATGTCAAACTTCGATACTTGCACTTTATGGAAGTGAGGCTGCCGGTCACAGACAGAGATACGGAGTAGTTCGATCTTTTGAGTACCTTCATCGAAATCATGACCTATACACAAATAAACAATGTACTCCGCGGTATCGAATTAATTAGATCAAACAAAGGTTAGACAATGCCCAGTTACCAGTACGTTGATGTAAACCCGCAGATACCACTACCTAGGTACGTACGTTCTGCCGCATTTTCCGTAATTTGTCTGCACCACCTTGAACAAGAAATCATTAAGAAGACCAGGCAGTTTACCACCTCTGATAGTTATGATGAAGGAAATGATAGCACAATCATTAGGAATTAGAGTGAGTGAGTAACTAACAATTACCTGGAAGTATAGAAGTATGTAGGTACCTAGGTATCTATCTATAGTATACAAAGCTACCCCTCCCTCTACTCCCACGACCGCCGCCGCCGCCGCTGCCGCACCCCGCGCCATCCCAATTACGGGCATACGCTGGTACGCTGCTAATTGTAGCCCCGGGAGCCAACACCAAGGGTCCCGCCTTCTATCATCTCCATCTCTCTTTCTCTCTAACCTCACAATACCCCAACAATGGCCGTCTCAACCTCCACCACCACAACCTCCCCACCAGGAACATCGTCAACCCCAAAATCCACACACGTCTCCGACCAATCCCTCCTCCCCTTCCTGCAACCCACATTCGACCCAGCCGACTACCTCAACACCACCCTCCCATCGCTCTCCCTCTCCTCCGTCAGCGCCAGACCCCTCAAGCAACAGCAGCAATCAGCCCCCCTCTCCGACCTCTCCTCGCATACCCAGGACCTCCTCTCCCAGCTCAACGCCCACACCACCCGACTCTCCACCATCCTCACCCAATTGACCGATGACCTGCTGCGCTCCGGCGGTCGACTGGCCTACGAGGTCGAAGTCCTACGCGGCGAGACAATCAGCCTCACAGAAACCCTAACCGACACCGTGAAAGACGACGTCAAGAAATTCGTCCCCAATGGCATCCAACCAACCCCAACCTCACCCAACGACGGCGAAAACGACGGCGAAGAATCCAACACACCCAACGACGCCAACGAAGCTCCCAATACCTCAGCCAACCCACCACCACAAACCCAAACCCCAACCCCCCAACAACCCCCAGACCAACAGCAACCACCAACCTACATAACCCAACTCCGCACCCTCACGCTCGTCCGCACCCGCCTCGAATCCGTCATCAAGATCTTCGGCGAAGCAATGCACTGGACGCTCCCGCCCTTCGACGTCTCCCTCACCTCCTCCCTCATCTCCGTCTCCGCGCCCGAGCCCGGCACCGACGCCGCGGACCGCGAGAAGCGCGGCAAGGAGTTTGCGAGCGCACTGCGCAGCGAGATATCGGACCTCCTGACTGGTGCGGACGACTCCGCCGCGGGCGTCGCGGCGGCGGAGGTTAGGATCCGTGCGCTGAGGGATCTGGCGGTCGTGTGGAAGGGGACTGCGGAGGAGAAGGCGAGGGTGAGGTTTGTGGAGGGTTTGGTGAGGTTGGTGGAGGAGAGGCAGAAGAGTTTGGAGGCGGCGGCGGCTGCTGCTGCTGCTAGTGCGCAGAAGCAGAGGAGCGGGCGTAGCGGGAGCATAAGGAAGTCCCAGGAGGTGCCGGTTCAGAAGAGCAGCGGTAACACTGGCGGCAGTAGTAGCAATAACGGTGGTGGAGGTGGAGGTGGATTCTTGGATAATTTACAGCGGATAAGAGAGAACATCTATGGCGACTAGATACCTCCACATACATGCTTAGACAGACATATACATATACCCTTTCCGCCGCATTAATCCCCCAAAATAATATACACAGTCCTGTACATACATCCACGCAGTGTGAAACTATACGTATGCATACCACGTGACCGCGCGCACACTTCGTGAACACCACCCCCGTACGATACTGCATGCACACATCAGAAGAACAAGACACCCCGTACAGAATTATATCAAGTGTTTCCATTCGGTAGTCCTACCACTTCAATTCAGTTCAGTTCAATGCATTTGATTCCCATTCCTTCCTTTCATTAATGGAAACCCCCCAAAAACAAACTCCTTCATGAAAACAAACAAACGCCAAATGCATAATGCATGTTCATTGGGACATGCATGGTCCCCCAGAATCCCCAAAACGCCAGAAGAAGAAGAAGAAGAAGAACAAAAAGGATGTATCCTTAGGCACCAACCATCCAAAAGCAAAAGCCCTGAAGCAAGCCAGAATCCATTTTCGGCTGAGCTTTCGTGGGCGGTTGAAGGGTGAATGGTTTGCCCAGCAGTAGCCTCTCGGCTTAAACGCCTGTGAATGGAAAAAAAGAAGCAGAAGGGACCAGATAGAGGCTCCCAAGAAAGCAATATAAACAACGCCTGTATCTTTACAACCCTTGGTATCATGACAAGTGGGAAACTGCGTTTCCGCGAAGACTAAAGCGCTCGGATGGCGGCGAGGGCGCGTTGGCCCTCAGCCTCGAACGCGGCGATCTGCCGTTCGCATTCGGCCCGCAGCTTCTCTTCCCCGCGTTGCGCGTTGTACATGACCCATTGCTGGACCGTCATCTTCTTCTCGGGGCTAGTCAGGCCGGCATTGACCGCGTCGACTGCGTTCGCTCCGACGTTCTCCTTGTCGAGACCTGCGTCAACGAGCACGCCTGAGATGAAGTCGAAGGCGTCGTTCTTAAAGAAGTCGTCGACGTCGATGGGTTCCCAGTGCTTGTTGTTGCGGCTAGTCTCTGGCGTTCTCCTCTCTGGTGTGCGCTGTTCTGGCGTGTGTGCTACCTTCATAGGAGTGGATTCGAAGACAGATTCTGGACGGATGGAGGAGATGTCGCTGAATCGCATGCGCTTAGGACTTTCCGGTGCTATAGAGGGCTCCGGTTCCATGTCCTCGCTCGTCCGTTTCTTTCCGCGTTTCGGTCTTGTGGAGGTACTGCTTTGAACAGACACAGCGCTTGCACGTTTCGCTTTTGCTGGACGTCCTTTCTTGGTCACCTTCTTAGGCTCTGGGACGGCAATCACCTCAGGTTCCGGCTCCGGCTCCGGCTCCGGCTCCGGCTCCGGTTCCACTTCTGGTTCTGGTTCAGGCTCAGGCTCAATGTGCTGTTCGGGCTCGAGCGTCGGCTCAACAAACTCAGGTTCAAGCTCAGGCTCAAGCGCTGATACAAGCTCCGCGGGTTCAGAATCTTTGGTGGTCCTCTTTGCGCGCCCTGCGCCTTTGGCCGCTCTAGGTTTAGCAGGTGCCTTCTTCACTCTCGTCGTCGAGGCAGATGATGATCGCGTGGATCGATTCGATACTCGCTTGCCTTTGGTCTTCTTAATGACCACTTGCGGCGACACGGGGCTCTCTGTGGGATGGTAGAGTTCTTTCAATTGAAAGAAGAGACATTCTGGAGATCGCCTCTGGTGCTCTTCGAACGGATTGTCACCCGCGTCCCAAGAGTCAAGAGAAAGGGAGCAATATGCGCAGGTAACACCATCAAGAAGGTCGGGACTGGGATCGTAGTACCATCCTGCATAGACCATCTGCATTCAACGTTAGCAGTTCATTCCGTAAAATGGCATATGCTCTGCAGATGATGCTGAGCTCTAGGTAGCTGAATTACTAACCTGATCAACACTTGGAAATCCTGCATTCGCATCCAGCGGCCACATCTCGCCAAATGTTTTCTTGCGCGCTACCAACATCTCGTCGCAAATTGGATCCTTCTCTGCACGCTCTGGATCCCCATTTCGCATTCGTATGCAGATATTCATGGCGAAACCGCAATCGGGTGAATGTGTGAGATGTTCGTACGCAGGCACATCGGAAGCCTCCCATCCATCAAGCTGGCATCCGCAGGAGAAGCACTGCACGTTATCGGGGCTGGTCGAAGTTGGTTTCCAGATAAAGCCAGCGAATGCAAGATTGTACGGGTCGGGAGATGAGAGTGGCCATGCGGATGTCTGTTGTTGCTGTGCTTTCTTGGAGCGTGCGGATGTGCGACGCGATGGTTTTGGCTTCGCTGCGAGGAACGAGTCCACGCGTGCCTGCAATGAGGCTGTGAAAGTAGTCATGATGGTAAAATGTGCTCTATATCTCAAGAATTGAGTACTTGGTGGCACTTTCGGGGTGCGTTGTGATGTGAGAAGGCGTATCAAGGTCGCTGCTGCTGTTGTTTTGATGTTTGTGGTTGATGTTGAAGTTGCGCCGGAGACTAAGCGGTAGATCAAAACAATCAAAACACGGAAGGCCCCGCGGTGACAGGGGTCATGCCAAGACATTGGCCTTAGTCATTCAGGGCCCTTGCTGTGAGCATTTACCAGATTTCCGAGACAACAATCACACATCACAATGGCTCAACATCCTGTGTTAATACGGACAGCATGGCGCGGGCGACCATTGCTCCTCCACGGTAAACGATTCGCAACATCCCAAGCTTCCGCTTCCGCGTCCACCGAATCCACGTCCAGCCAATCGCTTCAAAATCATCCAGCGGATTGGGAGGACCATACGCCTGCGCTCGAGAACTTCTCCCAGCTACCTTATAAAGATTTCGGAAAGAACCAATTGCTTCAGACAAATGAGGATTTCAAGCGTAGTTTGAGGGGCATCCTTCGGGAGTTTCCTGCGCTCAGCTATGCGTTTGCGTACGGCTCGGGTGTTTTCCCTCAATCTGATGCGACGGCGTCGCGCATTACGAAATCGCCCCATTCGAATCCGCCGGAAGCAATACTGAAGTGGCAGAAAGGTGGTGGAAAGATGATTGACTTCATATTGGCTACAAAGTTCTCTCAGCACTTCCATTCGCTGAACCTGCGCGCCCATAAGGATCATTACTCCTTCCTCGGATCCCTTGGCTCTGGCGTCGTAAGCCACGTCCAGGACGCATACGGCGCCGGCGCATACTTCAACCCTTACGTCAACGTAAATGGCACTCTCATCAAATATGCTGTGGTCAATCTTCCAACACTGCAAAGCGATCTTTTGAACTGGGACACCCTTTACCTCGCTGGGCGCCTGCAAAAGCCCGTCAAGATTCTCTTTGAAGATCCGAATATCCGCGTCGCAAACCAGCGCAACCTACTTTCCGCAGTGCGGTGCTCGTTGTTACTACTCCCACCTACATTTACTGAAAAAGAGCTATATTCTACTATTACCGGATTGAGTTACCGCGGTGATCCGCGCATGGACTATGGGAGCGAGAACCCCAAAAAGATTGAGAACATTGTAAACCACCAAATCAGGAATTTCCGTCTCTTATATCACGACCTCATCAATTCCCTTCCCAATTTAACATACAGCGATGCAAAGGCAGTATCGAAACCTGGCTGGGAAGATGACACCGAGCTCGATCTTAGGCTAGAGCAGGATATGGATCCCGAGCGCCGAGGTAACATGGTCCGACGACTCCCCAAATCCTTCAGGGAGAAGCTTTATTTCCAATATCAACGAAAATTCGCCATCCCCGGACGCGAATTTCAAGAGATGCTGGAGGCAACCAGAGACGATGATCCCGCAGGTGGCGTCAAGAAACAGATTGGTGGCCCATTCGACCGACGCATCGCCGCTGAGAAGGACCTCCCGGAAATGGTCAACAAAACCGTTCTCCAAACAGTCAAATGGCCCTCGACCGTACAAAGCGTCAAGAGCTTCTTCACTGCCGGCCCCTCCCGAGGCTTCAGATACCTCCGCGAGAAGCGAGAAAAGGCCAAAGAAGCCTAAAAAGACCATCGTAACATTCCGCAACACTTTCTTGTTTTTTTGCATCCTAGAAGAGTAGGCATCCGGCCTCATCAGGCATTGTATTTTCATTTGTACTCTTTTGTCAACAACATTTCGTCAAAGCATAGACCATTAGGATTGGGGAATCGCATCGTAGCCGCCGTAGGGATTCGGGTTTCCTTTACGGGTCAGGTTTGTATTATGCCACTAGGTTCCCAGTGGAGAAGGGGGGCAAAATTTCATGAGCTACGCTGCTGCCGGGCATGCACACCATGTCGATGCTGTGCTCTCAATTAAAGAAATAAAAACGAGTTTTAAATGATTATGGTGCAATGAACGCACATTCCGTGAACTGTAACTCTGTTTTAAGCATACTATTGTTATTAGAACGTCGAAACCACTCTCGTACCTAGAGTTTTTGTCTTCACTTTCACTCAAATGCACAAATATTTAATGATATCTTAATGCTTTATTTTTACATCATGTATGGACTTCGTTTTCGTTATTCATACTGAATAGCGCCAGGCTAGTAATAATACAAACAATACATATCCCTCATACTAAAGGATTTCTTTTCGGAAGCCTACAGCGAGTGTTGGGTCTATCAGCCATGCCACCGCTTATGCTTTGCCCATGCTGGAGACCATTTTCTTGTTGCGTCTCATGAGCATAATCAGCTTCTTCTCCAACGCCTCGTGGTCCTTTTTCGCGGCTAGCATTGCCTGTTCCGCTTCGTCGATCGACAACACACTTCGTCTTCCCCTGCGGCCATTGTTCGCAGTGCCGAAGCCTCCGATTCCACTACCGGATCCGATGGCGTCCACGAGACCCTGGACATCGAGTCCGCTTCCTCCCAGCGTGACATTGCCCTGGGCGTCGACGCTGAGATCCTGGCTGCTGTGGAAACCAAGACCGGCGCCGACGAGTGCTTCCAAACCCTGGACGACAACGCCACCGAGTAGGTCTGCAGCTATGGCACCCATACCTGACAAGTCGTTACTAGCAATGTTGCTATCTGCGACTACCTTGGCTGCTTTGGCAATCTTGTTGACATTTGCGGGCATGCTACCGACGCCTGAGCCTGGAGGCCCACCAACAGCAGCCATCTCAGTTCTGACTACGTTTGGCGATGGATTGTCTGTCTTTGGTAGAACAAATTGGTTCAGGTATGCGATGGCATCGGCAGGCGTCTGTTGTTGGGGCTGGGGAGCTGGGACTGAAGCCAAGCCTGAAAGGTCTAGTGACTTGTTCATGGGATTATCTAGGTCCGACCAACCATCGCTCGACGCATGGACGGGCGGCAGTGGTAGAGATGTTGAACCGAGGAGAGTAGATGTAGCGTCGAGCTTTGGAATCTGATGATCGGAATTTGCTTCGCTGTTCGATTTGCTGAGTTTGGCACCTGCCTCTTTGAGTGCGGTAGCGATGGCAGGGAGAACGTCCTGTGACTGTGCTTGGGCGACACCAGAATGATTTGGTGAGTGCGCTGAATGCTTTCGTGGGTAGAAACGTGCGGCCCCCTTCAGTTCCTCGATATTCTTTTCCAATTCCAAGGCCTTCTCCTCCAATTCCTGGGTCAATCCCCAGAAGAATTTCCCTTGTGGCGTGATCAATGTTCTTGATTCCGACTTTCCATCCTGGCCAGTGAGACGAACCGGCCTCTTGTTAGCTAAAGCATCCATGTCCGCATCGGAGAAGTGAAGCTTCAAATTAGGGGGAGTCGTAGTGTAGCTCGGCTGCGTAGTACGAGCGCTGTGCGAGAGGGAAGCGGACAGTGGCTTGAAGAACTCAAGGGAGGAAGTCAATAATTCCCCATTCTTTTCAAGGTCCGCAAAGATTGAATGCGGATTCAGTTCACGCTTATCCTTGATATGTTCGCCTGGGCTTGCAGGCTCCTGCATAGGAGGTGGTTGTGGGACAGGTGCAGCAGCGGTTGGGGCAGGTGTCGCTTTCACCGGTGATGCAGCTACTGGTTTGACTTCTGGCTTTTCCTCTTCTCTCTCTTCTACATTTTTCGGTTTGGGCGAGGTCGGTCGACTCTTCCCAGCATTCTGTACAGGTTTTGCGCTGGTCACAGTCGGTTTCTTGGTCTTCTTCTTGCGCCCAACGATAGGTGCTTGAACAGGTTCAGCTTCCAATTTCGCCTGTTCCTCTACAGCTAAGACCTCCTCTTCCAGCATGTGTCTAGCTTTCTCCTGTCGATCTTTCTTAGCCTGTGATTTCGTCTTCTTCCTAACTGGAGCAGTGCCGACTTTGCCACCAATGGGAGGCGGAGAATTGGCCCGGGAAACCGAGGTTGATGTTACGGACGCAATATCGGAGATCATGTCGCTGACAGGGGTGCCAGGTGGATTGATTGAAGCAACGCTGGCTTGGCGAGACCTAAGTTTATCGACATTCGGAACATGGGGAACTGAAGCTGTCGAAATGGCTGATAGAGGTACGACATTCTCTGTTTTTGGCGTGGGAAGAACACGAAGAGTTCTCGGTGCTGTAGCACGCTTGATGGGAGAACCAGTCGATGTTGCCGCGGGGCTCTCTGAAACAGACCCAGAATTCGACAGGGAGGAGGCACGTAGACTCTTCGAGTTCGAGTCCAATTTGACTGCGCTGGAGAATGGGGTCGAGTCCGCATCAGAGGCCTGTGTAGCAGCGCTTATATCTAATTTACCAGGATGCTGCCGCTTGGATGAGCTGGGTGTCTTCACGGCCGTGGCGATGGCTTTGACTTCCTGCGGCGTTGTCATCTCTGGTTTAGGTGTTACATTCGCTTTTTTGTTGCTTTTATCGGTCTTTGATTTAGATGCAGGCTCGGGCGTGGACACCTGATTTCCTTCTATTATCGCCGAAGACGTCGATTCCGATTTGTTCTTCGCCATGGTCTTAGTAGCTTGTGCTTTTGCAGCCGGTGGCTTTCGTTCAGACTTAATCGGAGTAGCCGGTTTAGAGTTCATTTCAGGTGTTCGGGGGGTGTTCTGGTTCGAACTAAGTATGGCATCCTTGGCTTGTTTCTCCTTCTTGGACTTGGTAGGCGTCACAGGGCGAATGGGCATCGCGGGCACTACTGGAACAGCCGGTGCTATACTAGATGATGCAGTGCGAGACATTGGCTGAGCCTGTTGGCTAACATTGGCTCTCGACGAGGTGGGTATGGAAAATCCAGGAGGCACCGAAGGTGTTGCACGACGGGGTTGTTCGAAATGGTGGGCAGGTATAGCAGTTGGGATTGCGTGTTCGAAGTCGACCTCGTTCACCAATGCATCAACGTTTACCGTCGCTTCATCCTCGGGTATAAATTCGTGATCATCTGTTCGTGCTGAGATTAGCAATCATCAATCTGATAGGGGCTCAAATTGTGCAATGCCCAGGGATCCTGGACGAAGACTACGGCGGCGACGATTTTCAGCAAAAGCTGTTGGCAGGAAGCGAGAAACATAGACATTTGGTACATCAATGGGCTTCGGATAGGTCTCTCTCAAGTTTCTTCGTCACGCGAACCATGCAAAAGGCAATTGGGGAAGCCATCCTTCTAATTAATCGTAAGCATGCCGAGATGTTACGGCAGGAAGGGGATTGTTACATACATACGATGGCATGACGAAGACGACGAGAGAGAGACAGAAAGAGGTGGCGTGTAGACCTGGCAAAAGCAGCATATTTCGCCCAGAAACATCTCAGAAAAAACAAATATAGAAATGAAGTTCCATGAAGCCATGCCAAAGCCGAAGCCAATAAATGTGTGACAAGGTTTGACCCATTTCAAGAACGCCAGGCGATCTCAAAAGCCGTTAAGACTTAGACTGTGCCGATGCAGTTGCTTCCCAATAAAAACCGAAAACACCAATGCCGCCATCGTTGGGAATGACAAGTAATAAAACACAGTATGCGACTTTGGTTGAAAATATGTGAAAGAAGAAAACTCTCTGGGCTACCATCGTCCTGCGCCGCCGCCGTAGTTGTTGTTGGTATACAAGGATGAAAACCCAGCTTGACCTTGACCAGCATATAGCCCTTGGCCGACCATGTTGCCTCCTTGATGCAACCTTGCCTGCAAGATACTCGGGTCCTGAACATCAACTACACCTCCACCTCCGGAAGAGGAGGTGTTGGCATGTCGATGCTTTTTGCCCTTTTTCTTCGATTTCTGCGAACCAGTTTCCTGGTAAGCACCAGGCGAAGGTCCATAAGGAAAGCTGATCAGGCCAGGGGCTGGGGCTGGTGTAGAGGTTGTAGGGTGTTGGTTAAGAAAAGAAGGAAACATTGACTCACGCTTACCAGTATCAGCAATCCTAGCACCGCCGTCCAAATTCCTGTTACGCAACAAGTCCTGATACATGGCATCGTTGTTGTTTCGACCACCAGCATTTGCGCCGTAGTTGATACCACCCGTGGCGAAACCATGGCCCTGGCCAAACATGCCACCTCCACTTACTGGAGGGGTTCCGGTTGCTTTCAAGCCAGGAGGTGGTCCTTGGACACTACCGGTGTAAAATTGACCGGCCAGAGGTTGGTGTTGGGATAGTTGGTTGAAGTGGCCACCCTTTGGCATCATCGAAGACTGCTGGCTCATCAACTTCTGGTTTGCAACAGGCTGCACGGAGGCCGAGGCAGAAGCACTATCGTTTGCAAAGCTGAATCGGGAAGTATGCCTAATGTGACCGGGAGCGTTGCTGGTTTGGTTGTGACTTGGTTGCTGGTTTTGATTGGTAGGGAAATTTGATAAGAGTCCGGCAGACTGCGGCGCGCTGGATTTGAAGCTTGAAAGGAGTATCTGTTGTTGTTGCTGGGGCGTAAGACCACGATTGTTCAGATTGTTGTTCCCGAATTCGTCACTGCTTTGACCAAATATTCCAGCACCAAGTGCGCTCTGACCTGGAGGTGCGATTGCATGACGGTTTAGTTGGCTGGGTCCCACATCGTGTCGTTCTTCGGGTTCTCCGCCAAGTTGCAAGCTACCACCTGCTGTTGCTTCTGTGTTTTCCTCTTGATCAGTAGTCGCAGCAGCTTGGGCAGCGGCTTGGGCAGCGGCCTGCGCCTCGGCTTCTCGTTGCAGCGCTCGCTCCTTTTCCTTCTCTTTTTCTTCGAGCGCGGCACGTCGCTTTGCGCCACCATTTGGATCAAGTATCTGGGGGAACTCCATTATGGCTTTGAAATCCTCTTCTGATAGAATCGCGCTCGAGAAGACGAATTTGAAGTTGGGATCAGTGATTTGCTTAAGCAGAGTGTCCAGTCCGGGAATGCGAGCCTTTTGCGGTTGAGCAGGGGCAGACTCGGCGGGTTGTGAAGACTGAGGGGTTGCAGATTTGGATGCGGGTGTAGATTTTTCCTTGGTCTTGTCCTTCTCTACGTCTTTCTCTTTCTCCTTTTCCTTTTCCTTCTCTTTTTCTCTGCCTTTCTTCTTTGGGGGCTCCTCAGCTTTTGTTGTCTTCGATGTTGGTGCAGGTACCGCATTGATGACCATTGGGCTAGGGTGAGAGGCGTTTGTAGATCGACTGAGACGACGTTCTTGAGCAGCTTTACTTCCCCAGTTGGCAGTAGCTGGCAAACCTGGGGCGTCGCTGGTAGGACTTGGTGTATCGCTACTGTCTTGTCGGTTCATTGCCGCTGCGGCGACAGGAGGTCCTCGATGGGGCGGGGGTGCAGCGTTGTTATGAGACTGGGTCGGTTGCTGTGTCTGGATTGAGTTCATCATGGAGAGATCCTGCCGCGTGAAGCTGTCATTATCCTCGCCCGGTTCATGGAGAAACATGCAGTTGCGATTATTGCATTGTTCACCTCGCAAGTACGCTGAACAGTACTTTGTTGTACCGTATTGTGCTCTACACGCTGTTCAGTATTCCAAAACTCCTTCGACTCGGGAGCGACTTACCTCAGTGTACGGTCGCCATTTTGTGAGCCATCAACAGCAGCGATACATGCTGCAGCATCTTCTTTGCGTGCAAAGGTAACATATACGCCGACCGATTGCTGATGCTGTGCATTTTCCTTGGCCTTGCTGACAACAATCTTGATTATCTTGCCATACTGTCCAAAGTAGTCGGGACCGCGTAGCGTATCCAGTAAGCGATCTTCTCGTATCGTGGGCGTAAGACCGGTTACGTAGACGAGATTCTTTTGAACCACACGTAGGCCAGCGAGGTGTTTTCGACTGAGGTGGTCTGCCTCTGCCTTCTGTGCTTCCTTTTGACGCATGGCTGCGTTTTTCTTCGCCTTTTGCGCGATTTGTTGCTTGTGCTTGGCCATCCTACTCTCGAGATTAGCAATAGAATGTAGAGAACAGAGGATGCAGACTCACTCTTCTGGAGTGATATTCTTGAATTCGATCGTCGATTCATCGTATGGTCGACGGCATGCTGGACACAGTCCATTCATGGTCGTCTTGATATTGTTGAAACAGAACTGACAGATCTATGCTCATCGAATTAGCATCACTTCGGCTGAGATGACTTTTCATATTCACGAACCTGGTAGCCACAGGGGCATGGACGGAAGTTCTTGTCTGACAGATCGAACTCCTCCACGCAGAGTGGGCAGCACTCGTCTTCGTCATCGTCCACAAACTGATCTTGCTGTATGCGGGACATGGCTGTAGTTGTGGGATGGGTTGTCGAGGCGTGACGGGGTGGCGCTCGAGCGAGAATGGTGTCGCGTGGGGGGTTTCTGGTGATATGCAAAGCAGGATATTACTCGAATGCAGCAGCTGGAAATCGACAAACGCCGGCCGTGTAAATGTAGAGAGGGAAAAGGAGATGAGTTGGTGAAAGTAGAGTCGGAAGGCATCGTTGCTGGCCCAGATCAACTCTGCAGGACCGAAGGTGCCAAGACTGCACTAGCTCAAAAGATCACGTGCACTGGCCAGGCGGCAAATCAAGTGCCACTGAGCGTCGATTACGAGAGGCAGTTGGCATCGCGAACCTTTGCGACAACCATCCTCTATCGAAGAACGCCGCCTGCAATCGCTGCACCAAGCAGCTTCACCACACCACAAGACCTTCCGATATCCCAATGGCTCTAAGGGCGGCCGTTAGCAGGCCATTGAGCGCCGCTGTCCGCTCAGCCAGCTCTTCCGGATCTGTTGCTGTACGTGCTTTTGCATCGACAGCTTTACGAGCAAAGGATGTCGCTGCAGATAGCTCTGAGACCCCCAACATGAGGGTAAGATGCCAATGTCCTATTTTTGCTTCTCAGGGCCCTAATTGATTGCAATAGTTCGCTCCTCGTGATGCAATGGGCAAGCTCAAAGCTCCTATCGTCAATCCCACCGACAAGTACCAGGAGAAGGGAGAGGCATTGCACAAGTACGGACAGTACTTGATGTCATGTCTGCCGAAATACATCCAACAGTATGCTTAACGCTATTCTGTAAAGCTCTATTTTGCTGATTCCGTTCAGATTTTCGGTTTGGAAAGACGAATTGTGCATTTACATTCCTCCCTCGGGCGTCATTCCTGTCTTCACCTTCCTGAAATACCACACCGCCGCAGAGTACACTCAGATCTCTGATATTACTGCTGTCGACTACCCTACCAAGGACCAGCGTTTCGAGGTCGTATACAACATGCTTAGCATTCGACACAACTCCCGCATAAGGGTCAAGACATACGCGGACGAGGCAACACCTGTTCCCAGTATCTGTGATCTGTACGATGGTGCCAATTGGTACGAGCGAGAGGTCTACGATCTTTTCGGTGTTTTCTTCGTCGGCCATCCAGATTTGAGGCGTATCATGACCGACTACGGCTTCGATGGCCACCCTCTCCGCAAGGATTTCCCAATGACTGGTTACACCGAGATTCGATATGACGAAGAGAAGAAGAGGATCGTCGTCGAGCCTTTGGAGATGACGCAAGCATACAGGAATTTCCGTGGTGGCTCATCCGCCTGGGAGCCAGTTGGCCCTGGTGACAACAAGACACCAGCTCAGGTAAGTTCGAATGCGTCGAGACCTTCTCATCGGAGAGTATGTAGGGACTAACAAAACCCGTCTAGTTCAAACTGCCGACGCCAAAGCCAGAGCCCCCGAAGGAGGGCGAGCAAAAGAAATAGAGTGCTTCACCCATGTATATTCTGTATATCCAATGAATCGATTTCTCTGCATCTTCACCAAAGTCAATCAAAACATGAATCATGTAAAACGTTCCGACAAACAATGTGGCCCGAAAACCAGGCCTGCACTTGACTAGGAAACCATCTTGCTGCTGTTTACTCGGCCCGACATAGCGAGCTCATCGCCTAATTCCACTCTCAATGGTACCTTACGTCTCGTACAGAATTGCGATGCTACGTCACGCAATACCTGCATCTCGCCCGCATTTCGCTCTGTAACAGCTTGAATATTCATCGCCAAGACCCCAACCCCGCTTTCTACCATTCTTGCATATGAATGCTACATAATTCGCACTGCAATCAGGGGTCCCATCTTCCGGTGGGCAGTGATATTTCCAAGCTATAAATATGGAGTGGTGGTCTTCATGCCCCAGTGTTGAATCCTTCAGCTAATCCCTTCAAAGTTGGTTCATCCGACAATCCACCGGAAGCCACCATCAACCACCACCCAATCAGTTCGCAGTTAGCGCATCTTCCCTCGACTACCTTTGAATATAAATATAAAGTATAGTACACCGACCTCATGATTCTCACAACTCCATCTACAACTCGCCCATCCCGTCTATTCCTTTTACTACTATTATCGTCTTTCGCAGCAACTATGTCCTTCGCAACCAAAACCACAACCGTCCCCCCATTCAATCTCTCCTCCCCAGCCGGGACGGACATCTGGCGCAAACCACCGTCACATGACGTGTTCGATGCCCCATCCCACCCTTCTCCCCTCCAACAACACCCACTCAAATCTTTCCAGAGAGCGCGCCTAACATTCTCACTACCACCCGCGAACCAGCTCCGTCAATACGACCAAGCGGGTCTGGTTCTCCACTTCACCAAGCCGGGCGCCGAGTATGGTTCGCTGAAGGACAAGTGGCTCAAGACTGGAATCGAGTTCTACTATGGGAAACCATACGTCTCAACCGTGGGAACGGATCAGTGGTCTGATTGGAGCGTGCTGCCGTTGACGCCATTTGCGGGGAATGAGAGTCGGCCGAGTGCAACTATCGAGGCGAGGAGAGAGAAGGATCCGTTAGGCAAGAGTCTCTGGGTCTATCAGATCATTAAGGATGAGAGTGGCAAGGAAGTGGAGCGGATTCCATTGCGGGAGGTGAATTGGGTCTTTGCGGATGAGGAGGGCTGGAACGTTGGAATTGGCGGATATGTTGCAAGGCCGACGAAGGAAGGTGGTGAGGCGCTATTGGACTCGGAATTCCCAGAGGGTGTTGAGGTGGAGATCCTAGACAATTAGAAGATAAAAAGGATGCTTGATCTATTTGACTCGAGCTGTTTCTCCACAGCCCAGCGGCTGGGGAATCGAATACCAGGGTGTCGGGATATTAATGATAGACGACTTGTCACGAAATACATCCACACTACGGAATAAGCACGTCCAAATGGAAATGTAAATGAGAAATTCCGCCTCGATCAATAATAAGTTCACATTTGATATGATCTAGCTAACTAAAACCACATGATTGTTCAGCCTAGATATGTGTCAGTACTCTGTACATGAAAACCTCACTCAACCCATCAACTTACCGTAGAAATTACTAAAAACCTTCCCGAGCAAATGCTCCCCATACGTATTGCCCTCATGCACAGGCTCTCCCCCCGTCTTCTCCACACACTTCCCCAACGGCTTCACCACTGCATCGAAATTCGGCTCGAAAAAGAACGGCACGCTAACCCTATACCCATTCCCCCTATGAATAACCCGATGTCTCGTAGACCTCCACAACCCGTTCGTCCACCGCTCAATCATGTCTCCGATATTGACGACGAACGCGCCGGGGATGGGATCGGCGTTCAGCCACGTCGTACCGTCTTTAAGCAGCACCTGCAAGGCGCCGGGTGTGGGATCTGCAAGGAGGAGCGTTACACAGCCGTAGTCTGTGTGCTCGCCGCAGGATAGTTCGTCTGCGGCTGCGTCGAGGGCGGCGGGGTGGGAGAGCTTCGGGTACCCGATAAGACGCATCACCCAGAAACTGTTGTCTGTGTTTCGCACGAAGACCTTTTCGTCTTCGACTTCTCGAGTTGCTGTTCCTTCCGCAGCCTCGGGGCCTAGGTCGAGGGCAGCTCCCATGGCGTGGACGAGCGCTTTGCCAACTTGTTGGAGCTGGTCAATGTACTCGAGATACACGGGCTTGAGTTCGGCAGGCTGCTCCGGCCAGAGATTCGGGCCCTGCAGCGTCTTGTTGGTTCCAGGGGTTTTTGTGTCGTCTTTCTGCATGTCCCATTCTCGGTACAAGTCGATGGCTTCGTGGTGGTCTTGCCGCCCTTGTGTTACATTTTCGCCCATGCCCTGGTAGCCGCGTGCACCGTCCCCACCCTCAGGGCCACCGGCGTCATACCGTTTGATCTTGTTCTTCTCTGGCAGGGGCAGTGCGAAGAATTGACGCGCGAGGGATATCACTTGCTCTAGTCTCGACTCAGGGATTCCATGTCCTGTGAGGTAGAAGAAGCCGTAGTCGATGCAGGCTCGGTTTAAGGCAGCGGCTGTCTCCTGGCGAGATTCGGGAGATGCTTTTGGATTGACGTAGGATGATATGTCGATGATTGGAAGTGAAGCACCCTCGGGAGCCATTTTTCTAGGGAACTTGCTTAGTTGATAGCGACTGGATTCGGGGTGTTGTCGAAGTGCGTGGTAGTATTTGTCCTAGTACTTCGTACACCCTACTGCGAGCAGAGAAAGGCTGATACCTCAACAGTAGGCGTTCAAACCAGACCTTCGTATTTAAGCTCAACCAAATAGACGGATGTATTTGACCTGGTTCGTCTATTAAGGCAATGAAACAGTTATACCAATTAGCAGAAGGAAGTAATCTATTACCATAGTCAGCACTATAAAGATATCATTACACTCAATTGCTATAAATTGAATGACACCTGAAAGCTCAGCGCATCCATCTAAAGAATCTGGCATTATAGACGTAGTGTGTCCAAGTATATCCCAATAGAGGAGGAGACAGGACTAATGTGACGTGGCGATGGAGCCCATGTTGTACAAAGAATAATCAATGTTCAGCGTACCTGCAGTTACGAGATTCAAAACTCAAAGTTTTTGATGCTTATATTAACCTCTTCTCCAACAAAAATGTCGTGCATCGGCTTTCAAATAATATAAGAGGTGGTACGTTGAAGAAGCACAGTAGGCCGAGGTTGGAGAGCGATCTATCACTGGCGCTTTTTTACCTTATCTGGACTAGGCGACGCACTATCCCCTCCTCTGCCGACGTTCTTGTACGTTTTGTTCTCCATGTCAGGGGAATGGACGTAGTTATGAAAGACATACACTGGAGGTTGACTCGGAAGATTGTCATGCACATCAGACACTGTATCGAGTTTGCAAAGCGCGCACTGGGCGAAATTCTAATCTATTTTCGCTATGCAATACTTGGAGGGGGAATCCACCATATCATTACTGACATCAAATCATTTAAATCAGGCGAACCGTCGCCGTGTTAAGTGATCCCAATACTCCTTTTACATAATGACCTCGTTGGCCACATCCTGTAAGACCTGTTAGCAATGTTTGAGACCATGACATGATAAAAACGTACCCTCTTCAACTCCTTGTAGGGAAGGCAGACGCAGTTCTGCACGCGGACCTCATCACCGACTCCGCAGTCCTTGCCGAGAATGGTGATGCTCTGCACCTTCACACCGTTCTTGATGATGCTAGTGCTGTGGGTGGTGACGGGAGTTGGGGTTCCCTCGACACGAGCCCATGCGCCAATCTTGCTGTGCCAGCCAACAATTGTGTACATGACGCAAGCATCGTGCTTGATCTCCGAGTCCTCGAGAACGATGGACTCCTTGACACGTACACCAGCGCCAATGTGCACGCGGGCGCCAATGGAAACATTGGGTCCGAGCTTAGCGGTGGGGTCGATCTGGGCTGAGGGGTGGATGTAGACGGGAGGAATGATGTTGGCAGACGGGGTAGCAAGCTCCTCGGGATGGGACTGGAAGGCCTTGAGAAGGTACAAGGCATTTGCTGGCACCGCGGAACCAGCAGTCTTGATCTGGCGCCAGAAGTCCTTGGTCTCGAGGACGAAGAATTGCCTGCTGTCGGCAATGTCTGACAAAACATCCTGCTCCAAACGGATGACAGCGTTCTCCTTATCCTCATCGTCATCATCCTGTCCTTGGTAGAAAGACGACTCGAGGTTCTCAGAGGAGGGGTATGAAAGTAATCTGGGACGCTCGGTACGGCGCTTGATGGCGCTGCGAATGGCAGGGAAAATGGTCTCTGTCGAGAAGAGGTAGACACCACAGTTGATGAGGTTAGAGATTTGCGACTCGGGCTTCTCTACGTAATGGAGAACACGCTTGGTGTGGGCATCGGACACGATGCAACCGAAGTTTGTAGACGACTCGTTGGAGACCCTCGTTCCCAACATAACAGCCTCCGCATCCTTGTCCTCGTAAAGCTTGAGCATGTCGTTGAGAGGGAACGAGCAGCAGACGTCAGCGTTCAAGACGAAGAACCTGTCTGGCTTTCCCTTCAAGATCACATCGCGGAAGTGGTAGAGCCCGCCGGCGGTGCCCAGGGCCTGGTATTCTCGGAGGTACTTAACGCTCAACTGAGGGAATGAGTTCGATACGGTGTTGATGAAGGGCTGGAAGACGCTCTCCTCGTAGTAACCGACGATGAAGACTTCCTTGATCTCTGGGACCTTAGAAATGGCACGGAAGCAATGCTCGATGATTGGATGTCCGGCGACAGGGAACAGCGGCTGTTAATGAAATGGAATGTTAGCGGGGTCTGTAATGAGGGAAGCCAGGATTGCGAAAGTTGACAGTACGAACCTTGGGCAATTCCATAGACAATGGCCTGAATCGTGTTCCGCGCGAAGGTCCACCGACCTGTTTATGTGAGTATTCTGATCTTTTGTCGCATTGTCCGAGTGGTGTTTACCAAAATAACGGCTTTGGTGGAGGGGGCAATCCCCCCCTTAGGCCTGGAAGCGAGAGATGGTGGTTGAAGGCTCATGATTGCTATAGTTTTCTGAAAATATGGTAGGAGTGATTGTTCGAGTCTGGAGAAGGAATCGGAAAAGAAAGGAGAAGAGGGGGTGCCAGCAATTGACTACTAAGTTGTGGCGGTTTGCGAAGTGGACAGCTGGTAGACCCTGGGAATCGTGTGGCCCGTGTTGGGCGGTGAGCGGCGCGGCTTTTTGTATGTATGTACCTTAAGTACCTATGAACCAGTGGTACCTCTCCTTTGGCGCTGTCCATTGGTACAGTGACCACCAAGTACCTGCTGGTACAGTACACCATCGTCACATTGTGAACTTCATCCCTTTCCTCCCGCATGTCATGAATAATCTACGTCAATGTCTTCCGTTGTACTAGCCAACGGAGTCTATGTCGCTACACGTGCTTACACTGTCTCTTCTAACTTGATTGTACAACTCCCTTTCAATGAATTCAATCCAATCCTTCGCCCTTTTTGTAGCATCCCGATCTCCTGATTCGCAGGACTTATGTAACACCCGGAAAGTTGTTGACACAGTCCGTGCAAAGACACATACGTGTCCAAGGTTCTTGTCTGCTCTCTTTCGGAAGTCCTTATGTTATCGCTTAATCATGTATATGCTGATAACAAAGTACCGGTATTCCTACTTTGCTGAAAGTTGGGAGTTCCAATGATCTGCCTTTGGTGAACCTGGAATTAGTCGACCAATCAGAGACGATTTCAGCCGACCACATTGCTTTACTCTACCTTTACTGCCAATATATGAACTTCACAACTATATGATCTGGGTACCGATTTCTATACTTCCTACCTCATCGATCTCGTGTGATGTTAGCAAATTTTGATCCCGGGAAAGGGCTCCCGGCTACCGCTATCCCGTGCCATTATCCTGATGCTCCTTCACCTGACCAGAGCTCGAGGGAGTGAAGTGGACTACTTCCACGTTCACTTCACGAGCAGGTCAATGTGAACCTCCAGTGGTAATATGAATTCAACATTGTTCGATCCTATACTTCTCTTGCTATTTCATCCCCAGAATTCTTTCCCGTCCCCCCGCGACCCTTGCGATGACACCCTTGGCATATGAAGAGGACCTGGAGGTGTTACAGGGCAGGATATATTATAACATGGTCTCCAACATAGTGCATCGCCCTAAAAAGGTGGGAGATAACCTATCACCACAACCTGCTAGCTCCGAAACTGTCAAGCTGCCAGTGCTACCGTCGAACCGATTTCCCACGGATGCACCACTCAAGCGTTCAACCCCAAGCAAAGCCGAAGACCGAAAAGCAAAGAAGGCCAAAGTACCCGAAAAGGTGCAACTGCAAGGAGAAATCAGCGGACTTCTCGAAGAACTCGACCTTCTCAAGTGCAAGCTCACCAACAAGGATGGCGACACTGACCACGAAGCCATGGGATACAACTTCTACGGGCGGAGGAAGCTCTGCGCCATCATCGAAGAGAACTGGGACGCCGACCTGACCACCTTCTTCCGCAATGATGCTAGGGGTATCGATATCCATCCTCGCATCCCGCCGACGAAAGAGCACGATCTATCCGCTTTCACGAAGAGACGGCTCGCAAGGGAGGGCGAATCGGTGACGGAATTCCTGGAGAGGATGAACGATGCTCCTAAGAACCCGCTCGATTTCGGTTTCGACATACTGTCTCATCTTGCTGTTGTCAGTGAGTTCACGGAGGGCTTGGGGGACGGGATGCGTCAGTTGCTCTTCGAAGCTGTGCAGACTCGCAAAGCGCAATACCGAGCACGCAACACTGGTGAAATGCTCATTCTGGATGTGAAAAAGGTCATCAATGACCTTGTTCAAGAAGCCGAGCAATCAAAGTAAGCATTCTTCAAGCTCTCATCATGCAAGCTAGAGCTCGATTGACGTATTACTACACAGTGAGAAATTATCCAATAGCGATGACGGTTGGACCTCAGTTTGCAGTTGCGAGGAGTGAAGGGATGTGTATAATTTGGAGTTTTCAGTGGCGTTAACGGGGATTTCTCTGGATTGGTTGATACCCTAAGCTACCATGCTTCATGTTACAATGCAATAAAATTACACTTTCTATACTACATATTCATGAACAATGCTGTGACTACGCTGGCTTGACGCCCTTGTGAATAGCGGCAATACCGCCGGTCAAATCTTCCCAGCCCTGGCCCGGTACCAAGAACCCGGCGTCCTTGATCATGTCTCGGAACTCTGTCTGACTGGGGAACCGCTCGATACTCTCTACCAAGTACTGGTAACTATCCCTATCTCCAGCAACGACTTGTCCGATTAGGGGGATAGCTGAAAAGCTCCAGCGCTTGTATACGGCATCGAAGAGGCTGTTGTTGACCTTGGAAAACTCCATGCAAGCAAACACACCGCCGGGCTTCAACACGCGATAAGCCTCGCGGATAGCCGCCTCCTTGTGCGTAAAATTCCTGATACCGAAAGCCACGGTGTACAGGTCGATACTGGCGTCCGGAATCATATCCAATTTCTCCGCATTCGCTTCAATGAAGTCCAGTCGGGGTGACCTGGCATATGGTGTCTCGAGAGCGCGCTTCCTGCCTTCCGCAAGCATGTCTGGATTAATGTCTGCCACGGTGACTTTGGTGTGGGCATCGTTGTTGATCGTTGAGGCGTGGTCGAGCATTCGGAATGCGATGTCGCCGGTGCCACCAGCGATGTCAAGAATGTTCCAGCCTTTCTCGGACGAGGACGAGGAGGTCAAGGGGTTTCGGCCGGGATTGAGGTTTCGGACGAAGTGGTCTTTCCAGAGGCGATGGATTCCAAGGGACATAAGATCGTTCATGGTATCGTACGATGAGGCAACGGAGGAGAAAACAGCACCGACTGAACCGAATAAGCCACAGAAAGCTATATACTTGGATCAAAACATACCACGCTGCTCTTTCAGCGCCTCAGCGACCGTCTCGAAGCCGAAGTGTGTCGTGCCTGGAGCATTTTGACGATCCTTAGGCGGCGGCGTCTGCTGCTGTGACTGGCGAACCGAGCATGAAAAACATCGGTAGGGGTCTCTCGATACCCTCCTCTTCACTCCCCCGGCCAATTGGCGTCTGAAAACAGCTTTCGGAATTTGAGCACTCATGATTGAAGGTTTTAAAGAAAGTCGAGATGCTTGGCGCGAACTTTCGAGCCGCGCGGGTGCACGTGCAAGGAGGGCTAGAATGGAATGACTAAGCGGAAGGTTGACCTGCCCCAAAGACCTAAAACTGACGTCTCTCTGCGGGTTAAACTAGCGTTCACAGCCGACGCTGGCCGTTGTTCCCGAGCTCATAACAACTTTCCCCAGGTTTTAAGTACCGAGAGCGCCGCAGGATGTAGCGAACAAACAACACAATGTCTTTACGCTCAGGATCACGTAGAGTATGCGGCAGCAAGCTGTTGAGACCTCAGTCTTTGGCCAATGGCTCATCAAATCTCAGAGCGGCGACCCGCTGGCAGAGATGCCAGGGCGTGGCTACTACAGCAAACGCGGAGAGGTAAGGGGGAATATTGAACTGGAAAATACCGTTCAAATGCTGATTTTATTTGAAGGGTTCTTTTCCCAGGTGCTTTGAATAGCGAGTTCACAAATTCCATGGACTTCCTTCGACCATCTACCAAAAAGGCCATACCAACGTACCGTGTTATGGACCAGTATGGAGAGGTTTTGGACCCAGCGTACAAATGTGATCTTGAAGATGAAGAGGCGTTGAAACTGTATCGAAACATGGTTTGCTGTACGTTTGACACTACTACTATTCTTTATCATTCAGCTAATTGTTACAGTAAGCATAATGGACCTGCTCATGTTTGAAGCGCAGAGGCAAGGTCGATTAAGTTTTTATATGGTTCGTATTCGTGTAAACTCTGATCACCCACGACAAACACTCACCCCAAAATAGGTCTCAGCAGGCGAAGAAGGAATTGCAATCGGATCAGCCAGTGCACTATCACCCGGAGATGTTGTTTTCTGCCAATACCGCGAGACGGGCGTTTACCTACAGCGCGGATTCACACTGGACGATTTCATGAACCAACTCTACGCCAACGCAAAGGATCACGGCCTAGGCCGCAACATGCCGGTGCACTACGGCAGCAAGGAACTCAACATCCACACCATCTCGTCGACCCTCGCCACCCAAATCCCACACGCAGCTGGCGCAGCATATGCCTTGAAACTTCAGAACCAACAGCTGCCCGACACTCCTCCTCGGATAGCTGTGTGCTACTTTGGAGAAGGCGCCGCAAGTGAGGGTGACTTCCACGCAGCATTGAACATAGCGGCTACGCGCCAGGTCCCAGCGGTATTCATTTGCCGAAACAATGGATATGCTATCTCTACGCCGACGAGCGATCAGTACCGCGGCGATGGTATTGCTAGCCGTGGTGCTGGCTACGGAATCGACACCCTCCGAGTTGACGGAAACGACATCTTTGCTGTGAGGCGTGCGACACAAGAGGCCCGTCGGCGTGCACTGGAGGACGGCGGAAGGCCGGTGTTGATTGAGATGATGGCCTACCGTGTTGGGCACCATAGCACTTCTGACGACAGTTTCGCATATCGACAGCGTGTTGAGGTTGAGGACTGGAAGCGTCGAGACAACCCAATCACGCGTATGCGTAAGTGGTTAGAAGGAAAGAGTATCTGGAGCGAGGACAAGGAGAGAGAGTTGAGGAGTAGCCTGAGGAAAGAGATCTTGGTCGCATTCGATAAGGCGGAAAAGATGAAGAAACCGGCCATCTCGAATATGTTCAAAGGTGTCTATGAGAACCCTACGGAGGAACAAAAAGATCATGCCACCGAACTCAAGGACATTCTGACTAGATACCCTAAGGAGTATGATGTTGATCACCACGAGGGAGGAGTTGGAGGCTTGGACGAACTACTCGAAACAAAGTCTTAGAAGAAATATCACTTCTAGATAGAAAATTTACATCTGAACCAATATACAATCCTCTAAATTGTCCTATGTCTTCGATATAGATATACGTTAATAGCTACTGCTAAATTTTTGATATGTACCTCGATATATACCAATGCATCTCATTGAATTATGTAGCGTCTAATAACCAATCCGGTTCTGCGTCTTCATCATCGGGATCTTCTGACATTAGCGATCCGGCCTCGGATGGTGTTGAGGCTGGGCTCGAAATGTGCGTTGGAGCTGAATCTTTAGAACGCCCGTCCTCGACGGCCTGGTGATTCGGATCTTGTATTGTGATGTCTGCCTTTGTGTCTTCCTCCCTAACGTGAACTTCTGGCACGGTGACTTTTTGAAGTTCGGACCCATCTGAGGACTGTTCATCTTCAATCACCTTGATTCTTTCGGCCAAACGATGCTCAGTATCAGAGTTGGTGTTGAGGCCTTCACCCGAAATCCCCTTTGATGCCTTGATAGAATTTTCGCCTGCTTTGGGGCTACTTTCGAGAACATTGACAGTGTCGTGATCGTTTGAGTCTTCGTCTATGGACTGAGGTAAAGGTGATGTTATGTTTTGGTGCGAGGACGGCTCACGCACAAATCCACCAGAGACACCATCATCTTCTGGAATAAAGCCACCAGACATATGGTTGTCTTCTGGGATGAAACCACCGGACATAGCTTCATCTTCTGGGATGAACCCACCGGGTATAGCATCGTCTTCTGGGATAAAACCACCAGACATATCGTTCCCTGCGCTATTGTCAACGCTCTCTCCTCCGGGTACTGCCCTGGCCGTTTTGGGCGATCGTGTGTGAAGAGAGCTAGATTGATGTTCTGAGATGAAGCCTCCACTGTTCATGTCATGATTTGGTGTGTATGCACTGCTTTGGTTACGAGACATCATATCCGCAGGCATCATCTCTTCATCCTCATCCTCATCTTCGTCGACAACTCTGCGATAATGCCGTCGTACGGGAGGTGGAGAAGCTGCAGGTCCCTCGGCGTCATCCATGAAGAAACCACCAGCCAGTTGTTGCTCTGTGATTGCTTTGTCCTGCTTCTCTATCTCTGCTTGCACGTTGATTGTTGGGCCTGTCTCCCCATCTATTTCGATAGCATTGACCCGTTGTGCGATTTTTAAGCCCAGGTAGAACCTCCTCCATAATCTCAGAGACTCGGAGGTTCGTAGCGCTTCTTCGGCCTCCTCTTGTGCATATTCCATGCCACGAATCACAGCTTCCACGGCATCCTGGTACTCTTGTGCCACAACAACGCCCTGGACGACAGCGGTGCCGTGTCTGCCCTTAAAATTAAATCCCGTCACTGCTTCAGCATAGTCCACACCGACGATCCGAGCAGCTTTGGCGGCCAACTTGTGCCTGATATGTGTTCCTCCTTCAGGAACCATCGAAGGAACATAGAGATCAAGATTACCGTAGACATTGCGAGGAACTCTGCCCCCAACAACAGGAGGAGGAATGTAGAGTTCGGTCTGGAACTCTGCATACAGAGCGGCACCGAGTTCATCCTGTATCTGGTCCTCGAACCCCTCGTCTGGCGGAACGGAGCGTCGAGCACCTTTCCGGGGCTTTGCATGCTTTAAAGGCTGCTCTCCGCCGATGACATCACGCCCAAGCCTATACCATTTATCCGCACTTCTGACGAGATGAACTTCTTTTCTTCGATATATTGATTCCATCTTCGGGTTCATAGATGTACCAACGTTTACTTTGCCAACTGAGTGCATGGGATGGATGACCTCGTTGTGTCGTAGATGTCGCTCAAGGACATATATAGGGTGATTTTTAAAGTCTTGCACATTTTTAGGTATGCCTTCTCCAGCCTCTCTTCGGGCCAGAGCTGCCTCCTCAACCTGATCTCTGTCCAGGACGGTTCTCCTTCGAAATGGCTTGAGCGCTCGTCTCCACCACTTTGCGCCAACCTCAGAACAATCGATTCTGAATTTCCGTGTCTTAGCATTATACGCTTTAGCATATCGGCGCGTAACGTCTCTTGCTGAAGAGTCTTCCTCAAATGCAATTGTGTAGACGAGGCTGTTCTGCGAAAAATTGAGCGGTGGCTCAAGCTTGTCGGGTTTGTCAACAGTGAACGTTGATAATGGGTCGACCGCAACCCATCTCTGCTGGGCAGAATTGAACACCTCTATCCAGTACACAGGAAATGCAGTGTGGTACTTCTTCTTCTGCTTTGGAGCAACACCTAAGCCGATAGACCGATGTCGTTCTCCTAGTGCCCGTTCGAGGCGAGAAGGTCGCTTTGAACGAGAAGAAACCGGCTTTGGCTTTGGCTTTGTAGGGCTAGACTGCTCTCTGTTGTATGGATCTAGGCGCAAGACATTGTTCGGACTAGTCTTTTGAGGTGAAGATACTTGCGCTGCTGATGCGAAGGGTAGGCACTGCAAAGAACAAACCAGACGCGCCTCAACGCCAATGCCACGCAGCAACGCACAGAACAATTGCGCACCAATGTCTTGAGATCCTTGCAATGCTACGGCAGCTTTTCTAAACTCTTCCAACTCCATTGGCTCGTCAAGATCACTAAAGTCTGTAAATGATTGGACTTCGCTGTCAACGTCAGCCCAGCGCGGCTTTTGCATGCCCAAAGCAGTCACTGAGAAGCGGTTTGTCCACCAAGATCTTAGGTCTCGCAATCCCTCCAAAAATTGCTTCGATGCTTGGTACTGCGAATATTCAGGCATCGGAACAAACTTGGCCAGCGCTCCTGAAGGTAGGATCTTCCGCAACTTCGCTTGAACTCGACTGTCATTGCACCATGCGTTCCGGCGATGAACATGATATAAAAGACAGAGAACATGCATCATGTGAATATCAAGCCTAAGCTTTTTATCGATTGATGTGATGCCTCTTCGCCGTACCTTACGCTTAGGGGCGATGTCTTTTCCTTTATCGCCTCCGATAGTGATTGATAAATCACCAACTTCGGGCACGACATCCTCAGGATCTTCGTCGTCATCGTTGGCATCGCCTTGATCAAGTGCATCCTCCCATTCTTGGTCACTGTCGTCGGATTCATCTGAATCTTCGACTGTTTGCAGAATACGTTTACCCGCATCTTGCACGCTGATATTCGATCTCGTCGACCAATTGTGCTGAGCAGATTGTGACTCTACATCAGCTTCAACTACAGGCACGACTTCGGTTTGTTTTTCGGGATCTGGGCTCAATTCCTTTTGAGGTGGAGGATGTATGGTCTTCCGCTTCTTCAGAGGCTTACTATCTTCCTCGGGCCCTGCCGCTTTGGAAGACGTTGATTCTGATAAAAGTTCTTGGTATACAGACACATACCCCGCCTCCGCCTCCTCCTCCTCTTCTTGCGGGGGCCTTTGCCGACGTGAGGAACGCCGTGTTGCAACACTAGTGGCAGTAGAAGGCGCTTTGTGAAGACGTCCCCGCGGAGCTCCCATGCTAACTGTACGGACGTATCACTACGTGGAGCGGATGCCTATCGGAAGCGACAAGATGGAGCGTGAGTGTTGCGTGTACAAGCTGCGACCATCATGCGGTTACCCGTCCGAGCCGAATATATCCAAAATGCCTGTGAACAGCTGTTCGTGACTAGAATGCGCTGGCAAGCACCGAGTGGTGAAGATTGAATGATGAGTGGTGTGTGACTCGACTAGGTCGATCTTGCGTCATCTTTCGAGAACACATTGCCGCGTGATCACGTGATAGTCGCGTTCAGCATCATCAAGGCATCCAACAGGATTCATATCACTGCAAATGTATCTTAGGTATTTGATCTAAAAGAGGCCGCTATTCTTCATTTCATCAGGTAGCAAACCGAATTCTTTCACGGGCGGTCGATTTGCAGGTCAACTGATGTCAACATGAAGATGACATGTTTCTACGGCTGGTCACTTACTTTAAATTATAGCCTACTACCCGGGATGAAACGTTGGACGAAAAGAAAAACGAGACGGACGGAAGCAATTGTGTCATGCAGACACGAAGGTTGTGGCATGGAACTATGCGGGTAGCTGCAGTAGAACATTTACTTCCTCTTATTTGGAATATTGATCCAACGTTTCTCAAGTCTCGAACCATATAAGATTTATAGAAAGAAACACACAAATATGCGTGACTGCCTTATTTCAAATCAAATAGTCATAGTTTCTTGATTGATGGAATGGTCCTTCTGAAATCGTCACCCGAAATCGCACCAGCAAACCCGAAACATGGCGAACTCCCACAAGAGCGATACAGACCACTACAACACTACGAACCTGACCCCCGGCATCGCCAACAAGACCATCGAAATCACCGAAGACAGCGAGAAAACAAGGACGTCGGGCAGCGCAATTTACACACGCCCTGTATCTTCATCATTCATATCAGATATTAAACATATCCACGAGCATGCGAGCAGCATTTGTTCTACTGGACAAGGACTCGAGTGTGAAACTAGCTGTGGGTTGACCCGATGACAAAATTTGCTGTAACATCTACAGCAGCTTATCAATTACCATCTTCCCTCTACTTTTGCGATATTTACAGGTTTGCAGGTCTGAATCGTGACGACATACAGCCCAGTCATTGTTGTTCACCAAAGTCAAAAATGGGGCTCGAGCGGGAGAAAGACGGCGGTTCAGCACTAAACAATAGCGAAATTGATCTAGAGTGCGGCCCCGAGATCCTGGAACGCGTTGTTCTGACTGTCAGTGGTCTCAAATGTGGCTGTTGTGAGACCGGCATATCGAAAGCGCTGCGTCAATATCCAGCTGTCGCGAATAGCCAAGTGAACATAGTTCTCGCAAGGGTGGAATTTGATCTGGACGTCAGCCGTAGTTCTGTGCCTGCAGTTATATCTTATCTGAGCAAATCAACGGGATACACTTATGCAGTACATGAACAACCTACCGGCCAAATATTAGATCTGCTCGTTGCCGACCCCACGGATATTCATCATGCTGGAAGGCCTTACGGTGTCACCCTCATCGAGTCTGCAGAGGAGAAAATGTCATGGAGCCCTACTAAGATTCTCAGCACACAAGGAGCGATGAAAACACCAACTTTTGGAACACCTGCCACGTCAAACTCACACTATCCAGCTCGCATTATTGATCAACGCACCATAGGATTCCCTTCTCTAAAGACGGTTCGAATACATTATGACGCCAGCCGTATTGGAGCACGCGATGTTTTCGAATACTATCAACATCTTGCTCCAAATCAGGACATACGACTTGCTCAAGCAGAACCCAGTGGTAGCTCTGCGGTCGGACTCGAGGAAACCAAACGGGCATTCTCCCTTTTCATTGTTACTCTTCTGATGACAATTCCAGTGCTTGTGTTTGCCTGGTCGCACACTCGCGGGATCATCTATGATCATCTATCTCTTGCTCTGGCAACTATCGTTCAAGCTGTTGCCCTCGAAGAGTTTGTGCCTAGTGGCTTACGTACATTGGTGCACTCGCACCTTTTCAACATGGACCTCCTCATAGCACTTAGTACATCGATGGCCTATGTATTTAGCGTCGTCTCGTACGCATTCCTCATCGCTGGACGGCCCCTCGAAATCGGCTCATTCTTTGAGACTTCCACCTTGTTAACTGTTCTTATACTTCTTGGTCGTACAATCAGCGAATTCTCACGTCTCAAAGCAGCAAGATTGGTTTCAGTAAGGTCTTTGCAATCGAACTATGCATTGATACTGGAACCGGGTGGACCTATCGGACCCACGCGAGAGGTTCGCCAGATCGATGCTCGCCTGCTTCAATATTGTGATATAATCAATGTCCCACCACACACACGCATTGTTACTGACGGGAAGGTACTATATGGTGGCTCCGAAGTAGATGAGTCAATGACTACAGGAGAGACTGTCCCTGTTGCGAAGGGGCTTGGTCAGTATGTGCGTGCGGGCACGATCAACGGCACTGGTCAACTCATCGTGGCCATAACGAAGCTTCCACATGAGAACTCTATCAGCACCATAGCCAAGATGGTTGAGGATGCAGAATTCACAAAACCTAAAATTCAAGTACTTGCTGACCAAGTGGCTGAATGGTTTGTCCCAGTCATCTCCATCATCGGCATTGTCGTTTTCCTATTATGGATGTTTATAAGTCACTTTCACTATCACGATGATTGGCAACGCAGCACAATGATTGCAATTACCTATACCATCGCCACTCTTATAGTATCCTGCCCATGCGCCATTGGACTTGCAGTACCTATGGTTGTACTTATTGCTGGCGGTGTCTCAGCACGATATGGAATAATTTTCAGAGATCCACAGAAACTCGAAGTTGCCCGTGGCATCACTGATGTGGTATTCGACAAGACTGGCACGCTCACAAGCGGTACTCTGCAGGTCATAGAGGCAACTTTTCACAATGATCGTAGTGACCTTAAGGCTATGATATCAGGACTTTTGGAGAACGACAAGCATCCTGTTGCTCGCGGGGTTGTAAGCTGGTTGCGAGATGAAACCTGGAAGGACGGCCATAATCGACTTTACCCAGTCACAATGAGAGACATCAAAAGCGCACCTGGATGCGGTGTTATGGGTGTGTGTGAGCTGAATAACCTGGAGATTCGCGCTGGCAATCCAGAATGGCTTGGGCTCTCCGTGCTCGACAATCACGATACCCAGCTTTGCATTACCATTGACGGAGAGCACAGCGCAACCTTTCGTCTTCGAGATACTGTACGTCCAAACGCAAATAGCGTCATACAACGACTCCTTGATCGCGGGCTCGTGGTACACATGATCAGTGGTGATGGAGAAGGTGCTGTCAATGACATAGCCCACACCATTGGCATTCCTAAGTCTCATACTCGATGGAGGACCAAACCTGGAGACAAAAAAGATTACATCCACGATATCCAGTGCAAAGGTGGGGTGGTTCTGTTTTGTGGTGACGGAACCAATGACTCGGTGGCCCTTAAACAGGCAGACGTTGGAGTACATATCAACCAGGGCTCCGATGTTGCGAAAAGTGCCGCAGATGTGATCCTTATGACCGCTCGCTTGTACGACATCCTCATTCTGCTCGACCTATCTCAGGCTGCATACACGCGAATCATGCTCAATTTCGGTTGGTCCTTCATATACAACATTCTAGCTGTTCTCATGGCAGCTGGGGCTTTCGTAAAGTTCAGAATTGATCCGCGCTGGGCAGGTCTGGGTGAGCTTGTCAGTGTTGTTCCAGTGATTATCATTGCATTTCAGCTGCGATGGATTGATTTCGCACAAGAATATAGGGGTATGGAGTGGCGACAGGGAGATGAGAATTGAACATTCCAACATGCTCAGACTCCTACACCAGTACCAGCCCTTCGAAGTATCAGTATAGCGCGCACCTCAACGTTCTCTGTGAAAGGTAGCGTAGATATCTTGCTATTGAAAATTTCTTCATCACTTCGGTGCACAATGATATGGCCATTGTTATTATATCAAATAGAGTTGAAAGAGATACACATGATCAATTGCTTTCCCGTCGAGAAAGACGTGCTGGTAATCAATCAATCCGGTGATGCTTTAATGGAAATGCTTATCGATAAGCCACCCTCGACGCGTCGCGACGCGTCAACCCAGGACCCACTCGTCCCGCAGCCAACGAGTCTGACTCTAAACTATGAGCAATGAGGAATCACAAGAACGACTCGGACAAACCCTTGAAAGTGTATCGATCGAAGAAAGTCCCCAAGCAAGTTTATTTCCCCGATCAAAGAAAGGTGGTTCGACGCAAGCGTAGTACCACGCAGGATGGTCCTGAACTGAGACAACTCACATTTCTACCCGAGAAAATGAGAAGCGCCTGCGGCATCGTCCAGGACTCTGAGGATGAGGAGGATGATCAGGAGATTGGATTCGACGAAGAAGAGGGCATGGGTCGCTCAATACAAGAGTCGGCGCCAGACTCGTTGAAACCAGGGAATAATATGTCGAAAGCAACAGCGCAAAAGAAGAAGAAGCGCCCAAGTGACGTGATGGAGGAGAGCGAGGCAAGCTCGCAAGGAGAGAGAAGAAGTCCGCAACCAAAATCGAAACGGGTCAAGAGAGCACCAGCGCCAAAACGCAAGACCAAAGCGCGAGCCAAAGCGGACGGATCTCTCAATGAGCTGTCCGAGCCTCTCTCCAGCACGGCCTCTTCGAATCCGGAGCCTGAGAGCGTGAGGAGGGAAAGACGGAAAAGGCAATCGACGATGACACAACTTGTTGATGGACGTCTACCTTGTTCACAAGATGAAGAGCCCCAATTTCGGCCGGTGAAGAGAGAGACTAGATCTAGAGTGAGACGAGGTGAAGCTGGTTCGAATGCTCAACAGCAGCGAACACTTACGCAGATGATCCCCGGGCTGACTCCCATCGGTGTAATATCTGATAGTGAGGATGATGAAACGGAGGAAGACGAAGGTCCTGAAATGAACCTTGATCATGTATCGAAGCCCTCGTTATCTGACAGGTCTTTTGAGCTGGGCGAGCAAACCCATCAGTCGGACGATGAAAACCCCACCCGGGATGAGACAAATGGCGAAGAGGAAGATAATTCGTCCGATGATTACCAGCCTACACAATACATTGAAGCACCAGCCAAGCGAAGAACACATTCACCACGACAAAGTCGCCGTGCAATAATCTCATCGTCTCCCCCTCAAGTACAGACGCCTCGAAGACCCGCCCGGACAAGGTTCAGCCTCCTAGCCACTCCCGAGCGACGTAGGGTTGTCGAAATACCCTCCTCGCAATCACCCGCAATCACCCCTTTGTCTATGCACAAGACTCCAACTTCTGGACGTCACCCGCTGCATGAACGACCTGCCAACGCCCCAAATCCCGATGTAACTCCGTCGAGGAGAAAACGAGTGGCCTTTGAAGCGCCCGTAGAGGACACTCCACCTCTTCCTTTGGTCAGGAAAAATACAATATTAGATTCTGACGAAGACTCTGACGAAGGTCTGGTCGAGCTCGAACCAGAAGTTCTCAACAATGAGGTGGGCCCTGATACACAGGCACTTATCCAACGCTTAGAACGACCCATTCCAGGGCGGAACATTGGGTCAGAAACACAAGCCATGCTGGACGAGATTGATCTTGCATGCGATCATGCTGAAGATGATGCAAAATGGAACGACCGTAAAGATCGTCTTGTGCTGGAAAGTCCCCGCAAGTTGGCTCGGGAGATGGCACCCCCCCAATCAACGGCGCCACTTTCCTCTTCTATAAACCGCCGTATCAAAGAAGAGCCGCTGACACAGTCGCTTGGAGTTTCTCCAATACAATTGAGGCCTTCCAAGATTTCCCCACAGAGAAGGAGTTTCAAAGAGGAGCGTGAACCATCACCTACTTTAGTCAAAAGCGAACCCAATGATGACGGTGCACACGAAGAGCCCACACTAACACCACCTCAAATCCAGGAAACTTCTGATTTAGATAACAATTCGATTCAAGTGCCTTGTTCTCCGCTCCCGAGGAGCCATCGAGAGTCTCAAGGTACCGCACACTCCCACTCCAGTCGAGCCGAAGAGCAACTGCGAACAGAATGGAAATCCTACTCGCAATACCAGAAAGCACGACCGCCGCTTTCATCCAGCGCACGCGCAGTCCACGACTCTGACCCGTTCAGCTATCAAGCCACCCCGTTCCGCAATTCGATACAACCACGCCCGCCTCCACCACAATCTTGGGACCCTAGCCAGGCTACTACGGCCGATAACTCCCAACCTAGCCCAAAGGCAACACCTAAAAAGCGGCAATCAGGCCTTGTGGGTGCAGATGTCTCGCCTCATAGGGTTCCGAGTTCACAAATCGCGGTTTCACCACCGGATAGACCTCCTGTATTGCTCATCCCTTCGAGTTTCCCGAGCCCGAGTAAGATGGGATATGGGGACTGGGAAAGCCCCTCTGGAGAGCGAAAGGAGAGTACGAATTTGACTAATGGGGAACTGTTCACTCAAATTGAAGGAATGGATAGTGTGGAGGACTTCAGCATACCTCCGCTGCCTCCTCTAGAGGATGATGATATGTTTGAATGAGTAATTTAAGGGCAAGAGATATGAAAATTTCCGGGCAAGCGGTGTGATTGTACACTCATTCGATGGCATTTAGACTCTCCCAAAGAATGCTCTGGAAGAACGGCAACTATCTTCTTCCCTACATGTTTTTCAGACAGGCCACACCATGTATGAATTCAAGATCAGCATAGCACTCCGCAGCAAAAGGAGATCATTTCGAGCATAATCTATCTTTCAAATGCGTCGTCTAACTAGAAGCAGATGCCCCAATGGATTGAACCCTTGAAAGTGGCCTCCAACATCGGCAAATAATCACTAATAGATTGCAAATACTTCTTCTCGATGATGCACACCCATCACTAGCTTGTCACTGTGGTTCATCTCAAGCTGTAATACGACGTGCTTCAGCCTGTCCAAACCTTAGGTCCTGGGATGATATATTCCTGACCAACTCAGTAAACATCTTGATCTGACGATGTTCGAGACTTACTGTCGTGTTTCTGCCAAGCTCGCCATATACGACACCAGAGATCGCAATACCTGGATCTGTTCGATATTGGTCAGTGAGATGATTTGCAAGTACCATTTCAACACTTACCTTCCATGGAATATGCACCCGGGAACTTGACCAGGTAGTCCTCACTCGGAGTCGCAGTTCCACTACCCTCGACCTTAAGTTGCCCGCAAGTCGGATAGAACTGAGGCGGCATCAACTCGATCATGAGAATCTCATGCCTAATCATATAATTCCCCGGCTTGAGGGACTTGGGCACCGTCACCGACCACCCCTTAGTCCCCGGCCTCGAAAGCGCACTCTGCTCCCAGCCCGCAGTATCCCCAAGCGTGAACCCAGGCTTCAGTCCCTCCTCCGCAATCTTGAACCACTTTAGCGCCGCAGGATCAACCGTACTGCAGTCCCCACCACAATCGGCCATGTAAGCCATCAACGGCCCATAGAAATGGTACCAGCGTCGGTAGAAACAGTCGCGGGTGCTGCCCGGCTCGCAGTAGAACGGCCCGTTGGGGTCGTCCCACGTGAGGTTGTTCGACCAGCTTGCTGTGATGGTGTCTCCGGCTTTGACGGGAGCGTGGTACGTGTCTTTGACGGCGGAACCGTCGTAGCTGCAGGTTACGTTGGGGGATAGAGGGTCTTCGACGGGCCAGTAGTACCATCGGCGCTGGATTAGGTTTGATTGGGATTCTGGGGGTTCGGTGAATTTGTACCTGGTTGCAGTTTAAGTATAGGGGTGGTTCGACAATGAATTGTTTTTCAAATGTGGGAATGTTTACCCTGGGTAGTCGACACCGTCGATTGTGTATGTGTATACACCTCCATGAGCAAAAACACTCGAAGCCAAGCAAGCAATAGCAGCAATTGTGGATTGTTTCATCTTGATCTAGACAAAAAAAAAACAGTTATTTGTCTACAGTTCTTAGGGTTATGCCCTATTATAATATTTATATGTTTATCTTTATATATGTATACGTACGTATGAATACCTGTTACTTCATTCTCTGAATACAAAATCCATGTCATTAAACAGCCTCAATGATAATACCTGGTGACCTTTCAAACCGGGACATCGTACATTGCCTATAAGCTCGATATATAACCTTATATTAACGTTGCTGATGCACAACACAGAGGCACAGTTGCGGGGCATAACAGCCGCTGCACGTTCGCATCGGGCATCCCTGAGCGATGCACATCCGGACCACAGACGGCCGACACCGAGTGAAACATAGCGAATGGGTTCCTGATTGGCGTACGATGGGGATAAAGTAGGCATCATGGTCAGGCACCATTACCTGGTGTAGTATACCTCAGAGATTAAAAGCGCTTAGGAATTCCGGGACGACGCTTTAAATCATGGGCATATTCCTATTCGGTGGGATAGCTGCGTGTCACGCTGAGGAATTCATGTCGTTCGGGCAACAGCGCTCCGTCTGAGGGGGTTACTAAGATTTACACTCTTCATTGCAGAGACTAGGTCATTTTCATACATTTACTCGCGTGTAAACTGTGGGGTTTGCGGACTACCTACTACGATCCGGGAAACTTTCCATTGGTGCAGCTGTGTCGTTGGGTATGGAGATTTCTTATAGTGGAGGAAGTGGTGGGCTGGTGGGGTTGGACGTCATACCTTGAGCTTTCGGATTTTTGTTATAGCTCCACTACAACAACACGTACTTGAAGCCTATTAATTGTCGACATTTAAGGGTTTGAGATTGCTCTCAGATACTCTCATTATTCAAACCCGCCATTGTCCGTCTTCATCAATACTTTTATACCCAATTTATATTCTTTCAAGCTCATCTACAACGCCCAAAATGCCCGATGCTCCAGAAGACCGCTCATCCCTCGTGGACCGTCTCATTCCTGAGATGGCACTTTCTACAGCAGGGAACCCTCTTACTGCTCCTGCTCCGCCGGCAGACAATCTATCAAATGCTCAAAGAGCGGACTTCCGATTCACCGTTCCAGGAAACGCGATTAGTATGTAGCTAAGGGTACAATCCTCTTCCCTAACCCCCTCCACCTCTCCTAGCAACCAGACCGATAGCTACTGAACCTCAAGTACTAACATATATACAGTAACCGGCGGCGCAGGAACACTCGCCCTCGAAGCCGCGCGCGCCCTCCTCGAACACGGCTGCAAAGGCATCGCCCTCTGGGACCTAAACCCAGACCAATCCTTCGACGCGATCAAGGCCCTCCATAGCAAGTTCCCGGACCGACGCATCATCGCCGAAGCCGTCGACGTGCGCGACGCCGAGCAAATAAAATCCGCCGTCGAGTCGACCGTGAAGGTCCTCGGACCCATCAGCACATTATGCTGTTTCGCCGGCGTGGTCGGCTGCACACACGCCATCGACATGACGCCCGAGCAGTGGCGCCGCACGCACGACATCAACCTGACGGGCAGCTTCCTCTGCGCGCAGGCTGTCGCGAGACAGATGATTGAGCAGAAGTCGGGGGGCAGCATCGTGTTTACGGCGAGTATCTCTGCGCATCATACCAATTTCCCGCAGCCGCAGGTTGCGTATAATTCGTCGAAGACGGCGCTGCTGAGCTTGACGAAGAGTCTGGCGTGTGAGTGGACGGTGCATGGGATTAGGGTGAATAGTATTAGCCCCGGGTACATGGATACGATCTTGAATGAGGGGGATGGTCTGGAGAGGGCGAGGACGATTTGGAATGAGAGAAATCCTACGGGCCGGATGGGCCATCCTTGGGAACTTACTGGTCCCTTGATTTTGCTTTGCAGTAATGGTGGAAGGTATATTAACGGGACGGATTTGATTGTCGATGGAGGGGCGATGGCACTGTAACTGAAGGCCGTCACTCGGTCACGACGTAATTAGATGAACAAAAAGGTATAAAAATTGAAGACTAGCTGATGTGCTAGTCACACATTGGATATAAGAGTGCTGATGTAGAAAGCCTGGTCTGTCGAGCAGGACTCAGCATGAATGACCGCCTCCGATCCATTATATACTCCGAATAACCCCTACCAGAATGACAATGCAACTCTCAGTTGCTTCTGAACCCCTGAACGCCACCGCTAATCCTCGAGATGCAAATTCAAAATGATTAATTGTAAATCATGGACAATCATGAACACGTAAGCGACATCAAACTCCAATCTCGGCTACTTCCTTGCAGCGCGCCTCCTAGGCAGTCCACTCTCGACAGTTGGCGGTATGTGAACCTCGGGCAACCTGAGTCCTTTCTTCGGTGTTGCTGCTCCTATGCCCTTTGTCAATTGGTTCTCCTTGCCGTCGACGGGCACAGCTCCATTGACGGTAGGTGGAGGTAGCTTCACCTTCCTTGGTGTAGCCAATCGACTCTTACGCTCCTTCGAACGCTTGGCCTCTGAGTCGACATCAACGCCTACGGGTGCAATCTCCAGGGGAAGGGCTTTCTTTGCGGGAGAGTTGAGGAAAGGCATCGAAAGCTTCTTGACTGGTGAAGTCAACATGGCCAAAGGTACCTTTTTAGCAGGCGAGTTCAAGGATGGAGTTTCTGAAGTTCCAGGTGCAATGGGTAGCTTCTTGAGCTTGCTCGCCCGTGATGGCTGTTTCTGTTCGTCTGCATCTGCAGGCTCCTGGTCCCCTTGAGGCTCGGCAGACATAACGGAAGCTGTAGCAGATCCAGGACCGAGTCCTTTCAAACGTCGGATCCGTGGGGTCGAGCTGGAGCCCTTATGCTTGGGCTCCTTGACCTTCCTCTTTGTCGGAGGAGCGACCGACACACTCAGTTCGTCAGGGGTGGCGAGAGATTGGGCTTCCGCAAGCGCATTTGCAGCAGTATCCTTATGTTCTTGGTAGTATGCAAGAGTCTCATCCCACTTGACGCTTTTCTTGCCTGGTAGAGCAATTGCCGAAGCGTTCGATGTGGAGTCTTGGCTCACGTCCTTCATTGACTCAACGTGAAGTTTGAGAAGCCGGTGGTTGACAGACACTGCACCCTGCTTGTTCTTGCGTGTGTTGTTTCGTGTAAGCAGTCCTAGCTCCTGAGCCTCTGTCCGCTTAAGAACAACAGGCTCTCCGCCATCCGTTCGCCGTAGTGAAATGCTTTTGGGACCTGTCGCTGGTGGCGCCATTGTGGCAGGTGCAGGAAGACGAGATTTGCGAGTGCGTGTTGACCGTCTCGAGCTGCTGGTGGATTTGGCCTCCTCTGAAGCGGGCTGTTCAGGTGGCGGGGAAAGCGAAGGCAGGTCGCTAACGCTGAGCGTAAGAGTCTCGGAAAGGTCTACAGTGACCTCGCTGTCGTTCTTGGCAGGCGAGTTGGGGTCCTTATCCTCAAGTACTTTTCTGGGTGACGCAAGAGCTTGACGAACTGCGTCCGAGTCGCGCCGGTTCTGGAGAGAGGTTCGGCGTACGATGGTAGCCGCCTTCTCTGCCTTGCTTGCGGCAGCTCTGTTGAGAAAATCCTTTAGTAGCGCTGTGTCTTCATCGAAGTATATGGTAGCAGTCGCATCGTCTGGCCCTGACTCCATCCGGGGAGGAGGCGAAGGAGATCGCAGCCTACGACTACCCGTAGCCCGCAACTCGGGCATGGAATGTTTGAGAGTGAGTCCATCTGCGATGTCCTCTATTCCATCCATAGGCGTATCACCATCCCGAGGTCCGTCTACCTTGTCACTTGGAATCATTCCAGCTGCAGAGTCACTCGCAGACGACTGCTCAAGCACTTCGCTGTTGTCCATGGTCGTCTCTTCCTCTAGAGCTGCCGTAAGCTCTTCCTCTTCGGACTGAATCATACCACGATCGGCGACAGTCGAAGTCTCTGTAGCATTTGTGTCGGGAATCGATACCATCGCGTCCGATTCCCATGCGCGCTGCATGTCGAACTGCAGTGAAGCTTCTGTCAGGGTGTCTTCCTCAATTGCCTGCTCGTCCTCGACCGACAAGTCATCCTCCTCGGTAATGAAAGGATTTGCCTCTGATGGAGCCCCTGTAACCTCTGTCGATTGGTCGATCTCATACGTAGGCAGCATATCATGCTCCTCACATTCTTGTTCCAGCTCAGAGGCCTCTTGGGTGACTTGTGCTAGCTCAGTCACAACAGAGGCTTGAGAGTCTTCCGTCTCGTACTCTGCCTTGCTAGCGATATCCTCTTCGATGTCCCCGACTTGCTCGGAATGTGCTGCATTGAATGCTTCCTTGGGTGCAATGGATATTGACTGTTCGACTGTCTCCTCCATAGGTAGATCCAGATTTGTTGCGCCTGAAGAAGCGGGACTTGCCAAATGGACGGTGGTAGGGGGGGCGGGTGAGGGTGCTCTTCTCTCAATCATTGGGGTCGATTCATGTTCAACAGGAATTCGTACATCCGTGTTATGATCTGAGTCCACACAAACAAGGTCGGAGGCAGATGGGATATGATCCTCGCCAGTTTGAATCATATCATCCGTGTCCTCAATTGGTGTACCGCTAATCTCAGGAGATTGTGCTTCATCTTGCTGTGAATCAGGAGTGAATGTGAATGTTGATCTCCTTTCCTTTTCCTCTACGATGGGTTTTGTGGATAATGTTGTGCTCTCGTGGTGACCTGTCCAGGCTGTCTGCGAATGCTTCTCATCCTCGGCACCCGAGTCCCCCATCTCCTCGTTGACATAGCTCGAATCGTCCTCGGACTGTCGCGCAGCATCGTTCGTCGAGATTTTCTTTCCTATCACGAAGTTAATACAATCATTGGTTTGAAATGAGGTTGTTGACATACTTGGGAGCACACTCTTCCTTCTGTCCCAGCGCGTCGTCTTGAATGCGCGATTCTTAGAATTTGGTCGCATGTTTTCAAACTCAATTTCATTTGGTTTGACGCGCTGGAGCTTCTTCACAGGCCTGGACCGTGAATCTTGCTCCTCTTCGTCCTCGTCTTCCTCGGGGGTGGTGTTTACTGGGTTGGGTCGCGTTGTTTGTCGGCGCCAAACTTTCTTCTGTTTGCCAGTACGCGAGGTGATAATCTCAGACTTGCGCTCCCATGCTCGGGGGACTTTGGAAATAGGTAGTGATGCAGGATCGAGAAACGCGGTGTCGGTCTCGTGCCATGTTTGGTCGAAGGCGGATCCCGCTCTCTTGCGCGGTGATGCTGCCATAATATATGGGTAAGGAATTAAGTCGCCGATACCAGATAGCAATGATTTCGAGGGCACCGGACGCCTATTCAAAAGGATAACGAAATCACTGACCGCGAGTGCTGCAGCGGTCGCTGTGTTGGCAGGCAACTGTTAGTTTGTTGTTTACTATGCACGAGCCGGTGCACGGAGCAACGGGGGGTGGTTCGTTCTTGGCACGTACCTCCAGAACTTTTCTACTTCAACTGACCAACCCTCCAATTCTTTCTTCCATCCATTGATCACCAAAACTCATCCACAAATTGGACAAGCTTTGCGTCAGGTGTTGATAGAGGCTTCATTGCAGCTTTGAGCACAGCGATTGTCCACCATGGTCCCAAAACCGCAAGGCTCCTCCTCTACGGTCAAATCCGTCACCAACCGCCCTCTTCCTCCTCTACCGAAGCTTCGTGTTAGGCGGCCGAACAAACCTGAGATGAACCCATGCTTGGGTGCCATGTCTTCAATGTTGGGTAAGTCCCAATCCTCGGGTCCTCCAGATCCAGTGCATTCAGATTCGCCTGTTGCTGGAAAAGGCCTTTCCTGGTGGAGTCATTCTGATAGATGAAATAGGTTGCTGGGCATCGTCAGGATACAGTGTTCAAGGCTGCGCACAACTGGAGCAAAAGCTCCGGGCTTGCATGGATGCACCGGTAAGTCAGCTCTGTTTTCTCCCCTTTCACATCAATCAACATCCTGTGATGATCTGGTAATTTTTAAATGTATTTGCTACTTCAGAGCCTTCGTGCTATGAGAAGAATAATCACCCGCGTCTGATTCTATAATCACTTGCTACTTGCTTTCGTATCCTACCTATGGACGCAGTAAGACTGACAAGCATGAACAGAGAAATACGAACCAAAAGAAGAACAACATCAACTATCACCTTTCCCGCATGTACCCCAACATGATCGGACCACACAAGAGGAATTAAATCGAGCTATCGGAGCTCCGAAAAATTTCTTCATTGTACATCACTTTTATGACGGTCAATCATGACTTTGGATTTTGTGCGCATTTCAGCATGGGTGGAGTTTTTGTCTTGATTATACAAGGCTGGCGTTGGGGTTATTGATACCAATGTGAGACTACATGTACACATACGAAGAATTAGGATGGGTTGAACCTACAAGTTTGCGGATCAGGGTATCAATGTCCCTACTATCAACTCGATTTCGACGTTGACCATGACATACACGTGCGCACGGAATTGGTAATTCCTCTACCGGACCACCAAGATTATTATGCAAATCCAAGATCTGATGAACAAAAAATAAGAAGCAATTCCAATCACACAACATATGGATCGAATCAAACTACTATTCACTGCAACGAAAAAGGAATTCCTTGTTCGGATGTCTCGCGTCTTATGTGTACCTCTCTTTGATTCCGCACTTCCGTCCTGGTGGCCCAACCATATACCTTGTTGATGTTTCCATCAGCACTCCCAAAAGGGTACAGCCGCACCTTGGTGTTCCTCTCACAGCTCTCTGTTAGGCGAGGACTTACATCTAAGTGCTTGTCGCACATGAATACATTCCGAATAGGAATAGCAAAGGTAAGATGATATCATCTGATTCGTCGGCGACACACCCACATCGCTATTGTAAGAGCATGGGCTTACACGGCTATCGTGTAAATCGTCGAGAATTGGCCCCCGATGCAATGCGACCTCTCCACGCTCACGTTTCTCGTGCGCAGAATAACTGTCGGCTAGGTCCTGATTCGATTTGTTCTTTACTTTCTTTCTCTTCTTTCTCGTAACTTCTGACGTGGGTTTGCGCCCGTCCACCTAACTTCCCGGCCCTCGCCTCAGCCTCCACAGCGAGCGTAAGGATTATATCAGAGCTAGATCGCCATACCGAACATGTGCGATCGATTTATCCTGGGCTTATACTGCCGTTAAATTGTGGACATTCCAGACGACCATCACATTTCTCTCGCAAGACCGCCTTACGACCTTCTCCATGTTGTTTAGGCATACATAATGTTTAAGAATACCATTTGTGCCTTTCTGGCACCGGCTCTGGTAGTAGCCGTACATGGATCCAATTATCCAGCCTCTGCGACGATCCCAGTAAACAAACATCCTGCTCGGCTTCCACCGACGCCAGCACCGCTTCTGCCAAACCACGCCCTCTTCAACCGCGCAGACCCCGCAAACATACGAGGCTTCATATCTGGCAATCCCCGTAAGCTCTCACATAGAGACACCGTCCACAATCCTCATGAACCTGACCTCCGGCGACAGAGAACTACCTGACATGCACCTCAAACGAAATCTGCGCAACTAACACCTTCCTCGGCGCACAAGGCTGTTGCGACCCATCAAGCCTCGCAGAATGCATACTACCAACGTCATGCGTCCCCAGCACCGCACTGAACAGCTGCATCAGCTCAGCAACTGATTGCATAGAAAACGAACTCGTCACAAAATGGTACGCTTTTCCCCCGTTCCAGCAACGAAATCATGGACATAATTATTGACATCTATATCTACTCAAAGCACAAACTCCGACAAACCAAACTGCTACGAACTCCACGTCTCCTACGACACCACGACCATAATGACCGAGCACGGCTGCGCCGAGATGCCGTACACCATCACCGCCGTCCGGTACCTCCCCAACAGCGCCGCCGCGTCCTCCACCCCCGCAGCATCATCCAGTTCCACAGAGCCGCACGTCTCCTTCGAGACGGTAGCTGCGCCCGCCTCGTCATCGCCGTCCACACGGCCTGCAGGCGGCAAGAAGAAAGCGCCCGTTGGCGCGATTGTCGGCGGCGTTGTTGGCGGGTTGGTCGTCGTAGGTGTCGTTGCGTTCGTCATTGTGTTTATCATGCGGAAGGATCGGAAGAAAAAGATGCACGATGGCGCTTCTGCGACGACAGGTACGGGGGCATCGGAGGCGCAGTATCAGAATAGTCCCGCGCCGGGAATGGTCGAGTACGTCCCGCAATATCACCAGGAGCAGGCTGCGGGTAGAGGGTACGACGACACGACGGGTGGGTTGAAGGCGTGGCATGGTGGACACACTTCCACGACCGGGACACGAGGTATGGCTGACGATGACGCGGGTGCGATGTTCACGGGTACGGGTGCTGGTGTTGGGAATTATCCCATGGTCGTTGAAGCGGATGGGAGGGCTGTTCACCAGGCGCCGTAGCCGTAGTGTACACATCTGTAACCAGTCATGATTTTACGAATTTCTATTCAAGTCAAGTCAAACAAGGACGTCACTTCCATACCGGCGAGCACGTGGAAGTGTTTGAAGTGAATTGCGACAAAATGTATTGTCTCTTCTGAAAGACTACAATCTAGTAACTATGTGGTTTTTGATGTTTTGATATAAGACGACGACGTGGAGCATGCAATGACAAAACGCCGAATGCCCCCCTTTCCTTCCCTCCCATCCCGTCTCGTCTCGTCCCATACGCGAGAACATGAATGCAAATGAAGAATGAAGCAGTCCCCACCTCCACAGGGGGCGACTGATATGATAAGTAGATAGATGTGTCATCATGAGCGTTAACAAACGGCTTCAAAATTAAGAAAAACAAAATAAAGTAAAAAAAAACGGCCGTTCATATGTAAAGAAACAATGGGCGCAATATTGGCTAAAAAACATACACACGAACTGAAAACATAACATTATGCTTTGAAGGGGGGGACTTAGTAGGCGTCCCCGAAGATCTCCTTGGGCGATTGGATCATCTCCGGGTGCGGTGCGAGTCGTCTCTTTGACGCCTTCTTCATGTTCTTCCTGTCGGACTTCGTCACGAGGTGCGGTGTCACGGGTGTGATGGGCGTGAAGGGCATGTATGGCGAGTAGGGGGTGTATGGCACGCTCGTCTTGGGCGTGGTCATGGAGATCTTGTCGTTGCGGCGGTCGAGGACGGTGGTACGGAGGTCTGGGGATCTCATCGGCTCGGCGTAGCCGCGGAGAGGGAGCTCGCGTGTGCTTGAGTTTGCGGATGCGGTGCCCATGGGTGGTGCGGTTGCTGATGTTGGGGTGTTGTAGGAGGAGTAGGTTCCGGAGCGTTGCGGGGCGGGTCGTGGGAGGGGTTTTGGCTCGTCGAGTTGCTCGTAGACTTCTTCGATTGTGCCGGGGGTGGTGGGAGAATTGTGGTTTGTGGGTGGTGATGGGGGTGCGGGTGGGTTGTAGTAGCGGGGAGAGAGTGGTGTTCGGGCTTCCTCGTCGTCAGATCCACCTGGGTACTTCTGGATTGGGCCAGAGATGCGTAGGTTCTTGAGATTGATGCGAGAGCGGCTGCTGTTGGAGGCACTGGACATGTGGGACTTCTTTGAGAGGATGCTACGAGGGCTTGCGGGTGGTTGTTCGTTCCGTTGGCGTTCTCGAGGGAGGGGAGCAGTTGGTGGGCCATTGTTGTAGCCAGGTGGATAGATTGCTTTCACTGGAGATCCAGGGTTTGAGTATGCAGAGAACTCGCGATCTTGGACACGGGAAGTGTTGGTGTTGAGCTTAGGAAGTTTCCTCTCGCCTGATTCCACCTCTTCTGAAGCCATGCTGATCTGGGAGAGTGACTTCTTTCGATCATGCTCTGCGACGGCAGCATACAAGCGTTCCATCTCAGCTTGAGCGCGGCTGCGGTCGGCATCGATAACCTTTTGGTCGAACGACCCTGGAGAATGGACTACAGGACTGGTAGGACTACTTATAGTAGGGCCTACCTCGACTTGTGTTTCCTTCGTTTTGAAGCCTCTCTTGAACCACGAGGTCGCTGAGCGAGCTGATAGTGGCGATGCGAGACTCCTTGTAGCCGGCCTTGAAGTCACAATCTCGAGCTCAAGAGCCTTTGGCGTGGATTCGGTCTTTCGTCTCATCTTTCTTCCAATTGTGAGGAGCAGGATTCCCCAGATCAATACGGTCGCAATGTAGCCGCCAGCGATGCCGCAGAGCTCTATGGTGAGTTGAAATCTCTCGGGCTTTGGATTAGGTGCAGAAGATCCAGCGTGAAATGCTCGAGGAAGGTTACGTCCGTATCCAGAAGCACCAGGAGCTGCGTGTATACAGGAGAGGAAGAGGGATAGAGAAAAACCGGTGGAGAGGGCGCTCAGCATGGTGGTTGAAGGAGGGGCGGACCTAAGTCGCTGATGAAGTAGATCAGCAGCGACGTGCGACACCCAGGCGAGCCGGATGAAATGGGAGGTGTAACAGCTGGCGACATGCTGCAATGAGAATGGAGGGCGGCTGTAAGTATTTCTACGGGGTTGCCATTGAAGGGCAGTGGAGAGGCAGGGTGCGAATGCTGGGGAGATGCAGGATGTGGGCTGTGATTGGCTGGTAAGACCCTGCGATGTTTCGATGGTGTATGTTTCTTCAGCCAGGCACATGCAGCGATTAACCGCCCACCATTGACCCCCATCCAAATACAGACATCCAGAGCCCGCCATTTGCAGAACTTGCAGGACCCCCCATCGACCCTTTCTCAAGCCATTCAATGCTATCCAAGCCATCGCTCCCTTATTTCGAAAAGAAGCCAGGGCGGGGCGGGGTCCATCTTCATGCGGTATCTACCGTGTATCCAACTCTCATAGGATACCTGGGTAGATACTAATACTGGTAGGCAAGAGGTAGACACCACCGCCAGACATCTGGTCGTCCTTCGTACAGACCCAAGGTCGTGCTTGGACTATGTTTTTGAATAGAAACATTCGCCCACTCGGATCATCCAGAAGATCGCTGCCCTACGAAACATCGTTCGGACGAGCCACCGGTTGTTTGTTGGTGCTTTGCATTGCATTATTGGGAGGATGGGGTACGTCCGAGGGACCCAGGACCCCAAAAATACACCCTCGTCTTCCCTTCCCGTCCGTCTCGCATTGAAAAGGGCCCTGTGCGGATCTGCACAATCTCGCCCAGTCATAACCTCGAGCAACGTGCGGGAATTCGACGGCCCGTAGCATTTTGTTGGAAGACTTCCCTGTAAATGTCTTCGAAAATACCGATAGTTGGCCCACAAAGTTGTGGTGTGATTCGTTAGGATTCGCATGAGTTTCTTAGGCGCCGACAAGACCGAAAGGCCCCCCGAGTGGCTGCCAATCACACCGCTAACATTTTCTCATCACAAGCCACCGCCCAATAACGCTTCCAATCGACCTTGGTGAGCTTTTGATCCCACGCTACTAGTACAGTCGCAGGCCCATCGTAGACCCAGTTCATACGAGGACCACGCGGGCTAGCAGAGCATTATCACGCTGGCTAGTTTTGGCATCTTCACATCTCGCGTAGACTTTTGTCCATTAGACTACGCATGCAGTCCCCGTCACGTTTATCACGACCACGACGATATTCAAGGGGTCTTCTCTGTTTTTGGAAATTCCATCGATACTCGCTAATACTGCATCACATGTGCCTGAATCCGTCGTCCTCGATCGACAACCTGCGAGCTTTGTTACTGGCGGGTGGTTTTATTGTCATGGAGCAGTGCTAAAAGATTTGGTCGCATGCCGTCCGTCTTTTCTACGCGTGAAATACGAATGAGAAGGAGATGAAGTTGTCGCCCATCTGCCTCGATCTATCGTGCAAGAATATCTGCAAGGAGTGCAAGAGCGTTCGAACGGTCGAAAATTGCTTTCATTATATACCTATCTGATTCGCAGACACCGCCTCTGCGCGACTCGGCCGGTGGAAAAGCTTCCTAGATGTGCCAATTCCAAAACAATATCATTAGCACGAGCCAGTAAAACTATCTGCTCTTTGGAAAAAGGCTGTAGGAGCTTACCATTGTGGCCCGGCGATGTTGACATCGCTATGCACGCCTGTACGCCCGAGGATCATTCTTAATGCCAGTAAAAGGAAGGATGAATATCGGATGTTGCTGCACTATTTACTTCCCCTCCGCTCGTTGGATTAGACTGTCGCCGAGACCGATCGGCTCCCAGGCATTCCTGTCGCCCTTCTGTCTTGCAAAGAGCAGATCTCCTTTGAAGTAAACAACGGCGCCCCCACGACCTGACGCGGAAGCGGTGATTCTCCACAGTGGTAGACCCGTGCTCTCATGTGCCTCTTTCAAGGGTATGAGTAGTAACGACTCTTCGCTGCAGAATGATTCCACAACATCTCGGAAAGTTGGTTCTTCCACAGCCTGCGTTCGACTCGGCCGCTCTGGTTCTGGTGCCTTCGTAGGTTTTGGGGTGGAAGGTGCTGAATCAGGGCGGTCCACGGTCGGTGGCTGAAGATCGGTTTTGGCTCGATCTCCCATATCAAGGGCTGTGTTGATGGTCTCAAGAGCCTTAGTCCATTCTTTCTCGACGCTTGGCTGTTCATTGAGAGTTGCTGGAAACTGCTCCCTCCACCACTGGTACCATTGCCCGACCTCCTCAAACGAAGGTGAGTCAGAGGACAACCAGGTGAATAGAATGTCATGAAACTGGGGAAAGAACCCTTGCACGAGTAGCTCTGCGGTATATGATGACTTAAGGAGGTCACTGTGTTGTAAAACCTCTTGCAACGGCTCCAATTGTTGATCGGCTGGGTTGATCTCCAGGTAATCCCTTAGGTGTGACGCCAAGCGTGGTACAAGATATTTGAGGACTAAGTCGTCCATCTTGGATCGCCCCAAAATTCCGTTAAGCAACTTAATCTGGGGAATCGGTCCTTGCGACATTGATATAGGCCACGATCCAAACAATGTTTGTACCTTGCGCCTGAACTCGGAGAGAAGACTGGATGAACCGTTGGGGTCCAGCTCGGCCGCTGAGAGGTACGGTAGGTACGGTATAATGTATGTAAGAGGAAACGAATGGCGCTTCACTGCCTTGCGCACATTGAAGGAATGAATGTCCGCTCGGAGCTTCTCTTCCACGAGGGAGATGATGGATTTCAACACGAAGCGCGGCAACAAAGGCTTCCAAGTGTCAACGACGAGAAGCAGTGGAGAAGGTTCTCGCACATCAAAAGACCCTCCTATAATTGCAGATCGAACTTTCGGTAGCCAGAACTGCAAGATGAGTGTTTCCCACAAAGTCGTACGTTTCGAACTCCTTGCTCTTGATAATCCATTTGAACCAGCTACAACCAATTCGCCAGAGGAGCCTTGAGAAGAATTGACGTTCAACATAGGAGCCAGCGTTTTCAGGTAGCCGACTGTCTCTGTCAACGGATCCTCTAGGACATCCCACTCTCTCATCTGCTTCTCGAAAAGGGGCCGTATAGTCGCGATAACAACTTCTTCGGTTTGCCACTCTATAGTTTCCAGTACTTTCAGTCGGTTTTCCCAGGTCGCTTCGGACTGTGACAGGTGCAGAGCGCGCAGAGCGTTCAGAGTATCCTGCTCCTTCTTAATCTCCAGTTCCAATTTGTCCAACACAGTTTGAAGCGCCTCTTCCTCATCGTCCACCCTCGCGCCATTCTCGCGCTCTCGTGCCCAGTCGTCTGCGGTGAGTTCTAGATCTCGCCTGGCTCTCTCCGCCTGCTGTTGATCGGCCGTCTGGAAAGTACCACGCAATGATAGACTAGTCTGCTCTGTGCCCGTGGAAGCATCTAGATATCTGAGGGCCGGTACATCAATCCCCGCGTCATGGAGGGCATCGATGGTGTATTTCCGTTTTGCTGTTCGAGCTTGAGCTTGCTGAGGGGCTGCGCCGCGGTCGCTTCGATTAGGTCGCTTTTTCCGCTTTTTCTCTTTCTCCGAATCTGAGTCTGAGTCTGATCCGGACGCGGGCGCCGACCCATCCGCCTTTGCCTGTTGCTTCTTCCTTCTCTCTTCACGACGCTGTTGCTCGGTCTTCTCCCGAACGGAACCAACACCGGCGCCCTGAGGCCTAGACGTGTTTACCATAATCGGCTCGACAATACCCTCGTTGCCTTCTCTTCCAAGACCTTTGCCTTCAACGTAGCCCATCTTTGCCATCATCTTAGCTGCGAACCCTCCTTTCACGGTCTTTCGAGGGGCGTTGGGTTCGCCATCTGCCTTCCTCTTGAGAGAGAAAGGTCTCTCCATGGTGACGTGCTTGCGCTTTTCCGCGATATATATTGTTCGAATGCGATGAAATTCCTGATTGTAATACGCGAGATCACATCTGTCGCGCGATTTCGCTGATGCGCGGAGTCCGGGGTAGAAAGATGGAGTCGCGTCTCGGTATGGCGAAATAGTTTGTTACCTAGACACCAAAGTCGAGGCAGGGCTCCAAACTTTGGTGACAAAGCTTGGCAACCGACATCTATAATTGGCCGGTGCCATCCCAAAATGGGTTAGATACAAGCATCGATCAGCGCTCCTCTGTGCAACCAGCAGCAACATTCAGGACCCGTCGTGTCTCCCTCTCCCCTTACAACACAACATTTTGTTTTTTGAGGCTACGGCGGGTTCACCGTCAGACTCAGACACTATGGCCTCGTCTCCCACGATTAAACCGCAACTGGAGCGTCTCCAGATCGCAGACAGTCCACCTCCCGTGGATCTCCACCATCCGACACCAGATCTACAGTCGCTGCAAGGGGCTTATGTTGGGAATATCGAACGCCTGGAGGACCATGCCGAACGGATGAGCGAGAAGGGCTCAGATCTTGGGGAAGAGATACGGAAACTTCATGAGGAACAAAAACTATCTGACAGCCGTCGTTCTTCCATGCGTTCTGCAGTCGTTGCCGACGAACCCACGCGACCGTTCAGTTCCAGGAGCCGCAACGCATCAACAAGCTCATACACGAATTCGATTGTTGACGTGAACGGTGCCGCACGTTGGGGTGGTTACTCCCCAGGAGGCTACGTAACATCTCCGGTTGGGTCATTGCACTCTGCATCATTTGCCCATCCTTCCTCACTCCAACGGCAGCGCTCAGGATCAAGGGCTTCCCGACTCGGCCAAGTGGTGCACACAGAAGGCGAAAACGAAGAGACACATATCCCTACCGACCATCCTGGATCACCACAGTCGCACAAGTCTGTACCACGGTCCGTTCGACGACACAGCTCTCCACCTGCCCCAAGCCATCGTTCAGTGTCGTCGTTCACCCAGAAGTATGATCAGATTGCACAGGAGATACAGAATGAGATGCAAGAGAACATCAGGAATAGTCAACATCTGGAACAAGGGCCATTTGATGGGCACTCTTATCCCTCCGATATGCCAGATAGGCCGCCCACCGCAGCTTCTACCGATACGACACATCAAGCGCGAGTTTTATGGCAAGACTTTGATGGTGTTCATTGTCCTGATACAGTTCCCGAGGAAGAATATACCCCATCCCAAGGTAGTGGTAGCCGAAAGTCATCTTTGATTAAAGCAGAGCCTCAGCGGCCTGTGCAAGAAGTACCTCCTCCCTCCGATGGCATGATTTTCTACCCCGCTCCCGTTCCCAAAATGCTCAATCTTCCCAAGAGGCTGTCACAACTGCCAGCAGCCAATGTACAGGCACGTCGCCGTACACAACTATTGGAGTCAATGCAATCCGAGAATAGGAAATCCATGAATTGGGCTGGGGAGGGCGAAAGCGATCCTAAACAAAATCGAAAAAGTATGGATCCACGTAAAAGCCGCCAAAGCCTGGCTGGCCTGCCACCCCAGCTACGAGCGAGCGCCTATTTTGATCAAGCTCCTCCTGCACAAGAATATGAAGTGAAAGGTGAATCTGCCGAAGATACTCTGGAAAGTATTTTGGCAGCATCTGCGCACGCTCCTGTTTCTGCATTCACAGATCATCCTTTTGCAGGACATGTTGGCAATGAAGTATACGGCAAAGAAAAACACAATCGAAGAGCGTCTAAAGCCGTAGATCTTAAAATCGCCGCTGATGCGGACAAAACCGAGAACCGAAAGAGTCGGAGCTCACTAAATCTATTGGATACACGTCGAAATTCGAGTGGGGATCCTCTGAATAAATTGAAAAAGCGCAACAGCTCCGCGGATCTGAATGTGTTGATAGTCCGAGCAGGCGAGAGCCGGATGAGTTTGGGCGATGAGCTTGACGAACCAGACCACGATGCTCGGGGTCCTGCGATCGCTGATGAAACGACACCAACCAGACGGTCATTAGATGAATATGACGAGCGTCATTCAGACGATGAGAAGGAAGGCGAAGACGGGGAGTACTCAGACGAGGAAGAGGATGAGCAACATTACTTTGGACCACCGACAACATTACTGGCCGAACTCCAAATGCGTAAGCAGCAACAGAAGAGTCGCAATCTAACAGCAGCCACTGCGTTTCCCAATGGAATGCATTCCACCCTGCTCCAACTTGATGCAGTTGCAGAAATCGAGAAGAAGAAACGTAAAGGTCAGAAGGTCAATCTAGCATGGGAGGCAGCGCCACCAGTGAACCCCGAGGAAGATGATTCTGACGATGAAGTACCACTGGGAATGCTGTACCCCGGCCGTGAGGGCCTTGCGAAGAGGGCAGGCAATGCACCACAGCAGAACCACGACTGGGACCGCCCTCTAGGACTGATAGCCCAGCGAGAATTGGAAGACAACGAGCCTCTTAGTCGTCGCCGCACAAGACTGGTGGGTTTCGAGCCTGCGAGGCGACGAACTCAACTGCCCGACATGAACCAAGGCGGACAGCATCTTACTGTACCCACTAGCACTACTCCTCAGCCGGAATCTGAAGAGGATGAGGGCGAGACACTTGCTCAACGGGTACGCCGACTCAAGGACCAAAAGGCCTTGGATAACGCGCTCGGTCCCGATGTTCGTAAGAGTACTGTGAGTGGCGACTTTGCTGCAGAATTAATGAGCGAATTCGGCGTTCCCGCCACTGAAGACGCTCCGAAGCCATCTCCATCTCCTGGTGCCGAAGTAGAGGAAACACTTGGCCAGCGACGGGCTCGCCTACAACGTGAAGCACAGGCGCGTGGTGATGCCAATCCTTTGGGCAGTCGTCCACCTCTACGTTCGTCTATGAGTATGGCCGATATCCTCTCTGCTCATCCGATCGACAACACTCACGCTGCTCGAGGAGTGTCTGACGAACAGCTGCTGTCCTCACTTCCTCAAGGAAGCCTTCTTCACAAGAATGCAGTGAGGCAATCTCGTCTTGAAGCCGAGAGAATTGATCGTAACAGGCGTACGTCAAGCTACGGTGCTCTTGACGGGCCGCTACTTCAAGGCGTTGGGAAAGAAGCCCCTGAGCAAGCTGTTGCCGCAAATATTAAAGCTTACAAGGAGCGTTACGCTGGTCCAGGTACTCCGCAGACTGCACCTATGCCAGCAATGCAATCGACAATGTATGGTTCGAATGGAGGTTTAAATCCGGCAATGTCGAACATGAACCTTCCTGGACAACGAGAAAGTTTCTTCCCGGGAATGATGCCTCAGATGGGCATGAATGGCATACCTGGGATGAACGGCATGGGTGCGATGGGCTATCCTGGTGGCAACATGATGATGCAGCATCAGCAGCAGCAACAAATGATGGCCATGAACATGAGTATGATGGGGATGCAGATGAACAGCATGCCAGGTATGCCACTTGGGTACGGTGCACAGATGGGCGGCATGAATGGCATGCGCCAGCCCTCCATGTACGGCATGCCGATGGGTGGAGGCATGCAATTGCAACAACAAATGGCTATGGAACCTATGATGGATCCGCGACAGAGAGAGACAATTGACCGTTGGCGGAGTGGAGTCAGCTAGACATTACGCATTGTACTTGTTGGGAGGTCTGGCATGAGTCGGTTGCATGATTTAATGTGGGCATGCTGTTGGAGTTCGGTCATTGATGTCTTGCATTCATCTAGCATAGCGATATATTGGTTCTACAAGGCATTATTTTGGATGGAAAGGGATAAAACACATAGGTTGCATTTGGATCAGGTAGCCTTTGGATCTTTGAGTTTATATACTCTCGAGCGCTCAGCACTAATATCTTTTTAATATCATCACACTTACGTTCGACTCTCTAGATAGAACCTAGAAAAGCGTCTCCGTGATCGTATGCCAGATAACATGATCCTGTACCATGATAGTGAAAATGTGGAAAGATAAGGGGGTAGAGTCGGCCGATATCAACTGTTTACTACAAGGCTGAGAGGCACATCAACTGCACCATTCACAGCCCATACCGAGCGCTCAAGCATCCTCGCGTGTGCAGCACTGTAAGCTTAATTAGGCTTCCCGCCAACCAGCACGATCGTCTGACGGCACCAACCGCACTATACTCCATACCGAGACTAGCGCTATGCCACGGTACCGTCTCCTTTTCCTAAAGCAAACCGTCTGGCCGGCCTTATTCCCCTTATAACGTGTGACCCGGCGATCAACTCTCACATGAACAGCATACACGCGAGCCGAACAACACAGGATTAATGCGGAGATACGGGTCGAGGCATGCGACCTTCACCCCAGAACCAGCGCGATAAAGGACACAGTTGGCTGATGGGTCAAGATGGACGAAAACACCATCACTAACTCGCAAACCAACGATAGTACATCGAAAGACGGTGTACAGTATAGAGAAGTGGTTGGACCGAGTTCAACTGATGATGCAATGGGTGCTCCAAGTTCCTCCTCTAACAATGTTCGAAGTGTTGCGGGGCAACACTCTGATAATGAAGAGCGTCCACATGGCGTCGCAAGTAGGTGGAACAACAGGAATACGTATAGTCACACGCATTTTCGTGTCTACAAGAGGAGATGGTTTGGGCTGGCCCAACTAGTCTTGTTGAACATTGTGGTGAGCTGGGATGTAAGTAAAACAATCTCAGTCTTTGATTTTGTTTGAATCATTGAAGACGAAGTGCCGAAAGAGAATGTATATTGACACTATGACAGTGGTTGACCTTTGCTCCCGTTTCTGCTTCGGCCGCAGAATACTTTGATGTGTCTGAGACAGCGATCAATTGGCTCAGCACAGGCTTCCTGTTTGCTTTCATTGTCATATCACCGTAAGTCATAGCTTTATGATCTCGCTCTCAAAAACAGTCTGACATTGTTATCAGAGTTGTAATGTGGACGTTGAACCATGGCCCAAAGCAATCCATAATGTGGTCATCTGTATTGCTACTGTTGGGTAACTGGATCCGGTATGCAGGCACGCGAGCATCTGGAGGCATCTATGGAGTGGTCATGTTCGGCCAAATCTTGACTGGACTTGCTCAGCCATTTGTGCTTGTAGCACCTACACGCTACAGTGACCTTTGGTTCACTGAGAGTGGCAGGATATCAGCAACGGCTTTGGCTTCTCTTGCCAATCCATTGGGTGGAGCTGTAAGTTTATACGTACTCGATATCTTCAGAAGTTAACAGTCCCATTGACAATGTACAGCTCGCTCAACTTATCAATCCATTTTTGGGATCCGTTCCTCACATGGTCCTCTACGTCTCTATCATTGCCTCTGTAGCTACCATCCCATCATTCTTTATTCCCGCTGCTCCACCAACACCTCCTTCGGCATCATCCGCCATCTCGAAGACCAGTATTCGAGAGTCCCTATCGCACATCTCCCGCTCCCCAAGTTTCTATGTCCTCTTCATCACATTCGCCGTCTATGTAGGCTTCTTCAACGCTTTCTCATCCCTCCTTAACCAAATCCTCTACCCCTACGGCTTCACCGAGGACGAAGCAGGTATATGCGGCGCAGTACTCATTCTCGTCGGTCTCGTCGTCGCTGCGATTAGTTCTCCGATCATGGACAGAACGCACGCCTACTTGCTAGGCATCAAACTCCTCTGCCCTCTCATCGCCATTCCCTACCTCGCTTTCATCTGGGCGCCACAGACAAGGACGTTGGTAGCACCCTACGTGCTAGCAGCGGTATTGGGCGCATCTTCGTTCTCACTCCTCCCGATAGCACTCGAATACATGGTCGAGGTGACTTTCCCAGCATCTCCCGAGGTCGGTTCCACGATCCTCTGGTGCGGAGGTCAACTACTTGGTGGCATCTTCATCGTCGTGATGAACGCCCTGAAAAGCGGCGAAGCAGACCTAAAGGAGGTTAGCAAAGGTGGTCGGGGACAAGGCGGTGGGTCGAGGCCCCCAGGCAACATGTACAACGCGCTCGTGTTCCAAGCTGCCATCGCTCTGGCCGTATTGCCACTTCCCTTAGCTCTCGGGATCAAGAAGTTCGGTCTGAAGCATGAGAAGGGGAGGTTAAGGGTTGACGAGCACTTGGAGGGGGATGACGAGGCGCAGGAGGGTGCCGGTGCATGACTCCTGGACGATATCTATCGATGTTGACTAATGCGGCGTTCTGACGATTTCCTAGGCTAGGTTTGGACCGTTTTTGATTGTTGTGTGGGTTGGGAGGTTGCGGTCGATCTGTGAGTTGGATCGGGGTTTCCTTGAACATTGGTATCGGGGTTGTATATGATCATATAGTCTGGATGTAAATCTAGTCGTACATACGATGAGACATGACTACTGAGGTTCATAAATCTTACTGTTATGCGCGGTCAAGATTCGTGAGGAAAACGATGGATGACCACATGGATTGGGTAGGGAATGGTGTAATAGTACACTATATTCTAAACATGACTTTCGGTATTTACATCTGACCTAATTCGTTGCATTTGAAGATGCTGTTATGCTTCATATCAACGGCACCAGATTCACACCATCCTTCTATAGATGTTCTCTCAGAGTGTACCTTCCTAAGAGAAAGTCGGGTGATTTCGGATCTTCGGACCTGGATCGCGATTGTTGAGGGTTTTTGGGATTTAGAGGCTTTACTTGAGCTGCGAGAAAAGCTTAGGCGCTGCGCAGGCGGTTGCGCAGTGAGCGAGATGGAAGACTGCGGTGGGGGGTTAATTGATGTTTTCGAAATAACATTTTCCAAACAGATTCACGTACACTCTTCAACGCAATCCTCTGATGCCTTGCCATCGTTATCGATCTGGCTGGTCACTCGCTCGACGCAAGCGTCGTAGTGGTGCTTGGCCGGGTGGCACTCCTTGGAGTTTCTGCACTCTGTAATCTCGCCGTTAGTCCGAGTTTCCATTGTTTGGAGGACATTCGATGCGCCAATTCGTCATGATGCCGACTTGCAACCATCGGGGTCGCAATTTGACAGTACTTTCGACTGCGGTATCCGGAATTGAGCCATCAAAGCCCCATTTGAGAATACTCACCCTCCTCGAGAGTCTCTTTGGGGTCGACGGTCTCCTCCTCCTCTTCTTCCTCCTCTTCCTCCTCAGCATCGTCGCTTGACTCTTCCTTCTCATCGCTGGATTCCTCTTCCTTGTTGGCCTGAGCAGGCTCCTCGGCATCGGGCGAGGGGGTGGAGAACGTGTCCCAGGCGGCGGAGATGAAGTCGGTGATACCCATGATGTGCAATTGGGCTGCCTCGAGCTGCAATCGTGCGATGAGAGAGGTTGGTTGATGATGTATCTAAGGGCGAAAGCTTGATGTTGCAAGATCCGCTCCCAGGCAAGATGGGCCTTTCGAATGCCAAGCACATTAGTCAGGCGAGTGTTTTCTGTCAGCGGATTCGAATTGCTGCAAGATTAGTGGACGGCTGCTCGCTCGCTCAATGAACTAGTGCGCATCTCCATTTCTATGCATTCATTAAGTCCTACATCTACGAGAACCTCCGTTACTGCGATGCGTTTGCAATTATTGTCTATCCTCTGTGTTTGGAGAATGCCTCTTTGACACTGACACCCCTCTCTACATCCTTGATCACCTTCTCATCTGCCCCCACTAGCTTTGGCAGCAATTGCAGCACATCATCGACCTTTCCGCTAGGAACTACAACCGCACCGTTTTCCTCATAATCAACCATGATTATATCTCCAGGTTCTACCGTGACATTACCAATCTTAACAGGCACTTCTTTAGCATGAAACTTCGTCTCCGCCCCTGCTCCAATGATCGAGGTCCCGCGCGACCAGACCGGCAGACCTAATTCCCTCAACGTACCCAGATCGCGAACGCGCCCATCGACCACGATGCCACGAGCTTGTAGATATTTCATACGGGCAGCCATTATTCCTCCCACGACTGCGCATGATTGGCCCGGAGGCTGTGATATCACAACGATAGTACCCCATGAGGTAAGATCAGAGTACGGAGTAGCGTCCTTTAGGTTCGATGGCGGGGTGTCCTCTGGAATCGCGGCAGGATTGGGGAATGATCCAGACGCTTTGGGGACCATGAGGAAAGTGGATGCTGGTGCTACGACCTTTCGGCGCATGTCTTTAAGTTCTGGACCGGCTTGGGGTATTGCAACTATGGACAAACACTGTCAATGCAACGGTAGACGGGTGCGAGAGTATCTGCTCTAGACAGATTGGAGAACGTACCAATATCTGCTAGAAATCCTGCTCCTGGTACGTTAAGTTTCAGGAGTGCATCTGCAAGCTGGGAAAAGCTCAGTACAAGCTGTAGACCATTCATGGGAATTATTGGTATACCTACGTCACACGCTGAATAGCGATAGAGCTCTTTCCACTTCGGGTCAGCCATTGTAGATGATGTTCTTTTGAATAATTTAAGCATTGGTTCGTGGAGATGATCAATGTAGTAACATTCCATCTGATGCTATCTCAACGCTACCTCACCAAGCACGTGTGGGGTTCCGTGACCCCGCGATGCCGAGGTAGCGTAATTTATATACAAAGTTCCCAGAGAATACAACTCCAAGGCGTTCTGAATCGATTATCGTATGCAATTGGAGTACATTTGTATGCAATCGTGAATACATTCCTGGGTATCCTCTTTTGCAATCTTCTTTTCGAGATTTTGCGTCTTCGTCGAGCTTCATCATCGCGAAGTCGCGCTAAGATCATCTCTCGAACTTGCACGACTACTTGGTCATTTGCAAGACTACCCTTACAGATGCCTTCTCCATTTCCAATTCTCGTTGTTGTTCGAGACTAGGAGGGTGGGCTTCTAGATATTCTGGGGCAAGACGTCACTTGTTTCTCGAGAATATGGCAATATGCAATGTTGACTTTCATTATACCTCATACCTCACAGTGCTTCGATCCATGATCCTGCCACCCATATACTTGCGCAACCAAGTAATGCAGCTGCCCCAACAAGCTGTTTGGACCAACCGGCTTCCTCGTCCACTTTGACTGCACCCTCCTTTCTGAGAGAGCGTTGGGTATCAGCGCTCTTTGCTTCCTCGACAACATGGTGTTTGTGAGGGCTTAGGTTCAGGCTCTCATTGTGTCTTCGGTTTGCTTCAATAATCATTCGCTCAATAGCGGCCAGATCCTCTCGCCATTGAGTCTCGTTTCGGGCAGCTTCGCTGTCTACCTCAACATTTTGCACATTGCCGAAGAAGTCCATAATTTTCCGTTCCCGGGCGACCGACTCTCCACCAGGGAAAAGGTCGTAGCGGATTCCTGGGTGCGAGTGGATGAGGTCATCATCGTAGCTGTCGAAGAGCTCACCCATGGTGAGCTTGCTCGTTGGCTCTTTAACCTTGGTTTCGAGGAACTCCAAGTTGTAGTATGTGTAACGGTCGATGACGGCGACTCCAACGTCATTGTCGGCATGATGAGAGTAGGAGGACTGGTCTATCTCGGAAGAACCTGTCGCAAGGATATTCGGGGAATAGAATTTGGAGTACATGGTGTTCGCTTGGCATGTATCAATCATGAAGAGAATCTCATGGTATCTAAATTGTATGTAGTTAGTATTGAATTCACGAGTAACCCCAGCGCAAAGAACATGCCTTTTCTTCTCCCACATCTGTTCAAATGCGTCTGCCAGATCGAATGCGGATATTTCTTCCGCATCCTGAAACTTGAGAAACTCGTTGCCTCCATGTCCAGTCATATAAACCAAAATGTTGCTTCGGTCGTCGGTGAGCAGGCGCTTGCTGCGAGGCATGTCTTCGCTGACGCGATCCGTCATGAGGCGAATGAAGTTCTCGACCGTGACTTCATATCCTCTGTAGTCCACCTCGATGTTGTCTCCATAAAGATCCAAAGCCCGGTCCGCGTTGTTGTAAACAGTTCCAGGGAAAGCGTTTCGGGGGTTGCAGGCCATGTCATCGGGCAACATGAGGATAATCTGGGAGTCTGGTATTCCTAGGCGCTTAACAGTCCTGTAAAGCGAGAGAACATTTGCCAGATGCCTGTAATTGAACCAAAACCGCGACGTCGAGACCAGCACGGCCCAATTCGAGGTATGCTCTCCCCAGACACATGTCGCAAGCAGGAGAGAAAGGAGGAGCTTGAATGAAGGTAGCATGGTGGGAAACTAAAAGATCATAGGAATAACGCTCAAAGTGCAAGTAGGTCGTGAGTGAAATGTAGGAAAGAGAAAAGAACGAAGAGCGCGCCTCTTCAGACGACGTTGGTTGCGCAGGCTATGCTCATTGATGTTGGGGTTGGTGAGCACTGAGTACTCACTGACAAATCGGAAATCAGCCACATCGCCTGCTCACGTGCACCGTGATGACCCATTCCATCCCGTCCTTTTCCGGAGAAATGATAATGCGGGAGAGATACGGGCATTGCATCATTATCAAGCACGCAATCTTTGACACAACACTTACCGAGGAATTGTTCAGAATGATTTGATGCTCTCCCGTGGTGGTTCTTCCCCAGAAATAGTCCCTTTACAGACCCTGCAACGCCGCGACTCCGCCGACATGGCTCCAGATAGGGGAGGCGAACAAGATGCACCAATAACGACGCATTACCGGAACTATGATTCCAATGCCACGGATCGGGAGAGCCGCGATAGAAGCAGGTCTGGATCATCTGTAGCAAGACGGTTCCTTGCGGACCAAGCATCACAGCCTCAAAATTTCACCGTCCGTAGTGTCCTCGTAGGCCTGGCCATTGGGGTGGTTGTTTGTTTTTCCAACATGTATTTTGGACTGCAGACTGGTTGGGTCAGCGGAATGGTTATGCCATCTGCTTTAATCGGTTTCGCCTATTTCAAAACTGTGTCACGGCTGCTTAGTTTCCCGTTCACCCCCGTTGAGAATGTTCTCGTGCAATCAGTTGCTGGTTCAGTCGGCACCATGCCTCTTGGGTGTGGCTTTGTAGGCGTTATACCAGCACTGAATTACCTCCTCTCCACTGAAGAGAATGGACCATTGGACATAAGTCTGTGGAAGCTAGTAGTATGGTCGGTTGGGATCTGCTTCTTTGGGGTCGTATTCGCTGTACCACTCAGGCGCGAAGTCATCATTCGCGAGAAGCTCAAGTTTCCAAGTGGAACTGCAACCGCACTCATGATTCGGGTGCTACACGGCGATGAAAAGTCGAAAGTCGTCAAAGATCAATCGAGGAGTCACGACGCTGCTAGAGAAGATGGTGAACAAGAACGTCTCCTTCGGCCCTCGACCCCTGAACCTGAGGAGCATCCCCTACATCCTTCTGTATCTGGGCGAAGCGAAGCTGCACAAGACATAGCCAGCGATGATGGCGATTGGAAAGCTAAAATCCGACTTTTGGTAATATCCTTCGCGGGATCTGCTCTCTATGTAAGTTGTCTAGGTGTTGAACTCGTAATGATGCTTATTCAAAGTAGACCGTTGTATCTTATTTCATTCCACAAATCCATGATATACCGATATTTGGAATGGGCATTGCTAGCAAGTGGCTATGGACTTTGAATCCGTCGCCTGCGTATGTCGGTCAGGGCATTATTATGGGGCCCGCTACCACTTTGCACATGCTTATCGGAGCTGTAGTTGGATGGGGAATCTTATCACCACTTGCCAAGAATAAAGGTTGGGCTCCTGGACCCGTCTCAGATTGGACAGAGGGATCTAAAGGCTGGATCGTATGGATTTCTCTGGCTATCATGCTTGCAGATTCTCTTGTCAGTCTCGGCTGGTTGGTACTTCGTCCTTTGATCTCAGTCGCCGACCTTTATTACCCAACCGTCAAAGACGTCTTCCAACAACACTCATGGAAAGAACTTTTGACTCTCAACATCGCTTGGAAACAAGGCTATAGCCAAATTGGCGATGGCACGCCTGCCAATCCCATGGCAGCTTTGAGACAACATTTCGCAGAGGAAGGAGAACCAGATGCCCCGCCCGAGCATCTCATTTCTAACCGCACGACCGTTATTGGCCTGATCATTTCCCTCGTTCTTTGCGTGGTCGGAGTTCACGTCGCTTTCCCAAACATGATTCCTTTCCGACTAACCCTCCTCGCCCTTGTTCTCGCCCTTTTCCTCTCCATCATGGGTGTTCGCGCCCTCGGCGAAACCGATCTGAACCCCGTCTCCGGCATCTCCAAGCTCACCCAGCTGATCTTCGCAATCGTAACTCCAACATCTGGCCCAGGAGCAAAGAATGCGGTCATCATCAATCTCGTCGCAGGTGCTATCTCTGAGTCTGCTGCTTTGCAGGCAGGAGATCTCCTCCAAGACCTCAAATGTGGACATCTACTCGGCGCTGCACCAAACGCTCAGTTCTGGGGCCAGATGATTGGATCTGCCGTCGGAGCAGTAGTGTCTGCGGTCGTATATAAACTGTACACAAGCGTGTACACTATTCCTGGTGGCCTGTTCGAAGTACCCACAGCATATGTTTGGATCTTCACGGCACGTTTGGTGACGGGCAAGGGACTGCCGCCAATGGTAAAGGAATGGGCTTCCGGTGCAGCGGTCATCTTCGCCGTAGGTACAATGTTCCGTGTTTGGGGGAATACGAGGAAGCGTAATGGGCTGTCGGGGTGGTGGGTGGATTTCATTCCTGGAGGTATAGCTGTTGCTGTTGGTAAGTGTCTTCCTCACTCTCGTTCGTGTATGTGTTGTCGACTAACACCCGTGTCACAGGTATGTACAACACGCCATCTTTCACTTTGGCTAGGACAGTTGGTGGTCTAATCAGCCTTTGGTGGCGAACGTGGAAAGGAAGGAGTGAGACGCCAATCATTGTGTTGGCGAGTGGATTGATTTTGGGAGAAGGGCTTTTCAGCATCGTCAACTTATTGTTGGCGAGCTTGAAGGTTCCACACCTGTAGAAAGACATAACATGATATTCAAGTATATAGAAGTGCATATGTGTAAATAGTTGTGCTCACAGCACGAGTAGAATACAACGCGAATACGCTTTATAATTCATCCTTAGTCGGTAATTGTTGAAGTTGTGCGTCACTCACTCTCGCACTCTGTGCATATCCAGAAGTCTTGGCAATATCACGATGTAGAAAATACTGATACAACACCATGGGTTTGTCCAATGCTTCATATACTGATTGAATCATGTGTATATTTATATAGCTCTGCTATGTACGCCTGCTCTTCCTTCGTGCATGACCTGAAAAGTAATAGTGCTCCGCAGCCGTACCAGAAGCCCCGTGCGCAACATGCCCCAGATCAGAGTGATAAACACAAGTGATTCTCATCCCATCTTCCCCCAGCCCTCATCTCAAGTCCCAAAGCAGCCAAAAAAGCAAAAATCAAACAAGCCAAAAAAAGATTTGCTCACACCGGGAGTCGTACCCCAGCAAAAAAAAAAAGTGCAAAAAGGAAGATAGCCAGACCAATAGGCCCTTCTTCCTTTAGGGAAAAACCTTGTATGGCAGCCTCTCGACGCAGGTAACCCGGGCTACGTCCATAGTAGGAGAAGTCGGTGACCTTTTGAAGGTTTTCGATGTTGAATCATAAACGCTTGCTCAACGACTATGGGTGCGTAACTTGAAAGGTTTGCAAAGTTTAACTGTTTATATAGGGCAATAAAAAGATAAGGTGGTACAGAGAATAAAAGAGTGGGGCCTCCAGGCAGGCGTGGGGGACGTGGTGGCCGTGGGAGGGTGATTCCAAGTGAAGGTGAAGGTGGGCGTGGAGGAAAACAAGCAGCGCTCATAGCGGGCGGTGGAGCAAGCCAGAACACCAATGTTAGAACACCAATCTTCCTTGAGAACGCGGCCAGCTCGTCAATACTCCCATGAGAACAACAAATCCTGTGGGTAGGTATGTATCTCTTTTAATCACTACATCGTTCAGGCAATTAACCTTGATGCCAGGATATAGCACTGCAGCCATCCATTGACATCAAGATGGAATCGCAAACTGATCGAGTTGTAGCACCACCGCATACTTCCAGTGGCCTTGCGATGATCGTCGCCCAATACTATCTCTTGAATGAATCACTTTGCTTGCAACCTAGCAGGCATTGATCCTTAGAACCGGAAAGCAGTGTACGAGAGCCATGCAGTATTCATGTCCATGATACACATATGATGCATATATCAACAGATGTCCATGGGCAAATATGACCTCGACAGGTGCAAAGGGATACTTCAGACCAAGCGTAGCTAAAGCCAGCACCTGTGTTAAGCATAAAAGAGGCGGATCTGACGGAGTTGTATGCATCGGTTCAGGATTGCACCATGATAATCGTCTACATAAGTGCGAATGTTGTCCTATGGACCGCGATGACAATAATAGGCGGAGGAGCCTAGCCAACGCGAAGGGCCGCGTTGCACAAATGGAAGTGAAAGGTACTTCGGTACCAGGTCCGAGAGATACTTTATCTGTTGAGAATGTGTAAGTAACACATTATCGAGTTCTTTGAGCATGAAGTATGACAATAGACAGGAATACGAGGCGAATTGCAAGGGCCAAACAGTGCGTTGGTTAAATAAGAGTGCTATGTGCAGCCCCTTAGCCATGTGTTCTACGCGATATACTCTCGACACACATGATATGAGCCCCGAATTCTCCATGGTAGATGCTGACGATAAAAGCAGAGCCAACCATGCACCAGAAACGAAGACATCATGGGCGTTGTCGGGGGCATCACATCCTGGGGATGACGTCGATGCCAAACTCTGCCAACATCGTGGACATAAGTCAGGGACAGGGCCTTACGAGCTGCGATAAGGATATGTAACAACAGTTTCGTATGAACTTGGGTATGATATTGTCTTAAGAGGGTGTTGAAGAGGATGACCTGACGTCTGACGGAAAATGATTTCTGCGCCTAGCGATCGCCCATCTGTGGGGTTGGTCAAACGGAAAAGGGGCAAGCGTAGGCCCGTCCTCCCTGCCTGCTCCACCTTATTATGCACCCATGTCAATCGTGCATTTCCCCACACTCTGGGAGCTTGCTCCACTACAAAACAATGGAGAACATATAACGGTCGTGTGAAGGACGGCACATCATCATACTGCACTTGGACATACGCATATGAAGTGCTCCCGATTCAATATCTATTTCCGCGATGTTAGACTTCAATCGAAAGCTTAACTGAGGACAGGGAATCTGAATGGCCACATTCGCGGCGTGGATACTACATTCAGATAATTACCAGACGTCATTTTCTTGTCCTCCATCCCATTTGACCCCAGCTGACGCGGGGAAAGCATACGATGAAGCAGCACCCTACCAATCGAGACTCATCTAATACACCTGCCCCTTGCCTCGGGAGAGGCTTTGGTGACGTAGTTCTGGGCCTCATCACTGCATTACATTAAGATGCCCAAGTGATGTGAAGGTTATGGTCGTTCTAATTCTTTCGAGATTACTATCTATTCAAACAAGCGAGAAGTTAATCAACTTTGTGGCTGTTTTGTAGAAGGTTGCTGCTATAGTATTGTTACTTGCTTTTTGTTCCAAGTGTCCTATTATGTCTTCGTCGCAACCAAGCACCCAGCCGCGTACGCCCCCGCCAGATCACTCTCCACCTTTGGAACCACCAAAGATACATGACTGGGCCGAGAAGGGCAGCCCCGAAAGACAACATCATGAATATGCACCCCGACTGAGCAGTCCGAGCAATGATCTCTCCACTATTCCTACACAATCAACCACCTCCTCGACTGGGCTGACCGAAGAGAGAACTTCCACAAGTCTTCGTAGGAAACGATCTTTGCTCGGCCTTCGTCCAGATGTTCCTATTCTCGAGGAAGACGATCTTAATGAGCGTTCGAAGTTTTTGTGGTCACGGATCAGATCCACACTAAGGGAGCCTTTCGCCGAATTTTGGGGAGTGGTTATAATGATCATGTTTGGAGATGGTAGCGTAGCACAAGTGCTGTTGTCCACAGGTCAGACCACTGCACCTGGCGGAAACGGTTTCGGAGCGTACCAAAGTATATCCTGGGGGTAAGACACAGCTCGCCTGATCATGAGATAGACGCTGACAATAAACAGATGGGGCCTCGGAGTCATGCTCGGTATCTACGTTGCTGGCGACTCTGGTGCATACCTCAATCCTGCCGTTACCTTCTGCAATTGTCTGTATCGTCAACTACCGTGGCGGCGCTTCCCAGTGTATTTCATTGCTCAAGTCTTAGGTGGGTATGTCGGATCTGGAATTGTGTATGCCAATTACATCAGTGCCATTGATTGGTACGAAGGCCATGGCATTAGAACTGTTCCGCCTGCCCCAAAGGCAACGGCAGGCATATTCTGTACTTACCCGCAGGCTTTCGTCACCAAAGCAAGCCAATTCTTTTCAGAGTTCATTGCTAGCGCCCTGCTCATGTTCGTCATCTTTGCACTCAAAGATCGAGGTAACAATGGGGTTCCAAGGGTATGTATTATCGTACTGCTATGAATGCTGGCCGCTAACTGTACCTAGAGCGACAAGTGGTTTCCATTATGTCTATTCTTTTTGATCTTCGGCCTGGGAGCTTGCTTTGGCTGGGAAACAGGATACGCGATCAATCTTGCCAGGGATTTTGGCCCAAGACTGATGTCCTACACAGTAGGATATGGTCCAGAAGTATGGTCAGCAGGCGACTACTACTTTTGGGTGAGTTATATTATTCTGCTGTCAGTGTGTTGTTGCTGATACAATTCATTTAGATTCCAATGGTGGCACCATTTCTGGGATGTGCCTTTGGAGGGTTTTTGTATGATGTCTTCATCTACACTGGTCCGAGTCCGATCAATACACCGTGGTTAGGGTTCAAGCAGATTGTCCGTCCTCAATACACCAAAGAGGTCATACTGGAGCATCGTAGGAGGAATAAGGAGAATGACATTGTGTGAGCTGTCTAGTTGGGAAAGGGAGAGCACGTGCTAGTAGTCGATCGATATAATTTTTCAATATAATGGTGCCAATGAAATACTAAGCACTTCATAATTGAGGTTTATGTTTGCGAAGTGCTTTTTTCAAGTGTCACGATGATGGTTTTGATGACGGTGTTGATGATGTCGAGGTCAGCCATGGAGATCGGAATCGGAATGGCTGAGGAAGACGCGCTAATTTTCTACGTGCACGTCCATGTTCCTCTCTACGCGTTCTCCCGCCAATTCGTCACGAACCCGAACAGTTCCCGCAAGACACGCCGAACAATTGATTCTCCTTGCACTCTATTCTATCGAGAGAAACGTTTAATTATTCTTTTAATCCACCTACCACCGAACCATGAACTGAATCATTCTCGACACCCTCCCATACATTAGATTGTGCCGAACGCGTTCCACCGCGTGTCTTCGAGTACATCCCCACGCATATTTCATACGCAATCGCACACCATGTACCTACCGCGAGGACTCGTTGCGCAACTCTACCAGAATCTTCTGAAGTGCAACCATGCCGCTGCTCCACCAGTTTTACTCCTCGTTGCGCTTGAACCCGACGCGCTGTGTGCATGCCGCATCCTCACCGCGCTGTTGAAGCGCGACTATATACCCCACAAGATCCAGCCAATTGCCGGTTATGGTGACCTCACGCGAGCAGCGGAAGATCTTGTCCGGCCCATGCGGACTTCGGAAGGTGGAAGTGGTGGTGTTGTCATTTGTCTAGGTGTTGGCGGCATGGTGGACATGGAAGAGACGTTGGGGCTGGACGGAGATGCTGACGGGCAAGGTGGACCAGGTGACGTCGAAGTTTGGATTATGGATGCAAGAAGACCGTGGAATTTGTCCAATGTCTTTGGATCGCCGCTTGGGACCGACCCCTCGACGGGGGAGGTGGTGCGCAAGCAGACAGGGGTCGACAAGGGACAATTATCCAAGTCTTACAAACCGGGAAGAGGTGGAATTATTGTTTTTGATGATGGTGATATTGAGGAAGAGCTTGGTGCAGAAAGAGAAGCATACTGTGCGTTAGAAGAAATGCCTGAGGTTGGGGAAGAAGAAGACCTAGATGATGATTCTGATGACGATGATGCCCCGCCTTCGGGACAAGCTCCCAAGAAACGGAAATCGTGGGGAGAGGACGACGAGTCTGATGAGGAGATGTCAGATGATGAAAGGCCTAGCCGACGGTTACGAAGCAATTCTGTGAGTGCACCATGAACTCCTCTGCCACAGGGTCACTAATGGAAAAAAAGGGGAGCTCAGTACCAGTTTCTCCCGAACGACGGCCTGCGCGACATGGATTAATAAGTACTTCAAATGCCCTTGGAGGTTCCTCCGACTTCTCACGCTCCGATTCACCACGAAGTAGATCTGCTTCGCCATCAGTAGCCCAACCAAAAGAAAAGTCAGTAAAAGGCCTACGAAGACAACTCATGGCAATGCGAAACAAGTACACGGGTGTCTTAGACAAGTACTACCAACTCGGGGCATCATACGCCGAGCCAGTATCCTCTATGGTCTATTCTCTGGCTTCAGAACTCGGTCGAGAAGACAACGATCTCCTTTGGAATGCTATTGTGGGAGTGAGCAGTTTGGAGCTTTACGGCCGAACAGGAAGTGGGGTGGGACTTAACCCACTGTCCGCCGCTGGAGGCTCTGCCGGATGGAATGGTGACCGAGGAGAGCGTATTCGCTCATTATTGAGGGATGAAGTCCGTCGACTGAACCCCGTTGATCTGAACAACATTGCTCGTGAAACTAGTGTCGGGGACGCCAGCGGCGTGATACCAACGAGCGCTCGATCAGCGACCGACAAATCAATCCGACTATCACCGGAGCCACGTTTCCTATTACTCAGACATTGGAGTTTGTATGAGAGCATGTTACATTCACCATATCTCTCCGCACGATTACACATCTGGAACGACCAAGGACGAAGAAGACTGGATAAACTACTGGCGAAAATGGGCGTGAGTTTAACGCAATGCAAGCAAAACTACACACATATGGACATGGAGCTGAAGAGAGGGCTACGAGAGCGTCTTCTCAAGTTCGCTCCGGTCTATGGCTTGGATGGATTGGTTCCACCACCCCCAAGGAATGGAGATATGAAGGACGGATGGGGCTTCGTCCGCTGTTGGGGATGGAAAGCCTGTCTCAGCGCCATCGATGCCGCCGTCATTCTTGGAGCTATTCTCGAAGTTGGCGACGCAAAGTCACTGAATACCTCCAGTTTCGACAGCGCCAATTTTGTCGGCACACAAGAACACTCTGACATGGCCAACGGCGCCCAGAGTGGCGAATTATCTCACGAAGCACAGGAACACATCACCGCTCGTTTCTGGACCGCCTATGATGCACTGAATTCTATCGATCTCCTCGTCGAACACATTCACACCGCCCAACACCTCCACAAAGCCATCCTCCGAACCGGAACCCAACTAATCGAGAAGAAGCAGATCCGTCATCTCCGCGCATTCCGCATGGCGGTCGTCAAAGAAGGCCCCGACGTCCAATTGTTCACACACCCGGGCGCTCTGACAAAACTCGCGCTCTGGATCGCCGAAGCAATCGTCGAACTCAACGGCACGAAAGGCAAACACAAGGGCTCCGAACTCGTCATGGCCGGCCTCGACGACTCCCGAGGCCTCTACGTCGTCGTCGGTCTCGGCGGCGGCGGCGCGACCACCTCCGCAAAGGAACGCATAGCAAAGCGCGAGGCGCGTCTCCGCGAGAAGGAAAAGAAAAAGGCTGCCAAAGCCGAGGAGCGAGAGAAAAAGAAACAGCAACGCATCCAGCGCAACCTCGCGGCCGGCCTGGAAGAAGATGAAGTAGAAGACGACGATGAAGACGAAACGGAGGAAGAGGATGACGACAGCGACAGCGACAACGAAGACGAGCAGGAGCGCGGCTTCGGACGTAACAGATTCGGCAATGCGTTTCACGAGGTTGTTCGCGAGACTGGTGCGCGTGTGCGGATGGACAGCTTCGAGGCGTGTGTTATTGAGATCAGGAAGGAGGATCTCAGCGGGTTTTTGGAACGATTGAGTATGAAGGCTGTTGTGGGGTAATGGAGAACTAAACGAGTTGGCATATTTAAGTATCGTTACTGCGTGCGAGCGAGCAAGGCATGGCATGGCAAGGGCTAAAGGGAAGGGCTCTTTGATCTCATTTCTGGTTTAAAGCATTGCTGGGGCGTCCTTAACAATCCGTTCATTTTCAGGGGTTTTTCTTATGTAAAGTACGTAGGGGACTGTGTTACCCAAAGCGGGTTGATGACATGACAACATATTGCAAACTAGGCATTCTCATAGCAAGCAAGTAGTTAGTATTCTTCTCTGATTCATATCGAAATCAAAATCTTCCTCCAATACATCTGACAACCGTACTTTTGATTCCATTACTTGTCCAACTTGACTCCGCCAGGTAGCGCAAAGACCTGGCTATCCAGCGCATAACCACGCTTTCCAACGACAACCTCGCCTTTGGTTCTCTCTTCTAGTACAAATCCACCTTTAGTAGCCACATTACCACTCACACCGTAGCTCCACAGCTGACCCTTATCATCCTTATCCAATTTCTCCAGTCCAACATCCCGCCCATCAGCAGTCAGATACCGGTCATCCGTAGACAACGGACTGATTCTCCCCGCCGACGATACCCTCCACACCTGCTCGTCCGAGCCATCGCACACCGTGAATCTGACCCTAGATCGCGACGAAGCAGTGAGACAGTTCATAGTGAATGTATTGAAGATCTGCCCCGTCGGCGTGACATCCAACTTCTTCGCCCCCGACGCCGCGGAGACGCGGTATATCGCCGTCTGCCGCTTATGCAGCTTAATCGTGATAGAACTCCCCACGCTCTGCGTCTTCCCCGTCCACAAATCCTTCGCCTTGTAGCGGACATCCGGGTCGATTCCGAGGCGCTCGAGGGGGACGGTGGCGGTCTTCGTGGCATTGCCTTTGTTCAGGACGGTGAGCAAGCGGTCGCCGTTCGCGAGGTTCTTGCTCAAGACGTCGATGGCTTCGGTCTGCGAGACGAGGGTCGCCTGCTCGCAGAGGGCGTCCTGGTCCACGGCAATGATGTCTTTATTCGTGAGGTACGCGACATCGTCGTCCATGAGGTCGGGGATCCACGCGCTGAGGATGAGAGGCGCAGAGAAGGAGCTCCAGAGCGCGAAGTGGGTTTTCTTCTCGTCGAGGGAGAGATCGGGCCAGTCGACGATGAGGAAGTCGGGGTCGTTGTAGTAGCCGCAGGACTGGTATCGCGCGAGGCGGACTTCCTTGTCGTAATTGTTCATCATGCTCTCCCAGTGGCCGCCCGGCTCGAAGATGTTCTCTGGGTTGTTGCCGTACACTTTTATGTCGTCGGAATGTCGTGCTAGTTCTCCGTTCTCCCGGACGTACTCCATCGTGCGGTACCAGTCTGTGTTGTTTAGGTCGAGGTGGAAGTTGGGGCTGAAGTAGGCGGGTGCGGATTGTGAGAAGATGAAGGGTTTCTTCAGCTTGCCCATCACTTGGTGCCAGAGCTTGTAGCGGTACTCAAATTCTTCGTAGTATGTCCGGTTCTTTTGTAGATCCATGTGGCACCCGTCTACTTTAAGATAGTCCACACCCCATTTCTCGAACGTTTTGGCGTCGATTTCTTCGTGGTCTTGCGATCCGGGGTATAATCCGCAGGTCATGTTTCCTGCGTTTGTGTAGATGCCGAAATTGAAACCGCGCTTATGGAGGTAGTCTGCGAGCCATGGCATGCCGTGTGGGAAGATCTTGGGATCCCATTGGAGCTCTTTCTTTGCGGTACGTTCTTTGAGGGGCCAACAGTCATCGAGGTTGATGTTATTGTAGCCAGCGGCTAAGAGGCCCTTTTCAACCATTGCGTCGGCGGTGGTGGTGAAGAGTGTCTCATTCAAGTTGCACATGAAGCGCGCCCAATTGTTGAAGCCCATGGGTGGCCTGGGTGCCACTTTTGGGTCCTGCACCGTGGCCAATGCCCCTGCAGCGAGGAAGAAAAGTGTTACAGGATTTAGGAACGACATTCTGAAATTTCTGAAGAGGTTCGGGCTCAATTGATGGAACTTCTGCTCCAGGAGAGCGAAGGTAGCCTGGCAATTGGATAACTATTGTTGAGAAACTGTTTTCTCAGGAGAGCCAGGACGACAAAGCAGGAAAAAAAATGTATCGCTCGTCAAATGATAAGGAGCTGTAGCAAGTGGAAAAATATTGCGATCTAAATAGCCAACCCCGCTATGGTATGTATGCAACATTGCATCGATTGTGCTGAAAAGGTAATATCACAGACGATCAAATTAACCGGGAAGATCTAGGCTACATCATCGTTCTGCGTAACTAGGGTTCCCGAATACGATCTCTGAAAGGTTGCAATGGAGCATCGTGAAATGCAGTCGACTGTAACCATACAATATGGAGACGACCAGTATCGTGCATATGCATGCAGGGTCATGGCCCAGGTTTAATATATTGGGTAGCCATGTGCATACGTGTGTCTTCCGCGTCGTCTCCATTGACGTATTAGTTCTCATACCATGTCTGGACATACAATATGATAAGTATATTTGCACCTTCGGAGGTGAAGTTACCCAAGGTTTCAGTCAATGAACTTGGCAGCATGGAGATGGGAAAATGTGCGACACAGCAATGCCACCGTAGACGGGTTGTAAATTCGATGAAGCTCATTTAATCTCACTTTAACCTATCTGCAATCATTCTCTAAAAAGCACCTTGCTTGAGCTCTTGAAAATGGCGTATCCGGTGAAAGATCGTGACATGTCGAACAGTGGGATGTTAGCAATGATCTACCACTGTTGGATAGGAGCAATTGGCGGTTATTACTCCATAGAGTCATCATCGTACATCGATTCAATTTGTAAGACAAATCACTCCAATTATGGTCGAGGAACTTATGTCTGAAGAGTTCTGATCGATGAAGCATCAACGATGTAGTCTTGTCGTCTGAATATGGATAGACCATAGTTAAGGTTGTGGCGTCATTGAGTTAGCGTTAGGCACGTGTAGGTGCTCAAGCCACACATATGCCCCACTATGATGCACACCCACCACTTCCGAGTCAAACTCCGCATCCATTCTTGCCAGTGACTCAAAATCATCACACAACCTACCTCAACCTGAGCAACAAGTCCCCACCTCTTACTTCTAATTAAAGAAGAGAGTATTTTTATACGACAACATGGGTCCTAAGAGAGGAGGTGCTGAGGGCTCAAAGAAGGCACAGGGCCAGGCCCGCAAGGCCGAGCAGGCTGCCTCGAAACAGGCCGTGAAGGATAGGCAAGCCGAGGAGGCAGAGGCAGAGAAGTGGGGAAAGGGAGCCAAATCCACTTCCAAAGCGTACGTATAGATCTTGATGTAGTTTGAAGCATTTCATCTTACAAGTTTTCCGTATAGTGATGCCGCTGCTGCAAAGGCTGCCGATGCCGCACGCAAGAAGGCCGAGAAGGCAGCGCTTCTAGCTGAAGAGGAGGCCAACCAGCCTTCCAAGCCAAAGGGCGCCGGAAGCAAGTCCGCCCAGAAGAAGACGAACAACAGCCGCGGCATCGACTCTGCCTTCGCTTCCTTTGACCAACCATCTGCGCTCAACGCCACAGGTATCGACAACGCCCTCGACGCTCTCGATCTGACAGGAAACAACAACGCCGACAAAGTCGAGCGCCATCCCGAACGTCGGTTCAAGGCAGCATACACACAATATGAGGAGCGCAGATTGGAGGAGATGAAGGACGAGAAAGGCCTTCGCCGACAGCAGAAGATCGATATTATCCGAAAGGAGTTCGAGAAGCATCCAGACAACCCTTTCAACCAGGTGTCTGTCTCATACAATGCCACCAAGGACGATGTTGCGAACACTAAGGAATCAGAGCGACAGAAGAAGGAGAAGCGGTTGGGTGGTCCATCGTCTTGAAAGAGCTATCGATTGTTGGAAGCGTTCCGTTCCTGTTAGTTCTGAAGAAGCATAATTTGGTGTTCTGGATATTCGATTGGGACGGTGACCCCTAGCACAAAATTTGGGCACTCCGGGGGATCATAAAACATAGATTTGTTCCCTAGGTAATTCGCAAGCGAGTTATCAGCCCGCTTCATCCTAGAGAAACCTGATTGGATACCAAGACTTTGAGATGGGCATTATCTGTTTTCAAAGTGTATGGTCCATGAAGCTGTAGAAGTAGAGCCGATCGAGACATAAGTTGGGGGGTCATAAGGAAGGCAAAAGTCCGTCAGGCGCCGAGGCTGACGTTCGAGTCGTCCTCCTCCGAAATCTAGCCAAGTATCGGACGATGTTTTTGACAGCTGCATATAACCTTTACTTGAGATGATTGTGTCTGAATATATGAGATCTGGTGTTTGTAATAGTTTGCGAAACCCTACACGCACGATAGTCAATATCAAGGGAGGCGCTTCAAAGTGAATGTGCTATTCGTCCATGCATGGCTCATGACATGAAGCCGGCGAAGATGAGAGGGCGTGGGGCGGTGATGATGTGCGACGGAGATTAGGTCCGGCGGGCACCATTCACGACCCAAAGCGGACGACACCGTCCTCCTTGTAATAATGTTTGCTGAGCTCCGAATATTGAATCTGAGCTGTGCATTTATGCACGAAGGGGAGAGAGCCTAATGGTAGGTGACGAATCTGGACAGCCATTCAACCGATCGGTTAGGCATGCAATCCGTGCGAGGCCCCTTTCAGCTACATTTGTGCATACAAGCAGACGGAAGCATAGTGAGGGTGTAAGGCGTTGATTGTCAAGGTAACGATGGCTTGAAAGAGGCTCAGCGGCAAGTAATGTACCTAGATATGTACTGTTGTTATGCTGTGAATGCTAGTGATTGGTGTCTTGGCATGGCTTATGGAAAGTGGATTCGTTTGGAATTGCGATGCTTGGAGTTTGTAGGTGACAGGACAGGAGACAATGGAGCATTGATTTGGATTTAACCTAAACAGACCAGATGAGACAGGACAAGAAAAACACAGACCAAGGTGAAGTATCGTCCATCAGCCAACCAGCTCATTATTTCGTTTCAAACATGTCGTCGAGCCGTCCTGTTCCAGTGTTTCTTAGTCTCTGAAACGGCGCCTATCCAAAAGGGGAAGTCCATGACTAGGGTAGCCGCGCGCGACTCTTCCGACTTGCCTCCCTCCTAAACCCCCGCAATCACCATTCAACGCCATCTCCGTACAATAGCATGGACTCGCAATTCATTCACCTAGGTAGATCTTCAATAGTTAATCTAATCATTGCCCGTTTGCCTGTTTGTTTCGACAGAGCTGTGACCACAATAGTAGCCGCAATGGCAAACACACGGTCCAGGCCAGTCCCACCCCCAGTCCTTCTCACAGTTGAATGAGTCCCTTTTATTGTCAGCCTCCTGCAACATTCACAATGCTTTCTCTTCTTCTTTTTTTCATCACCATCACTAGGGACAGTCTTTCTTTTCTTTTCTTCCTGCGTTCTTACACGCACCACATTCTTTCCCTACTTTCTTCAATTCCCTTCTCTTACTCTCTTTCCCTTCCTTTCCACCATGCGTTTCACTTCTTCCCTAGGAGCTGTGCTCCTTCCCTGCACTGCTTCCTTGGTCAGTGCCATTCAGTTTAACCCTGATGATGCATGTAAGTGAGCGAAAGTCTAAAATTCATTCGACCAAAATGCTAAGTCTGTCACCAAGCTTCCATCCGGGATGTAACTAAGGAGTACGCATTTGGCTTGATGTCCCACTATGTCAACAATGCCTCTGGCTTGCCCGCTGAAGAGATCGGAATCTTCCCCAAACCTCATTACTGGTGGGCAGCAGGCGCTGCATGGGGTGGCATGATCGAATATTCCCAGTTCACTGGTGATGCCTCTTACGTGTCGACACTCACCCAGGCTTTGGTCTCCAACTATGGTCCAAACAACGACATCATCCTTCCTTGGCGAAAGGATCAAGAGGGCAACGATGATCAAGCATTCTGGGGTTTGGCCGTCATGTCAGCCGTCGAATATCAATTCCCCGATCCCGCACAGAAGGCGCCAGCAACTTATCTACAAGTTGTGGAGAACTGCTTCAACAACATCGTCTCTCGATGGGCTGCCGATACCTGTGGTGGAGGTTTGAAATGGCAGATCTACCCTGAAAACGACTACGGTTATACTTACAAGAACTCCATCTCCAATGGAGCGACATTTGCTCTCGGTGCCCGCCTTGCTCGCTACACAGGAAACCAGACCTACGCCGACTGGGCCACGAAAATCTTCGACTGGACAAAGGAGGTGGGCTTGATCAGTGACAAGTACGAGGTGTATGATGGAGCGGATGAGTTGAAGGCTTGCAAAGAGATGGACCATACACAATGGACCTACAACATTGGAATGTACCTGCACGGCTCTAGTGTGATGTACAACTTCACCGACGGAGATGCTGCATGGAAGAAGCATACCAATGGTTTCGTAGAGCAATCCGCCGCTTTCTTTGGACCCTACGAGAACGCAACCGATATCATGTACGAGGTGGCTTGTGAAACCGGCGAGACTGGTCGACACTGCAACCTGGACCAGCAAAGCTTCAAAGCGTACCTCTCTCGATCCATGGGAAAGACCGCTTTAATGGCCCCATTTACGAGGGAGAGAATCACCAAGTGGTTGAAGAAGTCCGCCGTGTCGGCTGCAAAATCTTGCACTGGCGGTGCAACTGGCAAGGAATGTGGTAGCAAATGGTATACTGGCAACTGGGATGGCACAACCGGCACCGGTCAGCAACTCGCGGCTCTGGAGGTGACACAAGCGCTCCTTATGTTGGAAGAAGGGATTGTTCCGTCTGTTCAGGGCGAGAACAAGCCTGAGCCCCAACCTCAGCCCGTACCTGTTCCCTCATCGTCCGCTGCACCTGAGGCGAGGTCCACTTCTGTTAGCAAGGAAGTACCCTCAGCACCTGCAACCCCACCTGCTACGACCCTCGCCACATCAGCAGCTCAAACGCCAGAGCCTACTCCCGAGCCTACTCCCGAGCCTACTCCCGAGCCTCTTCCCAGTCCTGCTGTCACTGACGACAAGAAGCCTTGCACTACATCAATTCCCACTCCCAGCGCGATCGTTCCAAGTGCACCTATACCCAGCGAACCCGCATCAAGTCAGCCCGCACCCAGCGAGCCAATCACTAGCAAGCTTCCGGTGAATACTCCAGTAACGCCTGGTGTATGCACATGTACACCTACCTCTACTGTTACTGTATGGGTACCACCTGCCGTTCCCACGACAGCGTCGCCTGTTGTGCCGGCTCCTCCATCCATCGAGACCACAATTCCTATTCTTCCTCCTAATGGAACAGTACCTGTCCCTCCACCCGCAAATTCGACCGGTCCGATCGAGTTTACAGGCGCAGCTTCAAGTCTGCAGACCACGAGCTATGCCGTCATCGCCGCGGTCACTCTTGCCGTCATTGGCGGACTGCTGTAAATCGAGCCGTCGTTTCCTACAAACTTCTTGTACTTCTTCCTAGAACCGCCATATCCACGGTTGTTCGTTTCAAACATTTTACCTGTATATATATTATTTTTACCCCATTCAAGGTGCTAGAACACCAAGCAGCCGTACTCGATGTACGGTGCATGCAAATTTATAAAATACCATGATGGCAGCAATCGAGGGCGACACTCCCTTTAGATGTAATGCCGAGACCGAGCGAATAGAAAAGGAATGAGAGAATAGCATGAACTCTGCACTTGCTGGCTTTTGTACTGTCTGAGGCGTTTCGTGATGTCGCGGAGTTGGAGTGGTCACCTATACATAAATACCTATACACATATACAGTCGACATGATTGATGACCAAGTCCGCTGATGTTTTGGAAGCCAGGGAGTGCACGGGACGGGTGTTCGCACTCCGAAGGGTGGTTTGGCATGTGAAGAGAGGTGTCACAAGTACTTATGTCCGTGTTGGGTAAACAAGTCAGTAATTATCGAATCTTTGAAGATCACTACATAAATACTCGTCTGCTTGCACTTTTACAGTTACAATACAATTTTATACTCAAGACCTGGACTTACCAATCGAGGCAGGAGGAAGCGTGATCATCTGCAGAGTGTCCCGCTAGAACATACGCCACCCACGCAAACCCCAGGGGCCCATTAGCAGTTACAGTACTTGTACCGATCAGTTTGTTCTAATATCTCTCTGGGCCTGTCAATCTGTCAACTCACGTCACGTCATAGCGTATTCACAAGTGACCGTTCGCATTAGTTTGAAGTCGCAGTCGAAAGTTGCAGTCACATCACACAGCACTGTACAGTACAGTACCTACTCGTAGGAGGAGGAATAGTGGGTAGTCGTCGTTTAACCCATCCCGTTCGAGCTCCTCTCCGCCGAGTATTCCTGCATCTCCTCCGGCCCGCCTCCTCAACGTTTGCCTCAACAACAGCTATAGCGTCTCACATCGAACTCTCGACTTACTAACTGCAAGCCCATCTAACGCTCTTATCACCCTTCTCCGCCGCCGGGTTCCGGCTATCCTTGCGCCCAGGCCTTGTCTCCGCGTGCGCGCGCCATTAATATTCCCCATATCATGGTCTAGCTCTCCCACGCTGGTCGGTCAGCTCCATCTTCACTCAAACTTTATTCCTATCCTACTTCTTTTTAAAATGTGAGTCCTTTCTCGTAGAAACACACCCTCGAAATCTATCGCGGCATTCAAATGACACGTCTCAAGATCGATCTCTCGCTTCTGGATCTTTCTAGCGTCGCGAATCCCAGCAACATCACATCACGTCGCGAGACCCCCGCCGTCACCCCCGAATTGCCTCATAAATAATATCGTACACGACAACACCCTCGACTCCTGGCCAGCCTGCGTGGCCACCACAACAACATGGGGAGAAAGGATACTGGGCTCATGAACAAATATGTTTATGATGCCTTTTTATGGACGTTTTCTATCCTGGTGGAGCTCTTCTTCCGCGAGGTGCACCCCCGCAGCTCATGGAAGGTGCCTAAGGAAGGCCCGGTTCTGTTCGTGTGCGCTCCGCACGCGAACCAGGTAAGCAATATGAGCTCCCACGACCCGAGGATCACAGCTAACTAGTCGACTGCAGTTCGTGGACCCCCTGATTTTGATGCGGTGCGTAAAGAAAGAAACCGACCGCCGAATCCATTTCCTGATCGCCGAAAAATCGATGAAGAGACGCTTCATAGGCGCAATGGCTGGCTTGACGGGCGCCGTCTCTGTGGGACGAGCCATGGACTCGACGAAACCCGCGAAGGGCAAGATATACCTCCCCGACCCGGTCAACGATCCATGCCTGCTCCGCGGTGTAGGCACTACTTTCCAGGAGCCCCCATTCCAGGTCGGCGGCACTCTATATCTCCCTAAGGTCAACGAAGCTTCGGCGAATGCAGAGATTCAGGAGATTATCAACAATGAAGAGATTCGGCTCAAGCGACCCTTCAAGGGAGGTGTCGCGATGCAGCAGTTGACTGGGAGGAACGACATGACTGAGGCTGGATCGTTTGTAGCTGGAGCTAGGGAGAAGAGCGGGACGGCCCCTGATTTCGAAGGAAGTGATTTCCAAGTCGCGCCCAAACTCAATCAGAAAGAGGTTTATGACAAGGTACACGCTGTGCTACATGCCGGCGGCAGCATTGGAATCTTCCCCGAGGGTGGTAGTCACGATCGGACAACTTTGTTGCCTCTGAAAGGTATAGACATATCTTCATGGTGTGTGTGAGTGCTTTCGCTAACTTGGTACAGCTGGTGTTGCCATCATGGCGCTTGGTACCGTTGCGGAGAAGCGTGACTGCAATCTCAAGATCATTCCAGTGGGCATGAACTATTTCCATGCACATAAATTCCGCTCACGGGCGGTTATTGAATTCGGTACAGCACTGGATGTTCCGTTGGACCTCGTGGACAAGTACACTGGAGATGGCCGAAGGGAGGCTATCGGGACCATGCTTGAAATGGTCCGCGAATCTCTCGAGACCGTGACCGTGACCGCGCCTGACTATGAAACCCTTTTGGTAATGATTGTGTCCTATCTTTTTGCACCTTTCTATTTGCTAACGAATCCTCAAACAGTTGATCCAAACCGTCCGCAGACTTTACAACCCCAAAGGCACCAAATTGCCGTTACCCAGGATTGTTGAATTGAACCGCCGACTTGTGAAAGGTTATGAACGATATAAGGATGACCCACGCATTGTCTCCCTCAAAGATGCTGTCGTAGCCTACAACAAGCGCCTCTACGCCGTTGGTATCCGGGACCACCAAGTCCAATATGGGAAATATCCTCTTCACTATATCTTCTTCCTCTTCTGGTGGAGAGTGATCAAGATTGTTACTCTGTCGATCTTTGTGATTCCTGGAACACTACTCTTCTCCCTAGTTTTCATCTTCACGAAGTTGATCTCCATCAAGAAGGCCAAGGAAGCGCTCGCGGCGTCCAACGTTAAGGTTCAGGCTCGTGATGTCATGGCCACATGGAAATTGCTCGTTGCTCTCGTGGTAGCGCCTTTGTCATACACATTCCACATCGTCTGGGTCACAATCTTTTACCGTTACGGCTGGTTCGAGTGGGCGGTCCGACCCGGAATTCCCCTGAAATGGCTCATCCTGGCGCAAATGATCATCTACCCGACCGTGACATACGCTGCACTCCGCTTCGGCGAGGTCGGCATGGACATCGTCAAGTCACTCGGGCCACTTATCAAGATGATGGACCCGTCCTCAAGCAACGAAATGGTCAGACTACAAGAACGCCGCGAAGAACTCTCGAAAGCCGTAAACGAAATCATCAACACACTCGGACCCGAAATGTTCGACGACTTCGACTCCAAGCGCATCGTCCACGACCCCTTCACGCACTCGCCTCCCCAAACCCCCGGCGGCACGCGCCGAAAGAGCCTCGACGACTCTGCCGTGTCCCCCTCGAGCGAGCGTCCCCCCTCCAGCCACCTCCCCCGCAACGAATCCTTCCACGACATCGCCAACCAAGACCTCTTCTCCACCCGCCCGTCCACGCCCAAGAAAAGCCGCAGCCGCAACGGATCGCTCGGTGGCTTCCAGCTCAAGGCGTTCAGCACGCTGGACGGCAAGGACAGCCTTGACGAGGTGTCGAAGAAGATCCGCGGCGCGATGAGGGAGCGCGGAAGGAGAAGGAGCAGCGGCGGGGCCGACGGCTGGGACGGTGCGAGCAGTGGTGCTACGACGCCGACTACGGGTAGCGAGGACCATGATTTCCCAGAGGGTCTCACCATGACGAAGAAAAATAAATAGATAGGATAAGCGAGTGCCTGAGGGAAATCTACGCTGTTTGGATTTTATTTTTAGTTTTTTGTTTGCCTTTGGGTGCTGTTGTCATATCAGTCAGTCGAGTATAGGAAGCGTGGATGTGTGGTGTATCTCCTCACCTCCTACCGTTTCGTTGTCTGTTCATCCTTCTGTTCTGGTTTTCTTCTTCTTCCTTTCTTTCTACAAATGATACCAAAGAGTTACATTTTTTTCGAGTCGTAGTCGAAGCCAAAACTAAATTTATCAAAACTTAAAATTTACACTGAACATCATTATTTTTCATTGGGTCTCCTGTACATCGTCATTATCGACCGCCATGGATTTGGATGCCAAAACAGTAGCTATTTGAAGAAAAAGGATATTGAAGCCTGAAATTTCGTATATGGTGTACGTAGCTAGGATTGCATGAAATGAGGGTTTGGGTGTGTAGGATGTGTATATGTCATGAATGAAGTCTTACAGTTGATGAATACCTGTTATTTCTATAAACAGTGTAAAGATTGCTTTCAAATTTTCCAACAGTTTATAGAAGTACAAGTACAGTCACTTATTCCCACCCCTTTCAAGATATTCCTAATTCCTCCCAAAAATCTTCAACGGAATACCTCTTCCCACTCCTCTCCCGGATTCACCATGCACACACGCTCCCTCCCCCTCACTGTCCCCCCTCTCCATCACCGCATCCTTGACCTTCCTCCGTCGCCTGGCCCAAAGCAGCGCCGCAACCAACGCCACAAACACAACACCCACGATAACGCCATACCAAACATTATGCCCGCCGTCGTCCGCAAAATCGAATCCAAGAAACCCATTCACAGCACCTAGTATCAGTACAAGCGGTCCCACGTAACGATGAATTCGTCCAAGCGCTGTAGATTGGCCATGGCGTCCATACAGCCTATGGTGCACGACACCGATGCTAAGCTGCACGAACGTAAACACCACAACGATGATCCCGATGACTTGGTGCGCGGAATTGAAGTTCTTGGACTATATCATCTCATCAAAAACCGAGCATACTAAAACCGAGACAGTGAAAATACTTACATGGTTATACTGCATCCCCAAGTACACACCCACACCCAACCCCACAACAACAAGCACCACACCAAAAGTCTGCACCCACGCATGCCACTTCACGCGCTCAAGCAGACGCAGTAAGACAACCCCGAGAGGAAACACGAGCACGAACGTCACGCACATGAATGCCCCGTGTGTGGCTGGCGCCCAGTCGTGGTCGCGTGTGACGTCGCCTACCAGCTGTGCGTTTGAATTCTGCCAATTACCTACACTGCTTAACTGTGTTGTTACTTCATCTATTGGATTGGAGTCTGCAAGTGCCGTTTTCGAGAGGTCCATGGCGAATTGGCCGTACAGCACGTGGCGGCGTATCCCAGCCGTTTTGCTGTCTGATTGTATTTTCCTGTCTGTGGGTCCGAGGGCGAAGATGAAGGGTTGGGTTGTGCTGGTGAGGTTCACGCTGGCTTCGCCTTCGTCGGCTGTGGGGGAATGGGAGGTGGTGATGTTGTGGCAGATGGCGTTTACGGCGAGGATATCGTGGCCATTGTTGGCTTTGACGATGCCGTTGGGAGCGGTGTTGCTGGTGAGGATGTGGCAGTTGATTGAGGAGGAGTATGAGGGCTCGACGTGCCCGTTTACGGTGCGTGGGGATAGTGTTACACCTAGAAGCAATGGATCAGCATCTAGCATAGCCGTGATGGACGCCCAAAACTAAAAGACCAAAAACCACCGAGGTTGCTGCTACTACGGCGAAGTCGTACCGGTCCCATTCCTACTTCGATACGCAACCCACATCAGACTTCCAGCCATCTGATCTCCCGTCCCGATAGCGACCCAGCTATACTCAGCCGGAACCTCGAGGTGGAAATATAACGATCCATCATATTGTACAGGAACTACGGCGAAGGCTAGAGACCCGGTGCGGCCGGTGTTGTACACGAATGACGAGTTGATAGAACTCTCTGCCCGCGCAATTGATAATATCGTCGCAAGAGCTGCGAACACTACGAGGCATCGTTAAGTTGGTGCTGCGAATAATACTGGGGTGCGGGGAAACAAGCTTTTGCTTACCGATGCTAAGCATCTTTAGTCCCTGCATGATCGACGGGCTTGTGGTGAATTGACGAAGGAGGGTGGGATTACTCTCTCACGCATATACGCATACGTACAATAATGTCGTTTTACAGCAGAAGGTCTGGTTCTCGAGACAAGCAAGCCAGAAGAAATCAGTCAATTGAATATATAGTTATATTTTTACTCCATTTTACAGATGTATTTTGTAGCGCCACGACGCGTGGCTTTGCGGGTTCTTGTACGTCACAGTCCATCGAGGGAGCCAGGCTCGCTAGCCTGACATGATGCCAAATAGCGACGTTCTGAGTGGCTTGCAGGCATTGGTGATGTATTCGACTTGAAGACACCATACGAGGTACGTATGCAAGGACACTGCGATTCGACAGAAGCTGTACGTTGCGCCTGTGTACTTTGGCCATTCCAGATAATCTGCTTGTGGCGCGGTTTTTGCGATTGGACGAAATGAAAAGTGGCGTTACTGAGCCATTGAATATGTGATGGGCTAAGGGCGCGCGCAAGATCTGGATCAGTTTTGGCCTGTGGCTTACAGCACGGTGCCCGCATTTAGAGTACGTGAACTACTTCTGGTAGGTAATGGATGCGAGTTTACACATTGGGGATGAAATCTTTTTCTCGGGTTATGGCTGAGCCGAAGTAGTTAAATTGTAGCTGCAGCTGCGTCCAAAGAACGATCGATGTTGATGTCAGCGGTTCCAGTATCGTTGGCCAGATCATTGACAGCAGATTCGATAGGCATATCGATTGGAGCCACCTTGTTCAAATGGCCACGGTATCAAACGAGTATCTAAAATGTAGCGGCCACATTTGGTGGAACTAACAGATACAAGCCGGCTGATGGACTGCCATTTTCGGCGGTGGTGGATTCATCGGGAATGCTTCTACCTGTAGGGCATTTCAGTGTGAAATTGCAGAGTAATTATTTATAGTTTCTGGTGGGACGTGCAATTAAAAAATCGTATGCTCGGCTTAATTTTGTATTTGATTTGTATTCTACTAAATGAGTTGTAGATTCCTGCGTAGTTTTTCAAGGTGACATATCCAAGTAAATGTTGCAATATCCTCTTGCAAGCTAATCAGTCCGGAAGCGCGAGTGCTGGACAGAAGTAATTGTGGTAGACTAATTTATGCCCTATTCAAAAAAAAAAAATTTAAAAAAGGGAAAAAAGGGATGTATTGACTCAATGTAGGCATCCAAATGTATTCTGACTGGCGTTTCATCGCATAAATTGCTGACGATCTGTCCGAGCATTCGTTGCCTCTGCACCGAAGGTCGACCGGTCCCTGGTCAGCAGTTGGAAGGAGAATTTCTTCAAGACCCGCCCCCTTGGGTCCGACGGGTGGGGGATCCGTCAAGTCCAAGGCAGCAGGTATGGCGCAATTGAGTATGTTTTGCTTTGGTTTCAATGATCTGTGACTTATTCAGGCGAATATTGTACTTCATCTTCTAGGGTTTGCACCTGATAGCACGGTGTTGTGCACGGTGTTTGCAGCATATGGGTACTTCGAGAATGGATTTTGCCAATGTCCGTGAGACATCTGGCTTGGGATGGGTTCCTTGTCCATCTAGATGGATCTGGAAAGGCGACGTGAAAATGCCCGAGTCATGGATGCCACCCATTTAATCCATGCCCTAATCGACTGATTCCATGTACCGCCACAGCAATGTATCTGACCTTTGGACTCTGTAATTATGTACTATTGGTCGATTGGGAAACTGGGAGGTGGATAGGGTTGCTCTCTCTTGCTATGCTATTTCTTTACTCCATGACCTAGAAAGCTTTCCAACGAAGATTAGATATTTTGATATTGAACATTCGCCATTCAAGGTCAGGATAATTCGTTGGATGTCTTTCAAGTTCAGGAAAGGCTGTTCATGTGATGATGTTGATGGCTGTAACCGTCACCTAATCTTCCAGTCTTCCAATCGACCGAGAAGTACTCCCCTCACGTCCTTTCTCTCTTCAAGCAATGTAGAATCCAGAGCCTTTACTGCCCAATCAAAGTTCTGGCTACTACCATGCCAAGACTATTCAACGATATTCTGATCTTTCAAACCAACTTTGCACAGCATTACTGTCTCTACCACGAGATCTCTGCAAGCTCTTCCGCCCCTTCTTATTCTTTAAGCGTTGTGGCTCTTAAATCTCTGGTTCCCCATGCAGATATTGTTTTCACAATTTCTAGAATACTTCCATGGTCTCCTGCTCTCCAATCTCCGAATCAACTTGCCTCAAGTTGGCATAGCAGAACTGTCTCTACCATGAAACCTCTGTAAGATCCCATACCCTATTCTTGTCTCTCCAAGCAATGTAGCCTCCGAAACTTCCAATTGCCTATGAAGATGCTAGACCCTACCGTTCCAACGCAAAGCATTCAATTTTCTCCTAATCTGTCGGTCAGAGTGCGGCAATAGCACTATCTCTACCAAGGAAACTCCGCAGGCTCTAACGTTTCAGCCTACTCCCTCTTATCGCCGCGATCGTTTTGCTCCAGTTCAGCACGACGGACGAACATTCTGCTTTCGACCGATCCTCCCACGTACCTATATTCTCAGATCTCCAGTTCGCCCCATGCAGATGGAGTCTTGATGCTCCCACGGTCAGTAAGACGAGCAAGTATTCCTCTCTTCCCGACCTGTCTCAACAGGAGTGAGGTGCCTCCTGCACCATCTCAATACCCAAAGTCGTCTCAAGCGAAAGCAATCGTGCTCATACAATCTCTTCAGCCCTGTAGTTGAGCTTGTCTCTACAAGTTCCACTACCAACTTTCTCACAGCTTGGCAGGATGAACAAGAGTCCAGATCGGCTCACCTTCTCCACATGGTCCAACCAGATCGGGTCGTCTACAGTGTATGTTCGACCCATTCCGCCCTATGGTTGACCTCACCCCCTCCCAGAGCACCACAGCCACCGTTCTCACAGCTCAGCAGGATGAACAAAAGTTCAGTTCGACTCACTCACACCACCTGCTTCAACTAGATCGAAGCTCCTCCAGCGTATATGGATCCTCCTGAGCCTGCTATCCGCCCCCTTCCGGAGCAGTCGTACTTCAGCCTGCGTTTCAGCTTTGCGATTGGCCTCACCTCTTCTTAGTTCGGACGTTCCGCCGCTTCCTGTGTCAATTTCCGGTTCGTTGAGCTCGAATGGTCGCACAATGAGCCACTCCTCTCCGCCTAGCTTCCGCCCTCCGCTGGACATCTGGGGAATATGTGTAGGTAGACAGGGAGCTGGATACAGGACAACAAGGTGCTGGTAACACGCTTTAGAGAGGCTCTAATCTTTTAAAAGGTGAAGATTGCGCGGCGGTCAAGGAATCGTCGTCGTCTGGAAGCTTTTTGGTTAGTACGGAAAGACGTCCGGACGAATCATTTGATCGACTAGCTGGACATGGAACGGTAGCTGCTAGTGAGATACTGGACGAGACGTCTCATGGTATATGGGGAGTGATGCACTGATGGATTGGATTCCCCATTCTCGTTCTCTTGATCTACACTCTGGGATAGGAAACTCTGGATATTCTCTCTTCTTGACTTACCTGCGGGATCCAATTGCTAACATCCTCAGAGACACTCACTTCACTGCAATGTAATCCATTTGTCAGCCCACTCGGCCAGGTTTTACGTTGAACGACATCGGCGGGTACACTTCTCGTCATATCGAGTCACTTGGGAATCCCATCTACCTCTCTTTGCCATGCGTGTTCCCAGGAGATGCTCTTTATCTACCTCAATGGCCGTCGGGGCCTCTTCACCTCTGGTTCGACTCGGGCATTCACCTCTGGTACTAAGTTATATTGAGTGACAAAGTTGAAGGGCTTCATAGATTTATCATGTGGTTATGAAGTTTGTGGTAATGGGAGGAAAGGTTGAGAGGTTCGAACCAGTTGGGAATGTAGACGGGGATCCGTTATTTTTCTCTCTTGAAGGTTATATAAGGGTGGCAGTCTGCCTGCTTGTGAATTGTATCATGCCTTCAGAGAGTAGAGTCGACTATTCTTATGATCTCTTTTCTTGGGAGAACCCAAGAAACCTATCTTCTTCCCTTCCTTTGTGGACAGGGGAGAGGTCTTGTCGAATACAACTTTTTTCCCATTCTCCTTCATTCTATTCTGTCGGGCGTACGACATCGCCTTCCTATCGTTAAACGTATATCTTGCGTATCACTAAGGGGGCATCTCATACCTACCGCTGGACGTACATCTTGAAGACGATAGTGGAAGCACCTTGCATGTTCGACAAAATCGGAGCGATCAGTTCGACCTCGACACTTCCAAGATCATCACAGGACACATCACATGTCAGAATAAGAAAGGTTTTTTTTGGGAGAAAATGTAAAAACTCCGATTTATTAGATGACTAATATTACAAAAGAATAACTACGGGCAACAATGGAGAACCGGGGTATGGGAGCACACGGGTACGGACACAGGCACGATGTTACCTCTGCGCGGAAGCGCAAGCAGAGGAGCGTGTGTTGCGCCTTCAAGCAAGATCTAAAACTCTTCAAAGAGCGCACAGATGCAGCTTCCTTGAGAATCAACAGTAACAACACAAAATGCCAAAAGAGCTTGCAGGTACGCCTTTGACCTCACACAGAGGCTTGGTGCCGCCAGGGGCAACCAATGTCTCGAAAGAAGAGATCGAGCTTGAGCCGCAGAGGAGTGGACAACAAAGTAGCTCGTGGATATAATGCAAACATACTGCAGAGACCACCGCAAAAGCCCTGCAGCTGATCAGAGGTCAAGGACTAGACGCTGCGAAAGGTCTGGTTTCCTCGAAAGACGCGACCTGAGACTGTTCATTCTCAGCCTCAGTGGATGACGTTGCGCCACGTCATGAGTAATTGTATGCTGTGTACATGTTCGAAAACCCTTGCTGTGGGTGTTGCTGGTGTTGTTGCTGTGATTGCTGCGGTGGTGTTTGCAATGGGTCTGGGATGATGGACTCAGTGAGCGCACTAGTCAGCGCACTAGAAAGACTCATACTGGCAGAAGCCTGAAGAAGCGCATCGTTTGAGCTTATGTTCTGGCGGAACTGATATGGTGATCCAGCCATAGCGACATAGTTTGGATAGGATTGACGCATGTTGTAAGGCGCAGGCAGGCTTGGAGTCTGTGCCGGGTAGCTTGTAGCATATGCATTGGTCGTGGGAAATGCACCGGTTGTTACATATGCATTGGTAGTGGGAAATCCACTGGTTGTAGCATATGCATTGGCCGTGGGAAATCCACTGGTTGTGGCATATGCATTGGTCGTGGGAAATCCACTGGTTGTAGCAAATGTATTGCTTGTGGGGAATCCATTGCTTGTTGGAAATGCATTGGCGTAGTCGTTCTGATCCCCGATGCGATGCCTTTTGCTCACATGGTCGTCGTAACCACCATAGTGATTAGGTTGAATGGGAGGATTTGAGGGTGGCGTGCCCATAGCATATGCAAAGCTTCGCTTATTGCCCATGGTAGCTCTGGGCTCTTTCCGAAGCCTTAACCGTACACCCTGATCAGAGAACGCACGAGACAGATAGGTTGACTCGTCCATGCCTTTGAAGTCCTTCTGAAGCAGTACCTTGAACGGTTCGGAAGTGATTGAGCCAAGGTATTGCACCTCGTGGGTCTCTTTATGCAAATCGAAGAGACTGAAATGCAAGCGAAAATTGCCTTGGACCTTGACGGAGATGTCACCAAACACGAAGAATGCACCGTCCTTATTGTCCGTATCCTTGAGACGATGCAATGAAGAGACCAGTGAGCCTGATAGCGAGCTGGTCGCGGTGTCGTATGCTTGATCCCTTTCTGCTTCCCATAAGCTTGCGCACATGAACAGATATGGGCTTTGAAGGTAGTGGCGGGGTGGATCTGTCTGTTCTTTGATGGTGAGTTGTATGATGGGCGGTGGATCCACTGGCTTTCGTGCCTTCTCCTTTCCAGCAGTGGTCATCAATGCCTCCCTGGGTTCTTGGCGAATGTTCAGGAAGACATCTTCCTTGCGGAAGTGATGAGGCATAGCAACGGTTGCCGATCCGGCTGCAGATGTTGCCATTGGCATTGCGGCTGCAGCCTGCTGGTAGTAGGTTGCTTGCTGAGAGAACATATCGATGATGTTGATGATGTTGATATGATGTTGATGATATTGATTGGATGTTGATAGATGGGGCTGGATGTTGTTGGGATGGTACTGGTTGGAAAGGTACTATGATATGGTACCGATGGTTCGATCTGGATTCGATCTGGACGCTCTATAGGCAAAAGGCCGATCAGATGGAACGTAGGGTAGTGGTTCAAACCACAGGTTGATGTTGGAGATTGAGAAGTTGCGATGCTAGGAGGGGGGAAGGGGTTATTTTTGTGAATATGGGGCAGGGTGGTCGGTCTAATATATCTGAAATCCAGCGGTTCGAAAAACCTCGGGCGCGAAGAGTCACTGCCAGCGTTGATTAGCCAATGATGAGAGATCTTGAAAAGTGTCATGCGTACGTTGAGTTTCGTCGTTGAAAGTATGGTTCGGTTCCTGGCCTTACCCAGCACAGCGATCAATCAGTGAAAAGTGTCAATTGATTATTCCCCTTCTGGATCAATCTTTCGGAGATGGGGATTGTCTTTCCGTATCGGTTGTGGACGCCTTGACCTATAAGCTCAACATTTTCCCCTTGATGAAGATATTCTTTTTCTGTTCGTCAATATATAGGATTGAGTTCCGGTGCTGTGGACGTTTTAGGCTGTCGATGATTCTCTCCAGCGGCTACGAGATTGCAGAAACCTTTCGGTGAAGTGGCAAGGTGAATTGTGTGGCGAGCGTAATGGTAATTGTGTGCTGAAAGTATGTTGGGATAAAATATTCCGCCGATCCGGGACTGGAGTGCTGTGAACTGAAGAATAAGTTCTGGTACCTGAGCCTTAGACAATTGGATACCTCGGACGTGGATACTCTGGGACTTTTGGAACGAAGTTGAAGTTGCTATCGAGCCCCGTGACGTCGTGTCGCCGTGTCGCCGTGATGTCGTGTCGTCGTGTCTTCGTGTCGTGTTTGGTGGTGTAATTTTCCAGATGAAAAGGAAAGAAGTACACACACACAGAGAGACTCTTTCTTACCTTGGCGGTGATTGAGCGAGTGAATGAATGATTGGGCGAGTGAGAGTGAGTGAATGAATGGAGTGAGTGAGAGAGAGTGAATGATTGACTGACTAAGCACGAAGTCGGACGTTCACTCTTTGCTCCTCTCCTTCAATACCTGCACCCTCCACAACGTCCCTTCAAGAAACAAAGCTTTGTAGCTACACACACTCACCCACCTCTCTCTCTCTCGCACTCTCTCACACACCTTCCTCTCTCTCTCTCTCTCTCTCTCTCTCTCTCTCTCTCTCACTTTCACACTCACACACTCCCTCTGCAATTTCCCTCTCTCTTTTCTCCCTAATCAGGAACTTCCCACCTCAATTCCCGCCTGCCTCTGATTGAAACCTGCCCAACCTTGGATCGTCAGCGGGGATTGCCTTAGTCCCCTCCGTTACCCGTACCAGGAATCAATGTGCACTTAATTCCTCTTACAGTCAAGTCACTGTCCTCGACAAAGTATGTCGTCCTATCCGGGCGCAGTGTCAGCGACACACGCACTTTCTTTCTACTTCCCGAACAATGATCAGGTTCGAATCTAATCGTGCTTCCAATCAAGACCAGCTAGGCTGCCCGGACTTTCCAGACGTTCCAGTTGTCACGCGGGATGCCTCAGACTCACTCTCAGCCACTTTGCATAGCAAATCTTCCAATTATGTCTGTGTCCCGCCGCTGGCCGAAGCAATCCACAGGATGAACCAAGGTTTTGTCACTGATCGACGGGAAATGGTAGAATTGCACAAGCAGAACTCGGGTTCCACGCTCCACGATGTCCAGCAGTGGTGTGAGGCCCAACAGAAAACAGGTGGATAGAAATAAATTTGGAAAAATCGCAGCACCGGGCGCGTGACTGCCGGGTCGAAGGAAAATATGAGGGTGAACAGAGCAATTTGCTTCGCAAGAATCGAGAGTGAACAATAGAGAGACGAAAGCGACAGTAGCTCTGCTCCAGGCGCAGAGGGTATTAAGCTTAGTGGGCGTACCGGATGATCTGCTTCAGGAGCGCTACAGCTCGCCGGCCTCTCCGCAGTCGTCCTATGGCCTGTCGCCGCTACTGGAAGCCTCCGACGCCAGGTTCGCCACGATCGCGTCTAAGCAGGTGCTCAACGGCTGCGAGCTCTAGTAATCTCCGCCCAGAACGTCGTCGTTACCGACTTTCAGGAGCTAAGTGCACGAGCACCGGTAATCGTCGTGGTCGTTTGCGGCCAGTAGTGCAAGTTTATTCCAACCAGTGAGAATTCGCCTACTCTTCAACCTTCCTCTTCTCAACACAACAAGTAATCTGAGCCTAGCTCTCTCCTTCGGTCCGTAGTGTTCCTCTTGATCTTCGTTCTCCTTTGGACGTGACGGTCTCCGCTCGGCTCCTCTTCCTGCTCAAGTGTAATCCACTTCTTTCTTTCCTTCAACTGTCTGGGCAGTGGCCGTGATAGCGGTATTACGCCGAGATGGGACGGGAACGACAGAATGGTGTGTGGTCAACGCAATGCCGGGAACGCGGTCAAGTAAGGAAGCTCATCCAGCCCGCTGACGTACATCTGGAATCGGAGAGAGCTACACGGCGGGGCGGGGACAGGGAAGATAGGAAACGCCAGAAGGGTCCGAAACAAAGTGCAGATTGAGGCTTCTATATGTCAAGCACTTGCCCGGCGGAGGTAGAGCTTCCAGCCAAGGCCTGTTTTGAAGTAGAACGGAGTCAATCAACCGCCTGTCACATTATACTACGGCGAGGGGCCCCATGCAGAGAGAAGCGTCTTCTGATGCACAAGCGGAATCGGTTTGCGGCAGCGCATGGATGCTATAGAGCCTTTCGGTCGTGCGTCCCATTGAACGGCAATCCCAGGGTCGGGGGGATGGTATGGGCGCTGTCCAGGGCCTCCAGGGCTTTCCCAGGGCTGCGCTGGTTACAAGGGACATGGGTTTCCAAGCAATAGGTTGCGGAGACACACAGGGTGGATGAAAAGGGTAGAGGCACAGGCTGGCGAAACATCCAAACAGCAATCGGAATTTAGCCATTGCAACCACTTTACTCGAAAGACCATCGTATATAACTCGCGATTGGCGCCCAATATCTGAGCAACATCCACGCCGCCTCCCACTTTGAGGCATGTTCCTCTGGGCCGTAACACTCTTATTCACGATAAAAATTATAAAACGATGGGGTCATGACCTACTTCACTCCATTCCGGCCGCACGATGCTGGCCACGGGGGTGGTACGCATGGCACATCTGCGCACATGGCGGTGGACACATAGACTCACACCCAGTTGTATGTAGCATTGCTTACGAAGTGCTCGGGGCTTTTTAAAGGGCTGGAGCACTTTCTACTACTATTACTCCGTACATGAAGACCTGCTATCGTCCGACAGCATCAAGTACGACTTACAAAACGCCCATGAAGAAGCTAGCTTTCCTACGTCACACAGCAGTCTATTGTTCAGACGTTCGCTATCGGGGAGTCGAGAAATGGGGTGCTTTTGTCTTGACCTTGAGCTATCGTGCGGACGTTCCGCATGCGGTCTTTCTTCTATGGACATGAATGGCGTATTAGAAGGACAAACTGTGTGATGTCGAAAACCGTCGCCAGCAACGATCCCCGCCTGCGTACCCGGCGGACTAAGAAGGCAGGCAAGGCAGGGCGGGCCAGGCGGAGTCAAAATCAAAGGCAAGTTCCCAAGAGCAGCGCAAGGGAGCACACGGCAGAATGCAAGTTCCGAAAACGGAGACAGCAAGAGATGATGTTGTGGGATCTCCACAGGGTGCGCAATAGAATACAGGTAAGTATAATCAGGTCTAGTGGGATATATTGTTGCTGAATGCGGTGAGAAAGCAAACAGGCGCATAATATAACGTACTCCGTACTGTGCACGGAGTAGTCAAGTCTAGACTAATAAGAGGTAGTAGTGGATGTGGTGGTATTGATGTGGTGGAGGACGACGACGTATGATTGAGATTGATGGTGAAATGGTGACAACGATAGTGGGGACATCGAACAAAGTCCATACCCAGGTCCTTGTCCAGGTCCATGTCCATGTCCATGATCGCCCGTTGAATCTCACAGTGGCGTTGGCTGGCAACTTCAAGCAGCTCCCACTGGTCAGGAGCTGTTCACAATACTGTGCAGGCGCTGTTTGTACACGATGGCCCGGTAGCCCGCTTGGGACGCATGCTGATCCCCGCTTGAGATGGTGCCCGTCTACTGTCATGCTGTTACTGTGTACTGTGTAGAGAGGCTGAGACGTTCCACTTCTGGCCGCGCGCTGACAGCGTGAAGAATTCTACGATGTTACACAGCAAAAGACACCCACCGCCTTACTAAGTCACGACTGACGACTTAACCAAACACGCCCATGCGGGATCCCCGTTGCTCGCTGATTTGCTACGCGTTTAGCCATTTGCCTGGCTTCCGACAAGTTTCAATCTCTATCTCGTACAGTACACAGACCTTTCTTCTTTCGAGCGAGCGCTTTCAGACGGCACTGTCTCGACGACACGCTGGACCCTAGCTTGGTGGCTTTCTGATCCTGCAGGCATTCTACATGTATGCACATACACTACCACTCCGCACTGTATTTACATAAATCGTACTCCGTACAGAAGAGGTTTGGCTGCGTCTGAAAGACTGGACGTGGTCGTTCCATCGTTCGTTGTTCGAACAGACAGGGTTGGTCCATTTTCTGGCCCTACCCGTCTGCCTCGTCAAATGTTCGACGCCATTTGGAGGAACCCTCTCGACCATCACGGTATATAGAGACTTCGTATTCTGGAGCTGTTGCCCTGGTGCCTGAACCTCACAGAGAAGGTACTCGTAGCCAGGTTTTGACTGCCTGTCAGCGATCGTGACTGACCCTGCCCGTCCACCCATTGGCAATATACCCGGCCCTGGCATTAATAGCACTCTCAGACCGGGTCAGCAATCAACTTTCCAGCCATCGACGCTTCTTTCTCCTTCTCCTTCCTCTTCGTCACTCCCATTCTATCGCGTCACAGCAATCTTCCTGTTACAACATTCTGCAGCCCAATGCTTCCTCGGTTTACGGGCCCGTGAAGAACCCTTAGACAGTCCCCATCCCTCGCGCACTCTCCACCCCACCGACTGTTCCCAGGCCCCAGCTGCTGTACCTGCAGAAGTTACTGCATATTCCCTGCTAAGCTGCTCCGCACGCCGCAATTCATCCTCCAACATTCCGTTATATGGCTTAATCAAAGACCCAACATCTTTGAACCCTCTTACGCATTTACTTGCTCCACTACATATGTGGACCTGAGACAACGTAGATTGCCGTCAACCAATCCAGCAGGTGCAGGCCCAAGCGACCCAACTTTCCACCCTCCCTCCAAATCGACAAACCCCCCACCCGGCCGAGCTTCGACATGCGTCCCTCCCTGCCGCCATGGTAGCTTCTATTCCCTCAATTGCTCTCGAATTTGCCAAGCTCCCGAGGTAACTGGTGCGCGGTGCTAGAGAGGAACCTGGCTGTGTTGCGGTTGTGGAGAAGAGGCGAGACGACACCTAATCCGCTTCGACAGAACGTCAGTGCAAGGCGGAGTACTCTCACATTCGATTGCCCGCATGCCCAATCTTGCATGGCGCCATAGTCCATCTTCGCAGCACGGCACATGTAGTCGCTACTTGCAATGTGCTTGGCTGACGACGAAGGTTCTCAATTAATATCGCTGTCAATCAATCTACTGATTCTTCGGCTCTGCACGTTTGACTTGCAATATAGCGGTCTCTCTCTTAGAAGTCGCTTTGATATGCTGTCCTAAGTACTCTGTACTACTGAGTGCAGTCTGAGAGGCTTTCTTACATGGCTGGCGGTCGTGGTCTGCTTTGCAAGGTCGAAGCCAGCCAGTGGTGGGTCACTGAGTGCCTTGAACAAGCGCACATTAGCTCCCTTGTCTGTACATGGTTCTCTGGCTCCGCCATTCCACTTGGTGTAGCTCTGGTCGCAGATAATGGCTGGCTTGTGAGTAGCTCTGTCGCAACGTCCAGTTTGGGGCATGCTTGAGAGGAGTATGTCTAGTTGGTGAGCAGGCTAGTGCTGCTTTTGGGTGCACATTCTTGCAAGTATCTGTGAGAGACAAACGAAACCATAGAGCGTAAAGCTTGTTAGCTGATCATACTCTTCGACACCTGGATGTATTTCATTAACGATGCTGTCGGAGAATTTGCCGAACAGGCAAACATGCGATCACTATCAAGGTTGTCTAGAAGACGTGTCTTGAACCGACATATCACCTCTCCCAGCTATCCATAACCCTACTAGGCATGGAGCATGGAGCAGCGCCCGCATCTCACACACATCTTCGCTATCAGTCACCTCAGTGACGATATGCCTAGCTCAAGGACGGCATCAGCGACGAACGAATGGGAGCTTCCGAACAATATGGCTCGTCTCGGCCCTCAGCCAATGTCTTCACGCACCCTAAAGTTGCCTTTATCTTGCCGGGCCCCTCATTCCTGTGTGTGGCCGGCCCCCAAGACCCCGACATCGTTTTGATCTTCTCAGCCAACGCATCTGCCGCCCTGGCTTTAAGCTTACTCTCTCTCGCTACGAGTAACTATCTAAGTCAAGGGGAGGAGTCGTAGAGCCGCGACAATCGTTCTACTACGAGCGTTGCGATGCTCGACTATCTAAAGCACCATTAAGCGTATGCAAGTGCTAGACGCGGTCCCATTGCATGTCTCCACAGCGTGGATTAACCCAGATTCAATTCGAAGAAGACACACCTAAACGGGTGTGTGTGTAGAGCGGACGTGCATCTTTCGAGTCGTTCTTCCTGGGTGGTCCCACGAAACAAAACACACACACGTACATACATTCCAGCCAGCCAGCCCTTGCCTTTCGGTGCGCCGCACCGCACAGAAGACAGTGCTCAAATGCTCTCCATGCGTAGCCCTGCAACGAAACCCAGAAACGGCGATCACAGCATGCGGAAGGGTCGTTCTTGATCATGCTGTGCTTGTGTATGGGTGGGTGGGTGTGGGTAGTGGTGTGGTGCAAAGAAAGGACTGGACTGTGCTGTGCTGTGGTGCATGTTAGGGAACGACGGGTTTATGTGGGCCATTTCGTTATGCGCATGCGTGGTGGGACCACAACAGCGCCTGTCTGTCCGCCTGCCTGCTTGCCTGCTTTTACTGCTTTGAATGCTACACGTAGTTACGGACACACGGGGCTGAGAAACCTGCATGCAAATATCTAGGTAGGGAGGGCATCTCGAGTCGAGGTTTGCCTTGCTGGCTGGCAATTGCTTTGAGGACCATTTCGTGATTTGCCCTTGAATGAATGAATGATACCACCCCTCCTTCGACGTGAGGTAGGTATCAAAAGCGGGTAAAAGTGCCAAGTTTACTTGCTGCTCTCAGACTCTCTCTCTCTCCGTCTCCTTCCTCGGAGACCGCATCAAAGAGATGTGACTTGACAGACTTTTCACAAGGGAGGGAGGGAGGATATGGTGTGCAAAGAGAGTTAGACCACAAACTTCCCTCGTTGCAGGTGATGTTGCATAGGTCTTCCCTTTCACATTTTCGAATCAATCACAGACTGTCGATTGGGGAATTCTTTACGTCAAAAGCAGCGATTATTCGCTCTCACACACTGCCAGCCAACCAATGGGCTACGCTACAATATCTTTTTTCTTTTTGCATTTTCGAATCAAAAAAACTAGCGGGGCCTGGTAGCACACACATCGTTACACTTTCTCTCCCTGTGTGTGCGCGTGTGTTCTTGTTCTTGTGTTCTCGACCTGCTTTAGATCCACGCCTCTCCCCCACGGTTTGTTCCCGTTCGTGCCGCTAAGCACCGAGCACAACCGTGGTTCAATATCACAGGTCTCGATGGGGTGGCAACGGAAGAGGCACAGTCTGGCAATAGACAAAACAGCACCGTGACTGAACTTCCTTGCACACCATGCCTCCGCCGACACCGGCTTTCCCGGTCCACATTTCAATTTGGCCCTCTCCGGTTAGGCATCTCCCCTTCCCCCGGATCTTTTAGACAAGGCGAGCTTACGGGCTATCAAGCCTTGATGCGGCATGGTTGTAGTAGTTGCTCGGGGAGGGGGGGAGGGATGTTGCTCTAGAGAAGGAGGGGATGGTTTACCCGGTCTTCACATGTTCTACTAACTTTACCAGGAACTTGTCACTCTTGGGTGGAGCAGTGTACGAATCACTCTGCTCGATGCCTGTGTCGTCGACAATGATGGTGGTATAGTTGCTGTACAGTGCGGCTATGATGTACTTCATTTCTGTTCGCGCGCTAACACGTTAGTGACTGGCTTACGGCAATATCATCCGCATCGCATCGCATTAGCAATCACAGATGAAAGGGATGAGGTGATCGAGCTGGTGATGTTGATGCTGCTTTCTTATCCTGCACAACAGGCTGAAAGAGAATCAAATGTCGGCTCAAGACGGGAACAACATATGAGACTTTTTGAAACTTACGGTAAACAGCCAAATGGCTACCCACGCACATTCGACCACCGCTGCGAATTGTATATGTTAGCTTCTATAACTTCCGCCGTTCATTGTGTCTCTCACAGCCAGGGGAGTGGGGAAGGGGGTGTCCAGGCTGCTATAGTAATAATGATATTCGACTAACCTTCCAAAGGCCCAGAACCAACGGCTCTCCATGTCCTTCCTCTTCTCCTCGCTCACTTCCTCCAGCCACCTCTGCGGCCTCCATTCCTCCGCGTGATCATATACATCCTCGTTCAGATGAAGGAGGCCTGCACTCGCGCTCACCCTCACGTTGCCGGGGACATAGTAGTTCAGTTCAGCCGGACCGAGACGGGCGCCCTGCGGCGGCGTGAATCTTGGTTGCGGCCCTGGAATTGCGGAGTGCAGACGCAGCGTCTCCCATGTCACCGCATGGAGCAGTGGAAGCGCGTCCAGGACCTTTGGGTCAGGCAGCTTCGGCGCAGAGGAGAGTGCGATGGGTGGTGACAAGGTTTGAAGCTCCTCCTGCAGCCGAGACTGGATCTCCGGGTGACGAGAGAGCTCGTGGACGATGTATGTGAGAGTGATGCCAGAGGTGTCGAAGCCTGCTGCTAGGTGATCGAGCACCTCGGACGCGACTGTCAGGTCCACGTCGATCTTGTTGTTACCATTGTCCATCTTCGCTGCCTCCTTGGCCACTGCCGCCCTCAGTTGCTGGTAGACCACCGGTGTGTCTTGAGGTTTAAGGTCGGACTTCTGCATCGCGGCCGCCGCGCGCTTGCACATAGCCATTGTCCACTTCTCGATGTTGCCGTTGGCCTCGTCCACCCATTGCGGCGACAGGTGGTAGCCCAACCACTTCTGAACCGCATCTGTCCACTGAGGGAGCTCCTGTGGCCAGAAATTGTACGACCGTCGCGAGTTGTACAGACCCAGGAACCACGTCAACTCCTCGGGGTTCGACACGAGATTCGAGCTCGACTGCAGCCCGAAGATATATCCGGTGACGATGTCCATGGTCATGCCGTGCAGGATGTCGTAGATGTTGAACACCCCATCGCCGGTCGAGACGACGGATTGAAGTCGGGGCAGGAAGCGCTCGTAGATAATCGCAGATACCTGTGCGAACAGGACAGGCGAGGTGGTGACGACGGATTTGCTGTAGATGTTGCTGATGATACGCTTTCGGGTAGAATGGGCCTTGTTGCCTCCGATCGTGAACATGTTATCGATGCTATAAATCCGCGAGAAAGGGAAGGAGTATATCGTCAGCCGAAGGAACATCTCTCGTTTATCACAAATTGGGCAAGATGCAACGCATTGGGGCACTGCTATGGGATACTTCAATCATACAACATCTTCCTTCCCCCTTCCAACACACACCCCACTGCCACCCTTCCAACCCCCCAAAACAAACAAACAAACAAACAAAAGGACAACAGGGAAAGGAACAAGGAAAACTAAAAGACATTGCTCACTTACCCACCATAGTTTGCAAAGAACCCATACCAACAATACCCACTACCATTCCCCTTCTCCATCCCACCCCCATACACCTCCCTGATACCGCCGACCACGCAGTTGACGCTGACCTCCGCCGGAGAAAGACATACCACGGGCCCGAGCCGCGCATGTGCGGCCTTCAGCGTCGCATTCTCGATGCCTCGCCAGCGGACAGACAGAATCCAGAGGCGAGTGAAGGGGGCGAGGGGGTGCGCTGGCGGAACACGGCGGAGGGGGTTTAGCAGGTAGGTAGTCAGTGTGTGAATTAATAGGAGAACTGGGAAGAGGAGCACGAGATGTAAAGGGGACGTCATGTTGTTGTTTCCTGGCGACGTGGATCTGCTTGGGTGCGCGTGTCAGGTCGTCCCCCGGGTTGGAGAGATGTAATTGGCTTGGAATCGGTTCCTTCTTTCGGCGTATCCTCTTTTGGTGTCCCAAGGCGGGAAGGAGTTTCGATGGCTACACGAAGAATGGAGGAAGATATCGGAGGGAAAAGAAAAGGAAGTATGCTAGAGATTCAAGGTAAGAAATGTTGAACTGGGTCAATTGATGGGGATCCGGACAATGCTGGAGATGATATTCAACGACTTTACGTCTATTTCTCTTTATAGCGATTAAGGATTAATGGTAATGATCAGTTGATATGAGAGGAATTGGGGAACAGAATACCCCGTACTCCGTATGAGGAGTTGAGGAATAACTATCTACCCCGCGTGCTTGCTATGACTGGATCGTCTGATAACAGGGCTTATCGATAACCTCAGACTTAAACGCTACCAAATCGGGAAATATATTACTGGCTCACATTGTTGGGCCGGTGGGGAACATGGCTTGACTGGCCGAGGTATGCGTATACGTACGTACTCATGTATCCTTTAATGTATCGACAAGAAATCCGATTCATCATGACACCCAGAACAAATCTTGATGTTCATAGAATCCTGTAGGTGTCTATTCGGTACTTCGTACTCTGTACAGGGTACCTAGGTAGGTATCTCGTCGTCTGAAGATGAACGCGCTAGACGCGGCGGACATTATTCGTGGGTAATGCGAGGCTAATCCTATTCCATCCTGGTTGGCTGTTTTAGTATAAGCACATAACAGGACCATGTACGTGACTGTACGACAACACCAAACTATCAACTATCATAGAAATCCAGATAGTCGACCTGTCACATCTTCAGCCCTCGTTTCATCTACTCATAGAGACACGAAACACTACAGTATCCATAAACAACGTCCCGCAAGAGTTGTGCTTGGATTGCCTAATCCTCCTTTTCTTGGCCTCTCCCATCTATCTCGTTGACGCTACGAGTCGGTTCGCGCAACCCGACAATCCTCGTCGTTCACAATTTCCCATTGTCTTATCCCTTTTTTTGAAATTGAGGAGACTAGTCTTGTGCTGGGAACTGTGTTCTGTCACACCCTTGTATGAGTTCGAACTTCGTACGGGGTATTGCGTGCCGACATCGAATTCTCAATCTTGGTAGCAATGAAGTCATCTTCATCCATATGTTGTATTCACTCCGTACGGAATTTTGATACTTCCTTCATTACAACTCAAGCCAGTCTGCTACAATACAAGCAAAACCCCCCTTCCCGTCGCTTAAAACGCGCCAAATGCACGTCGCAAAACAAGTCGATCTCACGCTTCACGACACTACATCATCATCCCACCGCATCATCCCGTCCTCCCGTCCCTCACTCATTTCTTGTTTACAGATCCACTCTACGGAGTAACTTCCCGTCCCAATGTCACCATCGCACACCGCGAACCTGCACTCCCGTTCGAATGCGTCTCTAGTGCCATTTGGTTTGCCCCCTGGACCCAGCGTCCCGCGTCGGGGGTTTGAAAGTCTAATGTGCATACATACAAAGGTAGCACCACCGATGCTGTACGGTATGATTCATTACATCATGACCGCCAGGATTTCGTTCAATCTTGCGTTGTTTCCCCCTTCTGCTTGGGGACTAGGGGCATCATTTTCTCTCTTTCGTGGGACGGTGATGATGTGACGGTGCAGCATGAGTGCGGTGCCGATACCTTTTGTGCACTGGCAGGAGGACTTACGTGGGTAATGTGCATTATGTACGATTGATACACGGACGGGGAAACCGGGGCGGACGCGAGCATGGCGCTATTCATATTTGTGGGTTTTGGTATGCGGCGAGACGTGCTAAGTACTAGGTCAGATCAGATAGGGTAGCAGGGATGGGGGTGGGATGGGGAAGAGTGGTTTCGTCATTGTGGGATCCATTGCGGTTCGTGGTAACGGTGGCTGGATGGAAAGCGAAAGGGGGTTGGGGTGTGGAGTTGTTGTGCTACGATGGATGAGATGCATGTGTGGGGTTCCGTTACCGTGATTTGCCCCTAGGCACCGCAGGAGAGAGCAGCTGAAAGGACTGGGTTGATAGATCGATGTTTGATTGCAGAGCGGCAGAGTGAGTACAGAGTACAAGATGATGGAAAGAAAGCCGGATCGATCGATCGGAGCCTGTCGACCACATTCAAACATGATGGCATATGTTTCGTAGTCATGGGAATCCGACCGCTTTTGCTATATCAGACGTGCTTTATGATCGCCCCGTAGCCGGTGATCATATTTCTTTTCTTATTCTGCATGTTCTCAATGCCGCGACATACAACCGGACACATGGTAAGTGACCCAAAACCTACACCGTATATACGCCCCCTTTCCCCAGCCAACAACGATCAGATGTCTACCTATCTATCTAGGCCAGCAGTCCGTCCCAGTTATCCCTCACCTGTCCCCAACCCCTGTAATTCCATCTCGAAACGTACGCCGGCGTCGTCCCGTCCCCGCCGTTCGCCGTCGCGTACACGCCCACGATCGCCCCCGTGAAACCCCAACTGATGATCTCGCCTGGCACGGTGGCGATGCGAATGGGCTTTGGCGGCTTTCCACCGTTGCCCCCTGGCGCCACTGCGATGTTGGCGTTGAAGGAGTAGTGCGTCGTGTTCAGCGTTTCGAGGGAGAGGGTTAGGGTTCTGTTGTGCCAGCCGTCGGGCACGGGGACGGTGAGGGAGGACGGCACGGGGATGTAGGATATGGCGTGGAAGCTGAATTGGAGTGAGGGTTTGGTGTTGTTAGTTGAGGGGAGGAGGGCGATTCCCATGCGTGCGTGGTGGTTCTGGTGGCGTTAGTGTGCGTTTGTTCGGTGGAAGGGGTTTGTTATGTGAGGGCTTACCTGGCTGAGGAATAATGTGATACCGACCTCTTCTCCTGGAACAGTTGGTTGGAAGTCAATGTCCACGTTGTAGTCGAACAGCGTGTCGGATTGTCTTCTCCCTACGAATGTCTGACCGCCTGGTCCTCCAGTGTTACCATCCAGACCAGTCAGGTTGAGCTTGGACGGTTTCAGCTGGAGCGTGTTGGGATGTCCTTTGGGTGAGACGACGTAGTTTTCCTTGATAGGAGGTCTCCAGTAGATGAAGTGTGGAGGTATCTTCGACCCCGGGCTGAATTCCAAATCCTCATCTCCTTCGTGGGCGAACGGTCTTCTAGTACGTCAATGATGTTGTTCTTGCCAGATAAGATCAGGCTACTCACCCGTCACCAGGGAGATCTTGGATGATGCGCGGAAGCTGCCACCCACGCATCGCGCCCTTGATAGGGCCATTGAACACCGGCCAGGATCCATTCGACCATGTCACATTCGTCAATACCGTCTCTCGTCCCATTGGAAACGTCTTATATTCAGGCCCAGAGCGAACGGATAACGCGACTCCCCACCTGGTTCAGTCAGCATATGTGCTCACCTAGGACCATTATGTCACGACTTACCAATTTCCCCTGCCATCTTGGAAAAGATCGGCATGTCCGACAGCTTGGACTGGAAGAATGAATGTTAAACATTTCTATCAATATTCTGAGCAGATAGTACGTACAGTAGTTGGTAGAGTTTGCGTTGGTCAGGACCGGGTTTGATGGATCGTTGTCGTATGGACCATACAGATTCTTCGACCGAGCAATTGTGACCATATGGTCTTCGCTTGTTCCACCTTCATTACTTAGCAAATGACCACTAAAAGGTAGCTTGAACACATTCTTCATATACCTTCAGCGGCCAATAGATAGTAGTATCCATCCTTCTGATAAATATGTGGTCCTTCCGGCGCCTTCGACTAGATCAGTAGTGCACAATCAAGACCGCCGACATACTTACAAGTCCTCCCGTACCATTCCACACATTTGTCCAATCAGATTTGACTTCACCAGTTTTAAGATCTACCTTGGCGAGATGAATACCAGGTCTGGCATAGTCAGTCGACTGTTGTATCAGCAAGCTCTGCGACAACCATACTCAACGCGATAAGCATGTGCCCCAACAACGTAAGACTCGCCATCCTTATCCCACACAGGGCTCGGATCATAGCCTTGAAACTTGAAATGCACCGCATCTGACCAGGAGCTCTCATTCCACAAGTCCTTCGTTTCGAATACAATCTGTGCAAGTGCCGTCCATCAGTCATAGCCAAACCAATACAACGCGGCCAACCAATAATCGATTGAGAGGGAACACCTACGTTATCCCATCGACTAGGATCTTGTTCTGGACGCTTATCATGCACCAAAGTGGTCACGAGATAGAAAGTGCCGTTGTGTCGTCGCAGTGTCGGAGCCCATATGCCGCTCGTCGACCCGTTCGATATCGCCAGATCTGGAAGTTGGCTGGCGCGATTCAAGACATGACCTGGGGTAGTATACAAATTAGCCGAATATTGGCGAGATTATAATCGTTTGACGAAGGCAGCAGCAATGACTACGGTTCCCATGCAGATTGGGAGACGAGTGCGAAATTCTCCTGCCGATCTCCCCAGCGAGTGTTCCGAACAAGGGGAATGCCTGGGTGCCAGTGTGGTGGATCGGACCTGGCAGGGAGGATGGATGCCGGACAGAAGAGGCAATATCAACATCGATATAGTCCTTTCAGTGCATGTGATATTGGCAATTCATTTTGCTTCAAGGTTAAACTCCGTTATAGCACCGAGCAACGCCCGAATGTATACTTCCCGGTTTCTGAAGCCGACTAGCAGACTGAATGATGGGTTGCTCTCATCATGCCTTGAGAACAATTGAGGGGTGGTTGAAGTGCCGATGTCTCTAGAATAATGGCCTTGTCGTTTCGATGGAAAAGCTCGACTTACCCACTAGTCTCCAAGATGTCAAATCCTGGCTAGCATAGATAGGAATGCCAGGGAACACATTGAAAGTCGAAGATGCACAATAGAAAGTATCTTCTTCCGGGACATGGATGCAACTTGGGTCGGGGTGGAAGCCAGGAATGATTGGGTTGTAGAAGGCAGTCAAGAACTGGCTGGCGACCGGTCCTGGGAGGGCAACAAACGCGAACCCCAATTGAAGAAAATACATCAGAATCATGATTGCCGAAAGGACAGAGCCACCGATTGCTCTGATTATCGACAGGTGTTTAGTGGTCGTGACAGATTGGAGAGGGAACCCGTACGTCCCATAGCGAGATGTTGCTGCTCCCCACACAGCTTATAGATTGGACGGCCCACCCTTGCTAGAGATCAGCTATTGCTCTTGTGGCATACCGTCACCACTGACCGCATTGCCGAACTTTTCCAGATTTTCTTCAATGATTTCCAGAAGTAACCGGGTAATTAGCCTCGTTCCCTAGCGCCAAGACGGAAACGAAGCGCGTGGAGATACCATTCGAAGTGTGGAGCGCAGCTGGGCAAGTGGAGAAGAAACATATTGCAAACGAGTGTGGGGTACATCAATCTGGTCATGATTACTATGCCGTGTAATGTCAATCCACCGGGTAAACAGCCTAGAGCTTGCTGGTGGAGGGTTAGTACGTTGTAAACAAAAAGCTTTGGATGCGGAGATCGACGTTGCATCCGGTACATGTTGGTACCGAATCACCGAGGCGTGCACATCTCAAGCTCAGAAGACAAATGTGGAAAGTGTGCAGAAGAGTAGTTATCTCGATATTAAATGCATTAAACTCCTTCCCAAGGTATCTTGATTCTACGATGTCAAAACATAATGCTACAATGTCAGTGTGTAGCTCGCTCGACAGGTTACCAATGGCGCCTCAAAGGAAGAGCGCCTGAACACCTTCTGTTCTCCTAAAATGCAACGGAGAAAGACTTCTCTCCATATAAGTGATGCAAACACAGCTTACAAAATCGACCTATGCCTAAGCATTGGCCATGACCAAATCCATTTCATCATCGTACTCTCCTTCAGCATCGATGTCCATTTCTCCCTCGGCGTCGATGTCTTCATCTTCACCTTCAGCATCGACGTCGCTTCCTGGCCCGTCTAGTTCTGGGGCCTTATCTTTACCCTTTTGGATCTTTGTATGATGGGGGCTTCCTGTTGAGCTTCTCGTGCTTCTACCATTAACAGCTCTGACAGCTCCACCATCCTCGGCATCCTCGGTGTCGATGCCATTGACTACACTTTCACCAAGCCTGCTCCTTGTGCGCCTTATGTTGAGACTCGGTGTGAATGAGCCATTGGCTGATGGCGATTGCTTCCCATTTCCATTCCGACTTGGAGACGGGAGTTGAATCTTCGAAACAGGAGCAGTGGCTATGCTGAGTGGAGTGCCTCGAATTCTCTGAGGAGTGCTCGTGGTACGACGTCGTGAGCCGAAGGGACGGCCTGGCCTGCGTTTCGCGGCCGGCATGCCTGGAATGGGAGGGAACACCTCGAATCGGCTGGGAGGTATGGGAGGCTGTGTAGTTGAGGGTTGAGATCCGGCCAAGGCTACTGTTGACATGGCGAGAGGCGTTCCCGGTCCAGGTGATCCATTCCTTGAATCATCCGCTGGGAGTGCGGGAGTGTTTGGTTCGGCGTCCGTAGGCACTGACCCAGCGTCATCCTGAGAAACTCCGTTCTCTTTCGTAGACAAATCCATTTGAACGCCTTCTTCTGGTGCCGGTTTGTCTTCTTCGTCCTCCAACTCTTCGCGTGGTTGCACCGTGTGCAGTGCTGGACCATCTTCGTATTGTCCCAAGCGACCCATGACATATGGAGTCCATACTAGCGATTCCGGATTTATCTTGGGGCTGTTACTTGCGTTGCACTTTTCAATGTACTGTTTCAAGTAATTGCGGTCGACTCGTAGCGCATACGTCTTCGTTACGGGGTCTCGAACCAAAGCACGCAGTCCTTCGAGAGCCGAAACGATGTCGTCAGGTGTCATACCGGTGCGCTCAGAGATGGTCGAGATGCTGAGAGGCGCCTTTCGATCCAGGAGCTCTTCACATAAGACCAAACGCCAGTACTTCCTGTAGCTCACCAATCCCATGTCACTAAGCGGCTTTTCTGGACTGCCTGTCTTCCTCTCCACACGCGTGAGAAGATAAGAAAACTCGATCAGGTACTGGCCATATCCTTTGCGCATGTGTATAGGTAATACCAGGATACATGAGACGTTGTTTAGAGAACTCGGTCGTTTCTCTTTTGAAAAGTAACCGACAAAGTGACATCCGAATTGGTCGTTTTCCGTCATGACATAGAAGAGAAACGGCTCCACATCGTAGTAGAGGGTTTTCGATCCGAGGAACAGCTTTGCAAGCAAACACAGATTTTGGCAATAGACCGGGTTTTTGCGACCGTCTACTTCGAAGAAGGAATACTTTCCATCACGATAGATCTCGTCTCCAGGAGGGTGCTTCGCTGGACATTTGAGCTGTTACTTTGTCAGTAGCTGTGGATTGAAGCTGTGCGAGAATAGCCTACCTTATGCCGCCATGCGACATAATCAGAATTCATGTACTTTAGACAGAACTCGCAAATGTACAGCACCTTGTTCTTGCTATACTCCTCTGGGTACGGGGCGGCGTGCCAGGTGTCGATCTCCCAGCCACCAAAGTTGACGCATTTTATCTTGCTGGCAGGGGCAGGATGCTTGTTCGACTTGATAACCTCCTGCGAGCCATATAGAGCGGCCTGTTTCTTCTTCCAGTCGTCCTCTGCTTTGAGACGCGCATCCTCGAACTTCTTCCTGTCAATCTGGGCAGGGTATGTCTTGGAAGTATCTGCGTCTGCTTCTGACAGAATGCCACCATATGGTTTACTCTTCGATTCATCCACCTCTTTATCAGCAAATCCGTAGAATAATGCGCCGTAATTTGGTTGAATGGCAGGGTAATGTGAGACCTCTGGTGACTCTGCTCGAGTTTGCAATGCTGCTCTACGATTGCGCTCGCGTCGTTCCCGATCTTTCTCACGGCGAACTTCAAGTCGAGGATCGAGACCTTTCTTCTTCGGTTTGGCCGTGACAATCTTTTGGACTTTCTCATTGTTGAGATGGAAAACAACCACTAAACTCAGAGGCCCGAATCTAGCATCGTCTTCTATCCAAACAAGAGGTCGTTTATCGTTTCTCTTGTTCCGTGATCGACTTCCGCGGCGCGCTCGGGCTGAACGTAGTCGAGAGCTCTCGTGTTCCCCTGTTGGATCTTGGGCATCATCTGCATCGGTCCCAGCATCGCTAACCGCATCTTTTGTGGTCAAGCGAGTAGATTCAACCTCGGATTTCGATAGTTCGGATGACCGTCGTTTCTTTCGCATCTGTCTCACTATCGCTGATTCTTGGTCGAGCGACGACTTCCTCCTCTTCCTAAGAGACCGCGAACCGTCCATGGGATCATCTGAAAGAATCAACTCGTTAAATACGGAATGTCCACCAGGGTCGGCACCGCGATGAGAGGGTAACAGATCCCTTGCGACTTTAGGGACAGACGATAACCTACGGCGGGTGATGGATTCGGACACCGATGCAGCGTCGTCCTGGTGTTGAGCATCTTGGAGGCAAGCGGTGCATCGCCATTTCTTCGGGTCTAATAGTTTGTTAGTAACAATGGATGGGATAATTCAGAAGTTGGCGTTAATTCATAACGTACCATCATCGGAGCTAAGCGTATTAGCGTCGCGGGCGCATTGCGGATGTGCTGCAGGAACATGTCAGCTACCCGCAAATAGCATATCTGATTGTATCATCTCAGGGTTTACTTACCGTTATCTCGACACGATATGCAGGTGAGATACTCTTCAAAATCTGGACTTGGATCATGGTCCTCATCCTCACCACAAAATCTACACTGAGTGTTAGCTTTCTCGGGTGACGCCACTTGCGGTTATTCAACACGTACATGCACTCGCTTGAGTCCACCCGCCCCGATTCGCGTTCTTCGTCTTCTTCATTTTCGCCTTGCCATTCGTTCTCATTCTCGGATTCTGAGCTGTTCGAGGCTGAATCATCGCTCACGGAACTCTTGGCATCGGAGAAGGATTCCACCGCAGCATCACCATCCTCGAGATTATCTTCATTATCCTCTGATGCTGAATCTTCAGGTACAGCTAACTTGACAGCGCCCACAGGCTCGTCATCATCGTCGTCCACCTCTTCGCCTTCCGCGTCCACATCTGATCCTTCTGCATCTGTAGTGTTTCCCTCCACACCTTTCATTCCAGAAATCTGATCGAAGTCGACATCCTCGTCTACTTCGTACTCTCCATCAATATCGTTGTCCTCCGAGTCGTTGTTGCTCGCTGAGTGGCCCATGAGCCTGGCCGGCTCTGCCATGGCGAGTGTGACGACAGACGCCAGTTTGGAGACAAAATACGCCAGTGTTTATGTGTTTGATGACTCGCAGCTGGTTCGTTTTACACCAGGCATCCACTCGATGTGTGAGTTGTTGATGTGGGCATGAAGTGAGGCTCCCGGCGCGTCTGGGGGACGTGTAGTGTTGTTGATGATGGATTCGCCGCTCACCACAAAGTGATTTCGTAGGCAGCAATGTTCAAAGACCTTTCTAACGTCCTGTAAACGGCAATAGGTGATGTGGAGATGCCCAAATCGCGTCGATTCGTGCCTGTTGGGGTTCGTGGTCGAGTACGGTCAGTTTCTTCGCCACGTCGCGACTTTTACGTCGGACCAGGGCCCTAGATCTGCGTATTTCGCGATTCGTATGATGGTAGGCGGTCGTGCGACACCGAGAAAATTCGTTTCGTGTGAAGGAGGCGCGTGGTTGATGCGATTTGGCTTGTAATGAACCCCCTACAGAAACGCAGGTGTCGGCCTGCCAAGACATACGCCTCCTCTCAAAGTTAGCTCCGACCCGACCTCACCTCAAGCTCGCAAGTTCATCACCACCCTCACCCACCGACCGTTGCGCAACTTATTCGACCCTGCCGCAGTCATGGGTGTACCTTTCGAAGCTCTCCTCCCCTATGGGATCATGATTGGCGTACGAATGCCCCTGCCCGCCCCTCAATCGCTCTTCCGGATCTTCGACTAACATTGAAGTGCAGATGTTCGGCTTCAGTGCCGCCGCCGTATCGTCGCTCAGGCAGATGCAAAATGGAGGAAAGCAGTTCAGACGGGGTCTTGACGCTTGGGACAGGGTATTTACCCCCAGAAAATTACTACTATGAGCAACACTAACCAAATCACAGCAAAGTACGATAAACCCACGATGACCTCATTCGATATGCGATCATACTTACAGCCCCACAGTGCTCGAACGCGACCGAAGATTGACTGGATTTGCGCGAGGACAGACAGACAAGGCCGAGGCACCAGAGGGATTCGAATTAAACAACCCTTGGAAGGTATGGGAGATTACTATATGTGCACCGGACATAGGACTGACTTCTCCAGGTCGAATCGCGGTTCTACTAGAACTTTTGCTTACTGGGAAAATTCCAAAATTCATGTTCAATCTTCACAGGCTTATTCCCTAGTTGTCCTCAAATCGAGACATCAAACAATTCATGGACGGTGTGTTTGGCAACCTCAAAAGTGAAAGTGACAATCTCATGAGATTCTGAACTATGCGAATATGCAATCAATCCATCGACCAGATCCGCAAATTCCACATCCGATAGTTTCATATTCGTTATACATCGTGTTTCCATGAAGAACCACAATATTATCAAGAGACCAATCATTTTAGCTCTGATGCAAGGCCACGGATACCATCCCTTTCTGATTGGCTAAAGTGGATCCCGAAATGTTCCTCCAACGCTTTCAATCTATCTTCTTCAGATGCAAATGCAATCTCTTTCTCCTTGACCCCGTTGACTCTCCATTTGATGTCACCGTTGCCCAAGATCAAATTTCCAATAAGCGTCTCGCCGTCCTCGCTGACCAACTTCTTCTCTCCGATGATCGTCCTCGTGAAGAAAGATCTTTGACAGGTACTCGTGTAATAGTTCATAATAGAATAGTCAATAGGTAGGAACTCCAGTTCGGTGAAGCAGTAGGTAGTCTGAAAATCCGATTCATTGTTGATTCTGTGTTGATAGATCCAGAGCCGTTGGTGCTCATCGGTATTTCCAGGGATATTATCCCATTGAAGGCGAGCAGTTGCTGGGTATATGTGTAGTTGTGTAGGTCCCGATTTATCGAGTTCCATGGGCACAATTGGACCGTTTGCTCCAAAGCCAACATCGGTATGGTATCTTTTGTTTCCAATCGTGACGATGTTCACCATGTGGCTCCTAACAGGGCGGTCAGCATGCTATGGCAGACGTAATTACAAGCATCTTCTCAAAATTGCACTTGCTATTTCTCGAAGCTTAATCGAACTTACCATCCACTCCATTTCCCGCCGTCGAAGACTCTTGCACCGGCGGAAAATAATTTGAAGCCCAAAGAACGGAGTAAAGTGGCAAAGAGGCAATTGTTCTCCATACAATAACCACCACGCCCATTATTGTCACCGATGATCTTGTTGAATAATTCCTCTGGGTGCGTCGATATTTGTCGATGCTGAGAGTAGTGCAGAGATAGATTTTCGAATGGAATACGAACAAAATGGTGTTTCAGTAGAACTGTGAGATACTCCAACTGCTCCTCAGGCGTCAAAGATGCAGCATCGTATTGACGACGATTCCTAGGCACCTGAAGTCGGTTGAAGTAAGCTTCTACCTGTTCATTTGTGTAAGTTGGCTGTGTTTGAATATTGGCCATATTGTACTATGCAATTATGGTTCGTTCAGACTCAATCGGGTAGTCTCTGTGATGAAATGAGGATGCGGGAAGATGGGTATGGCGGTCACAATTTCCTTTTGATATGATCGGCAAGATCGTCAAGAAGACAAAAGACAGAGAGGACCTGGGCTAAAATATTCTTATTTACAAAGTATCGTCTACTGGAGAGAACAGCATTGAGTAATGGAAAGATGAGTATCTTGCATCGAGAACAACGTCATTAGTAAGGTATGCGTAGCTCCGCTCCTGGCATCAGTGGCGTTTTGGGCCACGCTCGGTAAGAGGCTGTCGCGATGCCGAATTTAGTGGAGTGTAACTCGTAAGGCGGACGCGGGGCTGGTTGGCACTGTGTGCGGTCACTTGTCACTGATCACTGGTTACAACAAGTATCTACTTCGTACTATGTCTTAGTGAGTTAGTTGGGAAAGTAGCCTCGTAGAGTACTCGTAGGTAGATGTGATTGATAATGGCGGGTGCTGTCTCTTTAAAGATTATCCTTGTCGTTGTTCCTGGCCGCTAACCACTCGCACTTACCTCTTTCGGCTGTTCTGGCCCGTGTCCCTTTACGGATTCGCGCCGCGTCCAATCGTCAGGGGTCAGCCTCTCTGCATTCCCCCAAATTTCCCCCCCCAAAGAGAGGGAGCGCGCGCCGTCAAAGAATCAAATATCCCTTCACAATTGTTCCCCTTAACTTGGGTTCCTGAATTTCCTTCAGCTCCGTGCAGCTCCATCCAACAATCATGTCTTACTCGCCCTGATTATTGCAACGACCTGTCCGCTTGTCCTTGACCGCCGGCGTCTATATTGTCAGCCAACAAAACATATCGCCCTGGAAGTCCGGACAGGGTCTCGAATCTGGCCGCCGCCTCGTATACCCTCGCCGTTTGCGAGATCTCACTTCTACCATGAACAACAACACCAACGGACTGCGCACGCAGTATCCTTACGGCATGGAAGCTCTTAGTCCTCGACCGCTGTACGATTTCCCGTCTCCCACCTCGAATTATCCCTCCGGATTCGGCGCATCGCCGGGCTTTGTACCGTCCTCAGCTTTCCAGGGTTCCCCAAGGTTCGGCAGCAGCGTATTCATACCTCCTCCAGATGTCTTCTTGGACGGGCGCAAAGATGCAGACCAATTCGGAGGCGTGGACGCTGTGCGTGACTTCCGCGCAAGGCGCTCAGCCATGCTGAACAGCGATCCAGTCGCTATGCACTTGTTGGTGGAGACAGCCATGGGGGACAGCCAGAACTTTGATATCCTATCCGTGGAAGAGGTGGAGGCTCTGAAGCAGGAGCAGAAGGTATTGGACGGGAAGCTGAATACTGTGAGGAAGAGGTTGGAGTCAGAGACGAAGATTCGTGACGCTACAAAGTCGTTAACGCGGCTGACCACCAAGAAGAATGGACACCGCAGAGGCTTCAGCAGCCGTGGAAGCAATCCAAGCAAGGAAGACATTGTAGTTTCGGACGAAGGATTGGACACGATCAATAAGAAAGTCGACGACTTATCGCGCGAATATCTTGAGATCGAATCGCGCATGCGATTGATCGATGCTCAGCTGCTTATGCACACGGCCGGAGTGCTACAACTGACACATAGCGGCCCGACTAAAAAGGTTCAAAGATCACAGGAAGCGAATGGTGGAGTCCAGAGACCTGATAGTCCCGCAAGCATTTACAACTATGAAAGCAACCGTAGCCTTGGTCCCGATGGTGAGGACCATTTCGACGACAGGAGCTTATACCGATCACCAGAGAACCTCGACGTTCTTATGAATGCCCTCCAGAATGGAACACACCTCCACTCCGAGACTGTGGGACAACAAAGTCAATCTTTGGATGCCACCGCAAAGCGCCTAGAAGACCTGAATGAGCGGTTACGAGAACTTATTGTCCAGGCGAATCCAGAGAAGAATCAGGAATACGCATTGCCTCCTCAGAGTAACGGAGCACCTGATGCATCTTCAATGGATCAGCAACTTGATTTCCTCGACCAAGGTCTCCGGGACATGCGAGCGGAGCATGCAAACATCAAAAATGGCTCCAAGCACGCCTTGAACGCCGTCGAGGGCCGCCTCGAAGGCATCAACAACCAGCTTTACGCTCTGGTCAGCAGGAACGATGAAAAGGCGAAACCTCCTCCTGCGATCTCCGGGGGAGGTGCGCAGGAGCAACTCAACTACATGGAAGACTCGTTTTACACCGTTGAACAAGCTCAATACATTCTCACTGAACAAATCGAGGATCTTCGAACGAACGCCAACAACAACAAAGACGTAGATCAATACGAAACCACGCTCATCGGACTTTGGGACATCATTAGAGCTGGCGAAGAAGAGGCACGCAAGAGGAAACAACAGCGACGTGAAATGCTTGCTGCTGATCCCGATGCCGACGAGGAATTATCTCCAGACGAGGATCCAGGCCCGGAGCAGTTCTCGCTCATGGCATTCTCGGCAAAGGTGCAGATGCTTTACAGTCGCGCGTCTTCGCTCAAGGATAAGCAAAGTATCCTGGTCCGTCAAATCAAGCAACAACGCGAGTTGAACAGCCGCTCCGATGCCCAAAAGGAAGAGCAATTTGATCAACTCAAGGAACAAGTGCTCAGTGCCCGCTCAGAGAAGGCTTCGATGGAGAAGGAGCTCGAACGTGCGATGGGCCATCTTAAAGAGTTTGACCAGCAGAAGGTCGAATCGGACTCTAAAGCCCTCCGCGAGGCAGAGCAGCAAATAGAGTCGCTTGAAATGCAGCTCAAGGAATTCGATCGAGAGAAGATAGAAGCTGAATCGCGGGCGCTCGACGAGGCAGAGAAGCGTATAGGAATTCTTGAGAAGCAACTCAAAGCAGCCCAGGAAGAAGCCCTGGTCGAAGCAGCAGCCATACAAACGGAACGTTCGCAAGACTCAAATAATGTCAACGAGGCCAAGGCAGCACTTAAGGCCGCTATTGCGGATAAGGAGGCTATCCAAGCTGAACTATCGCAAGTGTCTGCCAGGGCAAACGAGTCAGACAATGCGCGCCGAGCTGCGGTCGCAGAAAAGGAGGCAATCAGTTCAGAGCTTGATCAAGCTGCCGGGCGTCTGGATGAAGTTTTGGTGGCTCTTCGGACTGCGTCATCCGAACGGGAAGCCGCCGAAGCTCGTAGCACAGAGGCCACCAAAAACCTCAAGGCCAAGGAGGACGAACTTTCAAGCCTCGAAAGTGAAGTCGTTCGCCTTACCACTGAACTTACCTTCGCCAAAGCTGAACTTGATGGCGCGTATGGTACACGAGCCGAACGAGCTGCTGAAAGCGCTGCCAGCCCAGAGCTGAAGAAAGAACTCGAGGACCTTGTTGCAAAGAATGCATCGATGGCTACTGAAATCCAAAGTCTTCGTAAGATGGCAGAAGCAGCATCACAGAGTGAGGCCGAAGCAAGGGATTCAGAGAGGAATCTCAAGCAAGAGTTGTCCGGGATGGCATCAGAGTATGAGCAGTTGACTCGCGATTCAATTCAGAATGAAAAGGATCGCGAAAGCCTTGAAGCAAGCATCGACAAACTCCGTGACGATAAGGAGGCTCTCGAGATGGAGATCTCGGATGAACGCGTCAAGTGGCTCGGCGTAAGGAGTCCCAGTGTAGCGAATGGCGCTGCAACAATAGAAGCTACTTCCATCCGCATGCTGAGAGAAGATTTCCGCAAGATGATGCGGGATAGGACCGCTGAAGGTCTAAAAGCACTCAGGGTAAGTCATACCACGTACAACACGATAAAGCCAACGTTGACTAAGTAATCGTAGAACGAACAAGAAGAACGACGCAAATTAGAAGCATTGATTCGCACTCTGCGAAAGGAGTCGGCGCCTCAGAAATCCAGTCTCAGCAAATCGCTGACACCTGCATGAAATCACGACAGAAATATTTTCGCTGTTTAGACTCGGCTTCGCATTGCATATCCTCCGCATCTTACTTATAATCCGTTGAATGCATAGCCTGGTCCCTTCGAGACCCTATTTATCATACCCTTTAAGCTGTGTGTAGTTTTATATTTCTTACCATTTTGCATCGAGGAGCCTGTTGGATTGTTCCCTCTATACGGTGCGCTAGGCGTTATTTCCTTTTGAAGCAAGCATGACAATAATGGCCGGATAGCTATCAACTGATCCATGATTGCCGGGAGCATTGTATCATCAGTCTAATGCTGTATGTTGCACGAGCATGAACATTAGATAGCTGCTCTTCAGTGAGTTCTACCAGAAATGGGAACCATGACGTAAGTTTATGATTTGTTCAACGTATGTTTTGGATGTCTCAAATGCGAATAACAATGTCCACATGCATTGCCGATGTCAATACCGAATGTCCAAGTTAATTTGTTCCGTTTGTTTACTGTTTTTGAGCTCTTGTGTGCCCATGACTCGACCCACCTACTGTCTCAATGTATCTTTCCGCATTTTTGGTGCGACGTGGAACCAAATATAGCCGTATTTCATGTTCAACACCTTTCAGACAAATGGTACCTTCACCCAATTGTTACTTTTACATGTTGTTCCTCGGACGTGATGGAGATGGAGTGGTCTCATCTAATCTCAGGCTGATCAAGGTCGGGAGATCGCGGTCACGTGGGCGTCGGCACCAAGCACCGCCGATTTCCGCACGATTTGTTCCGTCACGATGCTGCCAGGGCACAGGGAACTCCTCAACTCTCTTGTCATTCTGCTCCGTACGCCTCCTCCACCACCACTTTGGGGCACACTTTGCCCACAACGCCCTCGATATCGCTTGAGATGTGATACTACGTCACTACATCGCGCTTTATTCCTACCTTCGTACTGAAAGCTCTACAACCTCCCCAACAGCTACACCGAACACAGCTCTTCCCTCCCCTTCCCCAAGCGCTCGCCCACGATGCCACCCGCGGGCAGCTCGCGCACTGCGGTGGCCACCACAGCTTCAGACCGCCGTCAATCAACGCGACAAGGCCGTACGAGCGTTACGAGACCTACCAATTACTATGCGCGCACCTTCGCGGGCAGACTCTCTGCCATGGGCGGGCTGGAACAGACACCGCCTGCGGTGAATTCGAACCCGGGATTCCTCCCAGCCCTCACACACTTCACACAGGCCGTAGATGCGTTTCCAAAAGAACTCATTAAACACTTTTCTATGTTCAAGGAAGTGGAGGCGAAAATGCACGATTCCGAGCAGATGCTCGAGCAGCTCTTCCGAGAGATCGCGCGCCAACCCGTCCCAACCGTCCGCGAGCGACACTCAGCCACCCAGACCCTCGCAGCGGGTGACAACAGCGCAAATAACAGCGTCAACGGCTCTATGACGCAGGATGGTTCTGTTCAGCCACTGTCGAACTCGGTCGATCAGCTTCCTACCGACCGCAGCGGCCTCCCTCAGTCCGAGCAGGCTCAGCTTGAGCGCCGCGAGCTGTTCCTCCGTCTGCGTGTCGTTCTGGCATCAATGCTTGCGACGCTGGACGAGAAGATGGTTGTACTGAACTCAGCCAAAGGAACTAAGGACAGAGGTCTTGCGCGCATGCTCAATTCCTACGCCCACCTCGATGAAGAGATCAGCGAGGAGGCTCGCTATGGAAGCCTCACACACTGGGCCTATGCCGACAAGGAAGAGAAGAAGAAAGGCGGAGCATCACACGAGCGACAACGAAGAGAGGTGGTCGCAGCGAACAATCTCGCTGCTGCCGCGCAGCATGTTCACGATGTTGACTCAATTGCTGCTAAGAGCGAAGCTAGACGCGAGGCCATGTTGGCCAACAAACGAAACCGACACAACCACGTCGACTCCGAATTCGAAGATCGCCCCGTCAAGAAAACCCATAAACGTAAGGCGGTCGCAGCAGATGCGGGTGCCGCAGTTGGGTTGGGTATCATGAGTAACGGAGTGGCACAACCAGGAGGCAAGCGGAAGAAGACCGAGAAAGCATTGGCTGCGGCCGCTGCGGCCACAGCAGCCGCTCCAGCAATGGAGAGATCGCTCAGCGGTGCGCTCAAAGCTGCTGGAGGAAGTGGGAGGGGTGGCGGCAGCCCAAGAGCTACACCTGCAACAGAGGGTGGTCCAAAGCGAAAGCCTCGTACTGGCCTGGAACAAGCTCAGCGGAAGAATCAGTTGCCTACCCATTCTCCCCCTCTTGCTTCATCACCACTTGCTTCAAGCTTCGCCATTTCCAAGGCGACAGGCGGAGCTGCTGATCGGCCAGCATCTGCTCGTGCTAGAAAGAATTCGACCGCAAACTCGGTGGCCTCAGTCGCTCAAGAGGCACCAAACGGTCGTCGCCCATCCTCCTCACACTCCATACGCCCTCCTCCGACAACCACTGCTGTGGAAGAGCCCGAGCAACCGGTAGCAACTACCCGGGAAACCACGTCGACAAAAGTCCCTACACCTAAGGAAGTCCCCGAGCCTCCTCAACCTCCCAAACCTTCCACTCTCAAACACGAAGAACCTGAGGTTGAAGAACCTGAAAAGATGGAAATCGACGTCCCTACACCAGCCCCAGTCAACACAACCAAGGCCAGCAAATCATCCAAAACAGCTACGCCTGTCGTCAGCACATTCCCCGAAATACCTATGGCGCGAAGTCGAAGCACACGCAACGCCAACAACGGCAATGGCAACGGCACTTCCCAGACATCATCCGAGAACAACAGCACTTCCACTGGAACAGTCTCGAAGCGTGGTCCCAAGAAGAGTGCACAAACGACAAACAGTGCAGCCTCTCCCGCTCTCAAGGCTACCAAAGAGGTTACGAAGCCCGATCCACCATCTTCTGCGTCGTCCGTGGCGCCCGATCCCGAGTACAGCGACGGGGCCGATGAAGATGGTGATGAACCCCGATTCTGCTTCTGTAACGAAGTCTCCTACGGAGCCATGGTGGGCTGTGACAACGAGTCATGCCCGCGAGAATGGTTCCATCTGGCCTGCGTCAACTTGGACAAGCCACCGCCATCGCGCACCAAGTGGTTCTGCAGCGACCAGTGCAAGGAGGCCTACAACCGGACCACTGGCAAGGGAAAGGGCGGTCGTCCGGGAAGCAGTAGACAATAGGAATTATGTCGGAGTTCAAGGAGTTCGGGTTCTGGTCAAGGTTCTAAAGGTAAAGGTAGAGCTAGAGGAAAGCTTGGCCTTTGGGATGGCTGGGATGCTCTCTAAATGGGTTTGATTTATCGGGTATCTGGACAATCGGCGTACACGGGATTTGGTGGCTCTCTGCTCATAGATGCCACGACGTTGAAGGTCTGGAACGAAACACTGGAACCTTGGTCTTGCAACTTGTGCTTCTGCCTTCGGCGCGGAATGGGATACCTCTACGTTTTTGTTTTCCCTCATCATCATCATGTACTTTCCTTTCTTTCCTTCCACCACCGCTATTTCAGCGTTACCCATCTTCAGTGCCTAGATTTGGCTCAAGATGTGGTCATACACCAGGAGTTAAGGTTATCTGATAATACAGTTATAGCTGTATCTGAACTGTTGTCAGCGGTTTACCAAGATGTTTGGGTTTACCAGCGACCATCACGGGCTGCCAATAATATTCATATGTAGACGAAAGTGACTTCCAATGTTTTCCACCCTGTCCATCTGTGTACATCAATGTGATCAAGCCTGCAATATCTTCAAATTTCAGGAATTTACTAGATTGATTGCAATCCACTAACCATAGTTCATTGCAATTTCTCGTCTCGTCACGAGTTACTGGCTTTGTCTGCTGGTAAAGCCGATCGATCACCACCACCACTACTCACCCATTAACAGTCAACTAGGACCTGGACTAACCCCGCAAGGCATGGAAGTGGAAGGATGACGGTAGCTGACGGGTGCTGACAAGGGTCATAGACCGCGCAGTGGATCTTCGTCCTACAAACTAAGCGAAACCCTTACTACTCAGCGCCTACAACTGGCTGGAGAGCTGGGCTGGGGGACAACGGGGATTGTCAGACCGCTAGTATGCGGCTGGATTTCCAGTTCGCTGTCCCAAAAGTGTCAAAAGTGATAGATAATACATAGTTCCTTATTTCCCTCTCCATCTCTCGCTCTCTTTTTGGAAGAAAAAACCCAAATTCATGCACCATCCACAATGCCCGAAAACGCCTCCATAACCTCAGAAGAACAGCCCATCTTTACCCCCGAAAGCTACCCCTCGGGTACCCCGCCCGACCTGCGACTGCTGCACTACAACGATGTTTACCACGTCGATTCCTCGTCGGCGGAGCCCGTCGGCGGCGTGGCGAGGTTCCAGACGCTCGTGAATTACTACAGGAATGATGAGAGGTTTGCGGGGCAGTCGGAGCTGCTGACGTTCTTCTCGGGAGATGCTTTCAATCCTAGTTTGGAGAGCAGTGTGACGAAGGGTATGTATTCCTAGATGTACTTGCTTCAGGGACAAGGTGAAGACATGGATTATGGGATTTGCTAACTTGGATATAGGTAGCCATATGATACCCGTACTCAATGCCATAGGCACTGACGTAGCTTGTGTCGGCGTAAGTCTACCTTTCCCCATTTTACTATGTCTCAATCACCACCTACCACGCACACGACACTAACAAGAGGGTAAAACCCCCACAGAACCACGACCTCGACTTCGGCGTCAAGCAATTCCGCCATCTATCCACACAATGCAAGTTCCCCTGGCTCCTCGCCAACGTCCTCGACCCGGCCCTCGGCGACGGCGTCCCGCTCGGCAACGCAGGCAAGACACACATGCTCGAGTCATCCAACGGCATCAAGGTCGGCGTGATCGGGCTTGCCGAGCGCGAGTGGCTCGATACGATCAATTCGCTGCCGCCGGACATCATCTACAAGTCCGCGTCCGCAACGGCGAAGGAACTCATCCCCAGGCTGAAGGCGCAGGGCGCGGAGATCATAGTCGCGGTCACGCATCAAAGGGAGCCGAATGATAATAAGTTGGCGGAGTTGACGGGTGGCGGGTTGATTGATATCGTGCTGGGTGGTCATGATCATTATTACTCGCATAGCTTCATCAATGGCACGCATGTGCTGAGGTCCGGGACGGATTTCAAGCAGTTGAGCCATATTGAGGCGTGGAGGAGGGAGGGTGGGGGCTGGGACTTCAAGATTGTGAGGAGGGATGTCGTGCGGAGTATACCCAAGAATGAGGAGGCGAAAGCGTTGGTCGAGAAGTTGACGAGGAGGTTGAGAGAGAAGCTCGACAGGCCCATTGGTTTGTTTCCACTTTGCGTTTCTGATAGCATTGATTTGACTGACGTTGAATTGCAGGATACACTGCCGCCCCTCTGGACGCCCGCTTCACGACCGTCCGAACGAAAGAGTCCAACATCGGCAACTTCGTCTGCGACCTCATGCGATACTACTACGACGCCGACTGCTGCATCATGGCCTCCGGCACCATCCGCGGCGACCAGATCTACCCGCCAGGCGTCCTCCGCCTCAAAGATATCGTCAACTGCTTCCCGTTCGAAGACCCCGTCGTCGTCCTCAAAGTCACCGGCAAACAAATCTGGGACGCCCTCGAGAACGGCGTATCCAACTACCCTGCCCTCGAAGGCCGCTTCCCCCAGGTCTCCAATATCAATTTTGAGGTCGACTACACCAAGCCGCCGAACTCCCGCGTCGTGAGCGCGCAGATCGCCGACGCCCCCATCGACTTCGAGCGGGAATACGTGCTCGCGACGCGCGGGTACATGGGGCGAGGGAAAGACGGCTACACATCTTTGTTAATCGAAGAGGAGGGCGGGACGGCGAAGGAGATCATCACTGAGGAGACAGGCGTGCTGATCTCGACCATCCTTCGCCAGTACTTCATGTCGCTCAAGGTGCTCGGGAAGTGGAAGCGCTGGGGGAAGAGCATGGATCGCAAGTTCGATCGCGTGCAAATGTCATTGCAGAGGAATCATAGCTTTCACGATCCGTCGCCTCGGAGCCCTATTGCTGCGCCAAAGCATCCGAGAATGATGTCGTTGAGGAGGGACGATGCGCCGACGCCGAGTGACAGCGAGGCGGAGAATGATAGCGACCATGATGATGGGCCGGTGTATGATGATACAAAGCCGATCATGTTTACGGAGAGGGAGTTGAAGGTTGCGAGAGGGGTTATGAGGAAGTGGTGGAGGTTGGCGGGTTTGAAGTATGCGCCCAAGGCGTGTGACGAGCTTGAGGTTGGGGAGTTTGAGGTCAATTGGACCAAGGCGATTGCGCCCAGGTTGGAGGGAAGAATCAAAGACGTGAATAATGTCGATTCTTCGTCAGAGTAGTCAGTGGGATTGGTCAGGACACTTTGATATGGGTCCTGGTTTGGTGTTTGGCTTACGATTTTACGAGCGACTAAGAGAACAAAAAATCATATACGGCTTGGGAACATATCTAGAAGATAGGAAAAGGAATTATGATCGAATGATACATATTGGCATAAACAAAGAGAATGGACTTCTCGTCAATTTGGCGATAAGATGATACCTTGGGATTTCAAGATGTTGACTCGGTCTCTTTCCAATACGACGTCATTGGCTGTGAACATACATAGACCCCCTGTTCACTCAATGATCTCTTAATATGCTCACATCAACCAATTTCACATCACCTAAGCTGACACTATATTCGTCGACGAATGTTTACTAACAGACAACACTCATCGTAAGTCACTCGTATCCGATAGCACCCCTCGGAAAAGATTCCGCCGTCCTGTTTACCTCCACTACCCTCTTAGCCCTCCATCCAGCGCACCCCCGCTTTCGTCTCCTCCCCTCCCGACCCAACCACAACCCTCGAATTACCATTCTAGTCATTCACGCACGACAACCTCCCACCACCGATCTTGCCCCAAACCGGCAAAACGTCAGCGTGCAGGACACGAAGTGTGGGGAAAGGCGTGCATTAAAGCACACGCCCTACGGACAATACCCGTTAAACACTATGTATGTTCCGAGGCATAGTGTGCGGCATCTTATCGACAATTGGGTGAGTGGGTATGTACCAGGGGGATACGAAGGTATAAGAACAAAGAGACGCCCGAGACGACGCAAGGGCCCCGCTGGCATTGATAAGATTCGGTGTCTTACTTTGCTATCTGTTCGTTAACTGAGGGCTTTGAGTGCGAATTCGGACTTTGGGCTTATCGGCTTGAGGGGAAAGTTGCTTTATAACTAGTTGTTGCTTTTGCTTCTCGCTGGCACCTTTATATATACCATACCATTACACTGCAACACCTCGGGCTCCAACCAATTCGTCAAACACCATCAATATGGCACCACCGTCCGCCGTCGAGTCCCTCAATGGAGGGTCCTCGGATGCCCCAACCGACGCCAACATTGCACCCCACGAGCCGGCCATCGCTGAAGAGACGGTAGAAGTCAAGATGAAGAAGATGCAGCTCCCCAAGCCGCCCAAGTTCGACGACCCGTACAAAGAGCGTGCGTACCTCAAGGGACGGTTAGCAGCCGCGTTCCGCATCTTCGGCAAGTATGGATTCGACGAAGGTGTTGCTGGACACATCACTCTCCGAGTAAGTCTTCCTATCACACACAAGCATCATGAACATCAACCATACTCACACCATCCCCCCAGGACCCCGTCAACCCCGACACCTTCTGGGTCAACCCCTTCGGCGTCGCCTTCTCCCTCATCAAAGCCTCGGACCTGATCCTGGTGAACGAAGCCGGCGAGGTAATCGACGGCGGGCCCTGCCGCCTCCTCAACACCGCCGCCTACATGATCCACTCCGCCATCCACCAAGCGCGCCCAGACGTCAACGCCGCCGCGCACTCGCACAGCATCCACGGCCGCAGCTTCTGCGCCCTCGGCCGCAAACTCGACATCATCACCCAGGACTCCTGCGCCTTCCACAACGACCACGTGCTGTACGAATCCTTCAACGGCATCGTGTTCGCGGAGGAGGAGGGAAAGAACATTGCCCGCGCGCTCGGAAACAACAAGGCCGCGCTGCTGCAGAACCATGGGTTGTTGACGGTGGGGGAGACGATCGAGGAGACGGTGTTTTGGTTCGTGAGTCTTGAGAAGTGCTGTCATGCGCAGCTGATGGCGGATGCGGCGGCGGCGGGCAGGGGCGGAGAGACGGTCAAGATTCATGAGGAGGATGCGGCGTATACGTATAAGGCTGTTGGGTCGAAGGTTGCTGGGTACTTTTCTGCGAAGCCGCTGTTTGATGTCATTCATAAGGAGACGGGGGGTGATTACTTGGAGTAATCATATCAATATGGTTGTGTGGTCATTGTAGGCGTTTGGGGTCATTCATTTGCATCGTTTACCTACCTATACTTTACTCAGTTGAGCAGCACGGGTTAACAACCTACACAAAATCCATCTCTACACCTATACATCATGACCTGAAATGAAATCGCATACAATCAAGACCCCGCTCTCCAGCGTTTGTACACTGACAGTCCCGGTCTCCAATGTCCCGAGAAACATACACTCCACACGCTAGTCCGCATCAGGCAACCATTCCTCCAGAAACACAAAAGCCGAACTTACGCTCCGCATTTCTCAAATTTCCCCGTGGCATGACAGACAACGTCAATACACAAAGCAACTGTTCTCATAAAGCGAGCGGGGAAGCACAGAGAGGGTCTCGCGACGCAGATAACGCCACCACTTCAACCCCATCACCTACCATTCAATGGGTTGGCGAGGCGAGGCGAGGCTGGGAAGATGCGGGGAAGGGGAGTGTGAGCGTGATCAGTGCGTCGTTCGTTCGTTCCGTTTCGAAACGTAAGATCAGGAGCTATGACCTTTGTTTCCGTGGGGAGACAGACGCGAAACGGTAGATGCAATACTGTGGTGGTTGGGGCCTAGACGTTTCTTATGTCTTAAAGAGTACATAATGGGGGGGAGAGATGCATGTAGTTGGATATAGGTACGACTTATGTAGGTGCACACTGCACACTGCAAGCACAGTGATGGTTACTGTATATTATTATTGTACGCGTGAGGTCCGGATTCGTCGGAGGAGAATGGGTGAATAGTAATATTTCTTTGCTTTTTTTGCCCTTTTTGTGGAGCAGGGGGGAGGGTGGATTGGTAATGTTGTTGGAAACGGCGGAGGTAATTACGGAGGCGGAGGGATGAGAAAAACGGAGGAAGAATGGAAGGAAGGAAAAGGAGAGGGTAGGGATTGCAGGGAATTGTTCCGTTTGTCAAGTCATCAGATATCAGCTGTTATAGAAATAGAAGAAAAGGATGAACCTGTGGAGTTGTGACTTGTTAGATACGAGAGGAGGGGACTTCCGAGTCGGAGTCTGTTAACAAGAGAGATACAAAGATTCCGAGACAGGTAAGCGGAGGCACAGAAGTACAATGAGACAGGACAGGTGACAGGTATTACAGGTACTACAGGTACTACTACAGGTACCAACTGACGAGTCGTCGAATTAAGTCGAGTTAAAGTTTTTAAGTTTAGCGGGGGGTTTATACGGGTCCATGTCACTACGAGGTACGGCCATACTGTAGGTCATAGCTCAGTCCCTCCTTCCCTTCCATGTTCCATCCCTCACTTTATCGATTCCATTAACTACCACCACCGACGCTACCCTACGCCTTCCCTCACACCTACAATCAATTCACCTACCTCACACAACACTGTCTACCCTACTATATACCTGTCAAAGACAATTATCCGGACCCTCACATTTACTGGCACTTCCACCACCCTCTTCCTGGACGCTGCAGATATCCGACTACGCCGCCGCTGTATGCGAGGATCCCACCTGTACCCTTCACCTCGATAGGTGCGCCGGGAAATTTGAAGAGCGACAGACCAGACCTCCGCAATGGGGAAGGAACCTGCTGTCGTCATTGTCGCAAGGTAGGATTTCCCAAGGTCATTACTTTTCTATGTGTTCCACGCAAGCAATCATCCCGACCTTTTGGCTAATCAATCACAATCCAGGCACGGAGCCAGACTAGATGCCGCGGACCAAGCATGGCACCTCACCTCGCCCGCCCCATACGACCCTCCCTTGACATACGGCGGCTGGACACAGTCAAAAGCATTGGGATTGCGCATAGCCTCGCTCCTGCATGACCGAGTACAAAAGGCAGAGGCCGACGAAAAGGCCAGCAATGCCAATGCCGATCTCGCACATCTCAACTTCAGTCCATTGGATGCCGTAGGAGAACACAGAGCCAGCATTGCAGATGGATCGCAACGCCCCAAGCGACGGCAAAAGATTATCATACATTCCAGTCCGTTTCTGAGGTGCGTTCAGACGAGTACGGCCATTGCAGCGGGCATATCGCAGTTCCAGGCCCCACCCGTCACAACTGTGAAGACGCCAGAACCAAAGCCTCGCGGCAGTGTGGAGAGCCAATCTCCATTGACCCTCAATACCACATCGGCACCTGCCGTGCAGCCGCCATCTCCCAAGAATACCGCAGACGCGAACCTCGAAGTCTTTCCCAAGACACACATTGGACCTGACAAAATATTACTTCGCGTGGACGCATTCCTTGGGGAGTGGCTCTCCCCGGATTATTACACCGACATCACTCCCCCACCGGGTTCGACTTTGATGGTGGCTACAGCGAAAGCAGACTTGCTTCGGAGGGCAGATTACATCGAGGTCCAGCGAAAGGTCGTCCACCACCATGGTCATTTCCCTGGAGGGTGGGTGAGGAGCCCCGGACCAGCTTCGCCTGGTAGCCGGAGAGCTACGCAGGATGGAGGGTTTCCATCGATGGGGAGCTTAGCTCAAGCGCTACCACGAAATCGCGAGCGGTCTAATAGCCAAAATTGTCTCATCAGACGCAACTCTGGGTCGAGGGAAAGGGGCCTTTCGTCTCTTGTCACAACGCACAAAGCTCCCGACCATATCTATGACCCGCCGGTACCATCATACGCAGTGTCACCCGCGGATCCTATACCTAGGGGATACGTCGCCCATGCTCGGGACGCCTGCCTGGACATCGATTTCCAGTGGAACAGTATGCGGCCCCCTCAGGAATGGGGAGACGGCGGCGAATTTGGGGATGAATGGAGTACCATGCACAAACGGTTTCGTCGGGGACTAGCCGGGATGATGACTTGGTACAAGGAGTATGGAAGTGAACGAGTGCAGGATCACTTCCAGGGGTTCACATACCGTGCGCATCCCTTCGCTCGCTGCTCTCCGCTGCCCTTGCTCCAGCGTCCCTCCGCGAAACGCGAACCAGCACCACCACCTCCACCGGAAGAGGAGGATGAAGATGAAGAGCTTGTGTTGATCCTCGTTACCCATGGTGCTGGATGTAATGCATTGGTGGGTGCGATAACCAATCAGCCTGTCCTCATTGACGTGGCCACAGCGTCTTTGTCGATGGCTGTGAAGAGGACTGAACCACGAAGGCCATCTCTGTCTGCTCCACCTCTGCCACGTAGGCGTTCAGTTGTGGACGTAGGGATGGCACACGAGTACGAGATGAAGATGATCGCTTCGGTAGACCACTTGCGTCCTGGTGTTGATCCTGCGAAGCTCCCTCAACCACAATCACCAGCAGTCACTGTGGCGAGCCCGTCACTGGAGTATCGACGCCGTTTTACTGGCACGAGCACCACCAACAGTCCAATTGATTCTCCAGTATCTCTGGGGCAGCCATGGAGGGCAGTTAACAGCTCACTGGGAAGCATCAGACGTAGTTCCACATCAGGGTCTTCCCAATTCTACTCTGGAGCTTCGCAGGGGTCCGCCTCGCCGTCCCTGGGTCTTTGGTCAAGCCTCAAACCGCCGACCCCCTCGGAACCGGCAGATGGCAGAGTAAGCCCTGGTTCCGAGATGGTTGCTAACTTCCAGGAGCATAAACCAGCTGCCAGCATAAGGCAGCAGAATGGACACACCGGAGCAGACACAAACACCAAAGATGCTACCACAGTGAAAACTGAGCAAGAGCATCATGCGGAAAACGACCATGTTCCACCTTTGCCCAAGGTCTTATCTAGGAGCCAGAGCCAGAGCCAGCAAGGCCTTTGGATTCCCAAGGCGTCGAAGACGACGAACGGGCTCTGGGGACCACCACGACTCGAAGAAATCAGCGAGCACGCCAAAGGCCCGAAAAGGCGATGGACTATGTCTGGACGAGATTAACGACGGACTAATTGCAACAATAGCATCATAATTTTAAGGAATGATTCGCGATTCCTCTCCCCTTGCATGGCACGAGCATCTTATTGCGCATTCTAGGCGTTTCTTAGTGCTTTTCAATTGCTCCCGGGCCAAAAGTGTTCGAATCAACTTTCGTTGCAGAAGCCTTCTTCTCAAGTTGGAAGTCGATAGACGTTCAGCAAAAGAATGGGTGGATGCGATTTACAGTTAGTTATAAGAATGTCCAGCACGATACCCCTTATACACCGAAATACAATAAGCTGCATCTAGCCAATCTTGTTGATTACTGCTCGTTCTGCCTTTGTCGTTTTTCACATAATGTGATTTCAGGATTCTTATTCGTTTGTTCGTTGATTATGATTGAGGTCAAGTAGTTTTCTCTCCCTTCCACGCACTTACGTCTGCTTATGTCAAAACAAAGGGGAGGTGGAACTCCGCATATCAGATCAGCAACCACCCCTACCTACCACCACACTAATCCGATATCTGGTTCCGATTCCTTTCGGAACGTGGATTACCAATGCACCTCCTCACCTAGGAGGAGTAAATGCTGATGAACCAACCCTAATACTGTTGTTTCCCAGGCTCATCGAATCATTCTCACATGGAATTGCGAATGCTTGGATTGATTACAAATACGATCGAGGTGGTGATCGATTAACTATGGTCAATATAAACCACCATCAACCTCAACCTCATATATCAATATCAGACTAACGTATCACCCAGAATCTCAACCCCTTTAAGCACCCAAATCCATAGTCAACCAAAACAACAGAACCCAAAGAAAACAGAACAACCCCCTCCACAATGGCCCCCCAGAAGCCCCTCCGCACCGCAATAATCGGCCTCTCGGCCAGCGCCTCCTCCTCCTGGGCCGCCGTCGCGCACCTCCCCAACATCCTCAGTCCGACCGGCCAAACCCTCTTCACCCTAACCGCGCTCCTCAACTCCTCCCCCACCGCCAGCAAAGCCGCCATCCAGAAATTCTCCCTCCCCCAAGACACAACGCACCCCATCTCCTCGCCCGCCCACCTCGCCGCCGACCCCACAATCTCCCTCGTCATAACCAACACCCGCGTCGACAACCACCACGCCACGACCCTCGCCAGCATCCGCGCAGGCAAGGACGCCTACATCGAATGGCCCATCGCGTCCACGCCCGACCACATCGACGACCTCGTCCGCGCGGCCCGCGAGTCCGGTGCCCGCGTCGCAATAGGGCTGCAAGCGCGGTGGGCGCCTCCCGTGCGCGCGCTGCGGGACGTCGTGGAGTCCGAGAGGTTCGGCAAGTGGACGAGCAGCCGGTTCGTGGCGTATAGTAATGGCACGGAGGTGTCGGAGGGGTTGAAGTACTTTACGGAGAGGAAGGTCGGTGGGAACTTTGTCACGATTTTGGGGGGGCACTGTGAGTTTGTCTCCTCTCCTTTTTCTTTTTCTCTTTGTCTTTCCCTTTCCCATCCTTTCAAGCCGTTTTTGAGTTTGAAGAAAACTTGATTTGAATTGAATTGACTTGATCGAACTGAACTAACGTGTGTGTATCTAGCGGTGGATATGGTACAATCCGTAATAGGAGACTTCGCCCCGGACGCAGACGCCCACCTCTCCAACCTCTACCCAACCGTCACCGTCCGAAACAACGACGGCAGCACCTCAACCATCCAAAAAGACGTCCCGGACATCTTCGTCGTGCAAGGCCACGTCTCCAACGCCCCGCACGCCGCCCCCAACGCCATCTCCACATTCCAGCTCCTCCAGCCCTCCCCTTTCCCCGGAACCCCAAAGCTCGAATGGGTGATTTCCTTCGAGCGCGGAGAGGTGCGGCTCGTGTCGCAGGACAGCCTTGCCCTCGGCACCGGGACGCCGTACGTGGAGGGCGCGACGCAGCCGACGATTCAGACGCATGACTTTGAGACCGGGGAGGTCGGGAAGGTTCCGTGGGAGTGGAGCGCGGAGGAGAAGGAGGTCGGGGTTAGGGCGAGGTCTGTGGGGAGGAGTTTGAGGGCGTTTGCGAGGGGAGAGAAGGAGGGGGACGGGTGGGTGGGGATTGAGGAGGCGGCGGGGAGGGCGAGGCAGGTTGAGGGGTGGTTGGTTAAGGCGGGGTTTTAAAGTCATGCTGGTCACCATCCGAGGTTCTCCTCGTCGAGGAAGTCGTAGACCATTACTTTCTCCAGCAGGACGTCTGTTTCTTTCTGGTTTTTTTCAACACTCATCAGCAAACACCCCCATAATCAAAACGACCATTTCCTCATAGTTCTTCCTCAGAAAGGGAAAAGGGATAACGTTAAAAAGAGATATATCAAAAAGTCCAAACATACCTTCAACTCATCATGCCCAGGATCACTATCAAACTCCTTCCTCGCCGCCTCACTCTGTTTCACACATAGTCAGCCTTTTCCCTTACCCCTACCCCCCTCCATACTCCATCAAAGACCAGAGAAGACGTAAGACCTACCCTAAACCTAACAACAAACCCGAAATCCCAGCCATCCACCCTGCTCACGTTCGTGAGCTCCAACGGCGTGTTCAGAGGCTTGCCGCCACGCGGCGGGGACACGATGAGGTCTTCGTGCTGGGAGTAGAGGGCTAGGAACGCGGTGGCTCGGTCGTGCTTTTGTGAGGAGGTGGTGGAGGGGAGGAATTTGAAGAGGGCGATGCGTGTTGGTTGGGTTGAGTTTGCGCTGGCGGGAGGGGAGGGGGTGGACATTGTGGTTGTGGTTGTTAGGGGGAGTGTGAGAAGGAGGATGGGGAGGAGGGGGGATTTCATGGTTTGAGGGTTTGAGGGGGTTTATGGGAGGGTTGTGGGTGGTGGGTGGATGGGGCGTGGTGTTGATGTTACGGGGATGATGTGGAGAGCCGGATTGTGGTACGGGTGGTGGGTGGTGCGGGTGGCTGCATGGAGGTATGCAAGGGGGTGATTTTGACGGACGACGCTGAGTGTGTGAGATTTGGATATAACTCTTTTGTGTCAAGTGAAGAACTTGGAGAATGGGTTGGTCATGGAAATTTGTTGGTTGCTGTCTCGAATAAGTATATCGCTACTCAGAACGTTACGAGCCCCTATAAGTTGTCCACTAACTACATCTTCATTCATATCTCCCATACTTGTTCGTTAACCCTAAAGCAGATTGGAACTTATTTACACTCTTCTGCGCCCATATCAATCTCATATAGTCAGATGCTTCCTTAGCATTGCATAGTATTCGGTACCGAACCCTTCCAAACAGGCCCACCAGGCGCCGTATAATTAATCTGACCCTGTTGGATCCGCCACAGCTCCGTCAAGATACCCTCCTTATCATCTGGATTATACGACCCCGGAAGCGCAATGCCAGTCGGATTCTCGCTGCCTCCGCCCGTGACTCTGATCTGCGTGCAACTCGGATCTATAAAACCGCATCATCAGTAACCAAACGACACATCATATACGCATTACGTTTAGTACTCACAGAATTGCGCCCCCATCCTCGTTCCCGCAACATGCAGACCCAGAATCTCATGCCGTAGCAAGTACTCCCCGTTCGCGATGGTCGGGGGGATCGTGACCGTCCACTTTGCGCCGTTCTTGGCGAGGCAGTCGGAGCCCCAGGGCGTCGCTTTGCTCTTGTCGTACGACACCTGGTCGATCTTGACCCAGACGTTCCCCGTGTCGCCTTTGAAGGTGCTGCAGTCGGGGCTGCATTTCGCGAGGTAGTTCATCACGGGTCCGGAGTGGGAGGAGCCCCATTGGTCCCAGATGAGTGTGCTGTTGGGGGGTTAGGGAGATGATAGGAAAGGGAGGGAGGGGGAGACGGACACTTTGTCGCCGGCTTTGACGTCGATTATTCCTGTGGCGGGGAGATTGCCGCCTTGGTTGCAACTGGGGGGTTCGTTGTTCGTCAGTGTTTGGAAGGGTGGGTAAGGGGTGGAGGGACGGAGGTGGCATACGTGATGTCTTTGGTGGTGAAGTCCGCGACGGGGCCCATGTCTTTGATTCTCCGTGCGTATCGTGTGGGTACGGTGGTGAGGTACTCGTCGGAGCCGACTTGCCATGCTTCGTAGCGCTTGCCGGCGTGCTCGATGTATTTCAGGTAGCCGTGGGCGGACGCCAGGCTGGAGAACGTGGCGCAGAGGGCGGCGACTTGGAGGATGTACATGGTGGCGGTTTGTGGGGTGTCACTGATTTCTGGTTAATATATTGGTCTGGTTTGAGCATTGGGAAAGTTTACTTGTGTATTTATATGTCTATGGCATTTCACGTCGTCAATAGATATCACGACCTACGTGAACAACGTCTCGGAAAATCATTTCTAAATGCCATATTGGATCCGCTAGCCAGGGTTCGAGGACGGCTAGTTTCCACGCTGCGATACTCGACTTCATTTCGAAGAAACACTCCTACTGGACGTGAGGAAGCATAGATATTTTCTCCAGATTATGGGTAGGGCTCGTGGGCTTTAAGGATACGACTTGGCGGAGGGCGACGCTCCGTTAGACGGTTTCGGTTAGCAGCGCCAGGATGGACGTTCACATTCTCGATATCAATGCCAGGACATTTAGGATACTGAAGTCTTGTCTCCATGGTGGGTGCTTTGAAGAGTCTAGGTGGACGGATTCTTGTTGCTGTTCAAGAAGAGAGGGATCCTGTTCGATTATGTACGGATGAGCGGGCCGCGTCACTGACACATAGATCGGAGAACCCGAAATTAGCTGACCAAATGCACATCGAAATCGAGTTCTAATGTATTCTACATCTCATTAACACTTCTCCACAGCAGAAGGGCATCAGAATGCAAGTTCAAAGTCCCACACCTGGACCTTCCTCGTGCCAAACGGACCACCCTGCCTCACAAACAAACTAAGCACATTATTCCTCGCCAACCGATCATAATCAACCAGCGGCTCACCCGCCATGTTCCCAATCGTCCCGAGGCTCTTCCAGTCCTGAAAGTTCCCTCCCGCCGTCGCGCCCCAGATCGTCACCGTGCTCTTCGGCGCATCCGGGATGATGGCAATCAAGTTATCCCCCGACGCCGCAATCTTGCCCCGGTAAGCAAGATACGGCGGCGTCGAAACGGCAACATTGATCGGGTTCTTGGAAAACGTGCCCGTGGGCGTGCGGAGGTAGTGGTAGAACTTCGCGGTCCCGGAGCTCTTGTCGCGCATCAGGGCGTGGAAACGACCCTTCGAGTCCGCGCACTGGGCTTCCTGGTTGATGATCTCGCTGTTCTGCGGGATGGTGTAGATTTTGATGCCTGCTGTTGAGGGCGTGATGGGCTTGGCGACGCCCTGGCCGTTGGTTTGCTTCCAGGTGCGGCCGTCGTCTTCGGAGAGCGCGTAGTAGAAGTCGTGGTTTGTGCTTGCGTCGGGGGTCTCGCGGACCGTCCACGAGACGTGGAGTTTGCCGTCTTGGGCTGTGAAGCCGTTGACGTAGGCGTTGTTGTCCTGTCCTTGGAGGTATTTGCCAACGTTGCTCCATAGGCCGGATGTTGATGAGTAGCGGTGGATCCAGGAATCGCCAGCGCCGGATTGTCCGATGCGGAATTCCATCAGGAGATCGCCGTTGGCGATGCGCTCGAAACGCGGGTAGGTCAGGGGTGTCCATGGTCCTGTCGAACCTGGAAGGCTGTGTTGGACTGCTCCTCCGAATGACTGCTGAGACCATTCTGAGGGGATGCTTTTGGCGATGCCGGAGGTGGATACACGGTAGTTGAGTGGTACATCCTGTTAGGTCAGTATTGGTTACATGTAACAATTGGAATATGCTGAACTTACATGATGGTCAAAGGAAAGGTGGATCTTGCCATCACCACTGATTCCCATACTAATAGTATTGTGTTCATCCAAGGTAGTTTGAAGGTAATCTGTGAACGCGAAGTACTGCCAATCGCCCACCGAAGGACTGATACGTCTCCGTCCGAGATTCACGTAGTGTTTCCCATATCCAGTAGCCGTGCTGTAGAAAGCGACATATTGGTAGTTCTCAAACGTCACCAGCGCATTCTGCTGAAACGCCAATCCATTGAGCCGAACCGAGCCCTCGACATCATTCGTGATATTCCAGTACTTCGTCGACGTGACCGAAATAGCCTGTACGAAAGAAAAACAAAGCGTCGCAAAGACGAATAAAGCTCGAATTGTCGTCATGGCCAACGATTCCGCGACAGAATGTCTTTTTCTGTGACACGGTTGCAAGCGCTTCCTTGGGTAGGACGTCCCCCAGGTTTTGTATACATTGCAACCCCCGGGTGATGTAAATATTGTTACCCCGGATTCTCCACTGCGGAAAGTACTCCGAGGATATGTTCCTGATGAGTCCACCACTCAGCGTTGCGGTGCGATAGTACATGTGAAGACGGTCCGATGCATGCCCGGGTTTGCGGGTAAATACCTAGTGTAGTTAGCCTTGTGTATATGACACTGAATATTGAGCTGCTTATTTAGGGTTCGAGTATCGATAGACGGTGGGTTCGTTGCTGATTATGGAACTAGCCTCGGGGCAATTGATGACGAGGTGATACTAATGGACTTGGGCTTGAATCATGAAGTGCAATAGTTACATGTGCTCCTTGGATCACATCCCTACATCTATATGATCGACAACCACAACAAGCTGCCTGCCTTGAATTTACCTTGAGGGCCATGAATACAGTCTCCTCACATGCTATCAAGGAGCTGGGGAGGTGGAAATGCGATTGATGCTTAGCAGGTATGATGATTACTGATTATATTTGTGTTATTTTCATTCTCATTTATATATCATAAAAATAAGTTTTCATCATAATGAACGCAATATGCCGCTACCTTTATCATGACTCCATGAGAAAAATACCCCTCAAGCGCCAGTAACAAACCATATGTAACGAAGGTGGAGTATTCACATTTTATATTTAGTTTCCAGTCAATCTTCCTCCACAATAGTTCTCAACATCCAAAGCGACCCGGACTGAGATTAGTATAGGCCGTTGTTATTGTCGTTCACGGTCACTGAGCTCAGATCGATGTCGAGATCCAAGTCCATGTCCATCAAACCAGCGTCCAGTGGGTGATCGCCCCAGCGCAGGACTTGCGGCTGTCCCATCGTGCCCTCAATCACATCCGGCGAGCTTCCGCTTGACTTGCCGGCAGACGGGCTCGTCGAGATGCGTGCTGATGTCGCGAATTGCTGGTCCCAGTCGATCATATCGAAGTGGCTTGGGAGAGGCTCTCCAGTGGTGGTGCAAGGCATTTCCTGGAGGGTGGGAAACACGGCGTCGCCAGACTTGGCGCAGGCTCGTTCTTGGATTGGCGGGAAGATGGGGTCGCCACTCTTCGTGCACTTCTTCTCCTGGATGGGCGCCAGGAAGCCAGGGTTGCCGAGGGAAAGGTCTTGGGATCTGCGCGAGTTTGAAGCACTGCTGACGGCGTATCCTATCTCGCCATTCTCGCCAATGCATGGTCCACCAGGAACTGTGCAGCCCAATTCAGAGATAGGTGCATCTAGACCTTGAAGCTCGAAGTTAGAGGTGAGAGGGTAGTTGGATGCTCCAGAGGTTGTCGATGACGCCAGTTCAGGCAAGGTCAAAGGCGTTCCAGATCGGAACATCGACTGGGCATTCTTCGAGTTGTTCAGTGTACCGGCCAACAAGCACTCGTATACCAACGACTCGTCGGCCTGGGAAGTGTCATGAGCAATATTCGTAAAGTTACTAAGGTTGAAACTTGTGTCCAATTTCGTGTCTTGCCGAATTCCAAGATCTTCTAAGACTTCATGACTTGACCAATTAGTGAAAGTAGACGATGAGGGAATGCCGTGTGACTTCTTGAACAAGGCTAGCCATTCAGCGTTGTCTGCCGACGTCTGGTTCCACGGATCATCGCTATCGTAAAGAATAAAGCGAGCCTGTTGTTGAAGCATCTCATCAGTCAAAGAGCTGGGTTCGTGTGTTTCCAGGTACTGCCGGGCAAATTGGCCAAGACGAAGGGTAAGAATCTCCCAGCACGTAGCATTTGGATGGGGGCTGGGTGATTTGGAAGAGGAGAGCTGATGCTGAGGCGTATTGGTAGGAACGGCCAACGGGCTCAAAGAGGCGGAGCCATCCGTATACCTGTCACCCAAGTTGTCGACCCTGGTACTGGCCGAATCTGAAGGGAGGAGAAACTGGAAATCGTCTTGCTGCAAGCAGGTATTGTGGTGCTAGTAAAATGTTAGTTTCGATACAACCACCACGATGAGCCAGTACTTACACCTACCTTGAGACTTTGAGTATTACCCGCAGAGAAGGGGAATGGTGACTTGGACTCGTCCGCGATGAGGTACGGAGGCATAGCATTGGTGACTTGTGCAGCAACGCTGGGATCTAAACCCCTGCAGCCTTTCCAATTCTTCATGTTGGCGCCATTCCTGAACTCCTTTGCTAAGTGATCAACCCGATCCTGCCACTTATCAAATGATTTGTCACAAAATCCACAACGCGAGTTTATATATTGCGCTTCAGCTTTCCAGGATTCCATACTACTGGTCATCTTACAACCGTGCATGAGCCTCAAGTGTTGCCTGAGGTGATCCTTTCGATAGAAAGTTCGCGCCTCGAGGCCTTTCTCCGCGCATTCGTGATAATGGTGCGTTTCCAGATGCTCTTTTGAGGGTTCGATAGCATCGCAATAGACGCATTTTCGTTGACCGGAAGCTGTACAAATGATGACCTCTCCGATTGGCGCACAGATCCATTTCTCGAGTGATAAATGCAAGGACTTTTCGTGGCGGGACCAGTCGTACTTGTTCTTGAAGGTATCGGTGCAGAAAGTGCACTGGAAGGGACGAGGTGCGGCGCTCAGATCCAGCTTCGGAGTTCGTGTAGGCATCTTTCGTCGTCGTCGCCTCTCCTTCTGCGAGTTGAGACTGGTGAGAGACCCGAAAGAGTTGCGTGACCCGTGTGACCAAGCAGTCCCGTGTGACTGAAGTGATCCCGAGGACATGTTTGTAAAGCCAGTCTCCAGTGATGTTGTGGAAGGCGCTTTGAAGAGTGAAAAGCTTCCCGTACTTCCGCTCGAGTTGCCTTTACGACTGCGTCCGTTGTAGCTGCTGGAGAGACTATCTGGCTGTGGGGGATCGAACGTTTCGACGGCTTTGGCAATGGCTGTCAAGGGGGCCGGTTCGTTCTCGGGGGGCGAGTGCTTCCATCGCTCGAATGGATCTGTAGGATATCAGTCCTGTTCCTCTAATGACCAAATTCGATGTCTATTATCACGCCCCTGTGCCCAACCGCCGCAGGCCATCGTCTTATAAGCCAGCGGCAGAGCAATACTAGTGGGCGGATGAAAGAATGTTGAAGCCTGTGAATACTTACTCATTTCGTCCCATGTTCGGCCATCAGGAATGTTCATCGGTTGTGTGTTTGGTCTGATGCTTGGGGAAGCACTTCGTTTAGGCCTATTCTTCTGCCTTCGCCGAGTGTTGGCCATCCAGTTCGATATCTGATTCATTGATAGGCCGGTAAGGAGCCCCAATGTTTCCTTCTCTTCCTCGGTAGGATAAGGATGATCGCGATGCTGATTCATCCATTCCTTTAGAACCTTGACGGCGCCTCGAGGGAATCGTGCAGCAGAAGCCCCCCTCTTGGTCTTATCGCTATCAGGATCAACGAATTCCTCAATAGGGCCCACGTGACCCAAGGACCGTAATGGCTTCCTGCCAGTCAGAGTACCGAAGTTACGCGCAATGTCCTCGGGCAGTGAGGCTAATGTGTCGATAGCCGTCCTCTTATTCTGCATGACCATCTTCTCTGGCTCGCTGAAGCTGCATGGTCGGAATAACGCATTGCACGGGGAACAAGCAGACTGAACGCCTCCTCCTGTGTTGTAGATAAAACATTCAAGAGATCGAGAGCGGCAATAGTCGCATGGGTCTGCAGGCTTGGAATATGTGGGAATCCAACTGGAAAAGTCTGAGTTCCACTCCGGTCCAGAGGGGACGGCAGCATCGGATGCTGTCCCTGCAATAAGATCTTGTGAAGTTTGAACATCCTGTGATTCATGGCAAAGACAGCTAAGGTCCGTTAGCAGGGCAGCCGGCAATTGGAGGGTGTGAATGAAATCGAAAAACTGTAGATTACTCACCCAACTCCACGGGCCGGACAACAATTCTTTACTTTCGATGCATCCAAGTTCCCATCCACGACATCCTGGATTGTATCAGGCATGGCAGCTTCTCCGAAATCGAAGAATTGCGCCATCTCCGATGACACGTTGGGCGTGGCCATTACCACAACTCCAAAGTGTCAAACGCCGAAAGAGGCAAGAGAAGACAAGACTGTTGATCGAAAACGCGCCCTTTCGCTTCGAGGGGTTGATGAGATGTCAAGAAGCACGGCGTTGGGACTCGAGAGATAAAACAGAAAGAGAAGTGTGAAAAGGCCATAGAACAGTCACCCAACGGAGACTTTCTCTGATTGGCCAGTCACTTTTTGACAACTGAAGGGCGTGAAAAAGCACGGACTCGACCCTCAATCGATCAATCAATCCATCCTGTACTTTCCCTCATGGGCTTAGCTTCGCCCGGTAGCGTCACATACGAGTACCACCACTCCTACTTCCACTACTCTCCTCTCCAACCACGCCCAGCAGCATCAGCATCCTAATAAGTTCCTGACTAGGTACTCCAGACTGTGTCTCGTACTACTCGTATCTATCGGTCAAAGACAGAATAATGACGAACTGGCAAAGGAAACAATCGGTCCATTGTCGGCCCCCCGTTCAATCCTATCAGCTCATCACCTATCAACCGTTCATATACCTTTGCCATTGCTCTCCATCAGCTTCAATTATGATCATATCAAGCGTAACAACGCCCAAAGCATGACGTACCTATTCCCACAGAGGCGATAGAATAATTGATGGGAATAACACCGTCAGCTGCAATTCTGGAGGTCAAGGATGGTAGCAGGAATCGGAAGTTCGACCACCCCCATCCAAAGCCTGAGATCGTTCTGGGCTGATAAATCCACTCGCTGGTCCTGCACGCCGTCAGCTCGCTTGGCATTTCAGACTCCTACGCTCCCTATGATTCGCCGGCATTTCTACGCCCCTTCGCATGGCTCGTTCTCAAGAGCGGCGCCCCGTGGAGAATGGTACCCTTCTGGTCACACGGACCATGCACAAATGCGATACCGGCATGCGTGGTCAGAGACTTCGATAATCAATATCGGATCTTTATGACAGACGTCAATTTATGCACAGGCGTCGAGACATCGATAACTTCATGCTCGTAATTGGTGGGGAGTTTGTTCCCCGCACAGCAAATGCTGACCGCTCTCTACACAGTAAATGCGAATGTTATCGTCGTCGCAAGATTTCCACGTGTTCTAACCCATCTCGCTCCGAGTATAATTAGACCGCTCATTGGTCAAGTCTGGATGCGGCTTTCCCTTTTGGGTAGACATCTTCTACTGTTGGACCACATGTCATTCTTATTGCCTTGCGGTTGCAGTTGCAGAGAGTACACAGGTCGGGCTGGCCACATGCTGTACGTCGAGTGGCTATTTGAGAGTATGTAGTTGCCAGTCGACAGTCTGAAGGCCTCACAAATTTTCAGTTATAGGCATGTAGTACAAGGAAATATGGTAGAATTTGTAATCACGATATATGATCTTCAGCGCATGAGCTGAGGCAAACCACTGGTGTGGTCGTCACCCATTGATCCCATTGCCATTTGGCGGTCAGAGGAGAATGACAATCCTTCAAGTACTGCTTGGGCATAGATATTACATCAGATTGGAACCCTACCAGGTCGATGGGTTACGCATACCAAGAATTGGGACAAACGAACAATGAAATGAGCTATTCGATATGAAATCGCGGCACCAAGCCATGTCCCGTCTCGATGCAAAGCAATTCCCTTGCTGTAACAGTCCACTATTATACTCGTCCAGTCGCTAAATACGTTGAAAGCTTTTGCTTTGCGTGTCCTACTATCACACAGTACATGGCAATTGCAAGTACTTCACCGAATCTACGCAAAATTAGAGCAAAGAGGCTGCGATTGACGTCTGGACTTTCAAAACCATCCAGAGCCAGAGAAGGAGTGTAATTAAACATAAAGTGTCAGCTATTGTGCAATGTGGTTGCAATGGTACAAAAAATTGAGATAGGACTCCCAGACGCGATATGAAAACATGAGGCTGTTGAGGCATGCATGAGTTGACTCAAATACGTACACTATGCTCTGGAAGTGTGCAATTCTCACTCCCTCGGCTGGGCTTTTGGCCAAGGAATTTTCTTGTATCAATTTTACGCAGCACCCAAAGTGTTGGCTCACTATGTCAACTCAAAGTGTGACTTGCTTCAACCACTCAAGCGTGGGTTGGGAATCTTCTCGTGCACGTCGTGGCTATTCATCGCATTCTAGCCCACATCTCACGAACAAGATCCACACATACGAGGCCATCAAGGAAACAACTAAGAGCGGCGCAAAGCTCTGGAGCGCTCCCCAAGAATGTAATGCCAAAAATGCTATTTGGCCACCGTTTCTATGGTAAGTTCTGAGTCGCACGTTAGGTGATTGTAAGATTTCCCAATCCTAATTCTAAGATTTCTGATCTATGTTTCTAAGGTTTCCTCTAATGTGTCCCGGTCTATATCTAATGTGTTCCAGTCTATGTCTAATGTGTCCCAGTCTATCTCTAATGTGTCCCAGTCTATCTCTAATGTGTCCCAGTCTATCTCTAATGTGTCCCAGTCTATCTCTAATGT